GAACAGCCAATTGTGGTCGGAAACAAGAGAAAAGAACTTAGTTTAAAATAACTAGAGGACTTTTATTGGGATCCTGGGATCGGCAAACTGTGTACAAAACCTGAGTCAGGGACCGAAAATACCTTGACAGAATAAGCCGAAGTTAGATTATCTGCGTCAGAGAAGAACCGTTTTCTCATGCGCTTGTTTTGAACATTCGACTTTATTCTAGCGTCAGAAATGACAAAGTTTTTGAAACTCTACCAAGAAGACCCCGTTCAATAAATTCTACTTCTGCTTATGGAAATGTTCGACATTGACACTGCTGAAAATTGATTTGCGCGAGTGATGCCATTTTCGCGGGTATTTTAAAATGTTACAAACAGTAACAAGATCCAATATGATTGTCAAATGCTAGAACATTTTCATTTGCGTTCCATTCTCAGTCGGAAAAAAAGACCATCACGTGATTATTTTTGAAAGAAATAGAGCAGGGTTCCAATTCTGGCTGAGCGCTGAGCGACATCTGAGCGTGAGCGAGCGGTGAGCGAGCGAGCGATCGCTCACGCTCCGCTCACTCAACTGATTTTCATAGCGAACCGCTCAGTCGCTCGCTCGCTCAAGGCCAAAAAATATGATAGCTGAGCGAGGTTTGAGCGAGGCTGGAGCGACTTTGGAGCGAGGTTTGAGCGACGTTGGAGCGAGGTTTGAGCGCCGCTCGAGCGAGGTTTGAGCGACGGGGGAAAACGGATTCGGTTGGCCCAACTCCCGCCGAGTATGAACGTGCAGGAGGTGTTAAGCCGAGTTAAATTATCAACTAGGGTAAAATTTATCGCTGATCACGATTATGAAGTCGTAATTTGTTATTAATGTCAAAAATTCAAGATGAATCTCGCTCTGGAGTATCCAGATCTTGATCGACAGGCCCCTCTTATTCGTAAATTCAGCTTGAAGAAATCGTTTGTTGACCACTGAAGTTGAATCAGGATGAAAAAATCTGATTCTGGTGATGTCCATCTTCGGGCCATTTTCTTTCGAATGCTTTTCTTGATAGACTTATCTTCTCAACGGCCTCTTTGACCTGTGCAACACAATGTCATGACAATATCATAGTTACTTTCAAACCGGAAGTAATTAAGATTGTTACTTTGATTCAAGCAGCTGATAATAATTGGAAGTGATTTATTTCGAAAATCTATCACCAAAAGACTTTAACGATAGCGCCATCAGAATCAGTATGAAATTTTACCCTGTCATGGAAGTTTTCAGAGAATTCTAATTCTTAGTCTTCCATATTTTCAGTTTTGAAGATCATCTAGGCCGTGCTTGATCACAATTCCCGACTCAAGATGCCCCCAGTTTATGTTTACTCAAGGACTCACACCGAGTCTCGGTGACCGAGACTTGCTCCGACTTGGGCCCAGGAGCAGTCTCTGCAGGAGTGCACACCGGCGGCGTGGTCCCTTGCATCTCCTTCACTCGGCTCGACACCTCCTGCACGTTCTCACTCAGCGGGAGTTGGGCCAACCGAATCCGTTGTCATCCTTGAGCGACGCTTGAGCGAAGTTTATTACTCACTAGCCAATTCTCCGCTCTTATTGGCCAAGATCTAAAAACTCCTTGGCGGTAAGCGAATGAATGGGGAGGATTTTAAGTCACGGATTTATTAAAAAGAGAGAATTTTAAATAAATTCTGCGAATAATTTTAACATATTGTTGCCAGCAATATACAGTTGGCGTGTTAGGTCGTTGGGTTTTCCCCGCCGTCTACAACTATTGAGTTGGTAACAATAAAAAAATTATTTTCGCTGAAACCCACCGTCCTCAGCCAAACATTTTTTCAAAATTTAGGCTCGACTAAAAAATTGGTTTTGTTAGCTCACAATATCCAGGTGGCGTGTTAGGTCGTTGGGTTTTCCCCGCCGTCTACATCTGTTGAGTGAGTTAACATATAATATTTTTCGGTCAGCCTGATTTATCATTGATACCCAAGCCAACCCGATAATTTATTTTTTACGAGTGCTTCCTTAGTTCTTTTTCGATTATTACAGCCATTCAACAGGTTTCTTCAACAATTAGACTAACCTCAAAAATTGGTTATGTTAACTTTCAATATCCAGTTGGCGTGTTAGGTCGTTGGGTTTTCCCCGCCGTCTACAACTGTTGAGTAGGTTAACATAGAATATTTTACGGCTAGCCTGATTTTGATTATAGGCATGGCTGTTGATTTCGAGTCCTTTGATTTTACCCGGCACTATTTTTCCGGGCAGCCCGCAGATTTTTCAGCGGGTTACTCGCACGGAGAGTCTTTTCACGGGCTACCCGCGCTATTTGTTTTCTCCTTTCCGCCGAGTAGTGGAGACCAAACGGACATGAAATTTTAGCTGAATCCTTCATTCCTCAAAATCCTGCTTTTCTCAATCCTCCATTTCCAAAAATCCTGAATCGGCAGAATTCTGAATTGGCGATTTGAGAAATGCGGGATTTTGGGAAATGCGGGAGCAGCGAGATTGGGCTATAAAAGAACTTCTTTTGATGACCAGAAAAATGAAGTAAGGTTCGCTAAGAACCTTCTCATCGAACCGTACTTGAGAGGTCTATTTTGGCGAACCGTTCGTCAACCAAAATTTTCTTGCTTCGCTTGACGAACATTGAAATGTTTTCGCCTTTGCTTCGCTTTCGCCTTGATTTTTTGGCAAATTTGAATGCCTGGGGTAGTAAAAATTTTGGGGGGTACTGAATTGTGCCGCCCTGCGCCGCCCAGCGTCGCCCGGTCCGAAACCATCCGGCTCTCATTCGACCCAACTATGACCTAGGAAATTGTTCTGAACAAGAGCGAGAGTTTTGCCCCGCCAACCCAATGAGTTCTCTACCAGAAAATGCGCGCGTAAGGGCCTCTGCCTCGTCGCGCGCTCAATTAATTTGTGATTTTATGCCAAAATCTGAGTTTGGTTGAGAATTACTCTACTGGCACCCAAAATTATAGGATTGCCTTTTTTAATTTTCAGACAATATAAATATGTCAGAATAACTTACTTTATATAAAAATCAAAATTACCCGCTTTTGAAAGACAAAATTTTCGCTCGAGCGTCGCTCAAATGTCGCTCAAATGTCGCTCAGATTTCGCTCAAACCTCGCTCAAATCTCGCTCAAACGTCGCTCGCTCAGTCGCTCCGCTCGCTCAGCCGATATTTGAAAAATCTCGCTCAGCCACTCGCTCGCTCAGCCCTCGCTCAAATGTCGCTCGCTCATCGCTCGCTCAAATTCAAAATTTTTTGGCCAAATTTGGAACCCTGAAATAGAGTTACACGAAAATTGCTTGTTTTGAGCAGCAAACAGATAGGCAATGAGAGAACCTTATTATCAATAAAAATATTGCTAAAAAGTAAAAGTACTGCGTAGCAAGCTTTTTCTGATGAAGCAAGAACTTTACGACGGCCTTGTTACAGACGCAATCTTGCCAAAATACGATCACCAAGATCGAAAAATGGATCATCACGCAACTGGAATACTCCTCACGCCCAATCATTATTCCTTGATTATCGCTTTTCCGTAACATGCGGACTCGGAATTCCGGACCCGTTTGTCGTAAAATCCAATTTTCTGAAGAACTGTAGAAATGAGAACACACGTTTTATTCTTTTATCGAAAGAGTTAAATCATTAACCTGATCGAGAAATTTATTTTCAACTTTACTAATCTTCAATTTCTGATTTAATATTTAACCAAATTTGCGATTTGCGCATTTTTTTCTTAAAAAATTCAAATTTTCATAAGTTCCTTTTTTATTTCGTAACTTTCATGATTAAGCGTTTATCTGTTTATTTTTATCATAAAACATTTTTTCAGACATAGGAGAAACTATATTTTTCAATTTCTTTTATAGGGCAGGATTGAAGGCAATTCAAAATATACCTCATTAAAACAGATGAATTTCAATGATTGTCTCTTGTTACGCTGTGAGTTTTCGCGAGCAGCTCGCGAGCGCCCTCGTTCGCGGCGCCAAGAGCAATCTCGACGGTCCCAAAAGCAAAATTGCGGCGGCGGGTTGCAATCGCTAGGTGTCGCCCTACTCGTAGTAACCCCCTGAAGCTCTGAACTTTACTATCCAGCTTTCATAACTAAACACTTTGGCAAAAATTAACGCGTATTTTTGATGACGCCGTAACGTCGATTTGCAACTCTTTTTCTTATAAGAGATTCAATGGGAAAAAGAAGATTGAATTAGAGATTTTTGAAAAAAGAAAACAGAAAAAATACGAAAAGAAAACGATTAAATAGATAATAGATAAAATATTTTACAGTCTTTTCTAAAATTAACCATATTTTATATCATCTCTTTTTTTTAATCACTTTATTATCAACGCATTTAATTTTATTTGAAAAATTAATCGACTCTATTCATTAAAAATAATAATAAACGAGCTAAAAAAATCATGGATAATAAGAAAAATTAGCTCAAATCGACACGAAATTTCCATAATTTTCACCGTAATTTTGGTGTATTTTCTGACCAATCAGATTTTTAAATTCTACCGATAGACCAATAAGACTTCATTTAAATGGTCGCTAGGAATCAATTTTTAAGCGCTTTTTTCCGATGACTCAAAAAGTAAGAATATGATTTATCAAGTATCAATTTCAAAAATTATATTTTCTTCTTTTTCCCGGCGAAAATCTCGTATTTGCTCTTTCTTTTTTAATTTTTTTTATTATTTATAAATTTAACACTCTTTTATTTTCAGAATTTGATCGGACAAAAATCGGAATCGGCAACACGAGAGACAAAATTTTTGAAATAAAAATTATAAAAAACCTTTTTAAAGACAGTGGCCGCTTTTTTTCGAAAGATCAAACACGAACATATTTTTTCGAAAGATAACAAAATTCACAGCGCGCTAGAAATAAAATTTTGTCTTTCGTCGACTCTCGGGATACCCAGGCTTTATAAAACTCATTGATTTACCTTTTTTATACAAAAACAAACGGAACGAACAAGAGATAGAGAGAAAGAAGAAGGATGGATATTAAACACAAAATCGGTATAGGTCTGCTTAGCGTCTTAGTGACAGTCCTGGTTTTTCCTTTTGGGATCTTCCGGGGCTGAAGCGAATTTCTCCCGAAGCCGCAGATCTGCCGATGACAGGAATGGGTTAAATAATTCGAATTTTTGAAAAATTTTGCACCTTAAGCAATCATATTTTTACTCATTTTTTTCCTTTTTTTGCCTTTTTTTTCTATAAGATATATTTTTTTCGAGACTTTATTCTAATGAAAAATAAATAATAAAAAAATAACTTTTTTTATTCAGATAATGCTGCTTTTTTTCCTCTGTATAACTCTAAGATACTAAGAAGTGGGCGGAATAGAAAACAGAAATTAAGATTGTTTTTTTTGTAAGCTAAGTAATTGTATAACCTCGTTGACAGTAACTCGCTGCAATTCGAACCTGGCTCGCTGCGGCACACGAGTCACGTGAGCACGAGTCTGAAAAGTCTCCTTCAAAATGCCGCTTCTCAAAATTCGCAAGTTCCGCTTTCTACAGATGATGTTGAAATAACAACAGAAACAGAAACCTCAACGACAGTCGAAACATCGACAACGACAAGTGAGCTTTCCTCGGTTGACGAGGAATCCGACAAGTTTGGCGCCGAGCAGGAGCCAAACTCGTTTGTTCACGAAATGATGATCCAGAGCGCGAGAAGATTGCCCAACGATGACTTTGAGCTTCCTGACTTTGAAATCTGCCCAATTCTGCCAGATCTTCCCGGCGAGTCTGGAAGCATTCGAAAAGTCAGGGACACCGAGCGCGCCAAGGTCAATCGTCGAATTGATGGTAAGCTTTTTTTTATTTTCGTAAATCATAAAAAAAATTCAATGACAATTATTTCGTGCTCTACCCCCTTAACTGTCAGAAAGTGAGGTCCCCTGAAGGCTTTTCGTTAAAGGGCCTTTCGTCTTGTTAATAAAATTGTTACAAAATAATTGAACTATTAAATATTCATTTCTGATAAATCACGTAGAATCAACTAACCTAAAATTATTTTATATTTAAGTTTTCTAATCTTAATATGAATTAACTCGTCAATCAAACCAATAAAAAATTAATATTTATGCTTAAATTTTCTCTTTCAGAGCGTCTAAAAATCTACCAGAACCGCACTGACTGTGTTTACGATTGTCACGTGGGCTGTCCTGAAGGATGGTTCAAGCTTCCTGGAATGAAGGAATGCAGACCTCGTCTCAACTGCACCCAAATCAAAAAGCAACTGCCGACGAAAGATCGATATCTCATTGGTGGTGGCGGAGTTAAACGAGTAAGTTAAAAGCAAAAATAGCACATTTATTCGAATAAAGACAAGTCGGACAATTCTTAGAATTTTTTTTTTTTTTCGGGCAAAAGCGCCAAATATCCGGAATTGTCAAGGAAGTGCTTCTCATGGCTTTTTGACCCTTCTTTGCTTTTTTTCCGAAAATTTTCCGTTTTTTTTCGCAAAAATTGTCTTCTTATAATTTTTCTTAATTTTGTCCGGAATTGCCCGTTCCTAAATTATTCGTTTTATTTTAATCAAAATCACGTCAATCATATTTTCTAAGAAGAGCATTATTACTACTTAATTTTTGCTTTTAGATCTACACTGCCGATTTAAACGGAAGCGCTGTCGTTATTGCCCGAGTAAAGCGCTTTAAATTCAACCAGTATTTGGAATCGATGATCGACCTTCAACAAACCGGCGTTGTTGCCCAATTGATTGGAGTCTGCGAAGAACCGGCCTGGCCAGAAGTAGTCCTCCAATACCATTCTCTTGGTTCTCTTCTGTCCGTCAGCCAGTTGCCAAACGATCTCGATCTCCGCTGGAGAGTTGTGATGAGCTACCTCGACGTTGTCAACAAGCTCCACACTCAAGTGCCAAGAGCACCGAGAGTTCTCTGTGACGCTTCGAGGACGGAAATAACTCTTTCACAGGTATTATGGGCCATAATTTATGGCGCCCTTAGATATTCAATTTTAAAATTATTAAGAGACAATTTTCTTATTATTTATTATTTATAAAAATGAAATGTGAAATGACAAAGATCATTGAAGGACCCCTCTCCCCGTCAATAAATTATTGACTCAATAATTTTCGAAAAATCAAAAATCGACTTTTCATAATTTTGACCCCGGAAATGGATGTAATAGGTCAAAGAAAACGATTTGAGGGCTCATTTTTTGGGGGTTTATCTCGACTCTAACACACTCAAAATCGCCTTCGAAAATTTGAGTTTTTGATAAAAAATGACCGAAAAGTCCTAATTTTGCTAAAATTTAGATTTAAATCGGTCAAAAATTGCAATTTTTCAATAATTTTTCATGATGTATTGAATTTCCATGGCTGTTTAGAAATTTTCGATTTTTCGATGAAAAGTGTTGTTATCTTCTTTTTTGAACAAGCGTAGTCGAAGCACATGAGCACGTGTAATATCTGTTGGCAGAAATGCCCAGAAAGTACGCACATTAGGACTCGTTCGTTCGATTATCGTTTTACAAGCTGATGATTTCGCCCTTGATATTCAATTTTGGCTGATTTTGATACAATAATTTCTGCATTTTCGCATTTTCGGTCTTCTTTCCAATCATCTTCAATCGAAAAGCTGACCAAGAGCTTGTCAAGTTGCGCGATTTTTTTTTCTTTTTTGGGGTGGGCGCGTGTGACAAATACAATTTCCATCCAAGTCAGCGTTACGTCGGTTTCTGTCCGGTCAAATTTGCATTTTGCAACGTCTCCACCCTTAACCATTGACATGTGCGCCACGCGCCAGCACCTAAATTTCTTATTAACTCGTCCTCATATTCAGACTCATTAAGGGGGGGGTCGACGAGAATTTTTTCAGGGGTGATCGTAATTTCGCTTATACACATAGTCAGGATATGAATTTTATATTTTTGGAATCTACAGATTCTCCCGCATCTGTTGAGCCTAAAATCATTTGATAAAGATTAGATAAAAGGGTCGAAATGAAAAAAACTGTAAAAAAAATGACCATTTTTAGTGCATTTTCGCGAAATGGCCCTACTTTGACGGGATTTTTAACCGACTTTTTCTGATCAAAATTTTTTGTAGTTTTCACCGCCTGATTTTTAAAACCCTTTTCTATCCACCAGTAAAATCAGATTTTGCCTATCTTATCAGGTTTTCCCGCATTTTTGGTCACGGAAATCCCGATTCTCGTCGACCCCCTCCTTAAGCAAACCCAAGTCATAAGGTTATTTGAAAACCTAATTCTTCCTTTTCTCGCGCAGAAGAAGGATTCGAAAATTTATATTTGAACAAATGTTCAACAAATTCATATAGGAAAGCAGATCGCGATTTGAGATAACAAACATAAGGTTTCTCTTACTTACCATACTTTTCTAGTTTCTCCTCACGGATGACTTTCAAGTCGTTCTCAACGACGTGGACGAGCTCATTGCTGCTTCCCAGGATGGAACCGTCAGATGTAACTGTAACATTATCCGAGGCGGCTCAGAAATAGAAGGTAACCTTAATCAGTCTCCTTTCATCATAATGCTTTGATAATTAATTTAATAACTTTAAATAATAACTTTAAATGAACCCCGTTCTCTTGACATTCAGGTGATACAGAAAACATGGGCTGCTTGGTGCCTCCAGAACAAAAACAATGCGGATTAGGCATCTTTTACACGGAGAAAATTGATATTTGGAAGATTCCGGACATCACCAAAGCGATTTTGGGCGAATCAGAAGAAGCAACAGACGTATGGAACAAACTTTACAGGTTGCGGTCTCAAAAAATCAAGAGGCAAGGACTTCTGATTATTTTAAGGGGTTTATATTCGGTCAGAATTGATAAGGTCATTTCAAATGTACTGTGTCAAGTTTTCGTTCGTCTGGCAGAAATATCAGAAAATATTTGTTTGGATAAAAATGAGACCCAAACGCTAGAATTCATCAAGAATGCAAGCTGGACGAGCCCCTCTCGCGGCCCGAAATTGGCACTGTCGTCGATAAATACTTAGAAGTCCAACAGCAATTTAACATTAATCCAGGCCTATAAACCCTTATTCTAGCATTTCGTAGCATTTTTTTAGCTACGCGTGTAGGTATTCATTATCTTCATTGTAAATTATCTTCTATTGAGTTTATTTTTCTTCTCCCGAAAAGCTCGGGCAAGCTAAAAAGCTCATCACTTTTAATTGAGCCTGGGATAGATTTTTAGAATTGCTTTGAAAAGGTCGAATTCAAAATTGAAAAATTGCAATATAATTTCAAAAATTCGCAGACCAATCAAAAATCTGTTCCCGCGCGCTCTGATTGGCTCCTTGGATCAACACAAGATAGCGTATTTGAAAAAATTGCGTTCATCTTACTAAGGGGCGAGTAAGAGCGCGAAAATAGGCTTTTTATTTCGCGAAGCCCCTCAAAAATCCTGGATGTACCTGTAAATTGATTTTCCAACTGTTTTGGACAGACGACACTTTCTACCTCATTCTTCATGACTGTACCTTGTACTTGTTCTAAACGCTTGATTCTGATTGGCGCCGATAAGGTAACATCAACGCTTTGCTAGAATTCTAGGGAAAGAAAGAAGATACCTAACACTTTTTCATGTAAGTTGGGCTCGCTATTTGCTTTTTACTGACCAGAATTTTTCTTTCTCATTTATCAAGAGGGGTTGATATGAAATATTTCCTTTTCATGTCTTCTTTCTTGATTGATTTAAATCTTCCCTCGCATAACACGATTCTAGTTAAGTTAGCAGTATCTTCTGAATAACTGAAGTTGCTCTTCACATCATCATCATCACGAAAAACACACTTTCAGCTTTCAAAAGAAGCCAAAACGAGTTAAGCTCAACTTAACCCGCTTTCGGTATGAAACCTGACCCTCACTGTACAAAACCACATACAGAAGGAAATTTGTCTTGTTTCGACAAATTAAGCACATACGTTTTTTTCTCAATTAGAATTAAAAATAACTAATTGTTAAAAATTATGATTAAAAACATGCCCAAAAGGCAGAGTTTTTCCCCTTTTAAAAATGCATGCAGTCTTGCTTGAATACAGTTTCTTACAGAACGAGTTTCAAGCAGGACAAATGCATTTTTCATCGCCAAAAAATCTGGCTTTCGAGCTCCCAGAAGTTTTTGGAGAAACTAAGAATAAGAAATTTCCAGTATTCGAATTCGAACATTTTTTTTCAAAATCTTAACGATTGACGCTCTTTGTAAATAAGATTTTATTTCGCAAAATTCTTGTAAATATGATACAATCGGTGTCACAGTAAAAATAATTAAGAAAAATTTCGAGGTTGTAGTTTCTTTATTGCTATTCTTCCTTTTTTACTTCTTTATCGATCCGAATAGGGTTTATTTATAGCTAAATTTTGACATTTTTAATCAAAAGTTCTGCGAGGAACATCAACACAAAAATTAGCTTATTTTTAGCAATTGCGGAACATAGCGTCGATTTTTTTCTTTCAATAAACTTAGCCTTGTGCTTACCCCCCACCAATCTATGTTTTCGTGTTTATTTGATCGCAAACGCCTTTGAATTGCAGATTATGTAGAAGACAATGCATTCTAGCACTTTCTTGATTAATAATGAACTCATTTTTTTTGCAAATTGATCGACAAAAGTTATATCTAAATCGAGTTTGTATAAGAAAAATCGAGCTTTTTTGTAAGTGTTTTATTGTTTGCAATTTTCAGGTTGAAATTTTGAGACTCAAAAGAACCAATAAATTTTAAAAATCAATTTATATTTCCGATTTTCCAAACAGACGTTTTGCCGTTAAACATAAATCAAGGATAAAATTCTCAATCTCGCTACTTATCGCTACTTGTCAAGATTAAAACGAAATATTCATCAATTTTATCATTTTCTAAAATTGTTTACTTCTAGTTTTTGCTGTTCATTCAAAGAAAGTTCGCAAATATAAGCAGTTTTTACGAAGATATTTTTAGGAACGATCAAAAAGGAGGTGCTTGTTTTTTCAGTCCATTTCGAGTTCTGCTCAAAACAGTTTCAAGGGCTCGACCGCGAAAGAGCCCGGGCGGATGTCATCCACTCAGGATGTTTGGAATGCTTCTCGTATTTTTGGGGTGTCGAAGTTCAGTCAATTAAGATTTTATCTTTTCATTTGCTCGTTGCAGTATTCTAACTGTGGGCTCTTTTTCACGTTGACAGTAATCGAGCTCAAGAAACAACGTGAGCTCAATCAAGTCCAATTTGCGTCACTATTAAGGTTTAGAATGAAAAACGACTTAGCCTAGGAAATCGGCGCCTCATTAAGCCCCGAATTAAATAATTTGTATTTCAACTAAGGCGCCTGAATTTCTTGCTCGGCCGGATTTACCAGCCGCAAATTGCCACTTAAAACTGCTTTAAAAATATATTTTAGGGCTTGGGCGGATTCTTTAAATTGATCTTGAACACGTTCAGAAAATATTAACTTGTCAATGCGCAACGGCCATTTTCTTGTCAGCCTTTTCGTTTTGGTACTCTCACGAAATTTTGCCAGATTCGATTAATGACGCAAAAATGCGAAATAGCGCTGCCACCTGACAATGCTGGCTTGAGGAAAGTGGAGAGTTTCGGGGAATGGAATGTGGATTGAATCATAAATTGAGCTTCGATGGCACGTTTTCTTCAAATCGATGGAATAATTACGAGTAGCAATTTCACCGCAACGCCGGGCCAAGGTGGCCAAGGTTCAACGTCGTTGGATTCTTGTTCGATTTGAACCAGTTCATTACAGAAATTTCAAAGAAAAAGTCCCCTTGCCCATTACTTGATAAGTGGAACCTTTAAAAAATCAAGAACCCGATGATGAGTTTGAGTTTACAGTGTTTTCTGCCCAAATTTCGGGGATGGTATCTGGAACCGACAAAAAAATTTCGACAAATTTTGCGTGGGCGGCTAATCGGCTGCTGATTGGCCGGTTTGCTGAATCCAGGCTCCTGATTGGTTGAAAATTTCCACGCAAAATTTGTTGAAATTTTTTTGTCGGTTCCAGTCCCATCCCCAAATTTTGGCCGAAAATAACCTCAATTTTGATTAGACTTTTTCGAGCTGAGACAGAGATTTGTTTATCTGACTATCATTTCTGCCACTCTCTTCGAATAAATTTTAAAAGTGCTCGCAAATCTCTTGTCAAATCAAACGAAACTCAAGTATTATTAAAAAAGTTTATTTGTTATACAAATCATCAATCTGCGGTTTGTACTTCTTGTAGATTGCTGGGCGTTTGGCCTTTTGCGTTGGTGTTAGGAGCCCGTTATCCACCTGAACAAATGAGTAATTTCCTTTTTAGAACTTTTTCTAACGCTGGCCGTACCGTGAATGCGATTTGCTCCATGATGATCCTTTTTGGAATTTCAAATCCTTTTAATCCCTCTGAGCGCCCATACTGTTCAATTTCAGCGTGAACCCAAGCAAGTAACTCGTCCGATTCCAAACTAACAGACTCGCTGCCAAATTTTTTCCGAAGCACTTCTTTTGAAAAAACCAAAACTGCGACATTGTAGTGATGATAGCTGCTTCCCCAGACTAAAATTAACGAAGAATGAAGAGAAAAATCATTAAAAAAAAGCTTACCAAAAATTTGTTCTACCAAAGGATGCTTTCCAAGCACTCCTTCGATCTTTTCTGGAGCGACGTATTCTCCCTAAATGAATTAATAATTCACGAGTAGCGCCCGGGCGCATTTTTATGGTCAAGCGGATAGACTTATTCCAACTACAGTTTAATCTCGAATACACAAAAGTAAAGATCCGGTGTTTTAAGAAGCTACTCATTCCTCTCGGCCGATTCGCCATCCGTTTCTAGGTGTTTTCGAAACATTGACATAATATTTAACACAAAAACGAGTGATATAACGGGATATTGGCACGATAATATTGTTTTATGCACAGTTCCTGCTAAAAAATAAAAGAAAAGCCTAATCAAATGACAAAATGAAAGGTTAAAATTTTCATTAGCTAAGTAACAATACCTGAGCAAGTTTATAAATATTCTTTTTTCTGTCAAAAATGTGCAAATTTCCATACTGGTCCCATCTTCCAATATCTCCTGTATGGAGCCAGCCGTCATTGTCAATCGTTTCCCGTGTCCTAAATGATCTGGATAAAAAGATGATATACGATTCCGGGGAATGCCTTCCCGTGTCCTGGGAGGAGCTGAGCCCGTTTTAAGAGTTAAGGGTATTCTCGGGCCGATGGATCAGACGCTGGTGTCACGTTCGATAACTGGTTCAAAAGAATTAGGACGGCTCAGGCGGCTCACCTTTCAGGCTCCTCTCTTATTGCCCACTCTTACTTAGACATTACCAAATCGTGCTTACTTCTCCGGCTCTTTAAAGTAGCCCAGCATCGTATTTGCCCCTCGGAAGCAAATTTCGCCACAATTGTCTTCCGCGAAATAATCCATTTCGGGAACAGACACCAGCTTTACTTCATTCCAGGGCTGCGGGGGACCGACAGAGCCATCATCGACGGTAAAATTGGTAAAAGTTGTGGCGCAACCACAGCCAACATTTTCCGTTGTACCGTAAGATTCAATCACGTGGCAGCCGAAAATTTCGCGGACAAAAGCGCGGACTTTTGGGTCTGTTGAACGGATTGACAAATTAAAATAATTACTAATTATTCAAATTTAAGCGTTAATAATAACTCCAAATAAATTGATAAAGTTTAAACTCTTTTCACCTATCTTCGACCAAACAGGTCATCTGAGACCTAAGCTACGCCGATAACACGAAAATTTATGGATAGAAGAAAAATCTAGGGCTCAAAGCCGTGAATCCCTATCATTACTTTTTCCACGATTATTCCGAGGACGGATTTTGACTACAGGGAAGGATTTCTAAAGCGAGATTTACGAATCTCGTTTTTGCTCGTTCGTTTTTCGGATTTACAGTAGAATCGATAAGCACACACTTTTCTAAACCTTCCGTGGCGCTGTGGCCATCTTTGCGGAAGTGTAATGGCGGCTTAGGGTTAAACAAGGTGTGGAGGGGCTTATCCGGCGACTCTAAGAGGCGATTTGGCATCCGATTACTAGCGGCGCGGCTCCAGATACCCATGTATGCACTTTGCCGCCCACCAGCTTCTGAATCTTCGACAGGACAAAGTAGTCCCACCAAGTCTCGCGAGTCACTTGCAGTCAGGTCAAAACTATATTTAAATGAATTACAGCTGTATTATCCTCTCTTGCTTGACACTATATCTAACGGATTTCTAACACCGTCGCTTAGAAAATGTAGTTAAAGTTGGCAAAATACAAGAACAACGACCGTTAGTTGCTTTATTTTGACTATCATCGTTGATAAGATTCTTATCAGTTTATTTTTTGACCTTCCTATACCACGATTCAGCAGGTTTCGCTTTGCACTTTGAGCAAAAGATATCAGCCAGTTCTTTGAAGGACTCTCTGCCATAGCAGCCTTGTCGAAGCTCAAGATACGTCTGATGAGGGTTGTCCTGGTAAATCCATTTTTAGCGCAATAAGTTTCAGAGACTAAGTGCCTCCTTAACTATCCTGAGATTATTTGTTGATAGACTATTATTTTGCCGAAACCGAATTTTTCTTACATTAAAAAACAGAGCATATTCAGTGTAAAAATTGGGACGGATGAATATTTTGATGTTAAGAGCTAGTTCCTTGATTCTGTCATAAAGTCTGTTCGTAACACGTGGAACAGTGCCGAAGACAGTCGGCTGGACGATGGCCAGCTCATCGAGCAGCTTCAGTAGATTACCGGAGGAAAACCAAAATTGCGCCCCCACCGTGAAAATGATACACCTTCAAAGGAAACGTTACTCAACAAGCGCCTTAGCTGCAATATCGCAAATCACAAGCTTAAATAAATATGGTATTTAGGATTTGACCGCGCAAGCCACGTGACCAATGATCTCAAGGAGCAAGATCCTGGTGGAATCCGGAAGGTGCTCTTCCTTTGGCTCAATGTTTAGATAAGTAGGCGTAGACTCAGTAGTCCTTATAAAAAGTCCAATCAAAAATCAAACCCCTTTATGAGAAACACAAACCTGACAGATCGCTCGAAAACATGCGCCATTGGCAGGTAGCTAAACCATCTTTCATTGTAGCCGATGGGCTGAGGGAGGAACCACGTGATAATTCCCAGCGCCAGGGTTGTAACGTTTTCGTGGGACAAGACAGCACCCTGAAATTACACTTAGCGAGGCTTACTGTTTTAGCCACGGGTAATGAGGAGCATATAAAATTATGTTTTCCCCATAAAAAATGATATTGCATAAGTTAAGAATTTAAGATGAAGCATGAAATTTTGCCTTTGGGTTGCCCGTCGTCCCTGAAGTATAATTGATCGTCGCAATGTCCTGAGTTTAGTTTCTAAAACTTATTAAATAAAATATCATGAGCTTTAAAATTTAAACGCTGATTTTAAGACTCTCCTCTACTGTTTTGTATTGAAACTATATGCCTTGGCAGACGGTTTTCTTTCGACAAGATTGACATCCGCTCCGGAGGATAAAAACTCTTCCCAGGAGATGATTTTGATCTTTCCATGATTCGTGTTCGTTTTATTGGAAGGAGATTCTGTAAGTTGGGTGGGCGGAAAATTCCCTTTGAAATCATCGTCTAACGAGGGCGTAGATCCGTTCAAATCTCATGTACTTTCATGTAAGGGGATATGAAGAGGGCTCTAGAATACGGAAAGCGCCACCCAAAGACCTTCAAAAGTCACGATGAATCGTAAGAAATGCAAGTCTTCGGCAATTTCCAAAATCGCATCGAGCTTCTTTTCGTCTCCAACAAAAACGCACTTTGCCTCGATGTGATTAAGGATATACCTGACAGCATCATTTCCAAGCGTATCGTAGAGACTTATCGCAGGGATAACGTTATGTACTTACAAAGTCTTAGTATAGCCTTTATCGCTAGATATGGGCATCGTGGAGGGTTTACGTGGGATTGATAATATTTTACTGAAAATTAGGCGTTTCGTTCTTAAATTACCAAATACGGCTTCTCAGAAATTTTACCCAAAATTATGGTCAAGAGATCAATATTCGTAGGGGAAATCACTAATAATTGAGCTTTTTTTCTAGCATAGTCGGGTAGGAGTATAATACAGATTTAGAATCCCCAGAAGCTGGGGATCATTTTGACTACTGATAGTGGGGGGGGGTAATCACGTACCCTGAGGGCATTTAGGAACCTCTGAAGTACCAAAACCTGGCCAATTTAGGAAATGCGAATTTTCGAGGCCTTAACTCACTTATCAATATTCACCGATATCTCCATCGATACCTTGACGAATTTTTGAAACACAGTTCTTTTCAAAAAATGACGCCTCAGTAGTTGAGAAGATAAACTATCGGTAGATTTTTTCTGGCTTTTTGAAAGTGGAAAAAATTGACCATCGCGTGCAGCGGTGACGAAAAAAAGGATGAGGCGACCGCAGAATTACGTTTGGTCGGGTGGACTTATCTCCTCTTGAAAATTGCAGCCCATACATACCGACTGGAGGGAGCCTCCAGAACCCCGATAAATGCGATAAGCAGAAGGAAAACTGCTCACACTTTTTTGTCACGCCGAGGAGTACTGTTTTGCGCGTGAACTTTGATTTTTTGGAGTGGAAAGAGCGAGTCTACCACAGCGTTACGTATCCCTGGACTGACGTTACACAAGTTGCGGTAGTAGCCTGCCAGGAGGTGTCATTTAAGAGTGGACAAAGGGTCTACTTTGTTCTTCCATTATTTCTATTTTGGCCCTTGCGAAAAAGCTCAAACGATTTTAGCATTCTCAAGTCTTAATTCACATGACAATTTTGACTATTATAAAAATAAAAGGATAATATAGAAAATGGATGATAAGCATTTCTATTTGTCCCACGTGATCTGATTCGATTTTCTAAACCTTGTCGTTGAGGAAAAAAAACGCTGGGCGCGGTTTAAAATTTGCCGAAAATTTCCATAAAACTTTCCATAACACAATTTGCAAAAGATATGCAAAGAAGCACGATCAGATGTTTCTAAATTTAACTCCTCCTCGTTTTTTCTCTTCCGAGGGAATGTCACAAACGACAAACTTTTCCGTCAACGTTTGTGAACCTAGAGCTTTCTAAAGGCATTTTACGGTAATTTTAAGCAAGACACCTTTCCTCCTAGAATAGCAGCGTCGTATTGGTAGCAGTTTTGACTGAAAATGGCGAATTTATCTTCTTTTGGAAGGAGATCCATTTTTTGAAAGGCCTTCGCAGCCATTTGAATGTCTTCGTTTAGTTGATCATAAGTGATTGTTTTGTACGTTCCATCGGACTTCCGGAGATTACAAAAAAAGCTTTTCTATTACTAAGGATTATAATCTGATTATATGATAAGCGCCGAAATTCTAGGAAGAACCTTTAGAAGTTTGAAAATGGCCAGGTGCCGCATGAAGTGTTTGAGCTCGAGCAAGTTATTTGAGCGAAATTAAGGGCCCCCTTGAATTGTAAAGGACACCTTCCTCACGCGCGCCAGTTGATAACTAAACCAACAAATTACCGCATCTCGCGCTACCTTTCGTAATTCTTATCCCTTTTTTTAAACGGTGAGTTCAAGTCTTGAGGAAATAAGCTTTATAAAACAGATAAAACAAACGTGAGTCAAGACAGCTTGAGAAAATTGGGAGTCTTGGACGCTTTAAAAATCCAGTTTTGGAGCGTTATCGAAAAAAAGAGGTTTAAAAAGATTGGAATTTTTTAAAAGGACACCTTCTTGAGCACTTAGAGGGTCAGAACTCCCGGGTGGGTTAAAGCTAGCCACATGACTAGTGACATGACTACATGACTGACCCTAACCCTAACCCTAACCCTAACCAGAGTTCTTTGTCTAGAATTTAAATATGAGTCAGAAAGTGGGTAGCAATTGACATAAATTTAGCTCCTTTGCGACCTAAGACCACCCTTATTTTCACCCAGAAATGATGATTTATGGGGAATAATTATTATGGAAAAATTGTAATTGAAGTTTACAAAACGAGCAAGGGGGTCGAAAAATATGCGTTCTAAATGCTTTTCGTCTATTTTCGCGAAAATAGAAGATGACGGCCATTTGTTGTCGATCGAAGCATAATTTAGAGTAATAAAGGTTCGTTTTTTGTAATCACTCAGCTGGGGCAGGCCGCAGACCACGCGGTCACGTGAGATTTTCAACCCGTTTTCGAAACATGCCAGGATCGTTTGCGGCGCATCCGGGGGAACTGTAACTCGGTAAATTCTTAGTTTTTGTAGTGAATCATTATTATGAAAAAGATGATTTTTCTTTAGCCGAATTTCCTTTCCAGAGACCTTCTTTACCGCAGAGTACGCTCCGGCGGATTTTTTCTTTGGATTCTATTTCAACAGACTGAAGTTGCTGTGGATCCTCGAGCGGGCGGTTTCTGAATAATGAAATTAGAAAGTAACAGAACAACGAAAAACGAAGGCTGAAGAAAGATTAAAAAGAAGCGGGAAGAAAACAAAAATAACTATCAAAAAGGAGGGAATTTAAGGTTTTGTTTATCTTCGAGGGGGGATTTCCGAACTGACCTGAAATGGAGTCCTCCGCAAATCGCGCTCTTATCGTTTATTGAGCTACTCGAGGCAAATCTCCAAAAATTCTAGATGCGACTTTTACTCGTTTTTGCCCGCTCCTTTGGTCTGCTTTCTGAGTACCGAATAAATAGTCCCAAATCATTTTTTCATTTATGATTTTTTTCTCAATATCGGAATTGATGGAATTAGAGTCAGTCAAACAAGATCAGCTAAATTCGTATTTACCTGGGGTAAATAAGGGAACAACAACAATGAGGGGTTACGTAAATTGGGGACCGTGAACTCCCGATTGTCTTAATAAATCAAATAACAGTTCAAATATTAGAAAAGCGTGTTCCTACTTTAACGGACATATACCTCAACTATCACTCCTTTTCTGGCCAGAAATTGTTAAGTATAACTTTTACTGCATTATTCAAATGAATGTACACATTTCAACCCTTCATTCGTCAGGTGTCAAAGTGCATCTATATAAATTCATCGGTGAGAGGAAGACATGTACATAAATCTTGCTTGAAAAAGATTATTTCGGGATTATTGAGCTTGGGCAATCTTTGAAATGCATTTCACTCATTTCAATTGATTTTTTGTCTATTTTGTGGCAGATGAAAATCGAGTTATTTATTCCGTTTCGTTACTGACACGTCCTTCTGCTCTAAAAACAGATAAACCTACAGTCAGAAAGAAAATAAACATGGCAAACGACAGTAAAGGTAAGTGAAAGTTAATTTTAATTTGATTATTTTGTCAATAATATTGGCCTCGAGATCTGCTTTTTACCCGGCTTCAATTATGAACGGCCTTTTGAATAAGAGATTCAGCCGCACTGGGTCCCATATTTTGCTCGAGTTTTAGCCCAACTTCTGTCATTACTAGCTCAGAAGAGAAAGAAAGGATGAAGCTAGAGAAAGCACCTGAGATGGGTAAATTTAAAAAATGGAGAGAGACGTGGCCTTTTGATCCGATAATCACGAGTTTTTTTCTGGAGGGATAAAAAGCAGCTGGCACGAGATTTTATTTCCAAATTTAATTTTGGCTTTCTGGAACCTTGCAATAATAATTAATCAACTTAGAGAGTGGGGCACTCGGAAAATCAGAAATGCTTATAAGTGCAAGTTGTTACTTATAATGCACCGATCATAATTATACGCAGCTGTTGATATCGAAAAAAGGCTAATTAAAAAGCTACTCAAGGCACGTTTCTTAGCAATAACCAGCTCGTAATCATCGTTTCCTGCTATATTTTTTCTTCCAAGATTTCGAAAGAGTGACCGAGCGAGAAATGACACGAGCTAATGCAGTATTAATTTTTGCAATTGTCTGGGAGCAGTCTGAGCAAAAGGGTTAATAAGGGCGTCGAGTTGAGAAACACGAACACGTACTTGGATTATGATTTGTGAGTTAAGGAGACGACCCACTTTACATAGATTATGATAAGGAGGATTCCGAGGCGCCTGTTTAACCTCTTCGCGCATTTTGACCATTATTTGACACGTCTTGGATTAGCCTCCCTTTTGGCCATTTTTTTATAAAAAGGAGCTCAGGCGAACTTGAACGTTTACACGAAAAAAAAAATGTGAATATCATTTCGCCAAAAATTGTTAACTCATCTTTGGATAAGTTAACTGTAAGCTGCACCGAAAAGGTCAGCACAGGCCACTCGGCCGAGGGTTGATTATCTACCGTAGACTATTTTTTAATTCATTTGCATCCTTCTTCCAACCTCACATCGAGCGTCACGTGGTTAAATCTGCCAGATTAAGAATACTAATCACTTCCCTTGGCCACATCTTTTGGGTTTAATTTTCAAAACGCCGCAAATAACGGGGGAAGAAAGAGGCTTTCTCAAATCTACTTTTTTAGATTCAGAAGATTCTGTCAGTCAGTGGCCGATGCAGAGAATCGCAGCTGCTATTTTTGTCTCCTTGTGGTCAATGGTAAGATACAGTTATTTAGCGAGAAACCTGATCATATTATTCACCTGTTTGAAGTGCGTTTCGTTAAATTCTTTGTGTCTTTCCGGATTTACAAGTCAGATTCCGACTCGCCCGGCTCGTTGCTAGTTTTTATCAACCGGTAGCTATTTAGCTCACAGAGTGTCTCCATTCACGTTTATAAATTAATCCCTTATCTGTGCTTTAGAAAGATCCCTTCAATACGTCTTTGTGGCGGATTTGAAATCGACAAATCGCGAATTAAGGAACCTTAGGCACAAGAGATAAGGGACTGCGACCTGCGCTTTGAAAGTTTCCCAAAGGCAAGATTAAAGCCAACAATAAATAAAAGAGCTTGCTTTTCGGGGGCTCATCGAATAAATCTCCATTGAAATTTGCAAGTTAAGAGCTTTTTAAGCTTTTGAATAAGCTTTTTTGAGGACTTTTTAGCGCAGTTATTCTCCACTTGAGTCAATGATGAAAAATTTACATACCCAAATCGACAAAAAATGCGAAAAATAACTCAAGTTTTTCCTAAAATCTGATTGGACTAGCGGCTGAATGCGGACATCTGATTGGTTAAAAATTTTACTCAAATTTGTCGTCATTTTTTAATCAAAAAAGACAGGTTTAGAAAGTTTTCCGAAAAGTTTTTCCGGTTTTGGAAGGTTTGAAGCCTTCCCTCTGCTTCGTTTTTTGACTTTGAGTAAGTTGCGGAAGTTGTTCTATCCCAATGTCGACCATTTTCTGGTGGTATTTTTCCGAGCACGTCTCATCTGTCCGGCCGCGTCACGTGCCACTTCCGTCCTGAAGTGAAGCAGATCCCCTCGAAAAAAGATCACTGTCCTAAAGCGTCCGGGCAGGTTACTTTATCTCACGTCACAAGAAATAACAAAAACGTGATCTTCATTTCAAATCATAGGAATGTCGGCCTTTTTCTTTCATTGAGGCTGATTTTATTGATGATTTTACAGCGACCGCTTTATCTCATTAAAAAGTCTGAAATAGTTTTTATGGCGCTTCAAAATCAAAATACCTTTAATCTTCTCAAAATCAACGATTTTAGGTTATGGTCGTCCCCTGCTTGCTCTTCTTCAGATACAGTTTCCAACACCTGATAGCGACGATCGTTCAATTCAGAAAATTGTGAGAAAAAAATGGCCAAAAATCAGCTTTGATTCTTGAAATTCGCGATTTCAAGAATGAAAAAGCGCGGAGAAGAAATTCTTCTGCAAGTAGAACTGTAACATACAGGGCAATCAGTACCTGATTAGCCAGCATTGCGTGTTTACAATGAACCAATACTGGTTCAAATTTACGTGTGAAATATCTTCGTGGTAAAAAATTTTGACACTGGAATTTCTCATCGTTTACAAAGACAAAAGCAAGAAAAAGCGAAATGTCAAAAGGATGACGAGGCCTGTAGCGAAGCTCATATAAACGGTAAAAACGTAAAATATGATCTTCTTTGATATATCTGCTCAAAAATTAAGTGTTGCACAATCGACTAACGTTCATGTTTTATGTTGTTTTTGGAGAAACTAGGACGAATATTTTAACAATTAGGACAAGAATGAGAGGTTATCAAAGAGTTCGATAATGATTTTAGAATGTTGTAAAATTACTTGTGGCGTGTAAGGGAATTCCCTTAACCCCTCGTCGCTTATCGCACTCCTTTGGTAACCTTTGAACACGATAAGAAACTGCTCCTGCTGATCGTTTAAGAATTAGTCAGATTTCGAGTGTTCTAAGAATGGATTCACAGCTTGTTACGGATTCAATATTATCGAACACGTGTTTCGCATAATTTCGAAAAATCACGCGAATCCAAACTTGTTCACTTCCACACTTTCAAAATAAATTGTTTCTAACATTTTCAGGAAACGAAAACAGAGTACAACGGACAAGGAACGAGCTAGACAAATGCTCAGTGCTAGTAAGTATCCTTTTTTATGCAAATTATTGCTAATTAAATTTTCAAATTCACAAAAATAGTGTTTTTTTCAGACCCAAAACCACCAATTCCGGAAATCGACGCCGGCGACTTCTTCAATTTAACCCGTCAACTCAAGGGCCGTAGCAAAGTGTTCACATCCACAAAATTTAATGATCGTATTTTGCTAGCTCAGATTCAAAGAAGGCCGACCCACAAGTTCGCTCATTTTTCGAGGTAAGGGCAAAAATTTTTAAATTGTTCGAAATTGGCCCTGGCTGCTGATTAAAGCGGATGCGTTATTTTTGACCACAATCGAGGTTTTTTTCTAATACAGGGCTGTGGGCGAACGCTAGTGCTTATCAAATTGTCTGAGCTCGAGCTGAGGAGGGAGCTGTTCCTGAAATTAGCATGGAGAGTTGTACTACAACCACAGTGATATTTCACGCTAAAAATAATTCCACAAGTTACGTGGATTCTCAGATGGCGTCAAGTTCACTTTTATTTACATTTTATTTCGAAAAAAGCACTTGAACTCGACATTCCTTCTTTTTACAGTAGTTGTCTCGCCGTAAGAATGTTATAACTTTTAAGCAGAACAGAATTTAAAAAAAGAAAGAGGAAAAAATTCAAAGCAGCGACAAGAGTCTTAGTAACTCGGTGTCAACTTTGCATTCAGAGTGGAAACGTCACTTGGAACTCGCAACTGACTTCATATCAGATACTGCCAGGTCCGTGCCTTGAATTCGCAGCAAATGATCGCATCTTCGATTTGAAATGAGTTACATAACCACCTCGGGAAATCGCCAATTGGGGGCATAAATGACTTCCTCTTATCAAATCCTTATCACGTTGTGATTTCTTAGACCCAAAATCTCGACTCAGGTTCTAGTGGTTTTTAAAATGAAAAATTATGTAACCAAGGAGAAGTCGTAGAAAGACTTGTTCCGTTTTTACTAGTTTTTGGGACGAACCAAATTAGCTCTTTGTAGATGATAATCAGTAGCTTGAAAACCATCGAACCAGGGCAGATCTTGATTCTATCCCGCTGAGAATCAAATGTGTTTGGCGCCCTCTTCTGGCCATTTGAAGGGTTAAAAAGAGGTCCAAACCAAGTGCAACTCATTTTTAAAATGACTTCTCGAAGTTTTACATTTGCGCAAATCTAAAATTTAATAAAGCTGATGAAAGCTACGAATCATTGAAATTCGAGTCAGAAGAAAATCTACGGCAAGAATTCCCGCTACTTCGACTTTCTACTCTGTAAATCCCTTATTTATTTACTGAATTAAATAATAATCATAAAAACAAATGCGTCATCATAAAAAACGTTGAGCAAAAAGATCCGGAATGGGAGAAAAATGTGTTTTTGAGGGATCGTTAGGAGAATTCAAATTTCGCCGAGATAATTTGCGGCGGTCTCTTTAGTTTCCCATCTTCGAGAAAAACGGGAAACCGCGTGCCTCTTTGGCCGTCTAGCGCTTTTTCTAGCTCTTTTTCTTTATTTTAAATAAATCGTTCGTACTTGAAATATAGAACTCGAGTGAAAAGTGATAAGGACGAAGGATCGGCCATTTACTTTCAAAAAAAATTTTACTATAAATTATAGTCTATAATGAACAAAACTCATCCAGTACACGTAAGAAGTCATGAAATTCAAGTGACAGCTGTTCAATCCATAATAATCAATTGCGTGGTCGTTTCCTTGTCCATGTCAATCCTATTGATTGATCCGTAGATTACAGATTTTCGTTCCAATTTACTACTTTGTACCTCCGTATTCCATTTCCAAGGATCTCCCCGAGAGTTTAACTCGTCACTGGATAGACATTTCCAAGCTCAGAGGTGCTTTGAACTGTCACTTTTTCAAACTCAGAAACTCAGAAGCCGGCGAATTAGCGGAGTTAAAAGAAAATTGCACCTTGCGCGGAGAAAAATCTCGAGGATTTTCGAGTGTATTGCTCGTAAGTAATTACTGTTTTGACGCATGTTTAAAAAAAGAAAATCGATAGTTACAAAGTGGCAAAGAGAGCTGACTCACAGAAAGATTGAGAGCATTTGGGGTTTAATGAAGAGCAAGTTTCAAAATAATAATGGAATAAGCAAATTTTGATCTTGCTTCAGAATCACTCTTTTTTTCGCCGATGAGCTAATATTTTTATAGAGTCCCTTTCAAGTCTTGTCTTCTTATCGTCTCAGTTTCCGGCTTAGCGGAGTTGTTTTCTGACTTTTTCTACTTTCAAAACTTTTAGCGATAAGCGACGTTTTCTGTTTTTCTTTCAACGGGTTGATTGCTGCTTCTCCGATTTACTTCCTTTTTTGCCTCCGTTGAGGTCAGAATTTGCCCCGAAGATTCTTTTGAAAAAGCAGACTTATCTTGATTTAGGCATCTTCGCCTTTTTAACCTTCATTTTGTCAGAAAAAATAAGGGTGTCACTGCCCGAAAATCGCCACGCTTGCTCATTTGGCCGAGCAAATACCGTATCCTTCCCAGATCTAATTCAGCACTTGACTCCATCTTTCAAACCCCAATAAATTCTGCTTTTTAAAAGGTCTCTTCCCTAACATGCGCATTTTGGCCCTCAATATTCGACAGAAAGAAATGTTACGAAAAACGTGCATATGACTAATCTCTCCCATTTGCCGATTACAATAAGAGTCCAGTCGAAAGAGGATGTCGAAAATTGGACGGAGATTCGCAAATGCCATAATGTGAAAATAATGCAAGAATGTGAGACCGACTTTACTGGCAATTTTCAGACGATTATGATGTCAGCCCTGGACAATCATGTGACTACTTTGGCATCCCAAATGGTTATCTATTTAAAAGCAATAATTTTCAAACTCCAAGACCTTCTTTGCTTTTGGAAGGAAAGGGCCGACAAGTTTGAAAAACAAGGCTATTTTGAAACTCTAAGAAGTTCATGGAAAGTCCTGACCCTCCCCGATAAAGAGGACTCAAAGAACTGGGACTTGTGTATTTGTGATAAGATTGCCTAAAGACGGGATTAGAATCACTTCTCCACACAATCGCCACGTTGTTCCACCTCGTTGGAATTTCTTCACTGTGTTAATAATAATCACACACAAACTTGGAATTTCTCCTTGGAATTTAATCAGAAGAAAACCCGGCAAATGCTTGTTTTAGTATTTTCGGTCCCAATAAAATTAACTATGGATTGCCATTTTTGCTGAACTCGAGCAGATGGCCCAGCTGGTGTCCAATAAATTCGTATTCCGAAAATCGAATAATAAATAGAGCTTCCTCCATAAATATAACGGGCCTTTTTACGATTCGCCGGCGCCGACTAGGCCAGCTTGCCAACATGGGCGCGTGGTACTTTTACGGGCTTCCTCGCGGGGGTATTTCCCGCTGAAAAATGCGAAATCAATAAGAACTCGCTTTACGATCCTTGGTTCTCGCTAACTTCAAAGATCCGACGCGGTTTTATGATCCAAAGGTTCATTCTTTGACAATTATCCAACAAGAAGGCCATTAAGCTATTTTTACCAAAAGAGTTTTTTGAACCCATGTCCATCAATTATTTCTGGATTAATTGTCATTCCATTAACGAATATATTTGGAATAGAAATTAGAATTATTGATCCAACGACAAGATACATTTCCGTTCGAATTTAGTGGAATTTCACCAGTTGACATATAAATACCTCGTTATCTTTGAAGTTTTTGCAATATACGTCCCAGTTTTGTCTATACTTACTGACTCTTACTCAGTAAAGGCAATCATTGAATAAAGCTTCGTCTACAAAAAAGAAGTTATCTCAGATTACTTATCTGAATCTTTCTTTCAGAAAATGTCGGATAAAGATTGAATGTTACTTGAGCTTCAACTGATAAGTTATCAGAAGCGATGAAGTAATTTTGAAAACTGACGATTCAAGAGATGGATCTCTCTTTCTTTATTTTTGTATTGGAAAGAAATGGTAAATGAAGATCTGGAATCGCTCTGTTTCTAAAATTATCCTTATCGACTCTCTTCATTCCGCTGATTACGAAAGAAAAAGAGCTACAGTAGCATCAGCAGGGCTCAAAAAATTACAGTAGATAAGAAGCACCCGGTTGAGTGAACCTATTGCTCCTTCTAAATCGAGTTACGCTATCGCCGCGACCTCACAAACTCTTATCACATTATTGTGCATTTCCTCAAGCAGCTCCTTTTGCGGTGCAAAATATACGTAACAAGCAAGTCAACTTGCAAGCCGGTTGCTTCGGTGGATGCAAAAGATGCATAAAACTGGTGTTTGAACATCGAACAACAACGGTCCTGCTGATTTGTCTTAGTTCAACTGCGGTTCGAGATTTATGAGACAAGGGCTTGTTTTGCGATTTTAAGGGGGTGGAGGTCGATTTTTTGGGGAAAATTGACTGACTTTGACTCTTTTTTTTTATATTTTTAGAGAACTAAAAAGTTTCTAAAATTATGAATTTTGATTTGGTTGAATCATCTTTCGCGACTTTTTAGTCAAATTAAGAAAAGTCGCTTGAGATTTTTCAAGCGCCACCGCGAAAGAAAAGTGCGCTTGGGAGTATGTAGAACAGCACCGGGCAAATCTTGTGCGACTTTGAAACGTGTTTGGCGGAAGCCAGCTGCTTTGATTTCGCCGCACTAAAGTCACCTGCTTATAAGAATATCCCCTCAGCTCATCTCTAGCTACCTTCCAAACACGTCGACATTGAATTCTTCTCAGTGTTTAGACGCCCTTTTGTTAACGACCTGGTTGGACAGTGTTTGCGATACAAAGCGGGCTCTTAAGGAAAGTCCATCGCGAATTAGAATGTAAGCATTAGAGGTTCCTAAAATCAAATACCAAAAGTGAAATGACATTGTTCGGATGTTGATGCTACAAGAAGCTTTCTTGTATCGAGCGGTTCTTCGATTTTAGATTAGCGTAGAAATCCGCGAATAAGAGTGAGGGCAAATCGTTAACTCGGTTTTCGGTCTGGATTGATAGGTTGTTCTTGTTCATTTTTTTGAAAAAGAAAAACGAATTTGGCTGAACAATAATTTTAAAACAAAAGATAGAGGACGTTTAAAAATAAAATAAAAGTAACATCTCTGAGAAAATCTAAGTAAAATTCGCATTTAACGATGTCCGCCATCGGATCTCCACACTGTCGAGTTTGCGGTCCTTATAAGAGCCCTTATACCTAGGCCTCGGACGTAAAAAATCATCACCACTAGCCGGTCGTCGTAGGGTAACAAGAGTAGGCTCATTCGAAAGCTCTTAAAAGGGGCTTTCTGTTGGATTTATAAAAAAACTGGACCCTCTTTTTGTCCTCTTTTTGTCCTCTTTTTGTCCTCCTTTTTCGAGATATTTGATTTTGAAGGTAAGCTTCGAAAATTATTTTTCAAAATAACTCGAAACAGAAAGGGAGGGCCCAGTTTTTCTATCGGTCAAAAAGAAAGCCCTTATCAAGAGCTTTCGAATGAGCCCACTCCTATTCCCGTACGATGACCGGATGGTGAAAATCGTCTTTTTTTCGTCCGAGGCCTACTTATACCGTCTGGATGTTCAACTCAGCCCCTCTATGATAAAAAAAGACGGAGAGCTGCTCGTTAAATTGGTTCGTTTATCAATTTTCCGGACCCTCGTCTTATCTAATGCAACACTCGTCTTATGACGGGGATGATATCGAAATTTTGCATCGGAGGTCAAATTAAAGGCCCATCAGAAATTAACAATATGGCAAAATACAAAAAATCTTTTTTGAAAGCAATGGTATTTTTAGAAAGAGTTATCTACTACACTTGTACTTCAAAACAATGCTTAGACTTCAGCAAAAATTATAATTACCCAGTTACCTTGTGTGTCTATCTGACAGTAATTCAAAACTGATAATGTCCTTGCTGGCCAAGTAAAAATAAGCCTCTCCTTCGCTAGGGCTGACAGCCACATGTGCACAGCCTCCTGAATACATAATCGCGGCCGCGTAAGACAGACAAATTGATGAGGTTTTTACTTTAGAAACTCCAAAGCCATGCGCATTCGTCCTCTGTATTCGTCAAGACACGTGAGCAAAAGGGAGAGAAGAAATCGTATTGCATTCCTTTGAGGCGACCACAAGCGCCTGGCGCGACCCTTTTAGCTTGAGCGCTCATTTGTCAAAAAGAGGTTCAGGTGCAAGAGCTCCTTTTTAAACCTAGAAAAGCGTTTAGAATAGACTCACGTGGCCTATGCCGAAGTAAGCACTATTTTTTTTTTGTTAATCCATCATCAAAGAAATTAATGATCTTCATTCTCGACGATCTGGTGCTGCGAATTACGAGTTATCCATTTATCATCATAAAAGTTACCGCCGGAAGATTGATCAAAGAAATTCTATTATCATCAAAAACACGATAATTCGGTATAAAATGGGTATTATTGAATGCTATGTAAACCATGTTAGAATATTCCATCGTCTACATCTGGTTTCGGGTTCCTGGTCCAAATACTCTGGTCCAGAACTGCTGGGCTAATTGCCTTATCCCAAATACTACTTCGTAACGTCGCGGGGTTAACACGAAGATGTAAGATCTAACCTAGTAATCACCTGCTTGTCGCTCCTTAGTTCTGAGAAATGACGAGAATGAGATATTATTTTTGTACAACTTGATTTATTTGGCAACAACGAATGAAATAATGAATCTGTAAAGATGGTAGAAATATAAAAGGAGAGCAAGAATCGTTTGTCAGTTCCGTTAGCCGATCGTTAGCCAATTGCAATCAGTGTCTGTCAGACAGGTGTCGTTCAGGGGCACTTGCAGGCACCAGTGACTCGGACGTCGACGAGCTTGGTGACAGTGACGATGGAGACTCGGGCATCGAGGACGATGCTAGAATTGAAAAGTTAGAACTTTGATCTTCCGTGGAATTTAAAAGACTTACTCGGAGGCCATGTTGATCTCTGGGGCTTCGAAGCAGATTTCGTCGGACTTTGGCATTTTGGTAAAGTTTTTTTGAGTATCAAGGATAAACTGATGAATTCTAGTCTGAGCGCGTGTTTTATCTAAAATGTTTTACGACATGCCGGCTAATTGACAGCATCCACGGTCCTCTAGCTCTTAGATGGGAGCATGTAGATGGCGACATATGAAACCACTATAAATGTGAGGGTCGGAGACTGGAAAAATTGTCAAAATTTGAACAACCAAAAACAAATTTAAAATGCCAAAGAACGAGATTTGCGTCGCTTCTCCCGAGGTCGTCATGCACGGAGAGTAAGTACCACTACTTTTCCTTAGTCTCCTTTGCCTAAAAACATTTTTCATCGCATAACTTAACAATTCTATTCTAGCATCAACCTCCACGCCCAGGTCGCCGTCGTCACCAAGGCCAAGCTCGATGATATCTCCATCAAGGGCGACTGCAAGTGCGATTAAGAAATTGTCTTCGATCGTTTTTTACTTCTGCATTTTCTGACACCTGCTGTTTGACTTGAAAAATCAATGATTTCAGCATCTTTTCCTTACCTTCAACTGTTTAACTATGCGATTTGAATTTTTACCGGCAACAACGAATGATTCTAAAACAATGACCGTATCTTTCTTTGCAGACAAAATTTTGACCAGCATTTTGTAATAATAGATGAGCTAGTATTTTCAGAAGCTCAAGTTCAATAGCTGTTTCATCAAATTTGTCATTCGCTAAAGCGGCGCTCGTAAAACCGGCTTCTCCTCGATCATCGGCGGGTTCTTGATAAATTTGACGTATCCAGTCGACTTGCCGCTTCTTATTTCATACATTTCTTGAAAGTGTGCTCAAGAATTTGACATAAATCGATTTTGATAGTTCTCCCAAATTAAAATTTGCTCATACTTATTTGCCATAATTTATTGCCCATAAGTCATTGCTAAAAAGTCTTTATTATATAGACTATATAATATAGATTTACTGGCAGGCGCAGTCTTTCTCTGCTACTTGGACTGAAAATAATCCGCTAAGAAACGTATTCCTGCCCGCCATCTTTTTTTCACGATGTCTGGCCTTATTTACGATCTTCCTTTATCACTTATAAATTATGAGTCCAAGTCTAGGCTTTGATCGTTAAAAGAGTCTCGAGTGACCAAATTTTCATTAGTTTCAAGAGTCTTCTATGATTTCAAAGATGCGAAAAATCTTTTCGGAAATCTATAACTCGTTAATCCTATCTTTTTTCCTGCATAAAAAGAAAAAAACAACAGTTTTTAGTTTTATCGTCCGTTGTTGCCATAAAAATCAGTGGTAAATAAACAGTAAAGGTTTGAAAAGGTAAGGAAAAGAAGGTTTGTCACGAAACCGCGCCGAGCACAAAGCGTTCCCTATCCGCGCAAGAGTCAAAAGTAACCTATTGCAGAAAGGGGCGCAAAAGTGTCCAGAACGGAGTCGATTGTCGAAAAACACAAAAGATAGAAAAAGAAAAAAGAAGTTTCTTAATCGCACTTGCAGTCGCCCTTGATGGAGATATCATCGAGCTTGGCCTTGGTGACGACGGCGACCTGGGCATGGAGGTTGATGCTGAAATAAAATGGTTAAAAATTATTAAAAAAAAAACATTGTGGGCTAGCTTTTCTTTTGAAATAAGGGTGTGAACTTACTCTCCGTGCATGACGACCTCGGGGGAAGCGACGCAAATCTCGTTCTTTGGCATATTGATAAAGTTTTAGTTTTTGTGAGTAATCAACTGAGGTTCTTCTTCCCTTGCCGCTTGTTTTATCCACTTCGCACTCATCGCCCTCTCCCGGCGCTGGTGATCTGTGTTCCGAGGGACATCGTAAAAGCTTCAACTATAAAATCAAGCCGCATCCGTGGCATATTCAATATATCAACTCTAGATATATCGATAAAGCAAATTTTTCAAAATGGCCAAGGACGAAATCTGCTTCGAAGCCCCAGAAATTAACATGGCCTCCGAGTAAGTCGAGATAGGATAATATTGAACAAACCGCTAACTCTTTTCTTTTAGCATCGTTCTCGATGCCCGAGTCTCCATCGTTACCGTCACCAAGCTCGTCGACGTCCGAGTCACTGGTGCCTGCAAGTGCCCCTGAACAAACCTTCGGGAGTGAACCGGCTTTAGTTTAAAACCGACGACGAACCTGCTACGGATTTGACTTTTCTTCCTTCCTTTCTTTTTCTATCTTTCTAATTGCACATTTCATTTTTTCTTCGTTGTTGCCAGAATACATCAATCAGTTCAAATAATCAATTCATAAGTGTTCTCTTTTTATCAGCAGGAAAAACTATTTGTTCGAAATTCTTTATCTAAATTAGCGAGAAGTATAATGAGAGTACCTAAGGTAGAGGTGTTTGAGCAACAATTGTCAGCCTTGACGCTGAGATGAGGTCCCTTCCCGCTTCAACGCCCACCCGCTTCGCAATTGATAGAGGCCGTTCTGCCTCTCTGGTTCTACCAGAGAACCTAAGGTTCTTCTCCCGCCTCTTTCAGAATCGCGCGGATTATTATTATCTTTCTTTTTTATACAATCAAATTTTCGGAAAGCATTAAATCAATTGGTTTAAACTTGTTGTTTAAGTACAACTTGTTATATCAATCATATAATAACATTATCATTTCAGAAAATGCTTTGTGGATAAAATTTAGTTATCAAAACATCGGATTGCGTAAAACCGCAATGAACCGTAAGAACTTGGCTTTAACAACCAGCTGACATCATAAAGCATCTGGTGGGTGTCTGATTGATAGCCGGAATGCGCTCGTAAAATAATCAAAACGTAAATGGCATTTTGAAGCCGAGGTTTTAGGTGTTTTTCACATTTGCTGGGTGATTGGTACACGACGAAAGTAGACAGCCAGGAGAATTTTTATTGAGGTCTACATTCTTTGAGACCGGCTTTCTCCAAATAAGGCAAATAATGTTACGAACTCACAGGACTTTATTTTCAAGTTCCCATGATGATCGATCATTATTGCGGATTGCGGTAATCAAATGATTGACTGAGAAAATAACAATGTTTATTTACAAAAATAAAATAAATTGAACTTTTGTTTTCTGTTTTTGAAGGTTTATAGAGCTGCTGCTTCGAGTTTTTTCTGCAATGCTTGAATTCTGTCTTCATCTTCCTCTTGCAAAGCATCGAACATTTGGGCACACAAGCGATCAAAGTAATCTTCAGCGCTCGAATTTTTATTTTCTCCACTGAGGACGATGTCATGCTTGAGTTCTAGAGCTAAATTTGTTGAATATTTTTTATCGAAATTCAATTGTACCTTGTCCGAGTTTTTGCGTTGTTTTCGCCTTGTTCTCCGTGACGCTTCTCTGATGTTTGATATGTGAGCTCGCCTGAGGCGCGTTTCGAAGGTGCTCCTTGTATTTTGCTTCACGGAGTTTTTGACCCTTGCTTGTGTAGTCAAGAATTTCTTCACCAGTGGAAGAATGGAGGCTTTCGGCGGGTATCTGCGCGCACAAAAGGCTGACTGCGCGGAAAAAGGTTCTCTTGAAGACAACGTCAGAGTCGATGAAATGTGAATCGGCGGCCAGGTGACTTGCTAGATGAGCAGCCATCACTGACATCAGTCCCGAGGACTTGAGATGTTGTTGGTCCAAAAGTGCGATGCCATTTTGATAACTAAAAACATGTTTTATGGCTTGTTGTCGTCAATAAAAATTTTCAAATCAAATTGAGGTTTATTACCTGTAGAACGATGGTGCGAAGGATTTTCTTTCCTCTTGAGCGGGGAACTCGTTGGCAATCATAATCGTGATAGGTTCGAGATGGAAAACTCGCGAAAGCAACTCAAATTGACGCTGGAATAGTCGGTAACCGACGAACTCAAGGGTAGAAAGATCAGAAGGATGAATGATCACCAGACCAGGAGAAGTCTTTCTCAGCTGATCTTGCTTGGCAAGGAATAGATCTGAGTGAGCAGATTGCGAATTGTCTCCCGTCTGTAAGCTTATCGAAGCTTTTAGAATCGCTTCAAGCGCTGAGAGATCTTCAATCAAACCAGATTTAAGGAGAACCTGGCTATGATCAACTGTGGACTTCTTCTGCTGAGGCTGCTCACTTTTTATAAGAATCTGCGCTGGCGTCTCGGAAATTTCCTCCTCCGCGAGCGATTCTTCTTCAGCATATTCCGCTGCACGCGCTCTTCTAGCTGCAAGTCGTTTTTCAAGCTCACTCCTTGCCTTGTCGGTTTGCGCTGCCCGATCAGCTGCTTGTTTTGCATGCTTGGCGTCAAGTTCACGCAGGAGTTTTTCTTTTTCCGAGTCGTTCTTATTCGAGCTTTCAATTTGTATTCTCTCATTTTCGAGTTTGACTCTCGCGCGCTCTTCATTCGCCAGAACCATTGCCTCTAATCTCGCCTTTTCAGCTTCCTCGGCTGCTTTTTGGCGTTCTTTCTCCGATTGTTTGTCCGATTTCAATCGATTCTTCTTATTCAACAAATCTTCTTGTTGTTGCCGAAGTCGTTCTTCCTCTTCCAGAGCTTTTTGTCGGGCAGCTTCGTCCATCTCCGCTTGGTGCTTCTGTTGGGCTTTTAGACGGTTTTGCTGAAGCTCGTACTGAATTTGCGCATCACTTGTACATTTACGAATTTCCTCGTCGATTTGGCTTAATTGACGTTCCAGTAAGCCAAGATGCTCTGCCGATTGTTTCACATCAAGTCCCTTGCGCTTTTCGTTGAAGATTCTGTCACCTAACCGTTCCGTTTCTTCGTCAAATGCTTTCAACTCTGCCGTGAGCTGAGCCTTGAGTCGTTTAAACTCAGCGTCGTACTCTGCGTCATCGATGTCTCTTGTGCTCAATTCCAACACGTCCCGGTCGAACTGCTCCACAATTGCGTTGCGATCCAGGTATCTTGCATCACGTGCTTCGTTCAACGCCACTTTCTTTGCCGCTTCGATTTCACACTGATGTCTGCGAGACATATCAAGAATTTCCTGTCGATGACGTGCTTGGAGAACGTCTTTGACGGCCTGATTCGCATCTTTACCGTTTGTCACTTCTTCGAGGATCTGGTTTCGAATGTCTTCTTCGGTGACATCGCCAAGATCTGAAATGTTTGCCATGGATTGCATCACTTCAGAGGCTTCGGCTGTTGCTTTTCGTCGTTTAGCCGCTTGAAGTTTCGCTGTGCGCAACGCAATCGCTGCCTTGATTTGTCGCTGCCGGTTCTTTTCTACCTTTGCCATTCGGATTTTCAGATCCTAAAATCGAGTTTATCATTTTTAATTTTATAGTCATTGGCTTTTATTATAGGAGCTACGAGTAAAATTTACGACTGTCTATGGGAAAAATGATTACCTTGATCATATCATCAGCCAAATTTCTATTTCGAAGTTGCTCGTCGAGCTCATCAGAGTCCTTGTGACAAGATTTGTTGATCTCGTTGATTTTTTCATTGAATTCGTTTTCGAGCTCTTGGATTTTCGCCTCTTCAGCACTGACAGTAGAAGACTTGTTTACTTCTTCCACCTCACCGTTGATGTCATTGGTAAGCGCTTCTGGCTTTCTAGCTGCGGCCATACGAGCAGCTCGTTGCCGGGCAAGAGCTTCAAGTCGATCTTTGTGTTTTCTCTTTGCCTCGTTTCGAGCAAGAATGTGTGCGTCGAACACGACATCTAACTCGCTAAGAAGACGTTGAGCCTCGGGATCGTTTTCGGCCGCCTTTTTTAGTTGCTCGTACATTACAGTAAGATCATGTTCTGTTTCCAAAAGAGCACGAGGAGCTCGTCGACCCTTTCGTTTTCGAATCTTTTCAGAGCACTCATTGATGATATTGTCGACTTCGTCGCCTTGTTTTGAAGAAAACTCAAAGTTGAGTCCTTTCAGTTTATCAGCGAGGTCTTCATTCGCTTCTTCGACATAATCCTCAAAACCATCGATTTCATCCAGCATTTTTCGTTCAAGTGCTTCGATTTCGCTCAAATCTGCCTTGAGATCATCCTCTAGGTAAATTTCCGCTCCATCTGGTCGGGCCTGGTCAGAAGAGCGCTTGGTGTTTCGAGCAGTCTCTTCAGCGAGAAGCCTGTTGTTCCATTGTAGATCATCGTCGATCTTGGCTAGAGTAGCTGAGAAGTGATCCGCTTGAGCGTTGAACTCCTCGTCGTTTTTGCTGATCGTCTGGACTTCAAGAATGTTCTCGTCAATGAAGGCCTCTCGCTCAGACTCAAGCTTCTCGATGGCTTCACGATACCTCTCTGCGTTTTCAATTCGCATTTTCTGTTGATTACCCTCATGAATCAGAATTGCCTTTTCATCCCGCTCATTTTCATCGTTACTGGTCATGGCAGCTGGTTGGGCGTCGGTGGTGAAATGAATTTCTTCTACTTTTTCTTTTATGTTGGTTATAACTTCATCCACTTCGCGAGATTTGAGTTTTGCGCAGGCAGATTCCAGATATTCAACCATTTCGGGCGTCAGATACATGCTCAGTCCCTTTTCAAGATATTCTGCCAGCTTCTTCAGAACAGGAAGCATCTCGTCACGAGTGCTCACGTGAACATTCACAAAAAGACCATGATAGTACATGTTGCTTTCTGCTCGAGTTCCAAAGTCAGTCACAAGGCGACTTTCTGCAAGAATCTGCTGCTGTCGAATTAGTACTTGCGACTGGTTTAGCTTCATCATTTCGAAACGGAATTTTCCCAATGATGTTGACAAAGAGTTTCGAACTAAGTTAGCTTGCGATCGGGTTTTAAATTTGTTCATGGTCTGTTTCATTTCCCCGGCCAGTGCTGAAAGATCTTTAGCGTGGTTCGATACATCCGTCGGGTTTTGATCCAAATAGTAGAGAACGTCATTAGACATCAATTTTCCAAGAGTGGATACGATGTCAATCTCCATTGAGCCTTGAACATCTTCCGCGGCACTAATCATTTCCTCCAATACAGATTTGATCTCCGCCAAGCCCTCGTTAATGGTCATTTTCGACTCTGTTTCTTGGAATATCGTCGAGCTAACAGTTTCACTTGCTTTAACAAGCTTCTCGATTGCGGAATTAACAGTTGTGATATGGTTCTGGAGCTCAGAAACTGAACCGAAGGGAGGTTTGGCTGGGTTAAGAGCACTGCCAACTTGAACTGTTGGACAGATGGTATTTGTCTTTTTGTCTCGAGATGCTCCTACGATTCGACCTTGCTCCGCAGTGGTCGCATCAACAGTCTCATCTCCAAGCTCGATTGCTATATTTTCTCCAGAGAATGGATCAGTTGTTGTTCCGAAGACTGGGAGGAGATTTCCATCATCGGCGATTTCGACATCCAAAATTGGCATAGCAACTGACTCGTCTTTTGTGTCTTGAACTTTTTCGCCGATAAGAATTGGCAAGAACATGTTACCAGAGTCGAACTCGTACAATCCGCACACTCCTCCGTTTCCTTCAACCGATGTGATCTTTTCTTTTAGTTGAGTAACATTTAGAACACGCTTGAATGTTTCCTGTACTAGCTTATCCGTTGACAGATTCAGATGTTTGACGGCAACAGTGAGTTGTTTTGAGAAGTGCTCGAGAGCTGATGCACTCGCACTTGCTGGATCGTTCAGGGTCGTTGACAAGTTTTCAGTCAAGTCATCAAGAGAATCTAGAACTCGCGCAAGACAAGCTGCTTTTGTAGCTTCGAGTTGTCCCCAATAAGATCCATTAGATAGCGCTAACTCGTGCACAAATTCTGGAGTTTTGTTTAATCCTCCTTCAAGGGTCACGGAAATTGACGAGAAGAAAGAAGGGACGATCTTGCCATCGGCATCGAATTTCAACCCATTAACCATTTTGGATGTTCCGTCTTCATCATCGAATACCAAGTATCGTTCGATAGGTGTTTTCAGACTCGTGACGTTGGATAGTGCGCTTGCTCCAAGAGCATGTACGAGACCTGTTTTCGGGTGAACTGTGATTGCGAGGACTGGCACGGCAAGGCCACTAGATTTTTCCACTAGTCTTGTTCCATACTTGAGCTTCATTGGATTTGGTGCATCTAAGTATTCAATTTCAAGGGGATTTCCAAGGTGATCACGAGGATAAGGAAGAAGGGGGATGAGTGACTCTGACTCGTCTGATGCAGCAATGGCAGAATCTACTGCAATGGAAATTCGTCCAGTAGCGGCGTCATATAAAATATTTCCCGCGATTTTATGCGCTTCCAGTGTTTGTGGATGGAAGAACATGTCCTCGTAGCAGGGAATGAATTCCCCGTTCTCAAGTATCTTGGCTTCAGATTTTAGGAGAATCAGACCTGTAGCTTCATCGAGCTGTAAATCAGGATGAATTATTTCTCCAGTTGCATCGACTATATCTTCTGTTTTGGCTTCGCGTGTATTAGTGGAGAATGGCGAAAAGCCACCAGCTGTTATTCCGATCTTATAGCCCGATGATCCGTTCAGCAGACATTGATTTGACATGGCAGAAATAATTTGATCGAGTGCTTGGTACATTTGATCAGTGTTGTCAATCGCAACATTTCGATGATGCAATAGAAGATCGCTGACTCCTGGACGGTCCGCGACGCTCAAATTGTCGTTGATGGATGAAAGACTTCGAAGTGTCTGGTGAAGAAGATTCTGGATGCGCAAAGAAGACGATTTAATTTCCTCAAATTTGTTTTCGAAAAGATTCGCGACCTCGTTGTAGATCTTTCCATAAGAAGCAGCAAGATTCTTCCTTCTCAAAATCTCATTATCAAGTTCTTTCTTTTTACTAAAGTATGCGACCTTCTCCTCCTCCGAGAAGAAATCTTCAGGGTCGAGATCAAGAGTTTCGATCCAGTCAGTTTTCAGGTCTTTCACATCTTCTTTAAATTTTTCTAGCATTCCCTTTGCTTCCGATTTTTGATTGTTTAAACCAGAAATAAGTCCAGTGCTTTGTTCCAAAAGCAGACGGTAAACTTTTGAGTGTCGAAATCTTCAAGGTGTAAAACTCTTCCGTAATCGAAGAAACGATTTGAATCGAATGCCTCGATCTCATCTTCGTCTTCTTTAATGTCATCGACGAATTCTTTGTCATTTCGAGCAGATCCTTTGGAGACGAATTGATCGATATCCAAAAGAGAGTTAACCCATCGGTAGAATGTTGTTTCCATGACCCACTTTGTCCATCCATACTTTCTGAAGAGATACAGTAGCCAGACCAAGCACCCAAGAATAGCCGATCCGATAATGATGAGGACAGAGATGTAAAGCCAATCAGGCGCGATGTAAATGTCATCAGCAAATCTAGCGCCAATGAGAGTTCCATATCTCGAAGTGGCAGGGAAGAAAGGACCGATCTGGGGGCACGATGTTCTGTCGGAATTAACTGTAATGTAAAACACTTGCGTCTTGTCAACTTCGCATTCTCCACCAGGATCGTTACAAGGTTGGGCGATGTAGAACACATAAGTTCCTGGATTATCGAATCTAAACGCAAAAACGCGAGCAACACTGTCCATTATAGAGAGCATTTCGCTTGCAAGTCTAAAACCGCCGAAATCGAAGTCCTCGTTGGTGTTGAGAAGAGATGTTTCGTCGTAAACTGGGTAACTGTCAGTATCTACCTCGAAGAAGATCATCTGGCCCTGTTCTAGACAAATAATAGGATTATCGATTCCGTTATCAGGAGTTTGACTTTGCCGGCGAGATCTTTTCGTTCTATTTGGATCGAGAATATCAACTAAGATGCCTGCGTCTTCTTCATATGATCCTGTAACGAGTCTTTTTCCGCCAATCGGAGGTGTGAGTGACATAAAGAAAATTACTTGCTCGACGTCGTCAACTTCACATACTGTTCGATCTAAAGTGCTGTCCGAATTGATTATATTCAAGCTTGTGTCTGATAAATCGAATTCTAGAGGATCATCTTGGCCATCGACTCTAGCCATGATTTTTGATGTTCCGTTAGAGCACTTGAAGACGATCGGACTAGTTTCAACCTGGTTAAGCTTGCTTCTGCATTGATAATTACAAATTTCTTCCAAATCTCGTTGATCAGCACAATTGCAAATTCCAAGCTCTTTATCGAAGGTATCATTATTATAACCTCGTGGAGAGCACATGTTGGTACAGTACTCGTCAAATTCCAGTTTTGTCTTACAGTCGCCTTCTGGTGCTCGATAAGTGCCTGGTCTACAAATGTCGTAAACTTGCCGGATGCATTCTTTACGTTGGTTGATTATTCTCTCAGCGTAGCCAACTTTGCAGACACACTGTCGATCTGAAGGTTGGAACTCGCGTCCAGAACCTTGGCACAGACATGAAGACGACCCCGGAGTAGGTTGTCTAGCCTGACCACCACATGAAAGACAAGCTTGTTGGCCAGAAAGATGCGTGAAATAATTTTCTGGACAGTCGCTGCACGAAATAGCGTCTGTCAACCCTTCAACCTTTCCATATGTTCCTGGAGGGCAACCGATCGGGATAATAGCGCCTTCTGGACAATAGTACCCAGGAGGGCAGAGATATGCCTTGCTTTCCTCAAGAGTGATGTTTTTAGGTAGAGGAGAGTCAGTTGTGGCGCCTTCTTGACAAATTGTTCCAGCTCTGCAAACCTCACATCCAGATCGATCCGGTACGCTGTTAGTTCCAGGAGGACAAATGGTGCAGCTGCCTTCTTCAGTTTTTTTATCAGGCTCAATCGCACCGGCATATCCATTTTGACAGCGAATGGGTCGCATGCATCCGATAGTTATGTTCTTGTCTGGATTATCAGGATCAGGATATACGCTAATTGGACAGTAGCTTCCAATCGGGCAATCATAGGGCTCTTCATTCCCAAATTCAGGTCGAGTTGTATCGTTTCCTTCTGTTTCAGGTCTTTCTGGTGGACAATAAGTCCCAGCTGGACATGCGACCTTTTCACTTGCATTCTCGCAGAAAAATCCTGCTGGGCATGTGTAGTTTTGACTCGAGCCTTCTGGACAGTATGTTCCAGGCTGGCACTTGAATTCCTGCACTTCAGCCTCTTCTGATGGGTCACTCATTCCTGGTTCGGGACAATAAAATCCTTTCGGGCAAGGTTCACAGTCATCCTGCGCTTCGAGGCCTCTTAAACTGAGAAGTGGTCCATATGTTCCTAGAGGACACGGAATCGGCTCATTCAAAGTGTCTGTATCGTTTGGATATGGCTGACCACCTTGGCCGCCAGGGCAAAAAAAGCCTTCGGGACAAGCGAATTTCTGCTGATTGATGTTTCCAATTCCGGTCTCATTACAGTAACTACCAGGAGGACAACTCAAACAAGAGCTCAAATCAACACCTCCGGGGAAAGGATTATAAGTTCCGAGTGGACATTCTTCTTGTTCATCCGAGTCGTCTCTTCCATAAAGACAGTAATGTCCAGGGTTACAAGGTTTTGCTACCGTTGGAGTTTCTGCTTCATCGCAATAACTACCTCCTGGGCACAAGTCGCACTCATTGATGGATTTACCGGCGCCGACTATCATCAAGCCAGTTGGGCATTTGAGGTGTTCTTTGGAGCCCGCGGGACAATAAAAGCCATTTTTACAAGGTTCGAATTGTGCATTTGATGCCTTTCCTTTGCAAACATATCCTGCCAGACATTCATCCGCAATTCGGCCAGCAGTGCAGAAAACACCTGGTGGGCAATCATCGCACTCCTCAGATTCTTTAAGTCCTGTCTTATCGTGATTATATGTTCCAGCTTTGCATGTGGTTGGGTAAGCAGATTTTTTCTCACAATAGTGATATAATGGGCATTCATTGAGCTGCTCGTCCCTGGTGAGATCGTTGAAACCGGGATCGTAATTTGTTCCATTGCAGTAATAACCTGCCTCACAGTCCACGCATTTATCTATCGCACCTCTTTCAGTTCCAAAAGTACCTGGTTCACACGGTCGTGGAGTAGATGAGCCAGTGGGACAGAAATAGCCGATGGGACATTTGATAGCGTCAGCCGCACTCTGTGTACCGTATTCAGGACAATAAAATCCTTCAGGGCATCGCATATCAAATGAGAGTTCATCGATTCCGGAACTCTCGCACACATAGCCTGGTGGACATGGAAGACATTCGTCCAAGCTGCTTGCACCCTTGATGTTATTGAAGGTTCCAGGTGGACATTGCTTTTTGATAGGATCGTCAAACGCAGTCATGCCTTCGTCAGCGCAATAGTGACCAGTCTCACATTGCGATTCATATGGAGCAAGTTCTTTGCTCCCTTCATTACAATAGAATCCAGCAAGGCACTCTGGTCCGAGCTCTGGTTGCTTAGGTTCGGTGCAAGCATGACCAGGATCACAGGGGACGCAGTCGAGTACCTCTAGTCCTTCATCGCCAGATTGAGAGTATTGACCAATTTTACAAGCGTTGACAGTATGTTCAAAAGCGGTTCCTTCTGGGCAAGCAGAGCCTGGAAGACAGGGTTCAGTTGTCGCAACACTTGATCTATCGAGGTTGCAGTAACTTCCAGCAGGACATATTTGACAAGAGTCATCTTTCCAGTACTCACCGGCATTACAGGGTACATTTATCACAGGGCCGAAGTCTTTATCAGGCGCTTCACACCGTCCCTCTATACAGTCTCTTGTGTCCGATTCTATTCCAGTGAAACATTTTTTACCGTCATCACAGGGAGTGATAGCACCATTTTTACAGAAGTGTCCAATATCACATGGATAGCAATCGGATTCAAGAATTGCTCCTGCGGAGTTCGTGTATGTACCTGCAGGACACTCCGTTCTGATTCCACTATTACAGTAAAATCCTGGAGTGCATGGACCGCCGTTGCCTTCTTTCGGGTCTTGAGGCGTTCTGTCGCTCGATCCTTCGACACAATAGAAACCGTCAGCACAAACACCATCTCCAGTCGATATTTCAGAACCTGGTGTTTGACTGAAATGATACTCATCTGTTGGCTTGCAGTCTCCACGACTTGATCCTCCAGTCACATCATTATACGTTCCTGGTGGACAATATGTTGGAATTTTTCCTCTTTCACAGAAACTGCCCTTTGGGCAAGGTTGTCCATTGCTTACTCCAAAACCTTCATCCTCATAATCTGAGATATCATGCAATAAGCACGGCTCAAAATCGGGCTCGTCTAGGGAAGTAGGGAAATCCGCGCAAGTAAGATTGATTCCATGCTCTGAACTCGTTATCATACATGTCTCTCCGCTGTTACAAGGGCCGCATTGAGAGGGATCTGAATTTTCCGAAGAGTAAGCGCCATAGCACGGAAGGGGGAAAGGTGACGTGGAATTACAGGCATAGCCTTCTGGACAGGAATTAACAGTTCCATTGACACAAAACTGTCCGTCTGCGCATGGGGTGGTCGGGTAATCAAGTCCTTCTGGTTCGCACATAAAACCTTCTAAGCAAGGAGTGCATTCTTTCTCTTCTCTGAGACCATAACCATTATTGTATGTTGTTTCTGGACAGGGCGAACCATCATCATCAGTGCCGTTTGTGCAGAATACTCCAGGACCGCAGGGATTTCCGACTACTGAGTCAACATCATGATCACCATCAATAAACTCAGTTCCTTCATTAGGGCAGGCGAATCCTTGAGCACACTCTCCGGAAGTCGCATTAAGGAAGTCAGTTTCACAGTATTCTCCTTCTGGACAAGCTTCGGGCGAGCCGAGGCCAATATTAGGACAGAACTCACCGGGAACGCACTGTGCGTTGCGGGAAGGCGTGTCTTTTGTCCTTCCTTCTACGTACGGATTACGATCTTCACTTTCTCCTCCACAGAAAAAGCCTACCAAACAATCCATCGAATCAATTTGTGTTTGATTCAAACCCCGTTGATCACAATATTTTCCTTCTGGGCAAATCTGGCACTGCTGATTGATCTCATCATCGAATGTACCAGCGGGACACGGATCCAAATAAGGGTATCTTTTGTCATTCTCACAGCTATAACCGCTTTCACATGGAATCGGATTTATTGATTCAGCAGGACAGTAATTTCCATCTGGGCAGGCTTTGCATTTTTCTTGCCTCTCTTCGTCTTGGTAGAATCCAGGTTCGCACGAGTAAGGAGTTTTATTTGATTCGCAACTATTACCAACAGTACAAGGCCCACCGATCTCTGGAGGTCCTCCGTCTGGACCACAGGTATTATTCAGTCCTGTTGGTTGATTTGTCCTGGCGCCAAACTGGCAGTAATCGCCAATTGAGTTGCACTCGGTTTTGATTACGCCATCGCACCAGAATCCTGCTGGACAAGGAGTGCACTCATCAATAGATTTGAGACCTACTTGCTTTTCATAAGAGCTCGCTAAATCTGGTGGCTGAAGGAATGATGGCTCTGAGTATGTTCCGTCTGGGCAACGAATAGCGTCGGCTTCATTCGTTGTGTTTGCTTGGCAATAATGGCCAAGAATACACGTCGTGTGAGTAATTGCATGTCTCCAGTCGGTAAAATTTAGAACAACGTCTTTCGGGTCGCAAATAAATCCAGGAGGGCAACCGATACATGCATCCATTCCTTCGACAGGAGCATATGATCCAGGATCGCACAAAGTATAGTTGCTCGATCCAGCAGGACAATGGGCTCCAGCAGGACACTTCTTTTCAGTTGGATATTTAGAACCCGTCGGACAATAATAACCTGCTTTACATACGCCTTCGACATTAATTAGACCTTTATCGTTACAGTAAAAGCCTTCTGTACAATCGTCACATTTCACTGATTCTTTTTTCGTCTGGAAAGTTCGAGTCGGACACGGTTCTGGGAATGCATTTCCATCACCTTCGCAATAATGTCCTTCCGGACAGGGAATCTGGTCTATCTGAGTACTTCCCATGGGACAGTAGAATCCAGGTTTGCATAATTTCGAAGCTTGCGTTGCTCCGGGGCTATCACAGTACGAGCCAGCTTTGCAGAATTTGCAGTGTCTCTCGAGCTGAGCACCCTCGACGTCATTATAAGTACCAGTCGGACATTCGATTGGAAGTTTCGAACCAGTACCATTCGAATGTGATTCTGTACCGGCTTCACAATAATGACCGACTTCGCATTTTTCGCCATCGAGAATGTGAGTTGCATTGCCACCGAGAGGGCAAACAATACCAGGTGCACATAATGGTAACGAGTCGCTATTCGTGGAAGGATATCCTTGAAAGGGACAAGCTTTACCTGCTGGACAAGGGGCGCAGTCTGTTATTGTTTCTAACTTGGTACCAGCGCCGATAGTTCCGATAGGACATGGATTCATCTCACCGTGTTGAGTACCTGCCGGACAATAGAATCCATCAGGACACTCCTCTTCTTGAGGTGAGACACTCTTAACTGGACAGTAATAGCCGGGGTCACATTGATCACATGAATCTTGTTCCTGGTCCATTTGATAATATCCAGCTTCGCAGGCAATTGGAGCAATATTTCCATCGCCAGGGCATTTGTGGCCTTCTTTGCATGGAACTTGTATCGTTGAGAAATCGCGATTGCCACCAGGGCAATAGAAGCCCGGCTCACATTGAGAAGACAGCGTTGGATCAGCAAGTCCATCAGTATCACATGTGTAGCCAGCCAAACAGGGGATACAATCTTGCTCATTTCTTGCTCCCACTTTGGAGTAGTAAGTTCCTTTTTTGCATTTTTGCATAGTCGCTTTTTCCGTTCCTCTTGGACAGTAATGGCCAGGCTCACAAGGACCACCACAGTCCTCACCAGATGCGCATCGCTCGTCACTACTGATCAAGCCTGGATTACCAACGCGAGTGCCTTCATCACAGTAATATCCTTCATTGCATTGGAAATTCGGAGTAACCGCATTGTCATCAGCGGGAACGACAAGATCTGCTGGAGTCATGCCTTCTCGGGGACAGAAGAATCCAGCTTTGCAACGTAATTGTTCGCCTGCTTCGCAATAATGACCAGGCAAGCATAATTTGTCTTCTGGTGTTGGAGAAGACTCACCGGATTCGCAGCGGTATCCATCATCGCATCTACCTGTTGGTTTATCTTGGCCCGGGAACTCGCAATAATGGAATTCGTCGCATGCAATACAATCCGCAATATCAGAAATAATCTCATCAGAATAAGATCCTTTCGGGCACGCAAATTGTCTTCCAAATTCTGTACCTTCTGGGCAAACATAGCCCAGTGGGCACGGTTGCTTATCCTTTGGTCCTTCGCAGTAAAATTTTTCGGGGCAAATTGTACAAGATGTTGCGCTTCCTTCTGAGAAAAATCCAGCAGAGCAGGGCTTAGGTTCGCCCGTCCCAAGGGGACACTCATATCCAGCAGGACATTCTTCAATATTTGTTGCTGGTTCGGATGCGTTTTCTCGACAATACTTTCCAGCAGGACACTCATTTTCAATCGAACCTCCTGGGCAAACTTTGCCTGATGGACATGGAGAGCATTCAGACTGATTAGTAAGCCCAACAATTTTGCCAACCGTGCCAGATGGACATTCTGCAGGAGTTCCAGTTTCGCAGTAAAAACCAATTGGACAAATAACAGGCTCACTGCCGGAAACACAATCGTAGCCTTTCGGGCAAGTATGGCACTTATCAGCGCCCGTGAATACTGTTGTCTCGCCATTTGTACAAAGAGCAGCTTTTCCGATACCTTCGCAATAAACACCAATCGGACAGACCATAGTCGATGGTTTTGGTACTTCAGCACCAGTTTGACAGTCATACCCATCATCACAGAACTCGGTAAGAACATTTTCCATAGCACTGTCTGGGCAGTAAGTCCCTGCTGTGCAGTTCGTGCAGTCGCTCAACTCTTTGCCACCTACCTCGTTTCTAAATGTTCCAGGTGGGCATTCAACTTTGTAAGTTTCGTTTTCAGGACAGTAATAGCCCTTTGGACAGGGAACTGGAGGATCAAACTCACAATCTTGTCCTGCTGCACACGCATCACCGTCTTGAATATTACCAGTTCCACTACATGCTTTTGTGCAAGGTTGACAACTTTCAAGCATGGTTGCGCCAGGCATATCATTGTAAGTATTAGCTGGGCATGGAACAGGGCATGGCGTTCCAATACCATCTCCACAACCTTCTCTGCCACAATAATGACCGGCCGGACATTTATGGTCGGAAGGATTGGGACGAATTTGACCTTGAGGACACTCGTAACCTTTATAGCAGTCTCCTGTTGGCGCAGAAAGACCTCGGTCTTTGCAGTAAGATCCTGCTGGGCACGGATCACAGTCATTTTCGCTAGCGGCACCTTCTGTTTTGCGAATTTTTCCAGCTGGGCATGGATACTCATACATGAACTTTGTTCCAGACGGGCAATAGTATCCTGGAGGACATTCTTTTGGCGAACTCACAGGCACAACTACTCCTGTTTCAAACGGATCACAGTACTTGCCAGCATCACATGCTTTGCAAGAACTTGCGGCACGGGCTGAATATGTTCCAGACTCGCACAATCGCGGGAATCCGGAATTCTTCGGACAATAATATCCAGCCTCACACTCTATCTCTATATTGTCGACACAATAAAAGCCTTCGCTACACTCATCATATGGCTGCGAAAGACCAGCTTCGCTACACAAATAACCTGGTTTGCAAGGTTTACAGTGCGCTGAGCTGAATGCAAGGTCAAAATCCAGGTAAGTGCCAGCATCACATGGTTTCGGAGCGTCATTACCAGCGGGACAATAAAAGCCTTTTTTGCATTTTCCAGTGGAAGGATTTGGTGTTTTTGATCCTGCCAAACAATAGTATCCTGGCCAGCAGTCCCAAATCGGATCATTTACATTGTTATCCGGAATGTCCGACATAGTAACTCCAGGACAATATTTTCCTGCTGGACAGGGTAATGGTTCTTTAGATCCTTCAGGGCAGTAGTTTCCACTTCCGCACTTTTTGGCCGTTGCTTCTGTTGATCCTTCTGGACAGTAAAACCCAGGTGTACATAAGCCAGATGGCAGTTCGAGTCCTTCTTTGCCACAGAAACTTCCTGCATCACAAATTTTACAGGCGCTGTCGTCTTCGCGGGGAGAAGAAAGGTCAGCATAGGTACCTTTTCGACAAGGATAGTCGTATGGAGATTTTGTTCCAGAAGGGCAGTAATAGCCAACGGGGCACTTCCCGCGTTTGACTTGTGTGTAATTTGTATTTGTTTCGAGTACAGCAGCGCCTTCGAAGCAGAACTCACCAGCAGGACATGGCTCACAGCTTTCTTGGCCTTCATTCTCTTGATAAGTTCCAGCGCTGCAAGGAATGGGGCGTGATGATCCTTCAGGACACATAAAACCAGCAGCACACTTACCAAACTTGCCATTATTGCAATTTGAGTTCGACCCAGCAGGATCAACTTGAACTGAATGCTGACACCAATAGCCAGCCGGACAATTTTCAAGCTTGTTCTCGTCGTCGATTCCTTCAGTTTTGCATATTTTACCAGGCGGACAAGCCATGCATTCGCTCTCTTTGGCGAGCTTCTCGACGTTTGACCAAGTGCCAGCGGGGCATTTTGCACCAGATGAAACTCCAGCTCCACAGTACTCTCCAGCTGGGCATGGGATAGGAGCTGTTCCACCGGGGCATATGAATCTTTCTGGGCATCCTTTGCAAGCTTCTTGGCCTTTGCTTGATGTGTATTCTCGCGGTGGACAAGGAGAAGGGGCTCCAACTTCTTCTTGACAGAATGATCCCACTGGACAAATTGTGTCTTGTCGGCTTTTACTTCCGATTGGGCAATAGAAGCCAGCTTGACATTTTGGTGGCGAGGAGAGTGTTTCCGGTGCTTGAGTCATTGCTTGTCTATCACAATAGTATCCTGCAGTACACTCCGAGCATTCTTCAACTTTCGATAGTCCTGTTTTATCATTGAACGTTCCTTCTGGGCATGGATATGGCTCGGATCTGCCGGGATTAGTAGAGTAGTCACAGTAAAAGCCCTTTGGACAATCTTCAATTTTGCCATCTGTGCAGTACTTTCCATCTTCACACGTGACAGTTCCATCGGTTGGTACTTCTCCTGTAGCTTCATCACAGGTCGAACCAGTGGGACATGTAAGGCACCAGTCCGAATTAACAGCGCCTTCCATTGGGTTGTACGTGCCGGCAAGACAAGGTTTCTTTGGTTGACCGGGCTCACAATAATATCCTTTAGGGCAAAGGTACTTGAAAGTAGCAGTTGATGTTGCATTCGGTGGATTAACACAATCGATAGACTCTGTTCGAGGAGTTGACATTTTGCAGCCACCAACGCAGTCAAACCCAGCGACGCAATCCTCAGGCGTGATTGTATTGATATAAGGACAATATTTTCCTTCTGGACAGAGCTTACAATCTTCCTGGTTCAGCTGGTCATTGTAGTAACCTTTGCCACAAGGAATCTTAAACTCGGGAACAATGTCATCGTCGCATGCATATAGAGTTGTGTATTGATGAAATTTTTCAAGATCAAATGCGTCGGTTGAAGCACATACTGGCACTGGACACTTGTATCCTTCGGGGCAATCTTTTCTTGTCGTTTGTCCTAACTGATCACACAAGTCTCCCGGAGTGCATGCATCAGGCTCAGCCATCTCATCAAAACTGCAAAGCGTTCCTTTTGGACACAAAATTTCTCGATCAGATGCTTCAGGACAAAAATGACCAGGAGTACACGGCTGCTCTTCATTTTCACCTGTACCTAATGGACAGAAAAATCCAGGTGGACATTTGATTGTAGGAGAAACAGTAGCGTTCGGGCAAATAAAACCAGGAGTACATTCGACACAATAATCTATGGAGCTTGATCCCGAAGTCAACCTGAAAGTGCCACTTGGGCATTCGTATTCGAAACCCTTTTCGCAATAATGGCCTGGGGTACATTGCTTATCACCTCTTGGGGACTCGTTGTTAACAATGCCATTGCAAACGAATCCATCCAGGCAATCAAACTCTGTGAGATCGCTCATTCCTTTGTTCGGACAATATTTTCCATCTGGACAGGATTCACAACTATCCATTGAGCTATCTTTATAAGTTCCTTCTTCACAAGGCTCCTGTTTTGGTGATTTCGCCCCTCCAGTACAAATGTATCCAGGATCGCAGAGAGGAAGATCATCCGATGATTGACTCATCGCCGTATCCGGGCAGTACTTTGTTGCACTGCATAGCTCGCACTGAATTTGACCTTGTTGATCTTGATAATATCCTGGCTGGCATGGAAGAGGTTGGTAAGTTCCAGCTACAGGGCAGTTGTAACCTGGTGGACATTGCTCAGGAGCGTCATTTCCTCCTTCGCAAAATGTTCCAGCAGGGCAGATTTGACGGCCTGTCGATGTTCCTTCGCAAAAATAGCCTGGAGTACAAGGGAGTCCTTCACTTGATCCTCTCGGGCAATATTTACCTGCTTCACAGTCATTTTTTGAGGCGCCGCCGCCAGTACAAGTAAAATGTTCTTCACAAAGCAGATCGTCCGTTAGTTCTGATATTCCCTCTGTGTTGCAATCGTAACCGACAGGACATATTATACAATTGTCTTCGCCGTATCCAGGTTGATTGGAGAAAGTAAATTTCGGGCACTTATTGGCAGAAGGAGTGGCGGTGGTAAGTCCTTCTTGGTTGCAGAAATATCCTTTCTCACATAAGCCACATGTATTTGATCCTAAGCAATCGGGATAATCAAAAGTTCCGTTTGGATAAATTGTCTCAACCGGATATTTCACTCGTGCACCCCCTGTAGAAAAATGCCCCTTTCCTATCGATTTTTGTTGTGTTGAAGTCATTCCTGGCTCGTCACAATATTTTCCAGCATCGCAGAGAGTACATTCACCTTCACTTTTGAGAATGTCTCCCACTCCATAATATCCAATCGGGCAATAAGTGGGGACTCGTTCTTCATAACACGCGACGTTTGTGTTTCCACAAACTTTGCCATTGTCTTCGCAACCGCATCGAATAAGCTGTCGCGTACCTGGTTTCAACTTGCCAAGATCACACGTGGAACCTGGCTCACAATGTGTCCCTAAACAGTAGCTTCCAGCGATACAAGGCTGGGGATCGTCCATTCCCTCTGTCGGACACAGTTTACCAGCAGGACAGGGCGTACAAGTTGATTGACCTAATTCTTTTTGATAATATCCGACTGGACATTCTTTTTCTTTATTCGAACCAGGAGGACAATAGTGTCCGAGAGTGCACTTATTTTGCTGTGCGCTTGAAGCACCAGCAGTGCAATAGTATCCTGCCTCGCATTCTGCATCGGGCCATTCAAGGCCCTCAGCTGTGCATGCCATACCAGCGAGACAAGGTAAGCAGTCATCAAGAGCCTTACCGAATTTGTTAGGATTGAATGTTCCTGGTTGACATTTCTTGGGTGCAGTAGACCCTGATATTGTGGTTCCAGCAGGACAATAATGACCAGGCTCACAAGGCCCGCTCGACATTGAATCGCCATCGCCTTCCGAAGGAGTTCTATAAATATTCCCCTCTCCGCACATAAATCCGGCTTCGCAATCTTCAATATCACTAAATGTCATTCCAAAATGAAAGCAAGCTTTGCCTTCAGGACAACGTACACAAGTTGTTTCATCTTTTTTGTCACCACTCACCCCATATGTTCCTGGTGGACAAAGAACTGGAGTGTAAGATCCAATTTCAGGAAGTAGTTTTGGATATGATGACGATGTATTCATTAGAATAATATCTGTATGATCGTTAGGATTGATAAATTTGAAGGGACTAGGACAAAAGCTTCCTTCTGGACATGCGGGACCAGGTGAAGAAAGTGAAGTTGATTTACAGAGACTTCCTTCATCACAAGCAACACATGAATCATTATTGAAAGAAGGGTTGTATGTTCCGAAAGTGCAGCTGGACTCGACTGAAGACAATTCCTCACAAAATGTACCTGGGCCACAACTATTTTGAGTGGATGTATTAGATTTTTCAGTACAATAATATCCAGGAAGGCATCCTCCAGTAGGTTCAATAATAGCACTCCCTCCAGGGTCGCAAAACAGACCTGGTCGGCAGTCGACGCACTCCTTGTCCGTTGTCGCTCTACTTGCATTCGAGAATGTACCATCGGGACAAGGTGTTAATTGGGACGATCCTTGCTCACAGTACCCGCCCGCGGAACATTCACTACCGTAGATGTCTAGCGGATTCGAAATCGGAGAACCAGTGAAACAAATATACCCAGGATCGCATTTATCACGAGGTGCTGTCAAACCTTCTCCGTCGCAGTACATTCCTTCAGTACAATCAGTGCACTCGTCGATAGAAGAGAGGGACGGAGTAGCTGTTGTATCATGGTAGGTTCCTTTTGGACAGGGAATAGGAACTTCAGTTTTAGCACCACAAACGTAGCCGTCAGGACAATCAAGTTCTTTTGGACTTCCTTCTGGGCAGTATTTTGTCGCCGAACAATCTGTACATTCTTTGTCATCTTTTGCGCCTTTAGTATCTCGATAAGTTCCGCCTGGGCAAGGGAATTGCTTGGGCCCCCATGATCCTACTTTGCGGTTGAGAGCTTGCTGAACATCACCACTTTCAAGGTCGTATTTTGTGAGAAATGCATTCAGAACGATATCTTTTGGGCAATAATAACCCTCATCACAAAGCATCGAGGCGTTACTTATCGGCGAAGTAGCCATACCTTCAGTACAGTAATAGCCTGCATCACATTGAACGCAGTCACTAGCTTCTGCTTTCCCTCTTTGAGTATTGTATGTTCCGGGAAAACACTTTAATTGTTGATCGGTTCCTTTCGGGCAATAAAAGCCCTCTTCACAATCCAAAAGTGCATTTTCCGAACCTTCTGGGCAGAATTTTCCAGCCGGACAAATTAAGTCATTCAACATTGCCTTTTCTGATGTTCCAGTTGGGCAATATGAGCCTGCAACACATGGTTTGCATGAAGTTTGACCAGGTCGTGAGTATGTTCCTGGATCGCAATCGGACGAACCTGTTGTTGTGCAGTATTTACCACCTGGACATAAATCACACTCGTCAACATTTCTCGCTCCAATAAGACTAGTATCATTTTTGTAGTATCTTCCATCAGGACAGGGTGTTGGATTAGTTGTTCCTTCTCCGCACCAATGTCCCTCTGTGCATTTTATGCAATCGTTAGGACTGTATTTTCCCTCAAATTCATTATACGTTCCATTTTGACAAGGAAACTGGAATTTGCTCATTGTTCCTTCAGGACAGTAATGACCAGATGGACACTTCAGGCTTGTAACTTGTGTTGATTCTGTCGCGGCGGGACAATATGATCCAGCATCACAAATCTGGCATTCCAAATTGCAAGAGATAACATTAACCCAGTCAAAAGCATCAGGTGCTTTTCTTTGACACTCAGTTCCGACATCAGAGTAAGTTCCAGCTTCACATGGAAATTGTTTTTCATATATTGTGCCGAGCGGACAGTAATAACCTCGAGAACACTGTATTTGGTCTGCGTCAGTTAGACCAGTCGAGGGGCAGTATTTTCCAGGTTCACAAGGTTTGCAGTTATGCTGATAATGTAGTCCAGTTGCATTACCATACGTTCCAACTGGGCAAGGGATTGCTTCGGTTGATCCTGGAGGACAAAAACTCCCTTTTGGACATATAGTACCAGTGTCATCGATTTTTCCGGTAGAAGAGCTGAAGGTTCCTGGTTGCAATGGAATGCAGTCACTTTTTGATTCAGCACCTTCTTCTGCTCGATATGTTCCAGCAGGACAATTTGTTTCACCCTTTCCACTCTCACAATACTTTCCTCTACTACAGACATCGCACTGTTGCGGGTTCGCAAGTCCACCACTAGAACTGTGGTAGCCAGCAGGGCATGGAGTAACATTGCCACCCGTTGCTGGAAATCCTTGGGGGCAATAGTGATGTGCCGGGCAATTGGTTTGACTTTCACTACCTTCAATGCAATACTTTCCAGCGTCGCAGATTTTACACTGTGACACATGAGTGATTCCCTCGTCAGGGTTATATGTTCCTGGAGGACAGGGATACTGCATGCCATTAATAGAAAGTGTATTTGGATTGTTATTGTATTGTAGATTTGTTGAACTGTCATCAAGCTCGTCAATAAGAGATTGAGAAATGGTTACGCCAGGACAATAAAATCCAGCTGGGCATTTCACTGTTGGTAGTGCATTCGTCGTACAGACGTACCCTGGAGGACATGGCTGACAGTCATGAAATGATGATTTTCCGGTCTCTGGTTGAAATGTTCCTTCCGGACATGTTTTTCTTGTCGGTTTTGCGCCATCGCCCTCATCAATGATAGGGCAGTAACTTCCGGCAGGACAAGGATCGGACATAGGAGAGTCATGCGAAGTTGTAGTGCACAGATAGCCAGGTTTACAGACTGTGCAAGTAAAAGCACCCTTATGAGAATAAAATCCATCCTCACAAGGTACTGGGTCTTGGCCTGATTCACAAAAACTTCCCGCTGGGCATGGATCACATGATGTTGACTTTGTATTTGCTGTGTGAAATCCTGGAAGACAAGGAATTGGTGGTCTATTCACAGCGGGGCAGTAGTTATTTTTCGGACAATCTATGCACTCTTTCCCATCAACTGAATATTGGCCAGCTGAGCATTTTGTTGGACTTTCTGTGTTGGCGTTCTTAGCTTCAAATCCAGGTAAAGCAGGTGAACACGAAGTAGCCCCGGCCTGTGAAAAAGTTCCTTCGGGACAGTTCTTTCTTCCAGCGGTAGGTGAGGGACAATAACTTCCAGCAGGACACGGAGTACAAGATGTTCCTTGAATAAAATTGCCTGGCAAGCATCGCACTGCGTCTTGGAGTTTTTCATTCGGGCAAGCGTATCCGGGTGGGCATGGAATACAGGATGATTGACCGTCAGCGCTAACTTCATCAGTACCACAATCTCGTTCGGATCCATTCGAGCAATATTTACCAGCTCTGCAAATAGAACACTCACTCGCTGAAGCCTTCGAGTAGGTTCCTTTTGGGCAAGAAATTTCTTTGCAGTTTCCAGGACAATAGTTCTTTGCAGAGCAGTTTGTAGTATTACTTCCATTTGCATCTGCCTTTGTACCCGCTGGGCATTCTCTTATTTCGCTCAACTTGTTATTTTTGTCGGATTTGCATATTTTTCCATATAAAGAGACAATATTCGTACAAGAGGGACATGTAGACATGCCATGTCCAGAATATGTATGATCGCCAATTTTTGCGCAGTTTTTACTCTGAGCATTATTCCCACCAGTGCAATATTTTCCTTCTGGACAAGGAACACACTCATTTTCGCCACTGACCGCACTTGTCACAAGATAAAATCCTGATTTACAATTGGTAACTTCCCGTCTGACACGAGAATGCTTTTCACTATCATCTGGCGGTTTGCACTCATTTTTTATGTTTACGTATCCAGGAGGACATTCATTACAAGCGACACTCGGTTCTTCCAGATCAACCCTTTCGTCAATTGCGGTTTCCGGACATTGCTTGCAGAACTCTTGCCCTTCTTTGTCTTGATACTCGCCAAGGTCACACGAAAGAAGCTTCTCGTCGGAACATCTAAACGTAATCGCTAGTTGAGGCAAATATTAAGGCAGCGTTGCTAAGACAAAGGCCAAGCTCTGTGCCATCATCCACACTAATTGAGCTCTACAGCTTTCGCGCAGATTTCTGTTCAAACAAACTTCATGCATAAGAAACGTAAAAATTGATGGTATAATGTTTTAAAATTATATCTACGAATTCAACTCAAATAAAATTTAAAATTTAAATTAAATAGAATCTAAAAAACTTGAAAACTCGAGCCTCAAAGATGAGGGATCTGAAAACGAACCTGAATCCAGCGGGACACTCAAAACAGCTTTCACCAATTCTGACCTCTCCCGCTTTGCATATTTCAGCAGCGTCAATCCGGTTGTAAATAAGGATGAAGATCAAATTGTTAATCGATCTCATCTTCTTCGTTCATAAGTACTCTCTAAGTTTTTCGTTCGTAAAAATTGTTTCTAGTTATTTTTATGATGAAATTTTTGTCTTCGATTTAAGTTCTCGTCGATCAATAGAAAATTTTAGAGTGAAGCGAATTGTTTAATTTCCTCCAAGTCTATTTCAATGAAATTGTCAAACAATGCCAGTCCTATTTGCCTTTCAATCTGCGCACAACGAGCAAAAGAAGCGACGCTCCGCCCCATGTCCTATTCATCCCATCTTCTGTCATTTTCACCGCCCTCAACCTGACTCGCCGAAATCAAGGAAGAAAAAAAAATAATTTGCCTTTTTGAGTGTTTTTATTTGAGCATAAAAATATCTGAACTGGAAAGCGAGAAATCAGTGAACTCGTTTTCGCATCTTCTCTGAGAAAATAAGTTACAGTAAGTTTCTTCGTCAGGTTCAAGTCCATTGCTGGCGTAGCACAGTTTAATCTCGCAGGTCATCGAAAATGCGCCATTAGAATCGCCAAGTTCAAAAGCATTTAGGAAAATTTCAACATTTCCTGATCCAATTTGAAACCAATCCGCACTTGTTGAAATGTCAAGGAAATCGAGGCCGCATCCGTTTTTCAAGAAGTCGAATTTTTCATCACCTTGAACTTCGACACTGCAGGAGTCAATTGACCAGCCTAGTTTTTCCAGAGGCGAATCGAAAGAAATATGAATGCTGAATTTCTTTCCAAGCAAAAATCCGTTTCCCAAGTCATTAACTTCTAACTGGAAGTTCGAGTCGCCAACCAATTGATCGAGGCTCACATCGCTGGCTTGTAATTGGGATCTCCTACTATCTTATGAGGAAGCTCTTAATCCGTCGCAATTTGTAAGAAAATTGAGATCCCTACATTTAAAGCCCTCATCGATAACGACCGCCGATCGCAGTTGAGGCCGTGAACTTGACTGAATGCTTTGAATTTCATACTCGCATTTCAGTGGTATTTCCCGTCTTTTAAGAATCCTAACTCCTTGGATTCTATGCATAAACGTCACGAGCACTGTCCGAAAAGTCAGGTTGTCCATTGTTTGTAGTGAACTGACAGCGCAGTCTTCGAGACCAATTGTAAGCTTTCTCCAACCATTTTTCAAGGTTTCTTTAGTCGGTTTTGAATCACAGTAGCTTCTCTCAGTTCAATATCTTCATTAAATGATTGGTAACGTATTTATTGAATCTTGAACTTATTCTTAGGACATATGGCGGACTTTCGAACAAGCAACTATGATACGTAAGCGACATCGAAGTTTGACTAAATATCAATTAAACCAATGTTCAATTTCGAGATTTCACTAACGTGCATTGGACGTTATAGGCAGAAGGCTCAGGATAACAGTAGGTGCCAAAGCTATGCCAGCAATCTCCACTTTTAAGAGCTCTCAAGAATGTATGTATTGTTTAAATCGTTAACTTTCTTCAAGTAATTTTTTCTCTGAATATTTCTTTAGAGCTCTCACATCAGTAGCATTCTACATGAGTTCGAAGAAAAAATAAAATATACTTTAGCTTTTTCATATTTCTAACAAGGCGATCTTGTCCGACCGTTTGGTCTGGTTAAAACCAAATATAAGTGCTCTACCACGCGCTCGCCCTCGAGATAATTGATTGTTATTCTAAGGGTTAGCATTTGCTTAATTCTGAGCGATAAAAATACATCCCCTTCAGTCATTTTAATAACTATCCTATTCGTATTTTTCAAGAGCCATGTAAATTGGTAAACTGTTCTCAATAGAAGCAATGGCGAGGCCTTTCAAATTAAGCGCTCAACAATATCTTCTCGTTGCAAAATTTCAAGTTGGTGCACTGGTTAGAACATGAACCAGCGAAACTAAGTTGACTTTGGTTGCTGCTTCAGAAGAAATACATAATAATAATTTCTCGTTGAGTTTATTGTTTATTCGGCTTGGAATGGTACAGTGATGTGAGAGCAGGTCTTATATACATAAAATGAACATTTTTTGTAAATAATAATTAACAACAATATACAAAAAATTTACAAAGTTTAAAAGAGCGGTTATTTAAACAAGTACGCCTTCTGATGATTTGATTCTGCTTCTGCGGCTTTGGTAGCTTTGAGATCGTCTCATTTGGTTCGAGTTGGATGAGTTTGAGCTGCAGTAGCCACTTGTTGTATCGGCTAAGAGCTAGAAGAAATGTTAGATGAAATAGAAAAATTACCAAAGTTTACCTTTGGTAATGTCGTATAGCTTCTATCGGTAATAACAAGCTGGTGGTGGCGGCAGTTAGCTTCAGAAGCAGGTGCTTTTGGCAGGAAATTGTAATCAAGCTGGTCTGGGTTTCCAAAATGATCGACGAGGATTCCGTTTTGAGACTGTTCTTTCGTCAAGGAGTAAAATCTCAACATATCTACAATATGAAAATAAATGATCGGCAATTGAAAAGTAGAACTTACGGTCAGAGTCGGATCTTGAGTCAAGTGGAGGGCTGAGATCATCAGGGTTAATTTCGAAGATGTTTCCCCCGGCGATGCTTGTCGGTTTTACAAGCGCTTCGGATTCTGGCAGACTTGAGCGATCTGTATCGGATTCTAGGGGAAAAATAAGCGTTTATTTTTTAGAGACAAACTTACGGTTTGGCTTGGTTGGATATTTGAGTCCTCTTTGTCGATGACCCTTGTACAAGAAAATCGCAACGACGATCAGAGCGAAGACAAGGATGAATCCAAGAGCGTAGGACATTGCATAAACACTTCCAGTCAAAGCCTGTGGGGAAGCATTGAAGCTGAGTTCAACTGGAATAGAACTGCCCTTCTCATTTACTGCCCAAACTGTAGCAGTGTATTCTTGCGCTGTAAGATTCATGAGTGGCACTTCAGTTCGCACGGTTGAGAATTTTTCAATTCGATCAGCAGATTTGAGTTGAACTCTGAATTTCTGTTCGTATCCATTGTCGAATCCACTGGTCCAAGTCAGGATGCCCGAGCTTCCAGAATGATCGTTTAGTCGAAGGTTTTCAACTTTATCTGGAGCGCCAGCTTTTACAACAGTAATTTCAGCCTGCGACTTTCCATAATCGTTTTCGCCGACGCAAGTCCATGCACCGAAATTGTTCATCAAACTCATTCTGTCCAAGTCTCGCGACCAGACTTCACCGTCAAAGTGTCCAAACGATGCAATTCCGCTTGGTGAGATAAATCGTAGAGATGACACTGGAGGCTCGGCTAGGACAGCACAGCTGATTCGAACGATGCTGTCATTTTCTTCGGAGACAACAAGGACTCGGGGTTCAACAGCGCTTACTTTTGGAGCAAAAGCAACGGTTACTTGAGTTGTAACAGATCGAGTTGAGTGGGAGTTGGAAGCTTTGCAGGTGAATTCAGATGGTTTTGAAATTTCATCGACGATGAGAATTCCGTCAGAATCAATTTTCTCGCCGAGTTTGTTGATCCACTCAATTTCAGGTGTTGGATAACCTTCAGCCATGCACTCAAGAGTCAACTTGTCTCCCTTTTTAAGCTCAGTCACTCCATCGATAGTGATTTCTGGAGCTGTCAAGACATTGATGGAAATTGTCCCAGAAGCTCCCGAATCTCCACTGTCGATAAAATATTCTCCAGCTGTGTTCTTCGTGATCTTTTTGAGTAAAAGAACTCCATTTGTGGCGTCAAAGGATCGAGATCTGGCTTCAGCCCGGCGCCAGCTCGCTTCAGTGATAGGTGGATTTGCTCGAATGACTTCAAAAAGGTTAATTTTGAATTCCTCCTCGCCTTCTTTGACTTCAAAAACTCTGTCGTTGATGAATGTTGGTTTAGTAAGCACGGACAGGGTTTGCTCAACGGTTTTGTCAGCGACAGTGCAGGACAGGATGGCTTCGTGGTCGAGAAATGATGCGAAAACGTCATATGTTTCAGTAACGGTGAATCCATATGGAAGCGCGGGAGACGGATTTGATGACGTAGGAGTGAGTTCGATGGATTCTCCGGAGAAGATTGTCTTTGAACAAAGTATTTTTGGCAGTGGGTAGGTCGGGCCAACATTGACAGTGAACTTGATCGTGTCGTCAGTGTTGTAGATTTCTTTATCCATGAGAATATTCAGCTTTTCGGGAGAGAATGTGACTTCAAGGGAAGTAGTGGCTTTGAGGTTGCTTTCCAAGTCGGGATGACGGAGCTGGCAGCTTAGTTCTTCTCCGTTATCGCTTTTATCGAGAGTAATGACGGTGAACACTGAGTCGTTTTCAGCCTCCTTTTTGGTCTTGAGAAGTGAATCGCCTTTGAAGAATGAGACGTCATCAGGAAGAACGGAGGGGTACCCGCCGACCGCAGTGCAACCAATTCGATTTTCGCCGACTTTGATTTCGTCATCGAGGACAAGTCGCACGTCTCGCGGGGCATGTTCGACTTTGACAAGCTCGTCCACGGACTGTTTGAATACGCCACCGCCCCAGGACTGGATACAGGTGATTTTTTGATTGTGATTTCCGGCGGTTTTCGGAAGGGTGACCTTTCGCGAGGTCAGGAAGCCCCCGCGGCGCGCTTTTTGATCCTGTGGCAGCACTACCGCTTCGGCGAGCTCACTACTGAGCAATATTTCGAGGTCGACAGCGGGAAAAGCGGCGCCAGATTGACACGTTACTTCGACAACATCTCCGAAGTTGCGTTGTTGGGCACGCAGCGAGTCCGCAGCAGGAGGATCTTAATAATTTATTAGCCACCATTTGGGCACACAGTTTATTTTATTCATATCTTGAGATAAGCTAATTAACGAGTTCAACTAAAGCAAGACTTTTTTCTTAATTCGCACTGGCATGTGAATTTATTGTGTTTGGGCACACATGCCGTTACTATTATAATAAAGTTTATAATAAATTAAACATATTGCCGCATGTCAGTGTTGTGAAGGGCGGGACTAATTGAACGACAATCTTGCGTGTTGGCAATCAGCGCGAAATAAAGTTTAATATTCTTGCCACTACTGTACATTGCTATTCAGGCGAAAGCATAATTATTTTGACTTACATTCAACGCGGATTTGGCTTGTCGTCTTGACACGCTGGGTTGCTCCTTTGAGCGGTTGGTGGATTGCCGTGCATTCAAGCACTTTGCGGTCGTCACTCTCGGACACTTTTGCTTCCAACGTTTTTCCATTGCCCATAAATCGCCCATCCAGGCGCCACTCGAACGTCGGCGTAGGGTTTCCTTTGATGCTAAACATCAGGGTTAAATCGGCAAAGGGTGAATATATTAACTTACCGTTCATTACACGTGGCGACGAGCAATTGTCCATATTTAACGGTGTTGGCGGCGATTGAAAGGGATTCCGGCGCGTGGAAGACCGTCAAGCTGGCAATGTCGCTGAATTCGGCCGTGTCCATCGTTCCTGTCCAGCTTGAAGAGCATGTGATGCGTTGATTTTGATAGTCAACAGGCACGTTGGTCAACTTTCCAATGGCGGTGAGTTTTGTCAGCGAGCCAGAACGCTGCTCTTGAATTTGGATATTGCTGAGTTTGGCGGATCCGATGAGAATTTCAATTCCGTTTGGAGCGGGGAAAGTGGCAGAGGTAGAGCATTTGATTTGAACATCGTCGTCTTTGTCAACGAGGATGCTTCCGGAGAAATCAGTAGTTTCCAAGTCAACAGAAGTCAGAGGCATTTCAACTTCAAGATCTCCGATTGCAGAAGTGAGCAGACCGTGTTTTCCAAGATCGACTTCGCACTTCCATCGCCCTCGGTCTTCCCAAGCCACTGGAGAAATGACAAGATCGTAAGCGTAAACTGAATAGACATTGTTACAATAATGCTTTGACATTATTTTGGGACACGCTTTCAGAACAACTTGGCGCTGTCCAGGAATTTCTTTTGTGCATGTGTGTTTTTCATATCAGCTCATATTTGTCAGTTACTTGGCCCTCGATCTGGATCCGAGCTGGCCGCGGATTTTTTTGTTTTCCGAAAGCTCTCGATTATTTATGCATGCGACCTTTGAAGGTTATTTACATGGTGCCTAAATTCAAAAATCATCTCGAAAAATTAATCCGGCTACCGCGAATTTTTAATTTCGAGTTTTTACCTAAATCGCCCTTTGAAAATGTGCTTGTGTTCGAAAGTGGGCCTAAGTGGTGCTAAGGTCGCGGATTAGCCGATTGCACCAGCCACAACACCAAACACCGCCGAATACCCATTATCGGCTGGGAATGGCTGCGAAAAGGGATCAGAGCTCAGCCCATTCATCAAGCTTCTTTTGATTGCCCTAAGTACCGAAGGGAGCGTCTCCCCCTTTTTAACGAATTCTGAGAAGAACGACCCTGATCTATTATTCAAAAAGGGCTGAAAAAACATAACTATGTGTACATGCACTTTCTCATAAGATAATATATCAATTAGATAATGCGCCGGGATGAATAATTCACTCTCATGCAGAAGGGAAATTAACCAAATAAAACCCCAATACGTTGAGTGAATATTATATCCTCAATTTCAAAAGAAAACCACAAGTCGATAGCCCCAAATTGAAGAAAAATGCAAGTTCCGGATATAAACGTTTAAATGCCTGCCTCAAAATGAGCCATTAGACTTATGAGCCATTGAGAAGGGATTTTATATTGGTCTTTGGCGGATGCCCAAACTGGCGAGCAAAGATTATAGGCAATAATTTCTGGGAACTTTTTGCCAGCTCGACAAATATGAAAAATTTTATTCCACCGCAGCGAAAAAATTTCCGGATTAAAAACGCTCTAGTTTTTTTTTTAGACCTAAGAGCCATGTAAAATCAGGATATATTGTCAAATGCGCTTTGAATTTCCGGCTCTGGTGTCTCCGCGAAATGCTACCCATGCTTGTCATGTGATTAGAACTGATCACCTTGTTCTTAAACCGGAAATCGCAAAAACATATTTTCCCCACCCGCAGCCGCCGGCCGCAGCTTAGTTCCACCCCATGTGATCAAATTTAGCAAATAGTTGTTTGCAACCTATCAAATATTCACTGCCAATAATCGTTAACCCTCCTTGGCCTTTTTCTGCATTTCCGAAAAAAACCGAAAGGATCAGCGGCTGTCATCGTCGATCCCCGCCTGCTTCATCCCGCCGCGGAGTTATATTCTGAGCGACAGGTTAAATTTAACCCCTTTTTTTTGTGAGAGCATGGGAAAATGGATGCAAATTTGAAAATTTGGCGGAAGAAAAAGGTTTTGTTTCCAAAACTTCGCCGCGCGAGCTCTTTTTTGACGATGAATGATAGAGTCGGGGTACTTGTGCGATGAAAAACGGCACCACTTGCGCTAAGGTGTTAACATAACACGCCTCGGACATATGAAGCGGGAGGGAGAAGCACTTACCCATTTGATTATCGACGGATGTGAGGCCCTCGTTGACACTGTATCTTGTGTACTTGTCGTAGATCGTTACGTAATCCTGGCTGGGGAAGGCTTTGACCGTGATCCAGTTGAAGTCATCGGCAGGCTGGAAGAACCACGTGACCTGAAAATCATGGCGGTAAGATTTACTGTCGCTTACAGTCTCTTTCTGCCGTCTGATCCCTCATATCGCCCGTATATTATCCTAACAAGATCGGCCCACTCCACAGATGGCGGTTTTATTAACGCAAAATCTACCATATGGAAATTTACTGTTGTTTATTTACCTGGTTAGCTTTTGACTTTGTCGAGCAATGGACTCGTGTTTCTTCACTTCCATTTTTCGCGATATTCGTTGTCGGCTGCAAAAACCACTGAGAAGCAGTCGCTTGGGCCGCCAAGTGCCCAAGTAGATGGAGTATCAGCATTTTCGTTTCCTGAAAGGAGCAATTTAAAACCGGCATGAAAAAGAACACTCATCAGGTGACAGGGGCGGAAAGTAAGACGCGCATTTGACGAATTAACCCCCCTATCCGTCATGCGTTTTTACGACTGCCTGCGTGCAAAACCGGCATTAACTCGTGTGCCGGGACTGGTGTGATCAATTATGATTTGTTGTTCCTCCAAAAGACCGATTTTAGAAACGACACGGGTCAAAGTTTTGAGTCTTTAAAACGGTACTTACCTCCTTCCCGGAAGTTTGGGCATATTTACATAGGCAAATATAAAACAAAAAAAGTATCGCACCCCTGCGCCTAAACGTCTCGTGGTCACGAGGCCTGAACCCCTCAAGAGCCTTATTTTTTGTTAACAATTTTTGTATAGCGCGAAAAAAGGTATGAGGACCCCTTCAGCGCGACGCTATTTGGGCACCAATCGACGAAACAAAAGCGAAAAAATGACAATAAATGAGATTTTGACCGCGTTAGGCGTCAACAGCTCCCACAGGGCACAGTTATTGACACCGTTTGTGCCCCTCAAGCAGCTCAATAAGCCGAGCCAATACTCATTCTATTTCTGAATACTGGTAAATGCTCTCCAAGATTTCGAATTAACCCGCCACGTGACCTCGTGATCTTCCAGTTCCGGTGCGCGCCCTTGGCAGCCAGCCGAATCTGGCGCTGAAATCAAAAATTTTCCCACCTAAAAAAAAGTGTACTTGCTCTAGATTTTTCTGTATGAGTAGCTGGCTCAGTCGCACTTTGATCTCATCCGCTCCAAACGTAAATAAAAAATCAATCTCTGTCCAAAAATGTTATGTCTCTTTTTTCTCACAATTGGAGCTTGAATTCCATGAGAACTAAAAATTTCACGATTCGTGGGTATTTGGAGGTTTAGCGGCGCTAACGATGGCAGATGGGCAGCACAGATGGGGTCTGCACATTTTACCCAAAGTACCAAGAAATTGCATGTAAAACATTAATCAGATACGAAGCTAGAATTCCAAATCAACATTTTCAAAATGAGTAATTATTGACTTTGAGAAAATAAAAGTTAAAGAATAGCTATTTTTAAACTTGGCGCGTAACAATTTTCGAAAATCGGTGAGAGCGGGCATTTCGAATCGGATCAAAGCGCGGGAAATTGCGGCCCTTCAAAAGCAAAAAACTGACAATTAATGATGCGCAGGAGTAAATTGTCGCCATCCGCCAATTAATACAATTATTTTTGTTGATGGGAACATCCCCTTTGCCAAGAAATTTGTAAAATTGAGGGGTTGAATGGTTGCTGAAAGTTATTTTAAAAACATATGGGCTGGGGTCGTGTCGGCTTTGATAAAAAGCTGGCATTATCAGACAAAAAGCCTGGCGTGTGCCGATACCGTGAGAGCTTTAAGTAAGGTAAGGGTCGATAGTAAGGAGTAGTAAAGAACATTTTTCTTTTCTATTTTTGTATTCTGAAGAAGCGGGTTCATCTAGCGGATCAAATCGATCTCCATTTCAACTTTTATCAGGCGCCCTGCTGTGATCATTATCATAAATACTCCTCTATTTCCGAGCATCTACTACTTTTCACCAGCGGAAAAAAGTTTTCCTGGATAAGGCATTGTTAACCCTCCGCTGTCGCCTTTCCCGGAAATGGTCATTGTCAACGATCTCCAATTTTTTGAAGAAAAATAATCGTCGATTGAATGTCTCCACTGACAACCGTGGAATTCGACATAACTATTTTATCGCCCACTTGCTGGGACCCTAATTTCTAAGGGGATCAACCGCATATTTCGCGCTTGACCAACCGGTGGCAGCTCGAATGCTATGTGGTTAGTTTTGATTCGCGCCAACTTTTCGCTTGGCTTTATGGGGAAGTTTATGGGCGCTAAGCTTGGCGGAAGTGCGCATTTTTCGGATGTGTTGGCAGTTGTGGAACTTTGGGCTAGGCCAATATTGGTTTAACCCGAATCAACCCTTCCAAGAACATAATTGGCAACTGTGCGCGGCGATTATTTGGGACAGAATCAACAAAAACACCCGCAGCGAGCTAAATTTGCACCTCTGAGGGACATCATGTTTGTCCATTTATCGAATTTTTTTTTCGAAACCCTAAAAATAGGAAGTAGCGCGAAAATCTAATTAAAATCTCAAGTGATACTATGGTTGACCTATTCAGTGCTAATTTTGGCAGTGACCGCGAATTGTGGTGGGTTAAATTTATTGCTGTCAATCTTGGAAATTATTTTTAGCCACTAGCCTGAGGCGTGTGATTTGTATTGGAGTATTGATGAGTTACTGGCTTGTCCACACTTCCCCCAGCCGTGCAGCTTTTATATTTATAGGTACATATTGGGAACATGGGCGAACATGATTATTATCGGAGGCAACACCTGTTTGACAAGAGCCTAATGCAAGAATCCGCGCCAGGCAAAATAAAAAATGGCAGCGATAAAAAATGCATTTGACCACGATGGACTCTAGAAAATTCATCAAGGTCACTGCCAAAGCACTGTATCTGCTGAATACTGTATTTCAAGAACATACAAGCATCTGCATTGCTTTTTTTAGGGGAGCGTTTTTGGCTCAAGCAGGGGGGTTAAAATAACAACCCATATTTTTTGTGATTACTGAAATTTAGAATTTCTGGGAATCGTTTTGAGACACGCGTAAATCCCAAATGATGACTGTGGGCGAGAGACAAAGGCCGGAAAAGCCTCGAAGAGTGGAATTTACACTCGTTTAAGGGCTTCCGTTTATATTTCTGACCACGGTCGCTAATTGACCCAAAAGTAGGGGGTGTTTTGTTTCGTCGAAAGGGCGCTAGAAAAATCTCAGAAACAGTTCCGTTGACTGGAATTAGAGGCAAATTAGGAGACTAAATAAGCGAAAAGGCCAGTTCAATATTTTCTTAGGGGTAGCACGGTTGAGGAGTTGTCCAAATAGATAACGAATATACAATATCCGCGTGGTTATCGAATGTAAAACAACAATTACCACAAGTATTTGTCACAGTTGACGAGTTGTTCGGCCACGCGCGTCCGAGAAAATTTTGGACAGGCAAGGGCCCATAAAAATGATCAGCGAAATCGCATCAGGAGCCAAAACTCACAGCCGCGGAGGAAAGAAAACTATCATAATAAACATGTTGTAAAAAGTGGCCTAGTTCAGCGAACCAGCGTTATCGAAAATCAACCGTAATGTCACTCATAAAATTGATCCGTGGACCCCATAAGCTCCGTAATTGTCTCTTTAGGCAAGCGTGAAAAAAAGAGGGGCACAGGATCTGGAGCTCAAGACTTGAGCTTGATCATCAAAAAAAGGACAAAGATCTGGCCAGATTACTTAGTTATCTGGCTGTCAATTATTCAAAATCAAATTTTTCAGTCGCACTTTTAACTAGATAAAATCAACAATAAGAATCGTACTGCGAAATTTTTCGTATAAAAAAACCTTTGACAATTGACGAAAACAAAAATAAACAGTTATGGTCGTATTTTTACCTTTTTTGTTGTTATCTCCAGAGGATCTCTTCTTGTTCTCTTCTTTGATTTCAGTTAAATTTTCTTAATAGCTCTCAAGAATCATCAAAAAAGCAAAGTTTCTTTTCTTTCTTAAAATCGCACTTGCACAATACTGGTAGCTACTGATAATCGAAGCGATCAGCGCGATCCGAGTCAAAACGAAAATCGCAGAGCGCGGCAATGCGCGTGCGCTCGCTAAACAGCGCCACGAACAGTGCGCGCTCTTGTGCGCAAAAATGTATCGGTAGGGGAGGTGCGCTTCCGATTTAGGGGTTCTGAGCGTGGCTGACATGTGATTAGCAGCTAATAAATATGAGTGCTTCGGGAGGTGTCGATCGGAGTTTTCTTTGATCAGTAGAAAGTTAATCAAAGTCAGAATTGAGCAGTTTTTGGTTCAGAAATGTACCGTTAAGTGCGTTTACTTTTCTGATAAAGGTAATTCATGAGCATCTCGTTGATTTTTTCTTATTAATTATTTTAATCACAAAGATGATCATCGGAATATATTTACTTAAATTTCAAAACAGCTTTTCCTTCCAACTATCATTTTCTCCTTTGAACAGTAAATATTTTCGCAATCTCTTTTCGATGATATTTTTGTAAGCTTAATCGACTTAATTATTGACACTAAAAAGCCTTCGCAGAAGGTTCAAAAATCTATAATGACCGTTGGTCCCTTATTTTGTTGCCTTCAATTCTGCTTGCTTTCAATTTTGATAATTGATGCTTTCATTTTTTTAATTTTGACCTTTCTGGTAAAAATGCTTGAGCTTTGGAGTGGGCTTGGAAGGAAGTCAAAATCTAAAAAACTAAAACATTACAGTGTTTGCACAGGAGTAGGACCGCCGCTAGCACCCGTCAAATTTGCGCGTAGATACTTCCGAAATTTTTTCTGTTAGAGGGTTGCGCGAAATGTGAGCTCTTTCACGAGCTAACTTGAGCCTAAATGAGCCGCTCAGCCGCTTCCGGAAGCGGCGGAAAACGCGCCGTCCCCCTCCTCTCTTTGCCTGGGCCATTTTTAATCAAATAATCGTAATTTTCTACGGCGAAAAATAATTAACCGAATCCACATTTCCGGGGCGACGGGCAATATTGACGAGCATTGAGGGTTGGTGATGCACGAAATGGTCGAGAAGGAGGAATAGGATTACCGCAAATCATGCTGAAAATGGTACTTTGTACGGAGAAAATTGAAATAATTGATGCTCTATTTGAAAATTCGAATTTCCAAGAAGACATCGACTAGAGTTTCAAAAGTATTCCTCACTCTTTGTATTTGTTTATTGCGATTAACTACAGTCGCTCAAGTTCCGATAAAAGTGTGAGATCTCCGCTCTGAAAACTAGGCCACTTCCAACTGTAACAAGTCCAAGTACAGTCCCGTGTCGCCGCTCGCCCAAATTGATCAAAGGCGGCCTCCCCCGTCGCGAGTTTGGCGGCGATTCTCATCTCAGAAATGATATTTCTTCATTGAAATCATCTTATCGATTTTGATTTGAAAGAGTCAGTCGAATCTCAGATCGGCTAAATCTACAGAAAATTTTCCGATAATGTTACCTTTTATCAATAAAAATTGACAGAAGCGTGACGGCTCTAGAAACCAAGGTGAAATAGTTTCACTTCAACCAGTGTTTGATTAAGGCGTCTTATAATGAGTGAAGAATGGTGACTAGATAGACTATAGATAGTGAAGTTTTGCCAATTCTACAAAGCAGGGCCGTAAAGTGAAATCTATGTAACCATTTCATCTTTTGTGAAAAGGTAAATCCTCTAGCGAGCTGATTCACCTGAAAGCGTCGGATGATCCCACGGGGTCACTTTCGCCTCGCTACGCTAGACTTACCCTTTATGCCAAACATACACACTGTTACTCGAGAGCCGATCTGAAGAAGTAATTAGCCACCTTTGCGGAAACAAACCAGGCACTTGGCGAATCCTTTCCGGCCAGCTCTTGAAAATCGGACTCGAAGGAGATTTCCTCCAGATGAGGAAGATGGGGCGCCTATCAAAGCTTTATTTTTAGTTGAATACAAAAACTCCTTCTTTAAAAATATTTATAACATCTCTTGTTATCCTTAATCTACTCACGAAGCACTCAATCATCCCCTCAATTTTCGCATGTTCGGCTGCCCCCTCCGTTGTTCCCCATTTTCCCGCTTTCTGACGTATTTATTAGCAGGTCACGGTATCTTTGGCTGGGAAGTGCCCCAAAGTTGTCATTTGTGCGGAAGGATTCATTTACGTAATCGCTGACTTAGAACGTGTTTTGCGACGTTGAGGAATGCGCAAATTTCTCGAATAAGCACTTTCGACATCGAACTGAAGGATTTGATTGCGACGGATGGGGAGATTTAGCTGTGGGAAGGATTTAGCGAATTTCCGCTGGACTATGTCCATGTTCCTGAAGGATTTTTGCATCCTGAATTTTCAGAGGCGGTCTTCTGTAATGATTTAAGTTACAGTTCTATTTTTGTGATTCAGGCAAGCTCATTTTCTGAGTTGATTTTCTGGCCAAGTACCAAGAAAGAGAGCAATTTTCCGAGAGTGAATGAAAGCGTGAAATCTCGGCTGTGTTGTTACTTAGCCGACATAAAGATACGATTGCTTGATGCGATGGGTTCATTGATAGAAATAATCACTATCTGGCGATTCCCATGATCTGCTCGAAAGTCAAGCTCATGGGCCACTTCAAAGGATGGTGCCTTCACGCTCTACCAAAACGGATAATCCCAATCGAGACGATAAACAGTTCTCCTAAGCGATTCTCGAGCAATTACTTACTTATATACTCGCCGCCCATTTCAAAGGGATTCAGAACTGCCCATGCTGAAAGATACATGAGCTTTTTGCCCAAAGAAGACATGGATTTTTACATTTTATAAATAAAGCATATATTATCGGTAGATACGCTTTTATCGGTGTCTTTGGAGAGACACCAACTGCTGGTAGTAGGGGGTTATCATTTGGGCTGCCCCTAACCCTAAACTTAACCCAGGGGGCTAGGCCCCCCGGGACCCCCCAGAAGGGGCCTAAACCAGGGGGCTTCGCCCCCCGGACCCCCCTTAAAAGTTCCCAGTCCCTAACCCTAACCACTAGCTCAGATTCTAGAGATCTTGAATGGCTCGAATCATAGGCTCGAATGATAACCCTCTTTTTGCAACTGCTTTCAGCATCACTACTAGGCCCATCATGTCCCTAATTTGACCATTACCTCGGTCAGAGGTTAAAATTCCCGAAACAGGATTAGCCAATAATGACAACGTTCTGAACACACATATCCAGCCACTTTATTTTCCATGCCACTATCCCCTTGAAAGAATTTCACAGTTGTAATTCTGTGCAATTCGCGCGCCTTCCCACGGTTTCCATTTCAATTCTCCAAATCTCATACTCGAGTTCTTGCCAAACAAGTGAACATGTTCCGCGTGGCGATAAATTTTCGAATTCTCAAGTAGACCAGGGGTGGTAAATTAATAAAACCACTCCACATGTCTAAATCCATCACTGTTCCTTGCTTGTAACGAGTCATGCCAGAGCTGGCCAAGCAAGTCCTTGAAAGACTTGCGCTGTAATCTTTATAGTCGCCAGCTGATTTTTACGCAGCGATGACCTCAACTGAGGTCACGTGAATTTACGCGATATGCGAGATTGACCTTTTTAATAAATTTGGAGTACGCCAAAGAGCATGAAAAAGGGGAGACTCTCCCCCGAGAGAGCTCTTGACCTTCTCATGGATTTTAGTGTTTTCATTTTTGAAGGCTTTGGTTTTTGAATGATTTCGATATTGAAATTGATGGTTTTAAAAAGCCATAAAGATTTATTTTATTTAGCTGTATATATTTTTTTCTAAATTGAAGACTCCGAAGACTAATACCCAATCAAAATAGTACACTCATCGGTATGCAGAAACTCAATAGTTATGAACTCAATTCTCTTAACATAACATCCTATCGTTGGAAGGTCCCTTATCCGTAAATCTTACGCTGTGTAGTACACAGTGTGTACCCTCAACTAACTTGGCATTAATCGTTGTCAATCAATCTTGCTTCTCAAGGACAAACAGCTTTTCCCTAAATATTTTCACAAATTTGCTTTTAGAATGCGACTTTCCGGACTTTCACCGATTGCCTCCCCAAAGCTAAATAGACTCGATTCCCATGGACGGAATTGTAGCGAAAATGAAGAGCTCCAAGTTGACATTTTACAAGCGAAAATAAACATAACCAAATCGCATCCGATAAGCAGATTGGGGAGGATTAATGATGTTTTTATCGGACTCATCCGTAATGACCAGTTTTAGCGCGGACAGCGAGTATTTTTAGATTTTCGAAGAATCGAAGCTTCAATTTCTAAAATTGGAAAGCTCCAAATTTTCCTCAATTTTTGGTCTGCCCAACACATTATCTTCTTTACTCTGTAACTAAGGAGTTGATTGATAGCGAAGACTTCAAATCCGATGTTACAGACAGGAAAGAATATCGAAATGTTTTCCATCATGTCGGCAAAACAAAGGTGCATTCACACATTTCAAAATCAAATTTTGACGCCATCAAACCTTGTTACCTCATAATACCGCCCCTTATTTACCAAATTTTCAACTTTTACAAATTGGATTTTTCTTTCTTCGCTTGTTTTACAAATTCTAGTGTCAAAGGTGAGCAGCTCTGAGATTTTCCACCAGCGGCGGAAAAATTGGAGCTTAGTGGATGAGAAATGATAAATAAATGAAAGATTAAGTGGCTATTTACGCGTTTCTCAGGGCATTAGCAATTTCTGCTTCTCAATGCTTTCTGGCTTAGGCTTTGCAGGACCTTAATCTTGACAAGGTGTTACGATATCGTATTAACTTCGAGTCGATAGTGTCGATTTTTAAGAACTAAGGCACGCGACGCGCTCTCACAGGTGCAGCCTCTTGTCAAAATTGCATCATTTTTTGAACTTGAAGTCACGAAGATGAAGAAACGAAGCTGGGACAGGGCATCAAAATATAAATTTTGAAATGGGCTGTGTTTTATTGACACAAGCCTGCGTTTTATTGACCGTGCGCAAAAGAAGAATGGACTTACTTCGATTTAGTAAAGTTTAAACATGGATTTTAATGAAGACGATTTCAAAAACGCGGCAGAGAAAATTGCGAACTTTATTGTCGAATACGACAGGTAAACGAGTTATTTCTACTCAGATTGTGACCTTTGTAGCATTTTGAAAAGCTGTCCTGTTTCCAATCCGGTAAAACCTGGAGACCTTTACAATGCTCTTGATGCTAAGCTACCCACATCAGGAGAAAAATCCATTGACATATTGATAGACAAGGTTCGCAAGGAAATCTCGCCAAGAATGGTTCACTGGAGTCATCCGCAGAACAGCGCTTGGTTTCCAAATGTATCGCCAAAGATTCTAGCGCTAGGCGCGATGCTCGAAAATACGCTAAATTGTGTCGGCTTTTCGTGGTCTTCTAGTCCAGGAAAGGCCCTTTAAAAGAAAAGGGCCCCTTTTCTTTTCAAAAATTCTAATGGAAGCATTTTAAATTGCCTCAAAAAGCTCTGACCGAGCTAGAGCAAAAGGTCATGGATTGGTTAGTTGACATCTACGGTCTTCCTGGGCATTTCAAGTTTTCTTCAAAAGGAGCAGGCGGAGGCTGTTTTCAGGGAACAGCTGGAGAAGCCGTTTTGAATGCTTGCTTGGCTGCTAGAGGCCGATTTTTGGCAACACACGATGTTGATCCTCGAAAACTCGTTGCTTATTGCTCCGACCAAGCACATTGCTCCTGTTCTAGAGCCGCGCAAATTTCTTTGATGCAAGTTCGAAGAGTCGAGACTAATGATCAAGCCGAAATGACGGGGGAGCTGCTTATCAAGCAAATGGAAAAAGATGTTGCCGAAGGATACTTTCCCGCTTTTGTTGCCGTAACTCTCGGGTAAGAGCTTTGCTCGGAGAATAAATTAAAGAGTCAATTATTAGAACAACTGGATTATGCGCGTTTGACGACTTGAAGTCGATCGTTGACGTTTTGGAAAATCAGTTTCCTTCTGTCTGGATTCATGTCGGCAGGGTTCAAGTTACAATGTGAACCAGGCTTTTTTATTCATATCAATGTTCTAACCTGAGCCCAATTTTAAAGACTCCGCTTATACTGGTCCAATGTTTGTGCTAGAAGAAAACAGGCATTATCTAGCTGGCGTTGAGAAAGTAGATAGCTTCAACACAAATCTCAGCAAAATGGGCATCGGTGGATTCGATAGCTCACCGATGTGGGTCAAAAACAGATTCGATTTGACGAATAATTTCGTCGAAAATCCCGATTACCTGCGCAGCCACGAGAATGAAATCAACGATGAGAACGTCTTCCAAGTCAATTTTAGAGATTGGACTCTCGCCTTTGGCAGAAAATTTCGCGCAATAAGAGTTTGGCTAGCAATGGAATGGTTTGGGGTTGAAGGAATCAAGGAACATGTTAAGAATCATATAAGACTCGCAGAAGAATTCGAAGCGTTGATTCTCCAGAATCCAAAGTACTTTGAGCTAGTGAAAGAAAGAAGTTTCGGCCTCGTCTGTTTCAGGAACTTGTCTCTATTTCAGCATAAGACGAGTTGCCTATCAATTAATGAGACACGCAAAGATTGAAAGGTGGAAACAACGAGGACCACGATGATTTTGTCCGAAGAGCAAAGACACAATTCGGACTTATTGTCACATCCGCGTGCTGGAAGGATAGAACCTACTTACGAGCTACTTTCAACGATTTTGCTTCGACTTCCGACGATGTACTCAAAGTTTTTCGAAAATTTATGGATCTCGCTCTTCATAAGTAACTGTTTTATCTACTAAAAATAAATCAGTTCATATTTTTATTTGTTTATTGGGACCAAAATCAGCTGAATAGCCTATTTAGTCTGAATCTAGTGGATTTTCTTGATATCTGAAGTTCGAAATGGTTCGAAGAATTGGGGATCAATCCGGGTCAGACTATTTTTAGAGAACTAGCTTCCCTCTTTTTCTTCTCTTCTAGCGCTTTCTTCGTTAATTGAAGTTCCTTTTCAGCGTTCATTATTTTATTCAGATGATTAAGTTGTTGTTGAATCCTGCCAGGTATCGTACAACACGTAACGAGTAATTTACTAGAAAATTCAAGTACGAATCTTTAAATTCCAGACTCTGGTGATCAGACTCTTAACCGCAATTTCGTCAGACCGATTTCGGCCAATTATCACCCATCACTAATTCAAACCGAAGTTGTTCACTTTTTAGAGTGCTAAGTATCCAACAGTTCATACAGGACTCAGATCAAGAGCTCGAATGAAAAATTATACGTACAAAAAGTTTGCCTGAATGCATCTTAGAAGCTCAGAAAATACTATAATAGTATAAAATAGTATAAAAATATAGTATAATATAAAATATATAGTATAGTAAAAATAAAAAATAGTATAATACACGGCGGGTTTGGTTTGTTGGACCAGCTAATTTGGATAAGCCAAGGGACGCGAAAATGCTACCTCTGTAGAACATACCCGGTATGACCCGGTTCAGGAAGGAACTAAATATTTCTGAGCAAGAAATCTTTTTTGCTGCCGTCGATTCTGTCTTCTCGACAGAAAAATGCTGCATTATGAATGATGAGCTCTCTTCAATTACAAAAAAATCTAAATTAGGGAAGTGCCCACTTGAACATTCTAAAGAATAATGTTTAAAAAAGCTCTGAATAATTCTTTGATTCAAAGAGTTTCAATGACTAGCAATATTCTTAAGATATTTTTTAACTAATCGATAAGAAAACACCATTGGACGTAAATCATTTCATGTAACGGTCGATTTTTATTGACACTCGTATATCGCTTATTTTGATTTTCTTTCTTTATTTTCGATGGATATTTTAACAAAAATCGTTTGTTTTTTGAGTTTTCTTTTTTCAGAAAAAAATGATTATGCGAAAATGATGCTTTTACTTTGTTCATCAATTAAGAAAACATTTTGTTTTGATAATTAAATCTAAGAAATTATCGGCATTCTGATCGTTTCTTTCATCTAAAACTCGTGGTCAAATTTGTGAGAGTGCACTCGTTAGTAATTTTTTGTGTCAGGCGCGCGAGGGGTAGGAAGATAGGTTGAGATGTTCTGGTGGCACCTGCTGATGAATGATTTATTCCGAAGTCCAGCGAGGTGGATAATCTTTGCTCTCACCTGCCGATCCGCTGAGCTGACTTACAGCCACTGATGCCGCGCAACAAGCACTATCAGAGAAAACGGATTTCAACTTTTTCCTAATTAATCGTTCTCATTAACTCATATCATGCGGATAAACAGTAAGAGATCCATACGAAGCACATATTTGGACAAATACGAAGGCTGCTACAATAAACATGCTTTAGGTAAGGATATTTTGGTTGGTTGAAAAAAAAATTATCAGCAAAAAACTAGGATATTTTTCTTTTTTAGCGACGTGGGATTTTCGATTTTTAAAAAATTTAACAGTTAAAAAATGCATATAACTCCATATGTTTGTTTTTTGAATACCATATTAACAATATTTTTCACTCAAAATCTGAGAATCAAAAGTCTGTCTGATTTAGTCTTTTTTACAGTCATTATATTCATCAAATATCCTCGTTTTTTGCTGATAAAATTGTATATTGGAATAAAAGCGTGCGTCATTTTTGAACTAAAAGATGAATGGTTTTGGTAAAGAGGAAAAGTGCCAATAATTCAATTAAAAATATATTTATTAAGCTTTTAGACTGCCAAGAATTTATGTCTTGCACCTTCCAAATTTGACCGTTGAAAAAGGCTTGTCAGCATGTGGTTAGAGCGACGGCCCCGTGCTTAATAATAAATTTCCAATGTCACTTGTGTGTTCACTCAAAAGTCCGTACTCTTCCATGATATCACCGCAATATTATTTCTCTTCTTAGAGCGTCCTTGTGCGCTTGGATTCTTGAGTTCAAGGCCGTCACCTCTTTGCTCGCCTGTCGGCTCTCCAAAGGTAAGCCTTCTCTTTTACAGTTTGATACAGTTAGTGCTCGCTTACCGTTTATCTACAGCGCCGCTCTTACAGACTTACGCCAGGCTTATTCAAAGTGCATTAGCGTTCCGGAGGCTTTTAAAGTAGAGTACAGTCAGACCGTAACCGTAGACTTGCGAAGCTAGTCGCAAGTCATTAAATTATCTTGCCAGACGGGCGAATCTATTTTGCTTCATTTGAGTTAACAGCAACATAATGCGACGACAGAGGAGCTCAGTCACTGAAGGATCAAGTAAGTTAATGCTGGTTTTCTGCCTGGGTTACAACTTCATTCGAAAGAATGACCTCTGAACTTCGGAAAAAAATTTTGAAGCTATCATAAGGGAAGATACTGTAATAGTGAAATTCCATTATGGAAATGTGCCCGAAATCGTAGATTGAAAGGTTCCAGGACAAGTAGATTGCAATAAGTTATTTCGAATAACCCTTCTTATAGGCTTCTTATATTAAAGATTTATCTTCACTCTTACAGCGTGCAAAGATTCTATTGATTCTATTTTAAATAGACTATTTAGCACTAATATAACTTCAGTACTTTTAGACTCCTCGCGCGCCTCTGAAGTCAAAGCACGCTATAAAACTAACGTCGCCGAATGGATGTGATCAAAGAGATAAATGCATTTTAAACTTATCTTTGTTTCCTCGCAACGCACAACTTTGCTCGCCTGTTGGATCGCAAAAAGGGTCGAGGTTCATCAATTAATATTTCAAACTGCTGTTTTGTCTCTCAGGCAGTTTAAAAGAACCTGAAATTCAGGAAGTCCTTGCACTCCAACAAAGTCACCAATTGCCACAAAGTGGGCTCTCTTATCTGGCAAAAATACGGCCAAAACTCCAGAGCAACAAAAAAGTGACTTCCTATCCGTAGGTAAGTACAGTTTTAAAATCTTGATGCGAGTAAAACGCGTCTTTCAAGTGATATCAATGGCGCCCAGCTCATTTATGAAGAAGAAGGAGCCGTGTCAAATGTGTGATTTCATGTCTGAAATGAATCGGGTTTTTGGAACAAGCATGAAGGTAGAATTAATCAATAACTTGGAATAAGTGGGCTTCTAGCACGATCACGCGGAATCTGGAGCTGCCAAAACTAATTGCGAATGCTGCTGCTCATCCTTTTTATGCTTAAAATTGTCAAGGATTCAAAGTCAATTTCGAATATTTTTATTATAAATTCAGCTAAAAAATCCTGGAATCAGACATTTTGTTTACGCTGGCTTCCAACGTGCGTATAAAGCCCTTATTTTACGTATCTTTATATTTTATACAGTTCATTTACACAGTCATTTCAATATTTTAATGCTCATAATAAAACAACACTGACGCCAATTGAAACTAATTTATTGACAGTTTGTCAAGCAGTTTGGCAGGAAAAAAGAACCGTCGGAATTTTGAAGACAAATTTTGACCCCACATTTGAGATAGATTTGGGGATTTTCGAATGAAAAGACGAAGCTGTTAAATTTAAAGTCAGCAGTATCCCCCTGCCAGTCTCCGATAAGGTCGGAATTATCGAATTTTACCATCGAATCTGGAGAGCACGTGTCTTTAAGAACTGTGTAGGACTTGCCAAGACCTGGAATGATATACTGATGTGCAGAGCATTCTGTGACTTGGAAAGAAAATGGTTTGTTTAGATTTAAATCGGTAGAGACTCTAAAATAGATCGGGCGGCCGATGTGAACCTCGTTTGACTTGAATGTGTATGTGTAATCGCTATAGGATTCAAGAGAAAATCTTGACAAAAGATCCCCTTGAGAAATAACCGAATCTTTTATCACTAGACCGCCGTTGACGTTTATTCCTCCGGTGTTTATGGAAAGATTGTTGTTGTAGAGACATTTCACATCAAAACTCAGGTCAGGTGTCGCGACAAGATCACCACTAAATCGACTTTTAACTTTTAAATTATTCATTCTTTATACCTGCTCGCAGAAAGTTGTCCCTTGATCTTCCAACTCAATCCAATTTGGCCAGAGACAGAGTCTTGGGTCAAGTCCCCATTGCACGCAGTACTAGAAAAAGTTTCTGAAATCCAGCCGTTGGAATCTTGTTTGGGATGAAAACTTGGCTTCGCTAAAATTTATTTGTTTTGTTTCAACTCAATCCCGTTCCTGGGGAAATGTTTCCGATGCAAGACCCAAAATTAACCTTGACATTAGACCATTTGCTCTCATCGAGATTTTTGTACAAGTGAGCTACATTCGCCTTGAATTGCACTTCCGCGGGATCACATTGCATTTCTACGCCTTGAGGAATGCAGTCCGTATCTAATAAAAATAAGCATATATAAGTATACGTGCTTGGGTTCTTACAGTCGTGGTTTGGCTCCCAGAAATCATTCGGGCAAAGCTCTGGCTTCTCAATATGTAGGCCTCGGACGTAAAAATCCATCACCATCATCGGAGCTTCGTATGGGATTGAGAATAGGCTCATTCGAAAGCTCTTGAAGAGGGCTTTATTATGGGCAAATGAAAAAATTGGGCCCTGTCTCCCAGTTTTGAGTAATCAGCCGTTAAAGATAAAGTCGAAAAACGTTTTTACGAAATAACTTGAAACAGGGAGACAGGGTCCAATTTTTTTATTTGCCGCCAAGAAAGTTCTCTTTAAGAGCTTTCGAATGAGCCTACTCTCGTCCTCATACGAAGCTCCGATGGTGAAAATCGATATTTTTACGTCCGAGGCCTATCAATATGCAGTCGAAAACCTCTTTTGCCGACTTGACTATCACTGATAAAGTCGATCTTAGCATGGTTCCCCTCAATAGTTATCGCTTTATTCATCACTCTGGAACTTACACCAGCGATTTGAGCGTACTTGTTTCCATTGTCGTAGTCGTCGTAGTAGTCAAATGAATCAGTCATACTTCCACAGTAGAAATAATGCGGTGTTTTGTTGTACGTTCCATCGGACTTTTTCCTCGTATAAATAGATAGCGTGTCCCAAAGACAGAGAGGATGATCTTCGATTTCGAAGTGCGTTGGGGTGATGGTAAAGGATTTGACGTACTCGGGAAACTGAATCAGCCACTCGCAATGTCTGTAGTTTGGATACAAGCTGTTCGCATTCGATAAGTCAAATTCAGGAGAAGTGATGTAAGCAGTGTCATTTACGTTTCCACCGCAAAGAATTCTTCGCCGAACGGCAATTTCTCCTGGAGGAGATCTCCCATCATCTGGCCTTCTTCTTTCTTCATCCCAAATTGTTTCATTTTGAAAATTCTCTGTATAACTTGTATCGTTAAACATCGTCACGTTCCAAAGGGCATCTTCCCATCCAAGTTCATTCTCAAAATTTACAAGAGCCTCTGCTTCCTCAATATGATCAGCTCGTGCCAAATAAAAGACGAAAAAACCGGTGGAGAACTTCATTTTTAAAATGTAATTGTTAGTTCGCAGTCGAGTATTTTATTGGTAGGTGGCGCTACGATCATGTTTCTCATGAAAAGATAGAGGTAATTGCGGGCTCAAAGCTACCATTTTCAGTCCAGAACTGTTCTATTTTATTTTGAATGAGTAGTCTTATCTCCTTTTCTACAGAACTTTCCCAACTTGAAGTTCAACTCTGCTCCGAAATAAATAATTGAAACGGGAAAAGTGACCAGAAAAGACAGCCAACTTCATTTAAAATTGGAATTGTAAATGCAATATCTTTATTTCTTATTCAAAGCTCTTAAAAAATAACTTTAGAGGATACAAATTTTACAGTGAAAGATGAAATTTACAAATATGATTCATTTGAACTGTGTGAGCTTGTTTCTTCTTGTTCAAATGCCTCGTTGAAGTCGACGTTAACAGTTTCATTCTCGGGGTCGTATTTCGACGCGAAAGAGATGAATACATCATCAAGTGAAGCTTGAGACAATGAAAAATCATTCAAATTATCTTGTTTCTTTTCATCCATCAGAATTTGGAAGATGCTCTAAAATATTGTATTATTCAAGGATTGTCGCCAAATCATACCAAGGGAGAATTGGCTTCACCGAGTTTCATCTGCGCCATGTTTGACCTCTGCTCTAGAATTTCCAGTCCTTCTAGCTTTTCTCGCAGCTTTCCAATTACGATATCTTGTTGTTTTTTGTTTGCCTTTATCGTTGCAATATATCCTCCTCCATATTTACCCTTCAACCTCTGCGGAGTGCCCAAGCATTCGAATTGTCCGGAAACCATAATTGCTAATCTGCCACAGAGAACTTCGCACTCTTCCATCGAATGAGAGGTCATTACAATTCCTTGCCCGTCTCTGACCATTTGTAAAACAACATCCCACAAGAAGCGTCTTGCTTTTGGATCAACTCCAGCTGTTGGCTCGTCGAGCAGAATAATGTCTGGATCTCCAGTAATAGCAATGGCAGTAGAGAGCTTGCGCTTGTTTCCGCCAGAGTACTCCCCTGCGGGAATGTCTCTAAATAATCATTTGAAACTCGACGTGTCTATTTTTGTAAGAATGATTAAAATTCAACAATGAAAACTTACCTGAATCGTTCAAGATCCATTCGCTTAATAATTCTGTTAACAGAGTCTGACAGCTGTTTCCCTTTCAAGCCGCGAAGTTTTCCATAGAACTCGATGTGTTCTGCGCTCGTAAGAGTTGCATTCAATGCGTCGAACTGAGGACAGTATCCGATTCGTCTCTTGACTTCTGTTTGGTCGCGAACTACGGAGAGATCATTGATCATGGCGTCTCCTTTTGTTGGGGCGTATTCTGTTGTGAGCATTTTGAATGTTGTTGTCTTTCCAGCGCCGTTTACTCCAAGAAGACCGAAGCATTCACCGGCTGGGACTGAGAAAGATATTTCGTCGACAGCCGTGAATGGACCGGGGAAGACTTTTGTAAGACCTTGTTAGTGGTTTAAAATGCTCTAATACAACAAATTTTGGTATATTTTGAACCACATTCCTTGAGCTCGAAGTATATCTTGATTGTTAGAGCTGAAAGCTCTGTCTTTCTCAGCTTGGACATCTTCTTCAAGTTGTTTGTTTGAAGATTTTACTTCGACGGGACTCTGTTTTCGAGTATACTTGAATTCAATTATCAAAACAATAGCCGAGAAAATAATAAATCCGATCAACATGATAAAGGCAGGGAAGCCAGATCGTCCATACAACCAGTCATCTGCATTCAAATCTTCATTCAAGTAAACCATGCAAGTAAGACCGATTCCAACAATCAGAGAAACGGCAAATGTGCCAAACATCGAGAGAAGAGCTTTTTTACGCAGGATATTGTACTCTTTCATTAGCACGATGCAGGAAAAGACGATAAACTCGACAAACATGATAAGACAAGGAAGTCCGTTTTTACTCCACGCAAGGACTGGCGTTTGAGGTGGGACGGGATAGCCAAGCTGAATGTAAGCATCGACATACGCTTATTTTGGTTTTTAAAAATGCCTACTAAATTGAGTCATATAATTTTCAAAAAACATTCCTTGATCCAGCGTTTGCTGGAGTAAGCCCCGCCCAATGCAATAATGAGGAAAGATCAGAAAAATACTGTCAAGAATCGAGTGAATAGATTTGAGGTCTGGGTCTGACTCGCCGAGCGCGTAAACAACAGAAGTAGCGATGGTGGTTGCGATTCCGATGAAAATGTTCACACAAGTCATGGAAACATAGGCAGTCGCTGATTTTTCAAAGACCCAACTTTGTACTGGTTTTCAAGTGCCGTTTTTACTTTGAATTAAGACTTGTTGAACCAGTTCCTGAACGGATACATCAATGGCGTCACGGACAATCCAAACAGTATAAATATCAAAAAAGTTGAGCCAATCATATCCGCACCAATATATGCTTTGTTTCCAAAGGCAAGAAAAATAAAAACAGACAAGAAAACAGGCAGTGTGTAAGTAATCATGTCCCACAAGAAATTGGCAAGCCAGTAGATAGTCGGGTTGATTCCAGCCAGGAACTGCAAGTACTTGGTTCCGGAAGTCTTCTCATCAATCAAGAAAACGAGGAAGCTCGCTGGAACGAAGGAAAATGCAAAGATAACGCAGATGGATACAAGGGTATCATTACTGGCATTTCGCAATGCGGCTTGATCAATCTGAGAGACAGAAAAGTCAGTTGGATAGGAGACAACTTCAATTCCAAGTTTAGAACCGTCGTTTTTCTGTCGATAAAGGGCATTAGATAGAACGTTCAAAAATGAGACAGATCCATGTTGACCGAAATTATTGAACCAGATCTTATTATTATTGGGTTTCGCCAAGCGGTTTGCCAGATTCACATCGATTCCGAATAGATTCTTATACATGTCAGTCTCATTTTGCGCGGATGCACCAAAACTGTAGCCGCTGTATCGTCTCAAATTGAAAGAATTCTTGTCGACAGTTTTTGCTAGCCAATCTGAGATATTCCTTCCTGTCATGTCAAGAACTTGAACGCCTGTGTAGTCTGTTCTTATCGGAATCGGGCTTCCTGCTGCATACTTTTTCTGTCCTTGGTATTCTTTAATTTCGAAGTCATCTGGATACTTTCCACAGTTCATTAACGGCTCCACAAAATCACCCTCGGTGCATTCACAGTCAAGATTAAGCGGATCTCCAATTTTGACAGCTGTGAGGTTAGAATCGCGTGCGCCAGGCGACCAGTTGTCCCATTTGATCTCCAAGTTTGCACTTTGACAGTACCTTTCTTGCAGTTGAGCCTCGTCCGTGGCAATCGTGTATTCGCGCTGTTCATTTCTATAATTGGTGTCCATGCACCAGGTGCCATACGACGGAGAAGCTGTCATCGCATCATAAAGACCTGGGTCGAAATTGTCATCTTTAGAAATAAATGTATAAACGCTGTCGAATCTGGCTTGAGAAGAGTTTTCGAATATCATGAATTGGAGGTTTAGCGGCTGAGTTGATGAGAATTCAGGGATGACTTCAGTAACAGCTAGGGCCAAGCAGACAAAGAGAGGCGGTAGGAATGTAGATGTCACGAATGAAACGAGCGATCTTGAAGTGTTGATAAATCGTTTTTTGAAGATAGCCCCGAATTGCTGGATATTGAGCGCAAATCCGGTAACTCGATCGTCAGATAAAATGGCTTCCTCTGAATCTGGAGAGACTCGATTTGAAAAGCAACTTGAATCTTCTGAAAGCTTCTCCGCATCTTTGTATTTATTTTCTGATGATTCGTCGGCGTTTTCATTCAGCGCAAGGAAAATCTCATCGAGGTTGGTATCACGGACCCCATAATTCTTCATCCCTTCCATATCTGATGCTTCCAGCTCTTTCATTATAGCTTCCAAAGTGCCCTCTTTTGCTTCGTAAGAGATTCGAACAGAAACTTCATTTGGCTTCGTGCTTTCTACAGTTACATCCGGCGATATATTTGACACCAGTTCCGATACAGATTTCCTGTCTGGGGTGTTTACCGTGATCAGGTATCCTTTTCCAAAAGTTCGTTTCATCCACAAAGAAGAGCCAACGCATTGAAGTTGTCCATCAGAAATGACCGCAATTCTGTCCCCGAGAATTTCAGCTTCGTCCATATGATGTGTTGATAGAATGACAGTCTTGCCTTTCTTGTAGCTCAAGAGCAAGTCCCAAATTCCACGTCGGGCATAAGGATCGACGCCAGCAGTCGGCTCGTCTAATAAAACAACCTAAAAATGATTCATGCGAAGATAATCGTATTGTATGACAGTAATCAATCAGGCTATTGACGCCTCTATTGATTCCGAAAATTTGAAGCGGACTGGCCGAATGTTTACCTTCGAACCTCCGCAAAAAGCAAGCGCGACAGAGAGTTTCCGCTTCATACCACCAGACAAACTCGGAACCAGATTATTAGCTTTTTGAGTGAGTCCAGTTCGCTTCAAGAGACTTTTGATTTCATCATCGATTTGCGCTGCGGGATATCCTTTCAGTTTGGAGAAGAAATAGACGTGTTCTTTACAGGTAAGATCATCCCATAAAACATTGTGCTGCGGACAAAAGCCTTTTAGGGTGTTCATTTTTGCAAATATAAAATAATTGTTGATTTTAACACCTTCAAAAAGATTTCATTTTAAGGAAAAAAAGGAGAATATGGAGAGTAATTCATCTGAAGAAGATCTACAAAGAATCCATAGGCAATTCTCAAATTCAGGGGGTCATTCTGAAGATGAACGATCGCAGGCAATTCGAAGAGCGAGGATATTAAAAATCATAGACAAGCTGAATACTGATTGGCATATGAATTGCATAGAAAGTCGCAATTATAAAGAAGTATTTCATACTGCCACTTATTTCTTTTCTCAACTGACTTGGCTTTCTCAGAAAAAAGAAACTCTAAAGGACATCTATAAAGAATATATGGATGTCTCTCAAGGAAGGAAACCAAGGTCAGAACAAAATTGTTTTGAATCATATTTCCCAGATCATTTTACCACTGAAGATATCATGGCTGAAAGACGATATTACTTAATTTTTCGAATTCTCAAAAATAATAGAGTTTTTGCCAAATATTCAAAAATTTATCTCTGTTACGATCCTTCTTCTTTACCTCAAAATGCCTTTCTTTTAAGCTGGCGTAATATTCTATTCGGTTTACTTCTAATTGGCTATTATCAGGTCTCTAACGAGAGACCATCACAATCAGATGAGTCTTCGTTGTTGTCATTCTTTAAAAGACATGAAGACAGTAGAATTCGATCTCCTTTGGCATTTGTACGTTTCACACCAATTTACGAGAACTTAAAAAGGAGTGGACAGACATTGATAAAACCAACCGAATATGTCAACATAATTAATTTTAATTACGAGTTTAATAATTATAATGGCCAAAATTTTCTTGCATATTTTGAGCTTATGCGTAATTTCAGAGAGCATTTTGATACTTTTAGAAATCAAGATAACCCTTTCGCGAAACAATTTCTGCCTTTTCACGTGAACACTTCGTATGTGTTTAAAATTTTTAATTTCCTCCCTTCGGCATATTCTTTTATGCTCTGTTTAATGAGAATTTTATGTCCAATTGAGCATGATATCCATCAGTTTATTGCTCTTGAAGATAACTCCTTTCCTGATTTCTATGAAATTTTTAATGATAAATATACATTCCTTGGCTATATGAAAGCAATATTTGTTGAATTATTCAATTTCAGTGAAACAGAATTCGACACACATTTGAAATTCCCTTTGTCAAAAGATTATGATATTGCCTTTAGGGGTAAGTAGCTCTGTCAATAAGTCTTAAGACTTTCGAACACCATTCCTATTATCGTTCTTATCGCATCCATTTCATCATGAATATCGTGTTTCATAATTTTTGCTGTTCCAGATGTTGGAGGGTACAATCCCGTAAGCATACTCATCGTTGTTGTCTTTCCCGCACCATTATGTCCAAGAAATGAAGTAATTTGACTTTCGTAAAAATTTAAACTCAATCCATTCACCGCTACCTTTTCCTTCTTTGTGCACATTATTCCTGACTTATATGTTTTTCCCAAATCCTGAATCTCAACTCCAGCCAATAAATTTTCTGAAACTTCCTCCTGCCTCACTTTCGATAAGTCTTCAAAGTGATCATCTGTCGTTCTTTTTGTCTTTCCAGTCCAGAAACTAGGCTGCAGGAAAAAGTAGAAAGGCCTTGGAATACCATACTTCCCGGGAAAGACATTATCAATGTACCAAGCAATCAAAAAGTAGATAACTCCATCAGCAAACATGAACAAAATGCAGCTCATAACATTGGCCGTTGCTCCCCAATTATCAGTAGTCTGCAGCTCAATATTCCAGTTGTCGAAAGTAACACCTGTTCCTTGCTTTTCAAAGTCACCGAATTGCCAGGAACCGTAACCAAGAGCAATTGTCGGGCAGAGGCAGGACCAGAGTTGTTGAGCTGTTGTCATTTGGTAGCGGAAAATCGAGCAGATGTTATACGGGAGATACAAAAGGAAGAATACAATCCCAGCTACTGCGGCTGAAATAGACGCAGTCGAGAAAAATGTTGAAAGCAGGAAGATTATTCCGATGCTTGAGCATCCAAAACTGAAGACATAGAGGAAAACAATAAACCCATTTGAGTACTGGTAGATTCCTCCGTACTTCATCAGCAACGCCAACGAACCTGACGAGATCAAGATCAACAGGAAAATATCGATGAACCAAGAAGCCCAAAGAGCACCACCAGATAAGCCCATTATCTTCATCAGTTCTTTCTGCCTCGTTTCTTTCTCCACGACGATATTTTTCACCATTATGGCAACTGTGAACACCCAACTGAGAGTAAGCAAAAGCGGGGTCGAGCCAGAGACAGCATCAAGAAAAGCATCGGGAGTGTAGCAAGGATAAGGAAACATTTGCATGTAAATACCATCAGTTTGAACGCTTGGTTCTTTTTGTCGGATAATTCCATCATCGATCATATTTTGCAAGTAGATGAAGCCCGAGTCAAAATATTTCATCCGTCCGGCACCATCATTTGAATTCGGCGCCCAGTATGTCGGCGTTACTGAGCGAGTGCTCGGAACGACATCTCTCGACATTCTGATTGTGTAAATTATATGTTCGGTAGTAACAGTTGGCTTCAAGTCTTCGCCGTTTTCATCGGCAAACATTACAGTAGCCCAGAGTGATCGCTCGCAATTCGTAGCATTTGCTTGGCAAGAAAGCTCGCCCTCCTTCATAATAAGCTCCGTCTCATTTGTGAATCCTTCGAATTTGTCCAAGTCCAAGCAACCAAGAAGTTTTCCCAAAAAAGTTTGAACGGGTTTCTGAATCGGGGAAAGCTGCTCAAGCTCATCTGTGAGCTCAGCAAGTGCAAGGAATGTTTCGTTTGCGTTGGCAATAATTGCATCCGTTTGCGCCGTTTTGGGATAGTAAAGCACTTTCCCATTGAGAAGATATCTGTAAGACTCGTAGAAGACTGCGGCAAAAGGATCATTTGCTTGATATTTGGTCAATAATGATTAACTTCGGAGTGTCTAAGTGTAAATATTAGACCACGTTCCTGTTCCATTAATAATTTCTTTGCAAGTCCAGTCAAATGGGTTCGACGAATTTGTATCTCTCAGGCTTCTTTCTTGAGTATCTTCTGGCGGAGGAAAGTCGATAGGAGGGTGATTTGGACATAAATAGCGATTTGCGTCTTCTAGTGCTTCAATCGTATTATTGCACTTTTGCTGGAGTAAACATGTCGCTGTGCAAAAATCATCACAACTGACGGCGGGATCGCTTCCTGGCGGGTTGAAGAGCTTTCCTGGAATTTCAGATGCTACCTCTTCCTGTGCACAATTTCTTGCGCTATCCAAGTTGCAGTAGATTGACTGCAGCCAGGGCAGAGCACCGGCAGTTGGGAGTGCTCTTGCCGGATAGTGACATTCTGGCTGGGTTTTCAGAGTGATGGTCATTCGAATAATAACCATGATCATATAAAGAAAAAGTGGCCATAATATTTCGAAAATTGTTCGAATTGGATGTCTTTTTCGTATTGTGAAATTTTTCCAAAGCAAGATTCCAAGCTTCATCTTTTTAAGTCTCTCACTCTTCTTCTTCGATACTGTATCTGTTTTATGTCAAAAAGAGTTCGAATTATATAGAGTTTGGTCTTTGAGGAATCAAAAGCAGTTCACAATCCTCAGAAAGATAAATACAGGCATATTGTACAATTTTTGCATCACCCAAAAGCAAACAGACCTCCATCGTCGCCGGGTTAAACAGGGCCGTTTGCTGGCAAACTTTGAACTGGAAACGTCCAGAAGGCATTCAGATTTTTATAGCGCTCGTATTTTTGAATCACACTTGCAGGAAGACTTCGAATCGTCTATTTTAAATGCTCCAATGAGCAAACACTACTGAACAGTAAGTTCGATGAAAGGTGTGTTCGATTTTCAGACGAGCGCTCATACCGTGACGCACGCTCCTTGAAATGAGTCATTCTGAATAAATCGCCATTCTCAGTTTTTTTTTAGTTCTATTTCAATTTACAAATTAGCATGATAAAAGTTTAATAAGAGAATGTTAAATGCTTTATGCTTTCGAGAAGTGACTTTCTGCTGAAAATTGTAATTTTAGAATGGTAGAAACAAAAAACAAGAGAGGAATCGTCAGCGAAACCGTCACTTCTACTGAAGAGCCGGTAAAGCGTCAAAAACTTCAATTAGCGACCGATACAGCGGAAACTCTCAAGCTCGTGGATACTTTGTTCACGAGTGCTAACGCAGGCGACGCTAGAATCCTACTCAGAAAGCTCGATTCAGAAGTGAGCAAAGACCCAACTCTAGCTTTTCATATCATTGGTAAAGATTCGTTAAAGTTTTCTTTTGCTTACGAAAATTGAATTCTAAGACTCTTTGTCCTCCAGGATCAATTCTTTCCCAACAAGTTACGCCCCAGAAGTCTGGCTTCTCGTCCGAAAATGCTTCAAGCTCTCCGAAATCGCGGGCGATCTCAAATCGAAATTCCTCGATCAAGCGACTTCGAATCTCTTCGGCGAAGATGCCTGGATCCAGAGTAGAATCAAAATTATGTCAATTTCCTTCATCGGCGAAAATATCGACACGACGCAATCGAGGGAGAAGATTCTGATAATGCTCGACGATCACGATCAGCGAATTCGACTGGCAGCATTAAATGCGCTCTATCTTATTTTTAAGAGAGGCGGGGATCTCGATTTGGCGCAGTATTCCAAAGGAAAAGGTCCAAAAACTTGAATATGAACTTGAATATGAAGCAGTGCTTCCAAAGCAGTTTTTTCAATTTTAATATATGTTGACCCTTTTTCAAGCAATCAGCATGTTAGGAGACATCTCTCACCAAGTCCGTCTAGCTGCATATCGACTTCTGTTCGCCTTCGCAATTCAAATGCCCGAGAAAATGATTCCAGCTCGGAACAAAGAAGGTAACGAAGAAATCAGACTCGTAGACGACGCCTTTGCTCATTTGTGCGACTCTTTGAACGACCCAGAACCAAGTGTTCGAGCAGAAGGAGCCACTCTGCTCGGAAAATTTGAAGGCGTTTCGATGCGTTTCTTGCACCAGACGTTGGAGAAGAATCTCATGACGAACCTGAACCGCGTTCGAAGCCTGAACGAAAAAGCGAAAGGAGAAGGTGGCGGAGAATTCTCTTCTGGAAGAAAATTCGGTGACGACAAAGCTGTAAGAGGAGAAGTAGAGGATGACAATAACGTTATCGCCCGGGGCGCGTGTGGAGCCTTCATTCACGGCCTGGAAGATGAATTTAAAACGGTCAGAGTTGCATCGCTGGATTCTCTTTGCACCTTAGCCGCTAAAGAGTCCACTGGAGATTTCGCCAAAGAGTCGATGGACTACATGGTAGACATGCTCAACGATGAGTTGGAAATTGTTCGTCTAAATGCGATAAATAACTGCGTAAAACTGGCTTCTCGTGTTCCTGTTTTGCTTGAAGATCAGAATGAGAATGTATTGACCAGCTGTTTGCCCGATTCTAGGCGCGAAATTAGGTACGATCGTTAAAGAATGGGAAAAAAGATAGCTTAAGCTATCTAAAGGGGCGAAAAATAATTGAAGAAGCGGCTATTTCGCCGTTTCATCTTTATTTCAGAATTTCTACCCATCGATTACTGTCCTGCTGCCGTCTTCTTTCCAAAAAATGCCTGAATCGAACAGTAGAAGAGCTCATCCGAAGTCTTCAAAAGTTCCCGGAGGATCAATCATCCATTTACGAAGCTGTTTGCTGCCTCGGAAAGAATCACCCACACTTTACCGCCGCTCTGACGCCGCAGTTGCTCAATATTCATCCCTTTTATGACACTTGCGAGACCGACATCTCCGACACGAGCTACGCAGCGAAGCTAATTCTCATTCTGAACGCTGCTTCTGATTCCAAGTCAATGGCAACGTTCTTCCCTCCTTTCATCAAGCGACACTACTCCTACCTTCGCGATGTACACCCTGAACTCGTGCCGAAACTCGACTTTCTCGAAGAAAAAAGAGCGAAAAACAAAGGCGAGTTTATCCACTGCCAATCATCCGAATTCGTCAAGAAGAGAGTCAAGTTGTTGCCACAAATCAACTCTACTCAATCGTTGACATCAGCGCTAGCCTCGTTGAATAGGATGAAAAAAGCGAGCTCGGACAGAAGTGAACTGAATTTGATTCTGGCGCATGCGGATTTCTTGGAGATACAGAGCATTTTGAGGAATTATTCCTTTTCCAGGTTATTTCAGTCAATTATCCGCCTATATTAATTTTATCTTTCCAGAACAAATATGAATCCAATTCATCACTGCTTGGGAATAATTCACCGCCTTGAAAATCTACTGAAAGGCCTGTCTGAGCAAGAAAAGTTCTACCTGCGAGAATACAAACTCATCGTCTTCGCCATTCTGTGTTTCTTCAACGAAGACGAAGAATCGGTTTTTTCCTCGGCAAACTTTCAAATTCTCCTTGACGAGGTCTCGCTAAAAATCGCCCAGCACGAGTTTACTCCATCAAAGTTCACAAAAAGTCTAATCGATCAATGCAGAGGGATCAAACGCTATTCCCTCTTGAAGTCTTTTCTCAATTCAATTCTCAGGTTTGAGTGTTAGAAATCAGCGTTTATTGAGATCATTTTAGTGACTCTTCCTTTGCTCCGAATGTTCAAATTCTGACTACAAAGGATATTTGTAAGATTCACGCGCAAATTCATAAACCAAAGCAGCATCAACAACTGAAATGGCTAGTCACGCTTGGGACTAAAACGGCCTTCAAGGGAGGCATTTCTATCTATCTATTTTATTGCCAAATCAAGTTGCTAAATTGCGTAAATCGCGCGAGTATTCTCAAGAAATCCCTCAAAAGGCATCACTCTACTCACCAGTTGATCCAAGCAGAAAACTCGCGGTTCGAGTTCGCTACGGGATTGAAGAAGATTCAATTTACTTCATCGAAGACCACGAATTATCGAAAGTAACTGAGGGAAAGTATGAAGTGACAAGCTCAATCAAACTCAACAACCGGGAGGTCTGGCCAACTGAAAAGACCGTCTACTTGCAATTTTGTTGGATTTTCGATCAGAAATTCTTCAAGGGTCCAACAGAAGGAAATCCCAAAAGAGGTCGGTTCTGAGTGTATATTTTTATATTTCAAATGTCTTTTCTAGGTTTACTACTGCTCGATCATATTCTACTCGACTGTATCGCTCAAGATGCCCCTGGACCACACTCACTGCTTTGAACAATGCTGCCTGCAAGAATTTTTAGACACAATGATACTGAAATAGAATTTCAAGATGTTATTTGAATATTTTATTTTTAATCGATAGTCTTCGCGTTTATGAGAGGAGAGAGTCTATGAAAAGAAAAAGATTCATTTTAAAACATAGATATTACTAATATGTTTGATCATACAAATAGTAGGTTTTGTAGCAGCTTCATTTTATAAATTTCATATTCATTCATTATATTAAGGAACTTCTCTGGAGCAAGCATTGGTCGATGGTCTAGTCTGGAACTTCTCTGGAGCAAGCGTAGATTGGTCTTTGATCTTCTCTGAGCAGGCAATTGTTGGTCAGTTCATCGCTGTTTGGTCGCGTTGAAGTGGACATGGAGCTGAGCGATGACGTACAGGTAGTCGCGCCAGAATCCACTCTCTTGGTCGTCGGTGTCGGACTCTACATCACCCTCGTAGCCAGTGTCGATCAGGATTCGTTCTGGATTGGCGGATTTTCGAGAGGCCTTCTGGACCGGCATGAGCAGTCGCTTCTTTGGTGGCAGGAGAAAGAGTTGCTTCGCTTTTGGCTTCGAATTGGCTTGAAATGCGTCATTGGACGAGCCTTTCCCGATGGAATGCTTGTCTTTGGCGACCCGGCGGTAGTTGTGGACTGGAAGGGACTTGACTCTCATATTGAAAAAAATTTTTTTTTTTGGTTTTTTAATACTTTTTGATGAGCATTCGGTTCTCAACCGATTTTTATGGGGTTCTGGAATGAATCTCTAGCGCCGCGGAAGCGGGTGCGCAACTACCGGCCGCGCTAGTTGCCCGGCGGCGTGGCCCCATTCATGTCACTAAAAATAGCCTGCCAATTCTTCCGCCCTAGTTGCTTTCCAGAAATAGATTTCCATATTGGATCGGACTAACTCTTGAAGAACAACTCATGTTCTTCCGGTTATTGGGTGGAAAAACCAATCTTCAAATTCAAAGCAAATTTTATTTTATTTACTATACAGAGCATTTTGTTTATTTATTCAAAGCTTCAATAATTGTCTTTTTAGCAATGTGGTTCAGCGCCTTACTTGTGCTTTCTTGTTGCGACTGATGAATATTCTGAAAGGCGGTTGTTTCCATGTCTTCGATTTTCAGTTTTATGAAGTCGGCAAATTTAAGTTTAGAACCGCTTTCCTTAATTAAGTGAGGTGATGGTGAAGTGTTATAATTAATTCGGTCTTCGGAGTAAGGTTCGTTTGTACGTTCGTCAATAGCAGCGCAGTCGTTTATTCTGATTCCATTCTACAATTAGCCGAGTTAACTGGATCATAGATAAGTTGATTTATTCAGACTCGAGGGGAACCCTAATCTCGTTTCGTAAGTTACTTATTAGCAAGGGATCAGATATGATTTGCATCGAGAACCGCCTTGCTCTGGAAAGAAATTGTGATTACCTGTTTAGGTGCGTCTTCTGAATTGCTCGGATCCTGGACGCTGACGAGACTCGTGTATTTTCTGTTTTTGGATGCACGGATTCGGGCCAGACGAGCGCGCTAGAATTATTGATAAACCCCTTGAGTAGGCCCTACGAGCGCCCGGTGACTTAGTTCCTTCCTTTGCACTTTTTTATTCACCCAAACTAACCGACTGGCCCATGTTTAAAAGAGCCGAATTGTGGCTTGCAAAGGTGAATTTTTCATTCCCGCCTTTTTCAGTTTAAAAATAGTTCGGTGTCGACTTGAAGTTGGATAGTCGTTTCTCATACCTTTTGCGCGCGGCGTTTATCACTTCGTTGATTTTGCGAGTAAATCCGCGAAAAGTTGGAGACGATGACGGGAACTGGGAGCGCGATTACCAACACGCCGGATAAGGAACAGACGGAGCCGAAGATCTTGCCAGTTACAGTCGTCGGCACCATGTCACCATAGCTAAGGGATTATCAAATTAGATTAACGATATTTTGCGCAAAAAATAATGAAAAAATTCAACAGATTTTGTTTCTTTACTCACCCTAAAGTAGTCATCGTGACAATGGTGTACCAAAACGCTTCTGGGATGCTCGTAAAAGTGGTTTCCGCTGATCCCTTTTCTGCGTAAAACATGACAGTGGCAAAGATAATCAGCGCCATTGCAATGGAGAAAAGTAAAAAGCCGAGCTCGGAGGCGCATGATTTCAGCGTGTAGCCCAATATCCGCAAACCTGAATAATTATTACTGGGTGCTATATAAGTTTACTGTTGAGGAGAGGGCCTCAATGACGAGAAGCTAATCTACGTGATGCTATAGTAGAACTTATTGCCTCGCCAGGATGCGCGAAAAGTAATCAATCTTCGACGCAAATACAAAATCCTCTTATATTAGTTTACCAATAAGCCTTGTATATTACATATATAGGCTGTTCCTTATATGTCCCTGTCAAGAGCAAAAGTGGTCAGAATATTGAAAACAGCTCATCTTTTTGCTGCTCAAAGGCACAAATCAGGATACTTTTTAAAGTTTCAAAGTAGAAGTAAAACTAGAACGACATTTTATTTCTTTAACTTGGTTTATCAATTTTGAAAGAATCAAAGTCGACTATTGTCTGTCTCCAAGTCAGAATATTTCAATAACTCATAAGTTTAATTGCTAGTTGCACTAATAAAGAAGCCCTAATGAAGCTAGTTAATGGCCCTTTGTTCGCTTTTAGTTTTGCAATGAGTATAGATTTTTACTGAAATATTAAACAGCGCGTCAATGATCGGCCCATTTATCTTTTCGTCAGACTGGTTCTTTTGAGAATTCGCGCTTGTGAATTCTATTACCAGCGCTCATATATACCAGTAATGAGTTTTTGTCCAACTTTTTGCTTACCTTGGGAGTGCCTTGAAAACTTGAAGATTCTGAACACTCGGAACACTCTCAGGGTCACGAAGGCACCGGAGACGTCGTCATTTGCTGGCAGAAACAGTCCAACATAATATGGCTTTAGTGGGATAAAAATTATTGGACTTATATTGATGATGGTTTCAATAAGAAAAAGAAATGATTTCATCCCGTCACAAAATCGCAACAACATCTATTACGCTCATAACTCCTCGCATATATTTACACCTAAAAAGTTGTTAATGGATAAGAATGATCATCAGTTATTTGGATGCGAAAATGATTGCATTTTTACTGATTTTGCTTAGGTCTAAAATGATCTTGGAGAAACGAACTCCTTTAAGATTAACTTTTTAGCCGGGGCAATAAAGTAGGACAAACCTGTCGGGCGAAGCATAGAGACGCAGAATATATTCGATTGTAAAGATCATGACACAGGCAGTGTCAAGACAGAAGAAGATAAGCTTGTACTTGTCGCCACACGATAAAACCTAATTTCGGTCAAGATGAGCTCTTTATTGTGTTAGATAGTCGCCGTTTTTCGCGAAGAGAGCACAATTAACTCTCTGGACCAGTTCCTTCGACGGATCTACAGGGTCCTCGCCGCAACCCATCGTTTCGATAATGTTAGCCATGACAGAAACGGCGATAAAGAAACCTGTAACGTAATAAAACACAAGGGCAGCGGTAGATGTGTGCGGATTTTCGAATTGAGACCACATTCTCTTTCGTAGGGAGATATGCGGCACCGGAAGCTGAAAATTCATTAATTTCAGCTAGTGGAAGAAGAAGGGTCTACCTTGGAATTTTCGTTGCCACCCTCCACTTTGTCCTCCATCGTTCTCTCCATAAACTCTCTTTTCTTCTCTCGATAGTCTTCATAGCAGCAATCGTGGATAATATCAGGGGAAATCCCGAAGAAAACAAGCTCTTCTTCCACCAAACCAATGCACTCTGTTCTCGGGTAGTGTAGTTTTCCTAGGATCGTTAGTGATCGTCAAAAAAGCATGAAAGAACCTGTGCGGAAGTAGCTGATAATGTGTCGGAAAACTTCTGGGTCTCGGTCGAAGAAATACTCATCATTGACTTGATCGTAGAAGAAATCGCGCTCGTGGGAGCCCAAAAGAGATTCAGGGAATTTCTAAAGGGAATTTCAGCATTTGTTTAGAATTATGAATACAGTAAACTATTTTCCTAGATTAGAAGTGAATGTGTGCCTAAATATGTGTTAGCGAGATGGAGGAGATGGCGTTTATTGTGATGAACGAGTGCTCGGGGCCAAAAGGTAACAATCACTGTCCTGTTGCTACTGTAATAAAAGCACTGTCCACTGTCCACTCCCAGTCATATTGCGCTAATCACTATTGTATTTCTTCTGGCAATAACTTTTGCCGCTCACTTTTAACCATATGGAACTTATGGGGCGCAGGGATCATTAAAATTCAGGCGATAAAAGCTTGTCCGATTATCGAATCAAACATTTATCAGGGTTGACAATATGTTTACTGAAATAAATTCTCAGCTTTTTGACGTTTCTATATACTGTTTCTATATTTGTTTAGGAAAATGTATTTAGTTATAGAATAGGTATGAAAAATTAGGTAAATTACCTCCAAAGTAGACTTCCAGCACATGTAACGGACGCCGGAAACATTTATAACAATGATTTGATCATCAAGCTTCCTAGTTTTATGCGGAATCCGCGGGAGGTCTTGTGTTGCAAACTCGGCCCAGCCGGATACTAAAAATACTTTATAATTTTGAACTTTTGAAATTTTGAACAAGTTCATTCCCATTTCCATGAACTCTCGATAACATTAATGGCATATTTGGCTTAGCATTTTTTTTCAGACATTGTGGGACGTAAGGAACTTATTGCAGCCGTCAGATTTGCGTTCTGCTCAGCTGAATCGATCGACAATAAGCCTCACACAGCAAAAAAAGGACAACTCTGAATCAAATTAAATTATCGGGACTGAAACTGAAGCCTCTTCGCCTGTTCTACACATGTTAAGCTTTCTTAAGCCTGTCTGATAGACAGTACAGTTGTCTGTTCTCTGGTCAGTGGGCTAAGCTTCTCGTTAGGTAATTAGATGTCGCATTAATAATGTCTGTACATTTTGGTTCGTAAGAGCCGTATTAATTCGCTGACCCATCGACAATCCAGTATGAATGAGCAAGTTCATTCTGAATGTTATACTCTTTCGAGATAATAGTGGCTACCAGGATACGAAAAAAAACGACGGTAGCCACGTTAATTGGAGTATCGACATTTTGAAAGCAGTATCTGCCAAGATTAAGGACGTCATTAATAGACGCACGATTCACGCATCTACCGTCCTACATCTACGGCTAACAGGATTTTCAATCAAGCAGAAGGTTCATTTCTTTCAAGCAAAAATAATAGTATTCGTAACGATAATCCCGATTTGGGTGCAGTCCATCTGCGCAATAAGCCGGATCAGACTTTCCAGACGGAAAAATACCTGTCTTTTGCTCAGCTGCATCAGCTTCGTCCAAGAGCGAGCTACATTCTATATCGTTCATCTCTCATTATATCTCCCACATCTTCTTTTCTGGTCCATTTTTCGAAAAAACGACCCTTGCTCAAGAAAGTCTTTATGTTTTCAATCTTGAAAAAGAGCTGATAACTTTGGGATAAATAATCAAGAAGCGATCATCGTGTCAAGGCTCGTCCCTTTTGGAATAATTTGTTAACTGCCCATTTAGTTCAGCGATTTGATTCAATAGGCCCTAACCTCTGGTCCAACGGCAATAAATTCCCCAGGGGGATAAAATTCGAACATGGAAAGTGATCCCGAACGTCACCGATCGATCACTAGATCAAGGCTCAAATCTGCTGACCTCAGAGTTAATATTCCATTTACCCAAGTTCTACTCCCTCCATTTATCATCAACCATCAATATCCATTAAATTACAAGAAGAAAACAAGCCTAAGAATCATCATCTCCGAAGGTTCTCTTCCTTGATTTCCAAAATCCTCTTTTTCTTTAAATCAAAGATTCTCTGAAAAAAGGAAAACGATTATTTGCCCGATATCAAGTTTCCAAAAAAAGTTGAAAGAAAAGGATATCGGAAGAAAACAAGCTGTCTGCCTTCAGGTTTATTCTCTCGCTTGTCCGGGGGATGGCGCCCGGGCGCGAATTTGCAAGCGCGCGCTACGCTTGTACCAGCGTATGCCCAAAGCCCTTTTCCTCCCTAAATCAAGTGAAACTGCCACTGAGTTTGTTGATCGATTCGCAGAATATGACTTTCTCAACAACCTTCTTCCGCGTTTTACAATTTGTTTATTACGATCTTTACGATCGCTTTTATTTGAAGCACCCACAATCGTTCGGTTCCGCCCATCACATAATTGCTCATCAAACAAATATTTTGCAGACTTACCTTCATCATCAGCATTTTTCGAAGATTTCTTATGACCACTCTCTTTCTTACAGGTTGTCGCTCTATCGGACCATTTTCCAAAGAACTTTTTCTCCAGGCACAAGTCTTGGGCAACGTAAAAAGCCATGCTCTGCGAAAATGTTCAAAATCTTGTCTAAAACGAGAAAGCCGAAGTTATTTCTGGACCAAAGAAGACCAGATTCCCGACCTTTGATAATATTAAAGGTTCTCCGGAGATTGCACCGGAGATGATAAAAGCTGAATAATTCGAAGACCAGAAAGGGGATAAATTTTTGTGTCAATGGTCGAATATACAGTCAGGGCTTGCAATTTCTGGCCTTGCAAATACACGGTTTTTGGTAAAAACCCTGAAAACAATTTGCACTATTTTGTACATTTTAGGGCTTGCAATTACACGAAGAAAGAGAAAACCCCAGAAAGAATATCAGTGAAATTGCAAGCCCTGACTGTACTACCGAATTTGAACTTATAGTTGCTTGTTTCTGATCTTTTGAATCAGGGCTTTCAACTCTGAAATCGATTTATAGGAGTAATAAAAGAGTTTCTGTTTATTCCACCTTTGCGAAATGACTAAAAACTTTAGAGTATTTTTGAACACTTGTCCATCTGCGATTTCAGCCAACTGGAAAATTTTCTTCTTGTCTCTCAGTTGTTTTTCATTATTCTAAAATCGACTCTCTCGACTGGAAAGGCAGCTTGATGGGTATGATTTTATCCAGCTGTAATATTCTGTTTTAGTTTTGAAAGCATTAATATTTAGTCTATTTCTTTCTATTCCGGATTCTTTTCTAATGCGTTTTGCATCTTCAAAATTAACTTTTCTTACTTATCCTACGAGTCCTTGATGATCAAAAAGGATAAAATTCTAGAGTAATGTCAAGGGCAAATTCGAGCTTGATTTGGTTCTTGAGAATCCGTTAATTTATTTATTTTCTTCATTCAACGAATGTTGAGTTTTCTCCAGCTTGATTCAAAAGCTAAACTTCGATCGATCACCCAGCCCAAAATGGATTCTAGCGCAGCATGAACTTACGGCCCTTTAGCTTTTTCTTCAATCAGATTGACTTCCAATTGTGGAAGGTAAAAACGGGACGGTACTGATCTCGTACAATACGCTTGGTGAATTATTAATAGCCCATAACGATAAACAGTGAGCCGAACAGTTTTAGACAGACGGTGAATTACTGTCGATTGCTGTAAGCGGGTCGGAGAATCGAGGAAATATGTGGATCGTCTTGCCAGTCGAATGTCGGAAGATGTCTCCAGTTTTGCCGCGTACGTCTTCGTGTTTTCTGATTGACATTAATGCTGGATTTATGAGAATAAGTTTGGTTTTATTTGCGAAAGTAATGAGAGGACAGAGTTCATGAACCCAAACAAAACTTGTTGAAAATAAAGTGCACTTAGGCGTTTAATTTATTCAGCAAAGGGTCAGTTCAAACGATGTCTTTTTATATAAGCGTAATTTTAACATTTGGATACTCTCCGATGCTCCGCCAATTGAACATGTAATATCGTAATGTACCGGTTCCTTCCAGGTAAAGATTGCTGCTTTCAAAGTCGGGAAAATGCTCTTTTCCAATGGAACCCCTTTTACTACATATTGATAGTTACAAAAATTTGCTTTTACTTTGAAATGTTGAGCATATCACCGCCCAAATCTTTCAATGATTCCAAGCAACTCTCGACAACTTCTTTTGGCCTATCACTGGCAACGTACATTAGCCAGAATACCATTACTCTTTCTCAAATAATTGATAATGAATCCGCCGAAGTAAGAATATTGTCTAAAAGCATACGGCTGCTCATTTCATCAATTCTCATCCAAGATGCCTTTTTGTCGCTAATTAGCTCTTATCATAAGAGTCTTATGCTACTTTTGGTCACCTTTTTCCTTTCCGATTTCACCATCTTCGTCTTTTATCTCCGTGTCGGCTCTATAAAAGCTCACAAAATCTTTCACAACTTCGTTTTCTTTCAACACAAAGGACACTGTTGCACCATCATCCCTAAAAAGTTTCAATAGCATTGATGAAAACAAGAATACAAAGTTGACCGAAGAAAAAAGTGCTCGAAATCTGTTTTCTTGAAAATTGGCGCGATATCGCCATCCTCAAGGAAGTGATAAAGCCTCAGTCTGGCGCTGTCAGAATCTTTGGCTTGAAGTCTTTCCATGTTGAGTCTGTTCTTTCCAGTTTTCAAGCTAAACTTTTGCCTGCACTTGTCAATATCAATCTGGATCGGCATCATTCCAACTCCCATAAGTTTGATGGGTCGAATCGGCCTGTGGTATATTTTATGCAGCGCCACTCTGAAAAACGCAATAACAGTAGTAGGTTCTAAGTGGAGTTCATAGTTTACTAGAGTTTACGTACCTCTTGAGCGGGAGATCATAAGCGCACGTGACAAGTACGACGGATTCCTTGTTAAAAGACGACGATTTGATCATGTTCTGCAGCCCCTTGGCGGCAAGACAGGGCGTCAATCTTCATTTAGAGTTAGTTTCCTGTAAGTTCGTTGAACTGTAATGAGCTCTTAAATATTCCAAACTCGACACCTGCGCCCGCGAAAATCTCCGTGAACAACCAGAAAATCAATAAGGAAAGCATTTGAATTTCTGCCCTTGATGGAAATCTGTTGCTGCATAATGTTTGCATACGCAATAAGCTCTTTTTTACTTTCCAAAACGAAAGTCATCGACGTCATTTTTCCACATTTCGGACAGTAAACCTGATTCAAATCGGATTCCGACGTTGAACTCTGGGGGCGTGCGATAGAGAACCATGCGTAGAACGGGATCTGGGTAATAAAGGGTAAAAGACGCATCAGTTCGTTTGGATTTAATAAAATGCCCTCTGAGCAAACCCGAAATCTCCCGAAAGTCTTCGTCGTTTCGAGGATCAAGGTTGCAATAAGAAAACCCAGCAGGAAGACTCGGAGCAAAAATCAGCTTCGCCAAGTTGAAGGTGATCGAATTAAGAATAAATCCTTCTTCAGCTGGATCAGGTTCGTCTGCTCCCTGGGCAAATAGTTTTGTCAAAAAAGAACTTTTCTTTCCCATTTTCTCTATTTATTCATTCGACTTATTATGCGTCATTTCCATCCCAGAAGCGGAAGTAGTCAAAAGAATTTAAATTCATCTTGTTAAATAATGGTTTGCGATCTCTAGAATCTCGATCTGTTGATCTAAATTTTCAGCGGCCTGGTCTTAGCTGATCTTCAGTTTGTTGTTTAAAAGTCAGGCAACGATGAGTGCACCGGTAAGTCCTTTTTATGAGGGAAGTGGTTTGTACTCAGTTTCAGTTCGACAAGACTTTGAAAATATCAGCTGAGTACAAAAAGACGAGAAATGATTTGCGAAAACTCGCCCAAGAGCTCAAGGAACTTGTTTTTACCAATTTTCATTGCAGCACTAAGAAAATTCTGTAGAAACTAGGAGAAAGGAAGTTCGAATAGCAAACGATCCGACAGAGCAAAAGATCGTCTATCTAGGAGGAACCGTTCTACAAACATTCGAATATGCCAAAGTAAAACATCTTACTCCAAAAGCACTCGACGGTACTCCCTTGTTTTTTATTCGCTTGAACTTTGGGCCATTTTAGAATACAATTCCTTCGCGAATAGACTGCGAAAATTACGCGCAATGCGAGACGAGTTGAAAATGTCAGGCGATCCTGAGAAATCGGAATTAGAAAAAGAAGAACTGACTTTGGCGAACAAAGCTGTGGAGCTAGAATTGACGGAAATTTACGAAGCAAATCGAAGAATCGCTATTGACTTTGACTACAACAAGGTAAAGTTGCTTCTTCAATTTTATCCTTACTCATTTTGAAAGGAAGTACTCGCGCAAAAAGTAGACTGGGGAAGCTGCCCTGAGCTCGACAAAAATGACGTGCTCAATCAATTCCTTGATTTCGCTGATGAGATGGAGAAGCAAACGCGAAAAGTACAGTACGAGCTCGACGAAAGAGCCATCGGTAACTTCAAAAAGTAAATCGGCTTGAATTGAGCAGAGATTTCAGCACAACGAGTTGAAGACGTAAAGAATTCTCCTGCTATGCCAAAACTGGTCATTGAAAACAAAAAGAAGGCTAGGTTCAATCTGATTACTGGAATTATTTATTGAATTGTTAATACAGACATATTTATTTTATTTCGAAATTTCCTCGTAAATAAAAGGCTAACTGCAGTAATTTTAGCATTTCATTTTATTCTCTATTAATTTTATCGTTCAAGGGAAAGTGTCATGATTTGCTCGGTCACAGTCCCCATAGCAACCACGCTCGAGCTTCAGTTTTCTAATTGTTTAGTTCTTTCCGCAAATTAAAATTAAGAAAATCCTTTGAAATTCTTTCCAGAGCCTTATCAGTGATCACTAAATGTTTACTAAAAGAGAATTTTTCTAGAACTCGGTTTGTTGTCGGTCGAAAAACGGGAAAACTTCAGTTAGTCGATTTACGGCGATGCCGACACGACCTAATTTAAAGGTATGTATGGGGTTCTTACTGCTCTTTTAATTATTTAATTTTATTTTAATTATATTTTTTTATTTACAAATTTATGTAGGAACGGCTTCAAGCCCGTCCGGAACGACGGGTGCCAGGTCGAGAGCTAAACGTCGGATGGCGCGTGGAACCCGAAGCTGGTGCCGAGCACCACTCGGGCGAGGAGGAAAAGGAGCAGCCTCCTAACCCGCTGCCACACCTGGACTCGTTCCGAACATACATGCACCCAGACGAGGTGCGGAAGCGCCAGCGCGATGCGTTACCACCAATCACAAACGCAAAACCAGTCAAACGACTAAAACCAATTAGGTATTCATATCCCTTTTAACAAGAACTTAAGGAAGTAGATATCAAGAATCGCCATTTTCTGTCAGACTTTTCTCCCAAAGTTAAAATAGTGACACCCTTATTTTACTTTGGAAACAAAAACTTTAGACCTTTCTTTATTTCCTATGGAAACCGAAATTTCGATTTTCAAGAAAATTTTTAACAAAATTTTTCGTCAAAGATCGCTGACTTTCCTAAAATGGGCTTTTTGACGACAATCGGAGGTGCCAGATTTGCATTGTAGCACCTCGAAAGCTCAAGAAATCCTAATTTTTGGCTTCCATAGGAAAGAGATAATTATCTGAAATAAATTTTGAGCAGAAAAATAAGGGGGTCACTATGTTAAAAATTTGAGAAAACACTGACAAGAAATCCGATTCTTGATATCTACCTCCTTAATTGATTACTGTAGCCCTGTACCAAGCGTGGTCCAAGATGAAACAGATGCTAAGTCAAGGGAGAAACTGGAGCAATTAACGAAAGTACCAGTTTCTGATCATTCACGAGTAAGTCCTACCCACCGCCTCGCAGAAAATTAATTTCCAACTTTAGTACGGCTTGATCCAGCAAATTATTTCTGCAGATATATCGGACCCTTTAATGCTTGCGGACATAATAACTCGCAGACCAGAACTTGGATTTCTATATATCGTTCCGAGGTAAAAAAAGTCTTCCTTGATTTCAAAAGATAATGAATGACTTTAGAGCTGATCGCAATAGCGTGAATTATTCGATGTGGTCAATCAAGGTAGTGGAAAGTGTTATTGGAGAACAAGAGCATACTACTATAGGAAAGGGATCGTAAATTCGTTGAGTTTATATTCGAAGAAGAGCGAGTCCGATCCCTAAATTAGGTCCCGAAATGGTGACCAGACGGGTAAACGGCGAAACAGAAATCACCGAGCTCTCAAGGTGGAGAGCCGAGTATGCATCTTATTGTAAGCTGATGACGATTCCACTATTCAAAAACTTCCGCAGAGGAAAAGCGTTTAAAACATGGAGGAAAAACGTGCGCCAGGACAAGTTCCAGAAATCGAAAAAGCAACTGGAGCAAAATCTGTAAGAAGGGCTCCTTTGAAAATAATTATACCGTATCCGTATTTAGCTTCATAATTAATGAATCACTCCGTCCAGCGCTTGGAAATGTTCGAGAAATGTGCTACAGGATATCCGATATGTCTCTCTGTCGCATCGACCGGGATAAAACTTATCAGTAAGTCATTCTTAATATTTCAGATAGATTCCTTAATTTGACTCAAAAGTTTTACACAGGAAATATTTTTAACATTTCTGAATCCCAAATTTCTTAGAATCGAAGAATACCTCCAGAAACAGATCGACTACCTCCAGAACGTCGAGAAGGAGCTCGACAAGTTCCGCGGCCTCATCTGCGAGATCGTGCGCACCGCCTGTCGGTAAATAACCTTCATTTCAGTTTGAGCGAGTTCAAACAGCAACAAGAGCAAATCTGCAGCGAGGCACTTGAAAAGTTAAACGAACTAAAGACCTTGAAACCTATTGTTAAAGACGGCTGCAGGTATAAAGCAGGGCATTCATTTATTTCCGCCGCTCATTTATCGAATCCTCATTTATCTTTCTGAAACATGCCAACAGGTAAAGAGCCTCTGCATGAAAATCTCATTTATCAAGGCAGGATGTTTCCTCTTCAACCTCTACACTCCTTCTTTAGCAAAGCTCTCCTGGATGCTGGTTTCTTGCCGGACGACATTTACTACGACGTGCCAGAAGAAATGCCCGAGAACGCCCATCGCCAGATCATTCACAACGGCGAGTCACACGATGTCGAAGGCGATGAGCCCGAGAAGATGACTTACACGCAGCAAGCGAACAAGCGTCAACACTGTCAAAGACTTACGTCCTTCATCAGACTTTGCGACTATCTCATCACTACTACGATGCATGCACTTGCGATGAACTCGGTCACAAAGCTTCTTGAAAGATTCGATAAAATGATTCAAGGTAAAAATTCACTTTATAACCCACATAAACCAAACTTTAGTTACTCCTACAACATTCGACCACTGGACTTACAAGGCACCCGACGAAGAAATTGTGCCTTTATTCGTCACTTCTCTTTACCTCGAAGGCGGCAAATTCACTTACAAGCCTTCGCTGGACGAATTTAATGAGACAGTAAAATCAGTTATCCAGGGATTCGAAAACACCGTCCTGTCCGTCGCAAATCTTGTCCCGGATCCCTACTTCGACGCGTTTACCCGTCCAATGATTAACAAGAACTTCGAAGAGAAAACATGTGGCGAAGGACCCTCTCTTCAGGCAATTTTCAAAGATGATCTCCACCTTTTGCCTCTCGTTGTTTCTATCCGAGAGTGTCTCGAAGGCGCTTTCAGATCTGCATTCAAGTACAGTGACACTCTCGATAAACTGGTCGTCTTCTACCTTGAGAACGAAGGATTGCAAGAAGATGAATTCATGGAGCTTGATCCATCTGTGGAATTCTTCAACGGCGCCCTGAAAAAATACTCTTCAGAACATGCTGACGCTCTATCCGTCCCTGATGCTCGCCCAATCGGCTTCTTAAATCTCGATTGCAAGGGATTCAAGAACACGCTTATCCCCAATCCACTCAGATGCCTCCAAGCTGTTCACGACCTTATGCCCAAGCTGGCTCGAAAAAAGATGGACGCAATCATGGACGAGACTGGCCAAGCTACATTCAAGCTGGAATCAGAACTTGCTAGCACAGTGGACTACGTCAAGCTCCTCACATTCCTGGATGAAATTCAGCAGCGAATCGAACCGATTGAAGAACAGACCAACATCGTTACAGGAATGTACGAACTTATGGAGAACTTCCAAGTTCCTATTCCGCCAGAAGATCTTGCTCAATTCCAGACACTTCTCAAACAAGCCGTCATGGACTGCAGGACAGCGATCGACAAGTGTGTTTCTGACCGAGACAAATTTGTGGACAACCTCGCTGGCTTGATTGAAAAGGACATCGAAGAAATGAACAAGGAGCTGAAAGACACGAAGCTTGAAATCCAAGATCCTCAGATTCTCGATGCCGAAGCAGAGCGAAAAGTCATACTCGAAAAAGTCCAACGACTTGTTGAGAGCATCAATGGCATGCAAGACCGAGCTCATGAGTACCGAACGTATCAGAAAAAATTCAGCATTGAAGTCACCAAGTATGAAGAACTCGAAGAAGTCCACGCTGAGCTTCGACTCAAGGAGCTGCTCTGGAACTCGATGGAAGAGTGGGATAACCTCCTTGTTGAATGGTACGATCTTGAATTCAACACCATTGATCCGGATGAGATGGGAACCGTCGTTCAAAAATACGCAAAATATGCCCATCAGTTGGATAAGGGTCTCCCACCAAACGATGTGGTAAAAATTCTGAAAAAGAAAGTCGAGAAACAGAAAGATCGAATGTCGGTCATCACAAATTTGCGAAACGATGCTTTCAAACCCCGTCATTGGCAGATGATCGAAGAAATTCTTGGACAAGAACTTCCCGCAGAAGATTCAGAACAAAAACTCACTCTGAAGCTTTTGGACGAATGGGAAGCATTCGAACACACAGAAGAGATCGAAGAAGTTTCTGGACAAGCATCTGGTGAAGCAGCACTTGTTCTTATGCTGAAGAAAGTCGAAGACATTTGGAAAACGGCTGAATACGTTGTTCTCCCTCATCGAGATTCAAAAGATGTATTTATTCTTGGTGGAACTGACGAAATTCAAGTGCAGCTTGATGACAGTCGAGTTGCAGTAGCAACTATTGCTTCATCCAGATACGTCGGCCCGATTCGAGAAAAGGTCGAAGAGTGGCAAAAGAACTTGAACCTGATGAATGAAACGCTTGAAGAGTGGCTCACGTGTCAAAGAAACTGGCTTTACCTTGAGTCGATTTTCTCCGCGCCCGACATTCAGCGACAACTGCCTGCTGAAGCAAAAATGTTCTTGGCTGTCGACAAATCATGGAAAGACATTATGCGAAAAGTCAACAGACTTCCTGTCGCCCTTCGTTCATCCACTACGCCCGGTCTTCTTGAAGCTTTCAAGAACAATAACAACCTCCTCGATCAAATTCAAAAATGCTTGGAGCAATATCTCGAGTCCAAGCGAGCGGTGTTCCCTCGATTCTATTTCTTGTCCAACGATGAGCTTCTTGAAATCCTTGCTCAGACAAGGAATCCTCTCGCTGTACAACCTCATCTCCGAAAATGCTTCGACGCAATCGCTTCGCTCGAGTTTGGCCAAGCTAAAGACAAGGCAACTGGCGAAATGGTCGCGACGACTGATATTCTTGCGATGAAATCTCCCGAGAAAGAAGTGGTCAGTCTCGGAAAAGGTCTCAAGGCCCGAGGTAACGTCGAAGAGTGGTTAGGAAAGGTCGAAGAAGCAATGATTGCTAACTTGCGAAAACTCACCAAAGCTGCGATCGCTGATTTCTTGCAAAAAGACCGCCCCGAGTGGACAGTCGCCGGACATGCTTCTCAAGTCGTCCTTACTGTATCTCAAATCTACTGGGTAAAAGAACTGACTGAATGTCTTGAAAAAGACGGAGACAGACTCGCAGCTCTAGATGAATTCCTCAAGGAAAATTTCCGTCGGCTGAATCAGCTCGCCGCGATTGTCCGCCGAGAACTTCCTCCAATTCATCGAGCTATTCTTGGAGCCCTCATCACCATCGACGTCCACGCTCGAGATATTATTGCAGAGCTCTGCGCACAAAAGATCGATCGCAGTGATAGTTTCGAATTTTTGAAACAAATGCGATATTACTGGGAGACAGATATTGATAACTGCGTCGTCCGTATGAGTACCTCTCGATACGTTTACGCCTACGAATACCTCGGCGCTTGTCCTCGACTTGTCATCACCCCACTCACTGATCGCTGCTACTTGTGTCTTATGGGCGCTTTGCAGCTTGATCTTGGTGGCGCCCCAGCTGGTCCCGCTGGTACTGGAAAAACAGAAACAACCAAGGATTTGGCGAAGGGTCTCGCAACACAATGTGTCGTCTTCAACTGCTCAGAAGATCTCGATTACAAAATCATGGGTAAATTCTTCTCTGGTCTAGCTCAGTCCGGTGCATGGGCTTGTTTCGATGAGTTTAACCGTATTGGTATTGAAGTCTTGTCTGTCATTGCTCAACAAATCTTGACGATCAGAAACGCCAAGGCCCAGAACTTAACTCGCTTCCTCTTCGAAGGTCGAGAGATTAAACTTGAGAAGAATTGCGCTGCGTTTATTACGATGAACCCCGGTTACGCTGGACGAACGGAACTTCCTGACAACTTGAAGGCGCTTTTCCGACCAATTTCCATGATGGTTCCCGACTACGGTCTCATCGCTGAGGTCATCTTGTACTCTGAAGGTTTCGAAAACTCCAAGCCTCTGGCCAAGAAGATGACCCAAATGTACAAACTCTGTTCCGAACAGCTTTCGCAGCAAGACCATTATGATTTCGGTATGCGTGCCGTCAAATCTGTCCTCGTCATGGCCGGTTCTCTCAAGCGAGAAAATCCCGAAATCGTTGAAGACGTCACCCTTATCCGAGCGCTGCGAGATTCTAACTTGCCAAAGTTCTTGACGCAAGATGCGATCCTCTTCAAAGCAATTCTATCTGATCTGTTCCCTGGCGTTGAAATTCCAGAGCACGATTATGGCATCTTCTTGAAGACTATTGAAGAATGCACTGCTGCAAAAGACTTGCAGGTCATCCCTGCCCAATCCTCGAAAGTCATCCAGCTATACGAAACTATGGTTGTACGACACGGTGTCATGTTGGTCGGACCAACTGGCGGAGGAAAAACTACAGTCTATCGAATCCTTGCTGATACCCTCGAAACTCTGAAAAAGAAAGGCCAGAAGAATCCTCAGTATCAACCAGTTACCCTGATGGTTATGAATCCAAAGTCAATCACAATGGGTGAGCTGTACGGTGAAGAAGATCCACTCACGATGGAATGGAAAGACGGTCTCATGGCGAAGTGTGTGCGACAAGCATCCTCAACTTATAATGACGATCATAAGTGGATCATCTGCGACGGTCCGGTCGACGCCCTCTGGATTGAAAACATGAACACTGTCTTGGATGATAACAAGATGTTGTGTCTTGCCAACTCTGAACGTATCAAACTTTCCGCCGAAATCCACATGGTTTTCGAAGTGCAAGATCTTGCTGTCGCCTCACCTGCCACTGTATCTCGCTGTGGTATGGTCTACATTGACTCTAACGATCTCGGATGGAGGCCGTACATGCGAACGTGGCTTGAAGGACTTGACAACGAGTTGGTAACGCCTCTTATGAAAGATTTCCTGTCTGATTTGTTCGATGCTTATGTCGAGGATGGCCTCCGATTTGTTAGCAAAAACTGCAAACAGGTATTAAAATTTAAACAGGACATTTTCGTGGGACCTATTGGGCATTGATAAGGTTGCAAAATATTGGGAGAATAGGGGAGAATAGCCTGTCAAAAATATTTCTCCTCGCTGACGTTAATAGCTTCCATCTCTCTTTCACATCTCAAAGCTATACAAATTTGCTTCGCAAATATCCGTCGAGTCATTTTTACTACTCATCGCGCCTATTTTCTTGCTTAAAAGCAGCTGTTTTAAGAGTTGAAGGAATTTATTCATGCTCATTTTTGAATTGAAATTAGATGAGTTTTTCTTTCGGCGGAAGTTTTAGCTCAGGAGCTTCAGATCCTTCTTGAAGTGCTGGGTTCTCTTGCGCGGCGTTTTCTGCAGGATCGACCGGTTTTTGCTCCTTTGTACAGCATTTTAAAAAGCCGAAAGCCATCGTTTAAAAAATAAAGCTTTTCGTATGCACGTTAAAATTTTTTGGCCCCAAGCGCTTCGTTGCTCTGACAATCCGAGGCTATGCAAATTTGAACTATTCTTATATTTGAGAAACCCACCGATAAAAGGGGTGTCACGCATGTTTTCATGGAATGCTGGTGTCAGTTTATTTGATTGTGCAGATTTATATAGAGCGGTATATATGCAGATAAAATTTAAAATACTTAAAGAACGAATGACGAAAGCAGGGTCAAATCAGACGCTCGACGTTGCCAGAACTTGTGATTGTGTTCACCTGAATCTGGGCACGCTCCATTCTCTCGGGCCGATATTCACCCGCTTTTTTGCGCTTTCTTCGGACCTTTTAATTATCGTCAATATTTTTAACCACTATTTTTAACTTACATAACATATCCACCAAATAACTAATGTGATAACAATGAAGCCAGCTATCGAGCCGACGATAATCCCAATTTTGGCTTCTTTTGAAAGAACCATTTTTATCTTTCTTCTCTTTTCAAGACTTTTTGTTAAATTCTTTCCATTCGTTCTCTTTTTTTTTTAATCGTCTCGTTCTCAAACAAAGCCAACTGCCAAAAAAGGGCGCGGAAGAGGAAGACTCGAACGTAGCTAAAATTGAAATAAGGGTAGCGGGAGAAGTGGTCAAACAAACATCAAGAATGTTTTTATGAGAGATGAGCCGTCTTTTGTCCTAGCCGTTCTAGCTCAATGCTCTTGAAATCACTAATTACTGTCGCGTCTCAGAGTGCCGCTCAAAAATGTTTTCTATGAAAAAAATCATTCGGTCAAGTGATTTTTATTGAAAAGAGTCTGCGCTCTCTCCTAGAAAGTCCCGAGGTAAAAGATGGGTAAAAATCCAAGTAATAAAATTTACCTCGTCTCTAAATTTTCGTCTGCGAGTGCCAGTCAGAAGTCTATTCACCGATTACTTCCCAGGCAAATATGATCTCTATTCATTCAATTGACGACGACATAGAGGGGAATTGTATAAGGCAACTATCGTAAAAACGAAAACCGAAAATGTCCTTTTGTCCCTTTCTCGATTTAATGAGTCCCTGACGCAGCGACGATTTACTAGCTTAACTTATTATTCAGATGATGCTCCAAGTCAACCAAGCTAAAGTGGCGACCCTCTGCTCTTTGATTGAATCTGTCGTAAAGGATCCCAAAGCTCCTAAGCTGGCAGCTGATCCAGCAAATGCGACAAAGACTCTTGGCGGAATCTTCGCTTTTGCGTACGTTTGGGCCGTCGCTGGAAACCTCAACGAATCTGGTTGGGAATCGTTTGACACTTTTATCCGCGAACAAATGGAAGAAAACAATGACATCAGACTTCCTCAATCTGGCGATGTTTTCTCATTCTATATGGAGCCATCTATGGGCCGATTCGAAGGATGGGAAAAGATCCTCCCTGTTTTCAAATACGATCCAAGCGCTGCGTTTTTCGATATTCTCGTGCCAACCGTAGATACCGTTCGATTTGGGTTCATCATGGAAAAACTCCTAACGATGAATCATTCTGTCCTCTTTACCGGCTTGACTGGTGTCGGTAAATCCGTCGTCGCCAGAGCTCAACTAGAGAGCCTCATCGAAAAAGATTTCAACCCAGTCTTCATTGGCTTCTCTGCTCAAACATCATCCGCTCGAACGCAAGAAATGATCGAAGGCAAGCTTGAAAAGAAGCGTAAAAACCTCCTCGGCGCTCCGATCGGAAAGAAGATTGTCGTTTTCGTTGACGATCTTAACATGCCCAAGTTGGACACTTACGGCTCTCAACCACCAATTGAACTTCTTCGGCAGTACCAAGATTTCGGTGGCCTCTACGATCGCGAAAAAATGTTCTGGAAAGACATTGAAAATGTCATTCTCTGCTCTGCATGTGCTCCTCCTGGTGGTGGACGAAATCCAGTTTCGCCGAGAATGATCCGTCATTTTGCTATGTTCTCCATCCCATCTCCATCTGATACAGCTCTTAAGACCATCTTCTCGTCTATTCTTGGCGGTTTCCTTCAAGATTTTGCGCCAAATGTCAGAGGAATGTCAACCGGCGCTGTCCAAGCTGCTATCGACATCTACGCAAAAATCAAGGAAGATTTACTTCCAACTCCATCTAAGTCACACTACGTTTTCAACTTACGAGATTTGTCCAAGGTCATTCAGGGTATGCTTCGAGCTGACCCAGCTGTTGTCCGAGATGAAGCCGGTATCTTCCGACTTTTCTGCCACGAAACCAGCCGAGTCTTCCATGATCGTCTCATCGACCACGAAGATAAGGACTACTTCAACTCGATGTTGCTTGATGTTGCTGGAAAACATTTCCGACAAGAAGTGGACCTTGAAAAATACCTCGAAAAACCGTACATCTTTGGCGATTTCATGAAGCCTGGTATTGAAAAAGCCGATCGAGTTTACGACGATCTGACTGACTTCGGCGAAAAAGTAAAGACCGTGATGGAAGACTACCTCGACGATTACAATCTCAATTCGTCTAAAGAAATGAAGCTCGTCTTCTTCACTGACGCCATTCATCACGTTACACGAATTGTACGAATGATTACAACTGAACGAGGAAATGCCTTGCTCGTCGGTGTTGGTGGTACTGGTAAACAATCACTAACCCGTCTTGCTGCTCACATGTGCGGCTACAATTGCTTCCAGATTGAGTTGACTCGAGGCTACGGAATCGAAGCCTTTCACGAAGACTTGCGAAAGTTATACAAACTTGCTGTTCAAAACGATACTGTATTCCTTTTTACAGACACACAAATTGTTGTCGAAGAATTCCTGGAAGACATCAACAATATCCTCAACTCCGGTGAAGTTCCCAACCTCTTTGAGAAGGATGAGCTTGAGCAGATCATGGGTCTTGCACGTCCCTTAGCCAAGGAAGCTGGACTGAATGAAGGTAACCGAGATGTTGTTTGGCAATTTTTGATCAACAGAGTCCGAGAAAAGCTTCACGTCGTTCTTTGTATGTCACCAGTTGGCTCTGCTTTCCGAAATAGATGTCGAATGTTCCCTTCGTTAGTCAACTGCTGTACGATCGATTGGTTCGTCCAGTGGCCTCGAGATGCACTCTTGTCAGTGTCGCGCACTTTCTTCTCAACTGTGGAAGATGAGATACCCGAAGAACTCAAAGAGCCCCTTTCATTGATGTGCGTGGAAATTCACACTTCGGTCACCGAAACCGCAGAAGACTTCTTCAACGCTTTGCGCAGAAGGTACTACACCACGCCGACTTCTTATCTTGAACTTATCAACGTCTACCTTTCGATGCTGTCAGACAAAAGAAAGAAGCTCGTCCTTGCTCGAGATCGATACAAAACGGGTCTCGAGAAGATTCAATCAACCAACAAGATTATCGACGATATGAAAGCACATTTGACAGAATTGGAACCAGTCTTAAAGGAGAAATCAGCGGCGACTGAAGCGCTGATGATTGACTTGGACCGAGATAAAGTCGCGGCTCGTCAAGTTGAAGAGGTCGTTTCTGCTGAAGAAGCAGCCGCAATGATTAAAAAGACGGAGACTCAAGCGATCGCAGACGACGCCCAACGAGATCTTGATGAAGCTCTGCCAGCTCTTGAAGCTGCTAACGATGCGCTTAACTCTCTTGATAAATCTGACATCTCCGAGTTGCGAGTTTTCACTACTCCACCAGAAATGGTCCAGACCGTCATGGAGGCTGTGTGTATTCTGATGGGTGCTAAGACAGATTGGAAGAGCGCAAAGAACGTTCTTGGTGACTCTCAATTCTTGAACAAGCTCATGACTTACGACAAGGACAACATCCCAATGTCGTTAACAAAGAAGCTCAAGAAATACATCGAGAACCCAGAGTTTGTTCCCGAGAAAGTCGCGAAAGTTTCCAAAGCCTGCACTTCTATGTGCATGTGGGTTCGAGCGATGGATGTCTACTCACGTGTGATCCGAGAAGTCGAGCCAAAGCGACAAAAACTCGCTAACGCTCAGGCCGAACTCAAAATCGTCATGGAAGGTTTGGCGCAGAAACAGGCTCAGCTCCAAGAAGTCAAAGATAAAATCGCCGGTCTTGAGGCATCTTTCGAAGCCTCTGTTAACGAGAAAAACTCGTTGATGGAACAAATGGCACTCACAGAAGCGCGATTGAAGCGTGCGGCCAAATTAACAACCGCCTTGGCCGATGAACAAGTTCGATGGGGTGAGAATGTGATCATGTACGATGAGCTTATCGGCAACGTTGTGGGAGATGTCTTTATCGCCGCGGCGTGTGTTTCTTACTACGGTGCCTTCACCTCCGAATATCGAGTACGTCTTATCGACACCTGGAAAGATAAGTGCATCGAACTTGGAATTCCCACTTCTAAAACACTCTCACTTGCTTCCATCCTTGGTGACCCTTATGAAATTAGACAATGGAATACGGAAGGCTTGCCACGAGACGATGTCTCAACAGAAAATGCTCTTTTGGTTACTCGAGCTCGTCGATGGCCATTGATGATCGATCCTCAGGATCAAGCCAACAGATGGATCCGATCAAAGGAGCAAAAGAACGGCTTGAAGGTCATCAAACTTTCTGATTCTACCTTCTTGCGAACTCTTGAAAATGCTATTCGAATTGGTCAACCAGTCCTGCTTGAAGAAATTGAAGAAACTCTTGATCCCGCTCTTGAGCCAATTTTACTCAAACAGACTTTTGTATCTGGCGGTCGAACACTTATTCGACTTGGTGACAGTGACATCGATTACGACAAGAACTTCCGTTTTTACATGACCACCAAGATGTCCAACCCTCACTACTTGCCAGAGATTTGCATCAAAGTCACGATCATTAACTTTACCGTCACCCTAAGTGGTTTGGAGGACCAAGTCCTTGCTGACGTTGTGCGTTTGGAACGACCGGATTTGGAGGAAACGCGTACGCAACTTGTCGTCAAGATCAATGCCGATAAAGAACAGCTCGGTGGCATTGAAGACAAAATCCTGCACCTCCTCTTCACTTCCGAAGGCAATATATTGGACAATGAGGCACTTATCAACACGCTGGCCGATTCCAAGGTTACCTCTGGCGTCATTAACAACAGAATGCAGGAAGCCGAAAAGACTGAGGCTTCCATTTCGGAAGCACGAGAAAAGTACCGTCCGGTTGCAAACCGCGGCTCAGTACTCTATTTTGTCGTCGCAGCGCTCGGAAACGTCGATCCTATGTACCAGTTCTCGCTCAAATACTTTACGGATATTTTCAACAATACCATCTCCACTGCGCCGAAAAAAGATGATCTCGAAGCACGCCTGAGGCAACTGATTGATGTTTGCTCAATGGCAATTTATCAAAACGTTTCCAGAGGTCTATTTGAACGGCATAAGTTGATGTTCTCATTCATGATGTGTGTGGATATTCTGAGAATGCGTGGAGTTATCCCAGACGATCAGTGGCTTCTCTTCCTCCGTGGTCTTCCTCCACTTGAGAAAGAACGGCCTTCTATGCCCACAGGCATAGCTGGACTTACAGAAGATACGTGGAACAAAATCGTGGACCTGGAAGACGAGCAACCCGAGATATTCAAGGGGCTCAAAGCCGACGTGACACGCACGCCGATTCATATCATCCTCGGCGGCAACGAGCTGCGATTGAACCCACCTAAAGGCGAACACGCATACTCACATGAAACTCCACCCCCTTTGCCTGGAAAATCTCCTGTAGAGGAAGAAGAAGAGCCAGAAATTATCGGCCACTGGAATGATCGACTATCAAGTTTCGCAAAGCTCATGCTTCTCAAGTTCTTCGCTGATGAACGAGTCGTGACTGCAATTCAAGATTTTGTCATTCTCAACATCGGAAAGCCATTTGTCGAAAATCCACCAGTTTCCATTGGCGATCTTTACGCTAACATGACTCCCTCAAGCCCCTTGGTCTTCGTCCTCTCAGCTGGCTCAGATCCTATGGGCGCTTTCCAGCGATTCGCTTCTGAGAGCAATTATTTAGAGCGAGTCCACGCCATCTCACTCGGTCAAGGTCAAGGGCCCGTGGCTGAGCGTTTGATTACATCCGCGACGAAAAACGGCGACTGGGTTTTCCTTCAGAATTGTCACTTGGCCAAGTCGTGGCTTCCCCGTCTCGAGGAAATCGTCAAGGGCTTCAACGAGCCCGGCGTCACGCTGAACAAGGACTTCAGACTGTACCTCTCGGCCATGCCGGCGAATTACTTCCCAGTCTCTGTCCTCCAATCCTCGGTCAAAGTCACCAACGAGCCGCCAAAGGGTCTGCGCGCAAACGTTCGACGAGCGCTTGCAGAAATCGACGCGGCGCATTTCGAAAGTCACGAGCTAAAACTCGACTGGAGACGTATTGTATTCAGCTTGTGCTTCTTCCATGCAATCTTGCAAGAACGAAAGAAGTTTGGACCTCTGGGATGGAACATCAAGTATGAATTTAACGATTCTGATCGTGAATGCTGCCTTCTAAACTTGGACCTCTTCTGTAAGGGTGGCAAGATTCCATGGGATGCTCTTACTTACATTACAGGTAAAGAGATTAATTTTTGCTGACTTATTTATTGAAATTTATCAGTTTTAATATTAAATGATTAAAAATACTTGTCTTATACATTCAATTTAGGAATGATCACTTATGGTGGCCGAGTTACTGATGCCTGGGATCAGCGATGTCTTGACGCCATTTTGGTCCGTTTCTTCGCACCAAAAACTCTTGATCTCAACTACAAGTTCTCCGGATCATCAGTTTACTACGCGCCAGCAGGCGATACCCTCAAGAGCTTCCAGGATTACATTGAGCAGCTTCCACTTACAGACGAGCCAGTTGTATTTGGCATGCACGAAAATGCTAACTTGGCGTTCTTGCGTCAGGAAACGCAGGCGATTGTGGGAACGATTCTTGACTTGCAGCCTAGGTCAAGTGGCGGCAGCGGTGGCTCATCCGATGATGACAAGGTCATGGCCATGGCTGAGAGCATTCTGGAAAAAATCGATGTTGTGCTCGACATCGAAGAGGGAAAACGAGAACTCTTCGAGCTGGATCACAAAGGACGAGAGTACAGTATGACGACGGTCTTGAAGCAGGAAGTCGAAAGATTTGCCAAGCTTCAGCGAGTTATCAAAACGTCACTTGAGACGTTGAAAAAGGCGATTGCGGGTTTGGTCGTTATGAACGAAGAAATGGAGTCAATCTTTATCGCCTTCTTGAATAATCAAGTGCCGGACCTTTACAGAAAGGTAAAAATTTAACCCCTTTGCCTTTTTTTAATTGATTGTAGGCCGCGTATCCATCTTTGAAGCCTCTCTCATCCTGGGTCAACGATTTGCGTCTTCGGTTAATCTTCACCAAGAGATGGATCGAGTTGGGAACGTGCAAGACCTTCTGGATCTCTGGATTCTTCTATACTCAGGGTTTCCTCACTGGTTTGCTTCAAACACACGCGAGAAAGTACGACTTGCCAATTGATCATCTGAGTTTCAAGTTTACGATGACACAGAGATATCGCGATCAGGCTACCTACCAAGATATTTTAGGTATATTCTTCACCCCACCAAACCAAATTTTACGAGTTTTCTAGATGCAAACGATGGCACGTGCCCAGAAGACGACGAAATCGCAGACCCAGAAGATGGCGCTCTTGTTCACGGAATCTTCACCGACGCGTGGAAATGGGACGACAATGAAATGTGCATGACAGAAAGCGACCTTGGAGTGATGAACACGCCCGTGCCCGTCTTCATGATGGTGCCAGAAATGGACTTCACGCCCGACAAGGCAGACTACATCTGTCCTTTGTACAAAGAAGGATTGCGTCAGGGTGTTCTATCAACAACTGGGCACTCAACGAACTTTGTCGTACCGATGCATCTACCAACTAAGAAAGAGCCAGCGCACTGGATTAACAGAGGCGCTGCGGTACTTTGCCAGCTTGCTGACTAGCTCAACGAAAAAAAAATGATATTATATTATTTATTTTATTCTGTATAACTCTGTACATAGCGAATCATCATTTCGTATGATATATATTATATTTTTGTAATAAAACAATCTTCAATTAAATCATCAGACTCAAATGAATAGACTTTTTGCATTTTGCGGAAGAAAATGCCAAGAAAATATCAAATTGTCTAGACAGAGTCTTGATCTTTAGGAATTGGTTCCTCTGAATTTATTGTAAGCAGCGTCCCTTATTTTATTTATTCGAAGAAGGTCAAATCCTCCCTGCAAGACATGAAATTATTCAAAATTCAGAGATGCGGTTTTGAGTAAAAAAGTGTAAAAAAAATAATGAGATCAGTAAATTGGTTCGTCTGATTTTAGCTGAATCAGCTGTAAAACGGTATGTATCACAAATCAGCTGTTTGAATGAGTCCCGCTTGTTTGCTCTCAAATTAGCTATTTGTTGTTGATCTGGGTTGATTTTCCCGAATCAATCATCAATCTGAAAAAGTTGAAATACCTCTTCGGCTTTGGGCCAAGAATCGAAAGAGAGACGATCAGAAGGGGAAAATGAAACTTGCCGTAGGAACGATTCTAGCGCTCTCTTCCGAAGCTGCATCTGTTGGGCAAGTTTCTAGCAATGCGGTTTGTAGAGATCCAGATACAGGTGTTTTTTATCAACCTAACGAGGAGTGGGTCAGGCAACGGGTTTTCCACGGAAATCGAATCTTGTTGAAGCGAAATCTCCGAAAATCTCCGAAAGAAACAAAATCTTCAACGACGGTCCAACAAAAGGAATGCAGGGGCAGTTTTCATGCGTCTGCCAAGCAGATGGCTCGATGAGATGCAGCTCATTGTCACTTCCCTGTATTATCAACGATAGGGGTTACGAGATTGGGGAGAAGTTCAAGCTCTACAATTATATGGACAAACACATGGATTACGAGGTAAGGCTCGTCAAAGTACAAGTCTTTCTATTCTTTTTCAAAAAAGGCCTTAGTTAGACAATATTCGTTCAAATTTCTGTCAGACGTGTACATGAACTCATGATTTCAGTTGTTTGACAACAAACGCGGGTAGTTATATAATTGCTACTAATTGCTACAAGCTAGATCAATTTGACACGCAATTATGACGAGTTACTGACAGTTTTCTAAACTTTCCTCGTTGCTGACTTCTAAAATTTCTTTAGTGCGAATGTTTGGGCACACGAAAAGGTTCAGTGGATTGTAAGGAGATCAATCCAGGTTGCTGGGACGCGCATACGCAGAACAAATACCCTTTGAATACCGAGTTTGAGCAAACACGCACAGACGACAACCTGGAACGTGGTTGACAATTCATCGTAGTTTTGTTCTTTAGTTGAAATTCTCAACTTGAGAATTTGATATTATGTCAATCTCCGAATAAAGATCCGTGATTGCAAATGCTCAGGGGATGAGAAGACGAGGTTTATTTCTTGCGAACTTAGCCGGTATTGCATCTTGAATGGGGAGTATTACGAGAAGGAAATGGGGAGCAGACTGTTAAATACTTCCACAGATAACACTTGTAGACTTGGGAGATATCTTCCTCTTATCTTCTAGCGCGCTAATCGTTCCAGGGTTAGCTAAGGACGCCGCTGATAAAAACGCGCGAAAATGATAATATTTATAATTGCAACAATAAGCAGTTTGGCTACCCCAGGAAAAGGGAGAAGAAATCGTTATCGAAACAGCAACTCAGAAACAAACTTGCCAATGCATCGACGCTGCCAGGACTTCGTGCATTATCGAAGCCAAACCGATTCAAGGTGAGAGACGACGTGAATCGTAATTTCTTTTTTTTTCCTAAGCCCTTGTCGATGACGAGGGTCACGTGCACCCGCACGTGATAGAATACATAATATCGACCAGCTTTGAACAGAGCAAATTAAAACGGAAAAGGGTTGATAGTATTAAAACAATTTTAGACGCCGTGGCAACTCAAGAAATCGAAGTCGACTACGATTAGAACTTACTCTCTTTATTGTCTGTAAAATTAAAGCAAAGTTAAAGGCTCTAACTTTGATTCCGAATAAAAGTATTCTTACGAATCGAGCAGCGATTTTAAGTCTCCCAGACTTTGGTCAATATTGAATCAAATTGTAGCGGAATAATCATCTTTTGTTGCTCAATCCTCGTTTTAAAAAGTCAATCACCGTACTAAACCGCAGGTAAATTTGGCCTCCGAAGTTCAGTTTAGAAAGGCTACAAGCCCTAGAACAGGATTCCCTCGGGCAATAGAATCACTGCATTTACCTCGCATCATCAAAACTGCTTGACTAGGGAATATTCTATTTAGATATTTTTGAACTAAAAAGATCTTAAACTTCTAAAAAAAGAGAACAACTGACTTAAATTCGAACTTTTCGATGCGGTTTAAGTCGCCCCATAAAATTGAATTATCAAAGAGATAGACAGCTTCAGCACGTGATCAGACGGAAAAAAGAGCTTCCTTTTCCAAACAGGGCTTTGTTGAAGGCTCCCTTCCTGAGTTTCAATTTCGAAATTTCGTTAACCGTTACACGAATCGACAATTACTCGTTCCAAGATCTTAGATCGCGAAAAACAAATTCATACGTATTTTCACGGATAAACTTTACATGCTACAATCAAAAGAGTCTCTTGATCGATGATCGATCTGTTGTCCAAAAGATATCTCGTGATGGTCGTTAAACTTGAAAAAAAATTCCAGTTTGAATTTCATCATTTATTTTGATTCCAACATCCAGAATCTTCAATAGAAGAGATCGATGTTAAATATTTATAAATGCTTATTCGCGAATTTTCCGCTTTTGGCCCAAGCTCTTGACCTAAAACTTTACAACCGCAAAATCATAATTAACAGACTTTCAACAAATTTGAGAAAAGATTCATCTCGTATTTGCTTAGTTCAACTTAGTTAGTTGGGTACGTTGGCTCTACTGATCTCGGCTATCAAGGAAAAAGTTTCATTATTAAAAAGATGATAAGAAAGACTTAAGGAAATATGGTCTTGGCGGTGGCGGTGGAGGTCTTGGTGCTGGCGCTCGCTGGTCGAATTATGGCGCTGAAGGCGACTGGGGCAAGTCAGTCACGATCCGTCACCGTCCACCGCCTCACGTCCTCGCCAGCAACCACACTCGGGTCAAGTTGCTCTTAGGGCTAGCACGGAACTGTATATCACCTGCAACCAAAAATGGCTCCAACTGAATACTCGTCGACAAAAACCTGTTTTCCGGCAGGTTCTCTTCCTTGATTTCATTGAACAAACCGTGAATCAATTTGGGTTTTTTATTTATGCTGCAAATAGACCCGCGTATTAGTAAAGCCACCTGTAATTGCTAGCTAATATCAGAATCAAAATCAAGAATTCTTAAGGAAGAACATGTCTTAGGGTTCTGCGTATCTGTTCAAACCCCTGCAACAATAAGATTCAGTGGGTAGTTAGGAGACTTAGCCTTCTTAATTAAAGGGTAATTTGAAGCCTGGTCAAACTGCGCCCGCAAAATTTCGAGCAATTTTAGAGCATATGTCCAGCTTTGACTATCCCGTCTGAGAGACATGCTCTGGAAGCTATTGACCACCCTTGTGCTCTGGCGTGGTAGGGCCCTCTGAAATGGAGGGAGCCATGCGCTTCGCCCTCGCAATGACGAATTAGAATCGATAGCTACCTTAGCGAAAAGAAGGAAGTTCAAGGTGCTACCATTGCCTCCTATTCGTTGCACAGAGTTGGCCGCTCAGCGGTTTTTTGTGAGAATTTTCCGAATTTCAGAGATTTTGGCAGCGCTTTTAAATTGGAAAAAATGTGAATTGTCCGCCGGCGAGTGCCGAATTGTCAGAGACTTTTCGAAGAAGGGAAATCAACAAGGAAAGGGCCAAAATCCGCCAAAATTTTTGAGGTTTTTGTTTTTACCGAGAACCGCCTATTGATGCTTAGAAATGGCCAATTAACTGTCTTTAAAGCTGGTTTTTGTGAAATTATGACCTTGAGACTGGCCGCGCAGGGCCCTCACGTACTGATTAGAGCAGCAGAACAGATTTCAGCTTCAAATCAAAAGCTCCGCGTCAAATGCTCTTGAGCTCTCGTGTCTTTGAGTACCTTAATTAAACTCCGTTAGAAGCCTTGACAAAAGGATACAGTGAGCACGGGGCATAGCACAGGCCACCGCAGCGGGAGAAGAATACACGGTGTGGTTCATTGGAGCCACCAGTGGTGCTGCCCGTTGGATGGCGCTTTTTCCGATCTTTTCTCTCTTGGTTTTTTCCATATTTTCTCAAATTTGCCCGGCGGAATTTCAAGGAAACCATTTTTCTTAGGGCTTACTTGTGGTCACTCTTGTAAACAAACTGTAACATGGCGACTTTCGGCCTTACCGTTCGGCTCGGACCGCCCTTGGCACTTGAATTTATACAAGAGTCCCTTTTTGTGGTTATTATTGAAACAATTTTTAAGTTATCTTTCTAAAAAATAATGATAGATTTTAACTGATGCTCTGGTTTTTTCTTTCGTACAATTACATATTCTCTGTTATAAAACTCATTCTCTCTTATATGAAAAAACGCTTTAGCTTTTTTAAGCTCCTGAGAAGATTCTTTCAGTCTTCTTCTCTCCAACTTCAATGTCTCTCAACTTATTGCTGCTGCCTTCTCTTAGGCCAATAGCATTTAAAAAGATCTGACAGACAAAGACGTGGCAAGACTAACTCGGGTGGAGTTTTTTCGCAAACGCGGGCGAAGCAAACTTGAAATGTATTTTTTGTGGCTTTCAGCGTATTTTTTCCCTTTGCGCAGAGACTGATTTTTCTGCCGACCAAAGGCAAAAGAAGACAGATCTTGTTTGGGGTGCAATTTTGCGCTACAGTGCTCGATATGATGAGCATTCATTCATCCAGTATTAATTTTATCATTAATTTATGACTGTAATTTACGGACCGTAAATTACGGTAAGGGGTCGACAAGACTAGGAGTCGATCTTACCTTAGGTACCCTTAGGTACTTCAACTTTTGAGTCAGTGATTTCAAGTGTTACTGGCGGTTGGTCATTTTGTTCAGTTTCTAAAGTTGATAAGCCAGATCAGGTGCCTCTCAAGATTCCCACACTTATCAAGTTCGTTTCGCCAATAATGTATCTAATCCAAAATTTAATCAAACAATGTATCAAATACGGTTGTTTCTCAATACTAGTCAAGGGATTAATATGCTCCAATTGGTAAGGAATTAACAAATAGAACCCCTCTCTGCGAGCGTAAAGTGCTAAAGTGCTAATCCTTCCGTTTTACCGCCACTCCGGGAATTGTCGGACACTTTATTATAAAATTTCCTAAAAGCAAGAGACGAATTTCCAGATTTTTACAGTTATGTACTTTTTCGCTGAGGATATTCACACTCATCATCTTTCAACAATGATCGAAATAAAAGAGGAATTAATTGAAGAAATAGAGAGCTCCCCGGTAAGATCAGAATATTTTAGGCACTTGCCAGAAGCAGAATTGAACTTGCTCTCGGGCTAAGGTGGTAATTAGTTCATGTATTTGTTTGATTAGTAAAGATAGCTATTTTGATCCTATCAGGGTCTATCAAAGGAGCAAATTATCTATCTCTGTACCGGTAGAACGCACTTAGTAACGGAGACGTCTGTCTCGCTATATTTCAGTTATGAACTTGCTTCACTGAGATGTTTAATAATTGTTGTAAATTTTAATTGATACCGTTAACGCTTGTTGATTATAATAATTTGATTAATGGAGAGACGATGGTATGAATGTAAAAAGCGGTTTCAAGATAAAATTCATCATAAAATTTCTTGCCGCTCTTGTTTTGGTATTTTGTCTTCGCACAATTCAACCATAAAACATACCAATTTTGAAAAAAGGAGAGGCATCATCCGAGAGGAGATCTCGCTGACATTTCAAGCATCGTATCTTGCTGAGTATGGTATGATAATCCGCAGATTTCTAAACCTAAAACTTGACATTTTCCGTCCGACGATTTCACATACGTTAGTGAGGTTTTTGCCTCCAACAGTCAATTTTATAGAGAACGAAAAATGTCCAATTTCCTCGGCCTAGATAACCTAAAAATTGAATACCTGCGGCGCAAGGTTTGGAGTAGTCTTTGTTGATTTCGATTTTCAAGAGTGGCATACTTGAGGGCATTTGAGAATCTAAGAGCTAAAAGATAAACAATTATCGTCAAGAGTTTCTTTTGATTTGTCGATTTTTTTTGAAATTATTAGCAATTGAAATGATAGAACTGATGGAATTTTCGTAATTTGAGCGATAACTTTTTAATTGAATTTATGGCGGATTTGGTCTTTTCTTGATTCGATCATCCTTTTCTTAACCCCACGAGTCCAATTGGAGGGCGTAACCCCACGAGTCTAAGTCGACATTTTTTACAGCAGTACAGCTGATTAAAACCGGATTTCGACAAAATATGTCGACTTAGACTCGTGGGGTTAAGAAAAAATGTTCTTTAATTTTATTTGATACTGTTATTTTTCGATGATTGATTAAAATTGTGCTTTTTTCAGATGTCCAACGGGAACGGGCTCGGACCTATGGTGATAGGTCAGAGCGGTGGTCCCATCGAGTTTCCGCTGGCGGCTGCGGCGTTCTCGAATCCCAACTGCTTTTCGCTGCACTTGGTCTCACAGAATGCGCACGACGCCGTCACCAGTAGTGCCAACGGTAGTCTTCAGATCACCGCGGAACAGGTACAGCTGCAGAACATTCTGAGCGAAACCACGGTAAGCAAAGAACAAGACAGCTTTAAAACCACTCGCGCAAAAAATAAAAAAATCGGAAAACGCCGCTCGCTGCTTGAATTCCAGCCAGGTGCTTTTTAATTGACAATATTTAGTTACAAGGTGCTTTTCGGAGCACATTAAACTGTGCATTTTGAGCTTCATTTTACAAAATGAAACAGGCTTGTTCCATCGTTGATTGTCGCCGGGTGGCAGAAATACCCATCTTCAAATTTCCATGAGGCTAGAATAGACAAGCTGCTTGCTTTCTTTGCTTGCTTGATGATTTCAATCATAATGTTTTCAGCCAAAAGTCACTCAATCCCAACCGGTCAGTTCCAATTATGGATTCATTCAGTCTGTCGAAGCTGGACTCCGAGGCGCAAACTTCCTAAACGGCAACTTCAACCTTCCGAATACAAGCATCAGCAGCAGTATCAACAGTAGCTTGAATAACAGATGTAAGTGACTGACAGTAACTCTAAACTTCCTTCCTCTTTCGCTTGCGGTGCTCGATTGTGTGAATCCTAAAGAAGGATTTTAGCATTTACAGAATCAGAAAAATCCAATTATCCATTTTATTTCAATTTTTCAAATAAAATGGTGAATATTTTTCGGACTTTGATAACGAGGGTGTTTTGTTTAAATGGATTGACTTCTTTTTGCTTTTTGAGAAATGTTCATTATCAAAAGTCTAATTAATCAAATTGATTACGTATAATCACGCTCACGCTCTGGATCTAGCTTCTACTGCCCCTGATGAACATGAACGAGCCCTTCTAGATGAAGATAACAATTATCCCTCGGCAGCGTTCAACTCGCTCGCTGAAGCCGCCAACCAGAGCCAATCCTCCTCGTCTGGACATCCTCTTGGACTTGGAAGCAACTTCGGACAGGACCAGCCCCGCAGTTTGCCAGACAACCTTCCAGAAACCGTAGCCGGCCTATGGAAACAGCAGCAGCAGCAACAACAGCAGAACGGACAGATGGATAAAGTGAATATGTCAAACGATTCAGATGACAGCGACTCAGGGTAAGTAACGCTGGCTTAGTTGGAATATCAAACCTGCCGTAAAAAACGCTCAACGAAATGTCAGACTGGCAATTAATTCTGCAACGTTGGATAATTTGTTAAAATTTTTTACGGCAAAGCTTCAAATAAGCATTGAATTAGCCTAAAAATGAGTGTTTTGTTGAAGTGACTCTTCCTTGATTTCTGTTTATCTTTTTCGCAAGACAATACTCAAAATTCATTGATTTTCTTTGGAGGTCAAATTCTGGGCGTTCAGAATCAAATTCAAAAGTCTCTGCGACAGTGGGAATCTGAACGCGCGTCTATTTGTACCCTCAATGGTCTTGTTTGACTTTTGATGTCTGTTTATTGAGCGAATTGATTAAATAGCAAAGTAGGCAGTTTCGGAAATTCTAACATATAAACATTATGTAATTCCAATTTCATTGTTTAGTTCGAATTGCGGCATCAGATGGCGTCAGGGCGGCTTGGGCCTTGCCATGCGAAAGTCGTCGGAGGGAAAGGTCAATATTGCCGGAACAGCAAAGGTATCAATCGGGCTTGCTTGGCGTAAAAACACTAAAATGCTCTAACGACTGATTCGAAAGATGCTTAGCTTGGCTAAAATCCGGTTGCAGACATTTAGTGAGGCCAGGAATAAGATGAGAAGGTGCTGCGCGATGCAAATCCCGTTCCCTCGCAAAAGCGCTGACTCCGCTTAATTCCTAGTCCCACTCTGCGCCACCAGCACAAAACTCATAATAACAAGAGAAAATAGGAGAATAATCACGCGCGCTTTCAAGGAGTAGAACGTCAATTTTTTCCAACAAAAGACCTAGCAAATAATTAAAATAACAATTAACCCAAGACTGTAGATTTCTAGCTACAAATAATTACTCCGAATTCCTTGAAGGAAAAGACGTTCTACTCCTGTTGAATGTCCCCAAGTAATACAGCTAAGATGGAGACTTCGATTGCAAGCTTTTTTGGTGATCTTGAATATCTCATCAAGCGACATAAATTTGACAAAGATGTGACTCACGTAAGAATTAAATTGGTAACAGGAAATTGATTTATCGATGGCCATTTGTTATGTTGATGTTTATGCTGGCTTATCAACAAACTATTTTTGCCGGTAGACAACAGCTTCTGCTTTCGGTGAGAAGCGCATCAAGAATTTTCAATCAGAACGGGCACAAATTCGAGCACGTGATTGCTGATTTTGGTTTATAGCTTTCTGCTTAGAAGGCATGAAAAGCTTGTTTTGGCCAAGTCTGCCCGAGTCGACAGAAAACGGCATTAAAAACGCTCTCATTCAGATCCCGGACGAAGAACTAAAGAGCATCTCAGTCCGCGAGTTGAACAGAAAGCTCAAACAGTCCGGCTGCACCAAAGAGCAAATGATCAACATCAAGCAGCGCAGAAGGACACTGAAGAATCGAGGCTACGCGGCAAACTGCCGGACGAAGAGACAGACACAAACGCATCAGCTGACGCTTGACTTACAGGAAATCGGTCTGACATCGTATTCACAGCCAGAAGATTCTTAATCTTCGCTCGATTCATCGAAAATTAAGAAATAATCAACATGTACAGACCTGGATTAAAGAGAGCACAGCAGGCTGAACAAAAATTATCCAAAGCCTATGAAGAGTCTGTAAAAGCCAAGGAGGCATATGAAAGACATTTGAGCGCGTTGAAAAAACAGGTAATTATAATTAACGGAGAATCGTTTAACTCACCGATTTTATTCAGAATGATGAAAAGGATGCCGAATTAGAAAGTCTAAAGCGAACAGTGATGGAGCTGCAATTAGAAAACCAGCGTCTGAAAGGCATCAAAATGGAGTCGGAATGAGCGCGCTGCGAGTCCACCCGCCGCCCGTCTTCGGGCCATGCGCGCCCCTGCCCGAAGTTCTACCCCTACACATTCTGCCTGAGACACTCACAGTATCCAGCGTGCTTCAGTTGTCATTTCCACCTTTTTGGACAGTTTTTCTTTCTTTCTTTTTGAGTTGCGCCTCCTGGAAAAGCTTTCGTCTTTGTAAAATCCACCAAAAAGTTCATTTCTTACGAGAACCCATATCAAGAGATTCAATTCAACCTTCTTTTCTGGGAAACTAGACACCGCCTTGTATAATATCTTTCAATTCATATCTGACTTCATGAAACAAAAACTAAAGTAGTTACAGTACTGTACTAATACTGTGCTCGGACTATGCCCAGAACATCTATAATAATCTACTCTGCAGTTCACAGACCATAACTATCCTTCCCAGACATTACACCACTTCATATGGGCGTTAATGCATGATAATTGTTCTTTTGTGGCCCTCCCGGAAGTGAAGTCCCTTTGGCCAAATCAAACCTCCCGCAAGGACACGCCTTGACCAAATTAAACCTTGGCCGAAGATCTGAAGGCGACCTTTTCAGGGACAAACTTCTCGATTATGGAAAACTTTTCGACCGGTTCAAATTCGAAAGAAAATGACTTCCATCTAGTAATGTGAAATTTCGAAAGTATAAAAAAATCACCAAATGCCCACCGAGACCAATTTCATTTGAAAAAGCATAATTATTTTCCCTAGCCTATCATATCTTCCCATATCGAAGAGGCAGACAAGGCTTTTAACATGCCCCCAACAACTAGAATTTTTTCATCATCTTGAATTCTCAACCCCTAAAGGGAGATTTTGAACCGCCCTTAGGCGCGTTCAGTCAATAGCCTACGCGTTTTTGCCTGTGTGCCTGTGGAATTCGCCTCTACCTGCTTCCCAAACCCATAGTCCCATGCCACCTGTTCTCTCACGTGACTCTTTCAAGTGTTCCCAAAAGTTCTGCGTCGATCTGCCGGGTGGTGGCGCTCTTATATTTACCGCGATGCCCACGCACACCCTTCATCAGTTTTCAGTTTTTTATTAACTAAGTTATTATTATTATTTCCTTTATTATCCTTTACTCTTTCTCTTACAGTAGTTCCGCGCGATAATATGCACGTTTTGTATATTATATCTTTTAGTTTATCTCCTTTTGCTCCTGATTCGTTTATTTATTTATATTCAAGTAGGAACTACCACATGCTTCAACTTAATACCGATTCTTAGCCCTTTTTAAGATTCTAGTTCTTAACCTACATACAGAGCGTTGCTGATATTAGCCCACCCTTTCGGTGGTTTTATACTGGACTCTCTGTTACTTTCCTAAAGAGCTAAGATAAATCATCAAGTCTTCGGGATGTTTTTCATGTATCTACATTTACCCTGAATAAACCTTCTACTGATAAAGAAATCGACTGCTACTGATAAAAAAAAAACTTCCCCCTTGTTTACTTTTGTTCCAATTCTAAATATTCAATTACTCTCAAATCAGATTTGGTAAATTAGCCGACTTTCCTGTTTTGCGAAAAATATAAAAAATAAAACAAAATATGATGAAAGCTTTGCAAAAAATCTCAACTTTGATTCTTTTATTCGGCAGGGCTGCATATGCATAAATCTTCAAACTGGTATAGCATCAAGTGTCGGAATCTGGGCAGAGCGAGGATTGAGTTTTACGCTTTTCCGCGTGACTGAGGTAGTCGAGGTGGATTACCGAAATAAAGGCTAGATGTTCTATTCCACCTAATCCATCAGCGTCTACAATAGAGTTACAGTAGGAAAGCAAAGTGGTAACTTACGAGTAAACTTAGCAACGCCATTTCCAATATCGGAAAACATCGTCTCCGTCTTTGAGTCCCACTCAGGGACAACATAGACGGTAAAGAACCTCTCTCGAACATTCCGCAGTTGCTTCGAAGTCAAAGAGCTCGTCAATCGTCGAAACTCCAAGTTGAGTTTGAAAACAGGAACACTCTCTCCCGGATGAATGACGCGATAGACGGATGGATCGATGGCTTCTAAGTCGTTGTACGTCACTACTTTGCTTTCTTTCTCGGCTGTTTTGCCAAGTTTTTGAATCTCGGTGAGCATCGAGTGGTACCAAATCTTCTCCGTTCCATTATTGTGAATTGTTATTATCGAATCGTGGCAGTCGGCAGAATCGCTTTGATCAAAGCCGATAAGGGTCGGTTCTCGTTTTAGGGTAACACTAGAGAATCCTTTTATTTCAGTACTTCCCTTTGGTAAGAAGGAATTACCTAAGACGAACACCTGATGCTTTTTGAAAGTTCTTTGGCCTAGCAAACGACAAGTCACAAATTGCTTTCGAGCATTTGTGCCCTAATCGTTGGCAACGCTTTTTGTCATCAATCGTTTTATTCTGAAGACTATCGACATGTTAATATTTCCTCCGTTGGAAATAGCAAACTTGAAAGAGGAAGGATTTTGAAGCTCGCCTTCGTTAAGATTCTTGCCCATGTGAGTTTGCGTCATCAGGGGCTCGATGTTTATTTCGGAGTCGTATTTGACATCTTTGACCTTGTCTGTAAGAAACCAGCCTACGAATTGGTCGTGAACTGTTTTTCGTGAACGCGTTCCATCTGAAATGAATATTTTTTAAGGGTCTGTCTAAGATAGACTGTCTTACATCTATTAAAATACAAGTAGCACCAGATTTTGTGTCCATCGGAGTTGGACAAGGGAGCATTAGCAGATTTACTCTCAATTATCTTTTTCAACTTTGAGCTAGCAGCATTGTACCCAAAGACATTATTAAGCCGGAAAGGGTCTTTATTCGGGTGGACGGAATCAACATGGTCGGGGTTGCAACAGATACGGCTGGTTTTGACGTCGTCGCAAGTCCATCTTTTGGATGTGTTCAAAAATGGTAATTTTTTTATGATTGTTCAAAGGTGCGAGCCACACCTGGCGAAAAAACCATGTATCTTTGTTAACGTTGTCATAATTTGTATAGCCTATTCTCCCATAAAATGCTAAATCTGCTTATTTTTTTAATTCATGGGACTCATTTATGAGTTTCGCATAAATCTCATTTTTCAGATTCAATCGTCAGACAGTCGTTAATTTCTTCGTGAGTTCACTATGCTCGCATTTTTAACACCGGCCTAAACTTGGTCTCGACGTCAGTATTGAAAATATCATTTCCAACAGCAAACTTTTCGTAAACTTCCGGCCGACAAAATTTGACCAAGCGTCGCTCGATCTCTCGTATTTTCTCAATTGAAGTTTTCTCGTTGTAGTAAATGCAATCGAGTTTTCGAACACCGAGGAATTTTAGCTTCTTGCAGTACATATTCATCACTTAGATAGTTTAGTAGCACTTATAAAGAAGCAAATTGCATACTTTGAGTGATATCTTTAGTTTCAGAGCAGCCAACTCGCATCTTGACAAGGTCCAGAAATTTCTCCGGTGAGCAGTTTTCATTCCAATCGACGAACTTTGACCAGGCTCAACCAAGGTATCTTATTTCTCAAGTGACCTGATGAGGCCATATAACGCCGGGAAGACATTGAATTCAGCGAGAAAATGCTGAATCGAATCATGCTGTTTTGATGATGATGAAAAAGCATAAAAACGATGCTCGGAGAATTAGAACATCGCAGATAATTCTCAATGAAAGTCGAAATAACGCTTTTTAATAAAGAAACTTCAGCACTCGTGAGGATAACTACCTACATTTGAGCCCTTTCCTTGTGAATATCCGCCGCCCAGAGACCGCAGATTGATTTCATGTGAACACCCTTATCTTCTGTCCAAACTACGACGACGATAAATCAAAATAAATTTTGGTCAGCAAACCTATTTTCACCATTCTTTCGGTAAACTCATTTCTATCCATGAGGCATTCCCAGTGGAATGGGTTGAGGCACAGCAGGTTCATTTTAGTGGTGAGCTCATCGCTTTTACAATTTGCACGGTAGACTGAAGATGAAATAAATGGAAGGTGGAATTTCGCTTACTGTTGTTTGGGCGGATTCGTTTAACGGTTTGTCGATGCTTGTCGTATTTGTGGAGTAGGTTGTACAACTCGAAGAACAGGTAAACCTAGTAAATGTACAGTACTTCTTACGTCAGGACTTGACAATTTTAAACCAACAATTTTGCCACAGACACTCTGCGAGATAACCGTTCTTATTTTACCTTTTTTGGGCGTCCCATTGAATCCCACTTTTCTAACTGCACTCGATTATCATTCACTCTAGTTGTGACGCTCAAAATACAACTCGAGTTTTTCAGTGTCTTCCGAAGCTTTTCGGCCTCTGCCAAACTCGACTGATTTGGATTTGGATCACTGAGGGTTCTTTTGAGCTTAAGCACAGTATCAAGAAGGTTGATGAATTTTCCTTTTGATTTTCCAGGGTCGTTTTGGTTGATTCTTAGGCTTATTAATGAAAAAAAATAATTTTTTTTCTAGCTTGATAATGTGCTCATATGACACAGTTTTTGAAAGCCCAGAACCTGAGCGTTAATTTGGGCACCATATCAAGGGGTCTGGGCCGTGCCCGCACGGCGATTCAGGGGCTCGGAAGTCCCAAAATAGGCACTAGAACGCTTCAATCGCCTGGGGCAACCCCCTCCACGCTCGAGAGGTCTCGTGACCATTTCTAAGTGAAAGAGCTTGTTCTTAGCTTTCAGTAGATAGCAAACAATCCTGCTTGCCTGTGCTAACGAGTAAGTTAGAAGCGAAAAGAAGTCGTTTTTGCACCCAAAATTAAGGGAAATCCGGGCTTTTCTCCAGCAAAAGATGGAAAAATATCATGCTTTTTTGGCAGTTTATTGTTTGTAGATGACTTCAGGAGAGAGGCAAGCAGGATTACTTGACATCTACTGAAAGCTCAGACCCTCAGCTTTCACTGAGACGTAGTCACGAGACTTCTCGAGCGTGGAGGCGGTTGCCCCAGGCGATTTTAGAGATCTAGTGCCTATTTTTGGAGTTCCGGGCCCCTGAATTGCCTTGCGGGCATAACCCAGACCCCTTCATATGGTGCCTCAATGAAAGCTTAGGTTCTGGGCTTTCTAAGGCTGTGTTATGTGACCCCTATATCAAGATAGAAAAAAGGGTTGATTTTTCCATTAATAAGCCTATTGATTCTCCGGAGATCTTTGAAGAGTCTCGCGGCGAGTGTTTCTAGCTGGTCATGACGGTATTCGACGTTTTCCATTGACATCGGAAGTGAGATCACGTGACCCCGCGCGTAGTCTTCATAAGACCACAGCTCAAGACATGTACTCGCAAATTTGTAGTTGAAATTGCTGTTGTCGAGTAATATTGAATCCTGCTTCTTCTGTCTCGAATTTCTGAGATCAGCAGGGGGGTACTGATATGAAGGAAGCCCGATTTCTGACGTAATAGTTGCCGGTGGAAGAGGCTGGCTCTCCGTCGAGATGGCAGGAAAAGGAGGAATTGAAGGGAGCGAATAAGGATTCAGGTAACTAAGTGGCTGGTGGGATGCAATCGATTGGAAGTAAGCCATGTTCGCTTCGTGCTAAATTCGATGGATAAAAGCTCTTGCCTAATGAATTCTCCATTTGACAAAGGTTATCGACGAATTGGCAATTTTGACTTACGTTATTTATCGGCGGCGGGTAACAATGAGGCGGCTGAAAGCCCACAGATGATGGATAAACTGTCGTCGGCCCTTGCCAAGGAGACACTGCTTCCTTTCAACAAAGTTCATGAGAGACAAGTCTTTAAAAAAGAAGTCTTCAAATTAATAAAAAAAAAAACTGTCTAGCTCCAATGTCAAAAACATCATAAACTCTAGCCTGCTCACGTTTCGCTGGGTTTTGGATTTCATAGCTGTTTTCGGAAATTTTTCCACCTCTCTTTTCACAAGGTTATATATATGTTCGCTCAATTATAAATTTCTTAAACAATTCTTTTTCTAAATTCATATAATGAAACCGTTTTCCTGCTGATCCTTATTCCTCTTTCCGCCTAAATTTTTCATCCATCTTTTGGGCTCTTCTGGTGGATTCTGAACAGTATCATTTGGTTCCTGTTTTTGTTTCTCTTTACTAGGCCTCTTGTTCATTCTTTTAACTGATTTCCAACTGAGGGGCAGTTAAATTCCAAGCGAGTGGATTATAGCCGGTTTACGTTCTGCCGTCAATAACATTTAACTCGTCAAGAAGGAGAACATGTTATCACTTAGGCGAGAAAAGCGCACACTTAATTATTTAAAAAGCGACAGAAAATTTAAATACTTAAAACTGCGGGGCGATAAAATATATTTTATTTAGTCAAAGATAACGTGCCCTCCAGCTTAAAAGATTATAACGCTCCCTTCGTTTTTAAATAAAAAAAATTTTCGTCCCCTTGTTTTCTGCAGGTACATAAATTATTTGAACGTGGCAGAGACCACGGAAAACGGCCGTGGAAAACTAGAATCTGCCCGTCAAGCCCTAGTGACGAGATGCCAAGTGTACTTAGCGAAAAATTCAGAACAAGTTTTGAGTTCAAACGCAGCCCTAACTCACATTGTATACGATAACTCCGATATTTCTTTTCTTCATTCCACGAAAATTAAAAAAATAAAGATTCACTATGTAAATATAAATCAAGACCGTAAATTAATTCATAATTTCTCTCGTTGCTAATTCTTGGTTGTTCAGGTTTGACTACCGAAAAAAAATCTTTTTATTGCAAATTATTGATGGCGTCGCAAACTCTTACGAGAACCAATAATAACATGGACAGGAAGTCTATCAGACCAAGGAAAAATGTAACGATCTATCTTACCATTGTTTCTTGCGCCGATTTTTTTCTCTCTTTAAATGAGGAAACCAATTAGACCTCAAAGAAGTCAGAATAGTGCCTCCGTCGAGCTGGAATTGATTACGACGCGTTGAACTGTAAATGTGTCACTCTGCACGTTCCATTTTCAATTTTGTCGATTCTTTCGTCGATTTTCTCTTATCTCGTCTGAAAAGCCAGACTGCTTCAATAATATTTGAAGCAAGTTATTTCTTTTGCATGTCTCTATTCCTTTCTTTGAATGCGACAGTACAAAATGGGCAGCAGTCGATTAAGCGCCTTCTATATACAGATAACTGTCTGTATATGTAAACCCGCGTTCCAAAAAATAATGGATTTGATTTTAATTTGAGCAGGCCAAGATTAACTGCAAGAATTTCTCCCGGCTTTACCGCTTCAGTCTTATCTGAAGAGCTAGCTCTAAAACATTATCTTTGGTGTCTACTTGCCAGTAAGCAATAAAAAAAGCTCAATCTTCAAGAGGCCGAGAACTGCAGGGCAAAACGTCCATCAACGTAAGATTTTTTCTGGAACATTTTATGTTCGAGAGCTCTTTTAATATACGGAAAATCTGTGATCAGTCAAGCGTGATTTTAACATATTAATTAGCGCTTTGCGATTAGATCATCTTATCCATTCTATCAGTTAGAAAATTCTCGTTTTCTGAAAGTAAAAAATGCGTTGAGAATATATTTTTGAGAATTTAGAACATAATTACAAAAGTTCTTGAACAGAAGTCTTAGGAGCTCCTGCCTCATCGTCGTCATTATCGTCAAGTTTTTTCGCGGACAAAAGTTCACCGTCGTCGTAGAGGTGCTCGCGTTCGTGCGCTCTCTTGTGGATTCGCAGGAGAATTGAAGATGAGAAGGTTTGATCGCATTGATCACATGTGAGCTCATCTTCGTCGTCATTAGCCGTGCTTTTAAGGGTTGATTTTAGCCTGCTTTTGAAGCTTGAAACATGATTTTAACCCCGTTCCTGATTGATTTCTTGATAGCAGGCATTTCAATCTTCATGTTCAAAATGCCCTCATCAACACCGTCGACGTCATCATCGAAGCTAATGTGCGTGCGAGCATGAATCTTGAGCATCTTTTCCGACCAGTATGTTTTACCACATTTGTCGCATTTGAATTCGTCGGGCTCATCTTTTTTCTCCGGGCAGTCGTGGTACTTGACCATCATTTCTGACAAGAATTTTTGCTTTTCACAGTTCAAAGAATATTCGCGAATAGAAATTTGTTTTAAATTAAACTGTTCCTTGCAGAGGTCACATGCAAATTGGGGCGAAGCTGGTCGATAATCGTCTTCATCATCGTCTGTAATGGTTGGTGCAACTGAACTCTTCCTAATTGGCTCGGGAGAATCGTCCGGAATCGTGTACCGTGAAGACTTGCGAGTTTGAACTGGCTCAGGTTCTTCTTCTGGCTCTCTTGCTGTCTCATAGCGCGATCTGAGAGTTGATGAAATCAAGCGGATAAAAAAGTATTACCTGATTCGCTGAGCTTCTTCTTGGGCATCTTTTCTATCCTTGGCGGCGCAAGCTCTGCTGTGACGAGAGAGCTGGCGATCAGAATCGAATGTCATTTCACAATGCTCGCAGCTGTAGCTTGACTGTTCTTTCTCTTGCTTATGATTTGACATGTGAAGATTGTAGCCCGCTTCGATTCTAAAGGTCTTTCCGCACTCCTCGCATTTCCAGGCTGGTTCTGGTTTCGTTTCCTCCTAAGAAAGTAGTTCACAGAAAATCTTTTTCATAAAATCAAACCTTTGGATGAATATATTCCATATGCTGCTTATAAGTGCGCTCAGAGCTAAAGTTGCTTCCGCATTCTTCGCATCTGTATTTCCTTGGTTCTGGTTCAGGCTCTGGTTCTGGAGCTGCTCGACGAGTTGGTTTTGGCATATCGAGATCAAAATCCTCGAGTGTTTCTTGAATTCGATTCTTCGTCATTGCATTCATTCTCGCGCTAAAATTCGACTTAGAAATCAATGATTCCAAAAAGGCTCACCTGAACTCTTCCATGTCTTCAAAGCCATGCGCATTGTTGACATGTAGATTAAGCGTATTTTCAGATTTGAAGGTTGCGTCGCAGTCTTCATATGGACACTTGAGCCGCTGTTTAACCGGAGCTGAGTTGATGTTTTCCTGCTGTCGCATTCGCTGTTGCTGTTTATATTCCGCAGGGTGGTTGTGTTTCATATGAATTCCGATCGTAGCATCAGAGTCAAATTGACGATCGCAATACAGACACTACAAGAATTGACAACGAGTATTCTTTCTACGCTACCTTTATAATGACTTCTTCTCGATGATAAGACTCCATATGAAGCTCCAGATTACGTTCAGTTGAGAACTTCTTGCCACATTCCTATAAAATTGCTTTTTCCGTATATCCGTTTTAGATTGATTTTTACCGGGCATTTGATTTCCATCGATTCAAGAAATTCATGCGTTTCCATGTGCATTTCTAAGCCACTTTCACTTGACAAAATTTTTCCGCACTTTTCACATTCAAAATCGTGTTGACTTTCATGAGCAGTTGTTTCATGGAACTTCAACATCGCCGCGCTTTCGAACTCCTTTGAGCAGATCTTGCACATATGAAGCTCGACAGATTTACGTCTGTGTTCTTCTTCTACGTGCATTTCGAGCCCTTGCTTTGTCTTGAATTTTGCCTTGCATTCGGTGCATTTGAAGGTGTTTGCGTGACGTTGCATATGGTACTCGTAGATCTGCTTGGAATCGAAGAAGCGGTGGCATTCGTCGCATTTCCAGCCATCTTTTTTGTATTCTTGCTCGTAGGAGTTCACGCCTTTGGATCTATCGAGTTCAACTTGATCCAAGTCAACGTCTGGGTGAAAGTTCTCGATGTGAAAGTTCAAGCTCTTCTCCGTCATAAATGTTTTATGGCACTTCGGACATTCTTTCCTCACATCTTCTTCCGCAGCATGCATGTCCATGTGCATTTTAAATGACTTCTCGGTCAGAAAGCTTTTGTTGCACTTGGGATTATCGCAAAACCACTTTTTCGAGTTCGCCGCAGCTTCTTGTTCTTCTTTCAGTTTCTTCATCTTTTCGTCGTTTTCGTGCTCCATGATATGGAAGTCCAGTTCCCCTTTTGTCATAAACTGTCGTTTGCATTTCAGACAGTCGAACTCCGGCTTCTTATGAATTTCCATATGGAGTCTTAGAGTTTCAGCGCTTCTAAACTCCCGACCGCACTGGTCACATTTATTGACCTGCTTGTTATGGCGTCTTCTAATATGGGCTTCGAGCTGATGATTCTCCTGGAATTTTTCGTCGCACTCCTGGCACTTCAAATAGTGCGTATTTTCGATGTGATTTTCGAGAGAGTTCTTTGTCGTGAACTTTCTACCGCAAGTGTCGCAATTGAGAGCAAAATCTGCAGTCGTGTATTTATGAGAAGATTTGAGATGGATTTTCAGGCCGTGCCAGGTGGGGAATTTCCTTTTACAAGGGTACTCGTCGCACTTGAAAGTATTGACAAGATCTTCTTCTTCCTCAGCGATCTCCATTTTTTCTGCTTCTTCAAATTTTCTCGCTTTTCTTCTCTTCGCTCGATCAACATCTCCATCGTGCGCCAATGTTATATGCATTTCTACTGCTCTTTCTGTGTAGAAAGCTTCATTGCAATACTTGCAGAAGATACTTTTAATGTCAGTATTGACCACATATGGTGCCTTGTCGAGAAGTGATTTCTTTTCCGTCTCGTTTTCTTTTTTCAAACGATCGTTGATAAAAGTTGGCATTTTGACGTTGTAGACTCGGTCGTTCTCGGTTTCTGCATCTTTTGCTTGAAAGCTGGACCATCTTGATCCCCGTGTTGATGAGTACCCGGAAGGTGCGTTGCTTCAAAAAGTTAATTTATTTTGACATAAAATAGACTCTATTTAATAGAGATCTTCGAGGAGGCAAGTCGATTTTCAGCTCTTTTTTAACTCTCCACGACGTCAGTTACTATTTAATTCGAACGAGTAAGTAAATGTTAACTGTTATGGTTTCTCTAGAATAAAATTCTGGTAACTTTTCCTTTGATCAGCGTCTCTGCCATGAGAAGACATATGCGCATTGAGTGATCTTTGCGAAGAATAAGTTTTGTTACAAATCGAGCATTTGAAATCATCCTCATCCCCGGCATCATTTCCATGAAAAATATCCAAGTGAGTTCTCAAAGCACGCGCAGATTTGAACATTTTTCCGCACTTGTTGCATTTTTCACTTGGCTCTGCTTTGTCTGCGTGCATCGTGCTTTCATGCACGTTTTTAGCACGCTCGGAGACGAAGCGCTGACCGCAATCATCGCAGGCAAACTTTTTCCTTGATCGATGAATTCTTCTTTGCTCATCGAAAGCATTGAGCTCCTTTCACTTTTACCAGATGGAGGAAGACTGTGTTTTCTATCATATGAAGCTGACAATTTATGCCGATCAGTTTCGAGCGCTCCGTCTTGCTTCTTATTATGCTCCCTGTCCATGTGAAAGTCGAGCATTACTTTTGTGGAGAAGGTTCTCCCACAACCTTGATTGTCAATAAGATATAGAGGCAGTAATATTCTTATCCATGTACCATATAATTATATAAAGGATTACCAGGCTCTCCACAGGTTTTTGTCTTCTGATCCAAGCTTGCGAGATTTTTGCTAAGTCCAGCACCAAGCCCCAGATCTCGACGCGCAGTTCTTCCACCCCTTTCTCCTGCTTGATAAGCATCTTTTTCTACAACTGTATCCACAAATGAGCTCGTTTTTGACAAAAAAATCATCAGAAAATTCGTAGATCAGTTCCTAAGGAGTCTCTCGAGGCGCTCAATTCTCTGATTCTGCTTCTCGATCTTTCTCGCCGAGAGGCCCATTCTCTGTCCGATTTTTCATCAGCATGATTTTCTGCATGAAATTTCAAGGCTCTCTCCGAACGGAAAGATTTATTGCATTGAGAGCAGTTATATTCTCCCATTTTCGGAAATAAAGTTTTTCTGACGTGTGGTATGACCGCAGCGCGCTTTTGCAAGAGACAACAGATGACTCCTCCCTCCACGAATAGTCTTTAATTTTGAACATGAAAGAAGGGCAATAAAAATAATTGATGAAAATTTTTGATATTGATTAAATCTTCAGCGGGTAACTCCATTTTGCCAATTAAGAATGTAACAAAATATCAGAAAAGCGGGATTTTTCGCGGTGCATGATATCAAATAAATAAGGGACTCTTACGTCTTGCTGGAAAACTCTGATGCGATGTGGTCGCCTGGCCTAAACAAAATGACCAAAATTATCGACTACCAGTTCGCAGTTTTTGGAACCTCTATTTTGGAGCGCACTGGTCGGTAAACAATTGCTCTTATGCTCAGTAGGTTTTTTCTCATTCGGAACCGGACGGTCGGGTCATGAAGCAACTGCTCACCGTTTTCGCCGCCGTTTACGGTAAGAGACTTTCTATAAGAGGACTTTCAATCAGAAGATTTTAAAAGAGAAAAAAAATAAACTAAAATTTTCAGGCGCCGAAGAAGGTAGTGACCGTGGGTACTACGGTCCCAGCTATCAATCGGGCTACCAGAAGCCTTATCAAAAGCAGCCCTACAAGGAAACCTACCAGGCTTCCAATTACAAGCCCAATCCAGGTTATCAGAATCAGGGGACATATGTTAGTCAGCCAGGTTATGGACAAGCCACAGGAAAATGCGCTGTTCCTCCAGCAAAGGGAGGTTACTGGACTTGCCGATTAAAGCTCGCGCGAAAACGTCGAGAAGGCGAAGAAGAGGGTGATGATAGAGGAGCATATGTCAATTACAACGGCTACGTAAAGGAATGTTCGCTCACCTGTCATCCCGGCTGGGAGCTTGTCGGCAGTGCCACAGCCGAGTGTAACTCTCAAACTGGGTTCTGGTACAACAGTGCAAGCGGTTACTGCAAGCAACTCGTAAAATGTACAGATTTAACGGCTGTCTACGGATCATACACGTGCAGTGGAGATATTTATAACCGAAAGTGTACATTGAAATGCCCAAGATACTGGTTCTCGCGAACTGGAGTCAATGAGTTCGAATGCACTGAAGGAAGATGGAACGGAAACTCCGATTGCGAATTTGTGAATAAATGCCAAGATCCACCACGAGGAGAAAACTATGCTTATCAATGCTCAATTCAACCTTGCCAGCAGTACGATCCGTATGATCAATATTTACCATCAAATGCTCCCCCATACAATCAGCAGTATGTGAACAAGTACAAGCAGCAAGCTAATGCATACGTCAGCAAAAATCCTTACAAAAAGAGTCCTATCCCCATTTCTGCTTATACAGAAGCTGATAAGAAGCGAAAGAATAAGAAGAACAACCAGAATAAAGGTCGACGCCGAAGAGAAGAAGAAGACGAGGCTCAAGACCGAAGCGCCTGGGACGATGAAACTGAAGAAAACAGCTACAGAGGGTACAATGATCCTTACCAAGTCGGTAGCCCTTACAGTTACCCCGGTCCAGATCTTTGCTACGTCTGTTACCTAAAATGTGACCCTGTCCATCGAGCAACTGCTGGTTACAGAGCTCAGTGCTCGTTGTCTGACGGAAAATGGTTTGAAAAGGCTATCGGAACTTGCAATTTCGAGCATTATTGCTACTGGCCATCTGCTGGCCCGATGGGTTACTACCAGTGCTACGATAATCTTCTTAATCTTGGGTACTATGATCAGGGACACTCTCTCATTCCTCAACCAGGATCTGCTTACGTCGGAGGATACGGCAGCAATTATGGAAGTGCGTACCCTAACAAAAATTATGGTAGCTCTTACGGAAAGCCATATTCTAACCCACCATATGGTCGAAAGCGAAGAGAGGGAGAAGATGAATCTGAACCGCAAGGCGAGGAAGTATCAGGCCGAGGATATTATGGAGGCGGTTATGGAAATAGCTACAGCGGCCAAACTACTGTCAAGGTCACTCAGACATCAACCAAGGTGACAAATGTCCAGCAGACAACCGTCGTTGTTAACTATGCCTGGTGGGATGCAAAACTTACTTGTCGAATCTTCTGCGCTCGATTCCACAAGCCAAAGAATGGCCAAAAAGAAGCAAAATGTTCGCTCAAGACGTCATACTGGAGCCCCGGACCAACTCAATGTGTTTACTCTTCTCCATGCCGAACTCCTTCCACACCTTATGGTGTCTTCCAGTGTTGGGAACAGACTATCCCAGAAGATGATGATTACAGTTACACCCGAACGGACTCCTTCGAAAAGGGTGAATTTGCTCGAAAACGTCGAGAAACAAACGGCACCGAGGAAATGTCATCTGAAGACCTCTTTGAGCTCGAATCAGATGACTTCTACACCGGTGTTGAAGATTTCGATCCATTTTCCCACGAAAAACAAACTATTGTTGGCCGTGGAAAGAAATGGGGTGTTCCAAACGCGCCTGAAGTTGACAAGTCAAAATGGAACTTCTCTGTCAAAAAAGAGTGCGTCCTCTCTTGTAACGACTGCTACAGCCCAACAACCCAGCGAGCGGTTTGCATCAATGGTGTCTGGCTTGAGAACTACAAGCCAGGAAAGTGCAATCACTGGCGACACTGCCCAGACGAACCATGGTGGGATCAAGGACAAGGTCAGTGGGATTGCAAAGATGCCGGAAAATTCCGAACTTGCAACCTTCGATGTCGACGATTCTACATCGGTGCTCCAATTGTTCCCGCACTTGCTCCTCCACCAAATTACAACCCAATGCAAGGACAAGGGGGTGCTCGATGCAAGCCAATTCATGAACTTGACAATGGTTGGTGGCAATGTAAGACTGAGAAGAAACCATACACATGCCGAGTTATGTGTAATCAAGGATTCGTGCCATCTACTGATGCTCTCCTTGAGGCTACTTGTGAAAACGGCCAGATGTTCCCTTCAATGCCTAAAAAGAAGACCGCATGGGGTTGCGTCGCTGGCGCCTGTGATCCCGATAAATTCGGCGCTTCCTGTTGGGGACATGGTGACGCTTGGGGCGAGTTTAGCAGCTATCTCCACACTGTCGGTGTCAATGCCGGATACGAAGGCAGCTATGGTGATAAGAGCTACGGCTCGAGTTACGGACGAAAGAGACGATCCGAAGGTGATGACTACTGGGAATATGACGAGGACTATACTGACGGAAGTAGCACTGACGGTTTCGGTCGAAGCTACTCTTCTGGCAAAGGCTATTCCTCGCAATATCCAGCAGGATACAACCCAATGATCTCCCTGACATCCAAGTGCGATAACTGCAACGGACAGTGGGAGAATCAAGTTCATTGTATTTTCAACACTCGATGTCTTGATGTTCCACCGAGAATCAACAATGCTTACGTCGAATGTCAGAGAATCATCGAGGAAACAGAGAATAAACGAAGCACAATCACTACAGATAACCACGTTTGCATGGTTCAATGTCATGAAAATTATGCTATCCAACAAGGATCGTGCCAAACAGCGCCTGCCAGCACTAAGGGAGGATCTAAAGGAGGAAGAGGTCGACGACAAGCTTATCCCAACCAATATGCTGGATCTTACAAGCCAAATTACGCTGGATCTTATAAGCCTGGATACGGAGCGTCTTACGTCGGATCTTCTTCTCAGTCTGTTTCCTATTCTCAAACTCACTCCACAAGTGGATATAGCACTTCCTATGGATCAACGGACTATCACAAGATTCCAGTCAAGTATGAAAATAAACCCTACAATACTGTCGGACAAGTGACCATTCAACACGAAGAAGAGGTTGAATACTACGATCCAGAACAACCAGGAGCTATGCGATGCAACGCTGAGTCCGGCGAATGGGATTCGTGGTGCAAGTGCGAATGGAACCTCAAATGTGAAAAGCCAGAAAAACCAAATGCAAAGTACGACTGCTGGGAAGAGGATGGTATGACAGTTTGCCAGCTTACATGCAAGGGCAACGGTCAATTTGTCCCCGCCAAATGGTCGGACACTTGGAAATTCTCCTGCAAGCGTGGTATCTGGATCGGAAAGGAACCACAGGGCTGCAAGTACGAACCTCCATGTGAAAAATACAAAGTTTCACAAGCAAAAATGACTAACTGCAAGAAAGAGCGATGTCAGGCTCCACTTGCTGTTTACCAAGAGAAGATGCCTGGACAGCGATTCTACGAAGGAGCTTCTTACGGTGGACCTTCACCCGGACAATATGCTGCCTCAACTCAATATGCTAACTCACCATACTCAAGCACCAAAAAGGGACGAAAGCGACGAGAGACTGAAGATGAAGAATACGAAGGAACTGTTGAGGTCGACGAAGATGGCGATTTCATGACATTCAAATACGTTGATGGTGTCCCAGTTATGGATCCAGTTGATTCTTACGAAGGTGAAGATGCTGGAGAACCAGAACCATACATGGAAGACATCGACTACGATGATCAAGACGAAGAATCACGATTCGGCCGAACTGACTTGGGCGAAGAACGAGGCAAAATCAAAAAGAATCAAAAGAAGAAACAAAGCAGCACTAAAAATTCTGTCACATATTCTGGATTCGGAACTTGCATGTCTCGACGACGAGTCTCATACGGTTGGATTCACTGTTACGCATCTGGTGCATACAACCCTGTTCATGGCTACGAAAAGCCAATTTATTATGGAAAAGGCTATGATTCTAGCAAGTACAACACTTACAAGCAACAAGTTTCATACGGTTACATCAAGGCCGTCGATACCTCTAATGGAGATATGACCTACGGCAAGCCAGGAGCACCAGCTAAAAATAACTACTATGGTCAGCGATTAACAGCCAAGAAGGAATGCGAAGCTGAAATCCTTATGCCAAATGGACATTTGGACTGCCGAGAAGTTGGTGAGAGCTCCGTCTGCAAACTCAGATGTGATGCTGATCATACACCGGCTCAAATGAACCAGTATGCCTCCTGCACCGACGGTGAAATCAGCCAACAGCTTTCTTGTGTTGCTGGATACTGTGATGAGTACACATTTGGTGACTCTTGCTTCAACGTTACTGTGAACGCAGATGAAGACGCTGAAGAGCGACGTCGACGAGAAGCAGAAGGATCAGGCGATGACGAACCATCATACAGAGATTCTGGTTTCGATAGTGCTGATGAGGACATGATGGTTCTTTATGATTCTGATGAAGATGAATCTGTTCAGCGATCCCTTGCTCGAACATATTCGACGGCTAAACCCGTTGCTCAACCCGGAGCTACTGCCTACTGTCAGTTAATCTGTGATAAGAATTCGTACCCACAGGGACAGACCCATTTCGAATGTAATTCCGCTACTGGTGCTTTCACGCCGTCTATCATGGGCTGTAAACGAGACGCTCCTTTGACCAAGATTACCGAGGAAGTCAAAAAAGTCGTCAACGGTAATGTTTGGACTACATGCACTGTTTGCGATGTCAACTGCAAGAACTTCTACGTTGGTGGTGGTCATGCTAAGTGTGTAAAGGGCTACTGGTTCGAAGAACCAACATGCGAGAAGTACACTCCATGTGCCAAACCAAACAATCCTGCCCATGGAGAATACACTTGTGTCTACGAGCACGAATGGATGCCTGTTCAGACAAATGGTTATCAAGCCATTCCAAACACACCATATGGTGGCTACAATGGTGGTGCCTATCCACAACCTGGAGGGTACTACAATCCTTATCCCGGCCGAAAGCGTCGATCTGGTAACGAAACCGAAACTGAAGGCTCTGGTGAAGAAGAAGAAGATCAAAAAGAAAAGCCTAAAAAGAAGAAGGAAGCTTCGCCATGGAGAGGTGATGTCTGGGAAGGTAACGAAGACACCTACGAAGGAAATCTCCGATCTCTCGAAGATAGCCTGGAAAACATGGGCCTCAAATCAATGGACGGTTACAGATGGGAAGATATGGCCAGCAAGAAAATGCTTTGCTCTCTTACATGCGAGCCTGGATACACGGCTGTTCAGCCTGTATCAATTTGCGTTGACGGAACTTGGGTTATCCCACCATCTTATTGCAAGCAGGACTACAAATGTCAACCTCCATCACGAGATCCCTTCGGACAGTGGTATTGCCGAGTTGAACAGGTCGGTGGATCATACTACAGTTCTGGAGGATATGGTGGCGCTTACAAGCCAACATATAGCTACAAACCATCTGGATATGCAAGCCCGAGCTCTTATCCAAGCCCGCCTGCTTATGGAGCTCCAAGTTATCCAAAATCCCCAGCTTATGGCCGACGACGACGAGCTGTCGACAAACATGGTTTCAGCGAAGTCATTGATCAAGATGAACAATCTGACCGAGACTCTGGAATCGATTACGAGTTCTCTGACTACATCGCTGTTGATAATACTTTCAATATTGATGGTTTCCGAGCTGTTTCCGATGATGCAGATGAAGGATCCAACAGATGGGAGCAATACAACACTAGAAAAATGCTCGTCTGTACATTGACTTGTTACGACGGAACCTACGGATATGGCTCGTCGAAGGCCATGTGCGATCTTTCTACTGGATTCTGGTACCCCAAACCAGGAAAATGTAACGCGTTCGACGGGTACTCAACAAAATGTTCTCAGCCATATGCCAACTACGGTTCTTACAAATGCTCCAAGGTTTATGGCGAGCCAAAACCATACAGTGAAAAGCCAAATACCTACTACTACGGTAATGGTATCAAGGCCACTTACCCAGCAGCCCAAGTTTACGGAACTTGTCCATTGAAAACAAATGTCAGTGGTGGTTTCGTCACTTGCGAGAAGCAGGGATACGGATACTTCTGTCAACTTATGTGCAGCAACGGGTACCGACCAGCCACTAGCCAGACATTCTCTGGATGCTCCAACGGTAAATTCTACGTCAACAATTTCTACTGCCAGCCTGGTTATTGTGACCCTACCGTTTACAAGCAATCTTGCTATGGCTACTCGAAAGGTGGTTACAACCCACCATCATATGGTAGAAAACGGCGAGAGACAACTGAGCTTGTAAGTGACGCTCACGATGATCAAGGGGACTTTGGAAGCACATGGTCCGAACCAAATGCTGTTATGGGTCGATACAGTTCTAGCCATTTAGTTTGTGACTTGAACTGCTCACCTGGCTACACCCCGCAAAATGGACGATGGGTTGCTAAGTGCGATGAGACATCCGGAAAGTGGCTCAGTCCACCAACTCACTGCTCTAAATCTCACTACAACCCCATGTGTAATCAGAAGTATGTGAACGGTGGTTACCTCAGTTGCGGTTACAAGAAACAAGGGACTGCTTACACAACCTCATGCACGCTTCATTGCTATGACGGATTCGTCCCACGAGATCCTTATCGAACAACTTACCAGTGCAACTATGCTTCTGGTGCTTTTACTCCTCAACCGATCGGCTGCAAGGTGAAGACTCTTCCATCATACCCAGAATATTGCAAAGAGCCTGCCCCCATTCCATATGGACAGTGGAAGTGCTATCTCCAAGATTATGATGCCCCTTACCCATCTTCAACAACACGAACTGAGGACTGGGATTCTATCAAGACTGATCCAGCACCACCTCGAAAGGGAGCTAAAAAGATTGGCCGAAGACGACGAGAAATCAGTGGTGCTGATTATTACAGCGATGAAGTTCAAGTCATTGGCGATCAGCTCGAAAACAAACATACTAAGCTTTCCAAGAAGCAAATGAGCCGCTCTTACAACTACGGCAAGCCACAGAACTACGTCTGCCTCGCAAACTGCGATAATGGATATGCATTCTCCGGCTCGTACATTGCTGTCTGCCGAGTTCCTACTGGGCAATGGCTTCAGCCACCCGCTGCATTCTGCAACAAACAGCCCCCAGCAAACAAATACTGTTACCGACCTCAGGTCAACTATGGTTACTACATCTGCGATGAAGATCAATACGCTGGCTACGGTAATGTCCATTATGGCCTCCTCAGATGTAATCTTCGATGCAACCCTGGTTACAGGTAACACTTTTCTTTGTTTTTTTTTGTGGTAAAAATATTTAGACCCGCTAACGGACGATGGGAAGCACGATGTGATCAGAACAACGGTATCTGGCAGATTCCAGCAACCAACTGTGTCCCAGAAGTCGCTACTTGCCAGAATGTTCCTTCTCTTGACAACGGTAATGTGGAATGCGAAGATTACATCGCCGCCGACACTAACTACATGAAGTCCGAAAGTGACGACAGCGAAGAAGAAAAGGCACCAGTTGAGGCAGTCAAGACAACTGCTAATCCTAAGTTTACTGTTCCAACTCCTGATCCAAAAACGCTTGTCGGCGCTACCGGCGCTTGTGAGCTTTCTCCAGCTATCAATGAAGTCAAGGGTGGTGTTATGGATTGCCGAGAATCTTCAAGCGGCCAAGTGCTTTGCATGATCAAGTGCGCAGAAAACTTCCGTCCATGGCACGGAGAGCTTATCATCATCTGCAGAGATGGTGTTTATTACAACCGAAAGAATCCACTCCAAGTTCAAAAGAACATGAAGTGCAAAGAAGCTCCTTGTGATCCAGAGAAATATGGAATTGCTTGCTTCAATCACCCAAAGAACCGAGAACGACGAGAGGGAGAATTCGAGCGAGCTCTCAAGTAAGATAAGAATGACTTGATCAAAATAAATTTATTTTCAGGACTGTTGAGCGACGATCTGTTGAAGAAGAGCGCGGAAAGAAGAAAAAGAACCAAAAGAACGAGGACTACAACTCTGTCGGTTTCAGGCGATGTACTGCCACCTGTAACAATGGTTACGTTATGCAGGTAGAAATGAAACGCATCTCTTCTCTGAAATAACTTTTGAAAAGGGTTCCACAATGGCTATCTGTAATATGGACAGCGGAATTTGGGAAGTCGTCCCAGGAACTTGCATGGCTACTTATGGTGGCCGCGAAACTGTCAGCTGTGTTGCTCCACAAGCTCTTGACAACGGCAAATGGAAATGTAAACTTACCACTAACGAAGCAGCTATGCGTGGTGAAGAATTCGTCTCGATTTCTGAGGAAGAGGAGGAAGAGTTCAACAACTACAACAAACAAGTATGAAATCTTTGAAAAATTACTTTTTTAACAATTTGATAAGGCGATGTCTCAAGTTGCTGAGCGAGGTCTTTGGGATATTGTGCCTGATCATGAAGAAAGCAGAAAGCGACGATCTACCGATGCCCAGTGGGGTAACCAACTTGCTCGATTTGCGTCGACCACTTACCTCGTCTGCCAGATGAAATGTAACAGTGGATTTGTTCCTAAACAGGCGAACTCTGTCAAGATCGGCTGTCGACAAACAGATACTGAATGGATCAAGCCTTACTCGAAGAGCGTCCACCGATGGTAAAATTGAATGAAAAAAATCTTTAATAATGTCAATTTAAGTGTTCCTGAGCCACCACCACAACCACCAAAGAAAGAAATCGTCGACCAGTGCCAGCGAAAACCTGGTAAAGTCAAGAACGGTGCGTATAAGAACTGCGAGGAGAAAGATGGCAAGATCACGTGCCGACTTCAGTGCAAGGCTGGTCATGTTCCAGAAGGCAAAGCAAAATGGGCTTGCAAGGATGGAGTCGTCACCAGTCCACCAACGCAGTGCGTAAAACTTCAGGCTCCAGAGAGACAAGCTGATTGCCAGACACCTAATGTCAAGAATGGTCAATACATCTGCAACTGGAGTGTTGCTTGTATCGACGAGACTCTTGGAAAGGAGTGTGTCAGAAAATGCAAGCTTAAGTGTGACTCAGGTATGTCTTTCATAATCTTTTTGGATGAAATCTAACAATTTTGCAGGCTTTGAACCACTTGATGGTGCCAAGGACGCCGTGTGCGACCGATCCTCAAAGACTTGGATCAAACCAATCAGTGTTTGCGTCCCAGAGAACTTCGAAAACGACGGAAGTGTTGTCATTACTTCTCCTAAAGAAGTCGTCTGGAAAGCTGAAACCGATGATCTTACCGAAGCTGTCGCTGAAGTTGAAGCCACTCAAGCTCCAACTGAGGCTCCTACTGAAGCGCCCACTGAAGCCGCAACTGAAGCTGCTCCTGAAGAAGACCGATCCGAGTTTGATGAGTCTGCTGATCGAGGAGAAAAGGGCAAAAAGAACAAAAAGAAGAAGGATAAGAAAGCTAAAAAGGACAAGAAAAAGAAGGACAAAAAGAACAAGAAAAAGAAGGGTGGTGACGACTCTGAGAAGGATCACCCTGACTGCGGCTGGGGATATGGAACCTGTCCACCAGTCAAGGGAAAGAATGTCCAAGCTTGCTTACCAGAATCGCCAATCTATGATCAAGGCAAAGAGAAACTTACCGAGTCAGGCAAGGTCGGCTGGAACTGCCAAGGTGATGGAGTCAGCGAAGGTACTCGCTGTTTCGCTATCTGTGGACCTAGTGCCGTCCGAGCTATGCAAGTCAGCCCAGATTTCGATTTGGAATGTGGCTGCCGAATGCGTAAAGATGTCAACGGACAGATCGCCAAAATGTGCACATGGAAGGGCAAGATCAAGACTCATTGCAACAGTAAGTTATTTTCTCAGAAACAAGTATTCATGCGTTTTAGGAATGATGTGTCCACCACTTCGACCAGTCAAGAATGGCCAGTACATTGCAACAAGCAAGGCTGAAAAGAAACAAATGGCGCGTGCCCGACAATTTTCCAATGGCGAAATTTCCCTCGCTCAGGCTGGCTCCATCCTTCAAGCTCGATGGGGTAAGGAGTTCAAGAGCTGCCCAACTGGAGTCGCTATTCCCAAGACCAAGGTCGAATGTACTCTTCAATGTGATGCCGGATTTGTTCTCGGAATCTCAAAAGATGGATCCATCAAAAAGGTAAAGCAGTAGATCAAACTTTGAGTTCTACCTTCGTTTCTAGACCAACAGCCAAAAGGCCTCATGCTCCTGTCAGCCAACTCCAAATCGCGCTCCAGGCTATGTCTGCAAGTGGGAACACAAGGCTGACGTTTGCGTCCTACCCTCAGAAACCGGCAAGCAAAACAAGAAGAAGAAGACCAAGGGTTAAATGACAAAAACACCTGTCCTTTGTACTGTACATAAAATCTGACAAAAACCCCCTAAATTGATCATTTTTTACTCCTTTTTACTTTGAAGCACTGTATTTCTACTGGTACATCAGTTCAAAACCAAACCAAAGGTTTTCTTTAGCAATAAAGCTAACCAAGCATTCATAATTCCAGCTTATTTTGAAATCAACGAAGAAAACAAGAAAAAAATTAAATATGCAAAATAATGATCCACAGCTGAATAACACGGCAGCCAAGAAAGCTGGTTTAAACAATCGACCGGGTGGCCTGGGGTTAATAATTAACAAGTTCTCTTTATTTCGCAAGCATAATAAATTTCCACTTGGCGACGTACGCAAGGAACGAAGGTCGGTCTTTTTCACGCGGAACTTTCTTTGTGAGGATTTCCTCTTTATTCAATGGCCAAACCGTAATAATAAAGAATAGGTCTTTGATATTTTGAAACGTGGTTTTGGAGACTGGTCGAATTTCCACTTTTCAAAAAGCGGCCGTTTAGATATTTTTGAAAATTTTGAAGTCTGAAAATTTGCCCATCCGTGCGAGGAATCTGAGCTTTCCGGCTCACTTACAGTGTCCATAAAATTTGCCAATTAGCATTATCCACCTGTACAAATTACTATCGAAGCAGCATTGAATATCAGTGTGAAATTTGAAAGTACCATAAAACCCAAGCTTATCCTTATCAAAATCACCGATATGCTCAGTTTTTCACGGCAGCCATAAATTTTCCCGTCACTCAAAAGAAAAAGATAAATCTTCAGAAATGAAAATGTGACCTTGTCTTCTTGTCAAAGTGCTTAAATTCTTAGCTGCTGGATGTAGTAAATCCTGGATACCTATTTTACAAGGACAGGGCTTTCATCACTTGGCTCCGCGTTTGCCAGAATATAATTGCCGGCGGTGCCATCAAAGGCTCGGCCAATTTTCGAAGAAATTATCAAGGTCATTCTCCAATGCTAGGAAAAATGGCATCAAAAATACAGACCGTACAACTGACAATTTACAGTTGAAACTTTCAACTTGAAAGTCATTTACTCTGGTAGAAAGGGCGAAAACTAACTTGGAATTATAAATTATCACTGATAAATTATTATTTTAGCCTTGATCGTTAAAGTCTTTCAGTACTCATCAGTGATGAGTCATCACTGAAAGAGTGAGTCTCATCAGAATAGCATCTATTTTTAAACGTCTGAGAACGCTAAACAAGGTCGTTTCAAATCTGACCCCGGCGCACCTGCTCCGAGAGTACAGTCACGCGCGAAAAAAGCGCGGAAACTCGGGCGCTAGAGATCGCGCGACGCAAAATTTGCGCGTCCATGAATTGACCAAAGCAAAAAGCTAAAACTAGAGGAAAATAAGAGCTCGGCTGACATTTTGTTTTTCGCTCGTAAAACGGGAAACACTCATAAGAAAATTGAACAACCGCCGCTTTTTATTTGAAGACAAACAATAATTATGAAGGAGAGATAGAAAACAAACAGAAAACAACGTAAATAAGCCAGAGAGAAACAAGAAAGAAAAAAAGAAGAAAAGAAAATGAAGCCGGACATTTTTATCAATATCACGGCCACATTGCAAAGCGTCTTCAAATTTGGAGAAAACGAATTTTACAAACTTGCAAAAGATCACGACGATCTTTATCTTTATGGAAAAAATGCTTTTGTATCTTTCGAAAATCTACAACCAAGGTTCGTTTTCAAATTTATAATTAAGGTCAAACGCAATTTTCTAATAATATTAAGTATTAACTTATTAATTATTTTACAAATTTTTAGCCTGTTAGGCTTTTTTTGATAGGTTTCACCCCCTAAAAAGACCGCACGGGGCTGTTAGAGCGGATTTCGGACATAATTATTTCTATTTTCTTTCGAAAAACTGATGGTCAAATTTGTAGGCTCCATGAAGTCAATTTCCCTGGCTCATCCCTCGCCGAAAACAGCTGTCTTCGAGCAAAGCTCCAAGCCTGTTCCAACTACATTCATCACATATCTACCGTCGGCTCTGACCAACTCATCTGCGGCTCGTACTACGCCCAGCCGAAGTGCGAGTACAGAAACACTTATTTCGAAGCTCATAATTTCATCTCCGACGGATCAGGCGCTACGAACGGATTTGTGAAAACGCTTGGTCGCGATTCAAGTTTCTTAGGGAGGGTTCTTTTTATTGAAAACAACTTTCGCGGGCATAAATCATTGACAAAATATCGGACATTATCGCGTTACGGCGGATTTAGATTTAGGCTCCATCCATCATCTTTCTAATTTATCTCGAAAGAAAGCCGCAAGGCTTGAATTTTACAATAATTACTGAAATTTTGATCTGAAGAAACCGAATCAACGAAACCGCAGAGAGGAAATTTCAAAGAAAATTTCTTGAATAAAAACGTCGAAATCATGTTAAAAGCAATTACCCCGCCATAACCCGAATACTTCTATTCTCCGCAAAGATGCACCTGTCCCCCGCTCGAGTCTCACAAAAATACTCAACCCAATAATTGTCCCTTTGTTTTTATCGCCCTGCCGCGGCGTAAAAAAGGGATGAAACCGCTCAGTTTCAGAGCAAAATTTATGAACCCAATAAAGCCGTTGCCGAGGTGTCACGTGGCCATCACTCTGGACTCTTCGAGCTCGTCAATACAGGCGATAAGCCGTACTCGATTTCTGATAAGCCTTTGGATGAAATTTTCCCAGCACAGGTGCAGCTCTACGCCGCTGCTAACGAACAGGAAGTGACCTATTTGCTGGGCACTGAGAATCCCTTGGGAGCCCCATTCATCGCCAAACTTTGCGTAAACAACGACAAACTTCAAGGTGAGACGCGTTGCTTTTCCGGATCAGCGAGCTTTTGTGCGTTCTGAAACAACAACCGTGCCTCTTGAGATGCTTCGCGATGGCCTCGATTGTCGAAATTTGTATCTTTATTTCGCTCTCACACATGTATCACTGAAGAAGCCGCACGCGGCTATCTATATCGCAAATGAAACCTTCTCCGTGATTAATTTTCAACTCAAGAATCAACCACAACGACCTTAACCGCCTTCTTTGATCCTGAACCCCCGATTTGAGCGGTTGGTTGTTTTATTTGCCCTAATCGATAATAGTCGATAGCGACTTCTATCACCGGTGGTTACCGATTAGGACCGGTGCTTCCGGTCCAGTTTTTGGGTAAACTTTCAATTTCGCGCCGGGTTGAGTTTTCAAGGGGCGAACCAATTTAGGCTGTTGCGAAAACACACTGGCGAAAATCAACAAAACCAATTGCTGTACCGGTTGTTTATAAAACAGGGCATCGTAGGGTCGAAAGTGTATATTTAGAAATATCTCAGTAGAACAAGGTTAGAGCGTTCTTTTACAGTTGTTTGATAAATAAGCTACGTGAAGTGAGAAAAATCCTTTGAGCGATTATTATTGAAGCAAATAGAATTCTCAAGTTTAGAGCAAAGAGATCTCAAGGGTTCTTTTTGACAGCGAAATTTGTAAAAAAACCGCTGCCGGGAATTTGTCCAAACTTATGTCCGAAATTTCACGCATCATATAAATTATCACTTCTTAATGTCAACCGTCCAATTTTGAATGTTGAACTTAGAAGATGAGAATAAAATCTCGTATTTTTCAAGCTTCACTAACTAAACAAGATAGCCTAAGTGCTCATTTGAAGTATTGATATTGAGCCGCGAATGAATTCGAAAATCGAGACTCAAGTTTTATTCAGGCCCTGTGATCGAAAGTCCTACAAGCTGGTCGAGTGTCGTCCGCGCAAATTTGCGGTGCTGCGATAAAGAGCGAAACTGCCGATTTTCGAAGCCCATTCAAGCGAGCACGCTCCGTTTGAATAATGAAGAAGAGCTGCTTTTGGTGCTCCTTCAAAGTCAAGGTAAACTGAGCGAGGCCTTTCCTATTTGGCATAAAACAGTAATGTATTGTGGGCGTTAATCTCTTAAAAACCTGAACCCAAGTACGTTTATCCGTAAATTACATCCGCCCTTGTCAACCAAAAATCCCTACCGCGCGCTGAATTTGGCACTTTTCCATCCTTCCGCCTTTTTTGAACTTTCTATCTTATAAAAAACCTGGGAGAGGAACAGATAAGCTGGCAATTTTCGCTAGATAAGCCTCACTTTATCAAGCTCTTTTCCCGCTCGCTGGAATACTTCGCTCCTGGGGGAAGTTCTAAGAGATTAGGGGAATTGAGAATTTGCGAAAACATTCAAACATCTGGGATTTTACAACTCAGTGAGTACAGCAGCCCTCAGGCGCTGAGTAGGGAGAGCAGGATGATTAGGTTGACAAGCAGGATTCTCTAATTATGACTAGAATTGACGCTTTGATGAGTAAAGTGGATTTATAGAGCGCACTTCTAATTTGACAATCATTTGTTATCAAATAAACATTCATAATCATGAGTTTCCACGATGAATTTCGAATGAATATTTTAGAGTACGATGAGTCCGCTCTTTGCATGTTTCGAACGAGCGAGCTTTCCAAGTTCTTTGGCTCTTCCTGCTCTTCTAGCAGACCTGCGATGGACTACACCTCAGAAGCGCTTTTGACGACAAAAGCCCAATCATTCGACGCAGACGTCAAAAAAGACGCACTCCGCGTTGGTAAGCTCATTAGCCCATTATCTTCAATATTTCAAAGCTCTTGATCAGGGCTCCCCTTCATTACGGGGGAGAGCTTTTGTTATTCTCTCACTTTGAGTGATCACCATAAATAACATTATTTAAGCCCTGATGGAGACAAATGAACAGTTTTCGGTGTCAAAATTGACTGTAAAACTGCAGCCCGCAAATAGCCCAATCGTCAGTCCAAATTTCCGCGTCCAACTTTCCCAGGGTCTTCAAAAAATCCATCAACTCAAAGTGACACAGAACAGCTTGATCCTCCGCGGGGAGGAAGAATTGTTGAAGATGGATTTCCGATCGTGCGAAGTGTATAAAACGTGTGGAACATGTGTAGCTATTGGTGATGTTGACTGCGGCTGGGACGCGGCTGTGGGACGATGTACCCCTGGAGGGTCGAGTGACACTTGTGACATTCGTCTTGTTCCAGTCCAACCGAAGAACGACTTTTCGGCCGACACCTTGGAAAGCATCAGGATCAACACATCGGAAATTGAGATTTTCGACGAGTTCAAAGTTATCCGCGCTGATGGGGAAAAGGTCGACCCCAGTCTTTTCCCAGGACAACATCACAAAGATCGAAGTCTTCTTATTCTCAACGTTCTTGACCGACCAGATGCAGGAGAATATGTCGTCGAGTTCTCATTCCGTCGTTTTGTCGTTTTTCAATCGTCGTTTTTCATCACATCAAATGATAATGGATTGAAAGATGATAAACCAGATGATTCGCTCCCAACACAAGCAAACGCAGGATCTCCACTATCGATCATCATCGGTGTCCTCATCCCCTTCCTAATCGCTATCCCGATCTGTTGCTGCTGTCTTCGTCGAAGAATGCAGCGAGAAATGGCCAAAAATCTTGAGCTTGCCAAGAGCTCCCAGCAACGCTTACCACCAGCTGGGCAGAGCAACTCTGGTTCTGAATTCGAAATCGCCTTGTTGAAAAAATCGGATTCCGTCGCAAGCAGCGCAAAGGAGGATAAATTCATTCAGTCACGAGATCAGATTGATGGACAATCAGAAAATCGCTCAGACAGGTAATAAATAGAAGAGATTATATATCGATGGAGAATTGTTTTAATAAAAAGCCTCTCCAAAGTAAAAACTTGAAATGGCAGGATATCACTAAACAAAGGCGTTTTTGTCCTGATTTTCAAATAAATCCTAATCTATACAAATATCACAGCTACTGCTTTCAATGACTGTTTATTTTAGGGATAACAGTGAGGCTTTCATGTCTTGCAGCAGTCGACCAGAAAGTGTGCAGTCGGACGATAGGAGTGCGGCGATGGTGATTTTCCCCGACGGAACGATCAAGAAAATTGCGGCAGAGAAGGTGCAGAAAATGTCAAATCACATGGCCGATGTGACACTTGATTTTGCTGAGAATGAACGATTCATCCACGGTTTGTAAAGTGACTCTTGACCATTGCTTATTTTCCTCTAGGGACTCTTCGAAAGTCGCAAAAGAAGAAAAATGGCCAAAAACCTGACAGTCGTAATCTGAGCAACTAAAATCTCCAACTGAAGACCAACTTTAACTTATTCTAACTGCCAAACTTGCCAGAAAAGGCGCTTGCATTCCAACTTCCATTTTTGTAAATAAAACATTTTAGAGCAAAACTCTTTAATTTGTTTGATTCTTGAAGCAGGCGTGTGAAACGTAAATACGCTAATTCAAGGCAATCGCAAATTCGAAAAAATCGGAAAAGAGGATCAGCAAAATATGTCAGAGGAACTGACTAGCTACGGTGTTTCCGCCATCGTAATTTTTTTCATCGGCACTTTTGTTGGTCTCATTGCTGCTTATTACACGCAGGTACAAGAATGATAGTGAATTAATGGCATATAAATATTTCAAAATAGCTCAAAGTAGGAAGAATTGGTGGATTACCGTGCTTCACGCCAATTGTAAGCCAAATGTCTGGTGTGTCGAACAATGCTTATAGAAATCCTTGACGGAAATAGACTTCTTAGAATTCACATCATTTGATAATAAATTATGAAAACAAGAAGGAAAACAACAAAAATAAAGCAATACAGTCTGCTCTGAGCAAATCTAAAGCTTCTGACCTAAAAGCCTTCTCAAAGTTTGCCATCTAAGAAACATCTTTTTTTTTCCATATCAAATTGACTCTATCGGCCTTTGTCGGGAAAGAGAAGTCTCCAGCCGTACTCAAAGCAATCAGGCTCATTAAAGATCGCAATCGCAAAAGAAGGAGTTTCACCTGGTCGCACGCTGCGACTGGCGCACACGCAGTTGCTTCTCTAATCTCGCCGTCGCTGGAGGTCAGTAGCGTTGTTTCAGGTCACCTGCTGACACTCATATAAATAAGAACCAAGAGCTTTTGGGAAACAGAAACAAAAATTGCAATTATAAAAAACAACAAAGGAAAAGATGCCAAAGTTGACAAAACTCCTCGCTCTTTTTCGAACCTCCGGCAGAACCTTCAGCATCCAGACCGAAAAACTCTCCCGCAACTTCTTCACCCCTCAGCTCTCCCGAAAACTCTCCCTGAAGAAGAAATTCTCCACGCCACAAGTTCGACGACGAGTCCAATCTTCCTTCAGAAGGCGAAAAAGCTCGTCCGACTTCTCGATGACGACGGAGCAAGTTACTCTTGATGTCACCGTCGATTTCGACATGAGCTACCACGAAACCATTCGACGAGCTAGAATAGCGTCACGACGAAGAAAATTGCGACGACAAGAGATCATGAGAAATACGATTCTTCTGGCTGAACTATAAATAATTAGCTTTTCTCGCTTTGTATAAAAACGGATAATAAATTTCTTCGAATATAAACTTGTCTCGTCAAAAAGTCTAAATTATTCTCAGTGCACTGAGGTGATTAGCACCCATCCATCAAGTCTATAGAGATAACAATTTATCTAAAAACTGAAGTTTTTATTTTCTGCACTTCTAGACAACGGTAAAACATAAAATCGCGAAATTGCAGGTTTGTTTTTCTTGAACCTCCTCCTCTGTCAGAAATTTGACGAACTTTATTGCTTTGCCATTCCGTTTTTTCTTCGACATTCATTTGATACGCAACAGAGAAATATTAAAAATGGGGTAAGATAAGCGCGCGATAAATTAAATTAGCAAATGATTTTTTATATAATGATTCATAAAAATTCTATATAAACGCGCCAGGGGGCAAGACGAATTCCCCTGGAAGGAAACTATCTTTTTTTAAGATAAAAATGAGGTAAACGTAACTGTACCAATTTTGAAATTGATTTTTTGCTGGATTTCAAAAAATAAAGACTGTCAAATATTTGACCTCGAGGGTAGGCATTTAATTTCTTACCCGTAATTCAGTAGATCGAGGAATTTCCTTTTGCTATTGGAATCTTAGTTCAAATTTGCTCAATGAAACGAGGTCTCGTAAAATAAGTGCAAAATCTTTTATTTGCCTCGTGTCGAATTCCGGATATATTTTTTTCCTATTTGCCGGAGGATAAATAACAAAAAAAAAGAACAAGAGATTTCAGAGAGAACAAGGAAGAAATGAAGTTTATCGGAGAATATCAGATTTTGAGAGAACTCGGACAAGGGGCTTTTGGAAGAGTTTTACTGGCAGAAAAAGGGGATCAACAGGTTGCGATCAAGGAGACTTTGACTCGCTCTAGAACTGCTCTAAAAGGTATGAAACTTTAACGAGTAGGCCAAAATAATTGCTAATTCCACTCAAGCCGCGGAAGATGAGTCCAAACTAATGATGGGACTTGACCATAAAAACATCGTCCGTCTGTATCAGCACTTTACGTCAGGAGTTCCCAAACGACTCTACATGGTGATGGAATACATACAGGGTCGGGAACTGTTCGACATCATGTGCGATGAAGAAGTCTTCGTCAATATTACTGAAATTGCCATAAGCTTTGGTTCCGAACTCGAAACTTAAAAATGACTTTGATTTTTTAAAAACCAAACGAATAGTAGCTTCATCCGACAAGTCTGTCTCGGGCTCGAGTATTTGAACAACAATTCAATCGTGCACATGGATCTCAAGCCCGAAAATCTGGTCGTCTCGGGAAAAGACGGCGTTTACAAAGAAATCAAAATCATTGATTTTGGACTGGCGCGGAAAATCGCGCCCGATGAGAATTTCTGCTGCATGAATGGAACGCGCGGTTACATGGCGCCCGAGCAGCTTAATTTTGATAGAATTTCAGACCGGACGGACATGTGGGCTGTTGGATGCCTGACGTAAGATTCGAAATGTGTTTTCTTAATATTAACTTTATTGCAGCTACGAAATGCTATCTGGATACATGGCGTTTGAGTTCGAAACCGACCTAGAATTTGTCCAAAAAGTAACAAAGATGGACTGGACGTTTGAACTTGGGGATGAGAATCCTTTCGATGACATAACTGATGAAGGAAAGAATTTTATAAAAGAGCTGTTGGTCAAGCATCCCGATCAACGAATGTCCGCTTCTGATGCTCTAGCTCATCCTTGGATAACTGTATGCATTATTGCTTCGATTGAAGTCATCAAAGAGTATTTAGGGCGAAAGTGGAGATAAGAAAGACGATGTTACGAAGCATGAACTCATGGAAACGATCGATAGAGTCATCTCAAAAATGTCAAATTTTCAAGCGCGCAAATCATCACAGCATACTAAAGTCAAACTTCTAGTGGGAGTTAGACAGAAACTGAGAAAGGTTCAAGCAAGAAGAAGATGGAAGAAAGCGATCAAAACGGTCAGAGCTACAGTTCGAATACGCCTTATTCTTCGGGGCAGTCAGGTTTGATCTTCTTGAGAGATAGCTGGAAAACCCATATTTTAGGCGAAACTTGAAGTACCAAAAGAACTCGAAAACGAAATTTTACGGAAGATCATCCACAACTGGGTTGGCACAGATTTCGATATTGAGGCAGAAATGCGGGATATTTACTGTGAAATGTTAGACAACGCGGAATAAATGTTGATAAGTGTATTTTCAGTGATAAAGAATAAGGTATGATTGGCAAGTACAACTGTGTAACTTATTTGAAATGAGTCAGTGCTTTAATTATTTCTTTTCGGCAAGTTTTGTAGCAAAAGCTTTCATCTTTTCTTTCAACGTATTCTCAATTTCCTTAATTTTTTCGTTTGTCGTTGGAGCATCAGGTTTGATGAGCGCCTCCTGATTCTTGACCTTGTCATTTTTCTCTGCTTGTTTCGGCGCACAACCATTTGTCTTCTCACTCTTTGGGGGTGGAATAGGAGGTTTAGTGAAAACGTCGGACAGTGTGATGGCTTTATTGATGACTTCGTTTTCATTCGTTTGGGCGAATTTCTTAGAATATGCTTTCATCTCCGCAATTTTGCCGGCAGGAATAATAGACTTATTGAAGACTTCATGATGTCTGACTGCTTTTCTGATTCTATCATCTATCTCCTTCTCTTTGGCGTTGTTTCGTGCGAAGATTCCTTTTTCTGTGTTTCTATTGATGATTTTCAAGGGAACTTTAGGCATTGGTTCCTTGTTGGAACTAAAAAATTGTCAAAAAAACGAAAAGAAAGGGGATTTACCTTTTTACAAAACGAGTACAGATCTTTTTCTGAAGCGAAGAAGATCGATAACTGTCAGCCAATTTTCTATTGAGAGGTTTTATTTTTGCAGGTTGCAATTTCTTCGTTGCTTGAAAACAAGAATGTATGAGATTTCGAGTTGTGAACGTCTCGTGATCTTCCTCTCGCTCAGAAAATTCGTTGAAAATACTTTCTGCTTCGTCCTTGGTCTTGACCTTCGCAACCCAGGGATCCCAATGAAGCGACCATTCTACCGAGCTTTCGATGTGAGGCTGATCGTAAGGGAATTCGAGGCGCACTTCGGGTGCATATAATGTGATTTGCAAGATATTTTCTATGTTTTCAACGCTTGAGTCGTGCGGAAATGGGCAGATACTTCTTGAAGTGGAAGCTAAAAGACATACAAGTAGAACTGATATTTAAAAGGTTCGGCTAGGAACCTTTTGTTGCAATCGTCTCTGGCCGTTTGATTGAAGCCACGTGAATTTCTTCAGTATTATTTTTTATGTACTCCTTGGTGAGTTTTATCAGGCTCTCGAATTGTTCGTGGAAGTAGTATCGTTTCTTCTCAGCCAAATCGATCTTGAAAAATTGATGATTTGGTTTTATTAAAAAAAACCTATCATACCTTATAGTCCTGGAACATTTTGTAGGCAGTGTTACGATCAACAGTTGGTCGACATTCAAGAAGCATATCAAAATTTCTTTTCGCTTCCGCCATCACCTCTGTCCGTATCTCTCGATGAAAATCGTCGATCTCGTCGCTGTTGTCGTCAGTCAGCTCTATTTTCACCTCTTCAGTTGTATCCATTTTCTCTGAAATGAAAAATTCAGCCGCAAACAGCATTTCTAGCTCGGATTTATCACTTCATGAAAGGGAAAAGCAAGTGACTCACGTCGGATTTCGTTCGCAAATTATTTCTTACTCCAAAGAAAGGGGATGATTCTCTTCTTTTACTGATGATATTCTTGGGACTCTAGAGAGACTACAAGGATCTTTTTATTGAGTATTCTTGTCTCGGAGACAGGTGTATATAAAATTTGAAAATTAAATAATCCGACCCCTGTCCTTGAACAAAAAACGGCCTTGAACAAATTCCGACCAATGGCCTCCAAAAAAGCCAAACAACAAACATAATCCGCAAATATGACCGAAGAACTAATCGTTCAGCAAAGGAAGCCTTGCATACCGGCAAAATGGGCGAGAAATCGAGTTCTTCATGGCTTCTCAAGCTTTTTTACATTCCAATTTTTATCGCTGTTGCTCTCAGAGTGCTGCCTCCTCTTTTTTATGGGAACACGAGAGTTTATGATAAACCGATTCCGTATGAGATTATTGATGATTTTCTTAGTGAAGATATGATCCAAGGTAATATTCAGCACTCTTATTTCATCTCTTTAGTTCCTTATTCTAAGAATTGCGAGAATTCATCCTCAATGAACGCCGTTTTACAACTGCAATCGAAGCTGCAGCCCGTGGCGTGATGACAATCGGCGAAGAAGAACCCATTCTCCCTGATGGAACATGTGAGGAGCTCTCATTCACTACTGGCGATGGCAAAACTTGTCATTTCACTGGCAGAAACGACATCTTCAGACATCTTCTTCTCACAGGCGGGTGGCACGGATCAAAAGAAACCGTCAAACAACTAACAACTCGTGTCTTCTCTTTTATCAACTACTACATGGACAAGGTCAACGAGCCAAAGATCAAGGCTCTCTTTGAAACAGAGGAATACAAGCAAAAGATCGGAAATATTTGCAGAGACGGTTGGGCCGCTCAGGTTTGTTTTCATTCTATTTGATTAAGTACGAACTAAATTCAGGGAAAACCGCATGACGGAGAAGTGTATTTTCGACCAACTCAAGTCAACATCGTCATGCTTCCTCCAGGATTTGACCTTGCGCTTCATCAGGATAATCAGTGGTTCTGGGGCATCAACCAAATGACCGTCCCAGATTGGTTCCTCCATGTTCTCAAGGAGGCAGAGCTTTATGATGACATCATGATTCCACAGGCGCAGGGTGTTGCATATCTTCATGGAACCAAAGAAAACCCGTATTATACCAACGGCGGCCGGTTAGAGCAAGTAGAATAGAATTGATTGATTACTTATTTGAAGATACGTTTTCTACCCAAATGGACCTGGAGCTCCCTCGAAGAGTCTGCCTCCTAAACGAGGACAAGCAATTATGATGGACGGTGGTCGAATGATCCACGGAGTTGAACGAACTGGACCTGGTTATCACTCCGCCCATATGATTAAGGGCCACTTCAACAGAATCGAGTATCAGGGAAACGACACTTGGTACCTGTTAGCAAATGACGATCTTGTGGACACTTTCAAAACAGAGGAGTTTAGGTACGCTTCAAATTTGGATAATGATATAATTATGATTGCTTTAGAATAACATTTGTCTGGAGATCACTTTGCTTCCGCTCTGAGGACGAGAAAATAAAATTCGATAAGCACATCGAAGATAAAGAATTCATCCCTCATGAAGAGCTCTTTGAAAAGCTTGAAGTTGATCTGCGAAAAAGAGGAAAACTTGGGGAGAACGAAGGAATAAAAACTATGGGGCCAAAGAGCTTCGCCAAGCTATTACAGGTTTGATTTTTTTTTAGTTGAAGCTTAGCTGATGATAAAATTTTAGCATGTGTATATGCAGTACCCTCTTGATGTTCCTGATGCTTGGTTCCCATTCAACTATTGCGCTCTTGGATTTGTGAATCCATACCTAAAAACTCTTCTCTCCCCATTTTGTCTTGATCTGAAGGTATTTGTCTGCTGCTAATTGTCTGTTTATATCTTTTTCTAGGAAAAGGTCAGACTCAATGATCAATATCCTCCTGCTAAGAAATTCTGCGATCCACTCAACAGAACCCGTCGACACACGAATTGCCCTGAAGGATACCAAGGGGAATAAAAAGGCCTCAAAAAGATTCCGGGGAGAGCAACCGCGATATCTTGTAAATTGTGCTCTTGAATAAATTCGTGATTTATTGTACAGATGGTCGCATAATTGAATAAACAGTGAATTTTCTTTCAATATGGAATGAGTGTAATGTTTCATGAGTATTTCAGTGATAGGTAAAAAGTTAAAGTGAAGGTAGTACAGTAAGCTCATTAGTAGGTTGAACTCCTTTGAACAGAACGTCCTCTTTTCACGAGGGATTTTAATATTAGCACTTGACGGGAGGATTGTCTCAAAACATCGTGTCGAACTCTTGGCGGGCAGAAATCTCTTTGTTCTTTGAAATGGCTCGTTTTAAATGCTCAAGATCAGCAAGCGCCCTGACTTTAATCATGCGTATTTGCCCTTGACGATCTCGAATCTGGATTATTGCTTGTCCTCGATCTCCAGAGTAGATAATATTAGCGTTGGCGACATCCTGGGTGAATTCAGCCTTCAATCGTCCGGTAGTCGTTCTTGTGTCAATCACACAAATCGATTTCGACGTAACGACAATAATTATTCGTTCATTATCGCTGTAACCAAGGCCAAGTGGAGTTTCAAGTGCAATTTCTTCATCTTGAAGTGAGCGTAGACAGTGTTGGGCGTAGGCTAATCTGCGTCGATAAGGCTGAAGCCTTCCTTCATCGACAACTCGTGGATATCGGATCCTGTCGACTTGGACTTTGGTCTCCAGCTGGCTATGGACTCCGGCCAGGGTGGTAGACGCTGCATCAACAATTCCAGTGAGTGGCTTGGCGACGAGGCCAGTTACACCTTTACCAACGCCCTTGAAAAAGCCAGCAGCGCCTTCTTGTCGAGCCCCAGAGATGGGTTTCTCAACAACACCGGCGATGCCACCGAATAATCCTCCGAAAAACTTTTCTCCAGCTCTTGCTACGCCTTCTTTCACGCCTAAGATTAAATTGTGATTTCGTTGAACTAAAAGTACTTTTTACCTTTGACGTTATTGACATTATCGGCCGTTCTTTTATTCTGATATTCTTTGTCGAATGTAACGGCTGCTGAGACAGAGCCAATGCTGTGAGTAAGCCGACTAAAGCCTCCAGTAACTCCGCCGACGACACCAGAAAACAGCTTTGACGTTCCTGAGCCGATACCTTCGATAAATGCCTCTCCAGATTGAGTGATTCCTTGGTAAGGCTCGTAGAAGAAGTCCTTGACGCCTGAGAACATGTCAACTGCGACTTTGGCTGGATTTCCTAAAAGCTCAATGCCAAGAAGGAATTTGTAGAGCTGCTGGATGATTTGAAAGCGATAGTGAGCAAGGATGCGTTCGCGGATAATGTTATCGGAAAAGTATTCATATTCAGTCTGGAAGAAACTCAGCTGTAGGGAAACATCTCCCTTTGCAACTTGCCCGACTCCAAGATTTTGCAGTTTGTGGAGCAAATTGAGATCTTCCAAGATGTTTTCCTCAGCGCCGTATTGGAGAGAGAATCGGAAATGCATTCGAATGGGAGAAAGATGCATGTGTTCGAAGAATGAAATAGAAGAAGCGACGATCTTCTCTGCAGAAACAGGATTCGTAGCGTAATCGAGGTCTTCCATGAATAAACGGAAACTTTCCGTTTTCCGTTTCTTTCCGCGCTTGGAATTTTCTGCAAAAGCTTGGAGGACTTTGGCGACAAAGTCGACTTCCACCTTGGTAAGCAGTAAATACGAGAGTTTGAAATTATAAGTTACCTGTAGGAAACATTCTTGGAGCAAAACGTGAAACATCTTGTACTTTGTGATGTTGGAATCATGTGATTTATCCTTGACGATGCTTACGTAAACCATAGCAACATTATCGGCGACTTCTACTGCCGCAACGCTTTGTTTAGGTGGGACTCTAGCAAAGACTACTGGCCATTTCGGAGCTGGCGATGTGTTATCGATTTGGACAGACTAAAGAAAGTATAAGGATAAGCTTTTTCTAAAGGGAACGTACCTGTAACGATAGTTCAAGACTTGAAGAACTCTCAGTCTCTAAATATCGAATATCAACGGCTTGCCGTTCGGATCTATTGAGAGTCCAGTTTTTGCCATTGCAGACCATCGTTTGTTGTCCAAGATCTACCTGGTAGTTTCCACATCTAAAACCGTCCGATCTTGAATTGCTTCTCCGAGTTTTCGAGTTTTGGCGCCATCGTGATTCAAGCTCCCAGGTGAGCTCAGGAGAGCATTCTCTCCACTTTCGCGAGCCCTCTCGTTGCTGGTACCAAATACCGCCTGTGCCTTTTATCGAAATAAAAGCGACTTCTTCTCGTCTTATCGAATCGACCAGAGAAAGTCCAATACCTCGAAGCTGAATTTGGTTTTCTTTCTCGATTACTTGCTTGTCAACATGAAGCAGACGATTTTTGTGGAATTGATCTTGCGTGATGACAACCGTTCTTTGGGTGCCAATGAATACAGGGATGACAAAGATTTGAGCGCCAGAAATGCGCAACGTTCTTACTATCATTGCATCCTGACCAGTTTCTCGAATGGAGCATTTTGCTGCCTCTTTGCCATCGATCCGTAGCTCAAGACTCTTCGATTCACTTGGATATCTCCAGGTGTAAAGTATGCGATGAGCAGGATACAAATGGGCATATTTAGACAAAGGAGTTTCTTGCTTGTAATGAATCGCGAAACCGGTTAGATTGATGATGTCGAATGCAGCGGCACCTTTGAAGTAGGAAGTGAAGGTAATTAAACATTCGTTGTCATTGTGAGACACTTCTGAGTAAAGGCCTTCTACGTCGCCCATGTTGAGAAGAATACCCTGGTCTTGCGAGTGGTAAGATATCTTCTCAGAGATGAACTGACTCCTGGCTTTGCGAACGAGTAATTTTGAGTAGCGAGAATCAAGAGGCCAGAAGGGAATTTTGCTCGTAGGATCCAGCGGAATCCATTGAGACTTGCGATCTAGTTCAATCATGCCTTCAAAGACCTCCCTCACTTCCAATTCTTCATCTGTTCGATTGACAAGATAGTAGAAGGGCGTGAGTTTGACGAGGGTAGTGAGCGCGAAAGAGGTCTGCTCGATTTTGATGCCAAGGAGATAACTCTGTCTGTCCTGATTAGAAGGAGGACAGAAAACCGTACCCATGTGACCGATTGTGTTTATATGGGTTTTATTAGACTTGTTAGACTTCAACACAGAGATGTTCATCTCGTTATGCTTTGTCGGGAGAATCATAAGCGGGTCACAATGAAGCTGCTTTAGAACATCGCTATCTCTGCCGATATTATTTACTGGTCGAAGTTCCAGATCCAAATCTGTCGCGTTGATTATCCAGTAAGGCGCAAAAACTTCCATTTTATGCTCATGAGCGTCGATCGTTATCTGTTTCTTGAGCAAACATTCTTTCGTCGTCCCTGAAGGATCTAAGCGGCTAAACTTGAATACAGAGGTCTCTCGTTTGTCGATCGATCTCGGCAAGACGTATTTTTCTGAAGTGTACTTGATTCCAGAGTTTCGCACAGCGAATTCTATCACTATCGCGCAATCTTGGCTCCATGACATGAATGGCATAAGCCGGCCAGAATCGATGATAACATTTTTTTCTTTTTGGAATTTAGAATTTACCGTACAAGATATCGGATAAGGAAGCCAGTTTGTGAGAGAGAATACCGGACAGAAGCGGATGTGAACTTTGTATAGAGATGATCGCTTGTAGGGAATCATCTTTACTTGTGCTGTCATGTGATGGATTGTTGATTCGTGCTTTACTGACAGTTGTAGACGAGTAGAAAATGAAGTTTTAGTTGAGTAGACGATCGGATTGTCGGCGACGCTAACATCTGGGTCCGCGAATGTCACGTCGAAAATGCATGCGCTGTTCATCATTCGGATTGGCATTGGAGCACTTCTTGTCTCGTCGTTCACTTGCCACCGAGCTTGTGCACCATTTATAAGCTCCAAAGGAAAGGGAATCTCGTTACTGATGGTAACAGAGGTCTGAATGGTGATTTTCCTTGCACCAGTGACGCCCTCTACTTTCACGACCAAAATAACCTTGAAAGCTGGGTTGTTGTTGGCCACAAAGATGTATGCGTTTTCCTGGAGCGAGGAAACGTCTATTTGTCTATGAGAAAAGCCTACTGGGGACAATCCAATCATGTAAGCGGAAAGAGACCGAACATGGATATGCCTTCCAAATTGAAAGTATCGTGGAGTCGAGCTTGGGATGCTGAAACTCATCATTTCCGGTCGAGGAGATCCTCGAGGAACAGGATGAAGCTTGATGTCAGTCGGTTTCTTTCCCTTTATTCGCGTGAGTGAGTTGCGTCGAATATCTGTCTTTGCTTGATTTGGGTCAAATTCAATCCAGTCCTTCGTCGATAAAATAAGATCATTTCCAGTCTCGTTGATTACAATGATAGGGGCCTTTACTTCCGAGTTATGAAGCTTTGTTCGTCGCTTTTTCGGTACATCTGCTAACGTTCCTTTCGCTGCGTCTGAGAGACTGTGGCCATACACAGTGGCAAGATGGTTTAGTACATCGACTCCTTCTGACGAGACATTCATGTTGAGGGGAACGTCGGAAGAGATCACGAGCTTCTGTTTTGCATTATTTTCGACATGTGCAAACCCATCATCATCGTCGGGAAGGTAAGTTCGCTCAGACGATGTTGATGTCTTGTACTTGAGCTTCACACCAAACGGAACAAGTTTGGAATCTGGAAGGTTTAAATTAGACTCCGCTTGCTCAATAAATGGCTCGTAACCAGGGCGAGACTCATGATAAATTTCTGCATCAAGTTTCATAGAAATATCAGCGAACATTTCTGAGCTCCAATTGCGAATTTCGGTGTCGAGCGACGAGTTCAGAACGAGCAAGGGGACAACTTGACTCTCTGCGACTCCCATGGAGGAGCTCATGAGTGATTCAAGGCGAATGGTAAGATCAGGGATGACCACAGTGAACATCTCGTCAATAGTTTCTTCTCTGCGCATTCGTTCAATCTCAAGAGAAAGGTCGGAATCGACGTCACTTCCGAGTGCATTCGGAACAAACCAAAGCTCCTTGGGATCTATAGTTTGCTGGACGTCCAGGCAGATCTTTTTCTTCTCAGGTTCCGGGGGCTCTTCTTGTGGGCCCATTGCAACTTGATATGATAGAAAAAGGGTATTGACAGCTTCCGGATTGAAAGTGATGTCTAGTTCTGGACATTTGATGTTTATCATGTTCGATCTCGGGGATGTCAGTTGATTGAAAGCGATGTTCACCTCTGAGTTCAGAATTTTATGCCCAAAGTAGACCTCGTCGTTTCCAAAAGAGTTCTTGAAGGACACTGAATAGATCTGCGGCTGGTCAATACAGACGTCCAAGTTCTGTTCGGTCAAACTGGCGATATAGACGACTCTCAAGTCTGCGCTCATCTTAATACAAGAAGAATCTTGTGCATTTTTCAAATCAGACATAAGAATAATATGCGGCCGATCCATCTTCGCTTGAAATTGCATATGAGCGTGGATTTGGTGCACATCTAAGTTCTGTGTCTTAGGCGTGCATTCCATAACGACCGGCTCATATATTGTGTCGGCGAAGATTGTTTTCAGCGTGAGAATAAAGTCCATGATCAAAACCATTCGCATAGATTTTACGTCCATATCGGTGATCTGCTTCGCTGGCTTTGTAAAGTTTTGGACTTTGAGCGTGATCACAGGATCGGGAATATCTTCTTGTTTCTGGAGAAGGCAGTTCGACTCGCCACTTATATTCTTGTTTTCTTCTCGCTCGTCGTAAAGGAGAATATCTTGGATGATTATGTCTTGGTATGTTATGAGATTAGTTTTCGAGGTGAAAACAACGCTGATATCCTGAGCAATAAAGCTTGAGTAGAGTTCTTCTTTGACATAGACTTTCGCCGCAAGTGTTTTGATGTTAACATTAGCGATCATATCAATGTGAACTTCCTGTTCCTCGAATGAGTCTTCTTGGATAGAGGAAGAATCATCAAGTGATGTTTCTTCTGGCTGCAACATGGACAAAAATCTGCCTGTTCGTCTGGTATTCAATTCAATCTGCTCCTCCAGCTTAGGATCGTAACGTATCCAGATGTTTCCATTCAAGACGCACCAGAGTGCAACCATATCTTCTTGATTAAGATGAGCAGTTGCATTTTCAATGTCAATATCAATAATTAAACCAGGAACCTCTTTGTAAAATTCCCAGCCTGCGCTTGATTCGACAAAGATTGTAAGTGATTCGTCCAAGATCGGTATTGAGGACAGCTTCGTCGAACTAGCGTTGTAATTCGGCATATTATAGAGGCAGAGATCTTCGATATCTATGGTCATTTTGTTGAACAAAGGATGGAATTTGTGGCCAGTAGTTGCGATTGTTTTGAACTCGTTGCGAATTTTTATGTTTCTGACATCCCCACGAAACCCAAAATTGTGCGTCGTCGAAGCTGGAATGATGACGATTGGATCTTTTATCTCAACATCCATGAGATATTTTGACATGAGAAATGAGCCGTCTTTGGATTTTATGAAGTCCCAGTCGACTGGTCCAGTTGCAAACTCGTCAGGGTAATAAAATGCCAAGTAGTCAATCCATTTTTGGAAGAAAATCAGTTTGATGCAACCAGTTCTCAGATATATGGAACCTTGAATTGCTTCAATGTTGTTCGCGTCTTCTTTAAGATCGACATCATAGAGGGTGATTGTCATATCAAAGAAAGTCGACGCACTATCGACAACTGTCAGCACATTTCTGTAAAGAGGATTCAGCGCATTTGGATCGACAACCTTAACACCGCCGACAATGACTTTTACGACTGTCTGATTCTCTCTCGTGACAAATCCGACTTCACCATTATTGAGATATAGCTGCGCAATTAGTTTCTGCTTGGAGAAGAGATCAATGTCAAATTTCCTTGAACAAATGACGATGTTCATTACGGACTCTGACGATTCATTCAATTCAGGAAGATCCATTGATGTAAGCGTATTGCTTGACTCGCGAGAAAGCAACGAGTTGCCCCTAGTGTCAATTGACGAGTCTGTTCCATTTGTCGCATTTAGAATTGTAGTAATAAAGCCTGAGACTTCGTTTATCGCTTGTGGGTCAATGCTGGCTCTGACACTAGCAGCTTCGAATCGAACATCCGTCTCGGGAATCGTTAAAAGTCGGTTCTCGCCATAGGTCATCTCAACTGCAGGCTGATTTGGGGCACCCAAAGATATCAAATTGAGCGATTCTTCTTCGCTGTCTGGCTTGTAGAGAAGGTTGACCGCTTCGAACTGACCATCTATGTCTGTTGTGAACTTGGTCTGCTTGAGAGTAAATTCAACTTTTCGAATCTGCCCATCTGCGATAAGAATCGAAGGCGTTTCTCGATCGAGCTGAACGCGAATCATATTCAGTGCGAAAGAAAGCTTCAACTTGGCAGCAGAATCTGCCAGTGACGACGAGGCGTGGGAAATAGGAAGGCTATCGAGCGTGGTAAATGACTCGTCATTGGCATCAAAGAACTCTTCGTTGCTCGTAGTGGAAGCAATCGGTGTCAGTTTAATGTTGCTATATGATTCAGCGATCTCGATAGCATCAACCCCTGGACGAGTTTCTTCATTCGGAATGTAGATCGGCGCATCAGGTAGCTCAAAGTCTATTATATCTTCTTGCATTCGCCTGTGCGCTCTCCATGCTCTTCGGATGTTACTCAAGATGATCGACACTTGTGCCATTCGGTAATCGGAAAAGTTCAACTTCAGCATGTCAAGTTGCCCCTTTATCTTAAACTTTGCAAGTTCGACTGTCGCCTGCGCTTTGGAGTCGAGTCGCTGGAATTCGAAGTTGATGGAAAGAGGCGACAGTATTTCACGAACTGGAGCAAGTTCTTGATCTGCAAGAGTTTTACGCTTTTGAACCGAAATTTTGAGATCAACAAGTTTCACATCGTAGCTCGCGTAGACCATTTCCTGCAATTGATCAATCGAGTAGCGGGACTGATCGAACTCGCTCAGACTTGTCACTTTTGCACGGCGGGATTTAACAACTAATCTTCCGAAATTCATCTCGAGGCATTGACCTTCTGGCCCTGGTATTTCAACACGCGGTGCTTTCAAATCAATGTCAATGAGAAACAATTTTCTCGTGGAGATTATGTGAGACATTCCGGCTCTGCTTTGCTCGTAACGCTGGATGTATTCATCCTGGATGACTTGTCGGACCTCGTTCATTCGATCTCCAACATGAAAAAGGACGAAAGTGCTCGCGCAGCATCATCATCATACTTGACTTCGATGCCTGATGATTTCACGACCAGCGAGCGATCAGCTATTTTCTCGTAGGTATCTTTTGTAAAAGGATTCGTCGTGAAGGTGAACGAGAAAAACTCTCCCCCATCAGCTGTATTCGTCGTGACAATAGGTGATTTCGTCAAGATCGAGTCAACAAGAAGGCGGTTGAATTTGACTTGTAGCATTTCTGATTTGCAACCAGGGGTAGTTCTAAATGTGAAGAAGGCTTCTTCTAGCGAGAGGGTAAGAATGTCTCCCAATTGAATTTTTAGCAAGGGAAGAGACACTTGAAGCTGGTACCGTGTGACTCCCGGGGGATCTTTCGATTTGGTCAAATCGACTCCGTCTAGGATAGATGAGATTCTACTCCTGTCGTTTTCGTCGATTTCAAGATTTCCAGATTGATCGTCTTGAGCAGCCGCTCCAAACCAGCCGCCAAACCATGAAGACTGCTGTGCACTTGTTTGCTTCTTTACCAAGGATCTGGCTTTTTGGCGGAGCTCGATAACTGTTGGTATGTCGAGGGCGCTTTCTAGCGCGTCGATTTCGGACTAAAGAATAATTTTCAACTTGTCGTACTCAATCTGCTCACCTGAGAGGTTCTGGTCCCCTGTAATTTTTGCTTGAAGACTTCTCTGTATGTTTTCCTGTTTTGGCAGTATTCTGCAATATATTTTCTGTTGAATAGTTTCGCTTTTTCTTTGATATTGTACATCTGTATAACTGTATTTCCCGCATAACGCCACCACGCTTTCGGATCTTCTTTTGTCGATAAGGTCGGCCGCCCTTTCCGGAATTTTGCATTTCTGCGTATTCTTTCTAGCTTTTCTATGCTAGAAGTGATGAAGCGAAATTGCGAGGAAGTAAGCCTCAAGCCTATTGATTGGAGATTGATGGAGGCGTCGCCTCGGAGCTCGTTGTCGTCTGGTCTTAGATTATGTTGCAAGTGTGCTAGTACTGTGAGTGGTTCGAGTATATACTGAGGTTCTGTGTCTGTGTCGGAGTTGATAAAGAGGCCTAGGTTTTCGAGTTTTGCGATTTTGAACATTCTCGCTTCTTCAGCCATATGATCCATGACGCCGACTTCTCTCCATTCTGTATCCGCCGTTTTAAGCGTTAACGAGCCGAGATAGAGTCCAATCGAAGAGCCCAATTGTGTGTCGATTATTTTGATCTCGATATTTTGTATTTCCACTTGTAAATTCTTGAGTACTTTGTTCGTGTACGCTTCTGAGTTTGATGATGTCGTCTCGACAACAGCTTCCGCGTCGAGCTTCGTTTCGATGTAATCGAGGAGTTTTTGCTTTGATCGAAGCTCGTCCTCGGCCGAGTGCTCGACGGAGTCAGTGACGATGGCCTCGACTTTTAGTCCGTCGAGCTTCATAATGGTCGGCTCTCCTCCCAGGTTTTTCCATGGGATCGCTAGTTCTAGCGTCTGTAAGTGGCCATTTCTGACGGCAAGGGGAAGATTCAGCGCCGTCTTCAGCGCATTCTCCGTCATCCGGAGATTCTCTACTTTTGCATCTCCATTCCAGAGTCCGACATTGACATTTGCGGAGGAGAAGTTCTCGAAGTACTCGCCGAGGAAGCGGTTGAGTATGCTTCCGACGATTGATTCCAACATATTCACTGTCGGTTTCGCGTTTCTTTAATTCTCTGAAGGGAGAAATAAATTTACGCTCGGAAAAATCCGTCTGAGACAATTTATTTCTGATCAAGTGATTACCCTCAAGGGTCGAATGATTTGGCTAAATTTAGAAAAATGACAAACAGCGCCAGTTATTTATTGAATGAATTGCCTCTGAAAGGATTACTCATTCTAATGCTTTTTTGAATGCAGGATCCCTTGCAATTCTCTTTTACGAGAGCTTTCAAAACGTAAAAGCAAAAGAATTAAATGGAAAAACGACCCATTTGTCCATAGACGCTGAGAATACAGAGTCATGTGAAGACGATTTTTTAAAAAATAGAGCAATATTTACACAATAAAATTAAAAGATACCTTTATTTTTCAGCATTTTCTCTTCTTTTTGAGTATATTTTTCTTCTTCTAAGCCGAATTTCGATGTTCTCTGAATAAGATGATCGACTGATTTGAAAGTTTCTTGTTTGTTATTTTTATATCAATAGTTCGGCGTCTAGAGATAGCGATGTACAGAAAATTTGAAAAATACGTGTGTATTGTGAAAATGGTAGGTGCTTGAAAAAATAGAAGCCTAGGCGATAAAAGCTGAAGCTCACTAAATGAGACTTCGTGATTCCAGAACTTTAAGATAGTAGTTGACTTTGTAATCGACAAAAAAAAGTTATTTCAGGACTAAAAATGTGGGGCTTGGACTTTTTTGCAAGGCAGTGAAGGAAAGAAGGGGAAACACCAAAGCTCGTTACTGCCGTTTCTCAAGAAACAGTAGCGCAAAAATAAGAAAAAAGCTAGTAAAATAAGAAAACCGACTTTTAAAATTATATATAATATCAAAAACATATTATATATAAATAAATAGACGCGGAAAATAGATAAATAACGGATATGGAACTGTTAAGCAAAGGTATAAGCTGCTCCATTTTTTCAGAGAGAACTGAGAAGGTCAAAAGTGAGTAAAAATGAATCTAAAGGAAAGATAACGTGTGCTAAAGTGGAATTGTTTCGATACAGGACAGCTTCATCGTCAAGGTGCAAAGTGGGACAGGGTCAGCTTTTTCCAGTACGTCGTCTTGGATTGATTGTTAGCGTTAAAATCAAGGAGGAGAGCGAATTACCTTTTCGCGGCCTTGGAATCTGGAACGAACTCTTTTGGCGCTTGAAGTTGGTGATTGACAAGCTCACACCAACCGGCTGGGTAGATGTCTGGAGAACGCCAAGGGATGAATTGATCATACTCATCTGTCCATCCGTCGAATCCGATTTGGAGTAGACCAGCGCAGACATTCTTTTTGAAGAAGAAAGTCATTATATTCCTCATTATGATGGAATTACCTTGACAGTGGATGGGCAAATAAGCTTAGGATCCATCAGATCTACAGCTTCTAGCTTCCATCCTACTTTGAAGGGATTGGTCTTCTCAGCTGTGCGCTCTTTTAGTTGATCAGCGATTTTCTCTGGCATATAGTCCTCGTCATCCCATTCGACTTCCTCAAGAGCTGCGTTTGTCAAGGTCAGGTTGTGGTCACGTGCAAAGCCCGTGTACTGAAGGCACGAGGAGGTCCAGTGATAGCTAAAATCAAAACAGTCCTAAAATTGATTCGCGAAGTAAATAGTTTTCAAAGCTTTGAATATATAAAGATAGCTGGCGGTTACCAGAAATCCGCATCGCTAGAAACGAGATTCGCAAATTCAGGATTCGATGATGCGTCGATTCCTATCATTAGGTATCCTTTGCCAAGTATCTTTTTAATCGTCGCCGTGCAAATGGAATTAACGCGCGTGGCGTTGACGGCTTCAACTTTCATCCCTTCCTCGAATTGAGGTACGAAAGTCGTTTGCTCAGCGTCCTAAGAAAGTAACAGATTGTCGCAACTAACATGCATCTTGTCAAGTACCTGATTGAAAAGCTCGGCGGGGATGCAGTTATTCTTCAAGTCTTCATACAGATCATCTGGAATGTCTCTCCGATCGTGGCCTACTTCTTGGCTCCAGCCGAGAGGGTGGCACACGGGCGATTTGATGTGACAGGCAAAAATTTCATCGTCTTGGCCATCCTTAAATCAAATGATTGAAATAAATAGCGAGTAAGTTCGCTTACAAAAAATTTGAGGGAAATTCGACCACCACCAGTTAGTTTTTCAATGAAGGCAACTCTTGTCTTCCTGATGCAAGTTGGATCGACGATTTCTAAGAACATGCCTTTATTAAGGCCTTCGATTTTCAATTCCTCATCGGTGGTGTTCTGGAAATCACGGGGATATGTGGGTCTTCCTTGGAGATTTTCGATGATGTATCTCTTCCAGTCGCGCTGCAATAAAAATAAAAAATATAATCATTAAACAATTGATTAACCTGTGTTTTTTCGATGCATTTGGGCGGTGAGATTGTTAGCTCCTGTCGAGCAGCCCAGCCGACTGGATGCACATCAGTTGAGCATAGTGACACCCAGAAGTCCATTAGATTTTTCTCCATACCCAAATACCTATCATTTCATGTTACATTTTGTCAGTTAGCTAGTTTGGAATGCGCGCAATTTAAAGAGTGTCTCCTCGTCAATCTCAGCCTCCTCAACAAGCTCAACTTCCTAGAGCACAACAGTTGCGAGATTTACGTAGGCTGTCGAAAGTAAAAATATATTCAGACATTAAACAACCTTAGGGAAAGAGATTAGCTGCTTTGAGAATTGGAAAGAGAGTTATGGAAAAATATGGAGAATGAGATAGCGGGTAAGGCAGCTTCTGCTGCTCTTCAGGAACCGAGGCGTATTTCTATTTTTACATTCGCATGAAATAAACTTTTAATTTTCTTGAGATAAATAAAAATCAAATAAACCCTCAGCACAGAATACAGTTTACTGCTTGCTATCAGAAACTAGCAACAGTGAGTATCCCTTCAGTTTCCGGTGAGTGCAACAAAATGTCTCCGCTGTCAATTAACGCGGCAATAGATATACGAGAAGTGCAATATTTGAGGGGCAAGGGGTGGTTAAATTCGATCGGAGTTTATACGATCGAACATGTGGATGCTTCAATGTAGAAACTGGCTATTTCACAGCTAAAGTCAAAGGAGTTTATGCTTCCGGGTTTCAAAAGAAACGTCAATAATTACCTAAAATAACGGAAATACCTAAAATAAACCCGCTATAAGTTTTCTGTTGTGAAATTCCTCGTGCAAACGCATGTGGAGTGGCCATTGAAGTGAATAAATTACGAGTTGCGGAAGCACGTCACACTGACCCAGACGATATCTACTCAAATAGCATCGTACTGCTTTCGATGGTCCTGCTAGAGCCGGGCCACAAAGTCTGTGTCCATTCCAGCAACAGCCAAAACAGTTTAGCACCCGCAAAACAGGATAAGGTTGTTCAAGTTAGCCCCTCTTTTCATAATCCCACACCCCGTGGAATTAAGGTACATTAGTACTACTATAGGTGCTGAAGGAGCTAAACCATGAACCTTGATAAGAAAAACCAAACTGAGGTCAAACAAAATGCTGAGCAAAGTGAGGATGATGCGAGAGCTATGTCGTTCGCTGGTGCTATGGGTTAAGGATTCCCAAAAGAGACCACGTGATAAGTTAATTACAATTAAACTACTTTTGTGCATCCTGAAAAGTTCAAGAAGTATCAGAAGACGCCGTCAAGTATCTAAGAAGAGCTTCAATCTAACAAACAACTTTCTCTTTCCTGCCCTCAACTTCTTCAAAGTCTCAGCCACACTCTCAAATCTCAATCCTTTCAGTGAAAAACACAGTATAAACAAATATATCATCGGTCAAATAAAAAATCCATTCAACAAGAGTTGTCTTCAACTTACCGCAACAGCGCTTTGTATCCTTCAATACGAATGACTTCCGCAAACCAAAAGAGCTTGGAGGGACTGTGTGAGTCAAGATTGTACGTTTCGACCTTCATCCCAGGTTGAATCAGATCCCAATCGTCGCTGAGGATGGCGTGCGGAAAGGCACAGACTGGAGCCGCCCGCGATTTTGTTTGCTAAAATTGTTTGCTAAAATTGCATATAAAACGCTAGAATTGAACGTACCGCCAAATAACGACTCCACAAAAAGAGCGATTCCCTCTTGTCTCTCTTCTTCCCTTGAAAAGACTTGGCGATAACAGTACTCTTGCCGTTGAAGCGGAGCGTAGATCTGTCCTCAAGATCAGCCCTGTCTTGGTCAGCGCTGTTCTTCATAAATTGCTCCGTTGACGCGAGGACACTTGATAATCAATAAATGAAGCAATAAAGCACAATTTGATGCTCAATACCTGTACTCAACGGCGCAATTTCGACAGCAGAAATATTTGCCTTTTCCGAAAAACTAAAAACATAAATAATCGCCTATCTCTCCAGATGCAGCTTACATCGTCATAATTAACTCGTTTGACATCGCAATCGTGTCTTTGGCATGTCGTGACCTTTCCCTCGACTTCTGACTCTCCGTCCGATTCACTGCGAATCTCACTTTTCATCCCTACCTGAAATTACTCATCAATATGCAAAAGGGCCAAATGAAAACGTAAATACATTTATTGCACAGCAACATATTGAAGAAAACGGCTGAAAGAAGTGTTAATGCAGGAGAGAATGCAAAAAATGATTGTGAAATGCGCGAGAGGGAACTGTACAAGCTTGCAAAAAACATTGATGAGCGAGTTGTCTGAGATTTTTTTTATATGATTTGACGTGCTTTTTTTAAGGTTCCTGTATTTAAAAGACCCACTTCCACCTTTTTATACCAGGAACATCATACAGATTTGGAATCAGCAGGAAATTCTAAGAACTTTGACCGTTTTAGTTTCCAAAATTTCCACTTCCGGTCCGATTCTAGAGCCGGAAGTTGACGAAATTTTTGAGTTTGGGCAACTTGTGACCTATCAAATTGATGCTCAGAAGATTTCGAGTCATCTCATCTACAAATCATTCAAAAAAAACCATCCCAACCGCGGTCAAACCGACCGGCAAAACTTGGAAAAAAGGCATAAATTTTTGTTTTTTTCTTTAATTTTTTAGCGGTTGATTTGACTGCGGTCGGCATTGATTCTTCTCTCAGATGATAGGAAATCTTCTGAGCATCAATTTGATAGGTCACAAGTTGCCCAAACTCAAAAATTTCGTCAACTTCCGGCTCTAGAATCGGACCGGAAGTGGAAATTTTGGAAACTAAAACGGTCAAAGTTCTTAGAATTTCCTGCTGATTCCAAATCTGTATGATGTTCCTGGTATAAAAAGGTGGAAGTGGGTCTTTTAAATGCAGGAACCTTAAAAAAAGCACGTCTTTGGAATTATAGAAAGGAAAGTAAAGAAAATTAAACTGCGTCTTTTCTACAAACAGGACATTGAGAATTGAGCTGCAGCCAGTTTCGGATTTCTTCTGCATGAAAAACGTGTCCACAGGGAAGTCGAATGAAGGTTTCGCCTTCTTCGAAATCAGACATGCAAATACAGCACTAGAAAATTATGATTATACGAACGTCATGAATGCTCTAACGCTTTTATGATCAGTTGGTAGATCTCTCGTCTCTTTCAGGTGGCTTAAATTTCTACCAGAATTTTGTCTTTCTGTTGACTCTGATTCCACTCGAAGCTACAGCAAATTTATGTAAAATTCAAAAGTTTATTTTCGACAAACCCTATCAAGAATATTCGTCAGACTTTCTTCTGTCCAAGCTATATCATTCGGATTAACATTAAAATTCGCTATAAAACAGTATATTCCAAAGTTAAAACGTCTCTATCTTACGTCTTCTATTTCCGACTCTTTGCCAAATATTGTATAAAGTTCTGGAGTTTTCCGGGATCATTTGAATACTTTGATTATTTTGAGAAGGGATCAAGTTGCCGTCTTGATCGACAAGCAAACTTGGCCTTGCCCGTTGGTAAAAATTCGGATAGACAGGACGTCTTCCTCGTCTGGGAGCTTCTCGAATTTCCGATGATCGATCCATTCTTTCGCTCGGCCCAGCTGCTCGAGGGGAATTTCCGGAGTAGAAGTTTGACGGAGCATTGTGAAGCTGGCTCAGGGCTGGACCGGCTGGAACACTTGGGTGAGGCAGGGGTGCCGGAAATTGCGGCGTGGGGGTAATATTTGTTAAAGGTGAGGGATTTTGGTAACTAGGGATGGCCCAAGGAGGGGCTGGAACAGGAATATCAGGGATGTGAGCTTGGTCACTGCGTTCAACAAAACCAGAGTTACAGAATCTACATTTCCATTCTGGGGTAATATCTCGATTCGCCTTGCACGTAAAGCAGTAGAAGTTTTCACTGCCAGACATTCTGAAAGAGTCCATTTTAAATTTCGCGATATTGAAACAATTTGGTATGAGAGAATGACGAGTGACGGAAGACGAAGAAACTGAAGCAAACTAATAATGGGAGATGAGATGATGGTGATGATTAGTGAAACTTGGGACAATTAAGTTCAAAAGTTGATATTAGCAAACCTACTAGGTTTGTGAAGAAGATGATGATTAGAATCTAAATTAGATGAGGTGACGACAGATATTGTTAAGATATAACTTATATCATATAAGCGACTGGAAATATAACTGTAACGATAGCCAATCGTCCGTAATCAGTTTCACTAGGGTTGAACCCTAAATTGGAGCAATGGTATTCTATTCGTGGATGTTGATCATGGTGTTCGATGGTTCGATGATGACCAAAAATCTAAGTATCCAAATTAAAACAAAGAAGTTACATGGAAGATAAAGGTATCCTTCGCTTACCGCTCCACTGTTGTCGCTTTGCAAATTTCGCATTCACGTTGGCATGTCGGAGCTCGGTCAGGTCTGCAGTTGTGTGGGCATATTTTTATGCAGTCGACTATGGTTATTTCAAGATGAAGTAGACCCAGTCGTGCGAAAACGGTAGCAGCAGCGTATTCTGCTGGCGTTATGTTTTCCAAGACTGGAAATCCAGTACAATTGTAGGTGCTTATATTGTATTGAATTTGATTGATATTTGTGTAACCTCACGTTCTTTCGACGAAGGCGTGGTTATGGTAGTCTTGTTCATCAGGAGGTTCATCTGCATCAGTGTTGGTGCGAGGCGCGTGCAGGTCCCGAAGAATCTCTACCATATTCTCGGCACTCATAGTTCATGAACGATTGTCCCTAATAATAAAAATTAATGTGTAAGCTTGGTCAGTTTCTTATGGACACAGAGATAGGGAGATTTTTTGTTTTGTACACAGGCAGTAATCAAAAAGTTTTCTAAGGCTCTAAATATCAAAGTGACCAAAGACTACGGATGTCCCTGACGTTCTTCGACTTCGAATTAGCAATCACTTTTTCGTCTTTGTCAGATCTTGATTTGTGACGTGGTCTGCGTGTTTCAGCCACAGGTGATCTACTACGACTCCGATCACGTGATTCTGTGACAATTAATTGTTAGTTTCGAGCTACGTGGAAAAAATTTACCGATTTTGTAGTCGTCATATCTCGGCGAAGCCCTGCCACTGATTTTCTTGTTTACCTAAAAACAAATTATGCAATTTTAAATAGCAAGGTGACAACTTACCGATTCTAGCTCTCCCTCGCGAACTCGGAGCATCCTATCCGGGCAATCGTAGCCGTAATGCCCTTCTTTTCCGCACTCGTAGCATTTGTCATCTTCTTTAAAGGACCGTTTATGTTTTCGGACTTTCTCGGATTTTAAAGATTTTCCATGGTAGAGGTCACAATCGTAACTGAACGAATTCAATTAACAATCAGAATTTATAAAACATCTTCATAAAAATAATCACTTTGTATATATTACTTTTACCCGTAATGTCCTTGTAATCCGCATCGATAACAACGATCCTTTTCAGAAAACTTTTTCGGTCGTTTTTCCTCGTCGGACGACATCTGAATTCAACTTCAAGCAACCGCCAACTATCGATGTAGTACGAGTATGTTGTAAATTTGGAAAGAAATGCACCAAATCAATAAATAAGGGCACAGAAACGTACCTAGAGATTGAAACAGATACAGAAATAGAAAGTTAGTGTCCTTTGTACACTGGTTTTCGTTTCTCTTTGAAGGCGAGAAGACCTTCAAGGCGATCCTGAGTGGGGATGACTTGCGCGTAGCACATTTGCTCGATAGCCAAGCCGCTGCTCAGATCGACTTCGGAGCCGTTGTTGATCGCCATTTTTGCCATTCGAAGAGCAACAGGTCCCTTTTTTCGAGGTTAAAAATAGATATTCCTTCTTTTACGCCTCACAATTTGGGGGTAGGAAGTTCATTTTTTTCTTCTTTTCAACCGTTCCTGAGGTTTTATCTCTCTGGCCAAGTCAAGAGCGGCCAAGTAAGCAGCATTTGAATCATCATTTTGCTCAACTAAAAATCTATTCAGCAAGGCTCTATAATAAAATCGACTTCGTGCACTGGAAAGTGCCTCTGGCTCATCAAAAAGGGAAAATGACACACGCGGGATCATCTCCTTATATTTGTCTTTGATTACCTGCTCTATTTACAAGGCCAATTCTTTCAGCTTCAACAGAGCCAACGAATCTTCCAGTGAAGATAAGCTCCTTTGCTTTTGCCACTCCGATGATTCGAGAAATCGTTTGCGTTCCTCCGGCGCCAGGAATGATTGCCAGTTTTGTTTCTGTTAGTCCCATTTTGGCAGAAGAAGATGCAATTCTGGCATATTTTTAGTTGATATTTTGAAGTTAGGAACGAGAAATACCTCATGTCAGCACTGAGTGCAAATTCCAGTCCGCCGCCAAGGGCAAAGCCATCGATGGCGGCGATAGTAGGAACGGGAAGGTCATAAAAATCTCGTACCATTCGGCGGAGAGTGGCTACGAATGGGCCTACTTCTTCGGGAGTCATGCCAGCGCGTTCTTTCAAATCGGCACCAGTGCAAAAGGCTTTGGCTGAGGTGCTTCGGACAACGACCGCCCGGAGTTCTTGGTCGAACTTGACATCTAAAAGAGGGAATTCAAGAAAAGTCTTTAAGCCAGATCGAGTTACCTTCAATCGCTTCTCGCATACACTTGACCATATTCTTCGAAAAAGAATTCATCGCCTTTGGTCTATTGAACGAAATCACAGCGATTCCTTTGTCATCTCCCGAAAGCCTTTCGAGGATCAGTTCACTTTCTGCAGAAGCAGTTCGGGAAAGTCGAACGAGTTGCGATGTAGCAAGTCTTCGAAGCATTTTCTCTCTGAAATCGAGAAAAGATGAGGTTTTGAGGTGAAACGGAGAAGGATATTCTTGGAAAATATGAAAAGTTGAAGTTGAAAAAAGTTCTTATGAGAAAATACGAATACCGTGTAATTCAGAACTTTGACACGGGATTTTTTTATGTTGAATAGTTTAAGGTTTTAAGAAATCATGAGGAAGAGTATTTGTGTAAGGATTTAGGTCTAGAAGTTGGACATTGAAAGCACCACAACATCAAAAAAGAAGAAGATTGACATTTAAAAGTCTCGTGAGATCAGATACTACTGTAATTAGCTAGTAAAGGTGAGCTGGATTGAGAGTTGGTAGGTCAGTATTTTTAAATAAATAATATAAGTGAGGACTGTTGAAATCAAATCGGAGGTCAGTAAAAAATGAGGAAGGTCTGTTGGATGAATTCTAGTTTTTTTTTTTGACTGGTATTTATAAGCAAGAGAAGTCTGTAAGCCGTACAGACAGTTTAAGGTCTCGAACATTTGTTTTTGAATTCGAACAACTTGGGTGTGAAGAAAATTGTTGATTAGAAGCTGAAAACAAGAAGAAAATCGGATTTAAAATGGACCTTGTTAATAATTCTAGCTTTGATTATCATCATGAGTGATTGACTAGTTGTAGTCGATGCCATAAGCGAGCCACAGTAGTTTGGGGTCGACCTTGCAGCTCTCCAGAACCGCTCGATCCGTCGTGCCGTTTGTCAGGACTTTCTCGTGGCGATTTCGAATATGCTAGAATCACAAATGAAGGGAATAGCTCTAGAAGAATCGCCTTTACATGGAATATCTCTTCGCGTTTGTTGGCAGTGAACTTTTTGTCGAGGCAGAATCTGCATCGATACTTGGGGATTTCGGTGTGGCTCAGAATGTGCAAGCGGAAATCTACCATCTAAATAGAGCATTCTAGCGTTGATTTGAAAAATGAAAGTCTTGCCTTTTTGAATTTGTGATCTTTAGAGCACATGCGGCAAGATTTCGAGACTGGTTCCATCATCGTTGGGGGAAATCGAAGGAGTGCTTTTCGAAGGTCTGATTCTGTCACTTGATTTCCATTCTAAAGAATCCAGTTGACAACCATTTCAGATGGGATAGATATTCAAATTTCATACCGCTCCTTTCTTCTCCTTCTCTCGTATCGATAGATGTTTCTCAATCACATGAGTCGTAAATTCTGCGAGGTCTGTATGTTTCGATGCGCGAGGACAAGCGTAGCAGTAGATCTGATATGTTAGAAAATGAAAGAAGTGGAGGGAGATACACACCGGAAGTGTTTGCGTTAGTATTTTCTTTCGGTCACTTGGCTCGCGCGTTTTTCGATGCTGGTTAGTATTGAAATGCTCGGCGAACTTGTGCCCCACGAGCGAGCAGTGGACGGACAGGGACATGGAAGATTCGAAGCGCTTTCCGCATTGGCAGACGTAATTCTGTGTTCGGGATTTTAACATGCAAAAACGATGTCATTCTCATGCTATTACTGATTGACAAAGAGGGGTAAATCTTAAAACAAGCAGCTCTGAGGAGATTCTAATTCCCGTCGCCTTTGAAGGTTCTTGAAGCGATTCTTCGCTTTCAATTTTCACCTCCGTTTCGCGTTTTGGCGAAGTTCCTGTTTTGGAAAGCACTCTGGAAAGCAGGAAGTGAGAATCATCTTCGGTCAGGCTGGAGGGAATGATCGGTGCTTTGATTTCGTTTTCAGTGATGTGGCGAGGAGGAGTTGAAAGTCGAGGACGCTTTTTGTCGAGCTCATCTTTTCCGATTCCGACGAGATTCTCCACTTCTGAAAAAGAAGGTCTCAAAAGCAATTCATGTGTAATATTGCTAAACAAAACGCAACTCAGAATGGGCAATTCTCTAATCAAATCCTTATTTCATTTGTAGCTCGACCTAAATCGATAACTCACCACTTCGTTTTTTCCTGTGCTGCTGTCTGAGATGATATCTTAGGGCACCTTCCGTAGGTCTGGCGTCCCTACAAATCGGGCAGCGTAGAGTCAAATCGTCGGGGCTCAATTTTCGTGACATTTTCTTCTGTTCCACTAGAGTCTCTTCATATTTCATCGCTTCTCTCTTTCAATTCTTTCATTGATTTTCGGCTTCTTTTTTCCACTCCTCGACTTATTTACTTCATTTTCTTCTCTTTTTCTCTGCTTTTTGCCCGCCGTGGAATTTTTAAAATTCTCGCTTCAGAAAAGACAGAAACGGGATGAAGGGCTGTTGGCCTTGTGCCAATGTCACGGCCCGTTCCAGATTTTTGAAGCCTCCGAAGATAGGTCCTCCGGGAGAAGGGGCGCGGGGGCGCTATTTTCCGAGCTGGAAGACCGCTCGGAAGAAAACGCAACCTCAGAGAAGCATCCGGAAATAATACTTCTTGTCGGTAATTTATTTACTTTCAACCGCCTATTTAAGTAGAATCCGCGAGGATGATAAAAGTAATTGAGTTGTAGATTATTTTAAGGAGAAAAGGATTTATTCAATTAAATTTCATTAATAAATTATCTATTTTTTTTGTAAATCTTCGCTAAAACGTCCTTTAAAAACCAGGCCTAATCATCCACGAAAAAGCAAAGCCAGAGCTGAGAAAATAGCTTCACGAGCGCGTGAATTCAATTGGCGGGGCTGAGCTGGGCAATGAAAGTTGCGCAACGTTTGAATCGCGAAAAAAGAGAATTTCAAGAATGTCGAACAGAACGAGCCTTGCTTCGATTACTTCGCTGAGGTCGAATTTGGGATCGCCGGTGAACAAGACTTCTATCAAATCGAGCAGAACTATAGGTACATTCTCTATAAAAATTGCAGAGTACTTTTGTGGATTTAGTTATTTATATAAACCTTCATGTAAAATATATTTTCAAATAAATAAAGAAGACCAATAGCATCCGAGCGATATTCCGATCTCGTCGACGACGAAGATGAAGATTACTGGTTTGTCGAGCCTCCGCCAGATTTTCTCAAATGCAAACTTTGCGAGGGAGTTTTCAGAACTCCCGTGGTGCTCACTTGCGGTCATACAGTTTGCCGGGCTTGTACCCATCAAACTGGAGGATGCAGTCAATGCGGGGCTGAAATGAGGATGGTCGTCGAGAATCTTTCATTGGCGGAGCAAATTGGCCAGTTGGATATTTACTGCGACTTTGGGATTTCGGAAGAAGGTACACAAGATCCAGACGGATGCCCAGAGGTTCTCAAGCTTTCTGAAAGAAAAAGACATCGTGAAGAATGTGTTTACGCGCCGGCTAATTGTCCCAACTCACCAAATTGCACCGGTCTCCGAAAACACCAGCTAGCAAAGCACCTTGAAGAGTGCACAATCAGACGATGCAGCTTTAACAAAAGCGGATGTCCGAAAATAGGCGAGAAGGATACAATAGAAGAGCATGAAAATGGATGCATCTTTGCACTCATGGGAGATTCCCTCAGCCAGGCAATAGACAACAAGATCAAGGAAAGAGATGACAAAGTAATTATCCCGAGCATCAAAAGATTGGACGATCGGATTAGTCAGGAAGGAAGTTCATTTTGATTTTTATTGACGAAAACTGAGTAACAATTGGAAATGAACCAAAAAGCTTTCACTCGATCTTCAGCAAAATACCTCTTCATCGAATCTTGTCACGAGATTCGAATCCGGTTTTTTAAATTTTACTAACACTGATTTCAACATTTTCTAGAGCTGCGTGATCTTCGAAGTGAAGTCAGTCTTCTATCGAATCAACTTAATGACCTGACAGCAAAATTCAACGCTGGAATACTCGCGACTCATGAGCCACAAGGGAAAATCTTCAAAGTCAAGGGAACGTTTGTTGGTCATCAAGGCCAAGTTTGGTGTCTGGCGATGACCGGAGATGTTCTCTTCTCTGGGGGTGGGGATGCTGATATCAAATGCTGGGATACGACGCAGACTTTCAGATGCCAGAAAACCCTCGAAGGTCATACCAAGCCGATTCTAGCGATGGTTGTTCAAAATCAGCAGCTTTACTCAACTGGCTTGGATCAATCAATTCTTCTTTGGAACGTCACAAAGCTCAGTTTTGTCCATAGAATCGACAAGGCGCACGACAAGGCTGTTTGCTCAATAGCAGCTACATCGAAATACCTGTTTACTGGATCATTAAACAGTGTTAAAGTTTGGAAGATTCAAGATCTCCCAATAGCAAATGACTCAAAAGGTTGGCTTCCATTATTTTGAATTTCCGATGACGGGAGCATTTCAGCGCCCATCGAATATTTACAAGAGTTGAAGGATGTTTCAAACTATGTTCGATCACTAGCAGTTTCGGATAAGAAACTTTATGGCGGTTCTACGAAGCTGATAACGATTTGGGATATTGATAGCTTCAAGTTACTAAAGCAAGTAACGATGCAAGGCTTGGATTTCAAAAGATCATTAGTCTTCCTTGATTTCAAATTTTGATCCTCAAAAAGGCGAAGTCTATTCGCTTCATATAACGAAAGAATACATTTTTGCTGGTACGGATGAAAAAATCGTTCATGTGTGGAACAACGATGAAGATATGGAAGTTCTCTGCCGGCTACGTGGCCATGCTGGCACCATCCATTCGATACGAAGTCTGAGAATAGGCGAAAGTGAGCGTGTGTTTTCAGCTTCAGCAGACAGAAGTCTACGAGTCTGGAGCATGGAGAACAAGCTCTGCGCTCAGGTAAAGAATAATTTACTTCGTTCAGCAATCAATAATGATTTTCAGATTCTCGACCGACATCAAGGGAATGTAACCTCGCTTGCTGTTTCGAGAGGAAGAGTTTTCAGCGGGTCTGTAGATCAAACTGTCAAAGTTTGGGTTTGATATTTTTCTGTACGATTTTCTTTCCAAAGTGCCTTTCAATAAATATTCTTCAAAATTCCAAATAACTATTTGTGAAGAATGCGCTCTGGAAAAGCAACATTTATCATACGCGCACCAAAAACATGAGAGTCGAGCAGATGTTAGACCGGTAGATTCAGAGAGGAATGTGTCTCACTCGCAAGAGAGAAAATGAAACCGTTTCCATCTTTGCTCGGTCTGGCATCCTGCTGGAAGGACTATTCAGGATACCAGAAGATTTCGATCGATTTCAAGAGCGCTGATGTCGGCAGGAAAATTGTTAGCTATCTCGAAACGCTACCATCCTATGGTAATGAATCCCATGTGTGTTGATTCAGCGGTGATCACACCTTCTTTTTCGGGACTGTCCTTGATTGTTTTTTGGCTAAATTAGCATATTAACCCGAAAATCAGATGAATGGCAGCTTGACCAGCAGCGAGTTGAATTTATCGTTAGCCAAGATGACCATCATGTTCTCCTTACAGGAAAAGTCGCTCAGTTTTTTTCTTTATTAAAAGCAATGTTTTTGATGACTCAAGAAAAGCAATGGATGATTTCTTCCATGATATCGAGTCAGTGAAATCATCAAGATTCTCGATTCCGGAGCCAGATGTACCGACTGGGCTTTATTTGGAGGAATATGATCAGTATCTAACTAACGATCAGGAACTGATTATCATAACCGGAAATACAATTGTTATTTGATTTTTTTATCTATTCGAGAATCAAAGAAAAGCTCGACGAATGGTTTGACTGGCTAGCAATCAGTTTTTCCGATTTGGACAACGGATTTGTCCTACGCCAGGAGGAAATCGGCCGCTCTTACGAAAATCGAGCAATGAAAGGCTTTAGCTTGCGGAACCCATCCAAAGACCTCCCATGGATTGTGATTGATTGTGGGATTCACTCCCGAGAATTCATTTCTCATGCAACTTGCCGGAACTTGCTGATCAACCTGGCGGAATGCGCGGCAAACGATGCATCCTGCGATACTGAGTTCTCGAATTTCTACGAGTTCAACTGGTATATCATGCCAAATCTTAACCCGGATGGCTACGAATACAACTGGACAACTGACAGAATGTGGAGAAAGAATAGAACTCCTACGCAAGGAAGGAAAGGAGCTTATTGAGCGAAAACGTGATAAAAAGATACAACAAGTTTATATTGAGAAAAATTCATGGAATTTTCTTTCTCACGATCATTTGAATACGCTCTAGTACGTTTGTTTGCACGTATTGAGACTCAAGATTTTAATGATTACGTCGTCTCTCTAGTTTGACAGTTTCTCAAGCTCCGTCTGACAGTATTTGCAAGGGCGTTGATTTGAACAGGAATTCGGATATTGCCTGGTCTACTGTAGGAGCATCGGGTGAGCCTTGTTCGAATACTTACTACGGAACTGGACCATTTTCTGAACCAGGAACAGTTTGAGACTCACTACTTTTCATTCTTCAAAGATTATTTTCCACGGATAGGAAGGGAGTTGAGTCGACATTTTTCATGACGTTCTTTCCTTAAAATAGATGCCCGGCTATTTTTCCGTGATCAAACTGAATCAGAAATGGCTGCCTGGAACACGACCATTGGCTCAATTCATGAACAAGGAAAAATCGAAGTCTATATCAGTTTCCATGCGTACGCTCAGAAACTTCTGTCGAGCTGGGCAGTGGACTTTTCTATCATAGCAGACGAGCCACCAACTCTTGAGGAACTCCAGGCAGCTGGAGCAGCTGCGTCTCAGGAAGAGATCTTCCATGACTGCTAGGCCAAAAAAGTCTCGAGCCCACCAGGCGGAGTATACAGTCTATTCTGTACTAAACACAGTATTATCGTACATATAACAAAGGAACATCTCACCTTTTATGTATAACTGAATGTTCAAAAATGACTGAATTAGAATGACGATTTTTTTCGCTATTGACATTTGGAATCGCGGATCATTCCGATCCGCTCCTAATTATTTTATACCATCTCGAATATACACTGATCTCTAAAAGGCCATGACAGAACAGCATGGCGAAACCTACCTCTACGGTCAATCTAGGACGGGTAATAATAAAGTGTCGACAGAGATCGACAATGGGATAGAAGGTGCTAGACCGAGCATGAGAATTTCTACGGCTTCCTTTTATGAATTTCATGAGAGGCACTTAGGCCTCGATTACTTGCGCGGTGTTTTACCAGGCTAATGCTTCTTTAGATGAATGAAAGCTGCGAAATCCTCGTGATATAGAAAACATGAAACTGTTAGAGTTCGTTCATTAGGCGTTAAGTTTCAATTTTAATGTACCAGTTGTCACCCATATATCAGAGATAGTCTGTACCCCTCTTCTGGCACGAGCAAAGATTATGCGATGGATGTGCTTGAGGCGGGTTTTTAAACTTGAGGCCCTCAAGTTGAGGGTGTTATTGCAACGCATGCAGTAGTCACATAAAGTTCACACTAGTAGCTTACTATTCCTGTTCTTAGTTTATGAGCCATCATTATCACTTTTGAGGCCACAAAACAATGATTAGAAAGTATTCTTTATCTATTTCGAAACTACACCTTCACTAATTTATTTGAAATTCAAATTGCTAAATATTCAACACAAAGTCACTCAAACTAGTCACGTGAACTCTAATGCAAGCGCTAATGCATCAAGATCACGCGTCTTATCGTTTTTAATAATGCCACAATACAGTTATTTCATTCCAACGCCCTCCAAAGTCAAAAATCCTCACGAGGTGCCATTGTCCTGGACTTGGGAGCTGCGCGATACTGGCGAGTATGGTTTCTTGCTTCCATGAAAGGGTCCATTTTCATTCGGGAGTCAGATGACAAAGGCTGTTTCTTACAGTCGAAAAAAATTGTACTTTGAAAACATACAGTGTTAGATTAGATAAACAATCTGTTAAAAGGGTCAACTCTGTAGATATATGATCTGGTTCAAAGAAAATGCAAATGGGCCCTTATTAAGCTGACCAAATCATGCCAGTTTGGGACGAAGTCAAGGCTGGCCTCATCGAAGTGGCAAAATATGTTCTTGGGAAATAAGATTTCGAAAAAAAAAACTGTGTTGCCTCAGTAATAAAGTCTCTCTCTTTCATATTTGTTCCGTTGTCGAACCATATTGATGTCTCATTTTGGTGCAACACTTAGAAACTAATTTTTCGTAATTCTGATTGATTTCATCATTGATTTCGAAAATCAAGCTCAAACTAAAGTCCAAGGATTGTATCCATAGAGACTCTATTTCAAAAAGGAGGAGAATCTTGTTCGGATTCATGCTTTTGCGTAAATACTAACAAATGTATTTACAAAAAGAGCGCATGAATCATGTGTTCTACCGAAGCGCTCTGGCTATCCAAGGTACATGCGTATTTGTGTTCTTATGTACTGTCAATCGAAAAATGATGCATAATTTCAATTCGCAACAAACAAGATTAGGGTTAACTTTCTTTGAATGTTTGACCCAAAAAGTTTGAACTAGAGTTTTTGAAAATATTTGCTCAAAGGGTTATCTTATTTGTACTGTTTCTTTCATGCAGAAATTCCCCTCTTTATCGAACACAAATTTCAAGTTTCACTCATGAAAAAGATTTGGCTAAATAAAATTTTCATGATAATATTATTAAATAGCTCTTTATTAAATAGCAACGTGTTAAAAACGAGTCAAATTTGCGTCAAAAGCATCAGATCGTAGGAGAAGCAATAAACGATATTGAATTGCAGCCATGAATATTTTATGTTTTTATTTGCATTGATGTAACATCAAGAGAAGCTTTTCGCCATCTCTTCAGGGTTACTAAAGTTGTGTAGTACACAATGTGTACTGTGTTCGTCAAGTACGGTTAGTGTTTTTCACATGAGTTTCATGCGAATCTCAAGTTTATATTCTCCTTTCTATCAGGACTCCTGGAGTCATTGCAAGTTTAGCGAGGACAAATATTCTCACGGTCAAAGGTAATAGACCATTTAAAACAGTCCTTTTCAGTTGCATTTTAATAATGAAAGACTATCATAATAACTATTTTAATATTGCTGAATACAGTTTATTACCATGAAAGATTTCTGTATTTGAAGACCCAGTAGAAACAGGTTTTATTTGCCCTTCACGCCGTAAGCCAGAGTAAAGTCTTCTCTAGGAGTGGTCTCCGGCGCCCTCGCGCTCGCGACATCTAGTTGTCTAGCATTAGTATAAAATTAAGTTCTCGGATTTTTTCAGCAGAATTTTCTAATAAAAAATAGACAACAAAATTTTTACACGAGATCGCATGAAGAAGCCAGTGACTTTCAAATCTGAACTCGACATTTCCGAAGCCCCGTATTACGACCGAAAGGGCAAGGTAAGAACTTCTTCTTTAGAAAATTTTTCTGCCAATCAACTTTATGAAAACCGATATTTATCTATTATTTCAGCAAAAATGGGCGAAACTGACACCAGAACAAAAACTTGAAATCCGACTGGAACTCAACTACTTCAAATTAAGCGAGATGCAAGTGCACCCAAAAAGCCTACAGAACAACCAGTACTACATGTTTCTCCCTGAAACGCTAGATCGAATGATGAAGAAGAGAAAAAATGATAAACTTGTGAAAGCGATTTCGTTTTGACTGCTCCAAAAATACTGTACATATAAATGATATCATCAATAAACGCTGCTTATTTACATAAAAACCACGCTTCATTCAAAATCTTCGTTGAATCCCGAAGAAAGTAGAGCTTTGTGCGAAGCTTTTGGAGGTCAAAATGACATAGAAAGGACATTAATCTACTATGTCAGCTAGATGTTTTTTATTCTTTTTTCTATCCATATAATTAGTCTAATTGGTATTAGAATCAATGAAAACTGGAAAGAACAGGACTCCAAGCAGCCAAACCTGGGTGGTCTTTGATTGCGAAACTACTGCGAGCCCATGGGTAAATTAAGATTTGAAAGGTCAAAAATCAAAGCGCTTAGGAGTGATGAGCAGCTGATTAGTACAAAAAGTGCCCTTGAACGTTTGAGAAAGAGCGAGTTAATCCAATGCCAGTAAACTCATCTCCGCAAGATTCTTCAAAAGAGACAATTGTCAAGTTTACCTTCTGAATTCAGTCTTCAAGGTTGCTCTATTGAGAAAGTCGTCAGCGGAAGTCTACCTTCAAATTATTTATGCAAAGACTCGATGCTATAAGTTCACTCAGTGAACTCTACTACTCAGCCATCAAGAGATATTTTGAATTTCCAATTGAAGATGAGTGCTGCTGTATGTTCTGGCAGTTTATTTTGCTGACTTTATAGAGTCTGCACAAGGTTTTTTAATAAATAATTAAACGAGAAGAGCGAAAAGCCCGCTAAAACAATCTGAATAAATATCTTCCTTTGTTTCGTTTCTCGATTTGAAGTACTGGAAAAACGGGTCTTTATTGGCAAAATAAAAAAGTACAAGCTATATCTAAACATTATATTGCGATGTAGAAGAGTGGCAGCGACTCAGAAAGGAAGAAGGAAATCGCGATGAAAATTGGGACCAGCGGCGACCGGCCGTATATGAAATAACATTCTTCGCCCCGTTTGATTTTGCAGAATTGCGTAGTGAAGCTTCGGTGGAATTTTTATCCATCGACATTATGGGCGAAAATTGTCATTCGATTCCATTCCTAGATATCCCGAGCAAAAAATGAAAATCATCACCATCACATGAACAAGCAAAAGCATTCCCAGTCCAAGCCAAGCATTCGATTTCTATTTTGAATTCCAAAAAGAAAAACAACGAAGAGTAACTGTTGTTCATTTTAGTTCTACTGACCACATTTGTGGTCAAGAGTGATTGATTGGATGGAACTCTTTCCTTGATTACAGAATTAAAGGTACTCGAGGTTGAAGGGACTTCATCTTCAAATGGGTCTGTCAGTCCTGGGGTCAGTAAGTACACGAAGACGACGATGAAAACAAATGTGCTTTAGAAAAAGAGATAGATAAGGTTGCTTCTTGGACGATTTTTTTCGTTGATTCTTTTTTTAACTTTCTCTTTGATTTCTATCTCTGCCTAAAAATGCCAAAGTAAAGCAAAAGCTGATTATAAATCGGCGGCTCATTTCGCGTTCTCGTTGTTGATTCCATGCCCAGAAAAAAAAGCTAGAAATATGCTAGGGCTCTAAAGCAAGTGTTAAACACTCATCTCGAGAGTTCAGGAGCTAACTAACAGATTTCGTCCCGTGGCACACAGTTTTGTTCTAACTCAATTATGTATACTCTTGACTTAATTACTCGTGCGATCATTTTTAAGAAAATGTACTGAAGAATTGGAAAATGGTAAAATAGAGAACGGTTCCTTTTTGTCGGGCATGTTTTCGGTATCATTTATCCTCTCTTGTCGATTTTGCATAGATATTTAGCCCTTTCTCTTGGAGATGCGGGGAAAAGAACAGGGATCAATTTTTCAAGAGCTATTGAATATTCATCTTTGCTTCAGGCGTCTACAAATCACAAAATGTGAACAGGAAAATGCCTTATATTTCTGTACAACCAATCGGTTTAAAAATATATGAGTCCTACACTGAACAAAATGCCCGGAAATGCTTACTTCTGTTAATTCTTTCTCTGTATCTGGATATTTGTGTCTAGGAAAAGTATTAAAGAGGATGTCTTTTATTTTTTATATCGAGAAATTATTTATCGATCGATTGAGAAAGGTACTACCTAGTATGTAGGCCTCACGGGCAGATTGTAAGATAAGGCGCAAATGGAAATGCACTTTCGACAGCAAGAAGAAACAACTTAGGGTGAATTAATCAAAAGGTCACAAGATACGAAGTAGAACACGAAAACGTGGGATATGATCTATATTTTGCCGGTTTCAAGCATTTTTGCAAGAATGAGATCGCGTTAATTTTGGAGCAATTCAAGACAGGTGTGTTTGTGGTTGGCTGTTGTGAGGATTTGTGCAAGTCTTCAATGTCAAGTCAAAACCACGCGACCACAATCACAGAAGATGTTTACGTTAGTTTTACCATTTTACTATGTTTGCGGTAGCGCCAGATGTTTGAGGATGGACTTTGAGAAAACATGAAATTTTTGAATGTTGAGATTTTTTGTTCAATTTTATGAACTACTATTGAATATGATTCTTACAAAAATATATTTTATTTTCTTCAATACAGTGTTTATAAAAAAGTTCTATGAAGCTTGAATGTTTTCAACAAATGAAGATGGAAGCGACGCGGCGTTTTCCGTCACCCAATTTTTCACGTGTAAATCAGCTTCGGTGATGACAAATCGATTTGCAAAAACTAAAAAAGAAACTTATTTTCTTTACTTCGAAGCTGAAGCTTTACCTGTTAGTTCGGCACCAATACAAAAGTCGGGAATAGCGTAGTATTCTGGGTAGTTTGGATCTGAGTTTGGCTTGGCTATTCTTGATGGCTCTAGGAATCGACCACTTCGCATTCCTGAGTTTCTAGGGGTTGTTTCGAAGATAGCTAGAGAAAACATTAACATCAGTAAAATAATATATATCATACAAATCAAATCGTCAGCTAGACGAATTTCAAAGACAAACACTCTCATATCATCCATTTCATTCCTTCCGACCTAAAAATCTTAAATAACATTCATTTATCAACTAGCGATATTCTACCATTTTAGCCTTGAATCTGAGCTTCTCATTTCCAGCGAGGAGCATTTTCAAGTAATTCTTTCTCGGTCGGTCTGGTACGATTCTCTTGCAATTCTCTTCTGAATCTTCTAGCGATCCAAAACCATTCCAGTCGGGGACAGCAGCTACTGGGGGATCGGGGTGTTTGAAGTACTGATCGATGCTCACTGCTTCTGGCTGGACGATTCCAAGTTTTGCTGAAGTAAATTAAGAATTGTCGCAGTTGACTGTTACTTTGGGAGAACTGTCGAGTAGCTCCATCACAATCATACAACAGCATGTTTCTGTTATTCACAAAGATGCTCTCTCCAACCCTCAGATCCGTGGCCTCGAAGAATCCAACCGACTCTTAAAACAAGTAGAATCCTTGACATTGCTGAGAACGCCTACCAGAGACGATATCCTTTTCGACGGAAGGATAAGTCTTCGCCACCAAATGTCTTGGCATGCGTTGTCGCGAGACCAAAATGGGAAAGGGATCGCGCCCGTTGTTCGCCTGGTGCACTTCCCGTATCTCCAGCGTATCGTCAGCCATGTAAAAGTGCACAATGAACTAAAAATTGAAACACTCGAGATATGCTAATTTTCTCTTTCAAGGCCACATTCAATATTCAAATTTAGAACAAGTCTTAGAACAAGTGTATTTACCTTTCGAACTTCGCCAAAAAGCTGATCTCGCTCATCCCAAATTGCAAAAAATCTCAGCACAACTCGATCCAGAGTCAAGAATTTATGCAGTGAATCAACTTCCGAAGGCGAGACGTAAGATCTATCAGGTTGTTCTCGTGAAGAAATGTACCGATCACCAGGAGACGACTCATTTGCATTCACTTCGATACCTTCCGAGGTGAGCCACTCTCGCGTAAAAGCATCGCACCAGTAAAGACGGACTTTCTGAACAAATAGATCGGTAATCTTTTATTAGGTTGCGGAAGTAGAAATCATATTTTTAATCCGGAGAGTGAACTTTTGAGACCACATAGGGTGATTTAATAATAAGAGGAAGTTAGTATTTAGATAAATTGGTGCCACAAAATTAACTTTCTTAACTGAATAGAAACTCAACAAAACGGGTACCTTTGAGTAGACCATCAGATCCATGGCAGTATTCAAATGCTTCCAAGAAAGTAATCGATCACCTTGGCCAAGGGGAAGTCGTTGGCGCGTCAAAAACTTCCCCTGGACAATCCCTGAGTTTTCCTGTTGCGGTTCAGACATAGCGACGGAATCGTCCACCAGATAGTAGAAAATGTCGAGGAATCGAACCCGCTCGCTCTCGACCGGCGAGTCGATGATTTCTTCGGAAAAGTAGCCTTTGAAGTGGAGCACCTTTTTGTCGAGCGCCACGTGCGCCGGGATGAAGCCCGGGTCCTCACATCGAGTAACGTCCGAGAACTGAACAAAGTACGCTGCTTTCAGGATTAATTGAAAATTGAAAAAAATTTTAATAAAAAGTTCACGCTCAAGAGCAGCTTCAAATGTTATATTTTTACAAAAAAAAATACCTGAAGCGCCGCAAACTCTTTATCAAGGCATTGAACTTCTGCTGGGTCAATTTTCGACAGCTCAATCTTCCCTCCTCCAATTTTGTACTGAGGCTGGTTCTTCAACGCGTATCCCTTATCATAAACAAGCGACTGGGAGAGGTGAAATCGCTGTTTCGTCGGGTCAACAAGACTGTTTCCTAAAAAATATTTTCAAACATGCGCTTCGACACCTCTTGGAATTTAAAAGAACTTCTTCTTTCTCTACTGGTATGCTTTTCTCTACCTGGCAAAAAGGGCAGGCCAACTGGAGGAAAATCCTGATGCCGATTCATTTTTCCTCCGAAAAAAATAGGGAAAAAATAAGAAAATCCCAAGCGTTCTGAATGTTTGGGGAGAAAGCAGACACGGTTTCTATGGCGATACATATTCGACAAGTGGAAATAAGTAAAAGTGAAAAAGGCTCTGTTCCCAATTAAAAATCTCGCAACATGATGGTAATTCAACCTGTACTTGAATCTGGCTCGGTGGGAGGCAAAAGTGATAACATTTTTCCGGCGTTTGTTTTGTGTAAAGAAGCCGGACACTTTGTCCGACGATGCGCTAAACCTAAACAGGTGATAAGGAAACGGCCAATTGCCCATAATTCAAGGGTATGAGATAAGCTCCGTTAGGGTTCTTAGTCCCTAGATTGCCCTAGGTGGCAGAAATATAGGTAGATAACATTGATAAGAATAGGAAAATTTAGTACCAAAAATTTCATTTAATTATGATATGACCGTGGTTAAGAAAATCAAGTGTAAAAGCTTCATAACTCAAGAATAAAAGCCTTTGCGCGTGCGCGCACGCTCCTATCACCAGGAGATGGCGCTCATGAGTTGGAGCGCCGCGCGCGCACCAGGTCACCGCCAAATACCCGTCAACTAAAGTTTTAAACTCTGTATACAAGTTGTATAATACAACTAAAAGATCTTTTGTATTTTTGTTAAATTTAACAATTTTTGAAGGCATAAAAGAGGCGAAAAATTATGTGCTGGTTATAAAATTTCGGAAAGATAAGAGATTCGAAACGACAAGAAGCAAGTCAAATAAGAGGATGAAGATCTCGGTGTTGGCTTTGTGTTTTCAAGGGACGGGTGAATAAAAGTACGAAGAAACAACTCATAGTGGCTTCAAAATAGTCAATTTCATGAATTGTTTTTCCGTAATACAAATGATTAGAGAGAAAAAGGGTCTTTCTGGTGAATAATCATGCTTTTTTTATGTTTTTGTGATTTATATCTGACTAGAATTCTACCACGAGGAGGGAAAAACTGACGGTTAATCAATCTTTGGCAAAAATTCCGTGAATGATTAATCAGCAATATTATGATTTATTGATAAATTCGGAAAAAAACGATGACTTTTTCATAAACCTTCTTTCTTTACACGTGACCTCAGCGTAGAAACAAAAAAGCTTTATGAAAAATGGAGGAAGTCAGTCGGATTTGGCGTGTCAATGTCAGACTCAAGTTTTATGATATCAAAAATCGTGTTTTACGACATTGAAATCGCTACCATCTGAGAGCTCGCTTTATCACTTGATTCTTGAACATCCACTTTTTTGTAATTGATGCCAGCGTAAAATTTGGTCAACAAACAGAAAGTGCGAGATTTTGAACCTTGAACCCTAAATATCCCATTTACAAACTTTTGCGATTTATCAATAAGCCGACCTTCGCGCTTGAAATATCATCTTTCTATTTCAAAATAAAGCAAACCTTCGATAGTACCTTTCCTTTTCAAAACTAACCGATATATGAGATATTTTCTTACCATTTTTGTGTACCATGCAATTTTTTGAAAAGCAAAATTTCTAATCCAAATTCTGAAGAGCCCGTCGATCAAAGCCAAAGCAAAAAGCACACAAGATGAAGAGTGTAAGAGGCTAAGTGAGCTCCTAAACCCTCACCGAGTGCAGAACAAATAACACCCTTCCGCTTGTCCGCCAATTTACAATGAAAACTGGAGGACTTGGCCTTTGCTGCGGCCAAATATTGAACCAAAAAAATGACCCATTCAAAAAACGTTTATATAAAAAACACGCTTCCGGAGAGTCAATTATCTCGTAAATCGGTTAGTTTTGAATAAGATAAACTTTAGAACAAACTGAAACTTATATCATTAAAAATCATTGAACAGAGAGGTCACGAGATCAAATCCTGTGCCATACATAATTTTTCTTTCATTTGAAAACCCCGGGATTCTCATTTTCTCAAGATCAACCTGGGATAATAGTCTTCGAGACTCTCCGGAAAAGTAACCGCCAAAGATATTTGATAGAAGAGCTGTATACCGGAGCTAGGTAGGATTTTACCGCCACACTATTTTTTGGCTAAGTCCTCTAATTGACCCTTGACATTGAAAGTATTCGAAACAGTCAAGCCGGCTCTCAAGAGTTTGAAAAAGTTTCTGTTACACTTGCGCTGAGTGCACTTGCCTGTCAAAACTGTTTTGATTGGGGAGATTAGCTGTGGACTTGCCCGAGGCGCGAGAGAACCTTCGAAAGGCATCAACGAGTAATCCTTAGTTTTGTTTTTATAAACTGCACTTGGCCAGGGAAAAAATGAGAAATTAATCCTACGGAAGCTCTCTGATTCTCAGTTCAAAGCACTTCAACAAAGAACTTGGCGTTTTTAGCAGGAATTTTGAAGTTTTTCCTTCAAAAATGATCATTAAAAATTTCTTGGGAAAAATTTATTCACTCAAATAAGCCCTAAATGCATTTCGGCCGCGCTGCAAACCAGATCCAGTCGAATCCAGGAACGGTTGAAATTCTGAAAAAAAAGGTCTCAAAAGAGCAATTTCCCCTTCTGAAAGAAACTCAAATTTAACGTAATCGCTCTCACTTGATCTCACTTATTCGAAACTGCGTCGCATAATTATCAGTTAATTCTTAATGACCGGAAACTTCGACTTTGACTTTCAACCGGAAACTGTAGATCTTCTGAGGCAGAGGTCATTCTCAGTGCGACATGCGAAAGGAAAGGAGATACAAATTTTCTCATAAAAGAGTTTTTCGTTAATTTGTCCTAAATATGATTTTTTTTCGCAAAATCAATTTCTAGGCCAGGCAGATGAGACTGCATATGGACGGTATCAATCGCCCGTCCTCATTTTACTCCCTCTTTAAAACTTTTTGAATATCTCCTGGAAGATACGAGTCCCAAACTGGAATTTGTCTGCAAGCGAAAGTCTGGCGCATCATGAAAGGCTCCCACCACCTCGAAAAAGTTCACGGCAAATCAACGGTAAGCCTAAAACTACTGCTCTTCACTTCCCCTGGCCTGGTCCCGTAACTCCGGCGGAAGTAGGGGGCGGAAGTTGCAATTTTTTCAAAGAAAAAGATACTTTTATCATCTTGTCAAATTGATTCATAGACTTTGAATCGGAAATAAATTATTTTCTAAGGCATTTAAAGCTTTAATCACATGATTTTTACTTATAAGATGATTCAACAAAACACAAATTTTGTTTCGTTGTCATCTATGTTGCTTTTTCCAGCGATGTTTTTGAACCCTTGTCGGAAATAAACCCGGAAGTTGGGAAAAATGCAAGTGGGCTTATCGAGACCATCCTCCGCGGTCAAGCTTGGTGCGAAAGGAATCACAGACGGGGACTTTGATCCGCCCGACCATATCAAAAAGCTTATCCCATCGAGAAATTTATTTTTTACAAGTCCACCGGGCCAAAATAATCTCTCTGATGCGGGGCCGGAAAACCAGGGAGCGGTTGTTTTCGCTCTTTCGAGGAATTAATGAAAACGGAAGTTAACAAAAAACAACAGTTAGTGATTTGGGGGTTTCCAGTTATTACAAAATCTTTTACAAATTTTTCGCTCGGGAGAACCTTCTTCTGAAGATATGCGGCATTGTATACCCACATTGAGGATAATTAATTCCTTTCAATTTGAATTGAATTCATTTGAGCGCTAATCCGAGTTGGGTTAATTAAATACCGACGCCCACAAAATTGAACTTGCTCTTTCATCCGTCCATAATCAAATTTTTGATTTACTCGCCATTACGTAAATTGAGCATTACGACCAAATGCAATAAATTTTCAGTTTTGTCAATCTCACGGATAAAAACTCGAGTCCAAGCAAGAGTAATTACGCTTGGCGATCATTAGTAGTTACAAAAGCGCAATTTTTTCACTCTCACCTGTCAGCTTTTTTTCAGTTTCTTGGATCTAGGCCAGTCCAAAAAAATGAGCGCTCTTTTCATCGCTACTTATGGGCATTAGTGACTCCGGAAGTCCGATGTTTTATTGATACGTTTGAGTACTCCCCCGTTTTCTAGGATTGCCAGCGAGTCTATGCGGATCCAGATCTTTATGGCTATTTGAATGAAGATATAAGAAAGGCAATTTGTAGAAATTTAAGAATCCTTTATGAGAATCTTATAAAGAGTTTCATTTTCAAAACGAATATTAATTTGACTAATTTCTCGTCATTTTCGTTTTCATAGTTCTGAATAAATTTAACTGGAATGCAATTAAAATGACAAGTGTCAGAAAAAAAGAAGCCAATAACAATTCTGAATTCGGAATATGATTCTTGTCTTTCATATTATTTTTAAAGCTCAATTTGCGCGTAAAATAAAAATTAACTTTTCATCTTCAGACGCTGACAGAATACGGCGAAGACATCACGCTGCCGATTTACGGCTTTGGTGATAAAGCAATATGCAAGTCCAAGATTCGGCAGGGAGAGACGAAAATCATCTTTGCCAAGACAGATCGGGAAGGCACGATTTTGACGCTCGCGAGTAGTCCGCTTTCGATTTCGCATGGAAATTTGGAGAAAGTAGAAGCTCTATCCAAAGGTACCGTATGAGGCCAAAACTGATAACAAACAAAGCGAAAACAAACTTTTATTATAAACAGTCCCATGGCGGTTCCGGGAGCCACATAAAAAGATTCACTGCCCTTGGAAAGCCCAAACCGCCAAGCCCCGCCACAACAAAACAATTTTTGCGCGAAATTAAAAATTCCTGAAAAAAGCACCCTTGATCCGGTGAATTTTTGCGATTTTCAAAGTTGATCAATCTTATCTTTTTTGTAATTAATAAGATGGCTGAGGGCTAAATTGCTTTGTTTTTAGCAGTAAATGCACTGCTTCGTGCACCAACTTTTGCATTTATGAGAAGAGAAATGAAATAATTACTGGTTATGAGCCGGTTGTTAAAGCATTTAGTAAATGTCAGCATGCTTCAGCACATTCAACTTTTTGAGCATGTATTTTTGTGAAATATGTATTTTAAGCCCTATCTTTTTCTGGACCAATAAGAAATTAAAGATTTTTGAACCGAGCTTTTTATTGGTCAAGAAAATGAATCTTGGCATTTTAATGGTATAACTTATGTAAAGAATTATACTCAAGTGTTCATTAGGTGAGCTCGTGGAAGATAAATGTGCTAGAACTTCGTGCTCATTTGGAGCTGTTTGTGACCCGACATCTGGACTATGTCAATGCGTGGACATGCGCTGTGAGAGAGAAGAAGTAGCAGCTGTCTGTGGCTCCGATGGAGTCACATATTTGAACGAATGCGAATTGAACGCGGCACAATGTCGCGATCAGAAATTCATCTCCATCCAGTACCACGGCCTTTGTCGCGATGTCCAAATGTCAGAAATTGAATGTCGCCAAGACGATGAGTGTCACAACGGATCGATCTGTAATGTTGGCATTTGCAGGTGCCCGGCCTGCGATGACAATATACCTGCTGATGTCTGTGGTAATGACGGCAATACGTACAGATCAGAGTGTGATCTGAATAGAAGAAAATGCAAGGAGCGGGATGAGAAAACGAGTTTTTGATAGACCGAAATTTTGAAAAATAAACTCAATTTTGAGGTCTTTGTTTAGTCTAACACTCCATAACAAACTCGATAAGACTCTATCTCCTCTCATCCCTGACTTACAGGAAAACATCCACTCGTTGGCCGTCGAGCACGAAGGAATCTGTCGAGTATGTAATCCAATTTACTGGGACGGCGCGCCGACAAAAAACTCGCGGTACTGCGAAGGCAGTTGCCTGGATTGCGAAAATGAGCCGACGATATTTTCGTCTACTGTTTGCGCGACAAAGGGAAGTTTTAGAAGAGTCTTTGGATCAGAGTGTCTTGCCAAGTGTACGATGGGCGTAGATATTGACTTGAAAATCGGGAGTTGCTATGAACCGCCTTGTGAAGAGTGTAAAGATAAGGAATGCAAATTATTCGGGACGGAATGGAAGTGCAATTGCCCGCTTTGCCCAGCGGAGAACCATCCTGTTTGCGGATCAGATGGGGTCACTTATCAATCTCTTTGTGTCCTGAAACGGACAAACTGCGAGTTTGGCTCGGGAGTCGAATTCGTCAGTTCTGGTAAATGCCCGGAAAGAGAAGAAACAGAGGAAACGTGCAAGAATGAGTGCTATTTTGGCGCATATTGTGAGAGAGGACGGTGCAAGTGCGATTTCAATTGCAAAAATATCGATAGACCAGTCTGCAGTGATAACCATATTGAGTTCAAGAACGAGTGTGCTCTTAGGTAAGATTTTTCCGGTTTTTTACCGTGATTTTTTTTCATCAAATTAATTTTCTTTCAGACAATTCGAATGCGAAATCCAGCAACCCGTCCACATTGCCAAGGATGGCCATTGTCCAGGTACGCCCCGCTCAATTACCCCTCGCTACATAATTTATCATTCCGTCTTCTTTTCTAACATTTTCATCCGGAAGGCAGCTGAAATGCCAATTCTAATTTTCGAGTACATTTTGTGCGGATCTCGGGGACAAAAGTCAACTGACCATGAAATCAACGGACTTGCACAGAGTAGACAATAATCATCTTGGATCGGCTTAAAAGCGTCGCGTTTCGGAATTGCATGCGCAATTAGCGCCGTTTTCAAAAGCTTCAAGGATGTCTTAAATGCAATTAAACAAATTTCCTGTGACCTCTTTAGATATTTTGGGAAGGAATATCAGAGAGCTTTAAATTTTTTTTATCATCTGTTTTTGTTTGCAATTTATAAACTAAAATTCAAGCGATGTGGTTTTTGATTTTCGATGACACCTTAATCTAAAAAATTCAGACGATAATGACGAGAGCAATTGTCCAATCTACACTGCTGGTGTCGAGCGAACCGTTGATGGAGTAGAGTGCCGCTGCCCCGAATGTGAGCACCAATTTGGCGATTCTGCCGTCTGTGGTTCAGACGGAATTCTTTACGACTCGCGCTGCGAGCTCAGAAGCCAGGCCTGTCACTTCAACCAGGAGCTCTACGAAGTACCGCTGGAACATTGCGGCGTAGAGGTAGAAGGTTCTGGAGGCGGAGAAGTGTGTAAATTTGGCGGAGTCGATGTTTCAGACAGATTCGACGATGATGAAGAATTCTCAAATCAAATTTACTGCCGCTGTAACTGGCATTGTCCGGATTTCGGATCTCAAGTCGTTGCAGAAGGCGTTGTTTTTGACAACTTGTGTAAATACTACAGAGATGGAAACTGTAAAAATCAGCGAGAACTGGTCATTACCAAGAGCAACTGCAATTGTAACCATCCTGGCGCTTACAATCCTGAAGGACCTTGTGATCACGAAGAAGGTTGTCTTTGTAAACCAGGCTACAAAGGAAGACACTGTGATATTTGCGAGCTGAACTACTATCAATTAAATGGCCTCTGTGTTCAATGTTCTTGCTCTCAGCAGGGAAGTAGAGGCGCACTTTGTGATGAAAATGGACAGTGTTTTTGCAAAGCAGGCTTCATTGGACAAAAATGCGACATAAAAATCGACGTGCAACCAGACGAGTGCCAAGGCTGCACTTTGGCGGAAGTCGAATCCGGAGCTGTCTGCGGAGACGATCATCGCATTTATGGAAGTCTGTGTGGCATGCGCCGGCTACATTGCAATAAAAAGCCAGAAAACCAGCCGGAAGCTGTCAAATACTTCAAGCAATGTCTTTTCAGCGGATATCCACAGATAGAGATTGACAGTGAGGATGAGTCATCGGAGGAATCGGAAATCATGGAGGAGATAATTATGCCGCCAATTTTGCCACCAGCGCCAGAGCCGACGGAAAATGCAGACGAAGAAGGTTCCGGGGGATACATAGATCCACAAATTTTGACCTGCGACGACGAAGAATGCGAAAATAATTCAATTTCATTATCGGAAGCGAAACTGCCACAGGATAGCTCCATCGATTTTGACAGCATGGGATACGATGTGATTCTAACTTTAGCCAAAAAGATGGACTGGAATGACAAAGCAAGAATTGAAAAAGACCTGAGTGAAGTTTTCGCCGCCGAACTCAGGGATATCAAATTGGTTGGCTAAACTAAAGTTTTTAATGTTAATCTTTCTCTTTAGAAATCTGCCAGTATTGATTCAGTCGAGGAAAAATCCGCCACAGTTCACATTGAAATTTCACCAGATAAACCCTACCTCGAATCAAAGATCAACACATACCTTCAAGAAAACCTCGGTATCTTCGAATAAATCTTCACTCAATTCTCAACTTCTTTTTCAGGTCGAAGTTCAATCACCCAATTCAACATTCTCCATGGTCAGTGGTTTGGCGGAGAGTCCTTTGAGCGATACTCTTTCGAGCGCTGTGATACAACTTACGAGTTCGAGATCAAATTCAAGTTCCGAACGCGCGATCCTAATGGTGTCATTTTTTGGGCGGGCAACCCGTTCGCGCTGGATAAGACCTTGGCGTTGAAGATAAAAGATTCGAAACTGGAACTTTCATTCGCAGAAAACGAACCTTATCGGTACAAGAAAGCGGTCAACGATAATGTGTGGCACACTGTCGAGCTCAAATTCAACCGCGGTGGGATCACTTTGATCTTGGACCATGTTCCCCGCCCCGTAAGTAGTACTAAACTAACACGTTGTCTTGAGATGATATTAAATTGCCATGTTTGTAATGAAATGTTTATTTCAAATCGGAAACAGGCCAAGAATTAAAAGTAAACATCTGGCATCTTAAGTTTCATGTTTCGATAAAAGTACGCAATGCTCGGATAAGCTTGAAAAGCTGACTAAATTGATTCTGAAAAGAAAAACTTGAAAGTCAGTGCTTTGTGTACTCATGTTCAAGATAAAGCCTAGGCTTATGAGAAATTATTTTTCGCTTACGGGAAATCTTCAGGAATACATCGCTGCCGGAAAGAAGGATTCGCGAGAACTGGACTTGTCCAATATCTACATTGGTGGAATTCCAAAAGACGAAGAGCTGGATATCCTCTCAAGGCTCGGAATCAACAAGGGTCTTACCGGCTGCTTCCAGATGATAAGCGGCTCGGCGGTAAAATCGGGAGTTTACGAAAACGCTCACTACCCGGTCAAATCGGTTTACAGTTATGGAACTGAGAAATGCGATGGAAGATCACCATGTCAAAATAGTTTGAATGAGTGTGAAAAAGACGATTCTTGTGTCGAATGGGACGGTCTTAGATTTTGTGAAGCTTCAAAGGGACCTCATCGATCGCAAGGAGTCAAGATGAACGGATCAAGGTTTTGCTAATATTCCGTTCTTGAATAAAAATCTCTTCAGCATTCTCATGTTCGATTCGGAAGAGCCAAAGCGGATCAGCTCAATCGAGATTGAGTTCGAATCCACACCGGGAAAGGCCAGTTACGGTCTGCTGCACATCGCCAAAACTGTTGTCCTCTCTGTCGACGAGCGTCGTCTGCGGCTCGATCTGAGTCTCCACGGCACCGACACCGCCGGAATGGTAGTGCGCCAAAATTTTAAACAATAGCGAAAATGATATTTTAGCAAATTCTTGAGGACCAATTTCCGCTTGAAGATGGCGTCAATACGAAAGTCCGGCTTGAATTCAAACCTGGGAAAGTGGAGATGAAAATGTGCCAGGATAAATGTAGAAGCTATCACAGGAACGATAAAACCATAACTGCTTAACTAATTGTTGAAATTTGAAGTTAAGGGGGTAGAAACAGCTTTTCTCCGAAAAAGGCGATTTTTGACCGGCGGTACAGACAAGAAAATCTTTCATTTTAAAATTTTCTCTTTGGGTTTAGATAGAAACATCTTAGATCTAGGAACATCTTTCTCGAAATTCGTTTTAGTCATCAAATTTTTGAGTAAGCGGGCTCAGAAGCAGCTTATCTCTCCGAAATTCTTGATTTTCGCAAATTTTTAAACACGTCTATCTCGAGTCCTCTGATGGTTAAACAAATTTCATTCATATTTTTGTGAAGCTCAACCCTTTTTCTAGGAGCATTTATGAGGAAATTCCGTGAACATAAATAAATCTTTTACTTTCTTTTATGTAGCTGCAGTCCAAAATCGAGAAAGCTGTTTCTACCCCCTTAATTGTTTCGAAAGTTTCGAAAAGAAATCTTCATATCTTAGCACACATCGCAACGAATAACGCTTCCTTACTTATTTATCAATTAAAGTCAAACAAAAACCTACAATCGCCGAAAAAACAGAATCGAGGGTCGTCTTGTCATCGGTCAAATCCATCCTTCAACATTCTCTCATTTGTCCGGCTATTTCCAGCAGCTGGTCGGCTTCCACGGCGTCTTCCGGTCCTTGAAACTCAACGATGAACAGTTGGCCCTGTGGCAGGACGCCGATTTGAGAAGGTAATTGACTATTTTTGAGAATGATTTTAATTAGTAATTTGAAGAATGGTCGCGCCTGCATATGAGCCAGCAATTCCTTTCAGCCGTAAAGTTGGGCCCGTCAAGTTTAACAATGCAGCCAAGTATTTCAATTTCGTCACTGAGCCACTTATGATGATGGTAAGATAATTTCAGTCGTAAAACTATATGCCACTCCTCTCAGAATCTGCATAATCGTCTTCTTTCAGGATGAAGTTAGGGTGCAGATGAAAATCAAAGTTCCCGAGAACACAGAAAGGGAAACAATTTACTACAGCAGCAATGAATTGGGAACAAGCTCGTTGAAAATCCATGTCCGATCCGGTTACTTGGTTGTGCGACTTGAGATCGAAGACATAAAAGACGGAAACGATGTTCTTCTTGAATTGGAGTCACTTTATAGAATCGACAGAGATGAATGGACCGATATTGAGGTAACTAAATAAAGCATTCTGATTCAGGGCTCTAAATCGCGGGGGCGTGCGCCGGGAGCGGCAAAGTCAAACCGCGCGCGCGAACAAAACTCTTGGGCGCGAGGTGCGCCCTCCCGAAAAAATTCGGGAGCAACATTTTTCAGCGCTCACGGCGAGTTCCGGGCGCGCCCGAGCCTCTCGTTCGCGAACCAAGGGCTCGATCGCGCCTAGGTTCTGGCGGAGCGCGGATCGAGCTAGCAGCGCCGCGCCGATGTATAGGAGTACCCGCGCGAGTAACGCGGTCTTCACGTTCTTCACGCGGTCGTCATTGATTTTTCAGAAAAGCTTTTTCGAAATTTTTTCTGTTAAACTTATCTACATTCTCTCAGCCTTCACCTCCCACTTTCAGATTTTCATTATCACAATTAATTCTTGAGTTAGAGTAAAAAAGAGAAATTCAACTTCAAAAGGCATAAACTCCTGCAAACTTTATTTGTTCTCAACGAAATTTGATTCACCGAAAAGAAGAAAAAATTCTGTACTAAAGTTACCTAATGGGGTTATGATAACAATCACCTGCCGAGTGGAAGGTGAGCTTTTCCGGAGTGGATCGGTTCCACAGCGGTCATTCGCGTTAATATTTTGGCTTGTTTGCGCTTGATTCCCGCAAAGTATGCGCTAATAACTATGGACCATAGTCTTAGACTACTCTTAGACTACTTAAACTCCATAGTATGGATTATAGATTCTTATTACTACTTTGATGATTTTCATAACACCTCATTACATAACTTTTGATCAGAATTTTTTGGGCTTTCCGGTGGAAGCAATTTTATATAATTTCATATTTTCAAAATTGAAAGTGCTGAATCCATTTGAAGTTAAACTTTTCTTTCGTCGATAGCGACTGAATTAAGAACGATAGAGAAAAACTTAAAACGACAATAGAAAGAAGAGTGTATATAAAGTATATATGCAAAAACGAATTTTTGAAAATAGCTCATGTCAAAATTCATAATGAAGATAATTCATCATAATTTTGAAAGATATTCTTCAGGGGAAGATTCTTTCATTCAATTTTCACAAGCTGATCGATTATAAACCGAGAAAATAGGCGCAAACTCGGACCCGCCGGCGCTTTCATTTTGAAATTTTGCTCCCCAACTTGCTCGGGAGGGCGCCGCTTGCTCCCGAGATTCTCGTTCGCGCTTGAGTTCAACCTCTGGCGCTCACGGCGCGCGCCCCCGCGATTCGGAGCCCTGTTCTGATTGTTCTAAAATTGATTAATGTTTTTCATTGATGAAAATATCGTAAATTTACAAATACTTTTCTTCGAGACAGAATCTTATTGTTTCTGTTATTACTGTTATTTAGGTCGTCTACAAAAAAGAAAAGGACGTCGGTTTCCGAACCCTCAATCTTCTCATCGACAATGGTTCTTATGCCGACTCCGACCTTGCACTAACTACTGTCGATTTCGCCGCGGACGGTTTTGCGTTTATTGGTGGAATGAAAAACGAATTCGGTGACTCAATAGAAGGCTTCCATGGATGCATTTCGGACGTGTACCTGAACAAACGGGAGTTAGATCTACGCCTTAACCTGATAGAAGCTCCAACAAGCGGGCTTGGAGAGTGTAAATAGCCAAATACTCAAAGACAAAAAAAACGATACCCAACTTCTACAAACGTACTCATCCTTGACTCCCATCCTGCGTGCTCAGTTCAGTTCAGCAATAATACCTCCTTCCACTGCAAAAAAACGAAAGACCGAAAAGTCGGTCCGAAAGCCAACTTCTAAAGCGTCAACATCTAACTAGCCAAAAAAAAGAAACGAAAACGAAAAATTTACAGCATAAAAGTACAAATTTAGGTTCTGTATAAAAAATGGGCATTATACAATTTTTGGAACTTTTGGGCTTGGACGATGAGTAATCGGAACTTTTAAGTGTGGACGAGGAGTAATCGGAACTTTTAAGGGTGGATGAGTAGTAATCGGAACTTTTAAGGGTGGACAAGTAGTAATCGGAACTTTTAAGGGTGGACGAGTAGTAATCGGAACTTTTAAGGGTGGACGAGTAGTAATCGGAACTTTTAAGGGTGGACGAGTAGTAATCGGAACTTTTAAGGGTGGACGAGTAGTAAAAGGATTTTCCTAAAAAGTTAAGCGAAAAAAAGGAACTTTTAAGCACGGACGACTAGTAATCGGAAAAGTGATCTTAGAAAATTTTTTTCAAATTAAATTTTAAGGGTGTTTAAGGCCTGCCGGCCTAATGAAACCCCGTTTAAGGGACCCAGTTAGGTAGATTCAGGCGCGAATTCAGGCGCTCACCTGATGATCAGTTGTCAAGATTTTTTCAATCTTTTTTCTGCAAATTATATCCTCAGACTCTCAGCTTTCATTTCCAATTCTCAGAATTTTTATACGACCTAAAGTTTGGTCGCTAGAACTGAATGAAGTTCACTAGTTTCAAAAGCTATCTTGTCCTACAGTTCTCATTTTTACCAATCAAAATTACTACTGGCTGAAAGCTGAGAAAATTTTCTACAAATCCCACCTAGTGTGCAATTTTCTTGTCCTCATATATGGCGTACAGAAACTGATAACCATGTAAATGAACCAAATTTAGCGCGCGCAGCGTGTCACGCAGCGCTCAAAAGGCTTATTTGCGAGGGATTCCCACTGAGCGCGCGCTAAGTACTTCCAAGAATCGCTTCCTGATTACAATCAGTATTGACATAAAATTGCACACTAGGTGGGATTTGTAGAGAATTTTCTCAGCTTTCAGCCAGTAGTAATTTTGATTGGTAAAAATGAAAACTGTAGGACAAGATAGCTTTTGAAACTAGTGAACTTCATTCAGTTCTAGCGACCAAACTTTAGGTCGTATAAAAATTCTGAGAATTGGAAATGAAAGCTGAGAGTCTGAGGATATGCTTTGCAGAAAAAAGATCGAAAAAATCTTCACAACTGATCATCAGCTGAGCGCCTGAATGCGCGCCTGAATCTACCTAACTGGGTCCCTTAAATGAAAGAGGGGCCCGAAAGGCGCATTTTAAGGGGGTTTTCTCTAGGCCGGTAGGCCTCTTACACCCTTAAAATTAAGTTTGAAAAAATTTGGAAAAATGAAAATTTCCATTTTTTTTCTTGGATTTTTAGGAAATCCTTTTACTACTCGTCCACCCTTAAAAGTTCCGATTACTACTCGTCCACCCTTAAAAGTTCCGATTACTACTTGTCCACCCTTAAAAGTTCCGATTACTACTTGTCCACCCTTAAAAGTTCCGATTACTACTCGTCCAAGCTTAAAAGTTCCGATTACTCATCGTCCACACTTAAAAGTTCCGATTACTCATCGTCCAAGCTTAAAAGTTCCGATTACTCCTCGTCCACACTTAAAAGTTCCGATTACTCATCGTCCAAGCTTAAAAGTTCCAAAAATTGTATTATGCCAAAAAATGATCTTTGTGTACATATAATTTATTTCTTACTCATCTATTCCTCACTCTGTACATTCACACTTGTTACCTCAATTTTAAACTGTGTTCTGGAACCTCCTCATTTTATTAATTAGACAAAATAAACATTTTTGTTGAAAATAATTTATTCCACATTTTAAACTATACATTCTCCTGCTTCGGCAGCTTCGTTTGCCTCAGCTTCCGCCTCCTCGGCTTCGGCAGCCTCAGCATCGTCTACTTCTAAAAGCATATGATTGAATCGATTTCTTTTTAATTTACCGTCGTTGACACTGAGGGAGCCACCGGAGCCAGAAACCTCAGACGTTGGTTTTTGATCCAAATGACGTTGGGAAACAACTGTCGTTAGATTATCCGCGGGTAAATACGATCTGTTCATGTCTTCTTGGTCTTTCCAGCGCAAGTCTTTTACCGGCTTGATTCTTAAAGCAGTGCTCAAGGCTGATTTTACTCATTTGAACTTACGGTTTAGGGGCAGCTTCGAGCCATAAAGATCTGAAATGCATCCTGTTGTTTTCGAGCATCGTAGAAGGGCTGGAAACTTGAGCGACAACTTAGAAAAAGATCTATTAAAAGAGGGTCAAACAGTTACAATTTTACCAAGAGGAGTTGTTGTATCGATTTCGTAGTCTTTTTGACTTTTTCAAGTTCTTTTGACAGCGAGCCTTCAGCAGGCGGCGGGTTGGGGAAGGGTAACGTGCTCTAAATATTGAGCTCATCAACTATTCTCCTGCTTACTTTTGATACCTGATTTCCAAGTCTTTCAAGTGTAGCATTATGAGAAGGAAAAACGCTTTCATCGCCTCTGTGAGTGTTCTCGCTTGAATTTTCTTTGAGGTAATCTAAATCATGTTTCAACTTATCCTAAGATATTCTAGCTTACAAGGATTGTTGCAGCAGTAGGTCTTCTTTCCGAGAAGTTTTCTCAAATGATGCCTCTCAAAAATGACGATCAGTCCCACAGCAATCACTAATAAAAATGTGCCCAAGAGAACAAGGTACCAAACAACTCCGGGAACAGGGAATGTGAACCCACTGGAGCTGGAAATTTGAACAACTGTTTCCGAGTTTGGAGTAGCTGGAGAAGACAGAAGCGCTGAGTTCGAGTTGCCAGATTCGAATGGAGTCAGGGTTGGAATGGAATTTTGGCCGATTGATTTGACTCCACTGATGACGATGTTGACCGTGCCGCCTGCTTCGGAGCATAAACCACATGTCTATGGACGGTTACGGTCTTTCATGCCTCGTATTAAGATTACCTTTGGACATAAAAGTCGGATCTTTTCGATTCTGTTGCACTGAACCAGCCAACTTTCATCGCGGCACATGAATTTTTGATCTACAAAAGTTGTCATCATCTTTCATACCATGAATGACTGTTCACTGACCTTCACATTGAATTTCGCTCGACATGATTTCTCTGTTTGCTTTTTTCTGCAACTCGTTATGAGAGGGCGAGAAGTTGATATCGGAGAAACTATAAAAAGAAAGTCCAAAGGAGTATTAACAATGCAACTGTCACAAGTTTAATCATCCGCCGCCTGTTTGATTGACACTCTTACTGTACCCAACACCTTAAAAATGGGTAGTACTACTGGAGTGTCTGTTATTCCGTTTATTCTATCAAAGCTCTATTTGTTTCGATCGAGATTCGAATAATTTATGCGGAACATATGTGCAAACGATTCTCTTAAATTAACAAAATCTGATTGATATTTTTTAAATCAAGAATAATTTTCATACCTTCTTGGATTTTTTCTCTTGCAAAATGAAATTTGGAATCGTCGCGGGAGTCACCCGCTGACTCTGAAATTATCCACTCTTTTTAATCCTCTTTTCCCACTTCATGTAAGTCTTTCATTTTTTTCCAAAATTAAAATTAACTCGAGATTTCTATCTGTGAATATTCAATATGCGAATAGTAAACAGAAGTGATAGAGCCTCGGCTGTAACAGCCAGATGGCGATTAATTCTTTTTCTTTTTTTTTCGGTTGTAAATTATTAACCGTCATTTCAAAGTCGATTATTGTGACATGCAGCGCTCTGTCTCACACCCTTTTCCGAATTAAATTAAATATCAATTTATAATTACTGCCTATATTCTGATTGAAGGACAGTTTCTCATTCATTCTCTAATTATTTATCCTCTGACTTCCCGTAAAGGATCAGACTCGCTTTACTTACATTTTTCTTTTCGCTTTATAAAGGCTTCTAAAAAGCCAATAGAAATGATCTCTTGTAAATGATGGTAGCTGATCTCTGCATAATTAGCTCCAGGATCGAGCTCTTCAAGGACAGAACGGATCGACCGACCGCAGCGCAGATTTTGCAAGATCTCGCAAACCACCTTCCCCGCCCTAATAAACCCAAATCCACACCATGAAATCACTTTTCCGATATTATTAATTCTTTCGTGTTTTAGATTTTCAATGCACATATGAAATGTCTTTCCTTTAGGAAAATCCATCTTCTTCTTCTTCGACTTCTTCAATAATTCCTTCTTGAAGCTCGTTTGCTTCTATAAAAATTTTAAAACTCAACTCACATTTCTTTGTCATTGAACTCTTACCTTCTTCAACGATAAAATGGCAACTGTTTCTGTAAATGCTATATCGTTCCGCGCGGCTCCTTCTGCTCATCGCCTAAAAATGAGCAATAAAAACGTAAACTTGAACTACCATCCTTGCCTCCGAACCGACATCGGACATGTTGGTAATATCAATGGAAGGTGGTTTCCGCGGCGAGTCGAACAAAGGCGCCTGACCAAAGAGAACTACTGTTAAAACGAAGTTGAGAGGTAGAGGAAAATGAACATAACGATACCGATAAAATTAATAACTTCTTCGATATTAAACTCGACCAATATCCAAAGTGCGCAGAGCAAACTTGTCAAAATTATCGCGATCGAAAGAAAGAACATCGAGATGCAGTCCTTAAAAATATTTTCTTTCTTGCTTTCAGGGCAGTACAAACTATTGCGGACAGTTCTTCATACTTCGTTTCATCTTGGTAATCTCGATAGGACATTATTCTTTTAAAAACTCAAAGGTGAAAATCAAATTTGAAGCTGCGAGAAGCATTGATTCATGAAACTCCAGGCTTTTGTATAAATTTTTCATGAAAAGACGGCATTTTTGACATTTAATTCCATCACCATATGCCTAACAGACGCCATGATTGATGGAAAAGTACCTTTTTCTACAGGAACAAACCCAGAAGTAAATTTCCCAATAACCGGCTTATCATCACTTTCCTGATGGATTATTTTAGATGCGCTAATAGTGATATGCACGCGCCAAGAATAAAACAAAGTGTGAAAGTCGTCAATCAACGATGGTGACAATGTACCGCACGGGAGATCAGGTAGGTATAAAATACCATTCCTGCTCGTATTCTTACAGATATTGCCTATCTTTCAACAAGATTAACGTCACTCTCGTGCGGTAGAAAGGTACAAACGCGCTTGGCACTTGGTTAAGTACAGCTGAAACGCAGGAAATTAGCGACTCGTCATCTTTATCAGAGCCGGTTTGGCTCTTCCAAGCAAGTCAACACCTTCAAATCGTGTGCATAAATACGCCCCAGCTTTTTGCAATTCAACATTTTGTTCTGAACTAAAACTTCAACAAGGTATACCCAGAGACTTAATTTTTTATTAATTATTTTTAAAGATGTCGCTTTGGGATCCCGAGGCAGCCGGTAGTGCCGCTCAATGGCTCCGACTTCCCGATACCACTATGTTGGAGATCCGAAACCAGCCCTTTGAGGGTGGCAAGCAGGTCTGGGTCCCTTTCTCTGAGACTGGTTACGTCAAGGGTCTCGTCATCGGTAAGGGTGACAAGCCCGGAACCACCAAGGTCCGACGATTGAATGATAACAAGGAGAAGGACTTTAAAGACGAGCAGGTAAGCTGTTGATTTGAAAAAACACTGATTTACTCCGTCTTTAGGTTGAAAAGCAAAACCCTCCAAAGTACGAGTTGCTCGAGGATTTGGCCAACATGACCTACCTCTCTGAGGCTGCTGTGGTCTACAACTTGGACGAGCGATACAAGAAGTTCATGATCTACACCTACTCCGGTCTCTTTTGTATCACTGTCAACCCCTACAAGTGGCTCTCCGTCTACGACAACCACGTCGTCGGTTGCTACAAGGGCAAGAGAAAGTCTGAAATGCCTCCCCATATTTTCTCCATCTCCGATAACGCCTACAACGATATGTTGCGAGAACGACATAACCAGTCCATGTTGATCACCGGCGAGTCCGGAGCTGGTAAAACTGTCAATACCAAGCGAGTCATCCAGTACTTCGCCGTTGTCGCCGCCCTTGGATCTGGAGGTAAAGACGGTGACGACGGTGCTCCAGCTCTCAAGGGAGGTGGAACCCTCGAAGATCAGATTGTCGCTGCCAACCCTGCTATGGAGGCCTTCGGTAACGCTAAGACCACCCGTAACGATAACTCTTCTCGATTCGGTAAATTTATCCGAATTCACTTCGGTCTCACTGGTAAACTCGCTTCTGGTGATATCGATACCTACCTGCTCGAAAAGTCTCGAGTTGTCTTCCAGCTCAAGGCCGAGCGATGTTTCCATATTTTCTACCAGATCTGCTGCGAAGGCCGAAAGGACATCAACGAAATGACCCAGATCACGCACAACCCTTATGATTACAAATACTGCTCAATGGGTGAGATTAAGGTCAAGTCTATCAACGATGTTGAAGAACTCGATGCTACTGACTCTTCCTTTGACGTTCTCGGTTTCAACGCTGAGGAGAAGGCTGGTATCTACATGATTACTGCTGGTTTGATGCACTCTGGCAACATGGAGTTCAAGCAGAAGCCCCGAGAAGAACAGGCTGAACCCGATGGACATGAAGCTGCTGATCTTGCTGGTTACATGTTGGGTATCTCTGGTTCTGAATATACCAAGGCCCTCTGTACCCCACGAATTAAGGTCGGCGCTGATTACGTGACCAAGGGTCAGACCGTTGACCAGGTCAACTACGCCCTGAAGGCCATCTGCAAGGCTGTCTTCGATCGACTCTTCAAATGGCTCGTCGAAGTCGTCAACCGAGCCCTTTCTACTGACCTTCCTCGATCTTTCTTCATCGGTATTCTCGATATCGCCGGTTTCGAAATTTTTGAATTCAACACCTTCGAACAGCTCTGCATCAACTACACCAATGAGAAACTCCAGCAGTTCTTCAACCACCACATGTTCGTTCTCGAGCAGGAAGAATACAAGAAGGAAGGTATTGAGTGGGAAATGATCGATTTCGGTATGGATTTGGCCGCTACCATCGACTTGATCGAAAAGCCTCTTGGTATCATGTCCACTCTCGAAGAAGAGTGCATGTTCCCGAAGGCTACTGATATGACCTTCAGAGACAAGCTCTTCCAGCAGCATTTGGGTAAGAACGACAAGATCGGCAAGCCCAACCCCAAGAACCACAAGAACGCTGACGTCCCTGCTCCTCACTTTGAGCTTTACCACTACGCCGGTACTGTCGGTTACAACGTCACTGATTGGCTTCTCAAGAACAAGGATCCTCTCAACCCTTCTGTCGTCGGTCTCTTTAAGTAATATCACTTTATTTTTACTGATTTTAACTTTGTTTTCAGGAAATCTTCCAACAAGTGTATCCTCGCTCAGTGGGACTCATACGTTTCTGCTGAAGAAGCCGCCGAAGCTGCCAAAAAGGGTGGCGGAGGAAAAGGTGGAAAGCGGCAAAAGGGTGGTTCTTTCCAGACTGTCTCCGGTCTTCACCGAGAATCCCTTGGTCGACTCATGTCAAACCTTCGATCTACTCAGCCCCATTTTGTCCGCTGCATTGTCCCCAACGAAATCAAAAAGCCCGGCCACATGGACTGGAATCTTGTTCTCCATCAGCTTCGATGTAACGGTGTGTTGGAAGGTATCCGTATTTGCCGAAAGGGTTTCCCTTCTCGAGTCCAGTACGAAGAATTTGCCAAGCGATATGTCATTCTTCACGCTGAAGCAAAGAAGGACCAGGAGTTCTGTGACTGGAAAGCCATGTCTAAGGAAATTTGTACTGGAATCGCTCTTTCCGACCAGAAGCATAAGTTCGGCCACACTAAACTTTTCTTCAAAGCTGGTGTTATTGGTGATCTCGAAGACGAGCGTGATGAAAAAATTGCTGCCATTCTCACTTCTCTCCAGTCTTACATGCGATACCGACTTGCTGAGCGAACTTACGCTGAGATGATCAAGCGACGAGATTCGATCGAAATCATCCAGGGTAATATCCGAGCCTTCCAGTACTTGAAGGACTGGGAATGGATGAAGATCATCTACAAAATCAAGCCTCTTATCTCCCAAGCCGAAGAGGGCAAGAAGATGCAGGAGCTTGAAAAGAACTATGATGAGGTCAAAAAGCAGCTCGAGAAGGAGAAAAAGCGACGAGCTGAGCTCGAGGAGCAGTCTGTTGCTCTCGAACAGGAGCGAAATGAACTGACCCAAAAGGCTGAGACTCAAAACGCTCTCCTTGATGACGCTGAGGGTCGATGCGAAGAACTCATTGCTGCTAAGATCGAGCTTGATGCAAAGATCCGAGATCTCCAGGAGAAACTTGAAGATGAGGAAGAAATGAACAACGAGCTTGTTGCTAAGAAACGAAAGCTCGAAGATGAATCTTCCGAACTTAAGAAGGATATTGATGATCTTGAGCTGACTCTTGCCAAGATTGAAAAAGAAAAGCACGCAACTGAGAACAAGTCCAAGAACGTTACCGAGGAACTTGCTTCTGTTAGCGAGGCCATTCACAAGCTTGAAAAGGAGAAGAAAGCTCTTCAAGAAGCTCACAAGCAGACTCTTGGAGATCTTCAAAATGAGGAAGAAAAGGTCGTCAATCTCACCAAGTCCAAGGGCAAACTCGAACAGCAGGTCGATGATCTTGAAATCGGCCTCGAAGCTGAGAAAAAGTCTCGAATGGACCTTGAACGAGCCAAGAGAAAGCTTGAAGGCGACATTCGACTCTCTCAAGAACAGATTATGGATCTTGAAAATGACAAGGCTGGTCAGGAAGAAGCCTTGAAGAAGTCTGAATTTGATTTCTCCCAGCTCAACGCGAAGCTTGAGGATGAGCAGGCTATGGCCGCTCAGCTCCAGAAAAAAATCAAGGAGCTCCAGGGTCGAACCGAAGAAGTCGAAGAAGAGCTCGAATCTGAGCGAGGTGGACGAGCTCGATCTGAAAAGACTCGAGGAGATCTTTCCAGAGAACTTGAGGAGCTCGCTGAGCGACTTGAAGAAGCTGGATCCAACACTCAAGCTCAGATCGAAATTGCCAAGCGACGAGACGCTGAAGCCGCCAAGGTTCGACGAGAACTTGAGGAAGCCACTCTTAACCACGAATCATCTCTTTCTAATATCCGAAAGAAGCAGGGTGATCAGACCACCTCTCTCGGCGAGCAGATTGAAAATCTTAACCGAATCAAGCAGAAGCTCGAAAAGGAAAAGTCCGAAGCAAAGATGGAAGTCGATGAGCTCCACGTCAATGTTGAGTCTCTCACCAAATCTAAGCTTAACTACGAAAAGCAGACTCGCAACCTTGAGGATAACATCGCTGACCTCAAGATGAAACTTGAAGAAGGCGCCGTCGTACTTTCCGACTCCAACAACGATAACAATCGAATCCAGATGGAGATCAACGACTATCGTCGACATATTGAAGAGAAGGACACTGTTAACACTCAGCTTGTTCGAAACAAGAACTCCCTCTCTCAAACTCACGATGAGCTCAAGCGACAGCACGATGAAGAGTCCAAGTCTAAGAACTCGCTCTCTCACCAACTTCAGTCTCAGCGACACGACACTGATATGCTCCGAGAACAGATGGAGGAAGAGCAGGAGTCCAAGCAAGAACTTCAGCGAAATCTCAGCAAGTCTAACAACGAGTGCGTCCAGTGGCGAAACAAGTACGAGACTGATGCTATTCAGCGAACTGAAGAACTTGAGGAAGCTAAGAAGAAGCTCGTCGCTCGACTTCAGGAATCTGAAGAGCAGGTCGAAGCCGCTCAAGGCCGATGCGGATCTCTCGAAAAGACCAAGACCCGACTCCAGGGTGAAGTTGAAGATCTCTCCGCCGATCTTGAACGATCAAACGCCGCTGCATCTCAGCTTGACAAGAAGCAGCGAAACTTCGATAAGCTCCTTGCAGAAGCTAAACAGAAGCAAGAAGAAGCCCAGGTCGAACTTGAGCTTGCTCAAAAAGAAGTGCGAAACCAGCAGACTGAACTCTTCAAGCTCAAGAATTCTACTGAAGAGACTGTTGAGAACCTTGAAGCTATCCGACGAGAAAACAAGAATCTCGCTGAAGAGGCTCAGGAGCTTGTCGACCAGCTCCAAGAAGGATCCAAGACTATTCATGAGCTTGAGAAGACTAAGCGAATGGCTGACCAGGAGCGAGCGGACATCCAGTCCTCTCTTGAAGAAGCCGAGGCCGCCATTGAGTCCGAAGAAGCCAAGACTCTCCGAGTCCAGGTTGAACTTCAGCAGCTCAAGCAGGAAATCGATCGACGATTGGCTGAGAAGGACGAAGAAATCGACAACGCTCGACGAAATGCCTCACGATCTGTTGAGCAGATCCAAGCTTCTCTCGACAATGAGATGCGAGCTCGAGGTGAAGCCATCCGATCCCGAAAGAAGATGGAATCCGATCTTAATGACCTCGAGGTCAACATGGCTACATCCTCCCGACAGGCTCAGGATGCCCAGAAGAACACCAAGGATCTCCTCCTTCAGCTCAAGGACTTGAACCAGAGACTTGATGATTCTCAGCGACAGACTGAAGATCTTCGAGAACAATCTGCTGTCTCTGAGCGACGAGTTGGCCTTATGACCTCTGAAATTGAAGAGCTCCGACAGGGACTCGAGCAGGCCGAGCGAACCCGAAAACAGGCCGAAAACGACCTCATGGAGGCTAACGAGCGATCTAACATGCTCCACACCCAAAACGGCGCTTTCATCAACCAGAAGCGAAAGATCGAGGGTGAGCTCAACGCTGTCAAGACCGAAGTCGAAGAAGCCATTGGTGAGGCTCGATCTGCTGAGGATGCTGCTAAGAAGGCCCTCACTACCGCCGCCCTTCTCTCTGAAGACCTAAAGAAGGAGCAGGACCAGTCCCAGCATCTTGAGCGTATGAAGAAGAACCAGGAGAACTCCCTTCGAGATCTCCAGATGCGACTTGACGAAGCTGAACAGGTCGCTCTTAAGGGTGGTAAGAAGGCCGTCCAGAAGCTCGAGACCAAGTGCAGAGAAATCGAAATGGAACTCGAGAGCGAGCAGCGACGAACTAGCGACAACACCAAGGTCATGCGAAAGCTCGAGCGTAAATACAAGGAAGCCAACTACGCGAACGATGAAGACAAGAAGAACCTTGTCCGACTTTCTGACAGCATCGACAAGCTCAACTCCAAGGTCAAGTCCTACAAGAAGGCCGCTGAAGACGCCACTGAATCTGCTTCTTCCGCCATGTCCCGATTCCGAAAGGTCCAGCACGAACTTGACGAAGCTAACGAGCGAGCTGAAATGGCTGAAGCCGCTGTTAACAAGGCTCGATCAAAGGCTCTTGAGAGCAAGTAATTTATCACTGACCACGATTTCCAATAAATTTGTTAATTAACAATTTTTGTTTGAATATATTAGTTTGAGTTTGAAAAAGAAGTTTGCAGTTCAAAAGTCGCCAGTAGCGAATCGGAAGTGTAGCCAGACTCGTCGGTAGAGCCAGTAGAACTTGATTTGCCAACACTCGGCGCTAGATTTGAATACGTTCTGTTTGCAGAATCCATCTTTACTGTGTTGGTTTCCAACTCTGTAGCGTAGTAATTGATTGTACTCGACCTAAAACAGAAATTTTGAGGCGGTTAATTCATCTACAGTTGAGATCAATAATGAAGAGAATAACATCTGGAATATCTCAAGTGGTGTCTTTGATCCACAATTTAGCTTAATTATTATAATTTCGCGCTATAATTCAAAATTATTCAAGAGCATAATAGTCAGTGAAAATTTAGCCTTAAAAATTACGCACCGATAGAATTTCTAATTGAATTTTAAGGTCAATTTCTGACAAAATCTGTCACAGATCGATGCTACTCTCGCCGGAAGCGCGCATTGCTTCTAATAAAGGTGTTTTATTGAATTTCCAGGCCTTTGCCAAATCGCCAGAGGGGCGCGCTATTTTGTCTGAGTGAAATTTACCTGTTTAGCAAAGTGTCGCGCCTGTTGGATTCTGCTATTGATTCCAGGTCTGCCTTTTGCGCCGCTTTGATCTTCAATGAAAAAGTTTTATTTAAAAAATATTATTCATTTTAACATTTACCTTTGAGACTCGCTTTGAGCGAATGAAGATGACACAAACGGGCACAGCGGCTAGAGCGAGTGCTGCGGCAATCATCAATATTCCCAGAATTACGAGGCATTCTTTGTCAGCTAAAAGTGAGAGTCAAGAATGTTTTTGCCTTGAATAATATATATTTTATTGCAAGTTTTGCAACTGCGTCAACTATCGGTTATAAACCTTCAACTGCCGATAATGACGTCCGACAGTTATCCTCTAAAATTATTCACTCTAATTAGACCTCGCTTCCCCAATTATGCCTTCTGATGTTGTTATTTGGCAAGTTGTGGAAAGTGATCGATTTTAGGAAAAAAAGGTTTAGGGATCAAATTGAGTTCTTTCCAGAAGAACAGCTCTGAATGCGAAATCATTCAATTATATGATACAATAATTCCTCAATAAAAGCTTGTTTTCTGACCATTTTTGTCTCTATGAAAGAAAAAGTACCTGCTTCGCAAAGGCAAATTTTTGGCAATAGACATTTTGCTTGGCTCAATTGATTTTCATCAGAATCTGCAATTGTGGCGGAAGTTACTGTCAGGAAAAGTTCGGTGGCGTTTGACATCACTGATGATTGATTCCAGCGCTCATTCTGTCTAAAAGTCTTTGATTGGAAGGAGGAAAGAGATTAATAGATGATAAATTAATTCGAAAATATCGTAAAAGGGCGATTCCTTGGCGTGAGCTTGGTCCGGCGCCAAAATTCATTTTTTTTAATTAATCAGCATTTTCCTTTCGAGGATGTCTAAGTACGGCTTAGTGCGAAAGTGTTTTACTAATAAAGCTGCCTTATTAAAAAATAAAAATGGTTCTGCGACTTTGTGAGTGTCTTCATTCTGCTCGTAAAATTTTTCATCAAAGGGCCAGCCAAATTAAGTTGTTGAAATTTCGACAGCTGAAATTTAAAATTTTCATCATTGTTTTTTTTGAACTGATCCACTCGATTTTCTAAGTGAATGATCAGAAATATGCATATTTCCTAACAAGCATATGATGCTACTGCTGTCCCTCAGGAGTGTGTGAAAATTTAATAACAGTAATCTCCTGTACTTATTTTCGGATCAGTGTTTGGACTTTCTCATGACGTTGTGAATCTGTTTGGATTCCGCTCTTCAGAAAGAAACCTTTCAAAAAATGACAAGGAGCACTTGTGCAGCAAAGGACAACTACTCAAAAACTCAATTACCATTACAGTAATTTGCGTCCGACTTGTTATTAATCTTGTCATCAGAGAACATACGGGTTAATTGGTAATTTCTTTAGCTATAGAAATATATAATGACATTTTAATATGTCGGTAAATAAACGAAAAGGCAAGAAATGTACCTGAAATTTTCGTATAAAATTGATAGACCCTCTCTCAAAAATCTTCTTCAAATTCGTATTTTTTTTTTGTTTTCGATGTCGATCTGCCCAACCTCTTTTTTTTAAATTTTTTAGTGCTTGAAAAAAATGTCAGTTTGAATGTTCTTTTTTTTAGAGAAAATGAAATTTGTCGAGTTGGAGGAGATCTCTGGCGCTGCGCTAAATAAGCGTGAATGATTCAGAGAGTCGGAGCTCAATCAGCGCTAGTCGCGAGTAGCGCGTTTTTAGCGCCCTCTAATGCCCAAAACCCACTGTTGGAAAATCGGATTAACACGGCTTATTAGTTAAAAATCTTCACGTCATTCTGATGCTACTCTGAGGTCAAAAAAAAAGAAACAAGGCGATAATTTTATATCGAGCGGAAATCGACATTATCAACTTTTTAAGCCAATAAAGTTATTAAATCGCTTAAAAAGACCCTTTTAGAACCGTTTAAAAGCTTTAATCATTACTTCTCACGGAAGTAAAAGCCATCAATTATTCTGAGGCCTGTCAGAATACTGATAAGCGTAGTGGTGATTCGTCCCCCGGCGGGAGATGAATCCTTATCAGAAGAAAAAGGGACAGCTGAGACCTGGCTTTCTGTTTCCAAAAACTTTCTAAAAGTAAACAGAAAGTAGAAAAGTTCAAGTCCCATTAAAAATAAGCAAGCTGAAGGGTAGCCAAAGGAAAAGGAAAATTAAAAGTTTACCTCTTTCTTTCATCTACAAACTTGAACATGAAAATTGAGATGGATGATTAGATTCTCCCCACGTTTTCCCAAAATAAATTTTTGAATAGCCAGGGTATTAACAAATATGATTTCAAGAGCGTCGGAGCTCAGAAGACGCGTCAAATTTGCAGCAGGGTAGAAAAAAGCAGGTGCTGACCTTCAGGGGATTTATGGCTTTAGGAAAATCGCTACTTATGAAGTTATGGGAGATCGTTAGACCCTAGATCATTTTAACAATATCAGAATCGATTTAGAATATTCATTTTATTTACAGATTCAGACAAAATACAGTTTATATACAGAACCAGTTTAGTCGTAAAAGTTCGAATTGGTGATCACGGACATATACTCATCAACATCTGAATACGATCTGTATCCGGAAGTATTTTCGCTCGTAACGTAGAAAAATGTCGAGTTTTTCCGCGAGTTGACAATCCTTGCATCCACCAGAGTTGTTAAATCGTCGGTTCGGCCGGAGACGGAGCGTTGGATTGAATTGACATCTGACTGGTATTGCAGAGCGCGGAAGTTCGCTACAAGCTCGTTGTTGCTCGTGTAGTAGGCCATGATGATGAAAGATACGAGCGAGCAGCCGAGGAGACTGATGCCTTCAAAAAGCAACATTGCGAAGAGAACTGACCCGCCAACGCTTTCGAAATAAACGGATCGGACGAGATTGACGCAGCCAAAGCCGTCGATGAGCGCGCAAACCAGAGTCGTCAGAAACGTCCCGAGTAGGATGACCACTACTGTTTTCTCGCTAGTTTTCTCGTCGCTAGAAAAGTAGAACTTCGAGAAAGTGCACTGAATTCTGCAAGCGATGAAGGTGAAGAGAATGCAAGCTGTGACGAGGGCGATTCCACCGGACCAAATTCCTTGGCCGATCATCGAGTAAGGAAGTTCTTCGGAAATTTGCGCAGAAATGCCAATGTTGGAGAATAAAATGATGAAGACGAAACAATGACACAAGACGGCGGCGATGGCGAAGATTGAAAGGAGGGAGGTGAGGAATCGAAGGTTAGTGTTTGAAAGAAGATTAACCATTGTGAGTTTTCGATTTTTGTTGTGAATGGTAAAATGAGAGAAGATAGATTTATATAGATTCAGAACAGCGCCAAAGGCAACAGGTGATGATCAGGTACGAGAGATCTGATAAGGAAGAAAGTAGTAATCAAGCGGTCAATAAGTAAATGCCTCTGATCCAATGTGGGGAAAGTGCAGCTATGGACACCTGCGTCCAGGTAAGTTGGAACGTAATTGAGGCTCTTCCACCATATTTCCTAAAAGAAAAATGCTCTTTAGGGCTTTTGATATCACGAGGACTTGTTCTGAGTACGTCTTGAAGTCTGTAAAAATGCTGCGGTATAAACTCGTCGATCAGCGCAAAAGTCGTCGTCAATCAAGCGACTGCCACAAGTAAGGGGATCAACGTCAGATGAAAGCAATAATTAGAGACGAGACGAGTTGATCCTGATAAATAGCTAACTCCCCAGAAGAAGGATCAAGAACTTCTTGTTAACACAACTATTGGCATTTGTAAAATTTCATTTATTCACAATGTCAAAGGAGTGCTCTAAAGCATAGGAGCTTTTAAACTTGTATGAAGAGTACTTTTCTTGGTCTAAATGAGCGTCAAACTCACCACAAAATTGACCACAATGAATTTTCGGACAGCACTGGATTCTCACTCTGTCGAAAGTTTGCTCATTTGGGAATTATTCTTTGAAAGCTTATTTTGCATTATTTGCCCTTCAATGAAAAAACATGGGGAGGGGTCCATTTCAACCTCCGTGACGGAGCAAATACACAGCCTAAATAGAAACAGCACATAAATTTCCTTAAAATCCAAACAGGTTTCTCGCTTCACCTGGCTCGATCAGCCTCATAAAAATTTTAAGCTCCTCTACGGCTCGCGTCTTCGCGTGATTGAACTTTTTATTTTTGACTTTCGCGGGATCGCTTTGATGACTAGAGTTTCTATGGGATACAATGACTAGATGGTGTTTATTCAAAATTAGTACTTGGAAAGATATCAATGCGATTTTCGCCTATCAAAATCGTCATTAAAATAGGTCTGCTTCGCCTAATTACTCCTCGTTGATTTCTCGCGCAAAAAATATCACACAGAGTCTGTAAAAGACTGTAAGATACCGTGCATAAAAATCGAAACTCGGACGAGGAAGGTAATAACCAAAATGATCTACGCCTTTCAATGTGGATTTGACACCTGCTCGGGGCCCAAGGGAGGACTGGTGCATCCACGATCTGTGGTTAGATCAGTTGGAACGCCTGCGAGTTACGTACGATCCCGGCCAGTGTGCCCAATTTCGATTTTAAATTGAACTGGCCCAGCATCTCATTAGTGAGCACAATCGAAGAAACCAAAGAAAAGTGAGCCCTCAATCAAAGTCACTGTTGATTGCACCGAGAAACGAAAAAGAAAGAGAAAACGCATTGAACTTTCATTTGTAAAAAAGAGAGAAAGAAATGACGCAAGAAAAAATTCTCCAAAACTTAGCATTTTCTCAAATTGCCATTACGGTAGCTACGATAATATTCCACTGTTACTTAGGTAGAATCATCCTCTTTTTATTAATCTAGATTTTCATTCTAGCGCCGCCTAAGCCAAAATTATGCAACGATGAAAATGATTCGGGCTCTAGTCAATCGGGTTCAAGTGATGATTTGGATTCAAATTGTGACGGTTTGACTTCATGAATACGACGATTTGTAATTCTATGATTAGATAGCTGGACCAGCTGGTCTATTTGGGACGATTGGTTTGTTTACTATTATGGCTATTCTGGGCTCGATACAGTTTTTCTCTGCACAGGAATATTATCCATTCTAGCTGGTCATCTGAAAACTCTTTGCTCCTATTCTTTGAGCATATTTTGCTGCTTCTCAAGCTTCGTTTGTTCGGTAAGATATTCGTGATGAAAAAAGAGAGTGAAGGATTCAGCCTGAATCATTCAGGTCTGCTTCGGTTTTATCGGACATTACTCGAATTTCTTTTCGACGAAACTGGAAATGAGCGTCAATTTGTTTCTGAGCATATCAGGCGGGCTTGTGCATCTGGCGCTTATAAGAAATAGTGAAATAATGTCCTAAACAAATAGAGTTCTTCTTGAAATTCAAAGATCTTTTACAAAGAAAAAGATAGCGGAAAATAGAGGATAATAATTGCTAATATTCACTTCAAAAAGTGCACTTATTTATGGAAGACATCAGCTCCAACTCGCCTTTATAAAACCAAAATCATCGACCAAGGTAAAATCAAACTGCCAACAACGAAGACAACTCAATTTTCAAGACGCTGAGCAAGGAGATAATTTATGTTCGCGGGCGACCTTCGAAAGCGGTATTAGAATCCAATCCATCACATGTCTGATTCTCTTTCCTCAGAAGATAATAAAATTAAAAGAATGAATAGGCTTTTCGTGGCGTTTATTTTGATGCGAAATTAATCTCCATGGAATTAGTTGGTTTTTATCTTGGGCATTCGGTGAGCCTTGCAAATTGACCATTGAGCGAGACAGTACTGGGCAAAGAAGTAAGTGCTCAAAATATAAAGTTTGTGATTTGGAATCGGTCGAACGAATTGATTCACAGCGATCATAAGGTCGGAAATAACGAAAATGATGCCTCCCAGAAGAGAATAGACTCGCTCCCAGCCTAAAAACAGACTCAAAACATGAATCATAAAAATTACTACCAGAAGCATCAGGTGCTACTGCAGCATCAACAGCTCTCCAGCCCATAAAAGTAAGAAGAACGCTGTAACCAACAACCATGACATGAATTTTCTCATCTTGAACCTCGGCGATGACCGTTCTCTATTTGAGTTTTGTGAATGAAAATCAAGGATGAGTACAATTTACCTGAAGAATGTAGTTCATAGAGACCATCATCATCATCGAGACGTAGTTGCAAACTTCCCAGCCGAATGACATTGTGTAAAACATTTGTGCAATGCCAAAGAAGCATACGCCAGCAATAAAGTAGTTTTCGTACATTCCGTAGACCAGAAAAACATCACCTGAGTTGAAGGTCAGGAGGAGCTTTGTAAAACAAATAGTCCTTAGTTCTGTTACTCACCGATGGCAGAAAAGAACAAACCAACTTGGATCGTTGTTGGTGCACCTAGAAAATGATAACTACGGATAAATATGGACAGCTCAGATTCTTAGTACTGTAAAATATACTGGGTGGAAGCTCTCTATTAATGAATTAAAGCTTGCCTGGGATGCATTTCGTCTTCTTTTTCTCATTTTGGATCATAATCGCAAGCAAAAGGCATGGAATCCATTTCGTACAAACTCTGACCCAACGCGTATCCTCTGCATCCAGAAACTCAGCATGGCACGTGACAAAAGTTGAAATTACAATAAAAAGAAATTCGAGCATTTTTCTCGTTCTCCTTTTTTTGAAAAAAAAAAATTTCTCGTAAAGAAAGGTAGACAAAAAGATAAATACGAGCACAGGACTGTGTAAATAACACGCCTCCGTGTTGAAATCTCGGTTCAATTTTTGCTGAAATTTTTTATTTATTTACAGAAATTTATGAAAATATTTTTTATCTCCGTAGAAAGCGCAAATGTACAAATTATATAACTGAACAGTTCAATTACGCGTCGGTTGATGAGTTTAGGATTTATGTGCGATGAGAAAATATGAAATAATGAATGGTGATGCCTTGTGCTCAGTAAGGCTTCGCCCGGACTGAGTGTTGTTGTTGTTGGCCGTTGGATGTTGAAACCAGGGATGCTCGGTAGGATGCCAGCTCGCGGAGATAGTTTCTTTTCGCGTTTTCGGTTTTCTGCTTGTAGACCTAAATTGTTTTTTACGACTTATTTCAGTTCAAATCAGTCAGATATCTGTATTTATGGTCAGAACAAACTGCATTTCGATCAGTTCCCATTAGAGTATTATTTAGTTGTAGGCTTATCCGGCGCTCAACCTGAGTTACATCGGTAACAGACGGAGATGAGAGGCTCGTATTCAGCGAATAAATAATCATTCCCTGATCCGATTCCATCAATATACATTATCCCCTTTCAAAAGTAAACAAAATCTCGTCTTTAGCCCAAGGGGAGTGAGCTTTGGAAATAATTGAAAGCGACACGAGTTTGCGCGCGCCTTGATCAATGCATAATGTAATTTATCGCTTCTTACCGTCTTTTCTTCATCCCCGAGTGCGTCCCACATCGACGCCACGATTTTTGAGATTTCGCCGAAAGTTGCTTCGGGTTTCTGGCCTTTGATGAGCGATTGTGTTTCTCTGAATGATAGGCGTTAAAATTTCCTAATAACGCATCTGTTGCAATTTGAAATCAAGGAAGAGAATCTCAATTTGAAATCTTTTGCTTTTAAATTACCTGAAAAATAAGGCGTATGCGGAAACAGGTCTGCTTGGCTCGTTAGGATCCTTTTTCTTCTTCTTTTTCGGAGATTTCCTCGAAAGACGTGTACCAGGTGGAGGGACATTTGATGGCAAATGACTGCTGAAGTTTCCAGTAAAGCCTTGTTCAGGAGCGAGTTGAGTTGACTTTGGAATCTGTGGGTAAAAAGCGGCCGTATTGCTGTAGTTGGTAGTCATTTCCGGGTGATATTGCTGGTACTGTTGATTTTGAACGGGGAGATATGATTGTGGGTAGAGATAGACCTAAGAGACAGTTAAAACCAATATTTAAATGAGCAAAATCTTACATCAGGCTGTGGAACGTATTGAGGATAAAATTCCTGCGGATAATGGCTTTGAGCTGAAGATGTCGCTGGAGTTTGCTGTTGACTGAGAGAAACTTGAGCTTCTGGAAGGGTAGGAGAGGCAGTTTGCTCCGCCGGAGATGTAAGAGGTGATGTAGGAGACGATTGAGCCGATCCTGTTGATGTGAAACTTTCCCGGCCAGAATCGAGAGACTGAAATTTGGTTTTAAAAAGAAGATCGATCAAAGTTTTAAAAGTTTAGTATACAATTATCGATCAGGAGCGTCTTTTTATAGTTTTGAATAAATTTCATTTTATAGTTCTTCGCCGTTTTTCGTCGTCAAATTAATTTGTATTCTTGAAAGGTTGAGAAATTTATTTCCTAATCGATACAGCTCCGCCGCAGGTAATAAACATTTTCTGGGCACACGACCGGACGCACTGTTGGGGGCACCTTTCGGGTCCCCCTCTGGGCTTCGAAGCACCGGATGAATTAAAAGTCCAAATTTATTGAGCAAAAGTGTTTCAATCACTTACATTGTTTGGGAGAAAGTCGTAGCTCATCGGCTGCTCTAAAAGCTCAGAAAAGCTCATCACAGGAGTATCCAAGCAGCCAGAAGGTAAGCTGACCGAAATCGGTAAGTTTGCCGCGTCTAGTGGCTCTAACATCCTTTCTTTGACTTGGTTTCTCTCTCTCTTTCTCTGTTTTCTGAGTTCTGAATTTGATTAAGTACTCGAGAAAATCTTTTTGAATGTAGCTGCTTTGAGTTCGACTTGTCAGTGGCTGAGGACTATGAATCGACCGTAAAGATACTTCGCTCGTCGGAAGAGCAGCGCCGCACAGAACAGCGCCATCACTTGACCCGTGGTTGTTCCAAATTTACTGTTAGGTTTTGGTAGATCTGATTTTGGCCTGGGTTTATGAGGTGAAACTTTCACCGTGAAGGAGCGCTACCGCTGAATGTTTTAACTCAAGATGTGAGAATGGAACTCGGCAAATAAAGTAATGAGAGCGTGTTAAAGCATCTCGAAGATTTTAGGGAAAAACATGTTAAAGCATGTGTTAGACAATAAATGTTAACAAATGAAATTTCATTTATCAAGTTCGAGCAAAATAATCAGAACTTTCAGAGGCTTCAAAATAGATTTCAAAGGTGATGAAAGCAGATTTTTTTGTAAAAATCATTTAGGAATAATATTAAGAATCTTATTGTTGGTATAATTGAAAATTTTATTTTAAAACTTAGAACCCCATTTTTAGATAAAAAATGTGATATGATCGTGTTAAGAGATATTGAAAATTATTATCAATCAGCTATCATCAGTTATTGGAGGTGCTATAAAAGTACTGGCTCGCCAGATGGGCAGGTTATCGCTTCCAGGTCACTGGTCTCCTTTGAAGAGCGTAAATGTGGCTCAATTAGCGCGGCGTGGTACCACAATACGCCTCAGAACTTGCCGACATATTACGAGCTGTTGACACCATTTCTGACACTTCATTTATCACTACTCAACCCTTTTCCTCCTCCCTGTACTTTTCGGTTTCAAAGGAAAAATTAAGGGATAAGAATAAAATTGGAAATTTGAGAATTTGATATCGCTAAGTTTGATTAATTGGGCGGAACCGTTCAATCGAATGGAACTTCAAAAACGTACTTCACCTGCTCCAGAAAACAAATCCAGAGCTAGATTTTCGTCCAAGAAATCTAATTGAATCTCAATGTAGCTCGAAAAAGGCCGATCAAAGATGCAAAAGGCAAACTTTCAAGTCAGATTTTCAAGTGGCTGGCTAAATATTAACTGTAAAATGCACCTAAACGCGTTAATGAACAAGCGCTGTACGTATGTGCTTTTCTGCGATGCGCTTAAAAATTAATTTTTGATCACTGTCCAAATGCAAAATAGAGAAGACGCCTGTTTAACCGATTCTGTACTCTTTGGCAAGAGGCGAGTTACAGCTCGAGTTACATTATGTTCGCACGGAGCCAAATCCGTCTGGTCAGAAGGCGCGGCAGTTAGGAATACAGTTACGAATCAAGTGATTAATTATGCAGAAGGGTTTAACAGCTACTTCCGTGCTTAAATTCGGCCCATCAAAATGAATTCAAGTAGCATTAGTGAAAAAGAACACTTTGATTTTCATAAAGTTTCAGCACGACCGGGAAGATAAAACGGGATTTCAAGTTCTATAAGTTCTTGAATGGCCGTTGGTGAAACTGAAATTGAATTTACTTTCCGCTCGGTTAACCGGCTTTAGTGGAAGAAGTGATGATCATCCACTTTGGGGACTTAGGTGCGGCCGGAAATCAATTAAATTTTCTAGACTGTTGACTCCACTTCAGCTTCTGCTCCACTGAAAGCTCCAACTTTGCACCAACTGTCCAAATAACAAACCCACGTGCCAATTATGAAAGGCTCAACCTTTCGCAGCAGAAATCGCTTCCGCCCGGTACTAGAAACACATGCTTTTTATGACAGAGGAAGTCATCAGCCACTTGCAAAAATCTCTCAGCCTTTTTACTACCAAATTCGTACAGCTCAACCAACTTTCCATGAAAGAAGATTGTGTTACACAAATAATGTGAACCGAAAGCTTCAGAATTTGAAAAATTCTTAATCGATTAGCCATTCAACGAGAGTAAATACAGAACGACAGGGATACTGTATACACGGCACCCTGTAGTGAGCAGATGCCACGCTCCTAACTTCCTAAATCCAAAAGAAGCTATTTCCTTTATGCCAGTTTTTATACCTTGATTATTATTTTAATTCATCAATCTTGATTTTAAGACTCACACTTAGCCATGCATTTATATACTGTTAAAGTTCGATGAAACTCGCTTTAGAATTTTGTGGCGAAAGTTTCCGACGTTTTTTTATGGTTTTTGAGTTGGAGCATCTGGCTAGCGAGCGGGTGAAGGGCCCTCAGCTCTCGGCGTTTTCTCTTTCTTCTTCGATTAATGAATCCTTCCATTAGAAGCTAATACAAGGGGATAACCGATCCGATCAACAACAAAAATGCCTTCTAAGATAAACAACACTACAATTACTCAATTACAGTTGTCCGACACAAATGTGCGCAATTGTGACTGGCGGCCAAAATCAAATGCTTTTTTTATTTCAGAATCTTGTTTGAAGGATAACAGATGAATTAACCAACATAATTTTCAAAGATTTGATCGAGCAGATCTTCGTTCGAAAGATCGTAGTCTTGAAGTCTCTCCATAACTTTTTTGAAAGTCACGGGATATTTTCCAGCCGTGTGAGAGTGTGCTAGTTTTGCAAGGAGGAAAAATTGAAAAGGTTTCATGCTTTTACTGCTCTGAAACTCGAAAGAATGGACTTCTCTTTTATAAAGCCACGATATTATTTCTTCTCGAGAGGCAATTTTCTTGGGATAACTGTACCGCGCATGTCATGCCCGCGTTTCTAATGCATCAATCTATGATGAATTTCAACTTTGAATGAGTGCGTTCTCAGCAGTCTTGATCGATCAAACTGTACCTGATATGCAGTATATGATATAAAGTATATCATATACTGTATACTGTATCAGATCTTTCCACATAGGGTTTTTATTCTGGCAACGGACGATATTTCCATTTTTTAATAGAGGTAAATGGCTAGTAGATTTTTGTGATACCTACCTACGAAAATGGCAAGAGTAACGGCTATCGACGAAGCTAAAAGAGTTCATCATGAGATAATAATATTTATTTATATATAAACATTATCACATCGCAGGAAAAAGGTCTGGCACAAATAATGTGACTAGGTTCAAGGTAGTTGGGCTAACTGTGTGTGAGTGTGCAGAGTGTAATTTTTCTAAGCGGCAACTGTGGTATTTCCAACGAACTCATCGTATGGGTCTTTGACGATGAACTGATTGATGAAATTGGCAATGCCGATGAGGATCAAAACACCGTGGATGAGATAGGAAGAGATGGGTACTTTGCCGAGGGTTTGCTTTTGATGCACCATGTAGACAACGCAGGGTAAGAAAAACATGTAGATCATCGCACAGAAGCTTCCACTGTATCGAATGATATTCCCAATCTATAATAATTCAACATCCAAGAATACCACTAATTATACCTTGTCATAGAAGGTAGCGCAAAAATATCCAAGGGCGACGATAAAGAAATTCACCATGGCGACTTTCGGGTATCCAGGCCATTCGGTCTTGCTGAAAACGAGGAAGTTCTGGCAGCGGATAAAATAGGTGAGCAGAGGATAGACAGTCAGGATTCGGATAAACATGAGAATGTCCATCATTGGCACAATCCATTCTCGCTTGTCGAAGTTCTAAGAGATTGTTTCGCCTTTTGAAAAAATAGAAAGAATAACCTCGATGAACATATCTGAGATGCATCCCTTCCAGCCAGGATAAGAGAGGTAGAAGATGAGTCCAAGGGCAGTGTAGGTGATGAAAACGAGGATGTAGGCGATGCCAAGATCACGAGCGTTCTTTTCCTGATTCTTGTTGTCTTTCACTAAAGAAATTTTAAACAGTACAGTTTTTTTCCATCTTAAGAGGCCTTTTGAGATTACAAGGGCTGAGAAAAAGTCCTCTTAAGTTGGAAATTTTCGAGTCGAATCAGGTATACATATTTTTAAAAATTGAAATTTTTGAAAACCCCATATTTTTGCTTCCTAATGCGTCCGAAGGTTAAAGTTGCTACAAAAACTTGATAACAAGAAGTTTTGACCAAGAAAAATCAATATTTATGCCAAAATTGGCTCGGATTTGGGTTTCAGCATCGGATACAGACATCAAATTTGAAGAGGGAGATTATTCGGTGCATTTTTCGGAAAATTTTAGCCTACCGGCCAAAAACACCTTCAGAGGTGTCGGCGCTATTATAGTTGTGCACCGCACATGGTGCATCTAGTAATCCTCAAAGTAAGGCTGTTTCCTAACCCTACTCCTAACTGAGAATAGCCGGAAGGGGGTCTAAGGGTAGCTTATCGATAAATTGCCCTACAGTTTCTTTCTTTTTTCAAATATCAAAATCACTTCGCCGAAAGAGCTGATTCTTTGACCAGTTATCCACAGATGGTGCACTCTGGCTGGCTCAGGTTTATAGAAATTTTCTAAAATTTAATAAAAATTATCATGAAAGTCCTCTTAAGTTGGAATTTTTCAGGGTGACAAAATCAGCCAAATTGACGCAAAAGTCCTCTTAAGTTGGGGCCTCTTAAGATGGAAAAAAACTGTATCTGGTTGCCGAAAAACATACGCAAAGTGCAAACAGCTGAATGTACAAAATATCCCATCGATAGAACTCCAGGTAGAGCAGCGGTTCCTGTAGCTTTGAATTGTGAGACGTAGTGGATTGAAGTTGTATTGACGAAATCGACATTGTCACTGAAACCCCACTGAGCGCCCTTGTAGATTGTGACGAAAAAGATCAGGAAGACTATGCTCAATTATTTATCGACATAACCAATTGATGTAAAACCTGTGAAAGTTCCGAAGGCAGAGAACTTGGCGAAGAAAGTAACGTTTTTGATATTGGTGAGGAAGAACACAACGAGGATATAAAGCGGGATTGTTGCGTTCTTTTGCCAAGCAGCGGAGAAAGTCTCTTCGTCACCGGTTTCTTGGGCAGCTGGTGAAAACGGAAGACCGAGTCGGCTTTCTTGGTAAGCGATACATTTTGGCGGGTCGACGTAAGTTTTAATCTCGCTTCCTTCAGGCTACATTCGAGTGTTGAATAGGGGCAAGAAGTCAACATCTTACCATAGTACTGAGCTCGTAAATGGACATCCCGGCGCCGTAAAGAAACTTAGCCATTAGTACGTAATAAACCGTCAACGCGCCGATGACGATGACGTCAGCCGCAAAGAGCGCAATATATTCTCCCCATGGGCCGAGGTAGATTTTACAAACTGTCTGGAATTCGGGAAGGGGTTCGCCTTTCTTTCGTTGGTGGTCGGCAAGTTTGATGCACTAGAATTTAGATAGAACTCAAGCATCAGCTATTCAGTAACTTACAAGATAAGCAGTGTAGTAGCAAAAAACTCCGCAGAGGACCATGATAACCATGGTTTGAGCGAATCCAGCTTTTTCAAAAGCCCAGGGCATGGTCAAAAGTCCGGATCCCATGATGCAGTTCCAAATGGATAGGATGGTGGTGATAGAGCTGTTCTTCTTTCCTTTTTTCTCATCCTTTTCTTCCTAAAATTTACTTGTTACTAGATGCTATTGAGTTGTTGCATAACGAAGCAATCAACTCAAATGACTTATCGTCTCACGAGTTCAACGTAACTACGATAATGAATCAGATAAGACTTGAAACAAAAATTCTCCTTACAGAACCGCTTCTTCGAAAAAAGCCTGTAGTCTCTGAATCCGATGATCCCGATTCACTCTTCTCTAATACACCCATTATTAAATATAAAAAAATAACAAAAAAACTCAAAAAATGAGCCGCGCCCGACTGAAAATTTTCTGGCGAGATCCAGATCTCGGCTGTAAAAAATCAAGATTGGTTCGAAAAATATCGCCCTTGGGTTTCACTGGGCGAAAAAATCAAACAACCACCTGGTCAAATTTCTCGAGAAACTTCTCTTCTTCATATTTTTGGGCACCCATATGAGGGTTAGTGGGTTTAGACTTTCACTGCGGAAACTTTTTTATTCAAATTTTTATTTCTTTTGGAGCTGACGTGAATTTTCAAATTGGAAAAAAGTTCATGTCTAGAAAAGAACTTGGTGTTTAAATCTCTTGTCGGTCAGCCCTTCCTTCAATGATTTCGTTCTTTTTGAACTTCTCTGACCAAGTCCGTAAAGTGAAAATCAATGAACTCGTGATCTCTAACCAGCGCTGGAAAAGTGGTGAAAAATAGGCGTGAGATTCTCCTCCCTGATTCGTCGGTCTCTTACTATGCCTTGCCTGAGAAAAACTTGCGTCAGACTCCAAATCTGACAAAAGAGCTCGTGCGCCCGCGCTAATGCGCCTAAAAGTTCAGAACAAGGAGAATCTGTCCTTCAGCAATTTCAACAATTAACGGTTATAAAAGATAGATTAGTAAGCGCCCAGGAATTCCAGTGAATAAAGTGGTGAATTACCTTTTGAGAGGCTGCTGAAACGTTCGATTGTGAGCTCGATGCACTTGACATTTATTGACTTTTCAAGTTTTCAACCCAGTTGTATCCTTTCTCGCTTTCTCTATTGATAAATGACTGGAGGAGATCTCAGATCTGTCCAAGGCTATTCTGTTCTATGTAAAACAAACAACAAGTTCTGGCGATAAAGCAGTAATCAAGGAAATAAGAAATCTTCTGAAGCTAATTCGGTTATAGAAAATAATGAGAGATGCTGTACTTTCATCTTAGATGTGTTTTATTAGCATTTTGGTATGTCACAGTATCGAAATTTTAGCTTTCATGGATTCTTTCAATTTTTCTTTCAAACCATACACTCTGGTGCGAAATGGTATAATTATCTGAAAACCCAGTCCTTTGGATAAATTTGAACGTAGCACCAAGGGCCTCTTGGATCATTATCTGGATTTCTGCAGAAATTCTGCGTCAAACCACGGAATTGATGATTTTGCCTGAAATATGAGATGTTGCTAAATCATTTTTACGCATTTGATTCATCGATGACAAACCGAAGACTTGACCAGTGCTTGCATTTCATCCCTCCTCCAACATTGTGCGAGCCAAAGTACTGAATTCCATTTCTACAGTCGTAATTGTCTCCGGCGAAGTAAGTCTGAGCGGTTGTCCTCGCTGATTTCGGGGTAAATCCTATTCTATCAAATTTACGTGTTCAAATTGACTTTAACTTGTTGGCTTAGCTGGTAGAAAATTGAATAACTCTTCTTCACACTTCTTTCTTTCCTCTTCTGGTGACAATAATTGAGGCCTATTGATGCCACCAAATGAGATGATCTTGATTTGGCTCGTTTTTTTTCTTCTTTTTTACTACTTTCACCCACTATTTCAGTAAAGAAACGGAGCAAAGTATAATATTGCTTGAAAACTGAGCCAAATCAAGATTGAAAGAGTGAGTGAAGAAAAATTTTTAGTTTAGAATTTAGAGAGCCTGCCCTCGTCTCCGAAATCACAAGGATCAAATTTAGGAGCTCCATTTTGTATAATCGGGCTTGGAGTACCCGTTTCTTTTTGTGGACTTTTTGGCAAATGCGTGGTCGTGATTCTTTCATGCAGTCGACCACTGTTTCCACCAGTTGGACGTCTTTGGCACTTCGGAATCGCGCAGTACTAGAATATAGAGAAAATCTTCATGTCCAACTTTAAATACCTGGAAGACCATATCACCCAACTCATCTCTGCCTGTGTAGCACCAAGGCCCGTTCGGATCTTGATCCGGGTTTCTGCAATAGTTCTTCTCGTGGTTTCTATTTGGGTTCAAATGAGAGAGAGAGCTCCAGGCAACGCATCGATGACCATTTTTGGCGTGGTCCTTTCTCCCTGAGTAGTGAAGTCCTCGTTTTTCATAAATGCATTCACGTGGGCGGCCATATTGACGATGTCGGTATCGTCTTTGTGGCTCTTTGGTTGTTCGACGGCTTGTTTGCATTAATGTTGTTGTGGAGGTCGTCGTTGTGGAAGTCATTGTTGTGGTCGTCGTCGTTGTTGTTGTCGTGGTTGTTGTCGTGGTTGTTTCGGTCGTCGTTGTTGCCCAGTAATTGCTGCTGTCTCCAGCTAATGGATCTCCTCCGGAGTCTGGAATGTAATCACTTTGATGAAAATTAGTTCAAAATGATGAGTTTAAAGTTCCTTACAAAGATGATAAGTCAGAGGCATTGTTCACGCTTGCCATTGCATTTGCAATCGGTATTTCCCAGTCAGCTAGAGTTCCCTGAGTGAATGTCGTTGTTGTCGTTCTCTTCGTCGTCGTAGTCGTTGTTGGAGCTGCAAGTGACTCTGAGCACAACGGGATGTCACAGTACTGAAATTGTAAATAAAGTTATTTCTCTGTTGTTAACAATTACCCTGTAAATTGGCTTCGAATTCCGACGCTGAGGAATAGACACGTAGCACCAAGGTCCTCTAGGATCACGGTCAGGATTTCTGCAAAAATTTGACGGCAGCGTTCTGAATCGATTTCGTGGCGATAAATTACTCCATGCAACGCAGGTTCTTCGTTTTGCTATTGCTTCCGTCCCATTATATTCGAGTCTTGAAGATTTAATTGAGCGTTGAAATAAGCTACGCTTACCCAAGTGCATTTTCAAGACATTCAGCTGTGAATGTATCTTCTTCATCATATTGATCAATTTTCGGGCCTCTTTCCATGCTTTGCATCGATCGCAATTGAGGTCCCGTTTGATAGAATGTTTCGCTCAAGCTTTGGAAACTCGGTTTTGCATCTACGGATTGGGGAATCGCCACGCCAGCAAAAGTCGCGTTGGAAATAGTTACGTCCACTCTTGGTCCTCGATCTTCTGTTTGAGGTAGATCGCCCGTTGCAAATGGGTCTTCTGGTGTTGGTGCTCTTGGGGCGAGTTCTCCAATAGTTTCCTCCGAGTCAAAAGCGCTTTGCCCGTTTGACTCAGAATCAGAAATATCTTCATTCGGATCATCAGGAAGATTAGCTCTTGGCGACAGTCTACCAGCCTCCTCATGCTCGTTATCTTCAAGAGTTGTCGCAAGGAAACCCTGGAAATGAGATCCTTCTGCCTCAGAGCGTTTAGATTCTTTGATCTTTTCGTTGATCCATTCTACGTACATTGAAACTTTTGTGTAAACAGAAGGCAAGCGCGAGGTGAGTTTTGCAGCGCTAAAGGAAGAAAGTCCATAGAGAGTGTAATAAAGCTCGTCTCTTCGTTTGCTTAGGCGAATGCAAGTCAATGGCCCGCCAGAGTCACCATCTCTTGCGACGATTCCACGACCTCCGATGCATATGTTTTTGTCTGGGACAAAGTTCCGTCCGTATCGTTCTTTGCAGTCTTCTTTCGTCCGAATCGGCACGATTCCTTCTTGAAGCAAATCTGGCAGCTTCTCGATGAGCTCCAAGTTGTCTTCCACTCCCATGTAACCCCAGCCAGAGATGAAGCAGATCTGGTTCGGCTCTAGAATCTCCTCAGCTTTTGGCAAGCAAGCTGGGCGGATATACTCTGTGAATTGAAAGGGTTCTTTAGTCTTGAGTAAGACGATATCATGAGATACTGGTCTAGCGGTGTAAAACGGATGGATGAACCATTCGGCAAGTTGGCGGCGCTGCTGCTCGATTTCTCGGATCTCTTTGTTGAAAGCTCCAGCAACAGCGTCAAAGTCTTTCGGCTCATAATACCGACATCCATTTCGACCGCAAGTCTGCTCGATTTCTTCGCTTGAGATGTCAGTAAAGCAATGGGCAGCTGATAGCACCCAACTATCGGAAATCAGAGCTCCTCCACAAAAGCTCGAGCCAACAAGTTTGTGCGTTTGAAGAGAAATCATGTGAGGGAATTTACCATGTTGACTGTCTTTGCCTCCGAGGACACGGGTGTTGCGGCTAAAGCCTTCTTCGTGGTTTGCGCTAAATGGTTTTATTCAAAGCTAATTGTTTTTCGTCTCTACCGATTTCTCCAAGCTTTTTCGAGCGAGGAATCGGGTTGGAGTCCAATGAAATCATCTTCTGATATTTTTGTCTTTTTGATGATCAGTTCCTCTTTATCTGGCTTTTAGAAGTTCGAAATATCATCATTTTTATCAAACTCAAATTTTTATCATTGTCGAACTTTCCCAGTTGCTTCTCTCAAGATAAACTCTCTCGTCACATCTCAAAGCATTTATATCATAAAATAGAAGAGAAAAAAGTAATCTCATTATGAAGAAAATGACAAGCGCTGGAAGTTCTTGAGAATGTGACTGACCACTGGATAAATATAAAATACTAACAAACAAATCGAACGTTTAAATATTGTCACACGCGAGATTTATGATGAGAATATCAAGTTGATTAGATGATAGAGTAGTCAATCGCTTATAAACGCACGCCCCTTATTCAACGAAAACTTTGACTCAAAACAGTAGTCAGATAATCTAACCGACTCATGTCATCATGATCAGTACCAGTAAATTTTCTTCGAATCATATTCACAAGATGATATTTTAAGGGGGAAGCCGAGAAACGCTACGAGAAGTGGGTAGAAATAATAAAAATCTTCGGGGCGTCTTATCAGCTTTTGCTACTTAAATTTCCAGGTGAAAGCTGCTTGCACTTGAGAATGGTAAAATTTGATAAACTTCGATTCACAAATTGAAATTAATACCTGTATCTGTGTGAAGCTTGAACAAGCAATACCTGTAGACGGAATTTCATCCCTGTCAACATAAAATTTAAAACCGCACGTTTATCGTCACGTAACGTGTTTTGTTTTGATAAAACAACTTTCCGGAGAAGGCGGCGCTAAAACAACACCTTTCATACCAAGTCAGGCTATAAAAAACGACCTATTGAGGATTAAGATTTCAACAAAAGGAAGAGAAAGGAGAGAGGAATTCTTCTAAAAGGGAGAAGATTGATTCATTGAGCGCCAAGGTTGATAGTGCGGCCCCCCGGCGCAGTTTTCGAATTTAGCTTAGAACATGATTCGCCGCCACTGAGAATTCTCCATAATCGAGAGCTGAAGCCCGCCCGGAGAGACAAATTCCGCAGCAATCACTAAACACCCAAAACAATAAGTATACTTTTAATAACCCCCAAGCACCAATAATGACAATCGAAAGACAGTGGGAAGATACCGGTAAGACTGATGCAGCTAAAGAGAAACTGAAGTGATTGATAAGAGCCTTACATTGAATTCTAGAGCCGGAAGAAGATAGCACAGAACAAGAGGAAGAAACTCAAGAGGAACAAGTATGTTATGATTATGTAACTGCACGGACTTACAAAAAACTATCTCTAGCCTGAAATAGAAGATGAAATTGTCGAGCCAGAACCTGAGCCTGAGCCAGAATATGAGGAAGAACCCGAACCAGAGCTGGAACCGGAGCAAGAAGAAGAACAAGAAGAAGTAGAGGAATCTGTAGAACAAGAAGAAGAGAACGAAGTGAAAGAAAATGGCACTGAGTCAAGCGCGGAAAAGAGTGACGATAATGATAAGAATGAAGACGATAATGAGCCCGCTGAAAATGAAGATAACGCCGAAGAGGGTAGCAAAGATGAAGAGGCTGAGAAGGCGGAAGAAGAGGAGAATGATAAGTCATCAAGCAGCAGCAGCTCGGATAGTGACTCAGAAAAGGTACTTTTGAAAGTTCTGCACTTGATTGACATTTAACTCTAGGAAAAGGAGGTCAATGTCGAAGTCAATGTGATCGTACAGGTCAATCAAGAGGTCGCTCCAGCTCCAGTCGTCGCCCCAGTGATCGTCCAAGAAGTCCCGGTCGATTGTGGAGAGCAAGACAACGTCAGTTGCTGCTCGGGAGCGTCAAAGAAATCCAAGTCTTCCAAAAGCTCAAAGAGCTCTTCTTCGTCATCTTCCTCTAGCGACGATGAAGAGGAAAAAGCAATTATGTAATTAGAGCGACTAAGATTGACGATGTTAAAAAGATAATTTTAGTGTGAATGTTACTAATGTTGTACAAGCGGAAGAGATTCAAGAAACTGTTCCAGCTGAGGAAGAAAAACCCAAATCAAAGAAGTCACTCTTCAAAAGAGGTAACCTGCTGTATTTGCTTTGAAAATGCATTTCCCAACCTTATTTTCAGCTAAGAAAAGATGTACGATTTCCTAAGCCGCTTCTCCCAACTGAAAATCCATGCTCTTCTGCTGAACCAGCATCGTCAAAATTCGCAGCAAATTCAAAACTTCTAAATTTGCTCTTACTAGCACAATAATAATTCCAATTAATATCTAAGTTCATTTACGCTGTTTTGCTTTCTCCAACTGTGCATTTTTTTATTCCTTCCTAAGATTATTTTCGTTTTATTTTGCTTTCTTGCCAAAACTGTCGCTTTACACCTGATTCTGGTGAAGGACTGGATTCAAAAATGATCAATCATTATTAATAAATTATTTACTAACAGCCCAATCTACGAAGTCTCACTTTTACAGTGTAATAACAGCAGAATCATATCGCAGAACGTCGAAATTGTGTTTTGAGATGTCTGCGAGACGAAGTTTGTCCATTGAAAAATGAGCCGCGTTTTATTACGTCAGCATTGAGTCGTTTGTTGATCAAAGATCTTACAACGAGAATTGGAAACTTCCGAAACTTCCCTTCATCGAAAAAAACACCTAAGGTATGTAAATAAAGTGAAAAAATATAATGATTTCTGAGAGAGAAATCAGCGAAAGAAAATTCGTTTCCAGTATTTTCGTCGCCCCCCCCCTCCAACAAAACTGAATTTCCCGATTATTTCTAGAATACTAAAATTGATTCATTTTAATAAAATATTCTAGAATTGTATTCTACGTAGATAACCTGGCCGGTTTATTACCCCAAGTAAAGATTGCTTTTATGATCGTCGCCAGTTTTGCAAATATATTTTGGCGACTTTCGAGCCGGTGCGAAACCCTAATGGCAGATGGTCATTTTTGAAAATACATTGAGCACGAGGCGTAACTGCTTTTGACCAATGACAGGAGATTTTCATTTCGAGAATTGAAAGAGACTTCCTCTCATTGCTCAGAAGGCCACCCACTCCCGCGAGAGAAAATCCTCGGTTATTTCTTCGTATTTCCGCTCCTGAATTCCCTACACTCCACCTCTTCATCCCCTTTATTCAGAAAGAGAAAAACGATCCTACTTCATCAGGATTGAAGCTCCAATATCCGGTTACCTGTGACTCTCCCCCTTTTATCATTTCTGATCAAGAATTTTCGAACCTCAGTATTTAAACCACCGTCCAGCTCACTTTTCCTCATTCATTTTATGAACCAATTTTTTCACTTTTTTTGCAGATAAAAATCGAAGACGAGAGATGGGATACGATCGGGGATACGACGACCGGGATCGATCTTATGATCGACGAGATCGTGATCGTGGATACGATCGCGACCGGGACCGAGGCGGCTATGACCGCGATCGAGACAGAGGAGGTTACGACAGGGACCGCGACCGGGATCATCGCGGGGGTGGTCGCGACTACGATCGTCGAGGTAAGTTTGCGATAAATCATTAATCAAATTTAATCATTCTCTTAAATTATTCAAATTGAAATTTTCGATTGAGATTTAAATTCTCACATTTTCAAATTTTGTTTTCAGATCACGGAGACAGCCGAGGATATGGTGACCGACGTGGTGGTGGCGGACGAGGAGGACCTCGTGGTGGTCGAGGCGAACGCGGTGGTCGTGGCGGGCGCGGAGGTCGCGGCAAGGGCCCAGACAAGGTACGTCTCTACAAGGGTTATAAAACGGAAGAAATCGATAGGCTAGACAGAGCGATATGATATCGCCTAGTCGCCAGAGCGTTTTAGACGATTTCGAATCTTCGATAACCGCATGTTGGCGCCTTGCGCTCAAGAGCGACTATTAATAGAGATTTCAGGCTCAAGAACGAGAGGAGCGCCTCCAGAACATCAAGCGCGAAGCATACACTGGTGATGGTCAGGTCGAGTATGCCAAGGCTGATCTTGCTCGCAAGTTTGACGCGCTCAACTTGAAGGCCAATATTGCTAAGTTTTCCGAAACCGAAGAGGACCGCAAGCAACATAAAATGGGTAAATTAAAATCTTATATAAGATAATTGATTAAAATCAATTACTGACTTCATTATTTTAGCCAGAGAGATCGCGAAAACCACTGCGGATATTCCAGTGGCCAGGATGAATGGAGAGCTCACCCGTGGAAAACTGATCTCGCTGAAGACGAACAACTATCTCCTGGACTTCAAGAACGACAAGGGCGCAGTCTTCTACATCTACCATTTCAACGCAAAAGTGAGTGGATTTCAATTATTTTCAGTTCGTAACTTTAAGGTCGCTGCTTCTGCCAAGAAAGGTCCAAGCCGAGGGCCTGCTCCAGACGTGAAGAAGGAGAACAAGCGGAAAATCGTCAACACTCTGTCCCAGATTTTCGGAGTCAAGTTCGCGTTTGATGGGGACAAGATGCTGATTTCTCCACGGGAGCTTCGAGGCTTCCGCGAAATAGACGATCGCAATGGAAGCGTCTACGAAGATCGCCACAATGGAGTTGGTTTCCGCGTCACTTACCCAACTGGCGACAAGGAGGAAACAGCGGAAGGAACTCTCGAAGAATGCGAACAAAGAGTCGAGATGAGAGCTCTTTTCGATTTCATGGAGGGCGGAGGAGAACATCCTGCCGAAGTGATCCAGGCGATCGAAATCATTCTTCGAACTAACCCCGCTTTTCATGCAGCGTAAGTCTAACAAAATAGTGAATATTCATCCTTATAAACGATTACCTCAGCGCCATCTCAAAGGGCCGGGCTGCTTTCTGTCAAATCGCGAACAAGGATGCTGATCGTCGAATCATCCCTCGCGGCCGGGAAGTCTGGCACGGAATTCATCAGAGTGCCAAGATCTCCAACTGGAAAGGCATCGGCACCAAAGTCACTCTTAATCTCGACTGTGAGTATTTTAGTATCAAAAAGTTCCTGAATCAAGTTTTAAATAGTGGCCTATGGAATGTTCATGCAGCACAAGCCGATTGCTGACATTCTCCGTGATTCGTACGACCCGGAGAACTCCCAGGAACTCGCTGATTCCCTTAAACACCTCCACATCGAAGTGCGAGGTAATATGCAAAGACATATTTTTGAAAAAACTTTGTTTTTAAGGAGAGGACGGAAAAATTTACAAGTTCGACGGGTTTGGTCCAATTTGCCGAGAAACCCGGCTTGGAGATGAATATTCCCGCTATAATCCAAATGGCAACTTCCCTGTTGTCGTTACAACTGCGAAAGCCGGTGGCGGCGGTCGTGGTCGAGGGCGTGGCGGTGGAAGAGGCCGTGGTCGGGGCGGCGGAAAGAAGATGTTCCCTGCCGACATGTGCCGCGTCCTCGCGGGGCAAAAACCTAAGGTCATCTCTGCAGATGACAAAGCTCAGCTCATCCGAGCTTCGGCAGAAGCTGCGCCAGTCCGACAAGCGAAGATTCAAGAGATCGTCGAGACAAAAGAGCTTTTCGATGACCAAATGCTTGCAGACTTTGGCATACGAATCAACAAAGAAGCGATGGGCGCTGAAGGTCGAGTCCTCGATATGCCGGCTATCACTGCCAACGCTGGCCAACAAGTGGACGTTGAAAAATCCAAGGGCGAAGGAAACGGCACCTGGAATGTCAACACCTTCAACAAGGCCGCCGTGGTGCCGATGTGGGGACGAATCTGCATCGGAAACCAGATTCGAGATCGACAGACCTGGGACAGCTTCTGCAGAATGTTCGTAGAAGTCGGGAGAAAACTGGGCGTGGAAATCAAGTCTGAGCCAGTCCTCGACATCAAACTTGACTCGGGCTTTGACTTCGATCGAATCGTCTCCGAGTACGCTGATAAGGGCAGATCGCTCAACGAACTCCCATTCGTGCTCGTCTGCGTCCCTGATTCTGGCCATGACTACGAAGTCGTCAAATCCATCGCCGAGCTTAACAATGGCATTCTGACTCAAATGGTCAAGTCGAAAAATGTGATGCGGCCAGACGAAGCGATGCTCAAAAACCTCTGGTACAAGGTACTATTCATTAGATTATGAATATATCTAAAGGAAACTCTTAGCTCAACGCCAAACTTGGCGGCGAAAACTGGCGAATTGATGTTCCTCTCCCACCTTCACCAACTCCGCTAATGATCATGGGAATGAGCATCTCACACGCGGAGCCCGAGTCGACTGACCCATCTCTCGTGGGTTTTGTTGCGTCCACGACTCAAGGTGGTACTGGTTTTGTCAACTACGTTCACCACCAAGACCCCCGTCTCGCCATCATCCACAAGGATACGCTCAAGGCCGCCCTCAAGCACCTCATCGGCCAGTTCATCACGAAGAACAACGGTGTCAAGCCGGAGCGGATCATCATCTACCGAGGAGGAGCCAGCGAAGGAGCGATCCAGGCCATTCTCAAGAACGAGCTCATGGAAGGCATCCGCAAGGCCCTCGCCGAAATCGACATGTCTTACCAGCCTGGCATCACCTTCATATGCTCGGTCCGAGGCTCAAAGCAGAAATACTTCTGCGTTAATGACGAGGACAAGGATGGAATGGGTGAGAACATCCCCGCTGGAACAGTTGTCGCCGGCTACGGAAACGGCGTTCCAGGTAAGTCCAAATCGCGCCACCCTTTCACCAACTTTTTATTTAGATAGCTACAGTTTCCACCTTGCTTCACAGGCGGCCTGCGGAACCGTAAATCCGACCTTCTATCAGGTCCTGCACGACGACAACAACGTCGAGCTCCAAAACATGTCCGAAATGACATACGCGCTGTCTCTCGCTACCATGCGGGCTAACCGAGCGTAAGTTACTCCTCTCAAATCAAAGAGGTAAAAATTATTTCAGTACTTCGGAATGCGCCCCTGTCAGACTCGCTTCCATCGTCGCTGAACGAGCTCGTGTTCACTGGAAGGGAACCAAGCAGCTCGAAAATGAGCTCTCAAAGGTCCGAGGGTACTTCAACTCCCACGACAAGCGAACCACCGTTCGCACGAAGTTCCAAGACTCCCTGTTCTTCATCTAACTCTGCACATCTTTCACCACTGTGCCAACGAGTTGATAAAATATCAACCTCAAATTACCAACTGCCCCTTGTACCCACTACACCTCACAATTCTTACTGCCTTCTCTACTGTAAATTTTCCCTAGCTTAGCTTGCCCGTACCCAATTTTAATCAACTTCGAAGGTTATTCTTACTGTAGGTCTATCTTACAAGTTAATTGAATTGAAACTGATCAATTACATCGAATAAAGTATAATCCCCAGAATGATTCAAAGTCTTGTAGTAAAGTTAGCTGTTTGCATTTCACGAGCCGAATGATAAGACATGATTACAGGAAATACATTTAGAAAGGCACCACTTGGTCACTCTTGATCAAAAATGTAAAAATGAAAATCATACGAAATTTGAAGCAAAGGGAAAGGCATCGAGGAGTATCCATGGAAACGCGCATCGCGTTGAGTATTTTCTCAAAGGAAACAAATTTTATTTAAAATATGGGACTTTTCTAGAACAACCAGTTGTTTACAGAGATTTTAAGTGAGAAAAATAGTTCATTCGATAAGGCGCCACCACGTAAGTCAAATTTTGGAAAATTCGGTATTTTTTCAATATCCAAATAAGTAAGTCTGGAGCTAGGACGTGACAGCTAGGACCTTTTTTGGTTAGCCCCTTCAAACTCAGCTGAGCATTTTTTCAGGATGGGATACTCACTACCAAGCTCAATCCCATCAATAATCCTCGGCAATAATCTTGTCATCGCCACATGCAGAAACATCCATTTTTATAATGTCGACGGATCGAAAGAGTCCTCGATCGAGTGTTCCAAGAATATCATCCGTATTTTCGGCAACGGAAAGGATATTCTTGGCGTTACTACTAGGGATGCTCTTGGTCAAGTTGAAATCCAATTCTTCAAAAATGGAAAAGAATATGGAGCCAAACTCGAGGACGCAGCTGATTATGAGATTCTAGGAAAGGTTTCACCATCTACATAACAGAATTTCATTATTTATCTTGATTTTTTTCGATTTAAAAACCTAAAAAGCCGCCGATGTCACCCAAGATGGACTGTTTTGTGTCTTCGCATCCGGTTTGCCTAACTACTGCCTAAAAGTCGCCAACCTCAAGACCGGAAAGATCATCATTGAAAAGCCTATCGACATCATCGACGACCTTCGCGCGCTCAAATTCAACCCATCAGCGAACAATCAGTTTCTCATGCAGAGAAAGAAGCATATCACTAAGTTCACCATTGAAAGCTTTGATGAGGAAAAATGCACGCTTACGGAGAAGAACGTGACTTTCAGCGATATCATGGATGGATCCGTAAATCTGCTTTCACGAAGAACCGAAAATCTTTGGGAAAACGACGTTGAAGAGCTGCCGCTTACTTTCGAAATTGAAAAACAAAATAATGGCGAAATAACATCAGCGCTCTGGAAAGACTCCAAGATCTTATTATCGACTTCGCACGGTGAAATTTACGCTATCCGACAAAATGGAGAACATGACGACTTTTTCGTTTCTGACTCCGAGTACAAGAACATGACGAGCTTAGCTCTAGAGAACTTCATCCCTTGTTCTGATGGCATTCAAGGCATGGCGTTGAAGAGTGACGAGTTGGTCATGATTGGTGAAGATGGCATTTTGCTACTTGGGCAAGAAAAGACAAGAAAACAAAAAGGAAAAATGATTAAAACTCTGAAGCAGCTTTCTTCAACAAATTATCAGAATATTACCAACTGTTATGCCATTGCTGAAACCCATATTTTCGTCGAGTACTCCTGTGGAAAGCGAGAAGTCATCAGGCTTGAAGATAACAGTACTTCGCTGCAGTTTTATCAGAGTTCATCCAAGATAGTTGCATCCGCGATCGCCTCTGATAGTAGAATCGTCATTTCGAGGGATTCAAAAACGCTTGAGCTTTACGAGTCAACGCTCAAAAGATGTCACGTGCTTCATGTCGATTCACAGGTTTTGACAATCTCATCAACAGCGTCAGAGAACCTTTTCTTCCTTGGAACTGAGTGTGGATCTTTAGTTGCCCTGAAAGTAGATCCTGACACCAAGACACTTCTCTGTATGGCATCAAAGAAGCTGTTCACGGAGAACCTCACATCCATCGCAGTCGACACTTACAACAGAGCATTGATTGTCGGGTCTGCTAGCGACGACAAAATCTTGGTGCTGACATGGAAGAATTCTGAAAAAATCCTGCCAGATGTTATGGGATATCTTCCAGTCGACGGCGTGGTACAAGGCTTGTCAGTTTCGGCCTCAAATGCAAACACTCCTCTTACTGTTCTGGCCAATCTGGCCGAGGGGTCGACCTCAACTGTGATCGATGCTCTCCTTGTATTCGAGATCTCGCAAGAAGTTTTCAAGGAGTCGCATCTTGTGAAGCACGTAAACAACCTCCTCGAGCTGGAGCAAAAAGCGATTAACGCCACAACTGTGATGATTCCACCTTGCTCCCGGGTATCGCTCCTTAGCTGCGTGAGTAGCGTTGCGAGTTGCTGGGCAGTGTCTTCTGAAACTGCTACGATTAATCAGCTCGAGTTCACTCTTGGCAAGGTCTACCCAGATGAAGTTTCATTCGTACGACAGCTAAGTCAGTGGCCAACTTCATCGATCTCCTTTGCTGCTCCATTTCATAACTTCTGGGTTGCACAAGCATGCCGCTCTGGCTCACTCAGCCTTATCCGAAACATAACCCAGAAGATTCAACTGCCTTCATCAGATAAAGCTTATGAACTGAGATTTGATCGCAATGGTGAGAATCTCCTTGTCTTCTCCGAACATAATATCGAGTTGATCGAGCTAAAGGCGAAGAGCGATTTTGTTCAAAAAGCAATCACCCTTGGTAAAGGAGCGAAAGATCTTCCATTCCTGGCTGATACTTCGGATGTGAAACTGGCATCAGACGAACCAGACTGGTTTGCCATTCAGGTGAAGATAGCTGCGGAAATCGAAGATCAAAAATACAAAAGAATCAAAGCAGAATTCACCTCTGAGCTCGACGATTTGCGACAGATTGTCAACAAAATGATGAAAGAAAATGACGAAGCTGACGAGTTGGAGAAGCTTGATAACCAGGAGTTCAACCTGGATAAAGAACAGGTTGAAGAAATGGCGATGAAAGAAGTCTCTGATATCGAATCGTTGCGAAAAGAAATCTCCGGCAAAATCGAAGATTACGGAAAGTTAGTTGACTCGATCAGTGATAATTGCTGGAAGAATATGGAAGCTGGCGCTCGATGTCTCAAAGCATTTTACATGCCGATCGCTGTCAAGAATTTTGAGATCCGGCCAACTACTCAAGAATTCTCTGGGATTTATGAAAACGCAAAGACAGAAAGAGAAGCCCAGCGAGAAAATGAACCTGTGCAGAAAAAAGAGAACAAAAACTCTGACACCAATGTTGACGACGAAGAAACCGCAGGTATTCATCCTTATGGGTCCGTCACCGACCAGCTCATCGGGGAGGATAACCTGCTTGAAAGCCAGTTCTCTCTTATCGATACCGAATCCCGCAAAACAGAAATGATTCTCATCGAAAATCGAATAACTATGATCAAGAGGCATTTCAACAAGCAGTTTGACCAGGTTTTCCGACAGAAACAGAGCGAGATCGCCAAGATTGCCGAGAAGAACGAACGAATCACCGAGATCTCCCATGACACTGGCGTCGAATTTGAGCTTCTTCAGCCGCAGTTTGACGATAGCGAGAAAACTGAGCTCGTTTTTGAAGTCGAAGATGAAGAAGTCGAGGTCGAGCGAGTACTCACTGAAGAACAGCAAGCGCTTTTGGAAGAAGAACGCCGCTTAGAAGAAGCAAGAAGAGCCAATAAAGGTGATAACGCGCGCGATCGAGCGCTGCTTGAAATGATGGATGGCGTGTTGGAAGTGAAATCAGAAGATGTCCTCAAAATCGATGTCCCAAGACCTGCATTCATGGATGATCCAGATAAAATGGAGTCTGATTGGACCGACGAAGAAGTTAAACAGGCTAAAGAGTACGATAAGAAAGTTGCAGCTCTCGAAGAAGAGAGAACGAAGTTTAAAAAGTCACTCGAGATCGAAGCAAAAAAGACTCAGCAGGGAATCGTCGAGGGAATGCACTCTTTTGATCTCACTATTCAAGGTAAAATCGCAGTTCTTTATGTTTGTCTTACAGTTTTCAGAACTCAACCAAAAACGATTGATTGCTCAGTTGGCTGTCGACCAAGAATATCTCCGAATGGCTCGAATTCAACGAGGACTAACCTGGGACGAAGAAGCGCAAGAAATTGACAACTTAATAAAACAGCTGATCAGCGATCTTCAAGAAGCAGTCAAAGAGAAAAAGAAGTATTTAGATGAGTTCAAGCGATTTTACGATACAGCTAAAGAAGAGTTAGATGATAAAATTAATGATGATAAGGTGAGTTCTGTCACAATTTTCACTCGTCAAATTTAGTTTCAGATAACAGAAAAATCCTTCAAAAACGAATTCGATGAGTCAAACGTCTTTATCGACCAGCTTTTCAAGGCATACAAGCGCCGACCAAAGCCAGATGAAACCATGGCCGAGCTTGATAACATAGAAGAGGCACCAACAGGTGTAGAAGAAGCAGATTGGCAAAAGACGATTACGCTTCGAGAAGAGAAAATGCGAAAAGAAGCTATTGTGAGGTAAGATATTTGACGCAGTTCACAAGTAAAAAACTCCGTTTAGACATCATCAGCAAAAAGTAAATGTTATGAAAGACTTCCTATCGCTTCGTGCTTCTGAAGACGCTAGAATTCAAGCTCAAGCGTCGGACATGCTGACGGAATCGAATTCGCACGAGCTGGAGATGAAAAACAAGGCGAAAAATCTTCTCATCCAAATTTTACTCAAGCAGGGCCAGGTCGAGGTCAATCCTGGCAAATTCCTCACAGGTAATTTATTCTTATAAAATATCATTTCAAGCTCTGATTTCAGATTATACAGAAGCGCAATTTATTCATCGGGAGACAGTTGAGGACATGAATGCTGAGATCAAACAATTTGGTACGGCGAAAATTGAAGCCATGATCGAATCCGCCGATTTCAGAAAAGTAAATCAATAATTTTCATCCTTCTTACTATAAAATGCTTCAAGGGAATTCACTCACTCGAATGGGAAAGGCGCAAACTCGAGATGGAGAAGGACGACCTCATCCAAAAGACGCAGGATATTCAGCTCTTGAAACTTACTAGGGAACTTCAAGCTGTGCTTCTCTCTGGCAATCTCGGACAGAATAAGACAAACCAAGATCTAGCGCGACTTGATCGAAATTTGAAGGCGCAAAATGAACAACACAAGGTAAACTCACAAAGAGTGACCTATTTCTAACATAAATTTAGTCGAAAATGGCTCGTCGTAATAAGGAAGCGAAAAAACTTCGCGATCGAAAGGAAGCTCTCATTCGTGAAAATGCTCATCTCGACGGAATCATCGAAGAGCTTTTGATTGCCGTTTCTGAAAAACGCAACATCAAGAACGGCCAAATCATGCCCGACACGGGTAAAATCATGCGAAACCATGCTCGAAATCGACAATTGGCAGAGATCGTCAAGCGCCAGCACAACGAGATTAGTGTCCTCAAGCAAGAAGTCGAGAGGCTGAGGAAGAAAACATTCCCTGCTCTTTTGAAAGTCCAAAGATGAATTTTGCCCTTCTGTAAATAAATATTTTCTGTAAGCCAATAAATATTTTTATATATATTCAAAAATCTGAGTATGGTTGATTTTAATTTAAGTAAAAGTTATTTAGTAGATTTTTTGGAGTTTATTATGTTTAAATTTAAGCCAATAGTGAGAAGAATATGTTGAATAATTTGGATAGATAAATAATGCGGAGGAACAGGGAAACATATTGAGAAAAGTCAGTTGATTAGTTAGATATTCGTCGAAGATAACTGCGGAAGTACTTGCTCATCGACCTAGGATGGAATCGAGGTGCTCGCCATTGTTTCACATTACTTCGCCTGAGAGTAGGCTCAGCATTCAGATGATAGTCCTGCATTAGTTGTCCGTAGTCAAAAGCTGATGCCAAAGCGATCAAAATGATCTGGATTTTCATTTGATCAATTATTTATTATATGGCTGTAGTAGAAATGATGATACTTCGTGTAGATGGATTTCTTTTATGTTTAATAAAATACGCACTGATCCTGGTAATTCAGAAAAAACACAAGGGTGCCAGACATTTCGATGTCTCGTGAAACGGCCTTCAAAAAGAAAAATGAATAAATTTAACGTCTTTTCGACGGAAATGAGATTGATTTCTGCCAAACAGGATTTTTTATTCTACTCAGTATTTTTCCATTTAAAATTTTGCGTAAATAATTATATAATATAATTTATATTCCACTGTAGGAAAAATCTTCTAATCTGCGATATTTTATTATCTGAGGATTATATCAAGATTTTGCCGACCAAGTTCTTTTCCGTGGTGTCCAAAAATTCGACCTTTGTACTGAGAAGGAAGGAGAAAGAAACCAAAGGTAAATGCATATTTGTCTTGGCAAGCCAAGGCAAGCTCTCTTTCGAATGCATAAACTTTTGGCCCGCATTCCGATCAACAAGAGTTAGCAAAATGATCGCCAACAAAACAGTTCGCCTAACACGGGGAGCCAAAAGGTGTTTGAGCATTATCAACGGTACTTCTTATACTCCAAAAGAATGGACCACCGATCAACTTCTCATGAGAGCGGTCGAGAAAATGCCTGACTCTCAACAGGCTGTTTTCGATCTTTTTGCTACGGAATTCACTTTTCAAGAGACACACGAGACTGCAGAGAAATTCGCCGCCGGCTTGCTTGCTGCTGGTTTGAAGCCAGGTGATCGAGTGGCAGTTTGGGGACCGAATCAGCCAGAATGGTTCATAATGAAGTGGGCCACTGCTAAGCTTGGCATGCCGTTAGGAACTGGTTTGAAATTATTCGTTATTCTGATTTTTACTTCTTGAGGTGTGTTGCCCCAAATGCAAAGGGCATGTTTGTGTGAACAGTTCAAATATTTAACCGTTCTATGAAACTATTTGAAAAACGCCTATCTGGTCAGTACTTCTTTTTGTTTGTTGATAGACAGCATTCCTAGTCTAGCAACAAGTTACTGGAGTTCAAACCAAATCAAAGTTAGTCTGAACCCTCTCTACACTCAACCAGAGCTTGAGTATGCGATGAACAAGGTCAACGCGAAAGCACTCGTCTGTCCAAAAGAGCTTGGACCTCTCAATTATCACGGAGCTCTAAAATCATTGATTCCTGATCTTGAAAGCCAGGACAAATTCAGCATCAAATCAAAGGCAATGCCTGACTTGAAAACGATCGTCTTTTACTCTTGCTACGAAGAAGTCGGTGGCGCGATAAGATGGGACGAGCTCGAAGAAATGGGATCAGACAAAAACCTGACGGAAGTTCGAAGCGTAAAAGTCGACCCCTACAGTAACTCGAACATCCAATTCACTTCCGGAACAACTGGTCGGCCTAAGGCGGCTGGGTTAAGCCACTATGGGCTTGTGAACAATGCGATTGGAGTTCATGACCATGTGAACAAAAATGGCCAAGTTTCAGTCCCAGGCGAAACGAAGATACTAAATATTCTGCCATTATATCACGTGTTCTCTTATCTTGGAGGGTCAATGCAAGGATGTTACTCTTTGCAGGTACATTAAGAGTATTTGTAAGAATGAGGACGATATGATTTTCTCAGGCAAATGTCTTTCCGACTCCGGGATTCAATGCGGATGCAGCCCTCAATTGTCTCGCTGACTATCAATGCAATGTTGTTCTCGGCACTCCTACAATGTTTGTTGATTCTACTTTGATTGATCTAATTATTTCTAGGTTTGTCGACATGATCAACTCACCTTTGGCCAAGGAGCTTGATTTAAGAATTGGGATTTGAACTTTGATAATATCTGTGATAGAAGCATATCAAGATCAAAATTTATCCCAATCGAAGCTCCTTAGATTACGCGGTACTCGGCGGATCCCCCGTTTCGAAGGTATTGGTTCAGCGAGCAAAAGAAGTCCTGGACTCTCGAGTGTCTATTGTCTATGGAATGACTGAGAATTCTGGTGGTACCTTCCAGACACCGATTCTGTCTGAAGATATGAGCGTTGTTTCTGAAAGTGTTGGCGAGCCCTACCAAGGTGTTGAAGCGAAGATCCTCGATAAAGACGGAAATGTTGTTCCGAAGGGAACTATTGGAGAGCTTGTTACAAAAGGATACTTTCTTTTCAATGGGTAGCTAAACGTATTATATTCAGTTTATCATTACTTTTAACTTAGATATGTCAATGATGATGAAAAAACCAAGGAATCTTTCACCGAAGATGGATTCTTCAAGACTGGAGATTTAGCCCTCCTCCGTGAGGATGGAATGCTCAAGTAAGAATTTCCTTCGAATCATCGGAATTGTATAATTTCAGAATCACTGGCCGTGAAAAGGATTTGATCATCCGTGGAGGAGAAAATATTCAGCCGACGGAAATCGAAGACTACATCAATGAAATGCCAGCAGTCAAAGCATCTTTTGTTATTGGAGTTCCATCAAAGCGTCTTGACGAGGAAGTTGCTGTCTATATTCAAGTTCGCAGCAGTCATTTTTTTGCTTCTATAACATATTTTTATAGCTAAACGAAGGTGCTTCCATCACAATCGACGACGTGAAAGCCCACTGCAAAAACGGACTTGCCCGATTCAAACACCCAAAATACATCAAATTTGAAGATACCTATCCTCTGACGACGACTGGCAAAGTTCAAAAGTTCCTGCTTCAAAAACAAGCTCTCGAAGATTTTCCTGAACTGAAAGACGAAATTCAAGAATAAAGCCTCAAGTTGGCCCTCAACGCTCCTTTCATGAAAAAACTTAATAAATTCCACATTTCTAGCGTGTTCAATTTCGCTTAGCTAAATGATTTATTTTATAAGGATTGTTGTTGATATTATGGCTTCATCTTCTTGTCCAAAGGTCAATGCCCAAAATGAACGTTTTTAGACCATTATTTGCACTGCTTGAACTAAATTATTTGCTTTTTTGGGCGTCGAACGACTCCCGGAGGCAAGGAGCTTTTCAATCTTTTTGTTTCCTAGACCAGAAACGCCTACGTTTTTTAAAATCCACTTGAGATTCTTTTAGAAAATCTAGGTCAACCATTTTCATTCTGTTCTAGAGAGAAGGATGAAGGGTACAATAGGGAGAAGGTAACTTATTCTCTTCAAGAGACTGCTACGCAATGAGCAGTGCCCATAAGAAAAGTAGAGTTCACTAAGTTTCGTTTTCATAAAGATCAACGAACTTGTTAAGACTCGCACGTTCATTGTCAAGCCAAATCCAGGGCGCTTCGTACACTTCACAAGAAGTATGCATGTACGATTTTGTCCTTGGCGCGTGCGAAAAGAACGACTCAAAATTGATGGCTTCCTTTGAAATGCATAAAAAGGCCTTTACCTTTGGTGAAATGCACAATGAAGCGGGGAGAATCGCCGCAGGTCTTTTCAATTTGGGAATTCGCCCTGGAGATCGTGTTGCTGTTTGGGGGCCGAATCAACCAGAGTGGTTGGTGATGAAGTGGGCTTGCGCAAGAGCTGGGTTCGAAATGGTCAACATCAACCCTCTTTATACAACACGCGAGCTTGAATATGCGCTGGAAAAAGTTGACGCAAAAATGCTCGTTTGCCCAAAGACGATCGGCCCACTCAACTATCATGCAAAAGTCCAGGAATTTATTCCGAATCTCGCCGAGCAAGACCGATTCAGTCTCAATATTCCTTCCGTGCCAACATTGAAGAAAATCGTTTACTACAGTTCCCCTGAAGCCGAAGCTGGAACCTTTCAGTGGTCAGAACTGGAGCAAGCTGGTAGCGACGCTGATCTGAAATCCATCAATGAAATGAAAGTTGATCCACATTCAATTGCGAATATTCAATTTACATCTGGGACGACCGGCATGCCAAAAGCGGCCTCACTTTCGCATTTCAACCTTACCAACAACGCCATCTCGCTGACCAGAGCTTTGAATGTTATTGAACCCTCTCTCAACGAAAATACATCATTCCTGAACGTGTTGCCGCTCTATCACGTTTTCTCCTTCGTTGGTGGTTCTTTATCCGGCGCTTATAACTGCGTTCCAAATATCTATCCGGCGCCTGGATTCAACTCCGCTGCTTCTATTCAAGCTTGTGCTAATCAAAAATGCACATTTCTTCTTGGAACTCCCACAATGTTTACAGGATCGAGTTACTTTCGGAAGAAAACATTTTCTATAAACTAAGAGCTTTTTCAACTCACTAAAGACATTGTCAACGATCCAACACGCGCAGATCACGACATCTCCTCTTTGAAGTACGCGATTGTTGGGGGAGCTCCAGCAACCCCTGCTCTTGTGCGAAAAGCAAACCAAGAGCTTGGTGTAAAAATGACAGTCGGTTATGGAATGACGGAAAATTCCTGTGCCACATTTTTGACTCCCCCGGGATCGACCGAAGATGTCACCTGCAACACCGTTGGCTTTCCTATTCCCGGTGTCGATGCGAAAATCATCGACGATGAAGAAAATACTCTTGAGAAGGGACAAATTGGAGAGTTGGTTACGAAGGGATTCGTTCTTTTCCAAGGTGAGGACGAGGAATAAATTTTGTTAGAGAATCGTTTTTAGGATATGTGAAGGACGAGGCTAAAACAAAAGAATCTTACACGAAAGATGGATACTGGAAAACCGGCGATCTTGCCCTGGTGCGTGACGATGGAACGCTTCAGATCAGCGGCAGATCGAAGGACATGATCATTCGAGGAGGAGAGAATATCCAGCCGACGGAAATCGAAAATTTCATCGCCACGCATGACAAGGTAAACACAATCCTCGCCAGTAAACATTGTCTATCTTCTTCCAAGGTTGTTGACTGCTATGTGATCGGCGTTCCTTCTTCCAGATTGGGAGAAGAAGTAGCTGCGTACATACAGTTGAAAGATGATACTGTCACCTCCGAAGATATCGTCGAGTTCTGCAAAGAAGGACTTGCCCGATACAAGATTCCAAAGTACATCAAGTTCACTTCTGAGTTCCCAAAAACCGTCACTGGCAAAATTCAAAAATACCTTCTCCGCGATCAAGCCGTCAATGATTTTCCTGAGCTAAAGGAAGAGCTAGCTGCCATGCAATAAAATGATTACCTGACATGTTTCTCTTTTGAATAAATTTCATCATGGATCCAAGTTTAGTTAAATATTTAGCAGAAAAATATTTGACCTTCAGAGACTGAATCTCCCTGAGTCATAAATAATTTCGCCTCATGCGGAAACAATAGGTCTTTATGAGACCTGCCTGAGGGTCTGAGACGGAATCATCAGCGCTAGCATCACGTTATTACGCCTTATCGTTTTTGTGCTCCGAGCGTTCCGAAAACTGGGTTCACTTTGAAACTGAAGTTTTGAAGAAAAGCTGGAAGAGAATCTGATACTTGAAGTTCTTTTCAATAACGGTTGGATATTTTCATAAGTAAGTTTGAATAGTGACTATTCATGAAGGTCATGGTCTCTTATTTGACTTTTTATTCATCTATTTTATTTATCTCTTTTATGTTTTTCATCACTCGGCTCATAAAAATATCTTTTTTTAACAAAGCATACTAATGATTAGTAAAATTCTCCTTTCCCTTTTTATTTTTCTTGTCAAGTCAAAAAGTCCCCTCGTTAGAGTAAATCTGGGTTGTTCAAATATCACCATTGTTTTTTTATCTCAGAAGATCAGTCAAATACAGAGTTTATCTTGATTTTACGAAAGATTGAAAAATGAAGACTTTCATATTTTTCTGAGGAAATAATTGTTTGCTCAGGCTACTCCCGCATTTCCCAAAATCCTGGATTTCCCAAATCCTGGATTTCTCAAAATCCTGAATTTCTCAAATCGCCAAATCAGGATTCTGCCGATTCTGGATTTTGGGAAATGCAGGATTGGGAAAAGCAGGATTTTGAGAAATTAAGGATTTAGCTTAAATTGGTCTCCGTTTGCCCGAAAAGAAGCCGATTCTGGCTTCTTTAACCCCAATCCTGGCTTCACCAACTTCAATCATGTCTTCTCCAATATCATTGATATTTTATCAATCATGGGTTCTCCATCGTCAATTCTGGTACATCGTCAATCCTAGCTTCACCGACTTAAATCATGGCTTCTCCAATGTCAATCCCGGCTTCATCGACGTCAATCCCGACTTCTTCAATGTCATCATTTTCAATCACGGCTTTTCCAACAATAATCTAATCTTGGATAAGCCATGATCGACATTCAAGAAGCAATAATAGAGAACTGAGAAGCCGGGACTGACATCTGAAAAGCTAGGATTGAAAAAAAGTGACGACCGGATCGGATTTAAAGAAGCCGGGATAGACGCTGGAGATGCCAAGATTGACGTATGTAAAGCTAGGATCGAAATTGTTGAAGCCAGGATTGAAGTTGGTGAAGTCGGGATAGACTGTGGAGAAGCCAAGAAATAAAAGTTATATGATCAATCAATTCAAATTTGGTAAAGCAAGAAAACTGACTCAAAAGAAAAAATAATCCCGCATTTCCCAAAATCCTGAATCGGCAGAATCCTGATTTGGCGATTTGAGAAATTCAGGATTTTGAGAAATCCAGGATTTGGGAAATCCAGGATTTTGGGAAATGCGGGAGCAGCCGTTTGCTCAGGGTTACGCGAGCAGAGCGGCCGTGGAGAAAATATACTACGAAGCTTTTTCCCCAGAGAAATCAACTCAGAAGCAACCTTGAAAGAATCTCTGTTTAACTGCTGATCAAATCTGAATACTGAAGGGTAATCATGGCGAGAGACGTGGACCAAATGTACGGGAAGATTTTCGAAATGTTGGCGATGGTTGGAAGGATGGGAAAGCCTACTGACTTTGACAAACGAGCTCTAGGTAGGCTTGTTGATTTCGAGAATGGTTAGATAATTAGGAATAAGATTGGCAATTTCAATTCCTGTCTAAAAACCTCAAAAGCGGCCATATTTTATGCAATCTTCTCGATGAGGTGATCAGGAAACGAGCATAAAATCAAGGTCAATAATGACCTATTAATTAATGATTCGAAAATCAATTATTGATTCGTTCAAAAAGTGGCTGTTTCCATCGCCGAAATATTTCCATCGATGCATCCCCGCAGGTTGACGCAAGAGAAGAATCCTCACGAAGAAATGCAAGGAATTTTTTCAATGTCTTAGCCGAAGAATTCGCATATATCAAGTAGTTTCTACTTCACTACTTTATCTTTACACCTTTTTAGCCCAAGAATAGGAGAAACAGATTTATTTACCTTGCCCCTTTTGCCGAGAGACGACGTTAAAAGAGATTACCTCCTGGAGCTTTTGTGTGCTTTATCTGGTATTCCGGAAATGAACCGTTTGAACGGGGTCACAAAGATTCAACATTTTCCAATCACAAGCCAGTTCCGATCAAGACCGAGATTTGATTTCAATGGAGATTTGGGTGAAATTGGCGTTCCATATGATCCCGTAGCTTCAGGTTAGATTCAGTAGCGACGCGCGCATCAATTTTTTAGATTTTTATAACGAAGTGCCACCAACACCTTACGACGAAGTCCCGGAAGATGATGTACCCCCAGCTATCCCACCGCGTCCTCTTTCGACTCTTTCTCGCTTGAGTGTCATGGATGCTGATGGTAAAAATAATTGGAGCATTGGCATTTTATTGACGCATATTTTTAGTTCCAATTCCTGTTTATGACGCTAACCCATCAGATCTCTATACCGTTCTGATGAGCCCGTACGATATGGACAGTCTCGGCGGCGATGTCGAAGAAGATGGAGTTCAAACGGGTGCTTACATGGGCCAGCAGCAAATTTATGGCATTCCAGGTAGACAAAAGATCCAAAAGAACCACCATTATATTTTTCCAGGGCAAATCGAGATTAGAACGCGCATTATTGATGAACTTGTCAGCTCAGAACTTACCTACCTCAGTCTTCTCCGAGACATTGACCAACATTGGATCAAGCCTCTTTCTGAAATTCTATCAAAAGAAGATATGAAAGCTGTTTTTATAAACTTGATGAAAATCAAGGAAATTCATGAAGACTTCTACAAGGACATAAAGAGGGAGAGCGAGAAACAATTTGAGAGCCGCAAAATCTCTGGTAAGAAAAAGCACCATTCCCGAATCTACCAAATATTTAGAATGCTTCCTGAAAATGATGTCGAACTTGCTTGAATACAAAGAGTACCTAACAAAAATTGAGAGCGCTAAAGACAAAATGAAGCTGATCGACCGGGATGCCGACAAAAATCCAGCTTATAAGAAAGCTTTACACGTAATTCGCACTAATGCCGAGCAATCAAGGTATAAATAATGCTTCGAAATCAACGAAGAAACCCATTTTTAGAATAATCTGCAAACGAGAGGTTCAAGAAGCCCTGGTAATTCCGATGGAAAGACTCTGCAGATATCCACTGTTTGTGGAGCGATTGATCAACAAATCTGGTCCAGAGCACCCTGATTATGACAATCTGAAGATAGTTTTTGATCTATTGAAGGAAATAAACTCGTACGTCAACGCGTGTAGTGGGGACAATACAGGCATCCTTGAGCGTAACAAAATCAGTCGAAGGACAGGGGTTCCAACTAAAGAGTTCGGGTTTCCTTTGAGAACAAAGGACAAAACGCAGTACAAAGAAGGCCTCAACGCTGACAAAGTCTCGAAAGATGGCGAAAAATTAAACTGGGAGAAAATTGAAGTCTTCGTCTTCCACACCGTTCTGGTCATCGTCGGCTTCGAAAGAAACGCGAAAGCATTCCTAATCAATGTAATAAAATTCGAACACATCGTGAATGCTGGCAACAACAAACCGGAAGTGAGCCAGCCAGAAGAATCCAGAGCTGTTTTGCGCCAACGAAGCCAATGGAAAGTCAGAGTCAAAACGACTTATGGCAGATCGATAAATTATGAAATAAAATTTCCAACGGAGCAATTTGCGAAGACATTCCACGCGCGATTGAGCAATGTTTACCAGACTTACACAAAGAATATGAAGCAAGGCTGGACCGCGTTCAATATTCCACTGGGTTACAACTGCCAAAATTACTTTCCCAAAATCAGCTGCTGTAAAATTTGTAAAAAACTCTTCAATGGATTGGAGATGCAGGGCTTCAGATCGACCAAGTTTCCGAATATCTATGTTCACGAAGGGTGCATTGAAAATGTTCAAACCTACAGAAGACCTGAAGAAAACCCTTATTCTGTTGATCCTACCGAAGCACACGACTTTCACGGTAGATGATTTTTTACTTCAAACATAATTTTCAACCCCTTTCAGATAAAAATCACAGGGAATTGAAAGAAAAGCCATATTATGTCGGAATGATGGAGAGAGATCAAGCCAGGCGTATTTTAGAGCAATCTTCTGCTGGTCAATTCCTTGTTCGAGATCGAGCTGGTGCCGATGTCAAACAAGCGCCCTATGGTAAGACAAAGCTCACAATTCTTTTCTAACCGGGTTTCAAGCTGTTTCAATGGTGACTTGGGAGAAAAAGCAGCGGCATATGAAGATCTTCCAGGAGAAATCATCGACGAGTTTACGACCGAAGTACTATTTCTGCGAACAGCATAAGTACAGCAGTCCGGTGGAACTGATCAATGCCTTTTCTTTCGAAAAAGATCTCAACGATGCCTTCAACGATCTCAGGGGAAATTTCACTGGCCCTGCAAGAATACCCGATCATCTAAGAGTAAAATAAATCTGTTCTTCAAATCATAGTGTAAATAAAAGGCTAACCTGTTTATTTCATCCGAGAAGTTACAAATCTGAGTTATTGAAGGAAGGTTTTGAAAGAGTGCGCGAAATTTAAACCTAAACATCTGATGGAGGCGTGGACTGCACCTGATTTCCGACAGAATGAGTCACTCTCGTTTTCACGCTCATTGGCCAGCACACTTAGATGTGAACTTATTGACCCAATTTTCAACACGTTTCGCTGCATCCGGATTAGAGGAAGTTATTCTAGAGATTCTGGGTGTCGAAAAATTTGCTCGGTCAATGAATTTTATTCATCGTGTTCAATATTCTCAAAATTTGAACAACCTTTCATCTTTAATTTATTTAATGATTTTCTGTACCTCTTTCTTGTTGTTTCAAACCTCTTACTATAACGTTCTTGTTAGTTTAGCGTGTGTAACGAACTTACGAGCGGGATGAAGCTCAAAGATCTCCCGAAGAAAAAATGGCCGGGCCGTGATGACGGCTACGTCAAAATGGCAGTCAGTGTCGTCGAGGCCGACTGCATTTGGCTATTTCAACAAAGCGATCCAGAAGGAGAACAGATTGACGAAATCTGCCTTCGTTTTGGAGACGCGGATAAAGTTGACGTCCCCGCGAAAGACATCGTCATCGGTGAATGTTACGTTATTTTGGCGGAAGACGAAGAAACTGGCGAAGAGTACTACTGTCGGGGTGTTGTGGAAAGTTCGAGTTTACTCAAATTTCGAATTGCCCGAGTTTGTGATCACGGCTACGCGACCCAGTTCAAGAAGGCCTACAAGCTGACAGAAGAACTAAGCGAGTTTGCCCCTTTTGTCAGAAGGTGTGATATGATTCCTATAAAGATTATTATAGATCTATTTTCGTACTAAGTTGATATTTAAGATGCACACCTGCAGTCTGGCCAGAGAATCTTACGCCAGAGACTGAAAATTTGAATGTTCTTTTCCATGCCACCAAAGAGGACCCCGAAATTACAGTTGTGACCATCCGACAGCCCCGAGACAAGTCCGCCGACAATAGTGTGGTTTCGGAGTCCGGTGCATTCTCTACAAGCGACAAAGCCGAAGAACCAGCCGTCAAGCCCAGTTTGAACTGCATTGCCTACACACGATTCGCCGGCAATGACTTTTTCGTCAGCGACATTACTCGCATGGGCGATCAAATCTTCGCTGTCGGTTATGCTCCCGAAGTCGACAACGATTGGATCGACGAATTCACCGAGACTCTCAACGAAATCAAGGGCGACGAGGCAAAAGTGATCGAAGCTCCAAAAGTTGGCGACTTTTGTATCTCTCCGACCGAGGATGGAAACTCTCGAGCACAAATAACTACCATCGATGAAAAAGGATTCACTTTGCTGTGGATCGATTTTGGATACTTGTCGACTACCAAAAATTCGGAAGATCTTTGGGAAGTTGCTAAAGAGTTCAGCCGTCCCGCTGCTTGTTCTTTGCTCAAGTTCAGCAGCGACGATTCTATGTTTGTCAAGGATTTAGTAAAACAACTCGAAGATTCGACTGAAGACATCAAAATTACCGTCGCCCCTGTTGAATTTGACGAAGTCACTGGAATTACTCTTGTCGAGCCAGCGAACAAAAAACTTCCTGACAGTCATGCGAATGTTCAAGACTCCGCTGTATCTTCTTCGATTGAATACGCTTCTTCGAAGGCAAGTGAGGCTAAAGACCAAGCAGAGGCCAAATATGAAGAGGAAACTGTGACTGGTAGCACGATCATCGAGAAGTCTACGACCACGGATGCAGCTGTTGACTCGAAAATCTTGGTAACTCCAGCTCAAACTGAAAAGCTCGTGATTCCAATTCCACAATCAATCTCTGCGGATATTACACAGTTCTGCCCAGAAAAAGGATTCCTCGTCGCACGTTTGGACGACTCTTTCGAGGTTTCCGACGCTCGTCTTCAGACAGAGGTTCAAAAATTACAGAAACTTTCGCGAGCGCCTGAAGTTGGTGATTTCATCGTTGCGAAATGGGACGAGGATGACCGATGGTACCGTGCCTGCGTCGTCAGCGAGGACAAAGACAGTTTCGTCGTGTTCTTTGTCGACTATGGCAACAACGCTGTCATCGAGAAGTCCTACATTGCGGACTCCTGTCGTGAAATTGAGAAAGAGCAGGCTGCAGAACCGATGGGCTTCTTCTGGGTGGACACTGGCTATCGCTTTATTGGCGATATGGGAGCGATCAGCAGTTACCTTGATGAAGTATAATAAATTATGTAATGATTATTAATAAAACTTTTTTATAGTTGTATGAGGATCCGGCAGCTGAAAAACAAGTGGTTGAAATCGAGCGTTTAGGAACGAATAAAGTCTCTGCTACAATCTACGTCGATGGAAAAAATATCGTGCTTTCTGATAAACTTTCCAACTCTTTCACTCCGAAAAACTCTGTTGGGTCTTTATCCAAGCCAGAAGACGAAGTAAAGGAAGTTTCTTCCGAACGAAGCTCTTTTCCTTCTGTACCAGAAGAAGAACCCAGTTCCAATATTGAAAAAGACAACGAGCCCGAAGAGAAAGACAAAGAGAACTTGTGTCTTGAAGGCCGGGTGAACATCATCCCGTATGCGCGATACTCGGGCCCAGACAAGCCGTTCGTCGTGCTAGACATCGTACAAAAATGTGGAAAATATTTCGTCGTTGGGAATGAGACCGATCTTGATATTAGCTGGATAGAAAACATCACGGAGTCCCTCGACACGATATCAAATAAGAAGCCGATCGCTTCTCCAAAAGTTGGTGACTTCTGCATCTCTCCAACGTCCGATGGAACTTCACGAGGACAGATCATGGGGATCTCTGGCGATGAGAAGTTCGAGATTCTTTGGATCGATTTCGGATACTTCAGCACTATCAAAGGGGCTGAAAATCTTTGGGAAGTGACTTCTGAATTCGGTCGTCCGGCAGCGTGTTCTCTCTTGGACTTTGAAGACGAAGATGACGAGTTCTTCGAGAAGATGACGAAAGCCCTCGATGAAAATCCAGAGCTTGAAATTGGACCAGCCTTCATTTCCTGTGATGAAGAAACAGGAATAACTCGCGTTCGATCTGAGAAAAAAGAGGCTGTAAACATTAAACCTCCTCTGACCCCGGCTTTAGAAGAAGCCCCAGAGAAAGCCTCAGATCTCAAGATTCCAGTGCCCGTGGAAGCTACGGACGTCATTATCGAGGAATTTGTCCCTGAGAGAGGATTCATTGTCCTTCTTACAAATACAGAAGAAAAATTAACAGCAATTCAGACTCATCTTGATGAGGCTGCACCGAGCCAGAGTCCACTTCTTGAGCTTCCCAATGTCGGCGATTTCATTATCGCGCAGTGGGACGAAGACAACTGCTGGTACAGGGCTTACGTCGTAGAGAAAACCGATAGCAGCTTCAAGGTTTTCTTCGTTGACTTTGGAAACGAGGCAGAAATCAGCAATGACAAATGCCCAAAATCTTGTCGAGAGATACTCGATACCCAGTGCGACGAGCCGATGATGTCCTTTATGGTACACTCTGGCTGGGTATTTGATGGCGATAGAGACGCTGTGAATGCCTATTTGGAAGAGGTAAACGACCATTATTCTTTTGATATTTTAAAATAATGATATTTAGATTTACGACAAAGCTGAAATGGCGAAAAAGTTGCAGGCAATAAAAGTGACCGGACCAATCTCGGCGAGCGCTCTTATTCTTGTTGATGGAGTGGATATTCTGGATATGTTCCCTGGAAAGTTCAAATCGGAGGGTATGTCTACTTCCTCAAAGGACGACGAGGAGGAACAAGAAGAAGATTCCAAGCCAGTTCTCGACTCTGACAAGGTTTTTTACTCCTAAGTATAGATAAAGGAATCTTTTTTTAGTTTGAAGAATCAAACAACAGCAAGATCAATAATCTTGAATTGGAGCAGTCTGTTGAGGAAGAGTCTAATCAGGCGGACGAGATAGCGTCCGTTGCAGATGAGAGCGATGTTGAAAAATCCGAAGAGAATTCTTCGCTTGAGGACCCGACAGCATCGAAGAACGTGGAAAACACTAAGGACGCACCTTCTGAATCCGCCCCTGGAGATTCTGATCCAAAAGTTGTTATTCAGATTCCAAGCTCAGACAAACTCGTCGTGGGCATTCAGGAGTTTTGTGCAGAAAAAGGCTTCCTTGTCGCACGTGTGGACGAATCAAGCGAGTTGGAAGGTCTCGACGATCGTCTTCAATCTGAAGCCCTCAAATTGCAACAGCTTTCGCATCCCCCAGCTATTGGCGATTTCATCATTGCGAAATGGGAGGAAGACGACCGATGGTATCGTGCTTTCGTCCAGAGCGAAGATGAAAACAACATTCTCGTCTTTTTCACAGACTATGGAAATTGCGCAGAGATTACCAAGTCGTGCGTTGGGGATTCCTGTCGAAAGATCGACGAAGCGCAGGCGAGAGAACCGATGTTTTTCTTCTGGGTCAATATCAGATGCCCATTCAATGGAGAAGAAGAAACTGTGAACCAGTTTCTTGATGATATTTATGAGAACAACAAAGTCAAGAAAGAGATCGAGGGCGTTGTTCAATCTGGCCCGAATTCCGCCTCCGCGAAAGTTCTCATTGATGGAGAAGACATCGTTCTTATGGATAAATTTTCCGGAATGTTCGAAGGGGAAACTTCGGAAGAGCCCGAGGTCATCCCAAAAACAGAAATTTACGAGGAAGAAGTTCCTCTTGTTGAAAAACACTCTCTCCCATCTATTTCGGAGGATGAAGAGCCTATTTCCGAGAGCTGCGGCAGCGAGAAAGCCACCGAGCAGGTAGAAGAAATGGCGGAAGAAGGATCGAACCGAGTGAACCTCATCCGTTACGAGAGTTACTCGGGCCCGTCTCAGTCGCTTCTTGTTTCGGACGTTGTAAGAATGAACGGCCAATACTATGTGATTGGAAGCGTGGCCGATTCTGACCTTGACTGGACTGAAAGCTTCACCGAGTCCCTCGATGCGATCAAGAACAAAAAGCAGATCATGAATCCCAAAATCGGCGACTTCTGCATCTCCCCAACCCCGGACGGGAACTCACGAGCTCAGATTATTGATATCAATAGCGGGGGTGAGTTTGTGCTGCTCTGGATAGATTTCGGCTACTCCAGTTCTGTGAAGAAAGCTGAAGATCTTTGGGAAGTGTCCGCAGAATATGCCCGTCCGGCGGCCTTCTCGATGTTGAGTTTCGCAGACGCGGAAGACAAGTACTTCGAGGACCTCAACCAAAGCCTTGATGAAAATCCGGACTTTGTTATTCAACCGACAACTGTTTCATGCAACGAGGAAACAGGAGTTACCCGAGTTTCATTAGCTGAAGAAGAAGAGCCCAAAAAGAACACACCCGAGAGCCCAGCTTTAGAAGAGGCCTCTGATCAAAGGCTTACGATTCCGCTCCGAGGAGACGAGGATACTCAAATCCAGGCTTTCGACAAAAATGGCTTCCTTATCGCTCGAGGTGATCCCGAAGAACGCCTTGACGTGCTTCAGGAGGAACTTGAGAAATGCGCGCCTCACCAAGACCGACTGCTCGAATTGCCGGAAGAAGGTGATTTCATCATCGCGCAGTGGGACGAAGATAAATCTTGGTACAGAGCCTGTGTCATGGAGAAGAAAGATCACATCTTCACAGTCTTCTTCGTCGACTATGGAAACGAGACAGAGATCAAGAATGAAAACTACGAGCAGTCCTGTCGAAAGATCACGGAAGAGCAATGCAAAGAGCCGATGATGTACTTTTTCGTTCAGTCTGGCTGGCAATTCGATGGCGACGAACAAGCTGTTAACAACTTTCTCGATGAGGTAAGAAAACCGAATGAGGCAATCATTAATTCGGGTGACGGGCGGCCACGTTCTGCCAGAACGGCGTTCTGCAAATACAGAACGGCGTTCTGCAAATGCAGAATGGCGTTCTGCATAAGGATTTTTTTTAACGATGTAACTTGATTCTTTTCAGTTTTAACGCATTCAGCTATGCTGAAATAGTAACTCCTGACTTTAGAAATTCTGAGATTTCCTTTAAGACAGGCGCGAAGCGCATATATTTTTTGAGTGCAGAACGCCGTTCTGTATTTACAGAACGCCATTCTGCATTTGCAGAACGCCGTTCTGCTGCAGAACGTGGCCGCCCTACACCCATTAATTCGACTCTTTTTTAGATCTACAGCAAGGAAGGAATGCCAAAAACGATCCAGAATGTCAACGCGACTGGCCCAGTGACAGCTGACGCGCTCATTCTCGTCGATGGGGTGGACATTATCGAGAAGTTCCCTGGATCGTTCATGAAAAAAGATCGGCAATCCATCCAATCGAATGCCGTAGAAAAGGATGCTCAGCCGCTGATCGACGCCGAAAAGGTACTAATCAATGCACTTTATGAGATTACAGTTCTATAGATGGACGATCTTGATGAGAATGATGATACAACTTCCGAACAAATCGACAACACAGTTGTCGCACCCTCGACTTCTGACTCCGAGTCTAGCTCTGAGGAATCAGATAACAAGCTGAGGTGATTTAATATTTTAAAGTATTCAAATGGCATTCATTCATTCAGAGTCGCGTTTGAAAAGGCTGCCGATTTGATGCATGTCACAGCGCCGCAACACACCAAAGAAGAATGGTTGGCCTGGATCAAGCGAGGAGTTAAAGAGATCGAGTAAACTCCCCGCTCTCTGTACATAAATCATTGGAACTTCACCTCCCATTCCCGCTCACATAATTTGCTAAGCTTGACAATGATTGTGCTCGATTTCTCTCTTCGCAAGAGCACTCATCCACTGACACCCTACCCATTTAACCCGGTTATCTTCACGCACCTCACTGCCCTTGACCCCTTCTAAGTTCAGCCTTGAATAAACATTGCAAGAACACGTCTCTGGATGAAATAAGGTCATAAAACTTTATTTCTTAAGTTTTTATTTGAGCAGAAAAATCGCAATTTGGCAAATTTAATGTCTTAAGTTCAGATAGCAATCAGATCAATGTCAAACAAGACCTTCCTTGATATAACCATCCTTTCTTCATTTAAATCCCATGTTATAATTTTTGTCTCGTCATATTGGTTCGTAGTAATTGCAATATCTCCGTAAGATTCGAAGGCTTTGATGTCGAAAATTTTAAAGTTGTTGTTTCTGTAGTAGATGAGCTTATGATCGATTTTTACGAAGATACCACTCCTGATTCTACAAAAGAAAGATATTTTTCTTTATGATGGAAAACCTGTAAGCAACCAGTAATCTATTACATTCCCAGCTGTGGGTGGCTAGATCGAAAAAATTGAATGAGTACGTCGCTAAAATAAGCACGCCCTCTCGATCGGGAATCGGAAAAGCATCATTCAGATAAATATCTCCATTACAGTGTGGAAAACAGTAATTTCTAACAGATGAATAAGAGCCACGCATGTTTTCATCTCTTGTCCATTTTATAGCTTCAAAATTATCAAGCGTACGGGATAAGTTTCCAAACCTGGATTAGACGAGCTTGAAACTCTTATATAATTTTCACTGAAATAGCCATATGCTCCCATTTGTAACCTCACACTACTAATATGAAGCTCTTCGTCCCAAACTGTCATATGCGATCTTGCGGAGTGACGATTTGGAATATATGCTACAAGTGTTGAGTTCATTTAGCTTCTTTCTATGGAAGATATTTTTGTTACCACTCAATCTATAGATCTTGGCATTTTTCTCAAAAAGCGCGTAGTAGCAACCATCTCGAAGTATGTGGAGCTGGCAAAAATAAATGCGACCTTTAAAACCGGCAACTACTCCTCCTTGATTAAATTTTATCCTTTCATAACGGAACATCCTGCGATGGTCAATGTCTAGGTTAAGATCATCTATGTTCCCATCATGAAGGAGCTTGAACACCCTCAAATCCATAGTTACTAAATAATGTTCATCTTTAGAAGGATAAATTATTATTTCAAATCGCTGCAGAATCTTTAGAGAAGAACTATAAAATCCTTCCTTCGTAGAAAACCGAAGTCGCTGGTTCTGCTTGCATGACATAAACATTATTCTTGTCCACTTCAGCTGGTGCCCAATGAACCGCGTTACCATACGAATCGTAATAATCAGCATCAGGACGTTCAAACCCCCCAAAATTATGTCCATTCCATCCAGAGTTTACCCCATATGGTCTTCCAAAATGAACGTTTTTATAAATAGTCTTGTTACCAGTTCTATAGTCATAGAGGGCAAGTAAGGATCCATCAATCCTCATGATTGTCAACTCCGAGAGTTCATACCACGAGTTCATAACAACAGGCCCGATTAATGCCGGGTCAAAATAATCATCCAAGTGTCCAGAGTACCAACCAACTTGAAGCATGCTATTATCTGAAATCTGTTCACACTCATAATGCGGACATGGACATCCATTTGGGCATAGCTCGTCTCCAGGACATATAAGTCCCCAAAGTCCAGTTTTACTCCCAAGAAGTTGGCGACATATCGTGTTGCATTCTAAAACTCCCTCGCCCTGAATAGGACAGAGAGACCTGCAAATCTTTAAGTCGTAAAACTCATAACTCTTGCATCTTTTGCGATTCGTTATCTGTTCAAGTTCTGTGTAATTATACATGTCTTGTACAATCGGCCTTCGAATATGAGCTTCCAAATAATGATGATATTCTGGGAATTTAAATACTTTCGTCCCTCTGCAGTCATCAAATGCATCAACACAGTCATCATAAAAGAGACCACGCTGGATGCAAACTTTGTATTCTCTATTGCACGTAGTTGTCAAGAAGGTCAGATGAGAAGTGAGCTTCTCGAGCCCAATATAATTTGTTATTAGCACTATTGATAACCAGAAAATTGTTCCCAAACTCATGTACGCAGCCCATTGTCGATTGGTACCGCCACCGCTAATATTCAATCAAGATTTTGAATTATTTATTGATCTTACTGTTTGTGAAAGATAACGCCGAACTTCTGGGTGAAGAAGTGGGGCTTAGACGGGAAAGGAACAAGGTTGACCTGTCCATTGGAAACATAGAGTGTTCCTGTACAATGGCACCCTCGACAGAAAACTTCTTCGTTTTTTATTTGTGAGTTTCTCGTACTCATGCTCTTTGAGTTCTGATTCGTATTTAGCGCTCAGGAATCGTGTTGACTCTGACCGGTAATCCGGCCCTGCTTCTGAGAAAATGGCAAACGGTAGTACATATTTCGGAAGCGGGATATCCCCTGACAGCTGGCCCAAATGAGAATAACTAGTTACGGTATTTATTCGGCTGTTACCGGGTTTTCATGTTTGTTCCGATTATGTTTCTCCCCCGTGGGGGAGTGGGCCGAGCTCGCCGGTACTGCAATAGCGAGTCAACCCGTGGGAAGAGCGGAGCAAGCCCCTAACTACATCCCTAGTTCCAAAAATCAGGGTGACAATAGACGTCCCAGTAGGGACGGTCCCAGCTGTCACACTGAGAAGAACAGATACTACACTTGATCTTAGCCACAAAGGCCGGAAGCGATGGGGAACGGAGCGCGAGTGGAACACCGTGCTCTCCCGCATGTGTGCGCGTTATGGCGCCTGCTTTTTGGGCTGCATCGATTGCGCGCCGAGTTTCAATTTGTGAATATTTATTCAGTGTAAGTGGCAGGGTGGTGAATATACTGTATAACTAACAAAAAGAATAAATAAATGAAAAAATTTTTTGATCAATCTTCCTGTTGATCGTCTTCTTCGTACCAAGCAGCCTTGACTGCGTTGAACCAGCTGGCGATCTTGTACTCTTCTCGTTTGATTTCAAACGAGCTTGCTGAGATGGCTTCTTTCACCTCAGTCCAGGTCATTTTTTCCTTGACGTTTTCCCAGGTCAGCTCGTTCCACATTTTGGCCAAGTCGAGGGACTCGGCTTTCTTCGAGAACATCTTTACGATCGCTAGAATATTCTTTTAACAAACGCGCAATGAAGATAAACCCAAGGTAAGTACCATCGAGAGTCGGGTTTTCTTCAAGCCACTGGACTCGCTGGTCCTCCCATGCGTTCTGCATGATTCTGACCTTTTCCTGGCCCCAATCGCTTCGGCCAACTTGAAAGGCAACGATGGCCAGGAGTGCGACACTCACAGAAACTAAAATGGCTATAAAGATGAAAGACTCCATGACTTACAGATAATTTGCTTATTGCTCATCACCCGAGGTCCAGGATGTTGTTGAGCTTTCTTAGCCTTTTCATCTTCCCTGAGGAAAAAAATAAGCTTGGATTTCTGCTTACAACTTACGTCCGGATGGGCGAGGACAGCGGAGTTGTAAAATCTCCACTCGGAGTTGGAGATCTTGCGCTTGGGCTCAGCGTGACCTTTGCTTCTTCGTATGCCTCTGAAATGGTTTGAAAACCAAAAGCAACATAAAAGTCATAAATTACTCTCTTCAGTCAAATTATTAGACATACTCTTCATACGTCTTGCTGCCCTCGTCATGACTCCATCGAGGTTTTCCTTCTGATAAGTCTTTTTCTTGGCTGAAAAATTGTCTCACTATATTTAAAATCTAAAAAGTCAATACCGGGCATTTCTAAGGCTCAAAAATCTGCTCTCTTGCGGCTAAAATCTGTCGGAGTGATGCAACTTCGTGAAAAACTATGATTTTACCGGCTGTTCTAGAGAATATCCTGCAATAGAAGGACGATGCAAAAAGTAATGCTAAATATTTTGGCTCATTACTTTTGTAAGTGTATCCGTGATACCGAAGTAATATATTACTATCTGAACTTCAATACAGAAACTTGTGCTAAATGATCAGAAGGAAACACTTTTGACGGAATCCCGCTGTGTTTCGTCACATCTTCATGCTTGAAATCTTTGCAGCTCTCGACGTAGTCCAAGTTGTTGATGAGAATGAAGTCCAACAAGCCGATGAAAGGAGCTACGAAGTTGCTGTACTCTGAAAGGATTCATAAACGCAGCTTTAAAGGGTCGACATTACTTGGTAGTGGCCTCACTCCATGCTCGAAAACAATCGGGGAAGAAACTTCCTTTTCAAATCGCAAAATTCCATCTTTGCCACTCGTGAAAAAATCTAAACATGTTTTTTCCTTTCGTTTATCGGTATTTTGATCATACCTAGATCATAAGGATAGACGGTCGCTCCGGTCAAATACCTCACCGCTGTCCTTTCGGGAACCGAATTGAAATCTCCGCAGAATACTACCGGCACTTGCTCCCCCGTTTCCTTCTCCAAAAGATCTTGCTCCCTTTTGATCAGCCTGGAAATGACCATTGCCTGCAAGGCTCTTGTGTTGCTCCCTCTTGGGTGCCAGAAAAGATGAGTGTTGCAAAGAAGAAGGATTTTCCCCGTTGCTTTGTTTTTAAGCGTCACTACTTGTAGAACATGTGGCAGTTGGAGAATCAGCTGGCCGGACTTTTGATTTCCCTTTTCTTTTTCAGACTCTTTTCCATCCGGAGCTTTCTTTACTGGCTTACATTTCATGACAACTTCTCTCAAATCATCAAAAAGCTTTTCATCCTTGTCCAAAAGCGCTCCATTGATGGGATATTCACTGAATCTGACTTTCTCGAAACTCTTTTTTCTCCAGAGCGCACAGGTTCCTTCAGGACTGGCCGATTTGTTCGAAAAGACTCCTTCAAATCCCTCAGTTTCCAGCGTCTTGTAAAATTCTCCCCTGAACATCTTTGAATCCAATTCTTGTAGACAGACAATATCTGCATTGTAGCCAATGATCTCGTCTAGCAAAAGGTGGCTCCGGTGATTCCAGGAGACATATTCATCCGAACAATATGGAAACAATCCGTCCTTGGAAAATTCTGTCTCCGCTAGACCGTCAGACAGAATATTATACGAGACAACGCGGAATTTATCGGTGCTTTCTTCATAGTACCGACGCTGAGTCTCTTCTTCCTGACGGGTTTGGTAGGGACAGAGGCCGGGACCGGCTGAAACTGGCAGTTTTGAGGTAGCAGCAGCTTTTAACGGGCTTAATTTCATTTTCTTGGGGATTTATCAACCTTTTTTCGATTATTATAGAAGCACCTTCCTGAAATAGACGGATCTCCTTCACCAACAACAGGACATGCGAGACAAACGAGAATCTTCCCTTCTAAATCCTTGTCTATCTTGAATCTGTTCTCCCTCGACTCTCCAATCGGCCGAAAGTACGTCGGCTTCTGAACTCCTTTCTTTGTGCAAGTCAGATCGACTCCAGCTCTGATAGTGTCCAGCACAATAGGATCCTTCTCAATTCCCGGGGATTCGCTCATTTCTCCAGCATACCATTTAAAAACGACGCCATTCTTCGCATCGAGAGCTTTACAGTCGACAAAAGCGTTGAAATTGACCATTGGTTTCGGCGTAATAGCCAGTTCTTTTATTCTAGGCGGATTGACGATGCAGCGGAAGCTTGTTTCCCCAACATGAAGGGTCAAATCCTTTAACCTAAACAGATACATTGGGCCACTTCGAAAGAAACATAGCTATACCTCAGCGCATCATCAATACTTGTTGTTTCCAAGTCTAAGTCTTTCCCGAAGCTCTTCAACAACGTTGTCGGTACTTTCGAGGGCGATTTTTCAGCAGTTCCATCTTCGTTTCTCTTCTTTTTCGCCGGCTGCTGCCGCTTCAGGTCTTTTTCGAGGATACAACTGATTCTGTGGGCAAGTTTTTCCAGTGGATCAGAGTCGACTGAAGAAGGAATGAATAAATGCTCATAAATGAATGGTAAGGATGATTGGTCTTGTTCATACGTACTTCTGTTGATGTTCCTGGTCTTTCCCCATATTTTAAAATGAAAATTAGCACGTGACTCTGCTCTGAGCACCGAGCAAACTTCCATTTTCGAATTTCCAAGCCTCCGAATCAAGTCTAAACGTCATTTCGTTACTTTCTCTTCTTACAAAAACTCACATTTGATCATTCGATAAGCGAGACAGTTACAGACAAGCTACAGTAAGTTTCAGTAAGCTGCAACAATTCAATAAAATGAGCTCAACTCCCTCGAGCGCAAAGAATGACTCACGAGTTTATTCATTGAGCGATTGAGCGCCAAAGATTATCTTGAAAAAAAATCGAACCGAGTACAGAAGAGTCTCTCTGTACTTCAAAACATTTCTCGACAGTTTTTTTCGTCTGAGAGATTGAATATTCGAAGAATAAGAAATGGAATCCTGGCGAAATTGGAAATAGAGGATTGAGGTTTCTTTTTCAAGTCGAAAAGTATTTTTACGAAATAAATAAGTGTACGGTGAAGTTTTATTTCCTTGAAAAGTAGACAAATAAGAAAAAGAGTTGACCAGCCAATAAGATTCATGCGAAAAAAGAATCTTCTATCGAAGATTTTGATACTCTTGGTATCTGAGATACCGTATCTCTAAAAAATCCTTACTTTCCCGACTCTCATGATAATAGTTACCGGCCATTTATGTAAATTCTGAATTATTTTTCTTTGAAAAAATCATGAATGTACCATTCTATCGATTTCCCCCCTGACAATTCGAAATTGGCACCTTCCCAAAAATAGCTATTCGTAGTCTAAAGCAGAAGATTCGAAATTTTTCCTATTCCGTTTTTTACAAGCACCCTTTTTTATCTGATGCAGAAGCGGCGCAGAAGGATCAGGCTAGTGATAGGTTTTATAGATGAATTGCCAGTGGTCGATATATAAAGCGGGATTAATTAGAATGCGCCTGTTTAGGCCTCACACTTTGATTGAACGCGTAATAAATTCAGATATGCCCGTTTTGTCTGTTTTCCTGAGAGATTTTCAAACCATGAAAAAGAGGCATTTTCAATTGTTCGCCATGCCAAAAACATATACAATTCTTCCAAACGAATCCGCAAAAAACGCTATAACACAGTTGATTTTACCACAGTCTGAATATTTTGTTTTGCAATCCAAAAAGTTATTACCAAATTAAATTCAGTTGAGAGGGAAAAAGAGATTGAGCCAAAAACCAGTCTCGTTTTCAGCTAATTTGGGGATTTTGAATCACCGATGTGAAAAAATTAGATGCTGAACTGTAACCTCTCCTGGGAATCCATTCAGACATCGAATACTGTATTAATCGCCAATCGTCTTTTTTGTAGAATGTCATCGAGAAGAAAAGTTGTGTGCCTTGGAGATTCGATCACACAACAAGGGCATGATGCTGGAGGATGGCTTGGCAACTTGCAAAGGTACTTGACAATCTAGTTAGAATTTTATCTATATGGCGCATTCAGCAAGTACCAGCGAAGTATTGACATTGTCAACCGCGGATTCAGCGGCTACAACACGACCTGGTTGTTGTCGATTTTGAACAAGCTTGGTAGAGACTTCGAACACGCCGATTATGTCTTCATCATGATGGGTGCCAACGATGCCGCTACAGACACACAGACAGTAGACATTCCATTGTTCAAAGAGAACTTGGAGAAAATTGCAAACAAGGTGAAACTCGCAGGCGCTAGAAATGTCGTCCTAATTGAGACCCCCTGGGTTTCTGCGTCCGAATGGCTCAAGTTCTGCCAGGAAAAATACCCCGATGAAAATCACAAAGTTTCGAATAGAAATTCTGACAGAGCCGCTGAATATGCCAAAGCAGGTAAGATAAAAGTGAAATGTTTTCAATGAATAATTCGTAATAGTGAAAGAAGTTGCAGAAAAACTAGAAATCCCACTGATTCCACTGTACGAAAAAATGGCTGCTGAAGCTAACCCTGCTGCTCTTTTGTCCGACGGTCTCCATTTCTCTGCTGCTGGAAACAAGATCCTTTCCGACCTAGTCGAGCCCTTCCTAGATCCAATTGATGAAACCCAATGTCCTGAATGGAGAGATTTTGTTGTCGCATGAATCACTTAGATAGAACACTGTCATTTCTAATTCTTTAATTCATTTTCTGTGCATGATTCCATTGATTCCATGAGTTTATCTACGATTCTTTAAAATTGTTCCTTTCAGACAATGCGGAACTCGGATCACCCGCTCGGAGGCAACTCAGCTCGGGAGACTGACCTGCTCTTCCTTACCGGCATCAATGATTCAATGGAAGGCTCGGAGAGGTCCAAATCAATCACTGAACGGCCGGCCGCGGCTACCTCCGATTTCGGGTACCGCCAATTTAATATTTATTTTCTTCTAACTTAAAATAACCCCAGAGTATTGCTGGACACGGTGGCAAGATCCCTTAGTGACTCGACACATTTAGAGAATGAGCTCAAGAAACTGCTTAATTCTAGGAGCATGAAGGTAAGACTTTTACATGACTGCTCTTGGCCGGTAAGCGAATTGCCGGAAGGGAGAGTTAGAATTGCGTAGGCGTGTTTTATCGTACCTCTTTCTAGCAATTGGCCAGCTGTCATGACCGAATAGTCGCCTGCGAAGATCGCCCGAAATCCCTCTTTGACGAGAACGAAGAAAACCTCATTCCAAAGATCCAGCCTGATGAAGAATTCATCAAAACCGCAGGAATAAATAAGCGCCCTGGCGTTCCTCTTGGCCTCAGGTTTAATTTTATTAATCATATTATCGATTTTGACTGTTTTGTTCTGCAGCGTCGTCGACCGTGGACATGACATTATCATCCACCGGGTGATGGTTGGCTCATATATAGACAAGTTGGGACTTCTAAAACGCGGCTACGTCATCAGAGCAGTCAACAATAGAATCTTCAGTAACGCGGCCGAGTTACAGGAGTACATCTCTAACACCGACGGCAGCTTGGTTTTCAAACTTGCTGTAAAGCTAGACGCCGAGGAGAAGCCGAAACCAGTTTCGACCCCCTTCGTTCGCGCATATTTTTCATACCGGCCGGACAGAGATTCGCTCTTGCCGAAGAAAAACGTCGGCGTCGGGTTTGAATCGGGCGATGTTCTGATTGTGCATGACAAAAGTGACAAGCTCTATTGGCAGGCGGAGAATATAAGAGTAAGTAACTCACTCATAATTATTTATTACTCGTTTACTAGACGAAACAAACCGGTTTGATTCCATCTGAATGGCTAGAAGAGCGGAGGAGAACGAAGAAAATCCAGAAAGAAGCGCAGCGAAGACAAATTACGAAGGAAACGACGGAGAGGATCTTCTCGGCTTCCAAATCACAGGTAAAAATAAATCACGCATTCTTACAATATCAAATGATTAAGGAATTTGACCGATGCGACTGCCAAATCTACGAGTCCGTCGCTAGAATGCCTCCTTTCAAGAGAAAAATGCTCATCTTGATTGGCGCAATTGGAGTTGGTCGAGAAGCCATCGCGAAACGCCTGATAACAACAGTAAGAATAGCTCTGATTTTGCCGAAAATAAAAAATAATTCGAAGCATCCCGAGCGATTTGGCCGTCCACGTCCAGATACAACCCGCCAAGACGTATCCAAGGATAAGTATAACATCCGAAGCCTAGAGGAAATCAACGATGCTCTCGCTCAGAAAGAATTTATTGAATATGGAAATTATGATGGGCATTTCTTCGGCACTAGAATGAAGAGTATACAAGATGTGATTAGCCAGAACAAGATTTGCGTGTTGGATACTAACCCTTGGGTTAGTCATCGTTTTCTTCAACGTATCTTATTTATTTCTTTTTTAGACCCTACGATACCTCAAAACGCCTCAATTTATGCCTTACGTTGTATTTATCAAGTCTCCAAGCTTCGACACGGTGAGCATTTTCAATAACTCCTTTTCGTAAGAATTGTTTTCAAGCTGAAAGCGAAGCAACGCAGCCAAGTTGAAAACGGCTGGAGCGAAGTCGAACAAGACGATTCAGAATGCCGGCGAATCGTACTTGAGTCTGAGCGACTGTCGAAGGAATACGCTCACTACTTCGATTCCTCGCTCGTTAATGACAACTTTGACGAGACCTTTCAAAAGCTTCTATCCGAAATTGATCGGCTCAGTGTTGACCATCAGTGGGTGCCTGTCTCTTGGGTCTTTTGATTGGCTTGTGCTACATTCAGAAACATTATTCCACCATTTACGAGCTCACTTCCTTCAAAAACTCTCAAAGATGACCTATTAATAATAGGCTATTATAGCTTCAATGTACTTTTTTAACAGTGATTTCTTATATATTTAAATATGTATTTTTGTGCAATTCTTCTTCTTCAAAAAATTTCTTCAAATCCAAAAACACAGCAAATCATAAACAAACAAAAATGACAATTTTACTATTTATTCCTACCTGTACAGATTTCCTATTTCTCGCCAAGAATCCTCATAAACAATAATTCAATAAATATAAATCGAAAATTCACAATGTGACAACATGAGTAAATGTTTTCCTTGCAGAATGCCGACGCCAATACGACTTCGTGATCTTATTCGAAACATTCGGGCGGCGAAAACCGCGGCCGAAGAGCGTGAGGTAATCCAGAAAGAGTGTGCCGAGATTCGAAATGGATTCCGAGAGGAGGACAATATCTTCAGGTGAGAAAAGAGTATTTTATCTCACCTCTTATCATATCTTTAGATGCCGAAATGTGGCCAAGCTTCTGTATGTGCATATGCTGGGGTTTCCTGCTCATTTTGGCCAGATGGAAGTCATGAAGCTAGTAGTCTCGCCTCGATTTACTGACAAACGGATCGGTTACCTTGGATCGATGCTTCTGCTCGACGAAAATCGCGAAGTTACGATGCTGATCACTAACTCGCTTAAAAATGATCTCGGTAAATTTTGAATCTTACTGCAAATCTAACTTTCCAGAACATTCATCCCAATACGTCGTCTCTCTCGCCCTCTGCACTCTCGGAAACATCTGTTCCTCCGAAATGGCACGCGATCTCGCTCAAGATGTCGAGCGAATCATGAGAAATGGGCCCGCCTATCTGAAGAAAAAAGCTACACTCTGCGCTTGCCGAATCATTCGAAAAGAACCCGAACTCATCGACAACTTCATTCAACTTGTTCCTTCCCTCCTCAATGACAAACATCATGGAGTGATGCTTGCTGGAGTCGCTTTTGTGACAGAAATGTGTAATATTTCAGATGGTAAGGGATGCAAAACTTGATCAGACTAAATATATCGTCAGAATACACGGACAAGTTCCGACGATCTGTGCCTGCTCTCGTTCGAATGCTCAAAAACTTGATCATGTCTGGCTTTTCTCCTGAACACGATGTTTCTGGTGTGGTTGATCCTTTTCTTCAAGGTAATCATCCTTTTCCAAAAAATTATAAAGAGCTTTCTAGTGCGAATTATCCGCCTCCTCCGCATTCTCGGCAAAAACGACGGTTCTTCTAGTGAGCTGATGAATGACATCCTTGCTCAAGTCGCTACTAATACTGAAACATCGAAAAATGTTGGCAATGCGATCCTCTATGAAACTGTGCTTACGATTATGGGCATCAAGTCTGAATCTGGTCTTCGAGTCTTGGCCATCAATATTCTTGGTCGATTCTTATTGTCGAGCGATAAGAATATCCGCTATGTGGCGCTCAACTCGCTCTTGAAGACGGTGCATACTGATATGAACGCCGGTAAGCTAACTTGTTTACTAATTCAGACACTCATCTCTTTATCAAGTTCAACGTCATCGATCTACAATTTTGGACTGCTTGAAGGACCCAGATCCATCTGTTCTTCGCCGTGCCGTAGACCTTTGTTTCGCCCTGATTAACGACCAAAACGTTCGTGGAACGATGAGAGAGCTTCTCATCTTCCTCGAGAACTGCCCAAGCGAGTTCAAGGGCGATGTATCCAGCAACATCGTCATTTCTGCGGGAAGATATGCGCCAAATGCTCAGTGGCATATTGACACTATTTTGAAGGTTCACTCGTTTGTAATTTAGTGGCTAATTTGAACAAATTATTTCCAGGTCCTGACAACAGGCGGAAACCACGTGCCTGATCAAACAATTCCAATCCTCATTCATCTTATTTCGTCGACAGCAAGTCTCCATTCTTACACAGTCAGCCAGCTTTTTACAGCGATCAAAACGAACAATCTTCACCAACCGCTAAATCAAGTTGCCTGCTGGTGTCTTGGGGAGTACGGAGAGGTCCTTCTTTCCGGATCAGAGTATGCTGATCCTGTTCAGCCAGAAGGTAAAACCCTTTCTCAGACGCAGGGGCTTGAATCCTTTTAGAAATCTTGAAGAGCCTGAACTCTCTGTGCGAGAGTCACTTGTCAAGTGCCATTACAAAATCATATGCGGTCAATGCCATCGCCAAGCTTGCCAATCGTCTACCATCTCATTTGATGCCATCCATCAAGCAGATCCTCGCGCGATATGGAACTTCAATGAATCTTGAGCTACAACAACGATCAGTAGAATTTTCCTCGCTATTCAACAATGTAAGTTTTTGCGTTTCATTTTGTGATTAGATTTTATTACGTAATTAGCACGATGATAAGCGACCTGGAATTCTTGAGCGAATGCCACTCTTCGAGAAATCAGAGGAAGAGAGAATCTACTCAGAAGCAAATGACCCCGCTCAGGGAGAGAAAGTAGTGCCAGCGGTAAATACGGCTCAGCAAAGCGCTCTTGATGATCTTCTCGGCCTTGGCGATATAGGCCAGTCGACACCTGCCGCTCAACCCGCGCCTGTGATGAACTCGAGTAACCTTGTGGACTTGTTGGGCGATCTGGGTATGAATACTGCGCCTCCTGCTCCTCAGCCGGCCCCAGTCGCCGCTAGTTCGATTCCGTCGATAGAGCCTTGGTGCGATGATACTTTAGGAATGAAAATGGACTTCCAAAAAGGTAAGAGATAAATCTGAACGTCTTCCAATTTGTTCCAAGCAAGAATCTTGCTAGCTGTTTCAAAATATTGCTCATTTTATCATTTAGTCGATAACAATATCCTTGCAATAAACATGACGATCACCAACAGCTCCCTGGCATACGAAGTCTCCGACTTCTCCTTCCTCGCTGCTGTGCCCAAGCAGTTGCAAATCAACCTCGCCCAACCGTCCAGCACATCGGTTTCTCCAGGAGCATCGCTTACCCAACAGATGCGAATCAACAACCCGAACAAAGTCGCCTTGAAAATGAAGTGTAAGATGAGCTACAAGCTCAACGGCAGCCCCGTCGGTCCTATTGACCAAGTCATTGGGAACTTTCCTCCCAGCGCGTGGGAGTAAACCATCCTTTTTTCTTCATTCTGCGCTTTTAGGTTAATTTCCTTTCGTATATTTTCTTCTTACCCTTTTTTATTTCTACCAAGACAGAAAACCATCTTCAGTATACAAAAAATCTACATTCCCCGTATTCAAACTGTACATTTCCCTTTATGATTGGAATGTTCATAAAGCTATCAATTACGTTTATCAACTTTATTAATATTATTTAACAACACCGGTGGCCGGAAATTAGAGGCAGTTCCAAGATGTATCCAACGCTGAAATATGAGTCAGTCAGAATCTCTCATTCTAGGTTCAAAGGTTGCCGACTTTGCCAGTCATCATTGTGCGAGACAAGGCCACTTCCCTATTTAAAATTTCTTTTGCAATATTGAAACAAATTCATTATTCTGTACTTAATCATCCGATTCAAAAAGATACCGACTAAATCCTTATATTCAGCTACTGTAGTCTGTCAGGCATTCGAACTCGATTTTGGGGACTTCTCAGCACGAAATGAGGTACCGTATCAGTTTTAAAAAGATTGTTTAACCTTATATTAGAGAGATGAGAGGCCATCATCGCGCATTTTACGATTTTCTCGAAAGACAGAACGCAACGAGACGGCAATGTTGGGAGCAGGTACATTTACACGGCTACTTATGACATTTTCTTACATTTTTCCTTAAAGTGGTTGCTAACTAGAGACTACGAGCAGCCAATGCCTGCATTTCCCCCGGCCCTGACGAGAGACGAGATGTTTATCGCTTATCAGCAGCATTACATGTCACGAATGCCTTTTCGACCTCGAGGAAATACCCTGCCATCTTCTCTGAACCTTCCAACAACATTCAGAACACGAAACGCGGCGAGCTTTTCTGAAACAAGAGAAAATCAATCATACATTAATACACCCAGAAACTCCGCTTCGCCGAGTTCAGGAGTGAGTGGGAGCAAAAGTTTTCTTCCTTCAATTTCGGAGGAACAAAAAGAAAACCGATACGTTGTTCTGACGGAGCCTGACTTTGCCAGAGAGGCAACTCTTGCTGCTTTTCTTCCCGATAAGAAAGAAGATGCACTTTATAATCATGATGAAAATGAAGAGATCATTACTTTAACAGAAGTTATCGAAGATAATCATACTGAAAGTCAGCAACATTTCGCTGGAAATCTTCTAGATCAAGTCAACAACACCAATGTTGACAATAATTATCAAACACCTGAAAGAGAGACTATGAAGGAGCATGAAAACGAACTAATGAAGGCAGTTCAGGGCCCAAAGACCAGACGATCCTCCACCAGACTTCAAAGTCTTCAGCAAATGCGCAATAGATTGTCCGTCGAATCGATAAACTCGATTCAAATGCAACAAGCGACGAATATGGCTGAAGAAACGCTTCCGTTGAATCGAGATATCTTCGGTGGTTGTTCTAACAGATCTCTCATGCCCAGGCGAAAACGACGAACTACTAGTATTGCGGTAAATCACGATAATCCCATCATCATCGAAGACGACAATGAGCAGAATGGCACTTCCGATGCTTTTGAAATCGTTGATCAACTGAAGGATGCCAAGCAAGATGTAAGCACTCAAGAAAAAACTGAACCAAAAGAAGATTCTCAGTCTACCACTCCGACAACGACGAAGAAAGCAACAGAGCCAGTATCTAGAACTCCGATGCCATCATCTTCCACTAATACTCAGAAAATCGTTGAAGCCAGCAATCCGCCGACTCGAACAAGCGTCGAGGTTTCAACTATGACTTCAGGACCCCGGTCTTATTCTAGCATTGGAATGGCTCCTCTTTCTCCTGTTGGATCTCTCCCAATGCCCGAGTTTCAGGTCACTCGAGCCGTCACTACTGTTGCCAGGACGCCATCCAGAACAAGGGTGACTTCTCTTAGCTCCTATCGCAGTCATGCATCCCTTCAATCTTCCAATCCCCCATCGTTGCCTATTTCGTCATTGAACACATACATGAGTCCTTTGCCTGCGATGGCCAATCAAGCTCCTTTCATTCCTTCAAGAGCTTTCCCTGGTATAATTGTAAGTTAAACCGTTTTTTCCGTACTAATAATCTCTTCAGGATAGCGAACCAGCTTTGCCTGATGAGATTTTCGATATCCTGGAAGATCTTCGAGTCAATCCTCCATCGTTTGATCATATTTACACGGATGATTTAGGTAGTTATAGTAGAAATTTTAAGAAAGTAACGTGTGTTCAAAGATGTGAGTACCCTTGAAAAGTTGGAAGCTGCGCTGGATAAAGACGACTTGCTCTTCTCCAAAAAATCTGAGCCTCGGGCTGAGGCTTCTGCAGCTCCGTCGAAGGAGATGCCCACAGTTCTCCTGCAACAAACAATGAAACGATCTGTAGATCCGGCGAAAATCAGCTGCCCACCCGATGTCACAAATGTTGGGAAGGGCCCTGTTATAAACTTAACATCAGACAAACCACTTCTTTTTCCCGTTGGACTCCGCATGCCCAAAGAATCGGAAGTTCGTCTTCCTCGACAATCAGCAGCGGAACCTTTAAAAGTGATTGAAGTAACGCCGGTGCGAGTGAAGACTAGTCCTCAAAATGAGACAAGTCCAATTGAAAAACTGAAAAATCTTGTGCAGGGCTTCGTGCCAGGGGTGGATATTGAGCCTCTCGATCAAAGCTTAACTGTCGCTAAAGCTCAAATATCGACAAAAATAACTTCTAAGATCAACAAAGTTGTTCAAGTGAAAGAAAACGGCGATCATGTCGTTTTGGAAGAAATAATGCCCTCTAACGTACGCACTCTAACTGTTGAGGCTCCTGCTGTGACAGAGGTATCGGGAACTACTGATCATGAAGGAAAAGTTAAAGAAGAAGAGGGACAAGAGGCAAAAGTGAAAAAAGAAGAAATAAAACCAATGGAGGAAAAAGCAAAGGTGAAAAACGAAGTTGAAGACAACCAGGAAACCGATATTAAAGAAGGTGTACGATTCTATTCGCCGCCAGCATTCCGTACTCGAGCCCAGTCATTCTCCCGAAGATCTCTTCAAGTTGAAGATAAAAGATCTTTCCGTCGATTCAAGAGAGAAGTTAAGAAGAATAAGGAGAAAGAATCAACTCTTCAAATTTTGAAGAAAGAAACGGAAAATGAATCGTCTGAAAAAATCGAAAAATCTACGAAAAATGACGGTTCTGTAGGTTGTTTACAAGAAAGTTCCTCGCAGGAAATTGATAATTCTATCTCGAAAGAGAAAGAATTCGTGAAAGACCAAGATGTTTCGACTGATAAGGATGGAAAGAAATCTTATTCTAAGAAAGCTGCTGTGACATTGTTTCAACCGAAAGAAAAGAAAACAGTAAAGAAAGAAGCAAAGTCATCAGAAAATGGAAGACCAACTCAAGCTGATCGGACGAAAGAAATTTCAGTGGCCATAACACCGTCGGAAAGGCAACCTAAAATTTCCGATTTCCTGAAGAAAACTAAAAGAGAAAGCCCAACGATTGATGAAGAATCGCATCAAAACCGCGATGGGCAAGGCAGATTTCTTAGCTTTGCTGCCATGGGATTCAAACCCATCGAGAAAAATCTTCCATCGAAGAAAGATGCTGTCATAGCATCGCTCCCCGAAAAACCTCAAAAGAAACTCACAACTGTGTCAGAGAAGAAAGTGTCTTCTACTTTAAAACTGGAGGCTCCAAAAGAAGAAAAAGTCGAGGAATCGATGCCTCGAAGGTCCGACAGAATCGTAAGTGAATACGTCACGTTTAATGATTCACTGTTGTTTCAGAAAGACATCAATGCTCCGCAAAAAAAGAAGACGAAGGTTATCAAGATAGAGAACGTCGATGAGGAAGTCGAAAAACTCAAACGAAAGATGAAGAAAAGGACTCCAGAAAAACTGGAAAAGATCAAGACGAGGAATACGAAGGAACAAGCCGAAACGATAAGACTTATAAAATCTCCTCGGCAGAAACGAAAGAAGCTCGAAGATATCGAAGTCAAGTCGCTGTCTCCTGCCTCATCGGAAGACGAAAAAGAGATCCCAGAGGAGTCGCCAAAGGCGAAGGTTCCAGTGGCTCCTGAGCCAAGAAAGCTAAGAAGAACGAAGGATAGAGTCAAGTATAGACAAGCCCAGAAGGCTCGCGAGCGCAAAGAAGCGGAGAAAGGTATCCAAAAATGAATACCTATTTATTATTTCCTATCTTTGAAGTTAAGCAAAGCGCAAAAAGCAAGTAGAAGATAAGCAATGGAACATACAGTGCAGTGTCTGTCGACAAAAATACACGTAATACTCGATGAAAAATGCATGAGCGATAAACATATTTTTAGTACAATAAGTGGCTTCAAAAATCATCAGCACTGGTCACCAGAATGTCGATAGACAAGCGAACGTCTATATTTATTTATTTCACGCACAATTCAGTTATTTTCATACAGTTCATTTACCTATTTTTCTATATATATTTAGCCCGTGTGTTTCTTCAATTATCTGCCATTCATTTACTGCCCAGAAAATTCTTGAAACTCAATTCTCTGTCATGTTAATTGAATTTTAAAGATTGAGAATGTCCGCAACATCGAGCCAGGAAAATGCGATATCTCCAGTGGAAGAGTCAAGCCAGAGACACAAATTCAAGCCAGCAGAATCAGAAACAATTTTGGATATGGACACGCAAAAACCTGTCACTCAGACTCTGAAGAAACCAAAAGAAACTCCTAATCCTCAAGTTCAACCCATTCAGTTACGCCCTGAGAAGCTTCAGCAACATGTAAGGTCATCTGTGTCAATTTCTGATGACCTCTCTCGTAGGCAAATCGTAGGGTCTTGACAGGAATTGGGCCGACTGTGAATCATCAAGAATCAAGTGATTACAGAGCACCTTTATATCGCACTCCTGCAACACTGAAACTTCCCGAGCAACATTTTCGACATCTGCCTCCACGGCAACAAGGAAGAAAGCTAATAACTGGAGGCTTCATTCCTCCCGGACTTGGTCCTGAAGGCCCCTTCAAGATTGATGTAAGACTAATACAAGCTTTCTACATTCAGTTTTGCTTTAGCCCAAGAAAATGACTAGAGACAGGTTCGAAGCACCAAGAGTTTCTGACAAGAAAATGTGCGGCTTTATACATGCGGAGATGTCTGTCCAGAAACTTAAGCGACTCTCAACGAGTGGACTGATGCTCATGTCCGTTCCGAAAGGACACGGTCTTCCATCTGCAAGACGTGAGTGAGAAAATATCCTGAAATAAATGACTATAGTTCTTTCAGAAATTCTTCAAGTCGTTGCTGGCCAGAAATCAAAGGTTGATAAAGAAGCGTTCAAATCGTTCATGCGGAACATGAAAAAGAATTACGAAGCGGAGCAACAGGTAATCTTCGTTCTCCCTAATTTCAATAACTCTTATTTTTCAGAGACAGAGAATGCCCGAAAAAGAGAATATTCCGGAAGATTTACCGGCGCAATTGGCTCCGATCATCGTTACAGGCAACGGCCAGAGTACCGTTACTCTGCAACCAACTGAAGTAAAAGAAAATCCAGATGAATTGTCGATGGATCCACTAGAATGAAATAATCGGTTGTGTCGTTTTATTTAAAATTTATATCTTGCCAAAGTTATCATAACTGCCATTTACCGCATTTCTTCAATTACCAATAAATTCTGTTAATTAAATTTCGCTTGGCTTGTTTTTTACTAACATTGATGTGACGTTAAAGGGTTTTATATTCATTCTTTATGCACTTTCATAAAGTTGATTTGTCATTTATTGCCATATAAATCAAATATCAAGTCCACTCTTTCCGCTCAGTAGGTACCAAAAGTACGTGATACTTGAAAGTCCCATGAACTTGAGACCTTGCTCTACTCTTTCTCGCCTTGTTCAAATAAATTCACGCTGGGCGGAAATTTTTCATCGCGATCATGGAAGACTAATTAGTCACTTTTTGAAAAATAAAGATTCCGGCATATCGGGGGCAAATTTTTTTTGCGGTCGTTGGTATTTTTGGTGAAAAGATGAAAAGGCACATGCCGAGTTGAGAAAGTTTGATTGATAGAGAGCGCAGCTGGCCTCAAAAAGACTACGAGCTCGGGCTGAAGGGCCTCGAGAGGGAGCCCGCGAGGCCAGCTTCGTCGACCAGCTCTCCCATCATCACCAGGATTGAGCCCCGCTGTGCCCGGAAAACTGGGCCAACGTGGAATCCGACGAAGCAAATTTTACCCTTTTTTCGCCAGTATTTTTTACACAAGCCAAATATGCCCTTATTGTTTGGCTCCTACGAGCGCGGGAACGAGAGAGAAAGGGCCAGGGAGAAGATAAACAACGAGAAAATTTTGAAAATCGGGAAAATGGTAAATATTTCAATCTCAAAATAACAAATTCTTTACATACTTTTAAATCATTTTCGATTTATACTTGATTTCTTAAATCCCCTGAAAATAGACCACATTAGATTATTCAGCTGGAAATTCATTTGAAACCAGTTTAGCACCCCTTATCGACCGATTATTTTTTTCACAAAGAGAAGCTATCCCAATTCTTCCTTAGAACAAAAGCCCGCTTCCGGAAAGGAAAAAGTGCTAAGTAAGGATGATTGACTCGTTGTCACTTTCTTATGAACGCTGGTTTTCCTTTCTTCAAAGGCACATTGATAGCCATAAAACCATCATAAAAGCCGGCTTGGGTTTTCCTCTACGTGACGAACTTAGTGATCGGTAGAGATTTTACTGATTAACTTTATGAGTACTTTTTTCATGGCTCATTGTCACGCGATGTTATTTTTGAAAAAACGGGGAATCCAAACCACCTTTAACAGATTAAATTTCGGAGACTCCTCGTCTTCTTCGTTTTTTCTTCTTATTTTTAGACAAAGATAATGAGACCTACTTGTCAATTGTGAATGGAGGGGCACCTTATTAGGAGGCACCTCTTATTTACAGACTGACAAGCTCGATAATCAAAATCTTCTTTGTCCGCGAAAGTCAAAAAGGATTAGCTCATCACTTTTTTTTTATATTTCTTGGTTCGGGAAGTTCAACTCTTGCGGGACAAATTTATCAATTCGTGATATTTAATTATGAGAAAGTTTTCGAAAAGTAAAGCCCCGATTAAAATTTACAAATAAATGACATTCAATAAATTATGAACGCCCATAAAAGGTTTTAAATCCTCTCCGTAAAATGACGTCAAAAACGTGCAAATTAACCTCAAGCTCTTAGCACACATCTTATCAACAAGTCATAATTATTCAGAATGCTGCGCCGCGTCCTCTCTGCTCCTCTCCGTTCGCTCAATCGATTCGCTAGCTCTGCAAGCTTCGATTTCAACCCTGTACTCCTCCATGACATCGCTCCCGCTGATGGTCCTCCATCTTCTGGCACCGTAACCAGCGAGGAAGCCATTAAGTACTACACCCAGATGCAGACTATCCGACGCATGGAGCTCAAAGCCGATCAGCTTTACAAACAGAAAGGTGATTAAAACTCGTAATAGCCCAGTGTGAATTGCGATCAGTGATCCGTGGCTTTTGTCACCTTTACGACGGACAGGAGGCGTGCTGCGTCGGCATGGAGAATGCAATTGAAGGCACCGACGACGTAATTACGAGCTACAGAGCGCACGGCTGGACTTACGTCCGCGGCATTCCAGTCAAGGAGGTCCTTGCGGAACTCTTCGGACGAGACTTGGGATGTGCCCGCGGCCGAGGGGGATCCATGCACATGTATGCTGATGGATTCTACGGAGGTAATTGCCGATTTTATTGACTTTTTCTGCGGGTTTAAGATAATTAACACTTTTTGAACTCCATCGACGGCGCGTCTGCCAATCATAATTAACCCTAGATTTAAAGAATGATAAGCCATTAAAATTTTCGCTTATATTCTGTTTGACCTTTGTTCTGGGAGGTCATGGCTAATTTAATATGATAATTGATTGCTTATCCAATAATTATAAATCGGGTTTTAGTAATCAATCTTTTAGGCAACGGAATCGTTGGTGCTCAAGTTCCTCTTGGCGCTGGACTCGCCTGGAACCAGAAGTACACCAACAATGGTGGTATTTCTATTTCCATCTATGGCGATGGAGCTGCCTCCCAGGGACAGATCTTTGAAGCTTACAACCTCTCTAAGGTAATTTTTCAATCATAAACCCATCTCACTAATCCGTTTCTTTAGCTCTGGAAGCTCCCAGCCATATTCGTCTGCGAGAACAACCAGTACGGCATGGGTACCTCCGTCGATCGACACTCCGCTTCGACTGAGTTTTACAAGCGAGCTGGTTACATTCCTGGTATTCTTGTTGATGGTATGGATGTTGTTGCTGTCCGAGAAGCTACCAAGTGGGCCAAGAAGTTCGTCCTTGAAAATGGTCCCCTTCTTATTGAGTTGAAGACTTACAGATACCACGGTCACTCTATGTACTATAATTTTATTTATTCATTGTTATTATCTATAATAGGTCCGACCCTGGAACTTCTTACCGAACTCGAGACGAGGTACCTTTCAAAAAACACTTCCAAAGCTAGCATGTTTTCAGGTCCAGAGCATGAAGAAGACCCTTGACCCCATTACTGGCTTCCGAAAGCGATGCATCGACGCTGGTTTGTTGACTGCCGACCAGGTCAAGTCCATCGACAAGGAGGTCAAGAAACTTATCGAGGCCGAGACTGGAGAGGCTCTCAGCTCCCCAGAACCATCCATGGATGGCATCGCACACAACATCGTCAAGGGCGGTTTTTCGAAAAAGAAATCTATCTTTAGTTTAAATGGGGTTATTGCTTCCTTGAGCTTTTCTTCTCATCTCGAGCGGAAAAAGCGACATTCGCCAAACCGTTACAGACCTCGAAGCCTTTCAAAGTCCGATCTTGCAACTCTTACAGCACATATGAGCACAACGTCAACTTGTAAACGCGCCTCCAGAGCCAGTTCTGGTGTAACTTCCTATTTATTGAATCAACAGAAAATATGTGAAAGCCAATTTCCTTCAACTCACCTAAGAAACCCATGAATACCCATGAATTCAAGTTCAAACAATCTTTTCTTACCTTTTTTCTGACAAAGGAATTTTCAGATGCACTTTCGTAATCGGAAACACTGTTGGAAGAATTTTCACTGAGAACGATTTCTTCCACGAGAACCCAACTTAGATGCGTTGTATAAAGCGCTATGGACTTGCATGTGTTGCTATCTTTTTGTGTAAGTAACAGTTTTCCTACTCCCGACTCAATCAACTTTTAGTGATTCTCTACATCAACCATCAGGCCCAGTACGCTTTATCCAACGATGAACACGGCGAAAACCACCGGAAACGGCGCTCACGCGACTACAATGAGCCTAATATTTCCTACGACGATGGTATTTCACTGGCAATAAATTGTTAAATCATCAGTTTATTCAGAGGAAAATGGTGTCGGAGCTTTTGACGAGGTGGAAACGGTGAATCGCGTGCTGGACTCGCGCCAGTGCCGCATGGAAAACTGCTTCAACGACGCAAATTGTAAAAAGCACGGTTTCAAGGTTTACATTTATCCACGTAAAGAAGAATACGGCACGCTCTCGGCTAACTACCTGAAGATATTGAACTCGATTAAACGGACGCCTTATTACACAGAAAATATCAGTGAAGCCTGTATAAAGAGTATGTGCAATTAGCTAATTCGAACATTGTTATTAAATTATTAGTCTTATCTGTGGATTCGATTGACCGAGATCCTCTATCGAAAGAACGCTACGTAAAAAACTTCGCTGGGCGACTGTCCCAAATACCGACGTGGAACAATGGAGAGAACCACCTCGTCTTCAACCTGTACTCTGGCACCTGGCCAGATTATCTCGAGGACCTCGGGTTTGACCTTGGGCACGCGATGCTAGCCAAGGCGTCGATTTCGTATCAGAAGTACCGCAGTGGATTTGACGTGTCGTTGCCGCTCTGGGGCGAGACCCACCCCGCCAAGGGAAAGCACTACGCCGAGAGCGCAATTGCAAAGTGGCCTTCTTTCGGCGCGCATCTCATGTCGTTCAAAGGTAAACAAAAAACTTATCTTAACTACGTCTGACGGTGATTTATTTGCCCGGCAACACCCTTGACCTACAATCCCTATCATTCTGGGACAAAAGATTTGATCACAAATTTATAACAAGCCTTTTAGGAAAGCGATATCTCAATGGAATCGGCTCAGTTACTCGTAACTCTCTTTATCACCTCCACGATGGCTCGAGAAGCGTAATGCTGACAACTTGCCGTCACGGAAAAGATTGGGAGAAACTCTGCCCTAATCGAGAATGCCTCGATAAATGTGCCGCTGATAACGAAGAGTACGATCGGTGGGATTACATCTCACTACTCAAAAATTCCACGTTCTGTCTCGTTCCCAGAGGTCGAAGATTGGGAAGCTTCCGCTTTATCGAAACGCTTCAGCAAGCTTGTGTCCCTGTTGTTTTAGCCGATGATTGGGTTCTTCCATTCAGGTCTAAACTTTCTACGTCAATCATATATCAACGAAATTCTAGTGAAGTCATTGACTGGGAGCGCTCCACAATCAACTGGGACGAAAAACTTCTACTGGAGCTTGGACAGCACCTGGAGGACGTCTCCCCAGCCAACGTGCTCAGAATGCGCCAAGAAGGAGCCAATTTGTACAGTACTTATTTCAGTTCCGTCGACCAGATTGTTAAAACGACACTGGAGATCATCCGTCAGCGCATCTTTCCTGAAGCAAGTGCGCCCCAATTCGTCTGGAACTCGACACCCGGCGCGCTCAGTTTAGTTCCAAATCTACGCCCAAGCAATACACCGTTTTACATTGAGAAGAAGGAGCACTCGCTCGATACAAAATTCACTGCCCTTATTCACACCGTACAGACTGTGCCTTCTTCCGCCGCGCCTATTATCAAGCTGATCAAAAATCTTTGGAAAACTGAATCTTGGTAAGATTGTTTTCATTTTGCCTCCATTTTATGACTTATAGCGGGCAAGTAATCGTCCTTTGGGCTTGCGAACATCCTCCACCAGTCGATTCCCGCTGGCCTCCTCCCCCGAAGGGGAAAAGTTTTTTGCTGCTAAGAGAAGATGAACTAAAAGTGTCGAACAGACTCTTCCCCTACGATCAAATTGAGTATGATGCCGTCTTGTCTCTCGATAACGATGTTTCCTTGCATCCAGAAGAAATAGCTTTTGCATTCTCCACCTGGTTATCGTTTCCAGAGCGCATTGTTGGCTTTCCGTCGCGGGTAAGTTGTTTACATCCCGTCAGTAGATAACCAATCTTCAGAGACATTACAATCGGTCTTCAAGCAAGACGACTCCGTGGCGATATACTTCGCAATGGGGCAATCATTACAGCATCGTTCTTACTGGCGCTGCTATCATTCACAAGTACTACTTCCACCTGTTCCAAAGTCTTCCATCCACCATGCTAAAGAAAGTAAATGACTACAGCAACTGCGAGGACATCTTAATGAACTTCATGGTTTCCGACATATCCGGCCAGCCACCTGTCAAAGTTACTCAAAAGAAGCAATACATGACAAAAACCGACTCGACCGAGCCTCAGCCCGTCGTTGGGAAGCTCGCGAGTCGGTGGGAGAATAACGCGCATTTTACGGAGCGTCAGCAGTGTATGAACTTCTTTGTCGACGAGTATGGAACTGTGCCGCTGATAGATACAGAGGTTCGATTTGACCCGCTTCTTTTCCGTGACGATGTTGCGCGGATGAGAAAGAAATATCCAAATGTTGATACCGTGGAGACATAGACGAGAACCAAGCTCTCGCGATTTCCACTGCTAGAATAACTTAATCCTAACTGTTCTCAAATGAGAGCCACAACTAACCTCGAGTGTCCGAAAAAGTTCAGAATATAAGAAATCTCAATGCATTCTATATTTTATTCTGCGAATTTCTTCTTGTACACAAAAACTAGCTTATGTCAGCTTCAATTCAAAACCCCTCTTCCAAACTGGAAAATGCCTTAAAACAGCTGGAAGCCCTCCCAGCATTGCACATTTGTCGAATTTACGATTTTAAATCTGTACAAAGCGAGATAAATATGAAATATATATGGTGACGCATAATTGCCCAGCAAAAATGAACAAAATAAATGATTAAAAATTGAAACCTCTTTTTCATTTGCATTCATTCAGTGAGAAAATCGTAAAGGGTCGAAATGTCGCAGGGTCACAATCAAATGGCAGTGAAAAGACTCCAAAAGGACTTTCTTGAAATGCAGAGCGAACCCACTCCGGGGCAATGGGCAAAGCCAGACCCAGCAAATATCTTGAAATGGCATTACTGTATCCAAGGTTCGTTCATCCTCATTTGAGATTCGAATACGACCAAATGAATTTTAGGGCCTGAGGATACGGACTACAAACGCGGCTTCTATGTTGGATATCTCATCTTTCCGAAAGAATATCCCTTCAAGGGACCAGATATCTACATGAGAACGCCCAATGGCCGATTAGCCCTAGACACAAAGCTTTGCTTGACTATCTGCGGCTGGCACCCTGAAACATGGTCCCCTCTTTGGGGCCCGCGGACTATCATCAACGGTATCCGGTCTTTTATGGCGGAAGAATCGAACGGACATGGCTCCCTCAAAATGTCAAAGCAACACCGGGAGAAATTCGCAGAGGAATCTGGATCATGGAACATCAAAAAGTTGCCAGAATTTCAAGAGTATTTTCCGGAAGCGATGGCCGCGATTCTAGACAAACAAGGTGAAAATAATGACGCAGGTCCTTCAAAGAAGCCGGTCAAACCTGTAAAGCCGAGCAATACAGCTGGTAAGCCGGCGAGAGACCCTGTTGTTCGAAGACTCCCTCAAGCTCAAGGTTGCAATTAGCAATAAATTATGAAATTAAAGTGCATGCATTTTAGCTCAAGCAAAAAAGGAGAAGCAGAAGTCAGCAGCCGTGGTTGTCGCTAAGCGTGTCCGCCCAGGTAAAATGAAACGGTTTGTCCTATAATCTAACTGTATCTTAGCGGTTGACGACCCGATAATCCTCTCCGACGACGATGAACCTGGAGCTCGACGAGATGCACCAAAGAAGCTGAAAAACGACGATGTCGTTATCATCGACTGAGAAAAAGTCAACTACCTCTCTATAGAAACCTACCGCTATTACACTCGTTTTTGACTTTTTTATTTTCATTTTCCACTATAATCTGAATCATAATTCGCTACCAAACGCTGTCATAAAAATGCTGAAAGCAACTGCTCAATCTACAGATACAAAAAAATATATGTACTACTCAAGTTAACTGTCAATACAATTAAACTAACTTGCAATGAATTAAATTCTATTCAAGGGGTACTAGCAAAATCGAAAAGGGTGAAAATGTCGGTTGGACCGAGTCCTATGGCCGTAAAACGTCTGAAACAAGACCTGATAGATATGGAAAACGATCCTACACCAGGACAATGGGCAAAGCCTGATCCGGCCAATCTCATGAAATGGTGGTACTGTATCAAAGGTTAATTTATAAGAATTTTCGTCAGAAAAGATAGCGTTTAGGCCCAAAAGACACTCCTTACGAACGCGGTTATTACGTTGGCCACCTCATGTTTCCAAAAGACTACCCCTTCAAAGGCCCAGAAATCTATATGATGACGCCAAACGGTCGACTAGCTACCGGTAGAAAGCTGTGTCTGTCGATTTCAAGCTACCACCCAGAAACGTGGTCGCCGATGTGGGGCCCACGAACGATCATCAATGGCATCTCCTCATTTATGGCCGAGGAGTCAGTGGGGATCGGAAGCATGCTAGAGTCCAATGAGAAACGACAGAAGCTCGCTGATGCATCAGGAGAGTGGAATAAGAAGAACTTCAAAGACTTCCACGAATATTTCCCAGAAGCACTTGGCGAGATCCTTGACAAAGAAGATAGCAACAAATCAGCAGGCCCTTCTAAGAAACCTCCAAAGAAATCTTACCCAGACAACACTGCGGAAGTCGAGAAAATCAAGGAAGATAGAAAAGCTAAATTGGCGAGACTTCCGCTTGTTCGAAATCTTCCTCAATTTCCAGGTAGACAAGCATCTTAAAACATATGTTTACTTCAAGTTCTAGCGCGCAAAAATGCTCGTGCCGGGGCACTGCAACCCCCAGCAAAGGCGGAGAAAAAACCTGAGCAAGCTGCCCCACCTAGCCCAAAACGCGTTCGACCAGGTAATAAATAGAAACGCTGTCAAATATGGTCAATTGTGATTTTAGTTCAAACCCAAGCGATTATAATCGACTCCGACGAAGAGGACAAGCCACAGCCACTTCAAAATCCACCGAAGAAAAAGAAAAACGACGACGTGATCGTCATCGACTAAGCATAAGTCCTTCAGCATAATTCATCCTCTTTTTTCACCGTGCCCATTCAAAATTTTCGTTCTCTTTTTGCTCTTCTGTAAATACTATCGACTGAAAATTTAAATAACTGAAATCCGCAACACTGTCCGAAAACCTGGAGCTTCAGTTGCTGTCGAGCAACTACCGAATGAAATTTGTGTAACAGATATTTTAATGCAATAAAGATCTTTTAAATATATTCGATCACAGAATACAAGTGTATTGGATAGTTATCCAATTTGTATTCTTACTTCTGATAAAACTTGCAGGATTCCGCAAATATAAAGTTTCATTTGGGCGTCTTCGTTCATACGATCATCATGAAAATTTTTAGGGTTGATGTTGGCAGATTTTTTGCACCATTTTGGCTGTTCAAAATCTTCGTTATTACGAGGAGACCGTAGCCTCCTTCAGAAATTGCCTATGTGGACGGTATTTCACGTCCGCATGGCGGGGTATTGGGTATAGTTTTCAATTAGCAATAATCGCAACTCGGATAAACCTCATCGTTTACGATACTGCCACTGCGCAAAGCTAAAGATTAGAATTACTGGTAAATGACCGTCTCTACCGGTTTCAAACGCTATTATGGTGTTCAAATTGAAATAGAGAACCGTATTTTCCCTTTGAATTCAGTCAACTTTTTTGTGAATAACGCATTTTGTAAGACACTAGATACTTCTCAGACCGTTGTAACTAATGTGAACTTATAAATTTTTGCCTATAGAAACAGTCGTTATGACAACTCGGACATTTAAAATGTCACATTTTCCCTTTTTAAATGTCGGAATTCTTGACTCGGAAATTAATGAAGACGTATTTATTAAACGTAGAAATTTTAAAATTTGACGAGAATAGTTGGTCAGTGTTTTGAGCAGTGAAGATACAGCAGATTCGAAGATTGAAAGAAGCGCTTATTTGTAAGATTCAGCATCGACATTTTTAAAAGTAATAGTGTCCAAGAGCAGCCGGTGGTATTTCTGTTTTCAGAACGCATTGTTGAATTAGCTCTCGTCTTCTTCGCGGGTCCATTTCTTGCTCGCACCAAAAGTCGAGGAGATTTTCTGATTCTTCTTGCTCCAGTTTATAAATAAGAGAGCTTTTCAAGGAATTCCTGGTCCATTCATCGTAGATATTGAGTATTTTGGCCATATGACGGAGAGAATGTGCAAAAATTGATCCAATAGCTGCCATCGAACGCGGAGAAAACATTTGGTGGTGATAATATCGATCAGCTTCCTCGAGGTACAGCTTGAACCAAGCTCTGAAAGAAATTTTGGAATCTTGCATATTTTTATTGAAATGTTACTTACTTTTGACAGCAAGCAGCATTCAGAGCCCATCTATCTGGGTATTCCTGGTCTGCTATCATTCTGTAAACATGGATGAGAACATCGCCGATCATGTGAAGTTTTGATAGCTCTACATTTCTCTTGGTCTCAAAGTCGTTGCTTCTCGAGACACTTGCTGAGTTTCGCATTATTTTTACCTCCTTTTTGCAAAAAGTAAAAAGGTAGTTTTGTCTTTCTCTATTTTTCGCCGAGGCAAATTATATCGATCCTTGATCGACCGCGTTTTAAAGAAAATCGAAGACTGCTCATTATTTATAGTTTTTGAAAAGGGAAATTTTCCCTTATAAGATCCCTATAGTCAAGAATACTGACGAAGAAAGTCTGACTATCTATTCTATTCATGTAATCATTGAGAACAATAAAACTCTTAATTTAAGGCTAGGGTGGTCGATTTTGCCCAAAGCAGAGCTCATAAACTCTGGACTTATGAATGCTAGAATACCCAGTAATGGCTAAAAATAAAGATCTATCCTAGATCTTCTGAATTACAGAAGGTTTTTTTGTTCTGCCAAGATTTCTGCCAAATTTCGGAGTTTTTGAGCCTTGAATATTGGCTATTTTCGCAATTTTGGCCGAGATGCCAACTTTAAAGCCTCCGGAAGTGATTTTTTTCTTGGCAGAACGAAAAAACCTTCTGTATTTCAGAAGATCTAGGATAGATCTTTATTTTTAGCCATTACTGGGTATTCTAGCATTCATAAGTCCAGAGTTTATGAGCTCTGCTTTGGGCCAACTCGAGTCGAGTTACTCGACCACCCTAGCCTTAATTCGTGATGTTTTCTCGAGTCATTTTCCCTTCGTGATCTCAAAGATACCTCAAAGTGTACTAACTTGATCTTTTTAAATATGGTTAAACTCCAACAGACTTTGGGAGATCATTTACGAGCATTTGCTTTTATAGAGAAAGACTGAGCGATAATTCTTTTTTGATATTTTATTAATAAGAACGGTTAGAAAGTCAAAAATATATACAGTTAAACGGAGTTGGTAGATCAGTTAAAAAATTATAAGAGAGTTGTTAGAATGGTCGGTAATTTTCTCAATTTACCAACTGAAAGTTTAACACTGGCCCTCTGGCTTGACTTCTGTGCCATCGCAGCACTGATTTGCTCGTCGGGGAGTGTTGAAGGGGAAGGTGGTCTTGTCACCACAGCACTCGACGATTGGGTTGCCACCACCGATTGGTTTCACGCAGGTAGCCTCTCGGTCGAAACCTCCCTGAATGATCCGTTAACAACTGAAACAACTGATTATGTGCTTACCTTGACGGAATGGAGGCTTTCGTCCCACTCACTCTCATATTTAGAGAGAGCTCGGGCGAGCTGGAGATCACACTCGCAGATGCTTCGTCGGCAAGAGCCGAGTCTGTTGGTGCATTGGACGTCTTTGGTGCCATCATCGTTGGTGATGAGGTCGAATCGGTAGCCGAACTCTTCACCGGCGCATCCTCGGCTAACATCGCTGTATTCTTCGTTGAGGCATCTGTAGCACTGCTTGAAGTCCTTGCAAGATCGATCGATGTTATCCTGGGGCTTTCCGTATCCACCGGAAGCGATGTCGTGAGAGCCTTCTGGAAGACTAAAAAGGAAAGTCAAATACGGTTAAGTCTCGACCAAAGAGGGAAAGACGATCGACGTCAGCGTTTCAGGAAATCGTAAAGTAAGGGAAAACGATGAATACTCACCAGTAGCAACCGTAGTAGCAGTATCGTCCGAAAAGTTGTTCTTGCTGGAGCCAGAGGACGACGATCTTGAGCTGTCGGAATTTTCGCATGGAGAATTCGTCCATAGCTCGAAGTCCTTCTAACTCTCCGCTGTCCATGAGGTTCATGATGAGCTGATCGATTTCGTCAACGCTACCTCCTAAGAATTACAATTAGCGTCTGTGAGATCTTCTTTTATTTCGACTATTTGCATCTCTAGAAAGTACTTACCGGAGATATCAGCAAGGATGTCGGAGTAAAAGTCAGCAGCTTCCTCTCCAGAGAAGGAGTAGGCAACATCTCGTCGGGTTCGGCTGAGAGTCATCTCGCTAGCAAGAGCTCCGACGGTGAAAAAGTTGAAAAGCTTCATTTTTTTATTTGTTATTGAGCTGCTGACTGTTTTACTTTAACTCGAGTTATTTCGATTTTTGGATGGTAATTAGCTGCGTCGGCGCGCTTATATGGGAACGAAAATGCTCGAACAGCGCCACCTGAGTTTTCCTGAGTCTGCAAATTTACCGCGCGAGGAGCGGCTTCAGCGATTTGTGGTTTAAAGCTTCCTCTGAATATGATGTTCAGGATATTATTGCTAACCATAGATACTTCTGGTACATCCTCTTCTCTCAGAATTAATAATAGCATGCATTTTTTGAATCTATGGAAAGGGACAAATTCTAGACGCGAAATATTTATCGGAGCAGGGAAATCAAAGAATGACTTAAAAGAATACATGTATTCCAGGTTGATGAAGGTCTGATAGTTGACTGCTGTTTCAGCAATTTTCCAGATCTTTTGAATATCCCAGGTCTCAAGTTCATTCGTATTCATGCATTTTATGTGGAGAGAAATTGTTGATATTTTGATAAATTGAGCTCGCTCCAAGATTAGTTTTTTCCGAACTAAAATTTCCTTCTTTAACCCACGATGAATGAAAACAGTCGTTTTTCTGATGCACCAAAAACCGTTCGGTCGCGGTTTTCCAAGATTGAATTTCAATAGAGAACCCGTGAAACCTCGCAACTTCCAAAATCGCTGAACTTGCTTTAAAAACAGGGAGACCTTTTCACTTCTCGCGAAAAATTCGTCAGTCCGACATTCTGAAAATGGCAGCGACCAGCTGATGAATAAGCTGAATGATATTTCCCATGGCGGACGAAAATCGACAGCGTTGACAAGTGCTGCTTTTTCCATCCCCAGTTCGCAAAGCGAGGAAAAAATGATTTAGAAACGCTAATTCAGCTTGATTTATTTGTTTATGCTAATATTCGATCTGCGTTCAACGATAGTTATTCAAGAGAAAATGGCACTTTGTTTATTTTCTCATTTACTGTAAATTTAAAATTGAAATGCAACTGGAATCTGAAGCAAAAAATACTTTAAAAGCTTACTTATTTGGTCACAATATTATGTGACATTATCTATCATGCTGGTTAGAATTCTTTTTCATTCTTCAGTCAACCATAATTTCTACGATAAATTCCTCGGTTGCTCAGTCAAAAAACCATCTCAGTTTAACCTCAAGGATAGTAATGAATTCAAAGTTGCGTATTCCACACCATCGCAGCTGGCGGGTTAATTCAGTTTGAAATTGTTTTCGAAAAACGTCAAGAAACGACCAGCGAGCCACGTCTTTATGAATACGCCCTTGTGGTTTGGGAAAGAACCTTTCGTAAAAATCTCGACAATGACATGAGCGCTAACTTAATCGTTTTAACGGAGCATGAAATTCAGGTACTAACCGGGCTCAAGACTTGCCAAGTGAACTTTTCAGAAGGCACTTGGAAAATCATGTAATTTTTGGTGTTTCAAGGGTGGAGCTAACTGCTTAGAAATTCGCCAAAATTTCTTAAAATTTCAGAAAATTTTGAAATCAGATGTTTTATCTTTGAGCCAAGGTTACCCAGTTCTCAATTAGTTTCGATCAAAATGAACGTATCTCAAACTTAAAAACCCTCCTCCGTATCTGACTCTTGCGCAGAGGTCAGCCAATTGTTCGTTCTAAACCAATTTCGCGAAAAAGGGCCTCGCACCTTTCCGCCGAGTGATAAAATAAATCAGCTCGAAACTTACAAAATGGAAAGTTTCATCCCATTTTTTATAAAGAGGATAATTTTTGGAGCCTATTGATGTGAAAAAGTATGAATCAAATGATGCAAACCAGATTTCAAAGCTGTGTTATGAAATAACGTAAGTCTCAAAAGAAAAAAAAAGAGCAGTTCAGAACCAAATTTGTATTTTGAAAGTCAAGCTCGGGACTTGAAAAGGAGAAATATACTAACTCAGTATACGAACAAAAGTGGAAAATCCCGACCGAGAAGATCCGAATTGCGGCTTTCTCCGATCCACGAAATAATAACCACTAATCTTTATTTGACCAACTTATCCACGACTAGTCGAAAAACGGAATCCTTAGTCAGCTTAATTGATCCTGTAGCTATTTTTCTGCGGTTTTTTTTCCAAAGGCCAGAATTTGCATTCACAATCATTCGATTATGTTAAACAACTTGTTTTTTAGACAAAAAGGTTGGTTAGGGATTGTACCCTTTAAACTACACGTAACGTTTTCCTAAAACCCGGTTTCTTTAAATGAGATTCTCAATTGCGTTGAGCGGCTGTGAAATTTTGACCAAAAGGTCATCTGATTACGTTGGGGCTGATAAAGTCCCAAGTTGGCGTGTCTTTTCTCAGATAGTTTCAAGCGATCTGTAACAGTACCTTCCAATTATAATTGGAAGGGCATGACATTTCAAATCATAAAGCATGACATCATAAGTAGGTCTAAAAATCAGCTCACTGTAATCTCTTTCTAATGCTTGAGTTTTTTCATTATTATGAATCGCCAGGTTTCGGCGATCATTTTGATAGTAAAATCGTCCAAATCGGCCAATCCGATTTATCCCTAATCACTCAGGGATAATGATCGCGGGAATCTGTCAATTCATTATAATGAAAAAACTAGAGCATTAGAATGATCACTCTCTATTGTTGATAGAAACTTTTAATGAAAAAATTATTTCTCGCACAGTCGCAACTCCACCAAATAAACAAACCTCTTGAGTAGAGCCTATAAAAGTTCCAATTCGACATTCCGTATATTCATACCGCTATTCTTGACAATGGCGATTTTGAAAATGCTCAAAGTTTTTTCTCAGCGTTGCATATAATTATAAGTGAGGTTATTTTTATTTAGAGGAGTATTCAGACATGTTAATTTAGTTATTCAGTTCTTCATAGAGTTTCTCCATAATCGACATGTATTTCTTTTGGATTGCTGGTCGTTTGGCTTTTTGGGTAGGAGTGAGCAGCTCATTTTCAATCTAAACACAGAGTTTACACACTCTCTCAAAGATTGCTTCTTACAGAGAAAAGCTCGTGTTCGAGGTAAATGGCTTTTGGGACTTCATATCCTTTGACTCCATCTTCGCGGGCGAATTTATTGATAGCACTGAGGAAATTAGCGGCAGTATCGGGATCGGCGCAGGCTTCTTGGAATGTTCGGCACTTTCCATATTCCTTCATAAATTTCTCCTCATCTGGAACGATGATCGCGACGTTGGTGGCCTAAATTTCCTATAAAGAGGAAGATGAGATTAAATTTCACCTGAAGAGAAGATCCCCAAAGGAACATTTGAGCGATATGTGGATGTTTTCCATAAACACCTTCAATCTTTTCCGGGGCGATGTACTCTCCCTAAAAACTCAAATAAACAAAAGTTTTAAGATTCAATTTTTACCAAGGCGGTTTTGTAAATGTGTTTCTTTCGGTCAATGATTTTGATAGTTCCGTTTTCCATCCACTGTCCGATATCTCCGGTATGAAGCCAACCGTCTTCATCGATGGTTTCGGCAGTCTTTTCAGGATCGTTGTAGTACCCTTTGTTTTTTTTATAAAGAGGACAATTGAAAAATCACTGACCTTGCATGACGTTGTCTCCTCGGAAACAGATCTCTCCTTTGCCGTCTTTTCCGAAATATTCCATATCTGGGACATCAGCAAGCTTGATCTCGTTCCATGGCTGGGGAGGTCCAACGCATCCGTCTTCTTTTTGGTAATTGACGAAGGAAGTTCCGGTTCCGCAGCCGACATTTTCAGTTTGACTAAAACGGGTTAGGGAATGTAAAGATTCGGGAAAACTTACCCGTAGGCTTCAATAACGTAGCAACTGAAGATTTCTCTGATGAAACCTCTGACTTTAGGATTCAAAGGAGCAGCTCCAGAGACCCAAGTGTGGATTCGCCCGCCGAGAAGATTCTGGACCTTTTTGAGGACGAGCTTGTCCCACAGAGTATCCTTGGTGACCTGGCCCTTGTCGAGTCTACCTCGCTTGGAAGCAGTAGCGGCACCAAGAAGCCAGCCCTTGAGTTTGCTCTCAGCCATAGTTGCCTGAATCTTGTCGTAGAGTCGGTTCATGACTCGAGGAACAGAGCCGAAGATGGTAGGTCGGACAACAGCGAGCTCATCGAGGAGTTTCTTGATGTCCCCGGAACTGAACCACCACTGGCCACCAACACTCATGAGGACGCAGTGGACAGCTCGCTCGAAGATGTGGGCCATTGGAAGGTAGGAATACCAGACGTCGTTGGTGTTCCAAGGCTCGGGAACGGAAAAGATGGTGATGCCGTTGGCGACAGTACAGATGTTCTTGTGGGTAAGCACGACACCTTTGGGATTGCCGGTTGTTCCAGAAGTGTAGTTAATTGTGGCCATGTCTATCAATTTTATTGAATATTCCGATGAGGTAAAATTTATTACCAGATGAGGTAGGGAGAACATTCTTGGAATCGTCGCTATCTCCAGTGCCGACAAAATCGGAGAAGCTGACAATATTGACATCGGTGTTGTCGGTTTTGTACTCTCTGAGCATAACGATGGTCTTCAGGTGCTCAGGCTTGACCTTCAAAATCAAATCGAGCTTTTTCTGGTCTTGAATGAAGCAGATTGGGGCTTCGGTCTAAAAAGATGCTGATGTCTTTGTTGAAAAAGAGTTTGATTTACCTGTTCAAGAATGAACTTGACGGCTTCCTCACCAAGAGTATCGTAGAGTGAGACATTGCAGAGATTCTGAAAGTAGCCACCAATAATAATGGCGTCATACTCGAAACAGTTAGCAGAGAAGATAGCGATCTTGCTCTTGCCATTGATAAGTCCGAGCTTGTTGAAGGCGTTTCCAAGTCGCTGAGCAATGGTCTTCAGCTCGCCGTAGGTTTGAGTCTCGTACTTTCCTTCAGCGTTTGGAGTTCCGCAGCAAACACCGTCTTCTCCAGCAGCTTTGAGACCCTGTTGGAAGCATTCCATCAAAGTCTTTTGAATACTTTTAGAACAGGAAAGCTTGGGGAAGAAATACCTGTGGAACACCTTCAGGAAGTTTCCAGACACCATTTTGTTCGCAGAGAATATTATGACGAGCAAATGTTTTGGCATCAGCTTCATAAGTCTGCGGCTCATCGAGAGTCTTCAAGGGGCGGTTCTTACTCTCCATTCCGGGAATTTGATACACGCTCTCTCTTTTCTCGGGCTATGAGACAAATAATTAACTGGAAAACAAAAATACGGAAAAATCGTAAAACTGGTAGTTTTTTTAAGTGATAAACGACGATAAAAATCACCGATTCTCGCAGTGCGTCAGTGCTTTTGAATTGGATGCTGCTGCTCACTCAGCAGAAAAACTTTATTGTTTGAAAATCAAGAAAGGAAAGTATACAAAGGCCAATCGTGAAAATACCATGGAGTTTAACTCTTTTGGGAGAAAGCCCCTGGCCCCCTTCCCCGTATCCCGCCCAAATCACTGTCGGGGAAGTCTAGAAAAACTCTTTAACGCTCGCTTGGCAGCTTAGAAGACTTTCGAGATTCAGAAGAACAGAATCTGGAAAGTCCGAGCCAATGAGAGAGCCGACAAGACTTCGCGCGGCTTCTCCCCCAAATTAGGCGCGCAAAGAATGAGCTACTGAAAAAGTCAGTGCATTTTTCAGTAGCTCAGATTCTCAATCTCCCCTTAGAGCTCAACTCCATGGTAGGTGAGCCAAAGTTTTAACTCACATGAAAAATGACGCCATTTTTCCTACCAAAGTTTGTTTTTAACGATTTTGTTAAGCCGTGTTAACGAGTTTTATGGGGCCATTGTTTTTCTCTAGCATTCTTCGTAGTAGTTACGTAAGCATGTCTCTTGCCCGCATTCCGCTGCAGATTTGATTGTTTAATTTTAAAAAATAATTTTACCTCATTACTGCAGCAGGGCATTATGTTTTCTTTTGATAAAAATATCAACTTTTTATGGAAGGTCGAATGTTCCTGGAACTAACAATATCTTCTATTCTAGAGAAATATGCATTACTTCTTACATAACAGCCATTTTCTCAAAATACTGTGTCCATCTCTTTACCTCGGTTACATTTCTATTTTTACACAATGTCATTTTTAGTACCCTAGGAAACTAAAAGAAGCTTATCGCCCTGCCTCTATTATCGGCTTCATCAACATAAAAAATGCATATTTACGACGTGATTCGCCACTTACGTTTTTGCTTCCGTTTATAAAAAGTATAATCTCTTAGTTTTTCGAAAATCTTATTGTTAAATAAACGGTTTATTTACTGGCTCCATATTTGGGTTAAAAAGGAGACAGTGCATTAAAAATATTTATCATCACCTGATACGAGTTGCCCCAACTCTTGCACATTCTTTCTTATTTCGACTCTTACGAAAATCTCTGACTTTTGATCTTGAAGAAAAAAAAAGAAAAATTTTGCAGATTTTTATATGTTTACGGTTGCGAAAAGCGGAAATTTCTGATTTCTGATATTTGCTCCGGGCTCCTAAAAACTAAAGCACGCTTGAATGCTCTCGCAATCCGTAAAATCATATGACCTCGATTACTTTCTAGTTGTAGCGCAGTGGAGGTTTAAAATCAGGGGATGAGTGAGCGTCAACCCCGTGACGGACACAACATCAAAGGATTTAGGACACTTCGGAACAGACTTTGTCTGTTTATGCTTTTTGGAGTTTTGAGTGTCTGGCCTTTGTTGTCCAAGGTTATATTTTTAACCCATCCATTCCGCTACTACTTTTTGCTTTCTACTCTACTTTCATGCTAAAAGAAAGCTCTTTTTCCATACCAAAGTGACCGAAAATCCTAATCCACTGTAAAACAAACGCTACGTAATGGAATAAAAACGGTTACCTTTGCCGAAAAACTCTCTCAACGTGGAAAGTGTGTGGCAAAGACCGTTTTGCTGATCGGCACAAAACGGCCTTAGGGTAGACATTGGCGTTTATGTCGTCTTCTTCACAACAATACATCATTCCGATAGATCGGGGTTCTCGTAAATCGCCAAAAGCGTCCAAGATAGTGCCTTTGTTTTGACCAACATTTTGGATTTATGACAATTTACGCCAGATAGAATTAAATTTTAAAAGGACTTTTATATGCTGCAGGCAAGAACAGCCTATTTTTAAGCTAATTCAAATGTTTTTGGGTACAGCAACGGCTGATAAACATTCAAAATTCCATTTTATTCGTCATTATCATCGAGGATGAGAAGCATCGAAGAATTATCTTTCACTTTTTATGATAGAAATTTTTAATAGAATAATTATTTCTTCAATATTTTATCAGAAAATTAAGCAATTTTACCTTCTTTTATCAGCATTTAAAGCACGTCAAACAAACATCCTTTGAGTTAAGCCCGTAAGAGTTCCAAGTTGAAACTCTCAGTTGTTCTAATTGTATGTAAGGTTATTTTTATTGTCCAGAAATGTTAATTTAGTTATTCAGTTCTTCATAGAGTTTCTCCATAATCGACATGTATTTCTTTTGAATTGATGGTCGTTTGGCTTTTTGGGTAGGAGTTAGCAGCTCATTTTCAATCTAAAGAAAGTAAATGTCTCTTTCTCGGTAATGATTTTAACCGAGAAAAGCTCGTGTTCAAGATAAATGGCTTTCGGGACTTCATATCCTTTGACTCCGTCCTGTCGGGCAAATTCATTAATAGCAGTGAGAAATTTAGCGATAGTGTCAGGATCGGTACACGCTTCTTCGAATGTTCGGCCTTTTCCATATTCTTTCATGAATTTATCCTCTTCTGGGACGATAATTGCAACGTTGGTGGCCTTATTTTTTGTAATGAGAAAGATGAGATTCATTTTTACCTGAAGAGAAGATCCCCAAAGGAACATCTGAGCGATTTGTGGGTGATTTGAATAGATGCCTTCAATTCTTTCGGGCGCGATGTATTCTCCCTATAATAGATAAAAGTTTCAGAAAGTGTTACGTTTGCTACCAAGGCGGTTTTGTAAATATGTTTCTTTCGGTCAATGATTTTAATGGTTCCATTTTCCATCCACTGTCCAATATCTCCACTATGTAGCCATCCGTCTTCATCGATCGCTTCCGCAGTCTTTTCAGGATCATTGTAGTATCCTGGTTTTTTTAAAGAAAAGCTAGCAAAATAAGCTGACCTTGCATGGTATTGTCCCCTCGGAAGCAAACCTCTCCTTTGCCGTCTTTTCCGAAATATTCCATTTCTGGAACATCTGCAAGTTTTATCTCATTCCATGGCTGGGGAGGCCCAACGCATCCGTCTTCAATCTGGTAATTGACGAAAGAGGTCGCCGTTCCGCAGCCAACATTTTCAGTTTGACTAAAGAAGGCTTAGGTCATCGACGAAGTATACGAAATCTACCCGTAGGCTTCGATAACGTAACAGCTGAAGATTTCTCTGATGAAACCTCTGACTGTAGGATTCAAAGGAGCAGCGCCAGAGACCCAAGTGCGGATTCGCCCACCGAGAAGGTTTTGTACCTTTTTGAGCACTAGACAGTCCCACAGCGTATCATTTGTGACCTGGCCGTTGTCGAGTCTCTCTCGTTTTGAAGAAGTGGCTGCATCAAGAAGCCATCCCTTGATTTTGCTCTCGGCCATGGTTGCTTTGATTTTGTCGAAAATTTTATTCATGACTCGAGGAACTGAACCAAAAATGGTTGGACGGACAACGGCAAGCTCAGGCAGTAGTTTCTTGATATCGCCAGAGCTGAACCACCACTGGGCGCCGATGCTCATGAGCACACAGTGGACAGCTCGTTCAAAGATGTGAGCCATCGGAAGATACGAAAACCAAATATCGGTGTTGTCCCAGGGTTCGGGAGTGGAAAAGACGAGGATACCAATAGCGACAGTGCAGATGTTCTTGTGGGTAAGGATTACACCTTTGGGGTTGCCTGTTGTTCCAGAAGTGTAGTTTATTGTGGCCATATCTAAAATACAATTATATATTCGCATGCATGAAATGATTACCGGATGAGGTTGGAAGAACATTTTTGGAATCGTCGCTATCTCCAGTGCTCACGAAATCAGAGAAGCTCATAATATTTACCTCAGTGCTGTCGGTTTGGTACTCTCTTAGCATGACAATGGTCTTAAGGTGCTCAGGCTTGACCTTCAAAATCAAATCAAGCTTATTTTGGTCTTGAATGAAGCAGATTGGGGCCTCGGTCTAAAATGATGCCGATGACTTTGTTGAAAAAGAGTTGAATGTGCCTGTTCAAGAATGAATTTGACGGCTTCTTCTCCAAGAGTATCGTAGAGAGAAACGTTGCAGAGATTTTGAAAGTAGCCGCCAATAATAATGGCGTCGTACTCGAAACAGTTAGCAGAGAAGATAGCGATCTTGCTCTTGCCATTGATAAGCCCAAGCTTGTTGAAGGCGTTTCCCAGTCGCTGAGCAGTGGTCTTCAGCTCGCCGTAAGTTTGAGTCACGTACTTTCCTTCAGCGTTGGGGGTTCCGCAGCAAACACCGTCTTCTCCAGCGGCTTTGAGACCCTGTTGGAAGCATTCCATCAAGGTCTTTGGATAAGTCTTGGCGATAGAAAAATCGAGGACGAAATACCTGTGGTACTCCTTCAGGAAGAGTCCAGACGCCTTTTCCTTCACACAGAATATTGTGACGAGCAAATGTGTTGGCATCAGCTTCATAAGTCTGGGGCTCATCGAGAGTCTTCAAGGGGCGCTTCTTATTCTCTAATCCATGAATTCGATGCTCGGGCTAATACGACAAATTATAATGAGGAAAACATCAAATATGATACAGTGTTCTCACAAAACAGATATGTAAGGAAAGTTTTTGATTTATCTCTTTACCTCGATAACTTTTTTCCGTGTATTGTCACAGGTTTTACACAATGTCATAATGATAATTTGTTTTGTACTCTGAGAAGCTAAGCAAAGCTGCTCACTCTCCGTTTTATTTCCGTTATTAAAAAATATAAATATATTTTTTTCAGCGAGATTCATTGTTTACGTCTTTGCTTCCGCTTATTTAAAAAGAATTACCTCCGAGTCCCTTGAAAATCTCCTTGGAGAGGATACCTTTTGTACATTATAAAAAATGTAATATCAACAAATGCGATCTCAGAAAGCGATACATGAAAATCACTTTTGCGGAGCAAAATTCTACCCCCCATGTTCCCTGTGCTCATTAGAAAGAGCAACTCCTAAGGAGTCGAATGGTATAGTTTTGAGGGTCTGAGTCATCACATATGACGTCATAAGGGCCCCCCTTTGGAAAATGGTCATGTCCCCCTGCATCTCCGAAAATTTTCAGAAATTTATTGAGATTTTGGTATCGTTGGAAAGCCCACGTCAAACTGGCTATGAGCACAAGGTGTGCAAGAAAAAATTTCTAGGGAAAAATTTTTTTCTGAGACAAAAACTTTTCACCCAAATTTTTTTTTCGGAATTTTCTATTGCGCATCTGGTGCTCATAACCAGTTTGAGCTGGGCTTTCTAACGATACCAAAATCTCCATATATTTCTGAAAATTTTCGGAGATACAGGGGGACATGACCTGACATTTTCAGGTACTTTAGGCACTAGAATTGGCGATTTTCCGTGGCTTAGACACATCAAAATTGTACCATTCGACTCATCAGAACCTGCGCTACAAGATGAGAAAAGAAAATATTGGGGTCCCGATTTTGCTCCGCAGAAGTCATTTTCATCTATCAAGCCTTGATGATTGAAGAGAATGTTGATCATGTGAGCCAAGTCAGCAGATTTCGATCTAATACAGAAGCTTGGATTAAGAAATTCGGATGTCAAAAAATGAACTTAGGCCATAATTTATGGCCCATAAAGCAAAATCTTCATGCACTATTATTACCCACGGAAACGGAAACGACTTAATGAAAGTAAATGTCAAATTTTACAATATAAGCTCTGGCTCTCCCCTTCTCTATACTCCCAGGGCTCTAAATCTGAGGCGAAAATCAAAAGTCCGGTCTGTCCAGGTCCGGGCACTTGGCCGAAATTTACAAGTCTGGTCTGGTCTGGTCCGAATTGGAAAACTCGGACTTTAAGTCTGGTCTAGTCCGGGAAAAGTCCGAAAAAGTCCGAAAAAGTCTGGTCCGAGAAAAAAGCCAAAAAATCCGGTCTAGTCCGGTCTAGTCCGAAAAAGTCCGAAAATTTTTCGAATAAAATACAACAAAAACTCGATTTTTTTTTCGAAAATTTCAAATACGTAATAAGTTTAATTGAAAATATTTTTCAAGCATTTATATCATTATGATCACCTTAACGCCGGAACGCATAAAATTTTTTCAATGTTTAACGCAGATCGTACCAATTAATTGGTATGCCCATTTTACCACTTTTTAATAATGAAACTATTAAGTTAACTCTATAAATGATACAGATAAATAGTTCTCAGACGCTTAGCTTTAATTTCATCCCCATATTATACCGATATGATAACATAAATATGAGTAAATATGCATATTTCTAAATGTGCCGATTCTCACGTCAATAAAGAAATAACCTTTCAAAAGAGGAAAAATACCTGAGTTCAGTTATAAGCAGGGCTCTAAATAGACTAGTCCGGGCTCGGACTTAGTCCGAAGTCCGTCCGGTCTAGTCCGGCCGGACGGACCAGACTTCTGATTTTTGGCTGAGAAAATTTTCGGACTAGACCAGACCAGACTTGCCTTTTTCGCCGGACTTAGTCTGAAAAAGTCCGAAAAAGCTGGACCACTTTCAGACTTATGTTTTACTCCGAAAAGTCCGAGAAGTCCGAGAAAGTCCGAGAAGACTTGACCACTTCCAGACTACTTACAGACTTATTTTCAGACCAATTAAATCCGAAAAAGTCCGAAAAGTCTTCATTTTTCTAAGTGAAACCCTTAAGATAACATCATACACTTGATGCGGTGCCCTTTAAAAGGGTCTAAGCTTAATTTTCATCAAAAAAAAATTGATCAGTTAACGCCGAAACGCATATGCGACCAATTAATTGGTACAAGTCCCTTTAATGCCTTATAACTGAACTCAGGTATTTTTCCTCTTTTGAAAGGTTATTTCTTTATTGACGTGAGAATCGGCACATTTAGAAATATGCATATTTACTCATATTTATGTTATCATATCGGTATAATATGGGGATGAAATTAAAGCTAAGCGTCTGAGAACTATTTATCTGTATCATTTATAGAGTTAACTTAATAGTTTCATTATTAAAAAGTGGTAAAATGGGCATACCAATTAATTGGTACGATCTGCGTTAAACATTGAAAAATTTTATGCGTTCCGGCGTTAAGGTGATCATAATGATATAAATGCTTGAAAAATATTTTCAATTAAACTTATTACGTATTTGAAATTTTCGAAAAAATCGAGTTTTTGTTGTATTTTATTCGAAAAATTTTCGGACTTTTTCGGACTAGACCGGACTAGACCGGATTTTTGGCTTTTTCTCGGACCAGACTTTTTCGGACTTTTTCGGACTTTTCCCGGACTAGACCAGACTTAAAGTCCGAGTTTTCCAATTCGGACCAGACCAGACCAGACTTGTAAATTTCGGCCAAGTGCCCGGACCTGGACAGACCGGACTTTTGATTTTCGCCTCAGATTTAGAGCCCTGGTTATAAGGCATTAAAGGGACTTGTACCAATTAATTGGTCGCATATGCGTTTCGGCGTTAACTGATCAATTTTTTTTTGATGAAAATTAAGCTTAGACCCTTTTAAAGGGCACCGCATCAAGTGTATGATGTTATCTTAAGGGTTTCACTTAGAAAAATGAAGACTTTTCGGACTTTTTCGGATTTAATTGGTCTGAAAATAAGTCTGTAAGTAGTCTGGAAGTGGTCAAGTCTTCTCGGACTTTCTCGGACTTCTCGGACTTTTCGGAGTAAAACATAAGTCTGAAAGTGGTCCAGCTTTTTCGGACTTTTTCAGACTAAGTCCGGCGAAAAAGGCAAGTCTGGTCTGGTCTAGTCCGAAAATTTTCTCAGCCAAAAATCAGAAGTCTGGTCCGTCCGGCCGGACTAGACCGGACGGACTTCGGACTAAGTCCGAGCCCGGACTAGTCTATTTAGAGCCCTGTATACTCCTATAGGTAAAAGGAACTCGATAAAAGCAAATATGAAGCTTTTTGCTTTTGTCGCTGCTGCTTCTGCTAGCCCTGCTATCAAATCAACCGGATGCGCTGATGGCGTTCATCCTCACGAAACCGACTGCACTAAATTTTATAAGGTAAGCAGAAGCTTTGACATCAGATACAGAAGACCTTCTTCAGTGCTCTCATGGTGAAAGATGGCCTGACCAAAATTGTCCCGAAGGGCTTCTCTTCAACCCAGATCTCCTCGTCTGCGACTGGCCCGAATCGGCTGATCCATGCAGTGGAAAAGAAAACTGCCAAGCTTTCGTCGATAATTGTGGAATGACTCCATCCAGAAACAACAATATTGCCACTACAACAGGCTCACCCGCTTTCAAAGTGTCCGCTGAAGTCAAATGCGGAGAAACGCCTGATGATTGGCAAAACATCATCCACATCAACGCTGGCAGCCAGTGGGACGTCTTTGGTGACAGATATTTTGCTCTTTTTGCCGGTGCTGACACCATGAAGTTCAGCGCTCCGCTCAAGAACTCCGGTCATGTTGAAAATGGTGGAAACTTCATGGTGAACTACTATCCAAGCTGTAAAGTTGGCGAGTGGAACAAATATCAGGTCGAACAGCGATACACGGACACTAAAGACACTCTTGAGCTCAAAATGTCCATTGATGACGAAGTTCTCGTCACTAGAATTGTAGACGTGGTAGATGCCTTCAGCGGCGATCTCTTCGTCGATGTCTCCAATGACTTCCACGACTCTGCCACTGGATTTCGAGTAAGAAACTTCTACCACCAGACCTTCCCCGAAAGCTAAACCCTGCGATACTGTTGACCCATCCCACGGAAATTGACAATAACTTCTTTCTTTTTTGATTCAAGCTTTAATAAAACTTTCAAATAAAAAAAATCGAATAATAAGACAGTTGAGATACATAATGATAAATAAAAAGGTGTTGGCAAAGGCAATTTCAGCGTTGATTATTGAACTTTCTTCGTTTCTGGCTCGCCTCGCACTACTGATTTTTTGTTGAAAGATAATTTATAAGTAAGTTACCTTCAGCGTATTTCTTTGCAGCAACTTCCTTGACTGGGGTCTTCTTATAAGTTTGACGGTAAAACTGAGCGAACATTCCAAGGAAGATTGCGCACAATCCGAGCTGTAGGATTTGTTTCAAATTGATACTCTTCCTTGATTGCAATTTTGGGAAGATTTAAGAATTTGAAACAATTCCTGAAGGATGTTGAGGCCGATCGGGTATTGACAGCCTGGATGATTACAGAGGATGTTGGTCATGTGGGCGATGACGGTGCAGAATTGGATCTAAAACAGAAGCTTCGATTAGGAAATTCGGATGTTGAAAAGTAAACTTGCCATTTGAAGGCTGGTCAAATATTTCTTCCACCAGAGGTAAGGACGAAGCTGTGGGCCTTTATTCTGCTTTTTATGAAATTCGTTTAATGATTTCCTTATTACGTAATGAAGCACTTTCCTAGAGCAGCGAGTCCGTAGTAGGAATACATTAGGACATGTATAAATGAGTTGAGGAGCTGGCCAAAAGTTCCGTATCCAGTTGGTGCGAATTTCGTAGTCCACCAGGTTGCATAGGCCATTGAACTGTGGTGGAAAATATGAAGGGTCGAGACATTTCTCCATTTTTGCATGACGATGAAGAGGAACTAAAGAGATTTCAGATGAAAAACCTAAATTAATTCCTTACCGTGTCCATAAATTCAATATGTTTGGAGATAAAGTAGAGGAGGCTTGCATTCGCCATTCGATTCGATTGCTCGTCGTAAGAATATGGTTTCGCGTTAACACAGCCCAAGTTGTAGGTTGTGGCCCAACCAGATGCCAAGAACTCGAAGAAGATGTACGCATTGAAGGCTACTAGTGCGAAGTTATATGGCACTATGAACCATTTGATTTTCAGTGGCTTTAAAGGGTTCGTTATATTCGTATTTTGGGATCGTTGGTCAAAAAGATATTTTTAACCTTTCCTTAGATCCGTTTCCGAGGCAAGCAGGTGCGAGGAGGACAACAATGTCTAAAAATGATGATTGAATGCCATTCTCATACAAATGTTAACTTACAGAGGTATGCAAGGCTTGACATCATTGCATATCTGTGATCCTCGAACCACCAGAAATGATCAAAGCCTTTGTAGGAGTCTTTCATGAACTCGAATCGTCGCAAGTCGAAAAAGTCAAATGGATGCTTTGGTTTCCATCCGGTCATACAGTACGTTAGCCGCTCGCTGATATCCTGGTAAATCGCCTGAACTTGCTCCATCTCTTATTGGGATTTCTGCGAATCTGACACTCAAATCGCTGTTTTTACAAAAACACGAAGGGGGTCTAGAGACTTTTTTTTATTTTTTTCTAATGGAGCCGAAGGAAAATTTTCCGGTAGACATTAAAAACACCTGCTTATTTTTTTCGCTTCAATAAATTTCGAAACTTTATTTCGTGACCCTTGTAGGAGAATTGCACATTCTCATAGCGAAATTGAAATTATAAACTGCTGAAATAAAAATAGCAAGATTCTTGTTTCAAGGTGAAAACAAAGACTGTTTCTAACGAATTTCGAGCCGCAATTTGCGCATGCGGCCATAAAGCAAAGTCTTGCTGTACTGTTATTACGCATGAAACGGAAACGGCTTAACGAGAGTAAATGTCAAATCTCAGAATATAAACCATGGTTCTTCCTCATTCTGCGTACTCCCATAGGAAAACGGAACTTGAAAAAGCCAAGAATGAAACTTTTTGCTTTTATCACCGCTGCTTTTGCTAGCCCTGCTGTGAAATCAACTGGATGCGCTGATGGCGTTCATCCTCATGAATCCGACTGCACCAAGTTCTACCAGGTAAACTGCAGTTTTGAGTTCAAGTGATAAGAATTTATTCAGTGTTCTCATGGAAATCGATGGCCCGATCAGAGCTGCCCAGAAGGACTTCTCTTCAACCCAGATCTCCTCGTCTGCGACTGGCCCGAAAACGTCGATTGTGATAAAGAATGCGCTGATGGCGTCCACGCTCACGAGAGCAAATGCGATGCTTACTACCAGGTAAGTGCGATGCTCTTGAGTACTTGAATCAAGCGAGCACGAACGCGCAAGTGTTTTAAAAACATAAACCAAGGCTGATCCATGCTTATCTAAAACATACTTTCTAGTGCTCTCACGGACACCGATGGCCTGACCAGCCCTGTCCAGAAGGTCTCCTTTTCAACGCCGATCTTCTCGTCTGCGACTGGCCACAGAACGTCGACTGCGGTAGCCGACAGTAACTTTTTTCTTTTCTGATTCAAGGTTGAATAAAACTTCAAAATATAAAAATACCGAACTGCAAGTAAACTGACTGCTCAAATCTCAAAATGATCCACTCCAACTTGACTCAAACTTGAGAGAGCGATTATTATGATAAGCAAGTAGCAGATAACAAAAAGTGAAGAGGGGATTATCTGGTCCTGCCGGGGGGAACCGATCGGTATTGAGTTCTCCTCGGTTACCGCATAACCGGCATGCGTCTCATTATCCGCAAAAATTTGAAACTTTACCGATAAAAAGAGCAGCGAAAAAAATATGCGAATTTCACCTAGGTGGGTTAGAATAGAATTTTGCAAAGAAAAAAAATATTTAAGCAACCGAGTGATATTAAAAGAATGAAAAGAGAAAATGTCTAACCAGGAGAGACTAGCCGCCGTTGGCCTGTTCTACCTTGGAGTTGCCCTGTATTTTGGCGCTGAATACTTTTACCACCGTGAGAGGGAGCTGGGGAGCTTGACCGATGGAACGCCTGTCACTGGCGGCCGGCTCAAGGATGGCACGTTCTATCGTTCAGTGGTGGCCCCAGGAAATGCGTAAAATACGTTAACCCACAGACAAGTCAAGGGGGTACTTATGTTTTTGGCTAACGTTCATGTTACAGAAGTGCATCATGATCGTATAATTAGATCATCGGCTGTTTTAGGCTACTCGTAATTATCGCTAGCAAAAGAAAACCGAGAGGATCTCGTTGCTCTGCTCCTCCATGGATCTGCATTTTCTTCAAAAACGTGGGAATCAATAGGCACACTCGAGTTTTTGAAAAATGACATGAATCTATCTTCAATCGCGGTGGATCTACCTTCTTATAAAGACTCAAAATCCGTGCCGGTGCCGAAAAACAAGCTTGCTTATCTTATCAACCTCATTTTCGAATTAAAAGTTTTTGACGATAAAAGATCCGGTTCTTTTCTCAACTAGCATACTAACAATAGAGCGCTGATAAGAACCTGCTTTAGAATTATTTTAATCGCTGCAAGTGTTGGAGGAGCTTATGCGTTGCCATATGTTCTACAAAGTAAGTACTTTTATTTATCGAGGCGATATTCTAACTCAATCCTTCCCGTGTCGATTAGACATCGGCAAGTCTACACTTTTTATCATCAACTTAAACTTGCAAAGATAAGAAGGTTATTGAATAATCCGAGTTTTCGATAAAGCTGGAGGGTGCTGAATTTATCTCCTTAGACCCTGAAAAGCTTGCGGCCTTTATTGCACTGACACCTGCCACCGCAAATGCTTACGGCCCCTCAACATTCTCTCAAGTCTTGGTCCCCACATTATACGTCTACGGAACAAAGGATAAGAACACGGGGAAACGATTCAGTGAGCTTTTCGAGAAAATGCCAAACTGCGAGATCATGCAGCTCGAGGGCAGTAATCATTTCTACACCGACTACCCGGACAAGTGGCATGATACACTGAGGGAATTTCTGCAGCGCTTGACCCTTCTAAGGACTGGGCTTGTAACTTTTTAATTAGCTGCCTATTTACTGCAAATTAGCCTTATAAAGCGAGACGAGATAACAGAAGAACAAATATTCACTGTATAAACGTATAAATATGAAAATAAAAGATACTGTTTATTCTCAAAGAAGGCAGATACATGATACACTTTTAATTGAAGACATGTGGTGTGTGAATTTCGCTACTTTTGAAAGTTCCTACCATCGGTAATTTTTCTTCTTCCCTCGATTAGCCTTCAAAACTGCACGCTCTTTAATCGGAGTTCCGGCCTTAGACGTGGGCAGCCAGACAGCGGGCTCGTTTTGCTGCGGTAATGATCGGTCACCTTCGACCTAGATTATTAGTTGAGGATATTTTTGGAATTCTTGAATCTTTATACAGTCATATAAAGTACCTGTCGGTCGCTTATAAGAGCATCAAAACGGTACGAATCGAGTGAGTTTCTTGTTTTTCCCATGTTGAAATGCTTCAAGAGTCCATCATTCTTTTTTCTCAGCTTGACTTCGAGCACTCTCTTGCCAGGTGCAAATTGTCGGTGCGTGTACCTAGAAATTCGTAAGTTTATAAATTGATAATCAGCACTTACTTGTGGCATTCATCAATCTTGACACCACCGTTACCAATGGTTACATTAAGGCCGATGTTTTCTATTGCAGGATCAAATTTGTTAGCAAGGTGGAACCCGTTTTCGGTGATTTCACAGTCATTTTCCATATCAAATGGCACTTCTAAAACAAGCTTTAGTCACGCGAGATTCATGTTCAAGTTCAACTGATGGCGGCTGTTCCATCAATCAACTTGACTGTACCTGAGACATTGATCTCGAATAGACACCATCGTTCAGACTCGCTCGCCTTGAAGTCAGGAAGAAACAAATTGTGAGCGGGGATGAGCTCAGCTAACGAGCAGTGCGGCTGGTTGCTGATGCGGCGGATTTCCTCTTCAAGTTCCTTTTTAAAGATGCAAAATTGACATTCAGAACCGCCGAAAATGGTAATCCGAATCTTGGCGTTAGAGTCAAGAAGATTGGTACCAATACATGAGAACTTGCTATGGTCCATACCCTATGGTTAATGCAACTTTTCCTTTTCTGTCAAGTCCAGTCTGGGCCCCCTCTTCTCAGACGAATCATCCGGAATTTCAGGCGGCTCAATATTGTTCACAGCATCGTCAAAAGAAAGCTTGTTCATCGCGATGGGTAATTTGATCTCGAGAATTTGCTAAATCCCTATTTTCAAGCTTTGAGCACCCCGCAAAAATTTACCTCGGCATTTCTGAACACCGCTTTACCGACTTTAGAATCGACGTTGTACGGAAGTGAAATTTTAGCACAGTATAACTTCGGCTCGTTGGTCGTTTCAAGAGTCAATGTCTTCTCGGCAATATCTATCTTCACGTTTTTCGCTGAGTTTAAGTCCGGTAGCCAAATTGACACGACAAGATCATCTTTCTTGTCCGAATCTGGGTCTAGAATTTATGTAATGGTCTAAGTTTCTTGTAAAGGATTTTGGCTTACATTGCGGGCTAGAGATGAAATCCGTCAAGTCCATCTTTTTAGACTGCTGTAAATTGGCTCTTGGAATTGGAATTTTCATGCATTTCACGTACATTTTTGCACATTCCGAGACAGATTAAATTACGCTTTTTCAGCAAAAATATATCAGAAAGAATTGTTTAAAATTTTCGAAATTTCGAAGAGCCTTCCTTAATTTGCCATCGCGGACTCAACGTTCCATCATCATTGACTCCTGCTTTTCCATCCCATCGTGTTCTCAATGTCGATTTCGTCACCACTTTACCCTTTGTTCTACCAGGCCTGTTCTCCATGAATTTTTGCAAATCCTCACGAATCTCCTCTTCTTTCTTTGGGTTGAGTTTGCTTGGCTTTCCCCTTGAACTTGGTCGGGGAGTTTTTGTTGCTTCGGGTGCGGGAAGTGGAGTTGTCAGGACGCAGGTTTCTTCTTTTCCCACGTACGACCTGTCCATTACTTGCTCGTATTTAGGACTGACCTTTACTTTTACAAAGGTCTTCATTAGAACATAATCCGATAAAATGCCTAACTATGTGTTTGGCCGTTTGACACTTTGACAGGAGGATAATTATTCGAGGGTATCTAGCGAACACCGAGAATTTGGACGGGTAATCAAAGTGTCAAACGATAAAATTTTAAGCTGGATATTTGTTTTTACGACCTGAACCTTTAAAATTAGACGAAACTGCATCTATTGCTGATTTATGAAGCATGGTCATAAAGTTCGAGTTCGTTTTGCCCATTCTAATCGTATCTGGATGAAAGACAACATCATAAATTCTAAATTTGAGGCCACTTTTTCCATCGTAAAAGTCTTCACGCGGAGGCGAGATCGTATGTGGAAGGTGCCATAGAAGGCCGCGGTTGCCATCTTTATCCCTTTCGCATTTTGACTGGGCGACCATTTTATTTTGAGCGATGTTCAAATACGCTGTGTGCAATGTTGAAACTTCCGGTGGCATGATTTCCAGTTGAAGAGAGTGACTAGAATGGGCTTTCAGCGAGGCTTGAACGGGCTCAATTGAAATCTACGGCTACTTTCTCCCGTGGCTAGATATGACCTATCGTTTCCGAATTATCCCTTGCGGAGACCCTTATCTACGGTGTCCCTTTTTTATAAGGTTTTAAGGAGAATGGAGTAAGAGGTTTATCAGTGGAAGGTTTAAACTTACACTGGATGTGGATGTATAAATTCGGCGTGCACTCCATTTGCTTTCTCCATTTCCGCATTTTCTTGCAAATATGCAGCGTTTATTTCCGGCTTTCCAAGTTCTAGGCAGTCTTTGTTTGGGCTTGCCACTTGAAATACTCGATAAATGGTCAGAAGATTCTTGTTTGGAATCATTTCCTTGACGAAATTTTGCAATAAAATCAGTGGCGAGCCCTATTATTCCTGGAAAATTTCGTGAAACTCTTCATCAGCAAACGCTTTTGAAATCTTTTTCGTGTTCATCAACAATCCATTTTTACCCTGAGATTTTTTCGTTTTCAATGTTAAGACTGACATTGTCATCATAATATCTTTAAATTAGTTTCATGTCGAAGTTTAGTAAATTATCAAGCTAAACACGTTCCTGTTCTACTTCTTGCCTCGACACATCCATGTTCTGAAAATAAATTCACATCTATTTTGCTATAAAAATTGTCCTAAGAAGCGGAATTTCGTAATTCAAACTGAACGCTTCATACGCTGCTTAAATTTTTACCTCGTGAAAATTGCCCTTTTAGGGTGCTTGTAATTGTTTTATGTAAACAGAAACGATAAGCTCTATTCAGTGGTACTCGGGCCCCGCGGCAATATCTTGACTAAATCTTATCGGAATTTTTTAGCTATTTATACTTGAATTTCAGGGTGGTGTTGAAAAGCTTACTCAACATAAATCTCAAGAAACAGCCACCAAACGGGATGTCTCTCTTCCTGAAAGTAATAGCGAAAATACGCCATTGTTTGCAAAACACAACCCTATCTCTAAAAAATCAAACTTTGACCATCGCCGAAAACATGCTTGTCCAGTGGAAGCAAGAAAGTTTCCTTATCATCGGATAGTCATGGGAAATATGGGAAAGTTTACTTTCGATGTAGGATTTCTTAGGGGGAAATGAGCGCGAATTCCGGAAATAAGGACTTGACAGGGAGCCAAGATAAAGGCCGTGGGAGATAGAACATTGATAAGAAGGAAGAATAGGAAACTTACGCGCAGAGCTTTTGGCAGCTTTTCCAGCAAGTCTTCCATTTTTCGTTCGGAAGCAGGCATGTTCTATCGTGGATGAAGCTTTTTTCGAGGTCATCATTAACTTTAGTTTTTGGGCAAGAAGGAGATCCAGCCATCGAATCTCCTACTTCATGCTCGATGGACCGAATATGCCTAAAAAGTAAATTCCAGTGTCAGCGCAGGATCTTCATTTCAAAAGAGAAAACGTACAGTAGCTAATTCCGGGAATTCGCTTTTTGACATACACGGCCTCTTACAACTATTCAAAAAAATGTGAGTTATGATATTTTGATCGTAACATAAGATGATTTCAAAAAACTTTTTGAGGGGCCGGAAATCGTAAAAAATCTGTTAGTGCAGTTTTCGTCAGCTAGTCGAGACAAGTCGAATGATGGGTCTAACTCCTGATGACTGTTAGGATTTACCGGTTTACCGGCTGGTTACCGGAAATTACGTTGTCACCCGCCGTTTTTGTTCTAGATGTGGTAAACAGATGATCGACCCAGGAAATTGTTCCTTATAGTCGGTTCTACTCTAGGCTCAAAGATGAGGCTCGTATCAATACTCTGAAGAGAGTTATCACTAAAATACTATTTATGGCAGAAATGGGACTTAAAATCAGGAACGTGCAGCAACAACAAAATGCATGTAAAATTTACTGTTTTTGTGATACAGACAAAACGGACAATTCCGGAGATTTGAGGGAAATTGGTAAAATTTTGTAAGCGCACAATTTCGGAAATTTTAAACAAAAAATTCAACTGAGAGGTCTATTTTCTATGTTGGACCACCTTTTTGCGAAAAAAAACGAAGAAAAGTTACTTCAAAAATTACTTCAGAAAAGTAATCAGAGAAAAGCCAAAAAAGCCATCGGCAGCACTTAAAAAAGCCTATTTTCAGGTTGACACCCTTAAAAATAGCATTTTGGAAGAAAAATAGTTTCAAGTAGAATTCGGACAATTCCGGAGATTTGGCGCTTTTCCCCATAAAAAACTTCCGGAATTGTCCGTTTTGTCTGTAACTCTCTTCAGAGTATTGATAAGAGCCTCATCTTTGAGCCTAGAGTAGAACCGACTATAAGGAACAATTTCCTGGGTCGTTCATCTTTTTACCACTTCTAGAACAAAAACGGCGGGTGACAACGTAATTTCCGGTAACCAGCCGGTAAACCGGTAAATCCTGACAGTCATCAGGAGTTAGACCCATCATTCGACTCGTCTCGACTAGCTGAAGAAAACTGCACTTACGGATTTTTTACGATTTCCGGCCCCGCAAAAAGTTTTTTGAAATCATCATAATAATTCAGACCACGGCCCTTTTTTACGTTTTTTAAACAAGTAGAGATCAATAGTAATTCGCGTTGAAAGAAAACAGGTGTCTCGGGCGGCGTGGCCGGTGGCGAAATTTTCTTGCAATAACTACTTTTGTACTGTAGTAATTCTCGGTTCCGATGAGCCTCGGCGGATATCTTGCGTAGTTCCCTTATGTCTCGTAGGCGAGCGCTTTTGCGCCAATCAGCGGATGCGCCGCCCGAACTTCTTCCACACTTTTTTCTACTCTTTTGAAAACTCCGGCTCCAATCGGAACCAAAATCAACACTTACAAAATAAACTCAACAAAGAAATGTACGCTCAATATTTTTTCAAGTCAGCTTTTCTTATTTTGAAGAGGAAATAGACGCGGCAAATTGATTGAAACCGCGGAAAAAAAAACCGTAAAACATGAATTATTTCGAGAACTACTAGAATTTGATAAAGAGAGTGTTTTCCGAAGATTTGGAGAAAAGGGAAATTGGAAAAATTAAAAGAATAAAGTAGAAGAACAAATAGAAAAAGGTAGGAAACTGTGATTGTTCTGTTGTGGCTACTGTATGTGTGAGAGTAGTGATCAATTTTTCATTTTTTTTGGAATGTCAAGAGAAAGGTCAAGGAAGATTTATTTTGCAGAAATTGGAGATTCGTAGGAAGAGATTTTTCTTGAGAATTTTTTGCATTCAATCTTCCGGTTCATTCGAGTTTGCTGAATGAAAAACATAGTGACCAAGGTAACTCTTCTCGCGATGCTGACATTATCAGTACAGACAATTTCAGTGTTACCGAAGTTACGGCGCCGCGGAAGACTAGATAAGAATGCTCTATCAAATTTTGAAATAACAAAATGTCAATGATTTTCTGTTTGTCTATTCTTGGGGAAAAGTTTTATGCAAGGAAGATAGTTTATCTTGTTTGCGATTTGGTCATTCACAAATTTGTATATTGTAAGAGCATTAGTCGGCCGGTAGAAGTCTGTGGTCACTATCATTTGCAGTAGTTTGATGATAGATTTGATGAAGATTTATTGACAAAAAGCTCAGTTGGAGGCAAGTCTATGCTTGTAAAAGAGCAGCTGGTTGTCGGGCTCAGTCATAAACTGTCTACATCAAAATTTTCATGGTCTACTGTGCAGTCGCTGTGGACGAAAATGAGTAGACCGTTGAAAACAGAGGGAAAATAGGGTAGTAGTGACGTTACGCTTTTTTTCTCGTGAATTGTGACTTCCGTTTTGAGGTCATAACCGTTAGTTGAGCAGTTTAAAGACATATTTCGTGTTTCATGATTTGCCAACAAGTTGATTAGTGATCAGAAGAAAAATAATATTTCCGATGACAAGCGGGGTTTTACCGGTAAAACTGTCATCGCAACCTTTGGCTGCATCCTTCTTCATGAATCTATTGGACGGAAACAGTAGACTCGAGCAATCGAAGCATTAAATTGAAAAATTATTCGTGATTTTGAAAAGAAGATAATTTTTAATCGAGGTCTGACCGAGGATAAGCCCGTTTAAGCTGCCCCATACAAACTTACTCAAGATTTTAGGAAAATCTGTCAGCTTTATTAGCTTATTTGTGGCATATTTATGAGAGCGGCTATGACGTCAGGAACGTATTTGTTGTAATCAAGGTATGATCTCGTTTATCATTCTGAAAAAGCTGAATTTACTGAATGAATCGGTACTTTAATAAGCAGTAAAGAGATCGATGGGTAGGATCTGTCAATATTTCAAGTTTTTCAATGGATCACCTTGATTGATAATCGCAAGTTCAAAACGATTTCGTGATTGACTGTATCAAGTTTTCAAAAATCGATAGCTCTTTTATCGTTAATCCTTAAAAAAAGCTCTTTACTTGGAATGTTTGAATTTGGTTTTTTTCCTGTCACCCTGGCGCATCGAATTCGCGGCGTTTTGTCATTCACGTTCTGGTTAGAAATTACAACGCTCCTATCAGTGTCTATTCGACTGTCTAAACTTTAAATTTTAACGTCTGTCGGTAGCAATAGTGTTTGTTCGAAATTGACCGACTTTGCGAAAGTCCAAGCTGTTAGTTTCCGGAGAACATTTTTTACTTGAGAATCTTGCGTTTTCATCATTATTTCCTACAGAGAATGTGTAAGTCATCATATCGCCATTTACAAAATGGTTTTTACAGCTTTGATTTTCTCCCCCATATTTTCTGTGACGAAATTATCTGCGCACTGTCGCTTGAGATCGTAAAAATTGCCCTGTGTTTGCGACGTAGACGCTAAAAGCTCTAAAAGCGCTAGTGCGGATTAAACTTACCCTTTTATCTTCCCAGCAGAGATTAAAACTATTAATACAGTTAATGAGTTGAGAAAGAGGAGTTCAAAGAAATACTTTTTCATCGTTGTTTTCAAAGGGAAAAAGAGGGACGTTCATTTCGCGACAATCATAAATTTCCTAGGCAGATACCGATGCCGGGTGTTTTTGGAGAGAGAGAATAGGAATCAGCTCGTTATCAGTGTTAAATTTAGCCAACGGTCGGGGACTAAGTGAAAGGCCCGCGGGCCAGCCCCGCTGCGTACAATATTGGCACGCATAAACTGAGTGAGAAAAATGTAATTACCAGTAGTTTTTTAGTGAGGCAGACAGAAAATATGAATGCGCTCATCCTCGCAGCGGGATACGGCACGAGACTACAGAGAGATTTAGAGAATGACTCCAGTGGAAAATATGAACAGCTCAAGGTACATGAATAAGAGGAACTTTCATTGATTGATGGTTTAAGAAAAGCCGATATAAAACTTTTTGTTATTAGGGATTGCCGAAAGCACTGCTGCCCATCGGCGGCCAGGCACTGATATCTCGCTGGGTCGAGCTCTTATCGCCCCTTGAACGGCTGAAAAAAGTTGTTGTTCTATCGAACGATAAATACTTTGGTCAATTCGCCCAGTGGAAAGAGAAAAACAACTTTGCAAAAGGTACCCTTTTGTTTAATCAAAATTCATTCTTGTTTACCCAATACCAAAGCTCCTAGGCTATCGTAAGAAATAGAAAACTGCCCGGGTACCGATTTAAATGGATCAACTATAATAACAGCTTTCCGCTTCCTCTTCTCGTTACCTAAGCTGATGGGTTTTTGATGAATTCCCGCAGCGCGACGCGGTAGAATTCAAGGCCATTACTGATATTACTTACTTTGTTCTGTTCCAACCCTGAACAGATTTAGGTAGTTATTTCGGCGACTAAGTGTTCGCACTTGGTCTTGAAAACGCAAAGTTTCACAAAAATTTTCGCGCGTAATTATCATCCGTCCGTGCAGATGATGATCTTTTCAAAACTACTTGAACGAGCGCATTCTCACGACAATTAGCCACTCAAATAAACTTTCAGTATAGTACCAGTTAACGAAGTAGAGTTTTGTCGCGAGCTAATCTTTTGTTCGACCTAAAATAGCGGACTTTGTGATAGCCCTTATCAATTAAGCATTTTGCTTGTAAGAGTGGTAGTTCTGGTATCTTATCTCGCCATAACAATAATTTGGTTTGCCCATCAAACTATTTTTTTCTAATTACTAATTTGCCATTAGGGAAATAATTTGTCATTTGCTCCATAAAATCCAATAATTTATTGCGACTCAAGTTTAAATATGACTTTCTGCTTTTTGATCGATGCGCCCCAGATAAAGGGAGTTAACTGCCAGTGGAGGACGTAATTATCCCTTTGGTTAGTTGAATTATTGCAAATTTAAGTCTCCCTTCAGTGGAAGTACTCAGTGATGGAACAAAATCAAACGAGAGTCGGCTAGGCGCGATCGGTTCAATCCAGTACGCCATTCGCGCGGGCAAGCTTGAAGAGGAGCCCCTTCTCGTCATTGGCGGAGACACTTTGTTGGATGTCAACTTTGACATGGTTGAATTCCTAGAGAAGGCTGAGACGAATTGCCAGTTGCGAGCATATGTGACAGGTAAGAAGCATGACGAGTTCCGCTTCGAAATTCAATAAGCCACTTTGACTTGTTCCGTAATAAATAGCTTCTCAGCAAAGAAAAGAAACGATGAACTCTTTCTATTCCTCATCGAATTCTTTTCATCTATGAGCTAGAAAGAAAAAGATCAAATTTTTTCTCTTGCAGGCTGGCAGCCAATTTCAATAAGGAGTTGAGATTCGAAATCCTAGCACCCCCCTTACTTGTGCTCATTAGAAAGAGCGCAAAAAGTTACGCCAGAAAAAAGTACTTTTAGAGGATGAGTCCTCGAAGATGACGTCACGATGACTCACTGAAGTTCCAAAAGTCCAAAACTTTGCCACGCTCTCATTTTTTTTCTAGAAATGGAAAACTTGAGTTCGATACAGGAAAATGATCGTCTTGAGCCACTCTACCTGAAGAGCTACACATGAAAAATCCAACTCTAGAAAAAAATTTTTCTAGTTTTAGTTCTAGAGTTTTCTTGAGTTGGATCTTTCATATGTAGCTCTTCAGGTAGAGTGGCTCAAGACGATCATTTTTCTATATCGAACTCAAATTTTTCATTCCTAGAAAAAAAATGAGAGCGTGGCAAAGTTTTGGACTTTTGGAACTTCAGTGAGTCATCGTGACGTCATTTTCGGGGACTCATCCTCTAAAAGTACTTTTTTCTGGCGTAACTTTTTGCCCTCTTTCCAATGAGCACAAGAAAGGGGGGTGCTAGGATTTCGAATCTCAACTCCTTATTGAAATTGGCCTGCAAGTTGCAGCGGTTAAACTGAAATGAACCTATTTTTGTTGTTGAATATTTCGAACTTAACCATCAAAATCTGAATTAAAACTGACCTTTTATTTAACTCGGCGTCGGAAACTTTTAACATTGTTTAACAAATTCTTTCTCAGCGTATAAAATTGGAGAGCTGGAGACAACGAAGTATGGCATCCTAGAGACAGATTCGACAGGAATCGTGACAGGATTCAAAGAGAAACCGGCGCCCGAAGAAACAACCTCGCGAATAGCCTGTCCTTGCTTCTATTATTTCAAAAGCGATGTATTTGTTTTGATTTCCGACTTTCTCAGGGAGAAGCGCGACGCTGTTCTGGCAGAGCGCGATGCAACCGGCCTACTGCTCCGATATTTATACGATAAGGTTCAAATATACACTTGCCCCATTGCCGGCAGATTCGATGTTGGAAACCTCAGGCAATATATCGAGGCCGATGAATTTTTCAATGATTTCAAACGATGAAAAAGTTCGTTTCCTCTGTTTTTTATCATTTTTCCACAGTTTTCTACAATAATTAGTTTACTGCTCAATTTTTATTCTGAACAGTTCAATTCATCATCATTTTTCTTCAAGGCGAAAAAGAAACTTCCTTTATTGGTGTTTAGATGGAGCAGTATAAATTTTACAATCGAATCGGAGAAGGTGCTCATGGGGTGGTCTACTTGGGACAGGCGGTGCGGACAGGCGAGAAAGTGGCACTGAAGAAAATTCCAATTTCTGAGAAGAAACTCAATGCCGGATTACCCAAAGAGCTGATCAGAGAGATCCAAGCAATGCGCCAAACGACCCGTCTCCCGGAGATTGATTACGACGATGATTATCCAGAAGAAGAGATCCGTGGCGCGCAGCACGTGTTAAAATTACGCGATGTTTTTGCGGCCGGAAGTGCCGTTGTTTTGGCTACTGATCTGATGGAAGGCACGTGTTACAAAAGCAAACTCGTAAATCATGTTTAATTAGACATGTTATGAAAGTTCAAATACTTAATTTTTAACGATGGGTCTTTTATGAACTTGGCGAAGCACTTAAAAACGCGTTGAAAACACGTCTAAGGTGACTTGGGCGATATAATCCGAAGTGCTGAACGAATGCGGCCAGAGATCGCGAAAACATACGCCAGGCAAATGCTGGAGGGCGTAGCGTATATTCATTCAAAAAACATTCTGCACAGAGATTTGAAACCGTCAAACATGTTGATCGACAACAAGGGACAGCTGAAAATTGGCGACTTTGGACAAGGTACAAGAACTCACTCTCATGAATAAATTAGAATTATTTCTTCAGCTCGAATTTACGAAAAAGAGTGTCCAATGTCCCACAAAGTGGCAACCCGATGGTATCGCGCGCCTGAGCTGCTGTACGGCGCACATCGCTACGACTTTGGGTTAGTAACCCATCTCTGCACTTTCCCGTAACAATCGCGACAATTAGGGTCGATTTATGGGCCGTCGGGTGCATAATTGGCGAGCTCTTTCTCTTCTCGCCGCTCTTCCCCGGTCAGTCCGACATCGAGCAGCTCTACATTGTTGTGCAAACGTTGGGGACGCCAACTGACGAGACCTGGCCCGGGCGAAAGTCGCTGCCCGACTACGCCAAGATTGTTTTTCACGAAACGAAAGGAAAAGATATCGGCGAGATACTCGCCAAAGCGCCAGATTACACAGCTGACCTGGTCAAGTCGTTTCTGGTTTATGATTCAACCCAGAGATTACCCGCCGCCGAAAGCCTCCGCCATCACTTTTTCAAAGGTAAGTCTACTTCCGTTCGGGATAATTTGTATCCCTCTTACAGAGATAAAGTATTTCGAATCTACTCATTCAAATTATGCCCTTATGAAATTCTAACTACCATTTATGTGGGGAAAGTCAATAAACTATGTATTGTTTGAAATTTTTATGAATCGAGAAGACAGCTCGTAATTACGCCGAACAGAATCGTTCATGAACTCGTAAGAGAAACGGAGAGAACAGAAAGATAGAAATAATTTCATTTTAGCTTCCCCACTGCCCGCTCGTAAAGAAGAGCTCTCGCCGCCTAAACAGGACCCGCGGAAATTTGACGACTTCTCTTCCAACGAATCGTCGATTAGCAACAGTTTATCGGAATTTATGAATTGCAACAGCTGATGTTTTTATTGTCAATCCTTTTTGTATCTGTAAATTTTTCTATTTTTGTACTTGAAGAATGTTTACTTTTCTATCCCTTCTAATCATTTTTGATTTTCAGATGCAGTTATAAAAGAAAACAACAAGAGATCAAAATATAAAACAGAAAAATGATGCCTCGTGGAATCACGCGATGCAAAGGGATGCTCCCGACCCTTCTGGGACTGACGATCGGCCTCGCCCTTTCCTTTCTCCGAGCGCCAGTAATCGAGCCAGATGAATGCCGAACATACGAAACCTCACTTGACAGTAATAATGAAGCCCTTGCGCTGGACAATTCCGTGCCGGCTTTTCCCGCATCTGATGAAGAAGAAGATTTCGAGCCTCAAATCATCGTTGATCCGAAGCTCAAGCCAAAAGTCGACCTGGAAGCGAACAAGAAAAAAGTCGTGCGAAGCCGTTATATTTCTACCGAACTTGGAATCCGCGAACGTCTTGTTTCATCTATGATAACTACAAAGGATACAGTCTCGTCACTTGCGATTGCACAGAATAAAACGCTTGGCCATCACATGCAAAAACTGCTGTTCTTCTTTGGCTCTCACGAGCAACCCTTCAGAGGGAAGAATCATCAACCAGCTGGGATGAACATTGTTGTCCACCCAGAAGAAGACGAGATTCGAATTCTCTACCAGACTCTGTACTATCTCTATCAACACTACAACGAAGTCTACGACTGGTTCTTCGTCGGCTACGACAATTCTTACGTCGCCGGCTACCGGGTCAACGAAATTGTCAACCACATGTCTATCACGCGCAAGTTGTACCTCGGCCTTCCTGCCCGAATCCACGACGAGAAAATAGACGGTTACTACTGTAAACAATCGGCCGGCTTCATCATGTCAAGAGCGCTTATGATGGCGGTAATGCCGGAAATGAACAAATGCTTGAGGTAAACAAATACTGTCTCAAAAGAGCCAAGAATAACATTTTGCTTCTTAGTGGAATAACAGCTGATTCGCCGGACGAATGGCTCGGCCGATGTTTGCTCACGCTAACAAAGGGAGAAGTCGGATGTGTAAATACAGAAGAAGTTCAAACTTACGAATCAATAAACCTCGAAAACGACGAACAATTTGACGTCGAAACAGCCTCCTCAAAGGTAAGAAATTACCACACATCAGCAACGCTAAATTTAATTGTCAGTTATTTGAAAAAGCTGTCTCCGCTTTCCCTGTCGTCACTACCACCGAAGTTTACAAATTGCACAAACGCTTCTCAGAAGTCGAAATCGACATGACTTACCGGAAGATTGAATTCCTCCAAGAAGAGATCAAGAATCTCTCAGCCAAGACTCCACAAGGAGAAGATGGTCTCAGCTGGCCAATTGGTGTCAATCCTCCCTTCCAACCTTCGAATAGATGGGAAGTCATCAACTGGGACTATTTTGACTCCACGCACACGCTCACATGCCCAGGCGAAATACCAAAATGCGAGGTTTGGACGATTTATTTCCATTTTATTTTTAAATTTATTTTTAAACTAGCTATCTGATATGGAGAAGAAAGACGTCAACGACATCGTAGCAACAGCTGTTTCGCGATTGCAAGAAAAATATAAGCCACAAGGAATGGAAATCGACCTGATCAAGCTGGAGAACGGTTACAAACGATTTGATCCCCAACGCGGTATGGAATACATGCTAGATTTGAAACTCCGTGTCACCGTGGATGCTGGACAAACTGAATTAAGGTAAGCTTGCGTTTCAAGAGTTCAGACTTAATATTCGTTCAGCCATCGTGTTGATCTTCTGCGACCGCTCTCGCAAGTGGAGATTATCCCGATGCCTTACGTGACCGATACGACCAAAATAAACATGATCCTTCCTGTTTCGGTGGACGAAGCCGAAGCCCTCCGGGTGTTTTTGGACAAATTCGAAAAGGTTAGACGAGTTTCAACACCAAATTAGTCCAATTAACTTATTTTTGAACTAAAGAACATGATAACGAACTACTGTTTTAGAAAGTTCTGATGGGCAAGGACAAAGAGTCAATCCTGTTGACTATTATTTTCATATACGGCGCTGCAGAGGCTGAAAAAGTTCACCAAAAGGTTAATAATTATTAATAAGGAAATGCAATGTATAATCGTTGACATTTTCAGGACGATCCCTTCACTGTACAAAAAGAGCGACTCGGCGCACTGGAAGTGAAATATGGTAGCCAAGAGAACCGCCCAAAGGTCATTCCATGGATGTCGATTAAGACCGACATCCCAAGCCAGGTACATACGCAAACTCAAAATATCACCGCGCTAGGCTTAATTTTAGTTGCGAATTCTGGACGTGATTGTCCGAACTAAGAAGTTCACGGCGGACTCTCTCTTCTTCCTCGCCTCACCCCACGCAGACGTCAATGCAGATCTGTTTGACAGGTGTCGAATGAACGCGATAGCAGGTAATTGACCATTAGGATTACCAGCCATTGAAACTGGAATTCAGGATGGCAAGCGTACTTCCCCGTGCCTTTTACGCAGTTTAACAAGGAGATAGCGCCTGATGTCAAGGAAGAGATCGAAATCAAAGGATCAACTGGCCATTTCGATATCTATAGGTACCAACGACACCTAACGATAGTGAGTAATACTGTCATTTCTAGCTTCGACGAAACATGCTTCTTTAACTCGGACTACATGGCAGCCCGTAGCAAATTTGCTCAGAAGAGTCAAAAGAATCAAGATCTCATTGATAACATCGACTTGTAAGCGCCAAACTCGTATGACCCGCTCTTAACGGATTCAATCTAGATACGAATTGTTTATGGAAAACTCGGAGCTCCATGTTTTCCGAGCAGTAGAACCTGCGTTGAAGAGAAGATGGACGCTGCGCCAGTGCAGCGTGAAGAGAGGCGATGGAGCGGTGGATAGATGTGAACGGTCTAATGCCGAAGGTAAAAAGAGTAGACTTAATGTCATAAGCTCCCTGTCTTTGACATTTACGGCGGGTTAATTGTCGTGAAATCAATCAAGCGGATTGATTGTCGGATTTGCCCTATTTTAAGATTGCTAAACTAACTCAATGCTAAATGAACTTCTGAAGTTCATTGATTGAATCAATCGTAAAATTGATAATCTAGGGCTTGGAACGAGAACGCAACTTGCGATGAAGCTGTTCCCAGACGAAGTAAACAGCGACGACACGTGATACGCGTGAGCTCCCTTGATGCCCTTTTGAATTGCTCGGAAAGACCTTACCTAAACCCCATCTCCGCTCTGTCTCGCCGAGTAACAAAAAAAACTGATAAAAACGACGCTGCCGAATCCACTACTGCCACAAACCAAGAGATCGCTCGAGATCGGACTGAATCTGTATTACCAGCTCAACAATCTCAACCAAAACTCTAGCCTTATCGAAAATTTCTAGCAATTTATATATTTAAAATTTCAAAAAAAAAAAAATAACCGCTATCAGGCTTTCTGTTTCTAATCGGCTATAAGAGAGGCCTTTTCTATTTCTATATTTTACAATTGCACCAATGCTCGTTATCAGTGCTTGGAATTGAATTAAGGGGGTCCCCCACGATTTTGCGATTTTGCGAATTAGATTTTTTTCTCTTCAGATCTGAATTCCTCGTGCAAAAAGCTGCAAAAAAGGTCTCTAGCATTTTTCGATTTTTGTAGAAAAAAGTGTCTAAAATCGACCTTGAAGTTACCAATTTTGCTTCATCTTCATAAAAATTGAAAAATCAACCCTTTTTTATAGTTGTCTAAGGGTCGCACATAGCACCTTTTTAGAAAGGCTATGAGCTAAGCTTTCTGAAAATGCCCGAAAATATGGGTTTGGGTTATGCCCAGAGGGCAATTTACATGATTGAAATTTCCGAAATCGTACATTTTTTTGATCGTCTTTGTTACATAATCATTTTCTGGAAATAGAAAAAACTGAGAGACGCTTCACTAGATTAGTGTTAGAGCTTTAAGAAACAGCAGAAAAAATTTTTTTTGTAACCTAAATTTTTGGAGTAATCTCAGGTGAAAAAATGGCCAAACACGCGATTATCTGCGAGATGCTTTCCTTCTCGGCGCCGTTGCGCAAGATGTGGTTGAATTTTAAAGAATCTGAGATACGCTTCACTAGATCTAGGTTTGACCTACTTGTACGTGAAAAAATTTTTGAAAAATATAAGTCTGTGTCGGCGTGAGCGCCGGTCGAAAATGGCCAATTTCGGAAAAATCGTTGGGGACCCCCTTAAGGGCATCTCCCCTTGATTGCTTTTCTTTCTTGGTCTGAGACGACAGTTTTCGGGAATTAATTTATTTCCTCACTGTTCAAAACCTATCTTATCATCTGCGCACTTATGACCTAAAACTCAGATAAAACGCGCTGGTTTTTATACTTTATTTTATCATTGTGTGTTCTTGAACAATTCTCACCTCACTTGAAACGCTTTTTACCTTCGCGTCTTTATAATCTAAGTGCAATTGAGTCTTTCTTTATATTTTCATTGCTGTGCCGATATTCTTCAATTATAAAAGAGACTTTTATCATCGTTTTCAATTTATTCTCGTTATTTTATTTTTATAAGTTGCAGAAAATGATCTATTCGGAATTAGATTCAAAGGATTATTGAATCTATTTAGATTATCTTAATTATAAATAATAATCTTATCTAACAGAAGCCGCAACTGGTTATTTGAGAAAAATGATTAATTTTTGAGTCGGTCCTAAAATATATTTATCACCGACGACAATATTCTTGCCTATCCTCCTCGATCTAACACTATCCAAAATCCTTATTCTTGCTAGACCCGCCATTGTAAGAAATCATTTCTTAAAATTTAGAACAAACAAACTCGCAATCAACGCCTTTTTTATATTTATAAAGAGCATTTATGCAATTCACAAAAAAACTTTTTGATGATGATTTTTTGCATCAGAATGAAGTTGCTCTCGATTTTTGTTGCTTTGGCCGCTGCCGTTGGAGATCTCAAGGTAGGAGCTTAAAGTTTAGATTATGAAGCTCAAATTTTGCGAATAAAGAAGTCACGAAAGATTAAGACTCATACTGTAAGTTTAGGTGATGTGTAGGGATTAAATTTACTCAGTTATCATAAGAATTTGTACTCATTTCAGTACTCCATTGAAAATTGAAAGGCTCAAAGTGTTTTAGGCTGCCATTGGCAAGCCTGCTCCAGCATTTACTGCCGAAGCTGTCGTTGACGGTGATTTCCAGCAGGTCTCGCTCTCTGATTACAAGGGCAAGTACCTTGTCTTCTTCTTCTATCCCCTCGACTTCACATTTGTCTGCCCCACTGAAATTATCGCCTTCAGGTAGCTCGTCCCCTTAGACCTTCAATTTTTCACCGATTTTAGCGACCGAGTCGAAGAATTCCGAGCCATTGGCGCCGAAGTCGTTGCCGCTTCTGTTGACTCTCACTTTACCCATCTTGCCTGGACCAAGACTCCACGAAAAGAAGGTGGTCTCGGAAAGATGAACATCCCTCTTGTATCAGACTTGACCAAATCGATCTCGCGTGACTATGGTGTTCTTCTTGAGGATCAAGGAATCACTCTCCGAGGTCTTTTCATCATCGATCCTGATCAGGTCATCCGACAAATTACCATCAACGATCTCCCAGTCGGCCGGTAAGATATCAACGGTGTATTCAGCACTAATATAATATTTTTTCGTAGCGATGTCGACGAAACCCTTCGACTCGTCCAAGCCTTCCAGTACGTCGACAAGCACGGAGAGGTCTGCCCAGCCGGATGGAAGCCAGGCAAAGCTACCATCATCCCCAACCCTAACGACAAGGTCAAATACTTCTCCAAGCAAGATGAACTCTAAATCGAATTCGACAACTGAAAAACGTTTCAGCCCACAAGTGTCTTCCCAGAAACTCCCAAACAAACAAAAAATTAGTTCAATTTTCAACGGTGCAATAGGCTAGAAATAGTCATCTTTTTAGCGAAGTATTCATAAGTTATGAATCATAACCCCTTATCGAATAATGCCTGTCATGTTTTAATTATTTATACAGTAGGATTATTATATCTGTGCTTTTCTCCGATTCTGAATAAACTTGAAAACACCTTCAGACTGATGGATGAAGGTGGAGACAAACATAGTGGTTATCGTTGGGAAGGAGGGTATGAGAGAACCTGGGAGGCGCTCAGAGAGGATGATACTGGTGCATTAATCTCCGGTTCTTCCGCGGCAAAACGGCTCTTTGCCAAGAAACGGCTGGCCCAAGAAGCGGGAAAGCGTATCCACATCGTCAGGTAGCTGCAGTCGGTGGAAAGTGCCTCTATAAAAATAAATCTAGGCATTGTGTTTTGGCGCTTGACTTGTCACGTTCGATGGCAGATCCCGATCTTCGGATAGATCGCTATCCGAATAGAGCTGGATGCGCGATACGAAGTTTGAAAGAGTTTGTTCCCAAGTTTTTCGCAGCATGTCCGCTTGGCCAGCTTGCACTTGTTATTCTGCAGAATAAACGAGCTAATATTGTGGGTATGTTGACTTGGTTACACAGAATGGTTGATGAAGGTGCTTTCTAGTTCCTCTTGGGGGATCCGAAGCGCGCTTGCTCAACGCGTTAAAAGACATCGAAGTGAAGGGTTTCAAAACGGGTGGACAGTGTTCAATGGTAAACGGAATCGCGGCAGCGAAATCGATGCTCTCCGCAGTCGGCGATCACTCAAATCGGGAGATTATTTTCGTTGTCGGATCGTTAAACACCATCGATGTTACGAGTCCATTTTCGACCATTGAGACGGGTACGACAGTTTTTTTAGATGAGTACTTGAATTAATATTTACTTTTTTTACAGTGGCAAATGGAGGAATTCGTTGCTCCGTTGTGTCTCTCTCGGCAGAAGTGAATATTTGGAAGAAGCTGACAGAGCGGACTGATGGAAAGTATTTTGTGCCTCTTGATCCTATCGACATTTCCGACAAGCTTGAGGAGCTGACGAGGCCGCCTGTTGAGTCGTCTGCCAGACAGGGTGTTCTAGTGAAGATGGGATTCCCACAGAAAGAAACAGATGATAAATATATTTGCCCCCAGTGCAGAACAAGAGTTAAAGGTATATCGAGAGGCCAAATGATCAAAAATACCACATTCTAGCAATCCCAACGTTATGTGACGTCTGCAGGTTATCCCTCGTTTCTGCAGCTCATCTCGCTCGGTGCTACCATCACCTCTTTCCTCCGTCAACAGTTACGCCTTCTATTCCGGAGCAGAAAGACGAAGAGATCGATCTTGAGCTCGAGCGCAGTCAGTTCGATCAGATCAAACCCTGCGTCGGCTGCAATTTCGCTCCTTCTACTGTTGAGCAGGGTCGACAATTTGTCGTCTGCGACAAGTGCCAGAGCTCCCTGTGTGGCGATTGTGACGGCTTCATAGATGATCATCTGCACTCCTGCCCTGGCTGTATTTAAAACCAATAGATGTCCAATAATTTGAGAACGAGAGAACTTGAACTTTTCCGCGTGGCTGAGCCAACTGCCGAAACAATGAACGCTTAATTTAACCCTTGGCCTAAACTTGACTTTATTCAGAATGAGCTTGCCTAGAGTAACTCGGCAATGGCTAGTCCAAAAGTTATCTCAGAACTTTCGCGAGTCAGTAGCTCTTCAAGAAGTGCCACTTGCGGAACCCAGCGGTCGAGAAATGGTCATTAAGAATCACGCTGTTGGAATCAACGCGTCTGATGTTAACTTTACTTCTGGCGCATACATGCCTGGAGTGCAACCTCCTTTTCCTTGCGGATTCGAAGCTGTAGGAACAGTCGTTGCAGCAGGACCTAAAGCGATGGCAAAAGAAGGAGATCACGTGTGCTACATGGAATACGGCGCATTCTCCGACTATCACACCACTTCCAAAGGTAACGATACTTTCTTTTCGATCTTTCTTTCAAGTATTATTTTAGTGTTTCCGGTCCCCACTGCCGACCCAAAATACATTCCCCTTTTGGTTTCAGGCCTGACCGCAGCAATTTCTCTGAATGTCAACGGAGTCGACGTTTTCAAGAAGGATGCTTCAAGCAAGCCTCCAAGAGTCGGTCTCGTTACTGCCGCTGCTGGTGGCACTGGCCAGTTTGCGACCCAGTTGCTCGCTCACTCCGGCGCGAGCAAAGTCATTGCGACTTGCTCTAATCAAAAGAAGGCCGACTTTCTCAAGAGCATTGGCGCTACGCACGTGATCAATCTTTCCGAAGAGAAACTAGGCGTGGCATTGCCAGAACTCGCCCCGAGCGGCGTCAACGTGGCTTACGAAAGTGTTGGTGGAAAAGTTCTCGACTCTGTTATTGACAATTTGGCAACTGCTGGCAAATGTGTTCAAATCGGATTTATCTCAAGCTACTTGGAGAAGGGTGGAATGGCTCGAGGCGTGTCCCCGCAAGGTAAACGATCAATCGTACGAGGAATTCGCACGCGGCCACCAAGACGAGCCTCAAGTAATCTCACCAGACAGAATTATAGAATCATACCTGCAAAGCAATATCCACAGGAAATCGATTAATAAATCTAACTCATGTTTAGATGAATTACCATAAGAATTTTTTTGGCAGAAAATTTCTTTTCGAGTTATCACTATATTGTGAAAGCCCGCATCAGAATTAGTGGATTCCCAAATTTCTAGCGCCTAATGACGTCATTATGACGTCATTTATGATGATTTAAGGTTAAAAAAAGGCCCCAAATGATGAAACTTTTTAACCGTTTTTGACATGGATTTTGTTTTAAATTCAATTTTTTCTTTTTGGAATCTTGTTCAGCATGAAAAACTGAACAATCACCCAGCAAAATTTCATCGAACCGACCGGTTTTATTTTTAACTGGCGAAATTACCGGTCGGTTAACTACGATATCGGACGGTTTAATGTCGGGTGATTATTCAGTTTTTCATGCTGAACAATATTCTGAAAAGAAAAACACGAATTTCAAACAAGAACCCTCTCAAAAACGGTTAAAAAGTTTTGCCTATCTTGATGATTTTATCATCTTTTCTGACGTCATAATGACGTCATCGGGCGCTAGAATTTTGGGAATCCACTAATTCTGATATGGGCTTTCAGAATATAGTGATAACTCGCAAAAAAAATTTCCGGCCAAAAAATTCTTATGGTAATTCATCTTTATTTTACTAAAAGCCAAACAACAACGACAAAGAATTCAATATTGTTCAGCGTCCGTGATTCCTGTCAAACTCCTAACCAAATCCGCCTCCATGAACGGTTTTTTCTTGATGCACTACCCTCACCTGATGTCCGATGCTTATCAAAATCTTGTGCGTCTTGTCGATAGCGGCGCAATCTCGAGCAAAGTTGACTTCGGCCCAAATTTGCAGGGAATCGAAGCCATTCCTGATGGAGTTGATTATCTTTACTCCAAGAAATCAATTGGCAAGATTTGTGTCAAACTTGACTAAAGATTACCACACTGTAGATCAACGTGATTTGTAGATCTTCATCTACTGTATTTTATGTCCTTTTTGGAGAGATTTCCAGAACCCTGCCTGATTCTATTTATTTACGATTACGAAAATGATTTTTAGTTATAAATTTCAGCATAGATATCGGTCGGACCGGGCTGGGTTTGTAATGGAGCATTTACCTTTGATTAGGGGTCAATGATTACTGAATAAGGATGAATATTAATCTGAAGGGGTGTTGGTCGGTTTTGATTTTACAGGACTCTAGACATTTTCGGCAGACAAAATAAACACTTGAATAGAATTCATAGCTTCAAAAAGCCCTAAGAAGGGCTCATAAAAATCTTTTTACTGGAGAGAAGTAATAGCCCGCCTGTATTCTGTGACTCGAGCACTCTTAAAAGAAAAACCGACCACCATCTCCACATTGTCAAGTGAACTCATCCGTTGTTGATTCATATCTTGACCCTGTAAAAGCCAACTGGGACTGCCCATAGGCGACCCTCCCGGCATGGGCGTCATGTCAATATCATGCCTACTCTGAGTTCTCCTCAGGTCTCGGTTAGAGCTAGCTTTCTTTGCACTACTTAATCGCCCTATTGTTCAATTTCTTCGACTATGAAACGTTTCTCATGGACGGCCTAGAAGATTCTGATTAATGGAACATTAGTAATATTACATTACACTTGAATAGACTATTTGTTGTTTGTCTAGGAAGCAAGGTGCCTTTTTTCACATCATAAAAGAGCGTTCTCATTATTATCATCCACCCATAAATTGAAATGCCTCCACTTGGACTTGAAAATTTTCATAATCGAGAAAAGATCAGTTCGAAGGGCAGGATGGAATGGGAAGTGTCGCCTGATTCTGTCTTGGTTATTCGAAAGCTCCATTACGATACTGTTGGACCCTTCGTTGAACTTGCGGAATGGGTAAAATTGTTTTAGAAATTGTTTTTACTATCCGATTTAGCTCTTGAAAGAAAAGAACATGTTTGTCTTTGTGGAAGAAAAAACATTAACAGATGATGATATTTCATCGTCAGAGCATTCTGAGAAGTTCGAAGAGATCAAATCAGAATTGAAAGTCTTTCAAGGCATGACGGGGTTCGAAAAGATCTCGGAAAAGATCGATTTCGTTGTTTGCCTCGGTGGCGATGGAACCCTGCTTTACGCTTCCTCCTTGTTTCCCTCGTGTATTCCTCCCGTGATGTCTTTCAACTTGGGATCGCTTGGGTTCTTGACCCCATTTGACTTCACTGAGTTCAAAGAACACATAAATGACGTGATAGGAGGGAACATGAAGGTAAACAGACTGCCTAGACGCTACACGCTTCTATTAATATTTGCCAACACTGTATATCAAAGGTTCTTCTTCGCTCCAGACTGCATGCCGAACTCATTACTCCGGGCTCCGACTCGCCCGATGTTTCAAACACCGCTCTGAACGAAATCGTCGTCGATCGCGGCTCTCATCACTACCTCAGCAATCTCGAGCTGTATGTCAACGACAACTTGGTCACGCAAGTTCAAGCTGATGGCATCATCATAGCGACACCAACCGGTTCAACCGCGTATTCGCTCTCGGCTGGCGCAGGAATGGTTCATCCAGCCGTCCCGGCTATTCTCATCACTCCTATTTGTCCGCATTCGTTGTCTTTCAGGCCTATCGTTGTCCCTTCCACTTCCGTAATAAAAATTAAAGTCGTTCCTGAGGCGAGGAAACACGCCGTTGTTAGCTTCGATGGACGTCTTGGACCAGAGTTGCAGAAGAATCAAGATTTAATTATCAAGGCTTCAGAGGTAAACTCGATCTCTTCATCGATAAATAATTTAATCAACAATCTCAGCATTCGTTACCTACCGTATCCCGCATGGATCACGACTGGTTCAACACGCTACAAGATCTACTCGCATGGAACACACGAGTGAAGCAGAAAGCTCTTACTAACAATAATAAACCACCCACTAAATTATGATGATATCTTTAAGCTTGCCATCTTAACACGGGTCGTTGCTCTAAATCGGAAAGTAAAAATTCATAACGTTCAAAAAGTGCTCTGTTTGAATCCCGCCCTGACTGAGATTGTTTATTTCATAATCATATGATATGAATCATATCTGAACATACTGTTGCCTTCTTTTGCTATTTTCACACTCTTTCTGTATTCAATGAAATATGAAATTCGATTCAAATGAATCCTAGAAAGAAAATAAACGAAAATCTTTTATAGAAATCTTGCTTTTATCTATTCCATATGGACGGGCGGCGAATGAGTTTACCAGTGCAGCAGGAGTTTTACGCAGTCGCTGTGGGTCGTAAAACCGGACTCTTTCAGACCTGGGACGAGCTGTACGCCCAAGTTAATGGATACCCAGGCGCGCGATTTGAAGAATTCAAGTCGCTCAAAGGCGCACTCGAGTACCTTCGAAAAGAACAGGACAACTCAACTCCTGTTCTCTCGGATAAGCGAAAACGATGCGTTTCAACGCGTGATTTGTCGATTTCAAGAACACCTGAAACTCCAAGATTGACCAAACGGCGCAAGGTTCTGAGCAAAGCCGAAGAAATCAAGCTTTCAATTCATAAACTTGAGGCGGAACAGACTATTGTCCAAAACAAGATCAAGTTTTTCGAAAACCGAAAGTCGAAAATCGCTAAAGAACTCACCACTCTCAGGAAGAATCTCGAATCCGCATCTAAAGAGGAGAAAACAGCGAAAAGATCCCTCTTCCTGACTCCTAGAAAACCGAAAAAATCTCTCTAAAAAGCATCTTCTCATTTTACTGCCACAATTTTCAATAGTTCATCACTTTCTACAATTCTTAGTAAATATTTTCACTCTAGTTTTAAGATTGAATGGATGTATGCTAAATAGATTTATTCGTCGTAACATCTTCACATACACGTAAAGTAGCACCAAGTCGTGATAATCTGCATCAAGGCTCTTCAGTATGCCATTTTACGCAGTCGCAAAAGGCAAAAATCCTGGAGTTTATCTAACATGGGCAGAATGTCAAGCAAATGTGAATGGCTTCAGTGGCGCGAAATTTAAGAAGTTTCCAGATCGATTGGCAGCTTCAGACTTTGTCAAGAAATTCGGAAGTGGAACATCAACGGAAGATTCAGTCAAAGAAGAACGAGTTGATAAGGAGAATGATATTCTTAGCACTTCCCAACGGAAAAATGGTCCTTCGAAGAGAAAAGGAGATGCGAAACCAAATTTTAACCAGTTCAAAAAATCGAAGAACGATGATAAAAAGTCTGATTATCCAGAAGGCAAGAGTGACAAAGATGCCGATTATGAGCCCTACAACACACTTAAAGAGACAGAAGACGGATATTTGCTGAAAAAAGACGGCGAAACATATGTGGTTTACACAGACGGCGCCTGCCCGGGCAATCAAAACAAGAAGGGGCTACGCTTCAGCGGGTCAGGTGTTTGGTGGGGCCCGGCGAAAGCGGATTCCATCCCGAACGACCGCTTTGAAAATGAATACTCGACGAACAATTTTGGCGAGGCAAGGGCCATCCTCGCCGCTGTCAAGTGAGCAAATTACTGTCGAAACACATTATGGAAATGTTAAGGCATGCGAAAGAAAAGGGGTTCAAAAAAATCGAAGTGCGGACGGACTCGAAATTCTGCATCAGCGCCCTGGACGTCTGGATAATCAAGTGGAAGCGATTTGCGAAGGATGGAAAGTGGACTAAGTACGACAAGAGCCCAATTATCCACCAGGAAATCTTCCAGAAAATAGACGACATCCGGAGAAACTTTGTGGACATTGAATTCAGACACGTCAAGGGCCACAATGGAGAACTCGGCAATGAAAAAGCAGATAAGCTGGGTACATTTATTATTCAAATTGGAATATTGTTTTAACTCTTTCCTAGCTGTTAAAGCTGCAGAAGAGCACAAGAAACTGTACAAAATTTACATGGAAGAGTTTTCAAAAGACATGTGAACAAACCAAAGTTCCTAGAAATTAGAAATATTCACTGCCTGTATAAAAGTTCTTACTGTCCGTATCTAGCTATCGAAAAACGATAAAAACGCGCTGCAAGGAGACAGACAATTGACTGTCTTATTTTGTGCTATTGATTGGGCGCAGTCGGACTGGTTCGATCTCTCCCCACGCAAAAAAGGGTGCTCGGTCGCCCGCCGCTCCTTTTTCTTGGCTGTTTTGCGCCACTCCCCGACTGTAGATAGAAAAGAATCGTACAGTACTAATAAGACGCGCCTAACAAGACACCGCTTTAGATAAACAGAATTAGAGGAGATGAAGAGAGACGGCGAAAAAGTGACAGATGCTGACAGCGCGAAGAAGGCGAAAAATGAGGAAATTAGCGCCACACTTGGCGAAATATTGGAGGTCAACGACATGCCTACCATGTCGCAGGGAAAGTGGAAGAACAAGACCAGATGCTTGATCTTTGGATCAAGAGGCCTTGGTAGGAAAAATCATCGAAATCAAGTGTTTTCAATTGATCTTAGATTACCGAACTCGTCATTTTATGCAAGACCTTCGAAACATTATGCCACATTCCAAAGCCGATGTCAAGCTCGAAAAGAAAAACGACCGGGTAAAACTCATCTTTCAATAAATTTCTAGTGAATCTCAAAAAATTTAGGCGATCATAAAAGAAATCGCAGAAATGAAGAACTGCTCGAAAATCCTGTATTTTGAAGGGCGTAAAAAGAAGGATCTCTACATAACAGTGGCTGATGTTGATGAAGGGCCGACGATTCGATTCAATGTCGAGGGGTTGAACACGATGGGTGAATTGAAATTTTCAGGAAACTGCCTAAAGGTATTAAAAAAACTTCAACCGTCCAAGTATTTCTATTAAAGGGCTCTCGCCCCCTGCTCGTCTTCGACCATCACTTCGACGAAGAACCTCACTACGCCCTCATCAAAGAAATGTTCACTCAGGTCTTCGGCACTCCCCGCTATCACCCCAAATCGCAGCCATTCATCGACCACGTCCTCAACTTCTCCATCCTCGACGACAGAATCTGGATCAGAAACTATCAGATCATCTTGGAAGGAACGAACAAGGTCAAGGATCAGAAGTTTGAGCCTGAGACGGTTGAAATCGGACCGCGACTGGTGCTGAACTTGCAAAGGATTCAGGAGGGACCGTTTTCGGGGCCAGCGATCTATCTCAATCCAGGTAAAATACGCATATTGTTTTTTTATTTGTTGCTATTATCCTCGCTCTTGTGATTGATGTGAATATTTGTGTTCTAGATTATGTGAGCCCGAACGAGCGAAGACGCGCCCAAGGCTACGGCCAAAAGGGCAAGAGTTACATGAACAAGGTCATCGAAAGAGAAGCAAAGGAAGAGCACAAGAAGAACCTGCCAGAAGCGCCGAAGCACGTTACGGATGAAATCTTTGTAAATAACTAAACGAACGTTTTTTGAATGAGAACATCGAAGGATCTTTTTTATTGAAGGAATAAATATAAATATGAGCGGCCGCTGTGCCGAACAACACGAAAAATCATAACTGACCGTTTAAATTTCTCATATGGTGTCAAAACTAACCGGGATCAGCTCGAATGATTATGGAGTGGTCAGAGCGGGGGTACCATCTGGTGGTGCCTTTCGTCTTGAAACCCTCCGCTATTAATTAGCTCGGCTTTCCGTCGTCCAGGTCATCGTGATCTGTTACACCCGTGCCCTTCTTACAACCATCAAAGTTTTCAACTTACTAGAATGATGCGTCGAATACGGCCCCCTCGAATATGTTTTCTATCGACTTCAAGATCCTACACCACCCGGCTGGACTATCGGAAGAAACTGATCCCTCCGGTTCCCTCAAGTACGCGAATAAAAACAGAACTTGCCGATAAGTCTATAAAGCCTTTCAGAAAATAATACCATTACGCTTTCCCGAGCTAAGGACGAGTACGGTGTGACCGAGGAAGATTTGAAAGACTTGGACTTCTTCATGGTACGAAGTCCGTATGAAGATGGAAAGGAGATCAAGGTCTTTCTGGAAGATAAGGTTATAGAAGTTGGGCAAAGAATGGCCGGGCGGAATGTCAAGGCCTCAAAGAATGACTTGGAAAAGTATCGAAATCGACAGAATACCCGGATGGCGCAACAAACGAAAGGGCAAAGTGCAAAAGTTAATGAAGGAGATACAGTCGTGATTTGGCAATTCTGTGGAAATGCATCGTGAGTTTCTGAAAAATGTAAAATTCTTGACGAGTTTTTAGTATTTTTGCCGTTAAGACTATCTTTGCAATTAAAACTGGTTCTGCTTCAATGTTATCGGAAGCAATTCATTCCCTCGTGGATACAGCGAATTCAGTTGTTCTATATTATGGCGTTTATATGGCTCGTAGACAACCTTCAGTAGACCACCCGTATGGGTATGAAAACATGCGTTACGGTAGGAGCTTCTTGAATATAACTGTAACTAACGTTCACTGCTAGTAACATCGCTTGTATCTGGCGTGGGGATCTTTTGCCTCGGGGCAGGAGTATCGGTTTGGCATGGCGCAACGAGTGCCGTCTTTCCCCATGAACTTATCGGTTCAGAGCTGCAGATGGCGTATCTTGTTCTCGCTGGATCGGCGCTTATAGACTCGATCGTTTTGATAAAGGTAAACTCGGTCTTCGACGTCTCTTAACAATAAATAGGCAATGATGACGGCAAGTGAGCAGGCTTCAAAAGAAAATACTTCCTTTTGGAAATATATTAGCGAAGGAAAAAATCCGTCAGTAAATGTGGTTTTGCTAGAAGACAGTTGCGCTGTTTTGGGTTGTGTTGTCGCTGGTGTTTGTATGGGTAAGAATTTTAATGTATTTTCTGAAACCTAAAGCGTTTGCTTAGGTCTGACCCAAATAACTGGCAATCACTTGTTCGACGCCTCGGGTTCCGTCATAATCGGTTTCATGCTTGGCGGGGTTGCTAGTTTTCTCATGACCCAAAACTCGCGCTTTCTCATTGGCAAGAGTATCCCGCAAAAACAAGTGCTCGCAATCCAGGATCATCTCGGTACGCTAGCCTGTTAATTTTTCGCGAATTTAAACGAACTTTAGAGCTTCATCCTGCAATCAAAGGCGTGTACGACGTAAAGGCGACGTATATTGGGCCCGAGGTTGTGCGACTAAAAGCGGAAATCGATATCGACGGTGGGGTGATTGGTTCCGCTTATTTGAGCGAGCTGGACGCCGCGGAAGTTTATGCAGAGTTCCAAAACGCTGGGGAAGCAAAACTCCCCTTCAAGGTAAAAATCGGTGATTGATCTAGGCATTCCACTGCTTACTAGCCGAATCACTAGTGCGATGAGTCACCGATTCATTTCTAGAGGCTGCGCCAAATCGATGAATACCTCACGCTCCATATAAACGGGGGCATCGACCATCTCGGCAAAGAAATCGACAACATCGAAGTCTCCGTCAAAAAAGCCTTTCCTTTTGTGAAGCATGTGGATCTCGAGATTCTATAAGCCCATTCAAGTTGAATTTCAAGCACAGTTCAAGAGGGAAACGATAAAACATGAAAAACGAGTGAAATTACTTTACCTCTTATTTAAATAAAGTCAACGGGCATTCTTCAGAAACAAAATCCTAACTTAAAGTATTTTAGACTGAACGCGGCCATGGAAGAGCCCATCGGAAAATTGCCCAACCCGCTGGAGAACTCAAAGCCATCAACCGAGAATCTCGTATCGAGGAAGCGTAAGAACGATGAGGTCGAACCAGAAATCACAGAAAAACCAGCGCAAGAAGTCAAAAAGACGAAGAAATTAAAATGGGAAACGCTGAGCTTCCGACGAGCGGAGGGCAAGGTCGAGCACGCTACCTATTTTACTGCCGACGAGTGCAAGACTTACTATGAAGAGCTGCAGGATCAAATCGAGTACTTGAAGTAAGCCCTGAATTATAGCCTTTGTCCTACTGTATTCCTAGTCCCGAAGAAACTTGTGTATCGGTATACGGCAAGAACTACAACCTCCCTCACGACAAAGCCTTGTACGCCGACAAGGGACTCGAATTCAAACAAACCAAACGAGCACCCCTCGCCTGCTCCGACTGGTGCCCCGTCCTAACGAAGCTAAAGGTCCAAATGGAGGCGCTGCACAATGTTAAATACAACATGTGTATCATAAACAAATTCGACGACGGCGAGAACAGCCTCGGCGTCTTTGCACACGACGAGGAAGACGTCGACCAGTCAGTTCCAATCGCCTCAAGTAAGCCGCTTTTTTCATTATTGCCTCTTTATTTCTGATTTTAGTATCTTTCGGAGCGCGGCGAGATTATAAGTTCAAGCCAAACAATAATAAAGAAGATACTTTTAATATTCCAATAAAGGACGGCACAGTTGTGATCATGCACGACCCAATGCAAAGGAATTGGAAGCATGCCGTTCCTAAGCGCAAGAAGGAAAAGTCGCCCACAATAACCGTGATCTTCCGAAGTGTCATCATCGAAGGTGAGCCCTTTCTGTCAGCTTACCTTCTAACGTTTTTGACTTAAGATGAAGAGGACCAAAACCAAGATCCCGGCGACGCATGAGCCGCTTTCGCCCGCTGTCAACTGCTTTCACTAGTGCTGATACTGCTAAAACAGTGGTTCTTCTTATTTTTGGTACATGTTTTGTGACGTTCTAGTCTGTGCTAGGCTCAACCCTCTTTTTCTGTTGGTAAAAAATAATAATGTTCACTCTTCTTTTTTATTAAAATGACCTCACTGTAAATCGCAAACTACTCCAGCTGGCGGTGTCCTCTTCTTCGTCCCATTTCGCTTTTATCACCGTCATCAAGTTTACTATTTCTAACTTTACTAAAACCACATCTTTGTTTCTTTCGCTGTCACGTGATCAAACCCATCAACAAAACCAAATAAAAATATATATGCATTCGAAATACTGCTCTACCTGTAAATATATAACAAACTTGTACTCAAAGTATTTTACCGGCCGCTACATGACGAATTTTCGAATTATCATTCATTCATTCAAAATTCAACACAATAAAAGCATTTTGACTTGAACACACGCTCTTTAAATTTTAATCAACTATGAAAGTAAGTCCTTGAATAATTCCATTCACGGTATTCAATACTGTGATCATCAATTTGAACCTATCTACATCTACCATACTTTTTTACTTTTTATTTATTCCATTACATTCTTTTTGAACTTTGAACTATGTTCTAAGACATTCTCTTCCTTGATTTCAAAGACGTTTTTAGCTACGCTTTTATTCACAAGTTAGATCTAAACTATCATTCTCTATCAGCTCAAAACTCGAAAGCCCCTCGTTATGAACACTGCTCCACTCTTAAAATAACAGTTACTGATTCCTTCGAAACAAACAAAAAACTAAAGCACTCATTTCGGCATCAAAGTAAAAAAAAAAGAATAATTTCTGCGAGAAAATATACAGCACTCAATCCCATATTATGTTAACAATACAGCTCCGCGATATGCTCTGCCTTTGAAACTTGCCGGGTTGCACCACGTAGATCATCTTTTTTCAAATTCAGTCCTGTACTATTTTATCAAAATTATTAAATTCAAAATATAATATCTCATTTTTGGCTGCTCTGGCTCGACGATCAGTCATTTTTGTTTTCATTTCTATGCAGGTTTCACAAAACATTATGAAAGGTGCGTTAGAATGGCGGACAAGGCTCGTCGTTCGATCCTCAAAGGGATGCAGGATCATCCGCACTCTGTTATTTTGTCTGAGCTTATTTTCAAACGCATGTCATTTGATGTCCTCGCGCTTATTGCACCATTAGTGTTGGAAAAAATCGAAGATGGGTACAGTAGCTTCGATTCACTCACCAGCGTCGACTTCTGTAGCTACCTTCTCAATCGCCATTACAAGAGCGATGTAATTCTTGAGCTCCTTGGACAGGAATTTTACATGGAAAACAAAAGAAAGCCTGATAGACTATCGGAAGTTGCTAAGATCATCCAAAAACGACTTGACTTGAAAAACAACAAAAAAGTTTGAAGCGGAAAGCAAGCATTGAATTCAGCAAAGATGAACCGTTTGTCAAGTTCTCTCGATCATATGTAAATAGAACTCATTTGATAAGCATTGAAAGTTGTTTGTAGCTTGTAACAACGAAAGAGTCAAAACCGAAGGGTTTTGAGAATGAGTCCACGGAGCAGGGCGGTATAATTTGCATTCTTGTAAATAATCTCGAAAATTTGCGAGATTAATCTTCTTTGGAAAAAGATTCTGAGATTAGTCAAGACTGGACTAGTTTCGAGATTAATCTTTTTAGCGAGGGTCGCGTGGCTCGGGGGAAAAATTTTGGTGGCGCTGGCGAGCTGTGAGCAGTGCGAGGCGGCGCGGACAAAATTTCAAGCTGCGCTCCAAGCATGTTTGAGTTTCATTTTTCTCTCGCGCCGTCGGCCATTGGTCCACCAATCACAGCGCGCGTTTCAAGATTATTTGAAATAATCTCGGAACTATTTCGAAAATTTCCCGAATTAATCTTTTTTATTCAAACAGACTAATCTCGCGTCGAGATTAATCTTATAAGAATAAATGAATAGTCTTCGGAAAAAAGACTATTTACAAGAATGCAAATTATACCGCCCTGCCACGGAGGGTGATTTGCTCTTCTTCAAAATCAATCGAGACGACAACGAACCAAAAGTTGAACTTGTTAAAAATTCCTTCTCTCTCGCCGGGACAATGTTTTCCGGAATGCTTGAGCCTTTTATCTTCTTCTCACAGGCATTGACAGCAAAGCAAATCAATCTTCAGATGCTTGTTGAAGGTACGAATTCGTTTGAATCTCTCTGTCAACCGCAATTTCGTTTAGACACCGATTCAACAACGTGGTGCTTGTCAGATAGCGATATTAAAAAGATGAGCTTCAACTTTTCTCGCCAAAGAACGTGGCGTGATTTTATCGCCAACCCACAAAAAAGTATTCATCCCGTTGTGAAGAGTGATCCATCTGAAGATGACGATGATGAGGACAGTGATGATGACGACAACGAGGTTCGATCAATCACAAGAACTGTCGACTTTGTGAGTTTTTCTGGCGGAAAGAGGAAAAATATCTGGACGTATGATTTGAATCTCAAGGGCAAATACCGCGGTTGTTATAACATGTTCGCCAGGTTCATCGACGATAGTCATTGGCTTATCATCGCTGAAGTCTTCGACAATGAAGGAGATGACAAAATGGTCCACGTCGACTTGAAGCAGAGAAAAGTAAGTTCCTACATCTTCCCAACATGTTTCTGGGCAGAGACTGCATTTTATGGCCTCTATGGATCCCGTATTTACTACGTGAGAGAAGTGGATAATCCTTATTGCACCCTATCGAAGCAGCTAGTTTTTGGATACTTGCAGAACCCGGATACTGACGATTGTGAAGAGAATCCGGACTGTGTTAGCTATCTCTGCTTTTTTGAGCGAGGAGAAATGACGAAAGAAGCTCTTGTCAAAATCGGTACCAGAGGATTTGTTCATCTTGCTTTGAAGCCGGAACACAAAAAATCTAAAGTGTTTACATTCACGATTGACGTTATCGAGCAGTTGATGGCAAAGTCTGACAAGCTGTCGACAAAAATTGACTTTCCGCAGGAAAGTGATGAAGAAACTACACTGCCGCTTATTAAACTTGGTAATCAAAGTAGCCCTCAGCTTTTTCTTATACTTTCAGACGAGTTATGCATTGAAAAATATGAAGACTTGTCCGAAGATCTTGACCCTGAGCAATGTGACATTGGTTTTATGGAGGGGAACAAGCTCCACTTACTCGTTTGATTCGTTCTATCAAGTTATTTAATTATCCCTGCACCTTACTTGTCATTTATCGAAAGAAATTTTTCACTGATCTTTAACGCTCTATTTTCTTGGATCCGCAATAAACTTGTCTTTTAGGAAATAACTGAAAACTCTTCTTTTATTTTTGAGGAATCTTGATTAAGTATTTACTTCTTAATAATTGACATGTAAAGTCTTATATTTTGAGTTCAGGAAGTTCAGGTTAGAGTCGAACCAGAATTTTCATAAGCAATTGACGGTCTTGCCGAAAAGATTGAGCGTCGAGTATCTGTTGATCTTCTTCTGTCGAAGCTTTGTGAGATCGTATCCGAATCTAATAGGCCTTATTCCCAGAACTTTCCTGATGGATACCTTGAGTGCTCTGCTTTCGTAAGATACTGTTCTTCGTTGACAACACAGTAGACATTCTTCTCGAGGCTGACATTCCAGATCTGAGTCTTGATCAAAAACGAACTACTTCCTTTCAACCGCTGTTTATTTTTGGACCAAGAACTGAAAATCATATTCCACAGCGCTTTCCGAACCTCAGTGTTGAAATAACAGTAAAGCAGTGCTACGGCCAGGCCTTCAAAGGAAGTGAGGATGACATCAAAGAAGAGGTTGACTGTTTGGAGCGATTCGGGTAGCTTGCCATCTTTCTTGCTCAGAACAGCGCCGAGATTGATAAAAAGAAAAACTCTAAAACGTCTCTCGTCTCTTTTTAGCGTTATTGAAGTTACATAAAGTGGAGGCCTAGGAGAGGAATTAGCATAAAAATGGAGCGAATCAAGCGCATCATGTGATTGTTCAAAAGCGCTGATGATGGATTTCCATAATTATTCAACGGCACCATCAAGCACATGAGCCGGGCAAAGATGAGAAAATTGACCACAACGCATATGATGATTGGAATATTTATCATCTTGAAGGTGTACTGATCGTCGTAGAGGTCATCCCAGCATGCTGCGTCTAAACCAAAACATTTATGATTTAAATTAATTATTATTTTGACCGTTATCTTTTGCTAAAACCCAAATGCACGAGGAAATATAAACGAAGGGAACAACCCAGCCAATTATAGCGTAAGTTTGCCATCGCCTCAATATTCCTGAAAATGTTCATAAACGAAGAATTGGTTCAAAATCTACCTGAGTTTGAGGGCTCAAAAACATTCAAAACAAGCCGCTCTAAAAGAAAGAGACCCTCATTTAGAAGCCAGAAGTGATTCGACATCCTCGCGAAAAGAAAAACAATCTTCTGTGATTTCAAAACCTTTGAAAGGACTTGCAATGTCAGGTTTTCTAAGAAATCATTTCCATAAAACTCGACATCTCGACACAAAATTCCCGATTTCCACGAGCTCGTAGTTTGAGTTTTCTTTTACCAAGATCTTCCGATGGTCAGAATTTTTCAGTCTCTTTGATTTCGCAGAACTTAAAATATTCTTAACCATGGACCTGACCAGGTAGTTCTTGAGCATCAACGTTGCGGAAATCTTTTGTTCCATTAGAAATTATTCTTAGGTTTTCAATGAGGTGAGTTCTTGTTTCATCAGCGGAATCGAAGGCTGAGCGACAGTTACTCAAAGCGTCAAAAAACGTATCGCCTCGATCATAATTTATCGATAATAACTATTCCTGGGATGAAAAAAGCGCTGCGAATTATGAACGAAATCATAAGATTGCAGTGTATAAAATTGATCAGGTGTCTTAAAGACTTCACAGCTTGGTATGGTTCTGTTTTGTATATTTTTATAGAAGTATAGTTAACTGAACCATGACAATAAAAATAATGAAGGCAGGGACCAAGGCGACCATAGAAGAAGCGAAGCCAATATAAGCTATTGTCAAGTGTTTTTTAATTGCATCGGACTGAAGACTCTCTTCAGGAAGGATTTCTTCTTCTATGATTTCTGTATAGTTTTTTAACATCAGCTTGGAGTCGCAAGATACGGGAATAGTTTTCGTGCATTCGATACTGGAAAGCTCAAACCAATTGTATCTGTGCCCGGATTGATTCGGGATAGGTTCATGGTTCGTACAGCAGCTTTCTTTTGTTCCACAACAGAACCACATGCACAGATCTTGCGATTCATCCCAAACTTGTCTTTTTCGATTTATTAAAAAATCACTCTCAAGAGTTACCTGACAACATCTCCGTAACGATAGTCCGAATCAGCTTGAAGGCAGCTGAGTTTATGGTGAAGTGGAGGGCAGTGTGATTTACTTCTAGCTCCCTTTGATACACTTTCGTGGTATCTTTCTATATGCTTGTTGCAAATATTCTTGGCATTCCAACGATTTTTAAACGCTCTTATTTCACGCTCTGTGAGGTAATCAGTCAAAGTAATATTCTGTAGAAAAAAGTTTTCGGTATAATTTTCATGGGCGATGCTGATATTGCCGGACATACTCTGCAAATGAAGAGAAATAGACAAATGCGGAGAAAAAGCTGTTTATATGCTGATTTTCCTAATAAGATGTATACCCGGTTAAAAAACTAAATTATGACGTCGGAATTTATCCTAGCAGACAGTCGACTCGAAACTAAAGACAAGATAGAAGGATCAATTTTTGCCCTTCTTAGGGCTTTTTATCAGATCATAAGCCGTCAGATTTTTAGCTTTTAAACAGAATATTTTTGAAGCGGCGATATCTTGGTCGAAGCATTCGAGATATCGTTGTAGCTCAGGTGTCGCTTTGTGGTATGAAACCATTTCTCCGCAGTATGGTTTTGTTGTCGGATCTTTGTACTCATTAAAAATAGCTTTACTTTCGTATGCCTTCGTGTGTGCCATTCGTTTATTCATTCTAAAGCGTTTAGCAGTGTGTTTTTGAAGAGTTCTCTTACTGAATTCCGTGAATATCGCCGATATGGCCCAACCAGGTTCCCAAAGCAGAACCACCGCTATTTGTATCGTATCGAACATCTGGATTTGTTATGTTACAGGTTTCTCCGTCGATTGACGGATGGCAGTATGGCTTATTTAGGACTATCAAAAGTAGATCCCACCCAATGAGAACAAACTGGCTGTCAACTCTTATTCTTTTGCTCGGCATTTTCAACTCTCCCGCTTCTTCAAGAAAATGCCACCAACCAAAGTACATGCGCGGGTGAATGTTTTCAAGGACCACTTCGTATAGATTCGAGCATGCGTAAAAATCATCGTCGCTTTTTCCAACGATCGTTCCTTCCGGGAAATTCTCCTTTGCATATCTGAACCAGCGGTAAAGCTTATCCCCAAAGCCATAAGCGTATCCAGTGAAGCTTGAGTTAAGACTGATGATATCGCCATATTTTTTATTTTCTAGCGCCCACTCAGGCGTCCAGTTATCTATATTTTAAATCTCTGTTTTATTTCTAATTTCAGTTACCTATTAAAAACTTGTGCTTAAATTTTGATGATAGCAGCCAAGTTTCCCGCTGAGCTTCTCTTCGTTCAAAATTGTCGAATGTGGCGAAAATGCCGATGTAAATATTAGTTTGTTTTCTTTTTCCTCGATTTGAAATAATAATATTATAAGCAATTAAAATGAACAATACTTGACAAACAAGAAAACACAAACTTGCTCGATGCATAATTTTTGAAGAAATATTCAGGAATGAATTTTCGGTGATGTTATCAACCGGTCAATCCCCGAAGCGCGAACTTTAAAATATAAGCGGAAAATATTCTAAAGCATTTATTGGCTGATTGAGTTTTTAGTGAAGAATCATGCTGGCAATATACATTCATGCATCTGTACTATTTGTATCTACAATTTTCTGGAATTTCTCCAAATACTTCTTTGTCGGCTTTCCTTTAAGAACCTTCGTCGGAAATCCAGTTCCCAAGTCGCACGCAAATATTTTACTCGTTGCTCTACAGCGGATTTGCGGTCAGGGCCAGACTATTTGCATTCTTGAAAAAATTCACGAAATTGCCTTTGAATATTCTTTTTCGAAAAAGAAATGCGTGCCTATTCATTTTAGCCTATTCTCGTGCATATTCACAAAATTTTGAGCGGACGGGGACGGGGCTTCAGTTTTGGTGGCGGCCGCGAGCTGTGAGCCTGAGGGCCCGATTTAATTCGGCCGCCGGCTCGGAGCTTGACCAATCAGAGCGCGCAGCATTCGCGAATATTTGAGATATTCACGAATTTTTCAAAAATTCACGGAAGATATTCTTTTCCATTCATTTGAATATTTCCGTGTCGTGAATATTCATACAGCAATAAATAGTGAATCTTCGGCAAAAAGAATAACTTTGAGAATGCAAATAGTCTGGCCCTGTTTGCGGTAATGGAGGTCTTTTTGGCTGCATCAAGTCATTTTTCCTTTCAGAAGAGTGTCAAATAACTCAAACTTGAGAAGGAGTTACCTGGCATTAAATAAATCCAGAGCATAATCATAAAGCCAAATGTCCATCGGCATCAAGACAGCTATCCTTTTCTTGAGTTGTTCCGATGCTCCACCTTTGTGAACTGTTGGCCTCTTGTGTGCCATCTTTATCTTTCCCCATCCTAGCGCTCGAGAAAGCTGTTCCATTGATTCGTCAAGTTTCTCTAGGATTCCAAACCAAAGAGTCTCTTCCAGCCTGTCCGCAGCCAAATGACATGCCCAGGTAGAATTCAACAGCATCAACTCTCTCTTATCTCGTTCAATAGCCCATAAAGATGGGTGGTTATCTTTTAGTATATCTGCGGAGTGATGAACAACGTGGCCAGTCTGGAGGATTTTGAATGACTAGGTTTGTAATTTTTGTTTTTGGTACAAATGACGTTTGAGTGCGCAACAAGCTATTATTTAAATCCGTCCCTGAGTACCTGTAAACCAGGCTACAGCGCCCTGACCGTCTTGCCAAATTGTTCTGAGAAGGATGTAAATCTTTCTTTTATCAATCAAAAATTTTCATATTCGCGAAGGCACGAAAAACGTGACATCCGTCGCCTGTGATCCATCATCATTGTCCAATTGCTAAAAAACGATTCCACAGTCGAATTTAAGAAATCGTAATCAGTCTGTTGTCGAGGAAGACTTTTGTGAAAGTAGTACTGTGAGATGGCCCGGTCGACAGGGTGACGGAGCATTGTAATCACATCGACATCATAACCATAGAATGCCTTCTTCAAGTAAGACCAGTCAAAGTGAATGCGTCCGAGGTAGCCTCTTCTGTAAGGCGCCTTTGAAAGAAATCGGACGATTGGTTCTACCGTAGCATCGATAGACGTCCCACCAGTCTTTCCAATGTGAAGAAAAGCTATCAAGGTTTGTTTTGACCATTGTCTCTGCAGAATCTCCGGTATTTTCTCTACGACGAGCTCATTTGAAGACAATTCATCTTGAAAAAGAATATATAAAACGAAGGATGAAGCTAAGAGCATGAGAAAAATTGCCGGGCTTTCCATTTGAATTCTTTACCCGACATAAGACAAAGTGCGAGTACTACAAAATGCAAAGTGAAAAAAGGGAGAAGAATGAGAAATATCGCCGCGGGGTATTTGAAACGCGTAGAACTGGCCGAATCATAGTTTTTTGACAAGCTTATCTGTCTTCTGTTTCTCTTGATTTATTGAAATTGCCGGTTTGATTTCATAAAATTGGCTATTGAATGATATGATCAAGTTCTCATGAGTACTAAAACTTGGGCCCCAGTTTGAGCGACACGGCAGGAGTGTTGTGTTTTTATTTCATTAGCCCGTTTTCCAGGAAAAATATCTCTTTTTCTAGAACAAGATGCTTGTATATTTATGTATTACAGTTCTCCCTTCAGTTTTGAAAAAATCAAGCTCAAGCAAAGATGGAAAGCAGAAACAAGAAATTAGACTACGTTGACGCGCCACAAAGTTATGAAGCAGATTCTGAAACCTTCGCAAGACACAATATTCTCTGCGAGAAGAAAGGACTTTGGACTCTGCCAGCTGATTTTCCACAGGTAAAGCGTATCACTCAGAACTTTCTTTACAGTTATTCAGACGATTCTTGAGTGCTTCCAACGAGGAAGAGAAACCGCCGGTGATAATGCTATCATTTGTGGCACTCCGACGCCAGATTTGACAGATTACACGACCCGTACTTATGGCGAGTTCGCTGCAACATCTCAATACCTGGCGAATTCACTGAAAAAGCACGGACTTATCAGTGGAGAAAGCAAAATTGCGATCTACTCGTCGAATTGCTACGAATACGACGCAGTAATCATTGGAGGATACTATCAAAATATATGCAATGTTTCGCTTTACGATACTTTTGGCGAACAAGCAGTCAAATACATTCTTGAGCACGTAAGTAAAAAACTTCTTTACGAGATTGTTTATACTGTTTCTTCAGATTGAAGCTCCAATCTGCTTCGTTCAAAATCAAAAGAAACTTGACCTCATTCTCAAAATCAAGCCTGCTCATCTTCAAACAATCGTTGTGTTTCAAAAATTCAAGAAGGTCAAGTCTTCCAATTATAAAATCATAAGTTTCGATGATTTCATTGCCATCGGAAAAGACAGCTCGTTTGATAATGTTCCGCCGACTTCTTCAGGTAAAATGATAAAAAGGGGCATTCATTTATTTTCACTATTCAGACATTGCTACGATCAATTATACATCCGGCACGACTGGCGATCCGAAAGGCGTCGTCTTGACTCACAAGAACATCTGCACCGTCTGCTGTGGCATTACAATCTTCTCGGTCAAAGAGCCTTGGAAAACAAGCGATGTGTGGTTCAGCTATTTGCCGATGGCTCACATTTTCGAACGCGGCGTCCACTGTACTATGATGCTTGCTGGCGGCTCCTGGTACTTTGGCACTGGCAACATCAAGACTATGATGCAGGAGATAAAAAATGTTAGGCCAACGGTGTTTGGATCAGTCCCAAGAGTGATGAACAGAATCTACGAAAAAATACAAAATCAGATGGAAGACAGCAGAGCAAAGAATTTCATGTTCAACAGAGCGACAAAAGCGAAACGAAAACATCTTGATAAAGGAAACGTCGAGAGTTTTACCATGTGGAATTGGCTTCCGCTAGGAAAAGCAAGGAAAAATCTTGGAGGAAGAGTTCACACTTGGGTCTGCGGCGCAGCTCCTTTGGATCCAAAAGTTAAAGGATTTATAAAGGAGGTTTTTGGCTGCTACATTGTCGAAGCCTACGGGTAAGATATTGCCACTTTGATCGATAATAAGCTTTTCATAGTCAAACTGAAAATGTTGGCTGCGGCACTGGGACATCCTTCACCAATTATCAAAAGGAAGACGGCAGCGTTGGAGTGCCCCAGCCTTGGAACGAACTTAAACTTGTTGACGTGCCCGACATGGATTATTATGCGCGCGATGGAAAAGGAGAAATCTGCTTCCGTGGCGACAACGTCATGCAAGGTAATTTCTCTTCACCACTGTCAAGTGTCTCATCGATAATTCAATCAGGCTATTACAACGATCCTGGCAAGACTGCTGAGACTATCGATGAAGATGGCTGGTTGCACACGGGCGATATTGGCACCTGGTTGGAGAACGGGACCATCAAAATTATTGACAGGAAGAAGCACATCTATAAAACTGCTCAGGTAGATTACACTCATCAAGTCTGACGTGTTAATCAAATTTTAAGGGCGAATATATCGCGCCGGAGAAAATCGAGGGCATCTACGGGAAGCATACGCAAATCATGCAAATGTTCCTCTCGGGATCCTCCCTCCAGGTAAATTTACTAGGATCAAATCAACCGCCTAATAAATTCTAGGCGATGAACGTGGCAATCATCGTTCCAAATGAAGAGTCCTTCATGAAGCAATATGGAAAAGGACGAAGCTTCAAGGATGCGTGTGCCGATATCGACACGGCCGCTCAATTTCTCGGCGCGCTTAATGATTATGCACGAAAAGACGGAGTCAAGGGTCATGAAATTCCGAAGGCGTGCTTCTTGGAGACCGAACCTTTTTCAGTAGGAGAATTGTCCTCTCTCAAACATTCAATTGTGCTTTAGATCGAAAACGGTCTCCTAACGCCAACTCAAAAAGCAAAACGCCCAGCGATTCAGAAACATTACCAAGAAGTTATCGACTCACTCTACAAAGAATTGAACGGATCATAGATTGATATTTATTTTTTGACCTTCAATTTCTGTATTATGAAAACTGTATAATCCAATACATATCAAAGATATGATATCAACCTCAAAGAAGAACTACAAAAGATTATATTTTGTTCGTTTGAACAAGTTTATTTTTTTGTCAGATTTGTTTTGAATGAATGCGTGTTTTATTTCAAGGAAAATAGAAGCTTCTGTTCGAGGTAAGGCAGTATTTATCTACAAAAACAGTCATGTGAACTTGAATGCAAGATCTAAGGGTATCAAAAACGATACCAAATTTATAGAAAAAATAATTCGCCATGATATCACAGCGCTCATAAATGCTGATTTAAACTGTTTACTGATTATTTTAAGATTCGTGAATTTAAGTATTCTAGAACCCAGGAATGAAATCGTAGGCTTGGAGAGTGGACATCAGAACGTAGAATAGCCACAGCGTGATCAGGAAGATGCCGGATGCCCATTTCTGTTTATTGGGGCCTCCTAACTCGGCATTGCCGAAATAAGACAGTGTCCGCCTTGCGAAAAGGAATCCAATGGTTGTGACGGCACAGATCGAGAAAACTGTGACGGAAAAGGCCAAACTACCAGCGGGAACTTGGAAGACAGATCTAAAATTAATGATTTTATTCTTTTTTGTTTCTCCCAATCTACTTTGATGAGCTCTCAAGAAGCACGTTTTACTAAGGGAAGTTTCAGAATTCTGTGACATGGCAAAAAATTTTTTTTTGATTTTTCAAGTGGATTTTGTTAAGTGATAAAAAAGAAGCATTTTGATATAGATTTCATCGAATTTGAGTCAGTAAAATGAAAGTTATTGCTCATTTAGTGTCTAAAAATAGCAAAACTTTGCGCGCAGTTTCTGACTCATCCGTGCATGGAATTTCAAATTTCTTTGGATAAATAAAACACTCCAGGCCTGAAATTCATGTGTTTTTTTTAATTTTTGTTTTTGATTAGGGAATCGCCGGTAAAATGCATGTTTATTTGATGGTGTCTGGTGATTAAAAATCGGCTGAAATTTGAGACGAAAACAGGAACGCGCAGCGACAAAACGGCCTCGAAATCAGGCGCTTAAAATAAGGCTCATCCCATTTTCGAAATGGAAATTTCGGAAAGGAAAGGGCAGCGACTAAACGGGGTCGAAATACGGCACCGCAAAATAAGTTTGGCCCATTTTCATCATGAATATGATCTTGAGTCATATCATCCATGTCTCCCCAATTTCGCCTTTTCCAAAAAATGAAAAATCGGTCAATCCTAGGAGTTATCAAGTGTTAGACCCACCATTCGACTCGTCTCAACGCGCTGAACAAAACTGCGCTATCAGTTTTTCAACCTCTTCTTTTACAAATATAGAATCAGACCTTCCACGTCGACGAAAATCTCAATCAAGTTCTTGCCATCTGCCGAGCTCTGATCTCGCCCGATGAAAACTTTTGATAAAATAATGAAAACCAAAAATGGTTCGGCGCTACAATAGAGGATGCACCATATATGGTGTTCTTGGCGGGTACTCCAGCCCCGTTCCTTGACTTTTAATTTTAAGGGGCTTGACGGCCCTTCGGGCCGTTTCAGCCCCGTTCCTTGACTTTTAATTTTAAGGGGCTTGACGGCCCTTCGGGCCGTTTCAGCCCCATTCCTTGACTTTTAATTTTAAGGGCTTGACGGCCCTTCGGGCCGTTTCAGCCCCATTCCTTGACTTTTAATTTTAAGGGCTTGACGGCCCTTCGGGCCGTTTCAGCCCCGTTCCTTGACTTTTAATTTTAAGGGCTTGACGGCCCTTCGGGCCGTTTCAGCCCCATTCCTTGACTTTTAATTTTAAGGGCTTGACGGCCCTTCGGGCCGTTTCAGCCCCATTCCTTGACTTTTAATTTTAAGGGCTTGACGGCCCTTCGGGCCGTTTCAGCCCCATTCCTTGACTTTTAATTTTAAGGGGCTTGACGGCCCTTCGGGCCGTTTCAGCCCCGTTCCTTGACTTTTAATTTTAAGGGCTTGACGGCCCTTCGGGCCGTTTCAGCCCCGTTCCTTGACTTTTAATTTTAAGGGGCTTGACGGCCCTTCGGGCCGTTTCAGCCCCGTTCCTTGATTTTTAATTTTAAGGGGCTTGACGGCCCTTCGGGCCGTTTCAGCCCCGTTCCTTGACTTTTAATTTTAAGGGGCTTGACGGCCCTTCGGGCCGTTTCAGCCCCGTTCCTTGACTTTTAATTTTAAGGGGCTTGACGGCCCTTCGGGCCGTTTCAGCCCCGTTCCTTGACTTTTAATTTTAAGGGGCTTGACGGCCCTTCGGTGCCCCTTAAAAGCCCCTTAAAATTAAAAGTCAAGGAATGGGGCTGAAACGGCCCGAAGGGCCGTCAAGCCCCTTAAAATTAAAAGTCAAGGAATGGGGCTGAAACGGCCCGAAGGGCCGTCAAGCCCCTTAAAATTAAAAGTCAAGGAATGGGGCTGAAACGGCCCGAAGGGCCGTCAAGCCCCTTAAAATTAAAAGTCAAGGAACGGGGCTGAAACGGCCCGAAGGGCCGTCAAGCCCCTTAAAATTAAAAGTCAAGGAACGGGGCTGGAGTACCCGCCAAGAACACCATATATGGTGCATCCTCTATTGTAGCGCCGAACCATTTTTGGTTTTCATTATTTTATCAAAAGTTTTCATCGGGCGAGATCAGAGCTCGGCAGATGGCAAGAACTTGATTGAGATTTTCGTCGACGTGGAAGGTCTGATTCTATATTTGTAAAAGAAGAGGTTGAAAAACTGATAGCGCAGTTTTGTTCAGCGCGTTGAGACGAGTCGAATGGTGGGTCTAACACTTGATAACTCCTAGGATTGACCGATTTTTCATTTTTGGAAAAGGCGAAATTGGGGAGACATGGATGATATGACTCAAGATCATATTCATGATGAAAATGGGCCAAACTTATTTTGCGGTGCCGTATTTCGACCCCGTTTAGTCGCTGCCCTTTCCTTTCCGAAATTTCCATTTCGAAAATGGGATGAGCCTTATTTTAAGCGCCTGATTTCGAGGCCGTTTTGTCGCTGCGCGTTCCTGTTTTCGTCTCAAATTTCAGCCGATTTTTAATCACCAGACACCATCAAATAAACATGCATTTTACCGGCGATTCCCTAATCAAAAACAAAAATTAAAAACACATGAATTTCAGGCCTGGAGTGTTTTATTTATCCAAAGAAATTTGAAATTCCATGCACGGATGAGTCAGAAACTGCGCGCAAAGTTTTGCTATTTTTAGACACTAAATGAGCAATAACTTTCATTTTACTGACTCAAATTCGATGAAATCTATATCAAAATGCTTCTTTTTTATCACTTAACAAAATCCACTTGAAAAATCAAAAAAAAATTTTTTGCCATGTCACAGAATTCTGAAACTTCCCTAAGCGCTACTAATATTTTAATAAAACGTGGAAGTGCAAGGACATACCCTTGGCTTGCATGGTAAATAGCGGCCATCGTCCAGGGCAAACCAAGACCAAGGAATACATTGACAGAATTCGAGCCAGTCACGTTTCCAACGGAATCATCGGCGTTGGGCTCGTTGGTAGCAGCGATTTTGGAAGCAAAAAGATCTGGAAGGGACGTGCCGAGGGCAACCAGGGTGATAGAATTAACGGCGGCTTGAATAGGGGATTCAATTCAGATATTCACGAGATCTTTAATATTGATGGTCGTATGAGGATTTAGAACATCCGAAAGTACTGTAACTTCTGGCATATTCGTTAATGCTGAAATAGCAAACAATATGTCCACGTAGTCCGTCTAAATAATCATGTTCCTCGAAGTTGAAGATTCCTCTTGAATCTACCACCTCTTTTTAGAGTCGTTTAAATATTCAAGTGTTTGAATTAGAATCCCTGCGTTTAAGGCCAACAAGACAACCGAAAATATTCGCGAAATCCGAAATAATCGTTGTCATTAAACCAATCATAATAAGACTGCCAAAGAAGCAAGGAAAACCGCCGCCCATGTTTGCAGGAGGAATGATGGCAAAGATCGTCTTGAAGCCGAAGGTAATGAGATGCATGAAGTAATCAAAGCCTGTGGCGTTTTCGATATCGCCCCCATTGACATTCATTGCTTGAACGAACTGCTCGTACCAGGATTCGCCGCCAATTTCCATCTAGAGAACAAAATGAGTAATTAATATGGCCGGCCTTCAATTATTTAACGAGTATAGGTAACGTGATGGCCTATCGACATGTACCACATGTCTTGCTCATTTATTCAGGAGTATAGCAACTTCTGCTCAACCAGACAACGGTATATTAACTTCTGGACAAAAATAACGAGCTCCGAGTTCGAACTCTTGCCAACGACGAATATACGAGGAATACCGCATTTTAATAACTGGCCGCAAAAAAGGACGGGTCAGAAAGAATTATTGATCCTATATAAATGTAGCCGAAAACTTGGCTAGTGAGACTTGTGGGCAAACTTACCTTCGACAGTGCAACGTGAGTTTGAGCAGCAACTCTCTTCACCAAGTTTTTATATTCTTCATCACCGATAATTGTGACAACCGTTTCTCTCGTGTGACCCATTTGAGCGCCCTTGGAAACATTGACGATGGATACTTTGAAGGTCTCGTCGGGCTCTTTGTCTGGCGTTTGGATGATGGTGATCTCGATGTCGTTCTGAGTCTCTCCATGGTTAAAAACGAGTGTACCGCGGTCTTCCTTGAAGTCGCTTCCCTAAAAAGAACAGTTGGGTACCAAAATACGTTCAGCCAAGAATACATGTGTTGCGGTGATGCCTTTACATTGCCATTCAACAGATACAGTACCATCAGCACCATTAGTTCGGCACACTGGAAGCTAGAATAGAATATTAGTAGACACTCGTTGTTTGATTTTGAGGATACCTTGAGGACACCTTGGGATTCTTTACACATGAATGCTGGTTCTTTGAATTGGAAGGTTCCAGGATCTTTAAAATTATTGTGAAAACAAGGAAGAGTATCAAAAAGTGATATTCAATGTTGCTAGTCATCGTTTGATCTTACCATCATCATTGATGATTGTGACTTGGTTAATGGATCTGTCACCAAGCTTGACTCGTGGATCTGCTGCGTTGCCCCTGAATAATTATTTAATCGCCCAAACACTCAGTTTGTCGGACTACGAACAGGAAAAGTTTGACAAAGAAGGTCTCATCAGGCTCCCATTGGTCGTCATCAATAATTTCCACAGTTATAGATTTTTGCGTCTCTCTTGGGCCGAATTCAAGAACTCCCTTATTTTCAACGTAGTCTTCTCCCTTCGTCGCTGTGCCGTCGATCGTTTCATAGCTAGAATTTAAATAAATGATTTGATTCCAAGAACATCTGGTTTATAATTCAGATAATCTGAATTTCAGAGTTTCCAAATAATTTGGCCCATATAGAAATATACAACAAGAAAGACATATTCTCTGAGCAAATTCAAGTCAATTTGCGAGTTAATTTAGACCCTTTGCAAAGTGATTAACTACAAAATACACGCATACTGTACAGTTAATTATGGAATTTCTGGACATATTTTGTCGCACACTTTTCACAAAAATGTCCAGAAATTTGATACATAACCTTGAAAAAAATGTCCCACCACAATTGCTTAAAATTTTTCACGGAGGAAAATTAAACGTTTTTTTTTTCAAAAAATTGATTAAAAACAATAATAAAGTGCGATGAAGCAGCGAATTTTGCTTAAAATACTAAGATTCTACAAGAAAAAGTCTTCTTCGTAAATAGAATAACCTTTCATAACTTATGAATCATAAGTTATGAATCATAAGTTATGATTCATAACTCAAATTTGACTATAAATTTCGGAGTCGAAAATCTTTTTTGAGAAAAAATGTCCAGAAATTTGATACTTTTGCTTTTTAAAAGTGTCCCAATTAAACCCCTTAAAATTCGAAAAATGTCCAGAAATTTGATGTCCAGAAATTCCATAAAAAACTGTATTTATAATCTTGTTCAGGTCACTTACTTAATTCTTAAAAGTTAAAGTAAGAGTTGAGTTTAGTTTACGGCGAGAGATCTCGGCCGATAATTTTCGATGTTGAGTATTTGAGCGATTTTCTTACTTGCACTTAGCTGGAATTTCAACATTCCCGCTTCTCATGACTTTGAGCTCGATCTGTTTGGCGTTCTCCATGACCGAAGAAGAAGTGCAGGCAAAGTTGAACATGGCGAATTCGGAAGTGTTGTTCTTAGTCGGTAAGTTGGAGAATGAACGAGCCATCTACGTGAATTAATGATTAAACTAAAAAATTGACGGCCAGTCGCTCCGCCTCCCTCCAAAAGTGTTGGGCTCCAAAAATAATGTCAAGTGGAATTTCCCACTTTGACTCGGTTCTTCCTCAAAAATATCCGAGCAGTAAATTGACGCACTATCAATAGTTGATGGAAGCTGACGTGGCTCACTCATCCTCTTTTCAAAAATTTCAGCAAACGGAATTGAATTAATTTGCTATTGATATTGCGCAAAATTAACTGCTGCGTTATTTTCCTCCAGGTTGAGTATTATTTTTAGAAGGCAGAGGACGGCAAGATTGGTATTTATCCGCAAATCACATTTACACATGCGCAGAGTTGGTACTCGCCATGCGATTAATGGCATCGGTTAGATACACCTTTTTACTGCTGAGTTTTCATTGATTCAATGAAAGCGAAGTGTTAAATATTTATACAATCAGACGGAACGGATCTAGTTCAATATTCGAGGATATATGTTCTTGGTCTACCGTGAAGCTTTGAATGTGAACAGGGACTTACTGTGTCCTGAAATGTTGATTTTAGTTTTATGTTTTGATTTTAGAAGGCTGGCACTAGAATGCTTCTTTCCGGTCATTATGCCTTATGAAAGCATTTGAAACTGTCTATATTTCTACTGATTATTCTGAGTGGGTTATTAAAAGAGCAAGTCTATGCGTGTTATTTCTAGTGTTTTTTAATAAAATTGCGATCGTTTGCTTACTCTGGAGAGGGCTTTGTTTGGTTCAATTCTTGCGCCGGCGGTGAGTGTTCGTGTGGCTTGAACCCGGTACCAAGCTCGTGATCGGCCTTGCGATGGGCCTGAATAATGAAATACCATCTGAGAAAGTTGAAATTGGCAAAGTAAAAGATTTTCCTTCGATAGCTACTTGTAGTCAATGTTAATGACGCTATGAATATGAATATGATTTCAGTAGGTGAAGTAAGAACATGGAGATGACGGAACGACACAGATACTACCTTGCATCTTCGAAGCAACAGCGATAGCAGCAGCTTGTTCGTCGATCGTGAGTGGATCGCCTTCGAAATCTTTCATGAATTCGTCCACAAGTGCGATTGAATTGGGTCGGTTCTTTCCGAGAAGTTCGATACCCTCGGGAGTGTCTGGATTGTATTCCATGATTTGCTTCTGTCCTTCTGAAAATAGCCTTTAACATATTTCTCAACGAAGTAAAGATATAAAGCTACTGCAAGCACTTCAATCATTTTTGTTTTAATTAGCCATCTGACCATGGCTTCGGCAAAGGGGATTTTCACCGTGAAAGCATATGTTTGGTTTTCTAATAGATTTATATTTCCTTAGCACTGCCGCGTTTAGCTTTTACAATTTGGAACAGTCAGTAAAGCTGACAGATTTGGGTTTCGACCAAGAAGCTTAAGAGCTAGAGCATTTGCACTTGCAGCTTGAAAACAACTGTAGCTCAATTTTTACAGGTTAAAGCACTACAATAGCTCTGAATAAATGCGCAAAATCAATTTTACATTCATTATCAACGCTGCAACGCTTGCTGAGTCGCGGGTAAGTGATTTTTAAGGGTTATTTATCGGACTGGGAACATACCATCGTCATCGTCAGATCTGGTTTGTCCACAAAGCATGTTTCTGTCAGCCAAGTAAGCAACACCGACGAGAAGGGGAAACATGAGCAGAGTCACTAAGGCTTCCCAAAGATCAACAACGCCAGGAGAGATGAATCGAAGAATAATCAAAAGCCAGACATAGGCAAAGATTGAGAAGAATGCTGTAATGCCATAAACGTAGAATCTGTCGATTCTTCGCTCTTAAATTTAGAATTAAATTCAGCCGGACTGACATCGACATACTCTCTCCATCTGGGATTCCAAAGGTACAGACTCCAATGATGACCATAAGATTGAAGGCAGCGGATCCAACAATGGTTCCTAAGTTTTTGCATTAGTCTTCCTTGATATCAAAAAGGACTGGTAAAAATTACAACTTTATTTTGCAATCGCTGGGTAAATAAAATCATGGAAAGCAGTCAAAAAATTCCGGCAAAAACTTACGTCAAGTAAATATTGACTAGCGATAGAAAGTTCCGCTTCAAATGGTATTTGTTGCTGATAAGAAGCTCTCTTGCGGTGATTCATAATTCTAATTTAACAGCTGCTTTTTTTTAATGTTTAAATTTTATATAAACAACGCTAGAATTAAATGATCCTAACTTTCAGACTCATTAATGTTGTAAAGCTCGCTTTTAATAAATTCGATAATTTGGTTGATGGTTGACCATCTTATTCATCTTTCATTTCTCCTTTTGTGATGTTCTCTTTCTTTATCTCTCTTCGGAAATCTGTATTTTACCTGGACCGAGCGCACCAGTTTCGAATTTATTAAAGACGATTTCGATGATATTGAGGAAGATTTCGGGCATAGAAGAACCCATTGCCATCAGGGTTAGATTTGCCACTGTTGCGTTCCAGAACCGGACTTTGTGCTTTTCCGGCTGACCATCAACAAGGACAGTTATATGCGTTTCTTATTTTCGGGTTGAATTATTGCTCCGCTGTGCTTTAAATGAAATAATTGCAATCATAGTTTTTTGTATAAATTAATACAAATAAAACCCTATCCTTTCGATGTTATAACTTCAATACTGACCATAAAAATATCTGCTACAATAGCGACGCCAACAAAAAACCAAAAGAGTCCTGGTCAAGTGTCATAAGTTAAAATTCTACTCGTCAGGGAGAATATGTTCAACAGATGATGCATTGTCAAATCCGGACATGCAGCGATCGATGAGCCTGAGAAATTATTTAAATAATCTAAAATAAACCATTACTTATTCACATTACTCTTGTCCTTAAAATCGTCGAGTAAAGGTTCTTATTAGATCGTAAAATTAATGTTCTGAACTCTTTCTACTCAATAACAGCTCAAAACAAAAAGTAGTAAAGCTCCATTTTACGGACGTCCAGTTTTCAAACTATTTCATGGGAACGCGCGTAAATTAACGTTGCTCATCACTGATGAGTCATCAGAAAAGAGCTGCATTATGACACATTCCTACGAGATACATGAGTATTCTTATACTCATGCTCATATTTGATTCGTCGACGAGAGGAAGAATCATTCCCATCGCACATGTTGGATATGCCGCTGGATCGTCCAGGACGGACGAATTTCCATCCATTTTTCTTCTGGGATTTCTCTTATTTCTTCTTTAAAAAAACTTCGTCAAGCTCGAACGCGATTTCAAGAGCAACAATCTCTGAAGAAAAGGTCCGTCAATTTCGCTCTTGCTTCTTGCTCCTGGCTAAATATGGGCAGCCTCAACAGAGCGTGAATCCCAAAAAGAAAAAGGGGAGCCGAGGAGCGCCCCCGTGAGAGTAGAAGAAAAATACTGAAATGAGGAGAAGTTACAGGCTGAACCTAGAGCCACTGCCATTTGCTGAATTGAAAAAATAATTAAATTAGCGGAGGAGCCATCATTTTCAAATGATTGCCAAGTTGGAATACTATTTAGTTTCAAAGGAATAATTAAACTGGGTTCTCTCCTTCTCTTTTTTTTCTCTCGAGGAATCTGTCTACTGTTGGTTTAATCTTCCGTTTGCTTTGTCCATTTGTTATTGAGCGATACGTAAAAACGCTCGTCTTTTTAACGCTTCTTTCAGCAGAGCTCTCTTGTAGCGTCGTAAAATGATTTAAAAATTGTTCGGTTTCCACTATGGCGGCGAATCAAAGAGGTCACAAAAAGGGGAATTATAAAATTTTATCGGAACTCGATCGGTCGAGGATTGGGTGCACCACCGCCCTAGGGGAGATTCAAGATTTGGAGTAATGTGAGTTTTCGAAAATGCTCAATTTGTGAGGCATTAAGTTTAAAGATCGGCCGCTAATTATCTTCGCCGCTGTAGAAACTAGACGAAATTGGCTAATTCTGACAGAACGTCGTCTTACTTTTGAAATTGCTTTGTACTAATAATCTCTTAGTCTCTGAGGGATTCGACTACTTACGGACAGGGGCAATTCAGCACAGTGAAAATAATCCAATTAATCACTTTAATTCTAACGAGTGCATTCTCAGCTATCAGTAGTCTTGAGGGACGCAGACACTTGTCTAACCTTTCTGAGGTTATTCCGGTTTACTTTTAAAAGCCCTGTTGAAATGCCATCTTCTCAAGCGAGCGCAAAAAACTTTAAAATTATTTGGTCGTTGTTTTCAAAAGCGACTTTCACGGACCTCGGAATTTTTTCAGGGTCTATTGTGCCTCAAAGCCCTTCAATCAATACGACGTCTAGGAGACAATGCCCGGCTTAACAATTCCACCGCGGTTAAAGAAAATGGCGGTTTTAATTGAAATCTCCAATTGAGCATTGATTGATCATCATTTTGATATTGCAGACTCTTAATTACTGCCAAGGAAATAATAAACTTTAAGAATTGAAGTAAATAACTATCATTCAATAATCAATAATTTCCAACAGAATAATTGAATTCAAACCGATCAGCAGCTGTTATTCCCGGAAACTTTGATCCCTTTCTCTCTTTCTCTCGCGAACTAGGGTTGCTCCCCGCTGATTGAGAGTGGCTACTCTTGGTATTTTAGAATTTATCGCTCTTCAAATTGTGGTGTCTCAAAATCCCCTCCTCATTTTCCTCGCCATTAGATATTTTCTCGGTGACCTTCAGCCAAAGTGGAAACTCAAACTTCGATTGCATTCGATTGTGTAAACATCACTTCTCGGCATTTTTATGGAAACTTGATGGATAGACAAGCAGCGGCATAGCTTTTGAAAAATAACAAATAATAACTGTTTGTATGCTTGTAAGAGATTTGAACTATGTGCCGTGGTTCTCTAATAGAAACGATAAGTACGCGGTTTTAGAGAAGCAATGATCGTTAACTAAAAGTCATTTGATTATAACGATCGTATATTCCGGTTGTAAAGCTGCTAGACAGAAATTATAGCAAGTTGAATCTCAGCAATTCTCTTTAATAAAAAACCGTATTAAAATTTGCTGCCCGGAAATCTTAGGCAAGGTAAAACTGGACGGCGCCCAACACGGACCGCAATAGTTTCCACTGAGCAAACGAGCGATAACTGACTTTCAATAAATATCAAAAATTGTTATCAAAGTACAACGATTTTCGGCGTTGACGCTTTTTATGCATAAAACATTTATAAAGCTGTATTTGCATTTTGAATCAAGGTTCATTCTCTTTTTGACATCAGATGGGTTTGAGTAGAATATCAATTTTTATTGAGTTAATTCGTCAGTATTAAATAATTGCGGCATGTTGAAAGGTGGCAGTTCGATGAGTGGGTACAGGAATTAAAGGGAAGAAAATGGTGACTTAACTGAATGTTGAACTTGCATGTGAACCAGACAACTTGGTGGGTCTAATCGAATCGTGGGTTTCTTCGGCGGCGAGGGAGTGGAGGGCCGAGCTCCTCAGAAGGAAAGGAGCTCTCCCGGAATCGAGGTCGGAAGCCGTTCGAGTCGCCTCTGAAGAAACTAAGTGAGACTTGGATCCACACTTCCAATTTGAATTGACTTACCGTCCTCGGAAATTGCCCCGGAAGCCGCCACGTCCTCCACGATGACCGCGTCCTCTGCCACGATATCCACGTCCGCGACCTCTTCCTCGATAAGGACGGCCAACGTATCCTCCAGCAGCGACTGGTGGGACGCCTTGGCGATCGCCCCAGTCTTTTGAATGGCCAGATTGATCGTAGTCAGGCTGAAATCAAATTTGAAACTGCTTTCACAACCTGCCGTAAAGGTCTTGCCCATTAAAAATAGGTGACCACCAACCTTGTGAATGAAGCGTCCCATTTCTTGCCCGTTGCTCTCAGATCCTGGTGGATACTGGCAGACGCACACCCGAAATCCAGAGGGCTCTTCTTGGGGTGCTTCGGTCTGCTCTTCAATCTGGACTTGCTGAACTTCGCGTTCTTCGCTTTGCTGTCCTTCTTTATAGCACTCTAGTTCGCGCTCTGAGCCTCTGAAGAATCGCCTAGGTGAACGTTAAAGATAGGACATGAAACTTCTTTATTACCTGTGGTGGCGAATAGTTGCAGTAACATCAAGATCCTCCCGGTCACGTCGGACCCGTTCAGTGGCCTTGACGAGATCGTCTGGAGCAACTGACTTATCGAGATTCGGCATATTTACTATGCATACTTTTATAAATAGAAGTTAAAATAAAGGAACGCACCTTTTGAATATTCAGAATCACATGGCGTGCAAGGAGTATTGACAGGTACTGCCAGGTTATCTTGAAGAGAAGATTGCTCCGAATAATCAACTGACCGCGGTCTATAAAATGCACATCAACTTAGATCGCATGGAAATGGAACTTACTGAGCCTTTAGTTCCTGCAAGCGGCGGGATTGCGCAGCTGTGGGCTTATGGCCGGGATATGCAGGTCTGAAATAAATTTATAAAGAAAACAGCGCTCGTCTAAGGCTTTACCGAAGTTGTGGCAGCTCGTGAACTTCGCGTAGGGGAAGTTCCTGGTGTTCGCGAAATCTGATTGAGGAGAGTCGCTGGGAGACATCGCGAATTTCGAGTTCATCCTCGGTCGTGTACTCGTTGCTATTCTCGTTATTTTCTGAAATCGAGGATGAACATCTCGAGTTTATCTGATGAACTTACCGAGTTTGGAGGGTTCTTCGTTAACCCATTCGGGGGGATTTTCAACTGTTACTAATCCAGTGTGCTTATCTGTATTGACTCGGATCGCCGCATCTTTATTCTTCATTACTAATTTATACAAAGTAAGAATAATCAAAAGAAAATATTCTTACCAATGGAACTCTTTTCTTCTATGCGTGTGCTCGTTTTACAGGGGATAGGCAGCGGACTACGATTCTGTAAGAACACTGTTACTTTCGAAAATACGAAACTTACTTAACAGTTCCGTTTGGATTGAACTCTTGCACCTTGTTTGACTTTGGGAGGGAGGGGAAATTCTCTTCGCTGAGGTTGAGCTGCGGGTCAGATGAGTTGTCATGCATCGAGGATCCTGCTTGGTCGCGCTTAGGTAGGGTCACCATCTCGCCCTCGATGTAGATACTTACGTCAGTCGAGTTGTTGGGAACCGAGCCGGTGGAGTTGTTGTTCCCGTTGGAGCTGACGACTGGGTGAAGCGCTACTGGAGGCTGGTGAGGATGATACGCAGGGTAGTACTGAGACGGATAGCTCCAGTGAGGCAGGTGACCAGAGGTCATCAACACAGGCGCCCATTGGCCGTTCCCAAGAGGCATTAGCATCATAGGCGCTTGCGCCATTCGGGGCATCGGTTCTGAAAGCTCATATGAACGAACATAACTTCAATTAACATTCAAATTACCGTAGTGAAAGCCCTGCATATGCTCCCCGCCGGGACCGTGCGCGTAAAACATGGGTGCACCTGCATGCATAAAATGAGGATGATGCCGTTGATGCTGGTAGTACGAAGCGGCAAACTCAGCAAACCCTCCCGGGGTTGCGAAGGATCCATGGAGACGATCTCCATCGTCACCGCGAAAAGATCTCTGCGATGGAATTACAAGATGTCACATCTTAGGTGTGAGTGTATAAAAATGTTTCTAGAGTTGCTATTCCCGTTCCTCGCGCAAATGCTTGGGTTTATGAGCGTAGTCAATCGCTGGAATGGCCCGTTGAAAGGAAGGGGATTTCGATTCTGACGGCTCAGGTGTAGCCTCATCAGATTTTACGCTTTCGTTCTTTCAAGAGGATAAGAAAAGAGTTTAAAAATGTCATGAAAAATTGAGTGTTTATCTGCCCTAGCCTGGTCATCTTGGTCTTCGGGCGCGTTTTCCGTATTTTCGGCGTCGAAGGTCTCTTCAGGAGCGATCTCTTCGACCTCCTGAACCTTTTTCTCTTCTTGAGTAAGGTCTTCCATCAGAAAAGAAAATCGGAAATCTCTCAAGGACGAATATCGTTGTCAAAAATGGCGAAAGTCTCTCTTTGAATGGCGGAATAAAAAACACCCCGCGCGCGGTTTCTGTTCTAGCGAAATTAGGATCCAGGGAACAAGTCGAAAATCGTTGAAAATATCCAAGTTGGCGGAAAAACTTGAAAAGACGAGAAATGAAAGTGAACGAAATTGACGAATCCGGGAGCGTTGCTGCGGACTTTCTTATCGTGAGAAAAGGAGAGTAATCCCTAATCACTTTTATTCTCACTGCAAAATCGGGAAGAAAAACATCATGAAAAAGCAAAAAAATTTATTCGTCACTGCAAAATGGCAAATTTTCCAAATTGAAAGACAATTTCTCAAAACTAGAACGAAAAACCAAGATATTTTTTCTAGAATTTAAGCGCTGATTGACCTTTTCTCTTTGGGAAAACGCAGTTTTGTCTATTTTTTAACCTCGAAATGGTCGTCTATGATTTCATTACTAAGATCTTCAGAATCATCACTTCAACAATTGCAACCCTTTTTCGCGTAAGACTTCTTGATTTGCAATAAATCTCGCAAAGAAAATTTTAGATTTTGAAACTCGGCTTTATGATTCCAAAAGAAATCTTCCGCCTTCTGTTCAAGATCTTCGCCATTTTAGAAGAAACTGTTGGAATGATACTCGAGCTTTTTGAGGAGCCAGAAGCAAAACCGGTTTATCGAGACGATGGGTAGTGTTTTTGAAAATTCTGAGCAAGTTTAATTTCATTTTTGCTTTTAGAAAACCGATTGGAATGTACGATTTTCTGACGCCAACTGCTTCTGCTCGAGGAATTCAAGGCAACATGCAAACCCTTTTCAAGCCGTATTAATTTTGTATGCCATTTTATGCGAATAAACAATTTTTTACTCGAACGAATGATTACCTGGGTGTGCGAAAGTGGCGAAAGCGCTGTGATTTGGGAACTCGCGGTGTGGAGGAGGTGGAGCAGGGTGAATGTGTGGATTCACGTGGGGATTAGCCGCGAAGGCATGTGGCATCACAGGGAAATATGAGCCGATTTCTGTTCCGCTGTATTCGTATCGCCCGTTTTCCTAGAAATGTGCCTTCGTGTTCATTGTTTTGCTACCTTACTTTATCACTCATGATCAAGTCAGTTGAAATCGTCAATAATTACTCCGATAATTTATCTCTCGCTTCTCTCCGCCTCTCTCTGTCTCTCTTCCAGGCCCTTCAAAACGCAGACTAACGGGAGAAATCTCTCCATAAATCTGCAAGCAGAGGGGAGTTATCTGATGAACTGCCGGAATTGCTCTTTTCGGCGCGAGATCTTTTCGGGAAACAATAACACCCATGCTTGTCACAAAATAGAAGAGTTTTTGTTTTTGGAAAAGAAGACAACAAAGAGCGACAGTCCTTTTGCAAAAGAGGCACCATAATTATGATCTGCCAAAAAAACATCTTTCTGAGCAGTAATTTATTGCGAAGCTTTGATAATTCGATCAGCAGAGGAAATTGAGTAAATCAGCGCTCGTGGAACATGAAAGCATCCCTTGTAGTTGCCACCCTTATTATCATTAAATTGAACCCATTTTTTTTCAAAGAATTAATACCTTTAGCTGGTTAAAGACGGTGCAATCTTTTCGAAGATAGCCAAACCAATCACCTCCGTTGACTTTATCGATGAACTTGTCTTCGATGCATTCCCACAATTTCAAGCACCAATCGTAAAACACCTAAAATGTTTAAAATGATGCTGATATTTGGTTTGTTTTCTAACTGTATCATTTGTGTGCTCAAAAGCTAGAATTGTTGCGTAAAGAGCTTCAGACATCGGCCACCAGAGTTTATTCTCAGCTGTTACAGTTGCATCCATCAATGGCATGTTGAGAATATCAAGCATGTAGGTTATGCCTCCATGTTTCTTGTCGTAGCCTAAGTCTAGAGTCCCTAAGAGGCCTTCAAGGGCGATTACTTGAAGTCTTTCATCGTGAATATACTTGTTCAGATGAAGCAAGAACCAGGACACCTCAATTGAATGGCCTTAAATTTATTTTAAAATTACACTTGGGATTTATCAACACCTGGATTACACAATCGCCCAGCTGGAGTGGAAAAATCCAGTCCTTTTTCAAGGAGTGCGTTTTCCATGAAAACTTTATGCTCTGTCGAGTAATGAAGCTTTGCCGTTTTCGCTGCATCCTTCATGATGTCCATGTATTTGGACTTTTTGGTCTCATCAGTTTCGTCCTCATAGAAATCAACAGCAAGTCCACAAATGCACATAACATCGCCCAATTTGCTTGTATTTCGATCCGCTGCCTTTTTAGGGATATTAATAATAACGATATAATTAATAAAGTTTGAGAACACCATCGGTACATACCTGGCCTCCGATGAGGGTCGGATCCGCCATCCAAGCTCGAAGTTTATCATAGTAAACTTCAGCTTCCGCCTTTATCTTCTTCGCATCAAGTTTGGACTTCATTTCATGATCCTTTGGCAGCTTCAAAACTGCCTTGGAGAACTCTAAGAGACCCATTGAATAGAAAACCGCAGCGTAAGGCTTGCGCTGAAAATGCAAATGCTCTCCAGATTGAGTCGTTGAAAAAAACAAAGTTCCGTCGGCGGCCTTTGCTTTGTGCATGAATTTGTAGCCAGTATAAGCGACGGCAAAGAAGTCCATGTTGCCTGAATCGATATAAAGTCTTGAGAAAGTCCACACTTGACGACCCTGTTTGGTTGGCTCTTTTTCTGGAATAGAGAAAGTCAGAACTATTCTGATCTTTTAAGAGCCTGTCCCTGAAGCCAGTGGTACTTTGTTTTGTCAAGTACAGTGCCTTTCGCGTCGATACAGGTAAAATAGCCACCATACTCTTCGTCAATGGAATTCTTCGACCAGAATTGAATCACTTCATCAAGATTATCTTCCCATTTCTTTTTGAGCTTGCCCAAGCTTTCGATCTTCTTCATTCTTGTCTCTTGGAATAAAATAGAGATAGTAATTATGAAGACTGTTAGTAGTAAATGCTACGATTCTGACAGATTGGTGCCAAGGCGTGATCTCAACGAAATTCTTGCCTGGAGTGGGGTCAAATTTAGACTTTGACTTCGTCAATGGTGAACAAATTTCTGTGACATAGATTTGCAAATGTTCTGTTGATTGGTAAAAAAGTTCAAGGCAGAAAATATGATTTTATTAAATATTCTATGATCTGGGGTCATAAAGAGAACAGATTGTTTGCTGCTCAGTGAAGAACTCCATCGATTCAATAGCAGATTCTCGTCCGACTCCTGATGCTTTCATGCCACCTAAAAATGAGTTGAAAAATGTATTTATGATGAGACCTCACCAAATGGCATGTGAAGATCTCGAATGAGCCAGCAGTTAACCCAAACTGTTCCGGCTTTAATTTTCCTCGGAACTCGCTGAACACGCGATAGATTTTGACTCCAAACAGTCGCACAAAGACCGTATTTAGTGGCGTTTGCTTTTTGAATAGCTTCAGCTTCTGTCGAGAATTTATTAACAACAGTGACCGGGCCAAAGATTTCATCAGTCATCATCTGTAATCTATATGAAACTTTCTCTTTAGCAGTTACTTACTCTATCATCCTCTGGAACATTTGCACAAATAGTCGGATGAACAAAGAGACCGTTGGAAACATTCTGTGGCAATTCGAGCTGATCCTTTCCGTGGCCATAAACGACGTATCCCTTTTCATGAGCATAGTCAAAGAATCCCATAACTAAAAAAAGGAATGAGAAAACCCAAACAATAATGCAACTTTGTGAACCTTTATCAAAATGAGGTTTCCCACAGAGTGCTCCACAGCGAGTCGTTGGACTTCTGGGATGCCCGACAGTAAATTTTTTAGCTTCAGCGATGAATTTATCCATGAATTCGTCGAAGACGGACTCGTGTACATAAATTCGCTCTGTGCAAAGACAGACTTCGCCTTGGTTGGTAAAGCTGCTCATGGCACAGCCAGCTGCTGCTGCGGAAATATCCGCATCCTTACAATAATAAGTTTCAACAACATACTACCTTAAATCACTTACCTCGAAGACGAGAGCAGGGTTTTTGCCGCCAAGTTCAAGTGATACTTTCTTCACCATCGGAGCTGTCTTTTCCATGATTCTAGCACCAATTGCAGTTGATCCAGTAAAAGAAACAAGAGGTACATCAGGATGCAAAACAAGAGCCTCACCGGCTTCATGTCCATATCCAAATACCATGTTACAGACTCCAGCTGGGAGGCCGGCTTCAACCATAAGCTTGCAAAGCTCATAAGCCGTCGTTGATGTCATTTCCGACGGCTTACAAACGCAGGTATTTCCAAACGCGAGCGCTGGGCCAATTTTCCATGAGAGCAAATACAAGGGCAAATTCTTTAATAATCGTCAAGTAAAAATTGGAAAGAGATGGTTTTACCCAAGGAGAGATGAGTCCAGCAACTCCTACTGGAACTCGATTAGTTGATGAAATCGCAGTGAATGGAGTCCCACGAGCATTTTCGGATAGAGTTGTCCTTTCAGGTTCAGGATTGGAGATGACTTTGGCAAAGAATCGAAAGTTCTCCGCTGCTCGAGGAATGTCAATCATCCTCGCAGCACCAACAGTTTTCCCTTGATCTCGTGACTCAAGGAGAGCAAGTCGCTCGAGATTCGCGTCGATGAGATCAGCAATTTTGAAAATGTACTTTGGACCGGGTAACAGAGAGTTTCCCGAACAAGTTCAACCGCGGGCAGATTTATGCACACGAACTTGCCAGGAAGGTCAATAAAAGAGCGTTAATCCGTTCCTGCGCTCTTTTAGCGGGCGGCAAAACAGACCAACTCTCGAAGGCTGCTTGTGCGCTTTTTACGGCCTTGTCAACATCATCTGCCCTTGATCTTGGCACTTTTGAAACTAGTTTTATGAAGAAATAAAATATTAATTTCACCTTTGGAAACGATTTCAAGGGTCGCGGGATCAACAGAATCGATGAACTCGTCGGAAGGGAAAAACTCGCCATTTATAAAATTTTGAATTATTATCGGCTCCATGTTGAAACTTCTCTCTTCTGACAGAATGAAAATAATAAGATCCGTCAACAAAAGATATTATGAGAAGGGCTCGCAAGAGATATGTAAACAGTCTCAGGTCGTGGGTGTGCCAAGTCGTAACTGCGAGAATTGATTACAAATTGTAATCTCACCTTTCAATTTTTTAAATTTTGCAAGGTTTTTCTAGAACATGTTTTGTCGGATGCAATTTTCGCCGATAATCGTCAGTTGCCGGCGAGGCCGCATCGAAGGAACATCAATTGCAGGCCCCCGGATTGCAGAATATGGCGACCGAAAGTAAGTTTATCAATTTTTTCGAAGTCTGTTCGCGAATTACGGTAGTTAGATGGGTCCCTAAGAGATTTTTAGTTCCCTTTGAGGCCTTCGAGCGGCTCTTAGAGGATGATGTATTCTGTGATTATTTCAACAAATTTTGCTCGTTGCCCCTCTTTGGCCAGCGCGTTGTCTATGTCCGTTCTGAACAAAGTTTCTTCCTCGACCCCGAAATGAAAGATAATCTGAGTAAAGAACAAATTGCGAAGGTAAAAACTTATCATCGAACATAAATTTACGTTTTGATTCAAGTGGTGCTGGGAAACAAGAATGAAGTTTTTCCTAAAATCTTACATTTATGCGGAGTACAAGCTCGCGAAAATGCTCACCAAATTCAACCTCTCTACCGAAGCTGCCATCCACAAAAACGTTGCCAATCAGCTTTGCCAGCTGCAAAAGCGCTCGTTCAACAGAATGAGCCGTTTTTCGAAGTTCTGCACGTTTTTGAACGAGAATGGAGAGGGCATCAAATTGGTGGCGTTCTTCATTTCTGCTCAGCATGTGCTCCTTCATCATCACGAGGTAAAAAACATTGAATGTTCTAGAAATGAATAAAGTCTTTTAGAATGACCAAGACAGTCAGTTTTTCCTCGCAGATCTTCGTGACAAGTTCTTCGACGAGACTTCAAACTGGTGTCTGCCCCGAAGTTTGATCGAGATCCTCGGCTATTTCAACGACAGTCTTTCGACAATCGACCATTGCAAGAAGATCTCCCAACAAGTGCTCAATCGCCTTTGCACATACTGGCTGCCACGATACCTGCTCCACGTCAAGGTCGAAGAACAAAAAGACGAAAATGACTCTGACGATCCGTCAATTATCGGTTTACTCAAGAATCTCGTCGCTTCGACCTCGAGATTGAGCAGTGAAGATCTTGGCAGAGCTTTTTCAAACACGAAAATCGATGACGATCCAAGCATGAATCTGTTCTTTGAGCCAACAGAAGAGATAAACTCAAGAAGGGTAAGTCATTTTATTATTTTCCAAAAAATAATAGAAACTCTTTCAGCCAATACGTCGACTCAATCAAGACTCGTTCACTTCTCGTGAAACTGCTTCCAGATTCGCACTTGATAAGAACTTCTCTGGCATCGGGATCAACGTCACTTTCGCAAAACCGACGTCAGAGCATAATCTCGGGTTCCGTCAAACAAGGGTAAGTCCAATTTTTTTACCTTAGTGAAAATGTTGATTCGACGGCCATTTCAAACTTGTGTAGAGCAGGTTAACCTTTGCCGAACTGGGGCAGCGAAGAGATGGCGGTGCTTCCATCCTTAGAAATTCAAGAAGAGAACTTGGAATCGGCGAAACTCGTGGGAAAAAGTTGAGTCAAATCAATCTTCAGCAGAAAGAGAAGCAGAATAGCAATAAGCCAGGAGCTCAAAGCATGACGAACATATTTTCCCGCATGGCAAAGTAAGTCTATTGCTCGAGTAGCGGAAAACTAAACCGTAATTCAGTGTCAAAAAAGCAATCAACAAGTTCAAAAAGCCAGAACAAAAAGCACCTCCGCCAAAACTCGACAAAGGTGAGCGATCTGAAGACGAAGAAAAGGTAGACCACCATGAACGAAGAACTGTAAGAGGAACGGTACGACAGAGTGCCTCGATTGCTTCTCTCCCAAATAGGACGACGAAAAAATCGAGAGCCACAAAGTCAAATGATCAGAATCAGGCAATCGGCCTTGTCGGAAAAAAGATTCGCTACAAGATGGGAAATGAAATAATGGAAATGGATGAAAATAAAGATCAGGAAACGGAGGAGAAAAAAGAGGAAGAAACAATAAATGAAGAAAAAGAGGAGCCACCACCAAGGTAATCTTTTGAAATATCTTCCTTGAGTTGAACTATCTTTTTCAGAGCCTCCAAGAAAGCTGCTCCTGGTTTTGCCTCAATCATTCAAGCAAAGTCACTAGCTCTTGGTTGGAAAAAGAAAGTTGCAACCAAGAAGGCGAACACTTCAGAAACGGATGTGGCATCTCGCGATGGCGCAACAAGTCCAGCGCCAAAGTTGGGCGGTGGAGCTAAGGGACTACTCGCCGCCCTAAAGGCTGCTAAGAAAAACGAAGAGGAGCAACCAAAGCAAAAAGAAGAAAAAATCACAGGCTCAAAGATGCTGTTCGCCATGTCAGCAAACGCAGATGAGGAAAACCAAAAAGTAAAGGTATGGTTTAAAAATATTTTTTACGTGGCCGTCGAATCGTTAGACTAATAAATTCGTAATAATTTACTTGAGTTTTCTTTGCTCATTATTTGTTCAGGTTATCACGAAGCGAGAAAACCGTCTGGAAGTGCACGATGATGAGATTAATGACGAAGATACACTCCGAAATAGTTTCATGGCGAGTATAAATCCCCAAATTCTGAATCGTCGCCGCAACGCCATTGAGAAAATACGTCCGCTCAAAACGCTCAAGAAACGACATCTCTTGCAACATGAACCGACAGTTAAACAAGAGCCGAAAAAAGAGCATACCCGGAAAAATTTAAATGATGTAAACGATATCATGGACGAAAGAAGTCGCCGTCTCGGTCGCAAGAAGAAAGAATTCATCGAGAAAGCATTAAAGGTGTCAACATTTACCGAAAAGATTAGAGTCAACTTTGGTGCTGGCGATCAAGATCCTGAATCGATATACTCCATTTACGAAGATTCGGTGTTCCGGCACGAGATGCGCCATTTCAAGGCTGCCTTGCGATCAGACGAGTTTGCCGCTGGACCGTTTATGGCTTACTTGAGCGAGCAAGAAGAAGACGACACCGCCGTCTTCGCTCTCGACTTTTGGCAGGACATTGAGCGATTCAGAGAAGAATTTGGATGTATGCATCAGAGCGAATTAGAGCTCGAGATGGAGAATATCATTAACAAGTACGTATTCAACAATCACGCGCGGGAGGTCATACCTGGGATGGCCATATACTCAGACTATTTCGGAGATATCGACATTCTCAACACCGTCACCTTCCCCTGGCAGCTGAGGATAGTCCAAAGAAAGTGCATGGACTACTTGTGCGCCATCTGGACGGATTATATCGACTTTGACGTGCGTAACTTTTGCGAGGCCCTCAAAATACTCGATGTTGTTGAATACAGAATCAATGCGACCCTCATCAAGGACTCAATAAAGACCGCATTTAGAGAAGAAGCGCCACCCATACCGCTTGGCGCTTACATCAAGGCAACAAAAGAAGACGAAATTGTCAAAGCGCGAAGAGCAAGAACCATCGTGGAGAAAAACCGAAAAACTAAAGCGAGAAAGTCATCTGGAAACCCGCTCGTAGAGAGTGCAGCTGAGAAAAAGATGAAGGATCGTCTAGCGCTGATGACCAGTAGAAAATCTACTGTGCAACGTATTGATCTTTTCCAAAAAGATAAGGAAATCTCTGAAGAAACTAAAATGGCACGACGATCGAAGAGATCATACTATCTTATTGAGCAAACTTGCCGCCTGACAGCTAACCTGCCAAAGTCACACTTTCTCCGAGAAGAGTCGGACGATGATGGAGATATTCCAGACAAGGCGCCACCAATTTATCTTCGCAAGCCGAAAGTTGATCCAGCTACACTAGCACTTATGGCAGCTCATGATTATCCAAAGGAAGGATCAGTCGTCAAGAAACGCGTAATGGTTAGACAAAATGACTCTGGAAAAGTACCAAGCTACATGAAAGCGACGATCAGGAAGAACGGGGTTGTCTTCAAGCGACCTATTCTGCGACCGAAACATTTGGTCGACTGTGTTCGCGATCCAGTTCACTTTGAATTCTTCAAGCGATTCGCTCGTGCCTACCATTTTGAGCGATCAGTTCGATTTTGGAAAGCTGTAGAAGTAATGAAGCACGTAGAAGACCCAAAAGTCAGACAAATGAAGATCAAAGTCATCGTCAGTCAGTTTTTCTCAGCTTCCAGTGGTGCTCTCGGCGTTGGAATCGACGGCCAAGTTCTGAGAGAGATAATGCGGACTCCTCCGGAGAAAGTCAATGTTTCAATGCTCATCTCTGCCCAAGCTTGTGTGATGAAAGCTCTTGAGGATATGTGGGGAGAACGCTATCTCTCCACCTTCACAGAAGTCAAAAAAGCTGGACCACATGGGCCAAAGGAGATAGGACGCGATCGTACAGACTTGTTAAAAATGACCAGTGGGCGAAATGGAACCAACATTTGGAAAGTCTTCAGTGCATTCATCAAACGAGCAGCTAGATTCGTGGCAACGATGAAGAAACGAGAACTGAGAGAAGAATTTGAACAGTATCTTCTCACGGTTGGCCGCGACCCAACTCTCTACCACAAAGAAGGTTGGGTCGAAGTGGTAGCTACGACTATTGACCCTTTTATGGCGAATGACAAGATGTTCCACCAAAAACGCATGCAAGGACGAAATGTCATAGCTGAGCTCCTTATTAATGATTTCCGCTTCTGGCTCGAAGTTGAATGCTACAGAACTCAAGCGGAACATGTTGCGCAAATGGGCGATTCTGGCGTCTACAATGCACAGGATGAGAAAAATCTCGCTGCCAAAGCAAGACTTATTTCAGACCAGTTCTTGAGCTCGCCTATTCCACCCAAGTGCAGAATCAATGTCGCTTCCGAAATCGCCTCGACAGTGATCGAAAACATCAAGCTTGGAATGGCGAACAGATCACTCTTCCATGATATCACAATCGACGTGTTCCCGCTCTTACTTAACTTCTGGAAGAGTTTCTGCGAAGCGCGACACAAGTACATTCCAAGACCGAAGCTTAATGTTCTCAAAAGAAACATTGTCAGCTGCAGACGTAAGAAGCAAGACTCGCAGAAGAAAATCGACATCATCAAGAAGAGCAAGACGCAAAAGGTCAAATTCGAAATCAACGATAATCTCGAACTGGTAGCTAAAGAAGAAGAGCCGCAGAAGGTTGAAAAGCAAAAACATTCACGAGTTTCTCTCATTCACGATACTTCCGGTGATGGGCCATTGATTGATTACACTAAAGATGGTCACTTTTCGAAGTCCTGGATTGATGTGAGCAAAGTTCTGGAGGAGACAACAACGGTGAACTTCTCGCTGTCTGGCGGCGTGAAAGTAGCGATCGGACTGCAGAGCAAGCCGCGGAAAAGCACGTTCCATCATGCCGATCCATAAAATGTATCCTTATTTTAATTTTGTAATAAATATATTTTTATAAAAAAAGAACTGAGTTTACTTTCTGATATTGGGGGTTGAGAGAGAGTTTGTTGAGTTCTATGACATTGGTAGAGAATTTATTTTAGTAGATCTCGCAGCAATGATATTTCTTCGCCACTCATATTATGCTCATTTTGAGTAAGCGACGTCCCGTCTTCGAAGTTTATTCGATTGTAGTAGTCGACGGAAGTGATTGGGTCGTCGGGAAATCCGTTTTCGACCCAACTTGCATGCCCAAATCGCTCCATTTCTTGTAACAGATATTGTTCTGTAAAACTAAATATAGAGGTCGTTGAATAAAGTCATTATCGAGTATGAGATAAACCTGTGTTGTTCTGCAGACAAGTACGCGCCGTTGATCAAATAAACTCCAAACGAACTATCAACCGCTAAAATCAGTAGCTCTTCCTCAACATTAGTTGAAGGATTATTGTTTGAATCATAAGTTTGGTAGTATTGGCTTGTTGAACCTGACGAGTAAGTGCTTTGTGAACCCAAAAACGCCTCGTAGCATGGATTTTCATAAGTAAGCTGGCCATTTGAGCACTTCCAAGTTGCAAGAGGACCCCCTGTAATTGAGCATGTTCCAATATTGTACCCGGCGTTGTGAGGTGCACCATTCACACATCTAACGATTTTATAAGACAGAAATTGGCAATTGTTACTTACTCGGATCCTGGCTGAGCGTATGCAATCTTGCATGGCTCCGTAAAATGAACTTTTCCATCAAGACAGGTCCACTCGTACATTGGTGTTGTCGAATCATGAGGGCATATTCCCGCGCCCCAGGTGTCGCCATGAGAATGATGCTTCTCGTCAGGTGTGTAAATTGCATCACAGGACTTGCCAGAATTGTAGGAATGAGTCTGAAGAGGTGGAAAAGCAGCAATCATCGGATGATTCATGTTTATTTCCAAAGAACAGTCGCTGCTAGAACAACAATCTCGACAAACTGAATCTGGTGATCCATTTGCGTTATAGCCATGCATAAAGCACTGGTCCTGATTGTTTAGTTTGTTTCCTTGGCAAGCTTCGCGTTGCTGACACCCAGTGCACATCCTTTCCATGTGACCACCACGTGATCTTACTTCGAGAAAGCAGACAGAGTCCCCTGGACATGTTTGGCGCATACCGATTTGCAGACATTCTTCGTAGCTATGCGCGTCGCACATCCAACATGATCGTGTCGATGAAACCCTTATTTTTCTTATGACTTGTCAATTTTATATAGATCTTACCCATATCCTCCTCCCGTGCAGACATCAGAAGTAGTCACTTCTCCTGATATGCAAGTGTGCTGAAGACAAGTGCCTGTTTTCCAAATCTGCCCATGATAGTAGAACTGACCGGTGGGAGTAGTACATCCAACCGGAGGCGTAGAAGTTGTTTGAGTTTCCGGACAGTGGTTGAAAAATCCGATTTCTCCATCATTGCAAATATAAGTATGGCATTGATCCTTGTTCCATCGAGCTCCAGAATGATACTCAATACCTTGGAACCAACAAGGTTTTTGTGGTGGAAGTGTTGACTATGAATATCAAAATTAGTAAAAAATAATTTTTGTCGGATATTTACCTGAGTTGGATAACTTGGTGGTTTCGTTGTGCTATGACAATTATTGAATTGATGGACGACTCCCATGTAACAACTGTAGCCGATACACTGATCCAAGTACCATATTTGCCCGTTCTGATAAACCTCATTTTCGAACGTACAGCTGCCGGCAGAAGGGTCTCTCGTGGTAGTTGATTGAGTCGTTGTTGTCGTACAAAAATAAACAACTTCAATGGATCCTTCCTTGCAGACATAGTAGTTACAGCTATCTTTGTACCATTGTTGATGATTCATGTAATTTTTGCCTTCAAATCTGCATCCGCCCGGATACGAGTATCCTGCTTCGCAAGTGTCGAACTCTTCTAGCTGCTCGTCATTACTTTATTTGGTTTTTCAAATTCGAGACTCTGAGGTCATTTTTAAAGGATGTGGTGGAAGAATCTGAAATCAACTACTATTTCAGCTACTTCCGGTGCTGAAATAAATAAATCGCTCAAATCAAAGAAAATTAAAAATGTTTAATTTCCCGATTATTGATCTAAATAAGCTCGAAAGCTCGAGTTCAGAAAGAGAAGAATTACGAAGAGGCCTAACTGATGTGTAGGTCCTGTGTTATCTGAATTGATTCCGACTTATTTTAGTGGCTTTTTCTATGTCAAAAATTGGGGACTTTCTGAGAGCGAACTACAAGAAATCGAAGCACTAACTAGAGAAGTCTTTACTGCGTCAGATGCTGAACAGAAAAAATTAGAAGCTTACATTCGGAACATGGCACATTCATTCTACCTCTTTGATATGGACTCTGAATTCATTCAAAAGTAATAATTTTTGAGTAAAGATCAATTCACGCATTTAGGGTTGATCCGAATCTGAAGCTCGATATCAAAAGAATAGATGAGAAATTTTGGAAAATGTTTTTGGCGATGAAGAATACCGGACTAGACCTTCTGGTAAAAGAACCATGTAATTTCCTATTTTGTAATTTCTTTTAAGACCTGGTTCGAGAAAATTTTTAGTCTTCAGCAAGGTCGTCTTCGGGAACAATTTGCTACCGATCCTGTTTGCTGTCTTCATGGAAATTATTACGACAAGACTCCAAAAGGAGAGTGGGGAATCGAGTCACACTTGGACAAGGGTCTTATTACCTTGCTCTACCAAGATCAGACGGGAGGACTTGAGGCGGAATATGAAGGAAAATGGTATCCGATCCCGCCAATTGAGGGGTCATTGATTATCAATCTCGGTCGAATGCTTGAGTACTTTACTTATGGCGTGGCAAAGGGCGCTTGGCATCGAGTTCGAGCACACAAGACCGATAGAATTTCCTGGCCATTCTTTCTGAACCCATCTTTTGATGCACAATTTGCTCGACTTGATGAGTTCAAATCGAACGAAGCAGCATTTACCGATCTTGAGAAAAAACGTCGCATTAATGTTAGCGGAACTTATGAGCCAGGCACAACCTTTGGCTCAGGAACTTACCGAGACTGGCATAATAAATACGTTGTCAATGCCGGTACGGATAACTCATTTTCTATTAAAAATGTCTAGATGAACATCGACGGAATAGAGGCCATCTGAAGATCTGGGAAATGGAAGAGCCTGCAAAGGAAAGGCTCGAAAATACAAATATCATAAACAATATGACTCGGGATTTGCGAACCTGTGCAAAAAGGCTGAAGTAGATGGTCCAAGTTTCAAATCTCTTCAAGCTTTACCGAATCAGTGGAAGCAGCCTAATTCTCGTGTTTACTTGTAACAGCACTTATCAATATTTTTTCTATCAATATTTAGAAATGGAAGCAGCTGGGGAGGATATTGAGTATGTTAAAAAAACCTTTGTACATCTGAATAAAATTTTCGTATAAAAACCATACCAGAAATATTTAAAACAGTTGGACACGTGATAGTATTGAGCGTGTTGAACTGTTGCGCCGTTCGGCAAGGTGCAGTGTTTTACCTCTCCAATTAGATTCGTTTCACAAATGAAAGTTTTAGCAACAACTCCTTCGTCACACTCACACAGCCAACAATTTCCGTCTTTCCAGCTTTGTCCGTTGTCATAAACGACACCGTTAACAATACAGTAGTCCCCGTAGTTGCCACTTCCTTCTGGGGTTGTTGGAGATTGTGAAGTGGTAGTCTGCAAAATAATGCAAATCCCATCTATTTCTTCATATCCGTCGATGCAACGACAGTAAGGCATGTAGCTAACAAGCTCAGCAAAATAACCACAAGAGCATTCAATAGTATTTAGTGGAGTCTCAGCGACTGCTCCCATGCACATAACACACTCTCCATTTGCATTTTTCACGTGATGAATATCGCAGTCTTCTTCCTGCGTCTCGACACATTCATTATTTACGAAGAAATAACCTGTTATACATTGACAAAAAGGCGCAAAAGAGCTCATTTCTGCGTTTTCAACACAAGAACAGTCTTCTGTTGCCAAAACCGCTGGAATTGCTCCATAACAAGCGATGCATTCTCCAACATTGTTCATTACAAGCTCATCTGGGCAGCTTATGAGCGAACCAGTTGTAGTGCTGATTGGATTCGTAGTCGTTGTTGGGCTCGGTAAACAGCCGCCGTTACTTTCGTGATACCCGTCATTGCAGAGGCAAACAGGCGCGAATTCCGCTAAAGAAGCATTTGGAACGCACTCACATGTTTCAGAAGTCATAGGGAGCACAAAAAGTCCTTCACAATTTTTACATGCGCCCGAAGGAGTCAGATACGTTCCATCAGGGCATGAAATAGATGATGTTGTTGATGATAACGAGGTTGATGAAGATATGACGGTGGTAGTCGTTGAAGTGGTAATAGGAACACAAAGTCCGTTATCATCCGTGAACCCAATATCACAAGTACAAACCGGCATTCCTTCAAATAATGAGGCATTGTCCGTACAACTGCATCCTTCCGTCACTAATGGAATCGCAATATTACCAAAACATGCAATGCACTCGCCAAAAATATTTCTGACGAAGTTATTCTCACAATCTGCTTGAGATGTGGTTGAGGAGACCGTGGAAGAAGTAGATGTTGTGCTTGTGGAAGTGGTGGTTGGAACACAGAACCCATTATCATCTATGAACCCGGAATCACAACTGCAAACCGGCATTCCATCAAATAAGGAGGCATTTTCAGCACAACTGCATTCTTCTGTCATTAATGGAATCGCAATATTACCAAAACATGCGATGCAGTCCCCAAAAATATTTCTGACAAAGTTGTTTTCGCAATCGCCAAGAGATGTCGAAGTTGTTGTTGTTGTGCTTGACGAAGTAGTAAGCATTCTTGTACAAGAGTTTTCAACTTCTGTAAAGCCTTCATTACATTGACACCAAGGTGCTAGGTCAGAAAGAGACGCATCTGCGCCACAAGTGCAGTCTTCTGTTGAAAGAGGCTCTTCAATAACGCCGAAACATAGGATGCAATCTCCGAGAATATTCCTCGCAAAATTAGTAGCGCAAGCTTCCGTTGTTGTAGGAAATGAGCTTGTTGTAGTTGTTGTCGTCGTTGTTGTAAGCGGTGAACAAACATCACCTATCAATTCAAATCCGTCGTCACAAGAACAAACTGGAAAACCACCAACAAGAGAAGCATTTTCAATGCAAGTGCAAAATTCTCCTGGAAGGGGATCCTCAAAAATACCCATGCAGGGAATACAATCACCATTGATATTATGCGCTTGGCCTGATTCACATGGTGCAAGGGTAGTTGTTGTGGTCGTTGTGGTTGACGTTGTTGTCGAGATACAGTAATCATCAATGTTTATGAATCCGTCATCACATAAGCAGAGAGGGAGTCCATCAATAAGAGATGCATTTTCTTTGCACGAACATGTTTCTCCGGGAAGAGGATCTTCATAAACTCCCATACAAGATATACACTGGCCAAGCATATTTCGAACTTGGCCCGCCTCACACGATTCTAGCGTCGTAGACGTGGTAGTTGTTGATGTTGTAGACGTGGTTGTTGTTTGAATGCAGTAATTATCATTATTGTTGAAGCCATCATCGCACAGACATACGGGCAATCCATCAATAAGGGAGGCATTCTCTTTGCATGTGCAAGTCTCTCCAGGGAGAGGGTCTTCATGGACTCCTATGCACAAAATGCAAACTCCAAGCGAATTCAAAGCCATGTCGTCAGAGCAAACAAGATCGGTTGTTGATGTGCTTGTCGTCGTTGTCGTAGATGTCGCAGATGTCGTAGAAGTTGTAGGTGTTGTCGTTGTTGAAGTCGTCGACGTAGATGTTGTCGTTGATGAAGTCGTTGTCTGCAGAATACATACTCCGTCATCATCAATGAACCCAGGATTACACACGCATAGAGGAGCATATGATAGAATTGTCGCATTTGGACCGCATGTGCAAAGCTCAGTTGACAGCGGAGTTTCTATTGCTCCAAAGCAGCGGATGCAAATTCCAATGCTGTTTCTAACCATTCCATTTTCACATTCACCAAGCTCTGTAGTCGTTGTCGTCGTCGTGGTAGTTGATGAAGACGTCGTCGTTGTATAAGTAGTTGTAGAAGTAGTAGTTGTCTGTGTCGTAGTAGATGTGGATGTTGTTGTAGATGTAGACGTAGTTGTAGGAGCACACTCTCCGCTTTCATTTTCAACTAAGCCGATTGATTCGCAATCTTGAACGCAAACTCCATTTTCTTCTTTGAACCCATTGTCGCAAAAACAGATGGGCGCGTATTGTGACATAGATGCATTCTCAATACAGCTACACGTAACACCCGGAAGTGGAGATTCAACCAATCCTAGACACATGATGCACTCTCCATCACTATTTAGAACTTCAGATGTTCCACAAACTCCTGGAACAGTACTTTCACATTCTCCATCAATTTCCGTGAACCCTTCATCGCAAGCGCACACTGGCGGGTTTGACCCAGCTTGTAAAGATGCATTCTCTTTGCAAGAGCAATCAAGGGTCGTTAAAACGTCAGGTACAATCCCCAAACAAGTAATACAAACACCGTCGGAGTTAAAGACTTGGCCTTCTTCACACTCTCCCGTTGGCAAAACGCATTTGCCGTAGTCGTGTTGAAATGGTGATTGAATTTGATTGCCATCATCACCATCATTAGTAACTGCAAAATATCTTGCGTTTCCAAATGAGCCAAAACTTATCCTCGGTAAATTTGTGTCAGGGACGGAAATATACCCACTCTTGCATCTACAATACCATGAATTGGAATCCCAAGGCTTACTTGGATCGTAATCAGGGTTTATCTCAGCGTTTTCGCCGCACAAGCAAAATTCAGTTGAGCCGTCATTTACCGAAACATCCATCGGACCGCTGCAGAGAGTGCAACTTCCCGGCAGTAAAGGGTCTTCATCTGAAACATAAGCGTATCCCAAGTTGCATCGGCAGCGATTTTGTCCGGCGATAAGCGACGCTTCTTCCTGGCAAGTGCAATGCGAGACAGTTGTGCTAGTTTCAAAAGCACCACCACACTTGACACAGACGTTATCACTGTTTCTGACGAATGGGAGCTCGCAGAGTACTTGCGTGGTTGTGGTCAAAGTCACCGACGTTGTAGTAGTGCTGACACTCTCTACACAAATCCCATTTTGCTCTTGGTACCCAGCTTGACAAATGCACTCGTAAGGATCTATCGGGTTCGTGTAAGCGTAGTCAATGCAAGTACAGGATTCAGAATCAAGTGGAACATCTATAAGGCCATAGCAAGGGATGCACAAGCCGCTCGGAGTCATTGCCTGTTGGGCTGGACATGTCCATGCATAACGATTTTCTTGATTTTGATCTTTTGTCGCGTCATTTTCCATTTCTTCGTATATTTCGTTTATTTCTTCACAAAATGAAAGCTGTGTCAAAGATCCAAATGAACACGAATGATAAATACAATCCGTTATTTGAGCAACTTCTCCGTCTTCATATTCTCTGCCTTCATAAAAACAAGCGCCATCTCTATCAACCGTAATCGATAAAGTATCTAAAACCCTCGTTTCCGCAAATCGGGAAAGTATGTCTTGGGCTCTAGCAAAATTTAATAAAAAGAAATATTTCCATTTTCCTTTTCCTTTCATCTTCTCTTCTGCTCTAAAAATTTCCCAAGTAACTAACAACTCGGAACCCATGACAAAATCGCCGCAAATCCAATTTTCAGGATTAACTCTTCCTGTCTCTTTCGTCATCTAATTTAGGAAAAAAATATAGTCAGAATCTTTATTCGGCAGGTATTTTTGATTGTTTGCAATATTTTACAGATATTCAAGCTCTAACGCTTGGTGAAGAGCCATCAAGTCATTGTGCGTCGAGATTGGCCAGAATGGAACGTTATGCTGAAATCAATTTTTAAAAAATGAAAGTAACATTTTTCGGTACCGTTTTTGCAGCAATCTCTTCTTCTCTCCCGTCGCCAATACAGACGTACGTGACATTCTTTCCAAAACGCTGGATAATTCTTTCGAAGCAGCTCTCCTTTCCGATTTTCGTTGCGGAGTAGACGTTGTCAATATTGAAAACAGGCCCTAATTCGTACAGCATGCACTTCGCTATCGCAGGGACCAGCTGAGTTGTTGTCACCATTATATTTACGCATCCAGGTCTAGGATTCTCAAATTATTTGCAGCTTTAGGCAGTCAGTTCTTACCGATTATGAATGACACTAAGCGCTTTCAGCGCGAGGGCACACCAGTTATCCGTGCTCTGGTCAATTTCCGTTCTTAGCTGCCGCCAAGCTTCTCCAACTGGACTTGAGAGGAGCTCTAAAATAAAAATTCCTACAAAAAATTTATCGAATGGATTACCTGGAATATTGTCCTTGAAGGTGTCGTAGAGTTCTTTGATCCTTCGGTATCTAAAAGCTAGTTTTCTCATCCAGTCCACTCCTCCTCGAACTCCCGGCCCGAGACAGATAGCGCCTGCTGCATTTGCTGTTCTAAATTGAATTTAAGGATATACCCGATAAAATTAAACTTTCATAGCGCCTAAATACGAAGTCGGATCATTTTTATTTCAAAAGAAATCCTACCTAAAATTGTGCGTTAAATTCAATTCTGCTACTTATTTAAAAATTTTTATTACAATTTTTCTCTCTAGAGCGATTTGAAAACGAACTCTCTCGATTTCTCGAAATTTTTTCACTTCATCGCTAAAAATGACCCGTGTTCTGTATAAGAATAATGCTAAGCTACGAAATTGATGGGATTAAATTCTTAAACCCTATTGAATTTTCATTCTAGTGTTCTCCTCATTTATACTCTTGTTTTTCTTCTCTGCGCGCTTTTTCGCGTGCTACCAATCAGAGCGGTGCGCTCAACCACTCACTTTCTCTCGGAAAAGAGGAGTCGACTGAGTGAGCACCCAGCGCGCCGCTTTGTAGAGCGTTCACGCGCTGGGTAGCCCTTAATGAAATGACTCTAGAATCAGTTTCCTTCGGAATTAAGGAAAAGTAAACCATCAATATTGTAGAAAACGGTCTAAAGAACTTATCTATCGAAAAATCTCGACCGATTTATACCAAAAATTTCGAGTAATCGAGAGAGTAAGATTTGAAATTGCTCTAAAAAGAAAAATTCAAATGAGAAAATATAAAAAAGTACCAGATTTGAGATCTGCGTGCATTTTACGGTAGAATTGCCTTTGAAATAAAAATGATCCTACGTAGCATTTCGGCGCTAGAAAAGTTCAATTTTATCGGGTATATCCTTAATAAAAGGTGCAAGAAAAGCTATTTACCGAAAACCATCAGTCTGGAAATTATAATTCGCGAGATCCTGTCCATTATCATCAGCAGCGACATCATCACAGTGGACTTGGTCGCACTCTTCCAAATCGTTGAAGAACAAATGGTTGTCTGCGAGATTGAAGATGAGCTCTTCCATCCTCAGCCCAAGTTGCAATGTTGCATTCGTATCCTTAAAAACAGTTGAAGAGCCATTTCTTTCCAAGAAAAATGATAATCCATTAGCTAAAGAAAGCCGTGGACTTTCGCGTCTAATCTGGCGATCTTTGTGAAACCGAACACTTGGGGCTCTGCGCGAGATGGCGTCGCGGCTTATCCGGGAGGATAATTGCGAATTTCAAACTCGAAATTTGTCGAAACCCGACGCCCAAATGAGCTCCAAGAGAGGAAGTCACCTTTCCGTAGCGCTGGGCATAAGAAGACGTGAGAAGGGAGTGGAAAATGATGATCGTCTCGTCCAGATCCCAGATGAAAACACGGTCGATTTCGTTCTCGCCGTTTTCTTCCCGCTTCTTGGATTTCTTACCGCCACGCCTTCTATGAAATATTGGGATCCGCCAAGAAAAATCTTATTTACCTGTCTGTATCATCGATTGTATATTTTATCTCTCCCATTGCTTCTTGGGGCGGCTCTTGCAACTGGTACGTTACTTGACTTCCGGAAGTAGCCGTCAATGCAGGCTGAGTACTGCTCACGTAATAGTTATTGTGATAGTTTGGATAGTGTCCTTGGGCGGCGTAATATTGAGCTCCGTATTCAGGTTGACCATTAGCTTGGATCGGCGCCTGCTGACCCGGAGTTTGAGCGCTTGGGGGGTACTGAGCTGGTTGGGCATAGTTGTTATTATTGCCAGGTGCACCTTAATATTAAAATTCGAAACAGGATTAAAACTGCAACAAATTAGTGCCGCCAGTTTAGCCTAAATCTTGAGGCGCGGTGTGACCTGCTTGAGGTGAAATCTAATCTGATGCGACGAACCACTTCATCATTGTTCTTTTATGCTCCAATTCCTGCGTAAAAGTCCTTTTTCACACCAACAATCGCATAATGGAATTTGTTTCAGATTTAAATTAGCCATGACTTTCCCGTGAAGTCTAACGGGGAAAAGGTTTTGTTTTCTATTAAGGATATAGCCGTTCTCAAGGCACTTTCGTAGCGCGAAAAGGGGACGATAAAATTTTTTCATTTCAAAAGGAACCCTACCTAAAATTGCCTAAGAAACCCGATTCTAGTGTTCTTTTTAATTTTTAAATGGAAAAATTTCTCTCTAGAGCAATTTTAAATCTTACGATCACTTTTTCTCGAGAATTTTCCATTAAATCGGTCGAGTTTTTTTGATAAATTAAAAATTTGGACCTTTCTCTACATTCCTAGGGCTTAAAGTTTAATAGATTCAAATTATTTATGGTTCTAGAGCCATTTTTATGAGGCTTACTTGAGTAAGCCGAAGCGTCAGACAGCGCTCTGGTTTGCTGCGCTGGGCGCCCTCCTCCATCGCGCGGTGAGGCGCGCATGTGAAAGAGCGCGCTGATTGGCCCAGCGCCCTGAACGCAGCATTTATGAAAAAGAAAAGCCAAAAAGAAGAGGACGCTAGAATGAAAATTTGCTCGGGTTTTGAAATTTTGAGGCCTTAGGAAGATAGATTAGCAGTTATTTATAATAAAACACGGTTTAGTTTTAGCGATTTAATTGAAAAATTTCGAGAAAAAGTGATCGTAAGATTTCAAATCGCTCCAGAGAGAAATTTTCTTTGAAAAAAATTTTAAAAAACATCAGAATCGAATTCTAGACATAATTTTAGGTAGGACCTGTCTTGAAATGAAAAAATTTTATCGCCCCATTTCGGCGCTACGAAAGTGCCTTGAGAACGGCTATATCCTTAAATTAAATGTATGAAGAATCACCATCGAGATATTATCATGAATGACCCATAAAAATGTTCTATAAATGTGCCATAAACAATTGTCGTCAAGATTAGTGCATATGATAAAAATGTTCGATTTAATAGCTTTACCTTGGTACATCTGGCCATAAGAATTCGCCCATATGCCGGGATAGGCCATTTTTACTTCTCTCTCTTTCTCTTGTTGGTTATTATAGCAGTGAATTCTTCATAAATAACTCGAAAAGAAACTCGGGTAAAACGGAATCCGAGAAGAATGATAGGAACATCATGAGTGGGTACAGCGAGGCGGCGTCGAATTGCGCCACGAGTGGTCGGCGATTTTTTTGTCTGCGCCGCGCGGAGATTAATTTTTTGTTCATCAATTTCATGCATTAGCGCGTACGCAAGAATGATGGAATCGAAAGGCCTTTTTGATAAGCGCACTTTGCTACTTGTCTGGCGGACGATGATTGATCACAAGTATTTTTCTGATGAGAATTTTATGACAAATTTTGAAGCAAGGAAAATGCATTCAGGCAAAAAGGGAACATTTCATCTTGAGATAAGAGTGGTTGACTTGACAACCGAGAACTTGAATTGTGGAAAATTGTAAATTTGAAAAGGAAATTCACAAAGAAAATTTATTTTGAAATGCAGAAGAAAGTAAAGGAACTACAAACTACAGTACAAAAACAGTGTCCGTGTCCATAATCATTGTCTTTTCAGGCATAAAATCCGGTAATAATTTTCAGTTTACTTGGAGGGTCGTCTTCGTAAAGTCGATGCTTTGTACTTCATTTCCGGGTTGATACCAAGGCTCCTCTCGAAGTTGACGTTGTCGAGTCGTTTCAGCGCTTTCATCGATTTTTCAAAAGTGCTCATTGCTTCAGCTTCTTGTTTCTGCAGTCTGTTAATTCTTGAGCTCTTGAGTTTTTCAACTCTAAGCTGGACTTCAGCAGTAACATCGTCTACTTCTGGATCGGCTTGTTCTCCAGAGAGCCAGGAAATTTTCGTTTTGAACGATTTCATCATGAATTCCATTATTTCAAACTCATTCGATTTGCTCAAAAGCTCTTCACTTCCCAACTCGCATGAAGTGTTGATAATCGCGACGAGTACGTTCAAAATAAGGAACATCATCGTGAAACAGAAGAATAGGTAATACCAGGCACCGAAGACAGGATATCGCTCCGTCAAAGTTTTATAGAGCAAACCGCCCAGCATTCCGTCAAGGAGGGTTTCAGATCCGCGGATGATGTTTGAGAAGTAGCTTTTTTAGGATCAGTATCATTCTCAAATCGATATCTCGAATCGCTGTGACATCTTTAGATAAAAGTAAATAAATATATTTTTTGATCCTTTCCTTGAGTACTTGTTCCACATAATCATTGCCATGGACAAGAAGCTCATCAGAACTGTCATGAACATCACAAAGAATCCCGACCACTCCTGTCCGATCTTCTTGATAACGGAAGAAAGCATTTCAATTCGTTGATTGAATCGAAGCAACTTGCCAAATTTGAGAATGGAAAAGAAAACCGCAAAAGAAATGATCCAACCTAACGTCGAATCTGCCGCCACAACTGGGTCAAAGTTCACGAAGGAGCGTTTGTCATCCTTGAAAAGATCGATGAGTTTGTCGCTGACCATCATTCGGACCGAGTAGAAAATGAGAATTAAAATGTCCAGAAGGATCATTATAACTTCGAAAAGCTTCCAATTGTCCTTTACAACGCCCCAGAATCCAAACTTGCAGAATCCGTCTTTGATTGTCGAGACGATTTTGAAAATCATGTGAGCAATGAAGAAGATGTGCGCAACCACCATCATCGATCCAACTGTTCCTTCGTAGTGATACAGTCGGAAAGTGTCGATTTTGAAGTTGTTTACCGAATTTCCCGAGGGAAGCCATTCGGAAACGAATTGCACCTTGCTGAAGAGGTTGGAAGCAGTGTTGTAGATAGTGAACTCGACAAAAGACGCTGAAGCTGTGTGCGAAATGAACGCATTTTGATGAAGATACTTGACGATGGCGGAGCATGTCTCAGGGTTGACTCCTAACTCGGCGGAATAACCACCACCGTTGTAGATTCCGATGTCTCCTTGGAATGGTGCACCGTTGAGTTCTTTCCAGCTGCGGTAGATCCACGCTTGTTCGAAAATATCATCGACGTCAACAGTACTGGCGTCAATCTCATTGTGCCATCCAGTGTCGTAATTTCCTTTGATTTCGTCCCCATGATCGCATCGTTTTCGCGGCTCAGGTGACCCAGGAAAGTCGGTTTCTTCATCATACATGCGACAAGACCATGGATCGCCGCGCTGCAAGCGAATTCGCGCCGGTCCAACACGGAAACTTGCGCCATCTTCCATAAACGCTCTTTCTCGCCAGTTGAGTTTTCGTCCGTTGTATGCATGTGTTGGATAGATGCTGTCCCGGACAGAGCTATTTATCCAGTTCCAGAAATCGTCCACAGACTCGACTTTTTCGAACTTGTCGTAGTAAAGCATGTTTTTGATGTTTTCGTTTTGCGCGAATGCCATTGGATCTCGATTGCCTGTAGCAAGGAAGATCACGATACAGATGTAAATGAAGTAAGCGATGATGTCCCAAATGATTTCGACCATTTTTTCTTCTTTGTATCTCAATTCTTTCGCCGCGTTCAGGTCATTTTCATTTGGTGGCGCGGGAGTAATCAGAGGAGCTTCTCCAGAGTCGTCTTCGATACAGCACAGATCCAAGAATCGCTTGTCTTCTTGCTCGATTTCCGTGTTTTCAATTAGGTCCAAGAACGATTGATCGAGCTTTCGGAGGATCGAAGCGATGAACATACTGATCAAAACGACCTTGATTGGTTCAGCTACAACGATATTAACACAGAAGGACATGAGTTCGTTGAGAAGCCACTTGTCAGATTTTGCCTTTCCAAAATCCATTGAGTAAAGAATCACAAAGAAGGCGCAGATGATTGTTACGCAAAAATTGAGCCCATAAGCAACGTATTTTGACCACCAAGGTAGGAAACCCTTTGCTCGGTTATCTGTGCCATCGTTTGCTTTTGACTTTCTTTTTTTGAAAAGGGTGATCGGAATGAGCGTAGCAGGAACAACGATGAGGGAGCAAATGGCGGAAATGTAGATCGCGCTCGGTGAGAACCGGAAAGGACCGATTCTGATCATTTCTGAGCTATCTTCTTGTCCAGCGAACATCATGTTCGTGAGCATGGTAATAAAGGTTAAACAAGCACAACAAGACCAACGTTCCATTCGCTTGAAGATAGATTTAGTTGGTCGATGAAAAGTCGAGAGCCAGATATGATCATCGGAGAGTTTCGACCAACTTGTGGCGGCAAAGAGCTTGTTGAAGTTTTGCTTCTCATCGGGATCAGCTGGGGGGACGAGTCGCTCGCATTTGCCATCGGATCGTGCCGCATCTAGATAATCTTGAATCATGAAGAACCAGCGTTTGTTGCTTTGAACATGAGTGACGACAACTTGTTGGCAGTACCAGCCTTTCAAAGCTCCCCGTCCGGAATTATCGTGCCATATTTGAAGAGCTTTTAGTTCGCCAAGGTCAACTGCTTCTCGCATGAGGAAATGCTTATTAGTACCGCGCTCAAATAACTGAGCGTTTTTAGTTGTGCCTAACCTTCGAACTCTAGATCGTTTTCGCATGCCTTCCAGACGGAAATAGATTTTGGACTTTGTTGATGAGTCGCCTCCGCCACCGGTTGTTACAGAAATCTGATACAGTACCTTGTCTTCTCGTCGATTGTCAATGAGACTTCGCAAAGCCCACTTGATGGCATCGTTCTTGTCCATTTTCAAAATAAACCAAGCTGCGATCAGCCAAAGAGCAAGGAAAACAATGACGAAGCTGAAAACTCCAGCATTGCATGTTATGCAGAATTTTGACCAAATTGTGGAAAAGTCAATTTTGTTGGGAGGGACGAAGAATTCAGCAGAGAAAATGGCTTTTTGAGGGAGATCCTTGCAGAAGCACTCGGTGTATTCTGGCGTTGATCGAGAGTCGACATGGCAGCCGTTGCTTGACCATTTTCCGGTTTCTTGATTGAGCACTCTGCAGCCTGGTGTGGAGAGGAAAAGATGGTGCGTCGTGTCAGGAAGATCAGGTGATCGTCGTTTTCGTCGATTTTGTTGCGGCGTAGTCATGTTGGATGTAGTGTACATGCTTCCAACGAACCAACTGCAAGGATAAACTTCGCATTCGATGTCATTCTCTGGGATGAAAACTTTGTATTTGTCGATCGCAGGATTTTCCATCTCCCAGATTTCAAGATTCAAAGGCAAAGAGAATTTGAAATCGAAAATATGCTCATCTGGAGTTGATCCTAAAACCGGCGCAGATCCGTTTCTAATGAACACTTCATAATGAACAGTTGTGTCTTCCAGATGTGGGGGCTCGTAAACCATCAGAATGGCATTACCGGGGCCGACGATTTCGAAACGAGAGACTTGCAGAACTCCCTCGTCGGGGAAATGCAATTCCATCATTTGATTATCTGCGCTGAAATCATTGGGGATCGCGAGACCCATTCCAGATTTCAAAATATCATCAGTTCCGTTCGGCATGTTTAACACAGTGACAGCAGAATTGACTAGAGAAGCGTTATCATCATATTTGAACGGGTTTTTGCCAAAAGTCGACATTTGAATATCGAGTTCTTCTTGACCCTGCTCGAGAAGCGCGGCTGTAGTCGCTTCGGATATTTCCGGGAGTTTGATGGAAACGCCATTTTTGTTCCTCAGTTGGGCTCCTGAAGCATCCTCTGCGCTGATTTTCTGAGTGTTGACGCTTAGATCTCCTGACTCAACCTCAGTCGCTTCTTCACCTCCCATCTGCTTGGTAGTCAACGCTCCTGTCAGGTCAGAAACAGAGCCAAGGGACTTTGAGGTGATATTTTTCGCTGCTGGCGCTTTTTCGGCAATGTTCTTTCGATTTTCAAGTCGTGCGAGTTTTCTCATCCATTCGTTTTCTATCGGGTTGATGTCTCGCTTTTCCATTTGGTCGAAATTCGGCTCTTTTCCGGCGAGCTTGTCTTCTTTCAGCACTTGATCGTCTGGAGTCGAAGTGGAAACGATACCGGATAGACTGGCCATGACTTTTCCTCCGATCTTGCTCAGTTGCTCTTTGTTCGCTTCTTCAGTGAAGCCTTTGAGATTGGAAGTCATTGACGCTGCCATATCAGCGCCTTTTTGCTGCGTTTCGTCGTCCAAATCATCTCCTGTCTCAGTGAAAGTAGAAACCGCTGCTGATACTTGCATCAATGACTCAGGCGAGACAATTACATCGACAATGCTTCCCATCGCGTTCATCAGTTCTTTCTTCAACCCCTTTTTGACGGACGATTCGACTTCCAAGGACAAATCATTTTCATAAGCAGACATTGTCGTGACATAAATTGGCGATTCAGTCGGTCCATAAAGCTGTTCGGAAATTCCAGAGAATTCGTACATTTCATAATCGGATGAATTGTCTGACCCGCCTTGATACTCGTCGTAGAAATAATCAGCAGATCGCCTTGCTCGTTTTCGGATAAAATCTCGAACTTGCCTTTTTCTTCGAGAAAGCGAGCTCTGCGTTTCGAGAGAACCGGATGACAAGAAGTTTGATGCCTCAGCAGCCATTTGAAGTGTCCACTGACGGACTCGTTCCGCTTCTTCAGCTTTTTGTTTTGCGATTTCTTCTGAGTCTTCTTCCGCTGCGATTCCATCAGTTTCTACTGGTCTCGCGACGACTTGAGAAAGATCGAACAGTGGCTCTTCTGGCTGTCCTTCGACAATTGGATTTGGAGTTGGCATGTTGTTTGCGAAAATCAATCGCCTTGTTGTGGCCGCCACGGTTGTCAAAGCTGCGGTTGTTGTGATCAAGGTATCGGACGAAATATCCGAAATGTTTTGAATGAAATAGCTAGAAACAGCGCCAGTGATGGATGCCACAATTTTCGGATTCTTAGTGCTCACTGCTGTAAGCAATTTCGAGCTATTTCCAGAAACAGCGTTCATCAAGTCTCCGCCCACGTCGACAGAGATCATTGGGAAGGACTGGACGAGGATTTCGTTGGAGTCAACACATTCTCCGTACAAATCGCAGATTTCAGCAACAACTCGGAGACCAAAGAAGAAGAAGTCTTTGTTGCCGAGCGGGAGGGAGAGTTTTGGTGTTTGAGGGGACGGACCGTGGTAGAGCAGGAAAGGATCAATTGATTCATTGATCGGTTTTGTCGTAAATCGGTACATAAGCTGAGGCTGGCGACCAGCAGCTTCCTCGTAGTTCAGAAAAGTTCCTTCATCAAACCAGTCTTGGCATTGAAAACTCACTTCGCCTTTGACCGCCTCTACTTTTGCGAAAACACGGCGATTGTATCGGCTGAAATAAGAATCCTCAGGAACATACAGAAGCTCAACATTTTCATCGTCCTCGGCAATATCGAAAAGGGTGCAGTTTCCATTCGTTTCATTGATAGCTGCGGTAAATTGATATCCAAGACAGTTGATTGCTTCACCGAAACAACAGGCTTCTGAGCATTCTGCTTCCGGAATGTCTTCGGTAAAAATAACCGTGGCATTCTCATTTGGAACCAGTTCATATTGCTCTTGGGTAATGTAATCGCAGGTAGATTCGCCTCCGATTCCAACGCAATGACCATCAATTGGTGGAAGGTTCACTTTTCGGACAATTTGGTTGGAAGCCTCTTGTCGAACGATTTGGTCGAGTTCTTCGTCGTATCCGTCCATAGATACAGAAACGTCAATCGAATACTCTCGCCCGGGCAAGAAATAGTTCTTGTGGACTTTCATAATTCTCTGGTTGAACGTTGCCGTCATGGATGGAACATCATCAACGATTGCTGATCCTGGCTCATCGGGCTCATCATATGAAGAGTATTCATCCTCTTCTTCCTCCTCTGGAAGGTCGTAAAGACTGAAGCTCCAGAAAAATCGAGGCGATCTTCCGCGAACACAATTTTTGCATTTTATCATAAGAGAAAGAACTTCGCCTCGATTCAATTTATCCTTGCAGTTTTCCACACACTTGATGAAGAAATCTGGCGGATCACCTGCAACGGCCGTAACAGTCTGCTCGAAAATCGCCTCTCGAATATCCTTGCTGCAGACGAGTATGACTTTGAATGGCTCGTTCATGTAAAAGAAGTCGGTGTTGATCCAGACTTCGGATTTAGATCGAATTTGATACATGTCTGAAAGATCAAATTTGCCCTCTTCAGTTGGTTTGTCCTCCCAGTGATACGGCAAAAGGCTTTGATTTGCATAAAGCTCTTCAAAATATGCATCGATAGGGATTGTTTCTGTCGCGTTTGTACCCAAAATAAACCACTCAAATTCAATTCCTTTGGTTTGGTCAGAGCTTGACTCGTCTGGATCAATTGCATCAGCTTTAAATTGAATGGTTTTTCCATGTCCAGCAGTTCGTTTTTCGCCACCTTCAATGTCGATTTCGAGTGGACTTGGAATGACATTTATCCAGACAACGTCTTCAACCAAAAAGTCCAAATCGTTGAATTCCAGTTCAATTGTTACTTTCCACAAGCCTTCGATTAAATCACGTGGCTGCAGAGCAGCTTCAAGTTTTTCAGCAAGAACGAGTTCGATGTAACTGCCAGAGCCTTCCAGATTTTCGACATCTCCGGAAGACTCTTCGATGAGCTCAAGGTGATCTTCCAAAGTCATGTTTCCGTCAATAACCATGTTGTCGAAGCTATGGTCGAAACCAATCAGTTTTGCTGTCCAGCGGAAACTGTAGCCTGGATTCACTTCGCATTGAATGTCACTGGTTGCCGAAAGAATCAATTTCTTCGACTTCGGAAGCGTAATTGTTTTCGTCTCGTCCGCGAGCCACGGGCCTTCGATCTTGATCGCTGGATATTGGCAGCCAAACTGGTTGATGCCGATTTTCTTTTGAATCATTTGGTCTTTTACGATATTATCACCGGCTTGATCATCATCCGTCGATGTTATTTCAACGATGCTGTCATAAATGCCATAGTCGCTGTAAGAATAGGTTTCAACAATCTTGATTGTTTCACCTTCTTCCAGATCATAATCGATCACGTGCTCAACCGGGTAGAAGCTCAATGTTGGATATGTCTCCATGCAGGGTTTTGATTTCGAATAATCTCGTCCTTTTCGAATGATGATGTCATGATAAACTGCTTCGGTAACGTTGTTCTGATCGAATATTATTCTGACACAGGTTTCGGAAGCGTAGGAAAATGACAAAGTCACTTCGTAATCCATTTCCGGCCTTGCCACCCCATTGTTGGTGAAATCAAGGAGGCGGAAGCCGGGGGATCCTTGCGCGCCGAGGAAGTTCGTGAAGACAGTTGTCTGATCCCTCGCTTCGATTCTCGTCGACGTTCGATTCAGAGATGATGTGAAGAGAACGCAACCGTCTTCAGTTGACAAAGTGGTCATCAGACAGCAGTTCTTACAGACGCAATTTGTCTTTCCCTCTTTTACTACTTGCGGAATCTTTGCGCATTCTCGTTCTCGTTGAACGTCGCACTTTTTCAAGCAAGCCTGCTCATTTTTCACAAGCGGCATCGTTATAATCGGCGCTGCGTTTCGGACAGTAAAGCCAGGGAAAGGCTTATAGTCCCATCTTTCGCAAGCTTTAAGATAGTGGCATCCGCAGCGACCGCCGTTAGCAACGTTTCTCAGCGCGATCCAAGGTCGTTTCGGATCTACGCTTCGTTTTTCGCAGTAGTTGACTTCGATCATTGATTTTGGAAAGATAGGCGTGCCCGACTTGTGTTTTGGGAAAAGGCATTGGACAACTACTCCAGGGAAATCGTTGTCGATGCTTATCCAACCTGGTGAGCAAGATTTTTGATGAATTCGGATAAAATCTTTCAAGTCCCAACTGTATACTTTTCCGATTTTCTTGCACGTTGCGGTCAAGTCGGCATTGTAACTTGGAATGACTCCTTTAGGAGTTTGCTCGTAGGTCCATTCGCCATTGTTCAAAATCGCTGGAATCATCTCAAGCGGATTGATCCAGTTGACATCTCGTTGGATGCACAGCTTCTGGTCTTCTGCAGCTTCTTGAGCGATCATTCCGGTTTTAAGAGTGACGCAAAATGGCCGAGAATTCTCGCCAGTCTGAGGGTTTTCAGCACGGATGCACATTCTGTAAACCATGTCATTGTCCAATTGAATGGAATCCTCAATAACGTCTCCGCCGCCGAGCATTTCGGGTGTCCAAGATTTTTCTCCATCAGCCCGGATCTTTTTCAAAACATAATGGCCAGGGCATCCCTCGAAGTCGGAACAATCGCAGTATTTTGGATCATCAGTTCCGCATCGCCAGGTGATTCGCCTGTGCCGAGGAGCCAGTGCATCTCCTAGTTTCCATGAGCCTTTGATGAGATAAGGGTGGAATACGCTGATTTGGTAGTCAGTTGGTTTCGAGAGAGGTGTTGCTACAGCGATTTGTTCAGTGTCGGACTCGGTAAACTCGTTTACAGCATGGATCGTGAACTGGTATTTAGTCCCTGCCGTGAGATTTCTTCTCTCATACTTGTTTTCGGTGATGTTCTCAGTGAATACAACTACATCTGTTTCAACTTCGAGAACGACAATGTGGTAGTGGGCTGTTCCGGGGACATCTTCCCACTCTAGAACCACTTTGTCTTCTTGCAGCTCATCGTCGTTGCTTCTCAAGTTGATGATTGGAGAAAGTTTAGTCCAAACAGAGAGTGATTTTGACCTTGTCTCCGTGATTTCATTTCGACCGATGATACTTAGAGTGTACGAAACGCCAGGTAAGAGTGATCCGAATCGCAGGTCAATTTCAGCCTTGAACAAGGACGTCAAGAATAAGACTTGTCCGTTTGTATATCTCAGCTGAACGAGATAATCTGCGGCCCCGGGAACGTTCGACCATTGAGCCTTGAAACTTGCGTAAGTTTTTTCAACGATTTCGGCTAGCTCGATATCTGGCAAAAGAGTCGCTTCGTAGCCGTAGAAAGACTCAGAGAATGTCTTTTGATTGAAGGCGATCAATTCGTATTTGTACTTCGTATCGGGGAGTAGATCGGTGACATCGTAGGAAGTCTCGTTAGTGATGAGCTCGCGAGGGTTTTCCTCACCGCGGTCCATGAAATACGTTAATTCAAAGTCCTTATCAATTATAATTTTGTATGAATCTGCGCCGTCAATCGGTTGCCAAGAGAAAACAATTCCTTCTGGTCGCTTTTCGAAAATGACCACGTCTCGGGGGTTGAATGGGTTAAGCAAGGTGTAGTGGCTCAGCACAGCAACGTTAGATTTTGTAACATCATTGAAAGCTTGAAGACTGACGTTGTAAAAAGCACCTGGCTGAAGATTTTTCAATTCGATCGAATTCGCGATCCATTCTGTTTCTTGAGCTTGGACAGTTTCGGAGTGAATTTGTCGTCCGGCGCTATCAGATAATTCAACAACATATTCCACCGCGTTCGGAACAAAGCCCCACGAAACAGTCATGTCATTATGGTGAACCTGAACAGCTGCTACTTCGGGAATATTTTCAAGCTCAGTGTAGATTGTGAAAACTTCTGCGTCGGAAAGCGTATTGAGATTTTTACCAGCGACTGAGTAGCTGTATTTTGCACCAGGAACAAGTCCTGTTACTTGATAGCTGCTATTCGTTGTGTGAAAAAGCAAAGTAGATTCCGTGAGATTCAATTTTTGATCATAATGCTGCTTGACTGAAATTTCGTAACCAGTTGCGCCGTCGACAGTGTTCCATTCGAGGGACAGACTTGTCGGTTCGATTTCAATCAGATCTACTTGAGAAAGCGTGTCAAGTCTAGTGTAGGTTTCGATGAGCGCTTCTGCTGATTTTGTCTCTTCATTGACCGCTTGGATGGTAATCTTGTATAGCGTTCCAGCTGATAAGCCAAAAAAGGTATACTGAGGAATCCTCACTTCTATTTGAGTTGCTTCTCCGTTTTCTGCGGTGAGGGTGAGGAGATAATTCGAAGCTTTCGAAATCGCGGACCACTCGAGAGTGACTGAATCTGCTGAAGGAAGAACAGTTATATTCGTTGGCGTAGTCAGTAAGAGCATGACATTTTTCTCGACGAAATGGGAGGTGCAGTTATCATTGACAGCTTGAATCTTCACAGATTGCATTGAACCTTGTTCTAGGTTATCTAGGACGATTTCAGTTCGACTCTCACTTGAGTTCAATGGAAAGTCTATTGGCGCATCGTTTATTTTTCCGACAATTCTGGTCGCTTTATCGACGTGCTCTACAGAGAGAACGAGGGAAGTGTCCTCAACATTTGAGATTACAACATCCGGCTCATAAAGACGTGTCCAAACGTAATACTGCGAAAGAACAGATGTTGTGTCTTCGTTGACAGCTTCTGCTTCAATGAGATATAAGGATCCATCAATGAGTTGATCGAATTTGATTGAAGTTGATGTTGTTGATTTAGCAAAAGGATCCTCTCCCGGGAACTGAGGCATGCCATTGAAATCATATCGCTCTGCTCCGTTTACTTTGTCCCATGCGTATTCCAAGAAATCAGGCCCGGATTGTCTCAAAGTCGCATTTACTCTTGTCATTTTTGTATGAAGTGAGAATGGAGCAGGATTCGACTTTGTATCTGGATTTGTTCCCCAAATGGATCCTTCGTAAAGCGTATTCGGCTGAAGATTTTGTGCGACTATTCGTTCATCTTCGCTGGTTTTTGTCACATTTTCGGAAATTAGTTCCGGCGACGTCCACTGAATTACATAAAAACTTGTTTCTGGGACACGTGACCAGCTGAAATTGGCAATACGATCCTCTTCTATGATTTCGATATCGGTAACAGACTCGAGTTTTGTATAAAACATCTGATTCGCGATTCGTTTTCGATCATCTTCAATGGTCAGTTTTCTATCTTTTGGACAAATCTGTCCATAAATGACCAGATCATAGAGGCAAGCAGGTACAAGTCCTTCCACCACGACATTTTCCGTCTCTGCGATGTCGCAAATAACAACTTTGTCAGCCGGGCATGTTAAGGGTTTTACATAGACAGCGTAGTTCAAGCCAACAGTTTTATTCCATGTCAAAACAACGTTGTCATCGTTGATTTCATTCATGTCCAAATCTGGTGAATCCGGCAAAAGTGTTCTGATTTCAATAATTCGCTCATCTGATGATGTGTCAGGACTCTCGGAGCTGAGAATGATGGTATATCGAGTGTTCAACTCTAGATTCGTGAAATCAAATCCAAGTTCCGTCGTTGTCGTGTTCACCACGGTCTCGTTTGAGTAGTCCTTGATCAAAACACATCGATAGTACAGATCGTCGAAAGCCGGGGCCCAATCTTCTAGAGCAGCGTTCCATTTTGTCATGACTTTCGAATGGGTGATTTTGGTAACTCGAGCGGAATCCGGCAGAGGAAGTGTAGTGAATCCAGCGACGGGGACGGGCTGAGAGCGTGAGATTCTCGTGATGACATAGACTTTGAAATTTTGTTTGATTCCAGGCTCTAATTGACGGATAAAAGCGCGGTTTGTTCGAACTCGCATGATGTAGGAATACTCAGTCGAGTTGACGTGCACTTCGTAAGCAATAGCTTTTTCAGTTCCAGTCCATGTCAAAATCATTCGCCAGGGCTCGATGTCTTCAATGACTAGATCTTCAACTGTCTTTGCTTCAGTAATGACCGGATAAAGAGTCATTACACCGGGAACTTCGTTTTCAGCAACTGGTTCAACGGAAATATTGTAAAGAGTTGTTTCTTCAAGCCCAGTGATGATGATTCCAGCATAATCAGTTTCTTGGAGGGTCAAATTAGAAACTTCGGAGACATAGAAAACCCTGTATTTTACTGCGTGTTCGACTGGATCCCATTTCAATGTGACTTGGTTAGGAGTCAGTTTTATTCGCTGGAAGTTGGAAATTGGATTAAGCTTGCTCCAGTGAGCCAGTTTCGATTCGTAACCTCGAGTGACTTTGTTGATCGGGTTGATTTTTATGTCGTATTCGGTGAATGGAGTCAGAGAGTTGATGGGGAATTTGAGGTCTGATGTTTCTCCGTCGATGACCCAATCGGAAGAATTAATCTTTGCATGAGCCAGCTCGTATCGAAGAGCACGAGTCACGGGCGCAAAAACCACTTCAATTTGAGTGTTGTTGTAGAAATTCACTTCAAAGTCTTCCGGCGCTTCCAACAATGTCGCCGACTTGTATTTTGATTTCATTCCGTCATATCGCTGATTCCAGCCCCAAATTGATATTTGATATTTTAAACCCGGAAGAAGGTCGTCGATGTATCCACAGGTCTCACTTCCTTCTACAAAATCGGTAAAGTCCTTTGCCCGAGAAACTTTGTCTTCTGGCTCAATCGATGCGTAATTCATCGTGTATCCTTCAGCCATAAAAACTGGGTTCCAGCAGATTGTTTTAGTGTAAGTGTCATAGATCTTTGTAGTGACTTGCTCAGGAGCTTCAAGGAAGGTGTCGAACTCATCGTTTGCCGGCTGGCCACTTGTTTCTGGCGCTTCAGCAATGATGACGAGTTTGTAGGTCGATCCAGGGAGCAAATTGACCAGCTTTTCTTTAGTCTGCTCGACATAAATTGAAAGTTCTTCATTTTGAACGGGCTCTTGGGCTTGGTATTTAATCGTGTACCCTTTTGCTCCGTTAACAGAGGCCCAACTCAACTGGGAGGTCTTATCTGTTCTTGACTTGATTTCAATCGCTTGAGTTGGTGAAAGTCTGGTGTAATCAGTGACAGTTCCATTCTCACCAATTTGCTGACCCCGTTCTGCTCGGACAAAGAAAAGATATTCAGTGTACGGATCGAGATTTCGAACTCTGATATTTTGATCTTCAGAGAGAAGATAGCGCATTCGGAAAGTCTTCTCGCGGCCAGAATCGACGATTTTTTTGAATGTCGGCGTGTCGACGTATTGAATACGATATTGGTCTGCACGAGGTACTTGTGTCCAGCTGATTTTGATCACTGTATGAGTCCGTGAGTCGACATTTACAGTCGGTGCGGACATGTGCGTCAGAGCAGTGAGAGTCGTGTTGTCAGAGTAGTAGATGTCCTTGGTTGCCCAAATTGTGAAGTTGTAATTTGTATCGGCGACCAAGTCGGGGATCCATTGGAAGTCATTCGTGTCAATTTTCCAGTATCTTCCGTCTCCTGCGATGTGATAGGTGTTATCAGTGAATGAATTCCAGATCAATCGAAGAAGGATGTCTGAGGTGAAATCAACAGAGAATCCCTTGATTGGCGTGATTTTAGTTTGCGGGCTGAAATCCGTAGGATAGGAGTCAGAAATATCAGAAAACGCCTGAATCTCGATCACATAGATAGTTGCCGGTCGAAGATCGCGAATGAGAAGAGAAGAGTCCTTTGCAGGAATCTTGTGCACTTGGATACGCTTGTTTGTCCGTTTGCTTGTGACTTTCAGGATGAAATGATCCGCATTGGGAACTTGAAGCCAGCGCATCATTATTGTTTTATCCGTCGACGCCGGTATGTCCTGACGCAGTTTCTTGATATATCCAAGTTTTGTAATAACAGTCGTGAACATTGGCATTCCCTCTGTATTTGCATTCATACCGACGACTTTGATGGTGTAAATCGAATTTGGTGTCAGATCCGTCAGAGTCACGTCACTTGTTTCTGTTCGTTCAACGCGTTCTTCGGGGTCTTCTTGATGGCTGAAATACACAAGATAATGGCTCGCTCCATTCGCTTCTTTCCAATCCAATTTCATTGTATCATCGTAAACTTCTGTCATCGTTAAATAATCGACTCCTTGGATCTTTGTGAAGATCTTGATCGTTGCCGGATGAGAAACGACGTGCCCATAAGCACGGATGACGAAAATATAATGATGGTTGGGAATCAACTCTTTAAATTCATGTTCAGTTTTGTTATGAAGAACGACCTTCGCCACGTGATTATTGTCATCGTAGACATTGATGTCATAATCCCAAATTCCCTCGCAGGCGTCCCACGCAACTCTGACAAGATCATCGTAGACTTCGACAGTTCGGAAGTTTTCGGGAGTGTGCGGCCGAGTGAAGAAGCGCTCGGTCGTAACTGATCCATCCGTGAAACGATTGTGAGCTGTGATCTTTATTTCATGCTCAGTATTATGATTCATGCCCGCAGCAAAGAACTGATGCTCTTCGAGATTCTTTGGTCGGACTCGGTGAGTCAGATGGAAAGGTGGTCGATCAGAACTATGATCTCCTTCTCGGCGCTTTCTATCATGATCCAGGTCATCAGTTATTTCGATTTCGTAGCTTTCAGCGCCTTCTACTGGTGTCCATTGAATGTCAAAATAATCGTCACCGGTTTCATCTCCTCGTGGTGGTTTGAAAGGAGAGAGAATCTTTGTCGGCGCCAGTTTTGTTCGCATTTTTAGTGGAAACGGCCACGAAAAAGAGATTTTGTTCTCGGCAATGACTTCTATGAGATACGGAGAGTTTGGATGAAGATCAATTATGTCCGTTGAGTCGGATTTGGTCGTCAATCGCTGGACTCGCTTTCGTCTTGCAATATCGTGGGTGACGATGATTGAGTATCTGTCCGCTTTGTTAACCAGTTTCCATTTTACCTTCACAGAATCATGCGTTACATCGAAGAACTCAGCCAGTTCAGTTGTCTTCAATCGAGTGATAAAGGTCATTTCCGCTCTTTCCGAATAAGTTTGTTTGTTGACTCCTCCAAGCCAGAACATGTAGATTGTTCCTGGCTCAAGTCCGTCTAGTGTCATTTTGCTATCCGCCGTCAGCTGAAAAATTTGCTCGTGCTTGTCTACCGCATTTTTGGAAATATTCTGCATCAGATATTTTGATCCTTGGTCCCAGTCCGATTTTATTTCGCATTTTTTCACCCCTTCTGATCGCCATCTGGGGCAGTTTTGCCCCTTAGAGCGGTAGAATCCGGGGCGAATGAGAAAGTTGTTCACGGGTCGACAGGTAGCGAGGGCCAGGTAGTAAAGATCAGCGCCTTCCATAATCGTCCACGTGAGCGTAGCACTTGAATTATGAAGGTTCTTATTTGGGATGCAGAGATCTTCTGGAGCAAGAAGTTTTGTATATTGGAAAAGAAGCGCCTCTTTTGAGATAATTTCAACTTTGTCGGTTCGTTTCATGATCGCAGTGATCGAGACTTTGTATTGAATTCCGGGAGTGAGAGCTTCGATGTAAGCTGCAGCTGATTGAACATATCTACTCGTGAGACCATCGGCAGGAGAGGGTTCGATCTTGATCTTGTATTTTTGAGCGAGTACTACTGGGTTCCAAGATAGTTCGAAAGCAGTATCTTCTTGGTTCGGTGAGAAGAGATCCTCAGCCTTGCAGAGTTCACTGATAAAAACTATCTCCGCTGGATCACCTCTCGTGTTTTCATCAAAAGCGTAAACGATTGTTTGGTACTTTCTTGCGTTCTCAAGACCGGTGACTCGTGCATTTGTTCCATCAACATCTTCAAGGAAAACGCTTTGCCCATTGTCGAGGTCGTAGACTTGTACTTTGTATTTTGCGCCGTAGCCGACATCTTCCCACGAAAATCTCACTTCGTCACAATCAACAGCATCGATGCTGACTTTTTTAATCTTGGGGAACTCGGAATAGAATGTCATTTCGCGAGTTGTACCCTCCGTTGCATTGCCGTAGAAGTCGATCGCGTTTGAGTGGATGAATATTTGATATCCAGTAACTGGCTTGACAGCGTGGTTGAAATTGAAGTCTTTTGTCTCCTGAGATGCTGCAATTTCAGCACCTGTTTCTAGCTCGATGACTTTGATCGTGAATGATTCAGAGCCTTCCACAGTTTTCCACGAGTAATCAACATCCACGTCTGAGGCGATGATGGTCAGGTTGTCAATCGGAGGAGGGCGGGTCAAAAGTTCCACAATGTGAGGAGCACTGTTAGTTTTGTCGTTTCCAGCCGTAATTGACATATTCAACCGAGAATTATAAGGCAGAATTCTCGTGTTGAATTCAATTTCGCTCGACATGATGTTCGGGATAACTTTTTTCTCCTCCATGTTTTCACCTTCAAAATCAACGATGTAGCAATCGGCCTTGTAGACATCCATCCAATCGAGCCGCATGAAAGTCTTGATGTCTTCGCTCTCCTCTTTCATCGTTAAATTGATAATGTCATGGAGCTGACTGTCCCATTTTCTGTAAAAATACATCCAGTCATCTCCTTTTCCATTCTTCGCGACAAGGCCGCGCTCCTTCGCCACTTGATCATAATCCTCCATCCTGAAGCCGTACATTCTGCACATTCCCTTGCTCATCGAATAAGCAACAGCGTGGCAGATGAAATCGACGTCTTGTTCGTTGCAGCAGAAAATGTCGCATTCCTCGGGCACTTCTGTCTCTCTCGTACGGCACATGTCCGGCTCCGTGAGACAGTCGATGTCGGGCCATGATTTCGTGTTGTGACCCACGTGATCGTTGATACAACGCTGGTTCTCGGTGTCTGACTTGAGCTTGATCGCGTACATCGCCAGAACCAGCGACAAGTATTTCCTTTATGAAGCTCAAAAACTTAATTTCAACGGCCAATAAACTTTTATCTATTATAAATCTATTTCCTCCGAGAAAACCAACTTATGGTTCTTTATTTTAAGCCTCTCCTGGAGTTCCCTCCATTGTCGCCAGCCATATTGGACGGGAGATTCTAGAACTCTTGATCCTAGAATTTGCGTCCACTGGCGATCTTCTCTTGTGCTTCGAAATGCACCGAACGCTCATGTTTTTATACACATCTTCCGATAATTGAGCCTGCATAATTCCTTTCAAAAAATTAAAGCAATTGACTCCGTAATGATTTACGCAGATGATCATTTATGCATTTGCACTGCACTAGAATTTTCTCTTAAAATCACCTTTCGTGAGATAAGAAAATACAGTATGACTTGTCAACTGTACCATTTTGAACAAAGCTTGATGATTTCCTTTGACATACGCACTTCAAGCACTTTATTTGCATCTCGCCGTAAAATAAAAAAAATTCATTCAAAAGAAGTCTCGCTCAACATGACCAGAAAAAGGAGATATGATAGACTTTGCAGTATGCTTCATACTTTTTTCTTGCGTCGTTCTTTCCGCAGTTAGTCGATTTGGGCAGGGGATCAGAGAATTTTCGAATACGTTTTGCATAATCGTTTAACATACCGCGCCATATTTTCAGAAGATAAAAAAACGATGATCCTTATTTGACTTTCAAAGAAAAGAAAAATCGAGTTAGACAGAAATCGTTTTATTTTCAACCCAGTAAGGGCGGAAATTAATCATCGTGGCGGACGAAATGTTCGAAGAGCAGGTGGAATTTTGGACCCGAAGTCTATCAAACAGCTGTCGAAGAAGCTTTCTTCTAGTGAAGAGATGGCCGACTCGATGAACGTCTTCGACCAAGTGCACCTTCCGAAGAGGAAGTACTACCAATGGGCTATTCTGAAGCCGGAGAATAAAAGTGATCTGGCGAAGCTAGTAGCAATTAAGCAAGTTGATATAAATATGCCGTACAATGAAGCTTCAATTAGTCTCGCTCGAGAATTGTTAGAGTTTTCTATATTCTCAACTAAGCGAAAATTAAATATAAAAGAACTCATTTAAAAGATAAAATTGGACCATCCAAATGTAGCAAAATTTCACGGCGTCGTCAAAGATTCTCTTCCGGGCTCTGCTTTGCGCGTTTGGGACTACTACAACAAAGGAACAGTTTTTATATTGCAAAATAGCGCTCGTGCGAAAACTTCATAAAAACTACGCAAAGGGTCCTTATACGACATTCTTTATCTTAACAGAAGTCTCAATCTAACAATCGAAACAAAGATCAACTTTGTGCGAGAGATTCTTTTAGGAATAAACTACATCCATCAGAGCCCTGTTAAAATTATCGGCAACCTTACCTCTCGAAATTGCATGATCGACAGTAGATTTCACATTCGAATCGGGGACTTCGACTTGGCTACCTGTGACCGGTGGATACGAAGGCAAGGGCTTTGTGCGGAGAATTGCCACTATCATGATCTGGAAGAAGAAAAACTGCTCTGGATAGCGCCAGAAGTGCTTATTAGAAATGATTTCTCTTTTTGGAATTATCGTCAAGGTCTATCAAATCTCCCAAGATCGAAGTACCCGGAGGAGGATATGTACAGCTTTGGAATCATTCTTCAGGAGTTGATTTTTGCTCAGGGACCGGCATTCACAGCAGAAATTATAACCATCGAAGAGAAAGTGGCAAAGATGTTGACAAATGAACTTGTTCTAGTGAAACAAAATTTTTCCGGAGTTGAATTGACACGATTTCAAAGAGATAGGTACTTTAAAACATTTTCGATATCATAAACTGTCATTCATAATAATTATCTTAATTTAGTCTTGAGAGGTGTCTCCACGCAGATCCGTCGTTGCGGTACCAATCTGCTGCTTCCGCCCTTTCAGATTTGAATACCAGGGGGCTTGTTGTCAAAAGAGATGTTGTTGAAATTATGCTTGATACTCTTGAGTACTATTCTCGCGACCTGGAACGGCAAATAGCTGCTAAAAAGGTTGAATATGAAAGAGAGCGTCAAAGAGCTGACGATATAAACTTTATGATCGGCTTTAAATATATTTTCTTCGAGAATATTTTACTTGATAAAGCCAAACCAAAGACTGTTGCCAGCTCAAATAGTTGAAAACATGAAGTACGGAGACTCTACCAATACTTTTGCTAGACATCATGAAAATGTTTCTCTCTATTTCTCTGACATTTGCGGCTTTACTTCTCTTGGTATTTTCCCTTCTAAAGAATTTTTTAAATGAATATTCAGGAAAAAGAAGCACGCCAACTCAGGTGATGCAAATGATCGGGAAACTCTTCAAACTCTTCGATGAGACGATTGCTGAATTCAACTGCCAAAAAATCGAAACTATTGGCGACGCTTACTTTGCTGTCTCAGGATGTCCCGCGGAATACGAGTTTCATGCCTCGGAAATCGCCCAATTCGCGCTGTCAATTCGAAACCGCTACATTTGCGACTTCGAAATTCCTCATTTACCCAATGATCGATTCCAAATGAGAATCGGACTTCACACTGGACCGGTCACATCTGCGGTTGTTGGCAAAATCATGCCAAAGTGGTGTCTTTTCGGGGAAAATGTGAAAATTGTGGAGAACTGCGAGACTTACGGGGTACCGGATCAAATTCATCTTACCCAGGCCATCGGTAGTTCTTCGTTTTAGTAATTCTTAACATGGGAATTCTAGCGGATATCCTTGCAAAAGCAAAAAGCCAAACTGGACTCTTTTCCAACGAAAAAGCCCGCTTCACCATCCGAGAACGAGAAATCACTGGAAAAGGTTTCGCAAAAGCAGTCAAGGCTCGTGAGATTCTTGGCGGAAAAACTTTCTTCTTGATAAAGGATAATTTTTCTCGAGGAAAAAGCTACAAAAGAACACACACAAATTCCGCCTCTTCTTCTGGAGGTCGTAAAACACGGAGAAGTTCCGTTTTCAGGTTCGAAATCAAGGAAGACTGCAAAGAGGTGCTAAAATTTTTCTTTAGTATCGGGGCTAGAGTAACAGGAAGAATTACTGGCAGAGTTTCCGATAAACGCCTGTCACGAATGTCCAACAGGAGAGCTTCAGACGCGAGGCTTCCCACTTACAGAGCAACTGCCGATTCCGTTGGAGACATTTTTGAGGATGATTTCAGGTAAACTCTTCTGTGAAATTTATGTCATTTTTTTCAAGTGAGATGAGGGCGTCGAGATTCGTCACACAAAGAGAAAGCACTAGAAAAGGCCCGAGGGCGACTCCATATTCTCGAGAAACGGGAAGGAAGCGAACAACGAAGAGAACAATTATGTTTGACGATGAAATCGTTCATTTACGAAGACGAAGTTTTTCGCGCTGAATAAAACTAAAATAATGATACTGTTTTATAGATATCGAATATAAATAAAAAGGCAGAAAATTCCAGTTCTTTCTGGCTACCAAGGATCTTCAGGATTTCCAGGCACGTAGCCAATCAGAGCGCGCTGCGACTCGCATCAATTTTTTCGCCTTGTCCCCAGAGAGAAGCCCTCTTTTCCCAATAAATTGTTGAAAAAATTGATTTTCTGAGCGAAATTTGAGTTGTGCTGTATTTTTAGAATGGTGGAGTGTGACTGCATAGAGAAAGTTGGATATCTAGCGCTGGGTTTCTTCGCATTGAAGGTTGGAATTAAGGGTTTTAGTGCTGTTTTTGATTGAGTTTTCAGATAGCTTCGTGGGTTTTGTCGAGATTGTGGGTTTTTGGTCTCTCAAAGCCGGTTGATTTCGGAAAGTTTGGAGATTGGACGGTTATTACTGGCGGAACAGGTTTGTTTTCAGAAGAGATGTTCGATAGAGCGCATTTTTAGATGGTATTGGGGCCGAATACGCTCGTCAGCTTGCGAAAGCAGGTCAAAATATCATCATCGTCGGACGAAATCAAATGAAGCTTGAAAACATGGAGAAAGAAATTACTGAAGCAACTTCCGCGAAAGTAGTGCTCGTTCGCGCTGATTTATCTAAACAAGTAAAGAGATAAACTCGTGAAAAATTTGTAAAAATTAAAGGACGAGACGGCAAAAGCTGCCGATAAACTGAAAGAACTCGCGAGAGAAAAGCAAATCGGCGTATTGGTGAACAACGCGGGGGTGAGCTACGACTTTCCGGAATTCTTTCATATGATTCCGAATTCGGCGGAGAAATTGGATCAATTAGTCAACGTCAATTGCGCATCGATGGTCCAGGCAACTGCCGCCGTTATTGGTCCCATGTCCGAGCGAAAAACAGGTACAAATGAAGCTCTTTACAGCCAGTTAATTTTGTTTTAGGACTTGTGATCAACATTGGCTCTGGAACTGGCGATTTGGTTTGCCCATTGCTCTCGCTCTACGCTTCCACGAAAGCTTACGTTCACCATTTTACCAAGTGCCTTCGATATGAATACGAAGATCACGGAATTCAAGTCCAGCTCATTTCTCCTCACCTCGTGTCTTCCAAAATGTCCAAAGTCAGAGCAGGCCTTCTTCAGCCCTCTCCAAAGAAATTCGTCCAAAGCGCCCTTGCTTCCGCCACCCGACTCGAGGTAAAAACCCACCTATTGACCAGAGTGGCTATTTTGGACAAAAAATAGGGGTCTATCCATCCAAATTCCATCCAAAAAATTTCTAACCGGGTCTATCCATCCAAAATCCAATCCAATCCAATTTTCGCCCAATTCCCAACTAAAATCCAATTCCAAGTTCTTCCAAAATTCCAACTTTTCCCAATTCCCAATATGCCCCGATTCCATTGGATTTCCAATATTTTCCAGCTAGCAAATTCAAAAAAAATCAAACAAACAATACTTATTCTTCAAAGTTTATTTCTGTAGATCCAAGGGCAATGTCTAGGATTGTGCTGGCAGCAAGTTTATGGCGTCGAATAGATCGCATCAATGTCGTGAAACTGAAGGCTCGCTCCAGGCTTGAACTTGAGACGGAAGAGTGATGAAGCTAAGAAATGCTTTATTTTTAAACTCAAAAAAACCGAACCATTAATCCGATTCTGCTCAATCTTGGCAAGGTTTCAGCGTATCGCCGCCAGAACTCTCCAACAATATCATCTTCCGCAACCTTCTTCATTGCGCAATACTTCTTGTCTAATTTCAAATTAAGTAGATTAATGATGAAAATTACTTACGCGCTTCTATATCAGTATCATTTACTTCGTCGTACTGAGCAATCTCTTCTTCGATCTTGGAACGGATTTCTTTTGGCTTTCCTAGTCCGCGGCGGTGACTAAGTGGGCCAACAGCGTTATTTTGGCTGTCACATTGAACATTATTAACGCCAGCTTCAAGGAGCTGTAACAACTGTTCATCTGTCAGCTCGTCGTCTTCCATTGTTCGATCAACCTCTGTGATCCAGTTCTTCGCTTTTTCGAGCCAATCCTTGGTTCCGTCGACGAGTACTTTCTGAATTATTTAATTTTTTTGGCATGAAGATAAATACATACCATTATTTTGGAGATGAAGGGGACTCGGGAATCTTTCATTTTGGCGACGACTGGATGAAAATTCATCGCTATCGATGTAGAGTCGGGTGCCAGGTAAATGCTTGCCAAGTCCAGAGTGGCTATTTTGGACAAAAAATAGGGGTCTATCCATCCAAATTCCATCCAAAAAATTTCTAACCGGGTCTATCCATCCAAAATCCAATCCAATCCAATTTTCGCCCAATTCCCAACTAAAATCCAATTCCAAGTTCTTCCAAAATTCCAACTTTTCCCAATTCCCAATATGCCCCGATTCCATTGGATTTCCAATATTTTCCAGCTAGCAAATTCAAAAAAAATCAAACAAACAATACTTATTCTTCAAAGTTTATTTCTGTAGATCCAAGGGCAATGTCTAGGATTGTGCTGGCAGCAAGTTTATGGCGTCGAATAGATCGCATCAATGTCGTGAAACTGAAGGCTCGCTCCAGGCTTGAACTTGAGACGGAAGAGTGATGAAGCTAAGAAATGCTTTATTTTTAAACTCAAAAAAACCGAACCATTAATCCGATTCTGCTCAATCTTGGCAAGGTTTCAGCGTATCGCCGCCAGAACTCTCCAACAATATCATCTTCCGCAACCTTCTTCATTGCGCAATACTTCTTGTCTAATTTCAAATTAAGTAGATTAATGATGAAAATTACTTACGCGCTTCTATATCAGTATCATTTACTTCGTCGTACTGAGCAATCTCTTCTTCGATCTTGGAACGGATTTCTTTTGGCTTTCCTAGTCCGCGGCGGTGACTAAGTGGGCCAACAGCGTTATTTTGGCTGTCACATTGAACATTATTAACGCCAGCTTCAAGGAGCTGTAACAACTGTTCATCTGTCAGCTCGTCGTCTTCCATTGTTCGATCAACCTCTGTGATCCAGTTCTTCGCTTTTTCGAGCCAATCCTTGGTTCCGTCGACGAGTACTTTCTGAATTATTTAATTTTTTTGGCATGAAGATAAATACATACCATTATTTTGGAGATGAAGGGGACTCGGGAATCTTTCATTTTGGCGACGACTGGATGAAAATTCATCGCTATCGATGTAGAGTCGGGTGCCAGGTAAATGCTTGCCAAGTCTTTGTTGGTAAAACGAAGGGGTACTTGACATGGGACATCGTTTCCATTCATATCAATCCGCTTTTTTGTAACCTGTTCCACCACACTGATGAGCACAGCCTTCGCAAATCTGGATTCCTCGGTCCGACTGATTGTGATTCGATTGACGCACTCAATCATTATTCGTTCGATTTGCTTGTAGTACGCTGATCCGCAGGCAAGCGAGTCAGACTCGAGAATATTGATACTGCGATGAATTTCGATAAGAAGAGGGTTGATCGATCGCGCAAACTGCAGATCTGGGACTGGACACTCAGCGAGAAGATGGCGTTGAGGGTGGTTGATAGAAAAGAGGTTGTTTAGGCTATCTTCGCTCAAAAGGAGACGCTGAACTCCATAGATTAATTTCCGGAAGCGCGTGGAGCCGGAAATTCGATCGATGGCCTTCCCTTTCTCCTTTCTGTTGAGGAATGCATCCGTCTTTTCTTCAACAAGTCGTTTGACTTGATCGTCTTCAAGAATTTCAGTACTCGCTTTTATTTTTGCATTATAAAACTCTTTTATAAGCAAGCGATTAGTCACTTCTTGAGAAATCAAAAACGCATTGATTGACTTGTATCCGACACCAGCCGGAAGATCACTCGCCGATACTGTAGCTTCACACTTGTCGATGAATTTTTCAAGTGATTCGTACTTCTTATCCTTCGGTCCACCTGGTCTGAGATTTTGTTCGCACGCTCTCTTAAGGTTGCAACACATTGAATGACTTCCGCAAATGCTACGGTTGATCGTAAAATGCTCGGGCACGGACTCTGCTGCCTGATCGCTCACAATGCAGACCAAGTTTTTCTCTATCGCATCGGTAAGGTTGTATTCTTCAAATATCTGCTTCAGTTTTTCTATGGTGTGATCCGCAGTTGAGTCCGGCATCGGAACATAACCGATCAAACAGTTCCAAAATCCGTTTTTGCAGCGAATATTGACCTCAACCCCGAGTATCTTCCAGAGCGTATTTTCTTTAGTTTTCACGTATTTGTGGTCTTTAAAGGATATTAAATTGTTAATAAGACAAATTATTCAAAAATTTTTAAAGAAACTTTGAAATCCTTATCCTAGAGAAATTGACAGGCGGCCCTTTTTTGCCATTTCCGGAAGAATCTGTTGAAGGCGCTCCCGAATTTTCTTTGCCTCTTCTTTCATGTATATTTTGATGGCATCCTTCGAAAGGCAAAGTTGATTGATGAGCATCTGGCTAAAGGATACATTTTTGAGAAGGCAGCGCATCAGGGCCTTGACAGAGTCATGTGACCAAAACCGGAAGCTTGTTCCGGTATCGCGCATGACTTGCAGAACTTTCTTCTGGACATCAACTCTGTGGTCCTTGGTGTTATTCAGAAGCGCGAGTACTCTCTGCTCATCTGGTGCTTGCGCGTGGCGATCCACAATCGGTTCGAGAGTCTTTTTATAGACATCTGTATTTTGATCGTATGTATGGAATGGCTTAAGGTTTTTTAAGAATTTTTACAAAATGCAAATTTTACCTCTCCTCTGCATTTTTTGCACTTAGCTCCATCTATTCTTGCGCAGCGCAAGTAGCAAGTCGGAAATCCCTCGAAATAGTACTCTTCAAATTCAAGGTTGAGCTCTCGAATCTTGTCTTGTAGTTTTGTAGGGGTCCATTTCTTCCATTCACCAGTCGGTTGCTCACTTTTTTCATCAGCAGTAATTTCCGCTTTCTTTCTATCAACCTCTTCTTTTCGTTTATCCTTGTCTTTTTCGTCACTCGCCACATAAATGCATCTCTTGGAACGCTTGGCAGGTGGACTCATCCCTTCTGAAAAAAGGTTGACTAGTAAAAGAAAAGAAAATGCCATTTAAATCGCAGTAAAACTCTCTAATGATCAGTATTTATCCGTCTGAGAAAGGTAGACTGCGCGTGATGAGTGTAGGTTGAGAACAAACCTGATTGGTCGAGCATTTTTTCGCAATTTTTTCTCGGATCAAATCTTGCCAACAACTGCCAATTCCCCAAGAAGATCCAATTTTCCAATGTCGCCAATCCCCAATTTCCCCCAATTACCCAATTTTACCCAATAAAATCCGATACCCTGGCCATCCAAATTCCATCCAAACCTTATTGGATTGGATCCAATCCAATTCCAACTAACCCCCAAGTCCAAAATAGCCACCCTGCTATTGACAACGCCTTCAAAGAGAATTCTAGAGCACATGCGGGTACTTCTTCCACGATTTGCAGCACGCTTTTGTCACCAACATTCCAGCCTTTCTTCAAAACAAGCTTTTATTTTCAATGCACGAAAAAGTGCGCAAACGAGCCTACCGAAAGATGAAAACGAACTAAAATCAAGCTGCTATTATATTCAATTCAAAAAGGAATTAAGAAAATCTTTCAAAATCATCACTTCTTCATTTATTTTCACAGGAACACAATTTCGCAATTCTATCCAGTTTTCACAAAGACTATCAATGAACTGTTCAATAAATTATTTATTTAATTACCTCCCTGATTTATATTTTTATTCCTAGAATGCCAAAAGTAAAGAAAGAGCGGACCAAATACCATCACGCGGCGAAAAAGGCCGATTCTAGCGACGATGAAGATCTCAAAGAGCTTGGACTCGTCTTCAAAAGTAAGGAGATATTTATCCTCGTTTTTTTAATTGCTTAGTCCCGCCGCCAAAGCTTCCTCTATTGACGGAGAATCCTTTCTCTGGGGAGACCTTGGAGGATGATCGAATGTCAATGGCGTCTTCAAGAATGAGTTCTCGAAGCTCGACTTCCCGGCTTGGTCGGGATGGAGATGGAAAGGTACCTTGATGCTCCTTGATTTTGTTTCTATTTTACTCTTTAGAATGTGACGAAAAAGCAAAGAAGGCAAGCCAGACGAGAGTTTCTTATTCAGCGGTTGAATATTTCTAAACAAGTCGAGCAGGATATGAAAAATTATGTGTAAGTGATCATCTTTTTACTATCGATAGTCAAAGCTGAATTTCAGCGAGAAAAAGGAAAAGGGAGGAACCGCGGCGACTCTTGATATGCTCATGGATAGCTTACCAACGCAGCCGGAGTTATTTACCGAGGATATAATTGTATTTACACTTTTTTATTCAAATATTAACATTTTCCAAGGCGGAAACAAACAGACGAGCTCTGAATCCCAATCGACTGACGCAAAACGACTGTAGAAATACCTGCAACAAGCGAGGAAAGAAAATGGTGGAGGAAGAAGTAAAGGCGTTCCAGGAAAGAGTAAAAGAAGCGAGCGAAGCTGTGCCGACGAAACTGTCCATTATGGATCAATTGAAACAAATGAAAGAAAAGATGAAAGAAAATGTGAAAAAGCAGAATGCTTTGTTGGAGGAATCGGCCAAGGTGGCTGAGTTGCAGTCTGCTGGATACTGAAAATGACAAATTGAAATCTATACTAAATAATACTGAACTATTTCACGATAGAATTTTTAGAATGATCAAAGCTGTTCTTATATTCAACAACCAAGGCAAGCCAAGAGTTACGAAGTTCTATCAGCATTACAGCGAGCAAGATCAACAATCGATTATTGAGGTAACAATACGTGTACTACGTGTATTTATAAGTTTGATCGAAATTTTATATGAAGCGTTCGTACCATTGTGGTGATCTCATCTAGAGCCCCAAGAGCATTTAGGTAGGAGACGAAGGGACGCAAGCCTTGATGGGTTGGTTCGAACCTGTTAGTCGATCACATCCCGCTGCGACGTCCCTTGCCCGCCCTCTTTTGATGAATAATTGCATAAAACAGAAATTGGGAAATAAGATCGCCACACAACTAAAAAGGATCCCTCAGAAGGATCTATTATTATAAAGATTATAAAATTATAAGATGAATCCTTTTCTTCTGTAGGTAGTTCTTTTAACGCATTTACCATCAAATAAATTAATCCCGCAGTTTCTGTATTATTTCTTTAGGAAATTTTCAACTTGGTTTCGCGTAGAGAAGAAGGTGTGTGCAGCTTTCTCGAGGGCGGCAAATTAGTCGGCGGATCTGATTACCGCTTGATTTACCGACACTACGCAACCTTGTATTTCATCTTTTGCGTTGACTCGTCCGAATCTGAGCTTGGTATTTTGGATTTGATACAGGTACGAATCACTGACGCTTTTGGGTCTTTCTTTCAATTGCAGGTTCTCGTGGAAGTTCTGGACAGATGTTTCGAAAATGTTTGTGAGTTGGATTTGATCTTTCACATGGACAAAGTGCATTTTATTTTGAACGAAATGATTATGGGCGGAATGGTCTTAGGTAACCTCGTTGTACAGTCGATTGTGTATTCAATCCTTGTAGAAACAAGTCTTCACGAAATCGTGAGCAGATATCACGAGCAGGAGAAAATCTGTAAACAGGAGGTATGAAAAGTCGCATGTTGTGTAACCATCAGTTATACAATTTCAAAATCATTTATCCGTTGTCCGTCCAATTGTCATGTTTGTAGACGAGTATTCTGCCTGGTCTCAAGGACTCGCTTGCAAGAGGCCGCTCGAGTATAAAAATGCCTAAGTTTGGATTTCTGCACTAGCTCCTTTCTGGATTCTAGAGCTTGTGAAAATCTGGTGCTATTTATGTAATGCCTGTTTAATTGACGCCGTTCGATTCCAATTCTTCATTTACGCATTTATCCAACTGTTTGTACTGTATGTATTTGCTCATCGGTAACAGCACGTCGTAACTTGTTGTTCTCTTCCATGTCTTCAAAAATAAATGATTAATGATGCAGATCTAGGGTCGGCACCGACCACCGACCAAAACCCGACCTGATTTGGGTATCGACCAACCCAACCTGTGATTTTTATTCTTTGTTTGGTCGGTGGTCGGGTATGGTCGGTCGATGGTCGGTTTTTGGTCGGTTTTTGGTCGGTTTTGGTCGGATATTGACCGGTTGACGGTCGGGTTGGTCGGTTTTGGTCGGAAACCTATTCATTTTCTTCACTCATCGAGTATAATTTAAATGAAAACTAACAGCGGATCATTATTTCTTTTGGATAAAAACCGACCCGACCCGACCAAAAACCGACCACCGACCGACCAAAAACCGACCAAAAAGTAAGGCGACCCGACCAACCAAAACGACCACGGATTTCGCCAAATTTTTGGGAGACCGACCAACCCGACCTGGGAAAATGGTGGTCGGTGCCGACCCTAGATGCAGATCGGCTTCTCCAAAACACCGTCAATGGTGGCCGGCGCGCTGAAGAGTATCGAACTGCCAAATTTGAAAAATGAACTCAAGAATATCGAGCTGCCGAAGCTCCCCTCGCTCAGAAGATGAAACTTAAGGAAAGGCTCAAATTATGATTCTGAGTGCCCTTGGGTAATGACTTGTTTTTGAGAAAGCTGATGCAACGTTGCAAAATATTTTCATCTGAGCCACATAAAAAGGTCAGAGGTCAATTTTAAATCATCGACTGTTGATGATTCAATCTTCATTCCCTCCTATCTACGCAGATTATCATCATTTTGTATTTCTACTTTAGCTCTATTCAAACAACTATTTTTACTATTACTCACTTCGTGCAATAACAGACGTCTCGTGCCCAAAAATCAAAAACGCAATTGTCTACTTTCGTTTTTTCAAGAATAAGTGGTGAAAATCGGGTTGCCGTCGGGCGGCCGCAAGAGAAGTTAGCCAGATGGGCATTCTCGACTTTTTCACGAACTTCAGTCCGCTGAGTTCGGCCATCGACATTGTCTGTATTGAACAGCCAGGTAACATCTCAATTTTGGCTCAATAAGACTAATAAATAACCAATAGATGGTACCCTTCGCGCTTCTCCGTTCCATGTCCAAATTGGCTTCGCGACTTCGACCCGGCCTGCCGGTCGGACCGTCAACATCAATGTCAATGGCGAAAGAACGGAAGTGACGATGAAGCTCGGACGTGGAGGCGACGCATTTTTTGTAAACATCGATGAAGATGGCATAATTTCACCACCAGAAACGCCTAAAAAGGGATTCCACCACCATCACGCTAGAAGGAGGAAAAATAGCAACTCGGAACCTGTTTTTGATCCGGCATCAGCGTTGTCTGATTCCGAGATCGAATGTACAAGTCGCCCAAATATACAGGTAAATAATTATTTCTACGCCACATGTTTATCTGATTCAGGGATATTTATCCGACCCAGAAATCGAGTTCGGTTCATCCGCCCTGCGACCTCCTCCGACACCAAGCCACGTTAAAGTTTGGAAGTGGGGCCAGTTGCCAGTGGAAGAGTCCATCTCATCGACAAGCAATAAGTCTGAGCACTCGTACAAAAGCGCGACGTCAAGAGAGTTCGAAGTACGCACATCAAACAGCGACCCGGTAATTAGTAGCGTGCCTGAGCCATCCTCTGGACCAAGCGAGAATATCGAGCAACCATCTGGCTATGATGCTGATTCGATGATCGATTCCACGGACGATGAAGAGGAAGATGACGAAGATAGTAATACAGAGACGGAGCCCTTCTTCGGCTGCGGCGTTCAAATTTCTCTTTGCGGAGGCCCGGGAGTCCCAGAAGACAAAATAACAGCGGAGCAGTTCGATCGCTACCGAGTTAGCTGGGAGACCTACTCGAAAGATCCAAGAAGCATCATCGAGAATCCCAGACTCGTCATTCGCGAAAACGATCGATACATGAATTTCCTTACAGTGGCATCCATTCTCGTGGCCAGAATCTTCTTCGAAAGTGATTTGGACCAAGAAACAATACAGAAACTAAAAACTCCAGCGAGACGCCCATGGTTCTTCGGCTTCGGCAAAAGCAAGCAGAACAGCAGATCTTCGATAGCAAACAATAATGAAAATAACTCGTTAGATGACTCGTTAAATGAGGAGAATAGTACATCACCAACGAAGCCGAATACATTCGACAGATTCAAAGGAAAAACACTGACATTAGAGCACGAAGATTTGGTCAAATTAAATCTCAAACCTGGAAGAAACAAAGTGGAGTTTATTGTAAGCTCTTCATTATGTCAGATTTATACAATTTTGATTCTAGGTCTGCTCAAAAATGCAAGGCCTTGGGTATGCGGAAGCGAGCATTTACTTATGGCACCATACTGACAAAATTATTGGTAATTCAAGTTTCCAATTGGAAATTATATTTATAATTTTCTTATCTGTCTCTCCCAGTTTCTGATATTGACGGAACAATAACCAAAAGTGATGTGGTAGGCCAAGTCTCAAACATTATTCACGTCGAGTACTCGCACGCCGGGATCCACCAATTGTACCAGAACATTGCCAGGTATCCAGAATAATTATGTCGCATATTTTCAAAATGACTTTCAGAAATAACTACAAATTCATGTATGTAAGCTCGCGGGCCATCAGCCAAAGTCACATGACAAAGACCTATATCAATTGGTCAGAAAAAGACGGAAAATATCTACCAAAGGTAAGACCAATCATTAATTCAGCAATTTAATGATCCTAGGGGCCTGTTTTGTTAAATCCTTCATCACTGGTTTCGGCCTTGCTGCGCGAAGTATGGACTCGTAATCCAGAAGAGTTCAAAATCGATTGCCTCACTGGAATCAGAAACTTATTCCCTGAGTTTTACCCGACGCCGTTCTACGCCGGCTTCGGGAACAAAATGACAGATGAGACTTCCTATCTACACGTAGATTACATCTCTTACGAAAAGATTATTACATTTCATTTAAGGTTGAAATCCCAAAAAAGAGGATATTCACAATCAGTAAAAAAGGCGTCGTCAAAAACTCTGATCCTTCGCTCCAAAAGATATTCAAGACAAATTATAGCTCCATGGCGGAAATCGTTGACTTCTTCTTTCCCCAGAGAAGGTTAGAAAATAGTCCATTTGTGATCTTCCTAATTAATTGCAATAGTATGACTACTTCGACATCTTCTCTTCAACACTTAGAGAACAAGTTCTGGCGAGATGACCTCCCGGACATTGACTTTTGTGAAGAAGTTTTCACGGGCAAAGACGAAACAGAAGAAAGTAATGAAAGGGAAAGAGAAGAAAACTCAACCCGAAGAGTCCGCTCATACTTTGACTCCCCAGCAACCAACGAGAAAAATGAATCCGCGCCCGTCGAAAATCCAGTACAAGAGCCTGAGCCTACTCAATAAAAATGATATCTTTCTTCAGTCATTTTAAAAATATACTCTGTCTTAAAAAACAAACTGTATTTCCACTTATGCTCTATTTTTTCACAAATCATTTACTTGTCACTCTTTCTTCAATCCCGCACATACAGATAACAATAAAAATCGTTCGAAACTGACTGTGAATATCTTCAGATGTTCGGACGGAGGGATTTGATTCGAGGCTTCCAGAGGAATCTGTTTCTCTCAAGAACATGCATGCGCCGCGGAGCTGCAATTTCTGCGGAGCTTACTGCGCTAGAAAAGAAATATATAATTGATTTAAAACGGGCGCCTTCGTTGTTTGCTTATGAAATGTCTCATCGAAAGGTCATTGAGAGGCTTCTTATCGGTAATTTATTTCTTTCGTCTTTCAATGCTATGTTTTTCATAAGAAAATGAGCAAAACAATGATGCTCTGCCTGATATGGGTCCCGTGATTCCAACCAACATTCCTACAGTTCCTATCATCGTCGCAACGTCGAATCCCATCTTCCCCAAGTTTAAGCGAATCATAGAAGTTAACGATCCAGTGTTGCAAAAACTTATTTTAAAGAATATCGGCCTCAAGTTTCCATATGCCGGCATTTTTGTTAGACAAGACGACACTATCGGTAATTCTATGATTGTTTTTCATCTTTAAGCTCCGAATTAAGATGATAACGTGGCATCTTCTGTTTCCGAATTGTACACTACTGGCACTTTGGTCCAGATCGAAGAATGTGTCGAAATGAAATCGTCCCTTCGCCTTCTAATCAGCGGCATTCGAAGACTAACCCTCGACGGCGCCAATGCCGAACGTAATATGAAAATCGAAAACAACAACAATCGCATTTTCTGGGGTGACGTTTCGAATGTGAAAGAAAATCTAATCATCAACGAGCAGACAAAAGCACTGAGCGCGGAAATCATTCAAAGTTGCCGTGATTTAATTCAAATTAATCAACTTTACCGAGAAGCTGTTCATCAAATTTTGAGCCAGGGAGTGCGGGTTGTCGATGATGCCGCGTTTTTGGCCGATTTCGGAGGCGCCTTGTCCAGTGGCGATACAGCAGAGAAGATGGCGATCTTGACGGAGAAAAATATTGAAGTCAGACTTGCGCTCTCCCTCGAGCAAATTAAAAAGGAGCTGCAGCTTTCACGAATACAACAGGACATCGGAAAGAAAGTCGAGGAAAAAGTTCGAAAAGCGCACGAAGATCACATGCTCCGCGAACAGCTCAAGGTCATTAAGAAGCAGTTAGGAATGGAAAAAGACGATAAAGAAACCGTCATTCAAAAGTTCCGAGATGCTATCAAGGATAAGGTGATTCCAGAAGCTGTGAAGACGGTGATTGATAATGAACTCGGACGACTCGAGTTTTTGGAACCAGCAGCCTCTGAGTTCCAAGTAGCAAGGAATTATCTAGGTTATTAATCTTTGTAATATACGAATAACTAGCAATTAAAGATTGGCTTACTGTATTGCCATGGGGAACAGAAACTGAGGACACTTTGGATCAAAATGCCGCTCAAACTATTCTTGATGAAGATCATTACGGGTACTACTCATTTTTATTTCATACATTATTAACTTTTTCTCAGAATGAAGGATGTAAAAGATAGAATACTGGAGTTTATCTGCACATCACAACTAAGAGGAAGTGTCCAGGGTAAAATTCTCTGTTTTCATGGTCCTCCTGGTACCGGTAAAACCTCTATCGCCAAGGTAGGGTTTCCTCTAAGAATTAAAGACGTAATCATAGTCATTAGTCTATCGCTCGCTCACTGGGTCGCAAATACTACCGATTTTCTGTCGGTGGAATGTCAGATGTAGCTGAAATAAAAGGACATAGAAGAACTTATGTCGGTGCAATGCCTGGAAAACTCGTGCAATGTTTGAAAAAGACTCAGTCAGAAAACCCGTTGATTCTTATTGATGAGATCGACAAACTCGGCCGTGGATATCAAGGCGATCCTAGCTCCGCTCTTTTGGAGTTGCTCGATCCGGAGCAGAATGTTGGATTCCTCGATCATTATTTGGATGTTCCAATCGACTTGTCTAAGGCGTTGTTTATCTGCACGGCGAATGATATTAGCACAATCAGGTATTAGCCGGCTAAGCATCGTTTTCTAATAAAATTTTAAGTGGGCCGCTCCGTGATCGAATGGAAATGATCGAAGTCGCGGGCTACATCACCGATGAAAAGGTCGAAATCGCAAAGAAATATTTAATCCCAAAGTCGCACGAAGAAACAGGAATCACGGAGGAAGACATTTCGTTCAGCCGAGAGGCGCTAGTGTATCTTATTGACAAGCATTGTCGGGAGTCTGGTGTCCGAAACTTGCGAAAACACATCGAGAAGATCTTCAGAAAGGCCTCGCGAAAAGGTGAAAATTAAAGTAGTAGTAATGAAATGAAATCAATCTTCAGTCGTAAATGGAGAGAAAGTGGAAGTAACAGTGGACAACTTGAAAGACTTCGTTGGACCTGCTGTCTTTACCAAGGTTCGTATTCTGAAAAATAAATCATGTGATGATTGCTCTAGAATGTTTTTGAGTATCTCACACCTTCAACCTTTCTTTTGCAAAAGCTACCAGATTTTTGTGATTTTCAAAGATGATTTTTAGGATCGCATGTATGATGACCCACCAGCTGGTACTGTTTGTGGTCTGGCTTGGACATCCATGGGCGGATCGGCTCTCTACGTCGAAACTGCCATCGTTGAATCAAGTGACGGAAAAGGCACTCTCAAGGTGACCGGGAACATCAAAGACGTCATGAAAGAGTCTACGTCGATTGCTTATACTGTCGCAAAGAACATCCTTGCCGGCACAAAGCACGCCGACTTTTTCAAAAACAACAACTTGCATCTTCACTTCCCAGAAGGCGCCACGCCAAAGGATGGCCCAAGCGCCGGCGTGACGATTGTTTCAGCTCTGTTGTCTCTTGCCACTGGAGTTCCAATTCAGGATGTCGCGATGACTGGAGAAATCTCGTTAAATAAAAAGGCTCGTTTTTCTATAATTAATCTCGCAAATAATTATCTAGGTTCTTGCTGTCGGAGGAATCAAAGAAAAGATTCTCGCTGCCAAACGAGCTGAAATCAAGAAGGTCTTCCTGCCCGTTGACTGTTTGAACGAGTACAACAAGCTCGACGACGTCATCAAGGAAGAAATCGAAATTGTCTTCGTCAAAGAATATCGCGAAATCCAAGAGCAGCTTTTCAAGCCAACTGATTTCTAATTGAAAACATCGTTACTCACTGACCAGCACTGAAATAATCCTGATAATATCTCAATTACAGCAACACGGAAAGAAGGAAAACTGAAACCTTTTAATTTAGTGTCGATGAGTTCAGCTGCATCGTCGGCGAAGGTTCTCTCGACAGAGCTGACGAAGCTCACAAAAGAGCCAGTCGAGGGGTTTAGTATATCCTTAAAATCGGATCACAACATGTACGAATGGAAAGTCGTGATCTTTGGGCCTCCAAAGACGCTCTACGAAGGTGGATATTTCAAGGCAGAAATGACTTTCCCCAAAGACTATCCTTACAGGTAAAGTTTTGAAGTACTCCTTGTTGTTTGCGACCCATATCAACTCAAGTTTAGCCCACCAACGTTTCGTTTTCGAACGGAAATGTGGCATCCAAACATATACGAGAATGGCGACGTCTGTATCTCAATTTTACACCCTCCAGTCGACGATCCTCAATCCGGCGAGCTCCCTTCCGAGCGATGGAACCCAACGCAAAATGTCCGAACAGTTCTACTGTCCGTGATATCTTTACTGAATGAGCCAAATACTTATAGTCCAGGTAGAATCATCGGTATCCTCTCTTTTCTGAAAATCTACTTCTTCAGCTAATGTTGACGCTTCTGTGATGTATCGAAAATGGAAAGAATCCGGGGGCGCAGAGGACGAGTACAAGACTATCATCGTTGCGCAGGTCAAGAAGTCACAAGAAGATGCCAAAAGAGATGGCGTAAAAAGTAACCATGAGTTGAATAAGTATTGATATTTGTATCAAGTTATATTATTTAAAGTTATACATTTGAACGTTTCTTTCCGTTAAATAACATATTTTTAGTTCCAACGACACTAGATGAGTACTGCATAAAATGGGCGCCAGAGAAAGAGACCGTCGAAGAAATCGAATCCGAAAACTTTTGGTATGACGATGATGATGATGATGACGACATGGATAGTGAAGACTACGAGGACGATTGACGCAAAGTGCTCCTTTTTCTGATCCTAATTCAAATTCATACTCGAGCTCCTCGAAAAGATATCCCCTCTAATGAAATCAACGGCGTATTTTTTCGAGGCTTATTCTCACCAATTCTAATAGCGCGTTCAAGTTAATATCTATCAAGAAATTGTATTAACAAAGCTTCCTAATTATTTCCCTACCTTCTGGTATATTCTTAATTTCAGCTTGAATTTCGGTCAAACCTTTTCGTTACAACATGAACCAGAGATTTTAAGTGAATATACAACTTCTGTAAATATTCAGGCTTTTTGTCCAAGTATACCGGGCAAGCGATTTTCATTGTTAATACATTTATTTATTATTTCATTTCCTTTTCGGTTCAATATTTAACATTTTCCGATAATAAACTGGACAACTCTTCAAAACTCAAATTTTGGCACTCCGATCGCTTCTCGTTAAATTATAAAACTTCTCAAATTCACCTCCTCAGACCTTTTCAATTCTCTACCTACAATATGAATAAAAACAAGAGTGCTACATTAATTCAACAAGAATAAAACACAATTCTGAAGATTTTTCCTACGAATTGTGATTTTTGTTATGATTTGGTTTGGTGAACAAATCTATATTTTGCGTCTGGATCTGTTCGATTGCAGTTTTCGGGGGTTAAATACAGAAAAAGATAAATAAAATCAGAATAGTACAGGTAAATGATCCGCAAATTGTTCTCGGCGCGCCATGCGGGTGACTTCTACGAAAAGCTATACTTTCTCTTGCTCTTCCTTGGCCTCTTCTTTAATCTCTTCCTCCTCTTCGATCTCGTCGAGAGAGTCTTCTAGTGGTGTAGCCAAAGGTTCGTCATCTTCTTTTGGAGTAGGAGGAGCAGATCGAGCTGAGTTCGGGATGAACTCAGGGATGCTCTCGCTTCGAGAGAAGATGCTTGAGAGCGAGCTGAATGCATAAATTGGTGATGACCTAATTGTCCATATTTTACCTAGAGTTAGACATAGTTGGGGTCTCCGCGTAGACAGGCACAGCTGGCACGAAGTATGGAACGTAGTAATAGACCGGCATTGGACAATACTAAAAACTAGATGGGAGATATGAAAATATAGAAGTAGTACCTCTACGTTCGGATCATACTCGTAATTTTGGTTGTATCCGATGTCATAATCCTCGGCGACCTCGTAGGGCTGGAAAGCTTGAGCGGTCGGTGGCCGCATCTTATGCTTTCGTGGAGCGTCTTCGCGGATAAATGACTCTCGGGATTCGGACCTCTTGCACACAGATGGTTTATCCTGATGAATGCATCGGTATTACTCCGCGCTTTTCGATAGTTCTTACCATTTCAGTTCTTGCTTCAACTTTCGATGGGCTGATGCTCGTGCGGCGGACAAAGTGAGGTAGATCGCCCTTGATCGGTTCAATCGCGTCCCTGTTAAGAATTTTTGCGATGATATTTCCGATCTAAAAAGTTAATTTAGCTTAGTACCGATCAGTCATTTACCGTTCCGTCTTGCTGGTATGGGACTGGAAGGATCTTGACTTCCTCAAGCCCGGACTTTTTCTTTGTAAGTGGACATTCGCAAAGAAACTTCGGCTCCGACTTAAAAAGGCTAGGAGAGTTTTTTTGTACTAAGTGTACCTTTGCAATTGAGCTCTTTCGGAAAGAAATAAGTTCTTCAACCGAATATTTGTAGGACTTTTCGCTTTCTGTTGCGGAACTCAAACTGATGTCGAGTTTCATGGGAGCGTCGATCTTTAACTTTGGCAAAGTCTTTGACGAAAAGTTCTTTTCGAATGTCCGGGCGATCTTTTCACGATTTTTGCGTCCTCCACGAGTGCCCCGTGTCTTTTTCTAGAGCAAGTTGTTATTTATCTGCCAGCTGAACCTTTTACCGATTCAGTCCGACTATTTCCGGCAGGATAAATGATTGCCTTAATAAATGGATGATAAATGATGCTCGGGTAAATGCTTTCTTCATCAATACTTACCTTGAAAACTTTTTGTTTCGAATTTCCTTCATTTTCCTTATCATTCTCGTTGTTGTCTCCACCTGGGCCAATCTTTATAGGGGCTTGCTCCCGTTTTTCTTTACGGGGAACCGTATTTGAGATGTCGCTTAAATTTTAAATTATAAATACAATCTGCGTAGATCTTAACAAATCCTAGTTTGAATGCAAGAAATATTAAAAAATGGACCACCCGACTAGTAGACCTGTTGAACCAAACGATTAACAATTGACTTACCCAAAAGGAGTAACCTTTTCGCTTTCCATCATCGTTCTTGTCTTGAAAACTGCAAAGTCAGACTGAGGAACTCCTGCAAAAATCATCAAACAACAATTTTCTTGCGTAGCTCTAGAGATTTCCACCACCTTTATTTCAGCTTGAGCCTCTGGGAGACATTGATAACAAATTGATCTAGCGTAATTCTGTATGCCCTGCGAAATCAAGGAAGAAAACGACACGTGTTTTAGCATAAATATACGATAAATATATTTTTGTGAAAAATATGAGTGGCAGATAAAGGAGTGAAGAAAGTGGCAGTGAAAGCTCTCTCACGAATCAGAAAGCTTTCATAAATCCTTCGACGAACTCGTCAGCAAGTTGTTCGTACTTTTCCTGCGCCGCTTCCATCTCCTCCTTGTTTTCAGCGATGCGATTCTGGATTTGCACCAGCTGAGTGTGGAGGTTAGCGTCGCGAAGACGAAGAGCAGCGAGCTCCTGTTTGGCGTCGTACTAAATAAATGATCGATGATAAGCTCAAGAAATAAAGACATACCACTTGTCTCGCCATGCTAGACATTGGCTCGCTCTCGATCGCAGGTGCAGGTTTTGCTGTGTTTTGAAGGGTTGTCTGCGGCTTAGGAACGCCAAACATTCCAAGCTCGGAGACATCGGTGCCACTGTCGGAGATTGACTCCGAACTATCCTCTTCAGTGTCCTCTTCTTCCTCAGTTGACTCGGCGTTCTGCAAAAATACTCTGCCGTTCTCTACGTAGAACTCTTCAAAGAAGACCAGTTAATGAGAGAAAACAGCAAATAAATCTTACCTTCGAACATTTTAAGGACGTTGAGAAATTTCTCCTTAGAGAGTCCAGGTCTTTTCAGAACGCCACTCATGAAATCATCGTTCAAGAGCCCAAGAATGTTGGAGATCGACATGCTGTCGCCGTGACTCTTGAGCTCCAACCCAATGAATTGCCTAATTATATGTTAAGCAAGGAATTCGAAGTTTGATTCTTACCGCATTTCATCGATACCATACTTGCGACTTCGGATTGTACTGACCTCGCTCTTTGCGACTCTAAAATTGACGATAAAGAGAGTAAATAGTCATAGACTTACGAAGTGTCATCCCTAAGGCTCTCAAGTTTGGCCTCTTTAGGCTCTCCGAGTACGGAGGATGACATGGGCGTCCTACGATCGACGCAAGCTGGCGGTAGATCGTATGCAGATCGGATGCTGTCAGTGCGAGCCACGCTTCCGACTCTAGCCTCATCTTTCATTGACCTGATGCTTTCAGGCCTTGGCTCATGATTTTCGGAAGAAGATTTCATGCTTCCATTTCGTCTCATTTGTTCGTGCGCTTTTTTAATCGACGAAATGATCGCATTTTTGTCGTAGCCTTGAAAAAACTCTTTAAAAATTGAGCAAGTAAAGCAATCCTTACTTTCTTCATCGCTGCTATCAGTGGTAGGAGTCGAGCTGTACGATTTCTCGACAACGCTGGGTGGCCGTTTGATGGTGATCGTGTTTGTTTCGTATTCCTTGCGGTCTTCTTCCTGAAAAGAACTTTCAGATCCGGCTCTTTTGCATGAGCCTTACCAAATTGTAACCGTTAAATACCCGAGTGTGATCCGTGCGTCTGTCAAACTCATACGACTTCTTCATCGAGTTTCCAGCACAAGCAGGAACAACAGGGCTGTTGACAGGCTTTCGCTGGAACGCTTGACTCGTGTTGGAAGCATTTGAAGATCGTCGCGAAAGACTTGGCTTTGATGTCTTTCGACCGTAGCTCGATCGGTAGCTGTTCTTGGAGGCGGAACTGCTAGCACCCTTCTGCGCCGGCGGAGCCTGCTCGATAGACTTCGCGAATTTAGCGGACTGGCGCGCGATCTTCTTAGTCTTTTTCGGCTTTTGCAAGATTTTTAATGGCTAATAACTTAATTGTTGCTCGATTGTTTAAATCTTTCCTTAGCACTCTTCTGATGAGAAATCAAGTCAGACACATGCTTCGTCTCTTGAGTCGGAATACCCACCCAAAGTTTTTCACCACTAACAGTCTTGCCTTTCGAGCGGCAGAGATCAGTCTGCTTGGTCAGCCAAGCTTCGATTTCGCCGGTCGTCTGCGCTATCGGCTGAAAATCGGGATTATTTTTGTAGTAATCCTTCGGGAGTGGGCAGCCGAATTCGAGAGAGTCTGGACCGGGCAAATTTTGTTTTTCGCTGTATTCAAAAAGGGGATCAAAAAGAAATTCTTTAAAGAAAAAAAATGAAAATATTGGATCCCCACTCTTGAACCGCCTTTCTAATATCTTCGTATTGCGGGTCTTGCATACAACGAAGTTTTGACAACCCACCTTTCGGGGGGTTGACTTCTGGAGCTTCAGATCCGCCCGAGATCATTCCCGAATCGGAGGGCCCAAGTTGAGTTGCAGGTTGGTTACTGTTATCGGACGTGAGCGACTCATTATGGCGTTTTAGATAACTGAGATCGAAGCGCTTGCTTTCTGAAACCTCTCCGAATAGGGGTTCGGTATCGGACCCCGAAAAGAGTTCGTCAGTATCGTAAAAGCACGCTGGCTTGCGCCATGGATCCTCGACCAATTCTCGCTTGCTTGACATTCTTTTTTCCCAAAAATCTCTTTGTAAAAATCAAATGAAAATGCTAACCTTTTTCGTTTAGCTGAGTCACTTTTTAAATTTACCAATTGGATTGATAGTTCTCGAGAAAATGCGATTCCCACGCCCGGTCCGATAAAGTCTGTCGGACTTGAAAACACCCGTTTCGAAACTTACTGTTTTGAAGAAACTGCGATACCAGTTGTTCAGCTGAGTAGTTGTCAGGCCTTCTTTGAAGCACAGAAGTTGAGATCGGATGGCTAAATGAAATTTCTTAGTGTTAAATAAGCTTTCACTTTCTAGCGTGAAATGATTTATTATCAAGTAGCTTCAATTTCGATCGTCGCAATCTCTTTACCATATTCTTGGAAGTCAGTTGAAATAGACTCAGAGTCTTTTTTATGCATCTCTAGTTTCGGAAATTGAAAAATTGAAGAAAACAAAATCAAAGCTCTGCGCTTTTCGGAATCTGTCCCCCTCGTGCAACGTTTTACCGGCCAATAAGCAAGCCCATTTTTTCGAACCTTAGGCTAGTGTTTTAATGACTCACCAACTTTTGTCTTGTCCCTCTTGTCGCTATCATTGGAATTCATCTCGGCACTGGCTGGGCTGGGAACGATTGGTAAGATAATCGTTGGTGGAGAAAGGAAGAGCCACGGGACGAAGATAGGTAGCGGCGCGAAGATGAAAACGATGCGCTTGTTGGGGTCGCAGAGATCGCCGATGCCTGGTGCAGGGTTGCAGGGCGTGATTCCAGCGCTAGAATTGACCTTACTCCTTATTTCTTCAAGAGTTTATAATGTTTACTGCTATTTTCGCAAATGAGAGGGTATTTCAAGGAGGAGTACCGAATAGAAAGGACTGACGCGCTTGATTACCTGGAATAACTCTGGAAATGGTAAGACGGGACTGCTGATAAGTGATGAAAATAATGAGAACTTGTGGCTGCGTGGGTGTATTCTCGAAAAACGTTGAAGGGATCTGCTACAGGTAGCGAGGGAAGTAACATATAACTTCTCAATGCGGCACTTTTGGGGGGTCTTCACATGCCACAGGCAAAGAAAGAAACTAAACTGGCCCGGGGTGTTGTGTCCAACACAAGTAAGCGACATGTTCTCGAGATTATTCCAGTTTTGAAATGTTTTTTCGCAGATTTTTCGACTTTTTCGAAGAAAATATTCCCGATGAAGGGGCTATCATCACGAATGCAAATCCCATTGAAAAGAGTTGATTTCCGCTCAGTACTGAGAAAATGAAAACGAAAAAGCTCGTCGCAAAAGAATTAAAAGTAAAGACAAATCAGTAATCTCGATTACAGTCAATGTTCAGCACCGAATCGGGCAGAGAGAAAAGAAAGAATGTCGAATTCTGAGTGTGATTTACCGAGTTCTTTTGATTGTTACGTTTCTTCTCGTCGTAGGAAAACGTTTTGGGCAAATAAAATAGTTTTAACAGAAGAAGAATAATCCTAAACGATTTTATAAGCTGTGGTAGCCCTCGTCATGCGGCTCCCACCGGGATTTTCTAAAGGAAAATCACCCCTGTTTGAAGCTGATAAACACGGATTGGCAGCTGTAGAAAGTGAAGAAGGATCTGCGTTGACAATTTTGAAAAAGGCTCATGTATCGTTTGCACCCGAACCGAACCCAGGAACGTGTTTCATCAACCAATAATCATTTTATTTGATTTAAGTTTTGAAACGGCTAAAAGTTGCTATTTTCCTGCTTTGTTTTTTCTTCCTGATCATTATTTTTGAATTTGCCTTTATCTGTTTGTACCCTGTTTATCTTTGAACATGAATATCATTAGTAATGATTCATTACTGAAATAACACCTCTTTCATTTTCTTTCTACAGGTAAAAATTGAGCAGGAAGACAAGGAGGAGTTTTGACGCAATCAAGTTATTTCTGGATTATTCTTCTAGCAAGTTCGTCCCGAATTGACGCAATTTTACCAGATTATTTGATCGCAGTTAATAAAACATGAGTAGAATCTCGTTTTGCGCTAAACTGGCTGCATGTTCGACACTCTCACTAATCAAGAATTAATCGGACAAGACCAAAAACGCGGCCCGAAATGCATCGTGAATAGCCATCGTATACTATTCATCGCCATTCGATACGAGTGTCGCTGGTCATCAAGTATTAACGTTGATTCCACAGTAGCTCAAGTGTCTGGCTGACGCAGTTCTAAAATCAGCATCAACTTCAGCGATCTGAATCTTTAGGTATAATAACATGCGTTTCCTTGGAGTAGATACTTCAGAGTTAGAAATAGTTTCTCGAAGATCAATTGGCTACCGGTATTGACAGTAGCGAAATTGCACGAGTAGTTGTCCAAGTCAGGTTAAATCATGTAAGATGACGGAGATGACTCCATTGAAATCAACGAAGAGTCCTCTCTTTGAAATATTTTCACAGCATCCATGATTCCTATTGAATGAGTTATTTAGATGTTGGCAGTCTTTTGCTCTTCCTTGACTGAAAACGAAAATTTTTTGATGGACGAATGCGACTGCTAGGAATCTCATCAGCTAGAAGTTCTAGTCTAGAACTCGCAATTTAAATAGTTTCAACCTTGAACCTGTCAAGCATTCTAGCTGCAAAATGTCCTTTAGTTCAAAAATCCAAGCAGTTTATTTATTAAGCAAGAAACAATTGCTTGATTCACCTGAATCAAGTAGATGCTTCTTTTGAAGTGAAGGGCATCCCATTTGTAGATCGATATTCAGTCTTGATGAATTATTGAGTTTGGTAAAGCTGCGCGGCACCAGTCGGTCCTCACGCTCTCCAATCTGCGAACGCTGTCAGATGACTTCTAAAAAGGAATGAATTTTATCGAGCTAAATTTCTCGAAATTTAAGAGATGCGACAAGCTAGAGGTGTTATGATCAGAAGCACGTAAAATCTATTTATTTGCAAAACTACCTACTACTTTAGCTTTATTTTTTCTCACCTCAAAAACAGTTTTTTTGCTTCTCCCAATTCTAACATTTGGAAACAACAATCCAGAGAAAACGAAGCAGGGGTCTGGATTTTGCCCGAAAGTGAAAAGCGAAAGCGAAGCGAAGGCGAAAATTTTTTAAAAAATTTTAGCGAAAGCGAAGCGAAGCGAATTAAAATTTCAAAAGCGAAAGCGAAGCGAAGCGAAAATTTTCTTTGTAAAGCGAAAAAAAGCGAAATTTTTTCATCATTTTTTGGATGAATAAAATACATTTTTCTTTATACCGATGATTTTTGATGATTGCCCCGAAAACTAAAGCCCGAATTAGCGACACCAAGCGAGCATTTGCCTCGTTTTTTCATGCCTGGAGGACCCCTCCTGGTGGAAGAATTTTAAATTGAAAGAAGAATAATCTTCTTGAAGGGAATTCTTCATTCAGCAAATTTCTCGTCACGTTAACAAAATTTTGCTATAAAATAATTTGCTATGGTAATTCATTTGAAGTCATGAAAGGCCCCACAGAATACTATGTAAAACCATAATTTAAATTCGGGATGAATGAACTGGGGTTCATTAAAAAATAGGTGTGGGTGGGGTTGGGGATAGAACTGAGACTGATCATCTCTAAACTATCTTCTTATCCCAGCCTACATCAAGCCCATTTAAATTAAAAAGCCAGGGACGGGGCTGAGACGGCCCGAAGGTGGTGGTGTTATTACGTAAAAATATTAAAGATGTCACAATAATCAAACTTGAATATAAAAAAAATTAAAAAATTCAATGAACAATAAAATAAATAAAAACGATTTTATTCTTAATTCTAAATCTAAGCAAATTCCTAGTGGCTGGATATGACCAAAAATGATGGTTTTAGGGGTTTCGAGAAGAAAGCTTTGGATTTATTTGAAAAGATTTTAATATTTTAATTATCAAATAATAGCTAATCGAAATTTTTTTGAAAAGCGAAAGCGAAGCGAAGCGAATTGAAATTTTCAAAAGCGAAAGCGAAGCGAAGCGAATTCGCTTCGCCTCGCTTCGCTTCGCTATATGGCGATTTCGCAAAGCGAATCCAGACCCCTGAACGAAGGGACCAAAAAGAGACAGGACGAGAAACAACGTAAAAAGACAAATCGAAGGGAACAATGATCCTTCCGAAGAAATATCAGAGACTCAAGAAAAATCAACAGCATTGGTTCGGATGACAAGATCGGGTTATTTGCCACCGAAGCCAGAATGGCCGCCAGAGAAGCAGAAGAAATGGGATCAGTATATGGCCGCTTTAGGAAGATATCCAGGTAATTTTTTCAGTTTTATAAAGTAATTTATAAAGAGCAGAACTTTTCTTAACGTTTTCAGAACTTGCCCAACCAGGCCAGAGCCCCCGTAAGTTAAAATTATACCAGACTTTTTAACACGCCTTGTCAGGAATCCTGACATCTATACTCAACACATCTAATTTTTGCCAATTCATCATCAAGAATCAACCAAAAACCAAGCATCTTTTTTTTCAGAAAAAGAGCAGCCAAGCCAGTACAAACGTGAAATACAGTGCTTCACATGTGTCAATGCGAAAACGAACGACGAGTGCAATGCTGCAGGACAAACCACCTGTCAAGTAATGCTCCTTTTTGGAATAATTTTACAGTCATGCATAAATTTAGCTAGCCGATGCGTCGTGCATGACAGAAGTCAGAAACTTTGGCTACGGCGAAAAGCTCATTTCAAAGAAGTGCAAAGACAAAAACTCCTGTCACATTCAGCAAAAATCGAATAATTATTCCGGAAGATGGGGAAAACAATGTCAGCCAGATTGGTTCGAAAGCGTTTGCCGATGCTGTTGTATGGATGACTTATGCAATGCTGCCGAGCTTCCATGCTTAGGTAAATCGAACAAGTTGAAACCAAAAAGGAAAGGAAATTTCAGGCGTCGTTGAGGAGAAAGATTGCGACTTAGCTCCTACCTTGAAGCCTCTTAATGGAACTGTTTCTTGCTCAAATGGAAAGAAAACCAATTCTAAATGCACAATTACTTGCGATGAAGGTTTCACCATCAGGTAACAAATGACATTGAAGATATCCACCCTGATTTTTTTTAATTAAAAGCGGCGGAAAAGGAGATTCAACAGCAATAAATTGCGCTGGCAGTGGCAAGTGGAGTGGGCTTATCAATAACGCGTATCCAAAATGCGAAAGTAAGCTCAAATTCTCAAGCGATTCAAGAGCCGTATTAATATTTCCTTTCTTTTCATAGTCAAAAGATGCCCGTTTATTCTCGACAATCCAATAGAAGGTGTTACGTCATGCAGCTTGGGCGAGGAGTATGGATCGAGTTGCTCGATATTTTGCAACCAGGGATACTCTCTTACTTTCAAAGAACGAGTCACCCCAGTAGATCAACTTATCGTATGTCCTTGCTCAAATCTTCATCATTTCTTAACTCTGTTCAGGTATCATGCGTGCTCGTTGATGGGCAACTAACCTGGCAGTACAACGAGAGCCCCGAACTTGTTCAAGAAGAAGAGCGTCTTCTTCAGGATTCTACGAATATGCCAACATGTCAATGTAAGATATTTTTTTCTTTTTCCTCCGAGAAAATTCCCATAGATTATTTTTGGTATTTAAAAATGACAAAATAATCTTCTCTGACATTATATTCGTGTCACGTAACGAGAATCGAACAAAAAGTCTGCTTACGAAAGAAATTTTAGTCAGCAAATGCGAAGAGCTAAGAATCAACGGTGCGTCGATGTCTTGCACAGATTCGAACATGTACAAGTCTGTGTGTACGATTCAATGCAACGCGGGAAGAAGACGCCAAGGACCGGCGAAACAAATCTGCAGAGGTTTACAAGTTCCTTCTTGGCAGGGAGTCGATGAAATCGGAGCGACCAAATGCGGTAAGGATTAAATCTTTAATATCATAATCAATTTCGTTTTTTCAGTACAAGACATTGATGGATAAAAACCGAAAAGTTACAAGTTAGAAAATGACCTGTACAGTTCCTCTCAGTTTGTAAATTTCCTTACACCTGCACAATATTTCAAATATCTCGCTGGAAACAAACAATTCATAATGAATATTCAATAGACTCAGAATAAATGACAAAGAATGAATCCAAAATTTCTTGTAAAAAAACATGGTCATAAGACTTTTTCTTTGAAAGACGGTAAAAATATCCATTGCTTTAATTTTGCCGTAGTTTATTCAGTGAACTTTCGAGAGAAACAGGAAAAATTTCACTTTATCGAAAAGTCGATGCGGTGTCATAAGTTGATTCTTGCTTACAATATAAAGATATAAGAGGAGCTCCCAGTAAAATTCTGATCTCACAGAGATACGGGAAGGGGCAAAGATGTCGCTACGAGTTGAGTTAAAACATGAGTGCTTCAAGCTACTGTAGTTTCGTTAAAAATAACTGTACAAGATAAAGAAGCTCCTGTCCATGGGTGTCGACGTCCCATGGACCTGGAGCAGAGGGCACGACCTCGACCCGGTCCAAACCCGTCGACAAAATGGTCAGACCTTGTCGAGATAAAAAGTTTTCTCGATAAAAATTTTGAGAAATGTTCCTCTCAAAATTTTCACGAGAAAAAGTCAATCAAAAGTTAGCTAAGTTAAACTAAATGAGCAAAATAGATAAAGCCCAAAATATGGGAAAACTTCGAGATTTGTCGACGACGAAAATATTTTCCATGGAAGTGATGAAGACTTGACGCATGTAAGATATCCAAGAGAAGAAAATTAGTTGTCATACGCGCCTGGGAAGATTATTTGGAGAAGAGTATGTTTGTTTTTGAACTTTTTGGAAAAATATTAATAAACGAAATAGCGCCATTATTCGGAGAAGAAAGGAAAATGTCCTTTCCTTTTATGAATGTGCATTTTTGGCATCAGGAGAATCACCGGTTAGTTGGAAAGCGGAGAGATATTTGAAGATGAATAGAATAACTACTGTCGCTCAGCGGCAGGCGAAATGGAACGTATCGTATGGTCGGGGGAAGATCGGATCGTGCACTTTTCGTCGAATCGGCTGAAAATGACAATAAATGTCTCGCTTTGACAAGTGAAAGGTTAAGATTAGAACACTCGATTATCTAACGCTAAGGCAGCGTCAGTCTGAAAACTTACTTAGGAAGAACTTCCTCGATCGGAGGAGGAATGGGACTCTGGGATGAGCTGAGAGCGAGAGGAGGCGCCGACTCTGGTGGAAACCGTGAACTCGGTGTCGTATATGGAAGAGAGACGAATAGGTGAGGGTGCCAGCCGGATAGGCGGGGATCTATGCGTGAATACTCCGGTCCGAGGGGCATTATATGCGAGTAAGGCTGGAGACCTGAAGATAAGTCTTTTAATAGCCACGTCAGACAAAAAGTGACTTACGTTGCGGCGAGTACGCGTTGCGACTAGCATCAATAGCCTTTTGTCGCGGCAGCTGGCGGACCAGCGGGCGGGTTTTTGGTTTTTTCGTTATTGGTGCAGCATTGAGGGCTTCTTCAATAGCGCGTTTCTTTGTCTTGATGTCCAATTCTTGACGCTTCTGCTGTTCCAGTTTCATTTGAAGATCTTAAATTTGTCTTATTGGAAATCTATCACCAAAAAACTACCTTTAGAGCTTTGCTTCACATGATTATCTTGATCCGCAAGCTGCTGAGATACACCTCGAAGGCGCTCTTGAACGGATGACATCATTCCTAGGTTGTCGAGGATTTTTGTCATCGCAACGGCGTCTGAAGAAAAAGTAAGAAAAAGCTGAAATGCTATCTGTTACCAGATGGAGAAGGGGTCGGATTACTCCTCATTCGAAGCTGTATCTCTTGTATCTTGTGCATCACTGCACCGAAGATATCACCAGATACATCTGCTTGCGAGTTAAGTCCTTGCCAAAATGTCTGACAACTGGCTTCACTGGCCTGATCATCATCCGTATGCGATAGAAGATCTCCCGAGTCCTCTGACGATGAGCGCTCGAACGAGCCTCTTTTGAAGCTCTGCTGATTTGCGAGGGAGAGAGGCCGAACAGTTGGATCATCAAAAGATGTGGAAGTTGATGAAGAGCCCATCGATGGATTCGAACCGACAGAGTTGCCCATTGAAATATCGGACATTGTTTTCGACGATTTGCAAGTATTCGAGCAGTGCTGGTCGTGGAGATAGTAGTCTAAGCCACCGCCTTCCTCACTCATGTGCTTTCTGAATCAAAATAAGATTCGTATGAATTTAGTAAGAGAAACCTTAGCATGGTGTTATTTATTCGGATCGCCCGTTTCCAGTCTTTGAGCGTCTGTTTCCCCGCGCTCTTTACCAGATCCTTTGGGGTGATCATTTCCCCGTTTGACATTCGGATGCATTTTTGGCTGATTCCGGGGCAGCGGAATAGCTTCCAGATCAATTTTGCTTCAATGATCCCACATGTGACTTTGAAGAATTCTTCTCCGTCTGAAAATATAGATAAGGAGTGGGGCTTTTTGAAAGCTAAATCATAATTAGTGCGCCTTTACGACATCGATCAATATTTGCGTGCCAGATTAAATATATAATTTTACGTCACGGATAGTCCATGTGATAGACTTACCGGAATCACGCTGAAGAAGTCTTTGTAAGAGATGAGACTGCATCGTCGCGCGGGTGTCGATCGGGTGCGGATCAGAGTGCTGCTTTGGAAGACGATCGCTCAATCTGCTCAAGTGCGGATCCAGCGGCGAGAACTTGATCGGATCAGATGTCTGACGCTTGAGCTCGCATGTTTCGCGGATCGTGTTGAAAGTTGGTGTCATACTCTAGAACACGAATGAATCTATAATCAAGGGATATATAGACGGAGAGACTCAGGCGACATCGTGCGTAACGCATCGCCGTGTAGTCGTAAAACTGGCGAAGGAGAATAAAGCGCTCTGATGACGCTCAAATCGCAGCTTGGACTCCCAAAAATGACGGGAAAATCAATTCGCAATAATTGGAAATAATTAAAATTCAAAAAATTACCATTCTCTTAGAAAAAAAGATATGCTCAAAATCTAGTCATAAACATAGAATCGATAAGTCAAATAAAAAGGAAAAACACTTAGACATTTTATTATTGTCCATAAAATAAATTTTCTGACTTATTATCGATTGAGCCCTGATTAGTTTTACGTGACTTTACGTCCATTTGAAATGACTGAGTTTGTTTTCCCTCCAAAAATCATTGAACAAATTCTTACCGAGTTGAGAAAATGTCGTCTTCTTTCTTTCGCGTTCAACAGTTCACTCACTGCTTGCTGTTGATAACTTCCTGAAGGGACATTTCTCTGCGGCTGGAAGTTGCCATGAGATGACATTGGCGATGAAGTCGCCGAAAGCGACGGCGCCGAACTTGTGATGGGCGAGGAAGTGGCTGTTCTCTCCCTTAAAATTGTACTTTAGCAGCTACTGATGCTACTACGTTGAGGCCCCGTTTATTTGACGAGCTCGTAAAAGACAATGCGTTACAGAGCCGCTGATATTCACTGACCAAACTCACGGAAGAAAGGATAGATTCTTACAAGCTGTCTCTAGGAAAGTGAGCTCTTCCAATCCATGGCAACACTTACATTTGAAAAGCCTCTGCATCGACGGGTTCTTGCTTCGGGGAGTTCATGTCAACATTCACTTCTTCCGGATCACTGCTTGTGTCCATTTCTTTCGCACTGAAAATCGATTTTAGAGAATTGTCCATCTTTGTATTTCGACGATTCGAGAACTTTGAAACGTGAAGAATGTTGACATAATTCTTCCGGGGAAAATATTTCTTAAATGTTACGTTTGTGGACGTAAACTTATCCCTCGTAGATTTTCAAAATTAATCGATTGAACCCCGATTACTTTTGGCTGTCGATAGTCGTCGCGGAACTTGATTCTAGCGCGGGTGGAATGGAGACTTCCATGTTCTTCCACCACCCGAATGATGGCTCGTCGATCTGAGAGGAAGGGTTACTGAGAAAGCCTTGGTTATTGTAAGATATAAAGCCATTTAAAGAAATGAGGTCTCCCAAGAAAATAGCTTGTAGTTATGTTTACTATTGGACTATATCGCTGAGAGGGCGAATGGCCCTCATCGTCTATCGTCGGCCGAAGCAGTTCGACCATCGTCTCTCGTCCAAAAAGTGGAGGCAAGAAAAAAGTATGGGGCGTTTAATTTTTATTAATTTCTCGAATCAAGTGCTCGAGCATCATCCGAAGTCGATTTGATGATTTCACCGAAACCCGTTTTCACCAAATCTGACACCAATTTGACGGTGCTCTCGTGCCGCCGAGCCTACTCTGCGCACAGAAGCGCTCTTCAAGCAACGTGAGAAGCGCCGAGAATACGAGGAAATGGGGGAAACTGTAGATTCCGATGATTAACTAATCAGATCGGCCGGGGCTATTTTTTCGTGAACGAAATGAGTGTTGTCTTCAAGAGAGTCTTTACGCTGTTAATCCTTGGAAAATCGTGCGGCAAAGGCGGAATATAAAACAATTGCTTGCAATACCAGGCATAATAAAATAAATAATATTATCAGAATCTGGCTTTACGTTTGTAATTATTCTTTAATCGTCAGTTAATTATCTTTTCAAGGATGTTCCAGTCTGGCGCAATAAAACTTTAACCAGTGACATAAAATAATTCTAATTTCAAAAGATTAATAGCAATTTTATTATTCTTCTTTTTTACTTTTTTTCGATGGTTTACTGTGCGGCTGGGGTTTTTCTCTGCATTTTGCCTCTAAGATGATTGCTACACGGGCACGTTTCTTATTTATGCCGCGTTGCATTTTTAACGATGTGCGCTCATCGTTACGTTGGCTTCCCTGGCTCACGACCTTGATCATTGCTATAATATCGCGCTCCAGTCATTCTACTTTCATTTTATGACTACGAATCTAATAGCGCCAATAATGCAACCCTTAATTATTTATTCCGCAATCGATTCTGCGCTGCAGAATCTGCAGAAACGTTTTTATTGTAGAATCACAATTAGATTCTCAACCATAAGTTAAACTAAGAAATAATTATACATTTTCTGAATAGAGCTTTAATCGAAAACATTCAAAAATGATCTTTCATTTTCAAAAAAATCTTGATTTGATCTTTTTTAAAAAGTTAAAAGCGTAAGTGAACGTACCCCTAATTATCTGAACGTCTCCCTGGAATTGTGACTACGTATTTTGATGGACGTTTGGAGGACAGCTGAAAGTGATCCCAGAACGTCGGCTGGAAAGGCCAAGCGACGCCCAACGACGTTCAATTCGTGGGAACAAGTGCTATCGAGAGGACGAGTTCGCCCGAACTCACAGAATCAAGTGTCTCGTTCTCTCTTTGATTCTGTTATTATTTCAAACAAATGCTTCGTTCTCTATCATAATTTAACTGAACAATGAAATTTTCCAGCCCGTCAGTTTCTTTCATTTTTAATGGATTCGAATCACTCGATTATTAACGTATTTATTAATGGTAATAAAGGAAAATTTCCTTTCAAACTATTCTAGGTTATTTGAGGGCAACTCAAGTTGTTTCTGAAAACTTACATTTCGTAAAATATTAACCCAGGGTCTTCTTCAAATTTTGGCTCTATAAAAAGCTCTATGTTGGAAGCATTGTCCTTTTTGAACGTTTCAAGCGTGGCTCAATTAATCCTACAATTTCCGTTTGTCAGCGTAGATAAAATGGGCCCTGTATTCACTGTGTGTGCCTAAAGAGTAAGACGCCTGATATAAATCTGACTATGGAGGTGAGTTTTCCATTGTCCTCCTCTCGTTAGTATTTGCTTTTATTTCCCCTTTCCTATGCGACGTCATTTAATAGTGGAAATCGTATTAAACAGCACTTGGTCAATAGATTACACACTTTTTATATGGAAAATAAAATTGCCCCTTGATAAGGTCAAAATGCTATTTCTTGGCTTTGGCACTTTTGATATCAACGATGAGTCTCAAGGTCAAAGAATAACTTTAGAAAGATAAAATTAACAGGGCATCACATGATCAAATCACGAGAAGAACGGATCGGCTGCTTGCAAAGGCCATAAAACAATTTGCTCACGAATTAGTTTTACGACTTACTGGAAGTCTTCCTCGTTGATTTCGGCTTTTATCTCTTTGTTGTTTATTTTCTGTCTTCAAGGGATCTCTTACTGCCAAAAAAGTGGATAATCAATTTTTCTGTTGAAAAGAATGTTTGTCAATTATGCTCCTGGGTGATAGGGGCCGTGTAGAGTTAGTGCGTTAACCCTAGCACGACGCACTACGGCAGTCTAGCTTCGTTTTCTTTCTTCTCTTTGTTGGGCGCGCGCGCGTGTTACCTCCTTACCACACTAAGGATACACACACGCACCGCAGTCTCTCTCCCTTCAGTCATCGACTAAAGCGGAGGAGAAGCTGCTTTCACTCGCTCGGGGGCAGGGAGCGGTGACTACACTCCTTGTGCTGACGGCTCTCGTACTGTGACGCTGGCCGCGTTTATTGAGACTGATTGTATACGTTTGCACTTATTTCAGACTCAGAGCCGCTGAAATTAATTTGTTTATTAACCAAGCCAGATATATTTGCACCAAATTGGCGCTTGTAAATAACCGTTTATGATGAGAACGACCTCGTATCTTTTATTTCCTAAAGCAAAGTGTTCTTTGAACTTGTTCCCGTTAATTCTAGCGCGTCAAAACGTGGACTACAGATTTGTGCGATCACGACGCTTCAAGTGCGTAGCGCACTAGCCTTTAGTGGATTTGAATGATTGTCAGGTACACAGAGCGACAAATTAGCAGCTTTAATTGAACTGCCTCTACATGGTTTGGATTGACGTCATTTATTTAAAATTGTTAAATAAATTATATTTGCCTTGGAAAGCAGATTTCTATTAATAGAACAAAGATCAATCGCATTAAGAAGTTCAAAAATTAAGAATCTACTACTAAATTAGAACTACTGAAATCAACAACGACATTCATAACCTCATGATAACCGCTGACTACCGGCATCTAAGCTAACATCCTGCTAAGAAAGACACAGTAGAATGATTTTGAGACATTTGATAGGTTTTTATTGCTTTCTGCAACATAATCTGGGCATATGTTTCCCAGCAATGAAGTAAATCTTCTCTCCATTGAAATTGCCCACAGAACTCTTCTCTGTGCTTCGCAGCAGTTTTTTATCGCAGCTCTAAAATGAACGAGTAAACAAAGAAAAACAGTGGACAGAAAACAGTAAACCTTGAAACGTACCTTGAATTTTCACTATTTCGGACCACCAAAGTCCACGGACTGATAAAATGATCAATTTAGAAAAGACAACAACATAAGTTCTAGAGAATTTTTTGATAATTCACATTCGATATTCCTATTTGATTCCTAGAAAATTCGCTATTTTTGGCGAAAACTTTTCGCGATCGAGATGATTCATTTGCGTTTCGGAATCAGGTTGATATGAGTTTTTGGACGTCCTTTTCCGAATTTGACTCGAAGCGTGAGTCGATAAAAAGATAAAAATCCAAGTTTTTTTCGAGAATTGTTTCGAAATTTCTATTTCTGAAAAAATCATTTTCGTCGCAGCCCGAAAAAGAGAAGATAAAAAGTGAGAAAATATAATTAAAAAAATGTTTTTTGAATGAGTAAACTGTTAAAAATATAGAGATATTTTAACTAAACTGAAACAAAAGTTTGTTTCTAGCAAAATGAAGCTTCGATCCCGGTCAACCCATGACGATGTTCCCAATACGACACCCAAGAGAGCGAGAACAGAAAAAAAGCTGAACGAATTCGAGGAGATCTTTCCTGGTGCGATCACTTCCTACGGTCAGTTTGGGATGTGCCAAGGATCTGACTGCGACGGGTACGATTTTTAGACCTTTGTTGACTAAATAATTTTATTCCTTTATTCAGGGTACCATCAGAAACGGTCAAAATAGGCAACGAGAGGTTCTGCGAAAAGTGTGCGAAAACGAAGCATAGCATAAGCAAAACAACTCTTTTTTACAAATTTGAGAAGTCCGATGCCGAGTTCAAATGTCCATCGTTTACCGAAACCGGAAGCTGCAAATCGAGGAAGATCTCATTTCGTGAATTCTTTCTCGGATCATGTTGCGAAAAGGCCTCCAAGTGGCTAACAACGAATGAAAAAGGTAACTTTTTATACTCTTCAAATGATTTTATGTGAATTTAAGCCCAGAGAAAGAAGCTTGCCGTCATCAGGGAATTCCATGTCCAAGCTAAAGGAGAGAAAACAAAAGCGAAAAACAAATTGGATGATAAAAAGAAGAAGATCGAGGAGATAGAGAATTCTCAGGTCTATCGAAAGAAGACGATCAGGGAAATCTCAAAGACAATCCAAGAAACGGACAAGGAAATCGCGGAGACGAAGAAAGTTCAGGAAAAGACAGAGGAAATCTTGAAGCAGAAAGACGAAAAGTTGCAATTCGTCGCGAAACGGTACAAGCAGGTTTCTTACGAATACTACGGCGTCAGCTGCCAAGAATACAAGGCGGACGAAAACGAGAACGCAGGTACGATAATGTAAAATAGAGAATAGTTAGATGTGGCCATTATTATAGGCAAAAAATGCCGGGTGTGCATGGAAGAGTACGGCGATGACTGGTTCAAGAACAAGATGGTGCTGAGAGGATGCGGTCATGTTGCTTGCAGGAGATGCCTCGAGCAAATTATCTACAACGATGATGACGAGGACGAAAGAGGGCGTTGTCCACACTGCCGACAATGGTTCTACGAGGGAACGATGATCAAGATCCACGAGTAGCTTTTCAACTGTCAAATCATACTCGTCAAACGCCCGCGTTATTGGAATGAATAAAATAGAACTATATAAAATTAAGTTTTCTTTCGTTATTGCAGGTAGAGAATAAAGAAGCAAAGAGTGGGAGGGGAGATGCTTGCGATAGCAACACATGTTCCTACTCACGAGAAAACTTATTCATATTCCAAGGGAATCAAATGCACGATGAACTCTTTAATTTTCCTCTTCTTAGGAGTGATTAACTCTAAAGTCACACAAACATGCGACCTAATTCTCCCAACAGAGATTCTACCACCTGTTGAATTGACATCGTTCTTGAGTACTCAGATCAAAGAATGCGCAGAACAAGATCCACACGCACATCTCGTCGTAAATTTTCCAGCCGAAAAAATGAAAATTGCATCGCTAACACTTTCCACAAATACGTAAGCTGGATCACTTTCTGAACCTATTTATAAATTGCTTCAAGAACTTATCATTTCCCTAAGGGTTGTGAGATAATTGCATCAGAAAACGAAGATGATTATCAGGTCATGCCGACTCTACCGAGCTATTGCATCGCAAGAGATGGACTAGCAGCGAGCAAGAGTGGACTTTACCGCTCGGTTTTCTACGGCTCGCAAGTTGAAAACGTATTCTTCACGGGCAAAGGAGTCATAAATGGAGAAGGCGTAAATTGGTGGACGAGGAATTCGGAAACCTTGAAGTTCGAACGGCCAAGGCTTTTTCAATGTCTTGAATGCAAAAATGTCAAGATCGAAAAGCTCACATGGAAGGATTCACCCTTTTGGACGATTCATTTTGTTTACTCTGAGAATATCGAGATTTCTGATGTTGCCATTCTCGCTCAGCACAACAGGTTGGAAAGAATCTATTCTATGATTCCAAGGTTTCAGCCGAAATACCGATGGAATCGACATTGATAGCACCTCAAATGTTCATATCCACGATGTATTCGTTGATGTTGGAGATGATGTTATTGCGCTAAAGGCAATAAAGATTTTGATCATTCAAAGAACAAATTTTAGAGCGGCTTTGACTACTGTGGTAGAGAATTTGGTATGCCAACGAAAAATGTGCTCGTGGAAAATTCAGTCTTTATTAATGAAAACTTTGCTGTTGGGAGCGAAATGAGCGGTGGTGTTCAGGCAGGGTTTGAAAGGGTTGTTGATCATGGAGTTCTTCCTTGATTTCAAAAGGAATTTCTTTCAAGCGCGGGAAAAGGATATTGTAGTTAGAAACTGTGTCTTTGGAAACTTCGACTCTGACGAGTTGTTTGATGCAGGGATTGACTTCAAGAGCTCTATTGGTCGAGGCGGAAAAGTCTTCAACATCACTTTTGAAGACTTGACTTTCCGAAATTGTAATGGACCGGTGAAGATGTCGACGATTTATTATTCATCGTCAAATGAAAGAAACGAAACGAGCATCGCGGAGTTTTATGATATAACCATGAGAAATTTGCAAGGAAGAGGGTTCAGACAAGCTGGCTGTTTTATTGGGACTCCTGAGTATCCTATCACAGGATTGACATTTGAGAATGTTCTTTACAGGTTGTTATCTTATACAAATTCTTTTGCTAATGAGATTAAGGGAGTTTGAAGAGTACCACTACTTCCAAGACTCACCGAATCCAGAAGTCGCCGATGGTGTTTTGGAGCCGCCGATTTCTATCAACGCTGAAAAATGCTATGTTTAGTTCAATTGAATAAAGCTTCAAATAACTTATTTGAAATAAGTTTGTTGGAGATTGTGATTGATAATTATTAAATAGCCTTTGAAGTATCTTAATCTTCAAGAAAGTGATCCGTCTTCGCTGAAATCAAACAGCGCAATATTTCCTCAAAAACAATTGACCGGACAAAAAAGAGTCAATTTCAAAATTGCGCAAAGCGGTTTTTCTCGACGAAAGACAATTTCCGGTCAAGAGGGGGAGAAAGGAGGAATTGATCCGTGACAACCTTGAGCTTTTATCTGAGACGAAGGGCTTTTTGATCCTTTCAAAAAATGTTCTCGATCAAAGAGCAATTTGGTACTACTCGAGCATTGAGAGAATAGTTCAATGAATTTAGCTAGGTCACTTAGCCCTGTAAAAATATGTATTTTTATCGAAGAAACTATCAAAAAAGACATGATTTTAATTTCATGCTAAAATATTCTGAGGCGAATGGAACTGGAATTTAAAAAATGAAAGGAAAATCGAGCGGCGCGCACCTGTTCCGTCCACATCAGTGAGCTCAGGGTCGGCTTGTCGCTAAAACCTAAAATTCCAAAAGACATAATAAGGATGACTATATCGATTTCGGATCTTTCCCATCAATTTCATCCCTCTTTTCCGCGTGATCATGGGCTAATTTCACGCTCGTTCCGGATTTTCTTGTATTCCCGTGCGCTGGTCAACTGGATATTCAAGGCCGAGGAAAAACGGATTTAACCCGTTACGGGTACTGGACACATGTGGCGTTAGAATAGGCAAATCCTTCATTTCCGATGCTCGCAATAAACAATCAATAGCCCAACTGGCGGATAATCCGCAAATTTCCGCATCATATCCTTAGCTCTCAATCACAACGTACCAACAGGCTACAGAGGGTGCAAATTATAAGATCAGCCCAACAAAAATAAGCGCATGGCTTTTGCTATCATAATTATGGAAAAACTTAGCCCATTTTTGAAGCCGAAGTTGAAGAGCATTTTCTTTTGAAATTTATTCCGTTTGGATTCAATTTCCTCACGTAAATAACTTATGAAAGGTTTCTGTTTATACAATCCATTAGAAAACTCCTCAGCTGTCATTTTGTTTCCCTGCCCTTTTTGATCCCGTTTTTCCAGCTCAACTTGATGCCTCTCTGAGAGTATTGAGCTGTATGTGTTTAGCACCTGTACCACTATTTATGGCGACTTAGGCGCACTTTGATGGGAACTTTCTAAGTGTGAATAATCTTTCGTCTGTCAACAAGTTAAAAAGGCAAATTTATATTATTTTATTTCTTTATCTAAATAATCATGATTCAAGAGCGAAAGCGTGCGAGTGAGTCTTTTATGTCTTCTAATTGACCTTTCGTTGGCACCCGCTCAAAGGAGTTTTTCAGGAAGCGGTCCTTTAGATCACTCCTTGCGCGTTCTGAGTTGGCATAAAGTCAGCCCCCCGTCAGAGCTCTCAAATTGCCAAAGGATTTTTTTCCAAACAAATAGTTTCCCAGCAGGAGTCGAAGATTTCTTCCGCCCTGTCAAATCTCCATTCCAAAAAGGCCTAGGCCTCTAAACGATTTTCTGAGAACGAAAATGATATTTATGTTTTCTTATGTTGTGTTTAGGGCGTTTTTAAATCCCAACTGTTTATTTTAAAAATGCGTCAGTGATAACATCCATGTATTTAGTTGAGCAGATGGATCTTAACAAACTAAAATTGTTTTGAAAATATGCTCAAAATATCACACAAAAATCGAAAATGTTTGAGACCAAATTGGCGAGGCGGAACTTCAATTCCCCTTGTGTTGATAAGTTATCAATGCTAAATGTCTATTATGGCAATAATTTTCCTAGAATCTGGGGACAAGTGAGGTTGCGTGCAAATGCCTTGTTTTCGATCATTTGATCACCAGATCAATTATTCTTTTTTTTTAACGATAACATGGAACACAGCCATCAAAAAAGATAATATAATCAATACAGACTTGAAAAGGAGGGTATATGCCTTTGAGTTTTTATTTCATTCTCTATTCAAGTTAAAATTAAAATTGAAAATGCATCAAACGCGGCGCGTGGACAATCGATGTTTGGCATTTGGACATTGGCGGTACCACATCTTCCAGTTGTCCTTGGAGTCCTCTCAATCAACGACAATTGCGAAATGATCCTATTCATCAGAAAATGCATATTAGTATGGGAAAAGAGGAGGAAATGCCAGCCCGCGGGTGGGCTCTTTTAAATGCTCAAGTTTTGTCGCATCGGAATCAGTTTGTGACTGAAGCTGCTTCATATCATCTTCTGATAAGACATTTTTCAGCGTCTGTTTCAATCCCTGGGAGTCGATCTAATCAATGATTAGGAGCCCTTGTTTTTGTCTTCTCATGCAAAAATACCAAGAATATGGAAAATTGTATTACTCAACTAGATTTCCAGTCCATCAGCAATTTTCTACAGGAGGGAAGATTTCACGCGCTTGAATAGACAACATGGCCTTTTTGCAGCCTTCCGGGAGGCATAAATTCCATCGTAAAAATACAATTCTTGGCACTACCGGGTGGCGGAAAATTTGAAGTAACTGACCTTATCATTACAAAATTTGCTGAACACTCCGTGAGCCATTGATTGAAACAGCAAGAATCGTGTTTTATATGTTTTCTGAGAAAATAAAGAAGCGATACTTTCTTTTCAAAGTCTTTTTGAATTAAAACTTTTCTTTGGAGAGTATTTTTATAAGCTGTTTGTTCGCAAAACGGGGACTTTAGGCTTCAATAGATCCGTTTAGTTATTTAGTGCTGGAGCTTATCATCCTCTTTTTTGGGGAATCAATTCATGGATGGTTGACTCAGAAGAGGTCACAGGCTTTTGTCAGGTGGAAAAGACGCTTTCCCCTCAACTAACGAAAAAAGCTATACACTTGACGAGCATCTGGGAAGAGTCAAGTAGCTAACTGTCGCGAAATTCAGCTCGTCGGCTGGCCCGTGAGCAGGTCAAGTGGCCTAGCGTTGTCCCAGAAGCGCAAAGTAAGTGTTTCAGTGTTCTGATGAATACACAGGAGCTCACTTTTGAATGATTTATTCCCGCCTAACTGTCTGATACGTCACTTTCTCATCCTCTTTTCTGGCACTCACTGTTTGTCTTTCAAGAGTCTGTGGATTCTCAATAGAGATTAGCGACTCTTTAGCCCGCAATTTGCACTTAGGACCCACTTCTTTTTTCAATAAAAAGGGACTATCAGACGGATTCAATCGGCCGCGCGATGATAGTATCAATCATTTATTGGAGTTAAACTAGGTCAAATTGACAGGGATAAATATTTACGCGGCTTGAATCGGTGACAAGGTACCTTGATCTCTGCAGTTTTTGTTTATCCCGACGTTTCTTTTGAGAAGAGCAGAATAACAAGGTCGAAAGTTTTTATTGATACCGTTGTTTTCTTCTTTCGTCTGTTTTTATGCCGTAAAAGGTAGAGAAGAACCCATTTTAATTTCAAAGCCCGTTTCTTTTCATTTAAAACGCTACTTTTTCTTCCTCAAAATAAAGGATCCTGAATATATATCTACAATTTGGAAGAGAAGACAAGCTTCAAGGCAGACTGAAACTTCCTGCAGTTGAATTCTATCGACCTGTTCGTAGAAAACCACCTTGTCCTGTTGCCATCTTGTTCCGTATCAATAATTAACCTTGCTACCGATTCTTAGAGTCCCCATCTACACGCAGCAGGTGGCCAGCCGCCTCGCAACTTGACCATCAGATGAACGAAAAGCTCAAAAGCCGCTGGTTGGAGATCGCACCTTAGCGCCTGCTCGTGGATGGCGCGCTGGGGGTGCCCCGCGCAGCGCACTCTGCGCGAAATAATACACCCCGCGCAAGATCTTCACGCAATCATAATATATTTTTCAAACGAACAATACAGAATTGTACTCGAAGAGTAACTCAAACAGAAATCAGAAAAAATGGGAGCTTGCGTTAGCTGCAGAACTAAAGAAGACTCAGAGATTTGCGAGAAGAGACATTCTACCGCCGAAGAGCAAGAGATCATCAAGGCGCAGATTGAAGAAACTCTCGGTTCCGTCATCGACTTGACAAAGGGTGGATCGTCGAATGGCAAAGGTTTGAGTGGAGATATCTACTCGGCAAGATCTGCGAGCACCTCTGGAATCGGTTCCGAACGAAGCTCGAGGGGATTCTCGGACCAATACGAAGTCGACGAAGAGGATGATTACGAAGATTACGATCAGCTGCCAGCTCAGAAGACGCGCCCAGTCAGCACGGAGACACCAAGAGCATCGCTTAACCAATACGACGACGACGAGGAGGACTACGATGTCCCAGTAACTAGCCCGAACGCCCGCGTTGTTCCAGACGGACAGCCCGCCGAGAACTTCATGGATGACGAAGACTACGACGTTCCTCGACCCTTTGGCTCGACGACAAAGATTCTTGAGGAGGAAGAAGAGGACGAATATGACATCCCGCGGCCTCATCGAATCATCTCGGAAGTTGAAGAAGAGGAGGACGATGTAAGTACTTGAAAAATCATTTTCGGCACTTGACATTTGGACGTATAAATTAATTGCCCCAACTTTTAACCCTCCGAAAGGTTAATAAAACCTGAAAATTCCTTTTTCGAAGATTTTATTACCGAAAAATTTTCGCGAATTCCAAGCGGGACCGTGGCGCAAGATAAATTTGCGTCTCACATTATTCGGAGTGCAATTAGCCAGCGAAAAGCAATTTTCTCTGACAGGATCAAATTTGCGCTCAGCAGGAGGGCGAGCTGCACCATATGCTGTTTAGGGCGAGATCACCGTTATCTTGAGGCGAGTTGAGCTCGAAAATCGATTCAACGGCTATTGTCCCATATTTCACTCGTGTAAAATATTAAGAAAACAGATACCGATCATGAGAATATAAATTTCAAAGGAAAATTGGCCGCAATTACTAAAAGCCTGTCATAATGAGTCAAAGTAAAGTAAAAAAATCGTCAAATAAATGGGCAATTATGTTCTCTGACTACCGGAAGCTTCAAAAGTGAAGCGATTGATGTAGAAATTGGGCAATTTATCACACCCAATTCAAAAATGAATGATCGAGCGCCTTCTATTTGCTTTACCATTTGCTCGGATGAACTTTCTTCTTTATTTTTCGATCATCGGAACTTTCTAAATTTTGTTAATTAGAAAAAAGGGGGCAATTAATTAATTCGCTCAAATGTCATGTTGACACGGCCAAACCGCTGAGGTCAACTTCTCTGGTCGAAATCGATCGAAATTTATCAATCCCGCTACTCTTAATTAACCTAATTGATTAAATAATCTAATTTCGCTTTGTTCAGATTTACGACATTCCCCGCCCTCTGCTGATCAAATAGACGACTGAAGAAGAAAACTCCTTCTGTACAAAAAACGATCCAAATGGCAATCCAAACTCCAACCGACTTAAAGTTCAAACCAACTTCGCGAAACCAAAAGTGACCGTGCTTCGTTTTAAGCAAGCTTTCTCCAACTTTTCTATTTGTTCAAAGATGGATATTCATATTTACTCTGAGGTAGACGTAGGAACGCGTGAGAAGCTAACAAGACAGTAGGATAAATAAATAGATACAGTCAATGTTTTTTTCCTTCAATCAAGTCACTTCAAGTGTCGTGAGTCTTGTAAATTGACGCAATAATTATTTAATAATATTATTTAACATCACACCGATTCATTTCATCTCCTCTGTAGATATCTGTATCCATATTCGAACAAAACTTCCATCTACTGTATCTGTACATTCCGCCATCCTTTTTCTTCGATGATTAACCTTGTAAATAACTGCTTACTTTGCTTAATTAATTATTCAATTTTCAATCTTTGATCGTCTGTGAATAAAATCATAACCGCGCGATCAAATTTGCGGCGTAAATTACGTTTTATCAATTCTTTCGATTTTGAACATTCTTTCGCGCAGCATCTGAGCAAACGCAAGCCAAGTCAAATTTGCCGGCAGGTGTGTGCCCAAGAAGAGTACGCTGAAAAAAAAATCAAGACTCTTTCTGCCAAGACAAATAGGAAAAAAAACATTTTCTGAAAAGCATAAGCCGCAGTTTATAGAAACTGGCGGCTGGGCTCAGCAACATGTGTAGAAAACCTGAGTCAGGGTCAGTACAGATCTAAAATGAAAAGCCGCGTAGCGGCTTTTTTAGAAACGAAGCCGCAAATCCAGGAAGTTGATTAATAACTGATTTCTGGCGAAGCCGCTTTGCGGCTTCGTTTTAAAAAAAGCCGCTACGCGGCTTTTCATTTTTGGTCAGTACTGACCCTGACTCAGGTTTTCTACACAGGTTGCCGAGCTCAGACTGGCGGAGGGCTGTTACCGCAAAATCGACAGTTGAGAAGCGAGACTCATAAATTCTTCATTAATGTTTTCAATTGAAAATAAAGCACCATAAAGTCAGCATTCTGATCTGCTAGAGCTGAAACGGAACCGTGGCAAAGACCATGGTCGCCGCTCAAGTCCACGGGTCTATTCAATTCGATATTACGGCTCATAAATCTACGGAAACGGGAAATGAGATAAACTGAAATTTGGCAAAGTAGAAATTTGAAAAAATCCGCGGTTCTTCTCGGTGATAGCGATTGTAAATAATCACGCAGATTATATAAACATTTAGGGCTCGCATATCCCCGGTTTTCGACCCCGTTTCTGCCCAAGTTCTTTTGAAAACAGTAACATCATAAATCAGAAAAGATGAGTGCCCCTCCTTGTCGAGTTATTCACGGGACAAGGGGCAATTTTTCTGACTAGTTGTTACTTTTGCTAATGAGCTGAAATTTTGCCAAATCTGAAAAGAAAGCTCCCTTTCATTATCTCCTCCCATTTTAAGATTACAAGGCCAAGAAAAAAAAAACGACAAGTGCAAATCTAAGCTTTCCATTTGGCCTTGTTTATTTGACGCCGGAAAAAGCGAAGCCCGGATGTTATAAATGTCGTAATGTCAATCAATTTGAACTTGGGCGTAAATTCGACCATGTGAGATTCGTAAAAGATGGACCGTTTAAGAATGATAGACACGAGTGAGGACTGGGCATTCAAATCGTAAAGTTATTCAATAAAAAGCGCTTCGTAAAACGATGTTTTGAGCGGTTTTGAACTCGATCTGTTTTTATCAGAATAAAGATATCCGCTGCGGCTTGCTTTTTACCCGCTTAGGTTGGTAAGAAGAAATACCGCCGGATGATGCTTGAAAGCCCTTCATCCCTAAACACGCAGCTTTTTGTCGGTCGAAAATGGCTTATGTTTAGAAGTTGTGGGAGCCAGTTAATATAACATTATCAACCAACTTTTAAGGGTCACAGTTTTTCGTTGAAATTTGAACAAATGGTGGGCGTAAACGGTAAGTGCACAATTTTAAACAGATGGTGATAATTTTTTGATAGAGTGATAAAAAACTGGCTGTAGTGACCGTTGACAGTAAGAATTTGGAAAAGGTCAGCCTGTATCACTACAGATGGGGCACTCTAAGCTGACAGTAAACATGCTGCACGTGGGCAATTGACGTCTGAAAGAACTTCAGAAATCAAAGTTACAAGTTCCGTAGATTTTTTATTCGGCCGTTTTGGCTCAATAACGCGATTATTTTGAGATGAAAAGTACTGGAATTGATTGAGCACTTTTGTTGTAGCGACCGGGGCGCAAAATCAAATCTCAAGAGCCCAAAAACTGCCCTGACAAAACGCTAATCCAGCTTGATACGGAAATGGCACATCCGGGGGCGACTTTTGAAGTTCTTCTTCAGCAGAAATAAGCGGAACTAAAGGGGCTATTCACAGCAGCTACAGACACAGACGCGAAGTCGCCTCCGAAACCGGCAGTATCGCGAGACTTGATTATATTGACTTGGAAATAGTAGCGGTTTTCGTTGTCTTCCGTGAGTGTACTGTAACTTACTCCTGTGTGTCTTTGTGGCTTGTATCAGGAGACGGACAGGAGCGCCCTGTGGATTTTTATATATCCTTTCCGGATACTACTATCTTAAAATTTTGATATAGACTCTTTTCGAAATTCGAGGAATGAAAGTTTTTGTTTGAATGAAAAGTTTTGAAGTTTTCAAAAAGCGGGAAAATGTCTCGAAGCTGTTTTGAAAGGCAAATTTGATCAAAGGCGAAAGTTTATTTCGCTCATCGGAGGAAATTCTAAAAGTGGATCAGGAAATGCTCTTTCACGGGAGCTGCATAAATGCAAAAGCCTACTGTTTTTACTGGGATATCTTGATTTTTTTGAACTTCTAGGGCAAGAATACAAGATTTGGAAGTTTTGAATGACCTGATTTTCTAGCATAAATTGACCTAGAAAGGAGAAGCACCTGTGAACCATCAGCTTCATCATCAGTTCTATTTTTTAAACCTCGATCTTGATCAATAACCGTTCTGAAAACAGGTCGTAAAGCGGAGTAGATAAAAGCGGAAATCAGCTGCTACCTGTACCTGGTAACTGTTTTAGTGACAATCTGCGTGAAGGAAAATTTTTAGGGCACGAAGACTTCAAATAGATCCGATCGGATGCGACACTTCCGATTTGCGATTATTTTTCAAAGGGGCACTTTTCAGAAGAAAATTAAGATTCTTATCAAATCTAAGCCTAACGAAAGAGTAACAATGTTGTTCAAGAATCAGCTTCCATGAAATTTGCGCAAGGCACACTGAGAGCCTCTCCTGGACTCGATAAAATGGCGCCTGACGCGCGCAGGTTGATAAATTTGAAGTCCAAAGAACGCGCGTGCTTGTTATAAAAATGTACGCGCCGTTTAATAACACCAACGATCTTCGGATTTATTCTCAATAATCGCTCTTTGAAGTCACGTGTCGGCTCTAATCGCAACACTCAAGGGTCTACTTGAGAACTTTTTTCGCGTCACTCCACTGATCAATAACCAACCTCTGTATCTCCTCTGAATTCTTGGGATTTATGACTTCCAAACAGCAAGGTTCAATGATAAATTTCTTGATGGAAGGTTTTAACTTAAATTTTTATTAAGAAAAAGGCCAGTCTCAGCTGGCCACATTCCGGCCATATCCCTGAGATACGGTTTTCAATTTGCTAAAAGTACAAAACGGACATGAGAACTACCATAAACTCAGTGTTTTGGCTATTTCTATTGTACACTAAAACAGCAAATCGCAAGCTAATCTATTCATAAAACACCTTCGCCCATGTAAAAAGTCCTAGAACAATATCTAATCTACATGATATTATGTGCCTGCCAAAAATACTAGCGCTAGCACGTGTTTTTCCCGTTCGTACATATCACGTGTCTACCGATTTGTTAGTTTTGACAATGAGGATTAAAGAAACTTCAAATTATGGAAATAGGAAAAGATTTTATACAGAAAATATTCGATTTTTTTTTCGAAATCTGAAAATAGAGTCGGGGCAATCAGCTGGCGCGGCGCCATGCCAGTGCACATCCCCAAATTAAAAATTTCCCGTACTGATCTAAATTTAGCGAAAATTGAGCTTTTCCCCGCCCGCGATGATAATACCTTGCCTTTGATCTCGACCAGCGGAGAACTCTGACATTTTTAGCCTCGTAAAATGCCGTTTTTCTTAGTCGTAAATAAAAACCCATGAGTCGGTACTTTGATTCGTGCTTATTTTTCGAGTTAATTGATTGTTATTCAAGCAATGGTTATAAAATGCTGAATCATTTGTGCTTCAGGAACCCATTTTAATCTACTCATTATATTCACCAATTTTATCGGCAAAACATCAGGGAAAATTATAGGAATTCAAAATTTCATAAACAAACTTAGGATGTAAGCATATTTGTTGAATATAAAACCCGCTATAAACTCCCCAAAAAGCGACCGAGGTCAAGCGACTTTTTGATTTGTGTACCTTTTCCGGAAGTATTTTTTCTAATTTAGGCCTGGACATCGGGCAGTAAACTGCTTTAGGGGTCACGTTTTTGAGGAGTGTGGGAAAGTGATTTGACCCTCGTTAAAAATTTTTAGCGGATTCTGTTCCAGAATCCTTTTTCTAAATTATTAAATACTCGAATTTTTCGATTGGATTCTGTGGAAAAGCAAATAATAATAAATCTACAGAAAAGTTCTAGCCAGATCTGTGTTTGATCTTGTGAAATCATGGAAGAAAACACTGGGTATCGCTCCTCCTCATAATTATTCTGACTGCTTCTTGACTCAGAGTTCTTGTCCCCTTGAAACGGATGTACGGAAAAGTACTCCAAAGGATCGATATTATTAACCAATGATTAAACTTTCGGTGCTTCATTTATAGCGCCACGATAAGTTGGCGTTTTCAAAAAGTTTCTAAAGTTTCCTCCTCGCGAGAGAGTAATGGGAACCTCAGAGATGAGTCGACTTGAATTCTGGAGCTTGGCCTCGACGAAAATGATAGATGCTGGAACGATTTCTAAACTCGCAGCAGGGAGACTGATTCTTTACGATACGATTATTCAGCGATCCTCGGACGCGGATATTCTTGATGCAATCGCTGTGTATAAAAGGTTAAAAAAACTCATTGGCGATAATGACGAAGGCTATTCTCTTTCAGAACATTTTCACAAGGCAAGGGGTCACTGTCTTCATAAAAGTATAAATAGAAAACAACTCTTTGCTCCCTTTTAGCTCGAAACAGAACTTTATCGGATTGATTCACGGAAGGAAACCCTTAATCTTCCTGGAGGATACGCAGGTTTGCGTTATAATTATAAATTCATCACTAATCATTTTGAAGGTCTTAATTTGGTTCTGAAACAAAGTAATCGGGAAAACGAGTACAAGACGCAAAACACTGATCCGCACACTTTTGAAGAACTCATGAAGATCGACTTGCAAAATGGAGCTTGTGCAAGTCACTTTCGGGTTGTTGCAAGCTTCACTTTCAATTTCGATATACTGAAGAGTCAATTCTGGGATCAATGTAGGCATTTTTAATTCAAACACTGAATTTTCTTTCAAAAGATTCGATCGATTGGACATACAGTATTGGTGGATATACGGTTTTCACAGCGCCGAACGAATTCATTATGAGAATATTGTTCATGGAATGCGCATACTCCAAAAAAGAAATATTCGAAATGCAGACATCAAATGATGAGACCATGCTTTTCTTGATGTCAAAAATGCTTGACGATATATCGATCGATGAAGCGCAAGAAGTCATCTCGATTCCAACCCAACTTGCATTCACATTTCCCTTTTACGCGACTCGACATTATTATCGCTCTTCAATTTTTCTTTTGGACAACTTCCCCAACTTAGAGATGAACTTTTGCGGCTTCTACACCAACAGTCTTGGTTTAACTTTCCAGCCACTCATCAGCAAGCTTCTTGAACGAGGCTTGAATCCATTTATTGCTTCAAATTACGGCCCCGTTGACTCAAATGCTGTTAACTGGTACTTGATTGAATACGCTTTCGATGCACATGAAGATTTAAAAGACTGTAGACTCGAGAAGAGTCTTTATTTCCGAACGGACTCATTCACGCAGTATAAACACGAAATCCAGCAACTTGAATCTTACGCAGAGTTGGTGAAAAAGTACGTGACTGGATACTCATCTGAAGGAAATCCTTTGACGACGACTTACATGTCTCTTTACAATATTGACTGCGATGAGAAATGCCCAAGAAATTGTAAGCAAAGGATTCCATCTATGCGACACTTTTCCGGTCAGCTCATCGAGAAGAACTATCTTCTTGGCAACGGAGGCCAAGGATCGGTCTACAAGTGCACCTGGCACGGCAAAAATGCAGCGGCCAAGTTCATTCCAAATCGCGGACTTCATCTGGTACAATCTCTTAAAAAAGCACCTCAAAAATTAATGGATCCGATGCGAGAAAAGGAAATGGCGCAGCAGTTCAGAGGCCAGGCTTCCGAGTTCTACATTGGAAGGGAAATAAGACATCCGCATGTTTTGAAAATGTTTGACTTCTTCTTGCAACATAAAAATGGAGAAGACGAGTTTGTCATTGTTTCCGAGTTGTGCGATGCAACATTGAACCAGATCGAGTTCCAGATGTCCTCCTTTATGAATTATTTTCTCCAGGTTTTTAATAATCGCGTTCAAAACTCACGAAATTCATAGGTCACATCTGCTTTGAAGGCAATCGGAGAAAAAGGTCTATGTCATGGCGATGTGAAGCCAGAAAATATTCTCCTCAAAAGTGATGAAACCGGCACTTTTTCCGTTCGACTGGCTGATTTCGGCATGGCTGGAATTATCGGTGGAACTCCTCTATTCATGGCCCCGGAAGTTTTGACTGAATCGATTCCTTTTCTTTCGGACATATATTCGCTTGGCATTTCGATTCTGCTTTCTATTTTCGATATACAGTTAGCGTTCAAGCTCTACATGCTTCCAGGTTGAAAGTTTCTTCTCTGAAATATCAATTTTTTTTAGTTGACAGTAAAAGCCTTCGATCTGCAAAAGAAGAAGCGCTCAAACACAAATTGACATGTTTCATTTCCAAAATGATCTCAGATGATCCGTCAAAAAGGCCGAGCATAAAACAAGTCAAGATGTTTTTGACCCACCATCGAAGCTCTCTGAACGGCAAGAAAGTAACGGCAAGGGATCTTGGAATCAGTGCAGACTTGCAGACTCTGGATGGGAGCATTGATAGTGATGTAAAGCGGAGAGTAGCGAAATTCGAGCAGTGTCCTTTCTCGGCCGTGAATATCATGGATACGCTGAACAGTTTTACATCATATGCCGAACTTTCAAAGGCCGGATATCGTTCAAATCATTGAAAATTGTCTATGAACTAACAAACAGTATATCCTCAAAAGACGACTAAAATGATCAGCAAAAGAATTCATGAACAGGTTAAATTTTTAACTTTGGTTTAATTTTTGATTGATAGGGTAACTCGTTCAAATGTTGGGCTTTCGCGACTGCGAGCATGTTACGATCTTCCTTCCGTGAAACCATCAAAGGACTCGTTATACTATTTCTGATTTATTTTCACTAAAACCACTAGATAACGAAAACGAGACAATACAGATCTGACGGAAGAAAATAGGGATGCAATTTTAAAGATTCTCGGCGATCCGTCGCATCACAAGGTCAGCAGTCTGATGTGAGCAAAGTATATTTAGATTTCGGTAGACTTTGAGATCAGAATTGATGATGAACGTTATTCCGACTAAAATAAATGCAAACGAAGATGAAATACAAGCTGCCTTGCTTCACCATGTCATGCAAAGACTTTCACGCCCGACATTTCTCCAGCGAGAAGGTTAAGAATGTGTTGTTTCTGAATTGTTTAACTGATGTAGGTATACACCTTCTTGGCAGCTTGAAACCAATCTTCTATCGAATCGGGGAAGTTCAACCAGTGCTGGAAGTGTATTCACATCCCACGGAATTTGACAAATTTCCGGCAACTTTCAAGAAATTCGGAATCATTGGAGATTTCTTCAGCGCCATAGATTCTAAAAAGACTCTTGTTTGCCCAGTCAAGTTATATCAACAAATTTAATCGTGTTTTAAATCGATGCTTAGAACTGAGCTGAAAAACATCAAGCACGCAATGTGTATGTATGGATTCGACGAAGAAGACAGAGCATTTGTCTTCAAAAACAGCTCATCAGAGAAGACAACGGTCAAAGTTCCTCTTATATCCAATCAGGAAAAGGTCATCGGTTGAAATTACTTAGTTTTCTATTATCAGCTCGACGGTCTTTTTCATCGAAGCCTAAATGACCATGAGTAAGCCAAAGGTCGGTTATCACATTTCATTCAGTCGAAAATCTCTCTCGAATATTTCACAATGAAGAATTCTTCTTGCTCTACCTTTCTTGCTAAGAATATTGATGTCATAGTTGCTACCAAGAAAAACTTTGAAAAGAGCTTTTCTTTGCATTGTTTTATAGCAGTTTCATATTTTTTATTCGAGTACAAGTCCATAAAATATCAGTTTGTCGGTGATTATTCGAGGTAGAGAACGTGACAGATTCCGACGACGACGATATCTCCTTTGGCATAGCTGACGGACGTGTATGAATCGTGATCGTTGTTCATGAGCGAGCGTGAAGAAATGCTGAAGTCGTTGTCGTTTCGCTCGCACACAATGACTTAATTCTTGACTAGTTAATGAAAGATGGGTAAGCTTACCTTGGACGATGAATCTGTATCTATCTGGCACCAAGTCCCTGACTTTATTATGAAGTTGATTGTTAATTGTTCGGATCATTTCTCGTTCTACGACTTCTTCAAATTGTTTGTCCTCGCAAAGCTCTAAAAACGGATCAGAATGATTCTTCCAAAAAGTCTTACTCTCAAGACATTTTTGCATTGAGTTCTTGATTTTAAACATGTTCATCTTTTTATCAGGCTCCATTTTGTAAGTGTTTAAGTATTTTGGACGGTTCTTTTTCTGGTGTTCTTGCATCGAAAGAATTGAGCTGAACTGAAAAAGACAAAGTTAGTTTATGTTGGAAGGAATTTTGAGCGCAGGGTCTTATGCTGTCAATCATTTTGAAAGTCTTGCACTGAGAAATATTCTAGTCAAATATAATTCCTGATTCGAAGCGTCGATATTGAGTAAGAATTAGAAATTCAGCTTTATTTCTGTAAAAAATAAAAAAGGGCTTTCCTTCAAAAATTATACAAATTGAAAGATTACACTTTGTCTGTAGATATTTGGGGTCACCATCGCCATAAAACTGTTTTTCTCTTTCTAGTTTTCCCGCTTTTGGGTGTTGCTAGGACCCAATTTCCTGTTTACTAAAGTGTCGATTGTTGAAGTACTGGCCTAGTTGACTGATTGTAACGCTAGGATTTGCCGTCAACTTGACACTGCGCTCAAATAACCCAGAGGTGCAAGAAGAGAACTTTTCAGTAAACAAATTATCGACTAAAAGTACACAAGAAACTGCGTCCTCTGACTTGTTGTGAAATAATCAATCAACAAGAAGAGCTTTGAGTGTACTTACAACTGCTGTAGAATCTCGGGGGATCTCTCTCTTCGGCTGGAACATGCTTCCTCGCCTCGAGGCGCGTTGCTTGAAGGTTTCCTCCGGCATGCTTAGGGAGGGGACACAAAAAAATGAGCTTTCTCAGCAAACGTCGTAGAGACTTTATTTTTGGTGACAAGATGGAATCAGCCCCAGAAAATTTTTTGGCAAAAAAAATTTTTTTGAAATTTTTTCAGGTCACGTGGGAAAGCACTAAATGTATGCTAAAATCGCCGAATGAACATCGATTTTTTTTATTCCTGCATATGTGATAGAGAATTCAATTCTGAATCTGGTGGTACCAAAATCTTTTTGGAATCGGCCTCCTAAAGATCCATAATGACTATTTATATGCCTTATTACGTAATAATTTTGGAAAATGAGTCATCACTAATGACGTCATGGTTATTTTAAAAGTCAGTTTTTGCACCTAAAACCAACAAAATGTACTCTACGGAGTCAATTACAGTCGTTCTATGACCTTCAACACTTATAATACTACATTTTACAGTAATTTACAGTGTTTTTTTGCTTATGACGTCATCAATTATTACGTAATATAGCAGTTTTTTGTAGATTAAAGTACCTTCTCGATGCAATTCCAAAAAGATTTTGGTACCATTAGATTCAGAATCAAATTCTCTATCACATATCCGAGAATAAAAAAAATCCATGTTCATTCGGCTATTTTGGCATTTTTGGCACTTTTAATGGCGATTTTCATCACGTGACAATCAAAATTCAAAATTTTTTTTTCAAGAATTTTTTTTGGTTGGCAATAAAATAACTTATCCCAAAAAGTTTTTATCGTTGCTGCTACGAGTAAAAAGTCCATTTTCTGTATCCCCACCCTAGGCATGCTGCTTTCCCTTTGAGCGCAAGACTTAAACTGACGATTTTCAGCTTTTAAATATTTTCATAAACAGCTGTTCTAGAGATTTTTTTATTTTACAGTTTTCTTTACTCAATGTTTCAGATACTCGTCAATGTCATCGTGTACGGCGCAGAAAGATGATCTAAACTGGTTTTCATTGAGCATGGGATTTATATCCTACCTGTAGTGCTCTTTTGATTGACCATTTAGGCCGACAACATTGAGTTGACCTTCTGAGTCCCTCATGTTGACCATTTCTTCAAAATCCATTGATCCTCGTGGATTTCCGGTGAAATCGTTTGGATTACCCGTTCTGATGAAATTTCCCAAATAGTTTTGCACTTTTTCTATGTACTCTTTTTCAGCCTGAGTCAGTTCTAGTCCTCTTCTGATCGCATTTCCGAAATAGTTGATTGTCTCGAAGCAGTGGCATGGTCGTTGCTCGTTGACACACTTTCTAAGGATGCCCATGGCTGTTCGATTGAATGTCTGAGGAATGGGCGAGTTCCATAAGAAGCCATACACAGGGTTTGTTGGCCGAATGGCTGGAGTAATCGCTGCTTGAAAGCTACAAGTCCACGAATAGTCAGTCATCCAAGCTGCGAATTCAGGGGAGCTATCACAGTCGATTCCAGTGCATGGAGGATATGCATCTAAAATTTCGTCTGACGAGTCGCCATAAAGCTGTTCCATCATTTTTTTATATCTCAGAGGTGGCCCAAGGATTCTGCTTGGGGCGAATATGAAGCCCTCCTCCTCGTTGATTCCATTGACAAACGGAGTACTTGGTCTAAGTTCCCCTCGCTGAAAGTGTCTCATTGGATTGTCTGTCAGCACTTCTCCGTCAATAACAACGGCCCAGGGCTCAGCAATAGGAGTGAATTGTCCGTTTTGAATTGGTTCGAGTCGATGACGAAGATCACTTGCAGCCTCTTGAATTTCCGTTACACTTCGAGCTCGAAGACAAGCTACATCAGCCAAAGAGCAAACTTCAGGATCATCCAAGCAACAGCCCACTCGCTTCAGAAACCAAGAATTGTAAGAGGCTGCTTCATCTGTATTTTTTAAGGTAAGGCCCATCGGTAGGCTTACCGGACTAAATTTCGGTCCATTTTCCTAGCTTAGTTTAGGGGGCATATAATATAGTTTTAGAAAGCCCAGAAGCTGAGCTTTCATTTGGGCACAAAATCATTGGGTCTGGGTCATGCCCGGAAGGCAAATTAGTGCAGCGGAAGTTCCAAAATGGGCACTAGAACTCTTCAATCGATTTTTTCGAAGGGTTTAAGGGATTTTGAGCGGTCGTAGCCTACTGAAATAGAAAGCTCAGGCTCTGAGCTTTCTAAAACACCCATAAAATTGGGCCTTCACCAGGTTTGGGGCCACCTGGGGGCGCTAGAAAGTCGAGTGAAAAACCGGAAATACTGGGAACTTCTATTTTTGAGTCTTAAACTCACTGTAAATGTCTAAAATTGAATTAAAAACAATAAGCAACGCTTTAAAATATGGAACCGCGGTTGAACCGAGTGGTTGACCTTGCGGTTCATTGCGGTTCAACTCTAAAAAGTCTTCGAAACTTTTAAATATGGGTATTTTTCGACGGGAAATTGAATAAGAAATGAAATAAAAGATGAACCGTGGTCGAACCGGGTGGTTGACTTTGCGGTTCATTGTGGTTTTACTCTAGAAAATCTTCGAAACATTGAAATATGGGTATTTTTCGACGGGAAATTGAATAAGCAATAAAATAAAAGATGACTCGTGATTAGGGGTTATTTTATTTTCAATATATTTCTACCTTATAAAGATAAATAATAACAAATTTCATTTATTTTCAAAGTTTGGTCAAAATTTTCAGGTTTGGTTGTTTCTAGAGCTTTAAAGAAAGATTTGATTAATAAACTATTGCAAGACGATTGTTCATAATTTTTATTTTGTAGAATAATGTTTTATATAAAATTTATTTGAAAAAATAATAGTTCGAGCTAATTCCGAAAGATTTTACAAATTCAGCATGACTGATTGGGTGGTCAACCACCTGGTTCAACCGCGGTTCATCTTTTATTTCATTGTTTTTTCAATTTCTCGTCAAAAAATACCCATATTTCACTGATTCGAAGACTTTCTAGAGTTGAACCGCAATGAACCGCAAGATTAACCACCCGGTTCAACCGCGGTTCGATATTTTTAAGCTTAGTTTATTCTTCTCAATTTAATTTTAGGCATAGACTGTGAGTTTAGGACTCAAAAATAGAAGTTTCCGGTATTTCCGGTTTTTCACTCGACTTTCTAGCGCCCCCAGGTGGCCCAAAACCTGGTGAAGGCCCAATTTTATGGGCGTTTTAGAAAGCTCAGAGCCTGAGCTTTCTATTTCAGTAGGCTTCGACCGCTCAAAATCCCTTAAACCCTTCGAAAAAATCGATTGAAGAGTTCTTGTGCCCATTTTGGAACTTCCGCTGCACTAATTTGCCTTCCGGGCATGACCCAGACCCCATGATTTTGTGCCCAAATGAAAGCTCAGCTTCTGGGCTTTCTAAAACTATATTATATGCCCCCTAAACTAAGCTAGAAAAATGGACCGAAATTTAGTCCGGTAAGCCTACCCATCGGCCCAGAGAAAGAAATCACTTTGTTAAAATATGCCCAGCTATCTGGAGAGGTTATATGAACTAGAGTCGACTGGCCACCAGCAGAACAGCCAGAAATGGTCACATCGGTGGGGTCTCCTCCAACGTGGTGAATATATTTGTTAACCCACTGCAACGCAACTCGCTGATCCAGAAATCCGAAGTTGCCTGAGCTACCTGAGTCAGCTAGGAACTCGGAGTTGTGAGCAAAGCCTAGAACACCTAGGCGATACGCTACACTGACGACGACAATATTCTGTCGCTCAGCAATAACAGTTCCATCAGTATCCGGAAAGTTGCCAGTTCCGATCTATCAAATAGCAAAAATAAGAAGATAACGAGATTTTACCATGAAAGCTCCTCCATGAAAAAATACTTGAACGGGATATTTCTTGGAAGGATCTTCGACACCGTCCTTACGCGCCCAGATTGAGAGGAAAAGACAATCCTCACTTGCTCCTGGTTGCCATGGTATGATAGATTCGCCATCAAATCTGCTCTGAATACATACTGACGGCTTCTCTTGGAAGTTCATGTCGTCGTGAGGAAAAGTCTCGAGAAGCTCCGATACCGCAAAACGTTTTTCTCCTATTGGTGCGGGAGCATAGGGAATCCCATGAAGCTCTACGACATTCGGAAATGCCCTATCAACTTGACCGAATCCATGTCCAAGCTCACCGAAGGAAACGTCGTAAGGATAAGTTTCTCTTGGTGGTTGAGGGAGGCCAAGAACGAGTCCAAGAAGGCCTAGACGACACAACATGTCTCGTTTTTTAGATATGGCAGTCAGAGTCATATGAGAACTGGGAGTGTTTTCAACATATTTTCTATTCCCATGCTGATGCAGTTGACCAAGAAGTCAATTAGAATGATAATGGTGCGATGTTATATTCAATAAAGCATTTCATTCAAGTGAATTTTTAAGCAGTAATTGTTCACATCTGAGTTTCCATGTCGCGAAATTCATACGCACGTTTCGCCTCTTCCTCCCGTTGTTTCTCCTCCTCAGCTTCTCGCCGTCTGATTTCCTCCCTCCGCTTTTCAAACGCCACAAGTATAACTTGGTCAATCCAATCTGAATTTCTTTTGAAAAATGAAATTAACTTGATTTCGATTTCGGAAATTTTTCCTTTCAACGAAAAATCCACGTTTGAAATTATTCCGACCAAGATTTTCGAAATAGGATTTGAATTTCACAAAAACGTGGAGCCTAAAATTCTCAGACGAGCGACCTTGTTTTCAAATTATTAGAAAGTCACCTCCTTCTTGGAGATTGTTGAGTACAGAGGTAAAGAGAGTCCCATTGCCGAGCTTTGCCCAGCTTTTTCGAGGAGCCCCATTGTGCCCGACCGACTGAAATATATAACTAAAAAATGTGACTTTGAATAAATCTTACGCCTTGGGGCTTAGGTTCCTTGGAGCCTTTCAAATTTGTTAGTCTCTTTTATTGGGATTTCAGATTTTTCTTTCTTCATATTTTTGATACGAACAAATATTTCAGAAAATTTTTTTAGCATGAATCCCTGCGTTTCGCATCATATTTGCACGAAATATTCTGTCTCTTGTCTGCTTTTTGCTGTTTCCGTTAAATGAAAGTTCCCGCTAACAAAATGATAGACAATAAAAATACAACTACGTGCACTAAAAATATAATCTATGCACTTTTATGAATGCAGCATGCGCTCCTCCATAATTACCTGACCAAGTTGTCCAATTAGTCAAATGATTTACAAACTAAGAAATAATATGAAAAGAGCGTATTTATTTACAAGATCTGCTCGCGTTATACGCGGGAGTTTAAGAAATTTTACAGTAAAGGAGTTTCTGACGGCAAGGATTGAGGTTTTCCAGCATTGGAGAACTCTTTCATTGGGCAAGCAGCTTCTGTTCAGCATTTTTTTTTCTTCGTTTTGATTTTCTTTTATTGATTTTCAAGCTTACCATTTCACATGCATTTAAAAATTATTCTAGCGCTTCGTGTCTTATTAATGATAGCCTATGATTTATAGGGAAAGCTTCACCAGTGGATTTTTTGACTATTTTATAGTCTTTAGGTTCAAATAAATAAACCCACTAAAAACGGGTTTAATGAACTTACCCACTACGAATTCTATACACTTGCACATTATTATACAGAAGTTACAAACTGAAGAGATTTCAGCGCGTTAGAAATTTAAGAAAAAAAATATGAAATAGAAATTAAGTTTCTGGACAAGGACACTGATCAGTCAGAGCTCCATTGCAGCAGCATTTGATTCCATGATTGTATGGAATACCGTTGCAACAGCCGTCTGGTTCTACGTGCGTTGGTTGACCTCCTGAAGCGACCATGATCACCTCGGGATGTCTCATTCGCCGCAACTCGATTCCTCGGAGCGCGAGTTTTCCAGCTAAAACATTGTTACCCTTTTCTAAATCTAAACTGCTCTTCGAAATTTTTCAGCCTTTATCAAAAACTAACCTGAATTCTTTTTAGTCTCTTCAAGACACTTTTTATCGACGCATTCGTCCTCAAAATCCGGACAGCAGTCGTCTGAAATGAATCTTAAAAGACACGAACACAACGGGGGGTTTGAGGTGGATCAGAGCGCCTCTCTCTCCGCCGCAATTAGAGGCTTTTAGTAGGATCCGCTGGCATTTATTCTAGAGTTGAAAACTTGATAACCCAACGTGTTCTTAGCATAATCATTGCGTGCAACGAAAGTTCTTGACTCTTGATCTTCGTTACCCCCTAATTTGGGTCGTACACAATTTCATCGAAAATGAGACTTACCAAACGCTCGGCATGACGAATCGCAGAAGCAGCCACCGGGCGTGAAGCAGTCGGGATCTTTATTGTCGCAGCAGTGGTTTCCGGAGCGATTCTTGCACAAATAAATTGGCGCTACGTCTCCCAAAGGTGTTCCGGCGAATCTCAGCCGCGCTCCAGTAACTGATCCTGAAAATAAATCAGTAAAAAATCATTCTCATATTATCATGTTTTCAAGAACATGATCAACTCACCATATCCTTGCGCCCGACTTTCTTCCATCGCTGCTTTCAAATCAAAAGATCCCCTCGACGGTCTGGTCGTATCATTCTCATTTCTTGAGTCTATTTTATTCGCTAATCAAATAAAAGTCCCCTTCAAGTTCACTTCTTTCGTATTATGCAAAGTATCTTGCTCGTGAAAAGTCATTTAATGTCACTGAAAGGTTCTGTTCTCTTGCTTTTCAAAAATGTCAAATTTTAATATCACGGGGGTTTAAATGTAGCGCTTCCTGAGACGCTGGAATTTTCGTTGTTCTCCATTGAAAATAAGAATTCTTCGATGCTCTGCGCAGCTTCTGTTGTTGTTGCATGGGTGGTTGTTGCTTGTGAACTGTCTTCATTTATGGTGAAAATATATAAAAAGCATTTATCGTGTTATTTAGATAGTTAAAATCTCGTGCTCATTCTAGACTCTTTTTTCACCAATCTGTAGTGGTTGTTACAATACTTTCTGTAACAGTAGATGACGCACGAGAAGTGGTAATCGTTGATGTACTTGGCATCACAGTAGTCGTCTCTGCTTTTGACGAGCTCTGTGACTCAAGATCTTTTGGTTCAATGTTCAGAAGATGCGCTTTATTCGGATTAAATAAAAGGCTTCAATAAAATCATCTTTAGAAAATGATCGAAAATATTTAACTCCGGGCCTGGTACAGGCATTCCCTTGAACTCGAGTTTCGGCAAAAGTTGCCCATGAGAAGCAGCAACCAGCAATCCAACGAGCTTCATTTTCTAGTAATTCTCTAGCAAATTAATCTTCGGCAGCAATTATCTTTTCAAACAAACGCGATATTAACAACTTCCGATTATCAAAAGCAATAAAAAACACAAATCAATTTCTATAAAAAAAATCAGCGGATAGTTTAGCGCGGACGATTTCGTGCGCGCTCAGGCGTGCGTGCTAGCGCCATCGAAAAATGTCACGAATGCGCCACAATTTTCTGTTGTTCTTGAACATCAATGTTCGTCAGATTTTTAACACTTGTGGCAAAACTTTTTGCTCCCATTATTTGGCATTCGCTTTAATATTGACTGACCATAATGCTCAATTTTATTCAAAGTTTATGATTCTGTTTATTTGTTTCACTGACTTTGATTTATAATGACTATCATAGTCATCATTTTAAATAACGCACGGTTTCACAAAGTCTGTACATAAATATACGATAATGAATTCGCCTTTGCCTTGAAAGTGACGTCAACCCAAATAATCAGTCAATTTGTCAGAAGGGCATCCTAAAAGATTTCCTTAATTGCAAAAACATAAACATTATTATACGTGTGGTATGTTTAGTTTTGAAGAAATCTCCAGCGAGCTCATAAATAAACAAGACTTTGAAATCACCGTTTCCGAAATAAATAAATGGTAAAACAAAAGACCGTCTGCTGGTAGATTTATGCAGCTAGAATACAGTACACGACCTAAGGTATGATGAATACTGGCAGTACCTTCTCGAATTAGACTTAAGCAGACATAATATGATAGACGTCCCCAAAAAAGTTGGCTTACAGTTTGAAAGTCGGTATTTGACATTTTAAAAATGCAAGGCAAATGGAGTTTAACCTATGACAGCAACAAAGTGCTCTGACGAAAACGCTATCGCCTCCATTTTGAATATCCCTTAGTTATACATAAGCGCGTTGCATCGCCTTTCCCAGGGCCGAGATTTTTAACGTTGCGGGAAGAAATTTAAAAGTCAGTCAAAGGTTGCGGAAGTACACGTGCGCCTTGCACCGCGTGCCGCCAAACTAAAGGCAATTTTTTAGCTTTTAAGGAATTAGCCGAGACCGCGAAATTTCGCAAGAGTATGTTCGAACGCATTCAGCAGAAAATATTTTGGGCGTTTTTAGAAGCAAACTTTGTATTTTAGACATAATAGACTATAGACTCAATAGAAGCAGTAAACCGGTACAGTAACAACCAAAGACTATGCTTGGTCTGCAAAAGCCTGCGATATTTGAATTTCGTGTCTTTGATTAGCCGATTAGAATCCATGATCTTGAAAAAATGCAACAGGGACAGAAAGGAGTTGTGTAAGACTATGCAGCTGTTGTTGAATTTTTGAACGAAACGATTGATTAAGAGGCTCAATGCATCAGTTTACGAAGCACAACGTTCCACTATAATTCTAAACTTAAGAATGCTTCAAGTCGAACATGCGCTTGCGGATTGAGATTCTTGTTAGATTCACCAACAAACTGTCTAACGCTGCTCTCCAATAAATCCAAATTTTCGTTTGAAAATACTGAGCGAATCAGTTTTCCGTGATTTTTATTTCTCGACAGTTCAGCTCAATCATTGCCACACAGGAAGAAAAGTTTCTTCATAAATACTTTTTTCTTTCGCGTCGAGTCGTTCTACAGTTGGCTTTTCAATTGTATCCTCGGCATGATATTCATCGAGAATAGTTCTTGCAGCAGCAACTTGCACGCATACGGCATGTTAATACTAAAAAATGAAAAACACAGCTCTATTCGAAGGATTCTTACCTTGCCATATGTTCTCCCGTTCTACAAACGCGGCACCATCCGGAATAGCCGTGAAGCCCGCAATCGCCACAAATTTCAACCTAAATTTATTAAACAATCGCACCCAGTATCGCCTTAGCAAACCCTATATTTATCACTTGAATAGAAGAATCGCTCATTCAAGAGGTTCGATGCTCCGTAAGCCAGCAATGCATCGCGTTCCATTTCTCCTAGTCGCAGTCCTCCGTCTTTTGCTCGTCCCTGAATTATGTTAAAACCAGAAACATTCTCATTATCTACCTCTAGTGGTTGTCGAGTTAAATTGTGGACCTTTCCAGTAGCACGAGCGTGCATTTTGTCCATAACCATGTGTCTCAGCTTCTGGTAATAGATTGGGCCCATGAAAATATAAGCTTCCAGAGGTTCTCCTGTTTCGCCACTCATGAGTAGATCTTTTCCATAGTAATTGAATCCGTAGTCTAACATAGTCTGCGCCATTTCTTCCGTCGTATTGCCGCCGAACGCAGTACCGTAGTGAAACTTTCCAGAGAGTGCACCTGCTTTCGAGCCGATGCATTCCATCAACTTGCCGACTGTCATTCGTGATGGGTAACCGTGAGGGTTCATAATCACATCTGGACACATTCCGATCTCGTTGAAGGGCATATTTTCTTGTGGAACGATTAACCCTGTAACACCCTTTTGTCCGTGACGTGACGAGAATTTATCGCCTGAAAATGATAGTTATATTAGTATTATATATTCGTAAAAAAAAATCGAACGAGCTTCGAGGAAAATGTCTCACCTAATTCCGGCCGTCGAGTCTGTCGGTAAGAAAGTTTCACCATTCGCCACGTTGCATCTTCTGAGATCATAACTCGCTCTAGCGGTTGGTTAGACAGCCGTGTTCAAGATCAACTAACGCCCAACCCTCTGATATTATAATATATGCCCTCAGAACTGTCTAACCCGTGCCGATGTGAATTGGCTGCGATTTCGCCATCGTTGGAGCTCTAATCGCCCTCGGTTCATCCTGTGGTAGATTACCTTCCCCTGCCACAACTTTTGAGACCACTTTGTTGATTAACTTATGGTACTCCTGTTAATCAGATAGCCAAAATTCGATTCACACTCGAAATTTCCGTCAAGCTTTTGTGAACCCAGAGGATTATCTGGGTGGAAATGGAAAGATTGATTAGCTATCCGTTCCTTGACTCTCTCGCCCGGTGCTACGATTCCATCCATGTCAAGGCACTCATCTGCGCGGATTTTCTCCCCACTTTGAGCATCGAGCGCTGGACCATCGATTCTTTCTTCAATAGTCTCAACAAGTCCTCCTTGACGTTTGAGCTGGGTCTTTTCGTTACGATAAACCAGACATCGTCCGTAGCCTCTGTCGACAGAAGCTTTATTCAGAATTAACGCGTCTTCAATATCATAGCCAGAATAAGACATTACAGCAACAGTCGCATTTTGACCAGCTGGGAGTTGCTCGAAACCGATGAGTTCAATAGTTCGCGTCTTCACCAGCGGGCGTTGCGGGTAAACAAGATTGTACAAGCAGGAGTCGATTCGTTCTCTTTGATTCATTGCAATTGTACCCATAGCTTGCTTTCCCATGGCACATTGATACGTATTTCTTGGTGACTGATTGTGATCTGGGTAAGGAATCAAACCAGCACAGACTCCGAGTAAGGCGAAGGGTTCAATTTCTTTTAAAAAGGTTGGAAAAGATAAACTTCGCTTTAGAAACTAGGCTAAGAATGTTCCAACCAACCTAAATGCGTATGCTGCTCTGTGATATCACGTTCGTAAACGGCTTTTAATTTGGATAAGCAATGTACGGGAAATATCGTTACACGATAACAGGGAAAAACGAAGAGGACAACTGTCCGTACTTAACATTACGTGTACTTGGTATTTAAACAATTGTCTAATCCGGGTGCCTATTAGAGCGCTGTTTTCTTCGTTTACGTCCAAATACTCGATGAGGCCGTTTTTGACAAAGTCCGGAAACTTCACCTTGCCTTCCAGTAGCGCGTTGATATGCTTTTGGGTGACCTAGTCGAAACATTAGGAAAAATAAACTCAAATAATGTCGTTACCTTAGGCCTACCATTTTCAACAATTATACAGGGCCTGGTGAGTCTTCCGCCATCCGAGGCGAGATAAACAGCTCGATGTTCCTCCGAGACATAGACCGAAACAAACTCAGGAAGTCTACCCGCCCTTCTGATGAGTTGCACTGTGCGCGTCAAACTCTTTGGGTTACGCGTGGCGCCAACTAGTGCGCCATTTAGAAACACCAAATAATTTGCACCATGCAAATCGTAGCCAGATAAAGTGCTCGTTTCCTAGACGCAAATTTAACATCGTTCCTGGCACTAGGCCGGAAATAGAAGGCTCAAGAAAGAAAAGCGAAAGCGTCGCTCGTCTAACCACTCGTTAACGGCACCGCGCAAAGTTCATAAGTAAACATGCAACGTTGGTAGCGGTAATCCCGTACTAAGCGACGAGAAGCAACCTCGAAGCCTTCCATTCCGGCTTTTGAATTCTCGCTCTGTCTAAAATAGTCTTTGATGACCTCGTTTTCGAGTGCAAAAGAAAGCTCGAAATTTTGCGATATTCCAGTTCCATGAACCCGCTCGACTTATAACTAACCATGGCCATTTCGTGGCCACACTTTGGACTACTGATAATAAAAATCAAGGCGAGAAGTAAAAAATATTGAAAACGTGCATCGAATATTAATATCAATGATTACTAACCTCCACACCAAGATTAATAAGAAGCCTATGGATCGGCTTATCATCTTCGAATGTCGTCACGTGTGACATGAGCGCCATATTCTTGACAAGGCCACATTGCGCTCTAAACAAAATTTTCACGTTCGCCAAGTTCTACCACGCGAGAAGGTCCTAGGTCGGTCGCCAGGGGAAATCTAATTTTCCGGAACAAGTCTGGTTCTGATCGTTACATCAACTATGAGATTGGGCGTTATGTGATTTTGGAAAGCGAAGCAGAATTTCTATTTTACGCCGAGGTTTTCGGTCAGGAAGTGGAAATTTAGAGGGGACAAATTCGTTACAAGATTTCACTAGAAGACGGAACTAGGCTCAATTAGAGATCTAAAGTTCAATCTAACTTCAATTGAAAATTATCCGCGAGCTGATAATAACCCATAATACCCCAAAAACCGGCTATGATACTTGTTTCCCCTAAACAGGAAATTGAGTGGTTGACTCAGTTAAATGAGCAGTCTGATTTACAATCTTTATTTTCAACAACGGTGTGAACCCAAACTTGTTCTCGGAAAGTTTCTAGTCAACTCACCCTTCAGGAGTATCAGAAGGACAGAGCATTCCCCATTGAGATCCTTGCAGCGCTCTGGGTCCCGTGACTTTCATCGTCTTTTCGAAATGTCCCTTGATTCGGGTCATTGTGCCAACTGGAAAGTAGGTTGAAAAACAAATGGAACGAATATCAAATAAAAGAAAAGCACGTTTCAGTCGCGCATAACGGATTCAAGCGCGCGACAACAATGTGCATTTTTGACAACCCAAACACTATAGAAATAAAACTCATTCGATTCAGTATTTCCGTGATGCCTTTGCGGTCCATTTTGAAACGTTTTAGATTCCAGTTGCCGGTTTGAATAGCCGCTTCCATTGCTAGAGTGATTTTGTTTTGTAGTGATTTCATTGATGATATTACGTCAACGACCTGTCAAAAAGGGGTGCTGATTTAAGACGATTCTAATGTTAATTACTGTCCTTAAAATTGTCTTTTCGTCTAATTAAAAGGCCAAAATGAGCAGTCCAAAGACGACCATAATAAATTCAAAAGTGAAAGGCAGCAATTATTCAAACTTGGCCGCAGTCATGTCACCCCTCCCCTGCGCTGTTTTCTTTTCAAGTTTCTTCCCAATCGTACGTTTCAGCTCGTCGTTGAAATTTTTAAAGTGTTCCTCGAAGAGTAAGGATATCAAATCCCCCGCTAGCTGAATTCGCTTGTTTCCGTAGTAATCTCTATCGTCAGCTTTGATCATGCCTTGTTGCGCTTGAAGAAGTCGTCGACACATAAGTCCAAGAAAAACAGCTTTCTCGTACAGGTTAAAATCTTTACAGGGCACATTGACCAGCAATGTGTTACAGAGCCATACATGGACTTCTTGTTCTCTGTTACGAGGTGTTCTGGTTTGAAAGCGCGACTGCATCTGCGATCGCGAAACTATCGGGTTCTGGATGCGCATGATTGTCTTTTCCAGGTACTTCATCGCTTGATTTTGGGAGAAGATTTCAAGCTGCTGGCATTCGAATAAGCTGGGCGCCAGGAGCGCCAAGGTGGAGTCCTCGGTGGCGATCAATTCGGCGATTTCTTGATCCCGCTCGATTCCCAGCGCTTTAAAGAGCACGACAACATTGACAGGCTCACGCAGCTTATTCTGCTTCACGTAAATTTTATTCTTCGACTGGATAAGATTCGTTTGGGTATTCGCCGTGTCCGATTTTGACTTGACGACTGCGCAGAACATTCCGGTTTTGTCCTTCTCAACCAGGATGCGATTAGAGACAGCTTGTTCTTGCATCAATAGCACTTTTTCCGCACCTTATCAAATGGGGTAGCACTGACTTTAATCGATTAGCCGCTTATGAGATACAGTACGTCACTCGTGACAACGCATCCAAAAGTGAAGTGTACCACCCGTTCCTTTGACGATAAAGTACCCTCCAGGATCGAGAGGGCACTCCTTCGCTTTAAAAAACTGCTCCTGCGACATCCCCGCTAGAACACACCTAGCCGACCTCAACATGATGGGCATTCGGCCAATGACCAGACCTCGCGCCTTTCTAATTTGATTATCACGGACATAAGTAACATCAACTTTAATTGGCGCCGAATATGTCATGTCTCTGTTTTTAAGAGTTCAACAAATTGAACCACTTCAGTCTCGCAAAAGAGACAACTTGCGAACTCAAGCCTAAGTCGACATTCATGTGGAGTAATTGCCTCACTTCTCATGCCATATTCAACATCTGGCGGATCGACGTAAATATTATCGTAATTCCAAAAGAAGTTTTGATCAACATCTGTGCGCGCATTCGCTTTTATAATTTTTTGAAGTCCTTGTGTCAGAAGATAATTGAACGAGTCTAAATGCTGCTTGACGAGTCCTCTACTTTCCAAAAACGCGGGTACTAATTTCCACTTTTCCTGCACCTCGGAAACAGCTGCATATGGCGACACATAATCTTTTATTGTCATGTTTTTTTTTTATATTTTCCGTATCGATTAACGATTTCTGAAAACATAAAAAATGAAGCTATGATGGTTTTCCGTGTATTGAAACAGAAAAAAGGTGCAAGAAGTTTTGCAAAAATAGTTTTTTCAATCGAGTTTTGAGTAAAGTTTTATCACCAGGGAAAAAGTTAAGTTCGAAAAAATGGTTTAAATAGATATTAGATTGTATTGCGTAGTTTATACGGTATTGGCGGAGATTTCTCGTCTCGAGGAGGCAAAGTATGGATACACGCAGATATTAAATGCACTTGGTAAAACATTTTTAATAAAAATAGTGGTAACAGTAGTAACAATGATAAATATCAGAAGTCAGGGCAGTTGGAAAGTTATTTCAAACGATAAATAATAGAACTTGTTTACGAGAAACATGTTTAACTCAGAAAGGAGAGTTTTGTTTAGAAAAAAACAGTAAAGATGTGAAGGAAAATGATAGGAAACTTGAGTTTGGAACTTATTTTGCGAGATAAAGAAGGTTCAAGCTTCTGTGATTATTTCTGCCTCAGGAAAGAGTGTTTTTATGCGCTCTTTTTGCGCATGGAGCTTATAGCTCGTTCGCGAAGTTTTTTCTCCAGCTCGCTCAAAGACTTTGGTTTTTCAGCTTCTGGCGGCACGTCTCCGTCTGAACACGAGTTAGTAAAACCCCTCTGGAGCCTCTTGGGACACCACCTTGTTCAACCTGAGAATCTTCATCAGAAGAGTCGGACGAGTCGCTGTCGTTTTTCTTCTTTGACTTTTTCTTGGACGATTTTTTCTTCGACAGCTTCTTCTTTCGTTGCTTCCTTAATTTATTTATAGAAATGGGAATAAAAAAATAGAACCTACTTCTTTTTCTTCTTCTTCTCTTCTTCGGACTCAGAATCGGAGTCGGACGAAGACGAACTCTCAGAAGAAGAACTGCTGGAAGACGACGACGAAGATGATGACTCTTCTTTCTTTCTTTTCTTTCTCTTCTTCTCTAATTTCGCCTTCTTTTTCTTCGATGCAATCTGAGAATGAAATTATTTTTGAAACGATAATTTTCCATACCTTTTTCTTTTTCTTCGCCTCTTTCTTCTTCTTCAAACGCTTCTTTTCTTCTGACTTTGATCTTTTCTTCGATTTCGACCTCGACTTCGACCTGGATTTCGACCTCGTCCGGGACTTTTTCGGTTATCACGAAGTTTTAATTAGTCAAAAGAAAAAGGATTTTAAAGAGGTAACCAGGACTTGGAGCGTCGACGTGAGCTGGATCTCTTTTTTGACTCTTTTGAACGAGAGCGCGTTCTACTAAACAAATGGGATTCAGCTTTCTGTCGTTTTACTGTCAAATTTACCTGCGCTTTCGTTTTGAATTAGATCTACTTCTATCCCGACTGGCGTCGCGGATCTTAGAAACCCGATTCCCGGAATTAACGTTGTACTTACGCATTCCTTCCTCGACAGCTTTGTCTGAAAAACACATAAAAAGAGGACTGGTTGATGATCTTTCTTACCGTTCAAGTCATTTACCGCCGAGTCGATCTTTTTACCGATTTTGTCAATTTTAGATTTTTTCCCTTCCCGGGCTAAGATTTCACGCTTTTTAGCCTCAATCATGGCCATCGGAATACCCATAGGACTCTAAATAGGGTGTTCTGGACAGCGAAGATTTGGGGGTACCTACGTTTTGGGCGGAGACAAGTAGTGGCCACAGCTCCGCCATATACAGTCTTGCGGGTTTTCCCTGTATTAATGTTGATATTGAATCCTGAATTGATTGAAAAGGGATCTTCTGAAAGCTTGACTGACCTGCATCTGCCTCCCATTTGGGAGAATCCCTTTCGAGCTAAGTTGTTTGTAGCAATAGTCTATAGCAACATCGGGAGGTACCTACAGAGATTACAAAATGACGATCGAACGAAACTGTACCTTGACAGAGTCTTCAGAGTTGAGCAGCCTTGAGACTTTGTCAGCTATCCATGGCTTGAGAGCGTCCAAATTTACCCTTCGTAAGTCCACTTTCTGCTCTAACCCTATACAAAATTCGCCTTCATTAAATCTTCTCTAAAACACCCTATTCTTTCAAAACTAATTATCTTTGAAACTAACACCTCTTTTTACGCTTTTTTGACTAACCTTCTGCATACTGAAGGACCATCTTTTTCCAAAATGCTTTATCTTACTTTTGAGCCAGCATTCTATAAACTAATCGAGCGTGAAAAACACTTTTTATTAAAAACGGAATGAAAATATTTTTATTAGAGTCGAAAAGAAAGGGAAGCAACAATTTCACAGAAATGTACAATTTTATTTATTAACCGAGAAGAGATCGGTTTAGATGATCTTGTCGCGGCGATGGACGACGGCGGCGAGCATGTTGACAGTGGAGACTTTTTGGTCGAAACTTTCGAGTTCTTTGCGGATGGCATCGCGTTCCGCCGCTTGTTTGCGCGCTTGAACCTTCGAAATCAGGATGGTCTGAAAGAATAAATCAGAATTGCTCGGTTATGATCAGTTCTCAAAAAGTCGAATCCAAAAACTTAGTCAGCTTCATGTCTAGCTCTGAAACATCACGATCATCAGCTCGCTGCAATAAAAAGGGACAGTCCGGGTGTAAAAAACTCATTTTCGAATATTTGAAGGAACGAATAAGTCTAATAAAAAATGAATAATTTTGAGGGTTACGAGTCAGATGATCCTGAGAGAATTTCAGAAGGGCGTCTATTTTGGAAACCTTTGATTGAAAAGGGAATCGCTTTAACGCTCAACAAAGAAGATTTTGCGTCAAAATTTTTTGACTGCAAAAAATGCCGTAGACAGATGGAAGATCCCGTCGTAACAGCCTGCTGCAACAAGAATGTTTGCCGGGAATGCGCGTTCAAGCAAATCGGCTTTGACAGGGAATGCTCTCTTTGTTCCAAGTTTTTCCCTCTTGACAAAGAACCTTATCCCGCGTCAAAGTTCTTTCTGAAGATGATGAATGCGCGAGCTGTTCAATGCACTGATAGCGAATGCAAGGTAAAACTTATTGAAGATACTTTTTAACTAATCATAAGGTGGAAATGAAATATGAAGATTTCGCCGCTCACTTGGAAAAATCTTGTAAACGAATTGTCAGGTGGGATTTGGTTTTTTTGGGCGATTTCATAGCTACTAATCATAGATGCTGTTTTTGCCGCGTGCGCCATCGAGTGGTTGATAGTCATATTTGCGAAGCGAAATTTCGCATAAAAAAAGAAGAGTTGAAGAAAAAGCTGGAGGTTTGAATGAAATATCCTATTCTTTCTACTATTTCTCAAAGGATCAGAACGAGCAGTACAAGAAATTAATGGCACAACAACGAACGATCTTTTATAATATGGGCGGCTATCCTGAAGACAACATGCCAGAAAATATCGAGGACTTCGACATGTTTTTCGACAACCTCAGAATGCCATGGCAGCCATGGTGATTTTGTTGTTTTAAATTGAATATTCTACGCCGTAAAATTTACTTTGTCTGATTTCTGTCTTTCAATTTTTTCTACATATCACATTGGAAACAAATAATTGAAAAAAATATCACTGAAAAAATAAACGGATAATCAACTGTCATTGTGACTTACTCTTTCTCGATCTTCCAAAATTTTTTCACTCTTTGCAATTTTCTGATCGACTTGTTGCTCTAATTTCTCGCGCTCAGCCTCAAAAGCTCTTTCGTTTCGTCGGAGATTTTCTTGAGCGCGTAGTCTCTCCAGTTGATGCTTTTCTTTGATCTCTTCCAGTTTCATCTGCTTCATTTGGCTCACTCCTGAAAATGACCGATAAAATTTGCTCAATAAATTATCGAAGAATTTTACCTCGACGAGCTTCTTCAGCGAGCTTCTCGTTTCGGAGGACTTCTTCTTGAATTCTGGTTTGTTGTTCTTTCAGCAGCTCTTCTTTCGCTGCCCGAACTTCTTCAAGCTGACGTTGTTTCTGAGCTGCAGCGATTTTCAAAGCATGTGATCGTTTATGCATCTTGAAATAAAGAAAAAGAAGATACAAGTCTTATTTACCAATTCTTGGTTGTTTTTCTGCGCTTGTTCGAGTCTCTTACTGAGTCTCTCTTTTTTCTCCGCGTTTTCTTCTTGTTTGATTTTCTGCACATCCTCATACGTCTCTTGAAAAGCCAGAAATTTCATCTGATTCCTTCGTTGAAGCACTTCCGCATCGGACTGCAATTTCTGGTTTCGGACAGCATCAGCATCGCGTAGTTTCTTCTCCAGATCACTTTTCAATTGACGTTCTCTCGCGATCTTTTCATTTTCCATCATTTTCAATCGCTCTTCTTGGTATCGCTTTTTCCTCGCTTCCATGTCCATGTTTTCTTTGATCCTCTGCTGTTTCGCTTCTTTCATCAATTGAGCCTAAAAAGCACATTTAAAAATTACCTAATCATGCCCCTCTTAGACTCCTAATTTGATCAAAAATAAGTTCTTTTTATTCTCACGCTCTCTTTCCTGCGAATCCCTGCGGCACAAGCCTGGTGCAACTTTTCAGACAAGAGATGATCTTGTGTAATCCTCACAGCAATTTAACAAGTCTGAGATTCCAGTATCAAAGCAGGGCTTTTCTTATCTAACGAGAATTTTCGTACATCGAATGATTATTACCAGAAATGACGGTTATTATTGCCCCTCCGATTCGAGTTTCAATAAAGAATCTTACCTTTGCATATGCTTTTTGAAGTTTTTCCTCGATCGCCTTTTCTCGCTCCTTGAGTGTTACTTCCTCTTCTTGCCGCCTTCGTTCGCTCATTTCTGCCAGTTGGTGAATATCTGATCGTCTGTTCCTCGCCACGCGCGCCTGAATAAATCTCACTTTGCGTTTATTCATTTAGGGCTCCTATCCCAACAAATTAATTTTAAACCGATCCAAGAGCCAGTCTTTTCCTCCACCCGACTACATGGGGAGCGACAAGAAAAGGTCACGTGGGAATTAAGCCTTTTACAAGCGATGATCTTTGGCAAGATATAAACAGTAATTAAATCAAAGCTTTAACAGTACTTTTGTTGACAAACGACAAAAGAATTATAACGGGGTCATTTTAATTTCGTCTCTTTTATAAACTGACTGGGCAATTGACTATTGAACGATAGTTTGAATCGAAAACGAGAGCGAAAATAGAAAATCAATACATTTATCTCATAACAGCCGTTTTTGAGTCGAGTTGTCTGAAGGATAAATTCTTATAAAAACTCACACGAACATCAAATATTTAGCTTGTCTCGTTGAATAAATAGCTAATCTTTTGCTATGCCAAACAATCAAAAAAATTTAATGACTAACCTGCGTGTTTCTTTGGGCTTTCATCTTCTCTCTTTCAGTCTTGAGGCGATCTTGTTCCCATTGATGCCATTTTTCTCGGGAGTTCTTGGCCTCCTTCTTTTTCTCGTGGTATCGCCTTATCATTGCGTTCATGAGACGGTCATGGTCACTGCGGCGGCGGGAGGAAGAGACGACCGATGATGCGGATGAGCCGATGGAAGGGATTTTGGTCATAGACAACCCCAGTGGGGTCAACTTCGCCGGAGGTCTGACGTGAGGCGAGCTGAAAATCGAGATTTCAGATTCAGAATCAGAATCAGACAGGAAATGCCAAATCAAAGCGATTTTATAATCCTTATCCTATGAAAAGTTCATCTTTCAAGGCGAAAAACGAGCTTTGGGGATGAAAAAGATCACTTAGAAAACCTAAAATCAAGGTACTTTTATTCATTCTTTTCCATCCGTTCTCTACATGAGTCTACTAAATGGATCATTTGAACACTAAAATTTTTATCCATTCAACTCTCCGCGGACGATTAATTATTCAAAAGTCCTGGAATAACTACCCGTTATCTCTTGGTTTTGATGATTTCAGCTCAAAAAACTACCTTGAGGATTTGATCATATTCGTTCCACGAGATGGTTGACTTCTTACAGTCGGTTCAGAGGTGAATTTCTGCATTTTCGAGGGCTTTTTAAGAGATGCATGTAGTTGGTGCAAATGAATTTCTCGATTTTTGAATAAAGGTTCAAGTTAGTTTCAAGTGCCATCGATAAAATAAAAGCATAAGCTGCGAGCAATCAATAAACTTGCAAAATGTGGATTGGGTTGTTCGACGTCTTATAGATACAAGATCTTAATTCACCCATTCAATTGCATCCCCTTTCCTTGTTTGGTTCTTCGTTGCGTCTTTTCACCGGCTGACCCTCGATGATCCTTTTCCTCGCTACCCTAGCTTCCTGCAGCTTTTCATCTCTTTCTTCGTTGATTTTCGCCAGGAATTCCTTCGCTTCTCTGATCGACAACTCTGGTCTCTCCGCTACCAGCTCGTTGAGCGTCACCTGAATTTCTTTCAATACAGAGTTCCCACAGTGCCGACAGCCACGGACGGGCTTTATTATTAAGATAACACTGAGCTGGCGATTTCTCATTTCTCGGTCCGGCACTAATTGAAATAAGAAAAGAGAATTAATCAAGCTCAAAAGCACTCGACTTCAAAAGTGGATTCACTAGTTCTTGTTCAATTGATCATAACTATAAAGCCCTAGACTGAAACTCTTCTGACTCTCTGAACCCAAAAATCGATTCCTGTTCGAGTTCAACAGGATTTTTTTAATGAAAACAAGATATTATCGAAAAAGAGAAAGTGTCAAACTCAGCTTAGTTTCTCAAAAATCATCATTTTAATTGTTCTAGCGGTTCTGCACTAGCAGCAGGCTGCGGCCAACTTTGCGTTTTAGCGCATGCCAACCTCCCATCAATCACCTTTTTCCCTCGCCATTTCGCTTGCCAATTTCCCATTAGTACACTTTTTATTCTAGTGCAATTTATTTCTCGAAGTTCTGCGCTAAAACGAACTTCCTGAGTTCAATCCAAGTTCCAAAAAGCCGCCTGTGGATGGCAGTTTTTCATTGCCATGGTTCTGGCGATTTGAGGAGATTAAAAGTGTTTTCAATAGAAAAAAAGGCCTTAGCTCCCGCCGTACAGCTGATTCCTGGCACAAGAAACAATGTGACATGGGATTAGTGGATTTGTATGGCGCATTTCATCACGAGCTCTGATGCCTCTTTGATGTTGAAAACAAGGAAGAATACAAGACGAAAACAAGGGCTTCATGTCGATTTATCCAAAATTGTAGCCCTTACGTTTCCTAAGCACTTCCTAAGTATGACAAACAAATTAAAGGCTTCATTTCTGATCTGCATAGAGTTCCTTCCAAAATCCGAAACTCGATTAGCCAAACAATTTGACACTATCAGTCCTTAGCGAGCAAAGCTCTGCAAACTAATTGACTTCAAAAAGGCAAATCTGACCTTATTGACAAAATACTGCATGACAACTACAGATACAACATTCAAGTTCACCTTCAAAAATACATCTTTCAAATTAGTTACCTTTAAAAGCTCAACGGGTCGAATGTCCAGTGCAGCGCAGGCTTGAAGCGATCTTGGTGACGTCAAGACATACTTTTTTCAAGATTCAAAATTTCCATTGTCCCTAGTTGGATTTGCCGTATTCAAGATAAATACTCAAGATCTCATTTTGTCCGGGGTAACCAACTACAGTTTTTAATCGATAATCATACTCACTGAGGTAATAATCTTCATCAAATATACCTCCTGAAAATGCTCCATTTTGAGTACAACAGCCTCATAAATTAATTTAAGCAAGAGAAAGGCGTTTCGAGGATGAAATTCGCCATTTTTCCATAAAAACTTATATTTGAAAAAATTTTAATACACTACGGCGGGACATTTTTTTGGGAACCCTTGCCCATTTTTGTGGACATTTTTCCGAAAATTTGTGACAAAAAATGTCCACAAAAGAGGAAAATAACTGTAAGTTAGATTATACCACATTTCATCAGATTTAAAATGAACCGTTCCTCGCATCCTTCAGCCGAGTCGCTTTCAAAGTTGAATAAATCGAGCACTGGAATCGTCATTTCTCCCTCTCTTCTGATTCTCGGCGCGTCGCCAGATGCGCCTTCTAAAAATCAATGTCACTATCTCTCTCTATCTCTACAACTCAATTACAAAAAATTCTTGAAGAACTTCCTCGGAATGGAATCGAAAATGAAAAGTTTGGTCGCTACGGAAGCCGCCTAGCCGCATCCTGACAAAAGGGGGAGTCAACAGCACTCCAAAACTTTATTTGGCGGCGCTACTCCATTTTTTAGTTTTCTCAAAATTTACCCAAAACACAGTGCGAAAAAAACGCGCTTTTGTCAATACGCTCTCGACTTCAGTCAAAGGTGAAGCTAATCTCTTGAAAATAGAGCTTCAGAACTCGATATATCCTTGATTAAAATAATGCTTTCTTACCAGCTTAAACTTTATATAGCTCTTGCGATAGAATCATTAGTTTCAAGCTCAAGAATTTCCGCAATTTCCGAGCATAACTAGAATAAACGGAGACAGAGAGGAAGTTCTCATATTTGTGCGCGTGTCATACTTGAATGAATTCGAGCTGCTGACTTCTTATTTTAAGAATTTTTGTTTAGAATCTATCAATGTGTTTGACGAAGACTTACCGGGAATATGGAGCATTTTGATCATGCCTCAATAAATAATAGCGATAGATTCCAATCATTATTTTCTAAATTTTGAATTCGGTTTACTTGTTTTTTTACATGCGTATCAGTATATTTAATAGTCGGATTCTTGTGTTTTTAAATACAGAAAGGTACAGTACCTATTGGTATTTTGACCGCTACGGTCATAAAAGTGGGTTTTTGATAAGAAAATTTCGGAACTAAGATGTGAAGAGATTGAAATAATAATGAAGAACAGTCAATATCTAGAATAAAAATTCGGAGCAAGAGTTAACTACTCGTCGTCGACCAGTAATTCTTCGTCCTCTCCGCTGTGAAAGAAGAGCGATCGTAGCCGCGGGAGGAATGCGTCGCGGAAGAAGAGCCAGATCATGTAGAAGCAAAAGACTGAAAGAATTATAAATATCGATAAATCCATTCAGACTTACTGAAGTAGAGGACAGCAATGACTCCTGAAATCGCATACGCAGCTACTTTTTCAAAACCAATAATGATATCGTAAGCAAAATACAAATTGATTCCAATAATCACAAAAGCTACCAATGGACCGAAGATAGTCCAAAACTTTCCAGTCGCAAATTCACCCATTATTCTGAATTATTCATCATTTCAAGCAAAATAATGGCACTAACCTCGCTTGAGCACAAAAATGAAGAACAGGGATAATCGCGAAAGGGAGAAGAATCGATTGAAGGATGTTTAAAATATCATTCATGTTGGTCAAGCTCGAAATATCCGAGTAAAAGGCAATGGCGAAAGTAGGCACGATTGCCAGAGAGCGAGTGAGAACGACTCGGGCGAAACGGGACCACTGAAGATTGAGGAATCCTTCCATGACAAACTGGCCACTGAAAAGGAGAGTAACACGTGTAGGCTTTTTCCATAAGTGGAAAGAATGGCAAGACTCACCTATAAGTGCCGGTCATGGTTGAGCTCTGGCCAGCTGCAAAGATTCCGACGGCCCAGATGTAGTATGCTGGCAGACCGTATTCAGCGCCGAGGAAGACTCCTCCTTTGAATATATCTACTGCTACATCTGTACTGTTCGCATCTTCGTTTTCGAGGGGGAAGATCGAATAGGGCGGGTTCGAGTGCAGTACATCTTCGTAAAAAGCTACGAAATCAGATTTATTGGTTGAAGAATCCCTTCAAGAGATTCTCTAAAATCAAAATCATTTTAACAGTGACCTTTAAATGTTCAAAGAACGTATCAGTCCGATAAAAATTTAATATAATTGAGAATCAAGCTTACCAGTAGCGGTGGTGTTCAAATTCTCCAGCGTTTTCCCGTAGAAACCTTCTGCAAAAACAGAAACGACGAATACATTGATTATGAACGAAACAAACAATGCCATCGCGGATTCAATGAAAAAGTACATGTTCGCTTCTTTGATTTCTTTTGGCTTTCTTCTGTCTACTTCTCGGGATCTCACAAGAGCGGAGTGCAGGTAAATATTGTGGGGCATAATGACGGCGCCGATTATTCCGATTGCTTTGGGAAGATTGAGAATTACTTCTTTGAAGTTTTATGCAGCGATTATTAAGTACAGTTATTATTGACAAAGTTGGATGATTATGAGTTTAAATTACGATGGAACGCGTGCTTACTCGCTCGAATATTTCAATCTTTTCCTTGTGCCAGCTGAGGAACTCCGCAATTGGTGCAGTGAGGTACAACAATGCCGTAAACAACTTCTTTTTGATCGGGCGCAGCTTGGACGTACTCGAAACCAAAGGAAATCGCCATTGTCGTAATTAAAACTGCGAAGAATGCTTCTAACTTTCGGAGGCCATACTTGTCGAGGAAAAGGAAAACGACTGTGTCGACAATTGTGATGAGCACACCGCCCCAGAGAGGAATCGCACCGTTTGATAGAAGAGAGAACGCGATGGCCGTGCCAATTACTTCTTGCATATCGCTGCCGATAATGGCTAATTCTATCGAAAGCCAGAGAAGAATTCGCACTGGAGGAGAATAGCCGTCGTAGCAGACTTGCGCCAGATGCTTCCCTAAAACCGGTTCTCGTTTTAAACTAACTCAAGTGACAGATTATTACCGGTAGTAACTCCGAGTCTGAGCGCAAATCGCTGCATAAACAGGCCCAAAACATGGCTCCACATTAACACCCACAGCAGCGTGAATTGAGCAATGGCCCCACTCTGCAAATCCGACTCAATATTCCCAGGATCTAAGTATGCGATCGACATCAGAAAACCCGGACCAGTAAACGCCCACAATTTCCGGAATGAAAACGCTTTCTGAGACTCTGGGACATGAATTCTCTCGCTGAAGTAGGTCGCTACTTCTACTTCGTTTTCGACTTCTTCCGTTTCGTTCGAATTCTCTGGCGAAGGAGTTTCATCGCCCACCCCGATTTCGGTCATCTGAACGAACAAGGAATCTTAAATTTCCTCCACTAGAATACAAAGATCATCACCAATTTCGAATAATAGTTATTTTGACCCAGCTTCATGCACCTAAACTTACTTCAGCAGAATATGCTTTATTGTCTGTCATCTAAAAATCTATCGAAAAGAAAGAATCAAACAGAAGTTCCAAATTCAAACTTGATAACTTATTTACTGTAGGTTTACTTCAGTAGCAAACAAATAGAAATGAACTGAACCTCAAGGTCCCTTTTCGAGAAAAATCTGAACTTGAGTACCCTTTCTGTAATATTCTCTAACGATAAAAATTGATAGAAAATATGATGGCAAAATAACATAAAAACGGATTTTTAAAATTTTTTGTTTGAAGAAGAGAAGTTTTTGAACGAAATTTTTTTATTCAGTGAGTTGACATGTAAAGAATTAAATGCTGAACAGAGAAATGACGAGATAAGTAATTTATATATTTTTGCTAGTATGAGTTGACAATATTGTGGAAAAGGATGAACATGAAGAAATTTGATCGTGAAATGGAAGTTTATTTTCGCCTGAAATTCTACCCTTCGCCACCGATAACGGCCCTGAAATCATGAGATTGAATCGGGAGCTATTTTCAGTTGTAAATTGGACCAGACTAAACGCGATACACTGCTCGTTGTTTTGATTTAAACTGTCTATTCAAGCAAAAAACGACGGAAAATTTCTAAAGCTGAGTGTTCACCAGACGATCGGTCAACTGACCGATGCGTTGCCGGGTCTGAAAGTTAATTTTTGGGGAAAATCGAACGGAAACCTCGTAAAATTCTCATTTCGGAAAATGAAAGAGATGAATTTCCGTATTCTGGAGCTTTTTCTTTCCCCTATAACCAGGGTTCAAGAGTCAAATTTGCGGAAGAAATCGATTTGCAGCAAAAAAATGTCGTTCCGCATGAAAAAGAAAGCTGTTTTCTTCGAAAATACACGAAATTCTAGGGAAAATTCATTAAAAAATGGAAGCTGAAAATTCGATTCGAGTTAAAAAGAGGTCATAAGGGTCTTCAATTCGCCTTTTAGCGTTACTGTGAGATCACGAGTTAGCCCTATTTATGGCTCTCGTTCTTGGATTCCCTCAGCTGAAGGTGTTCCATTTCCAATTTTGCCAATTTCCAAAAATACGACCGTTTCGTCAGGGAAAAGTTTACCTGGCCCGTTTGAGGACGGAATCCTTTTCCGCATCGTATGGGTTGTCTTTGGACGGAATCTCCAAAATCGTCGGAATCGGCTCCACATGAGCGTCGATCAGGTGCCGCACTCGCTCCGCGTAGCACTGCGTGATCATCACTATTCCCACATCGGGGCGAGCCAGGAAGGTTCGCAGGTTGGCTTCGATGTCTTTCGTCTCTGTGTCTTTGTCCACCACCTAAAATTGAATACTAATTATACCATTTTCTTTATATTTTTCCTACGAAGAAATTCGGATGTCGCTCTTTGCTCAATTCTCCAATTCCACCCATCAAAAAGCCCGTAACAGTATCTTCATCGCCGATAACGGTCATCAATTTTCCTCCCAGCATTTTTTGATTCGCGTTTTTCTCTTTTCAATTTTCCTTCTTCGCGAAGTGGTGCAGAATTCTCGCGCCGCGCCGATTGGTCGAGCCTCGTTTTTCTCAAACGCCCTAAGACACAATTTTGGAATCTTGAGAGACTTGAAGAAAACAGCTGATTGAAGTGATCTCGGGCAAGATGATTAGAAGAGTAAAACAATTCCCGATAAGAAGAAGATTTGCGCAGGTTCAAAAAAAAAAATTAATCGAAAATTTCTAATTTATTGATAAAAATTCTCCTTGGAATCTCAAGTTTAGATAATTTCCAAGAAATTTAATCTTTGGTAATTTTAATCTACAGATTCTTTTAGGCAAAACAGCTGGTAAATTACTGCGACACAAAAGTAACCACCCTTCCAAATGGACTTCGGGTAGCAACAGAAGATATGGGTTTACCAACGACTTGCGGTAATGTCTTTAATTGATTTTGTATGAGATAGATGTAGTCACGAAACGAATATGTTGATAATTGAATAAAAAAATGATACTACCTGAATGACGATTTCTCTATCTCAAAAGAATCTTTCTCTTATCGCATTGAAAAGCACTGAAAGATAGTAGATTTATTGCCCAGACAAGCTGTAACAAATACGCTGTAAAAATTCTTTCATTATGAGCTCTATTCAATTTTATTAGATAATGTTTGTCTTTGATGTTTCAGCCTTTAGGAAACAATTTAAATTAAGCGTAGAATAAAAGCAACAAACGATTCTTTAGTTGGTTTGTGGATCGACTGTGGAACTCGCTACGAAAAACTGGAAGAAATGGGAACGGCCCATTTCTTCGAACATTTGGTCTTCAAGGGATCCGAGAAGATGTCGCAGCACGAGCTTTCCGAATACGCAGAAGCGACTGGAACTCTATTAAATGCTTATACTTCGAGGGAGCATACGTCCTATTATTTTCAAGGAAGAAGAGATAATACCGAGAAATTAGTGGAGATCTTGGCTGATGTTATTCAAAAACCTGATTTATCAAGGTAAACTTCTTTGCCTCTGATCTCGAATTCAAGGACGATGGGATCTGCAACCTGTGAGGAAAACCTGGGTCAGGGTCCGGAAAAAACTCTAATAAAAAGCCTCTACGCTGGAATTAAAAAAAAGACATGAACTGGTAGCGCGGCTTTTTACTGTTGATTTTTCTAACCCGTGACTTAAGTTTTCTACACAGGCCCGGTCGAGCCAGCAGTCATTTTTATTGATGATATTTTAATTTTTAACTAAGCTCTGATTTTATTGTTATATTTGAAGTTTGACAGCTTTAATAACCATATCTTTACAGATCTGCTATCGCAATCGAACGACGCGTAATATCAGCTGAGTACGATGATATTCTGGCAAACTACGAAGAAGTGCTCTTCGATTACATCCATGCCTTCTGTTTCGGTGGTGTCGATGGCCATTTCACCGACTCGTCTCTTTCCTACAACATCCTCGGCACGCGTTTCCACATTTCAAATGCCATCACAAAAGATGTCATCCAGGTAATAATTAAATCGCAATTTAATTCATTTCGTGAATCGACACATCAATTCTCACTTATTGACGCGAAGACATGCTAATTTTCCTTTTTCAGAATTTCATTAAAACGCACTATCATCCCTCGCGAATGGTCCTTGTCGGGACGGGTGGCGTCAATCATGAGCAAGTTGTCGATTTCGCCGGGAAGTATTTTGATGATTGGGGCTCTTACATCGGCCCTGGAACGCCTACTTTTGAGCGGTAATTACAGCAATCTAATATTCCGAATCAAACGATTGACGTTCAGACAGGCGAATCTTCCTGCTGGAAGAACCGATCATTATGCAAATTTCTGGGGCGTTGATACACCATTCCACTCTTGCGAGATCCGCCACCACAAACCAGGCTCTGACACGCTCGTCGGCTGCGTTACTTACCCAATCTGCGGCTGGTCTCACTCCGACTGTCTAACCATGAATTTAATCGCCAAGCTGATTGGTGTCTTCATGCATGGATCTGGCGGATTCCAGTTTTTCACATCGCCATTCGTCAAGAAAATGCAGAATATCGATCCAAGCAGTACTTTCAAAGTAACTCAAGTAGAAATAATTGACGATCATCCACTGTCATTCATGCTCTCTAAAATTGAAATTTTATTATTCTTCAAAGTAATAATGTGGAATTTCAGGCTTACATGTCATTATACAATGATAAGGGCCTCTTCGGCTTCATTTTCACTGCCTTTGAACTGGACAAGGCTTCTACCATGGTCGAAGCTTTCCATGAAGAATTACAACGAATCGCCACGAATCTCAGCGACGAGGAACTTTCGAATGCCAAGAGAAGTCTTTTCACGGACATTTGCCTTGGCATTGACGGAACTCAGCCCGTTGCTGATGAGGTAGGACAGGAAATTGAAGTCAGAAGATTTAATAAAAATAGATTGGCCGTCACCTGCTGGTATACAACCGTCGAATTCACTACCCCGAAACCGAATACCTCATCGAAAACATCACCCGCGAGGACGTGAAACGCTGCGTCACCCAAATCATTGACAGCGAGGAGAAATGCATCGCCCTGCTTGGAAATCTGGATCACACGCCGCCCATCTTCCCTGACGTTCCCCAAATTAATGATCCTGAAAAAGTTCACGAAGAAGCTTTCTGTAAAAATATTATTACAGCGAGAAACTAGGCAAATAAACTTCAGTTCTTCAAAATTACAAAATCCATTCAATTTTCAAATTTTGAACATTGAAAATGCCTGACCCAATTGCAGCCTATTTTTATGCTTCAAAAAAGCTCGTTTTTGTAGGTCGACAATGTTTAAAAAGCTCCCCCTTATCCGGAAAAGGACGCGATTGCGCTAATTCGCGCATAATAGCCGTTATTTGTCTTTGTCCCCACTTTCAGGACTAAAATTTTTCACGCTCGAGGGGCTTATGTTTCAGAAAAAAAATAGTCAATGTTGACTTTTGACAAAAGGGCTGAATTCTCCCCGGATCTGGGCACAATGAGAAGACGGTGTTCCGGCCCATTGGATCTCTTTGAATAACGAAAAAAGGTTTATTGAACCCGATAGCAGCAAAAAATATCCGCTAAAAGTGCTTACTGGGTTGAAGGCAGAAAGTGTTTATTCGGAGATTTCGCAGAACGTTCAGGAGTCTCGTGACGAAAGAAAGAAATCCCATCTTGCTCGTTCTCAGAGTATCCAAAGAATGGCCCGAGCTACTGATAGGCGAGTAAGATACCTCTCAGGCAGACGAAAGAATCTCATCAGTAGATGAAAGCGCGGAAAATAACAGCTCTCTTTCTTATCAGTAGAACGCACACGACGCTGAAAATGTACAAATATGTCACTAAGAGTGAATATCGTCCAATCGCGATATCAACTTGATAATTTACTCCAAACGCGCAAATTGCTATCGTTTAGTGCGCACATTTATTTGGCGATAAAAGCTTTTCCGATAAGTTCTTTTTTTCAATAAAAAATCTTCGTACCTATAGAAAGCTCAAATACAGGGAAGAAATTCCCAGTCATGATTCAATAAAGTGTAAGAATTGGTAATATAATCGATGTTTAATATTCTTCTAGCTCGTGACTCCTTTTAAAATTCAATCATTTTCCTTCTCCTTCTTTCCATTTTCTGTCAGTCCTAAAAGATCCTACTCGTTTTCTAAGCTGTGCTTCTTTTCATAAAATCCGAAATCAAGAACGATTTCAAACGCCAATTTAGCCAAGTTTCGAGTGAAAGAAAATCCGCTCGAGCAGTGCTATCATGAGCCCCGGCTGGTTCAAATTCAGAAAGCACCACTAAATGAAATACCTTAATTGTGTACGAATTGGAATTATCATCAACACCGCTCAGCAAATTATATTTACGGTAGCTCAAAAGTTAGTGTATTTCCTCCACTACCTACAGGCCGTTTTTAGTCCAATAAAACTCGGCGGGCGACCCTTATCACTCATCAAAATCGCGCGCAGTAGTCTTCTCTCCAGGAGATGACCCGGTCTTGGTGGCGAAGGATATTTGCATCGAGCAAATATGAAGAAAAAGGTTTACCAATCTCGGCCCCACTTGCAGCTGTCCGCGACACATCACATGCATTTGTTCTGTAAATTTGAAGACGGGACCTTTTATTGCTGCAGATTTTTACTCACAAACGTTGATGAGAATCAAAATACACTGGTAATTTTGAATAAGTTTTTTTGCTTTACAAACCTTTAAATTTAACGTTTTTAAATAACCGATTGAATATTTGGTTAAATACTGATTTTTAATGCTTTTATTGAGATTTGGGTTATTTCCTTAGTTTCATAAAAACACATGTAAGCATTTGCATACATGAATTAACGGATGACGCGTACTAAAGCGATAAGTAATACTGAATGATCAAAGGCTACAAGAATATTCTCCTCCGATACACGTAAGCGTTTCAATTATTACCAACAAAGTCTGATCTCCGATAAAGCACAACAAGAAGAAATTTCAAGGTGCTCTTTTCCTTTGAAGCTGCGCTTGATACAGAATGGGTCGCGTCGCGGCGCTTCGGATGACGGCGCCACTGAGTCGCAAAACGCTCGTATATATTTCCATGGTTGACCGTAACCAACAACCTTCAAAATAAAAAATATCTAAACGCCTTTTCTAAATAATAATTAAATCCTTTTTATTTAATTGCTTCGCCCAAAGTACTTTCTTCCCCTGCCAAAGCTTGCATGCTGATTTCTAGAAGCGAATTCGGGCATTTCAAAAGAGAAGAGCAATCCACAAGAGAACCAACCATGACGGTAAGATCTTAGCTTTTATACCAGAGATCGTCAATTTATCCGTAAGGTTTTCGAGCAAATGAACGACGAAATCGACGTCCAGCAACTCCGTCAACTGGGTCGACAGCTTCTTGAGGAACCTGCTGCTGTTCTCACTCAGCTCTCCGAGCCGCTCAACCACCTCCGCCAGTCCATTGAGAACGTCAAGAAGAATCCAACATCCCGACTTTACACTTCCCGCCTGGGCAGCCCACTTGGCAATATTATCCGCGAGAATTACGACGCTGAGCGGCTGGATCACTTTTCTGACGATGCGAACACTAACATAAGCGGCAGCAGCTCATCAGCCAGTCAGAATTCAGTGGAAGATGATGAGGTAAGGATTTTAATAAAGAAAGTCATTTTTTACGATTACATTAGCATATGCTGGAGATGGTGCGCAACCGTGGTCGATCCTTGTCCACTCCAGGACCACTCTACGGAACCAAGTTCAACACTGCTCGATACAAAACGGAAATGTGCCAGCGCTTCACTGAAACTGGCGAGTGTCGCTTCATGGACAAGTGTCAGTTCGCTCATGGCATCGACGAACTTCGCCAGGTGACTAAGCACCCCAAGTTCAAGACGATCCCCTGCAAGACCTTCCACCAAACGGGCATTTGCTCGTACGGCAGCCGCTGCAACTTTCTCCATAACGAGAAGCCTGATCAGCTCGAGGCGCTCAGACTCCGACAGAAGGCGGACAGACGACTCTCAGTCCCGACTGTTCCGACTATCATGCAGGTAAATACAGTTTTGTAATAAGTCTGTATCATGAGTCAGTTGAATGCCCGAATTTGGTTACTAACGATAAAATTCAGCGCTCCCTGATCCGTACCCTGTCGATCGATGAAAACTCTGAATCCGTTCGTCTACCGGCCTTCCGACGTCTCTCCCTCTCTGAATGCTAACACTACTCGCTACAGATATTTATATCACATCGAGTAAATAAGTCAAGCTCTTTTTTAATCGTTTAACGATACGACTGCTTTTTGGTTCTTCTGATTTTAAACTTTAAAATTTAAAGTTAACATCAACTAGCAGCTAGTAACTAGCTTTTAAATAAGCTTTTATTTTTAAAAAATAATATCCTGAAATACATATCCTGAAAACTTAAAGAAAACCGTTAAAAGTGTTGCAAACTTTATTTGACTCGTTTAATTACTCGCTCTTTAATTAAAACGAAAAGCAAATTTATATGTTCTCTCGTCTTGCTCAGCTAAAATTTCTTGTCTTTGCAATATGAAATTTTTCATTTCTTTTATTTCAAATATCCACTTCCAGAATAAAATAACGCTAAAATTTAAAGCTTATTAAATCTCCCTGTGATTACTTCATTCCATAATAAAATTACGGAACTCATCGCATTTAATTAAAAACATATTTATACTGTACTCTCACTGTGTCTTTTCGACTGCTGGATCTATTGAAATAAAGTGATTTTTAAACAAACTTGATCTCCCGGCTTATTTCGCTCATTCGTCAGAACAGACTTTTATGGAAATTTTGAACTTTTGGTGTTATGTTTTTTAACGCCGAGCAACTCACGTCATATACTCATTATCGTTGTTAAAGAGCTCGTCACATGGCTCGTGATAGATGTTTTGTAAGGTTACGGGCGCGGAATATGAATCACAAGGATATAATTCTGGGCTAGCGAAATATTCGAAATTGCACCGCTCATTTGTCTCACTCGTCTGAATGAACAAAATTTGTCTGAAGTAGCTCTCGTAAGAGTTCTTTTGTTTACACAAATGCTCTTTGGTTTCTTTTGAAGAAGAAGAATTGATGAAGGATGACAAGCTATTTTTTATTTACAGAAGGCAAGCGACGAGGAGTACAAGCAAAAGCGAAGCTGGAGACATGGAGGAGAATCGAAGAGAAATTGCTGACGAGTATTCAGCCGTATCGCCACTACCGTCGTAACCACTGCCTTCTGAGCTTCCTTCGGAGCTTCCTTCTTCGCAAAGAACGCCGAACAGACATGCTACAAGTTGATGTTAATGTTTATGATCAGAGCTTGAAGTTTTAGCTTGTTAGATTGGAACCCGAGTGAATTTAGAATACGTTCACGATTCACCTTGAAATCAATCTTTTTTTTTGTCCCCAGATTTTGAAAACCCAAACGACTACTTGGAAAGTCGGCGGGGGAGAGATCTGGGTTATCATCTCATTTTGATATTTATTTTACCTGTATTAGCGCTAACATCTTTCCAAGAGCTTGCTTCGCTATCTTCTTCAGAAGATTCGCTGTCGTTACCAGTTAGGTCCTCTGAGATAACTTCCAATTCGTCTGGTCGCTCTGTGGAGAGAACTTCTGATGTGACCTCACTAGGTTCATCGTCCTCTTAATTTTTTGGTAAGCGAGAGCGACTGGTTGGTTGGTAAGTGGCTAGCCCTGAAGGCGTTTTGAGTTCGAACCTGACTCATTGTCTTCACTTTCTTCGATGACTTCCTCTGCGTCTTCATCATCATCGTTATCTTCTTGTGCATTGTCAACCTCATTCTCATCATCATCATCATCATCAACTTCTACTACTTCTTCTTCAGTGCTCGCATCATCGGCAGTTGGTTCATTGGCTTCCTCACTAGATCAATGAAAAATGAGGCTCAAGATGGAAGCTCACCTTGAGATGACATTGATGGTAAAAAAGTTCTGAACAGACTCGTGATTGAGAGCATTGGCTGTGCAAGTGTACTCGTCGTGGTTTTCGATTCCGACATTGTAAAGGCTGATTCGCTGTCCTCGATATTTTCCACCGTTTTGGACGTCGATGGTCATTATGTCGGAACCAACGATGAAACACTAGAAAACTCAAGGTAATCGTGTTATCGACAAGTAAAGATTTGTAAGACTGAGATCCGAAAAATTATAGAAATTCGAAGAAATATGCACTTTCATCATTCACACATTCTCCGACTCAATAGTCAAACTCGAAGCAATCTATTATTTTCCCCAGGAAAAGCAAACTCGAACGATTATTTCAAAATCGTCAAGCCTTGATAGCTGGGTGGCAAAGGTAAGCTAATAGGAAGTATCACTACTTACAATTGCAGTTGCTGGCTGACCTTCTTGAAAAGTGAACACGTAATCGGGAAGAACAGACTTTGGCGCACATTTTGAAGCATCATCAAGGTTAATTTCGCAGTCGTAACCGGAAATGATTTCATCGAAGTCTTTACAAAGGTGGCTTAGGAAGAACTTTCATTTTGACAGCAGGTAACTCATCGACAACCTTTCCTGACAGTTTCATCCAGTTGTTGACGCAGTCGCACTCGGCAGCTCCAGCTACGTTCAGCGATTCCAAGTTATCCGCGTAGATGAGAAAGTGCGCGTCAAGATATTTGAGATTCGTATTTGAGAAGTCTACGTTCTCGATTTTGTCGCATTCGTAGAATGCCTTCTTGCTAGGATCAATTTAAAACCGTTTTCAGCGAAAGAAATATTTGATATTTCAATTACAGTTGTTTGGAACTTTAAAAACGATCAAAACGATGGAGGTCACTTTGCCGAGAGTATAAGCCCATTTTGGTGTACCCAGCAAAAAGCAGATAAATTGATAGTTATTCATCAATTAACCGTAGTGACTGGGAAAAACTTCGCTTCAAGCAATAGTACGAGCTGTTTCCTACCTGACATATGAAACAGAAGAGTCAGCAAACGAAGCAGATTTCAGACTCGGCAAGTATGCGAAAGCAGAATCGTCGATGTACTCGATTTCAGCGTTGTCGAAGATGACAGTCTCGAGATTTGCAAAATCTCCATTATCACCGTTGAAGTCGAAGCTTCTCAAAGCAGAAAGAGAGGAGTCGGACAAGTTGATTTCAGTCACATCTGATGGAAAGTCCAGTTCAGAAATGTACCTGCAAAAACGATTAGTTTTGACGAGAGAAAATTTCATCTGCCAAAAGCTTAAGATCTTTGAGTATTGTTTCAGCACCGATTCCAAAAAGTTGATATATTTTTCAGTTTTTGGCAGTATTGGCTGCTTTCTTATGTCTCCAGCAAAAAGCAGATAAAGCGAGAACCTCAACTCGCAAAACCGTAGTGACTGGAAATAATTCTAGCTTGAAGGTAGCGTCGGCGAAATCGCTTACTTACTGAACTTGGGCGCCAGTGCAGTCAACAACAGTACCCTCGCAGGCACATTGTTCCGGGCAGGTCGCTCTCGCCGCGGAAAGAAGAAACGCAGAAGTTTTCATCTCGCGGACTTTCTAAGGGACTCCTTATATTCCAGATAAAAGGGGCTCTCTTTACTTCTTGCGCGCTTGAAAATCATTGCATCGGGCAGGTTTGTGACTTTCACACCCTTGGCTAACGTACAAAGCCGCCTAGGTGCAAATTCCGAGGGTCCCGGGAGGTATGCGTACTTTTTATGGGGATGATCATATGAAGTGTACCCGTTCAAAAAAAGAGTTATGATAGTTTCTTCCAAAGAAAGATCCTTTATCTTTCAACGGGGAATTTTCTTTTAGACTAACGAATTCACGGAATCATTATTGAAGATTCAAGTCATAGTCTGACATTTATAATATCTTATTTTGTAGTAGATCGAAACGATAGCGCATCACCAGTAAAATAAGATCTTGTACAGTGGGTTGCGCAGGTAATGCACCCCTAAAGAGCGGGTAAAGGGTGCACCAGTCACGCAATCACTTTGAGCAAGTCTAGAAAGAAACAATAGAAAAATTGCGGGCGAAGGGTGCAGCAACGACGCAATCACAAAGGGTGCAGTACCTGCGCAACCCACTGTAAATTTAAACTAAACCAGGTGTTTCAAAAGTCGAAGAAGCCTGCTCTAGAATCTATACATTATATTGTATTTTATAATAACATCATCCTTGGTAGCTTTCACCTGCCTTCTTGGCGCAGTTGGTTAGCGCGTCAGTCTCATAATCTGAAGGTCGTGAGTTCGAGCCTCACAGAGGGCAGCTTTTTTCGTTTCTCTCCATCGCCAGCCAATGAGCGCGCGCGCTCGAGTTTTCAATTTTTTACTTGAGCCGTCCTGTGATGAGGCAAGTCTGAACCGTCTGCCACGGCCAAAACATGTGATGAGACTCAAAATCGAAAAATCGAAGAAGTAAAAACTCGATCGAGTTTTGAAGAAAGAGAAATTCAACATAAATTTCATGCAAAAAGAAATGGTAGAAGGATAGAGAAAGGAATGGATTCTCGTTTTGTCAAAAATTTCTTCATAAGATCAAAATGAAATCCGTGATGAAGTTGATAAAGAACAAGTATTTTGAAAGATGTTGGAATGGTTTCCTTGGCCGGAGAGCATCAAGAAGCGCGGATGTCGGTACATTTTGCAGCACTATCTCGGCGATTTTCTTCAAGAACGCATTCGGTATAGAAATTATTGCATTTCCCCTTGCATTTCCTTCTTTTAGACTTGAGCAGCTCTCGGTTGATCTGTATAATGGAACTGGATCAGTTTCGAATCTCAACCTTGATCTGTCGAGTCTCAATGATCAGCTGGCTTCCGTTGGCGTCCCGATAGAAGTTCTCGACGGATTTGTGAGGAATATAAAAGTCGAGATTCCATGGAGCAACTTGATGAAAGAATCCTGTACTTTAACCCTCCGCGGACTCGAGTTGACCATCCAAATGGCTGAGGAAGTACCAACGATGCAGGGAATGTGCGAGAGTCTCTTTCAAACGGCGTGCACGATGACGACTTCGATTGAAATCGCAGAAAAGGTCGTTCAAGACACTGAAGAAGAAACAGAAGGGCTTGATTCCCTCGCTCAGTATATTGAAAATATCTTGGCGAGGGTAAAAGTGTGCCTGTTTGACACTGTGTTGCGAGTAGAAAGAGGAAAGGAAGAGAATCTGACGAGGATGGAAATCAGAATCAAAAAAATTGAGTACTCGGATGAACAAAATGATGGAAAAGACAATTCGCTTGAAGAAGAAGGAAAAACGAGTATTTATATGAAGAAGGTTTCTCTTTCCGGAGCGACGTTTTGGCATGATAAAAAGAAGCCCGGCGATTCAGCGTCGGAGAGCGACCATTCTTCGCAGAAAGGGAGAAGTCCTGCCCCAGAATCGCCGCCCTCCAGCCCCGGTTCTTATAAATCTTGCGATTCGGGCGATCCAATGGAAGCATTGGCAGATCCTTTCGCACTTATCGGAGAAATTATGGGAACGCAAGAAGTTCGCGTGCGAATTCAACCGCGCACAGGGGTCAATGCTCCGAAGCTCTGGCTCGACGCGAATTTCCAACCCTTTTGCTTCTTCGTCTCTCCATCTCAAGTGCATTCAATAATGGATCTTATCAACGAACTAACGCAGCCAACAAACGCTCCTAAATCGCAGAGCGCTCATCAATCGCGACCGATTCACTACGACGAATTCGGAAAAATCGAAGAGCAAGTTTTCGAAGACGTCGATCAGAATAGCGATACAGATGAAGAAGAAAAGCCCATGCACTTCCAGCCTGGAAGCCAGGAGCCGCAGTTCTACTCAATGTATGGCTCTGGAGCTACTTCTGTTGCACCGTCGATGGGGTCTTCGCAAATGACTCAATCTGGTTCGTCCACAGCTTCGGGTGGGAGGAGAAATAACTTCTTAGCAAACCAAGTGGATCCGAATTACGGAGGATATCAATATTCATTCAAGGTATCCTCCCTTTCCATTACTGTTCTGCACAACGATCCAGTGAGTGACTATACTATGCGCGAAATGGCGCAAGATCACTTTGAGAAGATGCGTGAATTACAAAGCTTTGGGCTAGTGAATCGATCGATGGCCGACATCGCCAGTGAAATTCACAACATGTCTAAATCCGATCGTTTGACCATTTTTGCCTTTCCTCTTTCTGGTTCTGTGCAACAAAGCGGCCTTACTGGCTATCAACGCGAAGCTCTGCAACTACACGCTCAAATGGGTCAACTTTGGATCTGGGAGCATCTCTACAATGGCTCAGTTCTCGCCCCCGACCAGCAAAAAGAAGGCCTTCAGATTCCCATTCTCAAGTTTCGTCAAGATATGCAAAAGTCCCTTCTTGAATCACTGCCCGAATATGGCTACTGCGTTCGAGTGAACATTTCCCAAACGAGATCACGGTCGAGCCTGAGGCTTGAGCTCGGCCGAGCTGATTTTGAGTTCGATCCGTCAATTATCGACAGAATTTCAAGAGTACTTTCCTATCAGCCTCCAAAGTCCGGCCGTCGTAGAGATCCACAATCGCACGATTCTCTTATTGCAGACCTATCCCGCCCCGACCAGAGGAAGCTTAGCATGGAAATCAACGTTTCTGCTCAAGACCTATCCCTAAAACTGCGCATTCCAATTCCCGATCGTCGAGATGAGCTTCATCGAGCGCCGTGGTACCAGCGACGCGTTCGAGATGAAATTCTCAAGGTCGATCTACATTCACTCACAGTCTCGATCTCCAAAGCCAATTCAGTCAACCTATCCATAAAAGATGTCCAGCTTTTCTTTCTCAACGACGAGTGGGACTTATCAACGCCTCCTTGTATTCAAATATCGTCAAATGACGATGGACGAACGATAGTTTTTCCAAGTATTCTGGTAGAAACGAAGCCCGTCGCTTCTAAAATTGCCCATTCAATGTACTCGTCCTTCCATCAGTACGCCCAGTCTACGCCACAAACGCCTTTCTCTTCCCAAAGAACCTCCTATGGCGACGAAACTTACCGTCAATCCGTCGAAGCGCCAGCAGATGCCATTGAGCTCGAAAAGTTCCGTCGCAATCTTTACGACTCTTCGCTTACTTTCGTAAAGCTCACATTTCCAAAAGTTCGGATCGATCTCTTGTCGAACAAGTTCTATGAAAAACTATTCAATCGACTTGCCTGGGATTTGGCCATGTGGAAGCCGGTAACAGTTGCTTCTCCGGTAGAAGTTCACGCACCGAAACAGGTTTTCTTCGATTTGGACAATGACGAAGACGATAGCGAGCTACCACCTGTACATAGAGCTAAAAAGGGAACTCCGCTGCCTGGATCTTCTCAACCCACTCCCATAGCAATCGAACTAGATATAGAAGAAGGTGAAGTAGTGCTCAATTGCAGACAAACAAATAACTCTCCCGGGCCTGAAATTCTGATTGATATTTCTGACTTCAAATTGATCTTCGCAGGAAAATATCTATCAGGCGTCGCCGACTACATCTACATTTCCGCCCAGACTCTTTCAATAAAACATCGACCAGATCAATGCGCAGAATTTACCTGCTGGGTGTATCCGAAGTTCGAAGAGAGCGCTGGATACTTTCATCGGCCGCGAAAGAGCGAGATAGAGCTGGATCCGATGCTCAAAGTCTCGCTGAAATTGGAAAATGAAGAAGACTCGAGAAGTCTTGCTCATTATACCGTTGCTGTTGGATTGTCAAATACAACCGTTAGGTATCGAATGGTTAAACCTGGCCAAGCACCGTGGGAACATCTTGCTATTCTTTTCAATGTTCAAGAAGAGCTACCAGTGGGATACGAACCGCCTGCGTACATCACCTCTCTTCACGTCTCTCTCAAGGATATCTTCCTCGATTATCGGCCACTCTACACATCTGAATGTGCAATACTGTCGATAGATAACTTCACGCTTTCCACAGTTCTCCGACCCAATTCGAACAAGGTCCTGTTGAGCATGATCGGAGAGTATATCGCGGTTCACATGACAAGGAGACAGCTCGGAGAATCTCATCGAAACATCGATCTCAAGAACGACTGGTAAGAGAACTGAAACACTGACTAAAGTAGGTTTAAGCTAAGATTAATGGTCTGTCAGTCGTAACCCTTCTTTCGGCCCGTTAATATTTTTCTTTCATTTAATTTTTGTCGTCATTTTGCCTGTATGGAGGGCATGAAACTGACATAAGTACAGTTGACTATTGCCAGGGATTATCCTCCAATCGATTAAGGGGACATAGTGCGATTGTAGATCAGAAACTTATCACTGAACTCCTGCCCTAGTGCACTCCCCATGAGTAAACGGTGATTATTAAAGTGCTAGAAGAAATTCGATATGTTAGAATATTTTTATAATTTATGGTCTTCAGTTACTCCAAGCTCCTGGTCGCAAAGCTGCTTGAAATATCCGTGAGAATCGATCCGGAAGCTGCTGTTAAGTCTGATGTTTCTCTTCGGGGAGATATTTCGCTGGAAACTTGCGCCGACAGTTTCACTTACTTGAATAGGCTGATTCAGTATGTCGCTGAGGAGGGTGACTTCAAGCCAGATTTCGAGTCTTCTTCTGGCGATACTTCCAATTCGACGAGCTCGGTCATTCAAAACCGCTCCAGACGAACATCAGATACTCCTTCTACTCCGAGAACTTCTGATCCGGGACCAGTATCAACCCCGACATCGTCGATGACGTCATCAACTCCTCTCGTCAAAGCAGAGTTTCAAAACGATCTTCTCGACGCGCTTGAAGACGATGATTTCTTAGTGGACACGAAATCAAGGACTTCAGCATTGCGGACTCACAAGGAAATGGAAGATTCAGTCGAGTTGAATGACGAGGACTTTGACGATTTTGTTGATTTGGAAGCTGAACCTGGAATTGGTTTCTTAAAGAACAAGTCAAAGCCGTCGATTCGGTACTTTGACGAATTTAAGGTACGTTTTATTCTTTCAAAATTAGTGTGTAATGTTTATTAGATCAAAGAAAACTTCTTCCGCGTTCCACACGAGCGGAAAGACTTGCTCGGTCCCCCGAAAGACATGCCAACCCCAGCAAGTACATTCCGTATCGGCGAACTGAACATCACCTGGCAAATGTTCGCAGGATCTGATTTCCCGATCACTCTTCAGTCAGGCGACTTCACGAGAATGGACAGAACGATGCATCAAATTCATGTTCCAAAGATATACTCGGCCAGAGAAAAGAAGACGATGGTCCAGTTGATGGTCAAGAAATTCAAATTGAGACACGATGTCTTTGAAGGTAAGAAAATATGTTCAGATTTCTCATAATCATCTTTCCCAGACAAACTTTATCGACAAAGATTGGCTGCAACGATCGAAGAGCTTGAAATCGTCGATTATGTGGCTACATCTCAATTCAACAAGCTCCTGAGTCGAGACAGACATCTTTACGATCCAAACATGAACCCTTCAATCGTCGTTAAATTCCTTCTTCTGAATCCTGAGCAACAAAATGACTCTGTCTCGCAAGATGCAAAAGTCCGCGTGTCAATCCAGCCACTAAAGATAAACCTGGATCAGGATACAGCAGTTCACCTGTACAAATTTTTCAACGAACTGTCTCAATTTTCGATGCAAGAAGAAATGATGCTACCTCGCGACTCACCTCCAGCCCAGGAGGATTGTCCAGAAGTGCCTTTTGAAGCAAAACCGGAGATTTTCTTTAAAGAAGTGAACTTTTCTCCTGATTTGAGCATTCGAATCGACTATCAGGTTTGAAAATATTCCTCCAAACCTCTTTCAATATGTATTTCTAGGGGAAAAGAGTTGAAACAAGTGAATATGGAACGATTCTGGGCCTGTTAATTGGTTTGGGGCAGTTGAACTGCAGCCAAGTGACTCTGAAGAGATATCTCAATCGAAATGGGTTTGAAATCTGCATTTTTGCAATGTACTGATCTTTGATTTTAAGAGTTCTCGGCCAGGAACGACTTCTGACGAATATTCTGACCGACTGGGGCAACGACATCAAGCGAAATCAGATTCCAAAGATCTTAGGAGGCGTTGGACCTCTTCATTCAGTTCGCCAGCTTTGTAAGTCAAAAAATTCTATGACTAGATTATGAAATTCATCGAAGTATCTGGCTTTGTTGAGCTCTTCAATGCTCCCGTGGAAGCTTACAAACGCGACGGTCGAGTTCTACGGGGTGTGAGACGGGGTGCTTCTGCCTTTTCGAATTCTACAGCTGTCGCGGCACTTGAACTTTCTTCTAAATTCTTCGACTGGATCGACTTTACCGCTTCGTTTACACATGACTTCGTAAGAATAGTGAGAGACGCTCAATTTCAACGTCTTTAGGTTTCTTCAAATAACATCCAAAGTCCGAAAGATCAGAGAAGGAAGCCTACAGACCTGAGGGAAGGAATTTCGAACGCATACGGTGTTGTTCATGATGTAAGAACGATATTAACGCCTTGATTTTAACCAAACGTTTAGGGACTCAAGCAGCAATACAAGGAAGTTGGGAAAAACATAGGCGATGGATGGCAACAGAGAGGCTTCGCAGGCGCTGTTGGATCTGCGGTTAGCTCTGTTCCGGCAACGCTTGTTAAACCTGTAGTTCTCGCTGCAAAGGCTTCGAAAAATGCTTTAGATGGTGCTAGAAATACAATAAAGCCAAAAGGTAGTTCTGAAAGTGCTTTTAAACCTTGATTTTCTTTCTAGCCATGCAAGATGACCTGGATAAGTATAAATACTGAGGATAAAGTATTTATTCTGTATTTTCTTCTGTTCGATTTATATTGATCTTACCATTCTTCAAGAATTCTGAAATTCAACTCAATTCAAATTCAAAGTTCGCCGTTGTGTATTTACAAGAGCAGGGCAGTTTGAACAAGAACGTATGTTAGATTAGCAAGCTGCCCTTGACCTGTGCTATCCATCATTGAAGATTAGCACTGGTAGGTCTAGTGTGAGAAAATATCTTGGGCCATTGTTTGAGTAGAGAAAGAGGATGAAAATAGTGAGCTGTTTCCTTAGTTTTGCGCTTGCATTACCGGTAATTCTAAGATTAGATTTTGTAATCCTGTATAAGTAAAGCAATGTCCGCGATTATGGAACGCTGAATGGGAAAATGGAATGGAAAAGATTTTCTCGAATGCGATTATTGGCACTTCTTTCGTGCCAGAAGGCGGTTTCCAGTGCTATCCGTCAATTAACAAGATTGAATGCAACCCACCCTTAGATGAAGTTGCAGGAGAATACCCATATCAGGTTTGAAGCAAAAGGAAGCGTTTGTTAAAGTGTTACTAGCATGTCTGCCAACTAAAATACACTGGAAGCTCATCAGAATTTCCTTGTTTTATCGACGTCCCGGTGAAGCAGTACAACACCTACTATCAGATCGACCAGGTTCCCCTTCAAAAAGGTACGATCGAATATCAAGGGCGAAGTGATATTTTCTACTTTAGGTTTTCCTGTGGACTATTGTAGCTCATTTGGCCGTGCGTAGATAGTTAATTTAATAAAAGAGAAAAATATCTAGGAGTCAATATATTATTGTGTAATCAGGAATGAAGTGTTCAAATTTTCTCAGCTTTTTGCATTGATAACTCGAGTTCTTCGTCTCTTTCTTCTGAATGATAACTTGGAGGGCTTTCTTCAATAGAATCATCCTTGTAGCTTTCGGTCTTTGCGTTTCGTGGCGGAGCAGTTAGCCTTTGCAAGAAACCAAATGCGATCCCCCAAAGTTTTGCCATTGGTACTTCGAACGTTATGTAAATCAATACAGCAACTGCAGTCGTTAGAGTCATGAGATGTAAGAAGGTCCATGTAACCCAGTACTCATCAACATTAACCATCATTGTGAGAGATTGCTGATAGATGACGATTAGACTGTAGTGAACAATGTAGAAAGCAAACGATGTCTTCGCAAAAATAATCCAGCCCTGAAATTTTATCTTTCCTTTTTGATGGATCGAGGCGACTTACGGTGTGGGCTAAGATGGAGTTAATCATAAATCCGAACCCAGAGTCGCAAAGAAAAATCAACAACCCAAGTCCAAATGCCCAGACGGCTCTGTGAAAACCATTCCAGGCAGCGGAACCTTGATTTGTTGAGGAGCAGCCCCAAATAAAGTCCCATTTATCACTGTCATCGTAATACAAGTCAACTCGATTCTCCCAAATCCCCACAAAATCGACTTGAAAGCACATTGTCGAAAAGTAGATAGTGAAGTAGAGAAAAAAGAATGACACACACCAGAGAGCGAAAACAGTCATATACCCAACTATTTTGTTATTTTTGACGAATTTTTTGAAACCATTTCCTTTTCTCTCTGAAAGAATAAGCCATCCAAAGAGAATTCCAACGCCGTAAGAATGATAACGAGCCCAGGGGCGAGTGTAAACATCATTGGCCATTGTATTTGTGTCAATTCTAAATTATTATTTAGAAAAAAAATATTTATCCAGGAAATACGAGTAAGAAAGTCGCAGTTGCTGATAAGGAGTTGCATTTATTATTGCAGATTGGTACCAATCCCATCCAATGCTAAAACAGCTCAGTAGCACAGTAAATGTGATTCCTAGAGCCTTGTGGACCCCATAAAGTGCCGCGTTGATGGGAAAAATAGCACTATACCAAAACTCGCAACCTAAGTACCAAACATGTCCGAGACAACTCGAACCCTCAACAAAGAAGTTCATCACGAAGAATATCGTTTTTGCAAACATGTTGAGACGTAGACAAGCTGAACCCATGATGTTACTAGTAGTTTGTCCTATTCCTTGTCCAAACAGCGGAAAGATTGATGTTTGTAACCAGATTCCTAAGAGAATAACGGGGACAAGACGCATCCATCTGTTGAGAATATTAAAGAAGAAGGTGACGATGAAGCCGAGTGGTCTTTTCGATGTTTTGATGATCTTAAATAATATAAAATCAGATGATATTCAAACCAACCTTATCAGTCCCAATGTAGGACACAAGCAAGCCGCCCATCAGAAAAAACGAATCAACAGAAGGTAATGCGTTCACTATAGCTATTAGAAAATTACTATCTCTTAGTCGCAAGGAAACTTCAGCTAGATTGTCTTGGAGGCTCCACGTCTGTGACATGATGTGTCCCATGAGTACCCACCAGATAGACAGAACGCGAATTCCGTCGATGCATTGAATAGCTTTGGCAGGTCGAAAAGTACTGACCATCGATTGATAATGCGTCGGGAGGTGGAAGGCAGCGAGTATTTGGAAGTCACTCTTCGGGAAATAACTTACACAAAGGAGCATCAGTCCATAGATTCCCAAGACAACTGAGGCTCCAATCAATCCTCCCTAAAAATTATATTTTTGCCAAAGAAATTCTCGATTCTAATTGCCTGAGTTACTCTGTAAATCGGTTCAACGTATTTTGTTATCCTTGTTATTCCAGTATTGAGATTAACCCAAGCGACATCCGAAGCCCGTTGCACCCACGGCTTTTCTTCTTCCATGAAAAACATGTTCTCATTGAAATTTCCCTGGTTGGTCATAAGAAGCTCAGGAAACTTTTCGGCGGGGATATTTCTTCTTGCAAGGAGAATTTCAAGAGGAGTGCATTGCGCTGGGTAGCAGAGACCAATCTTGCCCGTGGTGAATTTCAAGCCACAGTTTGTCGTAGGGCAGTTGTTAACTTCATCTGATGTTTCGTTGAAACCATGCTCGAGTCCTTTTTCTATACATTCGTTGCTACACTCAATAAAATCTCTTGCTCCTTTGGCAACGATGTTTCTTAGAGCTTCAACAGCGCCAAAAGTCGCTTCATGAGCGTATTGACCAGAGTAAACTAGGTCTCCATTATCATCAAAACGTTGAGCAAAATAACACTGTGTTGTTTTTGCTGGGAAGGTGCTGATAGGTTCAGTGGAAAACTTTTTGATGAAATTTTGTGGCTGATTCAATTCGCCGCCTTTGTAGCCCCAAGATGAGCACATGATCTTAGCTGGGTTCAGGGCTCCATTAAGCCAGTCATCTCCTCGGAGATCATCGTCAAAGGCTCTCAGAGCGTTTATACATCTGTCTTTGTTGAAATCGGCATTCTTGAGAAGAGCCAAAGTATATCCATCCCAGAGAGTGTGGTTGTTCTTGATTCTATCGGCGTACTGGTACCAGGCGTTAATTCTTAGGTCTATGATTTTCAACGATCTCACCTTTTTCATCAATATTATTTAAAATTTTATGATTAAATCACTATTCCTGTCTTCCCATCCATCTTCTAACCCACATTTCCACTGATCTGCTCTATCATTCATGATTCCGATTTCATCAAACCTTGCTAACTCTTCTATGATTCCTTCACTATCGAAAATATCTCTGTATCCACTCTTCTTCTTACCAAACGGGTTGTATTTGGCCTGATCAACCTCATGCTCACTGATTCTTTCGACAAGATACTGCGTCTTACTCGCACTGGCAAAGGCGAGTGAGACTTGAAGAAAAAGCCAAAACATGATAATTTGATCTTTGAGGGTAGATTCTAGCTATGTAGTCCCTAATCTTTGTTTGTTGTGTGGCCAGTGATTCAGATATTTATGAGGATTTGGTCTAGTTATTTGCATTTTTGGTAGTTTCAACCAGAGTTCATGTTTATTTAGCGCCGGTGGTTCCTGCAAATTATGAAACAGTTTCCGATATATCGGAGTGAGATATCTCACTCATAATTTGTCTTGATTGTCACTCGATTAACGACAGTTTCAATGTTCCAGTTTCAATTTGATCAGAAAGAAAACGGCTATTCGTAGATCGTGATGATTTCTCCGCGGTAAAAATGGCAATCACATCGAGGACAATGCCCTCGATTATAACATTCGCTCTCGTTGATTGCTTCATCAAGGCATCTTCGGCATAAAACATGGCCGCATGGTTGGATGACACATTTATTTCGAGGCCGAGCATCGCTGTACTTTTCCATGCACTGTTGGCAGGTTCCATAGCCTAAAATAACGTTAGAATAGAGTTGAAAGCAAATTTTCGTTACCTGCACTTTCATTTTCTTGGCCAATATCTTTCTTGCTGGCGACAGAATGATACTCGTAAGAGATCTGCTTGTACCGCTTTGCTACAATGTCGAAATCTTCCTCTGCCTCCCGTAATTTTTCCTCCGTGTCTTCCTTGCCCTTCTTTGACGCTTCAATTTCTTTATCTGTTTCAAGAATCGTCTTGAAAATCTCCTTGGTCCTGATTTTTCGTTCGCTCTGAAGATTCAGCATGTTCTTGATTTTGTTCTTTTTCTCTTCCGATTCTAGCTTGGCTTTCCGTTGCTCTTGCTTTGCTTCGGCGTAGAGCTTTTTGATCACCTGAAGCTTCTTTTTCTTGGCTAAAAGTATCATCAGATAAATGAACTCAAAGTTATCGATTGCAAGATTACCTTTTTCATTCGTTGTTAGCCACTTGGAACCTTCCTCGCAACAAGATCCGAGGTAGAAATCCTCGAATGAGATCTTCTCGGATTTACAGCTATCAGCCTTGGAGAAAGCCGGGCATTTGAACTCGGCATCAGACTTGTCAAATTTCTTGCCCTCGATTTGGCGATCATCGTGATCCTTGCTCGCACAAGCTCTGCACAATCTCTTGCCCTCTATTTCGGTTGTCTCCGCAGGTACGCTGAAATCTAGGATAACTAACAAATCAGTAGTTTTGTGAAAACTCACCCGTCGCATTCTGATCCATGACATTTTCCATACTGTCCGTATGCTGTAATCGCATCAGGATAAATTTCTTCGAAGTTGTCTGGATCCCGACATTTCGCTCTCTTCGGGGTTGAATCGTTGACTTCTTCGAGGATAGACCTTCCACGGAGCTTCATTTGCTTTCTCTAAAAAGCGAACAGTTATTTTGAATCTTCTCTTAGTCGCACTCTGAAAAAATGGCCTTTTTCAAGAATAAAGGTACTTAGGTGTATTTTCTCGTTCAAATTCTCGAAAAACCTTAGATTTTATCTTTTTTTTCAATTCACGCTTCGACTCAAAAAGCGATCTAGCGAAGTGCGACTCATTTCAAAGCGCAAATGAATCAAACTGGATAAGAAAACGAACAGGGAGAAAGCTCTGATTTTTAGCAAAATTCTTGCTTACTGATATACAACTCTCAACTTCTAAATCAAACCGTTTACTGGTAGATATTGTCTGAGTACTGATTGAAATTATAGCCTTGAATTATGATAAAAACAGACTTTTTTGTTTTACTAAGTAATTTATTTGTTTATCATTAGTTAATGTTTTCAGTCGCAGGGTCAAGTTATTATCACAGTAATAATATTCTTTTCAGAAGTCAAGCTAGTCGTACAATGTGACTATCCCTTCGTTATCATCAGCACTTGCATCGCTATTATAATGATAGCGGTGGTAATACGGTGTGTAATGGGAGTTACATTTCTCCGAGTCGCCGAATGGACAGGAACGTCCCTCAAAGTGAATTCGCATAAAAAGGCAATTGGAGCAAGCAGTATGTCCACATTTAGCCAAGGCTGATTTTCGATTTTCTTCGTTGTAGTACTCGTTGCAGAGTCCACATACGTCCTTCTTGTTCCCTTATCAAATTTATAGAAGTGGATTTTAAAAAATGGTTTATACCTGGTAGTAGCCGTTCACTATCGAGAGAGAGCTCGGTAGCAACTGAATGATACTCGTACAGCACTTGCTTGTATCGCTTGATGTATGGTTCCGTTTTTTCATCTGCGTCGCGAGCTTTCTTTCGTGCATCTTCCAGAGCCTTTTCTTCTTCAGCTACAGATTTCTCGCATTCTTCGATCTGCTTCTTCATCTCTTCGAGCTTCTTTCTTTGTTCTTTCAGCTTCCGTTCTGCCTTCCAGAGATCCTTCTTTTTGTGGTCGACTGCCATGCTTGCTGAGTTACTTCTTTTAGTCTGCGAGTCGTAGAATTGTCGAATTGTTTTCAGCTTTTTCTCCTGTCCTAAGAATTATGCATGAATAGAAATTCTTTTGACAATAAATCTCGTACCTTTCTTATTTTGAATCAACCATGTTGATGCAGGTTGGCAGCATGACCCGAGATAGAAGTCCTCGAAGGATACCTTGAGTGATTTGCAGCTTCCGTCAGTATTGTAGGCAGGGCACTTGAATTCAGCATCCGAAGGATCGTAGGTTAGATATTCATGCCACCACTTCGAACGTCCAAGTAACGGACCCTCTTTCTCTGCACATTGTCTGCAGAATCGTCGGTTGTCGACTTCAGAATCTGCCGTTGCCATCGGCACTCTAAAATTTAATATTTTTTTTTTGTGAAATTTCGTTTTAAAATCTTACCCATCACATTCAGATCCGAAGCACTTTCCGAATTTTCCGTAAGAAACCAACATGCCTGGGTGAATACTTTCAAAAGAGTCCAGTTTGGCTTTTTTCGGGGTAGAAGTTGAAGCTTCATCAGTATCAGCTTTGCGAGATCTGAGTTTCATCGGAAAAACGTTTATGTTCGGAATGGAGGTTGGATGTGACTTTTGGGCGTTTGACTGGGGATTTATAAACGTATTTCGCCGAAAGAGGGCGCCTAGCGCACCAATATCCTACTGAGTTACCGGCTACTGTCCCCTTTTGGTAATGGATTGATGATTATCTTTCCGATAAACTCGAACCAAGTCTCGCCAATACTAAACCACCGTGTGATCACCTTAGCATATAATTTTTATTCGTAAGATTTACAACTTTGACCCCAACAAGAGGTCGACTCTGTTCATATCTTGGCGTAATATTTAAGCAAACAACTTCTAAGTGATCTCAGAAGGGCAAAACGACAGACATTTACTTTTAAGAGAGACCTCTCAAGGTAATTTTTTTATACAGGAAGTGTTTTTGTAGCTACTAAATTTAACGACGAAAAGAAATGAGAGTTTTATTGTGAAGAAAAATAAGTACTAAGACTGTTTTCTCTAGAGTAAACCAAGAAGATTGCTTTAACTTTGTGATTTCAGTGCTGAAAACTTTGCGAAAAATGAAAGGAACATCATTCAAGACACCCCCACAAGTGGTAAATACTAAAAATACCTTCCGAGTTTGACATTTACTAGCTCAAAAACGACCTTGAAACACTTGTTCCTCTACCGCTGACGAAAATCACGGAAATTTCACCTGACACGAAAATTTTCCGATTCGGTCTTCCAGAAGGCCATCGTCTTGGTTTACCTGTCGGCTTGAATGTGCGAACAGTTGCTGAGGTTGACGGAGAAACTGTCATGCGCAGTTACACTCCGATCTCGTCAGAAGATGATTTGGGGTTCTGTGACCTGTTGATCAAGGTTTTAAATGTCTGAGGCGCTGTCTAACGCTATTTGTAGGTCTACTTTCCCTGCGAGAGATTTCCAGAGGGCGGCAAGATGACCCAGTACATCAACAAACTCAAGATCGGAGACACCCTGGATTTCGTTGGACCAAAAGGAAAGCTTATCTACCGAAGAAACGGCGAGTTCCACATTCGCGAGTCGTTTCTTCCCTCCGACAAGGATTTCAAAATAAGAAAAGGCATCAAGCACATTGGAATGATCGCTGGAGGTTCTGGCATTACTCCGATGATGCAGCTTGTTCGGTTCGTTCTTTTGATAAACAAGAATAAATCGTATTTTAGTGACGCAGTAGTAAAATCGAATGAAGATACGCAGCTGTCATTGTTGTTTGCAAATCGATCTGAAGAAGACATTTTGCTGCGGGAAGAAATCGAAGAGACGGCGAAAAATCATCCTGGACGATTCAAATTTATGTTCACAGTTGACAACGCGCCTGCAGGAAAAGAATGGAGCTACAAAACTGGCCATATCAACAAAGGTATCCAAGTTCCTAATTTTTATTCCTAACAAGCCGAAGACATGATCGCGGAGTCCCTGCCCGCCGCATCGGACGATACAATGATCCTCATTTGTGGTCCTCCTCCAATGATCAAATTCGCCTGCATGCCTAATCTCGCCGAGCTCGGGCACAAGGAGGAAAATATTTTCTGCTACTAAATATCGTATTTCCTGACAACCATCATCATAATATTCTAGTTTATTGTCATCTTGCACAAAATAAAAGCAAAAACTTACACAAAGTCACTTCTTTTTCTTCTTATCGTCTTTCGTATTTAACCTTTATTCATTTTTGTTACGAAATCACAGTTAATTTTCTTTACCTTTGATCCAGCAGGCGGGATTCCACCCGAAGACGCACGGAAGTCTTCCAGATCTTGTCGATTTGTCTGTAGTTCATCTAAAAACGCGATGAAAAAAACTGTGTGCGAGAAGTAGCACGAACCTTTGTCCATAATTTCCTTCAGATTTTCTTCAATTCGATGCTCGGCTTTTGTAGAGAAGACGATGTAGCAAACGAAGCAATGTCCACCAAGCGATAACATCATCAGTGTCGGGAATACAGCGGTAACCCAGAAGATGCAATAGAGCTTTCTCTGCATCAAATTCAAGAGCGCGCAAATAACTTAATTTTGTTTTAGAGAATTTATATAGCATCGCAAGCGAAAATATCTTCAAAACAAACCTGAATAGACACATGAAGTTCCAGCGATTAAGAACATGATGGCCATCGTCAGTTGTTTTCCCCATTTTGGCTTCTGCATCTTCGACTTCAACAATATAATCAACGAAGTGAGTTGTGTTATAGAGCAGATAATCGGTAGAAGTATGCATGGGCCGAAGATCTCATCCTTTAGCACTTCGGTCAGCTCGTCCTCATCTGGAGTCGGGTTAAGATCATCACGCGTCTTTATTGAGTGCATAATTATATTGTTAGTTTTCAAAATTATTTTGATTATCGTTAGTCGAATTTATGATTGGAACACATTCCTTATGTCTTTCCTTCCATTCTGGATTCTTCGATAATCGATTGCTGGTGTCCTTGACGCAGGCACTGACGAGACTTCCAAAGTATAGTCGAAATCCCAGAGTCGCCACGACGACGGAGAAAAATGTAGAAAGGACAAGTATCCGACCTGATGTACTGTTGAAATATGGAAGCTTTTCTCTGCGAATAACTTTTTCCTCTTTTACCGGCTTATCAAAAAATGCTAACTATCACAAGTACCCCAGTTTACCTAGCTTACGAGACATCTTCTTTTCCTTCGAATTTTCGTCATAACTAGACTTCCGAACTTGTTGTTCTGTAGGTTCGTAATTTGCATCTCGGTTATTATTTTGATTATCCTCATTGTCATCCCATCCCGTCTTATTGTTAGAATTTCGGGAACCCCAAGCATCATTATCTTTTTGGTTAGTTACCCAGTTGGACATCTTCCAAAAAAAATTAATTTCCACTTTTTGGTCTTTGAAACAAACTCGAATGGTGGACCCCGATTATCCACCTGAAACCTGTACATCCTGTTTATGGAGGGCTCAGAAAAGTCGAGTTTTTTCATGAGAAAAGGAATGATTTTCTGATAGCAAAAGGAAGTGTACGGAATATCGACACGAAAAACCGCTATGAGTTTTGATAAGCCTTCCTTATTTGAAATAATTAGTAATTTCATTCTTTTATTGTAGAGATAGTCTGTTTCTAACGTTTGATATTTACACAAAAGTTATGTTTTATAGATCTCTCTCTTTCTCAAGTTTAAAACGTTTTCTGAAATGGGGCCGAATAATATGGGCCATATTAGATGGGGAATATGAGGTGCTAACTCCGAAAGAATGAGGCAAGTGCAGGTGGCTCGGATTAGACACCAATATTCCTGGTGACCCCCCTTGTCCCTGGAACCCCTTCAAATTTTTGCCGAAAATCCAGACATACGGAGAGCAACGTTGTAGAAAATCCCCAAACTAATAAAAAACTTATTTTGCCTGATAAAACAGTAACCCCTGTTAATTTTGATAAGCCTTCCTATTTTCATTGTAATTCTGTAGCAATAGCCTATTGCTAACGTTTGACTTTCAGACGAAACTTTTTTTATCTCTCTATTTTCAGTTTTTTATTTCTCAAGTTTACTACAGAATCCTTTCTGAATGAGCCTAACTCCGGCAGCGGGGGTGATAACTGATAAGAATTTATTTCACTTCAAAATGCTCTCACAAAAAAATGCGTCTTTTACTGTTTTGATTTTTGATAAGAACGACTTTGATGACCTTGTACAATGAGAATTTGTTGATCATCACAATATCCCAATGCTATGCAATTCGCTTTATTAAAATTCGCAAGAAATAAAAAAACACAGAAATTTGAAGGGATGGCTGTGGTTTGTGCGGCCCAAGTGTATTGTGACGGTGTTGATAGGATCTGGGCTGGTCGGAAGAAGTACATTTATGATTTTGTATTGTTTAAATTAGTAAGCATGGGTTAGAGATAGGAAATAACCAGCTCTTCGATCAGACCTGAAACAAAGAACCCAGTGTAAGGTCTTTTTCGGATTGATGCTTGTGTACATACAGTTAAAATGTTCATTCTTTTTATAGATTAGTTCACTTTCGAAAGCAACTCATTCACGTCGATGGTGTTTGACGAGTCGAACTGGTCGAAGCTGTTTTGAGGATCGAAGCCGACACCGTTTGCAGAGTTGTTTTGCTGCGCGTTTTCAGAGAAGTCCATCTGAAAATAATGAGCTTTCTGATGATGTCGACGTCTTTACTTGATCCTGAGATATTTGGCTTGGCATTTCGTACTGCACTGGGCCTGCTTGTGGGGAAGACATCAAAGATTGGTGGTCTCCATAGCCACTTGATGGTGATCGCGGTGATGTTACGCTTCCCTCGTGGACAGGAGAGCCAAGAGAGATTCCCGCAATGTTCGGGATCGTGACCTAAAACAATGAATCTTCTTAATTGGAGTAAGAGTTCTTACCTGAATCTCAGCCTTTACGTATCCATCGTTTGGCTGGCTTGGCGGGTTCGGCGACTTGGAGTAATATCTGGAGAACATCTCTTCCTTGCCCACAATGCGCTCGTCCTGGGTGTAGACAAAGTGCAACTGCTCCAAATCTCGAATTCGATCGGCAAGGCCTCTTACGTTGAAGTCCTTTGCAGTGTGCGGCTGCAAATTCCAGACCTAAAATATTCAAATCTGACCCACTGAGGACACTTTTCATTCAAACCTGTTTCTGTTTGTTCTCGTTTTCAGAGACCCAGGCAATCGTCAATCCGCCAATTTCAGAATCTGAGTATCGGAGGAGAAAACTTCCACCGGGTTTTTGAATGAGTGCTTCCTAAGAAAAACAAACTCAATGTTTGAGAGAAATTATGATCGCTACCTGGCTCTCATTTTTGCAAATAAATCCAACACAGCCCCTGTCAAGCCAGTGAGGCTGAACATGCTTTGATTTTGTAAGTTCCATCACACCTATAAAGAAGCTTCAATCAGTTTTTCGAGGGTGAGATCACTAACCGTTGAACCATTGCCAGAAGGTGAAATTTCTTCCCGGTAGCGGCTCTCTATTGAATTGTGCCCAGCTAACGGGCTTTTCAGAGTTTGGCGCAAGTGGTTGTCTAGAATCTCTTGAAACACTGAAAACTGTATTTTTCAAACCTGAATAGTTTTTGAGAAAGATAACGCATCGCTCCTGTAGTCAGCCCGTGTGCACTCTGGCATTCATGCTTCCACTTGTAATTCAGCGTTTCAATGATACGATTCCAAGCCACTTTATCTGGAACTTGGAATGGAATTCGTCCCTGTTCAGCAAAGGCATTATCCCAAAGGATAGAAGCGGTTGCATTTGCTTCTTGATTTCCGTGGACGATGACCACTACCGGGAGTGAGAGAGTTCGCACTTGGAAAACAAGCTCGTTTCCACCGACAGAAAATTGAGACTAAACATTAAAAATTGCGAAGAAAATCAGTAATCAGTACCTGGAAAAGAATGGTAAATTTCTCTTCAGTAACTGACTCAGCACCTCGTTTATCAGATCGTTTGATTCTCCGGAGCGACATGTTTCGGAAGTTAACGGAGAGAACACCGCTTTGAGGATGGTACTCCATTATTGATGAATTATTGAGAATCTCACCAGATGTCTCGGACAAAGCACGTGCGTTTTCGTTTTTCAGAAGAGCTTTTGCTTGAGCTTCGGAGACGATAGTTGCTTTGACAGTAGGTGGATTCATATGCACATTCAACTTCCCACCAACAAGCAATCGGATTGTTGAGCCGAATCTAGTCTGCGTTTTGAGAACCTGCGGTGGCTGCTTTTCGATGATAAAAGTGGAAGTGACGAGGGTTGAGAGGAGGGCAGTGATTGTCGTGTTCAATTCAGGAAGAAGATCTACACCTTGGTTGTTGATAGGCAATTGTTGACGCTGAAGTTCCACGCGCTTAATTTGCTGACGACATTGCCAGATAATCTCGGCCAGTCGCTCGCACCATTGCTGCAGCTGATCAAGCGAGCCTTCTTGGATCACACCATTGTACGCTAGTGCTTGGGATCGCTTCCACTGGATGAGTTCTTCATCGAGAATTTGATTTTGAAGAGCAGTTAGTAAGGAAAAGGTCTTGTGGTGCTTCTCAGCGAGGGAGGTTCGCTGTTGGAGGAGTTTGTGAGCTTCAAGCTGGAGTAACTGGTCAACTTCGTTTTTCTTCTTGGTCAGCTGCTGTTCAAGTTGGGCACGAGTGGGATCAGATGCGGACATTTGCTGAATTTGCTGAAGCGAAGTTTGAATTTTCACCGACTCTTGGTAGTTGATCACGAAGTATTCTTGCTTTGACTGGAGTTTTCTCAAATGAGAGAGGCGATTTTCTGGCAGTTAGACTTTCTGGCAGTTAGACTTTCTGGCAAAGGCGATTTTCTGGCACTGCCAGAAAATCTAATATGCCAGAAAATCTAATTTCCAGAAAATCGCCTCTTTTGATTTTGAATCTGCAGTTAGTGATCCTGGAAGGTAAAAATAACGGAGAGGGTTTTCGACAGTACCACCAATTTTTTTCTTACATTTTTTATAAAAATTCATTGACAAAAGCCACTTTTGACCCATTTATTCAAGATTATTGGCTGTAGCAAACATAAATCAGCTTCTTCCAGGAATTTTTGTGTTAACCCGTTAACAGGGTGGTCGATTTTGTCTACGCTTTTGCCGGTCTGTGATTGAGTGAAATCATTTCCACGCGTGGCCGTGAGACTGCCACGCGCCTGTTAACACCCGGTGTTATTTCATCTGATTTCGAGTACTTGGTCACAATGGGCACCCACTGAGATAATGGCGCACGCTCAAATAATATCCATCCTATAAAGGCGATTTCACCACCTGAGGAAGAATTTTCTGGAGAGCTTTATAACAAGTTCAGTTTCAAAAAGCATTAGCGTGCGCCATTATCTCAGTGGGCGCCCACTGTGACCAAGTACTCGAAATCAGATGCAAATAACACCTAGTGATTAACACAAAAATTCCCGGAAGAAGCTGATTTATGTTTGCTACAGCCAATAATATTAAATAAATGGGTCAAAAGTGGCTTTTGTCAATGAATTTTTAAAAATAACGTGTAAGAAAAAATTGGTGGTACTGTCGAAAACCCTCTCCGCTTTTTTACCTTCCAGGATCATTAACTGTAGATTCAAAATCAAAAGAGGCGATTTTCTGGCAGTTAGACTTTCTGGCAAAGGCGATTTTCTGAAAGTTAGATTTTCTGGCACTGCCAGAAAATCGCCTTTGCCAGAAAGTCTAACTGCCAGAAAATCTAACTGCCAGAAAATCGCCTCTCTCTTCTCAAATCGGACTCGGCATCTTGAGTGAGCGCGTACAAATGCTCCAAGTCTTTGTTGATTTTTCCGTTTTTCTCGGACCCTGTGCTTGGCTTCACATCGTCCTGACCGTTCATGTTAGCCGCAGTAGCTTCTTGGACCAGGCGAGTTTCGATGGAGAGGATTTTCTTAACGATCCTCACCAGCTCCATCGGGTGATTTCCGTAAACGTTTTTAAAGTGCTGACCGATTTCGGAAAATCTTCAAATTCATCATTAATTTTTAATGATTTTCGAAGCTTGCTCACCTGAGTCGCTGCAAAAAGTCCCCACCATCAGAAAGCAGCTCACACTGCCGATTGATTTCTCCAAGAAAGTTGTCAAGGATGAATTTCGCCTGAGACTCATCAGCTGCCTGATCGGGGTCGATTTGATCCCATGGCTGGCGCTCAATGATTTCTGCAAAGTAGTGGCGAAACTCGATGGGGAAATTGGTGTCGTAGAGAGATTGGATTTGGCGGAGGGCATCTCCTTCTAGTTCACGAACTCGGGACCAGAGGGAGACTCCCGAGCTCTCGGCAGGCATATTTGACATGCTTCTAAAAGTTAGGTTTTTCAAACGTTGTCATTTTTAAAAATTTTTAATGTTTTTGCGTAGAAATTCACTAGATTGAATTCATGGAAATTTAGAAAAATATAATTCTCGGAAATAGGGATTGTTTCGCTTTAAAAGCGGGCATTTCCGAGTTTTCCCTTTATTTTCGGCTAAATGAGTGTGTGTATGTTGTGAGGTTGAGCATGGCCGCTGGGCATCGACTTACCTGTGCGTGTGTATTTGTTATTTATCTTCTGTACGTGGAGAGTTGGGTTAGTTTCTCATTCACTTCTCGGGTGCTGAGTTTGATCTGTCTTCTGACTCTGGAAAATTTTGTTTCTTGGTAGTTGTTCCCGGAGTGGGCAAAATCTGGCAGTTTCGGGATTTCTGGCGGGCGGCGTTTTTCTTGGACTCGTCCAGCTCAAGCAAGGCGCCAAGTGGCCGGTACGAAGAACCCGGCACCACACCGAGCACCACCACACTCCACCACCACTACACCAATAACGCCTGGTAGCCAAGGCCAATTCCAATGATAATATCGAGCATTTTCACGTTTATAGTCTCATGAAATTACTCCCCTGACGAATGAAGTGAAGAGGATTTTCAAAGGTATGAGTTAATTAAGTTTGTTATTTTTTTCTCGTGATCATGAGAAAAAACAAAGAGAGTAAGTTTTCAACATCAATTAAGACCAAGATATAAAATAATAAAAAGAGGTTTCGAGGCTCAGTTTTATGGTCCTTTATGTTTTAATTTAGCTGTTATTTTATCGTGAATGTTACGAATCCAAGGGTTAATTATATTTTTATAGTTCACGAAATATCTAATAAGCAAATCACTTTTTAACTTAATTTGTAAAATGATTCTATACATGAGTTTTCACTCGAGAAAATTATGTTCCATTGAATTTAATTTTAGCGAGCTGATATTTATGAAGGTTAAAATTTTTCGATTAGTGCTGAAACAAATTCATCAGGAGTAACTTTTTACTTGGAACATTACCCAAAAAGTACTTTACGGTGTTGGTATGAAAATCTAATCTCGTGTTCGATGGTGGAGTCGATTTCGTGCGAAAATCGCCCACTGGTGTAATTTGTTCCGAATTTCGCGCCTCCTCCTCCATCAAGTGCCAGAATCACTTTTTTCATCTTGCGCCGCCCAGCTACCACACCGAAACCAAAATCTTTCCAGAGCTTAATCTAATCTTAACCTTGACTGCCAAAGTTCACTAAAAAGCAGACAGTGTCCGATAATTGGCATTTTTGATGACACTTTCTCATTTCGAATTAAGGGCCGCTTGCGTAGCACGTCACTGTTTCTTTTTCAAACAAAAGCTCCATGGAGAGGGTGTTAAAGACTGTTTTGATGTTTTCTATGGATGGATCACAGGTGCTTCGCTAGAAAAGAGTCCCCTGCTGCGACGAGTTCTATAAAAATTGAGCAGAGATGAAGATTCTCATCAGTCTCGTCATGCGAGTATTTAGATTCGTTACTTTCGGTGAGTTTCAACAGCAATTTATTTTCATGAGTCTGAATTTCAGGCGCGTTTTCCGCAGTTGTCCGAGGTCAAGGATTCACAACAGAATGTTTGAATGACTTCATCGCCTGTATGAACAGCGGATCAGCCAATTTCTGGACAGTGCTTCAATGCTTTGGCGAGTTGATGGATCCAGAGTGTGTCCTGCCCGTTCCGGACCCTCGAAAAGTAAGCTATTCTTCACATTCATATTTCAGCTTTTCTAGTGCGAAGTGGACGGGCTTTTCCGACACTGGAAGAAATGCGATCGATTCTTTCAGTGTAATGGCGGAATACGATCTTCGATCATGCGATGCCCGGTTACTCTACTTTTCAATCAAGAAAAGGGATATTGTGACTGGCCAGATAATGTTGACTGCGGTATTGAAATCATATTTCAACGTCACTTTTAAATATTTAGGCTCGCTGAAAACCCCAAAACCGATAATTCCGGACCCAGCAGATTACACCGAGGATGCTTCATGTCCAGATGGCGTCTCGAAAAATGAAGCCGACTGTTTTGGATTCAACTCCTGCGTGGGAAACTTGAAATGGGAAATGAAATGTCCTGCTAATCTAAGTAAGCTTCCAACTCAATTATTTTATGAAATTTAAGTGTTCAACACATTGGAAAACGTTTGCGACTACAAGGCCAATGTTTGTGCTAAGAACGCGGCATCAAATCCTTCTTGCTGCGCTTAGTTAGTTCTCCTTCATCTCAATAAACCAATTTATTTTCTTTTATTGAATGATGATTCCTCTTTGATTTCACTTTCTTGTTCGTCTTCATAGAATTGATGACTAAGCATCTATGCTGATCAAAATTAATTTAGTACTCAATTAAGCAGTGAATGTCAGCATGCATCAAGCCAAAGGCTCAATAATAGTGACGATTTTCAATAAGGACTTCTGAGTGAAATCCTGACCCACCTTTTTTATTAGCTCATCTGAAAGAGCGTAAAAAGTTACCCCAGAAGAGCCCCCAAAATCTTGATTTTTTGTTGAAGATGACGTCACAGCACGTGATTGAAGTTCCAAAGTACCGGATTTCTCCTACGCCCGCATTTCCAAGTCCTCTTAGCTACCCGGGCGTGTGATAGCTGAAAATGATCGTCTCGTTGAGCTCTAGGTCAGCATCTAGTTTTCATCACAATCCATTAATTTTTTTCAACCCCTTTTGAAATCACCTGTTTGCTAAAAATATTGATTTTGAGAAAGAAAGGTTGAGAAGGGATGAAAACACGATGCTGACCTAGAGCTCAACGAGACGATCATTTTCAGCTATCATACGCCCGGGTAGCTAAGAGGACTTGGAAATGCGGGCGTAGGAGAAATCCGGTACTTTGGAACTTCAATCACCTGCTGTGACGTCATCTTTAACAAAAAATCAAGATTTTGAGGGCTCTTCTGGGATAACTTTTTACGCTCTTTCAGATGAGCTAATAAAAAAGGTGGGTCAGGATTTCACTCAGAAATCCTTATTGAAAATCGTCAGTTACTATTCATGGATTTCAATCATACCATGAACTTCAGAATTAATTATCTCCTAAAGAAGAGGGAATGACGACTAAGTTCGTGAGGACTTGGTTCGTGGGACTAGGTTCGTGGTGGGTTCTGCCAGAGTATTGAAATCGGGCTATATTTTAGGGCAGTAAGGGAAATGGGTTGATGACTAGGTTTGTGTGACTAGATTCGTGAGTTTTTAAATGGTAAAAATTTTAGGACAGTAAAGGAAATGGGTTGATGACTAGGTTCGTGGGAGTAGGTTCGTGGGTTTTTAAATGGTAAATATTTAACAAGGAAAGGGTTCGTGGGACTAGGTTCGTGGGTTTTTGAACAACCAAAATGTTGAGTCCTAACAAACAAAATAATAAAATAAACATATAAAAATGCAAATTCCACGAACCTAGTCTTCACGAACCTAGTCCCACGAACATAGTCCCACGAACATAGTCCAACGTACATAGTCCCACGAACCTGGTCCCACGAACCTAGTCTTCACGAACCTAGTCCCACGAACATAGTCCCACGAACATAGTCCCACGAACCTAGTCCCACGAACCTAGTCTTCACGAACCTGGTCAACCCTCTCAAAGAAGATCCTCTTAGAGCGAAGCAATTATGCTCAACTCAGATTTTAAAAGAAACATAAATTTAAAATGATGCAATTTAATTCATTGTCCCAAGTAATTCTATTTTTATGCAAATTAAGATGACGTTGTTTACTTAAAGTAAAGAGACTTATTTTTATCTGTTATCTTCAAATCGACATAGAAGTTCTGGATCTCCCAGAGAACCATCTTTAGCTTTTTAATTTTTGATCAAAGTTCTTTTTCATTATGCCACTTTACGGAATAATTTTGCCCGTGCCACTTTAAGTAGCAGGTGCTAATAGCAGCTTGTATAAAAACCGTCCAACAGAAGACATTTCTTCAAAAACGATATTGACTGTCATTTTTTAAAGAATAAAAAAGAATGAACTTGCTTCTTGGGTTTTCGCGTTTGGGGTTTAAAATTCTATTTTTAGGGAGTGTGCCCTGCCGAAGAAATAATCAGTTCTGAGCAACGAGTTTTAAAACACGCTTATTTCTACGGCAAGGCAAACTCAATGAAAAAATGAGCTTCTTTTTTTGAACCCTTTCAGTCACTGCTTCTTTCTGTTTCCGCCGACCGACTGGTCCGCCGATTCAACGTCTTCAAAGTAAATTATAAATACAGTTTTATATTTATAATACAGAAAAATTAAGGAAGTATAACAGGTAGTATTTTTGATAACCTCATGAATAGGGAAAGCACCCAGAAACTCTGCTCTTGATTGGAAGATTCTTTTCACCTAAATCCTTGGCATATTATAGAATTGTATTTAAATATTATATAAAGTATTATCATATAAATTAAATACAAGGCATTTCTGATAAAAAATTTCAGAACTACATGTCATCCCCGTTCGGTGACGATGCTGGCGCCATGAGCGATTACCTTGTGAAGAAGCGAAACTTCCGAATTTAATTTTTGTTCAATAATAAACAAGAATATCTGTCCTTTCGTTTTGAATGATCGTCAAGCAACTAGAAATTCTTCCTGGCGTCAGAACGCCCGATACGTAAGGGTATCTATTAAGACGTTTACGTAGCACAGTACAAACTGTTGTATCGTTGGCGGAGGAAGGAAGCTCCTGTAATAATGCGGCCGCCAGGAAGACGCTCGATATCGACAAATTTTACTCTGCTAAAAGTGTCATCTAAGGTGCTTTTTCGATTTTGAGATCAAAGGTGACTTCGCGTCGCCGCCTAGCCGGCTGTGTTGAGCAGCCAGAGTGCCTTTGTTTCTAGGTAGAACTCGCCTGTCCGACTCTAAAACAGGATATTTTCTTCAGCTTGCGAATTCTGAGTCGGTTTGCCACGTGATCAATTTTTTTCTTCGTAATCAAATAAAAATGTTTCGCGGTACTAGGCTGCATTTGATTGAGCAGGGCAATACTCATTTGTTTTCTCTTCCTTGATTTTTATGGAGCAGGTTCTTGGCGTTACGTTTTCGCCGATAATAATGATCGCAGTGACTCTTTGAAATGGTGACTATCCGAAAGAAAACGTGGTTTGACCGTCTGCTGATGTGGTCTTAATGATGATAAATAGCCACCCGAGTCGCCAGTTTCCGAAAACTATTCACAAGTACCAGTTGAACTTTTTAATTTTTAGCTTGCTTTCAGCCTTTTTATAAGTTAAATTTTCATTTTTCTTGAATCTTTGATCGAGTGGGTAATTCGGGAGACATAAAGGAAAACAAATACTAGTCGATAATACAGATCAGCTTCAGGAGAAGATTTCGAGAAGTGTTTGTAAAGTACTTGATTGATAGACTTTTAACTTGGAGAGCATACTCAGCCCTAGTCATTGTCGGGAAATCTCTAAAGAGCTAATTGAAGGGAACAAGGTAAATTCTGGACATAATTATCAAAAAGAAAAAATGAGAGGAACGCGCAAGTTCAGCGAAAAGTGGCCATTTCAACCCTCCTGACCGGGCTTGTTGACAGCTCGGGTCATTAGCAATATTCAGAAATAGAATTCAATTTGCGAGGTACATGATGGCATGTGATACGAAAGCGAAAAAGACGCACTTGATAATTTCTGGGAGGACTATCACTCTCCTAGATTGAATCTTCAAAGACGTTTAATTAAGTTCACAACTGTAGTGAAATATTGGAACCTGTCACAAAGGAACGATTGGTATTCGAAGTTGTTCCTTATCTCTTCAAAGTTCACTATAAAATAATAATACGGTGATGCTACTTTGGCGTCCATTCATGGTAACCGCTGAGCCAACGTCACAACAGTTTAGTATTTGGAGATCACCATGTGTAGCACTTACATTATGCTGTATGTTTGTCGTCTCAGTCGGCGGCGATCCCGCAGAATGGGTGACCTCACGAATGCTTGCCATTGTTTCGCTTAGAAAAATGAGTTTCCTGAGCGATTCCTGACAAATATCACTTCTAAAAACACGGCCATACTAGCAAGACGCCTCTTTTGTCAGCCACATTTTTCTTTTGTCCACTATAAGTACGGTAAATACCCGCAGCTCGCTTTCAGTGGATTCAGCTGGGCAGACTCTGAATCAAATCTCGTCAATAAATTTGAATGATTTATTGAAGGACAACTTCGTTAAATTTAGTCTGTAACATAATCATTCATAAAATAGATGGTACCGTATTGATCTTTGTTCACGCGTTGCTTCTTCATCCTCTATCTAATGTACGCATCAGTGATGCGGCATCACTAAAACTAAGTCATTCTGATCTTCTTCATTGGTACTCTGAATCTACAGAATTTCAACATCAAGTCTTTCAAAGCAGAGGATAATCAAATGAGCTCATTACCGAGGAATCTGCTTGCTAAACACGAATACTCCTCAAATTCCAGCAAAATTATCCACTTCCGATGAAGGAAGAAATAGAGTCATCAGTACAATCGAGACAACAATTTCACGTCTCATTTGACGCATCTGGGCGATTTATACTCAAGTCTACGTCTCCACCCTAAATTCCTGAATAACGAGTCTTTGATTTACTCGAAAGTAAACTGCTGATCTTCTCAATCAGCGCTTGAAACGAGGAGTCCTATTAATCGAAGGTATCGAATCACAATTCAAACTTACTGGCGCATCGGTCCCGTAAATGATATCGCATGAACTTTCAACAAAACGATAAAAGCTAATGTTGTCGCCATAAATATTTCCATCTGGCAAGCCCACCGTGGTCGAAGCCTGATTCAGCTGGGATTGAGAAGCTTTTTTTTCCAGTTCGTTCTAGTAACTTCAAGTATGTCACTCAGTGGATCGCTTTCCGGTTATGTTTTCTAATCACGTGCCCACAGAACAGCCTTCACTCAAATGTGGCTAACACTCCTCATTGCGACAGAAATCCTGGATCAACTCCAGGCTTCACTGTCTTTACCTTTTGTTTAAAAAATCACCAGCTAGAATGCTACTTTGTCTTATGATGTTCACTTTCTTCTAATCAAACATGCTGACAACAATTGAATATACGAAATTTAATGACCCGCGAAGAAATAAATTATTTACAGACTTATATAAGTCACTAAATTTTGACTCTTTGTCGCAAAGAATTTGCGTTAAAGAAATTTTAATATTGATAGCATGGAAGACTGTTCTAGCATCTCGAGGAATTCACCCGATCGTGTTGGGTACAGTGCTTTTCGATCGACAGTAGAGGCCCTGTATAAGACTGCTGAGCGAAATAAATCCCGATACTGAGCGCCGCACGGGCAGCCTCGTGGTCATCCAATGTCAATTCCCAATCGCTCTTTGATTGATGCTTGCTTTATCCGCAAAATACAGATTTATTGCCTCACCTGCTTCTATTTCAAAAATACATATCGAGCTCGACAACAATGGGCTGACTCGATCACGTGGCATGTTTCTCTGAAGTTCGGTAATTTGCGGAAATTGAGTTGAATTCAAGAGAGTTGGCTTTTGTTTGTCCGGAAGTTTTTTGTGCTCGAAGATTTTCAAGGGGTTCTAAATTGATACCTAGGCATAAATGAAGAAGCTTACGTTGTTTTCGAAATTACGAAAAAAAAACGCCCACCTGAGTGTCAAGAACAGCCGTAAATCTACAAGGATTTTAATGAAGTTGTTAATACTTCTCTTCCTGATCTGATTATATTTGATATTTGGCGGAAATAAGCTCCTTCAGCAGCTCTTAGATCTTTAATTATCGTAAGGCAAGTTATCTCCTAGGAGAAATTGAAGACGTAATAAGCTACCGGTAGCACGGTACCATCTGTAGAAGAAAAGATAAGATAAGACGTCAAGAGTAAAACTAGAATTCTAGTCGCTAGGTTAATCTAGGTTTATTTTTATCTGGCGATGTTCGGCAAAACACTACAGTACCAATGACTAGGAAAGTTATTTTAACCTTGCCCTTGACTCGTTCTCCCGGCTTGTTTACTTAGCAGTTTTTCTCAACTAAAGCGTGAATATACTGAAACTCCATTTTCATTTTCGCCCGAAGACCAGAAAGGTCACCTCCTCGATCGAGTTCAAACTCAAGGTCCAAGGCTGACCTAATAGATCATTACGAGACAGCCGCAAAATTATCATAAAATTGTGCAACTATCACTCAATCCATTTTATTCTTAGCGAACAATGCTTCTTTTCAAGTTTATGAAGCGAGCAAAAACACTTTCGCGACAATGTTTCTTTACAGCGTTGGGATTTGCGCAGCATTTTAGCTTTTACGATATTCGGCTACTGAATTTTCATTGCTATTTTCCTTGACCATCACAAGCTGTTTTATACTATTTTTAAAGGTACAGAGCCGTTAAAAAATGGTCATCCTTACTATCTTATCTTTTCATTTACCCTCCATAAAGGAGTCGGAAAGCAAATCAGAATGGTGCCAACATGGAATAATAAAATATACTTGAATTTGATAAAATAATTTCTTTGAAGTTGAAGAGTGCCTCTTTTGGAGAGTGTGATATTGTTCTGGGTTGGATGCACCTGCGCATAGAGCACTCACGTCACTCAATAAAGCAAGCCTGTTAATCGTAAATTACATATTTCATCTTTCCGCTATAAAAATCAACATATCCGCTAAATCAAGCGAGATGAAAAAGATCAACTGCTTATAGCGAAAATTGCCGTTGTCCAAATTTATTGCCGGCTCAGATACGTAATTTTGCAGCGAAAACAACAAAAGATAGATTAACTACGATCTGATCCAGTTTTCAGAAGCAGACGAATTCTTGCGCAAATACAAGTAGACTTCATCGACTTATCACCAACAAATCAATCCTCTGAATCTACAAGGAAGGACTTTTATGGCCTGCCAAATATTCGCGAGGCTTCATTTGGAGGATTTTCTGTTAGACTCCTGGCAAAAGATTGTTCTCTCATCATTCAATTTTATTTGAAACTGCAGATGTTACGCACGGTCACGAGAGTTTCATTTTCATTTCTATTTTATATACGCCCCAAAGTTTTAGATTTATGGTGTTTATCCTCCACCTGCGCAAATTTGATGACGACTTTTATATCAAATAAGTGCTTTGTCAAAAGTTTTTCGGATTTGGAAATTTGTTGCTTCTAGCAAATAGGGTTGCATCAATGAAAATCAAGGAAGAAACATAACTTAAAAAAAACCTTCAAAGGCAAATATAAGAGCTTTTTTGTTTGATGTATTTGATCTGGATTTCCCGGTCAAGCGAATAAGGAAGGCATGCCAGTGTTTATTTATTGTTGCTGTCGAGCGATCGGAGATTTTGGGAGACCGGAGGGGCACCCGGACGGATGAGAAGTCAGAAGACGCCATCAGATCAAAAGCGCCATGGTAAAGGGAGACATTCGACAGTACTGTTGCTACGAGCTTTAAACACCTAAATAAACAATTCAAGTACTTGGAGCTTCATACTTCTGATTTAAATGAACCATTGACTGAGTCCGAAAACCATAAAAGATCGAATTTAAGCAGTTATACTGCATAACTTTCATTATTTTTGGGGCCCTCGAAATTTTCCCATTCTTCTTACGAGTGAAAACTTTGACTCACATCTGCAACTACTTGTGAAGAGAAGATCAATATAATTAATAGAAAGTTCACTCAATTTTGACGAAGAATCTTGAGCTTGACAAGCCTTGCTTGTCATCGAAATTTTCCCTTTTCTCCTTCGAGTGGAATTGGTGACTCAAAACTGACAATCAGCGACAAGGGCGTTTGTTCGGAGACGCCAGGGAAGCCTCTGGGACAGGTGATGCTCTCAGCACAGTCAAAGGTCGACGAGAGCCTTGAGCGTAGACGTTCGACGCTCAATTTTTGGGAATTATTTTGACAACCGTCAAGGTCGTCTTTTTTGATAATCAAGGATCGATCGTTTCCCCCTGCGAGAATTTTTGAGTTTGAAGGTCTCTCTCTCTTTCTGTTTTCTATGGAATAATACAGAAGTAAGAGGATAACCCGTTGACGCGTTGCCTCGCGAAACGGTTTTGTAAAGCCACAATTGTCATAATAATGGCGCTGGAAATATAATGAGCTCTCGCATGACCCCGAATTGCTAGAATTTTCAGAAGAAACGACTGTTAATTGTTCATGAAACAAATTTTTTTACTTGAAAACAAGCTGTGGGAGGGAATACTTTTCCTGGATCTAAAACGTTTTGTTCGAATTAAATGAAAAAGTTCCTCCATTGAGTCTGAAATCGCAAACAATTAGAGCTTTCCAAGAGCCCTCGACCGAGATTTCCGCTTATCCCAGTGCTAAAACTCTGCGGCCAGACATTGCCCTGCAAATTCTTCGAAAAATTCTCAAAAAAAAACTTTCACGCAGCAAAGTTAGAAAACTCCGCCAAAGTTTAAAGAAATTATTTTCACGCGTTAACATTTTGTAAAACAAATCTGTTCTGTTTTGCCGGCAACTCGTGTCGTGGGGCGGTTTTGGTTTAAATCTTTTAAACCGTGGCTAGTTCAGCCGAGTGCACAACAAAGTTAGTTGCTGACTTTCTTTGACGAACACAGGGGTCACATGAGGCTAGCCTAACTAGCGCTAGAAGCCGTAATTATGAGGTAATGAGGGAACCCTTGTTCGCGGTTTACAGATCTCTATTTGAACAGATTAACCCTGGGTTAAGATTTTCTCCTCTAGTATATCGGCGATATCGTAAATCACTGATGTCGTAATTTCCGCATTTCGAGTCCAGCAAGTCAAATTTATTCTAAAGCAAAATCTCTGTTATGTAATTTAGGCAGAATTTAATGTATTAAGTCAAAACAATATAACTTATTTTTTACTTATTATTTTTTAATTACTTTATTTGCCGGTTCATAATAAACAGAGCTTCCTCCCGGAAATGCTGTAAACGTATCCTTAAGATTTAACGCTTTGATAGCGATTTTTATTGTTTTGAATAAAATGAGGGTTAATTATTTCTATTCCCGGCGATTCAAATTGATGCAAATCTGAGTTGAGCATATTTTTGAAGCGGCGTTTATTGCTTCTGCAGTTAACTTTGGGAAGTGATAATATTCTGAAGCAAAAGGTACTCTAGCCAGAGTTCTTGTGACGTCAGAAACACAGGAAGTAGCCAGAGAAGTTTAGCACTTGGCCTTTTAAAAACAAGTTGTAAATGGGAATACGCGGTGTTTTCTCAGGAAAGAAGACATCATTGTTACATTCGGAGGTCTATATCCGCTCGATAAAACATGATCAGCTACTTTTTTCGCAAACCTTGTAGAATTAACGTCCCTTAGAAAAACTTCTTGTTCTGAATAGAATATTCTAGAGGTATTTTTCTTACAGACAAACCTTCATAATAGCCTAAGATTGAGCTAAATGGCTGTCAATTGAATTTATATCAGGAACCAAAGGTCGCTCAAATATGCAATTGGTTCCCACAATTTGATTTCCCTTTGTGGATCAAGGTATCACTCTGTTCCACGGGAAAAATGTTCGTTTCATAATTATGCAGCTGCATTTGTGAGACCGGAGTGGTGCTTTGGTTGTCAATAGCCCAGCGCGCATGGTAACAAATCAGTCTTCAAGTCTCGTATCAAGTTCGTTATCGTCAGTTTGTCGCGCAGACGGCTTCTGCAGTTGAAGATAGAAGGCTTGTGCAGATATTTTGAGCTTCTTCAAATTCTATATTTTATCTTTTATCACAGTTAAAAATCAGACACTCTCATAAAGGGAACTAATTTTCTTTGAGCAGAATAACGCGACAAGATTAACGATAATTCTCATTTTCGATTGAACGCTATCGTTTGATCCTGATACAAAAGCGAACGAAAACAGTAAAGTGACAGAGTAGCCTAGTTATTGAAAAATCCCAGACTTGGCCTGTGCTCAGTTGGCTCGCGAATTTCACGACGAAAAAAAAAACTGTGGAGCTCTCTTCGCCCGAGCCTGCCCTCGAGCTCCATCGAAGAGATAGAGAGCGCGAGAGTCCACTCTGAAAGCATACATAGAGAGCAACAGGCATTTATACCAAAAGATTTCTACCAGATTACTGAAAAACTGAAATTATCACAAATTGACCATTTTTCAACTTGAAAAATAGATTTGACGGTTTCTGCCGAGTTTGAAAGACAACTTCTAAGAGATCACGAAAAGAAACAAGACAACATACAAAAAGAAACGCCAAAAATACCGATTCAAAATCGACAATGAAGATACTTTCTCTTCTATTAGCGGTAAGTGAGCGTACCTATTCTATTGAAAAATGTCTATAGACGAATTAGTAGATAAGACATAATCAGAATAAAGTAAGGAAAGTTCCGGAAGATTGCGTTATCACCAAGAATAAGGACCTAAATGTAAACCTCCTTGATTGTTTTACATCTAAAACAAGAGTCGACCTCTGATAAGAGTTCGAACCTATTTCGCCAACTAGAGCAAACATAAAAACATCTACGAATATGTAGGATCAAAGCAAGCATTAGCTTCGGAAGTTCCTCCTCTCATTTTCATGTGACCGAGCGCGTATCAACCCAAAACAGCGCGGAAAAGTGCGCATTGTGCATTTTTGTGCATGGAAAATAAAATTAGAAAAATGGTGATTTTGAGGTGTGCCCACACAGGTGAGCTGTTGCAAATGCCTTCTGCACGGTCATAATTGCTCATTGGTGCTGCTGCTTGTGACGTAGGTGTTGCTCGGACATTCCTTTCAGAATATGTCACATGCACCAGCACCAGAGGCGCTCCCATCACTTCCGCCTCCACCAAATTCCACAAAAACAAGCTCTTTGAAGAACCTAATTTCAACTGTTGAACTGCTCGGTTTCAATCGATGTTGGCGGGCCGTAAATCCCTCTGATTATTTTCCTCTCACGAACAGATTCCAGAAAAGGTTGAAAATAGACAGTCTTGAAATAAGAATTGTAAAAATTCAGTGAGTTCGTAATTTACAAAGTATTCTTCGTAATGCATCTTTGTATGGCAGGTTCTTTCGCGGGCTTGTCCGTTCGTGATTGAGGTCGTTGCTTGAAATAATATTTTTGCAAAGCAAATAGCGCAACTTTTAATCCCTTTACTTTGTGTTTGTTTTATAAAGGCTAACAAAGTTGAAATCGTTGTTTAACCAATCAATTCTCCAAAAGGCTTTGTAGTACTGGGGATTGATGAATAAAAAGAAAATAACTGCCCGAACAGGGGTAAATTTGGATCAGAAGCAGGTGGACTTGATTTCGCGATGAATAGAGCCCACCAGTTCAAGAGGCATTTGAAGCTCGATAAATGGTTCATTCAGGATGGCGAATTTCCTCTTGTCAATGAACCACTTCAAGAACAAGCTCGGAATCGTCACTGCTTGTATTTGCGAAAATAGGTCAGGCGCTGATAGAGTTCCTATAGATACTATCAAAGTTCGACATTTTTGAACTTATTGATCAAATTACGCGTCTGTCATCACCAGTCAAAGTGCCATTTCCCATGTGGTTATTTCATATCCTTCTCCCTGATTTTCCCGCGCTAGAAAAATGACCTGATTACATAAGAGTTACAACGACGAACCTAATTTCACCGGTCCAAACTCCACTGAACTCTGAATAGATTTATCACAATTTTGATGCTCTAATTGTGCGAAAAAGCCTCTCTTCAAGCAGACCCTTCCTATCCATCAAAATTCTAGCTTTAAGGTTATGCAATCGCAGATTATCAATAAAAACGCCGCTGAGTAAGCCAAATTCCAGGAAATAAAATGATTAAATTAATTTATAACCAAGAGCCGCCCAGAAAAAGTTGAAAAGTTATGACAAACAAAGAAAGCAATAAATACAGCGATTGGATCTGTACTGAGTATATATGCTCAGCTCTGCACCCAGTCGCTACTGAAAACAAGCAACATCATAAAACGATCAAATCTTTATAAATCACTCAAGATCGATGTTTAGGGAGCGTTTTCCTGCGATGTCAAAAAGTGTGCTGAGGTCGGCGGGACTTCCCTCTCCCTGACAGAGCTCAACGAAGATTGGGCGAAGCGAACCGAATTTTGCCCAGCTGGTTACGGACTTGTCCGGCTTCCAGAACCCCTCGACTGCTGTTTAACCTGTGGTCGTCAAAATGGCGAGACCTGCTCCCCACTTGAGCCCTGCGACAGCTCTGTTGGCCTGCACTGCACTTCAGGAACTTGCAAACGTAAGTTAAAACTGTCCTAAGCGTCATTTTGCAGTATCGTGTTTACTTGTGTATCCGCTGTTGGCCTTTCTTAGGCACACACGGACAGCCAGGCGTCACATGAAACTGCTCTCATTGCCTCCTGCCTTTGATCAGATCAGAGTTTGGCACCCCAGTGACCGGGCTTGTCCTAATAATGCTACTTGGTAGTTGAGCAAAAGAAAATTATTTCGAAATTGGTTAGCGTCCATTCGAATCCACGGGGTCTATTTCAGCTGGTGTGAAGTCCTAAAGGTCGCCGAATCTTAATTCAATTGACATTAAAACCGCAAAAATTAGACTCTAAATATGCGGCCCTCTGATACTGTTCCCGTTCATTACATCACGGGCTGTTATTTACAGCGAATCTATTAATAACGATAGTGGTTAACCTGAATTATAGCTCTACAAACGAGACAGTGTTACGTCGACAACTACAGCCAGCCACTTCAAACTGGACAAAGCTTCTGGCAAAGTTGCGATACGGAGTGCTTCTGTCTCGAGGATGGATCCTTGGGCTGTCGAAAGTCGAAAGATAAGCGATCACCTGATCCGCAATGCATCCAAGAAGGCATCATCGATGTTGGAATGCAGAAGAAACCAGAAAATACCGTTAGGTAAGTCCTTTCGAATTGCGGAGAGCCCTTTTACGTCATAACAATTTTGACTGGTAGCCGATGATCGGCTGCCAAGAACCGCTCTTACTCCGGAAATTGGCCACTTGCTCCTTCAATTATTTCTTTGATACTGAGATTATGTGTCACATATTTCAATTTTGAGTCATATTGGAACAATCATTACTAGATATCCTCGTTGAGCCTTTTTAGTAATTTTATGGACTGAAGAATTTAGGCATGTGATTGATGTCTGAGAGATTCTGGCGCGTGTCCCCGGCCGTAAACTCGGAGTAATCAACGTTGGACTAGGCCCAACTTGGCCAGACTTTCATTAACATTCCTAAACCGTAAATCATCGCAATTTTTAGAGAGTGGCGACCAGCTGACCCGGAGAAAGGCATCAAAAGCTGCACGATTCAGACAACCAAGTGGTCTGCTTGCTCAAGAACGTGCGGTTGGGGATTTTCTGACCGTCTCTCGAATAACAACAAAGAGTGTGTGATGGAGAAGCAAATTATGCTTTGCAAACTTCGAAATTGCGAAAGTGAAGAGGCAGCTTTGAGCCGAAGAACAAGGTAACACTAAAATATATCAATTAATCCTTACAAATGTCAATAGAAATCTCCAATCTCGCCGAAAGTTCGCCTACGGTGGACCTCGATCCCGAAGCCGTCGACAACTCCCCATCTGCAAGATCAAGCAAAACAAAGTCCGAACCAGCCGAGACACGAAGAAGTCGCTCTCCTTCTCCGGCTGCCGAACAAAGAAGCCTTATCAAATGCGTTTCTGCCCGCAATGCCCCGGCACCCACTGCTGCCCCGATATGGAGCCCGTCGCTGATAATAACGAAAAGTACAAAGGATTCAAGGTCAAGAAGATTCAGTTTGTCTGCGACGATGGAGTTAAGTTTAAGAAGAAGCTCATGGTCATCAAACGTTGTGTGTAAGTACCCTTGATTCTCAAAAAATATTATCTTCTTTCAAAACCTCTGAATTGCTTCTAAATCCTCATTCTAGATGCGGCCCTCAATGCAAACCAAGAATGTCGCTCTTCTCCGGACGACGCTTCGACAGCTACTAAATTCGACAACGCCATCTTGTGAGCAGCAACTGCACTGACTTCCTCGCGTCTCGCATTTCTTTACGTTCGTAACCTTATTCCCACCGCCTCAAAAACTACGAATGCCGTCAAGTTGGTTGAACAAGTCAAAAAGCACAAAAAGACGGCTCGAACAAAGTCTCATTCTCGCGTCATCAACTTCCATGCGCGCTTTTCATTGGCCGAGCGAAATCTGCTCTCCAGTGCCACCTACTCCTCAAACAAGCGAAAACTCGCGGTATCCGATTTTTCTCTTGCTCTTTTTTCATATTACCATTTTTATGTATGCAAAGCTATTTTACTCCAAAGACACAAAAACTGAAACCTCAAGAATTTTTTCTATAAGAAAAGATGCTTGTGGTAATTTGTGAAATGAAAATGAAGTTGTTTCGATGACAGTGGAGCCTTTTGTCACGAACAACTGGCATAACACTTGATACAGTATCCGATTTACCAGTCCCTCCGTCTAAACTTACACTTTTATTTTCCGAAATTCTAAAAAACCCAACTGCAAATTTACCTGTCACGAAGAAAAGATAAAAAAGAACAAAATACTTATTTCCCAAAGCCCTTCAGTGCCTCTTCTCTCCAACAAGTTCACATGTATAAGTTACGATATACAAATGCTTGTATATAAAACGATATATACCCGCTGTGAACGAATAATGTCGTCATATCATCGCCCATTCAATGACTCTTGTTCTTGAAACATATTTCAAGACGAGTTTGTTCCTTCGTTGCACTATTTCGCTGCGTCATCCTTTTTTATATTTTTAATATTCATGAAAGTTCAATCCACTGTATTAAAGAAATAACTTAACGTCCTCTTTTGATCACTCTTTACAGCTGTTCTTACCACAATGTCTATTTCACCTGGATCTGTGTCTACAATTTAATGTAAATAAAGTATAAAACGAATAAAAATAGCTTGAGTTATTTTTAAAATAAGAAAATAGACGAGTAGAGCAAACTTGTTTTGATCAGACCATATTCGGTAAAAATTATTATTGCCAGCAGTGAGAATTTTATGTGCGAAATAAAATAAAAAGACTCAGATGTAGCCATTTTTCAAAGAGATGTAATGACGTTGTGTTACGATAACGACTCGCTCGTTATATTTTACTTCGTAAATATCAAGTCCCTTCTTTGATAGCCAAATCGTATTTTCTCCGGAAGCGATTTCTGTTCTGTCCGAAGCAGTTGTAAATTTAATACCTTGTCTTTGAAACCACAGACCGTAAATTTACCACTTGAAAGCGGCGCCTCACCACATGAAATCTCCATTTTTATCCGTATTAAATTGTTAAAAGACAAGAGATAGATCTGCAACATCATTTTTCTTTCTGAATTGCGATTCATCGCCAAATTTGCGCGAATTAATTTCGAAATTTCAAATTTCCGTCAGCCAGTCAGTGTTCATGTACTAATCTTAAGTTACGAGAATTATAGGTATCAATATCAGCTGTAAACGATCGATATCGAGGTTTCTAGTGGAGATGTCATACTTGAGATGTTCTTTGCGGGATAAAATTGAGAGAAAGCTTGTCCTCCGGACCGCTTCTATCGGAAACAATCGATCAGCCCCAAACTCACTCTGAGGTTTTCTCAAAATTTTTGGTTCTTTTGCCTCCCAAGTCAAACAGACCATCAGAAATAAGGACTTTTTCGTAAGAAAATGTTGTCGTTTCCGACAAAGCCGCTGGGTCACAAATGTGACAAGTTGAAATGTGAAACATGAGTACACTGATTTATAAATTATCGTCACAAGCAGTAAATTTTTGACACTTTTCATCGCCTTTGTTGGTTTGAATCTTCTTCATTCCGTGTTTTCTACTTTTATGGGTAAGAAAATGAAATATTAGATTTTAAAAACTCGAATACAAAAGACAGTTAGCTATCGTCTGAAAATGGTAAAAAGGGCCATCTGCTCTGCGGGAAGGGTCGGGCAGACTTGAGTGGAAACACGAAGAATGATTGAAGAGCAACAGATGCACCTGTTCCTTTTTTGTTAATAGAGGGCTTTTCTTTCTCCAGATTGACGCAAATCGTAACGCTAGTGGATTTTCAAATTTTGTTTCGTGAAAACTCGTAGAATAAAACACACTTTTGCGCCGCGGGTGAGCAAAGAGCTTTGAAACCACGGCAAACGATAAGCCCTTTTCGCGGTCGCTCCACGATTTCACGGGTTGTTTTCGAACTGGCCATACATTTGCAGCTCTAAAACTACTCATAATAATCAGCTTTAATGATATTGTTAGTTCATAGTCAACTTTAGACCTGTTGTTTAGTAGGGAAATTTCCAAGTAGGGCAGCAAAGTCTTGAATTCAAGAAATTAGCTACTTGATCGATCAGAAAAGACAGGACCGTTCATCAATCGTGTGAAAGGACCTCGGGGGATGCAAGTTTCAGGTCGCTGCGAACTTTGGAACTCGTGTCAACTTAACAAAGTACTTGCCGGAGTCATGAATTACCGTACTTTATTTTGTGAACTCCAAACCGAAAACCGTTCAGCTGTAGGAATTTCTCAAAGGGTAAGCTCTCCCAGGCACTCCTGTAAGCCACAAAGCTTAATAGAAGAGATTCGGATTAAAAAGTTCAAAGGAGAGAAGTCTGATCTCGTATCAATAGGAGTATCCTTCAATGAAACAAGTGAATTCTTCATTATTTATGCGATTTCGAAATGGTATGCGGTAAAATGTCACAAAAGATCATTTTCGAGGAAAGATGGTAGAGTTTCGCGGATGCCTAGAGCAGTCAATGAAGAAAACAAAGGAACTACTGGCCGTCTCAAGAGCAATGATCACATTGCTAAAGTGGTATTACGTCGACAATTAGCAGTTTATTCAACCACAAAACAGGACACACGTCATCATTGTATTGATTGACAAATGCGGCTCTGTTTCAAAAAGTTCAACTTGCTCACCACAAAAGAACACCTGCAACGGCAAAAAACTTGAGTTGAGAAAGTTCAGATTCTTTTACCGCGAAAACTGAGACGCGCCGAAATCTGACAGTGTTTTGCGTGCAATTGCATCTTTTTATCTGTGCGGAGGAACATTCTTGCGCCCTGAGTAATTGAAAATATTTTGTTGTGACCACGCGGTGCGTTTAAAAGTTTCTACCTGAAAACAAGGGAAATCAAGGAAAGGAAAAGACAGATGTTACAGCTCATTTCGATCACCTTCGTTGTCACAATTACTGTTTATTGACAGAAGATAAAAAGAGGTATTTAAAAATAGAGCTGCACCAATATTTGGTGCGCGCATTAGGTACAGTTGAAAGTCGTTTTGATGAAGAATTTTTTGAAGTGAGAAAATAAAAGACAAATGATTTTTAGTAAACAAGGCAGAAATTATCAGAAAGTTAGATTGTCAAAAAAAGTGTAAGAAGGTCAAAAGTACAGTTAAATAGTTTTCATTGAGCATTTTGATAGTGACTATTCCGTAGGTCTGAAATTTTTTGTTGGTCCTGAAATCGCGTTATTTATGATAACAAGTAGACAACAAACCCTTATTTAGAGAAAAGCTGCGTTGATCCCTTTGTCATCCAGCTCCTAGAATTTTTCAAAGGTTGATTGAGAGTCTTTTCGCCATTTCGTATCATTTTGGCGCGAAGCTTTGCGAACGTCTCATCTGATAATTCCGAAAACTCAATTTCATTTGGATCGTTCGTTTTAGCTTCTTCGTAGAGTATTGATTGACTAGCAGGGATGAATGATGGATTAAAAGTGTGCTTGAATACCTTAGTTTTTTACAGATATTGACTTTGGTTCTGAATTGTTCGAGGTCTGTAAGATACAAGTCGGCTGCTTCTTGGTTGGCCGGATTTTCAGTTTCGATTTTCAAAAAAATTCGTCTCATCCAAGGAACCACGTGCCAGATTCTATCTTTCTGAAATAATGAATATGAAACAGAGAAGCTCTAATGAAACTTACGTGTCTTTGCCACTTTGGAATAAATTTGTTGAATTCTAGCTCGCCCGTTTTTTGATCGACGAGAGGATGGAAAATCGGAGGATCGAAAGCGACAAAGGGAGGCTTTTCATTTTGGGGGAAATCGTGAGGAATGTGAATTCGAAATTTGAAAACTGCATCACTGTAGTAGCCTGAGCGGACGAAGATGACGCCGAACCAGATGAGCGTCGACTTGGCAGATGGAATAATGTAGACGCCGGTGTGCGGCCCGTTTTTCTAAAAATAGTAAAATGACCTCTGAAATCAAGGAAGAGTACCTGAAGGAGTCGGTATTCAGAGAGGAGCTCGTACTCGACGAGAAACTCTTGGAACAACTGTGAGCTTGGAATGCTCTGTTCGCGAAGCTTGTCAAGCACCTTTTGTCGAGCACCCTCCATTCGTTTTTGCTCCGATTTAGCTGCCAATTAGCTGAATATGAAAGTTAAGTGGATCTTGATTTTCTGTTTTTATTGAAAGTTGAATTCACAAAAATATAATCAAACAACAAAAATGGAAGAATGTTTGTTAAGGAAACTGACTTTGACAGGAGAGATATCAGTCATCAAGATTTTTAAACTGTTAGGGCAGTAATGGTAACTAAAATACACCCTAATTGTATAATTACAGAAGAGGTCACCCAAAATCACCCGAAAGCGGAAAAGTTGACACTGTTTGAACTTCACTCAGAAATGATAAGTTTCTTTGGACACGTAGGAAAAGGAATATTCTTTATCGGAAGATTGTACAAAAGGACTGATGGTAGACCTTGTTTCAACTTAAAATTCTTTGAATGTTTTCTTCTTTCAACTAAATTTTTGGCATAATAAATGGACGCCACCACGAGTTAAATTTTTTTAAGGCAATTCTGTGAGTTTTTAATTAGAGTTTCTCCTGGGGAAGTTTTAAAGGAAAAATAATTTTCTGAACTCGGGCCAGGCCGAAATAGAGCGGGATAGAGCTTTAACTTAAGAAAAAAAAATATAGTAACGAGGGTTCTGTGTTTATGGCTACTTGGAGCAATTAAAGCAGAGGAACTTGTGGCGGATTTTCGACTCTGGCATGTTGAACAGGTTTTTGCAGCGCTCGCATTGCGCGTAAGCCCCGGTGTTCTTGCAACTGTGGCCTCGTGCCGCTGCCAAGTGGTGATGCAAGTGCGGAATACTTTGCTGCTGGCCGTTGCTGCTCGAGCTTTTGGAGGGTTCGTACGGAGTCACTGCGGGGTTGACTTTGATCACGTAAGTCTTCTTTGGTGAACTGCTCGGTGCGATTTGAAGTGTTTGGATCACACTGGTCGTAAGCGGCGCACGCTGCAGCTTCGTAGGTGATCGGTAGGTCTGTTCTTGTTTGGAACTTGAAGGGCCACAGTCAAGGCGGAATTGAGGGCGGCTCGAGTTCGATCCTGGTTTTCTGGAAACGGGAGAGAGGATGAGCACGCGATCGGAAGGAACCGCCTAGGATAAACTTATTAATTTGTCCATCGTCTGCTGGGTTACCTGTTGTAGAGATTTTATAACTCTCGTCGGGATCGCAGAACCAGAGGGACAGTAACGTATTACAGATTGCCGCCGCTCCTGAATGTTTGCCCGCATCTCAGCTAAGGTCAGTCCTTTCTTGATATTTTGAGATGTGCCTTGATGCGGCGCTGGGATGAGTTGAGGGATGGGAGGGAGGTTCATCGTCAGAGGCTTAACCTTGGGGCTGATTTTGGGGCAGTTCTTGGGGATTTGGGGCATGGGTCGTTCTGGGCTGGTGATTCGATTTGTCTGCGGCGATTTGACGCATGCAAAAGGAATCGCAAGGACAGGATTCTCTTAAAAAAGAAATTAAAATCGAGAAGCATAAATTTCCTCGTACCTGAACCTGATAAGTTGGCCGATGGCGAACATGAAGGACCTCTAGAAGCAGGCGAGTCGGAGGAAACTTGAGAGGACGTCGCCGGAGAGACGTTGACTGAGCTGCCATGATGTTGCGTTTGTTGCATCGAGCTCACCACAGCCTTGACGATAATAGGGCGCGAAACTATCACCATCTTCTGTGAGACTTTTACGCCGTTGTCCTTCCTCAAAAGATCTGGCGGTACATTAACTGCAGGTACAACCGATCGAATCACGTTGAATGGGACCGCTTTTGGTTCGTTGGCGGAGGAAATCGGAGGAGTTTTTATTAATCTTTGCGTAGTAGTAACAGGGTAGTTTTGCTCGGGTTTTTTATGCTCGGGACTTGATAAGGTTTTGACTGCTAGTAACAAAGTTCAAATTAAGTAATCCTCCATATTTGATATCTCTTGGGTAAAATTTTGAACTGTTCCTTGAATCGCCTGCCAGGACTTGATGACATTCTCTTCAGTAGGCGAAACGGGCGAAAAAGGCTGTAAAGGTAAATGAAAAGGCGCTGGATCTTGTTTAGGTTCTGTTTTTGGCGACAAAGTTTCAGTGCGATCAGGTGTGTACTTCTTGGGCGAGCATCGTGTACTTAAACACGACTTTTATCTCTCTGTATCAAAAGATCTTGAATACCTTAGCTTAGAAATGGCGTTTTCAAGATGGCGGAGTTTCTCCGCTTGGGCGTCTTTCCGAGGATCTTCCTTTTTCATGAGTTCTCCCCATTTTTCCTCGAAGAATTTCTCTTTCCACGGATCGATTCTACGGCGCCCACTTTCTATGTTCAGACGGGCTTTCACGGCGGAGGTAAATTCACCGTCGGCGATTCTTTCAGGAAAAGATTGAAGTGAACGCGAGAAAAACTCGTTTGAGAAAGCGTCGCGGGATGTAGATGGCATTCCACTTTCGTCGATTTCTACATCACAAGAAGGGAGTAGCTTGAGTAACTCCCACTGAAATCGAAATCAAGAACTGGGGGAAAATATCTTTTCTACCTTCTGATGCTGGCCGAGCCCATGAAAAGCCTCCTCGTTGATTAATTCTCTCAAATTCACCCCAGTGAGAGGCGTTTCCGGAGCAAGGAGATCCTCTGTTGATATTTTTCTCTGCCTGACATCGGAAAAGTTATCTTTCTTCTTCTTCGGTCTCCCTCTTTGTGACGATTCATAGGAGGATGTTTTCCCAGAAATTGATTGATTCTTGCGCTTCGTTCCAGTTTTGCTCTTGGATTCAACTTTGGGTCGAAACTTCAACAGACCAAATTTATCATTTTCGGAGTAAAATTGGTCTTGCGCTTGCTCTAAATAACGAAATAGTGAAAAAATCGATTTTGGCAAATCAAAAATTATTAATTTTGATCGAGACAGCCACCAAGTCCCTTGAGAAAGAGCATAAGAAATATATACGGGGCTCATAACTGCTGAATAAATCAGAGAATTGAGGAGCTTTAGACTTGTGTATTATTTCATGGGAGACAAGGCTTACCTAATGATCGGCGCAGGGCGTCGCGCTCATCAATTGAGCCCTTTATTGTCTTGAGCTTGGCACTTTGGATCTGTTTGAGCAGATCGGCGATGTCAATTTCAAGTGGCTTCGACAAAGTGCTGCCATTTGCCGTTGCGATATTTTCGATCACTTTTGCTGCAGCTTCAACCCTTCAATTAGACAATCAGAAACAGATTATATTAAAGGCATTTTACCATCCAGGTTCACGTCGTTTCCGCGTCCGTGATGCGGACATGCGACCGGTTCCGACCCAACAGTTCGTTAGTTTCTAAAGCAAATCAAAAGTTACTTTCATTTTCTGAGCTGATTTAGTTTAAGCTCAAGAAACAGAATATTTTCTATTACAAATTTCCGCTCCTTCGCATTCTAGCTTGAGGAAGACCTCAAGTTCGCGGTCGTTCGTTCTTCTTCTCGAGATTTTCACGGTTCCTTCTATCGCCGAGCCACATTTGACCTGTACCGGTGAGTCAAACATGAACAGCGTTTGCTTCCAATGCGTAAGAGTCGAGTAAGGCGATGTTGAGAGAACATTGACGAATGTTTCTGGGACACTTTCCGCACTTTCCTAAACCCACTTTTTATTCATGTTTCGTTTCTTGATTATCTAACCTTGACAACAGTCTTTCCCATCAACTGCGCCAAGTACGGATTCGTCGTCTCGTCGTCATCGACTTTAACCATGTCACAATCGAAAGAACAGCCAATTCCGTGAAGCTCTCCTTCAATATTACTTTCCAGGTACAGCTTTTTGGAGAAAGAAAGATCTTCCTTTGTACATGTATTTAAATTCCACTCGATTAGCCGTTCTAGCGGAGAGACCACTTCTGATGATTTGATTTCAAGCACCTGGTGAGCAAGATTTACAAACAGCTGGAAATTACAAAAAACATACTTTTGCTTCCTTATGCGCTCTAGCTTTCATCGTCTTCATTTTGAAGCCATAGACATTGTCCCAAAACCCTCTATGAGTATGCCACAAGTTCTCGCTGCTCACTGCGAAAAAGTCGAGTCCAGCTGTTCCCGGCATCATGTGCCCTCCATGTCGCATCACTTTGTCCCTCACGTCGAGCACTGTATCCAACATTCCTTCGTATAAACAGCAGTAGCCCATCCATTCCGAAATGATAACATCGGCTTTTGGCAGAGTGCAAGCGATGTCTTCGGCCTTGCCTTTGATGACTTTCACTTTGTCGGCCAAGCCATTTTCACGAACAACGTCAATCGCGTCGAATGCGATTTCTGACATTTCTAGAGCGTAGACAATTTTCGCGCCTGCCTGAGCGGCGAACATGGATAAAATACCAGTTCCTAGAAATTAATTTCTTCAACCTAATCTTTAGCGGCTTTCCTACCACATCCAACATCTACCACGACTTTGTCCTTGAACAAATGCTGATTTTTCAAAATCACGTCTCTGTAGGCTTCTGTTCTCGCTTTATCTTGAAGCATTTCAGCGTGAATGCCATAATCAGCGTATGAATCAAAGTATCCATCGTTGAGACGCCCTTGGCCGATTTCAGTTTCTTCGAGAAGCTTTTTGATCTCTTCTTGGCGTCGTTGGACATCAACTTGGGCCGTGATAGAACTTCTTTGATGGTCTTGAATCTATACCAGATTTTCTATTCAAAAATTCTCAAGAGACACGTTCCTTGGGATATCTTTATTATCTCCACTCGCCATCAGATCATCATCATCATCTTTGACCCACTGATGCATCAAGAACGGATCATCGGGAATAACGGGCTTGTAAAACTCATCTTTGTCCCATTCAGCTTTTAAATCGCCCTCCAACGCGCCTTTTGAAGGGGCTTCAGTAAATTTCTGTACACGGCAGTAATTGATGACTTTTATGAAATCGTATTCCCCAATTTTCAACTCATCTAAATTCAATAAAGAGACCGCAGGAGAGATAATTCGAACCTAAGCTCCAGCCAAAAACCCTCTTATCCGAAGCTAGGCATTCCTCTACGCTTCCCTCAAACAAACTAAACAGGGATCTGCACTTGACAATTTCGTCTTCTTCTAACTCAGGAGCATCAGACCAGTCGGAGTCACTGTCACAGCCGCTCATTCTACATTTGATAAAAGAGGTTTTTAAACCGCATTTTCAGGACAGCTGATGTTTTTTATTTTTTGTTTGGTTCAAGCGTGCTCAGTTCGAAAATGCGAAATTAGTTGAAAAACGCAAAAATCAGATTGGATGAAGACAAGTTTATGAAAGAATATGAAGACAAAGCATGCTGTAAAAAAGACACACAAAAAGGTAGTAGCTCTAAGAAAGAGGGGCTCTTTCTTTTTTTTGGGTTCAGGTTCAGAAGTTCGATGAAGTAATGGCACATGAAGGCACTGTACAACACAGTCAGAAGCGGGAGTATTTAATTGGATACTTAAAGGATTTTGTTAATTGTTCATACGTTGAAGAGATTTTGAAAATCGAGCCTATGAGTAGCGTTAAATTCTAGGTATAAAGCGATCACATTCAAAATATAGCAAGGAAGACACTGAAATGTTCCATATTTTATTGCAAGCACCAATTCTACTATCTTCGACTATGATATCAGTGCATATAAATATAGAAAAGGATTGACAAAAAAGTGCTCCTGCGAGGAAAAAAAATAAGTTAGTTTCTTGCTTAGTTCCTGCGATGGCCAGAAGAAATTTGTGACTGACACAGAAATTGATCGAAGGTAATGTAAGTTAGCCGAGATAAAACAACGATTGCTTTTGCAGAAAAAAGTGAAAATAAACAATTATATTAAAACTAGTTGAAGCCATATGAGGTAAGTATTGTTTATCCGTTTCGTTGCATGAAAAGTGAGAAGAGGAAAATACAAGTACAGTACAGTAGAATTTTGGAGTGGAGCAGGTTTGTTCGTTTTTTCGAGTTTGAACGGGAGAATAGATTATTTAGCACTGCCGTGGAGATTACTCAAATCCGTAAGCTGAAAAGAGGGTTAGTGGCTGACAGACAGGGTGTGCTAACCTGTGAGTTTCCAACCGGGGAGATGGCCTTGCCCTCAGCCATAGATTCTTTTTGGTCTTCTCCTCCGTCGGAGTCTGAATCCGAATCAGAACAAGTCTCAGAATCGGTATCAGAGTCAGAGTCACTATCCGAGTCGTCATCGGAATCGCTATCATCGTCCGAGTCATCATCGCTGTCGCTCTCGCCTCCGGAAAGATCACTGACGGCGGGAGAAACCATCGCGGAATGATTCGATCCGTCGGAAAAATTGGAATACAATCGGGGAATCGCGTGTAGTTCTAAAATGATGAGATTAATTGAAAATGCAGATGAGTTGTTTTCGTACCAGAGTGGAGATCGATCTCCTCTTTCGTCGGCTCGTCAATGACTTCATGGACTTCAGACGATGGTGTTGGAAGAGTGGTTGTGATGTCGACTAGTTGACCCCTTTTTCAGAGAAATTTAAATGAATCGCTTGATTTTTAGTTTTTGAGTGACTATTGCTATTGAGAGAAGAAGGGAACAAGGGAAGTGAAGAAATTTATTCAAGGCAGTGGAAGTCAAAAATGAATGAGTTTTAAAAATAGCTTAGAAGAGGAGAAGTGGCTGAAGTTGTCTTTCTCCGTTCCTGAAATTATTGATGGAAGGCATGGTTTGCGACGTGCGAATCTGCCCGAGCCCAAGCATTGGCCGACTTTCGACCGATGGAGACATCATGCTGTCACCTAGAATCATGATGAGAACTTTGAAATATTTCATGATGTTACCGATATTGCGTTTTCTTGAGAATAATCGTGGGATTCCCAGCTCATCAAGAAGTCTATGAAGCGCTGCCTGTTGCTTGATTCGTTCTATATCGAGCATTCTTTCAACGGATTGTAAGCTCTGAAAGTGGCATGTTCAAAGAAATCGAAATTTTAAATGGAAAATACCTTGACATAACGATCAAAAGCGGTATTTGGATCCCACATTTCTTCACTTGTTGATTCTGTTCGCTCACGAGCGGAAGCAGCTGCTAGTGAGGCTAAATCATCAGCGCCAGCATCGAGCGTATGATTTTCAGCTGGAAGGGGAAGAGTGGAGATGATTTCATACACGACCGAGTTTTTCGTGTATCTGATGTTTGAGCTAGAACAGGATTAGTTTAATGTCGCCTTGAGTATTTTTGAAGTTGCAAAAAATGACATCAAAGAGGTCTTCTTCAAAAATACTCATAGATGATTTCTAAAGCCACTCAACAATCCTGTGGAAAACCAGCATGATCAAAACTGACACTCAATTGAAAACTAAAGGACGCTCCTTTTGTTACACGCAACTATCATAAGTTAGGCAAATGATTGTTTTCCTTTTGGTAGTATGAGATTCTCACCGTAACAAATGCTCAAGTCTATTTTTGTTACTATTCGATAGTAAGTAAGATGGAATAGTGGATGTTTGTATGGATTTTTGACTGAAAGAGTGAGTCCTTTTTAATATTTAAAAATGAACTACCTTAGTCGTAGATTTTTCTTGAGACTTTGCATCAGTCCACGACGTTGTGGTTGAATTGCGACTTGAATACGCTTTCGAAGAACAATATCGCGCTCGACAGGTAAATTGATACGGAGACGCACCGAAACGACAAGATACACTTGAGCGTGCCCATCGGGCTTGTTCAAATTTTGATGATCGTGTACCGAGCTATCCCAGGCAAAGACTGCATGCGTTCCTCCCTATATAGAGTTGAAATGCTGAATGAAATTTGCATCAATACCTGTTCTCCCCAGCAGTTTTTGATCATAGAAAGGTTGAACATTTTCTCTTCGTTTTCACCGGGAAGAAGTGAGTTCGCCCCTGGCGCATAATCTTCGGGCATATCTTGGTCAAGGCCGAGATAGAGCACGGGAACATGGACCTAAAGATGTTGAGAAAAAAGGAAGAAATATTTTCATTTACCTCAGTTCCGGGAGCAACAGGACCATCATCCGGTTCCGGAGCACCAGGCATGCCAGATTGCGCTTGAGGAACGAGCACGCTATTACGCTCTTCGGCTAAAATAGCAACCTGCTGAAATAACGCACTTTCACGATCAACATCCGTCTGCTCTTTTTGCAACTCGGCGTCAAGCAACGCTTTCCGCTCATCCAGCGCCGAACTCCATTTTTCCCGCAAATTCGCCAAATCATGCTCTTGATACGAATCAGGTGTCTTGATTTCAGAGAAATTGTCTCCGTCAATGAGGATCGAGCCTATTTGCGCAGCGTGTATCTCACCCAGAACAAGTGGGAGTTGTCCCTTTTCAACCTGCGGCGTTGTGGATATCAAAAGCCGGCGACTCATTCCTGCTCGCAGCTGAAAGACACCTCCACAACTAGTATCAAGCTTTTCAACTTCTACTGGCTGGTAGTTTCCGTCATCGAGTTCTTGAATTTCTACATCCAGCTTCACTCTCCTCGAAACATCAGACCAACGTTCCGCAAGACTTCTTCCTTCTTCCTCAACTGCGCCCCAATCAATTCCAGCCTCTTCCCTCTTTTCTCGAGCTCTGTATCGATCTTGGTGCCCCAGTACTTCGATATTCAACGCGCCACGCTCAAACTCGCCGAGGATGTGCGGCTCAAGATTGATTGTGAACTCTTGCGTATTTCGATAACGCACGTCAAGACGATCACGATCCGTTCTCGGTGACATCGTCTCATCAATAATAGGATGCACGGAGACGCGTTTGTTTGTTCCGGGAAAAGTGTACTGGCATTCGACGAAATGGGCCAAAGTCGGGCTCAATTTCGTTGCTTCAAGTACTTCAACAACGACGGTTATTTCGTTACTGTCACTACTAGGAGTTGACGCAAGATAATCTTCTTCGTCTTCTGGGACTAGTATTCTTCCAGCTATCCTTTCTATCCTCACAGAAAGCTTTCCAGCCGAAGTACCATTGGGTGAGACAATTGGTGACGTGTACTCAAAGGGTTGATTCAAATCATAAAATAGTGATTCCAGGTAGAAGGAAGCAACGCCGACTAGACTTTGTTGCTGATCATCAGCAAAAAGATCAGCTCGAGATGGAGCGTCTGGGCTCATCGGAGATCGAGCAAGGGAGACATCGGAAGACATATCAGATATATCCTCTTCAGAGGAAAGGGACAGGATCTCAGCACGCATTTCATTGAGACGATCTTCAAGCTTTTCCACCGTCCAAATAGTATCCTCACGGCCAGGGCGCTGAAGTTTGATGGCAGCCTATCACGGTTGACATAAAAGAGGAACTTCGACGACAAAAATATGTCGATTCGAAAACTAATCATCAATCAGTAAACTCTCATTACTATTCAACCTTTCCTGACACAGTAGTTTCGGCTCATTATCGGTACTTGGTCCGAGTCGCGAAGGAGGTATTCGCAGGGTTACAGAAAACTTGACAGATTTGTCCAACCGGGTGCACAGACTATTCGCCTCCATCACCATATGCTGCGCCCTTGAAAGATCTCCTTTGAGTAGACGCACGCCTTCTTTTAGCCTTTGTCGACGCATTCGCCGTTCACGTTTTGCTGGGGACTCCTTTTTCGCAACACTTAGTTCGCTCTGAAGTTTCCCGATCACGTCCTCGTAGTGGCTTCTTTCTTTGTCGTTGATACCTGAAAATGGCTTGATTAAAATTCATTAACCTCCACCTTGGTTAATTCTTAATAAAGCCAGAAAACTTTTCAGCTGCGAAAAGTTCACCAATTTTCAAAAAGTTATGCGTCTGTGAAACTGTGCTCCACCAGTAAAATAAATTCATTCACCAAGAAAAACCTATTACCAATTGATGAGCGTCTGATCGTATGAGACCCTAAGATCTCCGTGATTAATGTTATGATAATAGAGTGTTAGCTAATGGATTCAAATGGGCCGGTTACTCTGTCATTTTTACCTCGTCTCTTGTAGTGATACTCGGTGACAGAGTCAAAATTGTATTGATCTGTCGAATTTTCTACAGTTGAATGTCTACAGATTTTTATTTTCTCCTAATGTACCTGTAATGACAGTTGTAGCACCATCGTCATCTAGAATCTGATTCTCGAGCTGCTTGATTGTCTCTCTCGCACTGTCAGGAAGTTGGTTCATCATCACTTCTCTCTGGGCGGCCTCAAAGTCACACACCGACTCGTTTGCTGGAGTCTGCACTTGAACCTTTTCCCACGGAACTGTCAGTTTAAAATAGTGATTCGAACCCCAGAGGAGTCGGTCGCCAGTTCTCAGCGGCGTTTTTTCGCTTGTTTTCATCCCGTTAATGCAGCACATTGCTCCATCTTGTGGCGTCATGGATATCTGCTCGCCTTCGATTGTGATAATAGCGTGACGCTCCTCTATTCCGAAGCTTTGAAGTCTGATGTAGCAATCGGCAGATGATCCAATCACAGCTTCACCGCTTTCAGGAAGATTGTAGACCAACATTTCGGTCATTGCCTGGTCAGGATGAAGATTGACAAGAAACGCTTGCTTGCCAGACATTTTGATTCCCTTAGACGACAAAGAAATGCCCATCGATTGAAGAGTTTCTTGACGAGTTTTGGTAATTTTTCGGTTTCTCGAACGCGCTCATCCCATGGCTTTTCAAATTCTGAGAGGAGCTTCTCTGACTCTGCGAGCTGCTCTTTCCTCTCTACTTTGCTGCTCGTGCTTGTGGGCGAAATCTCAGTAGCTGGAGATAGTCCGCCGCCGCCTCCAATGAGCGCTTTGAGTCTTGCTACTTCTTCGCGGAGCTCTCTTATTATCTTCGTATTTGGATCCTCGTTGATGACCGCTTTGTTGACAATCTTTTTTGCTCTGTCGGCGTATCTCAGGGTAGAAAGAGTCTCTTCATAATTATCCGCGGCCGGTGAAATTGTCGCAACCATCACAGTTTTCGAATTTCCTCCGAGGCAGTCTTTGAGCAGCCAGGTGAGGACACTATCACGATACGGGACAAACTTGCTTTTTCCACTTGCCAGAGCTGATATCACAAGCCCGAGCGTACTCAGCGACTTATTGATATTGGAGCCCTCTTTTAGCCGATCGCCCGCTGCGCCAGTTTTCGAAGCTCTTTCAGACCCGGCCAAATCGACAAGACTCAAACGAGAGCATTTCTCTCCCACTAGCTCGCCGACCTTTTCTTCTTGAGTGATGTTTACAGTGAAGACAGAGTGGGAACGCGAGGACTCCGAGTTCATGTTAGTCGCTGCGATAGTTCTTGATTTGCCACCTTCTTCTATCAATTCAGCGATTTTGGAGGCATCTTGCACGACGGTTTTTACAAGCCCGTCAACATAGGGTCCCGTTGAAGCATGCTCACGGACTTTCAGAGGCTTCTTATTCCCAGGATTCAGTAAATCTCGCACCTTCTCGTTGTAAATCTCGAGGTAACTAACCTCAAGACGAAAGCTCATACTTTCCGAAGTTTTCTCTTCCACATATTTGAACATTTCAGCCGATATCCTTGGAATGATTCCCTCCTGCCCAGGACAGCCCATCATTGAGTATGATTTGCCTGACCCAGTTTGTCCATATGCGAACACGCAGGCATTGAAGCCAGTCATTGCATTTTTCAGGACGCGTTGACCTACATTGTCGAAGACAACTTGCTGATCCGCGAATCGGGCTTGCTTAGGATCCATCGACCAGAAGGAGTAGTCAAATGCGAAGACCTAGAAATAAACTAGATATAGAAACGCTTTAGAAAGGTACCTTATCATTTTTATGCGCGACATGACCATCGATCTGCTTCAAAATTGTCTGATTCGATTGCATATCTATACAACATGATGTTCCGAGCGCAATTTCTCGCTTGTTCATCGGGCGGACGCGCACCGCAACAGTGACAGATTCGTCCCCCATTTTGTTTTCTTCCTTGCTATCAATTCAGTTCAAGTTGAGTTTACGAATATTGGACTTGTTTGAAGTTGCGAGCCATCAGAGTATCTAACAAATCTTCTCTTAATAACTCCGTTAGTTACCAGAAGGATGGAACGAAAGCAGAAATTGAAATACAGGGGTATTGCACAATAGGAAACTATCGGATTGAAGCATTCAGATTTAGAAAATTAAAAAGTGTTTTTCGAAAGGTAAATTTTCTCAATGATAATTATTCGGATGATGCTAAAGCAACTTCGGCAGCGTTTGAAGGGTTTCGAAGTTGCGGGCTTTTGAAGCAGTGTTCGACCCTCCGCCAGGCTTCCGCGGATTCCTGATTAAATTCTGTTTCGAGCTGAGAAATGTCACGCAGGATACGCCCGATTTCGTGATTTTTCATCCACTCAAATTGCTCTAATTGCTGGGAAGTGGAGTGCACAAAGGAGGCTTCGAGTTTTGATATGGAAATGATCGCTTGAGAGATTTACGACTCGCTACCGATCTCTTTCGGTAGCTATCATCTTACGAGAGCTTTCAATACCATTCCTGTTGTCGATTGAAGCTTTTTGACGTCGCTCTCGAGATCTTTAATCCTCACTTCTAACTCAGCGATTCTCTGCAGTCTTTGATGCTCTCCACCACCCAAAATGGCCCTCTTGAGTCCCTTCGCAGAGAAACTCTTCCCGCCACCTGATTCAAGCTCATACTTTTCTTTTTCAAGCGCTCTCTTTTTTGATGTGTGACCGTCTTGACGGCACTGCACGATTTCGTAACGCGTAATTAGGTCTTGAATCGCTTCACAGTACATCAAATATTCCGTCAAGTCGTTTGACAGCTCGTTTTCTAAAAACAAAATAATCAAAATATCTTTGTTGATTTTCTTTATTCTATAACTACTTGTAGTCTGCAAATAAAAATTCAACTAAGCATGTCTACTCGTCAAAAATTCTCGTTGGTACCTTTTTTATTATATTGGGCGAAGGCGCGTGAATTCGCTTCGATTTCTCCCGCTGCTTCTACATAAGCAGCTTTGAGTGCTGAAATCTCGCTTGACACTGACACTTCGACCTGACTCAATTCTCCGATAACTCTGAAAACAAACGTCATCACTAGCCATTGCGGACGGTGTGTCAACTTTTGAAAGGTATTGACTGGAAACACCTTTCTTCTTTAGACTAAATGTTTACCTTGCAAAACTGGAGGCAACATGCTTGCTGGCGAAGATTTGCTCTTTTATCTTGATCCTCGTTTTTAGTACGCCTTTCAAATGCTCGCTCAGATCCTCGACGTAGGCTTTCATTTCCTGTATCCGTGAGTCCTCAGTTTTCACATTCAAGTGCGCCTTTTTCTGCTTTAGCCAGGACGCTAATCAATCGGGAACAAATCAATCAATCATTTTTTACAAAAGAGGAGGAGCATCAATCTTGCCCAGGTTGCTTATTTACGATCTTTTGATCGGCTAAAAGGGCTCCTTTTGAAAAAGTTCAAACTTTATCTATTTCAAAAATAGTATTTCTCTCTATCTGTTCCGCGTTTTCCTGAGCGTTTCTGGTAATCGGTGGCCTCGACCTTCTCGTTCCACTCTTTCTCATTGGTGAGGAACTCGTAGACTATGGGATCAGCAGCTAAGATGGGCTGAGCCTATTCCGACCACAAAATGCCTTTTCAATTATTTAGAATATTGATGTACCTTAATACGATGTAAAAAGCGCTCCAGCGCCATTTGTCGCACGCTTATGAACTCGGGATCGAAGTTGTCTCACGGCAAGGCTCTTATTTTTTGCTAAATCGTGAAAATAGATTTGTCGATATCACGTGTAATTTTTAATTGAACGTTCTATTGTAAAAAGCCTCCCTTGGGTGAGCTGGTTCCAAATATCGCCGGTTCGCTTAGCCGGCATTGGGGGAATAATGCAACTTGGGTGCTCCACTTCGAGATATTGTCGTAACTGGAGAAAGTTGGTGTAGCGACGCCAAACCCGATACGTTTTATTGCTAGAATCGTCTCAAAATTGATCAACTGGTGACACTTTACCTAACGGATTCGACCATATAAGTCGTAAAAACTTCATCTCGCTTACTTCCCGACTTTTCTTCAACCCTTCTCTCTGACGAGTTGACGGAAATTTTGAAACTAAAAAAAACTTGTAAAAACGCGTTCTGACTCGCTTCTGAATCATAAAAACAGCGGGGGTAAAAATTTTGCACGCCTAATCACCCGCTGTGAAACAAAATTTCATCTGATGACTCAGCGATAAGGATTAGGGTCAGAGGAATGTTAAGGGGGCATCATCACCTGCTGATTTGGCTAGTACGTTGATCTTCCCTTATCGGCGCCGAATCAAAAAGGTCATCTTCGGATTCGGACATTTTTTCTGAAAATTTTGAATTAAAATGATTTGGTAGAAAAATAAAATGTTTTTCAGTAGTAAAAAGAATCTAGACTAAAGTTTGATATACAGTAATATGTCATTATCTAGTCACAAAAAAGAGTGAAAAGAAGGAATGTAAAAAAGAATACTGGTGCTTGAAGAAAAGTGCGTAAAAACGTCGAATGTAAAAGGTTCGTAATTTAAGCTTCCTTTAGGCGCAACTAATGTTAGGTGATCATTTTTGAATATACAGGGAGAATAAGCGCGAATTTCGTGAATATAAAAATGTGTTGAAGTGAACTTGTGGACGAATGAAGCTTTCCAGGGGCCAAAATCCATTTCACAGCTTTGCGTTCTTTCGTTTTATCGCCGCTTAAAGTTTGGTTTCAAAGGCGACAAATTGTGAAAATGTTTATCATAAATTACACGCTTTTACGAAACCGTTCCTACTCGACGATCATTATTTTTACAGCCTTTTTTCGCCATGAGATGTTCTCTCCAACCCTCTTCGGTATCCGTCACAGCTGATGAACAAAGTGGACATTTTGTCTAAATTACGTTTTTAGCTCTTCATACTTTGGTTTTAAATTCTCTACCTTTCCGTTTTTGCTGACAGTATCCAGGTTTTTGTCTTGATAGTTTGCCTTTGACGGACACTCTTTCACCAAATGCTCACTAAAAAAGCATGAAAGCGTGATTCAGTCGGGCGTGATTTGGACTTACTTGTAGCCCGAGATCTCGATGACCATTTTACACTCCTTGCATTTTGTCAGCATTGGACATTCTTTCCAATAATGCATATCCATGCCGTCCTTTTCGTCTTGCTGCTCGATAAACTTGTCATCTTGCTCCAGGCAGAATATGCACTGCTTTGAGTTTTCATCGTCTTCATCTTCGTCAAATTGGTCTGAAGGATGGATATTTAGATAAAGTTTACTTAATTACTTAATTAATTAGTAAATACTTATTAGACCTCGTTTGTCAACCTAGTTAATATAGTTCATATGAATTGTTGACTTTAAAATTTAAATGCAAGAACAAGAGGGCCTCTTGAAGAGGCTTGTGCGAACACTTTATCAAAATATCGCCGTCACTAGCAAAAAAAAAATAGATAAAATCCGATCTCGGTTTCCGATCTACTACATCAAATGCTATCATACCATCTTGCTGAACTGGTTCTGCAGGAGGAGCTTGGTACTGTGCACCACTTCTCATTTCTTGTTCTCTATTCGCCTGTCTAGCTGCAGCAATTTGCCTTTGAAGCTCTTCAATTTCAGCCTGCTCAGCTCGTTTTCTTGCTGCTTCTTCTTTCTTTCTCTCTGCTTCAAGTTGTTTCTTTGTCGGCTTGCCATCGAGACGGTCAAACTCGTCGTAAATTGTGTCGATCATTTTTTGAGGAAGATCATTCTTGACTTCTACACCATCTCCTTTCACATGCTCCTCGAAAAGATTTCGAGCCAGTCCGCTGTTTTGGGAATACAAAAGATAAAGAAGCTCGCATGCTTTTCCACGGACTTGCGAGTTCTGATGGCGGATCCCTTCGTCAATTCGAGCGAATGCTTCTCTATTAAAAAAAAAAGATTATTTTAAAACTCGCTGAGATCTTATTTAAAAGGTACTCACTCGAAAAGTCGTTCTTGTCTCCAGTGTTTAGTGATCAAATGAAGTTGTTCTTTGATCACTCGTATCAGAATTTCGAGACGAGAGTAGTACAACTTTGGCGGCGCTGGTTTATTGTTCTTCTTAGACTTGAAGTCGGTCGAGAGGGGAAGGAACAATTTGGTGATGTAGTTCGCCGATTTACTCGAAGGAGGCATTGCATGGATGTCAAGAATAGCTTCGATGAATTCTTTTTGCTTCACTTTTTTCAGGTCAAAATATGAAATCCATAGAGCCCGCAAAAAAATATGAAAGCGATTAATTAATTGACCTTTCCTCGTGTTGGGGCCGCTCCGTTCAAATTATGAACTTCTTCTTGACTTCGTCTCAGTAAAATCGGTAGAATCATTTCTAATATCGTATTTATCTAAAATTTGTTTAAAAATTGGCTCCAGAGAAAAAAATTACGTCATTGGGAGAATACTGGGCAAAAGTAGCAATCAGTCGTTTGCCAGCCTCGATGCCTCCAAGGTACACTTGTTGAACCAAATCCTCCATGAACTTTTCAATGTAAGAGAGATAAGACCTCAGTAAATCTCTCTGCTCGCTCTTTCCGCCACTAAAAAGATTTCAACCAAGAATAAACCTGAGTCCTTACGTCATTTCTTTACTCTCAAGTAATTTTACAGGATCGTTCTCCACGAATCTTTGTAGATCAGTCGCAGCATCTAACCGCGGCTGGAAAGCTTTATCAATAGCTTTGAGACAGAATTCTTCGCCGAAAATGAGCACGTCGAATTTATTCAGCGACTTGGTTTTCTCTTTGAGTTCATAATCGTACGCTTCGTCTGGAGTTGGAGGGCGACCATTTCTTTTGGCCTCTGTTTTGGACTTTTTAAAATCACAACTCCGGATTTTCCATAAATAAGTAATAAAAACCCCCTCCTTTGGCAAGTTCCGCAGCTAAAATTTCCTCAAAAGTTCTCTGATTATTGGCCAAGGAGCGATCATCCGAAGCCGCAACCGAAAATGGGTCAGAATAATTATCCTCTCGCTCTACGCTATTGATTTGCTGCTGGTTCGGAATTGGTTGATTATGATTATCAGAGTCGAAGTCAGAATAGGCGCTCTCTTGGTATGAGCTCTCCACCGGCAGTGACAGCTGGTGCCCGACTGATTCTATCGATTCTTGCTTGTGTCGCTCAGAAGAGTCCGGCGTGATTTCTTCGCGCGACTTTAAAAGTAATGTGTATTTTACAAGCAAGAGAATTTTTAATGAGTTCTTTGATGATAAAACTGTGTTTTCTATTTTGGCTTACCTTGTGCGAGTTCATCTTCATGTATTCGTTTTCCGTGTTGTGCGAAGGAATTTCATCAAGGGGAGTGACAGTACTCTGGCTCGAACCAACTCGCTTCAGAAAATAAGCTGTTGAGAAGCCATATTGATAGAGCTCCTCGTCGATTTCTCTGTCCCGCTTGAGTTTAAGCTCGTCTCGTCTGATCTTGAACCCTTTCGCTTCTTCGTACTCCTCTTGCTTGACCTTCAGATCTTTTCCCTTGTCGCATTGATGGATTTGCTCGCCAACAACCCGCGTAGTAGAAATGATGTTTTTCAGCGCGGAAGCCATATCGAAATCTTCCTTTTGCTCAGCGATTGCCTTTTCTTCCATCATTCTCGTCACTATCAAATCTGTTTCTGCATCGAGCTTGATTCTGCTTTGCTCTGCGGCTTCTCGGATATTTTCCTTTTCGTCGTCGATCTCGACTTTTCGTAAGTAACGATTTGCTAACACTTCTGCTTCATCGCGAATTTCCTCGCCTTTCAAAAGGTTTTATATTGGAAATTCTATACACATGATAACTTTTGGGATCATAAAAACCCGTCCCTAGAATATTGATAGCATCGACAGCAACCTTGTTGAACAAATTCGACTTTTTGTTGTACGGTTCATAAATTTCAAACTTGATATACTGTCCAATCGCGACATGTTGCGACAGATTTATCGTTTTCAATTCTCTTTGATCCTCAAGCGGGTTCTCCAAAAACGTAAAGAATCCGATCTTGCGCCAGATCTTCTTTGCCGTTTTTGACGTAAAATCGCCGATGAAGAGGACGACTTTTTGCGGAATCATGTATTGGTGGCCTAGCATTTGAATTTTGTTAACTTTGCATCGCTTCTTCAATTGGCAAATGAGCTGTACGGGCGTCTCGGGAAATTCGCCCGATTTCCATGCTTGCCCAGAGTTCCAATCTTAAATTGAATACAGGGTTTGTTCAAAATAAGGGTATACCTTGTAAGTTCTTTGATGGAAAGCTTGGAGTCTCACTCGAACAGTGTTTTATTGTAAACTCTTGTTGGTAGCTCATTTCATCTGAAGCAAAAATATGATTGTAATTGAATATAAAGCGAATCAATATCTTTTTAAAAAGACGAAAATCAAAAGCTGGAGAAATAAAAAAAGGATGGAAATATTCAAAAAGAAAATATTGGAACGACAAAAGGCATGCTGTGTGCTTGTGTATAAATAGGAGAAGGAGAAGTCTAGCTTGATTCTTTTGCTGGGAGAATAACAATGAAAATCGAGATTTTGATAAATAAAGGACAAATATTTTCAAGAGGTTCCATGTGCCTTCTCTTTCATCTTGTCAGCAGTAAAAAGAAACAAACAAACAAAGAAAACTTGAGCTTAAATTTTTAATTAAAATTATCTTGCTAAATATCGATAAGCACGCATCCTCATCACCAAACAGGCTCCTTATCGAACTTGAAGGAATATCAATTTGTTTGATAAAAATGAACGCTTATCAGTACGTCAGGTAAAATTGATGATTAGCTGAAGAAATAAGCGTGCTTATTATTAGTTTATTTTTGCGAAGGAAAAGTAAATTCTAGTTGAAATCAAGTTGACAATTATATTTTATTAGGTGCAGGCTTTGTTTATAGAACTTGCTTGGAAGATAGATAATAAACGGGCTCGAGAAGAGGGAGATAGAGCTTGGAGATATTGGAAATCTGGAAAATTTTCAATTCGAAAAAAAACTGAAGGAGAATCTTTGAGATTCGTTGAAGGAAGAAAAAGGAAAACATGGAGAAAATGAAATTGAGAAAGAAGTTTTTCTTCTTCACATTTTGTGTACAATTGGAATAATATCGGACGCTTTTAGTCAAGTAGTACAAAACCATTTTTAAAAAAGAGGGTGAAAGGTATTATGTAAAAAACGAAATTGAATCAAGAATAATTTTTAGAAGTGTAGCGGAGTAATTTCTTTATGCATGTTTTTTTTTAATTTTCTTATTTCTTCGCTCGGGGCGGAGTGGTCGGCCGCGTGTTCGTCATTCCGTGGTACGAGTACTGAAAATGTTGTTTTGAATTGTCAGAGCTTCAAACGGCCTGCCTTGGCTTTCTTTTCGCTGGGCTTGAGGATCTGGAAGGAGCAGAGCAGCATTTCGTCAACGCTCATCATTCCGCCGGCATTGTCGAATTCGCCGCAGTAGTTTGGAGCGGAGAAAAGGGTCACTAGCTGCCGTTTTGCGAAGAATTCGTAGCCGTCTTCGACCACTTGATGGGCGCGGCAAATTAAATCTAGATAAGCCCATTTGATTTTTGCATTAAAATCTGTGTTCTTACCTAAATCGTGCTTGTTCAGGAATTTGTTGACGACATCGGCGCCGAAGGTGAACGATACACCTCGGTCGTTTTCCGCCCAGCCAGAAACGTCCTTTTCTGGATCGGCCCAAAGCAAGTCGCAGAGCAGTCCAGTGTCTGGGACATCGGTCGGTCTGTGGATTCTCCTGATTTGCTCCATGTTCTGAAGGTCGGGCGAGAGACCTCCGTGGCAGCAAAAGATCTTGTCGTCGATGATGGCGGCGATGGGGAGACAGTTGAAACAATCTAAGTCCAATTTGAAAAAATGTCTTTCTAAAGCAAAGTACCTGTGAAGGTCTTCCAAACTTTTATCGAGAATCGTCTTTTGCATTCGTCGTAAAACCCGTAAATACGATTGATGCTTGCGCACTCGTGATTTCCTCTCAGAAGAAAGAAGTTTTCTGGATATTTTATCTATCGAGAAAATATTGATGAGACCAACAAATCAGCTATCACCTTGTACGCAAGAAGAAGACAGATAGATTCTAGTGACTGCTTGCCTCGATCGACGTAGTCACCAAGAAAGAGGTAATTTGACTCGGGTGGGAAGCCGCCGTACTCAAATAACCTGAAAAGAAAGACAGAATAAATAACAGTTATGAAGCAAAAATATTTATTAACTCACCGCAGTAAATCGGTATACTGCCCGTGGATATCACCGCAGATTTTCAGCGGCGCCTCTAATTCCAAAAGAATTGGCTAAAAATCAGGCTCAACGGTATATTAATACGATATTTGTTGTATAATATTAACATTAATATTATTACTGTATGTATCTTAAAACCATCTGTTTGATCGAGCGGTATTTCATTTTACAATAGCTGCAAGCTGGAATGCTAACTACGCAAACATTGAGTAACTGTAACTGCGCAAATGGGCCTCAATAAGAATCCGAATCGCTCGTAAATCTTCCCCGAAAAACGGAAACAACTGTACTGAATGCTACAGCACTAAGAATGCTTTTTACAATTTCGCGGCGAAGAAAAGATCGATTTCCGCGTTGATCCGCGCACGCATCCAAATTAGTAAAAGACGAAACATGAATTTTCCTTTTTTCCTAATCGCCTCTGACCCGTGGTCTAATCCGCAGAGATCTGCTGCGCAAATTCACGAATTACTGTATCTTTTTATCACCTAAGCAGGAGATAGAAAATCGGGTCAAGTGGTGAAAGTGGCAGATTTGTCACTCTCCTCTGATTCAACTCGGAAATTCCAAGATTAGGAAGAAAAAATCGATGGAGCCCGCTCCTGACTCAGGAAGATTTCGCGGGATTTTTCGCATAAAGCGCGAACTTCTGGCTCTGACATTTGAACTTGGCGGCCAGGGCGGTTATTTTTGACTTTCAAGGGTTGAAAATTTATGAAAAAATCAAGGCTTTCATAAAAAACTGGTTCTCACTTCAAAGAAAGTTGTCTAAAAATGACTTGTTCTTCAATTTCTTTCCACATTCTCAAACTTATCATTAGATCTATCGATTAATTCCTAAATTAACCCTTTCCTTCGAGCAGTCGGGTGATCATCTCGTCTATATTCAGTTCTGTATCCCCCATTTTCGCGTTTTTCTTTGCCTCCTCGTCTTCTTTCCTTGTTCTTACTAATTCCGGTTCTCAGCAGTCTCTCTCTTGTCTGTCAGACAGCTTATCGCCAATTGGGAGAAACGTCTCAAAAGTTCACTTTTTCGCGTGTTCGGAAGAGGGCGTCGAAAATTGCGCTGCTTCACTCGGACGAAGCCAAAACCAAGCGCGCTTCTGATTGGCCGAGCGCCCCCACTCAGTCCAATCAAACGAAATGAGTTTCTTTCTTTTTTCAACAAGAATATATTTACTGCATGAGCAAGCAGGGCTACCATGGGCGCCAGATCGCGCAGATGACTGTACAATCTACTCATGGCGAAAGACGCAAATTTAGAGTGAATAGCTGTAATTTGTTCTTTTTACATTTGTTTCTAGAAATTAATATTAAAAACGTATTACTGAGTAATAACGTCATATTACCATTCTCATGAATTTTCAAAATGCTGCATTAACTTGTTCCTAAAGAAAGTTGCGTTCATCACTCTTAGTGCATTAAAAATTTATACAAATGTTTGAACTGGCCCGGATAATTCAACTCTGAATTCCTTTTATCCTAGAATGGCTCAACAACGGCTCGCTTACGCCGGAATCGGCGCGTTGTCCGCTGTTTATGCTGTCTCCCAGAGTTTATACACAGGTTATTATTATTTGTAACGAAAAAATGAACCGTTCTGAAGTTGAGGGCGGTCACCGAGCGGTGTTGTTCTCCCGACTGGGCGGAGTCCAAAACCAAATCCAAGGGGAAGGAATGCACGTCCGAGTGCCCTGGCTGCAGTGGCCCTTGATCTACGACATCCGTTCTAGAGCCTATAAAGTCGTCTCGCCCTCCGGAACCGCCGATTTGCAAATGGTCGACATTGGCCTCCGAGTCCTCTACAGACCCAATCCCGGAAAGATTCCCGAAATGGCGCAACAGATCGGCGAGGACTTCTCTGACAAAATTCTTCCATCTATTATTCACGAAACTTTAAAATCGGTCATTGCTGAGTTTAGTGCCCAATCGCTTCTCACAGAGCGAGAAAAGGTCAAAAAAAATTTCTTTCTTCATTTTTATGCGAATTTTCAGGTTTCAATTCGAATTCGAAACGATTTGGAAGAGCGCGCCCGTGATTTTCACATTATTCTTGACGACGTTGCTATTACTGACACCCAGTTTAGTCCTCTTTTCACACAAGTAAGCAACCCTCTATTAATTTGCAAAAACGAACCCCCATTCTAGTCGATTGAAAATAAACAAATCGCTCAACAGCAAGCTTTCCAGGCCAGATTCGTCGTCCAGCAAGCGTCTGAAGAAAAGAAGCAGAAGATTATCAACGCTCAGGGAGAAGCAGAATCGTAAGAGACAGAATTCTAGCATTGTTTTAACTCCGTCTAGCGCAACTCTTATTGGTGAAGCATTGAAAAAGAACCCCGCTTATTTGAAGCTTCAAAGAATTGAAATCGGAAAGCGCATCTCAAAATATATCGCTCAGAGCCCGAATAAGGTACTCTTCCTCTAAAAAGAATTCATTCTGATGATTTTAGGTTATGCTTGGTACTGATAATCTCCTCCTTGATGTCAAAGGAGTCGACTATCTTTCAAGAAAGTAAAATTACAGAAAGGAACTCACGAAAAATGGATAAAATGAATGTTAACTGTATGAAATTAACCCCTATATAAGATAATGATTTATCTTTTCTTCACTAGCTCGATTTCTGTTAATCTTTTTAGGGAAATTAATTGCGAACTGCCCCTGCTATTGAAATAAAAATAAATTTAATAATTACACCGTTTTTGTTTTGTTTCTCTTTCGATTCTAGAGCAGGGGGAGCAAATGTTGACTGCACTCGTTTTTGACAGATAGTAAAAGATTCGATTTATAGAGAGAATGGAAGAAGAAAGCCTCGATTTCGTGAGGACGCACCATCCTCTTCCTGATGCAATACAGTCGATGTCGCTAGAAGATACTGTCTGTAAATACTGCGGCATCTCGTACTTGATCCATCGAGAAGTCGCGAAGCTGAAGGATGAAGTGGCCAGACTAAATGCAGAGTTGGAGAAAACTGAAGCCGACAGGTAAGGCGAAAACTCATGATCGAAAACTAAAAGATATTCAGAAAACTCTTTGTTGGAATGAAAATGAGCACAAACTCATGTCCGATAAAGTATCAGAGCTAGAGAATCTGAATAAAAATCTTGAAAACAACCTTGAAGTCACGAAAAAAGTGTCTGAATCGCTATCAAGAGAACTTGCTGAATCAGAGAAGAAGCGAACAAGAGCAGCTGTTGTTTTTAAAGGAAAGGGCTGAAAGACAATAAAGGTACTTTTAAAAGGTAAAATAATTTTCACCCTTGTAAGACAAAATCACGACTATCCAAACTCAATTCATCGAGCCACTCAGAAATGACATTGACTGCTCAAAAACATCCGCACAAAAAGAAATCGACTTCTTGAAAGCTTTCGCAACAGATGCTGTTCATCAAATTTCCAAGACGTTTCAAGAGCGGCAAGCATATCGCCACGAAGTCTCATACGAAGAAACTGAAAGCTTGAAAAAAGAATTTGCCCAGAACCTAGAAAATGCCGAGAATGAGCGAAAAAATCTTTCAGATCAGATAAATACCCTTCAAAATAGACTTTCTGACAGTGAAAATGCCCTGCAAAACTTGAATTTGGACCGGGAGAAAGTTCAGAGAAATTATGAAGAGTCCACGTCCAAGTGTCTTCAACTAGAAGAAAAGCTGAACTCTGCGGAAAAGAAAAGCTCGAACCTGGACTCTCAAATTCAAAATTTCATGCTCAAAAACAAAGAATTGGAAGAAAAAGTGGCGGATTCAACCGAAGAAGTCGGAAAACTAAACTCGGAAATAATCAAGCTGAAAAGAAGCACTCTACAAAACGAGGAATTGACGAGAATGGAGCTTGATCAAACGAAGAATCGAGCATTTTACTTGGAAAACGAAATGAGAAATCTGCAATTTGAGCTTTTGTCGAAAGAAGATCTCTTGAGAAACTCAGTCCCAGTGGGTGACTTGAAAGATTTGCAAGAAAAGAATGAACGCTTGTTGCAAGAAAGTAGAAGTCTCCAATCCTCTATCAACAATCAAAGCAGCCAATTCGACGAGCTGAAGAAATACTGCTCCGAATTGGAAGAATCGCAAAAGAAAACCATCGAAAAACTGAAAGCCGAAAGCGAATCGAAAATAGCATCTTTAGAGAATCAGCTGTTCAATCTATCCAGCAGAAATGTGGATCAAAATCGGATCTACGACCTGGAAGAAGAAATAAGCATTGAACGGCAAAAGGCGAAGACAGCGATGGAACTTGCGCGAAAAGAAATAGCTGCGGTCGAGGAACGATTCAGGGAAGTTTTGGAAGAAAAAGAGCAAATTTTACAGAAGTCAAGGAGCATCGGTAGGAAGATGAATTATTGAACTACTTCCTTTACCAATTTCTAGCGCAATCTAATGAAGATAATCAAGACAAAAATATCGGAAATCTTAAAGCGCAAATGCTCCAGCTCACTAGAGACAAAGACAAGCTAGAATCCTCTCTCAAAAAAGCAGAAGAACAAATTTCAACGATAAAAGAGGATCATTCTGCGTATCTGGAGCAAATGAATCAAGGACAGAAAGCGACTGAAGAAAGATTGGCAACACTTGAAGAAGAGAATGGAAAACTTCTTGAAACCATTCGAAAACAAATAGGGACAGAGCAAAAGATTAATTATTTCATGAGGATTTCAAACTTCAAATGTTTGTTCAATTTTCAAGCTCTGAAAAAGACGAGCGAGCTGATCTGCAAAGAACAATCGATGGATTAAAAGATCCGAACGCAGAAAAAGAAGTCATTCTCCTCCCCGTCACAAGCAGACTCAAAGCCGCATCCTTACCTCCTTTAGAAAAGCCAAGATCGCGACATGAACCGACTCGAGCATGGCCCTCGAATGTAAGTGTTTCTTTTCTGAGCGGAAATTTATTTTCAATTTAGTCAGAAATTTCTGGCGCCAGTGCGCCACCGGTAAATCACCGGTCGAATACTGGCATCCATTCTTCTAATTCTGCGCCTCAAATCAAGCCCCCTAATTTGTCGAAAAAGGTAGTTTCAGAAACATATTACCGTAATTGAAATTGTTCAGTCTGAGCTGAATCTGACATCTATTCGCCATCGTCTCAATGCCGCCATGAATCGTGGGAAATCCTTCCGCTAATGCATCGACAGTTCATTTATTTTTATACCGACTTGCCTTATTTTTCTATTTTGAATAAAACTTTATATTTCTAAAACACGGAGACACGTTCAGTGTTGAAATATTTATTTTTACAGGTAACATTATTTCGCTCTTTACCACATCCAAAAAGATCTTTGCCCGTCATAATTTGCTGCGCACCATTGAGGAACTAAAAATTCAGCATGTCATTTTGCCCTCAGAAATATTTATACCTATGCAGAGGAATGGCTTCTTGTTTCCGAGACACTGCGGGAAGCACTGGAAATAGAAGTGCGCGTTTACCCCTGAGCCGTTGACCGTCATTGGCATTTGCATTCCTCCGCCCATGAAGTTCATCGGGTTTAGTGGCTCAGACTAGAGACCTTTAGATGGATATTGTTTTCAAAATCTTACTTGAGGTGGCAATGGTGCCACTGGTTTATTCTTCATCGCTCTGACCATTCTTGGATCTTTTGTTATTCCTAAAGGAACCCCGAAATGAGTGGTTGTCTCTTGAATTTCTGGCTCCTCGGTTGGCAAGGAAAGTCCAACGTCGTTTTGCATCGGGTAAGTTGTTTTCTCAGGAGCTTCAGTGACTTTGTCGAATGGCGTGAAACCGCCGGATCTGGAACCTATTTTTGGGCAAAGTCTTCGTTCTTTTCTTTGGGGTGTTCCAGTGCAGCCAGGTGAAACTCCAGCTTTGCCAGCGACGCATTTCCGCCGTCTTTATATATTTTACAAGCCAGAATTCGAAGGAACATATTGGGATCTTAGATTCGTTAGACTCCCTCGTCCCCTAAGGTCACTTGCTTATCTAGATCGAGCTTTGCTCGGTCGCCGCCGTGTATTTCTCTCCATTCGGTAATTCACGCAGTTCGTGAATTAACCTCTATTTTACTCCAGCTCGAAATACAGACGTCAAAGATACTTTACTCGTTTTCTTCACTCGTCCAGATATAGAGAGCAGGCAAACTACGCTAGAAGTGGGAGATTCAGCAGAAGCTAGGATCCCTTCAGTGGTATCAGAGTAGTCCCGTTGGAGAAAAGGTAAATTTTCCGCCATCGACAACCGAAGTTTCGCAACTTGGACGCTGATTGGCCGTCAGCGGAGTCGAGGGGAACCGAATCACCAACCGCCACCGCGCCGCCGGAGAAACTCCACTCAGAGAATTTTCCGCGCCGCACCACACCAACACCACCCCGAGCGAGCGCCACCGCACGAGCGCCACCACGACCCACGCGCCGAAAGTCGCGCCCACGCAACCACGCACGCACGCCGGGGAAAACCTAAAATACTGAGAAAAACATAATTCTTTCGCCACTTTTCACCAAAAATCGAGAGAAGTTTACGAAGAATCGACCCTTGGACCAGACCTTGAAATTTCGACAATCGCTGGACAGAGAAATCGTCGGGCGTTTGCGCAAAAGGCACCTCAGCTCATCATATTGCGACTTTTAGTCGCAGTATTTTCTGAGGGCCTGAAAGGTAATCCAAGGCCCATAAACCCTTACTGCCGATATATTTCGAGCTATGGCGGCGAACAAATCACTGCTAGAAACCGTCACCGAAATAAGAAGCATAAACGATCGAGTAAACTACCTCGAAGAACAAGTGCGAAATGACGAATCACTAAAGCCAAGCCTAGAGCCCTTGATCACAGAAAGCAGAGTAAAATTAGAACAGCTCAGTACAACGCTTCTTACCTGCGAGCTCGATCAAGGAAAAGACTCTACGAATGCGACAATGAGAGAAGAAGCATGGGTGGCCACTACCTGGTCTCGTCACGTCCAAGACTTGCCGAAGCTGGACGCCGCATGCAACACATCTTTCAACACCTTCTTGGGCAGAGCCGACATTTATCACCGCGCCTACGTCCGCGACAGACCTTCACGTGAACAGCCTTTCATCGCAGCAGTGTACAGCCACTTCGACTTGAACATCGAACGCTCACTTGGAACCGAATTTCTGAATTGTCAAGACTGGAAATCGGCCAAGGCGCTGCTAGAGAAATCATTCGCCGCGAAGAGTCACTACTTACTGAAGCTAAGCGAAGTTTTCGACGTCGAATACGACCATTCGAAGCCGTTTGCACACTACACCGCCAACGTCTTGCAAAAGATGAACGAGGCGAAGCAAGCGACTTTGAACTCTTACCGACAAGAGAAGTCAGCCGACGCCGGGGTCGATGAAATATTTGACATATTCTCGACGATGATGCTGTACTTGAATCTTAGGAAAGAAGAACCAGACGTTTTCAACGCAATCCTTCCAAGCCTATCAAAAGTTTACGATATCAACGAACTCTGCCGTCTCGCCCAATCCACAAGACAGAATCGAGTTGACAGCGCGACCGTCTCCCAGCACTTCAACAGAAATAAGAACAAAAAGAAGAAGAATGCTAAGCGCGCCAGCAACGATTCTAAGGATGGGAAAGACGATAAACAACCAGAATCCAAGAAGATAAATACGACTAAGAACGTTGAAGATTTCCAACCATTCGACGTTCACTTTTACACAGTGAAGAAGAAGCGACCAGGAAAGGCTTATTTCGCTTCGGCTACCATCATTACGGGCTCTAAAAGTTTTGACGTATCGATGGAAGTCGACAGCGGAGCCGAGTCCTCCTGTCTGTCCGCTGCTTACGTTCCCGACGAATTTCTCCAGATGCTGAAGCCCTGTCCCTTCAAGGTCACCGGTTTCAGCCCAAATATTCCCGCCGAGCAGCCGATGGGTATCCTTCCCTGCCGCTTATCATTCAATGGTGGCCCTGCATTCTCCCTGAATCTCACCATTATGCCAGGCAGTAAATACCCAAGTCTACTGGGCCGCGATATACTAGAGAATGCGATGACGGACAGCTTCACAGTCGACAATAAGAATCGTACTCTCTCATTTTGCTACAACGAAGCCTTCACACAAACTGAGACTCAAGTGGTGAAGCTGGACGGAGTGAAGCGGACCAAAATCAAGAAATACTTGACTACTAGATCAGCGGTCAAGGATAGCGATCGATCCCGCACTCAACCGCCACCAAAAGTCCCAAAGCTGGACGCACCTAACAAGAACGCAGCCAGGTGCCCCATTCAGCTAGCGAAGCAAAAACTCGGAATTACCCTACCAGCAAACGCCGACCCGGGGCAAAAGAAGGTGGTCGCCGAGCTGTGTTTGGATTTCGACGACAGATTCGGCTGCGACGGTCAAAAAATGGGTGAATTCCCATTCGAGATCGAAATCCCGACTGATGGTACGAGTCGAAACATCAGTCAACACCCTATTCCGCAAGCTTTTCATGGCCAGGTCACTGATCACATCTCCGAACTGCTCGATACGAAAATAATAGAAGAGATCAAGGACCAGAAAGGGTTTAATAGCCCCGTTCTGCCAATCCCTAAGAAATCTGGGGAAATGCGCTTCTGCATCAACTACAAGAACAGCTTGAACAAATGCCTCTCCGACAAATCCGACCCATATCATCTTCCGAGCATGGAGGATACGATCGCGAACATTGGACCGGGCAACAAGTATTTCGCCACAGTTGATTTGCGGAGCGGATATTGGCAGTGCCCTATTAAGAAAAGCGATAGGTATAAGACTTCCTTCCAGTGGGGTGGGAAATCTTACGCCTTCTGCAGATTACCTTTCGGTTATCGATGCTCGGGGAATATATTCTCGCGCGTCGTAAACACGATTCTCGACTCAAGCCCCACCAGGAAGAAGATGCTTTCTTATATCGATGACATAGTATGTTTTGGGAAGTCTTTCAGCTGCTATTACAACACTCTCCGAAACCTATTCATCGCGCTCCGCAAGTTTAACGCTAAACTCAAGGGCGAAAAGTGCTCTTTCCTACAATCAGAAGCTCACTTTTTGGGCCGAATCATCAACGAAGAAGGAATCAAACCGGACCCTGCGCAAGTCTCCGCCCTTCGTCAGATGAAACCCCCACGCTCCCAAAAGGAGTTAGCTTCATTAATCGGGTCATTGAATTGGATCCGAGGTTTTCTAGAAACAAAAATGGGCGAAGCTATTTCATCCGGTTGCTTCTCGAGCAGAATGAAACCCATAAACGATGTTCGAAATTCGGCGAACGAAACAAATTGTTTCAAGTGGACCAAAGAAGCGGATTTGGCGCTCAAGGAAATTCAACGACGACTCTCCGAGACTCCTGTCATAAGCTTTCCTAACTTTGACGAGTCTTTTCACCTCTACACAGACGCGAGCCTGTACGCAGCGGGTGGTGTTCTGCTACAAGAGTATGGCGGGAGAGTGCACCTAGTAAGCGCGATTTCCCACACCTTCAACAAAGCTGAAAGAAAATGGAACACTTCAGAAAAGGAAATGTTTAGCATTGTCTGGTGCTGCGAGCGACTGGAAAAGCTCCTGAAAGGTAGATTCTTTCAGATTCACACAGACCACAGATCTTTGATCTTCCTACACAAAAAGAAGTTCAAGAATTCTAAAATAAGCCGATGGCAAAGCCGATTGGAAGAATTCGATTTTCACATTGTCTACATCAAGGGATCAGAAAATCAATTCGCCGATTTTATGAGCCGCAGACCTGGCGAGGACGACAAATCACTTGGATACGACTCTGAGTTTCCCGTTGGTCGCGAGTACGAAATCGACAAGAATTCACCAGTACGTGTCTTCGTCCCTTTCTGGAACGAAAATCAGTTTCCGGAGAAAATCACTTTATCAGAGGTGAAGATACATAAGGTAAACGTCAAGGCTATCGCGGCGCCAATGGAGATTCCGTTGGTGTCAGCGAATTATAATAACATTCTGGACTATCAAAGGGAGGACTCTGCTCTGAGTGCAATCATCACTTTTCTGGAATCTGGTAAGGAGCCACTGGACATAAAATCGCTGGTGAAGGACTCCGACCACCGACAATCGTCTCTACTCAAGATGGAAAAAGCTCTGTTCCTGGATAACACTACCGGGTGCTTGATGTGTCAATTCAAATCTGGCGCGCGGGCGGTGGTACCGGAAGCGGTAAAAAGTCACTTTCTCTTTCTAGCTCACGACTTGTCCGGTCATCTGGGCGAGCCGCGGACTTTAGAGCGATTAGAGGACGTTTGGTGGCCTTCATTTCAAGACGATGTTTCTAACTACGTCCACAGCTGCGTCCCTTGCCTACGCAGAAAAGGATCTGCTGGAACTCGTACCAAACCGCCACTTGGAACCCTTCGTCGTGGAAAAACAGCTGGCGAATCGATTCAGATCGATTTCGCTTGTATGCCTCCCGCTGGCGGATTCAAGTATTATTTGGTGGTGGCGGACACTTTCTCTCGCTACACTTGGTGCATTCCGACGCGGTCCGACACTGCTATCTGCGCTGCAAAAGCGCTCATCTACAAGGTCTTCCTTCCCATGGATTTCTTGCCGAAACATCTACACAGTGACAGAGGTACCCACTTCTGCGCAAGCGTGATTGACGAAATGTGTAAGCTTAACCAGATAAAACATACAATAAGTACCGCATTTCACCCTCAATCAAACGCTTTCGCAGAAAGAGCGAATCGGACTATCAAAAACAGTCTATTCTGCATGGTCAACTCATCTTCCGGTCGAAAAACTTGGGCCGACTGCGTTCCCCACGTGATGCGCGCGCTCAATAGTGTGAAAAACAAAAGCACGAAAATTTCACCGCGAGAAGTTTGGTTTGGCCGAAAAAGTACTTTCACCCACTCTACTGGCGCAGAAATGACAGCGGAAACACCTCAGGTGTTTGGTCTCAATGTTGGAGCTTTAGCGAAATCGGCGGAAGCCATTGTGAAAACTGCGATGGAAGCTGCTGACCGAGCCATGGAGCACAGGCTGAAAAACGAGCCTAAGCCGAGACCAATCCCCGCTGGCGCTGTCGTGTACATTAAGCGAGAAAACCTGACCGACGCTAAAAGCAAGAAGGAACGCTGGGTAGGTCCCCTGAAAGCCGTTTCGAGCAACGACTGGGTCGTCATGGTCGAAGATAAAAAAGGACAACGTGATTTCATCCATCGAGAACACGTGGTTCACGCCGCAGAACGAAATCACGACTTACGCTGGATTGATTACTACGAGGCCGAGTACGTATTCCCACATTTAACCGAAATCGTTAAGTCGAAAGTCCCACAAAAATCGCCTGTTCCTACTTCCAAACCGATGGAAAAGTCCGGGTCGAAGTCGCATGGGGGGAGGAAATCTTCTCAGGTCGCGTCGACTCCGATGGTTGCTATGGAAAAACCGCCAAGATCATCTCTATCACCTATTTTGGAAAGTAGACGCCGATTGGACATGGAAAATCTGGGAGATACAACCGCTACATCTATTTTGGACTCGTCGGTAGCTCCAGCCGAGCCGTCAGATCGCTGGTACTCTGGTGGTACTCTTTATGAAACTGCCGAGGACATGTCAGCTGATGCTACAGTGATTTCGGAGGTTGCTGCGCCCGACAATAGCCATATGTCAGTCGATAAACAAAATTCAACAGTAGTTGAGGGCTCAGCAACTGAAAACAGCAAGAAAAGAACCCGTCCAAAGTCTTCACCAGATCGTCAATACTCAGCCGGCGCCGATCCGAATGCGACTTTAACCGAAGTTGGAGCAGCTCATCTCCCGAAACATACAAAACGAGCACACCGTGAAACGAGGCCCGTCGAACCTCTAAACATCGGCACAAACTCGGGTCAGTCATACGACTAAGCGCAAGTACTGCCCCACTCAGGTCCCCTATTCATCGACCGGGGCCTGAAAAGGTACGGAAATTATCACAGTTTACCGTCGCCGACGTATTTTGAGTTCTTCTACATGTGCAGCTACTCCTTCATGTCATCACCGCTCGGACATCACGAAAACTTCGCATCTGATTCAAGCTTTTTCCCAAAAAAGGGTTTTTTAACGCGAATCAGACTGCCTCGACGTTTCGAACCTGCCATGTTACTCATCTTACGCTTATACTCCTGCAAAAATCACACACTTTGGCCTTAGAGGACGTTTCAGTCTCATGGGGGGTATTGGGATCTTAGATTCGTTAGACTCCCTCGTCCCCTAAGGTCACTTGCTTATCTAGATCGAGCTTTGCTCGGTCGCCGCCGTGTATTTCTCTCCATTCGGTAATTCACGCAGTTCGTGAATTAACCTCTATTTTACTCCAGCTCGAAATACAGACGTCAAAGATACTTTACTCGTTTTCTTCACTCGTCCAGATATAGAGAGCAGGCAAACTACGCTAGAAGTGGGAGATTCAGCAGAAGCTAGGATCCCTTCAAACACAAACCTGACTTCATATTTTTGCCCTGTGCATCCAGCCCACTCACTCCACTTCGACCAGTACGCGTTGACAGGACAGATTTTCGTCTCAACTTCTGCTGTGTTTTCAGTTGTTTTGCAGAATGATTCTCTGCCCTGGCAACATTTTGGGTTTTTGAAAGTCGATCCGTCAGTGCACCATCGTTTCCTCGTTGATGTCTTACCATCGTTTCCAGTGCAATCAGGAATGGACCACTCACTCCAGGGACCATAAGCGATCGGATAGAAGTTCTCGATTTTTATCTCGCAAAATTTGCCCTAAGAGTCGGAATTATTCTAAGCATTTGAATTGAGAATCTACCTTGAAGCCTTTCTGACAAGTGCAGACGGGATTATCTCGGCAAGCGACGCCGTTTATTTCTTGGCATTCAAGACAGTTCCCACCATTTTGGCATGGACAATTGTACCACTGACATCTCCAGCCATCGTAGTACTGTTTGCATTTGCACCTGAAAAATGGATACTCTTCTGTCAGAATACATCCATCAGCATTGCCGCCGTCCGTTCCATCCTCGTTACAAGGAGAGTCTCTGTAGCAAATACCAACAGTGTTGATAGGACGCAGCGGGTCGCCTTCACAGAGGCCACAAGTTTTCTGGCAGTTGTATGAATGAAGAGTTAGCTTGCAAAGGTCTTTGAATTTTTCGCATTCTCCAGCTAAATGAAAGTGTTTCTCTCAGACAAAAATAAACTCGTTATTACGTGGGAGCTTGTCTTTGCAGACGTACTCTTTAAGAGGTTTTGGTTTCTGTGCATTCACGAATTCTGTCTCTTTTATAAAAATTATCAAAAGCTGCGCGAGTCTGATCATCATCTCGCCAGTTCTATGAATGACTTCTATTACGGAGCACTTTTCGTCGGATCGAGCGATTTTTCAAAATTGCTTTCAATTAAATTTCGCGCTTCTTGAAAACGTGTCTTGTATTAGATTGCTTCTTAGAGTGACTAATCATCTTATTAGGAGGAAGAGGGCAATTTTTAGAACTAAGTTTTTTATTTTAAGAATATAAAGGAAGAAGAGTAACATTCCATCGGACGAAATGGCCGCGGACTTCTTTTAGCTGGACTTTATGGCATTTTCCGTCGATGGCGCTTTCAAGCTCCTGCTTGTCGTAAACTCTTCCGGTGGCTTCGTGGATTTGTTCTGCAGTGACTTTGAATCTTATGGGCATTACTAGAACTTGCATAAACAAACTTTTTGAAAAAATTGTACCTTGGTGCTTGAGCCAGAAGTGGTAGAATTCGCAATCTCCATCAACACCTTCCCAGTAAGAGTTGATTTTTAAGGTGTAGCCAAAAGCTGAGACGTTGTAGTTTTTGTTCCAATATGTCTTATTCAGTTTTAAAATGTTTGCTTTTTTAAAATACCTTGAAATTGACCTCAGTCTGACCAAGCGACATAATCTCGAAAATTTTCTTTATTCCCTCGTCGCTCATGTCATTTCTACGCCCGCCGTTTCCGAGATCGCGATCATCACCAGAGTAATGACCGGCTCCGCCAATTTCGCGCATTGTTTGTGTTTTGACTTGAAGCTTCAAAGAATGTTCTCTCAGGAGCTCTTCGTTTGTGCTCTCCGATCGAGTAGATGTAACGGAAGATTCGCTGTAAGTCCGCGGAGGCACGGGCTAATTTGAAGATGGTAAGCTATTCTCAAAAAAAATTACTAAACCTGATTCGGAGCTGGAGATCTCAAACGCATATCTTCAACAGACAATTCCGCATCGTTTATTTTTTGCTCCAACTGATTGATTGTTATTTCTTGCGACTCAACTCTGTTTGTCAAGTCAGCAATATATTTTTCATGGTCGTTTACTTTCGCTTTGAGCATAAAATTATCTCTTCCGAGCTCTTCAAGCTTCGAGCAAACATATTTCAGCGTATTTTGAACTTCGGAAATGTCTTTTTTTCTCCGTCTCTCCTCCTTTTAAGTCAATTAAATTTCCGTTTGAAAATTGGTTCGTCTGTCTATTCATATTTTAACTACAAAAGGGGCTGTATTTTAACGTTATTTGTGGGTTTCCTTTATGTTCACCGCGATTATTTAAAGTTCACGTAATAAAACTAAAGAATTATGGGAGTATGCGTTTACCAATGATCGTTAGGTCTCTGTATGATCCAAGAAAGCTTTCAGAAATTGTCGAGGAATTCTCTCCCATTTTTCGTTTTTATTAATATCTTCGTCACTATTTGCCTTCCTCTGAGTGTCTGCTTAGCAGACAAACAATAGAGTACAATTAAGCGCTTTTATGTCGAGTATATTTATTACGAAGCGATAGGAGCATACTCCCATAGTTTTTAGCGCACGATCATGTTTTCAAGGTGATTACCGAGGCAGTAACGCATTGCGTGACTCAAGTAAAGTCCAAAGTTTTGCCTCCAGGAGCGCATAATTTCTAAAACCGTGGGCTTGTCTGTTTAAAAAGAATCAGAGAGTTCTAGGTCATTGAATAGAATTGAAGCTGAGTCGAGTACAGTTCGATCAAATCAACTCAAAAAGAGCTTTCAATACCTTATACAAGAGACTTCATTTTTGCTGAATTATAAGCCTTTTTACCTCTCCCTGCAATATGCAGCAAGCCCAGAAGAAATATTTACAAAGAGGCTCATTCGAAAAGTATCTGTATTTCTGATTGATAATTCATATCAATACCTCTCGCTTATATAAGCGAGCGTTTGTAGAGAAGAAATACGGCATGACGTGATCAGAGCCAACACAATCAGACGGATAGACTTACAAACTGTTTCATTTGAAAGTAAAACTGGATATTGAAAAAATAAATTTCAGAAATTATGGTATGGTCCAATAATGTATGGAGCTCATCAGAAGACTCGCAGTCCTCAGAGCAAACTCTTCGGCCAGTAAGTTTCGGAGAAACACGAGCAAGCAGAGGATCTTCGAGAGGGAGAAGAGGTTCAGCGAGAGGAGCAAGAGGATCATTTAGAGGAACAAGAGGGACAAGAGGAAGAAAATGGAGCTATAAAAGTAGTCGGAGATTTGATCAACACTCGTGATGGCTTGTTTACTTAAGAAATGAATTTGATATTATAATGATTTAAAAGAGAAAAAAAATATTAAACTCTTGAAGACGTGTAACATCAAAGGCGAAAGTCCTAAAACTGCCTTTGAGCTCGCAGCCGAAGGTGAAAATTATTACTATATTCTATTTGTAGGGCTTTCTCAAAAATATTTAAACATACGATTTTATAAATAGTTTTTAAAGTAAAGCGACTCAACGAAGTCAGGATGGAAAATAATGAAAAAATTATGCGCAAAAAAGAAGTGATCAATCGCCTGTTCAAAGAAATGGAGTTCCTGAAATCGAAAGAGAAGGAAATTGATATTCAACTCGCAAAAAATATTGGTTAGATTAGTTTAAAAAATATTTATCTAATTTCTTTATAGAAAAATTGACCTTGATCACGAAAAATACTAACGGTAGTCCTGAACCTTCAAAAGAATCTCCAGAAAACCAGAGCACGCTTGATGGGATAGATTCTATCCAGACTGAATTTCCTTCTGATCGAAGCTTCCTTCCAACTCCTGATAGTGATAATCATTCTGATTTATCGACAATTTCGAAGACCTCTACGCTTGTACTTAATACGCCTTCAAGGTCTCGTTCATCGTCTCTTTTGAGCAACGATAAGACTGTCCCATGGGACACCGAAAAAAATCCTGATTGTGAGTCTGGCTGGGAAACGAGTTGGGAGACCCAATCTTGGGATAAAGCTCATTCTGTTTGGTAATTAATTATTTGATATTATATCAAAATCATTATTCCGGTTTTATCCTGAGAATAAACTCACTTAAAGATATTTTTATGTATTTATTGAATAAAACAAAGGAAATTTTGAAGACGGAATGCAGGAAAGGCTTAAATATAACTTACAGATGCAGTACTATCGCTCCTCAGCGCGCGTCCCTAAACTAACCATTTCTTGAACAGTATTTTTGTACAATCACTCGTCAAAAATGAACATTTTTGAGCTTGAATCATCAGTAATCGCTCTACAGTAATTACAGTGCTGCTAGAGTTTAGTCACAAACGGTGTTGATCGATTAGTGAAAAGCGGCTTGGATACCCTTTGCGCATTTTGAGATGTGAGCTTTTCAAGCTCCAGTTCGGCGTGGGGAGGGAGTCGCTTCGTCCGGAAGTACTCGACCCATTCTTCGCGCGTCAAGGAGAGCTGCTCTAGAAGTTCAAGGTTGTAGCTCGACCCTTGTTTTTGAGGGGTCATTCTTGTGCTTGGGCTCAGATCGTGACCAGTCATCATTCTTGAAGGAACGACTGAAGACGATCGAGGAGTTGGCGCAGATTTGTTCAAATATGACGAAGATCGTGGTGCTGGGAAGAAATGAGTTAGTCTTCCATGATTTCAACAGAAGCTTACCAGGAGTCATACTGCGAGGTATCGGCGACAGGGCCGGCTCCAAATGCGAAGTGGACTTTGACGAATGTGACAGTGACTTTCGGTCAGGCGCCTTTGGAGTTGATGACTTTTGCGATGGCTTTTGTGGACTCAAGTCAGACGGCGTACTTTGATTTCTTAATTCGCGCGTAAATATTTTGAGTCTGTCAACGAGTCAAGTTTCAAGCATCAATGCACGCTTTAAAAGTCCAGTTACCTTATGAGTTCAGGTTGCTTTCGAACAGCTTTTGTGTATTTTTGATACTCTTCATCGTCGAAATCTACGCTCTGAGCTCTTGAATTTGAGAGTAGCGCAAAAGTCGGCGTCTGGCTCCGCCGCATTTGATTTCGTTTCAGCTGGTCCGTTATCATTGAGATTGGGTTTGGCGTCTGGGAGCGGTACATGCGATTGTGATTACTGTAGCTTGAGGAAGAATTGTCTGGTTTGAGGTCTTTTCGGCGTACCGGCGGGGAGAAACTTCGTGGAGCAACATCCAGTCCGTTTCCTACTGAGCTTGAACGGGGCTTGGGAAGCAGTTTTGCTAGAAATACAATTGATGTCAGACAAAATGATTAATCTTACAAGGCTCTTGACCAGGAATGATCGATTTCGGACTGTTGGGAGAAGTTTCAAGGATTTTTATTTCACGCGGAAGCGTTTTTGTCGCATATCTTGGAGTGCTTGGACCACGAGATGCAGCACGAGATTGCGGCCTTGCGGCGTAGCTTTGATTTCTTGATTCAAGACGGAGCAATTGTACAGGAGGCGGAGGGAAGTCAGATTTCTCCTTGTCGAATCTGAGCTCTTCGCTAATAGAATTGCCACTCTCATCCTTGACGTTTATTGTAATCGAGTCATTGTTGTTTGCGTTCATGTTGGCACGAGCACCGTTGGAAATTCCATCGACATCTTGTTCGTCGATTGTGTTTATTGACGCAGCTTGTAATGGAGGAATTTCCATGAAGCGGTCCACCTCAGCATCTAGTAATACTGTCGAGTCGCCTCGCGACGGTGGCGGAGCCTCTGACGGAGGACCATATGAACTTGGGACAGCTGACGCAGGTCTAAACAGTAATTATCAATTAATGTTTGATTCCTTGAGGTCCCGACTAAAGGGCAGATTATCCACCTCTTCCGGGGAACGTAACGTGCTGAGAATTGAAATGTATATTTATATGGACAAAAGAACGGAAATTCTGAAAGCCAGAAGGTCTGGGAAAATTTCAAATAATATCTTCCCGTTTATTTTATTCAGCAAGTTCCTTTATGATTCAAAGAATCTGTATTTGAATAAACTTGGCTGGAATCGACGCTAAATCCGCGAAAGTACAAAAGTAAGCGCAAAAATGAGCGATTCTTTCCGAGATTGATTTCCGGGGGTAAATAGTTGTTTTGCGTAAGGACTCACCGGACTTCTTCGCTTGTTGGTCTTGACGTAGAACGAGAGCTCTTAGACCCGTGTGCGCCTTTGGATCGCCGTCTTCGTCCATTTCGGTACTTTGGTTTTTGTTTGACGCGCGAAGAGACTCTGGAACTGGCGATTGACTCACACTCACTGGCGTAATTTGCTCGTCTGACCGAGTGTCGTTCTGCTCGGTTTTCGTAGCCTAGAAAAATTTGTTTGTTCACTAGAATCCAGATATTTATACCTAGGTCAAATGCTCGCGACGGGCTCAAGACTGGATAATTAGTCGACTCATCAGATTTGGTCTGAACTTGACTTGAAGTCAGAGAAGTACCGGAAGGATTGGAATTTTTATTTAGCTCGACTCCCGAATCCGAGTTTTGCTTTGTCAGGTTCATCGATTTTATTTGAGCTGGGGAGGTCTCGATGGATTTCTTCTTGCGCATCGTCCGGCGAAGCTTTTTGAATCCAGATGAGAAAAAATTCCCAGAGTTTTGGTTCTTTTCTTTTGGCGAATTGATTGGAGAAGATGGCTTAGCTCCCTCAGTTTTGCGGCGGTTTTTCTGCTGTTTAGACGGAGTTTTCGCCTCGTGGACTTCAAACGACTTGTTGAGAGAATCTGGTGGAGGGCAGGATCTTCTTCCTTTGCTCGTTTCTTGAGTCGGTTTTTGAACGACAATTCTGAAAAGGAACTTTAGTTCGAATCTTTATTCTCGGAAATTTTGCTGTAAATCAAGTTTGGTATAAATCTGTCTATCCAACGTGTTAAGAATAAGCCTTATGCTCACAATGGAGGATTCCGCCGGGCAAAAGCCACAAACGTCACCGCATTCCACTCAGACGGAATTTTCGAAAATAACCACAGAGGCCGCTATTTTGATTACAAAGTCCCTTTCAATGGAGCTGGCAATTTTCATTAGACACTCAAAATGAGTGCTCAAATGGGCACCCAAAAAATTTCACTATTTTGCTCTAAAATTCCTGAGAAAAATAATACACGACTTGTACCTGAAGCCGCCACTGTGCGAGTAGATTTTCTTGGCTTTTAGCAAGTTTGTGAGGCAATATTCGATTGATGCTGTTGAGGGGATGATCATTTCGTCACATTTCTCAGTTAGATGCTGCTGGATTGTGGCCGCATGAGCAGGGAAGCTCTGGTGATTGAGGTCAGCCACCGCCATCAGAACCAGCTCGGGAAGCTCGATTCGTGTTTTTTGAGGAATTGACTCCATTCTTAGACCTTCCAGCATTCCTGAAAAAGTTTTTATAGTAAGAATAATTTTTCAAAAGTATTAATAAAATGTTTCGATTTTGCATCACCTGATTGAGAGTTCAAAATTGTGCTAACGTCTCATTTACTTGTAGGACCTTATTATTTCGTAAATTTGAAGACAAAAAGTAGATTTCTTTCTTACAAAGAGCTATTAACCTTTTACATTCTTCCTAAAATTGCTGACATATGACAAAGTAGTAAATTAGCGCGGGGTAAAGAGGACACGAAGCGGACAATAGTAATTGCTGTTCATATTTGGTGGTGTCCCGCAGCTTTCCCGGCCATTGAGCGCGCAGCAGGTGCACCTGGGAATATAGGCCCATTCCGGAATAATCAATAAAGCAACAAGAGAATATATATTACTTATCTTGAGCTTTATTGTTTCCGATTGTGGCCGAAACGGAGAAAACTTTAGCAAATAAATGGCCATTCACGCGTCTGTTTCTGCGTCAGAGTCAAAGGAATGTTTGGAAACTGTCTCGTAAAAGCTGTGCGACTTACCGTAAGTTAAAATCTTCGTATGCTCCGGGGCTTTTAAAAGTCTGTTTCTCCATGCTTCCGCAAGTCGGTACAAACTCGGCCGCGTTCCTGTTATTAGCAGACTCGGTGGAGTTTCGATCGTTCCAAAATATCTACGACAGTTTTGAGATTTACAGTTTTTTGAAGGCCCTTGTTATTATCGTTCCTCGTGATTTTTACTAGCGTCGGGACGGAAAGATAATTTGGAAAATCTGAGAGCTGGCATTTTGCTTGAAATTTATAAATACGGAAAGACAAATTTGAAGAGCTTTCGGTACTCTTGGGTCATTGAACTTCATTATGACATATTTACAAAGTTTAAATCTCAGCGCTCACAAATTTAATCTCCGCTCAAATAGACTTGAGATGTTGTTTCTAGAGCAGCATTTCTCACAGGGGCAATTTTCGCACTTGAGGAGACGGAACAGGGTTGCTCGTAAATACGATTAAAATTTCAGCGCTGGACAAGTTGAGCTATTTGATCGAGTAAATATTTCCAAACTTTGCATTTTTCTGGCTGCTAATTAAGCTATTTCTCGGGCAATTTGAACATCTGAGCAAAAAGATGTCTTATATTGACAGAAAATATGATAGGTCATCTGGCAACCGATGCAACTGTTTGAGCTTGGGTTAATTTTGTTTCATTCTGGTTATGGTTACCTTATTTTATCTTCGTTTTCGACAAGTCGCTGGCTGATGAGCGTGCCCAGATTTGTTGAAACAAACTGTTTGTAAAGCTCGATTCCAGATAGCGGGACACTTGGTGGCACTTCGAACACCAGCACTGCCAGTGAACTTGCTTTATCAAAGGGTGATAGTCTGTTGCCAAAATAGACAACAATAATTTTCTTTCAGAATTCCCTAAAATACAGTCAAGCGCGTTTTTATGCTGCCTTTTATGCGTTTTTTTTTGTATTGTGAGCAGGCTTTTGTCGCTTGTCAGAGCAAACAGATTTTATTTTTTTCAAAAAGATAGAAAGGGCCGTTTTTATCTCAATTTTCGAATGGGCGCAGTGCCAGCTTGTTTGCGGATGTAACTCTGGGCAACAGCCCCTTCGACCCTAGAAAATCCTTTCCCACGAATCTCAGCACTTTCTCTCCATAATAAGTTATTAGTAAAAATATTCACTTTAAAAGGATTTTGCATTTGACAACATTGAACTACATGATAAGCCTTTGTAGCTCTTGATTTAATTAAACACTCCGTGTGTCTTTGATTGGTAAATCAAGTTACGAAATCAAGTTGAAATTTTAAAAAAGTTCCTTTTTTGCGACATTTTTAACCCACTGGCGCGCGATGTTTTGATGGTAGTATGGAAAAATGTTTCGGTAAAATAGCCGAAATATGGTGAGCTTATTTTCTGATTAATCTTTCGGTAACAGCCGAAACTTTTCTCACTTTTTTCCCCACTTTAAGGAAAAAAAGTTTCGGTAGGCTACCGAAATCTTTCTCACTTTTGAATTCATTTCTAGCAAAAACATTTCGGTAGAAAAAGACTGAATTTTTCGGGAGACGGACGGTGCCGGTACCAAATTGGTACCCGGTACCAAAATTGGTACCCGGTACCAAAAAATTGGTACCCGGTACCAAAGTCAAACATTTTTTCTGACCCATCAAAAAACTAATGTCCGCTCCGCGGCTGAATTGTAAGAAAACTTCATTTATTGACCAAAAACACCTTTTAAAATCAATTTCGGCTCGGTATCCTGACATTTTTTTGGTACCGGGTACCAGAAATTTGGTACCGGGTACCAATTTTGGATTGGTACCGGCACCGTCCGTCCCCGAATTTTTCAGCAGGAAATTATCAAATCTAAGTGCCCCTTACCTCGGGGCTCCGCCCCTTCGGGCCTAAGATGCCGGGGTCTAGTCTAGGGTTACTTAGGGTTACCTTCGGTAACCCTAACTAACCCTAGCCTATCCCCCTCGGGTGAGTTTGTTCTGTCATTTTGCCCAGTGCCCCTAACCCTAACCTCAATCAATAGAAAATACCTAAGACTTAACTAAGTACTTTTATCTAAAAAAAATCTTTTGGTAGAAGTAAGATGAGTCTCCACTACTAGTCCTAAGGTCTTCCGTTTTTGAACGGAAAATAACTCGATATTTTAGAGCTGACAAATTGATAAGGGACGTTCATTTGATGTAATTTTCAGCTCAATTCAGGATGAGAATGGAAAAAGCTACCGAAACTTTATTGCTCTGAAGACAGCAAATTCTGATTTCTGTTTCGGCTCGTACCGAAATATTTTTCCAAAAAACAAGGCTTATTTGTAAAATTCTTTCGGCTGCCTACCGAAATATTTATCACATTTTACCCTTTACAAGTGATTTATATTTCGGCCGCTTTTACCGAAACTTTTTTCCATACTACGGTTTTGATGGGGGAACACACGTGAAGATTCTAAAGCCAGATCGATGGTCAGATTAGACATGCACATCCGCCCTGGGTATAATGGACTGGAGACATCCAAATGATAATATTTCTGCAGGCGGCTCCATCCAGCTACTATCGCTTAATCACCTGACCTTTGGTTTTCGTTATCTCGGTTATATCTCCTTCTGTGTGTGCTCTAATGCCAATTTGTGCACTTCCTGCAAGCATTTTCAATAAGCAAAGGATTTTAAAATAGAAATAGAATGTAATAGAAATATTTACAATGACTGTAATGCGTGTTCCGAACGCGTTAAACACGACTGGTAATTTACATTCTTAGAAACTTACACCTACTACAGATCGATGTAGAACCACTTTGATTTACATGTTCCATGAAAATAATAAAAGATCGGTCCAGTCAGACAAGAATCGAAATCGTAAAAATTTTAAGAGCGGAGCGCTCGGAAAGTCAGACGGACGAAAAGACAGATTTATTCGAAGCAGATAGCCGCCGAACTGGAGGATTATTAAAACTTATCACTGTGCAAATGAACGGGCTACAAATCTGTTCTACAAATTTAAGCCACGGAAGCGCTTTTTGAGTATAATGAGGTCTTAATTGCCGAGTAAACTGGTTCTCCGAATTTTTTTCACGAACAATGCTATAGAATCTTACCATGGTTAAAAGTGATCTTCAAGAGACTTCAGCGAAAAAAATTATTTTATTTCTTTTTGTCAAAATAATATTATGGTCTTTCAATTTGATAATTATCAATACAAACAATGAATACAGAACGCTTGAACGAAGTCTACGTCAATTATCTTGCAGCTGACTTGTTGATTTAAATATTGAACTCGGAAATAAACAGAGCTTGCTTTTGTTTTTTGTCTCTATGTAGCTTTATTTGGTTTAGGAAGTCTCTGGAAAGCTGATTTAGCCATTTCCGCTGACTTGAGCGTGTTCGTTTGTTTGCCTAGAGTTACGATGAGTTCTGGCGGCTCAGGTCGAAAAGATACATAAAGATGAAGAACCGTACATAATAATTGACCACACGTTTTCTAAGCTCGAGCTTTTGCTTGATTAAAAGCGTAAAAATACGGATTATGCCCAAAATTCGCCTCTTGAACTTTCGCAGTTGCGTTTGGCACATTTCAGAGTTCGAGTTGTTCACGGTTTTTTCTTCTTAGAAGACGGAAATCCCCTTTCTTAACAGCTCTACTGTTTCGTTCTCGAGTGCGAAGAGAATTGAAAACACTTTGAACAGTGTAAAACGAGCGGTTAGGGCTAATCTCTTCCACCTCTCGACTGGTTAATCTTTCAGATTACTGATGGTGTTTGATGACCGAAACTTTCCCCACTTTGATACGCATAAAATTCGCAATCAATCGTTTAAAAGTATCATCCCTTTTTCCTAATTCGTAAATTTTGCCAATGTCTTCATCTTCGCTCGTCTTTTCCTTCGTCATTTTTAATCTCTTATCGACTCTTCTTTTCTCTTGGTTTTTTAATCCGTTTGTACTTTTTCAGAAAAAATGAGGCATGAAAAAAGTTCAATTACGGAAGGTAAGAAGAAAGAATTATTTTTTTTAGAAAATTGCTTGGAACGTGTGGACCGCGGACGGGCGCGCGGCAACGCGACGGGCGCAGCGCTCGGTGGCGCCAAATCACAAAGTCCACAAAAAAGTCCTCTGCCCTTGAATTTTTTTCTTCTGCACTAAAACACACAATAACTGCTCTAGTTCCTCAGTCGCTTTCTGTTCTTTGAGTTCCGCGAAACGGATTCTCTATCTAACAGCAGAAGTAAAGTTCTATCAGTCCAGCCCTACTTAGGTGTAATTTCTTGTTGATATATAAATACGTAAATGCAATTCTGACAAACAAAATTTGTCTCGTTATAAATGAGATATGTTTTCTTGAAAATAAACGGGAATACTAAGGACTAGAGCTTCGGAAACGACAAGACGGGCAAGTTGGGTCGCTCAGAACTCGAAATTTTGGCATAAATGTCAGAGGAATGTCATTTTCCCCTTTAATCAATCAAGAAGCAATAATAAAAATACCAAAATGGTCAATGAAATGACGACTCAAAGTCCAAAGCTGCTTGATCAGAAGTCCAATACCCAGAATTTATGAAAAGCGCCTTGTTGCTGTGCTGTTGTGTCTTTGCTCCAAAATCTTGACTTCCAAAGCGCAAATTTATGTATCTCCTTTGCATAAAGTACAAAGAAGGTGTCTATGTAGATAAACACTCTACACGAGCTCGGCGTCAATTCCAAAATACTCAGTATTCAGAGCAGTTTTCTTCCCGGATATTTGGACGCTCTTCTGGGCTTGAAAGCACACAAGTCAGAGCTTGAATTGTTCGAAACGGAAGCGGCTTATTGTGCCCTGCGTGTGGCCCACGAGCTGAACAATTTTTCTCCCAATTGACAATTGTGCAAAGATTAATTTGTAAAATGCCTTTTACAAGCAGATTCCGGAAAACGCCTTGACAGCGCCTGGTCATTTCTAAGAATGTTAAGCCCCAAGATTTAAATAAAAGTCTGTATTTAAGTCAGCTTGTGATTAATTGATGAGCAAAGAAGGTGAACGTTTCCGGTTCCGACTAGCAATTAGAACAACCCTGCATGCAGGTTATCGGGTCACACGTGTGCGCCTTTTGGAATTCTTTCGGCTTATGAACTCAGCCTAAAATAAAAGGGAAAAGTTGACGAGAAGATAGAACTAGCAAGGCGCCGAATCAAAAACAAAGAACAACTGCGATAGTAACCAAGCAATTCTGTTCCTACTAGCTTCAAAGTCAGATACTTCAGTATCAGCAGAGTCAACATCCGCTGATGTTTTACAAGATTTACGGACTGTGAGCGCGTAGAGCTGCGGTCAAAATTATCAGATTTGAGGATATTACGCTTTGATTGAAGGCGTACCGTTTCTTCCATGTCGCTACTATTAGCGGATTTGCACTTTCCTTCACGTAAATTTACGCTTTTGCGATCAGAAAATTTTGAATATGGACGGCTAATTGTCTTTCAGAGTCTTGCTAACTTTTCTTTGCTGCATCTATTTTAGAGAAAAAAATCTTTGATAAAAACACGAAGAAAAAAAGCTTTTTGTTCTCGAGAGTTCTTTGCCTCCTTTCTCACAAAAGCCAAAATTAAATTTGCAAGCATTTTCAAGTCCTTATTCATTTAGTCGGAGAAAACCAAAGAGCAGAATTTCGCTCCACTCATTTATCGCTAAACACGTTTTTACCAGAATAAGTATGTTTTACATTGTTTGGCATAGAATAAGAAACAGCTATACAAAGGAAAGAAAGCGGGCTCTTCATAAATAACTCAACGCCGTTTTCACGAAAAAGAAAAACGCTAAAGTGCTTACAGGTAGAAAAAAGTTCCCAGGAATTAGGATCGCCTTTGATAATTAGACAGCTCGAAAGCAATTCATATTTGAATTCTTCTTCAGGTAGCGGATTTTAGAGGATCATAAAAATGATGCTTTTAGGCCGAAAAACCCGACGATTATTTTGTGTTATTCGAATTTTCTGAAACGCGCATAAATCAAAAAAGCAATGTATAATTTGCGAATCTTCGTCAAACTCGTGCGTCAACTCGTGAATGAGTTAATTCTAGGTTGAAGAGTTCTGAACCCCTCCTCGGGTGCAGCCTTTTAGCCCTGGCGGAAGTCGTTTATTTGAAGTCGGTGGTGAGCGTGGTGGTAATATTTATTTTTATTTAGCTTCTCGAGATTAGTGGCTACTCAATCGCCGCAAAGATCGCGAAATGATAACTTCGCCTCTGAAATTTCATAAATCCGAGGCGGGACGATCTATTTTTGGGCGGAGCTACGTCCGCACTTACTTTTGCGTTTTTCGGGACTCATTTAAATAATCAACTTGCATTCAGTAGTTTGCTGAACAAAATTTCTTCCTCGAATATAAATCAAATGTTTAATAAACCTTCTTTATTTCAAATGTTGTCTTTATTTCAAAAAACTTGTGCATCAAAATTGATAGAGCTCACAAAATCTTCTTGTTTTCTTCTCTTAAAACCTCCTTTAATTGAGTTTTACGATGATTAAGTTATAATTTATAAACAATTATTTTTACGATATCCGATATAAAAATGCATTTTTAACTCTTTCCGTCAAATCAGTCATCTTCTTTACCAAATCAGCTTTCTGTTTTTCTTGAAAATCTAAGATATCTTCGTAGTGCTTCGTTTTTCGAATTAGTTTGTCCATTTTTTCCTTTTCATCTTCCCGCGGAAATTCAATTTTTGAAAGATCTTTTGCATAATCCTTCATACTTTCGATTTGTTTCAAAATAATATATTTCCCACTATCAAAATGTATAACTGGTCGTTTGAAACATAAACCTATTTCTCGAATTCGTATGCTTCAAAATCGTCATCGAGTGCTCTTCATCGAGTTCCTCAGAATCAAAAATAGTTTTTGCACCGTAGTGAATCGTTACCTTGTATTTCTTGTTGATTTTCTGAATCTTGTGTTGGACTTTTCCGATTTCTTTATGCGCTGCTTTTCTCAGGCAATCGAATTCTCTTGAATTTGCCTTTCTTCTTTCATTGAACCCTGTTCGTCGGTCCATTTATCCTCGAAAAATAATCAACTTGAGAAAAAAAACGTGACGGAAGCTTACTTTCTGATAAATATTGAAACTCAGCCGATTTCTTTATTATACTAAATTATTGTAAAAACTTTTTGCCTTTGCGTGAAATAAAAATAATCTAGAGAGATTTGGTGTCATTGAAATTTTCATTTTGAACTCACTGAAGCTCAAGTTTTGCGATTAGCTAAACGAGTCTGAGTGTTTCAGTATAATTTGGAAAATTGCGTAAACAAGGAAATCAACTTGACTTGAAGTGTCCCGCCTGCCCCCCAAAAGTTGGCTACTTACTTTTTCCACGGGAACTGCGGAGAGACCGTATCCGATGAACGTGCAAATATTTGCACTCGTAATTGCGAATTCAGTCACAGCGTGCAGCCTCTCCGTCGATCCTGGAGAAATAAGAGAGAACAATCAGAAACTCGAAGCTGCATTTTTTGAAAAAAGGAAGTTACAGTTGTCGAGAAATGATCAGCTGACGAGCACTCTGTCGATATAGATACAGTAATGGCTTCTGGAATAGGAACGCCGGTTGGAAACTCGGCTTTTGTATGGTTGGATGTCGATGAATTCACTTACTGTGTGCTAACTGATGCAGGAAAGGGTTCAAATAGTTTTATTTTCACTGAAGCAAGAAGGTCACAATTTCACAAGAATTGATTTTTTGAACCAATTTTGAGTAGCAACAAGTCCAGTAGCAAACCCATGCGCGCGAATCACCCTACTGCCGGAAAAAGGAGACGTGATTAATTGGTATGGGATTGTTAAATCCGCGAAATAAATCTGCAGCACTCAGTTCTCAACGACTGGCAAATTTGCACGTGGTTAATCGGCGCTACGTACAGTAACTAGAATTCTTTCAGAGTAAATCACTGCTCTTTGATTTTTTCGCGGGCGACGTAATTAAATAATGCTTTGAATTTTTCACGACGTATATTTAAACGTGGCAAATAAACAGTCCCAAAATAAAGCAGAAGATCACAAGGGTGCCACAAATCCGATGAGTGTTATCCTTGCAAGAATCTCTTGGAGAAAGCAATAAAGATAAACGACCGACAATTTCTGATCTGCGGCAACAACGCTCTAAATCCAAGATGTCATCTTTTCTCGCACAACGGAACAGATCTTCCAACAGAACAAAGATCAAAAGCATTTTACTTGACGAAGCGTTGGTTCCCCCGAACTCTCACAGAAATAATTATGGACGGGGCTGATCAAAATTCTGCATATGTACTGACTCTTTCGCTGGAACCTGCGCCGTTCTTGAATCACTACAGTATCAAAGGCTTGCTGAGCGAAAACGGAGGGATCGAGGAGGTGGATAAAAAGAGGGATGAGCTAGACTTGTCTAGAAAGAATACTTACAACGCAATCAAGTCTTTTGTATACAAAGATGAAGAGAATTTGGAACGCGCGGTTTTCCTATTCAGGAACCGGTTAGAATGGAATAATAAATTTTAACGAATAATTAAGAAGTTAAATAAGCCAGTCCTAAAACCGAAGAAAAGTACAGATGAAGATATCTACGAATCGTTCCCAATCAATGGAGTCTCTTCCCTCAGCAGCCCAAAAAACAATTCCCCTCCAGTTCTTCTGAAACTGCGCTGCTGCGATCCAAAATTTCCATACCAAGTAAAACAAAACCAAAATTATTAGCCGATAATGATCTTATCAGGACAATCATTCCTGCAGTTACCACGCAACTTCCTTCGAAACCGCTGATGACGAGAATTTTCTTTTCGGAATTTTCAGATTTCCATTCGCGCTGAAATCAGACGAGCGCTTGGGAATCTGTAAATTTTCAAAAGAAGCGATTACCCGCGTAATTACTACCAAGGTACTTGGAATATTGTTATCGCTTCAATAAGTTGTTTCTTAGAAAGTTGATGAGGTTGAACTAGAAGGGGACTTCATCAGCTCCAAAATTCCCGGCGGTTTATCGAAGGAGGACGTCATAATTGGCGCTAAAAGCCAAGAACTTCTAATTCACAACCGCTCATCAAATTTTATCAAAGTCATCAAACTTCAAGATCAAAACAAAGCCTTGTTATCGACAGAAAAGAAGATTCGCAGTCAATTCGCAATTGAGGTAAGATGAAGCTTATTACGCGCCAAAACGGAAATATCTCTCGCCAAAAAGTACAACGGGACTCAGCTCTTGAATATAAAGCACAGTGAAAATATTTTCTAGGCTTCCAGCCTGGTTTACAATCTGGAGAAAACTGATGGTTTGTGGCACATGGTAGAGGTAAATCTTTGCCCCGAGCTTCCAAGTGAGCTGAGCGGACGCGTGGAGAAATGCATTTACTGTCACTCGGAGACAGCTGGCTACTGCCATTATGCCAGCCATAAATGCACAGGTAATCAATGAGACCAAAAAACGTTGTTTAGCAGCTCTAACTATTTAGTGTCGAGAAGCAAAACTCGCGAAAATAGAACGTGCCCGGACGTGAAAAACTGTCAACAACACGTTGTCCAGCGAGAAGTGCAAGAATTGGAGCCTGAAACGCCCTTCCGAAAACCTGTTTCTTTGAGCCCAACCCTGCCCCGGTTCAATTTTGATCTCATTACTTGGAGTATTGATGGCTTCAAAGCTGAAGAATATTCGAACAGGACGCAAGTTAAAATTTGGGCAAATGATCCAATTTCCGAAGTGAAAGTTGACTTTTGAGGGCCGGTACAGTATTTTACTGCGAGAAGTATTCTATTCAAGAACTTATAGGAACGGTCATAATTTCTCGCAAGAATAATATTTGAAAAGAATATTTTATGACCCACTGAAGAACGCATTACCCCTCTGCCTCCAAAAAGTACGAAAACAACTACCGTAACTACCACAACTACAACGATCATAAGAAAAACAACAACATCGACTCAAACGAGTTCATCAATCCGAAAAACCCAGACTACCCCCTCCAGCACCACAACGAACGCCACAGAATCCACCACAACTGTAACTGAACCCCTTTCTTCGTCAGCTTTGCTTCGAAGCCTCTCGAACGCAACTCAGACAGATGGAATCGTTGGCAATCAAACAACTTCTGGCTCCACTAGTACTTCCTCAAGTGGCCTAGAGGGAATTCAATCTGCCGAGTTGAATTTTATTCTTTTAGCAGCTGGAGGAGTTTTTATCTTGATAGTCTTGGCTAACTTGACGTTTTGCTTCATTAGTAAAAGGTTGGTCTCTTGTTGTATATATTTTCGTCGGTTATGAAAAAGTCGAGGATTTTGTGATAATTCAATCATCAAAAAAAAAAAAGAAAATTTTTATCAAATCAATTCAGAAAACTGAAAAAGAAGTATTCCTACGATCTTCCGGAAAAAGCCACAAACGAAAAATGCCTCGTCAGATCTCAGAAAACTCCAAAAACTACCGATCAAACAACACAAGTAACTCCTTCGCTGCCTCGAAAGCCCAATACGCCCAAGCGTCAAGGATCCTCTCTATCATCGCTAAGTCCGCCAACTGTCTCAAGTATTCAAGAAAAGCTAAAAGATGAAAGTGCAGGAAGTCATAATAACAGAAGATCGGATTACACTCTGTCCACTTCAAGTACTGTTGATTCTACTGCTCCGCTGCTCAAAACATGAAAAGAGAGTCAATGCTATTTTTGTAAATATATTGGCAGGATAAATGATCAAATAAAGCAATGTGGATAACTAAAGAATGATGCATGACGATTTTTCTTTTCCTTCTTCTTCCTCCTGTTGTTGCTCCAGCTCTCGTTGTTTGTCTATCAGACATTTTTAATAAGACAAAGATTTTTGGTAAAAAATACCGATGCAAGCCATTGCAAACATTCTAAACTCCTTGTAATCGAGCTCGTCATCTCCTGACACATCAAACTCTTGAAACAACTCGCCAATCGACTGATCATTCAAGTTGAATAAAAATCCATAGCTACGGAAAAACTCACAAAATGGAAGGCAAAAAATAATATACCGTTTGAATTCCTCGGCGGAAATTGTCCCTCCTCCGTCTTCGTCCATCAGTCCAAATACAATTTTTGAGTGTCTGCAATCGAGATGAACATTTCATTATCTTATCGCAAAAAATGCTACTTGCCTGAAGAGAAATTGCTTTTCGGTTCGGTCCTTCAGTGAAATCAGAATCGCGCAGACGAGATAAAAGTTTTCCCAAGTTATCTTTTGTTAGTTACACATTGTTTTCATGAAATTTCGAAGAAGTACTAATGATAAAGAAATAAACATGATCTTAGCTCGAAGGAGTGAGAAATTTGTCTTATGGAATTATTGGTTTTGTTTGCATTTATTTGGTTTTCATGTGGTGACTAGTCCTGTCCAGTTCCATTGTCAACCATTTTGAAGACACGTTCCACACTATCGTGGCTGAATGCAGTGACGGTTTTCAGGAACGATGTGAACTAGAGGACGTGAAACTTCGAAAAAACTAATGAACGAACCTGGATGTCATTGAGCTGGCCTATTTCGTGCACGTCCAGTAGATTAAAAAGTTCGAGCAGAACAGCTGCGTTCTTTACTGTAAAGAGACTGTAACTTCTATCAAGGTGCATCGAGCTCAAGAGCTTCGATTTTATCTCCACCATCTTTTTTTTAATATGTAATCTAAATGTTGACAACGCTTGTTTTGTCAACAGTTGATATTGGTCTAGAAAATATTCTATCTGCAAAGGCAATCAAGTCGGATACAAATGGTTATGCGACCAATAATTTATAAAAATGAAGCAGTGGAAAAGATACTTGGTGAACTCTGATACAGTATAAGTTTTTACAGTATTATAAGTTTTTTACAAGGCACTGAATTGGTTAATGAAATTTTCCGGAGATAAAAAGACAAACTAAAGGTCAAATTAACCAGTCCCTCAGATGGTTGGGATTTCTTTTGACTTTCTTCGTTTCTGTCAGTCTTCTAGAGCACAAACATTAAAGATAGAAGAAGCTCTGTACTCACATGAGTTTTCTGAACATCTTTCGGACAAGTCTTTCTACCGTCGAGATCATTGAAGCTAATGAGACGCCCAGAATCAGTCCTGCTGTTCCTCCAATGTCGGACATGAACTCGAATCGGGTGTACTCAGGAGATTCCGTCTCGGTCAAAATCGTATCAGCCTTCAATGAACCGCATTTAACTGCGTCCATCAAATATGCTTACCTGATAGAGCAGCATGGATGATATTCCCGTTTGGCTTGAGTTGAACACCTTCTGCCTTTATGAGGGCTCATTACTTATTTAAAATTAAGCCCTTCTAAGTTCTATGGGATCATTTGATAAAATGAATCAATCAACTGTCGAGCCCGTCGCTTCTGTGATCCGGCGATTTCAAGTCAAGTTCAGCGTACTGAAGGTTACCGTGGACGAAATTCTCAGAGTCACATTCGAGCTAAATTTAATAATTCATTTGACAATCTAAATGAACTTTGAATTAAATATTTGAATAAGGGTCAACGAAACTCAGTCGATAATTGAATTATTGGACTTTACCTCGCATCCTTGGCATTCCAAATTATCGTGAGCGACGATCTGGTTTGAGACACAGAAGCTTCAAGAACGTGTCACAGAGCCCATATGATCATTTCAAACCTGTGTTGAGTGAAATTGCAGAAACCAAGATCGTCGATCTTCGCGAGATAAGGGAAAAACGGCGCGTTGCAGTGGCATTTTGTCTTAATTTCTTTGATCAAGCACTCCATTTGACAGTGTTTCATCGTGTACTTCTCGAAATACTGAAGCTCTAAAGTAAAATAGAAACGGTATTTCGCATGTTACCATTAGCGGATTCGGATGAATCTTTGCCGCGTCTCGCTCACGACAATCCTTGAACGGGTTTCCTAGAAGCTTGACTTTTTTTCTGCCTCACAGACAATATCGGAAGGCCACCTTGGTCGGTCATCAATTTCGACTCAATATAGACGATTGCATATAACTCGTAGCTCGAACGTAGCTTTATTTCAATAACTCGTCGCTAATTTTTTAGACCTTTCCTGGTGTCAGAATAATCGAGTCGTCGGGATCGAGGGTTTCTTCGAAAGTTGGACTCACGAATATTGTACATCCTTCAATGTAGTGCGTCCAGCCTGCTGTCCAATCTGTTATATTGTATCTGAGTGCGTAATTAGCCATATTAATGAACAGAAAAGTTCATACTTCACAGAAATGGAAATGGAACTTTGACGACCAAAGAGGGACTTTTGCTTCTTCATTTTCCAACGATCTTAGAAGCTATTATATAATTCTAGTGTCCTAGTTACCTGAAGAAGGAGTAAACACAAGACAAGTCCCATAGATCGTCAAGATCTTATCCCAGCTATCCCGGCAATCTCTGTTCAGAAATTTGCAAGCAATTATTTCCATTTCTCCACTTGTCGAATTCATAAATTTCTCCAAGTCCAACGAGTCTAAAGACGATATTTAATCAAAACTTTCCGAAAAAGCTGAAAACCTAAAACTGATCTGTCTTTATATCGAAAGTCGCGGAACTTTTCTCCGTGATTATCGCCATAACTGCCGTAGAGAAACGGCAGCCCGGCGAGAATTTCTTCGTAAGTGTCAGGGTAGTACTTTTGTATCTTCCATATCGATTGTTGGGAGTTGAGGCAGATCGTCAGTTTTGGAAAGGCTTTTGTTAGAAATTATTATTGTTGCCCGAGATCAAATATTTTTACCTTCGACTGATGCGTTGACTGGAATCTCGCTTGTTTTAGTAATTGTTGGATAGCTCAGATATTTTGAAAAGCAATCCGCAATATTCTTCAAATATTTTTCAACTGCATCATCTATTTTATCGACTTGCCTTGACTGTGAATGTGACACCAAGAAGAAGCAGAATTCCCCATGAGATGCGGCTAAAGACATGATTCTTCGGATTTGAAATAGTACTGAAGAAGGTTGACACGCACATAGTATTTTCACTAGGTGGAGGCTCTCTTTGTTTCTCAAGAGGAGTGAAAGATTTCATTGTGGAAAGTGCATTTTCTTCTTTATAGGCAATGAAGAAAGTGAATATGGAGAGGACTGTCGATATATAGCCGCAGATATGATAATTGCTGCAAAATTAATTAGCCAGTTTTTTAGTTTTTGATTCTGAATATGGTGAGGGATTCTTTGTTGCTACCTTGATTCGAGAGCATATTGTAAAAAGGCTATGTAGGTCACATTGGCACCGAGACTGACATATTTTCTGATACGAACCTCTCCGAAAATAACTGATTGCGGAATTGATTCTTGAATTTTTGATTTCCTGAGCACAAAAATTATTTTTATCCATCTATGATTAACTATCTAACCACCTCGATTTTAGCGCGTGCCATTTGAAATCTGGTTAGAAGCATTCAAGGTTAAACAAATCGGCCGTAATTGATGAAATCAACGAAGACAATTTAGTCTCAACCTGTCCTAAAGCCATTCATATGGAGGTATTGTTTCTCTAGTGGAGTATTCAACAAGTTTCTTTATAAAACTCGAATTGAAGAAGTTTGGTCTCCAATCTTTTTTCGATGATTATGAGTTCTGACAGATTTTTCGCGGTCCGCTTTTAAATTTATTATTCTGACAATTTTCTCGCCGTCGTTTACGTGTTGTCGGACAATATAATTTCTCGAACCTTGGATGGTCTTTTTCCTAGGTCTCTTAGCAAAAAGAGAATTTAAGAAAGCAGTGGAGCACTTGACATCTTTATTATCAGGTCTCGCGAAGAATGCATCGACTCGCATACGCGCCATCTTCGGGGACATTATGATATGGATTGGAATAACAAATAAATATCTAAAAACCACACTGCAAAGTTCCTCAAGTTCGGCAGTGTAAATTCATCAGTTTTCAATATTAATGATCGAATTACTTGTAAAGTAACGGTCTATCGCTAATAAACTTGGATCACTTTCCCTTTTTCTCGCTAAAGCAAATCCGGGCATTGGGTTTCGATTGTATTTCTAAATAATTAACCTCCCCGCACCCCTATTAATTTTTTTATTTTGATAAATTGCAATGTTGATTTATTGCATAAGCCTGCGTTTAAATTCATGTATAAGCATGCAGCACTTCAATATTGTCATTAGCGGATCATACATTCATACGTGTTGTTACTCCTCCTTGACAACTGATTTTTTGGGTCACCGAGTTGTTAAAAGAAAATTGAAAAATTGATAACACATCAACTAAACTCGCTAAAAGAACTAATCGTGACCCAAAATGCCTATAGGACGATTAGAAAATAGACTCTGTCTTCTTTTCCTCATGGCCTCTTTGAAAGATGTTCCTCTAGTTCCTCTAGGAGATTTCATAATTTTAGGATTTTATAAATCAGAATGATCTTCGTTCTAAAAGCGACGCCTTATATTTCGCAAATTATATCCGCAAAATGCGGTTAAAATGCACAATCCCGAGATTCAATAATGGAAGGACAACATTCAAGATGCGAGGTTTATTCATGGAATCGATAATCCTCAGGGTAACATTGGGTTCAGCAAAAGTCGCCGACGTTTAAGATTTCGCCCTTGCAGCACTGCTTGTTGTTCGCGTTGTATGTGGCCATTGCCTGATCAGGGGCACCGCAGCATCTTAAGTCGCCGCCGTTTGCAGAGCGGATGCAATCTCAAAGAGTTCTTTACTCCGTTCTTACGTTGATTAAATACCTTGCTCTGGATCGAATTTGTTTTTTCCGTGCTTTTTCGATTTATCATAAAACTATAAAATTAAGTATCAAGGAACATTGACTCCAATTTTACCTCCATCGCATCGCCAATATTTTGGGCAAACATGAGATCACATTCGCACAGAAGTCGAGGACAACTTCCAGGCTGATCATTGCATTTCCATTGGTTTCTGAAATCGTTTCTCAGATCAAAGCCGACGTCACTGTAAGAATTTTACCGTGGAGTTTTCTCTGCATCATATTTTACGATTTCCCCGATACATTCGTCTCCATTTGAATTTGCTGGGCTATGAACTCGTCTCGCACACATAAGACATGCTTTGTATGTGTGGTAGAGCTTGTCCAGCTGGTCAACGGGAAGGCCATTTCCAGGCGAACTCATCGGTCGATCACCTCTATTGAACCCGTTGCAGCCATAGCTCCATAATTTCTTATCATCAAACTTTGGCCAGTACGTCTAAAAGAGTTGTGGCTTGATTCTTTACGCTTTTTAACCTCCGCCATGAGCATCAAATTTGCATATCTTCGTTGAGCCCTATCGCCAGTTTGGCTTCCAGTCTGACCGAAAACAGATGCAACACTCAAAATAATGGTCTTCTTCATCCTTATTTTGTTCTCTAAAAAACCATGCACTCCGAACCAAAGATTCTGACCGATCATTTTGAGTGCTGGATGATTGCCTCAATTACCAATGTCGACCCACAAAATGGGGTGGAAAACGTGCTCAGTCTTTTATCGAAGGGGGCCATTTGACGTCATTAAAAAGTCAAAATTATTCACTTTTGACTTTCAAAGCTTCTAGATTGTCTCGGATGGTTGATTTGATGGAAATCAAGACTTATGCTCGATAATTATACCGAATCAAACATCTGAATTTGAGCATCATTCGTCAGAGAATTAACCAAAAAAGTAAGCAATTTTTGAAAACTAATCTGTAAGAGATAATCATCAAACCATCTGCAAAACCAAGGAGCGCTCGGTTGGAGTCCAACCTTCTTTGCGTCTCAGAGACTGCATCTGGCGCCATCTTTCGGAGGAAACCATTCATAAATACTTTTCAGAAATCTCGACCAGCAGAATACGAAATCAATTTCTCAACCAAGCAGCTTACAATGAAACTCAGGACTCGTTCTTTTGAAGAGAGTTTCGATACTCCAAGTTCTTCATCAACACCGAAGAAGATCAAAATTCAGAAACCAGACGACTTCGAAACGGTTCATCCCAACTCAGTAACTTCATACGGACAATTCGGAAAATGTGAAGGGTCCGAATGTGACGGGTAAGATTGAACCAATAGAATTATTAATACTTACATCAAACTATTTCAGAGTACCTGAAGAGACGATCAAGATCAACGACGAAAGATTATGCAGAACCTGCGCGATAAAATCGAATAGCAATCTTCATCTTCAAGGGAAAACATTCGACAAATCCGATGCCGAATTCAAGTGTCCTGCATTTTCTTCTGATGGAAGCTGCAAATCGGAGAAAATCTCCTTTAGTGAATTCTACCTCGGATCTTGCTGTGAGCAAGCTTCAAAATGGCTGACAGAGAATGAAAAAGGTGATTATTACAAATTTTCTTGATGAATAATTATTTTTGCAGCCCGCAAAAAAGAAAATCCACATCATGAAAAACCTTCATGCCGAGGCCAAGCGAGAACAAAAAGAAGCAAAAGAGGAATCGAAAGAGACGAAAACGAGCATCGATAAAATGGAGAAACTGCTGGTGAATGGAAGAAAAAGAGTTGAGGAAATCTTGAAGATAATCAAGGAAACCGAGGTAAAACTCAAAGAGAAGAAGGAGTCCCAGGGCGCCACAGAGAATAAGCTTGAAGAAAAGGACAGAAAAATGGACATCGTGTCCAAGCGATACAAACAGCTGTCTTACGAATATCACTCCGTCACTCGGAAAGATGATCAGAAGGAAGACAATGACAACTCAGGTAATGGTAAATTGAAATTATAGAGTTAGTGAAGTTAATAATTATTTTTAGATGCCGCCAGCTGCCGAGTTTGTCTGGAGAAATATGGCGATGAGTGGAAGACCTCCAAATGGGTGATGAAAGGATGCGGACATTCTGCCTGTGGAAACTGCCTAGACCGAATTCTCGCGGACGCCCACTATGGCCAGTGTCCTCATTGCCGAAAATCCTTCACGATCCAAGACATGATCAGAATCCACGAATAAAAACTTATACAATACTCGATTGTCTGTCAAACTGTTTGACTCAAACATAATAATCACATGATCCTTATACTGAAAATTGCTTCTTCTGATTGATGATTTATGAAAAAACAATAAAAATTAAGATCATTTCATTTCAATGCAAGCGGGTCTTCAGAATATGTATCAGTGGCAGCCACCCCCCTTATCAATAAATTCCCATTGTCGGCCCTTTGCGGACGCGCTCACGTCGGATTTCAGTCGAAAATCTTAATCATGCCGAATGATAGGCCGATGAGCTATTCGTTGTCGTCCAATAAGATTTCTAGATGAGAATCTCCTGAGCATACTCTGTTCAGACAGGCCGCCTATTGATTCACTTATTCACTTATTTTTTCGATGAAGCTCAGGTCCCGAAACATTGATGCTCATGAAGCCGCGATTTCAACGGTAAAGATGGCAAAGATTGAGGCCTTCGAGAGTATTTTTCCTGGTATGCTGGTTTCCTGCGGAGAATTCGGAATCTGCGTTGGATCTGAGTGCGACGGGTAAGACTAAAATGCGCAGTTCCATGATCACGAAAATATTTTTGAAGAGTGCCCTTAGAAACTTGGCGGGTTCAGGGCAGAATCTTATGCGAAGTCTGTGCAACAAAGGAGTATGGGAGCAAATTCTATGAGGAAAACGACGTGGTTGATCCGGGGTCCTCTGATGCGAAATTCAAATGCCCAGCATATGATAAAGAAGGGAGTTGCAAGTCGAAGGAAGTTTCTATCGAGAATTTTTTCATGGGAAATTGTTGCGAGCAAGCTTCAAAAGTGTTCGTTGAAAACAAAAAAGGTATTACGATACGTGAAAATCACTTTTGCGGAGCAAAATTCTACCCCCCATGTTCCTTGTGCTCATTAGAAAGAGCAAGTCCTAAGGAGTCGAATGGTATAGTTTGAGGGTCTTAGTCATCACATATGACGTCATCAGGGCCCTCCTTTGAAAAATGGTCATGTCCCCCTGTATCTCCGAAAATTTTCAGAAATTAATTGAGATTTTGGTATCGTTGGAAAGCTCACCTCAAATTGGCTATGAGCACAAGGTGTGCAAGAAAAAATTTCTAGGAAAAAAATTTTTTCTGAGACAAAAACTTTTCACCCAAAATTTTTTTTCAGAATTTTCTTTTGCGCACCTGGTGCTCATAACCAGTTTGAGCTACGCTTTCCAACGATACCAAAATCTCCATATATTTCTGAAAATTTTCGGAGATACAGGGGGACATGAACTGACATTTTACGGTACTTTAGGCACTAGAATTTGAGATTTCCCGTGGCTTAGACACATAAAAATTGTACCATTCGACTCCTCGGAACCTGCGCTACAAAATGAGCACAAAAAATATTGGGGTCCCGAATTTGCTCCGCAAAAGTCATTTTCATCTATCTTACTACTCATCATTTCAGGATGATAAAAGAACTTTTAGCCCAAGAAAAGCAACTGAAAGTTGTCCACCAATATTATAAGTGGGACTCTGAAGATCTACAGGACAATAAAAACTATATCAAAAATACGCCAATAAGGATAAAGAAGACAGAAGACAGAATCAAACAAGAGGAAGAGGCCTTGAATCAATTGATGAAGAAAGTCGAAAACGCCAAAAAATCCCTTGAGGAGAAAAGATGTTATGTTCGGTGTAACAAGAATGCCCTTCAAGAATCAAAGAAAAGGACAATCGAAAAGGAGAATGTGAAGAATGAAAGCCTGAAACGATTCAAACAACTTTCATATGAATACCATCCAGTCGCCTCCAAACTCTCTCTCGATGACGATGTTGAAGCAAGAGGTAAATCATTTGAAGCAATTAGGTAAATGCAATTAATAATTTAAGAGAACAGAAAAGACTACCAATATTGCAAAGCTTGCGACGAGTTTTACAACGACACAGACCGCCGAAAATCTTTCTTGTCATCCTGTGGTCACGTTGCTTGCCTGAAATGTTTTACGAGAAGATTCAATGATGACGTCGAATATACGTACTGTCCGTTTAACCTGGGCAAGGATTGTCAGAAACGATACTACCGTTTTGAAGTCAGAAGCTTGTATGAATAGTTTGAAAATCTATCCAAGAACTGTATTATCACGGTGATAATATCACCAGTTACTACCCGCTATTTAAAACTGTTACTGAAAAAAAACTTTTCATTAGATCATTTATTATCAATAAATTGACTACATTTATCACAACAAGGTCGTTATAGGACAATGTCGTTCAAGGTTTATGAAAGTCTTTCAAAGCAGGGGAAAAGCAGGTCGTTTTAAATTTCGAGGTTGATAAAAATCCGCCCTGGGGCGTCCCTTCCAAGCTCCATTCTCGATTTCAAGCTGGGGCGCAGTTTGTTCGATTGGGCGCAAAACGTCCAATGGGCGCGATCATCTCCCACAATTTCCCTTTCACCGCGTCGCTTTCAAAAAGAAATCGCGTCGTTTTCGCGCGCGCCCGCACTTTTTGACTCGAAAATCGAAAAAAATCGAAGCGAAAGTGAAGAAATTTGTGCGAAAAAGAGCACAAACCAGTCGAAAAATGCCGTCTTTCAAGATGAGAAAAGGGAGGAAGTGAGAAGCGATGGATAGAGGCCTTAGCTCGGCCTACAAGTCTCCCAATGTATCGAGTAGATACTCGTCCTATGCCACCTCGGACGCCGGATCGACCAGCTCGCATCATAGGAAATTGCCTTTCAAAATTATTCTTCATTCTTATCAATGTAAAACGATAATTTATCGCTAATTTAGTTCTAAAACGAGCAAATCATCATTTTTCCTCAAAAAATACGGTTTGAAAAGCAAAAAAGCGCGAGTATGGGGTCTTCAAAGGGAGTACCAAGCACTTTCCGTCCATCGATCATGTCCTCCATGAAGATGCAAGAACAGGAGCTGCGATCGGAGTCGCCTCTCAACTCGCTCCAGCAGATTTCGTCAAGAGGCTTCAACGCGTTCGGCGATTATCTTAGAAATCCACGCTCCATTGCTCCTCACGAAACTCAGCTACGGTTCCAATTAGTACCTCCAAGGATACATTCGTACCCTTCCTTTATTCAAAATAATAATTGATAAAACTAGTGAAACATGAGAGACATTTACTTTCTAAAACTTATTTGAACGGGATTTTTTGTATTTTGCGACGTTGTCTTGATACAAGTCTGTCAGACGCACAGTCCTCCAGAGCGCCGCCCTTCGAGCTTATTTTTTTCTCATCTGAACTTTCAATCCTGAAATCAGAATTGCTTTTTCTTTTTACTTCTAGATTTGAACCCTCAAAAGAGTCCGCACCACATTCGGGCGAAAATGGCTTCAGATTCTGAGTGGGCGGAGAAGAAAGAGAAAATTCTTAAAGGCAGGGTGAGCGTTCGCATTTCTCTAGAGTCTTTCTGAGCAAGGAATAAAATTCTTACCCTCACAAAGATTTGAAAAAAGTGGAAGAAGAGATCGAAAAGACCGAGACCGCAGTGAAGCTGAAGAGAATTCAGAAAAAGGAGCTCGAAGACAACATCGCCAATCCTGCCAATCCAAACGATAAGATCAAGGAAGACGTGAACGAAGAGGAAGATCTTGAGCCCTGGCAAGAGATCTACGCGGCAAATCGGAGACAATCAGCAAAATCACATAACAAGGGCTCAGCATTTCTGAACCCAGCGTTGACAGAAACTGGTCTCGGTTTTAGAGGTAACGAAAGATCATCAAACACCCCATCAATTTCTTATAAGGTACTCTTCCGCAAATGAACCAACCCTTCGACAGCGAGCGTATCCAGCAGCTCAAGGTGCAGATGAAAGAACACCAGCCCCGTCTTCTAGCCTACCTCTCCCGTAAGAAGCGCCTCGAGAAGCAGCGTGACAACATCATGTCGAAAAAGTACGACGAGGACTTGAAAAAGTGGAACGAAACGACGGAGAGAAAGATGAATACAATCAAGGCGCGTGCGATGGCACAACGTCACCGAGAATGCTTCGAAAAGATTTTCCCAGAGTTGAAAAAGCAGCGTGAGAATCAGGAGCGTCTCAAGCGCACGGCTAATCGCGAATCTGCCCGCTCCGAGGCGGAAATGAACGAAGTCTTAGAGAGCTTGCAAGCCAACGCGAACAGGTTAGTTTATATCAGGAAAACAAGTTATACCTCTTTCCTAGGATGAAAAAGATGAAGCAACAAGCGGTCGTCGTCCCTCGATTACTGGACGCGAATGAGCGGCGATTCCAAGTTGTCGACACAACTGGTCGAATTGATGATCCGGTTGAGCTGTACAGGCACACATGCAAGGACAACCCAGTCTGGACGGACAAGGAAAAGGCCGCCTTCAAACGGGAATACATTAATCACCCGAAACAGTGGCACATCATTTCCAGTTTGATTCCGGGAGGAAAGAAGACTGTGTCCGACTGCGTCAAGCACTACTACTCGTCCAAGATCCAAGAGCAGTACAAAAAAGCATGTTCGTGCGTCGAAACGCAAGCCAGCGCCTGGCAGACATCCGAAAAAGCGAGCAGATCCAGCTCTTGCCCAAGGAGCCGAAGAAACGCAGCTGACAACAACCAAGACTCGTTTTGGGCGCAAAACAGCAGTTTGGAAAGAAGAGGAAATCGAAGCATACAAAAACGCTCTGCGCGAATACGGAGAGGACTGGGAAAAGATCTCCGAAGCTCTGTCTCGTGTGCCCAAATCAAATCGAGATGCCGAAGCGTGTAAAAATTTCTTCAAAAGTGTCGGCACTTGCCGAAAGTACAAACTCAAAGATATACTCAAAGAGCACTTGGCAAAAAAAGTCAAAGACGAAGTCAAAGCTGAGCCGGAGGAGAAATTCGAAGACAAAAAGGTTAAAGACGAGCCAAATTCGCCACCAAAAGGAGCGAATTCTTCACCTGCTCAGGTGCCTGGAACTCCTCCAACTGCTTCGCAAAAGTAAGTCAGAAATAATAACATTTATTTTATGAAATAACTATTTTAAGAGAGGGCTCCCCTGTGGTAGCAACAGCAAAAGCCAACTCCGTCTCACCAAAAGCCCTTGAGCTGCTTTTACCAGCAGGCGTTGCTCCACCTTCGAGTTCAACGATAAACAAGTCCGAATCGCCCAAAGCCGCCAGTGTTTCGTCCCCTTGGACGCCCGGTAAGCCGGGCTCGAGGCCTACGACGCCTGTTGCCTCGCGAGTCGGTTCTGCCGCCGTATCGCCAATCGTTTTGCCAGTCCCACTCAATGTCGCTGCAATACCCTCTCGTCCTTCAACTCCAAGCCAAAAGCCTGCCCAGTTGCAAGATATCAAAGGAACGGCTCGACTCTATCTCAACACTAATCCATGCTTATTGACCGTAGTCAGCATTATTTTTTTTATCTAAAGTCAACCCGTCAAAAGTTCCAAGCGTCGAGGAAGATAAATCCTCCATCCAGCCAGTGCCAAGGATTGTTTCATTTACTCCTATTCGAAGTGATAATTTTTGCTAACTTAAAAATCAAAAAACGAAAAACGCTTTAATAAAAAATACACCAAATGAAATCCACTCAATAGTTCCACCCCTGCTCCTAATTTATTCAAGCCACAGCAGTCGATGATCGGAAATCCGAGCCCCCGAACCGGCGTTCCTTCGGTCCTCGTTGGTTTACAGCAGCAGAAGGCATCCCAGAAGGCAGGGGTCACCTAATTATTCCTTTTTCATTTGCATTTTCTCATTTGTGTGTGTTTTTTGCAGGCTGTAGTTCTTTATGTTGTATTGTGCTTTTCGCTGTCTTTTTGTCAAGTTGTCTGTTTCATCTTGTCGTGCATTTCCTTTCTTATCATTCTTTACTCGAAATTCGACCCCGCTAAAGACTCCGATCCGCGGACAGCCAGGAGGCACTCCAGAAGTTCTTTACCAGCAATTCTTCTCCCCATATTCCGTCCAGCAATACCCAGCATCCGCTTTTATCCGTGGCGTAATTCCATCTCCACAACAGTTTCTCTCCCAGCGCATCGCGCCGCGTAACGCAGTTTCCGAAGCGCAAGCGCCACAAGCACAACAGCAATCTCACCGGGTACTCGATTTCGCTGATAGTTCTAGCGCCAGTTCTGCAAGCCAAAGTCAGCAAAATGCCACATCCCAGCCCTACTCAGTCGAGTCACTCATCACGCCACGACAAAGAATCGCTCCAAAGACATCTGACGCTGACTTTCCCGGTCAACGCATCATGCCAAGACCTGAAGCGGCCGAAAATCCACCTGGACATTCTCTCTTTCGTCAAGAACTGTATCCAGTGCAGCCGAAAGTGGTGAAGCCTATGAACGAGTGTCCGCTTCAGATGCTTGCGCAAGCGGCTGAGGATGCTGGAAAAGCGGAAAGTGCAAAGAAGGAAAAGAAACGCAAAGAAGAGGCGGAAAAACGCGCCATCGAGCAAGCGAAAAAAAGAAAAAGAGCTTCAGAATCTGGAGAAACAGCTAATCAAACAGGAGCAGGAAAGGAGGATGGAGGAAGCGATGAAAGCAGAACAGGCAAGACAAGCAGAAATCCGTCGCCAAAAGATGGAAGAAGCTCGTCTACTCGAGGAAGCGCGCAGAATTGAAGCTGAGAAACAAGAAGCGCGACGCAGAGAGGAAGCGGCGAAAGCAAAGGCGGAAGCTGAAGCTAGGCAAAGAGCCATTCGCGAGAAACAACTTCGCGAAGCGGAGGAACAACGACAACGAGCAATCAAGGAAGCAGAACGAAAAGCTGCCGAAAAGCGAAAACTTGAAGAAGAACGAAAGCGGCAACAATTGGAACGAGAGCGTTCTGAACGAGCTCAGCTTCAAGCCCTTTGGAGCAAAAGCGCCGCGAACAAAAAGAAGCGGAAGAGCAAAAACGCCGAAAACTCGAGGAAGAAGAGGCGAAACGCAGAAGACGCGAAAAAGAAGAACGCGAAGAACTTGAGCGTCAGAAACTCCAGCAAAAACAGCAAGAAGAGGAGGCTAGAAAGGCTAAAGAAGCTGCGGAGCTTGCTAGGAAACTCGAAAAAGAAGCTGGAGAGAAGAGAAATGCTGAAGCTAAAGCTCTTCTTGAGGCCCAAAAGAAAGAAAAAGCCAAAAAGGAAGCTTTGGAAAAAGCAAAGCGCGAAGCTCTTCAACAAATCGAGGCAGATGAGCGAAAAAGCATCGAGCGAGCAAGACGAGAAAAGGAACGAGAAGCAGCGAAAGATCGCGAAGCCGCTAAAGTCCGTGCTGCAAAAGAAGCCGAGATTGCAAAACAAATGGAATCGACGAAGGAAAAGGCTGATGTTGAAACTGACTTTGTGAATCTTCTCTATCAGAAACCAGCTTCCAGCAATCAAGAAGTAAAGATCAATATTCCTCCTTCTTTCGAGCTTAAACGACGCAATTCCGATACGTTACAGGCTGGATCCTCTGCCTCTCCTGTAGTAAATTTTATAAAAGACATCCCTGGAAAACCGCCGCCAGATTCTTTCCCCAAGCAACCACCGGATAAAGAACCCGATAAAAATGATGAGGAAGAAGCAAAACTCCCACCTCCAGAGAAAAAGGCGCGAATGAAAAGCCCAAGCCCACCACCGACTTCAACTCCCGACGAAAATATCCCTGTAGAACGAGTACACACACCAGAAATGCCCACAGAGTCCACTCCTGAGGTACCACCAAAGGAGATAGAGACTCCAGATGACAGCTCGTCAAAAAACTTACGGGAAGTCACGAAGTCTGGTGACGGGTCCCAGGGCAGCGCGTCTCCTGCTGCTGCTGTCTCGGAACCAATTAGATCACCGACACCAGCTGTTACACCACCGCCAGCGATTACTTACGGTAGTCATCTCACCGAGGCTCAGCAGCAGAGTCAAACGATTGTCAAAATGGAGCCCGATAGCGAAGGCTACGGCGACTACGGCGGAAGCAATAATTACGATTCTTGTGGCAATTTCCTTGCCGAAGAGACCGCAATTATTGATCTGCTGTGCGAAACGTCGTCTAGCGAAGATGAAGAGCCCGCTTACTTCGGATCTGATACGCCAGATCTTACCTTCAGCCCTGTTAACGAAGAGGTCATCGATGACGAGGACGACGACGAGCCTCTCGATCTCCTTCTCGGTAAAAGAGCTGAAGAAGAAGCTTCTGAATCAGAGTCCGAGGCAGAAGCCGAGCCGGTGACTCCTGAACCACGAACTCCCGAGCCAAGACCTTCGGACGAGTCTGACAATCGAATTGAAACCACTCAAAACGCAGAAACGACCCTAACTGACCCAGAACAAGAAAATGAATCACCCGTACCCGAATCAACGAACCTATCATGTGACAATAATTCCAGTGCAATCAACTCCCCCTCTCAGCTGTCAAAAAACGTCTCCCGCGATGATTCCTCAGGGGAGGGCGACGATCAAACCTCGTCGCCTCGACCCGGAAAAGCTGCATCGGATGCAAACTATGTCTTGAATCTATTAGCAGATGCAGCTTTGGGGAACCATCACCCGCCGACAACATCAAATGAAACAAATAGTCCTTCCAAAGAAAATATTACATTAACAAACGACACTCATTCTGACGATGGTAATTCTTCAGAAACTACTTTAGCGATAGATGACGATACAAAAATTGCTACAAGGAAAGAACGTTCAATGGAAAATAAAGCACCGACAAAAATCGGTCTTGAAAACGTGGCTGAAGAAGCGAGTCCGATGGACTCAAAAACTGATCCTCCCAGTGTTGATCCCGCAAAAATCAATACTGTAAACGAGTCCAGCAGTGATGGTAAACATAAGATCGCCAATATTGTCGAATCCGATCCAGGCGTGGAACTTACTCAACAAAAACTAGAAGTCTGCCCTCCGGACAATACGTCAGAAACCTCCATTACTAACTCGGAGGGTCAGCTACACGCATCTTCGAAGCTCTCATGTGACGAAGACAAGAACAAGCTACTATCAGTGGAGAACAACACCGATAATCAACTTGAACTTCAAAGTACCAGTGAACTTAAAAATCGTAATTCTCCAGTAGAGGAATTCAAAGTCCCATTGACTCCTATTTTCGTTAAAGAGAAAACATCCTTGGACCGCCCAACTGCTACTATATCTACAGTGCAAAGCGCAGCCAATCAACATAAAATTCTTGAACAAACAAAAGGCTCCTCTGTATCGGAAGACACTACGCCATCCTCACTGAGTGGAGCCCTCCTCGCTAATAAAACCCAAGAAGATAATCGCACGCCCGCTCTTTCCCAAGTTCAAGAACCCAAAACGGCCAGCCAGAAAACAGAGAAGCCAAGTGAGCGCGTCAATCTTGAGCGTGAAGTCACTCAATCCAAACGACCAGCCAACCAAAATGCTTCGCTTTCAGATGAGTCGACTGTGAATAAAACTGATACAATGGAACAGCTAGAAGTTGATGAAAGCTGTTTAGAGAACCCAAAGCTCGGCTTGAAACAGCAAGAGCCTGGTAGCTTTGAGCTCACTTTTAGCTTCTCTGAAAGTGATCGGGAATCAATTGATTCGCGCCCGGGAAGTGTCCTATCTTCTCCAGCGCCTCATAGATATCCTCAATCTGTTGCTTCTTCCGATGCAGAGATGCCTTCCCTAGAGATAGTCCCAAAGGACCTTCTCCAGACAGAGGATGAGGAAGTCTCCAGCGCAGAAAATATCGATCCAGATAGCTTATTTTCGAGGACAAAGAAAGTATCCGAAACCGAAAATGACGCAGATGACGAAAAAGAGGAAGATCTTGACGATACAATTTGTGCTGACGAAACCATTCTGGAGGCTGACACGACAATCACTGAGACATCGGATGCTTTTGAGCAAAAAGAGTCTGAAAAAGAAGAACCTCGAGAATCGGAAATACCGGAGAAAGCTTCCGCTGAAAATAATGAAATCTCCCTGTCAAAACAGACGATTGTTATCCCTGAAACTCATGAGAAAGTACATACCACTTCCGAGAAGGTAGAAATTCCAGAAAAACTCAATCCTGAAATAAAGAAACAAGAAGAAAAAGATCAGAAAGAACCTGAACAAAATGAACAACGAAATACTGAGACAACATCGAAAACTAATGAAGTGGACTGCACTAGCTCAAATCCTGACAAAAAGAGTAGCGTCGTACCACCTCCACCAACTACCGAGAAAGACATAGTGCCTGTTTTAACTCCGACAAATTCCCGAGGAGAACAGACGCAGGGGCAGCCAGTACCTAAAATCATCAGGGTACCTCCTAGCGGTCCAAATCCCGTAGATCAAGTAAAACCAGCTGAGAAAAGTGCGAGTAAGGTCAAGGCAACAAAAACATTCATGCCTCCAGTTGGTTTTACCCCCTCCTTCTCACAGGTAATCTGATATTTCCCAATCTTCTTATATATCTGCCTATTTAAGACAGTAAAAAGAAAACTCAATATACCTGATAAGGAGCAATCTGTTCCCTTGGGGCCGGCAAGGAAGAAAATGCGTGTGCCTCTTTCCCAGCAACCAAAAACTATCACACAACCGCGGGTTCAAATCAATCCTGTCACTGATTACTCGCAATTTGTGCAGACCAATGCTATTTATCAAAAGCCTCAAAGTCGATATGTGAAGCTACAGCCAGCACCGCCCACTTCTAGTGCTTCGATGGCGTCTTTTTGTAAGCACAAATTTTTGCTTTAACTGTTAACTATTTGTACATTCTAGCGGAAGAACGGCTTCAACTTGAACGCCAGCGACAGCTTGAACAGCTAGAACTAAAGCACCTAGAAGAACGCCGCCGACTAGAGGCGAATTTCAAGAATGCTCCGCTTAGAAGAACATCCACGAGCCCGTTGACGATTGTAGCGGATCCGAATCGCCAGAGGAGGGTTGCTTATTCGACTGAGCAGCAAAGAGTACACGCGAATCCAGCAAGACCGTAAGCACATCTCTTTCAGTGTTTTACCCTATGACTCATAGGCTATGAGTAATTTTTTTCAGGAGCATTGTCCAGCCACAGCTGAATTTACGCCGGCCTGTGATGGAGCAACCCATCAGACCACGACTCGCGCAAAACATCCAAAATATTCAACCAAGACCACCTATCGACCCAAGCCGACATTTCCGTCCCGTCCAACAGCCTGTTGCCCCAAGACCGAAACAGCAAATACGGGTATGTGATATTTCATTCTTCTTAGTAAATAAATTGGAATTCAGTGCACGCTGGATGTAAAACTCACGAATAAGGGCTTCCAAACTTTATCGAGGACGACTCCTTCGCCAACGGGGTCAAATGGTCAAGAGAGTTCAAATACAAAGAGTTATAAGACGATCTCATAACACGAGCAGTAACTCAGGTATTTATTTTTCGAATATCTTTTCAATATTTTTGTAGTTCAAAGCGAGCGTCAACCATCAAAATCCGAAGAACGTCCTACAAAACTGTCCTGAACAAAAAAACTTTATAAAGATGTCAATCACTTAGAATTCACTTTTATTATCACACTTATTTTTTAGTCCTGACCCTGCACTTCCTCAAATATTCACTGGTTCAAAAATACAAATTCGTAATAAACACAAAACTTTTTTCTTTAGATGGTCCGTTTCACGGGCCGGGTTAGGAGTTTCGGGGCTTTTACTCAAATGTCCCCGATACTCAAACCAGCCGGTGGACTTCCTTGTGTGATGAGATAAAGGGCAAGTGTCGGTCGAAAAAGGAGCCAGCTATTCTCAGGCATTACTTGAGCTTGGGAATATAAGAGACGAGGCGCAGGAGATTATTGGCAATGATGCTCCCGGGAACGATAGAGACGAGCTGGCGATTAAGATTTACAGGGATTTTGGGATGATCTTTTCGTTGTTCTTGATTATTGATAATACATAACAAAAATATTAAATTGATTCCTTGACAGAGCGACAGCGGAATATGTTCAACGCGAAGCTAAAACTAAAGCATACTCTGAAATAACGAATTCCGCACAAATGCGAAATTTTCTGTCGGAAAAAGTTGTCTGGGTTGGCTTAAAAGTGCTGTCAGCATTCTCAAAAGTGCGGTTATCATTCAAGAGGGCTGCGATGAGTTTGTTCCTTGGGGTCTTGAACTCTCGGACAAATCGCCACTTGACGACGAGTATTGCCTCATTCCTGATGATTTGCAGAAGTATTTGGACAAGTATCGCGCAAAGTTGCAGACTGAAAAAGTCCAAGAAGCAAAAAAATGAACCCGAACAAGAAGTTTTTGACTTCAATTGGCTTGAGCGAACTTTAGTCGGTTCCTTCGCCGATGAAGCCGCTCATGTACTCAATGCTGTTGTGCGAGAGCTCCAGAAAAACAACTCGGATGAGGTTTTGTCCAATGAGCTTGTGACCATCATTGGCTTCGACTACATTGATATCATTCCTGAAATTGTCAAGAACAAGTCTCGTATTGTTTCCGAAGCTATCAAACTATCCGGTGCTTTTGCTACTACTGATCGGGTTCTCAGAGATCCAGGAATGGTTCAAACAACCTCTGAAAAACGACTTCGGAAGATGATCCAAAAGGACAAAAAGCGAGAAAAGAAGCAGCAAACGAAGGCGAATAAAGGCGGAACAAATTATGAAGAAGATAATGACAGCATCTTAGACGTAGAAGCACTCAGAGAGCAGAGAATGGCGCAAATGGTCGAAGATGCTACCCGAACAGCGCGATTCGCACAGGTTGAAAGGCCGAAATACAAGTTTGGTGTTTGACAAGATGGCGGAAATGGCGCGGAAGAATCCGATCTTCATCACTGGAAAATCATTGGTTCTACCTGAGGGAACTGAGCGAATAGATCTGAACGAATATGAAGAAATCAAAATTCCGAATGAAGGGAATAAGTAGGCTTACCGCGGTGTTTTCTATTTCGCAGGTTCTTTTGAAAAATCTCCCCATACTTTCAGAACATATGCATCAAGACAAGCCTTGAAAAACTGCACTTGCAGAATTTTCGATATGAGTCATCTTACCTCTTTTTTGGGGAATTTTTAGCGAGAAAAAAGCACTAGTTTGATTAGAAGCGGCTTTTGAGTGCGTGCTAGATCGATTTTGATAATTTGATGCCTACCATGTGAAAGATAAGCGCAAGATGCATCGATACATATGAAATTTATTATTGCGGAGTGCTTCCTTCATATGATTCTAGGGCTCCAAAGTTGACGCGAGCAGCCAGATACGAAAATCCAATGAACCACCATGAACCACCATGAACCACCATGAACCGCAAGAATAACCAGGCGGTTGAACTTCTGAATATGTAAAAAGATTCGCTGTTGAAAATGAATTCATTTGATATACATATTCCCACATTTTAACCTATTTCCGGGCAAGAACCGCGACGAACCGGAAGCACAACCGGCTGGTCAAAAATACCACCCCATTTTGTTCAGTAATTAATAAGCTTCAATTTGAGCTATAAAACATCATCATAGCATGCTTATATCAGAAGTTGATAATATTGGATTTTCGTATCTGGCTGCTCGCGTCAACTTTGGAGCCCTAGAATCATATGAAGGAAGCACTCCGCAATAATAAATTTCATATGTATCGATGCATCTTGCGCTTATCTTTCACATGGTAGGCATCAAATTATCAAAATCGATCTAGCACGCACTCAAAAGCCGCTTCTAATCAAACTAGTGCTTTTTTTCTCGCTAAAAATTCCCCAAAAAAAGAGGTAAGATGACTCATATCGAAAATTCTGCAAGTGCAGTTTTTCAAGGCTTGTCTTGATGCATATGTTCTGAAAGTATGGGGAGATTTTTCAAAAGAACCTTGAAAATCGAAAAACACCGCGGTAAGCCTAGGAATAAGCTCCCACCAGAAGTAGCGAAGCAGTATCCTAGAATACCGATTGCGAAGTTGGACAAAGTGTCCAAGCTCGTTTTTAACGGGATGGAATCGCTAAATAATCTTCAATCAATCGTCTTTGACGCTGCATCGAATACGAATGAGAACCTTCTGGTAGCGGCGCCAACTGGTGCTGGTAAGACAAATGTTGCCATGTTGACTGTGTTGAATGTGATCAGACAAAACATCAACGAGGTTGGAACGCTCAAGCTTAAAGACTTCAAGATCATCTACGTCGCGCCTATGAAAGCGCTTGCTGCAGAAGTCACGGAGAAATTTCAGAGTAAACTTCAATGCTTGGGCATAAAAGTCCGCGAATACACTGGAGACATGAATTTGACGAAAAAGGAAATTGAAGAGACGCAAATGCTTGTCACAACTCCCGAAAAGTGGGATGTGTTGACACGAAAGCGACTGCAAGATGTAGAACTTATGTCTAAGATCAAACTGTTAATTCTTGACGAAATTCACTTGCTCCAGGACTCTCGAGGTGCTGTTCTTGAAGCGCTTGTGGCAAGAACTCTGCGACTTGTTAATACATCACAGCAAATGATACGAATAGTCGGCTTGAGTGCTACCCTTCCCAACTATGTCGATGTGGCAAAGTTTTTGCGAGTGAATCTTGACAAAGGACTTTTCTTCTTTGATGGGCGATTTCGTCCGGTGCCTCTTGATACGCGATATATTGGCGTGAAAGCAAAGGGTGGTCGTTTTGCACAGCTCAATGTCATGGACCAACAAGCTTATAAAATCGCCTTGCAGCATATAAGAAACGGCAAACAAGTCATGATTTTTGTCCACTCCCGTGGAGCGACAGCTAAGACCTGTGAAAGTCTAATGGAACAGGCTTCACAAGAGGGCACCCGCCGGGAATTCGAACCTGACCCCGATCATCATCGATACAACGACCTCAGCCGCCGAGTTAAGAATGCCAGGAGCAAAGAAGTTTCGAAGTTCTTTCAGTACGGATTCGGCTGTCATCACGCTGGAATGATTCGATCCGATCGTTCCCTTACTGAAAAACTGTTTGAGCAAGGTCTTATTCGCGTTCTTTGCTGTACATCTACCCTCGCTTGGGGTGTTAACTTGCCCGCATATGCTGTAGTCATCAAAGGAACAGAAATTTACGTTGATGGAAGATACATTGACTTATCAATTCTTGACGTGCAGCAGATCTTTGGTCGAGCTGGAAGGCCTCAATTCGATACTTCCGGAGAAGCCACAATTATCACCACCCATGATAAATTGGTGCACTACGTCTCTTTGATGATCCGTGCCGCGCCGATTGAATCCCAATTCCTTTCGAAGATCACTGACAACTTGAACGCAGAGATCGCCTCTGGCTCTGTGGCTAACGTAGACGACGCTGTTCGCTGGCTTTCCTACACTTACCTCGACATACGAATAACAAAGAATCCTTTTCATTACGGACTAAATCGTGAACAGATATCCGATCTGGGTGGAATCCACGAAGTCAAGAGAAAATTCATCATCGACGCGGCTAATGAGCTCGATCGAGCAAAAATGGTCAGATACAATCCAAGTACTCAGACTTTAGCAGCTTGCGATCTCGGCAGAACAGCATCTCATTTTTATATCCGTCACGATTCTGTACAAATATACAATTCTGGAATCGACAAAACAGCAAGCATCTCCGTCATGTATTTGTTGGATTTGATTGCTAACAGTAAGGAATTCGAGCAGATGCGTGTAAGAAATGAAGAAATGGATGAACGATCGATTAAATACCGAGACAGAGTACAAAGTCGTCGGTGGAGTTGAAAATACCGCTGGAAAAGTCAACTGTCTCATTCAAGCTTATTTAAATGGATCATATGCTCGTGTTTCGAGTCTCAACTCAGACTTAAACTACATCGACCAGAACTTGTCAAGAATCGCAAGAGGTTTATTTGAAATTGTCAGAAAATATGGCATGTGTCATTTAACGAATGAGCTTCACAAGATGTGCCTTGGAATGGAGAACAAGATGTGGTGGACTTGGCACCCTTTTTACCAGTTCAAGACATTCGTGAATAAGGATACCAATCGTCCAGCAATGGACAAAATTGAACGGAAAAATCTTACGCTCGAAAAGATTCGCGATATGCCAAAAAAAGAGATCGGACAATTGGTGAATAACATGAAGATCGCAGAGTTTATCAAGAAGATGGCCAATAAGATTCCGAGGATAGAAATCGAAGCCGATGTTCAACCAATTACCCGAACTATCGTTCGTGTCGTGCTCAAGATCAACATCGATATGGTGATGAATGAAGGAAATGGAGGAGAGCCATTCTGGGTTTGGGTCGAAGATCCAGACAATGATCGGATTTACCACAATGAGAGCTTCATGGTCACTAGAAAAACTGTTCTCAGCCAGACTCCTATCGATATTAACTTCACTGTGGCTCTTCCAGAGAAGATCCCATCTGCGTATTTGATCAAAGTTGTGTCTGATCGATGGCTTGGAGCTTCAGAAACCTGCGCGATTGATCTCCGAGGCTTGATCGTCGCTGAGCTGCATCCTGCTCACACGGAGCTTCTCGATATTCAACCTATTCCAGTCACAGCGCTGAACAACCCAGATTATGAGTCGTTGTATTCGTTTTCTCATTTCAACCCGATACAGACTCAAGTTTTCCACTGTTTGTATCACCACGATAGCAACGCTTTAATCGGTGCTCCAACTGGTTCCGGAAAAACTGCCTGTGCCGAGTTGAGCATGCTTAAAGTCTTCCGGGACTATCCCAGCGGAAAGTGCGTCTACATCGCGCCACTGAAAGCTCTTGTCAAAGAACGAATGGATGATTGGACCAAGAAACTTGGAGGAAAACTTGGCAAGAAACTTGTTGAGATGACTGGTGATATTGCTCCAGATCAAAAAGCGATTGTCAGCGCTGACATCATCATTACAACGCCTGAGAAATGGGACGGTATCTCTCGTTCTTGGCAAACTCGAAAGTATGTTCGAGATGTGCGGCTCATCGTCATTGATGAAATCCACATGCTCGGTGAGGATCGAGGTCCTGTTCTTGAATCGATTGTGACACGAACCAATTTCATCTCCGCACAAACAAAGGCTAACCTGCGAATCGTGGGTCTTTCCACTGCTCTCGCCAATGCTCGCGATTTAGCTGATTGGTTAGGAATCAAGAACTTTGGTCTTTATAACTTCAAGCCTTCGGTTCGACCAGTTCCAATGAGAATTCATGTTCAAGGCTTCCCCGGAAAGCATTATTGCCCGCGCATGGCTCTCATGAACAAGCCTGCGTATCAGGCAATTCAAGAGCACTCACCGACAAAACCAGTGATCATATTCGTTTCATCTCGTAGACAAACTCGTCTGACAGCCCTTTCTTTGATCTCTTTGCTTGCTGGAAATGAAAATCCAAAAGCATGGATAAACTACGATTTAATCAACGAGCTTGAGTTGGACGCACTTATTGACCGAATCAAAGATGTCAATCTCCGTCACACACTAGAATTCGGCATCGGAATGCATCATGCTGGTCTCGTTGAGAGTGATAGAAGAATCGTGGAAAATTTGTTCCGAGATCGCAAAATTCAAATCCTGATCGCTACAGCTACACTTGCATGGGGTGTTAATTTACCAGCGCACATGGTTATTGTTAAAGGAACAGAGCATTTCGATGGAAAACAGAGAAAATTTGTTGATGTTGGAATAACCGATGTTCTACAGATGGTCGGGCGAGCTGGGCGGCCACAATATGATAACGAAGCAGTAGCATGCGTCTTTATTCACGATATAAAAAAGAACTACTACAAGAAATTTATCTACGAACCATTCCCGGTCGAAAGCAACTTACTTGGAGTCCTACCAGATCACTTGAATGCTGAAATTGTCGCTGGAACAGTCAAATCGAAGCAAGATGCGATGAACTACTTAACCTGGACGTATTTCTTCAGAAGATTGTTGATGAATCCAAACTATTACCAGCTAGACACACTTGAAGGAGAAGCTATCAATGAATTCCTATCTGAACTTGTAGAAAAGACGATTGGAGAGCTAGAACGCTCTGGTGTTGTAGAGGTTTAACTAATTTAAAAATCTTCAGCGTATTTATGAATTTATAGGTTGATGAAGAAGACAACAATCTTCTCTTTGCCACAAGTCTCGGTCAACTGGCCTCGTATTACTATCTCCGGCACGAAACAGCCCGACATTTCTGCATGAAATTCAATAAGAACATGTCGTCCGAAGATCTCTTGGAGCTTCTTACAGAAGCAACGGAATTTTCAGAACTTCCTGTTCGTCACAATGAAGATCAAGAAAATGAGCATCTTGCCAAACAAGTTCCTATCCAAGTTGATCCGCGACATTACGAAAGGAATGGCTGAAAAAGATTTACTTTTAATGGAATCGGATGGAATATTGTTAGCCATAAAACAGGCCGGAAATAAAGACGCATCTTTTGCTACAAGTTCACATGAATCGAGGAACTTTGCCAAGCTCAGATTACTTGTTAGATACAAAGACTGTGATGGACAACGCTGCTCGTGTGATGCAAGCTATGATCGACATCTCTGCGGAACTTGGATATCTGGCCAACTGTATCCGAGTCATTCGAATTTTACAAGGTGAATAGTCAATAAAAAATCAAGATAAACTGAAAAATTCAGGAATATCACAAGGACGCTGGCCCGGCGATGATCCCTTTACGGCTATTCCGAACGTTGACCAGAAGAAAGCCGATTATCTCAAATCAAAGATGAGAATCAAATGCATGGGGGAGCTCGTCTTCAAGAAGCCTCATGAGAAGACCAATATCTTGGAGACTATTGGCCTCCAAGGCAAAGACTTGCACAAGGCGGACGAATATCTGAAGGGACTACCAGCGATAAAATGCAAATTTGGTATTGGAACTGATACAGAGGAAGAATTCGTAAAAATTCCAGGTCTTCGCAATTTTCTAAAAATAATCGATAAATAAGAATTTCAGATGATTACTTCAAGGGCAATCTTCGCGACGAGAAAAGCTGGATAAAACTCCCGGCCGCCGAAGAGTTCGTTTTGCAAGTGAATCTAACCTGCCTTCAGCGTGGAAAAACCATTTACGCCCAGACTCCTCGCTATCCTAAGCCAAAGCTGGAAGGTTGGTTCATCATCATTGGGAACGCAGAGACGGGAGAGCTTCTTGCTCTCAAGAAAGTGAGCCAATTCAATACGAAGACGAAGACGGAAATGATTTTCTTTGAAGTACCCGAAACGAAGAGTATTTTAACTGTTTATATCATCTCAGATTCGTATTTGGGGCTGGATCAAAGCTTTGATCTTAGAATCGACCCACAAGAATGATAAGAAACGTAGCTACTATTTCTGTCCATCATTTTATTCAAATAAAACGGAAAGAAACATGGTAAAAGCTTCTTGAATTCAGTCGATTCAGAATGCTTCGTAGAATATCATCATTACACAAGCTCGGCGCACGGCCCGTTAGCACAACTGTTGGCAATCAAAATTTGTTCAAAAACTTTCAAGAAGCTCTCAAACAGGAATCTCGCAAAGAAGGCATTGATGAAGAGCTTGCCAAGCTCCAGAAACAGGTCAAAGAAGACCAGAAAAAGTTTGCTGAGTCAGAAAGATACAAGAAACTTAAAAAGTAGGCACATTCTCGAGCTTCCGTAAATAAGGTTAATTCAGAGAGACAGCAAGCGGTGTTGAATCATTAGGTGACAAAGCGGAAGAATTTGCAAAGAAAATGGAAGACTCAAAATATGGAGAGGTACCATTATCAAATTATAATATTTTTAAATGTGATTTCAGACGCTCAAAAAAGCATCCTCTTCAGTTGGAAATATTGGCGAAACATTTACGAAAACCTTCGAAAATATCAAAAATATCGAGTTCACAGAAAAACAATCCCCAGAAGAACGTATGGAGGTTTTCACAGATGCTTATGTATCACCAAATTACACGCCAGTACCTATCAGAATGAGAAAAGAAGGTAGGCCATCTCGGTATTCATATTTTCATAATTTTTTAAGTAAAATATCGTGACGTCAGCTTCGATGCAGATACAGAGGCAGAGGGCGTCACTGTTCATAAGGACTGGAGCTTATACGAAAGATACAAGGAGTCCGCCATGGGCCAGCGTATGGAAGATCTTGGAACTAGAATTAATGCCTCTGAAAACGCAATGGTTCGAGGCTTCGCTATTCTCGGGCAGAGGACTGGTGGAATGATGAGAAAACTTACATCGAACAGCTATAATGACACGATCAAGTAAGTTTGTGAAATCAACTTGAGAACTCACTCTGAATTCAGGGCTATTCGACAAGTGGACAAGAAATTCGACCAAGAAGCCTTCGTGCACTTTTTGGAAACCGAAATGATCCCAATCATTCTCGAAGCAAAAGCTATCAACGACGTGGACGTAATTGAAGATTGGTGCTTTGATGCTCCAGCTCAGCGATTTGCGATCAAGCATCGAGAGCAAGCAAAGAACAAAATCACTTATTATGAAAAAACGATCAACCTTCAAAAGCTCGAGATTTTGGATGGAACCGTTCATGATAACATGCCTGCCTTCCAGATCTCCTTCGAGACGAACACGCTGATGGCGTACACGGACAAGGATGGAAATGTTATTGAGCAAGAAGGCTACCCAAAGGTGACTTTGTCTCTAGATAAACCGTTGTCGAGTTTGTGTTTTTAGCCCGATGAAGTTTATAAATCGTACCACGTTTGGTCAGTCTGTAGAGATCCAATGGAGCCCGAGCCGTCCGCTGCCTGGAGAGTGCTAGAATGTGAAACTATGGACCAGAAACTGGCCTTTTGATTCGATAATTATTTAATTAAATTATTCTCCGATTCCCTCACTGAATCTATAAAACCGATTCTTTGAAATATTTCGTTTAAAGAATGAGCCGTACAACGCTGAACTCAGAGGGATCAAGCATTCCAGTTTTATCCGAAGAGGCACAAGCCGCTCTAGCAGAATTCTATCAAGTGAGTTTGTGCTTCATTAAAGCTTATATTTTCGCGTAGCTTACAGGAGCAACAGGAATCGGCTCAAGTTGATGGCGACGGGATAAAGCTTATTTCTTGTGGAAGCAATCAAAATCAAAACTTTCTTCCAATCCAACCAGAGGATGAGAAGGCTGTTTCTGAAGCATTAAAAGTCTATGAAATGCTTCCTAACGGACTAAAAGTCGCGAGCGTGGCGGTTCCGAAGATTTATGCAGGTCTGAAAGCTTCAAAAAGTTACGGAGAACTCCACTGTTTTGATATCTACAATTCTGATACTGGTCAGTACCGTCCTCCAAAAATTTATATTGATTGAATATTAAGATATCTCGATTCCGTTTCACTCGTGGCCTGTTGTGTCTCCCAGTGAGTTCGATCAATCTCTGAAGCAGAAGTTTGATGTTCTGTTTTCTAAACTTCTACTTCAATCAGATGAGAATGCAAAGCAACTGTACGTCACTGTAAACTTTCTCCTTGCTGAAAACGGCCAAGCTGTTATTCAAGCTACCAATGCCGAGCTTGAGCTACTTGAATCTGTTTTTACCGATGAAACTTGGTCAATCGAAAACAAATCTGATGCTGAAGCACAATGGAAGGTTGCCGTTATTCGAAGAAAATAGCTCTGTTTACCTATTTTTATACTAAAGATTATATTTTTTATCCTTCTTGACAATTGAATTTTTAGATTAAAAATGTCAAGAAATAGAGAAGACTCGGAATGCTCGGATATTGTTTTGTCGGAAGAGGCTTCAGCTGCTTTGATGGAATTTCTTAGAGTAAGTTTAATCGATTTTGTGTTGAGCTTATGTATTTGTAGGAACAAGAAATTCGTCAAAACGAAGAAGAAGCCCTCATTAACACTGGAAATGCAGAAAAGGCACTGGAAGTCGAGCATCAAGAAGATTGGAACTTGAGTCAATTCTGGTACGATGAGCCAACGTGCGAGGCGCTGGAGAAAATTATTCTAAGCATCTACGAGCCTGGAATGAAAATTGGATGTATCTCCTCGCCTACTTGTTTCAAGCATTTACTAAAATGTAAAAACTTCGAAAGTCAATCTGAGTAGGATAACTTCTTTTGATGAAAGAGAAAATTTGTTGTCTAACGGAGGCAGGACTGAATCTCTATCTATCTAAGAAGTTATCCTACTCTGTCTATTTGTTTGAGTTTGATGAAAGATTTGCAGTGTTTGATAACTTTAACTTCTGGGATTATAAATCCCCCTTGAAACTCCCCGAATCGCTAAAGAGATCGTTCGACATTCTCATTATTGACCCCCCTTTTCTATCTGAGGAGTGTTTCATGAAGACCTCTCTAGCGACTCGTTTTCTGCAAAAAGAAATGGGAGGTAAGCTCGTCTTCATGACCGGTTCGATCATGGAAGAACTTGCAGTGCAGGTTTTTAAAGATTTGAAAAGGCAAAAGTTTGAACCGAAGCATAAGAATAATCTTTCCAATGATTTTATGCTCCTCGCGAATTTTTCTGCTGATAGTGCTTTGGAGTGACTAGTGGAGACTAACAGTTGCTTTGAATAAATGATCGATTTTGAATGGAGAAAAGGCTTTATTGGTTGTAGTATTCTTTGGCAGCAGGAGGCAAACTTTTGAAACAGTAATTTGCGTAACATTCCACAATTTTCAGCAGCTGTTTTCGGGACTTCAATTAAAAATGAGAAAATTGTTTAGGGCTTATGTTACCTTATCAGATAATCCTTCTCCAGTGATGGCAAGAGTTCTGATAGAAGCCATGAGCAATTCAAGAGCGTCAGAGTCATCAATGGCAAGCGGTGGGCCGAGCTTTGGCAAAGCGTAGACAAGCAAATTCCCTAAAAAGTTATATGTTAACCATTCTTATTAGAAAAGTTTCACCTTCATCAGGACCGAATTCCTCATCGTCAATAATCTCAATCAGACTTATTTTGATCGGCTTCGTAAGAACAACGAAAGATGAACCGTCAGATGTTTTCAGAGTTGTATAAATCTCGATGAGAAATCTTATAAGCGAAAGATATCTCAATCTGCAGTCTTCCTAAAATCACTTTAGTCTAGTCAACTAAAATCTATGTCCAATACCTTGATTAGATGACGGTCTTTGTGTTTCTTTTGGAGAGTGACGAGCAGGTTTTGTCGGAACATTGGCTTCGCAGTTATCATGTCTCTGCAAATAATGACCAGCCGAGAAACATTCTTTTCGTTATCAATCGCTTTTTTCACAATGAGGTCTGCGATTTTCGGCAAGTCCTCGTCTTCCGTTCCCAGCTTATTCAAAACTAAATAAAATAGTTGTGAACCTTCATTTATTCACCTACCTTGGGTAAAAGACGTCAAGTCCTTCTCGTTGTTCTCTTGAACTTTCACTTTAGCAGGTGCTTTCTTTAGAATCGATTTGATTGGCTTCGGTGTGACAGTAGTAGTGACCATGATGTCCGGGACCGAGGATCGTCGATGAGGCTGAACATAGATTTCATGCCCTCCTTTTATTGACGATCTTCGAACTCGAGTTTCTCTTTCGTCATCATCTTCATCGTCAATTGAGGATTCACATGAAGGTTCGTTAACTTTTTCCCGGGACTTTATCACAACTGTTCGCCGTACTCCTTTAGATTCAGCAAGTTTTTGAATTGATCCTTATTCATGTTCATCGCTGATTTACAGTTAATATCTTTTGGGACTAGAATGAACACGTTCCTGAAACTTTGGATTTTATGGCCACTCTTTCTTCTTTGATTCCTTGAACCGCTGCTAGAGAATGTCTTCTTCTGTTGCCCGAATCTTGCTTTGGAAAAAATTTCAAATCTGGCAAGCTTTCTCGTCTATCTGATGGCGGGGCCATGTGCTTTAAGCTGTTTCTGCGCTTATCATCCGAGACAGATCTCGTTAAGGGTTGATTCCCTCCATGAAAGTTCTTGTTATGACTTCCGTGCTGCATCTTCGCATTAATAAAATGCTCTTGGGCTTCTTTTTGACTCATTTTTTGATTGGGAAAAGAGTGAGCTGATTGCTGTGGTTGTTGAGGGACCATCAGACATGGGCCGTAGCCAGGGATCATAACAGTCGGAAACGGACTAGATCATAACCATTCGATACTTTGAAAGAAACTTACCTGTCTCCTGCGCTTTGACCTTTAGGAATTGGGATAATTTGTGGCGGTTTAGGCATTTCTTGAGTCTGCTGAACAGGCGGGCTCATCATATACGGCGACTTCCCACCCATTGCCATGAGTGGATTTAAAAGAGGATTCAGCAAAAATGGATTTATTGCCGTCTGAGCAAGTGGGTTCAACCCAGGCGCAAGTGGGTTCGGCATAGCTTGCATTCCGAGGGGGTTGGGCATCCCAACGCCCATTGTACTCAACAAGTTCAAGTTCATCATCATTTGTTCTCTTCAATAGTTTTATTTGACCCTGACAGATCGCTAGAGATACCTGAGCACATTGACCATTTGAGCCGTCTCATCATTTCCTTGTTCAGTATCAGGATTAGAATACGAGTCTATAAAATTCTCTAACTCCACGAGCGAGTCTTTTCTCTTCGCCTTCCGCTCGGCCATTCCGCTCATTTTTCGACCACTCGCTCATAAAAATAAGAAGCGCTCCGCAAGTCTCGCCGCACTCAAGATGCAGGGATGAAGAAAAAAAATCTCAGAAGACTAGGCCCTCAGTCAGAAGTCTATTATTTCTGGCGGGAGAGCGGCGCGGCCTCGGGAAATGTCGCTGCTGATACTGCCAAATCGTGACAACTCCTCACGCCCTCGGAATTTGGTTCTAGAGTTCAAATTTAATTGCAAGTAAACGTCGGTTTAGCTGATGTTTACTAGAAAAATCATGGTGCTTGTTGATCAAAATTCAATGCCGCGTCAAAGCTTTTCTAAACTAACTGATCTCAGATCTTTCTCTTCCTCTTGGACTTACTCTCAAGTTTGCCTGACTAGGTTTAAACAATGGAGAAGGCCAACAGTGAAGAGCTGACACAGACAAATTGAAGCTCTTGGACAAAGGCGCTTTTCCTGCACGTAACATTTAGATTCTTCTGCTTATTATCTTACTGCCCATTAAAATTATAAACACACCAGTCTGATAAAATTTCGCAACTACAAATTGTAGTTCTTGAATTTTGTTGATTTCTAGAGTCTCCATGGTTGACAGTGATTTTTATTTATCGCCCATTTTAGTAAAATTGACATGGAAGAATACAATGACATAGAAAAGAGACTTTATGAAATAGAGAACGGCGAGGCTCCCACACCTGTCCTCTTCATAACCGCGCGGTAATCTTACATTTTTCTTTTAAATTCATATCCAATATCAAGCACGAAAAATGGAAGACCATGCACAGGTTTTTGGATACTTACGGGGGGCAAGTTGGTGCAGATGAAGCAATACCACAGCTACAGATGCTTCGAGGATCGAGACGAAACGGAAACCGGAATTCTGATATGCTGCGCTAACAAAAATAACAGAAGATGTAAAGGTGCCACCATCATTTACACGAGGAATGAAAATATCTATGAGAAAACTACTAATAAAAATGTCACAAGAGTAAAATTCGTAAAAGAGAATAATGACCGATTAAAAGTCGGAAACTACTTCAGGAAAAGGTTCTTATTCAAAAAAAAAACAAAAAAAACTTCTTTCAAATAAAAATAATGAAAACCTAATAAAAGACATGTGATAGAGACGCCACACATTTGTCAAGGGGAATCCTTATCCGATGGCTTCACGTCTTTCATCCGATCACGAATTCTTAACGCTGAGGAAGGTCCGGTTTCACTTGCACGAGAATTGCGCTGCATTCAAAGCTGTCCTAGACTTTCGAAAATCAAGGTGTCGATAGCTGTATTGAAGAAAGCAGTCAAGATTCAACATAAGCAATTTTTTGCGATGTATCCAGAATCAAGAGACCACTACTTCAGTAAGAGTAAAAATGTTTAGATGAAAACTTATTTTAATTAAGAAAACAACGTACAAAAACCAATTGTAATCGACCTGACCGAACATGACCTACCTCCAACAGAAGTGATTGTCGTCGACGAAGAAGATGAAGTTCAAGTTCCAAAAACTCCAAGACCATTGTCCAGAAGAAAAACGACGTACGTTTATTCTACTCCTGTTCAAAACTCATCAAAGAAAGAAAATTACGTTTACAAAACTCCAATTCAAAGCTCGCCACCGAAATCGACTTTTGTCACGCCTACAAATACACCAAAAACAACACCAAAAAGAACTCCAAGAAGAACGCCTTCAGAGCCTTCTCGCCGAAGCGCCCGTATTCAAGGACTGCCTCCACTGACTCCATGCTTGAAGAAACGATTCAAGACTAAAGATTACGAGGCGCCTGAAGAAATAGTTGGCAATGAAGATGCTGTGGATTTGCCCGAGACGCACGATATACCTCCTCCAGTAACACCAGTCAAAAGAACTCGCTTTCAACATCAAGAAGACTTGTCTGAGGACGAAGCGCCATTTTCGTTCAACCCGGATACTCCGAATTTCACACCTTCCTCAGCAAGAATCTCTTCAAATTCACATGAAAATATTCAACAGGAGCCTCTCGGCGACCGTCAGTTGCTTTCGCAAAAGAAAAATTGTAATGAGACGGCTAAAGATTTTTCGCAAGAAGATCAGACTCCCTTAACACCGCTAGAAGCTCCAACCTCTGAACAAGCTTCTCCAATGGATGATTCCCAAGTTTCGCCAACGTTAGATCTCACAGATCCAGATATTGATGAGCTTGAAGAATTCATCAATGGAACTCTGCCTTCAAAATTTGAAAAATCAACCGATCTCGACATATCGAGGGAGATTCCCATGCCCTGCGACATTTCACAAGAGAATATCATTCCAGATGAGCATCTGAAAAATGAACAGTTTCAACAAGGATCACTTCCAAATTTTGGCGACTCTGGCTTTCCAACTGTATTAACAAAACGAAGAGGAATAACAAGGAAACATAATCTGTCACTTGAAAACGAAGAAGGATGCAGCTCACGTGGCAGTTCAACTGGCCTTCGAGGCTTAATTGAAGAAGGTTCTCCATTATCACCTCGTGTCAGCTTCAAAACTGAAACTGCCGAAGAGAAGCCTGACAAATTCGAACCGCCCGATGAAACTTTAGTGAAACTCAAGCGTCGAAAAAAACCCTTAATTATTTCACCAAAGCGAGTAACAAGAAAAGAAGAAGATCAGGTTTTGAAACCAGCAAGTGATAAAAAACCAATTATACTGAAAAGGAGGAACAAAAAAGACCAATCTTCTGGTCGTATTACTCCGAGCGGCATTTCACCCAAAAATCATTCATCATCAAACTCCCAAATGTAAGAAATTCTTTAGCTAACTTCCATAAAAACACGTTTAGTGAACCTTCAGCGACGCCGACAAAGGATATCATCAAAAGTGTGTTCTTGAAAAACGCGTTCAAAGTACCGACCTTCGAATTCATGGAACAAATCAGAACTCCGAAGAAACCAAGCACAAACAACATTCATTTGTATAAAAATTTTACCCAAGGACTTGGAGAAATGATCAAAAAGATTGAAATCTTTCGACGGGAAAATCAGCTTCCGAATTCAATAATGGGTGTTCCATCGATTCAAGATGCTGCAGCTATTTTATGTCTTCTAAACGGTACGAAATTGCGTCTGCAATTTATTTGACATGTTTTAGATTTACGAAGCATCATTCAATCCTGAACGAGTTGCCAAAATCCTGATGCCTATTTTTGATTTTGAAGTTGTTATTTTTGTAATAAATATGATCAATATTTAGAATGAATGGCTTTTTATTGCAATGAATAAATGAAAAAATTGAAGAAAGAATTTTATGAACATGTTTGAATCTACTCTTTAGCCTTTTTCTTGCTTTTTCGCATCATGGTCCTTTCGCGCATCATTGTGAGTGAGTCGCCTTGAGTTTCTTCTTCAGCGGGTGTAGTTGCATTTTCCGAGTTGTTGATTTCAAGTAGCAGCTCATTTGTGTCTTGTCGCTCGATTGTTGCTTTGAACTTTGTAGTTATCGTTTAAAAACCCACTGTTTTACCTGTTGCTTGGAGTTTTTGCGCAAGATCTTCCATGTCATCACCCTCGTTCGCTAAATAATCATTGTCACCCCTGTCTAAAGGATAATTTACCTTGGTTGGCAAAGTTCAATCCTCCCTGGGATTTCCTTGCCTGGGTCATTGTTCTCTCCAATCTGAGTGTATCCAGTCGATTTTCAAGCCCAGTTGATTGACTTTTTCTTGTATTGATCATCATTGTCTTCTCCCGATCCATTGCAAGAAGCGCTTTCTCAACCTCTGCAGCTTTTCTCTCTTGCTGCTTCTCCTTGAGTTGGCTCTTTCTCTCAAGAATCTTTTGCATTTGCGACTTTCTGCTTTCAACGATGGTCGATTGCCTCTTGAGCATATTTTGCTGGAATTGTTCGAGCATAGCCTTTTCTTCTTCAGGAGTGATATTCGTTTGAATGATCGTGTGTTGGCGTGTCAAGATGTTTTCCGTCGCTCGATCGTCTTTGCGTTTTTGTGATATTTTTTGGTCGATGAGTATTCCTGCTGCAGCTCCTGAATGTGGAATTGAAAATCTATTTTACTGACTGAAAATTTACCTGAGCATCTCTTTTTAGCTTGATTTATCCACGCTTGCGCCAGAGCGGGTCCGTCTTCCTTCGTCATTGGGGGGTAAAACATGACTGAAGTGATGTTGGGCGACCAGAACTCGTTTTTCGCCCGCTTAAGAAGCTTGATCACTTCCTTGAGTACCGGGTCCTCAAGGTCTTCAAGCATTGACTCGAAATTCTTCAATTCAAGAGCTTGCCGTGTTGTCAACTCAGAGCTTAGATATATTGTCGCTTCTTCATATGCGTCCAGCGACTCAGAGGTTTTGGAAATGTTTTTTTCTTTGTTAAACTTAACGAAGCGGAGAATCATGGCCTTTGTAAGCAAGGTCTTCTGCTCGACTTGTTTCGATGGGATCATGTGTTCAGGAAGTGGCTCGTCGAGGTGAATATTGTAGTACTCGAGTCGACGCTTGAAATAAGAACTGCTGCCACCAGAGAGCTTTTTCTCAAGTTTTTTTAGATCCATTGCCTCAGCGTCAGCAAGGGCATCTTTGTTGTCTGTAGCAGTGACTATGAGTGTGTGAAGGGCGCTTATTTCACTGGAGTGTAAACTCGTCATCGCTAAAATCATGTAGTATTATGATCGTATGAAAAAGGTCTACCTGTCAGAACTTGGTCAAATAATGTATCTTCAGTGAAACTGTCTACATCGGAAATATTGTTTTCAATTTCATTTTTGTCAAAAAAGCTCTCGATTTCCTGTTGAATCTGTTCTTCTTTCGCCTTTTCCGTCATCGTCTGACGCTTTCGTTTCATTGCGGCGAGTTTTTCTTTTTGGCGTTCTTGCTGTCTTTTTCGCTCGTCATTTACGCGTTTTTCTGTATTCGCTGTAGCCATGGTCATTTCTCGTACAAAAGCTCCGATTTCCTCGGTCTTATTTTCTTTTTCGATTTGTTTTCTCTCTTTCCTGATCATTGCAATTTTTAATTGACGAGCTTTCTCTGCTTTTTGACGGTCAGCTTGCTGATCCGCCGCTGCAAGGATTCCTTGGAGTTCACGATCGTAATTTTTACTCAAGTCATCCAAAACGTTCTTTCTCTTCTTAGCGCTTTCTTGCTTCTCTGCTTCTGTTTTCAAGTCTTCTTTCTTGGCCTTCATGGAGAGTTCGGCGATTCGCTTATGATTTTTGATCGCTGCGTCGATGTCATCAGAAGATGCGATTTCGTCAATGAGTTTTTCCTGAAATAGGTTAATAACTTTTCGGTTCAGAAACATTCGATCGAAAAATATATTTTACTCTGCGATTCCAGATGTAGATAGAGTATGAGTTATAGTTTTAAAAATTAGAATGCAGATTTTGAGGTCAAATATTCGCACTCAAACTAAATACCTTTATGACAAACAATTTTCTAACATTAGCAAGGCGCTATAAACCAATTTTTATATGCGCATTAACAGTTTCTTTCAATGGGAGCATTCAAAATATACCTGTTCTTTTTTATCTAATTCATCCCAGACAGCATCAGAAATTTCTTCCTTGATTGCGTTTCGTGAAGCCTGTCGTTTGACAGCCCTATATTTGCTAGCCAACTCACGCTCAACTTCTTCGTCGCTTCCGACGCAAAACGCGACATTGCGAACGGACTTCATCTTCACATCTTCCAATAAGTCTTCAAAGTCACCTCTTGAGTCCCTATTCAGAGCTTCATAAGATACTTTCTTCTGTTCTTCAGCAAGGAGACGAATGAGTTCAACATCTGGTTCTTCATTTGTCAGAGCAATCAAAGCAAGACGGATGTCTATTGCCTTTTCGACATCGTTCGTAGCATCAAGTTTTGACAAGAGCTCGATTCTATCAGAGCCAAGTGACTTGTATTTCTTGCATTCGATTCTGGCGTAAACAAATGCCAGCTCCTCTTTCTGCATGTTTTCTAAAAGAGCAGCCAGCTGATCTTCTTTAGATGCATTTTGGTCAACTGGCTCTTCCGATTTCTGGATTCGGCCAGCTTTTAGCGCCGCAAGTCGAGCTTTTGCGAGTTCTTTTTGTCTCTGCTTTTCTGCTGCGGCCCCGGCAGCAGATTTGTCGTCTGTAGATCTAATCCAGATTGCCGTATCTTCGATTTCCCCGTTTGCCAATTGTTTCTTCTGCATGCGTAGTTTTAAAGAAGCCATCTGTCTCATCTTTTCCTGTGACATTTTGCCATCAGAGGATTCCAGGAAAGCCATGATTGCCAGTTTTTCTTTGTCTGCATCAAGCTCGACCTTTTGAAGATCAGATAACGATCGTTTCAGAGTTGTGAGTTTTTCGATTTCTTCCTCTGCTTCAGCCTGCTTTTTGGCATCAGTTTCTGCCGCTTTCTTTGCTTTCAGAGCAGCAATTTTTGCATCCAAAGCTTGATTAGATTTCGCTTTCTCAGATTCTTTGTATTTTCTGTATGCTTCTTCGTTTCCGTTGAAGTCTTCCATTAGTTTCTTTGATGAAAAGCCAACAGATTCTTTTTCATTCTGGCGTTGGAGCCTCTTCATCTCGAGAATTTTCATTTGGCGGTCTTTCTCGCTCATCCGTTGCCACTCTTGCTGGCCAACACTTTTGAGCAGGGCAGCTGCGATAATGTCGTCTCTCTTTTTGTCGACAACTTCATCGTGTTCAGCGTCGACTTCTGCTCTCGCTACGGAGGTTTTTCCAGAAATGAGTTTCCAGATTTCCTCAGACGTTCCAGCTTCAATCTCGGTATTGAGCCGCTTTTCTAGCTCCAAAGCTGTTGCTTTTGAGTGAACTTTCCATTCGCTTTCGCGGAAGTTGTCAAATTCTTCCAAAAGCTCCGCGAGAATAGCGGCGCAAATGTCTGATGAGTTCATTTCACTTGCGCCGAGCTTTATTGCGAGGTGCATTTTGTTAGCGTACACCAGTGCCAAGCCCTTCTGAATCAAAGAGTTATTGTCGATCTTTGCGGAAGCATGTGTAGGATCAATTTTAGCTCGTTCTTCATTCGTTTTGATAATCTCTTGGGCTCGATCAGCTTCCGGCATGAGCATGCAAAAATCCCGCAGCTCTTCTTGAAAGGAATCGTTGAGAATCTTAGTGACAATGGCTTTCGCGTTTTGAAGCATTCGCAGAATCACATTATCTCCAAACGAGAGCCAAGCTGAAGAATTGCTGTCTTTCGGTGCACTTTGATCTTTGAGGACTTTTCTTGACTCCTTTTGCGCGAGGACAAGACGAGCAAGTTGAATGTATCGCTGACGATCCTGCTTGATTTCTTTGCCATCTAGAATTGCTCTTTGACGGGATCGTACAGAAAGCTGTGAAGTATGGATGGCCTCGATAAATTCTGAGATAAGATCGAGGCGTTCTTTCTCGTTTTTCTGCCATAGAGTTTCTTCGTTTGATGGATTCTGTTTGTTTTCATGAAGAATGTGGAATGCAATTTCCATTTGCTCATATTGATAAAGAACGAAGTACAAATCAAAAGTATCACTGAGATCTGACTCTGGAATAATCTCCTCGTCCTTGATTACTGTTGTTGATGTCAAGACACTGTCATATGATCTCGCAAGATTCGGTCCAAAGGCTTTTTCTGGAGGGGAAGAGTAGGCAAAACCCCGGGATTTCATATATTTAGCCATTGCCTTCCGCTCATAGAATGTCGCTTCAAGTTCTTTTTTCATCTTATCAACTTCAACTCTTGCTTCAGAAACTGGCCTAAGTCCCTGTTGAGGATCGCCACGAGCGATGACCATCAATGCTCGGTCTCTCATGCTGCTATATTTTTCAACAATATGTTTACGAAGAGATCGATTTTCTGGAGATTTTTCGAAGAGCTCAGTGAAATCAAGGAGGAGAGCACCGAGCATAAATCGCAAATTTTTTTCTTTGATGACTTTTTCGACTGATTCTGGTGATTCAAGATTTCGGTAGAAATATCGACCAAGTAAAACTTGGAATTTCTCCAGCGAGAAATCGTCATCGATGACAGTTTTTAGTGCAATTACTTCTCGGAGAGATCGTTTAACAAATCGATCATCCTTGCCTTCTTCAAATTGATGAAAGATCTGGTATTCTCTGGATCTAAGCCAAAAATTTGGATAGTTTCTGAACTCCTGTGCTCCTAATTTGACCTTTTCGTCGTCATAAACGAACTGAGCTTCTTGAAGGGCTAACGAGTAGACATTGATGAGCTCAAGATTCTTCGCGAAGAAAGGATGAAGCTTATCCCAACCCTTGAAGGATGTGTACTTCTCGATACTGCCAATTTTTTGCTCGTCTTTTGGTCTACTGACTAGTTTGAGGGATTCGATAGTAGGTCCTTGGAGAGGAATCTGATCAATAGCAGATGTTTCAGCACCGTCAATCGCGATCGCAACTTGCAAAAGATTCAAGGTAGCAGCAAAAAGCACGCCCTCGTCATTTTCATCCAGAGTCTTGACGATTTCCGCCTGAGATGCAACTTGTTTCTTGTATTCATCTCCAAATTGAGAAACTATCCTTATTTTTTCATCAAGAACTTGAACCAGAATCGGTTTTTCTTTTTTCAGAACTCTAGCAGCCAAAAGAGCATTAAATTTTGTTCTTTGCTCTTCTCTTAGCGCTTTAATTGCGGCTTCATCACCTTCTAACTGCTTCAGTTTCATGGTAAAGTCGTCACCGTAGATTTCCTTCTGAAGTTTTTTCTGCTCGAGTTTCGCCAGGGCAATAAGTTTTTGTCGCTCTTGTTCAGATAGTTTCTTCCATTCGGCAGCGTCCATTTCATCCTTGACCCAGTCGGCACAAAATTGTTCAACTTTCTCGGGTGGGAGTTCTTCTGCGGACAATTCTTGGATTTCATCTAACTTCTCAACTTTTGGTCTCCTCGCCGCAGCTAATGCTGCTGCCAGTCTAGTATCGAAATTCTTGCGTTGCTCTTCTTGGAGCTTTTTCGTGGCTTCCTCGTCACCTTCAAGCAATTTCATGGCTTTCAGGTAATCATCTCCATAGATTTCTTTTTGAAGCTTTTTTTGCTCTAATTTTGCAATGGCGATGAGTCGTTGTCGTTCTTGCTCCGACAACTGCTTCCATTCAGTCTCGTTCATTTGCTGCTTTACCCAGTCCGCAGAAAATTGCTCAAGTTTTTCATCGTCGACGATTTTTTCTTGGACTTCAAGGAGAGATTCTGGCTCAGGGGATTCCGGTCGATTTTTAACCGCTAAAAGAGCCGCGGCAAGACGAGCATCAAAAGCGTTTCGTTGATCGTCGCGGAGTTTCTTCATCGCATTTTCATCGCCCTCGAGTGACTCCATTGCTTTCAGATAATCGTCGGCGTACATTTCTTTCTGAAGCTTTTTCTGTTCGAGCTTCGCTATGGCAATGAGTCGCTGTCGCTCTTGTTCTGAAAGTTTCTTCCACTCGGCTTCACTCATTTGTTGTTGAACCCAATCAGCAGAAAATTCCTCCATCTTCTCTTCATCAACGATCTTGTCTTCGACATCAAGAAGAGAGCGAGGTTCTTTTTCTGGCAATTCAGGACGTTTCTTTGCGGCAAGTAAAGCAGCTGCCAGTCGAGCATTGAAGGCTTTTCTCTGCTCATCTCGTAGCTTTTTCATGGCGTTTTCGTCTCCTTCGATTTCTTTAAGGCGTCTTATGGTTAGGTTTTTTTCTCTAAGCGTCTAAGCGTAAGGACGCGACAGCAAAAATATTGAAAATTTTATGATTTCCAGCGGAAAAGAAAAAAACCTTTCCTAAGCCACTCATCGCCGTAGAATTCTTTTTGGGCTTTTTTGGCTTCAAGTTTTGCGAGTGCAATCATCCTTTGTCGCTCCTGCTCAGAAAGTTTATTCCACTCATCTTCACCCATTTGTTTGAGCAACCAATCTGCTGAAAATTTCTCAAGATCTTTTTCCGAAATATCTGCATCTTCAACTTCTTCAAGCTTCTTAGGCTTTTTCATTTTTAACTTTGCCGCCAGTTTTTCCTCAAAGAGTCGCCGTTGTTCTTCCATGAGTCTTCGTCGAGCGTCTTCGTCGTCGCCAAGCTGTTTGAGCCGCATCTTGAAATCATCGCCAAACATTTCTTTCATGAGTTTCAATCGAGCTACGCGGTGTTTTGTCATGATTCGATTTCGCTCCCGCTCGTTGAGTTTTCGCCACTCTTCCTTGATTTCAAGTTCAATTATCAGTTCTCAAGAATACAAAATTACTTTCTTGGTAAGTTAATAGCGGTTATAACTTATTTTATCGAACTTTTCCTCATCAAGTTGTCGCTTTACCCAGTCGACATCATACTCTTCCTCAACTTTGTTTTCCAGCTCCTCTTCTATCAACTCCTCCACCTCTTTTTGAAGCTCCTCCTCAGTTTTATCTCCTTTTCTGAGTAATCTTGCTTTCAAAAGTCGATCGAATTCTTCTTTTTGTCTCCTCTTAGCCTCGTCAATTGCTTCTTGATCACGGAGAGAAGCCAGGTACCTCAACCAGTCATCTCCATACATTTCTCGTCTTAGTTTACGCTGCTCTAATTTTGCCAGAGCAATAAGTCGCTGCCTCTCCTGCTCTGAAAGTTTTCTCCATTCTTCTTCATCCATTTGCCGTTTTACCCAGTCAACACAATAATCTTCTTCGATTTTAGCGAGATTTTCGTCCCCTTCATCGAACCATTCGACTGGGACGTCAAATATGATGTCGTCGTCGACATCGTCGCCTTCATTTTCGTTTTTCTTCTTGTTGAGAAGTCTCAAAGCGAGCATTCTTTCCATTTTTCGACGTTGTTCTTAAAGAGTTCCTTTCATTTTTTTTGACAATTTATGTTACCTTCGAGTAATCTTCGCCGTGCTTCTTCATCATCACCAAGTTCTCTCAAACGCCTTTGCCAATCTTCACCGTACATTTCTCGCCTAAGCATTCTTTCAAGAAGTTTTGCCTCCATCAGAAGTCTCTGGCGCTCTTTCTCACTAAGCTTTCTCCATTCTTCTTCAGACATTTGTCGACGGATCCAGTCCAGATCATAGACGGGTTCTGGCTCCACCTGTTTCTTGGGAATGGCTGTGAAGCTGGAGCCGTCTCCTCCGTCGTCGAAAATGACAGCGATTGCACCATATTTCTTGTAGATTTCTTTCAGCCGTTTGTTTTCATATTCGATTTCTAACTGAAGATTTTCCATCTGAGCTTCCGCTTGGGCCTTTCCCTTTGCTTGCGCTCTTTTGATCTCATCATCTTCAAGTTGGAGCTTGATTTTTTTCGCGTCTGAAAGAAGTGTTGGTTTTGTCCGCTTCTGACCCGATTTTCCCGGAATAGTGCAGAGATGAACTCGCAAATCATTCCAAGAAAGTGGAGCACTCTTGCCCTGGACTCGATTTGCCAGAAACATTTCCCACTCATCAGGAGAAAAACTGTCGCCATGCGCCAACTGGCAAAGTGTCGTAGCCTCAATAGGTGAAATTTCCCGATCGCTATAACGAGACAGACTTTGATAATCCCAGTAAATCGACTGTTCCATACAATGCCTTCTATCCAGTTCTTCTAGAGCGGCTTTGAAATGTTCCTTTGTCAGCTTTTTATTCGGAAAAGTAGCGATGACTGCTTCTGCCTGTGCATTATTTGATGATTCTCTGTAAATCTTCTGATAAGCTCTCAGTAGGTCATTTGCTGTCAAGTACTTTTTTGACCCTGTGTCGTAGTCCTCAAAAACTACCATTTTGATATTTTTAGTTTCTTTCTTGAGGACAATTGAAAGAAAAAAAGTAGAGAAGACGATTTCAATTGTATTTTTGTTGAAAAGCAAATAGTGCAACCAAGCAACGGGACTAAACATTTCTACCAATTACTTTCCAATTATCAAACGAAAGACTTTGAAGACGCTATATTTGACTATGCATGTTTATTTTTTCAAGAGAAAAAGTTTTTTTTATTTGCAACCTTTATTTTTATTTATTGAAGTTTGTTCAACGGTTTCATTTGATAAACTCTATTTGGCGTACTTTGAAGAAGTCTCTCTCCACATGATCTGCAGATGATGTATCGATGCTCCTTACAGATTGCACTGTTACAATTGTCACAAAATACTCTGCATCTTGTTCTTTTAGGCATGCATTCAGCACAACGCCGCTTCGATCTTCGTAAATGAACAGTTATCGGCGCAGACATTGACGGAGGTACGTCGATTATCTAAATTTGTGTTGTTATAAAACTGGTTATCAGAAAAATGCTTTGAAGGTCGTACCTGAGTTGGTGTTTCAATTCTTGTTATGAAAACTTCCTCTCTTTTTTCTTGGCGGACCCTTGGTTGAGGCTTTGGAAGGTTGAATCGAGTCGGTTTTCTTCGCTCTCTTTCTGAACGTCTGGCAGTTTTTGAAGCACTGGCATCAGTGCTTGGCTGCTCTTCGGTATCACTTTCGTCAAATACGGCTGTTACCCCAGCAAATTCGTTGTCATCATCATCATCTTCTTCTCCCATTGCAATTTCTTCTATGTCGTCAATTCGTGGTCTCTTTGGATCATTCTCGTCCTCATCCGACTCTTCGTCATCCATTTCCGTGATTTCAATATCATTTCCTTGGTATCCGTAATCATCAACAGGTTCGAATTTGGGCACAAAGTCGAGTTTTTCTAGCCTTGCTTTTGAAACCTGAATGTCGGCATCTGTCTGGCAGGACGTGTGACACGTTTCTGGAGGCTCTTGTATCTTTGGGAAGACGAGGAACTGGTTGAACTCGGCGCAGATCTGGCTGATCTCAAAGTAGCCATCTTTAGTCAAATTGTACGTTGCTTCTTTGTCATTTTTAGAGATTTGGATGCTGTAAAAATTTGAATTTCTGAATTTCTTTCGAATCAAGTTTTACCTCATTGAAACGTTGAACATATTAAAATCTTCAACACGCGATCTGAAAGACTTCTGTATGATAAGTTTCTTCAATAAATTCTCCATTTTTCAATATCTCGCGTATATCTCTGATAAAATTAACCGATTTGCTCGCTTGTGTCACTTTTTGGGCCAAGCGACGGCAGAAAAGTTAACCCACGTCAGATCGATTGGGCCAATAAGAGACAAACTGGAGTCCGAAGTCGTTTAACTATCACGTACGAACTCGGCTATTTCGTGCCTCAGTTTATCGTTAGTCTGGTAGACATTCATTAAATTGAGGTTTTCCAGAGAATTTATTTTTACGCTTTGTCAGCTTTTGTTCGAGCCAAATTGACTGTAAGTTGAATGGCAAAGGAGACGAATGAAAGTTGTATAGGTACAGTAGAAAGCTTACTCAACAGTCTGTCAGTTGAGGGACTCGTTGGATGAAGAAGGAACCAAGTTGTTTTGGCAATTGGGGCAATGAGAACGGCCTCTGTGTATGTGCAGCGGCGCTAGCGTATGACAAGTACGATTTGAAAGAACCGTCGGGGCCGGCATCAATGATCCGTAGCCATTTTCGCAAGCTCGGGAGGACTTTCTCGCGCGACAGGACTTACTGTGCGTTTGAAGATCCTTGGTTCTACTAAATGGGATATCGTCAGAGCCAGTTTCGTGCAGGCCCAAGTGATGACGCGCCGAAGAAGGTCGCTTATTTGGCTCGTCGTTGGGCGTCAGACTGAATAGTTTACGTTGTCCTCGTTGTTTTCGACGAAAATCGGGATTCGATAAAATGATTCCCCGTTGCTCAAAAAGCGTGCGTTCGAATAGAACATGAAATTTTTGGCATGAATAAGCTTGGCTCGTTCTTAGTAATCACAGACGTACCTTCTATTGTCATTAACAGACGAGAAAATAGACGGATCTGAGTGGCTTTGGCGCACATCAAAGTTCTTAACTCTTCGTGAATGCTTGATGAGGATTAGAGATTAATCTTTTTATTCTTGCTAAGGCATGCTTGGATGGCTAGACTCATTTCAAATCCTTTAACAAAAGTGAAGTCGTGCCAGTTGTAATTGAGCACTTGCGCTGAGCCCTGGCGATCATTTGGTCTTCATACTTTTCCCAGAGTGACCATCGAAAGCCGAAACAAAAGAAGAGCGTTTTTCCGACAGCGCGGATCTAAGAATTGATTACTGAATTAATTTCTTGTTTTACCGAGGACCGGCGCATCTTTGTACTCGCAACATTGTACAAAAATGGGTTCATGCATTCTGAAAGACGCAAACAGACGTAACACAGCAAGTTCATCCAGTAATCAACATGGTATCCATCTTTCTTCCCATGCTCGGTTGTCTTTTGACCGGATCGAAAGTGAATCACTAGGAAAGCTACACAAAACTCTTTTCGAAGAAATATTTCGACCCGTTCCAGAAAATAAAGAATATTTGGCAGATATCCGATAAAGAAAGAAATGACAACTAAGGCGAGTTGAACAACTGCTTGACGATTCTTTCGCCAGTTTTTGGATCTCCTCGAGCTCTGTATCAGTTGTTTGCCAATGAAGCAGGAGGATAAGACCAGGACCAGAAAGGGCAGGTAATAGAAAATTGGATAAGTTGCCATTTGATAGGTCCTCATCATCTTTAAAGTCTAGCAAAAAGCTCTTTCAAAACGAATTCTTATTTATAGAACTTACATCGGCGCCAGGAATATCCAATAACGAGCACTGAGGCCAGCACTCGCCAGACGTTTCCGTCTTCACGCCGAGATAATTTGAAGAAATGTAGATTCCGCAAGTGAGGGAAATCGTCCATAATGTCATGAGATAAATAATCACCCAGCGACGGTCCACTGCAGACAGTCGATGAGGCTACCGAAAGGGATCAAATTTAAGCCCTTGTGAATTTAAAATATAAACATAGTGTTTGAGCCCGTGACAAGCAAACAGATACGTAGCGGAAAACAGCGAATGAAGCAATGTGGATCGAAGTAGTGAATGAGGTAGATTCTTCAATCGCCCAATAGACATTGCAAAGCGGGTGCGGCCACCTAAAAAGAGGTTGAAAACGAGGTCAAAGGAAATTGTTATCGCAGAATGGAGTAGTCGAGTCGCGAAATTATATCATGCTGCTTTGAAAATACAGTATTTTTAAACTGTACCGGTATGGATTGAAGCCGAAGGTGCGAATGTAGATTCCGACCGGGGATACCAGGGCAGAGAGCAGGTCGGACATGGCTAGTGAGAAGATAAAGCAGTTTGCTTTGTTTTGCATTCTGTCGCCGAAGGTGATCGCCATCAGTGTGATGATATTGCCAACTACTGAGAAGAGCAGCATCACTTAATTAATTATAAGCATCGTTACGGCAAGAAACTATTGCTTGGAACGTCCTGTTTTCCGAATCAGCTCGTTGAAAAGTTTCTTGTTCAATAATTCATGACGTTGAAGAACGATTAGATAATTATGCAAAATCAAATAAGCGGTCACCACGAGTTTGCTTTTATGTTGAGAACTTATTCCCTTGGCGATTTTAAGCAACTTAAACTTGGCTCGGAGACAGAGGGAAACTCCTTTCTGTAGTTTTTATCAATAACTTACGTAGGAGGATGACAGTGGCGATGTAGAGGACCGACTCGTCCACCGGAACACTCATTTGGCTTTCGTAAACGGTAACATTGTAACAATGCTTTGGTAGACCCATTCCCATTGCTCATTTTTTCTAAGTCAAAGTTAATATCTCTCTTCCCATTTGCCCGAGCTCGGAGCATTCAGTGATTTCGGATGAATGGGAAAGTGGTTCACCAAGGTGATTGAGTGAATATATTTAATAATGGCGACGTATATATTCGAGAGGGGCAACCTTGAATACCTCTAAAGCTAGCACATCTCTTGACGGTTTGACTTGAATGCGATGAAATTAAAAGAGTTCAGGTCTAGAGGTCTTATTTGGCTACTGAAAAATTCATAATTAGCAAGGTCTAACGAGTGTCAATAGGATTAAGATTAACAATTCTCCAATTACCGAATTCATCCCCTCCGGATAAGCAGATAACTCTCTCGACTTGTTTTTTTCTAAAGCTAAAAAACCTAACGGTTATTAACTTCTAAACTGTTTTCGAAAAAATCGTTGAAAAAAGTGAGTTGGTCTCGGTCTGTGACGAAATTCGGAGCGCTTCTTCGATTTCAATAATTATTGAATTAAATTTATTATATACGAAGGGCCATTGTACTGATGCTCACTGGCTTTTATACTGTGCGCTTGAGTGATAAACGTCCAGAGGAGATTGATTTAAAGTACGCTTTCATGTCTCAAGACAATGGCTCAACCTTGCTCTTCTTGACACAAGTTTACGTCATGTGCAATTTTGGAAGTCTACTATTGATCAGACTCACCATTTTTTAAATTTAATAAGTTTCTCTCCCATTTCGCTCTCTTATGTTTATCTTTTTCTCAATGTGATCAAAAGTCGAAGCATTAATTTCCAAGGTGCTTGAAAAAGCGTCAGACAATGCTCCTTTTCATCAAATTCATTAAAAGAAACGGCGAGTAATACGCAAATTTACAGTTGATGTGAAGTCGAATTTAATGCACCGACCTTGCATCATCGCTAATTATTAGATGTGAATGGAAATATGTCGATACGAATGTTCAATAGTCGCGACTGGAAAGTTTTTATTCTCGGGCAAATCTTGTGCTCGAAGTAAAAGCCATTCCTTTGCTCGGTACAGCTTCCCGCGGCGCAACATTGCGGATACTCGTTTTGATAGTATATCTTCGGTATGGTAATATTGTTGTATCTCTCATTGAGTGTCTCTATCATTCCCAGAACGCCATGTCATGCCTCTTGAGTTTTGTATTTTGAATCGTCAATTTCTTGACCTTCGTTTCAGACAATATTTTTGCGACCTAAAAATATCTTGTTTATTTTCTTGGTAAGAGTAATGAAAAGACCTATAACGAAGAAAAGCTTCTAATGAGGTTAATCACGAGTCACGTGATACGTCATCCGACGACGTTCTCCTTTATTTTTAATATAATTTTCTTGGGTTAAAAACTAGCCCGTGACTAAGTGAAACGTTCTCGAAGCGAGAAATAATTGACCTTTTTATTACAAAAATCCAGCACGAAAAAGTTCAAACACATATGCTAATTGCACGAACATTCAGGCTAAATTAATTCTTGCAGTCTTTTTTGGCATTCAAATTTGGATATGTTCTCCCGAGGAATTATATCTCGCGAGAGAAGATAAACCCTAGTCGATCGGAGAATCTATTTCGAGATAATTTTATAATAACATATGCAATTTGTAGAAATATAGACATTTGCTCATTTAGAACGCACCGTCAATTAAATCATGGAAGAATCGAAATCAAGGAAGAGTACTTCGAAAAGACTCCCTTTTTATCAAATTACCTTTATAAAAGTTTAGCGCTCAAAGTTTCTCATAGCATAATTTCTCATCACTTCGACAAGCTCTGAAAAAAAGCGCGAGATTATTTGGAAATAATTGTTGCCGCGGTGGAGTGTTTGCAAATGATTTTCAGATTTGCGTCACGAAACGAGACCCCAACTCAGGAAACTCAACGTCTACTCCTCTCTCAGTGCACAAAAATTCATACTCTCATTGTTTAAATATTAATTTCTTTTTACACACACTTTTTATCATTGAGAATATAAATGCCTCGGCCTAGCTATAGAAAATTACCAAATTTCAAGAGATCCAAGAGTCGATTTCTTCGTTGTTCTCTTATTTCTATTCCAGTCTATTCTCAACTTTTGGCAATAGTAAAAAAGAGGCAATGAACAAAATGTAGAGTGGACAATGTAAAGTTATTTAACGAGCTTTCCTTTGTCTGTGTTTGATCTGAAGAGCCCCCTATCAGTGATAAGTAAACTCTGCTCCTGACGAGGTAGTCAGAACTATGTGCTTTCCACTGAGTGGCATCTTTGCATAATTTGCCAAGTTTCAACCAGGCTCGCCTGAACTGAGCGACGTCACGCCACCTGACGGCCTCACACGCTTATCCTTTCTTTTTACACAGCCATTATAAGGAGCAAGGATCATTTAACCTAAATTGTCACGCCAAAGAAATTCTTTTTCAATGACATTGAATCAATGTGACATTCTGAATGTCGTTTGCAATTAAAAAGAACATTAACTTTATGCCATAAATTATGGACCATAATTTATGGTCCATAAAGATAGTGGCTTAACTTGTCAGTTATCTTCAATAATTCTTCGAAAAAAAGGTATATTTTGAGATAAGGCAGATATAAAAATACAATAAATAGACAGTAAATTAAGTATTATTATGGATCGCTTTCTTGTGCCAAACTTTCGTCTGAAGGAGCATCCACATGAAAAGTGAACATTGGCACATTACTGATATCGGCTCCATCCACAGTCGTATCTGAATCTGGACGCTGGACATGGAATGTTGGTGCGCAAAATGACACAGTAGTATCCGAATACGTTGAATCCGTGCAACTCGGGTAGGGATGAATCTTTGCATCGCCGTCCATCGCGGAATCATCGCTGTCAGTTTCATTTTCGACGGCGGTTGTTTGGGCAAGTCGCTCTTCTGCTACTCTCTCCATCAAGTCCTTGACAGGTGGATAGGTATCGAGGATCTTTGAGAAATCCCTGTGCTTCAGAGAATAGCAGTACGTTGTGTCTCGAGCTATTACTGTGGCGGTTCGTTTTGTGTCGGGGATGAGGAGAGATATTTCCCCGAAGAAATCTCCATCCCTTAGTGCTAGAAACATCGTTGATCGCATTGAAATCATAGAAGAATACCTAAAGATTTTCTTTTCCTTTTCTTTTCGTTCCCTAGAATGATCAAACACGTCCCACTTTGGATGAAAAACATCTTGTTTCCAGTCGTTCCCTGGCGAATGATCTTGTCATCCTTGAGATACATTTCTAGCCGCATAAGATTCATCACTTCGTCAATGAAATAGACGGGGCATTTTTCGAAGAATGGTACTTTCTTGACCAGATCTTTTCTGTTATGGCGAACGAGAGCTTTCCGTAAAATTGGGTTTAGAGTTGCCAGAACTTTTTCTTCGTCGAACATTTTTCCTAACAATTTTATTTTTTTTTTTGGTTCACAGTTGACTTAATCTACCTTGATAACGTTGTTCGTAGTAGTCAAGCAGTCTTTGGCGGGTGTAAGATGGTAGTTTTTTGTATTCCATGTACTCAGTAACCGCGGTGAGCTTTTCCATGTAAAGTCGTTTCGAAGCGTCCATCATCTGCATCATTGACGATGCGACGCCAATAAAGACGGCTTTCAAGAGATCTCCGATGAAAATTGAGCTGGGATTGGTTTAGGAAAGAGTTATAAAATAGAAAAGATCTTACAAGAACATCATCCAAAGATCATCAATGCACTGAGGCGCCATAGTTCCGTATCCGATGCAAAACATGTGGCTCAGCGATCGAAAAGTCGACTTGAAATACTGAGTCATCCAAGGGACTGTATCTTTGTGTAGACCACTTGCGACAGACCAACTCATAAAGTATGGATACGCTGGGTTGAGCGTCGGGATAAGGAATTGCAAACATCCTGAAAAGTGAATCCACATCCAAAGGAAGAAAACAAATGCGACGATTTTACTGACTCCCTTGACGCTCTCGATGTTGATCCACGAACTATTGACATCTGTAAAGTTTCGGATAAGCTTCGTCAGTCGGAAAAGTCTTTAGAAAGCTCAAAAATTTGCTCGCGAAATGGGGTACTAGGCTATAAATTAAGGGTTTCGACAGGGTAAGTGAAGCTATTTATCCCCGACGACTATTCTTCGACTAAAGTTATTCAAGCCGTTCCTTAGCAATCCAGCGACTTTTGTCAATCGGATGATTTTGAAGTATCGAATGATATCTAATGATGCTTGATTCTGCTCCGTGATTGATATTTCTGTTCTGAGAAGTCGCTCGGAAGATTCATAAATGTTCGTTTGTGTCATAACTTCAGCAACCTGTAAAACGATTAACATTGCTACAATCATTTTCTTATGTGTTACCCGGTCAAAAGGCACTGTAGCTAGAATATCGAACCAAAACCAACCACGGAGGTATTTTCTTCGTATCTTTTTCACTATGCACGTTTAAAGTTAGCCACAACCTTTTCTTACCATTCAAAACAGCGGTGTCAGCTTCAATGTATCCAGTTCGAAAGTTTGCCAGAATATCGAGTGTGAACCAAATATCTGACACGAACATGATAAGGAACGATCTGTATGGATAGTTTTTATCTGGTCGAATCATCAGATAGAGGCTTAAATGAATATTGAAACGCATATCTGTTAAATGCAACCTTTACCTGTCAAATTTGGGATACGCCATAATAATCGGAACGAAAACCAGATTAAGGATGAGTATTATCATCGTTATCGCGTCGAATATAAGGCGGAAGTTTGAATAAGGATGGATTACAAACGGCGAGTCTCTGAAATCAACGATGGTCGACCGAATTTCGAGTAGAACTTACATAATTCGTTCCAGCTCCCGCTGTCGCATATTATCTGAGCCTATTCTGGATTGATGAACTTTACTGACGCCAATGAGGGACATGATCGTTTTTCGCGCATACAACGATACTCTTGACTCGCGTCGGCCTCTCGACCTCCAATTTCCGTTTTCTGTACTTTCATCGTCGCTATCACTGTAACTCCCCTGAGAGAAATTGTCCAGGGTGAACTCAGCTGTTAGCATTTCTCTAAAATTTAAATTCACTTTAAAACAAGGGGTTTCAATATAATTTATATTGAAAAATGTTACCTTTGCTTTTTTGATAATCGATCTGTTGTGTTGAATTTTGAATTTCTTGTAAAAACACCCATTTTTTGTGTGTTTCTACCGGAGACAGTGCGCAACTAATGAAATACAGAAGTTTTTCATGCCCAACACAACTGTTCTAGAGACAACATAGAAAATTCTTGGAATTTCAGCTATCGAGAATGAAATATGAATGCATGTAGGAAATATTCCGTAAAGCAACATCTTAACAAAATTTAAGGTCATAATACTTTGAAAATAAAATTTATTGAAAGAAAAACAATCAAAAAAAAAAGAAACAATATGAAGATCAGACACATCGGTCAAATGTCGTTTCAAAGAGAACTGGACGTTCAACAGCCCCCTGTGGCTGATAAGCAATGACGGTTATATTGCTGATTTCGTTTCCGTCAAGGTCGATTCGTTGAGTCGGAGCATTTTTATCATCGCCAGAAACTAAGTAAATTGATGATCCAGATTTGAGTACTGACGCCTTCGAGGTTTTCTAAAATATTGAATTGATATTTATGATGAGAACTAAGGTAATGACTTCAAGTAAATTCCCGACAAGAGTCCATTTATTGTCCTTGAGTCTTCTTATTTCCGACACAGATTCCCAAAATCCATCTTTCGAAAATCCACCGAAAGCCAACATCGAACCATCGTCGAGTCCAATCAGGGAATGACCATATTGAGCCCTAGAACATTCACGTATTGCCGAAATATTGTCCGAATTATTACACTGGATATTCCTCGAGCTCAATCCATCCTGTTGGCGTCAAAGTCTCAACATTCCTAAGGATCTTGTTTGGTCCTGAACCAACGGTTGTCGGCTGACCATTATACAAACCTAAGCCTCCATAGTAGTGGCCATAAGATGTTGAATAGGTTTTCGTAGTTTGTGATCCGTCGAAGATGTTGCAGGCAATAGAAGGACTCGAATATTCAAAACAAACGAGAGCTAAATCATAGAATATATTTTGTTGTAAATCATTTTCATTAATCGCGATCATACCTTTTTGTCCTTCATTTATCGCAAGAGCAGCACCAGATGCACTTATGAAAAATTCAATTCTGCCATGAGCAGCGAATAACTACACCCATCTAGCCGGTATATATTCTGTTCGACAAATAAATAGAGCTCATCATTGACGATTGCGTGCATTACACCACCAGATAGATACGCGTTAGGTGCGTCAATACTTGCTTCGACCATTTTCGAACCATCTCCGCTGATGATGTAAGGATTGTAGAGTCGATGGTCGTAAGTGCCTTCTTCCATGAGTTCAGAATCGTACGACTCATATGTGTAATAGTAATAATCCGCAAAGGTGTAACGAAGAACCATGATATAAGTTTCAGCCTAGGAGTTGTTAACAGGGGCTTCAGTTATTCCTTACCGGTGTAGGATCAGCGCAAAGTGGATGATCGCAATTGGTGCATCCGTCAGGACATCTTTCTGCACATGGACACTCATTCAAACAGTCTTATAGAAATTTTTAACCAAAGACATGGATATCATAAGCTTACTGTCATTGGTATTGACACAAACAGAGAGACAGTAGTCACTCTCGCATAGCAATCGACATCCAGTGAGTTCTATCTGACAGTTTTTATTGCATTCTTCTTGAAGGTCCTTGTCCCTAAGCTTTTATTGGGTTCCCAGCTTTAAAAGTTCAAATATTACGGGCATTCTTCTTCAGGTGGTGGATTTTCGTTCTTACTGCAAGCTTTAGCAAGTGATAAATAAAATGACCAAACTAGCATCTCTAAGATCTGAAAGAGAAGGTCCGCCAGTCGAAACTTTATAAGAACATATTTGCGGATTAAATTTAACTTCCGGCGGAAGTTCTATGATTCCGAGTAATTAAGAATAAGTCATTTACTGGCTATCATATTTTTTGAAAACAGATTCTGCTTTGAGATCAAGGAAGAGAAAAGTCAATGTTTAATGAAGTTCACGTCGACCTTTCCGATGTATACCTTGAGTCAGAATTCTACGGTATCTTCAAAAGCGCATTCCCACATTGAATAGAATACTCTTCGTCAAATATTTGCCCGAGCAGCTTTCGCCCTCCGGACAAAGAGGTGAATAAGCTGGCCGTTTTCACTAATCAAATTTTCAATTTGAATATATTCGCAAATATAATAAAGGTGAAAAATTCCGGCGACGCTCTCCCAGTCAGAGTTTGAATTCAACGCAGAACCTGTAAAAAAAATGAGACTAGAACGCGGAGCAGGAGATTTTTTCGAAGGTAAGCAAAGAAATTTCAAGGATTTTCGCAAGTAATTCTCGCTTCAAGATATAAGAGATGGCGCAAAAGGCATCATTGATGATATTTCTGATGGATTTGGAAGCGTTTTTGATTGCATTGGAGCATCTTTCCAAGCGGTATTTTATTTTCTAAAACTTAAATATACCAATTTAAATACTGGTAGAATAAAGACTTCGACCTGATGCTCTGGGCTGCGTACGTTATGCTTATTGCACCGATCCTTTCGTTCTTGGTGAACGGAATGATGAACCAGAAGCAGAAAACTAACGACACTGATAAGGTAAGATTTCAAGATCAACAGAGAAAGCAATTTTATTCTCAGAAAGGCGCAGGATCAATCGGTTTTGCTGGACTGATTTCAATCATCTCAGGCGCGATCTATTTGGCATTTTACTACAAAGTCAAAAACTGCGATTTCGGAACATTCGGCAAATGCTTCGAGTACGATTTGCTCAAATGGCATGTGGGTTTATCGATGTTTTTACTCGTCTTGGGAGCCATGATTGCCGTTATGCTCACTCTTGCTGCTCTTGGACAGGTAACTCGTTGTTGATTCCAAGATGAATGGTATTTCTTAGGTCTGCTGCGGCGATGAAAAATTGACGAGCATGTGCGTTTACATTTTTCTTATGATTCGTAAGTGTATCTTTATAAATTGGTTAACTAAAAATGTAAATTTAGAAATGGGCTTGACTTTTGCACCAGCGATTGTTTCCGTCTCTGCTGGCTGGAAATACACTTTCGGCAAATGCGCACCTTGAAATTCATTTCTGAAATAAATTCCCTCAAGTCGAATAGAAATGTGTGTATTGAGCGCAGAGCCGAAAATGATTTAATTTAAACAGAAATGAGCTTAATCTATATTATTTTTCAAATCATTGGTCTGTGTCATCATCGATCGATTGTCGGACAAGGCGGCGCCACATCGGCTCAAAGCAGCTCACGCCCAAGGGGAATGTGAGAATGAAGAAACTTACTGCTTATGATGAAGCAATTATGATTTTTATTCAATGACAATGTAAAAAGAGGGAATAAAGACGAAAATGAGCGAAAGATCTTGTAAGTGACTGTAGTACGTAGGTAGAAACGATAGAAAAAATAATAGAAATAAATGAGTATTTCCTTGACAGTCCGAAAATTCTGAATATTGTATAATAAATTGTCAGAGAATATAAATACATTTAAAATTTGAGCAAAATTGGTATGTCGGATGATCCCGCCCTTGATCCCCCGAGGCGCGTTCATGTCAATTGCCATCGATTCCGACATGAGCGCTCTCCGATAAATATTCTTCCCCTTGGAGACTTGTCTCATTACAGTCATTCATTCAACAAAATAGCGTATAAAACTCATGCTTCTTTTCTTCTTCAAGAGAAACCTTCAGTGATGGAATCGACGGGTCTTGCTGAACCTTTTTGGTACATTATCATCGCCACTGGTGGGACGTTTATTATTCTGTCGACAACTGTGCTTGTATTTGTTTTGTGCAGATACCAACAGGACAGGGCTGATCGAGGACAAGCGGTTTCTGCATATTGGTAGGGTCCATTTCGATAATAAGAGAGAATTGAAAATTTAATTTCAGCGCAAACGATGTTTATCCAGATAAGCGCTCATCAGGCGGCCCAGATTTGTGGTGCAGGCAGGAGATAGAACTCCTGAAGAACAATCAGCCGCTTACCTTTGGAAATAGCTCCTCATCTGACCAACAAATCGTCCCGATCAATATGGGATTCAGGCATGTGCTTCAACAGTTTTTCGTACGACGATGAAAGTTTAAATCAATTATACGCCGCAGATGGGCATGATCAAGGAGAATAATGCGAGGAGATTCGAGACCGATTTTAAACTCGAATATGCTTATAAAATTTTAAAAACAAAAGAATTCATTATACAACTTTTGATAAGCCAACAGCCTGTAGTCCCTAAACACAATTGTCGAGCACCGTAAAAGCGCATATCCCGATGGAACAGCAACTCTTCCAACAAGACATCGTGTGAATGCCAACAGATGGGCTCAAGAACAGCGCCAACAAGAGCCTCGTAAGTAAAAACTTCTTCTAAAGCAAGTAACAGGAGTTCAGCAAATTGGTCCTACTCAACGATTCGCAAGCCTGCGGTGCCGAAAGCCAACGGTAAGAGCCCCTTCAACCGGAAAAAGCGCTTAGGCTGAAAAATTGATGCGCGCTCGACGCGGAGCATCGACGAATTTAGCCGGCTATTGTTGATCGAGAGGCATCGGGGATGTAGCTCAGGGGTAGAGCGCTCGCTTCGCATGCGAGATGTCCTGGGTTCAATTCCCAGCATCTCCAGTCTTTTTCATCTTTTTATGATTATGTTATGCATTTTTATGATTATTTATCGTCGATAACTTGTTTTTAGCTTACACTCTTCCCCCGACCAGCAATACTCCAGAACACAAACTCGATAGAAATACAGGAAAATGGTTTTATATCTGTCAAAGGTCGCGATTATACGCGATGAATTGCCTTCGTCAGTACAGAGCTATAACGAGCACTCACGATAATCAAAATTATCCACCATGATATACTAGACTGTAAAATATAAATGTAAAGAACCACATGAAAGAACTAGTTCAATTAACTGCTGGCCGAGATTCCTCAAAAGCAACACCAAAACATCATCCAACGGCCGGAATTGTCCCTCCGACGAACCAGCGCGTTTCGAAAGGGTTGGTCTCTGGTACAACTTGTACCAGTAGTGACTCGCCTCCGAGAGACTTCGCTAATTATGCCAAATCACAACCCAAAGACAACCTCAACTCCGAGTATTCGAGCTACAGCTTTAAAAATAGCCACCAATCTTCCCAACCTACCAATAATGTGCCATCTAAACGACATTATCAGACGATCAACTATCATCATAAAAATCCGTCTTTCACTACTGAAAAGGGTTGATACAGCACTAACATAGTATCTGTTCAAAAAGCATCAAAGCTCATCGAAGCAAAATTCAACCCTTTCTTCTGTTCATGCTTCGTCGAGCCGCGCGAACTTAGACCAAAGTGCCTTGGGCTACGTGCCCGATCCTGCGATGCATTTTTCAGAAGGCCATTGGGACGCCGTGCCAAAAGGTTTAGTACGGCGACATTACTTATTCAGAGAGACACCGCACATGTGCTTTACGAATTCAATAAATGGATTAAACATCCTCGCTCAATTCATTTTTAATTTTTTAAATTCGGGCTCTTTCTTTCAGACGATTTTAAGACATTATTTCAGATCATCTGTCGGGTACCTTCGACAAGTTAACGCGGGCGAGCAACCACTACAGTCAGACTCAAAAGCATTATCATACGATTGACCGAAGTGGGTGAGTAAATACCAGAAACAGTTCTGCAAATAGCTTTGTTACTGTGATTATAAATCAAGCAACAAACAGTATCGATAGGATGAAATCTATAGATTGTTACGAAAGACAGATCGATTTCCGACTGTAACGCTTCGTAGCGCGCGAAAAATAGCGTTATCAATAAAACATCTAAATTTAGGACGCTGTCGAAAAAAGCTCAAGACATGAAGTACCGCACGCTCCAGCAGAACAACCTCTTTTAACAACTCTACCTCTTTTCTCCGAACAATAAAACACAAAACCGAGATAAAGCAACAAAAACACTTCGTTCCTATTCAACAATCACAACTTTCCTTTCTTCGGAAATTCCCTTACAATTTGCAAGCATAATGGTCCGTAAAACCTTCCCGCCGAGAGATTTACGAGCTTTTCTGTCTTTTTTGTCTTTTTTCGCACTCAGAGGATCTAATTGCTAGAGAAACATAAATCGAAGAGTTCAAGAAGATGAAGAGATTTTTGACTGAAATTGGCATATTTGGCATTTCGCTTGGAGAAATTCTTGGGTCAGCTATTCTTCTCGCCTTGTACTCCGAAGAAGGTAGATTTCGTTTTTTCATTATCTAAAGTTAATAATTTTGCTAGAATACCGAGTTACGTATCAGCAAAGTGAAACCTTGATAATCGATTTGGGTCTCCTTGACGCAAGTGACTCGTGGCGTACCGCGCGGTTAATATTTTGTTGCGCCGGTTTGGTTCCTTCTGGCATTTTGGGCATTGCAACGATTTTCTATTTTGCGCAAGGCTGGACATATTGTTCAAGGTCGTTGTTGAAGCTTGGAAAAGCCTTCAGAATCGCCATGCTTGTGTATCTAATTTTAGGAAAGGGTTAGAAATGATGAATATTGATCAAAGAGCTTCATTTTCTTACCTATAAAAAGCTATCTTTTGGTGGGTATCGATCATAATCTGCTTTTCAATATCTGGAATTGACGAAATTTATGCACGAATCGCAATAACTGGGTCCCTTGATGACGCCTCAAAATTTGTTGAAAAGCTATTTTCACGGACGTCGGAAAGCTCATTAGGCCAAATTGTAGCGGCGTCGAAAGAAGAGGACTTTCTCCTTTCAAAAAGTTCAAATCAATTCCACCTGGCACGACTAATTCAGCGAACGAGCATAATTGTAAGTAAAAAAGGAGAAAACGTGCGAGCTGTTTTCGTAGCTTTGGATCTAATGAAAGCAAGATAGAAAACCGAGGTCAGAAGTATTTACCCAGCGCGGGTGATAGCTTGCTCCGGGGTTCAAAGAAAGCGGCAGCTTACACAGTATTTTCAGAAGTATGTTATTGGAATCTCACTTGGCTATATTTTATTGGAACTCCTTCTTATCGCGCTTTTGCTCGTGGTTCTTTGTGACAAGGCGAAATCGCAGAACATCAATGTTGAATAGGGTCAACAAATATGAAAAGAAATATCCCGCAAAAATTATTTATAGAGCATAAAATTTGTTAGGTTTACGTTTTGCTGACCCAGCTTAAAGTCGAGGAAGAAGAAGACGATTTTACCGCTTGGTCTTTACCAGAAAGTTTTTATGAAAACCATCCTGTTCCAATTGACTCACTTGGAAGAAAGAACTTTCGAAAATCAAACGTTCAAGGCGTCCCTACTGTACATGTATGAATAAATAACTAATATCTGTCAGAACAGAATATTTTTAGAAAACCTGAATATTGTAAATTCCCTTTTTACCTTATTAGGCGTCCCGTAAGAAAGTAAGTGAAAGGAATGAGAACGAAAATCAATTATTTTTTCAACGTCTGCGTGGTTTTGCTTAGGACACGCCTTCATTTTCAACCTTTTTTTTGTTCAAAGAAACCCACCAAGATTAATAGAAAAATAACCCACTGAATCGGAGCAAATTTAAAAGAATATTTGCCAGACAACAATAGAAAAAGCCCGTGAAGGGTTGAGTAAATACTTTCATCCCAAAGATGGCTCGTTCTCATTCCATTGTCCTCCTGGGAGACATCAAGTGGGTGGGAATCAATGCCCGCTTCTGCTTGGTAAAAATAATTCAGTTCCATTCAAAGAGAAAAATGGCTTTATGAAATGAAAACTGTTAAGAGCTGTTAAGTTGAGCTGTAAAGTTCGAGAGATCTATGGTCACGATTCTATTCGAGACATACGATTTTTGATCCTAAGAATGAGGAAAGATACTTAAGAATGGATGGCCCCGTAAACCACATGGACTCTATCGCTCGGCCCACGTCAAAGGTCATTCAACCTCCTGGTGGCTCCAGCTCTGGAATCTTCGGAGGCGAGACCTACCAACCCAAGCGTCACGCTGAAGGGAACCGAAAGAACGAGTCTTCCATCTTTGGCAGTCCTCGTGAAGAAACGCCGAAACCGAAAACACCTCCCAAAACAACGGAGGAGGTATGTAAAAGCACACGTCTAAGAGGTTTAGTCACAGAAACAGGCCACTTCCGCTGGCTTTTGCTTCATTTTTGAAATTCTCTCTTGTCACAAGAAAAAATTCTCCTTTCTTTTTAGGCAACTGGAGCTCCTACAGTAAAACACACTTCAATCAAAGTCGCTGCCCCACCGGGTGGCAAATCCTCCATCTTCTTCGGCTAACTCCCCGCAACTCGCTTATGTCATCGCCTGTCTGGTCGAACAGGGAATCTTCCTGCACCTGGCTCACTGTTATAGAAAAAATAAATTCGTTAGAAAATATTTTCCTTGCTCCAATTTTCGCACCGCTCAGCTTTTTCGTAACGTCGTCATTTGTTGGAATTAGAAATTGGGAAAATTCAAAGGCTTGACTCTTCGTGACTTCTGGATTGAAAATATGGAGGGACTAAAATTCAATGAAGTCATGAAGTGTTGGTTTGGAAAGTTCATTTTTTCGCAACGAAGAAATTCGCTTTGATGCAAAATAAGAGGGAATGATCCAACGGTGACGTATAATCAGTAAGTTCAAAAAATAACATTTTGAGAAGCGCCTCCGTGACATCCGATTTAATTAGTAAGAAAATCAAAATTTTTCTTGTGGGCAAATGTGCGTTGGAATTTTGCAAACTCATGACATCATTTCTCGCCCTTTTGCTTCAACTCGGACATTTTGAAAATTCGAATTGACAAGCGAAATTTTCATAAGATAATTGAATTTTGATATTTATTCGTGGGAGGAAATATCCTCACGTTTTTAACGATCGAGAAGACTCGCGTTTTCTGCTCATTTCTTCATTTTGCCGTCAAGTTTTTTGCAAAAAACAAACATTCAAAATCTTTGCCCTTTTTGAACATGACAGTTTTCTATCCGTCACCGTCACCAATGTCAAGAACTGTCTTATCAAAAGTCACCATCGACAATCTATTTTGACCGGATTCTAGCTGAGCCACGTCTTATGCACGCTTTCCGATGCGCAGTCTGTTCTAAAAAGCGTAAATGGTAATTGGTTATCCTCGGCGAGCAATTTCGAACTTGAATTTATTTAGCTTCATGCTATTCGATATTATCAACACAATATTAATTTTCGAAATAGTATTATTGTTTCCGTAAAAAGTCTACAATCTTTTTTATAGATGATATACCAATATACTCGTTAAATGGATCTCAGGAAGATGTGGTCGCTCAACAGGCGTTATCGCGAACAACATCGCTTCCGCCAATTTTTCTTCCCTTCCTGGCTTTATTCGTGGCTTCGGCATTCGCGTATATATCTATCGAGCTCTTACTGCAGTTTTCTGTGCAGTTTTTGGGCCTAAAATTTTTAGGCTTCTGTGAAAAACATAGCTGCTAACTTCCTTCAGGTCCTGAAATTGAGAAGCTATTTCGATAGACCATATAGTCTATATTATATAGACTATATTATATAGACTATATATGATATAGAGGTAGATAAAAGCAAATCAGCATTAAAATTTTGAAGAGATGAAACCGTACATGTGTGTCTTCACAACATTCATTAGAAGTAACCTACTCCAAAACAGATTCGTTCGTAAAATTATTGAAATCTTAAGATTTTGTCGTTTATTTCGATGAAACTGTAGCATGGAAAACATTTACAGGACGCTTTATCAAGTAACTTTGATAGAGCGATTTCAAAAAAGGGTTGTTTCAGAATGTGGATGAATTGAGTTCAAGCTTGTAAAATTAGTTCTGGACAAGGATGTTTTCTTTCCAGCCAGCAATGTCGAGTGGTCCGACGCCGTTTGACATGAAGTCTTTGGCGCAATCGTCATCGGCGTTGCAGCACTGTCGGCAGACGGAAGCTCCCTTCTTGTACCAGGCCCATGGCTTGCACTGCTGCTCCTTCCACTTGCCCTTGAAGTTCTGCTTCTTGTTGTCGACGCAGGCTTTTGGCCACTTGCATCCCATGCAAACCTAGATAAAGATAGAAACGCTGTAAGAGGTAATTAAAGCTTACAGATTCCAAAACGCCGTTTCGCTTTCGGACTTCGACCATGCAAACTTGCGCATTGTCCGCGCATTCTTTCTGCTCGCCGATGCTCTCGCACTCGGTCATGTTCTTAGCATCGCAATGCCAGCAGCTGAGGCCAGTGTTTGGGACAATGGTGGTTGTTTCCTCGGTTGTTGCTGGATCAGGAGCGTATTGGGCAAGAGCGGCAACGGCGAGAGTCGTGAAAAGCTTCATTTCTGCTCTTCTTTTTTGCTATTGAATATTGAAATAAGAGTTTATTTCTTGCTTGACAGAAGGTCAACCACGCTGTTTTATACTCGACAAGTTGTACGCAGAAAGAGCGCCACCACGCAGACACAGCGATGATAACGCGATGCGGGAGGTAACGCCGCAAGATGGAGCAGCGCCTAATGCACTTTGAATATTTGTGGAAACTGACTCTGCCCTGGCCAAAACTGGGTTCATTTAATTTCTGGCTCTTGTGAAACGCTTTCTATGCTCAACTTGCATATCAAAATTTAAAAAGAATGAATGGAAAGAGATCTTCTTATTTATGATCTCTCTCCAGGTAAATTTTTCTCTGAAAGTGTACATTTTTATTATATAAATATTTTTGTAAAGAACAGGTTTCGAACTTTGCGGCGAGTTTCGTTTTATCCATCGATCGTGTAATCGTATTCGTAGTCGCTATCATCTACAAATATAAAGTTTTGTTTTCAATAAAATCAATAAAAATCCGGCTGTTATCGTGAAAAAAAATGAGTCCATCTAAATCCTATGATTGTTATTTCTACATCTAGCCTAATGGACTAACTGAATATTTATGAAAACATGAGATGCTGAATGAAGCTCTAGAAACAATTTTGAAAGTCAAAGTTCAACTCGTCATCTCTAGCTTACTTTTACACCGTTCGCAGAAAAAAAACTTGAATCGACCCTTTCAAACAAAATTCATTCCGTTGACAGAGATGGCGTAATTATTCATTATCAGGAGCATAAAAAGCACTTCGGCTCTCCTCATTCTTCACTATCTGCGTTTAAAATAATTAAACCGGAATTTTACCACCACCATTATGAAGCTTTTTACTGCATTTACTTTTGCTGCGACTGTTTTGGTAAGAATTTTAGTAGGAAAAAAATTTTTTTTAAGTTTTTTTTCTAGGCCCAAGAGCCCGATTATGACTATTTCCGGGGAAATTTTGGGAGTACCACGACAGAAGAGCCAACTATTCCCCCAGAGACGACTTACACTCCCTGGGATACCAGTACACCGGAGCCAGGTACGACTGAAACTGACCCATACACAACCGAATCCACTCCCGTCGTTACTGGAACTGACCCATACACAACGGAATCCACTCCCCTTGTAACGGGTACGGACCCATACACCACAGAATCCACTCCAGTCGTTACGGGTACTGACCCTTACACAACCGACTCCACTCCCGTTGTTACTGGCACTGATCCCTATACAACCGAATCTACTCCCGTTGTTACGGGTACAGACCCATACACCACAGAATCCACTCCAGTTGTTACCGATACTAATCCATACACAACAGACACCACGGAACCACCAACGACGCCACCAAGCCCCGGAACCGACATTTTCTGCCATACCTGCCACGCTGCGAACATGACTGCGTGCCTTGAAGAAGGGGAGAAACTTGAATGCCCCGAAAATGCCTCTGTCTGTCAGATCGAAGTGCGAAAACGCAATGGAAGTCTCGAAGATGTACGTTTTCCTGATTTAGAGCACCCTTAACACTATCATTATTTGTAGATTCGAATGGGCTGTAAATCTCGAGTAGCATGTCTCGATAACAAGAAGCAAAACTTTGTTGGACAATGGGGCCGTCATCAGTGCCAGCCTTTTTCGTGGTGGAAAAAGGGACCTTCCGTTTGTCGGCAATGCTGTACCGGGCCTGAGTGCACGATCGAAGTGATGAATTCTGCCGAAGAAACAACCAAAGCTGCGTGGAGAGCGAACTTGTTGAACTAAAATTGCAATAAACTTGAAAATAGCAATGAAATTTTTTTTCTCATCTTGAGTAGACGGTGATAGGAGTGACAGTTTCTTAGAATGGGAGAATGAAAAGACGCGCGACGTGCGTGATTTCTATTTATTCACCATAGCGAGTTCTATTCAATGAAGTTTCCTTTCTATGTTTCTTTTTTAATCAGTCGGCAGATTGCTACAGTAGCGAGAAAACACACGTCGAAGAATTTGTGAATTTAAATTTTCTAGAGCTTCAGTTGACCCTTGTTTTCTGACTGAAAAAGGTATCAGTTTCAAAAGAGATGGAAAAGCAACCTTTTTTAAAGATGGCGATATTCATACTTTTTTCAGAAAATATTACGTAGTTTTCAGAGTTAACAAGTTGTTAGCCTAAAAACATAGCCTTTGTGGACTGTCGCTGACACCCTTAAGATGCTCTTTGGAAAGTAGTTTTTTGGAACTGAAATTGGAAGGGAATGTTTTTAACAAGTTTTCTCAGATGACACAGATCATGAATTGCGATTTAGTAGATACTGCGCGTATTTGATCTGCGGGCGTAGCTACGGCAGCCAGCAGCAAAATTCGAAAAAATGGCGAAAATTTGCTCAGCGTAAGCAGTATTTTGGAGGTGATGCTGAGAGCTTGCTTTCCCAGAGGAACCAATATTTATCTCGCATCTTACCACTCCTGCACCGCCGTAGACACCACATTTTAGAGTTATCGAATTATCGTTTTTATTGAAAAAAGATAAGGCCGAAAAATAGAGATGGAACGAGAAAGAGATTAGAAAGAAAATGAAGAAGAATTTGAACAGTCGTGGTATCTTCATGAGATAGGGCTAGAATTTGAATCCTTTCATTTTTACGCTTTGATAAAATAGTTGAATTTGAACTCGATTTGCGCGACCTTAGATTTTGGACTCATCCACTTCGCCTCTAGAAAGCTTATTAGCATTAACTAAAGGCCAAGCTCAAGAATTAACCGAACACGTTTCACGAGCTGTCTCTAGAACCTTTTTCTCTAATTATGATTTACTATTTTTTACGTTTTACTATCAAGAACACTGCGTAAAAGAAAGAGAAGTCCCCACGCCGACCCACGTTTTTACGTTTAGATTGAAATATGGTCTCGAACCTGAGGGTGATGCTTGACCAAGGCACGGTTGAATCATTTTGAAAATTGTTGGCTTGTCTTCGCAACGCAATTAAGATGTTGAACTTTCTGCCGAAAATTTCGCGTTATGTGTGAAATTGACCTATTTCGTAACGATCTTTCTAAGAGGATGGATGTCTTGCTAACCAAATTTTATCAAACTGACTCAAAAATTGGTTATTTAGTAAAAAGTTTATAAAGTAAGCATATTTTGTAAATTTCGGCAAGTCCGTCCACTTGTAACTGGGTTAAAACAAACCGCGACTTTGGTCTAGTCCTAACCGTGAAAAGCCCTTGGCTCCGGCGACGATGCCGGAGCGGTCAACTTTCTCGAGCTCAAGGTGATCCTGGACGCGATTCTGGTCAAGTTGGACATCGGAGCCGAGCTCCCACAGGTCGGGCCTAACGGAGAGGTCCGACCAGCCACTGATAAATATCACGAACGCCTTCAGCAGTTGGAAAAAATTGTCGAAGGAACGAGTTTACCAATGTTGAATTTTCAAACGAAGCTCATTTGGTAATGAGCTTAGAAAGTGAACTTGGATGAGGAATGACGCGGCCTAAAAGCCCAAATACGCTTATTCAACAGACGCAGAACGGAGACGAAGGGCCAATTACGAAGGATTTCGCCGAAAATAGGCTGAAAAAGCGAGTCGACGCGAACGAGGAGGGAATCGAGAAGGCGCTCGATATGCTCGAAAAGCTCGCCCGCCAGTTGAAAAACGTCGAAAGCGATTTGAAGGATACCAAGGATAGAATGGGTAAGTCGACGTAAGCTTCCGTCAAATTATGTTTTATTGGCAGCTTCAACAAATCGTTAAATCTTAAATTCTATTGAAAACTGTGTCTTTGCGAACTTTGTATCGCCATCGTTTGCGTCGGCCGGATGGTGATTCCGTCAAAAGCAAATTTAATTAAGAGTTTCTAAGGGAGCTCATTACACTATCAGATCTCATTGTGTTTGTCCCTGCCAGTTTTGACAAGGTGGGTAAATTCTCGGAGCAACTCGATCGCTATTTCACGTAGCTGTATTTTGCTCGAATATTCAGACTTTATTGATAGATCTCTTTTCCTGCTAAAAAAGTGATTTCCGGGTCACTGATTGATCAAGCCAGGCTTGACAAGCCTTGATGAGGCTCCTTGATTGAAAACAGCGCCCTTCGGAGGCAGCGTTTTTCCATCAATCTCCCTTTTCGTATCAACCTCATTGTGCATATGCAAATATTCTACTGTCTCGTCAAAGATAATTTCTAGCGAGCGAGCAAAAAGCACAAGATGATCACCTGAGCGCCTTGGACTCATTAGTAAAGGAGCTTGAGTCCAAGATGGAGGAGAACAAAGCGGCAACTGACAAGGTACACGACCTTACCGACAGACTCGCCAATCTCGAAGAACGAGCTGCTAAGGTCGAACAAATTGCCAAAGAAGCTGTTAATTGGTCCCAACTCGACGAATCTTTCAGGTAAAAACAAGAAATTGTCCGTTATATATTATTATTTCCTTTAGCCATGATTTCTTTGGCAACGAGCTTGACAACGAAATGTCCAAGTGTCACGAAGAACGCGAAAAATATCAAAACTATTTTGAGGGACTTCATAAGCTCGCTGATATGCGCGACATGATTGAAGATATCAACAGCGGTCTGGCCGAGCTCGACAAACATGTGCAATCCAATATTAACGATATAACAAAGCGACAAGGTATATCTTTGATTTCAAAGATTCGAATTTTCGGCTAATCTTTAATTAATACAGATGAAGAATTTGATGGTAAGAATAGCCTGATACATATTCTTCCATCCCTAAATTTATGTCATTTCATACAATCATCCCATTTTATTGAAATCATCAGTCAAAAAAACATCAAAATCATCCTCACGCCATTTTCATAGTGAGTCGCTCAACCCTTGGTGATTCAAGGCTTTCCCTCGCCGGCACACCCTCACGTGATTACCTCCTGCAGAACTCAAACCACTCCCTAACCGGACGAGCACAGCCCCCAAGTCCCAACATGCAAAATATCTCAAGCAAAGGCAGTTCTCGCACAAATCTCAATACTCAGCCTCAAGTTGGGGCTCCCTCGCAAGCTCTTGGAGGCTCAAACTCCAAAATTAACCCGTCCCCTCAAGTTGCAAGAACAGATCCCGCGGCCTCTAGCTCTAACAAGCAAGATGGAAATAATGCACTTTCGAATCAAAACAGCGGTAGTAATAACATTCAAAAAGACACACCATTTACCGGCTCTTCTTCCTCATCTCGTCGAGTTTCAGGAATGGGAAACTCATCATAAAGTTGTCACTACATTCCAATAAAGGCTGAATGATATTTCCCCCGATTATAAGACCACAATATTTCTGGAACTCCGAGCATCAACAATGAAACTCTGAACGCACTTGGATCAAATCAAGCTAGTCCTCATTCCACAAATCAAAATCAAAGCCTTCCTCAGTCTGTTGATCCCCAAAATCAAACCTCAAGTGGAGTCCCCGGTCAACAAACGACTCCAAACAATCAGCAAAGACCAAATCAAGTTTCGACTAACTCACCTACTAACACACAAATCCATTCTCCATCTGAAAGTTGCCAAATCGCAGAGTCACCCTCAAGTAAAAATAGATCGCAACTTGCATCATCCAAGCACGAGCTTCGACCAGGAAACAACAGCACTCGGGCTGACCACACTACTGAAGATACATTCAGTAGCGAGGATAACTCGGGCTGGAGCAGCAGTAGCTCTGGCCAGAGGCAGCGGGTGCGCAAATCCGTCGTCGCGCGCAACTCTATCAGGCAATCTCTCGGAAACTTCAGGCAACTCATCAATCTTCAAGGAAGACCTGGAATGCCTGGGGCACCTGGACAGTTTTCACCAAGTAGCTATAAACCTACACCTTTATCTCTCCATTTATGCATGTCCCATTTATACCTCTTGCATGTTTGCATGAAAAACAGATTCATCAAATCATCGCTTGACTAACATTCAATCTCTAGAAACATCAGATACCCGAATCGGAGATGTCAACCGACGAGCAGAAGAGATCGACGGCCGAGTCAATGATCTTCTCGATGAAAATAATCGACTCAGACGCGACCTGGAAATGTTCAAGTCATCCACTGAAAAGGTCGGAGAGGATCCTAATAAGGCAATCATAATGACACCGGTTCACGATTCACCAAAATATACAGTTTCGACTGTATATTTTCATTTCACCGATAAATCATCCTTTTTGGTTGCCATAAAATAGTTTTGTGTTTGCAATTTTTTCAAAAATAGCTTTGAAAAAATTTTGTTGAATCGTTTTGTTTGAAAATGCACGACGAAATATCGAACCTTGCCGACAGTCTTCTCGACTTGCGCAAGCGTCTCCGCGACGAAGAACTCAAGACAGAGGATCACTCGATGCACTTGAGGGAGCATGAAGAAACGCTTGATATTCACGGCAATGATCTGTCAGATTTGAAAAATCTCAGATCCGAGCTTGACAACATGTCGAACTTGTATGAAAACAAATTCAAGGAATTGGCGGAAACGAGGGCGGCATTAAGTGATGGAAGTAGCAGAGGAAACAGCGAGATTTCAAATGAGACCGTTGAGAAACTTCAGGTATCGTAGCTTGCTCATCTAGAATTTTAAAATAGCCAGCTTAGTGTGATTCATGTGACGGAGAAAATTATACAGTAGATAAAATCGTATGTTATTTTAGATAACTTGCCAAGCTTCCAAAAAAACTTGATCTTTCACTTGACACTTTCAAAAATACACAATTTTCTTAGAAACAACTGAGTGGAACCGAGCGCGAATTAAAGGCAATGGAAGAGCTGATTAAATCACTGTCTGCCGATGGAAGGGCGAAATCAGAAGAACTGGACAGACTACAGGAAAAGTTCAGATTCGCGAGACTGTTTGTTACCTGAAGCTAAATGAGAACAGTCTGTTATTCTCGGCAGATTTGGATTTGAATAATTTTGAACTTTAACTCGAGCGACTACTGCAAGATCTTCAAGAGCGCGCTGCTCTCAAGGTAAGAACATCGAAAACTTAAATCCTAAAGAAAACATACTTCGGCAAAAACATCTGAGAGTGTAACTCCTGAAGTAGCTACTGTCATTGTATGACATTTCACAGAACGAGGCATAAATAAAATGACAGACACGTTACTGTAACTATTTGAACAATTGAAATCGTCTTTTTAGGACTTTGTTACGACGAGTTTGGACCAGAAGGCAGATGCTGCAGATCTGAGGGCGTTGTTGTCAAAGGACGAGTTGGATAGCACGGCGCAGTCGATTATCAATCAGCTTCAGGATCAGTATTCAATGCGATCCCCACTATTCCACGTGGACCAAATTGAATACTTCTCAACAGGAATTAATAAACCGCCAAGCAGCGCACGAGCAATCCATGGGCGAGCACTTGAAAGAAGTCGGCCTTGAAGTCGACCATCGCACAAAAGACGACGACTTCAACAGATTCTCAGAGCAAATTGAAAAACGACTTCGCGCGTTGCGTAAGAAAATCGAAAAAGCAGGAGCAGGAGGACTCAACGACCTGGCAACTGAAGCCGGAGCCGCTGGTTTTAGGAAGCAATTGTTTAACTGTATTTCCTGCGACAAGGTAAGACTCGACAAATCGAGAGCTGAGTCAGCATAGCTGAAACACTTGTTCTCTCGGTATTTCCCTAAAATAGAATTTAAGGATTTGTACATGCGAATAACGAATCCGCTTCTTCCTTCTCCGTCCGCTTTCCCCGCTCGAATGTCGCTCAGGCCGCACACCGCTTACGATACAAAGCATGTGAGATCGCAAGCTCGCGGAGAACCTTCAGACTTGCTCGATCCTATCAAGCGTGAAGGCACATCTGATTACAGCACACTCCTCGTTGAAAAAGAACTAGAACGAAGACGCAAAATGAAAGAAAACAAAATCAGACAGGAAATCAGTGGATACAAGTAAGTCTTTATCAATCTTTGCTCATTTATTATATTTTTGTAGGAAAGAAGCGTGAGTATTTTTTTTGATTGTGTTTTATTGATTTCTGAGTTTCGCTTGTTTTTGATTAATAATTACGATTCGTTCCCTAAAAGAATCATAAGTTATCATTTGCTCACGCACATTTTTCAGTTTCAAATCAGGATCTATTCCTCGACAAGTTGGTGGAAATCGACAAGTTGTTTACGATCGTGGAGCTCGACAAGAAGGTAATTCTAGCGGTGCTCTCTAATAAATGACCCAAAATTTAGAACTGCGGCTGGCCATGGGTACCGATTTTGAATCAGCAGACTTGGAAGGCACCGACGGACATTTGTACAAAGGCCGCGTCCGAAAAGTAATCGCGTTAGAAAATACTAACCAGTTTGACTATTAGTCAATGACTAACCATCCGTTCAGCTCCCTAACCTCGTCAGAAAAACACTGGACGAGGAAGACTTGAACAGGAACGAGGTGGTTACTGTGTGAGACTAACTACTAAACCAACGACTAACAGGACTCTTGGATAAGATAAGCCGAGACTTACCAAAGATAACATGGATTGAAGCAATCAGATAGTCTCTTATCAAACAAAAATAATGACATTCAAAATTGCTTCGGCAAATATTTAACTCTCAAAAACTCTCAAAACTGACTAGATAGAGTAACAACTGAACAACAAAAATAACCACCCTTCAAGATCCCTGGACAACCCAGTGCCCGACGACGTCCATATTCCGCCTACCGCGCCCGAGAAGTCCTGAAGATCGAGAACAAGCTCACGCACTCGTACGAAATCTAGCCCGCTGCTTCACTATTTAACATAATCTTTTAAACTTTAATTAATTATATATATTTAAAAAACCTAAAAAAAAACCGTTCCCAGAGAAAAATACCACCCTCGCTGTTCTGTACACATGCACTGGATATTTTTGTAACGCGATAAAATATATTTTTATAATAATATCATGTCTTTATTCTTTTCTGGATTTGAGTGGAAAAAAGACCTGTGCGGTCATAATTACGAATCTTCTCCCCTGGTGGCTGATCGATTTTTCTGGCGTCCACGGCTCCAGATAAGATTCGGATTCGCTGCCGACTCCGTGATTCCGGAGATTCGTATCACCCTTTTCGTCCTTCTACACCGTCGGATTTATATATTAACAAAACTTGATGTAGCGCACGTTATCATCCGTGTGATCTCGGATATATCCACTGAGCATTTCAGAATTTCAGCGCCATTTCAAGCAATCAGCTGAAACATGATCGCTTTTTAAAAAAATTTGCCTTTTTGAACGAGAGAAAATTCGACTTAGAGACTTATTTTACCTTTTAGGAGCTCTGATGAGCCACGAGATGTACTCTTCCTTGATTCCAACCTCAGAAAACGTCACTTTTGTAAGCTTTGATTTGTAAAATTGTGTGGTCAATTTATATAAGAAGCACTTGATGATTATTTCAGGCACGATTATGGACGAAGAAAATTTATATAACTGTTTTCAGGCGCGATTCAAGATTTTCCCCTTTCCTCCCCTTGCACCCCTTTTACTGAGCACAATCTAAAATAACCAATTTAGTTCCCGACACTATGTGCGGTAATGTTGCCGATCACTACAATCTTGATGCCAACATCGCCCACACCAGCTGTGAAAAGGTTGAGGGCGGCGAGAAGTGCTCATTCGTCTGTGCTGATGGAAACAACAAGCCATCCCAGGATGTTTTCTGTGACGGACGAAAATTCACTTTCACTGACTTCAAGGGTAATTTTTTCAAGTTTTAGTATTTAAAAGAGAATGATTTTTATTGCCAAAACTCAGAAAATAACCGATTGTCATAGAGACTCCTATCACCTGTATTCCACCACCAGATACTCAATGTGGAAACCTTATCGAAATGCCATTTGCTCCATTTATTCTCGACAGCAAACTTGTCTTCTTGTGCGAAGAGAAGAAGATCAAGGGCGGTTACGTTGAGCAATGTACTTTCCGATGCGTTGATGATCCAGCTCAGAAGCCACTTATGCTTTCTGATCCAAACAGTCTTAACCCAATCCATGTTGCTACCAACCCTGGTCCAATTGATATCTGCGAAGTCAAGGTGATTTAGACTGCAGAGAACGTTTAGCAAGCCGCGTCAATTATTATTAGGTCGACAAGAAGGGCAACGAACAGATCTCCATCATTCCTGGATCTATCTCTGACTTCATCAAGTGCGTCAATCCACATATCTACACTGATTGCGGTTCTGCTGATGATCCATCGATCTTCCAGCTCGGACCTGGTGCTAGCGTCAAGTGCGAAGGTACTAGAAAATCAGCCTTTGGATTCAATTAATTATTAATAATTAGACAACGAGTGTACTTTCATCTGTCCTGAGGGAGAGATCCCCGATGTCGAGAAGGCCAAGTGCTACACTACCAAATTCAACGGCAAGTTCGACTACACTGGTCCAGTGAACTGCGTGCCCAAGCCTTTGGACACCCCATGTGGTGATGTTCTCGACAACTTCAAGCTCGAAGAAGGCGGCAGCTACCAAGTTCTTGGCGGTGACAAACTCGTCGTCACCTTCTCTTGCCCAGAAGGTAACTAACAATCTTTTGAATATCCTCGATAACAAATCAATTTAGGAACGATTGCTGCTGACTCATTGGCAATCTGCGACGGCACCAACTTCAACTTCCCAGTCGGCCACGCTATTCGATGCGTCGACATCTAAATGGCCACATTTTGAGAAGCCTTTTTTCTGCCCAAAAATAACTGTTCACCCCTCCTTAACTGAATACTAACACACTAACCCCGACTAACTCGACTAATCCTCATCTAACATAACTGAACACCTAACCGCTAAACACAACAAAAAACAAAATTTCTCTTTAGAAAGATACCGCGGATGCTCGAGCGCCGCAATCTCATGTTATCATATGTTTCATTCTTAACCTGAACCCGAACCAATTCTAACCTAACTAATGTTTAAATAAATTACACGCATTTTGTACATACCATACTCCGTTTCGTCTTTTCGATTCTTTAAAAAAGAGGATATCATTAAATGAAATCAGTTCATCTAATCCAAGAGTTATCGTAAAATTTGTGCGTATATTCATAAACATATATTCTCTACGCGCAACTTACGGTAATATTATTATATAATTTTCTGAGAAAGAGCGCCACAAAAAAAAGATATAAAAGTCGGCAGCTTGGGAGGAAGATATCACAAAGTACTTCTTCAATTGGAATAGTAAAACAATTAAAAAACTTAAAAACCTTCTCGAAAATGAAATTTATTTTCAACTTTTTGCTTTTTTCCTGCAAGGGATTCTTGGTTCGACGAAGTCTTAGCCATCAGGTACGAATGTTAATTTATTAATGATTCTAATTATTGAGTGATTCAGAATTTCATGGATATTGAATCGGCTGAAGTCAACAGACAGCTTTTGGTCGCCCAATACACTGCCGGAAACATCGAGGATGAGCTCTACGTGAGTTAAAAACCAAGAATCAAAACCTTATAATCATTTTAGAACAATATTTACGATACGATAAAAATGAGCCCGCATTCGCAAATGAGACATGTTCGGGCCGCATTCACTGAGCCTCATTTCACTGAGCCACATCTTCATCACTGGAGACGATTTGAGTAAACTAATAGTTGACTGACTTGACGATCCTAAGAAAACTAATAAAATTTAAAAAAATGCTTCCTCGTTAAAAACATTTTTCATAAAATTTCACATGCTCTATTGGCGAATTATTTTTATTAGTGGCATATGCGCGTAATAAGATCATCTCTATATTTGTCTAACTGATTGGGAGCATAAGCTTACTCGTGACAGAATTGACGCTCTCTCGGCACAAAGAAATCCGCTTTTTATTGTTATTTGTGACTCGGACATATAGGAATATTGTGCTTGTGTTTTATTATACTGTAGTGACGTGTGGCTGGCAGTAAATGAGAAAATACTTGTGTGATTTTTTTTTCTTGTGGCTAAAGATTTGGACGAAGCGGTGGCAATTTAACATCTGAAACCTTGAAAAGAGTTAACGAATATTAAAATTTGTGAGACGATACAGTACCTTTCGTAGTAAGGAAGTTGTCTGAACCAAATCGCCAAAATCGAGCGGTCTTTCTACCGGAGGAGGGTCCCTAACTGGCCTTTTTTGTTGGATACCTAAAAACTGATAACAAACAAGACGGATCGACCGGATACCTCTAGGTTTAAAGTAACCGCTCGAATGTTCTGGATGCTCGGGGAAGTTCTTCGGTTGAGATTTTGGAGGAGCTTCCTGATTTCTTGACGGTGGTTGAGAAATCTTTCTGGTACAAGGTTCGAGTCGTGGCTCTTTCCCTTTTTTGTGCTTTTCAGATCGGTGTCCCTAAATTTTCTTTTGACAAATAACAAGGACGTCAAATCAACCTTGAGGAAGACGAAGTCGAGTTGAGCACCCAGGACTGCTTTAGCTTCTCTGGTTGCTCCGGTTGAGCACTTTCCCAACACACGTTCACGACCTTTACGCGTCCCTGACTTCTTCTTCTTTCCTTATCGGGGTGATTGATCGAGCTATACAGTGTCGTTGTGCTCAATTTCTTATCAAATGGGTAAAAATGCTCAAAAAAATAAAGACTCAAGTCACCCGGGCCTTTCCCAGGCGAGTTCCCTTCTTTCTTAGCCGTAAAGTTCACCTGTAGTGGCTTCGCAGCGTTCGCCACTGGCTCTAACACTTCCGCCTGAACAAGGTCGAAAAATGTGAAAATAAGAAACAAAATTTTGAAATGTCAAAATTTTAAATTTGATAAAATTCAACCCATTTCCTTCCGATCCAGGAGTTTCAGGCTTCCAGGAATCTCCGAAAGAGCGGAGGTGAGCCGTTTAGGGGATGCATTCTAGAATACGTGCTCGTAATTATATTTGCGAAATAATAATTACGATTCGAAACGACTGTCTTACCAAAACACTGGGAGACTGTTGCTCCATCGCGACGCTGATGATTTTTCTTGTTACTGTGTCCCTGTAATGTCCAATATGGCTGTTTGTATGCGGAAAGTGCTGGAATTGGTAGTGTATATCCTTAAACTCGAGATAAGGTTTTTGATTCAAGCATGTTAGAAAATCTAATGAGGCGGAATTTACAAGCCTTAAATATTTTACAATCTTTAAGGTTTTTTTTGATGTTTTTATGTACTTTTATTGTAAATTTAATGTAATTTTATATTCTTGGCTGACACAATTTAAGCATAACGACCTAACAAAACTCCAAAAATAGATTTTTCTGGAAAAAAAATAAAAGTTTTCATTACTGTAGTCAATGACTACTAGTCATCATTATCTGACTTTACCTGTACTGCAACACTGAGGGCAACTTTCTTCCTCATAAAATCATTATAACCAGACGGCATGCCTTCCGAAATCGTCCCCGAACTTGTGTTTTTCCGAAGATAGGTGTTGACATTTGGTGTCGAGTGGGCCGACTTTAGCTTTTTCGATGAGCGGCGAGTGTGAAGCTTTGAGCTTGAAAACGGGCGAATCTTCGCTTCTGATTGTTTCTTTTCCAGGTTTTCTTTTTCTCTTTGCAAGTCGGATAGCAGCAGCGAATATTCGTTTCCAGACCACTCGCTTAAAAATAAACTTTAGTGTTTCATGTTATAATGAAAAAGTACCTGAAGGACATTGTCATGTGTGGTTTAGCATTGAAACTGTGATGAGCTCTGGCGCAGAATTTGCTAAAAGAACGATTACTAAAACAGAGCGCGATATTTGATCAAGAACAAAATCATGGGCGTCATTCTCAAAACACAAAGCCCCAAAGAATCAAAACACCCGCCTCTCTACAATAAGCAAAAATCGTAAACTGTACCTAATCTCTCTGAAAGTAAACATGTCGTTTTTCGATGCATCTGATTCACTCCCAGATTCAACCCTTCTGCTTTTCGACCTTGAATAGTCCAGTTCGATTTTCTCTTCTTTTTTCTTGCTGGAAATATTTTCTATAGACAAGGAGTCGATGGGAATTCCAAGGGACGATGCAGAACTTGACCTGGGCTCGAAAAAGATTGAAAAAATTTTGTAAAAATCAGGATTTCAAAAAGTCATATTTTCGAAATTTATCAATCTTTCCTCGTCTTCTGTGTCTGTATCTCTCATTTTTTCTGTCGTTTGTTTGTAATTGCTCTTGACGACAATGATCAACAATAAGTGTTCTCGAAAATCATTATTTACGATAACATTTCTCAAGTCAAATAATTTCTTACCACGCTAGGGTTAGGGTTAGGGAATCCCTTTTTTACTTATAAAAATTTGATTGAATAATTAAAGTGTTATTTTTTTGAAAATGCCTGCTCGATTGCTAATTGATAAAGCGAAAAATTATTGAAGATTGTTTTCAAACAACTTGTCTTCGATGACATTTGATTAAAAATTAAAAATCTTCAGACATATCGGGAAGCAGTTGACGTGCAATTTGAAAAAAAAAAACTAAAACTAATGACAAAATCGATCCAGTTTTAGTCGCCCATATTGTTGTGTATTTACTCGGATATTGGAAATTCAAATTATGTTCCTATACTCGATTATCGAACATTATTCAATTTCTTTTTACTTGAATTCATGTCTTAGTCATAACAAGTCTTAAAAACCGTCTGAAAGTCGAAGTTGCTGAAATAACATTATGTTGTATTACACTCAATTGATTTAGAAGGAACCAATTTTACTGCAGTCTACAATGGAAATCAGTGAAAGAGATCACTGTGCTAATTTGATCACCCTTATCATAAGGGAAGAGAACCCATTGACCTTCAGAGCCAATATTTCATCCTTTTTTCGCATTGCGCCGATTGCCGCTCTCTTGCGCCGCAACATACGGTAAGGGAACGACCTCACCCGCGGCGCGAATTTCGCATGGTTTGTCTTTTTCGCTGCCACAGAGAAGGCAACCTGTAAGAACACAAAGAACTGATGTTGAAACCGAAAAAGAGAGTCTAATAGTGAGAGAGGCGATTTCGAAGAATGTGGATAAAATGGCTGCAGGTAATTTATTGAGGCAATTGTATTTTTTGGCTAATTAGAAATGATCAAGGATGATTTTAATTAACTGGCCCCGCGCGGCTCAATCATGGTCGAATTCAGTGTAATTGACCTTTTCTGCCTTCTAGGTCGTCGGTTATTTATTGAGCGTTCTCGGAACTTGCTTATCAGTTATCACCACTTTACTGCCAGATTGGAAGCATACAGGAATTGATGAAAAGACCAACAAAATAGACGATTGACTGTTCGATAACTCTTTAAATGAAGCATTCATCAATTCTGTCGAAAAGGTGACGAAACAGAAGTAAAATTCCAGGGGAGAGTTCACGCTCGCGGACTGTGGCTCACTTGCGACTTGGGTCCTCTTGAAGGGCAATTTGTGACGGGTCTATCACGCTTTTTATTGACGAGAACAAGCGCTCATTGCCCCGCGTATTACGGTTTTATACTTCTTCTTGGCGCATGTGTTATCGTTCTTTACCAAAATTGTTTTCGTATAAGTCTCAAATAAAAGTCCGTCAACAATAAAAAGAATAACTTAGAAAAAGAACTTGGAACCTTCAGTTTTGAAAGCAAAAGCGTTATTTCGTTCAATAAAACATAAGAACGGCGCCTTATTTGAGCCATAAATTTATATAAGATTTTTTACATCGAAAAAAGGATTAAAAAGTAGACCCTTGAATAAAGGTTGCGAAGCAATATCCGTCTCATTTTTCCGGCTGGAGTCCGAAGTTCAAGGTTCGATCAATACTATACGCAGCATTAATTTATGTCTTTTTCTTTCATCAAGCCGGTAGAATCCTCACTCTTTTATCGATATCTGCTGGTGGTTTGGCGCTGACCTTGGCGCCGTTTGGCCTTGCTTGTACCAATTTGCAAAAGCAAGGCTGCGTCAAGAGGGTGATCATCTGGATTTCAGCCGCGCTAATGATGCTTTCTGGAATGTTTGTGGGGATAGCCGTTAGTATCTTTGCCAAACAGACTTCAGACGATTACTGGGAGGTAAAACCTGACAAGAATACTACGTGTCTACTGATAAGCCTAGAATCTTCAACTTTAAAAATTGAAAATTAGCACTTCATTAGCGCTAACTTTAAGTTTTGATTGAAAATATTCTTCTTTGAGAAATGAATAATTGAAAGCTGATTTCTAATGAGGATATATTCAGTCCATCAAAACACAAAGTAAATTTCCACTTTTGGAGAGTCGCGGTCGTTTCGTCTTTGTCTACGGAAGATCACTTTACACTGGCTGGCTGGCAATGACCATTTCGCTCTTTTCTTCCATCTGTTTCTTTTTCGGAGATGCTCATTTGTGCGCAGCGGATCGACTAATTACCCCGAAGAAGGAAATTGTGAGTTCCATTCCAAACAATTTATCATTTCCTCGCCCTACCATTAATTAATTCCAATTTTTCTTCTTTATAATTCATTTGAATTATTCAAAGGGTTCAACAACGACATCTTCCAAAGCAAATAAGCAACAACAACAACTGCAATATCACCAAACTCAGCAAAATGGCGGCGCGCACTTTCCTCCTCCCCTCCGGAGATTTTCAACCAAAATGGAATCCCAACAAAAATAAACATTTCCGATTATGAAAAATCTTCCCCAATTGTGCCACATCGTGCTTCGGTTCCGCCAATGTTTCCGCCTGGAAGGATGATGGTCGTGAATACAAAAACCGGGGAAATGCGCCCGGTTGAGCTTGGTAATGCATTTTATAACAGAGCTTATGTAAATAATAAAAGTCGATACGACATCGATTCGATAATAAAAATTATTTTCAATCGCAATTTAATTTAACTCTCGATTGAAGATTAATTTATTTGTTTCGTAAGAGCTTTTATTAGACCCGTCAAGAATAACAAGCTGGGGGATCAATGGAGGCTCTGTAGATCCGAAGATTCTTGAAAAGGCCCTCGGAGAAACAACGACAAGTTCACCGGAAGGAGAGGTTTCCAGAGTTTCTCCTCAACGAGAAGCGCCTCCTCCCCCGACGCCAATGGTGAAAAGCCAGAAGAAGGAGAAAGAGAAGTCTCCAAAAATGGAGAAATTGGAAAAGAAAATCAGCAGAATAAGTAAGTCTGACAGATCAATTAAAAGCCTAGTGGATATCTGCCGAGTGCAATTGTGTATGTGTTTTAAATAATTGACAAGGTATGAAGCTAAAGCCAAAGGGAACTGCCGCGCCCATTACAGTAACCGCATTGTCCGCTAATTCGCCCACTAATGCTGAGAAGAGCCGTAATAAGCCACAAACTATCACGAATTTATGACAAACGCCACCAGTGACATTAACAAGATCAACCCACGATCCTGCCTCAATTTTATACATTTGATCAAATTGAACAAACTCTGTATTTATTCTTTTGAAAGCCAAATAAACTTAAAAATAATCATTTCAAAGAATTTCAAGGTTTTTTTGCGAGAATTGAATCAAAATGATTATTACTTTATTGTCAGTTTTGGCAAGTAAGAACTCTAAAAAGAGGTTCGAGAAGAAGAAGCTCTTCTAGTGGAACGACTGCATGTTCCTTTGCGAAGTTGAAGAAGTGTAGGAAAATGAGGTTCAGCTGATTCTTTAGCTTCAGATTCTTTAAAAAAACTCAGAATTAAATCGAAAAGATTGGAATTACCTGTACATCGGTCCAGTGATTTTGATAAATATGACAAATGACAGTCCATAAATGAAAGATGATCACTTGAACTTGGTCAATGAAATCATCTGGAAAGTCCAACCCTAAATGAGAATGGAGTCTGCCAAAGAAGTTTTCTTTCGTTACCAAATTTAGTCGGGAAGAGCGTCGTGTCACTAAGCTTATCCTGACAATAACTGAAAACCATGGCACAATGCTGCGGCGCAGAATACTTAATCGCTTTCCCTCGGTCGTCGGTCTTAGTTTTTGGCTTATAAAATCGCACTTTGTTACTAAAAATTGTTTTTTATCAAGCCTTTCCCAGGTAAAACGTCGCTTTTCTGGGCCATTCATGTTTCTACAGTGGGTGCAAACTTCGGAAATCGCATCGTAAAGCTGGTTAATATTGTGGAATAGTCCTAAAGTATGGGTCGCAATCCATTCTCGCGGGTCAATTCCGCTTGGTATCCGGACCATTTTCTCAAAGTCGATTTCATCTCTTTCAAACTTTTCCTTTTCACGGTTCTTCCTCATCAAAAAGGCCTTTTTTCACAGTTGAAATCAAGGAAGAGAACCCACTTTTTCCTGGAGCAAGTAGAGAGCCACTGAATTTTTCTCCTCTTTTGAGTCTCTTTCTTTTTTCTTGTCTTTCGGGCTAGGGATAAAAAGTGAAACGCAGCACACTGACAAGCATCTGTGCATAACAAGGAAATACTAAGCGGGCGAGGGAGAATTTCGTTCTATAGAACGCGGAATATTCATAGACAAAAGATGTGTTTTGACGATCTCGTCTAAGTTGTCCTAGGAGGACGTGGCTAAAGTTCAAATATCAATTTATAAAAGCATACCGAAGAATTTTCTTGAACATCTCTCTTTTCGAATTTTCTTCTTTCCCTTGAGTTTGTTTATCTTTCTCAATTTCAATAAAATCAACTCAAATCATCATCTTTTCAAGTCGTTAAACTCGATCATTCAAATGAAACAAAAAAGTCCTTCCTTTTCAAATCAGGCGTCTTTTCAAAATAGTAATCTTGTTTTCTAATAACATCCATCAGGATTTGAGTCTTTATTGAATTCGTATTTATACAGAAGAATGTACAGAAGTGCTGATATTAAAAAAAAACTTTCGCTTTTCGAAATATCTTATAATGTATCAATGTTGGCTAGGGCTTCTCGTTCGCCTGGACTTGCATCTTTGTATCTCTGGACGAAATTATTGTTAAACTTTCAAGACTGTTCACTTGCCTGATAAAATCCAAGATCACATGAGCCGTAGCCATGCTCCATCGCCTCCATGATTCCATCGATCAGTTCAACTCTTGTATCATAAGTTGGAACCTCCTCAACAGTTGCCTAGAACAGTTAAAAACGTCATTATGCCAAAGTTATCTCACTCTTTTGGATCTAGGAGCTTTCTTTGACATCTTGATATCGTAGCATTCTTTGACATTATCGTTACAAAATGCGTAGAGACTCTTAAAAAAGTTGACTTCTCAAAACTTCAGAAAAGCGGAAACGGCAACTTAAAATTTTCAAGCATCGGTACCTTCAATTTTGCGACGTCTGCTTCCATTTTCGTCACTCCTCCTGGCCGCTCTTGAACTCGATCCCAGAATGTTGAGTTTGACTGATATTTAGGATTTTGAAATTGTCAAGAAAATTTTTCAAAAAACTCGAGGACGAGAAAACCCTCCTTTTGGTAAATAAACTCATCAAGTCTGTTGAAATCTTTGAACTTCGCCACTTCAGATTCGGTAAACGTCGGCTTCTCATAGGCGCCTACGGTCCTTGAGTCGATATACAAGTCGATCCAGCTCATGCAGAGCAAGTCCTGAGTAAGGAGGATTACGTAAGTTCTCGGTCTGTGGAGCAAAGAACCGCTTTTGATCGGACCAAAAGGTCGCGCGGGAAGAATGGAACCGTCACCGAAAAAGGCGCATTAGAGTTACAGTTGTTTTCACACAAAAATGCCGATTTCTTACCTTCATCAGGATCAGGCTCTCCCAGTAGTACTCGGTGATCATGATCAAATCGAATCGTCGATCTGTCAGTTCCCAAGCGTTTTCAATTTCTTCATCCGATTCTAGCATCGTGTCAAAGCCCAACTCATACCCCTGAAAGTTTTTGGCTCTGAAATGCCAGGGCATGTTTGGATCGTAGTTATCGCCAACAGTTGCGATGAAATCATTCGCTGTCTTTCCAATTTCATTATTTAAAATTTGCATGTATGGTGCGCCCCAGCAAATGAGACTTTCGCCTTTAGCGCGGTTTTCCATGTTTTCAGTGTTGGCAAATCGTTTGTAAAAGAATTCAAATGCGGAGACAAAGTGGCTTAGAGGAGATCGCATCGAGGTCATGTAGACTGTATCGTCGTAGAGGACTTTCTGGAGATTTTGTTCGTCGAATCTAAGATGGTGTAAGATCACGTCAAACTTACCGTCGTCGTCGGGCAGGCCTCGGACAAGCGTGTCGTTGAAAGAAGCTGGATAGCCTCCGAGAAATGCTGGAACGGGTGTTTTCGCCATCTTCATCCTGTTCTTCTTCGACCAATCCTTCATTATTGCCGAAAGTGTCGAGCTAGCTGACTTGTGCTTTTTATGAAAGAACACATGAGTCTTTGGTGCGCAAGATTGCCTCTCATCGAGCTAGAAGGTAACCTTTGAAACAAATTCAATAAGATACAAAGCCCTTACCAATTCTCTGACGTCCGCTGGAGGCTGGATGCTAAAATGTCAACGTTTTATTAAATTTCTGTACTCAAATGCAAAATTTCTCATCGGACAAGTAATCGGCTTTTTCGCCAATTTTAGGGCAAATTCTTTTGATCAAAAAATAGTAGGTAAATAGTTAAATCGGATTCCTCAAGTACTTAAAACTAAATAAGCCTTTAGTCATCGTATCTTAGAAAGTGAAAACACATAGAAACGGAAATTTCAAGATTTCAGTCTGTATTATGATAAGACTCTTATCTGTAGAATACCAAGTATTTAAAAGTAGGAGACTTAAAAATCAAAATATTCCGTTTTAATCTCAAAATGACTAAAAAATTGTTAAGAAGAGAGAAGAAGTAAATTAAGAATTTGGCAATACAACTTATTCCATCAGAAGAAAGGAAGTAAAATGCTGTTATTTTTTTTTTGGAAATTAATCTTACCTTATCGCAGAGACTGTAGTGCTGAAAAGTAAACTAGCAAGCTTCATCAGAGTAAAGTAATCTCTTGAAAAGTAATAACGTAAGTATCGGTATTCGATCTCGGTGTGCTCTGGGTGAGAGAAGCTTCCTTTGCTGCGGTTAACTGCGCTTTGAACAGCGCCACCCTGGTGCCAGGAAGCCAAAACTCCACCAGAATTCTGGAGCTCCTAAAAATGTCAGGTATTGTGTTGGTCACTTGGGCGCCTCTAAATTTAAGCTGCTAATCAAAATTATTAGGTCGATCTCATTTTTTCATGTGTTTTAAGTAATAACGAATAAGAAATCAATATTTTCGCCGTTATTTTCGTTGAGATAATCATAATCCTTTGTAAAAATTAATGAACATATTCACGAGGCTCTTTACTAACCTTAAGTTCAGTATCCTTAAATTACTTCAAAAATGAGGTCAGATGGATATATTCCAGACATGCCGACTACACGCTTTTAAGGACCCCCGTCAAGATTTGAAAATTCCGAATTTTTAAATTTTGACCTCAGATTCGATTCCTCGTGCCGAAAAACTATTTTTCGCTTCATTTTTTGTCGCCCTATCTCCACTCTAACACCCTTAAAACTTGAGTTAAAGTTTTGATATTTGTAATGGTGGAGCGCTGAGAGCGTACTAGGCGCGAGTAACATTTTCACGGAAAATGTGAAAATCACGTATTTTTTGGTAGTTTTACATTGGGGAAGCATGTTTAAATTTGTAAATAACATAAATTATTATTTTTTATGGAGTGTTTATAAAAATTTTGTTGTTTTCATCAATTTTACGTTAAAAATCAAAAATCATTTTTCAAGTGAAACTTTTAATAAATTTCTAAAATAACATAGTGGTGCCCTCAAGGTTGACTTAAGCTTTATTTTTCATTTTAAAAATTATTTGTAACTTAAGGGTATCACAGAAAAATCAATGTTTGAAATTTTAACCTATCCTAACGACACCCTTAAGAAGTGGACGAGCACTCTTGTACTCCGGGTGCCCTAGAGCAACTATCGGGCTATACTGTGAGACTAAAATTTTTCTAAAATCTTAAGGGGATCACTTCGAAATCAATGTTCAAAAAAGTTGTTTTCGGATGACGGAGGGGTCCTTAATGATAGTTGAATTATAAGTTGTATTCAAGATTAAAATGCTTGTAAATTGGAATCAATCCTTGAACGTGAACATTGGTATCTGTACATTATGGAATATGCGCAGGGGATCTGAAAAATTTGCGACCGTTTGACCCACTTTTTTTAAATATCCGGTATATCCGTATTTTGAACATAAGAGGACGAGAAATTTGCCCTTCAAATTTGGTACCGAGATTCGTTAATAACTAATCAATGGAACGTCCAAAATACTCTTCTAGTGGTCATGACAAGGTACTTTTCGGTTGCCTGCTATTTGGCCTCCCCCTTTTTGGAGCAGAAGAAAGGGCAATTATCTGCTGGTATTTACGCCGGACCGCGAAATCAAGTCTGTTCTGGCATCAGCCACCGTAATAGGATTCCTCTGGCTTCTTCTGAAAACAGTGAAAGCTAAGATCAACTCTAAAGCGAGGCGAAAATGACAAACTTGAGGGGAAGAAGCTAACGTTTGCTCTTGAAAATTCCAAGTAGCGAAAGTGGAGATCTGATTAGACCCCTCTTGAAAATATCTGATTTTCTTAAAAGCATATTGAAAATATCCAAAAGTAAAATTGGACTTTTGGGGTCTTTTGGACCCCATGAACGTTATTGACCCCAGTTTGTGTGCATCAGATTATTTAAACAAAGAAAGCTCAAAGTTCATTCACAAAAGCATCAACTAGATAAATTTCTGCTTGAAAATCGAGCAAACAGAATATGGGCGTAAATAAAGAATATTTGCGTAAATCGTAAACTTTCGAATTGGCGACCGAATTTCAACGTCGAAGGAGTTCCAGAAGATTTTTTTAAAAGAGAAACACGATTAATTAAAATGCGGTCAAGAATCTCTAAATGGTACTAAAAGTTTTTGCTCACCCATTTACCCATTCGAAGCTTCACTCGGGCAACGTCGAGCTATATCAAGGGAAATCCGTATCAAACTGTTGAATGGACTATCAACGATCTCTTGGTAAGAGCCTGCGAAGAAAATGACCACAAACTCATGGCAGCCTTTCAAATGTTCCAAACCGAGTTCACATTTGGCGAAATGAGCGAGAAAGCGGATCAATTCGGCTCCGCTCTTCTTGCGATGGGTCTTCAGGAACGGGCTAAACAAGAAAATGATTTGCGCTGATCCTTCTTCTGCGCATAATTTGTCAGTTGAGCCCCTTTCGAGCCCGGAGACGCTGTGGCGGTTTGGACAACGGTTTGACAGCGATTTTGACTTTGCCCTCTTTGAAGCGCTAGAATTTTAAGTTTTGAATAAATCGCCCAAAGGGACCTAATCAGCCAGAGTGGCTGGTGATGAAGTGGGCTTGTGCCAGGGCCGGGATGAAGATGGTCAACATTAACCCAATGTACACTGCGAGAGAGCTTGAATATGCTCTGAATAAAGTCGATGCTCGAATGCTCGTGTGTCCAAGGGGCATCGGTCCGCTAGACTACGAGCAAGTCCTGAAAGACATGATTCCAGACCTGGAGTCTAAAAATAAGGAAAGTGATTCGCTGAACGTGTTGTCCCGTTGTTTAGGTTAAAGTGAAACTAAAAGGTTAGCTGCTTAGTTTCAACTCGAAACGAAGTGAATCCTTGACGAGTTTAACCTTAACGCTTCCAACGTTCCTCTGCTGGATAAGATTGTTTTCTACTTTAACAATGACGGACCAGTACCGTTTGCAATCGAATGGGACGATTTCGGCGAGTCATCAGGTTCTCAAGAAAAGTGACGAGTGATTTTTATCGTTAATTAGACTCATCAACGCTGAGGAAGCTCAAGGAAGTCAAAGTCGACCCGTACTCAACGGCGAATATTCAATTTACATCCGGGACGACAGGTCTGAACAGTACTAATGATTATTTATTAATATTTTTGAGGAATGCCAAAAGCAGCTGCTTTATCTCATTTCAACCTCGGGATGGTTCATAAGCGCAAAATATTGCTAGTTTTATTTTCATAATTGCTAACGAATGAAAATTCAAATAACCTTGAGCTTTACGAATGAACCATTTCAAGTGAACAATTGCATCTCAGGCTGTGAATACGGCAGAGATAACATAACGAGTGAATCCTCATTCCTGAATGTTCTGCCACTCTATCACGTGTTCTCCTTCGTAGCTGGAAGCTTAGTTGGAACTCATATGAAGATTCCAAGCTACTACCCAGCTCCCGGCTTCAGCTCTGCAGCCAGTATTCTTACCGCAGAGGACCGAAAGCCATCGCACCTTCTTGGGTATATTTTCTAAATAAATCGAAGGGATGCAAATTTGGTTCAGCACCCCAACAATGTTTGTGGATATGATCAACGACCCTCTTCTAAAGGAACACGACATCTCATCACTCCAGTTCGCCATTGTCGGCGGCGCCCCCGTCACTCCAAGCCTCGTGAGACGCGCAGAATCAGAACTCGGCATTCAAATGGCTGTTGGCTACGGAATGACGGAGAACAGCTGTGGAACTTTTCTAACCCCTCCGGATGCCACTGAAGACATTGTTTGCAACACTGTCGGTAAACCTTATCCAGGCGTCGAAGCAAAAATCATCGATGAAAATGAAAACACGCTCTCAAGAAATGAAGTTGGAGAGCTAGTCACGAAAGGATACATGGTCTTTCAAGGTACTATTGAATCAATAATGTGAGTCAGGTCACATGATCTAGATTGCTCTTTACGGCAATAGGCAGCGTGTATTAGCGCGAAATTTAGTATTTGTAAATCGAATCGGCTGACCATGGAATATGACATAAACTTGTTCCCAGTACGATGATATTTTAGAGAAGAACTTGACCTTTACAGCTTGGGGTCTCATTCGACATTTTCTCTTTAGGGTACGTCAAGGATGAGGCAAAGACCGAAGAATCGTTTACCAAAGATCGATTCTGGAAAACTGGAGACTTAGCACTTGTAAGAGACGGGCTTATTTGAACCTCGTAATACCAATTTGGCTAATCAAAAGAACACTAGAATAAGCCTTTGTCAGGGATGATGGCACGCTTAAAATCATGGGAAGGTCAAAAGATATGATTATCCGCGGTGGCGAGAATATTCAACCGACTGAGATCGAGAACTTCTTGACGACTCATCCGAAGGTAAACATGCAAGACGACATTAATTTCTAGCGTTACTCCCAGGTCAAAGATGCTTACGTAATTGGGGTCCCATCTGCTCGACTTGGCGAAGAAGTCTGTGCATACATTCAACTGATTGACGGCGAAACTATCACTGACGAAGAAATCAAGACTTTTGCCTTGACCGGACTGGCAAAATACAAAGTCCCAAAGTACATCAAGGCTGCAAACGAATTCCCAATGACGGTCACTGGCAAAGTGAAGAAATTCGAGCTTAGAAATCTGGCGATGAAAGACTTTCCCGAACTCGAAAATGAACTGAAATATACTATTTTATTCGCAGACAACAGGACATGCGTTGAGTGCAGATTCGTAGAGAACTGGTCGGTAAATGTAGAAGCTGTTTGTAAACAGAACTTCAGTCGATGTCACCCGATTGCCATCCCAAATTAATTTCTCAACGTTGAACGGGCTTTAAAATTATTATGACGTGGATATTATCCTCTTTTTCTCACGTGTTAACGCCGCTAACGTTCAATATCTCGCCCGAACCGACCATTATCGATGAGTGTCCTCCAGACGGCTTAAAACCATGAACTTAGTTTTAAGATCTAAACTTGCTGATCTTACCTGTTTCAAATTTCCTATAAGCGTCCACGAATTATTCCTCAGCAAGTAAATCTCCTTTGAGTATTTAACTTGATCGACAAGAACATCTTGCCAACCACCAATCGTTAGAATTCCGTCTTCGAGACTCACGCACGAATGTGCAGATAAATCCCTAGAAAATATTCCTTTGTAAATTATTTGTTCGAAACTTTACTTTGGATGATTGGCCAATGTAACCCAGGAATTCGCTCTCAATTGCTCGATCTTTTTGCGATCAAAAGTAGAGTATCCATAACCTGCAACGGCAACAGGCTCTCCGACAATCTGCCCCATGCAAGCAGTTCGATGCGGGTATCGTGAATTCGGAACGGTTAGAGAACTGACTCCACTACCCACGTCGAATGTTTCGCACATGTTATTATTGGTATCATCGGAAAAACAAAGTAAAACTAAAATTAATCTCCGCGCTCTTTTTGTTTGAATACCTTTTGAGCTGTTTTTTGGATCGAATGCGACTAAGGAACCAGTTTCTGTCTGGAAGTTGCGCTGAAGTCGGTTCGGTAGCTCACTGAAACTACATCCTTCTAACTTAGCGATCTTTCTCACGTCAGATTTTCCTCCGAACACATAAGATTCTCCACCAACAACTGCCAGTGCAGCGAAATCCATGTAGTAGTGACCGTTGGTTCCTCTTGGCGGAGTCTCGATGCATCGGCTCTAAACCCTTCCAAGTCCATGATGAATGAGGTGCGAGGGTATCCAAAAGTGTCCCCGATAACCTGAATATGAGCAGGCCCCGCGTCAATGCTTGTAGTTGTTGATGCTGTAGGCTTGATCATGGATTTTACCAAAGTACTTTTTACAAAAAAAAAAAGTTAAATAGATCCGTTCCGTTGAATTTTCGCAGAGATAGTAGTCACATCCACTGCAACCATTTGGACAATTAACATTACAAGGACAGTCCATCAAACATAAATTATAATCATTCGAGCACTGCGCTTCACAATTAGGATCACCGCAATCATTGCGGCAGGAGACATAGACGACTCTACATTCAGCGCTGCAAATTTCTTCAATATCCAGATCTCTAATTTTTGACACTCTTTATTTTTTTGCATTAAAAATCAAACTTACGGGCAGGAGAACTGATTGATCCCCTTTCCGAGGCACAATCCTGCAGTAAGAGTAGACAAAAGCTTCATTTTTGAATAAGAGTTGACTTTATTCTGGAGAAAATCGTGCGAGTAAGCGGCAAACAAGGAAAGAACAAATGTTAGCGTCATATTTTTTATGTCGATTACAGATCTCAAGTTTTTTATTCGTGGTAAATGTTTTTGTAGAACTTTAAAGAAGGGAACTGGATAGAACTACCCAGAAAGCATGCCATATGAACGAGAGAAAGTCAATTTCAGCTCAACAATTTTTCATCATTCTGCATTTGTAGTGGCTTCTTCGAAAGTGGTTGCGAATCTGTTTTGTTGTTCTTTCTTGGAAGGACTGTCGTACTTGACCACGAAGTCTGTTTCTTGAAATTTGAGTGTTGAACAGTCTGTTCGTAAAGAGCGAAATGCTGCAAGATGCCAGCTGGACAAGTGCGAAGAAACTGATGATATTCATTTTCTTTACTTAGATTTTTTTAACTTTTAAATATACCGGTTCGCATTTATAGACAATTTGAAGCTCTCTACCGCCGTTGTAATATGTGCCAGACTTTATTTTTCCGGGTAAAATCGAGGTCACAGGTTTCTACCTCGAGTCTGAAATGTGGCTTTAATTAGTTTCGCCGATTCATCCGAGTTATTTAAAACGATCATCGGTTAAATGATGACCCGATCATGAGTGTGTTCTTTTCCGACCCAAACTATTTTTGGAATAAACTTTAGACTTTCTTTACGAAAGCTTCTCTCTAGGTAACTTTCATTTGAACTTGATATTGTAATAAATTGACCAACAATTCCGGTTAACTAGCAGACGACACTAACTATAGTCAATAAAGTTAACAATAAAGTTATCACAATTGTCGAATAGACAGACTGTGATTTTGACAAAGTGAAAATCTTCCGGGGTAAAAAAATTTGAAAAAAGCCCCAACCGGGAGTCTGGTTCGATCCTCAAAGCTTGAGAGCTTTTGTTTGACGATTACATTCCAGCTCACTTTGGGATCTGAGTGAGTGTCGAATGAGTGCTGCGCAGACAGGCATTTAGTTTGCTGGCTCAGCGCCCATTTGCCTCTGGGAGCGAGCGCCGCCCACGGAAGCGCGCATTTTTTGAAATCGACCCCAGCGCGCAATCCTTAAAACTCGCATCATATAATATCAGTCATTTTTCTGGGAGTTTTCCTTTATTGGGGGATTGAAAGAAGCATAAGAACATGGATACTTAGAGCGTTTTTACAGTCGAGCAAGAAGAAGAGGAGGCAATCAAAAGGAAGAATTGGAACTGGAACTGGGAGGTAATGCTTTTGCACAGAAAATGATAAGGGTAGCGTCGTTTTATCTTATAAAACCTTTTTCTGAATTACACATCCACATTCTTCTACAACAGGAACGAGTTGTGCTGGTTGAGTCTCTCCTAAGATTAGTTTTATTCCTCAAGCGTAAATAATCATATAAGTATAGTAGTATCAACTGCTGTCTAAGAGCCAATGCTCAAATTATTTTGTTTAAGAAGGTCTTTGAGTATTACAATTAGAGATAATTATTTGAGATATTCCTTAGTCACTAAGGCTTAGTGTCTTCCTTGTAGCAAAAATATACCTGGAGATGTGATAACGCCAACAACTTTCGTTGGCTGACAGGAGCAATCGCATAATTCTTCCTTTATCCGGGTTTAAAGTGAGTGGATAAAATTTAAGTTTCGTAAAAAAGCTAATCCTTTCAAACTCATTAACTTATCGACAGCTATCAGCGTCCTGTTGCTCGCGCATTTGCCAAGATCAATATGTCTAAAATTTGCATTTTCGATTGTTGCCCAAATTGATCATTGTCGAACTTACACATGGTAGCGGGGCTGGACGTTCTTCTCTGGCTGTGATTCGCAAGAGCACTTTTCGGAAATGTTGTACGTAGCTCCATCTTGGTTGAAAAGCTTCTCAAAATTTTGCATTTCTTTCACTGAGTTCATTCGGGGGACACTGTCTTTGAGACAGAGGACCATGGTCAACCTCAGAACGCAAGAATAAAAAGATAAGCCCGCTTATGATAAGGCGTCGTCTTCACTCTTATCGCCATGTTCTCTTTTGACATTAATTTAGGCTTATGTTTTTGAACTGAAAAATAGTACATTAAAAGGGATAAGAAGTTCTTATTTAAAACTTAAGTAAAAAGAAAAACTCGTTCCTTTGTATGTCAAATCTCTATGGAGTTCTTTGGTTTTTTCTGCTTCAAATTTCTCTTCCTTCAAAAGATATGCCATCATCCCAAGAATGCCTAAAGCCAATATCTCTATCAAATTTATCCGGTGATCCTTACCAAGAGCAAGGACGCATAGAAAGATCAGTTTCTCTAAGGTGTCCATTCTTTCACTTTCTTTCCACCGACTGAGTGTCGATTTCACAGCTAACGATCGAAATTCTTGAGCACTGGCATTGCTCTCCACGTCCATTCTTCTGTATTCCATCTCTTTTAGTTGAAAACTATAAACGAAAAATATCTTGGTTCATGCTAAGCCGCTGGCATTTTTGCCACTATCTTGAGCGCGATAACTTCTGGCTAGCAGACAGTAGCCTTTTAGATCAAGGATCCGCTGACGGGCGGTAAAGTGAATTTATTTATCCTCGGTGAGTCGGCTTTCTCTATTGCCCGATATAAATAAGTGTTTTATAAGTACCTTGGATTGCTCAAAAATGATCTCTTTATAAATTTCTCTGAGCAGTGGTGAAATGTGTAGTCACATGAATTAGTTGGTCTTGGGACTCAACGTAGTCAAAACTGATTAGTCTAAAGTTCAATCGCAAAGTTCGTTCCTTGTGTTTGTTACCACTGATAACACGGAAACATGCTCGCATCTCTTGTTTAGACTTCGTTTTCATACCTTTTGAGGTAAGAGACGTGACTTCGCAGCGAAAATTTAGCCCTAGTAAAAATAGACTTTTCGAACTTCGGGACTCGTGATTAGCAGGCTTACAACACTTGGTGGACTTTTATCTTTAAAAACATCCCCTTTAGGGCAAACTTATAAACCTTCTACCAGATGAGCTTACCCACAACACTTTAGATAGAAAATGACGACACCCATCCGCAGGCGCCTTCAACTGTCTAATTTGTCCGACTCGTCGATGGATACCTCCTCGTCCTCAGGTAAAACACCCTTCAGCTCTTCTTTCTTCCTTTGTTCCCATGCCGCTGCGCGCGCACGGGGGTATTCAAAAGCGGAGCAAATATTCTGACTAGTCAGAGGTCGTTGCCAAGCCGCGCGCGATGTTTAAATAGAGTTATTACGCGCGAGCGCTATAATCTTCGTTAAAAACAAAGAGAATCATCTTTAACCGCAAAATTAACCCTCCGGGTAATATTCAATTCTGGAGAAAATAAATAATTTAGTAACTGACTTGGATTTATCAGCGAACCATGCTCTAAACGATCAGCCCATTACCGCCCGTCTCACCAGTTCGCCGAGCTCGTCAAAATTATCGGAAGCAATTGAAGTGCCACGACTAGGCGCCGATATTGGTGAGTGGAATAAATAACGAATAGTATTACTACGTACGTTTCAGCTAAGCCTACAGCTTTTTCTTATTGCTCATGTTAAATCATGGTCTAATAAACGATCACTAATGCAATTTTTCTATCAGGGCCAGAAACTCTGAGTCCAATTCGTCTTCACAGATCCCAGCCGCTAATGACAGACTTCTTCATCCCTTGTCGAAAACCAAAGCGTCCTTTGAAGTCGTCACCCGCCTCAAAATCCAATTCTCCCGACCACGATCCGTATTCAATCACCCAGCCACGTAAACGACTAAAGTCCACGCCAGAGCTAAAATCACGCTCCGTCAGCCTTCGTCCCTCTAGCTCGTCGCCAAAACAGGTTTTTATTTGATCATAATGGTTGAATTAATAGTGTTTTATTGATCCGCTGAATATACAAAAATGAAGGAAAGTCTCAGCAGTAAATTATTTTCAAAACATCAATTTTTTTATTTATTGCTTTCGCAAATCCGCAAAGCTCAAACATTAACTTGATTACGTTTGATCAAACTCTGCTTAGGTGCTCTCTCCGCCGATATCAAGTCGCCTTTCAAGCGGATCCAGGCAGCCATGGAAGGATTTATCCTTATCCGATATTGAGAACAAAGAAAATAACGGACTGAAATCCGACTCGCTCGTTTCTATCCCAGAAGATAGCGACCCCTTCAACAGTTTGTCAAGCGGAGATATCATCCGAAAGCCGAAGAAACGGCTCTCAGACTCGTTCGTCGTCTCGCCAGTGAGTTCAAAACGATTTGGAAGGTCGATGAGTCTCAATTCTCCACGGACAAGGCCGTTGGTCAGATCGAACTCGGTTCGGGATCATAACTTGCCATCGGACAAGGAGTTTTTCAGCTCTGAATATTTCGGTAAACAATAATTTCACTCACATATTTAATTTAAAATATTACAAGACTTCAAAGAACCGTTGGCATTGCCCACCGAAGGCACGTCCAAGCACCAGGATTTGAACTACATCTCCGGGCAAACAATGTCGGAACTATTGACCGGAAGCCGCATCACAGGAGGATCCTTCGTGGTTGTGGACGCACGCTACCCGTACGAATTCGAGGGCGGCAAGATCAAGGGCGCGCTCAATCTGTTCAAAGAGGACATGGTCATAGAGCATTTTTACCCCGACGGCAAGCTCATGGAGGACAAGCCTAGCATCGTCATTTTTCATTGGTAAGCGAAAATCTAAGTTCATCGACAAACACACAAAATTATATTCAAAAAATTATCAAACATTATTTCAGCGAGTTCAGCTCAGAACGAGGTCCGAAGATGCTCCGAACTCTGCGAAATTTTGACCGCCTTCAAAATGAATATCCGAAGCTCGACTTTTCTCAGCTCTATCTGCTAAAGAGCGGGTACAAGGTAACGTCTTCTAGCCATTATTCAATTTTAAAGTGGCTTCTTGAGTTATTATCCGATCATCAGATCGTGAATAATTGAGAAGATTTAGCTCCGTCTCACCGGCGGAGACGTTCTATTTTCGGGAGATCGAGTATGAACGCCGCATTTTCTGACAAACACCTCTGACATAGAATCCTTGACGGATTTACGTCAATTTCAGTCCCATTGTGACACCATTTCTCCTTTCTTGCCTTACCGTATATTTCAGGCGTTCTTCGAAAATCATCCTGAGCATACGTGTGGAACTTACTGCCCGATGATGCACAAGGATAAAGAAGAAGAGTACAAGCTCTACCGGAAGAAAACGAAGCAGTTCTCTATGCCTCCAAAAATCTCCTAAGTCAGCCTTTCATTATTTTTTTATTGCAAACTAATAGCAGCAGAAAGTTATTTAATTAATTATCTCAGTATTTGTCTTTAAAGATATTCCCGTAGCTAATTATCCAACTTGGTTGTGGTTCCTTGTTGATTTCAATTTGACTTCAACGGCACTAAAATGTTTTCAATGTTCACCTATTATTATCTCTATTTTCTAGTCTCTCAGAAAGTTCATGATTTTCTACCTCTCTTCTACCTGTAATTAACCGCATGGGACAGAAGGTGTATTCCACTGCACTTAAGGACTTTTCAGCTAAATAACTTCCGAACGAATAAACCAAATAAGATAAAAATTAAAATGGTTGTTCCTTCATATAATTGGAGCAGGTCTGATAAGTTTCAAGGAATTATCGGTTACCAACCGCCCTCTGCACCGGATTATATGCGGCCTAATTGCCCTCCCGCTGAGTGTTTGCACATTGAAACCGAACCAATATCAAGAATTTTGTCTACTAAAAGGGGTTTTATATGTTTTCGATATCGCTGATTTAATATATAAAATATTGAATTTACTTTTTCGAAAAATCTAAATAAGAGATAATTTTTGAAATCCCCCTGAGATAAATGGCATTTTTTCTGCAATAAGGAAAAGCGCTATGCAAATTTTGATAGCGGATTTGAAATCTGCACCCCAAAATTAGTATTGGGTATAATTTTCAAGTTTATCCGACCAGTAGTTTTCTTAAGTGCAGTGGAATACACCTTCTGTCCGAGCGCCTCTATCCCCGATCTGTCCCATGCGGTTAACTGTATTAATAAAATTGATGAATTAGAATTTGGAAGCAATCGGAGTTAGTATTACGTCTTAGTATGTTAAAAGTGTTTGCAAGCAATATTTCGTTTCATCCCAGATTTTCCAATGAATCTAATCCGAATAGTTCCCGGTTCGTTCTGACAATTCCAGCAAAATCGGAAGGAATAAGTGCCCATTAGCCGCTTGAAAAATCGATCCCTCGTGTTGCTCGTCCGCTGTCCCCTCGCTGGCACAGCGCCAACGACTTTCCGCGCACTCTTTGCGCCCTAAGTCGCTCTCTGATTGGCTACGCACGCACTGTCGCCCGCAAGGTCGCTGGCGCACTGTTTGAAAATTAAAATTTTGTGGAAAGTGTCCGCGGCGCCACAAACTCCAATCAACAATCGAAAAAACTAGAGACTGAGAGATGGGACTATCTATTACTAAGAGTAAGTAAGTCAGAGTAATAGAATCCAGACGCCTAAAATTTTGGAGTCAGTCGATTGAATTTTGCTTATAAAGAGGTACGAGTATCATACGCTAATGAAGATGTCAAAACGATGAGTTTGCATGGGATTAAAAAACAACTCTCAAACTCGAAATGGCGGTAAGACAGACGCAAGAGCTGGGAGATAACCTTTTTCAAATCGTCAATTCAATCAAGCAATTATTAAATGATTTTACAACCACTTTATTCTATGATATTGGTTCTATGAAAACTTCAGAGTAGAGAGACTTGGGATAACATTGATTGTTTTTGAGCTAGAGATTGAAAATTTGGGAAGAGTAGAATGATTATGAAGCACTGGTAACCTTATGTATTTTCAACAAGTTGAAGCCTTAGTTACCCTCGTGGTTTATTCGTAAATGTATTCATTTCTATACACAGAGATTTTGATAATTCAAGACCTTCTTCTAGTAAGAGTTGAAAGAGAAAACCCCAACCCTTTCGATAGATCATAAAATGCCAGTACCCAAGGGGCCATAAAAACCACCATGTGTACCCAATAAACTCGTAAACCCCCATTCCGCAAACATCAAAACGAATTTTGGCGCGCTCATCTAACGAGGAAGAAGGGTTGAATTTTACAAAAAAAAAACCTCTCACGCGATATGAGCGAGTGAAGATGGTATTTTCAAAATAATGGGTTCCGAGGTTTTCGAGCGATAAGGGGAGCACTCTTTTGTTTTGGGTGAATTCGTGTGATGCGCACAAATCAAAGTTCATCTATTCCAGGTCTTCCGCTTATAGAAGCTTTGAAATTGGGATTCTAAGCCTGATTTTGAGTACGGGTATTATTCCAAAGGATGGAAAATGTTTTCGAGTCCTCTGAAATCTGTGTCAATTGTTTCACACTGGGAGATTTCTCCCCGTGAGCGTGAAATTTCCCGTCACGCTCAGGCGCATACGGAACGGGTTTACGGTCGCCCGTCGGCTGACCCGGATCGCGCGGCCCCTTCATCCCCCGCCTCTCGCGTGTGAAATTTATGGTCTCCAACCGTGAAGGTGACCCAGAAAATCAGCGCGATCGGCCGCCGGCTGACCCACTTAATCCCCCCGCCGAGGTCATGGTCTCTGAATCTGCCGATCAATCACTTCAGTATCGAAAAAACGATATAGGGGCACGGACCTAATTTTTCATTTTTATCATAATATGAAGAGAGAACCTCAGAGATTTCGACAGGTAATACCTATAATGAATACGGGAAGCCACCTAATAAGCTTACAGATATGTCACTCCTTATGATGTTCATAATCAGTGTAAAGAGACAAATGTTTATGCCATGGATGGTTAGATAATACCGTATATTTTCGAGAATATTTTGAAGTTGAAGCTTTCTAGACCAGAGTGTCTTTGTTGTGCTAATTCGATTGATTCCTCCCCTCTTGAAACCACAGCTAACCGTAGGTACATTCAGGGCTTCATGATTAGGCTTCTGGCTGATTGTACCCGCCTATTCAACCAGAGTTTGCAGAAGTTTGCCAGTATAAATGCAAGCTCGGAGCAGTGAACTTTACCATGGAACCGGGACCCTAGAATTCGGAACCGCGTGACCCTGGTTTTGTTGTAAAGTTTCCTTTACTGAGCTGACCAATCGACGCTGCGCATACTTCTGTCTTTACGGTGAAGGCGTATTTACGCTATGGAACCTTCCAGATATTCGTTTTCATATCGATAGGGGAGCGGAACTTTCAAGGAACGAAATGTAGTGCAAAAAGCGAAAACAACATTTCTTCCATGAAAGTTCGACTCCACTGTCCGAGTACTCGACAAAAAGCTTGAAGCTAACCCCTGCATAACCGCTCTACCTCATTTCGTAAGTAAACAATCTCAATTTATCTCGTGATCTTTCGCGAGCCTCAGGGCCTTCACTTGATTTATATATATTTTATCTTTCACAAGGGTTTTAATCATTTTTTCAGTACTAGGCAAATCTTTTCTCGCGTTCGAAGCGTGAAAAATGAAGCCAGAAAACAAGCTACTGACCTGAAGGCAATAAGCAGCATCATCCGTTGACGAAGACAACTTTTTGCCAGGAAAGAACGCGCCTGCGGGCACACCGCTCTGTTCAAGACGATTATCAAACTTATGCGATTCAAAAAATGTTCCACGAGAGTATCAAGTCCTCACAGGGAGACCCTAAATTTTTTGGTAAGACAATTGAACCACCGGTCATTTCGACACTCTTTTAGGCCCAGAAAACAGCAAATTCCCTCACGTCCCCGAAGAAAGGACCAATTCCGAAAAGTCACAAGAAAAACCAACTTCCCATCAAAATCGATCACCACAAGTCCCAGAGGATTCTAGCCTCGGCCTGTTCGATCAGTTCGGCCTGTTCCTCCCAGTTCAGACCGATCTCACAGAAACTGATCCCGACCAACTCATCAAGGTTCGCCAATTCTAACATGATGTAGCTTCTAATTTCTTTCTTAGAGTTCGCTCGGGTGAGAGCTCTGAACCATAGTCTACCTCGACCGTCCTGTTCCTGCTGTTCCTGACTCTCCGCTTCTGTCCCGAAAGTCGTTCAACCTTTTCCGGACGCCGCCGGAGCCTGTTCCGCAGGTCGGACCCTAATTCGACCGTGAAGCTCAGCCAAAAAATCTAAATTTATCAATCATATTTCAATACCCAACACACCAACATTCACATCACCGTGGTTGGTTGTGCTTTTTGTTCAAATTTGTCCTATCTTGATAATTTTAAGTTTTGTTCCTTTTACGTTTTTGCCCAAAGAAACAATTAACGTTCAATTCAACCTCATTTGGTACAGCACTCGTGAAAACTTTAAACTCCAAGCTAATCGTCCTTCAAACTCCTGAAGCGTAAAAACACCATAAAAATCAGTAAAAGTCAAATTGTAATCAAACCGATTCGGTCTGCTCCTCCTAGTCCAAGTTTCCAAACCATCGCAACCTCCCAAGCTTTTCGCCCTAAACGCCCATCATCGCATTCGTTTTATTTTCGCCAAGCCCCTCAATTTTCTCTGCCGTGCCCTGCAGCGTGTGACCTCCTTTATCCTCTCAATAGATGGCGCTGTTTTTATGCTTTCGGCCTTTGCGTATCAGCATTATTTTTTCAATTTCTTACTGAATTTAATGCCCATTTTTCTTGACAATTCGAGAGGTGGTGCATTTTTTTCTGTATTTCATTTGGATTTTTGCTGCTCTCTTTTTTGAACTTATCGTTATTTTCTGCCCGCTCAAAAATAGAAAATAACTTCAAGTTGAAAAAAGTGACAGTATGTTCTTTATCTCAAACTGAATTATCTAAGATTTCCTGCCCAAGTTTCAAAAAATGAATCTGAAAAATGATTTGCTCCTCCAACATGCCCATTTAGTAGTTTTAAATCGTGGATACTGACCCCCTTTCATTAGTAACCCTTTATTCTATGAACCTTTAACTTTTGTTCAAGCTTTATATAATCGAGCAGTTACTAATCGGTCAGAGATAAAACCTTCCCTTTCTCATCACTACGAATACTGCACAACTATACCTCCAAAAACCCACTTCTAATTGCTCTATTTCCACCGCAGTGCTCAACCCCTTTTTCACTCAAAATGAAAACAATTTTTCTACCACCGTCAAATGTTCAATCGAGTCCTGCGTGGAAATTTGGCAAGTAGAAAACAAAAAAAATAAGAAAAAAAAGGTTAGTTTAATTCCATTGTGTGGATTTTTCGCGACCTTCTCGATTTCGGCCTCCAAATTCTGCAATAGTCATCACTTTTACGCTCTGGTCTCCCAAAGAATAAATTTATAAATTCAACAAAAACACGTCTCATTTTTATTGAAATATTACAATTCACAAGCAGGAGTGATCATGAGAGATTTATGCAAAGCAGGCCCAAATATGCAAATTTTCTCTTCCTTGCTATCAGCACTCGAATAAGCCACTTTTATCCCTCAAAATGCCTGCAATAATCCACGATGCGGCTCAATTTGACGCTAGAAATGCGGATTATTCATCGCACTATTTATTGCTCCGTTCAAAAAAAGGGAGGAAGTTCTGGCCCCGAGGCAGTCGTTTGGTCAATTTCCCGAATTAATATCTGTCCGTCTGTTTTTCTTAGATTAACTTCCGCATTCCGTTATTCTCGGAGGAGGTTGAAAAATTTTCAAATTTCAATTTTGCTATTGAACTTTGCGAAGAATGCAGAAACCTGAGAGAAGCTCTTGAATTTCCACGAGTGTTTTGAGTATCAAAAACAGTAAGTTCTATTTTGCCACAAATTATTGATCGATTCGAATATTTTGATGACTTTACTGTGATTTTTAAGGAAGAAAAATGTAGAAAGCAATCAGCTAATAAAGTAAAAAGTTGAGCTAGATCAGGGGAGTCTTATTAAGCAACGCAGTAATCAATTTAAAAAGCAGGAGTTTATGGCGACTCTGGCGGTAGTAAATCCTCATGTCTCCTCTTCAAAGCTCGACAGATTGAGTGAAGAGGAGACGTATAATAATCTACTTTTTTTATGAGAATAAGATAGAAGTAGAAGAGTTCAACGATGTTTTCAAAAGTAAAGTGTGCTAAAAAATGATTTATGAAGAAATATTTTTGAACGATGGTTAACTTTTATATTTTCGTTAGATTTAAGACTAGAATTGGAAAGGTGTGAATTTAGATGAGCGATGATTTCCGCGCTCCATTCTCATCGTCGGACAGCAATTTCCGCAACTCCTTGCGCTCGTCGCCAAGCGTGACACGTGCGCGGACTAGGAGCCGTCCCAGCTCTTCAAAAGCGCCAATAAATCAAAGGAAAGGCTCCACCAAATTGTCTTTTTGGCATTTTACTTGCGTTTCCTTCCCGTTTCTTTGCCGGGTTTTGCTGAGCCTCGATCAGAAAGAGCGATTTGCAAAAAGATGATAGATCTGTTGTTATAAGAAATAAGAAAGCAGAGAGTGATGAAAAGACTATTCCAACGACCAAACGAGTCAGTAGAGCAAACCTCAGACATGCAAAGAAAGATGCATGTTGCCCAAATCCAGTTATATCGAGAAAAAGTGCTAGAAAAGAGCAAACAAAGTCCGAGGAAGCGCCGAAGCCGAAGATTCGCACTCGTTCATCCGCCCGCGTAGCTTCTGAAAGTCCTCCAAAAGAAAAGAAAATCAAAGAATTCCCTCAAGAGACAAAGACTGCCACCCTTCCAAATGAAGCTAAAAATCTCAAGCCAAGTAAGAAGAAGGAGGTCACGTTCTCTCATCAAAATTCACCGGTAAGCGAGCTTATAAATAAAAAATCACTTCTCCGGGACCTGGCTGTAGATATTCGTGCATAATTCCATTCGGATGGAACTGACGGGTTCAAATGCTTGGGCTAAATTATGCATTCATCTAAATTGATTTTTCTTTACCGAAAGTGCCTGTGGGAAACAAAGCTTTTGCAAAAATATTTTTTTCGCACGAGAGTTATCAAAAATATCCCGAGAAGAGTAGAGTGTCGTTTATTTTTTATGAAATATATGTCGGCGTAATTTATTTTCTGGTGAGCATAAGTATTGATCGACAAAATGCAAATTGCGGCTCATCTCCTGACTAACTCAATCACAGCTCAGAGAGACACCATGTTTTTCCCACACCTATTCATGCTGTATCCTTAATTAAAAGATTGGGATTTTTTATTAGTAAGAGCTGGCGCTAAGTTTATTGATGTAATAAATATGTGGATCTTTCTGATTCTTGATTAACGATTTTGAAAAGTCATTTCTTACGAGTGAGATCTTACTCAGCTTCCCTCGCGCTTTTACGAGGCTCTGTTGTTCTTCTCAAGATCGCATAGAGAATTTCGAGAGGTAAATTTAGTGTTATTATCAAACAAACCAAGGAAGACATTTTAGAAAAACTGAAAATCAAATATTGAATTTTCAAATTTCACGATATTCTAAATTAGCCCAAGGACGCGTGTATCTCAATTTCAAATAAGAGCAAATGAATTTAAAAAAGTTCGTAATTCCACATGCCCCTGATCGACCGCAAAGTCCTGCCTAACAACGAATCTCAGTATATTTTCCTCTGCAGCATTATAATGAGCGTGACATTTTCTCAGTAATCTCAGAATAGCCGAGCCTAATAAAGATGTTTGTCGATGGAAGAAATTGCGCTCTATTTGAGCAGGCGGCATCTCAGACCCGATTTTGACATTTCTGATGCTCAAAAAGCCACCAGCTAAATAGAGATATTTTGAATTCTTATTCGACTCTTCCTTTTTAAAGATAATGAATTAATTATAATAAATATCAAATTTACCCACCAAGAGAACATTTTCATATCCGGACCTGAAATTCTTGAATAATGACATCCTTTTGCAAATTTAAAGACTTATCATTATGGTCCCTTAAAACTGATATGAACTGGCTAATTTGTTTGCTTTTCTCGGTCCAGAAATGGAATTTACACAAAGTGTTTACCTTCGGCGATCCAACAACTGTGTGATAATTTTGTTTCTCCTAGTTTTTCCCAGACTCGTGATCTTCTTTTGAAGACTTTTTCTTTGATAAGAACCGTCGCCTAGTTTTACAAACGTCATGGTCGTGTGATTTTGAAATATTTTTTTTTTGTTTTCAGAACAACGAGAAATCGAGAAGAAGATCATCGAAGAGAGAGAAAATGGACATAACGAGCAGGAAAGGATAAATAATATTTAATGACCTTTAAAAGCTAATTATCTTCGATATAATTAATTTTATCCTCTGATAAGCGACGCTTCATTATTCTCAGATGCCAGCTGCTCAGATATCAACTCAGAAGAAATTTTCTCAGACGCTTCGTTTTCAGAAGGCTCTGATGATGAAGGATACAGAACGAATCCGACTAGTGCTCCGTCTAAGATACAGGAGGATTTCCAGCTCGAAGAAAAAGCTCCGATTCCTCAAGCGAGAAATTTAGGCAAATGCTCTTAAATATTTTCTTCAAGGGAAGTATTTTGATCACCCAAATTTGATGAATGTTTATTCTTCATCCCTAAACCTGGTTTCTGAGCATCTATAAAGTCGTCGCTTCAAGTACGGATCCTTCGCCTATCGACACAAAGTCAATGCTTGATAAGTGGGAGACAAAGCTATCAAAGAAACCGGAAGTCGTCACTTCTAGCACTACAAACAATGCAAGGTATTAAATCAAGTCGCTTGACAGAAAACAATCATGTTTGAAGAGAATCGTTGTCCGAGCTGCAAACGCTTGAAACGCGTCGGAAACAGATTGAAGAGCAATTTTCGAAGAAAGATAGTTCACCACCGGCGGAGAAGAAGCCTGCTATCTCGCTTGGATACTCGGGCAGCTTGAGAGATAAAAGAACTGCACTTGAACAGACGATCAATAGATCCGCCTCAGGTAAGTGTCAATATTGACCGCTTAAATAATATAATATTATTAATATTGGACATGAGAGAATGAGAAAGTCAAAGCCAAGTTTGAACTTGTACTCCTCCTTGATTGCAAATTTCAGGCCGATCAATCCGCCAAGAATCTCTTTCCGCTGAGGACCGTGAAGAAGCATTAACTCGTTCTCGAAGCGCCAGACTTATGTGGGAGAAAAAGACGCAGGTTCAGCGACGCCGTGCTGATTCAGAGTCTGACGATGAAGTCCTTTACACAGACAATACCCGTGGACAGCTAAACGAAACGAAACGTGAACGACCACCTGTCCGAAATATGACTCTTGATGAAGACGCGCTTCTTGATGAGGTGAATCTGTCCGAAAGTCAAGCGCGAGCAATTATCGAAGATTTGGATCTGACGGTTGATGATGTCAGCCAAGAAATCGAGCAAGTTGATCGTGACGAAGAATTTGAGGGAGTCGAAAAAGATGAGATGGAAGATAAATCGGAAGACATCGGAGGCCATGAGATCATCATTGACGAGTCATTGTCAGAAGATGACCCTCACGAGGTAACAAACTTTTAAGCCGAAGTGATTAATTTGTAATGAAGGATGCTAATGCATATGCTGATCAATTGGAAACACCAGACGCTCTAAAATCTTGTCATGAGTCGGTGCCTTCTGAATTCGGTTTGTCTAATCTAGCAAATCATGTTCACATTTACTTCCACTCTAGATGATTACGAAGAGGTCAAACTCAGCACTCCTCTGAACCCAGCGATGAAAGTGCCGGTTTCATTATCTGAAGACATCGTCGACAACTCCGAGTCATTAGATAAAGAGCAAGAGCACGAATTCCCAAAAGAGGGAGAAGATGGAAAAGAAACTGACCCAGAAAGTGTCTATCTCAGCGCGCAAGAAGAATCTATCAGCAAGAGTGATACTGAAACGGAAAATCTGCTTACACTCGGGGAAGAGCCGGGCTCATCAAAATCTGATGCCGAAGAGGAATTTCCAGAGAGATCGAATTCAGTTCTCGTCCCTCCCGACGATCCGGTCGCTGAGCCGAACGCTGATAATATAACCGTTTCGGAAGACGAAGATGAGTTTCCCGAACCGTGCCCAGATCCAGTCAGCAAATCTGTACATACCTCTAACTCAAGCGAAACTAAAACTAATGAAATCACTAACAAACCTCCACTGCCAGCACAAAATCAATCGGAAACTCACGAAACTAACGAGTCCAATAACAACAGGTAAAATTCTATTCAATCAAAAATTTCTTTTCTTGAAATTTATATTTCAAAGCCAATCAAAATTTCTTCTTAGCGTTTTGAGACGACAAGGGAAACTTCGCCGACCACGTGCAATGCGTGCAGTTTCCCAGCCCGTTTTCAGGAACCGCTCGCACAATAAAAATTTAATCAAAATGCACGATAACAAGAAAAAACGAGTCTAACAGACTCTAAAATGACTTATTCGAAAAACATATGAAACCTCTAGAAATGCAAAATATAATTTCGAATAAATTTAAAAAATAATCGCGTTTGCGATCAGTTTGGCTCGATTGGCAGAGCAAAGAAGTGTCTTATTTTTCATTAAAAAAATTATTTTTATGAGACAAGTTGTTCCAAAATATGCGCTTTTATGCGAGCCTTCCAAAAGCAAGGCTGATCTGGAGATGATAGAGAAACATAGAAATGCAACTGAACTTAGAAATGAGCAAATTGTCGAAGAGTAAGTTACAATATTCTTTTTCTGAATAACATCCGCTAAATAGAGCTATTACTGGCAAAAATGTCTTCGCCAACAGACTCAGTTTCTTCAATGACATCGTGAAAGCTCCAGTGGCGCGCGATAGCCCCAAAGAAATTCAACTCACTGAAGAAGAGGACTTAGGGCTATTCAAACGAAGTGGCTCTGTCAGGGACATGGCTCGAAAGTTTGGATCAAACACGTCTCTTGCTAACTCGAACAATTCGAACTCAAAAAGCTCTGCACCGCTGAGAAGAAGCGCTTCGCTGAGGATTAAGACTAGTCCTTTCAATGTTCAGAAGAAAGAAATTGAAGCAACTGATTTCAAACGTCTTCCCAGACCTGAGAAAATTCAACTGCCGAAGAAAGATGAATCAGAGAAGAAAGAAGAAAATCATGAAAAAGAACCAGAAAAGCGAGCCCAAGCCGGCATTGTAGGAAAACATCGCAAAGGCGGATTTCTTACTCCTGCACCACCAAAAGTGACAGTACCAGAAGTTGGTAATCAAAGCACTCCTTCGCCGAGAAAATCGATGAAGTTGCAACAATTAGAGGCGCGATATGGAGAGAAAATGGGGGTAAGAGTCAAAAATATTTATCGGTGCATAAAGTTGTTTCTAGTCTCCTTTGCCGAATAAAATCTATATGCCAACAAGCAAATCTTCTGAACCAGTTAGAAATGCCTCGCCAAATTTACCTCAATCACCTCAAAAATCAATGGAAGCTCCATCAACTCCAGTCCAACTCCGCTCTACCTCCAAAAAAGCACGATCTGATGATAAGGTCAGTCTACTTTCTGGTGCCACAGGCACCATCGTTTTGGCCACCTGTTACCTTACTTTTCTCTGCGCAAATTATTTAAACAATCAAATTTGAAATATATCTTGTCTTAGGAATAAACTAAGGTAACAAGTGCCCAAAACAAGAATTAAACTTCCAAGTCTTCTTTTTGAACTGGAAAGTTGTATGATGTTAGTATTGGCAAGCAAAGCATGAATAACTGCAATTTATAGGATGTTCCAAAAATGCGTCGTCAACGACCAAAAAGTGCAGTTCCAGACATTTCATTTTCACTAGATGTCAATTCTCCTGTCGCATCAAGAAGTGAGTCCATAGTTTTTAAGACCGCATGCTAACTTTTCAAAAGAATCCTTCATCGAAAAGATTGCGACGAGCTCGTCGAATCAACAAGACAAACAACTAACAGTTTCATCAACAGTTGTCCGTAATCTGCCTCAGATTGACACAGAGGAACTTGATAACATTTTACACCAATCGGTTGATCAAAAATTTGGCGTAGAAAAGAGTGCAGAGTACGGTGGTGCTGTTGATATTGACGACTTCGCCCCAGATGATCGAAAGAACAGGGCTCCACTTCTTACAGACCAGCCAAAAAGGCCGAGAAGACCGAGAAGCCAGAGTAGGCCAAGATCTATAAATCCAATGAAGACGGTAGCTCAAGGAGAGAGCAGTTATTCTGAGCAAAAAACGGATTTGGCTATGAAAATGTGTCAAGGTAAAAAGTCCTAAACTAACATTTATATCAATAACGCTAATAAAGGTGATCCAATGAAACAAATGGCAACCTGCGCAACATCAGCTCTTCAAGCGACGGAAGATGTGACAAAAGTAAGATTCTCATCCTTGATTTCAAAATTTTCTAAAGCCTTCTTTTCAGATTCGATTACGCAAAACCCAGCGTGATGGCGAAGAGAACTCTCAGTATTCAAAGAATCCTCTGCTTATTCGATTCAAAGGCCGTCGTCAAGTGGCAGTTGAGCTTATTTCGCCACGCGCAAAGCGTCTTTCCCACCACGACTCATTCGTTCTCGTCACATCTGAACGCGTTTTTACTTTTCTTCCGCAAGCGTCAAACATTATAGAGAAAAACCGCGCCCGTGATTTCGCTCAACTAGTAACAAAAACTGGGCAGTTGGGGACACACGCAAAAGTTGTTGAAGATGCGGATGATTCGCCAGATTTTTGGAAGATCCTGGGCTCCAAGTCAAAGATTCCGACGAAGATGGAGACTAGTGCTGATGAGTCCGATTTGAATCATGAAAACGCTTGTTCAAGTCATTACCGCTGCTGGCGACTTCACGAAGTCGGAAATAAATACAAACTCTCTCCAGAAGAAAAAGCATGGGGAGTGCGACCAGAGCAAAATCTTCTTCAGGAAACCGAGTTTTTCATCTTCGAGTTTGGCTCTGAAGTTTACTCTTGGATTGGCCCAAAAGTCTCATTCGCTGCAAGACGTGCTGGAGAAGAGCTTGGAAAGCAGATTTGGGAAAAATTCGAAAGAAAAAAGTGGCACATTTTTGCAAAGGTTACTGCTCATCGTGAAACAGCTTTGTTCACGGAAAAATTCTCGAATTGGCTTCGTGAAGATCAGCAAAACATTATCACTCCACAAGCTGCACTCAGAAAGAAATCTGTCAGTTCGAAGCAAAGCGCATCATCAGGAGATCTTGATTTGAAAGAAGTGGCATTCTTAGACCTCGATCAAGAGCTCCTTCCGATGAGAGTCAAATCTGGCAGATTCAACGTCTCCTCAGGGGATGGAGAGATAATTGATGATGATGGGCGCATTCTCAATGTCGCAACTATTGCCTATTCGGCAAAGACCATTCAGAACGGTGCTGTCGTGGAGAGAAATCTGAAAGAAAACTTCATTTTGAAAGAAGATGACGTATTGCTTCTTATCTGGACGTTCTCGATTTCTGGAACAGGTCGGTGGAAGGGCAGTAAGAAAGCAAAGGTAATGATGACTTGTTTTTATGATAATATAAAATTCTAAAGAATAAGACTGAAGACAAACGAGGAGCTGCAAGACAACTGACATTTATTTGGAGCGGACCGAAAGCTTCAGATCATATCCGGGGTCAATTAGCTCTTTTGGCAAATGAGCTGAAACTAGGAATGTTGCAAATGACCTTGACTACTTTTTTTTTATAACAATTCGGTGTTGTCAATACCACTACTTTATAATTAGCTGTCTTCTGGCCTCTCATTTCAACAATAATAAGGCGTCTTTGTAAATGTCTCTGGTGTACTTGAACCTGAAGTCTTTATGAAAGCTTGGAGGGGACGCGCTCGTTTTGTAAAAGAAGATTCCGATAATGAGCTAGTTAAATTGTTCCTCCTTGGTGGAGAAACAGAAACATCTATGTACCTTAAAGAGATTGATTCCATTCAGGACAGGTTCGCAATGATCATGTTGAATTTCACATCCAGAATGTGATACATGTGTATTCAAAGGAAAGAAGAAAAACCTCAAAAAAGCCCGACCTTCTACCTCGTCAAAGCTATATTATTGAGTCGTTAAGAACGGCAGAAATTCAAATTATCAACCCTCAAGCCTCGCCAGTTTGCCCATATATTCTTCAACAATATGAGCAGGATGGATATTCAATATCTGAAGAGCTCATTCACCAACTTCACAAACCTATGCATCGTGCAGCTGTGGAAGAGAGAATTGTTCAAATATGGATAGTAGCAAACGTTAATGGAAGATTTACGCCCATGAAGGAAAGATTTGTATTTACGAATTAATGAGCTAAAAGACTTAGATATACGGAATTCTTTTAGAAATCTTGAAAAAGGCGGAGTGCCGTCATTTGAATAGTCACTACCGGTTCGAGCAACTTCAACTCAAGCCAATTTCGATTCTTTTATCGACAAAAGCGCTCTATATTTGGCGAGAGCAACGCGAATCCGTCGACAATGCTACTTTTTACGGAAAATTATATCTTGCTGCCCGCGCTATAGCTCAAAGAATCGATGATCGTAAGTTCAGGCTCTTAAAAATTTATCGTTGATCGATAAAATTTAAGAAAAAAATATCGTGGACATTTTCGCTGGTTCGGAGCCGTCCAACTTCTGTTTGCTTTTTCCTCACTGGTCCTCAACATATGAAAATATCGAAACTGAGTTTTGAAAGTTCAACTTCACCACTTCACTTCTTCGTTCTATCAACATGAGTCTATATATGCAACTAGTCGTGTGATAACTTGAGATATAAGTTATATCAAATAATATATCATATAACAAATAATATCTTGAGGAAGTACCTTGTATTTAGTTACGCGAGGGACTACAGTCAGTAGCGGATACAGTCATGACATCATCATAGCGTACGTGTGCTTGAGTGTGGTCTCCCTCGATTTAACGTGGCGCAGCACTATTTTCTTCAAACGTAAAACAAAAAGGGCGCCGCATTTCACTTCTCTTCTTGGGAGAGACTCATAATTTCATAAAGAGACTCACACATTTTCCTACTTTTTAGAATGCCACTTGTTCTCGGAGGAGGTCCCAAGTGCGTTGCCTGCACAAAGACTGTTTATAAGGTCAGATAATTACTGAAAGTACTGTTAGTAACTTGTTATTAGGCAGAAGAGAAAATCTCTGAAGCTGGGACTTTCCACAAAGCTTGCTTCAGATGCATCGCGTGCAAGAAGGTGAACACAAGCGTGATTGAAAATATATTAATTCGACACATCCATATTTTCTTATATGAAGACTGTATTTATCAATTATATTTACATTTTGCCGTTGCCCTTGAATTTCAAATAACCTGTGCTGCAGTCTTTAGATTCTTTCGTTTGTATTCGCGATGAAAAGCCGTTCTGCAAGTCATGCTACGGGAAAAACTTCGGTCCAAGGTAAGACCCTCCAACAGGATCCATTCGATAATTTTTTGTTCTTAGTGGCTACGGATTTGGCAATGGCGGAGCCGGAGTAATGTCTTCTGAACAAGCCCAGCCTCAGAACTTTGTTCACAAACCGCAAGCTGCGCCGGCTGCTACACCCGTCGGAACCGGTACGTTCCAGAGACACCTTACAAATCAACGCGTTTTTAAAATGCCAATGTGACGATTTAATACTTTTCTTAGGCGCCGCTCCGGCCGCAGCTGCCCCAGCAGGAAAGACTAAATATCCGGAGAATTACAAGGCAGGAAACGACCGATGCCCGCGATGCAATGACAGAGTTTACTTTGCCGAGAAAATGGTTGCAAATGGAATCAACTGGCACAAGGTAATAAAACTAATATTGAGCCAAAGCAGTAACTGTTTTATCTTTAGCAATGCGTAAAATGTGCTTTGTGCAATAAGCGTTTGGATTCAACAACTATCACCGAGCGGGAAAAGGAAATCTACTGCAAAAGCTGCTATGGCAAGAATTTCGGCCCTAAAGGGTTTGGGTATGGAGTCGGCTCCGGCACATTTGCTCAGACTCAGTGATGCAACGATTGATTTTTCTCTTCCGTACTTCTCAGTAACCGCTCGCCTTATCCTCATTTGATGCCTTATTTTTACGATTTCGATGTTTTCAAAAATATTGTTTCAGATTATTTTTGAAGTTATTTATTGCACCTTCATCAACAGTACCTTCTGCTTCAATTGAAAATTCCTGTCAGAGACGAAATATTTGCACGCAATAAATTATGCAATGTTAAAACGAAATTTGAGATCGGCTACAGTCATATTTACCTATCTCAATAGTCTGTCTTTGGTGTTTTTTGTGATTTTTGTGAGAACTATTTAGAAGCATGTGAAAAAATAGGAATAGCAAGAAAAAGAAGAAAAGCAATGTTAGCTTTGAAGACTTAAAACCGCGGAAATAGGTACGTGATCAGTGAGCCCCGCGAGTTTCGTGTGGAACTGAGCAGTGACAGAAATTGGCTTGGGTGTGTGGGGAAGGATCAGGATGTAGTCGAATCGGGTGCATCCGTTGTCAAGTGATTCTACTTCTCCTGTGTCTTTGTTGAGCTTCGAACTCGACCAGATGAATTTTGGATCTTTATCTAAGAGGACTTGCTTGAGCCCAGATGGCGTTTGGACTTCTTCAAGGCGGGATGCAACGACTTTTAGACATGAGCCAAGCTCGCAATGAGCCAGTGGATCTCGGAAGTCCTCAAAGATTTGGCTGGGAAGAAACTCTTGTTAATTCATTCTTTCAGCGTTATTTTACCTTTTGAGGCAAGCATCATCGATGGGCGAGCGCGGATCAGTGTTGAAATCGCCAGTAATGATTTCGGCTTGAACTTCGAGCTCAGCCATATCGCCAAACTCGGACATGTAGTCTTCCATTTCTTTGTACTGTTCGGTGCGAGTCGCACTCGATTTGACAAAAGAGGCTGTTGGAGCTTGCATGTGGGTATTGGCGATGATTATGCTTGTTTTCTCGCCGATCCGGATCTCGGCGCATAAAAGGCCTGAAATTTCACGATTCAAGTTGCCGTTTTCTTTTTCGAAAACGGTTCTTACCTTTTCCAGATAAGGCATCTTCGGCATATGAATTTTTGAACGGATAGAATTTTGACTGAACGATAGGATACTTGGAGGCAATGTATAGTCCCGAGTTCACCATTGAGAACTTGAAATTGGTAACGCGCACTCTGTGCGCATCAAACAGAATATAAGGATATTTTGAGCGGAGTTTATCGTTGAGAATCTTCCACGCGTCTTCGTTGAAGACTTCTTGCAAGCAGATTACGTCCAGGTCGTCGGGAATGTCTTCGTTTATGATTTCGTCGTGGCGCTTGCCACTGGGGTTTAGAAGAATGTCACCTTAATTTTTCCATAGAAATATGAGTTGATTTCGATGCCATTGAATCAATGGCACTTACCAATTTGCGTCGCCCGTTCTAAAGTGTAAGGTAGATTATTGACTCTTGACAGTCCTTCGGGCATCAAGCATGTGTTGTTGGTGAATACTGAAATCGTTTTCGATTCCCGCTTCAGTACATCTTCGGGAGGTGCTTCGGGTGCAATTGAAGATACGTGCGCGCTCCTGTCGAACAGCTCGTATATGATGCAAATAAAAAATCCTATGGAGGCGAGGGGAGTGAAATTTGTAGTAAGGATAAGGTGAAAGAGGAGAGCGAAGTAATTCGGACGTAATCTTTTGAAGGATTTTCAACTGTTTTTCCATGAATTTTTACGTTCAACTAGTAGCTGTCGAATATCCTTCCCTTGGAGTGCAACTTCTAGCGAAAATTTGTTCAAGAACTATTCCAATATTATACCAAAAGAATTTTGTGAGATAATACCAAGGCTGCGGTCTGTACTGTATTCCATTTCGACGCATCTAAAAAATAAATCTGATTACAAAAACTAGGTTAGAAATAGTTTAGTAAGGAACTCTAGGAGAAAGAGATGAACAGATATAACAAAAACATAAATTGGAAAGGGAATAGGAGGACTTCTGAAGGAGAAAAAGGCAACTCCGCGCCTGAGACCATCCCGGCAAAGGTGGACAAACAAGCACAAGCTAAGAGCTAAAGAATTAATATAAAAAGCTTTTTGATTATTGTATAAAAATATGCCACCAAGGCAGATGATGAGAAGGGGTAATGCAAGATTATGAAAAGGCGCCTGTTTTTCTAGCGAAGTTGCCTTAACAAAAGAAAGGGATTTTGCAGCTATAAAATGATCAACATCTAGCAAGGAAGCGACGAAAGGAACCCAAATGTTCCAAATTGTGAAGCGCTCAAGAATAATTATTGAAACAAGAACATTTTGAACGAAATGCGCGCCGAAATCGTGGATGATTCGGACTAGTAGAGATTCAGAAGATGGAATGTACTCAACCCCAATGGAGAAAATTACAAAGGCTACTCGATAGACCCATTCGAAGCGAATTTTCTAAAACATCATTTTCAGCGTAAAATAAAATTGCACATTAGGTCTATTTGCAAGGTTGAAAAATTAAGGTAACTCATGGTTCGTAGAACAGGTCAGTGAAACAAAATGGGAGGAAACTAAAATGATTTTTGCAGAAATGGGTGTCATGCTGAATTTTGATCTTTTCGTTTGATGATTGTCATTTCTCTACCAGTTGATATTTGAATCTTTCCAGACGAAAATTATGTGTTTGTCGGATTCTCGATAACTGCCGTAGAAAGATTCCTTGACGACAGCACATTCCATCATTGGTTCCCACAGAGCTTGAATTTGATCATCCCCGCTTTCTGTTGATAGAAACATGGAGGACTTGATGCAGCCAACGAGAGGGTTGAAGAAGGTACAGATTAGGTACTCGTCACGCCGTTTCTATAAATATAGTTAAAATAGTTTTAGGTGATCGATAGACTATCGACGATAGTTTCCGTCAATCAAGTTTTGATTCAATAAGATTATAAATCAAGAGAATCGTAAGTGGAAATCAAATTAGGCGATTAATTCAACATTCTTGTTGACCTGGTCTTTTGGCTCAGATAGAGGTGAATCAAAGAAATTCTTTCTCTCCTAAATTTACAACGGGTAATTAAACGTGCTTCTCTTATTTGAAATAAAACAAAAAAAACCTCGTCATCCATGTGACATGAATAAAAATCAACGTACTGGTTCTGAAGTTTTCGTATGTTTCAAACAAGAAAACCTCAAAGACTGCCGTACCTTCGATTTGACTTCAACCGCCACTCCACCGCTCAAACCAGCCAAATGAAAGCCATCAGTATTGACGCACTAGAATAATTATTTATCAAAACCCGATTTCTTTCATTTACATAAAATGTTAGCTTTTGTCCTGGCGCAATTGTATCGACTGGATGATTGAAAAACTTTCCAGTTTTAAACCATTCATTTTTCACTGAAAGCGTATCTTTCGCGGATAAATTAGCGATGGTTAGCTTCAGGGGACGCCTTTTCCTCATGATTTCATTTTCTTTGGCTTCGGAGATGTTTGTCGTAAGATCTGGCAGCTCTCGGACTTGTTGAACGACTGTCTTGTCCGATTTTGAATGGAGTATTTTATCCATAATCTGAGTTGAACAAGATTTTATAGAAAGGCGTTTTTTGCAAGGAATTGTTGAAGAAATCATAGGCAAAGAATAATACAGAAAATAAGTTCTCAAAGTCTTCTTTTTAGCTCTTCGAAGATGGTCCAATTGACGGCGGAAACGAGCGTACGCCTTGTTATTCTAGGACCAATACCGTCGAGATATAGAGCTCGTAGAATGCCTCGCTCGCGTATGTGAGATTTGAAGTTTTCCAGTCCAATACGCTGGTCGATTTGGAGATGGCAGCGCAATACGTCTGCGGGCTGGGTTAGAATCACTGCTGATGCTCCAGCGAGAATACCAAGAAGGAAATTAACGCTAAAAAGAAGGTGATATCAATTCGTTTTCTTCCTGATCATACCTCGCTCGTTCCGAACCAAATGAATCCTGTAAAGATTTGTAAAACAGAACATAAAGAGCTGAGTAAGGTCCATCTCTTAGAAGCGTCGGAAACAGCCCTCTCCAGAATCCCCTGACGCCTTCGCTCTTGTAGATATTCCTAGCCACCTCGCCAATCGATTTTCCATTTCCCCATTCAATCTGGGTCTTTATCACAACGAGGGGGAGAAAAACTGTGGTGGCAGAAGAACGAGCTATAAAACCAGCAGCGACTCTATCTGTGGATGTTTTTGGAGACATCTTTTCAATCACAGCATAAAACCAGGCGATCCCGGGGACTTGGCGGTATAGACTTGCGACGGTTCCTCTCCAAAGACCGGAATAGCCATCCGATGAAATTATTTTTCGAGCGATTATGATTGAATTAACGCCTTTCGTCCCTAAAATTTAATACAGAACTCTGAGTAAAATCAAATTTCTCTACCTATTGCTCTAGTACGAAGAACTTCAAGTGGCTGAAAAGAAAAACCAGATACAAGTCCTGCCACTGATCCAGCGACTATCGATTCCGTTGTTGAAAGCTTAACATTCTTACCCATTCTAAAAAACACCGAGAATTGAAAAAGTGAGTCCTGGACATGTTGTGTGTTCATTTTTTTCTGAGAAAAAAAAAACGTGGCAGTTGATTGAAGAACTCGGTACTCAATAATACTGATAGAAAAAGCTTCTATTTCCATTTTTCGCGGATGTTTCTGTGCATGAGTCTTGGATCTTGATTGAAGTTACGCCCTATAAATACAGATAAATAAAGTTACGTGGAGTTTTAAAACCTTCTGGAGTATCTCCGCGTCGCTGGATATCTTGCGTGTCTCCCCTCCTTTGAACATCTGCGAATAAAAATTATATTTTCAATTAATTTATCGGTCGCTTACTATCAACATCTCCCCTCCTTTGAACGGGATCAGCCGAGACGCCTCTTTTCTGCGCCCTCGATCTTGGATCTACCGGTCCGTGATCTCCCTTTGGCATCATACTCTTCACCAGTTTTTGATTCATCGCGTCAAGGGCCTTCTTATTCTCCATATTATCGGATCCGTCTTTTCTCATGTTATCAACGTTGTCCGATTCGCCTCCAAGAAACGGGTAAAGCTGAACCTTGCTAAACGAGGATCAATCAAGCTAAATGTCAACTTCTTACTCTCTGCCCATGACTTGTCCATAAAACCGCGGGCGCTTTGGCTTCTTGGCGTCAATCTCAAGCAAGCACTCGAAAATCGTTTTTGTAGGAATTTCATCGGGGTTGAAATTTGGATCTTTTTCGATTTCAGTCGTGTCTACTTCCATCGGGGTCTCTTTGGGTTCGTCTGGGCGACCGCGCGTGGCGAAGATTTTATCTGATACTTCTTTGTGCGCAGTAGAGTTATCTAAAACTGTTAAGTTGAAAATCAAGGACTAGAATTTACCAATATGCGCCTCAAAAAGTGTTTTGATCTCAGACCAGAGAATTTTGTACTGCTCGTCTTTTTTCGGCGGCTTTCCTCCCTGTGATCCACTTGACCAAGGAATTGGCTCCTTATTTTTTTCTTTTTCAATGAGATCAGTCGCGGCATTGATCAATTCGATCTTTTCGACTTCCGATAGTGTTGACTTGGGAACCATTTGGAGAATCTTATCAACAGATTGAGTTCCACTCATTGAGTAAAGTGCGGATTCTGAGTTCACCAGTGGGAAAACGCGCGTGTATTGCTCCATCGCAGTTTTATTCGTTTCTGCGGCTCCCATGGTAGCAGTTTGGGATGGGAAAAGCGTGTGCTTATTGATAAGGCTCACCATGTCGTTGATTCGATAATCGTATCGCAAACCACCAGGAGCACTTTCGAGACTGGGCGGTTCTTGAGGAGTGAACGGAGTAGAGAGCTTGTGAAGGTAAATATCGCCTCCGTTGCAAGCAAGCATGTGAGTGACCTTCTCCTTGCAGGAGAGGAGGACGGATCGACGGCCGTTGCACAAATACTTTGTCAGGCAATCAGAATGTCTCGAATTCACTTCAAGCGGGGAAATTCGAACGGCCGAACAACAGGGGCGCAGTTGGGAGGAATCGATTTTTGGAGTGTTCCATTTTAGATCGACCATTTCCGTCGACTTGCCAAGCTGCGGGTGCAAAAACGGTACTTCATAGTTAACCGAGCCACCGCCGCCGGAGGTCTGTTCTTCTTTCATGGGAATTCCAGAGATCATCGTGCGCATAAGTCGGTGATGCTGCGTCGCCAGCTCGACAACTCGATCTGTCAGCTGCCATTCTTTGCCACTTTCGGAACCACCTGCTTCTACATGAGTAACCTCGAGCTTGAAGTACTTTTCGTCCGCAAGAATTTTCAGGTCCGTGTTGATCACTTTTTCGTTTTTGATGTCGATAATTACGATTTCCACCCGATCAAGCTCCACTGTTCCATTCTGAAAAATGACTTATTCAAAGCATCTTTATATTTTTTGAAAATAGAAAATATCTTACCGCCTTAGCGCTCGCATTGATTTTCTCTATCGTAGCAGTCAGGTCTTTCCGCCACTGATTGCTCTGGACCTCAAGGTTTTCTTCTGTCGCGTGCGTAAACACAATAATCCTCCCTGTTCCTTCGATCTTTTTCCCATCTGTCGGACTTTTCACTGCAAGGTCTTTGAGTGAATCCTCAATTACATTCTTCAGATTAACGTATTTGGGACTTTGGTTGTAAGGGTCGTTTTGCTTTCCACCCTGGCCATTTCTTCTCAGAGTATCGCGTAGGTAGTCCATTCCTTGGTTGTTCCAAGAACTGATTGTTTTAGAACGCATTTTGTAAAAGGTCTTGAAGGGATCCTAGCTTCTGCTGAATCTCCCACTTCTAGCGTAGTTTGCCTGCTCTCTATATCTGGACGAGTGAAGAAAACGAGTAAAGTATCTTGACGTCTGTATTTCGAGCTGGAGTAAAATAGAGGTTAATTCACGAACTGCGTGAATTACCGAATGAAGAGAAATACACGGCGGCGACCGAGCAAAGCTCGATCTAGATAAGCAAGTGACCTTAGGGGACGAGGGAGTCTAACGAATCTAAGATCCCAATACCCCCCCATGAGACTGAAACGTCCTCTAAGGCCAAAGTGTGTGATTTTTGCAGGAGTATAAGCGTAAGATGAGTAACATGGCAGGTTCGAAACGTCGAGGCAGTCTGATTCGCGTTAAAAAACCCTTTTTTGGGAAAAAGCTTGAATCAGATGCGAAGTTTTCGTGATGTCCGAGCGGTGATGACATGAAGGAGTAGCTGCACATGTAGAAGAACTCAAAATACGTCGGCGACGGTAAACTGTGATAATTTCCGTACCTTTTCAGGCCCCGGTCGATGAATAGGGGACCTGAGTGGGGCAGTACTTGCGCTTAGTCGTATGACTGACCCGAGTTTGTGCCGATGTTTAGAGGTTCGACGGGCCTCGTTTCACGGTGTGCTCGTTTTGTATGTTTCGGGAGATGAGCTGCTCCAACTTCGGTTAAAGTCGCATTCGGATCGGCGCCGGCTGAGTATTGACGATCTGGTGAAGACTTTGGACGGGTTCTTTTCTTGCTGTTTTCAGTTGCTGAGCCCTCAACTACTGTTGAATTATGTTTATCGACTGACATATGGCTATTGTCGGGCGCAGCAACCTCCGAAATCACTGTAGCATCAGCTGACATGTCCTCGGCAGTTTCATAAAGAGTACCACCAGAGTACCAGCGATCTGACGGCTCGGCTGGAGCTACCGACGAGTCCAAAATAGATGTAGCGGTTGTATCTCCCAGATTTTCCATGTCCAATCGGCGTCTACTTTCCAAAATAGGTGATAGAGATGATCTTGGCGGTTTTTCCATAGCAACCATCGGAGTCGACGCGACCTGAGAAGATTTCCTCCCCCCATGCGACTTCGACCCGGACTTTTCCATCGGTTTGGAAGTAGGAACAGGCGATTTTTGTGGGACTTTCGACTTAACGATTTCGGTTAAATGTGGGAATACGTACTCGGCCTCGTAGTAATCAATCCAGCGTAAGTCGTGATTTCGTTCTGCGGCGTGAACCACGTGTTCTCGATGGATGAAATCACGTTGTCCTTTTTTATCTTCGACCATGACGACCCAGTCGTTGCTCGAAACGGCTTTCAGGGGACCTACCCAGCGTTCCTTCTTGCTTTTAGCGTCGGTCAGGTTTTCTCGCTTAATGTACACGACAGCGCCAGCGGGGATTGGTCTCGGCTTAGGCTCGTTTTTCAGCCTGTGCTCCATGGCTCGGTCAGCAGCTTCCATCGCAGTTTTCACAATGGCTTCCGCCGATTTCGCTAAAGCTCCCACATTGAGACCAAACACCTGAGGTGTTTCCGCTGTCATTTCTGCGCCAGTAGAGTGGGTGAAAGTACTTTTTCGGCCAAACCAAACTTCTCGCGGTGAAATTTTCGTGCTTTTGTTTTTCACACTATTGAGCGCGCGCATCACGTGGGGAACGCAGTCGGCCCAAGTTTTTCGACCGGAAGATGAGTTGACCATGCAGAATAGACTGTTTTTGATAGTCCGATTCGCTCTTTCTGCGAAAGCGTTTGATTGAGGGTGAAATGCGGTACTTATTGTATGTTTTATCTGGTTAAGCTTACACATTTCGTCAATCACGCTTGCGCAGAAGTGGGTACCTCTGTCACTGTGTAGATGTTTCGGCAAGAAATCCATGGGAAGGAAGACCTTGTAGATGAGCGCTTTTGCAGCGCAGATAGCAGTGTCGGACCGCGTCGGAATGCACCAAGTGTAGCGAGAGAAAGTGTCCGCCACCACCAAATAATACTTGAATCCGCCAGCGGGAGGCATACAAGCGAAATCGATCTGAATCGATTCGCCAGCTGTTTTTCCACGACGAAGGGTTCCAAGTGGCGGTTTGGTACGAGTTCCAGCAGATCCTTTTCTGCGTAGGCAAGGGACGCAGCTGTGGACGTAGTTAGAAACATCGTCTTGAAATGAAGGCCACCAAACGTCCTCTAATCGCTCTAAAGTCCGCGGCTCGCCCAGATGACCGGACAAGTCGTGAGCTAGAAAGAGAAAGTGACTTTTTACCGCTTCCGGTACCACCGCCCGCGCGCCAGATTTGAATTGACACATCAAGCACCCGGTAGTGTTATCCAGGAACAGAGCTTTTTCCATCTTGAGTAGAGACGATTGTCGGTGGTCGGAGTCCTTCACCAGCGATTTTATGTCCAGTGGCTCCTTACCAGATTCCAGAAAAGTGATGATTGCACTCAGAGCAGAGTCCTCCCTTTGATAGTCCAGAATGTTATTATAATTCGCTGACACCAACGGAATCTCCATTGGCGCCGCGATAGCCTTGACGTTTACCTTATGTATCTTCACCTCTGATAAAGTGATTTTCTCCGGAAACTGATTTTCGTTCCAGAAAGGGACGAAGACACGTACTGGTGAATTCTTGTCGATTTCGTACTCGCGACCAACGGGAAACTCAGAGTCGTATCCAAGTGATTTGTCGTCCTCGCCAGGTCTGCGGCTCATAAAGTCGGCGAATTGATTTTCTGATCCCTTGATGTAGACAATGTGAAAATCGAATTCTTCCAATCGGCTTTGCCATCGGCTTATTTTAGAATTCTTGAACTTCTTTTTGTGTAGGAAGATCAAAGATCGGTGGTCTGTGTGAATCTGAAAGAATCTACCTTTCAGGAGCTTTTCCAGTCGCTCGCAGCACCAGACAATGCTAAACATTTCCTTTTCTGAAGTGTTCCATTTTCTTTCAGCTTTGTTGAAGGTGTGGGAAATCGCGCTTACTAGGTGCACTCTCCCGCCATACTCTTGTAGCAGGACGCCACCCGCTGCGTACAGGCTCGCGTCTGTGTAGAGATGAAAAGACTCGTCAAAGTTAGGAAAACTTATGACTGGAGTCTCGGAGAGTCGTCGTTGAATTTCCTTGAGCGCCAAATCCGCTTCTTTGGTCCACTTGAAACAATTTGTTTCGTTCGCCGAATTTCGAACATCGTTTATGGGCTTCATTCTGCTCGAGAAGCAACCGGATGAAATAGCTTCGCCCATTTTCGTTTCTAGAAAACCTCGGATCCAATTCAATGACCCGATTAATGAAGCTAACTCCTTTTGGGAGCGTGGGGGTTTCATCTGACGAAGAGCGGAGACTTGCGCAGGGTCCGGTTTGATTCCATCTTCGTTGATGATTCGGCCCAAAAAGTGAGCTTCGGATTGTAGGAAAGAGCACTTTTCGCCCTTGAGTTTAGCGTTAAACTTGCGGAGCGCGATGAATAGGTTTCGGAGAGTGTTGTAATAGCAGCTGAAAGTCTTCCCAAAACACACTATGTCATCGATATAAGAAAGCATCTTTTTCCTGGTGGGGCTTGAGTCGAGAATTGTGTTTACGACGCGCGAGAATATATTCCCCGAGCATCGATAACCGAATGGTAGTCTGCAGAAGGCGTAAGATTTCCCACCCCACTGGAAGGAAGTCTTGTACCTGTCGCTTTTCTTTACAGGGCACTGCCAATATCCACTTCGTAGATCAACTGTGGCGAAAAACTTATTGCCCGGTCCAATGTTCGCAATCGTATCCTCCATGCTTGGGAGATGGTAAGGGTCGGATTTGTCGGAGAGGCATTTGTTCAGGCTGTTTTTGTAGTTGATGCAGAAGCGCATTTCCCCAGATTTCTTAGGAATAGGCAATACCGGGCTGTTAAACCCTTTCTGGTCTTTGATCTCTTCTATTATTTTCGTTTCGAGCAGTTCGGAGATGTGATCGCTGACCTGACCATGAAAAGCTTGCGGAATCGGGTGTTGACTGATGTTTCGACTCGTACCATCAGTCGGGATTTCGATCTCGAACGGGAATTCACCCATTTTTTGACCGTCGCAGCCGAATCTGTCGTCGAATTCCAAACACAGCTCGGCGACCACCTTCTTTTGCCCCGGGTCGGCGTTTGCTGGTAGGGTAATTCCGAGTTTTTGCTTCGCTAGCTGAATGGGGCACCTGGCTGCGTTCTTGTTAGGTGCGTCCAGCTTTGGGACTTTTGGTGGCGGTTGAGTGCGGGATCGATCGCTATCCTTGACCGCTGATCTAGTAGTCAAGTATTTCTTGATTTTGGTCCGCTTCACTCCGTCCAGCTTCACCACTTGAGTCTCAGTTTGTGTGAAGGCTTCGTTGTAGCAAAATGAGAGAGTACGATTCTTATTGTCGACTGTGAAGCTGTCCGTCATCGCATTCTCTAGTATATCGCGGCCCAGTAGACTTGGGTATTTACTGCCTGGCATAATGGTGAGATTCAGGGAGAATGCAGGGCCACCATTGAATGATAAGCGGCAGGGAAGGATACCCATCGGCTGCTCGGCGGGAATATTTGGGCTGAAACCGGTGACCTTGAAGGGACAGGGCTTCAGCATCTGGAGAAATTCGTCGGGAACGTAAGCAGCGGACAGACAGGAGGACTCGGCTCCGCTGTCGACTTCCATCGATACGTCAAAACTTTTAGAGCCCGTAATGATGGTAGCCGAAGCGAAATAAGCCTTTCCTGGTCGCTTCTTCTTCACTGTGTAAAAGTGAACGTCGAATGGTTGGAAATCTTCAACGTTCTTAGTCGTATTTATCTTCTTGGATTCTGGTTGTTTATCGTCTTTCCCATCCTTAGAATCGTTGCTGGCGCGCTTAGCATTCTTCTTCTTTTTGTTCTTATTTCTGTTGAAGTGCTGGGAGACGGTCGCGCTGTCAACTCGATTCTGTCTTGTGGATTGGGCGAGACGGCAGAGTTCGTTGATATCGTAAACTTTTGATAGGCTTGGAAGGATTGCGTTGAAAACGTCTGGTTCTTCTTTCCTAAGATTCAAGTACAGCATCATCGTCGAGAATATGTCAAATATTTCATCGACCCCGGCGTCGGCTGACTTCTCTTGTCGGTAAGAGTTCAAAGTCGCTTGCTTCGCCTCGTTCATCTTTTGCAAGACGTTGGCGGTGTAGTGTGCAAACGGCTTCGAATGGTCGTATTCGACGTCGAAAACTTCGCTTAGCTTCAGTAAGTAGTGACTCTTCGCGGCGAATGATTTCTCTAGCAGCGCCTTGGCCGATTTCCAGTCTTGACAATTCAGAAATTCGGTTCCAAGTGAGCGTTCGATGTTCAAGTCGAAGTGGCTGTACACTGCTGCGATGAAAGGCTGTTCACGTGAAGGTCTGTCGCGGACGTAGGCGCGGTGATAAATGTCGGCTCTGCCCAAGAAGGTGTTGAAAGATGTGTTGCATGCGGCGTCCAGCTTCGGCAAGTCTTGGACGTGACGAGACCGGGTAGTGGCCACCCATGCTTCTTCTCTCATTGTCGCATTCGTAGAGTCTTTTCCTTGATCGAGCTCGCAGGTAAGAAGCGTTGTACTGAGCTGTTCTAATTTTACTCTGCTTTCTGTGATCAAGGGCTCTAGGCTTGGCTTTAGTGATTCGTCATTTCGCACTTGTTCTTCGAGGTAGTTTACTCGATCGTTTATGCTTCTTATTTCGGTGACGGTTTCTAGCAGTGATTTGTTCGCCGCCATAGCTCGAAATATATCGGCAGTAAGGGTTTATGGGCCTTGGATTACCTTTCAGGCCCTCAGAAAATACTGCGACTAAAAGTCGCAATATGATGAGCTGAGGTGCCTTTTTGCGCAAACGCCCGACGATTTCTCTGTCCAGCGATTGTCGAAATTTCAAGGTCTGGTCCAAGGGTCGATTCTTCGTAAACTTCTCTCGATTTTTGGTGAAAAGTGGCGAAAGAATTATGTTTTTCTCAGTATTTTAGGTTTTCCCCGGCGTGCGTGCGTGGTTGCGTGGGCGCGACTTTCGGCGCGTGGGTCGTGGTGGCGCTCGTGCGGTGGCGCTCGCTCGGGGTGGTGTTGGTGTGGTGCGGAAAATTCTCTGAGTGGAGTTTCTCCGGCGGCGCGGTGGCGGTTGGTGATTCGGTTCCCCTCGACTCCGCTGACGGCCAATCAGCGTCCAAGTTGCGAAACTTCGGTTGTCGATGGCGGAAAAATTTATCTTTTCTCCAACGGGACTACTCTGATACCACTGAAGGGATCCTAGCTTCTGCTGAATCTCCCACTTCTAGCGTAGTTTGCCTGCTCTCTATATCTGGACGAGTGAAGAAAACGAGTAAAGTATCTTGACGTCTGTATTTCGAGCTGGAGTAAAATAGAGGTTAATTCACGAACTGCGTGAATTACCGAATGAAGAGAAATACACGGCGGCGACCGAGCAAAGCTCGATCTAGATAAGCAAGTGACCTTAGGGGACGAGGGAGTCTAACGAATCTAAGATCCCAATAGTCTTGAACAAGAATTTTCGTTCGCTGCCGAAAATATCCCAGACGATTCTTTTTCAAGTTTTGAGCTGTTATCAATGAACCTTTCGAAGCTTTAAAAACCTTTCCTACAGTATTCTGTCATTGACTGAAGAGCTGACTGATAAACAGTGCCCGGCTGTTGAACATAGCCTTCAACATTATTTCCCCGCACAAGTGACTCAACGTTCAGAGCTTGCTGCACTCGCCTGCCCATATAATACGATTTATCGATGGCGATGACTGTTCTGCTCGAAATCGATGACATCTCATTTACTCTTGAAACTAGATAGTAAAAAAACAGTTCATAGTGTTGAAGTTTTCGCGAATTAGTATTTATAAATAATTGTCCTAGAGTTTGCAGATTATTACAATAAATCTCGGGAAATACAAGTGTTGATTAGCCGTCGAACTTATGCCTGAACTGTTACAGTAGTTCAACAGTAGTTTCTCAATTAAATTTGAAGATCCTAGTAGAACTTTGATTAGTGTATTTTTACTTGAAAATGCCAATGGGCAATTCTTAGTTTGTTGATGTCATTTTTGGTATGCAGAGGTAGAGAGATTGCTATCTCCGGTGCTGGAAAACGCGAAAAAAATGTCAGTAATAAATTAAATTTCGAAATCAACAATAAACAAGGAGAACTATGTATGCGAAAGGAGCCTAGAGCAAGTCGGCAAGAAACTGTTTGTCAGCGGTTGAAAGATTTTTTGGGTAGAGGGTTTTGATGGTGAGAATCATATCGCCAAAGGTTCCAGGCTTCTTAGAAATGGGCATTCCTTTTTCGAAAATAACCTTCTCGGTATTAGGCTAAAAGAAGGGTCAATAAGGCGGACTAATGAAGAATGAGTAACCTTTTCCATCCTCGAAATACGAATATTTTCAGAATTTCCATTGAGCATTTTCAACGGTACTTCTCCGCCAAGAAGAGCAACTTTTAGTGGAATCTCAATCGTCTTTTTCAAATCATTCCCTTCTCGCTCCCAATAATCATGGGGTTTTTGCTAAAACCAAATGTTTACAACAAATTTAAGTCTTAAAATGAACCTTGATAATAAATACGATATTTTCGGCTTCATATCCTGGCTTTTCATCGCCTTCCTTGTTGAAGGTTATTTTTGTTCCTTCCTTCCATCCGGGCTTGAGATTTACTGTTAAAACTTTTGAGTCAGTAATGTAGCCGCCCATTTGATTTCTTCGCTTTCTTCCGATCTACGAAAGTAAAATAATCATCTGCATGTATTTTCGTCGCTTACCTTCATTCTCTTCGTTGCTCCAGTATAAAGATCTTCTAGTGAGCACTTCAAGTCGACTTCGAGGTTCGCTCCTGGCTTCAATGGTTCTGGCCGTCTTCTTCGACCACCGGGACAACCCCCACCGAAGCCGCCGAAACCAAATCCATCATCATCATCAAGGTCGTCCATTCCGAAGCTGAACAAAAGTTTATCCAGAGAAACAGTACTCCAACAAACTTGAATCCACCACGTCCGCCGCCGAATGGATTTCCACGGCCTCCTCGACCTCCCATTCCGCCCATGCCACCCATTCCTCCGCCGCCAAAGAACATTCGGAAGATATCATTTGGGTCGCCACCAAATCCGCCTCCGAAGCCGCCACCGCCGCCTCCCTGGGTCAATCCCTCTTCGCCGAAGGAATCGTACGTGTCTCTCTTCTTCTTGTCGGATAAGCATTCGAATGCTGCATTGACATCTTTGAATTTTGCTTCCGCTGCTTTATCGTTCGGGTTTTTGTCTGAAAAATTTATGAAGACTCAGAATAGAAAGGGAGGACATACCAGGATGGTATTTTAAGGCCTGCTTCCTGTACGCCTTTTGATTTCAGAATCTGAAGCACCTTTTGGCACACCAAGGATTCCGTAAAAATCACGACCCATTATCTAAATTTTTAATTCAAACATTTGATTTTAAATATTACAAATTTATAGCAAGTCCTTGATATTTTTAATAAGAAAACTTCCAGCATCCGCAACAAGTTGAAACATGTTATAAACATTTAAAACAGAGGAATGAAACTCAACAGGAGGAATATAATTTAAAGGGAATGGAAGAATATTGCCTCTGGATTCGACAGATTCACGGAAATCAGCATTTTTGAAGCTCCAAGGGTAAACAGTTTTGTTGGCTAAAGGAGCGCCTGTGATGAAATCTTTCGTTTGAATATTAGTCCAAGAAGCTTCGAGACTCTTCTCGACGTTTTCTGCTTTTCCCAAATTGAGTTCGTTTACGATGAACTGCCATTTTCGCTCGATTTCTTTTTGATCGAAACTTTGGGACTGGATCTGGGAGATTATCTGTTCGACCTCGCTTTCTACTCTTTCGTTGAGGGTAGATTCAACTTCTTCTTCATTCGTCTGAGCAGAAAAATATTAGAGTAAAAGAGAACCTAACCCTTTATTAGAGTTAACCTTATTTGAAACCTGCGCCGCTACTTGAGTCGCTAAAATCACAAATAACAGGATCGAAAAAACTGTAAAGGCTGTCTGTAACGTCGCTCCCATCACGAAAGTAGCTCTAAATTTGATTAGATCGGTGTATTTCGATCGAAGTTGCTGTACTTGATTCTAGCAAAATATTCCGCTCGAATTTCCGGCAACGCGTCTTCGAAAGATTTGTGCTGAAGTCCGTAGTAACGATGAAGATCGCGGTAAATATCCATTGTCGATCCAGGAACATCATTTGGCGAGGCATAGAAGTCTTTGTACATCCGACGAACGGACCGTTTCTTTCCCCATTCAAGAATATCATTGTAAAATCCTCTCTTGGAGGGAAAGTGGCTTCTACTTGCTATGACGTGCTTTTTTAAGGTTCCCGTATTTAAAAGACCCACTTCCACCTTTTATACCAGGAACATCATACAGATTTGGAATCAGCAGGAAATTTTAAGAACTTTGACCATTTTAGTTTCCAAAATTTCCACTTCCGGTTCGATTCTAGAGCCGGAAGTTGACGAAATTTTGAGTCTGGGCAACTTGTGACCTATCAAATTGATACTCAGAAGATTTCGAGTCGTCTCATCTACAAATCATTCAAGAAAACCATCCCAACCGCGGCCAAACCGACCGGCAAAACTGGGAAAAAGGCATAAATTTGTGATTTTTCTTTAATTTTTTAGCGGTTGATTTGACTGCGGTCGGCATTGATTCCTCTCTCAGATGATAGGAAATCTTCTAAGCATCAATTTGATAGGTCACAAGTTGCCCAGACTCAAAAATTTCGTCAACTTCCGGCTCTAGAATCGAACCGGAAGTGGAAATTTTGGAAACTAAAATGGTCAAAGTTCTTAAAATTTCCTGCTGATTCCAAATCTGTATGATGTTCCTGGTATAAAAAGGTGGAAGTGGGTCTTTTAAATACAGGAACCTTAAAAAAGCACGTCTATACAACTCGATCCTCTGAGAAGCCCCATCTAATGACAAAACAATTATTTTTTTCTTTTCAGTCTACTTCAACCAGACTGATTTGTCTACTGAGGTGTCTAATTGGAATTTTTTCAATCGAAGCTATTGAGTTTAGCTGTTATTTTAATGAGAAGAAGAAAAAGAGCAATCAGAATATACATGTCAAAGATTAGGTAAAGCGGTCTTTTTGGTAATTGATAAGCAGATTTTTGAATTTCAAGAAATTTCAAGAGTGCTAAGGCGATAGTTCACAATTATTGGCGAATAGAAAGTTTGCTTTTTGATATAAGAAATAAGGCTGTACGGACTGAATTGTTGAAATCATAGGAGGTGGAAGTTGGAACTCGAGACATTTAATTAAATACATGTAGAGAGTACTAGCTGGCTTCGCTGATTGCTTGTTTTGCTGCATTTATCAGTGGAGTGAGAGACGAAAGAGGAGCGGACATCTTCAAAAATCTATGCCTAAAAATGGTTGGGTATTTTGCAAAAAAATTGTTCTTACTGTAGCAGCTCGCGAGCAGAGGCTCTTCGATCAACACTCATTTCCAAGCAGGCGTCGAAGAAATCAAGGAAGTCCTTTGACAAACGCTCAGGATTTGATATTTCCGGCTTGCCATGGGTGGCAATGAGGTACAACGCACGAAGGGGCTTTTCATTTAGATACGGTGGTTCACCATCCAACATTTCTATCGCCATGATTCCCAAAGACCAAATGTCGACCTTTGGCCCGTATGCTTTTCTTGTCACAACTAATATTTAGAAATAAATACTAGAAAAATAATATGAATTAACCTTCTGGCGCCATCCAATACGGCGTTCCGACCATCGTCTGACGATGTGACTTCTCCGCGGAAATCGTCGCACAGAAGCCGAAATCAGTAATTTTTACCGACCCATCAATGCCGAGCAGAATGTTGTCAGACTTGATATCTCGGTGGATCACGTTCTTCGAATGCAAATACTAGCAAACAGTTAAATAACATATCTTCATATCGACCTACCTCTAGAGCGAGGAGACATTCTCGACTGACAGCAGCGATTTGCGATTCTTCCATGCAAGTTTCCGTTGCTACATCGGTTAGACTTCCACCCGCTAAGAACTCCATTACGACCCAGAGCTCTTCCTTTTTCAAGAAACTTAAAAATCAAAATGTAAGCTTCGATGAATCAAGTTCAAAGTCAAACCTGTCGATGAAATTGACGATGTTGTTATGCCTAAAGTCGCGCATGACCTTAATTTCGTTCACGATCAAATCTTTCTTCGGCTGCTTTTCTAGCGCCATTTGCTTGATCGCGACTTTGCGTCTCGTCGTTATTTCCGTAGCAGTAAAGACGATGCCGCTAGCCCCTTGACCGATCTTTTCGAAGCCTTCGTACTTGAGCTCTGGATCGCCAACGCTGACGATTTTCTTCAGCTGGTCGAGGACTTGACGCATCTTTTCTTCCGCAGACTCTTCTTTTTTCTTTCTATAACAAAATCAAAATATGTTCCCCTTAATTCGATAAATGGCATAAGAATATACGCATAAAACCGCCTTGATAGTATTTTAATCGATCCTGAGAGGAACTCCTCCTTCCGCAAACTTCACTCCATTGGGTTTTGAAGCTTTCGAACTACTATCGTTAATGTCAGGAAAGTTGTTCTTCTCGACAATCAAACTCTTCGTATAAATACTCCTCGTATTATTCGGCCTTGCTGGAACTGGCGGAGGTGGACCTTCGTCCTCATCCGACGATTCTGACTGAGAGGCGTCGGAAATGATAGATTCTTCATCTGACTCCAAAATTTTTTCTTGGATCTTGGCCATGGTCTTTTTTGGTGGCTTGGTCGGCTTTGGAGGTTCTTGAGTTTGAGGATGAAAGATGAAATTTGGCTCGTCGCGTTCTTGATTTCTCTCGTCGTGGAAGGTCATGATCTTAAACAAACGATCACAGGGATCGAAATTGAAACACATTTCTCAAATTGAGAATCTCAATGGGGAGTTCTGTTTTTTACTTGTGAGGGGAAAAGTTCTAACTAGCCTAGGCTAAATTCTGGAATTGCTTTAGAAACTAGAAAGTGACCAAACTTCGGTGGGTTTTTCGTAACAACTGGCAAATTTCTTACCGCTACAACGTTCTCTGGATTCTTAGAAATCTCCTGTTTCGAGATATTCGCATCTGCAAGCATTCGTTCCCATTCTGCCGGCAGTCCTGTAAATTCACAGGTGTTGGGGTCGAATCCAACATGCTGAACGTGTTTGTAATCGCTCGGCATACTGATATCCGTCTTTGATAGCTTTGGTTTGAGAGTTGAAGGTTCTTTTGTTTGGAAGAGAGGACCAGGATTCGGCATAATTCGGATGAGGATCCGCTGCATGACATTTTTTCTGTTTTCGGTTGATTCTCGGGGAATTTCTGGAAGAGAAGGGGCGATCAGAGGATAGTTCTTAAAATGGGAATAAATATCCGAAAAGAACATTTCTAAAAAACTCTTCGAATGAAAAAACTTACTTCATCCGGGACGATATAAACAGACTCCCTTCTATTCGGAACTTCTGGCGGAATATCCTCCATCTTCACGAATCGACAAGAATATTTTCTTTTCTTACTTCTTGTTTTTCACTTTTTCCTCAGCGCATTTTCCCTCGCATTCGTAATTTTTCTAGATATTTAGCGATAAAGATTCTAGATTTAATTTTTTCGCGGCAAAAAAGTCAAAAAGCAGTATTTACGAAAAGAGTGATTGAGACGCTCGAGGCGCAATTTATGAGAACACTTTGCTCAAAAAATGACTCATCCTTGCGCTCGAGCCCTCAAAAACAGAGCGAATCTCCGAGTTTTTCTTTGAGAAATAAAAGAGAGCTCGTCCGGGAGCTACAATGAGGAAAAGGCGACCAGTGTCCTGAAAGAGAGCTGAAACGAAGCTTTATAAAAAAGTAAGTTAATTTTACGAAAGTAATTTTATTGAAATAATGAGTGTTCCTGCTCATAAATTTATCAAATGAAAGAGCGACCATGCCGTTATTTCCGCTTATAGAGGGTTTTTACACTTAGTGCGATTTCCGGGTTTGCCCCAGCCATCACTCATTCTATTGATTTTTCTAGAAGTGTCCCAAGGATAAGAGGGTTTCCAGATGAATTTATCCTCAATCTTTTCATGCACTGTAGTTTTCACTGTAAAGTTAACAGTCTTATTACTTCGAAGATCGGAATTCTATTTTTGACTTAGTTTTTGGCATATTGCCTGCAATACAACAGCTGCTATCGACAGTGATAAATTCGCACTGATTTTAATCGTCTACCCTTTATCAACAAAGAGTAACCTAATTTTAAGGTACCCAGAATGGATCGAACCAGAAAGGTTGGCGGCGCCCGTGGTGCGTGACGAAATATTGCAAAAATCAAGGACTTGCTCTTCAGAGCGCAAATTTTGAACTCGAGACATGGCCAAAATAACTGGCAGAAGAGTCGTCAATGAACAGCTCGAATACAAGGTAAAGAAAATAAATTTGATTTGATCGATCGATTTTTCCATCGAAGGACGCAGACATTCATTTTTCCCCAAGAAATTATTTTTAAAGGATATCTTTAGGTTGCTGGAGAAGGCAAGAATTCAGGCTGGCAGCCATTGTGGCGAATTTTGCCCAAATATGTCCTTGAATTCGAACGCAGCCAGGTCTCCGAGGAGTTTCCTCCGATCAAATCTCCTACGATCAAAGATGTTTTGGCCTACAAAAGAAAACTCAAAGAAGAAAACGTAGAGAAAAGGCCGGCTTCTGTCGATAAAGTTACCTACGCCCAGAATACTTCCGGCGATGAGACTCCTTATGTCGAGGCAGAAATTGAAGAAGACCCGGCTGAAGAAAATGAGAACAGCTCGGACTCGGAAGGAACCGATGAAGAATGGGAAATCGAGACGATTCTAGATATGCGAAAAGACGAAGATGGCGTTCTAGAATACCTCGTTCATTGGCGCGACTATCCAGAAGACGAAGCGACGTGGGAGCCAAAAGAGAATCTCGCCGGAGCAGCACAAGAGATCGAAAACTTTCATCGAAAGAATCCGCGACGAAGACCGAAGATGGTCAAAAAGACTGATAAAGAGCGCGATCTTGCGGCCATTCTCGTCGACGATAAAGAAAACTCCGATCCAGAAGACCTGGAAAGAGATCCTAACCCCGATTTTCTCGATGACTTCCCCGACGAGCATTTTCCGGTGAACGATAGCGATTCTAGCGACGAAGATTTTGAACCTGGAGTCAGTGAGCCGATGAAAAAGAAACAAAAGAAGGAGCATAAACCCCATTCGTCTCCCCTGAAATTGCCGATCCCAGCACTGCCGCACCACCAAACTCTACCCAATATTGATAGATATAAGCAATTTCGTCCAAAGATTATGACGAAACCGACGAATACAAGGCCACTAGGCTCCCAGTTCTACGTCATTCCCTCAGCTACTCTTGGCATGGCGATTTCTGTTATCAACAGATCCAAGAGGATTTTGAGCATACCTCCAGCGGCTAGACGGAATTTTTTCATTGCAAATTCCAGTTGGAAAATATTTAACCCAACTCCGACGAAGCTTATTGACAAGATGATTCTCAAGATTACTGAAAACCTCTTCATTCCATTTTCTTCGATTTTGAACCCAGAACATGCCCTCGCGTATCTTATTCAAAAAACTAATAAAGACAACAGAAATAAGCTCTTCAACAGTTCGACGATCGAAGTCATCATTTCAAATCCCACTCCGCCCCCGCCACCAGCTGCTCCCATCGATTTAACGGACGACGAAGAAGTTGATGCGGCGAAGTCTCCTCCAATGGTCACTCCCATCAGAGCGCGAAATGTTTCTGGTCAGACTATCACTGGTCTTCAACTAAAATCTCTTCATAATCCGGAGACGAACAAGAACAACGTGGTATACGTCAAGCCAGATGGCACCAAGCTGACTCCAGAAGAACTAGATAGTAAAGTTTACAGTCGGCTAACGGTCCTCCCGTCCATCGAGTCTCCTTGCCCTCGGATGGAACTGTTTCCATTGCCCATCAGTAAGAAACGTAAGAAGTCATCGCCAGTTGGGACGAGTGCTAGAATGGTAATTGAAGATGTTGAAAAAAGTCCTATCCCTCTACCGATCGACCTGTCCAAAAAGACAAAAGAAGAGCTTGAAAAATCGCCTGAACGTCAAGACCCCCCTAAGACAATCGAGAACTTCGGTGAGATCGTGAAGGAAACAGCAGAAGTAGAAGCCACGTCTATTACAGAAAACTCAGAATTAGAATCATCAACTGAACTCGAAGAGCCGCAAAAATCTCCACTGGATCTTTCTTCAAAAGACGAAGACTCTAAATCAGAGGATGTAGCCCCGTGTCCGCCTAAGTCAAGCAAGCCCGAGAAACCCTCGGCTGACGATGCAATGCGTAAATCGGAAGATGATTCATCTTCAGAAGTTTCTTCTCCGCCCAGAAAACGGCCGCTTACAGAAGCTGAACTTTTCGATTACGACACGTCAGAATTACCTCAAAGTCATGTTTCATCCCTTCCCATCCCGGCGAAGATTGAAGAGTCCACAAATATTGCAGCTACACCCGCCGCGCATCCACTGTCGTCGCCAGAAAAGTCTTCGCTCATGCCAACGAGATGTGCGAGAAAGCGAACCTTGTATTCGAGTCCAGAAAAGCCTCACGGTCTCCCGGTAGCGGCGATCAAACCAACTCAAAAAGTCAATATAGGAATGGCTCTTACTTTCTTCAGATTCTAAAGTTTTGAACAATCGTTAAAGTTTATCTCAGAAGCATCATAGATATGCTGCATATCATATGCATAAAAATCTTCAAAGAGGAAACGCTGAGCCATAAATAGCGACTCCTCGCCACCAATTAATCGATACTTATCGCGACGAGATCTCCATGGAGGATATCATCGCCAATGGACTACACTGCCACTACAAACACTGCATATTTCGCTTTCCCGTTGATCAGCCAGAAGTGGCTACTGCTCATTACGAGGAGGATCATGGCTATGCAAGTGAGTTCGCTCCCGATGCCACCAAATGCCAAAGCTGTAAAATTCGATTCAACACCGTCAAGGAACTCAGGAGCGGATTTGAAACTGATTTAACAATCTCTTCCATTATTTACTAAGTGATCGACTTAAATCCCACTTTAGTAAGCACAACCACCACTTCCACAACCCTGATACACGATACAGCTACGGCGATGGCGGCTTCTGCAAGGCTCTTTTCAAGTGTCAGCTTTGCACAATGGATTTCAAGGACTTCGGAGAAAAACGCAAGCATGAAGATTATCATTCAGAAGAAATCAAATGTGAGCACTGTCCCTACATTTCTCGAGCTACTGTGGAAATGGATGTCCATATCGTAAGTGACCATCATCAAAATCGAGAGCTATTTTCTTTTCTAGCTTCAACATTATGGCGTCACCGAGCAAAGTTGCCACATTTGCAATCATCGAGCAAAAAGCAAACGCGACCTCAACGAACACTTCAAAATGCACTTCAATGGAACCGTCCCGGACGCCGAGACCCTAGCGGCCCATTTATCCGAAAACTCGGGAACATCGATGTGCTTGTTGTAAATTATTGTTTTGTATAGTAGGAACCTATTTATTCAGTTAAAACTTTACACCTCAACTACTTCTATTACTTTTCTTTAGTTCTTAAGTTCGAACTCTTTTTAACTTTACTGATAGGGGGATAGCCTTTTCGCGAATTTATGAAATATTTAATGACCCTTCCCGTGTTTTCCTTTTCGGCACTGGTGCCAGTTTTCGAACCAACCATTTTTCGAAAATACATTCAGCACGAGGCGTTAATCATTTCGACCAATGAGAACAGCTTACCCTTTCCGTAATCGAGGGCAGCTTCGCCTCATTCCCCAGAAAGCCCAATAGCACCAGAGAAGACCTAGGATTCGAGATTTTATTGACATTTGATTGGCGCAAAGGGTCCCCTCTATTCAACCGTTATTTATTTCGCCTAACGCGCACTTTCTAGACTCTCTTGCCCCTCTTCTCAAATTTTTATTTATTCCGCGTTCCTAAAATAGAGATACTGACCCGATTCTATGACTGTAAATTATGAATATCGATCGCTCACACTCACCTTGAAAATATTTTTTCCACATGGATTATTTTACGTAGGCGTTTCCGAGTTCACTTTGAGCGCCAAATATGAAAACGTCTCTTTACGCGCGTTTTACAATCTTCGTTTTTAGACACTTCAAAGCGAGATCTACGGTTGAGAATGCCATCGAAGGCGAAAAAAACCCAAAATAAAAAGTCGACGAAAGCTGCTCGACGGGCCGTCACTGCCGGCAAGACTCTTACGAAGGGCACCCAAAACATTGACGAGGACGTCAAGTGTGCTCCCAAGGACTTCAATGAGGAGTCCGAATGGGAGATTGAGGTACGCTTAGCATTTTTTGACTTTCTCTAACAAGCGCCAAGCAATTCGGGGGATTGTACCTCTGCTGGGGTAAGAAGAAAGTACGAAAAGAAGATGGAAGCATCGGTCGCGAGTATTATCTCAAAGATGGTAGGATATTCTCTAAAAATCGATAATTCTAACAATTATTTTCAGATAAAGATCATCGTATTTGGATCAAGTGGACCGTTGCTTTCCACGACAAGATCCGCTGGTCCGCTGAGAAACAATGTATGATTATTTTATATTTCAAGCCATTCACGAAGTTCTTCTAGCCAGCTTGATTGGTGTCTCCAAGGACGCAATCAAGAAGATTGTCAACGACAAGAAGGCGTGGCCTATGCCTTCCGCCTCCGACGGCGTCAAGACTGGCTGGAAGGAACGCCGTGCCATCTGCAGCAACGTCGGCATCACCGAGTGGGCTCCATCTGGCAAAGAGGCCGGCAAGAGGTACAACCTTGTCGACCCCGAATTGCCCATCACCCAGTCGGAGATCGAAGACACCGACGAAGAGACCGACGAAGAGGACTCCTCCAACTAGAGCAATCCCACAGTCAAGTCCAGCCTCACATCCCTCCATCACCGCACCCCCTCTTACAGTCCCTTCACCCCCTTCCTTGTGGGAGGGTTTTTTTTTAGATAATTTCTTTCCGAGCTGGCTCCATTTATAAAACAATACTGCCTTTATCATACAATAAAATCCAAAAAAAAATATATATAACCGTGACTTAATCTATGAACAGCATTTCAAGCAGGTTAAACTTTTTAAAAAGCATCGACCAGCAACTTGCTGGCAGCAAGGATATTAAATCGAGGGCGGTTAAGAATGTCAGAAAATTCGCAATATAGCGTTTACTCGAAGATCGGGGCGAACAAGGACGAGGTATTCTCCAGGCTCCCATTTTTCCATCATCTGGCACCGAGCGCAACTCCAACTTCAAACGGTGAAGAGCTCTTTCAGTCGACCTATGACAAGTTCGCCTTTGACTCCAACAAGGCGCTTGACTCTTGCAGCATCCTTCTTGCCAAAACTTCGAAAAGAAAGAACATCGTTATGGAAGATTATATGGCTAGAATGCGAAAAGTCTATTATGAAAACATTAATCGCGAGGTCGACTGGTTCGGGCAGTCAGCAACTGGAAACTTCCTTGGCTATCCAAAAACAGACCGCGCCTTTAATGCTTATGTCGGACCTAAACTTGCGTGTATCGCTCAATGTATGTAAAACATGTATTCCATAACTAAGTCGATCTTAAGTCTTCACTGGAATGAGCTTCATGTCTGCTATTCGACGCCACTCGTACACTTTCGAAGAGGTCTATCGTACCCTGCTCATGGGTGGATTGATGGGAACTTTGGGCTTTTATATGTGTATGCAGCATGGTTTCATTGCTTATTTCTGGCACGGAGAGAAATATTTAGACAACAAGAATTCATTGAAAAACGGTTCGAAAGCGATTCTATTAGAATAGACGATTGAAGGGATCCTAGCTTCTGCTGAATCTCCCACTTCTAGCGTAGTTTGCCTGCTCTCTATATCTGGACGAGTGAAGAAAACGAGTAAAGTATCTTGACGTCTGTATTTCGAGCTGGAGTAAAATAGAGGTTAATTCACGAACTGCGTGAATTACCGAATGAAGAGAAATACACGGCGGCGACCGAGCAAAGCTCGATCTAGATAAGCAAGTGACCTTAGGGGACGAGGGAGTCTAACGAATCTAAGATCCCAATACCCCCATGAGACTGAAACGTCCTCTAAGGCCAAAGTGTGTGATTTTTGCAGGAGTATAAGCGTAAGATGAGTAACATGGCAGGTTCGAAACGTCGAGGCAGTCTGATTCGCGTTAAAAACCCTTTTTGGGAAAAAGCTTGAATCAGATGCGAAGTTTTCGTGATGTCCGAGCGGTGATGACATGAAGGAGTAGCTGCACATGTAGAAGAACTCAAAATACGTCGGCGACGGTAAACTGTGATAATTTCCGTACCTTTTCAGGCCCCGGTCGATGAATAGGGGACCTGAGTGGGGCAGTACTTGCGCTTAGTCGTATGACTGACCCGAGTTTGTGCCGATGTTTAGAGGTTCGACGGGCCTCGTTTCACGGTGTGCTCGTTTTGTATGTTTCGGGAGATGAGCTGCTCCAACTTCGGTTAAAGTCGCATTCGGATCGGCGCCGGCTGAGTATTGACGATCTGGTGAAGACTTTGGACGGGTTCTTTTCTTGCTGTTTTCAGTTGCTGAGCCCTCAACTACTGTTGAATTATGTTTATCGACTGACATATGGCTATTGTCGGGCGCAGCAACCTCCGAAATCACTGTAGCATCAGCTGACATGTCCTCGGCAGTTTCATAAAGAGTACCACCAGAGTACCAGCGATCTGACGGCTCGGCTGGAGCTACCGACGAGTCCAAAATAGATGTAGCGGTTGTATCTCCCAGATTTTCCATGTCCAATCGGCGTCTACTTTCCAAAATAGGTGATAGAGATGATCTTGGCGGTTTTTCCATAGCAACCATCGGAGTCGACGCGACCTGAGAAGATTTCCTCCCCCCCATGCGACTTCGACCCGGACTTTTCCATCGGTTTGGAAGTAGGAACAGGCGATTTTTGTGGGACTTTCGACTTAACGATTTCGGTTAAATGTGGGAATACGTACTCGGCCTCGTAGTAATCAATCCAGCGTAAGTCGTGATTTCGTTCTGCGGCGTGAACCACGTGTTCTCGATGGATGAAATCACGTTGTCCTTTTTTATCTTCGACCATGACGACCCAGTCGTTGCTCGAAACGGCTTTCAGGGGACCTACCCAGCGTTCCTTCTTGCTTTTAGCGTCGGTCAGGTTTTCTCGCTTAATGTACACGACAGCGCCAGCGGGGATTGGTCTCGGCTTAGGCTCGTTTTTCAGCCTGTGCTCCATGGCTCGGTCAGCAGCTTCCATCGCAGTTTTCACAATGGCTTCCGCCGATTTCGCTAAAGCTCCCACATTGAGACCAAACACCTGAGGTGTTTCCGCTGTCATTTCTGCGCCAGTAGAGTGGGTGAAAGTACTTTTTCGGCCAAACCAAACTTCTCGCGGTGAAATTTTCGTGCTTTTGTTTTTCACACTATTGAGCGCGCGCATCACGTGGGGAACGCAGTCGGCCCAAGTTTTTCGACCGGAAGATGAGTTGACCATGCAGAATAGACTGTTTTTGATAGTCCGATTCGCTCTTTCTGCGAAAGCGTTTGATTGAGGGTGAAATGCGGTACTTATTGTATGTTTTATCTGGTTAAGCTTACACATTTCGTCAATCACGCTTGCGCAGAAGTGGGTACCTCTGTCACTGTGTAGATGTTTCGGCAAGAAATCCATGGGAAGGAAGACCTTGTAGATGAGCGCTTTTGCAGCGCAGATAGCAGTGTCGGACCGCGTCGGAATGCACCAAGTGTAGCGAGAGAAAGTGTCCGCCACCACCAAATAATACTTGAATCCGCCAGCGGGAGGCATACAAGCGAAATCGATCTGAATCGATTCGCCAGCTGTTTTTCCACGACGAAGGGTTCCAAGTGGCGGTTTGGTACGAGTTCCAGCAGATCCTTTTCTGCGTAGGCAAGGGACGCAGCTGTGGACGTAGTTAGAAACATCGTCTTGAAATGAAGGCCACCAAACGTCCTCTAATCGCTCTAAAGTCCGCGGCTCGCCCAGATGACCGGACAAGTCGTGAGCTAGAAAGAGAAAGTGACTTTTTACCGCTTCCGGTACCACCGCCCGCGCGCCAGATTTGAATTGACACATCAAGCACCCGGTAGTGTTATCCAGGAACAGAGCTTTTTCCATCTTGAGTAGAGACGATTGTCGGTGGTCGGAGTCCTTCACCAGCGATTTTATGTCCAGTGGCTCCTTACCAGATTCCAGAAAAGTGATGATTGCACTCAGAGCAGAGTCCTCCCTTTGATAGTCCAGAATGTTATTATAATTCGCTGACACCAACGGAATCTCCATTGGCGCCGCGATAGCCTTGACGTTTACCTTATGTATCTTCACCTCTGATAAAGTGATTTTCTCCGGAAACTGATTTTCGTTCCAGAAAGGGACGAAGACACGTACTGGTGAATTCTTGTCGATTTCGTACTCGCGACCAACGGGAAACTCAGAGTCGTATCCAAGTGATTTGTCGTCCTCGCCAGGTCTGCGGCTCATAAAGTCGGCGAATTGATTTTCTGATCCCTTGATGTAGACAATGTGAAAATCGAATTCTTCCAATCGGCTTTGCCATCGGCTTATTTTAGAATTCTTGAACTTCTTTTTGTGTAGGAAGATCAAAGATCGGTGGTCTGTGTGAATCTGAAAGAATCTACCTTTCAGGAGCTTTTCCAGTCGCTCGCAGCACCAGACAATGCTAAACATTTCCTTTTCTGAAGTGTTCCATTTTCTTTCAGCTTTGTTGAAGGTGTGGGAAATCGCGCTTACTAGGTGCACTCTCCCGCCATACTCTTGTAGCAGGACGCCACCCGCTGCGTACAGGCTCGCGTCTGTGTAGAGATGAAAAGACTCGTCAAAGTTAGGAAAACTTATGACTGGAGTCTCGGAGAGTCGTCGTTGAATTTCCTTGAGCGCCAAATCCGCTTCTTTGGTCCACTTGAAACAATTTGTTTCGTTCGCCGAATTTCGAACATCGTTTATGGGCTTCATTCTGCTCGAGAAGCAACCGGATGAAATAGCTTCGCCCATTTTCGTTTCTAGAAAACCTCGGATCCAATTCAATGACCCGATTAATGAAGCTAACTCCTTTTGGGAGCGTGGGGGTTTCATCTGACGAAGAGCGGAGACTTGCGCAGGGTCCGGTTTGATTCCATCTTCGTTGATGATTCGGCCCAAAAAGTGAGCTTCGGATTGTAGGAAAGAGCACTTTTCGCCCTTGAGTTTAGCGTTAAACTTGCGGAGCGCGATGAATAGGTTTCGGAGAGTGTTGTAATAGCAGCTGAAAGTCTTCCCAAAACACACTATGTCATCGATATAAGAAAGCATCTTTTTCCTGGTGGGGCTTGAGTCGAGAATTGTGTTTACGACGCGCGAGAATATATTCCCCGAGCATCGATAACCGAATGGTAGTCTGCAGAAGGCGTAAGATTTCCCACCCCACTGGAAGGAAGTCTTGTACCTGTCGCTTTTCTTTACAGGGCACTGCCAATATCCACTTCGTAGATCAACTGTGGCGAAAAACTTATTGCCCGGTCCAATGTTCGCAATCGTATCCTCCATGCTTGGGAGATGGTAAGGGTCGGATTTGTCGGAGAGGCATTTGTTCAGGCTGTTTTTGTAGTTGATGCAGAAGCGCATTTCCCCAGATTTCTTAGGAATAGGCAATACCGGGCTGTTAAACCCTTTCTGGTCTTTGATCTCTTCTATTATTTTCGTTTCGAGCAGTTCGGAGATGTGATCGCTGACCTGACCATGAAAAGCTTGCGGAATCGGGTGTTGACTGATGTTTCGACTCGTACCATCAGTCGGGATTTCGATCTCGAACGGGAATTCACCCATTTTTTGACCGTCGCAGCCGAATCTGTCGTCGAATTCCAAACACAGCTCGGCGACCATCTTCTTTTGCCCCGGGTCTGCGTCTGCTGGTAGGGTTATTCCGAGTTTTTGCTTCGCTAGCTGAATGGGGCACCTGGCTGCGTTCTTGTTCGGCGCGTCCAGCTTTGGGACTTCTCGTGGTGGTTGAGTGCGGGACCGATCGCTGTCTTTGACCGCTGATCTAGTCGTCAAGTATTTCTTGATTTTGGTCCGCTTCACTCCGTCCAGCTTCACCACTTGAGTCTCAGTTTGTGTGAAGGCTTCGTTGTAGCAAAATGAGAGAGTACGATTCTTATTGTCGACTGTGAAGCTGTCCGTCATCGCATTCTCTAGTATATCGCGGCCCAGTAGACTTGGGTATTTACTGCCTGGCATGATGGTGAGATTCAAGGAGAATGCAGGGCCACCATTGAATGATAAGCGGCAGGGAAGGATACCCCTCGGCTGCTCGGCGGGGATATTTGGGCTGAAACCGGTGACCTTGAAGGGGCAGGGCTTCAGCATCTGGAGAAATTTGTCGGGAACGTAAGCAGCGGACAGACAGGAGGACTCGGCTCCGCTGTCGACTTCCATCGATACGTCAAAACTTTTAGAGCCCGTAATGATGGTAGCCGAAGCGAAATAAGCCTTTCCTGGTCGCTTCTTCTTCACTGTGTAAAAGTGAACATCGAATGGTTGGAAATCTTCGACGTTCTTAGTCGTATTAATCTTCTTGGATTCTGGTTGTTTATCGTCTTTCCCATCCTTAGAATCGGTGCTGGCGCGCTTAGCATTCTTCTTCTTTTTGTTCTTATTTCTGTTGAAGTGCTGGGAGACGGTCGCGCTGTCAACTCGATTCTGTCTTGTGGATTGGGCGAGACGGCAGAGTTCGTTGATATCGTAAACTTTTGATAGGCTTGGAAGGATTGCGTTGAAAACGTCTGGTTCTTCTTTCCTAAGATTCAAGTACAGCATCATCGTCGAGAATATGTCGAATATTTCATCGACCCCGGCGTCGGCTGACTTCTCTTGTCGGTAAGAGTTCAAAGTCGCTTGCTTCGCCTCGTTCATCTTTTGCAAGACGTTGGCGGTGTAGTGTGCAAACGGCTTCGAATGGTCGTATTCGACGTCGAAAACTTCGCTTAGCTTCAGTAAGTAGTGACTCTTCGCGGCGAATGATTTCTCTAGCAGCGCCTTGGCCGATTTCCAGTCTTGACAATTCAGAAATTCGGTTCCAAGTGAGCGTTCGATGTTCAAGTCGAAGTGGCTGTACACTGCTGCGATGAAAGGCTGTTCACGTGAAGGTCTGTCGCGGACGTAGGCGCGGTGATAAATGTCGGCTCTGCCCAAGAAGGTGTTGAAAGATGTGTTGCATGCGGCGTCCAGCTTCGGCAAGTCTTGGACGTGACGAGACCAGGTAGTGGCCACCCATGCTTCTTCTCTCATTGTAGCATTCGTAGATTCTTTTCCTTGATCGAGCTCGCAGGTAAGAAGCGTTGTACTGAGCTGTTCTAATTTTACTCTGCTTTCTGTGATCAAGGGCTCTAGGCTTGGCTTAAGTGATTCGTCATTTCGCACTTGTTCTTCGAGGTAGTTTACTCGATCGTTTATGCTTCTTATTTCGGTGACGGTTTCTAGCAGTGATTTGTTCGCCGCCATAGCTCGAAATATATCGGCAGTAAGGGTTTATGGGCCTTGGATTACCTTTCAGGCCCTCAGAAAATACTGCGACTAAAAGTCGCAATATGATGAGCTGAGGTGCCTTTTTGCGCAAACGCCCGACGATTTCTCTGTCCAGCGATTGTCGAAATTTCAAGGTCTGGTCCAAGGGTCGATTCTTCGTAAACTTCTCTCGATTTTTGGTGAAAAGTGGCGAAAGAATTCTGTTTTTCTGAGTATTTTAGGTTTTCCCCGGCGTGCGTGCGTGGTTGCGTGGGCGCGACTTTCGGCGCGTGGGTCGTGGTGGCGCTCGTGTGGTGGCGCTCGCTCGGGGTGGTGTTGGTGTGGTGCGGCGCGGAAAATTCTCTGAGTGGAGTTTCTCCGGCGGCGCGGTGGCGGTTGGTGATTCGGTTCCCCTCGACTCCGCTGACGGCCAATCAGCGTCCAAGTTGCGAAACTTCGGTTGTCGATGGCGGAAAATTTACCTTTTCTCCAACGGGACTACTCTGATACCACTGAAGGGATCCTAGCTTCTGCTGAATCTCCCACTTCTAGCGTAGTTTGCCTGCTCTCTATATCTGGACGAGTGAAGAAAACGAGTAAAGTATCTTGACGTCTGTATTTCGAGCTGGAGTAAAATAGAGGTTAATTCACGAACTGCGTGAATTACCGAATGAAGAGAAATACACGGCGGCGACCGAGCAAAGCTCGATCTAGATAAGCAAGTGACCTTAGGGGACGAGGGAGTCTAACGAATCTAAGATCCCAATACGATAATCAAACTCCTAGAATGCGCGATGTGCTGGTCCGGCCGAGCACTTGCCGCGATCGCGCTCTCAAGCTTCATCGTGCCTCCAACAATCATGGTCGTCCTCGCAGAAACAAACGAGAAGCACCGCGGAAAACTCATTGGCCTCAATGAAATTTGGACTCGCAAGTACTGGATCTTCTGGACAGATGTCTTCCGTCAGATTTTGGTGAAAAACGGGCGACCAAAGATTTGCGCTCCGAACTTTTTCTTGCTTCTACTGCTGCGCTTTCTGTTTATACTGTTTTTGAGACTGTTTATGACGAGAGACAGTTTAGAGATCTTTGCATAAAACACTATACTGAAAACGTTTCCTCGATATCATTCTAACTTATTTATTAAAAACAATTGTATATATTGATCCGGCTCGTATTCGCTTATTTCAGAATGAGATGGAATCTCCGCAAAACATTATATTGAACGGGCAGCACAGTTTTTCGGATAAAAATGCAGATCTCAATGAAGGATTCAAACTTACGTTTCTCGTGAAGCTGGTATTTGTTTTCGGAGTTTATGAGATTCATGATTATCTTCATTACTTGCATCCGATATTGCTGATTCTGCTTATTTCCGCCGTTCATGTACTAGCTTGTTTAGGACAAGGGACCTTACTATTAGTTTGATTTAAATTTTAGCCCTTTTTTCGTATTAGTACGCATCTAACTAATAGTAAAGATCCTTCTTTAGCAATTCAAAGACCTAAATATGCAGACTTGTTTAAAAACCGCAAAATATTCCTATCAATTGCTGCATTAAATTCCTGTCAATCGTTGTGTTGGATCTACGCACGACGTTACTCCGGTTCGCTCCGAAGCATCGTCCTTTTCGGTTTCAATGATGGAATTCGGATTCTCGCAAGTTTCTGCAAGAACCCTTCGCTCCGTTGCTCTGGAATCTTCTACATCCTTGGGCTGATCTCTTGCGTCGGTAGTGGAAACGCAATGACTGGGTGTTTTCTTTCCATTGTTGATAATTTGCTGGACTTGCTTTCGAAAAAAGCTCATCTCAAAATCGACAAGACGGTCCAAAGAGCGGATTCGGAAGTGCTCGTCGAAACACTTTCTTTTGCGATGATTCTGGTTTTGTACGCGTTTTTGCGATTGTTTGGTTACGGAGTGCACACGCATCATGTTCTCGACGAGCCAATTTCGATGATTTCAATTATTTTCCCGATGATCACTTTTGGAATTTTCACGAAAACTCTCCCGTGGCTCGCCGAGTTTCGAAAGCTAAAGTTGTATTGTCACCCGAAGACTTCTGTTCTCTGGTACCGATACGAACTCTTTGCCGCATTTCTGTTTGGCTATCTTTGGGATCACCCAGTTACTTCGAAAGTATCAGGACTTATGCGCGAAGAAATTATCGGAAGAAAAAGCCATGAATTGGAAGGGAATATCATCGTTCTTTCACTGTTTTTTCTAATGGCCGATTGGTACTGGCGCGGAAGTTCAAGTTCTCCTCCTCTTACAACGAGCACCAGTGGGTTTAGTATATCTAAATGCATCCTTGACCTTGCTGCGAAAAGCTCAGCAGACCCTGTTCTAAGAACAAAGACTTTCTTCACTTTTCTAAGCATTTCAATTTCCGCTTTGACTTGCGCTGTTGCTGGCTACAACAACTCTTTGGCGCTCTTTGGGGCTGCTCTTTTGACCATTTTCAATTCGAACAAGATCATTTTGTCTCTCGTCAAAGGCCTTGTTAGCAATTCAAAGCCGTCAAAAATGTTCAACTTTGGTCTTGCTTCTGTGGAAAGTCTGGTTTGTAACAATTTCCAGACAAAATCTTGAATATTCTTTTAGGTCGATTATCTTTTATCTGTTTTGATCGTGATGAGTTGTTTTCTCATTACAAAAGAGTCGATCGTTAGAATGACTTTCTCCACCGATGTTTCAACTGAGTTCGCTTTACTAATTACAACCATCAGTATTTGCGTCAATCTCGGAGGATACGGATTATTCGGAGAGGAGTTTTTAAGAAAAATGGACGAGTATGAAAATCCTTCGCTTTGGAAAGAAATGCTTCGGGCTAACATCGGTTTCATCGCGATCGTTTTATCCGTTTTTCTTAATTCGTGGACAATCTTTGATTCACTCGTCGCTCTCGCCATAGGTAGTGAAATAAGTTGCGGGAGTTCGATATAGAAATTTTTAGCTTCTTTCGTTGGATACGAATCGCTGCCGATTCTAAAGAACTCATCGGAAATCTTACTTCTCAGATGCCCAAGCAGCATCGAGCGGGCGTTCAAAGAAGCGCTCCACAAAATAATGCAAATGAAAGAAGTGGAGTCTTACCGCGACCATCGTTGCTGGACGCTTTCTCCGAATGTCTTTTGCTGCAGTATCGTTCTGCACATAGGCGAAGCTGCTGTCGAGAATACAGTCATTTGTGTTGCTGGACAATATTTCAAGGTGCACTCGGCGAATTTGTTCTGTTCTTATTAAGTTTCAGGAAGCTGGAATCACAGAGATAACGATTCAATGCGAAAAAGACATTTGCCACGCTTACCTAGCTGGCTCACAAGCCCAATCCGCAAAGAGCAAGTTCGAGTGGCTCCAGCCGAAGAATCAAGACTCTGAAATTTATATTTAACTGCCAACTGATATCTTTAACCACTACTCATTCTGTAAATTCCTTACTATCTTCAAAATAATTTTAACTTCTCAATACACGTGGTCGGTTCAACCGACCACGGCGGGTTTGAGCCGCCGTTATTTCTCTTGTGATAATCCGTTTGACCTGATTTTTGTAATGTGAGCTAAGATGACTAAAACGAACCACTTTCTGAAATTTTGGATGTTTTCTCAAAAGTGGTGGCGTTTTGCATCGGATTCATCTTTCATTCTACAGCTGCAAATCCAGAAAGTGTTTTTCAAAAGTAATTGTTTATCCTGATAGGTGAGTGTTCAAGCTTTCCAGCGATATGAATTGTTACCTTTTTACCCGCCGCAAACGAAAGTTAAAGCTAAAAGTTTTGAGCGCTCTTTCTGACAATCCGAATTTTACGCGCCGCGCGGGGCTGAATAATGCATTGTGGTCCCCTCACCCGACCCCGTGTTTTGAGCGCTTAGTTGCGCGCCCGTGTATTGAGAAGTTAACCCGATAACGCGAGTTTGAAATTATACGATAACGAGAGCGGGAGCAGTTAGTGCACCCGGGCCATCTAGAACAATTTTAAGCAAAAAGAGGGCAAAACTGCTTGTTTTCTTGGTCTGTAAGACGGCGCTTTCGTCGGATTTTTGAAAAATGCTCGGTCTAGAACTCCTGAGAACTCTTTTTTGTGAGGAAAAACGCGAAAAGAACGCGCGCTCTCTTGATGAATGTTATGTAACATCGAGTTCTCGAGACGAATTTCCAAAAATTTCCTCCTTTTTTGTAAAAAAATAAGGATTAAATAGAGTATGAGTAAGAGTATGAAGATTTCTTAAAATCAAACTAAGTGAGGAATAGGTGCTAGAATCTAAGTTTTTTTGAATTTTTGGATTATCTTCAAAATTGAAGAAAATCACAATGCAACAACTAGCTCTGGGAGCACTTAGTGCTCCCGCTCTCGTTATCGGGTTAATTATGCGTGGCGCCTACGCATGTGGTGGGTCTCTCGCGCGCCCCAGGTGTAGGTCACGTGTGCGTAGGCGTCTTGGTCTTCCACCTCTTTGTTTTTCGGAAACAGCAGTTCACTTGAGTGAATCCATTTTATTCGTTCATCATTTCAGAGATGGATCATCAATTCAAGGTGCCAAAGGTGCCGAAGATTTCGAAGGTTCCGAACATTATTCCGGTATGGCGCCCGAGTAATAAGAGAGAGAGAGAAAGGAGTAAACAAGGAGACAAGAAGCACGAGAAAAAACTGATCTTTGGCAGTCCCATCTACGCACCCATCGAAATACGATGGCTGCATTCTAACCTCAGTCTCATCGACGAGCTGATCGAGACGATCCAGGACGAAGACTTCAGGAAGATTCGTTACGCGGCAGATCTTAATATCATCGCCGCTTATCGTCAGTACAATTTCAAGGCATCGACAGATGCAGACATCAAGCCACTCAATCAGAGGAATGAGTATGCTGACCACAAGTTTGTTAAAATATTGGGCGGATATCTTGTTTCGCTGTTCTCTGAGCTGCCCAAAGGAACATGTAAGAACGCTCATCCTTCCGGACTTCTTCCTTAATCTTTCTTTTAGTAAGTGAGTTCACCAAGATAAGCTACAAAAATTTGGTCGAGTCCCAACGTACGAAGAACTCTCAGACAAGGCGGTGATGAACCTGGTAAACTCGTTGCGAAGAATGCTTGCGGAATACGAGATGCATGCCTCAAATTTTGACCCATGCATGCGCGACGAAGAGGGCATGGCGTGCAAAGAGCTCAAGGAAATGGAATTGTTGAGAATGATGATGCGCATCATTCTCGATGCATTTGAATCGATCTACCAGCGAATTCAAGTTATTCAGTTCAAAATGAATAAAGAATTGTCACGTAAGTCAAATTTGCTTTCTAGGATCAAATTGATCTTAATTTGACTGGTCAAAGGTTTACCAAGAAATTTCAGAGGCTATTGATGAACAAAATCGGCGAAAAACTAACTACTTGATCGCGAACAAGACGATTGAGGATATCAGAGATTCGTTGCCGAGCACCAAGATCTTCAACGATTACAATCACATGTACAATCTGATGCCGAGAGTTCATCTTATTCGAGCATACTGGGTATGTTTTTTGCTATCTTCCTTGATTTCACGACTCTTTTCTTAGATCCTGCAAGATTACACAGATGTCATCTTGCACACACAGCATATGGCGGCCATGGAGTGGGAAACTTTCTACTGGAAAGGCGACAAAAAGTTTCATGATGAATGCTTTGCGTACAACATTGAATCGTTGATGAACATGCAGCTCGAGGCGTACAGACTTCTCGACGACGACAACGGCAAAGTGATCGAAAACCATCTCTACAATCGCGAGCCAACGTACGGCCTTGACGGGAACTTGACAAGTTTCGATCGAACGGCGAGAGCGCTCAAAAAATTGACGAACAGATGAATCCACCTTGGGGAGACGCAGCCTTCAACGCGCCTGATCGAGTTCTCGAGCTTGGGGACTGGTCTCAGTTGGAGAAGGCAACGGACACGGCGCTCAAGACCTTCCCGATCAGTTTGGTCGATTTCGGAAATGAAAAAGACTTCCAGGCGATCACATACAAGCTCCTAGAGGCTCAGACAGACGCTATTCGAAAGGAAAACATTGAGATCTTCGAGCGGGAGATCAAAAAAAGACGCCACGAATGGTTCCACGATAGAGTGACCAACAGGGACGAGTACAAAACGACCCTGCCGGCACTTTTTCTGAACGATCAGCATGACATGTTGAACCTTCTGAAATACATTGATGACAAGGAAGAGGAAAGCAATCCCTTCAAATTAACTGACATGTACACGAAGATGGACGAGCGACGCCGCCTCTGGGACGATCTTCCTGAACAGTGGCATCTCCTCAGGACCGAACTCCGGAGTCTCGTCAGTTTGCGGAACGGCCTGATAAAGCTTCCTCTTGGAGCAAAGACAGGCAAAAAGTTCAAATTCAGACTCGACACGATTTGCGCCAATGTTTTGATGGAGAAAGCAAAGATGCTTCGAATGATGAAGGATGACGAAGGTTGTGATTCTTGCATCGATTTGGCGACAGATATTCTCGAAGAAGTTCACAACATGAAGAATAAGCACTTGAAAAGGCGGCTCAACTTGCTGAACATACTCACACTCGAGAGTCATCAGCTCATCATTTCGCTATTGGAGAAATACAACATTGAGAGATCGCACATGTACGAATTGTACAGCGAGTTAGTCGATGATCGTGAGCCGTACCGATTGCTGATCGGTTCGCCCGAAGGAACCAGGTGGTTTCGAGCAAGTGCTGCGAGCAAGATCGCCTTTTTGCTTGGAAATATTGCGCTGAAAGACAACTCAGAGTTGTTCAATGACAAAGGATTGTTCTTTGGCCTGGAGAATACACAGCTCAGTCTGGACTACAAGACAACTGAAGAGGCCAGAGGCTGGTTCAAAAGAGCGTGTAAGACTGCGGAGCTCTGCCGACCTGGAGATAATTTTCAAAAGAGAAAGTGCTACTATGCGATGGCCGAGCTGAACGATGAGTTTTTTCGACAGCACTCGACGTTTTTCTTCCAGAAAAACACCGCAGAGCAGACGCAAGCTGATCTGGATGCATCTGTCCTATCCCCACCGGGATCAGTCACCCAAGGAAGTCAGCTTACTGCTCGCAGTGAGAATAGAGAACTGGTCGATTGCGCTCTCAACGCGATTGAGAAGTACGGTCAAGCAATTGTTGCTGGCCACCGTTTGGACAGAATGTGTCTCTTCAAAATCATTGAGTTGGTCTTCCATGTTGCCGATGCCCTTGGCGAGCCTGGAGTCATGCAGCAATCTGTTCACGATAAGAGCAGGATGATTTTCGCTCGTTTTGAAAAGACGATGAACATAATTCCTCCAGAGCAGATTCTGACGATCATCACTCAGATTCTTGGTCGATTGAGCCACCGATGCAAAGACTTTGTCACTGTGTGCTTCAAGATCACCCTGAAGATGACGAAGGTTTTCCCTTATCAAATGACCTGGTACTTCCTGAACTTCTCGCAACACGCGAAGGAATACGAAGACATCCGAAAGAAAGATGAGAGAGAGCTTTACAGAGAGTATCAAAATAACATTGATTTGTGGGAAAGAAAGGGAAAAAGAGGAATGAAACCAGTCCAGACTGCATGGAGCGAAATGGAATCGAAAAATTTGCGATCAGCTGTCGTTCGTGGAAGGAAAATCTACATGACACTAGTAAAGAGATTAATATCCGTTGATGAAGAGTACAAGCGAATCTTCAGGCATTACTCTGCCGCGTGGACCCTGATCAACGAGATCATCAACCATAACTTTAGAGAGACACCGTCTGGCAAGCCAAGTCTCCGTTCAATGAAAGATAAAGTGAACCTCGCATCCGCTTCTGTAAAACTGCTCGAGAAAAAGTTGCCTGATGACTTCAAGGTTCTCATCCCGACAAAGGAGTTTATGCGACCAAAGCAGCGTAACACGCGGCTTCTAGCAGACTTTGATGTAAATTTCTCGCCGTTTCAAACCACGAGCTCATCTCGATCAAAGCAAGGGAAGAAACAACCGGAAGAGGATATCGAGCAGACTGGCGAAGAGTTCTGCGAGATGCACAATCTCGACCATGGAGCTGACGACGACGTAGAATACAAAGAAAATCCCGATGATCCAGAACTTGCTACTGTTATAGACTTCGATGATTATGGAGAGTTCCCAGTGTCTCCAGGGGAGCATCATGAACCAGAGGAAGACATGGACAACGATCCGGATACCTATGACCCGCCCATCGATACTGAGAAAGACACCTGGAAGAAACCATGGCATCCCAACCTGGTTTTCATCACTTCTTTTATGGACGAAATACTCCAGTTGTCTTCCCAGCAAAAACCAAAGCGACTCGTCTTACTGGGCACAGATGGTAGGGAGCACAGCTTCTTGTTGAAGAGAGGCGACGATCTTAACTTGGATTCGAGAATCGGAGAGACTTTCGAGCTATTCGACTATCTTCTCCGACACGATGAAGAGTCCCGTGATGCAGATATGTCGATTCGATCGTACAACGTATTGCCGATTGGGCACAAACGCGGAATCATTGAATGGGTGGACGATCTATGGGTTCGGGTTCACAAATAATTTTCATTATCTCTTAGCCAGGGATCTAAATTTTTGCCGAAAATCAATTGCGATGCGATTGCGACGCAAAATACTCCGGAAATTGCGATGCGATTGCGATTTTTGTCGCAAATTGCGAATTTTTCGCGAATTGCGATTTTGTCGCTATTTGCGAAATTTTAGCGAAAAAAGTAACTTTTCATAGAATTTAAGAAAATTTTTGAGGTCAGGCTTTCAATTAAGCCTTAAGAACACAGAACATAGGCTCTGAGTCAAAGAAAACTGTTGTCAGAATAACAAGGGAGCAACTAACAAGGCCGAAATTCGCAAAAAAATCGCAATTTGCGAAATATTAGCGAAAACTGAGTTGCGATGCGATTGCGATTAGATCAAAAAAGTTTTTGCGATTGCGAATTTTCTGCGAAATTTCGCATCGCAATCGCAAAATATTCGCAAATTGCGATTTTCGCGAAAAAATTTAGATCCCTGCTCTTAGCTGTTAAAGAATAGATGTTGAACTTTTTAACAGGCCTTCAAAAAGTGCTTGCAAGCTTATTATGAGCGCCGGGGCTACACAACATCCCAACTTTTTTGGTCACCACCTGAGTTTTCCGGCGATGGCGCTGATCGAATGAAGTCCTTCGAAGAAATCAAGAAGAAAGCTGGACCACCAGTTTTCCACGAATGGTTCCTCGAAAGCTTCCCGACTGCTGGCGAATGGTACCAAGCCAGGGAGACGTATCAACGATCACTGGCAGTTACCTCAATCATTGGTTCAATTATCGGCTTAGGTAATTCATTCATCGTTGGCTCGTTTTAATCTGTTCATTGAAGGAGATCGCCACTGCGACAACCTTCAAATCTGCCAGCGAACAGGAGAAGTCGTCCATATCGACTTGAACATGATCTTCTTGAAGGGAAGAAATCTCAAGGTGCCTGAGATCGTGCCTTTCCGAATGACAAGGAACATAGTCGACGGTCTCGGTCCTGTTGGCGTTCAAGGTACCTAGATTGAACCGAAAACATTCTTTCAATATTTTAGGTCTTTTCCGCAAAACGGCTTTACTTACCATCCGGATCGCGAAAGACAAGGGAAAGCTGTTGCGAACAGTATTCTCGCTTGTTCTCCGAGATCCAACCTGCAAGTGGGAAAAGATCAGAAGCAAGAAGAATGTGCTCATAACCAGCAGCGGAAAGGACAGGTCACAAGAGTCGCCAATCGTTCTCATGAAAGAGAAGAACATGATGAGAGAGGATCGACAAGCCGGTAAGATTTTTTTGTCTTGAAATGCTTGTTTAAGCTCATTTCTTTAGCTGAAGACCTGACTGATCTTCTCAAAAGAGTCTATTGCTACGATCCAGAGACAAAGAAGATCCTGCCTCCCAGCGACTACCTCGATTTGCTTGTCCAAACTGCCAGCGCGGACGAAAACCTCTACAAAATGTATCGAGGTTGGGCGCCGCACATGTAACGCTTCCTATCTTGTCACTTCCAGTTAACCCAGACCCCTCAAAATCTAACCCAACTCCCCTCCCTTTCAACAAGTTCAACACCTAAACGATCCTGACAATAGAACATGTTAACTGCCCCTCACTTCACGTTCCTTACTGATACATTTATCGTAAAAGTTCAAAAAATAAATCTCACCCAACACAATCATGGTTCAATTTTTTCTTGCAACCTCATGCATCTTTATGGTATCATATGAGTAATGGAAATCAAGGATGAAAAAGTAAATACCGTTTGGGAATTGGGCTCTTCTCAATTTTTTCTCTACTGCTAATTGAGGAATCTTTCGCTAGAATGATAAAATGAGAATTCTCTGTGTAGCAGAAAAGAACGACGCTGCAAAAAATATTGCAGCTCAATTGAGCAATGGCTCAGCGAGGAATGAAGCAGGGCCGAGCAAATACAACCGACTCTATAAGTTTTACTCGATGTTTGAGGTAACTTTCGAATCCGAATCTGACCGTTGATTGTGACTTGTCTTGTTCCAGGGACACCAGGCTGATTTTGTGATGACTTCGGTAAGCGGGCACATGCAAAACTACGAGTTTCCGATCCAGTACAAGAGCTGGAGCTCGACCCCGCCAGACGCTCTCTTCGATGCGCCACTCGTAAAGAATGTCACAAAAGACATGGTGAAAGTAAAGCAAAATCTGGAGCAGCAGAGTCGAACACACTCGGTCCTCATCATCTGGACCGATTGCGATAGAGAAGGAGAGAACATCGGTGCAGAGGTTCGAGACGTTTGTCTTCGAGCGAACAGAAATCTCCGTGTCCTTCGAGCGAGGTTTTCTGAAATCACTCAAACGGCCGTTCGACGAGCGATGGCGAATCTTGTCCCGCTCAATGTGCTCATTGCAGAAGCAGTCGATGCTAGACAAGAGCTGGATCTGAGGATCGGCGCTTCTTTCACCCGACTACAATCGTTATTCCTACAGAACCGCTTTCCAACACTCGTAGATAGATTGGTCAGCTTCGGGAGTTGTCAATTTCCAACATTGGGCTTTGTCGTCGAAAGATGGAGAGCAATCGCGGAGTTTCAGCCAGAGAAGTTTTGGAAAATCGAAGTGCATCACAACAGAGGTGGAATGAACACGATTTTCACCTGGTCTTGTGTTCGGCTCTTCTCAGAGCGAGCTGCGGCGGCGATTTTCGAAGAAATCGAGGAAAGCGGAAGAGCCAAAGTCACGCATTTAGAATCAAAGCCGAAGTCCAAATGGCGTCCCTTTCCACTAGAAACAGTCGAGCTCGAGAAAAAAGCGCGAATGCTAGGATTAACAGCGAAAGATATCATGAAAATCGCCGAGAAACTTTACACTACTGGTTTCATTTCGTACCCGCGTACTGAAACGAATATTTTTCCTAAGTCGCTGGACTTGAAGCCGATGGTGGAGGCGCAACAGCGAGACCCGAGATTTGGAGCCTTCGCGACGGAGATTCTTCAAAACGGGATCGACCCGAGAAATGGGAGGAAAACTGACGAAGCGCATCCACCGATTCATCCGCTCAAAGAAGGATCAGGAAAGGGCCTTCAGAACTTGAAAATCATTTCCTCCTGACCATTTTCTGAAGGCTTGAATAAGGATTAGTTGGTGCGGAAGCGAAAGTATACGAATTCATCGCCCGTCGATTTCTCGCGTGTCTCTCTCGCGATGCACAAGGCTTCGAGACCACGTGCAAGTTGGAAATTGCCGAAGAGGAGTTCTCCGCAAAAGGGTTGCTCATTTCCGACAGAGGCTACTTAGAAGTTTATCCTTACGACAAATGGTCAGACAAGACTCTTCCTCAGTATCAATTCAACGAGGAATTTACCATCACAAATGCGGAATTCATCGAGAGCACGACTACTGCTCCACTGTTGCTTTCTGAACCTGATTTGATTGGTTTGATGGACAAGTATGGCATTGGAACGGATGCTACGCACGCTGATCACATTTCTACAATTCAACAAAGAGGATACTTAAAACTCACTCGCGAAAAACGATTCGAACCGTCTCCCTTGGAATTGGGCTAGTCAGTGCTTATGAAGATTTGTCGATTCCACTTGCGAATCACCTCCTTCGATCGGGACTGGAAAGGGACCTGGTGAAAATTGAAAATGGCGAAAAGCAGCGAGATGCAGTAGTTCGAGCGCAAGTAAACGCATATCGAGAGGCGTATAAAAAGGCAGAAGAGAATTTGAATCGATTCGGTGCTGTCATAGCGCAGAGCATGGGCGTTGCTCGTCAAAATGATCGACCTTTTGAACTGCCGAGAAATCCAGCTGATGATGCTGTCGCCCGTTGTCCTCGGTAAGATAAACATTGTCAAAAATATCTTCATTCTTTGATTTAGATGTCAGTCACCAATGGTCGTAAAAACTATTCCAAATGGCAGCGTTTGTGTTTCATGCACTGGCTATCCAGAATGCAGAACAAGCGGATTCTTACCAAACGGTGGAAGGATGATAGCTCGTTTGAGAGCATGCAACTGCAGCGCTGGATTTTATGTTGTCAGATGGAGCTTCGAGCCTGGAAGCGTGCCTAGCCACATGACAGGAGAGTACGAAGGATGCTTGGGATGCGATGAGACGCTCAAAGAAGTGATACGAATTTCAATTAGAGAAGGGGACGCAGCAAGGAACAATCGACGTGGAGGAGGACCACCACCAGGCCCTGGTCCCGGACGTGGGGGAGGAAATCAGCGAGGAAAAAAACGAAAATCCGACCATGACTCTGGTCCAGGCGGTTCTGGAGGAGCAGCCGTAAATTGCGGCTGCAACAAGCCAGCAAAAAAACTAACGACGCGAAAAGATGGTCCGAATAAAGATCGCGACTTCTATGTCTGCAGCGATTTCCCAAAAGTATGTAACTACTTCCAGTGGGCTGATGAAGTCCAGCCAGGCAGTGGTGGAGCAGATGGTTCGAGAAATCCGCCAAAAAAGACGAATAATCCTCGAAATAATCCCGGCCCAAGCTCTTCAGCAGCTGCTGCGGGCAATGTTCAATGCGAATGTGGAAAAAACGCCCTTTCACTGACAGTAAGAAAAGATGGCCCTAATCAGGGAAGGTAGGACCTTTCCAATTGACAGTTCGATTTAATGCATTTCAGGCCATTTTTCAAATGCCCAGACAGCGGCTTCATTCGAAAGTACTCCGGCTCGATTTTGAAAGCGATCTGGTAAATTAATATATTTTAAACCCTTTTTTTCTTAAATTTTCGTACTTCTAGCTCGTTCAAAATATGATCGAAAAGGAAAACGCTGCCCAGAAACAGATGGACAAGCAAATGGAAGAATCGAAAAGAGTAAGAACTGCAAAGCGTGATTCTTCTTGATTTTTGCCTTTCAGATGGGACGTGAATTAGATGCTTTGAGACTTCAGCTTCAAGAAATACGACGCGAGCGTGATAACTTTTCACAGCAAGTCGAAAACTTCAAGGAAGAAAATGAAGAACTCAAGGAGCTCTGGAGAAAGTCAGACGCGCTCTCTTCTCTTTGTCTAACGATGTGTTTTTAGGGAAGTATTGAGAAGGGATACTGACGCTTCCGAGCTCCGCAACGATATTCTTCGTAAAAACGCGTTGATAGCCGATTTGACAGCGCTGAACGAAAGGAATAAGAAGCAAAATGGAGAAGGAGGCTCCTCTCGCTCGTCCTTTTCAGAAAATCATGCAGTCTCAGATGGCGCTGTCGAGCTGGAACTCGCTCAGACAAAAGTAAATCATCCTTTTTCTTCGTTGATTTCATTGTCGATTCTTTTGTAGGTTCGGTTGGTTGAGATTCAATGTAAAAATCAAGATCTGGAACACACGATCGAGGAGTTGGAGAAAAGCCTTTCCGACGCTAGAAACACTTGGATCAACAAACTTCAAGCCCGAGCCTTGAATTCCGTCAAGAAATGATCAAAAATCTTCATCTGGTGAAAAATCATTTATGAGAAGGCTGCAATTTATGAAAAGTCTAGTTTTAGATCTTCGCAAATCCCGAAATTTACCTTGAAAAGAAATAACTTCTGTGTATCGTGGAATTATTCCAAAATTAATGATAAATCAAATTTGTAATCTTCAGTGGTTCCATACTTCGTTCATGTCGCTCAAATGTTGCCTGTTTTCTGCTAAATCTTTCTGTTTCAATTTCAAAAAATGAAAATCATTCGACTTGATTTCATCCACAAAAGTAAAGCTACAGTTACTTAGAGTTGTTTAGCAACTCGCCACCATTTCTTCATTTATATAATTCTTTTTATATTTTGATTCAAACTTAATGTTTGGTGACGCCTTTCTTAAGACTTTTAGACATGACAATAAATACAGTATTCATTCTTATCAAAAATTTATTATTATTTACGGAAAACGTTTGCCGCATAATGCCCCTGGATGCGGTAGAGGCGGTTAACTTCTCAATACACGTGGTCGGTTCAACCGACCACGGCGAGTTTGAGCCGCCGTTATTTCTCTTGTGATAATCCGTTTGACCTGATTTTTGTAATGTGAGCTAAGATGACTAAAACGAACCACTTTCTGAAATTTTGGATGTTTTCTCAAAAGTGGTGGCGTTTTGCATCGGATTCATCTTTCATTCTACAGCTGCAAATCCAGAAAGTGTTTTTCAAAAGTAATTGTTTATCCTGATAGGTGAGTGTTCAAGCTTTCCAGCGATATGAATTGTTATCTTTTTACCCGCCGCAAACGAAAGTTAAAGCTAAAAGTTTTGAGCGCTCTTTCTGACAATCCGAATTTTGCGCGCCGCGCGGGGCTGAATAATGCATTGTGGTCCCCTCACCCGACCCCGTGTTTTGAGCGCTTAGTTGCGCGCCCGTGTATTGAGAAGTTAAAATAGGATTCTTTAGATGTATCGAGATTGACGAGGCTCAAAATGTACGCAACGCAAGGCTTCACCGATTATCAAAATTTCTCTTCGGAGCCTTACAATAGTAACACAGCCGAGGGGGAGTATGCCGAATTGCAAACGTTGGTTATTGATGGAGGCCACGCGAATGGGGTCTCTGCCCTTCATTTTGACAATCGAGAAGAACTTCTCTGGACTGGTCTTGACACAGGCCACGCAACGAGTTTCTTTTCCTCCGCTTTCACCAAATACACAAGTTTCCAGGTCTCCCTCAATTTCGTATTTAACAATCAATAAGACTCTCTAGGTCCATGGAGTGAATCAGCGCGTAAGTGATATCCTTTCCGTTGGTGAAGGAGTTTTAACTCTCGCGCCAAATAGCGTTACCTTTTCCCAACGAGGCGGAATCGCCAAATGGACGGTCAGTCCAGCAGAGCTTGCAAACGGCTCTGCATTCCACTATGGCCAGCATCCAGGAACAACCGTTCTTGTCGGCGGAAAGTGCGACAAGATTTTCGAATTAGATATTACAAAGAAAGGACGGACGCTTCGGACGATTGATTCTAAATCTGGTGGAGTTTCATTGGGAGAGGTTAGGAAAAGTGAGTCTTATAAGTCTGTGTAAGACCAGTTACTTTTCGAACCTGTACAAAGTTCCGAACTTCTCAATCAAACACGCGATATCTCTACACGGCTGATCACAAGGGTAGTATTCACTGCCGAGATCCAGTTTCTCTTGCGACCCAGCATACTCTTTCTTGTCCTTTTGACGCGATCACGGACTTTGATGTCTGTAGCAATCTTCTCGTCACTTGTGGCACATCCGAAACCACTTCTGCCAATCGACCCGGTGGCATGCACCAAGTTCAAACAAGATTCGGTTCGTAGAATCTTGGAAGTGAATTCTAGCGCAGTTTTAGTACAAGTGTACGACTTGCGAATGATGAAGCCGGCCGCGCCACTCCAGCCAAAGTTTGATCCTCGTTTTCTTCGTTTCATTCCTTCCTTCACAACCAAATTGCTCATTTGCTCATCCAGCGGCGATCTGGTTATTGTAGAACCGTCGGACATTATTCCACCCACTGCCCAGTATTACAAAATGGACGGAGCCGGCGGCACTTTCACATCTGTTGCTTTGTCCAGCTCAACTCAAGCCGTTGCGTTCGGAACGAGCACAAGTTTGGTGCACGTTTGGTCAAGCAGACAGCAGCCGCAATTCAATCAAATCTACCAGGAAACTGAATGGTACACTCAAGTTTTTTTTCTGCCACTTACAATTTTTCTAGGCCTCAACACGACAATACATCGTACACCCAGATCTCAATGACTGACGAGAGTACCCCCTTCAGTATGATTCCTTCACACTTTCCGCAACAGGAGGAGAAATTGCTGTCCGATTGGCCAGCTGAATTGACTGTCAAAAAATCCTACAGACCAAGACCAATTGATCAGGAAATCATTAATTCGATGAACGTGATCGAGAAGATTGGATACGCTCCTAAGCCCGTTAATATGAAGAAATTTCAATTGCCCTACATTATCCCGAACGAGTTTGGTGACGAAAATCACCTGACCGTCACACGCGAGGGAGTAACTCCCCAGAAATACCGTCCCGTGGAAATGACTTTTGCACATTTACCCAGTGAGGATAGGCAGTCAGAAATACAGAAGTACAATACGACTAAGTTTGTTGGCTTGGAGCCTCATATCCCGAACACCTACTGCAATAATATGCTTCAGGTACTTTAAAAAATACTTGATTTACTAAATATATTCATAGGTGCTTTATTTTATCAACCCTTTGAGGGCTGCGCTTCAAAGCCATTGTTCGATGAAAGAGACAGATTTATCTGCTGAGCTAGGATTCCTCTTCCATCTCCTTGACAATCAAGAAGGAGGATCAGGAAGGGCTTACAATTTTTCCAATAGATTTCCATTTTATCTGCTTATTAAAAGCCTGATAAGCACCCGCATCAAACTTTCTTCGCAGCTTCCGCGTGTCCCCGCAGGCGACGGCCTTGCGCCTTGTTCTTACGAATGGAGCAGGTTCTGCAGATGTTGCTCGTCGCCACGGGAATCTTGGACGACTGATCCAAAGCTGGAATCGATTTATTTTGCAGCAAATTCACACTGACACAAGCAAAGCGGCTCCGGCTGACTCCGATGAAGATCGAAAGGAAAATAGAAGCAGAAAAGCATCTGAATCAACATCAACAGATTTCAAGCCCTCCTCGGATGCAGAAGAAGCCAGCCTTGTTCAGCGATTTTTCGAGACAAGACAGGAAGTTACAACCAAATTCAAGTCAGGACACAGTTCGAGTCATGAGGCCAGCTCATTTCTCTTCAACATCGATTGGCATCACTGGATCAATCCGAAGAATTATTCAAAGGACTGGAAAACGACGGCGATTTCGTTCGAATCAGTCGTCAAAAAATCCATCTGGCTTGAAATCTACACAAAGAGCTGGTGCGAAGAAACTCAAAATTATCAAATGGGTCAGCAAACTAGACGGCCACTTTCGTTACCTGATATTCTTGTGCTGAATTGTAACCTCGACTCTACCGCAAATGAGGAGTTCTGGAAAGTGCAGACAGAGCTCGCTAAAGCTGAGGGGAAGGATTCTTGGATTGCGCACAATCTCGTGCTAGACTTGGAAGGCAAGTCAGTAGAGTACGAGCTCTACGCAACTTCTTCCTTTATCCGCGAGTCTGGCAACCCAATCGGAAATCTTATATCGCATGTAAAGGTTTCCAAGTCTTTCCACGAAATGAAAGGAATGACGCCCAAGGACCAGTGGTACCTCTTCAATGACTTGCTTATCAGTCCCGTTCCCGCCATTGAAGCTGTTACGTTTGATTTGACGTACTCTACTCCTTGTGTGCTTTATTTTGTTAGGAAGAACTTTGAGAAAGATCATTCCAATGAGGTCAACTTTCCTCTTGACTCATCTGGTAAGAATAAATTTTTTGGAAAGCCATTCAAGAAGACCTTAAGTTTTATTGCCGACCAAGTCAATCTCAAAGTTGACGAAGGAGCATCAACTATTTACTCCTCTCGATCCCGATGAGCATCCGAAAAAAGGTAGTAAACATCAAAATACTACTCCACTTTATCCTTTCCAGGAACACTGGTTGCGCTCGACTGCGAATTTGTTACTTTGAACGCAGAAGAAACCGAATTGAGATCAGATGGGACGAACGCAATCGTGCGTCCCTCTCATTCAGCTGTAGCTAGAGTGACTGTCATTCGCGGAGAAGGCGCGAAAATTGGACAACCTTTCATTGATGACTACATTGCTACTTCTGAGCAAATCGTTGACTATCTCACCAAGTTTTCTGGAATTCAGCCGGGTGATCTTGACGCTGCTATCAGGTGCGTTTTGTTTCAAGCCTCCCCAAACTTACTTATTTTTCAGTTCAAAATATCTGGCGACTCTGAAGGCGACATATTGCAAAGTGCGTTACCTTGCCCACGTCGGCGTCAAATTCGTAGGCCATGGTCTCCAAAATGACTTTACCGAGCTGAATCTTTATGTTCGCCCGGATCAAATAATCGACACAGGTAAAAGCTTTTAGTGAACATGACCAACACTTTCTTTCAGTAACGCTTTTTCACTTACCAAGAAAGCGGCTTGTGTCACTGCGATTCCTTGCGTGGTTCTTTTTGAAGAAGCGAATTCAAGAAGGCGTCCATGACTCTATCGAAGACGCAAGAACTGCGTTGGAATTATACAATAAATACCTGGAAATCACCTCGCAAGGTTTGCTTAGAGTATTTACATGCGATATCTTGTCTTAGGTCGAAAGACACAGGAGTTCCGCCTCTCAACCCTTCGCAAACTGTACGAAGAAGGCAGCCGCCTCGACTGGAAAGTTCCCGACATCAATTCGCTCAACATTAAAATGGCCAATGTTCAACTCGAATAAGCCTCCTTTTCCTATTGTTCTTCCTTCCCTTTTCTGTCTCTGTTTCCTTACTTTTTCCCTTATCCACTTCTGCCCAATATTTCTGTCCAGTGTCCACTGCAATACAAATTCAAAATAATAATCGATCCTTTCTAATATTGCAAGTATTTATAAATGCTATTTGCAATTTATTCACAAGTATTTTTACTCATCAGAACTGACTCTTCCGTCTTTCTTTTTGAAAACTTTCTTTTTCTTCGTTTTCTTTTTCTTCCGAATAACGGTAGGTGGCGATTTCGTACTCGGTACACCCGATGATGGTCCAGTTATGCGCCCGTTTTGTTGTTCTTCGCGAATCTTTTTCCTCTCTTTTCTTCTCTTGCATGCATGTTTGCAGCACTTGATGATTGCGAACAGTACAATTGCTGTTGAAGCAAAGACAGAGCCGATCGCTATCCAAGTATTTTTCGATATTCCCTGTTGAAGATATAATATCAATTCTATTGATAAGAAGTACCTTGAAAAAGTTCCCACTATTTTCTATTCCCTTCGGCTTTTGCTCCAGAACAATCTTCAGCGTCTCGACATCATCAGAGAGTTCTATCGACTCGTTACTCTTGACATGAAATCTTCGATATTTGAAAACAGCTGCGGAGGAGAATGGAGACTCATTTGAATTCCTGTCGATTGATTTCGCAGCTAGCCAGAGATCGTTGCCAGATTCGATTTCGCAAATGGCCTCCTTTATATTTTCTTTATTTGGAAACTTTAAACCTTCAACCAAAAAATTAACAGGAAAGATTCCATTCCTAGAGGCAGATCTCCCCAAAAGGGATAACTACTTCGATGGTTTCATCAGTTCTCGAAAGAGCTGTTCCATTGCCGAAATATATCATTAGTTTAACATCGGCCCCAGAGAGCTTCATCGACTTGGTCTTCGCTTGATCGTTGAGTATGGAAAATTTATCAGGCTCGAGTTTGTAAAAATCTCTTTTTGCGAGAGAAAACTCTGCCACAATTTCATCAATCTGCTTGTTTAATCTTGAAGCATTGTTCTTCACTTGCTCCTCGTATATTATTTCCAGAGTGCCAGAGAAATAAGGAGGACTGAAAGTTATATAAATCTGTTCGAGTTCTTGATGTACCATTGGAAGTCCTCTATTGCAATCCTTCCGTCAGATCCGATCGATAATCGAGTCGTTTCGCCATCAAAATCACCTCGATAGATGAGTTCAGTTCCTTCTTCTGTTGATCTAGGGTCAACATGATGAACTTCATAGATTTCTACTCCATCCGAATTGTCCACAGAAGCCGTCCAAGACATCATCTATTAATTCCGATAAAATTCAGTAATATTTTGACTACCTGAGTATTTCCTTCAGTTTGAATAATAAAGTTGAGTGGCACTGTCGGAGGAAAAGTATCTTCGACCCCTTTTACGCACCAAGAGATAAAGTCTTCGCTTTTATCTGCATCTTCCAGCATACTGCAATTGATAACTTTTGAACCTTTTAGAGGCTCTATCGGATCATATATTCTACATTGTATCCCCTTTTCTGCAGCTCGATAGTCCGTTTTAGTGTAGAAATGTCTAAGATTAGAATACTAACGAATAAACATGAAAACCTTTACTTTTGTAATCTTCCACAAAGTTATGTTCCAGCAATTTAGCTTCACTAGTAAACAAGTGAGCTTCATGAATAGTCGGAAGCACGCATGATTCTGTTTCCGATATAAAATTTTCAGCCTTCTGGAAGCAAAGTTCTTCTTTGTTTGCATTCAGAAGTTTTCCACCACCGTAACAATCCCCTTCTGTTCTCACAAGCATCCCAATATCCACCTTCATGAATGGTTGGTAAGGTGACTCATTCAAGAATATCCGACAGTCGAACGTATTGATTCCTCTGAATATAGGGGCTCTAATATCTGTGTTTGTGATACAACTTGTTTTAGATATGTTTATAGGAGCCCCTCCTGTTGAAATAGATTTCCACCATGAAATATCCAGTACAATACCCTTCGCTATCAAAGGTCGAGCAACTCAAACCTGTTGTTAGACCAGTGTACCAATCATCTAAGAATAAGTCTTGATACGTTGCCAAATTGTTCATAGTATCGCAGGTGCGGTAGTTCGGATTGTTGAGCGATGTAATAATGAAAGATATTGGAACAGCTTCGGGGAAGCTCTCAGGTTTCGCAGCAAAGATTGGAGCCTTGTTTTCTTCTACATGATACAAAACGCGCGCTTTCGGTTTCAACAGGGAGACTGACTCGTCGTGAAGGGCATAAACAGCGATTTGAACTTGGAAATTCGGTCCCATAAATCCCTCTATTTTGTAGAAACAGACGTCAAAATTGATCTCCGAATCGTAAGAATTGAAATCCTTTCTTTCTTTTGGTTTGTAAGTGTAGATGAGAAATTCGGGGTCAGAGTGAAGTTTCAGAAATTCATCGTCGGTCACATTTACGGATAGATATTTCAAACAATAATCTTCAAGCAAAACTTCGTCCTCGATATCAGAAATGAGGCGCATTTGAATTTGAATGATATCTTTCTTCTCAGCGATGAAACGCAGAGTTTGTCGACTACCATCGCGTTCAGGATCAAAATCAATAAAATCCAGTAGCTTGACATGGTCTTCTCCTTTTATAACGTTTCCGAGAATGGGCGTAACAAAACTAAAATTTGGAATCATTCTTCGTTGCTGCTTACTTCCAGCTTGAGTTCCGTGGACACCGAACTGAAAGCTCTTTCCTCCTGTAGCTTCCACAATTCTTCGAAGTTTCGTCGTTCTCATCTCTCCACCGTAAGACGATATCTCTCTTTTTTCTGGGGTCGACACCCAACTAACTTTACAGCCCATGTTCATCACTTTTTTCAATACATTTGAATCCACTCCAATGAATCCTCCAACTTCAAATATCACGAAATCCCCACATTTTCCGTCGATGTATTCAAGCATTTTTACAAGATCTGGAGTTCTTTTTTTACTGGCCTTTGATTTTTTCGGTAGCTGAGAAAGAAAATTTGTTGAACAGCCTTCAAAGTCGATCGTGCTCAGTCGATTACCTTCCGTAATTTCGATGAAATTCAACCTTATACCTCGCATTGTAAAAAGAAGAGATTTTAGGTATGGCGCCAAATCATCCATAATCGTGGTCTCATTCAAGATTTAATCATCCCTATTCACAAAATTGAGTACTTTTAAATTATTCAATTTCTAGTTGATTTAAATCTTCCCTCAATGATGAAATTGACGGTCGATAAGGCTTCATCTTCAATTATAAAGTTTATGTCGGTTTTCGGCACTTCTTCCAGGGCACCACTCCGCCTTCGAGACGTACTAGAATCAGACGAAACTTGGGACAAAATCGTCTCAACAATTGATTGACCTCCACAGTAGTTTGTTTGATTTGAAAGGGTCGTTTGATTGAATTGAGTAAGAATTCTCTCATCCCATTTTAAGTTCCTGTCTTTTTCTGGATAGACTCCCCATAAGTGTCGAGCCAGACTTCTCGTCAACTCCCAGACATAATCATTCTCGTTCTTAGGCAAATTTTTGCCAGGCAATTCGATCGCTGAACCTTTAACTCCACATGAAATTGGAAGCTCTGAGAATTCCAAAGAACCAGCATTGTATGTTTCAGGGATGATGCTGATTGAGGAATGATAAGTTTTGTAGCCAGTACTGAGAACCTTGTCCGGACTATAACTTTTGAGAATATTCTTCCATTTTGAAGGAAAAGAAAGTGTAACAGATGATATCGTCACATTTGAAGCTCTGCTGCGTATTTCATTCGAAGCCATGGCGAAAACATCTTCGAAAAATGACACGAAAGCTTTTCCGTCACTACAGTCATATTGCATTTAGTTCAATCGGAGTGTTCAATCATACCTTGTGTCTAGTTCTTCTGATACTTTCACCAGCAATCTCACTTCAAGAGTTTTCTCACTGTTAACTTGGCCAAAATGAAGTAATATTTGACTCAAAGAAAAGTAAAAAGCGATTTTCGTAGAGCGACTCGCCATTCAAGAAGCATAAAGAAACCATGTACGCTTTCAATCTTTGTGGTACAGGGGATAACTTTTTAATTAGAAAATCATCATCACAAATTGATGAGACTTGAGGCGCTTGAAATAAGAAAGACACGAAGGCGGCCATGCGCTTGGTACTTTTTTTCGAGGATGTCCTTGTTGATCTTGGCCGAAATGTTGCCGGTTTTAATTTGAGACTTCATGACAAATTTAGCAAAGTGTAAACGTGAGCACTTTACTAACTTGAGTTTCCTATGAGAACCACTAGCTTTGCGGGATGTCTTTGAAAAAGAAAAACCATCGCTCTTTTACAATGATTACGATCAAATAAGTAATGCTGCGGTCACAAATATCCTAGTTTGGGCCATATTTACTGGAAGATATCGTAAATCACCCGCTGTGGGTGGCGCTATTCGGATAAGGACTGCTTATAACCAGCAGCTGGTTTCTTATAGAAGCATCAGAGTGAAAATCTTTTAAACGATCTTATCTTTTGACGCTACTAGCGCATTCGAAAAACGGCTTATTCGAAATTTCCGAAACAGTCAATTACTTTTTCTCGAGTTTAATTCTTCATTGATTATCGTCTGCATTCCATATGCCGTCAAAGGCCCGCAAATCCAGCAGTTCGCGAGTAACGAGGGCGGCAAGAGATGCTGTCATCGGGATAAACAAACCGGAAAAACGACGAAAAATATCCTTAGAGGAACAGATGCCGACGGATTCAAACGGATCGATATCGAAACTGCTATCAGGAACAGCTTATTGGAACAGAATCCTCCTCAGCAGGTGATGTCAGTTTCTTGCTTGCTTCAAGCAGTACTTTATCATCACATACTTGTACAGTACAGGAGATACTCATCGTTATCTTAGGAACCCCGTCCAAATGGCCTATCGAAGGCTCGCAAATCCAGCTCCCGTCGTGTTACGAAGATGGCAAGGAGAGCTGTTCTTAGTACGAGAAAGGAAGAGCAAGGATGCATGAAGACCGATCCGAACCAGTTCGACGACGACGCAATTGAATGTGCCATCAGAATTTCCTTGATGGAACAGAAGGTACGAAAATTTTGATGTTTTTCCTTTACCCTTCAAAATTTTAGAAAGAAAAAGAAAAGAAGTAAACGACAGTTCCATACTTTGCAGATAGTCTGCAAAATGCAAGAAGATGGACCTTTCTTTACTGGACACATAAAAATTTACATGCTATAGATTGACTCATAGTTAGAGTCTGACTGTTAGACTAACTAGTTACTGTAACTAACTTACCATTTGATTGAAATAAATGAAAATAAACTGACCTTTAAAAACGATCTTTTCCTGTAAGAATAAAGCCTATATAAAAAAATTATATAGCTTGTAGCCTTGGTACAAGAGAGTCCCTGCCAGGGACCATAAGAGGCAATAGTTATTCCCAAACATAGGCCGAATTTTCACATTGAGGTGGCTTTCCGCTGCGGACCAATAAGCGCTCGCTTGTGAGATTCTTCGGCTACAATTTTCAAGAGAAGCGAAAGAAAAACTGAACTTGTGAAAATACTCATTCTGGAATTTACACGTGGTTTTTAGAAGATGGGGGTCGAAGGGCCGATTTTTCGAAGGCAAAAGATTGATTTCAGAAGTCAGGATGAGATTACTGATTTTGCTGTTGCCGACCAGGAATGTGATTTAAAATTTAATCTAATGAAGTGATTACATTATTTTAACCAAAGACCCTGTTTTCTAAATCACGAAATAGAAAGCGTTTATAATTTCCCGTTCTCGCCATTTACGCAGAATCGATATTCACGCTGAAAACGATACGAAGGAAATCGACATCGTCAGATCAGATGGAAAAATCCTCGACTTCTGGCCAGATCCAAAAGGCGAAGCGGCGATATTCTCTGTGCTGCAGAATGGCATGCCCTGCTCTCTTCTCTGGACTCTGAGCTCGAATCGAGTGAAACAAATCAAAGAACTGAAGAATATGTCAATCACAGCGGCTAGCTGGATAAGCTCGTCGAGGGTTATTGCTGGTAATTCTGGCGGGGAGATTTTCAGCTTTTCGATTGACAGTAGCGACTGGTCTTTCAAGGGTGGTTCGATGGGGACCACCGTTAAGGTGCACTTTCAAAACGAAGAAAAACGCCCATTACTGGCATTTCCAGTTTCACCTTCGAAGCCAACGGAAAGAAATCCTTCTCTTCAAACTCCCGCCGCGTCGTTTTAGCCGCAACGACTTCAAATCTCATCCATTTCATCGGAACTGACGCCGTCGAATCTCTCGATCAAGTGTTCTCCGGCTACACGGCAGGCGTCAATGTCATTAATTTTCCAGCTAATGGGACGTTTGAGTCGAAATTGGTGGTGACTCCGATACCGAATGAGAACGATTCGCGGCTTTTTGCTTGGACTTGCATGTCTGGACAAGAAGTTTTTGTCGGAGAAGTCAATTCTTCGGCAGATAGAAACAGGTCGGACACCACTTTTCGTCCATAAATGAGTAAAGTCTCTTTCAGAACGATAACTAACAACAAAATAATCACAGGCCACGGGCAAACCGGCCCTATCCACGGCCTAGCGCTCACCAGATTCCACGTCGTGACCCTTCATTCTACCTGTATCGCGGCCACATGCTTGCTGAACAACCAACTAGTTTTTGTCGATCACTTTGAGAAGAAAGAACCTCTGCGTGGCCTCGTGATGTCGAACTACGATGTTTCTCCGTGGGCGTTCTCTTCCGAGTCGCCCTATATTTTCAGAGTTAAGAATGAAGGAAGATCGGTTTGGAGAATCTATCTCGATCTTGGAGAATTCAACGAAGCAAAGAAATTTTGCAAAGACGACAAACTCGTGCAAAACGAAATCATGGTCGCGCAAGCAGAACATCTTTTAAACAATCAAAAGAAAACTGCTGCGAGTTATCGAGAAGCGGCGATGATCTACGCGAAGACGGAAGAATTGACTTCAGAAATCGCGCTTAAATTTTTACCTAATGGAAGCTTGTCGATCCAGGAAAACTCGATGAGACAGGAAGCTCTTATCTTCTTTCTCAAGCACAGACTGCCACTTGTCAAGTCCATCAGCGAGAAAGGCTTTATCATTGGATGGCTTCTTGAACTTTATCTGACGTCGCTGAGAGACACCGAAGACCTTTACGGCCCTGCAGCTGAGGAAGTTAAACACCATCGGCAGAACTTCCTCTCTTTCATAAACGATCCAGCTACTCGACCGACGATTTTATCAATGAAAGAGACCTTGTATTCGCTTTTACGGCAGCACGGTGCAGTTTCAGACTTCCAAGAGATCGCCAGTTTGATTGGTGACTACGAAGCGATTATTTCCAACTCGCTTCAGAATCAAGACTGGCCAGTGGCGGTGAAAACGCTTGAAAAATGCAATGATCCGAAATTGTTCTACAAGTTCAGGAATAGTTTCTACTCCAGTTTACTTTTGGTCTTTCTTTGATCACCCAAAGAAACTAAAAAAAGCTCATCTTTACTGCCGCATGTTCCCCAAAAGCTCTGCGCTGCGTGGGAAACCTGTCAATTTATCAATCCAGAAGAGCTTCTCGAAGTTATGGCCAGTTCTTCAACCCGATCCGTCACTTGTAGAGCATCTGTTCTTCAATATATCGAGTCAAGAGATATGAAAGCCTTGTCTAAAGAGATTCATAATCTCCATTTGTCGCTTTTATGCTCGGTCGATGTTGAGAAGGCAGAAGATTACATTGTGAAGAAGCTGGAAGGCGATGAGAAGCTACAATGCGACCTAAGTTTTGCCTTCAAATGCCTCGAGGTCTGTTTCCTTATTCCTTTCCTTGGAATAATCATTTTCTTTCTAGTCTTTTTCGAATAACTGTATCCCAATGTGCTATCTCATCACTCAATCCGGCCGCTGGGAAGACGCCGTCAAATTAGCACTATCAAATTCAAACGGGAAGCTAGCTAAAAAACTCGCTCATCGAGCAAAGAACGCCGGGGATGTGCCAAACTCTAGTCTGAAATCTATCTGGATGCATATCGCAGAAGCTGAAATCTCAAAAGATCCAGCAGCGACGGGCGAAATCTTGAAGGAATCCGAAGGGTTGGTCAATGTGGGCGATGTTCTGAAGTTCTTTCCCGAATTCGCGACAATCGACCATTTCAAACAAGGTATCTTTCTTCACTTGAGCATTTGATAACGATTTTCTAGCGTTATGCTCATCTCTCGTTTCTGTGTCTGCACAAATCGACGAGTATCAAGACAAACTTCAACAAACTCAAATTTCCGCTCGTCAAATTCGTCAAGATATCAAAGATCTCAACCGAAAATGCTACATTTTGACACCCGAGAATCTTTGTACATCCTGTTCTCTCCCGATCCTCTCCTCAGCTTTCCTAGGTAAAATAACAGCCAAGTTCCTGTCAGCATTATCTTAGTATTTCACTGCGGCCATAATTTCCGAACATCCTGTGCCGTCAAAGAATGTCTTTCTGGGACTAAATGTCCTAAAAAGGCAGCTGAATTGAAGGCTCTCTTGAGCGAGTTAAACTCAAACAAGACAAGTCCATCGACTCGGCAGAAAATCGAAGACTTAGGTAACCTACTTTCTCTTTCCAAACAGCTTCGCGAGTTCTAGTTGCCGATGAATGCCCTTACTGTGGAATCAAAGCGGTGGAATCTATAGACGTGCCACTGGTCAGCTCCAACGCGCTGGAAGATTGGTAAAATCGATTTTTCAACTCACGTTTTCAAAAACATCATTTTCCTATTCAACTTTCCGTCTTTTATTCTTCATCTCCTGCTGCTTACAGATAAAACACGCGATTCTTCATAAATGCATATTTAATAAAGGCAAGATAAAATCTGCTTTATTTATTTTTGAAAATTGCTGCAAAAGCAGCGCATGCGAAAAATCGTTTGTTAAATTGCAGGTAATCAGGTCGCGCAGTTGTTGATTGAGTTTCAATGGAGCTGTTATTATACATTGAATCGTCGTTAGCGGTTGCTAGAAGATACCGCAGTCTTTCAGATAGTTTCGGACGACGATGTCGGAGACAGATTCGAACACAATCTGTAGGAATTTTTGATAAAGCGTAAGAGATTTTTTGACTTACTTGTATATTGTTTGTATCAGTAGCACAGGTTTTGTGGACATAAATTTCTCTCTCTTCTTTGTTCTTGTTCAAGTCTTCATATTGCATTTGGATAAAAGCTGATGCCTCCTCGTAAGTATTTTGGCCTGAAAAAATCTCTAGTCCCTCTTCTTTTCAATTAAACTAACCGTCATAGTCGGGGAAGCAGACGGTAAGTGGTACTTTGACGATTTTGCTTTTGAAGATATCTTTTTTGTTTAGGAAGAGGATGAGGGATGTCTTGGCGAACCATTTATTGTTGCAGATTGAGTCGAAGAGAGCCATGGACTCGTGCATACGGTTCTAAAAAATATCAAAGCCTAGGAATCAACAACGGTCCTACCATTTCTTCATCCTCAGCAAGGACGGTATCATATCCAGAAAGAGCGGCGCAGAAAATCACGGCAGTGACACCTTCAAAACAGTGGATCCATTTCTTTCGCTCTGACCGTTGTCCTCCGACGTCATACATCCTTGATATTGTTAGCAGTAGAAATATTGATTTTAAAATACTTGAATGTGAACTCCCGGCATTTGAACTCTGTCTCTATAATTCCTGTAGTTTTGACTCGAGTGTAAAGAACATCTTGTTGGGTAGGCTTGTAGTTTGCATCGCACAATCGCTCAATTTCATCCAAGTAACTTGAAGGTGCATAAGTTTTTTTATCTCAATAGTTAAAACGCACTATTTCGCGGAATCGTTCAGTTGATATTCCCGAGCTCTTCTGTAACACTCTGCGACTCCACCATCATTCCAAAGCTTCACCATAAGATGGCAGATATCTCTTGTTACAGTGCCTTTCCGAGGGTTATTTCAAAATCAATAAAAATTCCGAAATCTCCATGCCAATTTTCAAACCCCTTCCTTCGCTCAGCATTCCAGCGAGGGACATGAACTGCTCGGCTACTTGTCCGTTGCTGAATTTTTCGAAAGAGATGTTCAGTCCTTCCATAGCCTGAAAACTTTGATTGCAAGTTGTCTATTTCAGCTTGCCCTACCTTGATAATTGTGATCATGTAGGACATCATATTGGAGAGAATAACTGGAAGGTACTTTTCGCAGTCTTCCGGAGTGTAACCGTTCGCGTGAATAATTCGCATCTGCTTGATGATCGTCGATTTTCCGGATTCTCCAGCTCCGAGCATGAGAAGCTTGATGGTCTTGTTCATCGTCTGCTGCTCCTTCTCGAGCTCCTGCTCGATCTTCTTGCTCTTGACATTGGCAAAGTTCTCGTGGGTGCTAGATTTAAATTTTTTCCAAAACTTCAATCCCATATTTTTAAGTTCTCTAAATTCGGACGTGCTTCCTTCTATCGAGAGTTGCTCTACCTTTGACTACAGCCCATTTTCACCGATCGTCCAGTGCCCGCTTCACTCGCAAAGAATTATGGCGAGTGGACGGAACTCATGGATTTTGAAGCGCTGACATGCCTATCTGATCGATAGGAACACTGGCTCCTACTAGAAAACTCACGGATCGAATAATACTATTTGATACTCTTACACAGTTACTATGTTTTGCATAAGCTTATTTGCTATATTTATATAAAGATTTCTTACCCGCCAAATATTATCACTGATAACTTATCACAACCGTTAATGGATATTAATATTCCTTTATTAGTTATTAACCAGTTATAAGTTATAACTTATAACCAGCTGATGGTGTTTACTATTTCGAAAGAATTTATCTCCTTCCAACTCAGGGTCAGGTGCCAACACTAGCAGAGAGGTAGTACGCAAGTCTCTGCATTTTTTGGATTAGCAAAAGCAGCACAAAAGCCCTTCTTTGTGATTCCCCTTTGGAAAGAAAAGAGACTCTTGAAGCGTACAAACAACTCAATAAGAAATAAATATTAACGATGCCAGGATTTTTGACCTTGACGGACCCCTTGTTCCTGACGAGAGAGATACATGGGCGTATATGGTAAGTTCAAACGAAGAGGGATGAAAAGGCGTGGCAAACACGTGCTTGTTTCACTCTTTTCAGACAGGACATTCTTCACGAATGAGTTTTGACGAAACTAAATTTTGATTTTAGATTTTGGCTCTTTCTGTCCTTTTCCTTATTCTATCTTTCGTCGGCATTTTCATCTCAGGCCGTCTTTGTTGTTTTGGTACCGTAAATTTCCTTCCAATTCTCGGATATGCTGTCAATATGTAAGAATTTTTTTTCATTAATTTTCTTTCGAAATAAATTTTCAGGTTTTTCATGACGACCGCTTGCTTGGGAATTTTCGCTGAAATTTATAATTGGATTGATGGACTTTTCTCCTGTAGCATCATGTGCATCCTTTCTGGTGTTTACGGTATTATCACAATTTTGTTTGGTATCTCATTCATCAAAAACGACCAGGACTCAGACGAAATTAAGGTACCAATTTAAGACTAGTTATTGATAACCATGTTCGCTAGCCTCAGCGAAAGAGAACTGCCTGCATCCTCGAAATCATCTATCTTACTGACATTCTTCTGTGCATGGTCCTCGCCATTTCCTGCGAGATGCGCCGATCTTCCTTGGAGACTAACAACCCACCTTACGTTTTCGGCAACGAGAGTAATAATTCGAATCTTAATTGACCCTCAACTACGGAAAGATCTTCAAATAAACTTTTATTTCATCAATCTCAGCGAGTTATTCTTGCGCTACAATCTCCCAAGGGAAAACTCTGTCGCCAGTCGTTCAAATCAAGAACCTTCCCTCATCCCCGTTTTCTTCTTGAATGAAATCGAGCCCCGAGGCAAATTACTTGAACAGTTCACACAAATCAATTTCAGCCGGGATATTTTTTCGGAGAGAAAGCGCAAATAACAAAATGAATATTAAAACAGAAGCATGCATGGACTTCGATGATAATATGGCCTGGGGAGACGACCTGGATGATGGTAATGAGGATGAAAAAGATAAGACGAAGGAAAGGCCAAAATTTTCACTGAATATGTTGCTTGAAATCAATCTAAAGTTAGTGAAACATTTTGACCCGATGAAAAGCGCAAGTCTCGAAATCAGTCGGAAAAGAAACGTCGAGATCAGTTCAACATTCTCATCAATGAGTTAATGACTCTTGTTGCAGGATCAAACCGTAAAATGGATAAATCGACCGTTCTTCAAGCAACAATCTCGTTTTTAAAACGTAATAAGGAAATGTCCGCGCAGACGTCCCAGCAAAAAGAAGTCACAGAGCAGTGGAAGCCTCCGTACATTTCCAACGCTGAGTTTTCGCAGTTGATGCTTGAAAGCCTAGATGGATTCTTGATTGCCATCTGCAAAAGTGGACAGGTCATTTATGTTTCTGAAAACATCACACCCGTTTTAGGTAAATTATAGATCATTAGAAAATTTTAAAAACATTTTCTAGGGCACACGCCAGAGACATTGATGAACGAGTCTTTCTTTCAATTTGTCCATGACGCCGAAAGGAGCGATATTTTTGCGAAGCTTTCTCAGGGTCAAGCCCAAGAATCTTCACAAAATCATATGCTCAATAACGTCGAGCCTTTCCCAGTTCCCCAGGGGCTAGAATCGTCCGAAGTACAATTCTCATGTCATTTGAGAAGAGGAAATCCTGAGATGGATTTGAGCAATGACTTTGAACACTGTATTCTCAAGGGCACTTTCAGAAGATTCACTCAAAATACATTCTGTGGCCTCAACAGTTTAGTAGACGTAAACACCGAGGACAACACTTGTTTTGTTGGAATATGTCGGCTCTCATCTCCTCTTTACATCAAAGATCTTGCAATCACTGACAAAAACGCCTCTGAATTCTCCGTTCGCCTGAGTCTGGAAGGAAAATTTGTACATGTCGAAGGAAAGAGCTGTTCAGCCTTAGGATACTCGAGCTTGGAGTTATTGGGGAAGTCGTATTTCGATTTAGTTCATGTTGATGATCTGGAGAAGATTGAAGAATCTTTTGGCAAATGTAAGTATTTTTTTTCTTGTTTTCGAATCAATTGTAAAGTAAACTCTGGTCATTTTAAGTGTTGCAATGCGGAGAGCTACAAGCACCTCTTTACAGACTGATGACAAAAGGTCGACAGTGGCTCTGGGTTCAGCCTCGCCTTTATGTTCAATACCACCAGTGGAGCCGGAAAGCAGAGTCAATCAACGTTACCCACTTCGTCGTGACCTATCAAGACGTCCTTGCTCACCTTTCAAAAGAAAGAAAACGTCGGGAGCGAGAACGCCAAGAAATAGAACTTGCGGAATCGAAGACAGTCTCTACTAGTTCAGCAGTCCAAAATGGACAGATCAAATTTGAAATCAAAGACATGCAGTTACCAGCAATCACTATTGACAGCGTTGGGGAAAAAGTTAGCATTCCAAAGATCGGGGAAGAGAGCAACGAGACACCAGAAGAGCAGCTCAAAAAGATTCAAGATGAATCCAAGGAAAAAGAATCGAGGTAGATATTCGTTGTTGTCAGATGATATTCACTGTCTTTTCAGATTGATGAATGTTATTCAACAGTACGAGGACGAGCTAAAGCGAGTCAAAGAAGAATTGAACATCTACCAACGACGAGATAAGACAATCGCCATGAATCCCATTCCAAAGCCAGACAATGGGCACCCAAAAGTTTCATTGCCTCATAAAGTGGAACAGCCAGGACCGGCAAGATTACCGCATCCAAGTGTTCTCCAACAAATGCAGCAGCATGCAAATGCGCAGGTACGAAAACATTGTTTCTTTATCGATCTATTAGATGTTTCGATAGATAAATCCTCTCATGGGACAATTACCTTTTGGTCTGGCTTCAATGCCAAATGCACTCAAAACGAGTATGGGAATTCCGATTCCAAATCTTAATTCGTTTCAACCAGGTAATCTCCTATCAAGAAAACTTGTTAAATTAATCTTGACTCAGGTCAAAATCCATTAGCTGGGATGAATCTTCAAGGACTTGGCGCGTTAGGACCACGACCCGCACATTTTTCTGAGCATGGAAGGTAATTTTGAACAAATAATCAGTTTCTATTCTCCGTTTCAGAAGACAACCAAATGCAGCCGAGCTCGCATTTTTCCAACAGCAGCAACAGAATCAACACCCGCATCATCCCCATCAACCTCCTCAATAAATTTGAAATTAAACTGCCCATTAATTCTAATAAACTTGCCTTTCCGCTGATTTTGTCTTTCGTTTGATGTAGCACTGAGTGAGCAAATAGTAAGAGCAAAATGGGCTCTATTCAAATAGAAACGTCTTTGCTTTGTCTCATTGTCATAAACTGTACGAGTTCTATTGCTCTTTCAAGACATTGAAAATTATCAAAAAAAAATGGAAGAAGCACAAGAGGAAATTTCACCAGAGAATGAAGCTGTTCAAGAAGAGGTTCAAGTCAGCGCAGGAATAGCGAAAAAGAAGAAGAAAAAGAAAGAAAAAGACAAAGATGGGAAGAAAAAGAAGAAAAGAGCCAAAAATGTTGTCAGTCCAGAGCCAGTACATGAACCTGAGCCTGAAAAACCTGCTGATGTGGATTTAAAGGAAAACTTAGAGAATATGTTCGATTTCAAAATCCCGATGGCTGAAATAGAAGATGATCCAGTCGCCGCTGAGCCTGCTCCTATTGAGGTCGTAGAACCAGAAGTTCAACCAACTCCGGAAGCAGACGCGTTGCCAATGGAAAGAGAGAGCTCCAAGATCTCGAATTCATCAAAAGTATCAAAAGTTGAGGAAATTCCACTCGAAGAGATGACACCAAAGTCTTCGCGAGTTACTTCTCCTGCGCCAAAGAAGAATCAAGTGGTTCCATTTGCACTTGAGTCGGGTGATTCTCGGCCAACATCTTCGCAATCGATGCGGGTTGACCCGGCGATATTCTCTGCTGAACCAAGAACAAAGACGACGCTTTCGAATACAGACCTCGACGCTTGGAAACAACCGGAATGGATGCCAGACGACCTTGCTAATAAACTTCAAACCGAGCAGGTTGCCCCTAAAACTGAAAACAACGAGGAGGCACCCGTTCAGCTTGATCTTTCCACGCAAGTTGTTCTCAAGTGAGTAGAAGCAAAGTCACTTTTGAAACGAAATAATAATTTAAGCAAAAATGAGCGACAATACATCCCATACGATACTGCAAAGGCATATATTGCCAAGATTCTTGCACAAAATGATGGGATAAAACAAGCGTTTCTCAAAGACATCCGAAATCTTGAGCAAAAGTACAAAGAAATCGAGGTCGAGGCAAACGGACATTTTTCAGCGTTTGTTGTCCAAATGAAATCTCAGTACTCCATCAAATATGAAGTTATGAGAAAGGCGTACAAAGCAGCCAAGTCTGATTTGGGTATGCATACTTTGTCCTTATTTAACACTGAATTTGATCTAAGATACAAAATCCGAGCAGATGAACGGCCACATGACAAATTTGAGACAGCAGAATGGAAGACTAAAAGAACAACTCAAATGCCTTCTCCTGGCTTTCAAGCAAGAAAAAGAAAAGCGTGAGGCCAATTACGGCGATGACATGAAAGAAGTCATCGAAAAAGCTGAAACTGATCGAAAAAAGTTCAGCAATGAGATCGAAGACCTGAAAAGAGAAAATGCCGCCCTCAAAGCCGGGGGCGCAGTTGCTGTTGCTTCTCACGTCAAAAATAGTGGCGATTCTGGTGATTCTGTCCCGGATGGCCCGCTAGTAGGAACTCACGACGACTCGTACGTTAAAGAACTCGAAAATGAGCTTCGAGAAGCCAAATGCGAGAACGAAGAGCTCATGACAAAGGTCGCTGCGATGGAAGCCGGCACTGCTAATCAAGAAAAACAAGTTGCAGACCAAATCATGAATGACGAAGAACTCTTGGAGAAATTCTACACAACGCAGATGCAACTTGAATTGATGGAAGACCAAAGCGAGCTCGTAGAAAAACTCAAAGCCGATGTTATCGAATTGGAGAGAAAACTAGCCGAAGCGGATGAGAACGATGCAGCACAGAAGGTTAAAATCGCAGCTCTCGTCAAATCGCTCGAAGAACCGGATACAACTGAAGATCAGAAACGAATGGCGGATCTTGAAACGCATGCCATCGAGATGGAAGATCAGCTAAAGAAATTAGACAGCTCCAACCACGAGCTCAACAATCAGCTAGCTGAAGAAAAACGAAAGGTTGAAAAGCTAGAAAAACAGCTCAAACAAAAGGAGCAGTTCAAAGATGAAGCAAAACGCAATCCTCGTCGAGCAGCAACTGCAGTTGCAGCAGCTGCCGTAAGAGGAAACAGGACTGGGGACAATGCTCAAGTCAAGGACTTACAGGTAAGATATCATTACGATTTTAATAATGTTTCATAAAAATATGACAAAAATTAGGCGAAGATCAAAGTCTTGGAGCGCGAACGAAATGATCTTGAAAAACAGATTCGCAAGAATGATCTGACAATGACTCGCGAAAAAACCATGGTTCAGACAAAACTCAATAAAACTGATGGAGACCTTGAAAAGTACAAGAATCGGTATGAGGAAACAAAGAAAAAACTGAAGGAGCAACAAGACCTCTGCAAAGAACACTCTGAAAAATTGAAGAAACTTGAGCGATCTACAAAGAATCATGGAAAGGATTTGGAGAAAATTGACAAGTTAGAAGAAGAAGTGGCAAAACTTACTGCTGATCAGAAGAAATTGCAGAAAGAGCTCCGTGAAGCGAAGGCTGAGGTTGCAGAAATCACCGAAAAATACCAGAAGGAAATGCTTCTCCGAAAGAAATATTACAACATTATTGAGGACATGAAGGGCAAGGTCAGAGTGTACTGTCGATCTAGGCCGATTTCCAACACCGAAAAAGAGCGCGGAAATTTCAACGTCGTCGAGTCACCTGATGAATATACAATCAAGATCAATACAACCAATCGAGGAACTAAAGAGTTCAATTTCGACCAGGTTTTCACGGCTGAAAGTAAGCAAGAAGATGTTTTCAACGATACAAGCTTCCTCCTGCAATCAGCCTTTGACGGATTCAATGTTTGCATCTTCGGTATGAGTCTGATTATTATCAATTTCCTTAATTTATGTTCTAGCTTATGGTCAGACCGGTTCCGGCAAAACATTCACCATGATTGGTAATGAAGACTTTCCTGGTCTTGCTCCGCGAGCATTTGGCGGTCTTTTCGAAATCATAAAAGAGAATGAAGACAAGTTTGAGACAAAAGTCTCTTGTTACATGATGGAACTTTATTGTGATCAAATTCAAGACCTTCTTGCTGATAAAATCGACGCTCCAGCGAAGTACTTGATCAAGAAGGATAAGAAAGGAATGGTCTACGTCCAGGGATCGGTTATCGAAGAAGCGGCTGATCTCGAGGCGTTGAATGGAATCTTCGAGAAAGGAACCTCCAACAGAAAAGTCGCCAGTACAAAGATGAATTCCGAATCCTCTCGATCACATTTGATCTTCTCCGTTCTACTAGAAGTGAAAAACAAGACAACTGGCAGCGTCAATCGAGGAAAGTTCTCACTTATCGATTTGGCTGGTTCAGAAAGAGCGGCAAAGACGGGAGCTACTCAGCAGCAGCTAAAGGAAGCGAATTCTATCAATAAATCGCTCTCAGGTTTTATATAAAGAACGCTCTCTTGCTCATTTTATCTTAGCTCTTGGTGATGTCATTCATGCTCTCAGTACAGAAGCTCAATTCGTTCCTTACAGAAACAACAAACTTACTGAGCTTATGCAGGATTCTCTCGGTAAGAATATCTCATCCATTAATTTTAATCAATTGCTCAGGTGGAAATGCAAAGACCCTTATGTTCGTAAACATCTCTCCTGTCGAGTACAACCAGGACGAAACCGTCACTTCCTTGACCTATGCTGCTCGAGTCAAAGAGATCAAAAACACAGCTTCCAAAAACGCAGACAACAAGGAAGTCGCCAAGCTCAAGGAAATCATCCGCAAGCTCAAAGCTGGCGAGTCCCTCGAAGACGAGGACGAAATTTAATCATTCAATCTTTATTTTTCTACAAAAAAATATATTTCCAAGCAAGTCGAGTTCTTTGATTTTGATGTACACAGTAATCGCCGTCAGATACTGTGCTCCGTGTTCGAGCAGAACTTGGAGCAGGTTGTGTTTGCGCACTAGATATACAAAATTATGCATTTTTCAAATAATAAAAGTACCTTCGAAGATCTTCCCACTTGAATCCTCCACAAGAGCATCCTGGTGTGTTACAGTAAAGGGTTGATTTCGTTACTCGCTCCTTGTGTCGATTACGCTCGTTGTCCGTGATCATTTGCTTTCGAAGTTTACGGCTCATTGCATGAGTGTTTCCGCGTTTTTTCGCCATTAGTTTTTCATGATTACTACATTTAAGTTATTCAAAAGTATCGAAAGCAATCTTGCCTAATATCACTTTCTTTTGATCCATAGTCGGAGCCTCCAGAAACACTGGAAATGTAAGAATTGATCATTTTCTTGCCAAAATCAGCTGCAGCACGAAAATTATCACAAATCTTCTCCTCGATTGATTGAACTTTTTTCGTTACTCTTTGACTGCCACAGCTATCACCGGCTTCTGAACATTTTCGAAGATGCCTCGAACTTGCTCTTGGAGTTTGATAAAGAGAGTCGTTGCCAAATCGGTTCGACCAAGACGAAAATTTTGGCGATTGCCAGGTTGACAGGGCAATTTGCGCGTCCGAGCAGCCATTCATATGACAAACGACTGAAATTATTGAAATATTTTTCGTTGATAAAATTATGTAATTACCAGGATGATGGACTGACATCCGGAAGACAGGGCGAAGAATAATGCCTCGATGGTCTGAATCGACCGTTACAGATTCAAGCTCTTTTCATGGGCTATGAAATTTGTATTAGAGAATATATTTTTTTAGATTTTGAAGCCTAAACTGGTCGATTAAAATGTCCATCACCAAATCTTCTTTGCTTTTCAGCTTTGACTTGATACTTCAAGTCGCCACTTTTCAAAGATTTGATGAAATCCTCGACAGTAAGCACACCCGTGGTATCCAGCTTGATGATTTCAAAAAATTTTTTGCGCGGCCGGAAATCATGAAAAAAGTGCTGGTGCAGTTTTGTCAAGCTCGTCGAGACGAGTCGATTGGTATAGGTCACTCTTGAAAATTTCAAGGATTAACCGGTTAACCGGCTGATTACCGGAAATCACGTTGTCAGCTCCCGTTTTTGTTCTAGTCGTCGGATTTTCATGTTTGAAACGTCAAAATGATCCTTATGATCAGGGCTTCTGTAGCCTCCGAGATGAGCCCCATATCTCAACTCCTGCCGAGCTTATCACTAAAAGTTTGAATTTTACGCACTTTTTTCACTTTGAAAGTTCATAACGTAAAATTTTTACAGTAAATACTAATAAATCTTCTGCGGTTTTAAAAGAGAATAAAAAATTAATAATACCCACCGTTCAAAACCTTGTAACCAGCCGGTAAAAAAGCGCTAAATTAAAATAATGCCCTCAAACACCACTTTTTTGATTATATTCAAATCTTAATTGAATTTTTATTGCAATTGAACGTAAACCGCGATCATTCAGAACAAATAAGTTCAAAAATGAAAAATTCTTATCAGTCCCGGCTTCTCAGTTGTCAATCATGTCACTCAAATCATAGGCCATTTTGGGAAAAATGTTGACTTCACGCCGAAATTTAGCCGTTTTTTAAATCAAGGAAAGCCTATATGAAGACCTCCTAGATGACTTAGTACTGAGTTTTTCAAGGTTAAACTTGGGGGAATCGAAGGTAGTACCCTTAAAAGATGAAATCAAGAAAAATTTCGGAAATCTGGCTATGCTTGGTCGCGGACGTTACTTTTCCAAAAATTTGGCCATGAGCGAGCGCGAGCAGAGATTTCGCAATTTTAAGGTGAGTGAGTGAGCGCGAGCAGTTGCTTTGAAATTTTACGTGAGTGTGTGAGCTTGCGCTCATCATTTTTTCAAATTCTGCTCAAAGATTTGATTGATGTTGGACTGAAAACATGAGATGAATTCAATTGTCTACCAACTCGTCCGAGCTGAAAGCGAAGAGAAAAATTCGAAATTAACTGAAGTTTCCTCAAAGCCGAGTTTTCCAAGAAGAGATTTGCTCATCCAGGCGCTTGACAAAACATCTCAAATGTCCTAGAAGGCATCAAATGTCTACTACAATCAAACTTGGTCAACCTGACAAAAAAGCGAGCAGTGGAGGAGGTGATACAAGAAGTTCCAGTTATGGAATTCGAAATTCAAAAAGACCCCTTTATTCTCCGTAAAATCTTCTTTCAAAAGAAAAAGCATTGATTTTGTGCAAAAATGTCCCGGTTATAGTTTCGATCTTTGAGGAGAAAAATATAATCAAAAAATTGGTATTGGAGGGCATAATTTTGATTCAGCGCTTTTTTACCGGCTGGTTGCAAAGTTTTGAACGGTGGGTATTATTAATTTTTTATTCTCTTTTAAAACCGCAGAAGATTTATTAGTATTTACTGTAAAAATTTTACGTTATGAACTTTCAAAGTGAAAAAAGTGCGTAAAATTCAAACTTTTAGTGATAAGCTCGGCAGGAGTTGAGACATGGGGCTCATCTCGGAGGCTACAGAAGCCCTGATCATAAGGATCATTTTGACGTTTCAAACATGAAAATCCGACGACTAGAACAAAAACGGGAGCTGACAACGTGATTTCCGGTAATCAGCCGGTTAACCGGTTAATTCTTGAAATTTTCAAGAGTGACCTATACCAATCGACTCGTCTCGACGAGCTTGACAAAACTGCACCAGCACTTTTTTCATGATTTCCGGCCGCGCAAAAAGTTTTTTGAAATCATCCTTCGTGACCATGTTCGACATTTACTTGATAAAACTGGCTTAAAAATTATTTCCCTGCTCAAGCGAATAAACAAATCGCCGGCTCTAGAAACATAAACACAAAGTGCGGCCATCCGATTTATCGGAGGTATTTCCCTTGGGTGCATAGAAACAAACAAAATCCGGACGGTGTGTTTAGATCATTTGAATTTGTCTGAGATTTTCGGCCGGGATCTTCACTCAAGCCCTGCTAATCCAATTTGTGGCCTATTTATAGAAATGTCTCAAAAACATGCGACAAGTTCCCAAACTCAAAAATAGCAGCTGTTAACTCCCATGAAGACCCATAAAGTTCATTTAATCCGATTACGATTCCCCACGGCGTCTGAGTACTCTTCTTTCTTCATAAATAACCGCCATTGAGTATTTGCCAAGCCTATTGGCCTAAATCGAAATTTCATCTTTGTCCTCAAACTCGCTGTGTTTTGTTTGTCAAAGATGCCAAAATAACCTTTCCATTTGATTCCCTGAGTGAATTAAATATTATCAAACCGGCCATCTGGGGCGGAAATACGATTATGCGACTGAAGGGTGCAATTTTGACGGCGCTTCCGTTCGATTTCAGTGACTTTCTTCACGCGAACAGGTTTTGAATACTGTAATAAAGGCATCTGTATGGAACCTCAGTTTCACTGTCGAACTTTGACAGTTTCGCTTTTGGAAGTCGATTCTAAAAGAGTCGTGGTTGGAAACAAACTTGGGGTTTGTTTATTGAAACAAAAATTTCACTAGAAAGTGCACATTTCCTCAGAAAGTACTGTTGTTTGATCCTCGATTGCATTCTTTGATAGTATTTGATTGCCGCCAACTGTGCTGATAGATGTCCAATTACGGCTGTCTCGGCGTTATTTAGGGAGCGCGGCTGTTCCAGCTCAGCAGGTGACCGCCGCAAATCAAACCCGCATTCAATCAGATAGCAAAAATTTTCGCGAATACGAAATTTCCCGCCGCCTGGTGGGGCGCCGCATTGTTTTAGAGCAAAAGAAGGGATGGATCGCCAGGGGCGCCAAAAGCGCGAGGCCAAGCACTGGAACGGCTCCAACGTGTGTCTCATTCAAAGCAAAAACCAAGGGTTGAGAGAAATAGTCAATTTTCAATTCTAAAAAGCACTAGAGCGCGAAGTATTGATTCACGAAAGAAATTTACAGCCGACGAGAGAACATGACATTCAACATTTTGAAAATCGCTTCAATCCTTCCTTTGGTCTCTTCTATGCCGGCCCTCGAGAATTCCCCTCTTCCGACGACTCTTCAGCTTTCAATCGTTTTCGGACTTGTTGTGGTTGGAATACTCTTCCTTGTGAAATCCGTCACTTGCTGTATTACGCCAAAATCACCACCGAAACAGCGACTCAATTCCCTTCAATCATCGTTGGACGACCATATTCTCATCGGATCGATCATCAAGAAAGAAAAGCAAGTTACAGAATCTTCTACACGCCTCCTTCCAGATGCATCATTTATTTACAATCCTTCTGTTGAATACGTCGTGTAAATTACCCTTATCAAAAACTCGTGTGAATAAAGAGCTGTAAAAACAATGCTTGATCGTTTATTATTTCAATTGTCTAATTACGCCATTCATAACCAAAGCAGTCGAGAATGTTTTTAAGGATTTTTCGGTAGACATGCTGTTGGATTTTCGAAGTGGAGCGAATTGAGTGGTCCTCATCGGCGTAGAACTCGGCCTTGATTTCAATACCAGCTTTCACTAGAGTATCGATAAGGTACATTTTGTTAAAAAAGTTATTTTACCAAGGCTTTTTTGCTGAGCAACGGCATTGAGGAAGTGGACGTTGTCGTCATCAGTTCCGTGAATGATTGTGTAGTTGACGTTTCGGTAGTTTTCTCGTGGATGGCCTTCAACAATCGATCCTTTTTGGTATGCTTCGAGATTTTTGTCCGGTTCACCCATGTATCGCTCGGCGTAAATAGTATCGTAGTACCTCCAGTCTGCTAATGGCGCAACTGCAACTCCACACTAGAGACATCGATTGCTTCTTTATTATTATTCAATTTACCTTGAAAGTGTTTCCGGCGTCATAGCCGAGAACATGGGAAGTAGCGTATCCTCCATAACTCCAGCCGTAAATAGCCGTGCGTTTCGGATCGATTGCTGGGTGTGTGTTCAAAATATGTCTCGCAGTGTCCACTTGATCGATGGGTTCCAATTGTCCGAGTTTTTTGTATAAAAGGTGCATAAACTTATCTCCTTCGTAAGCGCTTCCTCGCCCGTCAATGACAGCTGTTACAACGTCGTACGAAGATGGAAGATATGCTTTGACGAAGTCAGTTGTCCATCGTTGATCGACATTTTGGTATTCTGGGGCGCCGTAGACGAATACTAGAAGTGCGTATTTTCCAACCGCGGTCGCATCAAAATTTGATGGCAAGTACAGCTCGTAGTTTAGGGGCTTTTCTGGGTACCACTTTTTAGAGTTTTTAGTTGCTCTACTCAAATACTAAATCTGTGAGCATTTAAAACATTCCGGAGATGCGAAAGTGCCAGATTTCCTCTGATACCATCCGGCTTGCTTTTCATTCTTGACTTCCTGAAGTCTCATGTTATCGATTCGGAGCTCCCAATTGAGATTTGTCAAGTAGCTTCCAAGCTCAAGCTGTGACTTTCCAGCGATATCGAAAGTAGAAACGTATGTGACGGGTACTCCTGGTCCTCTGCAACTGGCGATAATAATGTACTCGGTATCAGAACGCTGGTGAAATCGTGTGTCAACCCAGTCGCAGCTTTTTTTGTCGTCTCCTGTCGGATGTTCCAGATCCATCAGACCGCATGTGATGCAAACATCTACACCGTCAGGAGAAAAATAGAGATGTCGCTTGATAATGGGATTTCAACTGAAGAATTTGAAGACTTGAAAATAGAAAGAAATTATAAGATCCCCTTCCTGTGACGGCAAAGGAGCGGCATACGTATATAGTGGATAGTATTTGTTATTCAATGAAATAACTTTATTCACGCTTATATCCGAAACAACGTATTTATTTTTATTTTCGCTCCCTGTGTGCGGCCAATCTTCGAAATTGGCAGCAGCACCATTCTTCGTAGCAGTAACGACTCGCCAGTAGCTATCGCCTTCATCTTCTCTTGACAAAATCGTGAGATATTTACCATATGTTTCTGTTGCTTTCGGATAGAAAGGACCTTTAAAGCCAACCCAGTGGTCTGTGGAAGTTTCCATATCAATTTGTTCGGCAGTCCAGTCTCCATTTTTTCGACATGCAAATGTCCTCCGAGTAGTTGTGTCTCGGTTGATCCAGCTCATAACGAACCAATCACTGTCTGGTGACCAAGATGTTCGACTAAGATGAGCCATGTCTGTGATATCTACTGGAAGAGACAGTTCGTCGCCTGTCGGTTTATCAACGAAATCATCGACGATTGTTAATGTCACTCCAGCATAGTTGCCTCCTGCTTTTGCATATGGAATTTCTCGGATAGTCGGGTAGGCATCTTCTAGTTTGCTAAATTCCTGGTATCCGTTCTTTGTGTCGAAGGTCGAATATCGAAGAAGATCAACTTGCTCGACGTTGTAGGAAGCGAACAAAAGCTTTTTTCCATCAGGTGACCAGTAGATGGTATTGTCAGCCTTGATATTCTCCTCCTCGTTGGCCCAATCTGTTACTCCGTTGAGCATCTTAAACTCATCACCATTATATGTCACTCGTTTAATCTTCTCCGCTTCAGTATTTTTTCCCGGAAAGAGAACGTAGACATCGAAGCCGCAAACAAATGCGAGTGCTTGTTCACCCTCGGCGTTCGGTGCCCATCCGGCGTAGAGACAATATTTATCTTTGAAAAAATTGTTGATGATACTGTCAGGAGTGCTTTGCTTTGTATTTTGATCGATAGAACTGACTGTGAAGAACTTCTGGCTAGATCGTCGCCATAATTTCTTTCCGGTTATCTTTCAGTGGCTTTTTAGTGAGTTTTATGGCCCTCTCAGTAAATAGTTAAGCCGTTCCTGTCCAACAATAAACTGCTCATTTGGTGACAGTATAAATGTCGTGCAGTTTGCACCGTGAGTATCTATTTGCAAAGCGGTGAGAGTTTTCACAGGCAAAGTAAAGTTACCTTTGCAAAGATCTCTCCACGAGTCTGCAAGAATATCAGTTGAATCTAAATTCTCTGGAGTCTTCGACTGATCGAACTCGTCTTTCCAAATGGATGGAGTTTGGGCGCTGTTGCTTTTTATTTCGTAAGTGGGAGTAGTCTTACTCCAGTTTGGGCTCCAGGTACTGTAGCTGTATGTTCCATCAAAAAGTTCTGAGCTAGTTAGACTTTGAAGGACAGAAATTGTTACCTGGAAATTTGATTCTAGCGTCTTCATCATTTTTCACCTCTCTCCGAGCTCGAGAAGGACTCACATTTTCTGAGCCTTTTGTGTTCAGGTAAACTTGAGCAACGCCGAAAACGAGGCCGAGCGTGCCGAAGAAAGCCAAGAGGCCACTTCCAAAAAATTTCAGACGAACTTTCATTTGAACAGTGCTCACCTCGAGCGGGTGCTTTTATACTTCCAAGTTCTGTTTGATTTCTTTGCTCTTGGTGAATATTTGAGTATCCCGGTGGGACTTTATCATGTGGAATCGAGCGCGCTATCAGAATTTATTTTATATTCTGCGTTCTCGATTCACTTTATTACAAGGAGAATTAAAATTATCTCCTTCAAATGAGGTTTGGAAAATGCGATCACAGAAGTTATACAGAATTCTATCGAGTGCTTCTTGGTTTCACGTGATATGTTTCTCACGGGCTCAATTTTTCATCTGACATGATTTAATCGAAAGATTCTCTCTTCCTCATTCCATAATGCCCCTAATAACCTTCAGTAAAATTCTGCTAGCTGCTTATTTTCTAAACGTGCGAAATTCAACGAATGACCTGTCAATTTCCGGCTTTCCCTCTCACGAACCAAAATCAATTTAGGTCAGCGCGTTAAGTTCAGAGAAGCATGAATAATTTTAATTGTATTTTCTTTGTCTAAAGAAATTCATTACTCCTCGATGTGATTATGGCTTGATCTTTGCAGCAATATTCTGGGTGAATCTGTCAGTGCAGAAAAGCAACCCGACCGGGCCAGGGAAAGTCAGAGAGCGAGCGAAAGAGAGGCCGGATAAAGGACCGAATCGGTCCCTGAAAAGGTTTTCTACTGCTCCTCAGGTTCGAGTACAGAACAAGAGATTTAATTCCCCCAATCTATCTTATCAGAGAAAAAATATTAACGGACATTTAGGTGATCGCATGGTGCGGCTCCTTGGGTTAGCCTCTTTGGCTAGCCCACCTCTTGCTCGTTCTCAAGATCGCTTAGTTCCTATCCCTGGTAAGCTATTTTTCTGGTCAATTTTTCGTGAATATTAAGGCCCGGTGATTCCAAACGCTGTCACCGGCAACTACCCTGGTAACGATGTGTTCTATAGGCGGAAAGATCTCAATGTGTTGAAGGCTAACGGAGTAGACATCTCAGGGTTGAATGAGATCCCAGGGTCAGATGAACCACTCGCAAGAGGTTTGGTCGACCATGACAAGTGGTTTGAAAAGTGAGAGAATATAACTTATCTATCTTTAATTAAATTGAAGAGAAATCGTTGACGGCAAGCTGAAGACGATTCTTCCCTGGGCATTTCACTCTTCCTTCCCGATGAAGTCTCAGACACGCGAGATCATCAACCGAATGAATGCGGACCTCGGATGTGTTGCAAATGTCGAAGTCGAAGATCTCCAGACAACTCACCACACATTCGGCGTGCTTCTTGTCTGGGCGACATTAACCGGAGGGGGATGCTGGACAACGACTGGGATCGCACCTGGATTCACGGGACTATCGGATAAAACAATGGCTGATCTTGGCGCGCCGAGTACGTGGCAGGTGATCTCGTTGGATAGTAATTGTGACGGGCTGAGTGAGACGACCATCCAGCATGAGTTTTTACATGCTTGGGGTTTTCAGGAAAGGTTTTCAAATAAAGTAGCCTCAGAAAATAGCGAGGATTTTTAACCTTGGTAAGCACGAGCAATCTCGGCCAGACAGATCATCGTTTATCAACGTCCACTTCGGCAATACCGACAGCGATGAACAGTTTCGCATGCTCGAACACGATGAGTGGATCGAGACTGAATTTCCATACGAGATTCGCTCAGTCCTTCATTATTGCTCCACTTGTGGAACGAACGGTGCTGGGCCGGTGATGACTAAACATGACGGATCATTTTTCTCAGGCGGTCGATTTATGAGTACGACAGACGCTCTCCAGCTTCAGTCGCAGTACTGCGCCCCGGAAGAGCGAATGAATGCTCTGGACTGTCTAGAAAAGGATGAGTTTGGATTCAACCGCAAGATATTCGCAAGCAGAGTTTGTGATGGCCGACCAGACTGTCCAAACGCAGAAGATGAAACTGGTGCAATCGCGACTTGTATATCTTCTGGTGAATTGACTCCAAATGGTTGCTGCACTCAACTGATCGTGGAAGATGACGTTTGTCACTATTCTCAGGCCTGGTTCGATTTCGATTTGTGGATCTGCGAAAGCAGCCCGGACAAAGTCGTCCTTCGTTTCGAAGAAGAATGGTTCATCGGTGTCACTGGTATTCCCGTTGACACCTTCAACTATGTTGCGAAGAAATCAGTATCAAGTACTTGCCCTGAGCTCGGTCTATGGTCAGATGGGCCGGCCGCGCAATTTGTTTTCTGTGCCTCAGAAGGCCCAAATTGGGATGAAAATTTGTGCTCTGGATCGAACTGCACACAAGGATCCCAATGCGTTATCAAAAATAGCCAGCCTGTTTGTGAATGCTTAGAGGGGTGGAGCGCGAATGAAGATGGAACCTGCACAGAAATTCCGATTCTGAACGAATGCGCCCTTGGAATCCATGACTGCCACGGGAACGCAACCTGTACTGACTTGGAGCTCGGGTACCAATGCGAGTGCTGCCACGGTTACGACGATCAAGACCCAACTCAGCCTGGCAGAAACTGTGTCAAAACGAAAGAATGCTGCAAAAAATTCACCATCGGAGTACCTCAGCATGAATTTTATAATGCTGTTTGTGAGTACAGTCGAACGCAGCAATCTGGCTACATTGACTACACATGCTCGCCCAACGAGCAATTTCCTACCCATTGGTGGAGTTTTCCAATGTCAGTTCAATATGCACCCTTGTTTAACAAAGAATACTTCTTTCAAACAGGAGCACTAACCGACGAGACCAATATCAATTGGTCAGAGATTTGGGATCGTCAATCAAGAACTGATAAAAATGGTCAAAAATGCCCTTCTCTGGAGCCACCTTCAAGCGGAAACAATTTGAGATGGACAACAATGAACACGAATTGTCTTGAATTCTTTCAGACCGTCGACTCGCCATGCACTTTGGGCACTCATGATTGCAGCGTCAACTCTGTTTGCATGCCAGTGGACTCTTTTGGAAACTATGACTGCCCCTGCGAAGTAGGCTTTTCAAGACCTGCTGGATCCACTTCTTGTCTGGCTCTAGTCGACGAGTGCTCTAGTGGACTTCATGAATGCGACGAAAACGCAGTCTGTCATGACAAGACTGATGGATATGGCTGCCATTGCAATGATAATTTCGAGGGGAATGGGTTTCATTGCGAAGCGTAAATAATTTTCACCATAATCGAAGTAATTTTTTACTAGCATAATTCCGAACAACGGCCCAAATGTTTTGACGACATCATCGACAACAACCCCGATGACAACGACCACAACCACAACGGCAAAGCCTACTACTACAAGCACCACAACTCAAAAGCCTACTACAACCACTACCACATCAACAACGACAACTACACTAACAACAACAACAACTAAAACAACGACGACTCGCGTTCCAAAAGTAGAGATTGACACTCAATTCGGTGAGTGTCTCTGGCCAAAGAACGCTTTAACATCCGACTGGACAGCGCAATTTGAGCCCATCTCGGGAAACGCGATCGTCAGGAGATGCCCTGAGTTTTGTATTTGGGAAACGAAGGAGTGCTTTGATTTCAGAGAAGCAGGAGAGTATACTTGCGTTGAAAAGGATGGTTTTCATTTCTTCACCCGGTCACCCGAAGATTTGGACCCACGCGACGAATTTTTCTTCGGAGAAAATCACGATAGAAAGCGAAACATAGGACAAAAGATGCTATGCGATCCTAAAATCTTTATAAAAGATAAGAATGCAGCATGCGGAGAGCTCCCGAGAATCCCAGATTTTTATCAGCAATTTTCTGAATACGGAAATAATGATAAAACTATAGGAAAGGATAACATATCACTTAATGATTCTCTATATTAACTTTATGCTTCATCCCTAGAAAAGTATGCAAAACTGGCGGACGGCCCATTCGAGATGACATTCTTGATCTCTTCTGTTTGAAAAAGCGCAAGTGGAAGAATCCAAAATGGGTCACACAACAACGCAACTTAAAAATTCGCATACTGGGGAACAAAATTCCTCGTAGATATTTATGCAAGAAACTGTAGCTCTCAATGTTGGTAAAAAATGGTGTGGGAACGAAATCAAGGACGTCTGATATCAAAACGAGACGATTTGATACGACGAAAATGCTCAATGGTCAACTCAACATGAGCCACTTTGAAGATAACTGTTCAGAAAACAGCTGAATATGTTTGCATCTTGGAACTTTAATAAATTCATGTGCTTAGTCGTAGAAAATTATTGACCTTTTCTGTTATAAAAATGTGGAAATATCTATGAGAAGTGAACACATGCAGGAGTGTTCCATCATAAATTCTGTTCAAAGCAAATTCTTATCAGAAGTATCCAAGAAAAATAGCTAGAAATGTCTGTTGTTCCACTCTCAGTGGGCATTGCACCAGTAACACCCCCAGGGTGACCCCCTCCTCTCTGCCCGTAAGTATTCGTTGTAAGGAAAAATTTCGGGTGCGCGTCGATTCCTACGGTTTCGGGGTTTTGCGTCGATTCTTACGATGCGTCGATACCTACGGTTAAAAATGACTCATGCCAAGGAAGGAAAGATAGGGTCTGCAACTTATCATAAAATATCTGATGGGTTACGGCTTTTCTTTATAGAGTTATCGTCTGTTTTTACTTTGTTGGCTCTTTGATGAGAAGTGATTTTAAAGAATTGATTTTTGCTAAATTTATTTTTGCCTTTTTTGGTTTTTTGCCAGAAAAATGATAAATTTCGCAAAATTTTTCCCGAAATGATAAAGAGCCTATCAACTCTTCGACAAAAAATCGACAGAATTACAAGAATATTCAATAAACTATTCGCATTAACATGTCTTTGAAAAGTATTTTTTGTTCACGTGCAGACAAGTTGCACACCCTATCTTTCCCTCCTAGGCATGAGTCATTTCTAACCGTAGGAATCGACGCAACCGTAGGTATCGACGCATCGTAGGAATCGACGCAAAACCCCGAAACCGTAGGAATCGACGCGCACCCAAAAATTTCACCCAGAGACATCTAGGGATCTTGATAAATTCGAAATCTGTATAACAGAGTGTGGAGTCGACGTAAATGACTGCAAGGACGATTGCGATGCTGCAGATTATTCTTGTCCATCTCGTTGTGACGCGGCTTTTCTTGACTGCAGGTACGCATGTCCCTGCGAGGCTGGATGTCCAAATGGATGTGATGGCTGTTCCAACTCAGTTTGTCAGGCTGAAGAATATCTCTTGATTCTCAATGATTGGATGTCGGATGAAAACATCGGCTACCTCGTGAATTTGAGAAACGATGAAATCAGCTTTGCTTCAATAGATTACAAAAACCTCGACATCGATGATTCCTGCTACTCATTTATGAACGGGCAGCATTATATAATCGGCGGATATGATCATCCTCGTCTGATTCTGACCTTGGAAGTTGACAAGTGCGAGTTGACGGAGCATGATATGCTGGGAATTCAACACGTTGACGGAATGTGGGGAGCATGCGCCGTTTACAATGACATCACATATTTATGCTTTGACGAAAGCGGTGTTGATATGTATGGGTGTCAGACATACGATGGTTACAACCAAAATCTCATCGAGGCTCGAACGGAATATGCTCACGACTGGTCGACCATGGCCGTTTACAACGACGAAATGTGGGTAGTTGGCGGATGCGAAAATGGAGGTGCTTTTGGTTGCCACAATCGCGTCGAAAGCTTCAATGGATCCTCTTGGAGTCTCTCCATCGATCACCCAGATAGACAATTATCCGGACATCTTGTGCTCGGTGATGGAAATGGCCTTTATGAAAGTGTTAAAAGAGCAATTTATCTTAAGATTTATAGACTATATCATATATATTAAGGCTATTACTCATTAAAACCTTTCAACTATAATTAGACAATTACCAATGTCGGACAGCTCAACCAGAATCTATGGGCTGTCCAGAAATTTGATGGTCTTACTTGGACTAAAATTGGAGAGCTCTCAGAATCCCATTCCACTGTCTCCACAATAACTTCTGGCAAAATCATCAACGGATTCGCATACACCGGAAAATAGTTGACGAATTTGTCTTTTCTTGATTGATAAATTCTAATTTTAGCTACTTGGATAAAGTAAAAATGGACGAGGAGGACTATTCGGCGACAAATCTTGGCAAAGATCCTGATGGATCCTCTTTTGTGCTCTACTATGCGCCAATGCTTCTTGTTGATGGTCCCATCTGTGCATTATAACTAAAAAAATTATGTCAGCTGTATTTGATTCTTTTTGAGTTATATATTCTCGAAATAAAGAAATGAATCAAGTAAATTTATGTCATGGAATCTCTTTGAAATTTTGGATTCAAATTAAAAAAAAACATGAGAAATCTCCATATGCGGATGTTTTCTCATGGTCTTCTGATCAAAAACGAACATTTCAGAAGACTAAAGGAAAACTATAGAGAAATATGGCCGCTTCACCATTTTCAATTGATCTCGCACCGGTGACGCCACCACCAATGTGCCCGTAAGTATCGACTTCTAACCTTGATTGACTAAAATAATACTAGAGAGCTCGATAAAAACGAAATCTGCTCTTCTCAATGTGGTATTGAGTTGAATGAATGCAAAGACAATTGCTACCATGCGGATTACTCTTGTCCATCTCGTTGTGATGCAGCTTTTCTTGACTGTAAATACGCATGTCCTTGTGAGGGTGGCTGTCCGAATGGATGTTCCGGCTGTGGGAATCCAGTTTGCCAGGCGGACGAATATCTTTTAATTCTCAATGAATGGAAAGCATTTGAGAACATCGGATATCTCGTGAATCTGTCCACCGATGAAATCAGCTTCAGTTCAATCGACTATCACGGAATCGACATCGACGATACTTGCTACGCTTTCATGAAGGGCCAGCACTATATCATCGGTGGCTATTTGCGACCCCATATGATCCTTACTTTGGAAGTTGACAAATGCGAACTAACAGAGCAAGGGAATCTCGAAATTCAGCATATTGACGGAATGTGGGGAGCATGTGCTGTATACAATGATGTTGCGCATCTGTGCTTTGATGAAGAAGGTGTCGACATGTTTGGTTGTCAGACTTTCGACGGTATCAATCAGAATGTCATCGATGCCCGTACTCAGTATGCTCACGATTGGTCTTCCATGGCCGTCTACAACAACGAAATGTGGGTTGTTGGTGGATGCGACAGTTACAGTAACGGCGGTTGCCATAATCACGTGGAGAGCTTCGATGGTTCTTCGTGGAGTCTTTCAGCTGCTCACCCAGATAGCGAGCTGGTTGGACATCTTGTGCTTGGTGATGCTAACGGTCTCTATGAATGTGTTTCAAAGATTCATTTTTCGTCAATAAAAATATACTGCTATTTATAGCTTCAAAAATATTTGGTTAGATTCGAAACATAAAAAGACACTTTCTGACATCGGAGAATACTTCAACCGATGGGCAGTCCAAAAATTTGATGGATTCACATGGACTATGATTGGAGAGCTTTCAGAATCTCATGCAGCATCATACACGATTAACTCTGGCAAGATCATTAACGGCTATGCTTACATGGGTGAAAAGTATGTTGCATGATGTTTATTATACTTTTCGATTTATCATTTTAAAGCGAATTGGACAAAGTAAGATTGGATGAAAACAACTATTCCGCAACAAATCTTGGATACGATCCCGTTGGTGACGACTTCTGGCTTTACTATTCTCCAATGCTACTTGTTGATGGTCCAGTCTGCTCATAAACTCTTAACCTTTTAAAACAATAAAATCAATAGAATTCGATTTTTTTGCTCATTGTCATTTCTACTATTGATGTGTACCCGTGTAGGCGATGATCCGCCCTCTCAGAAAATGAGCTCTATATAAAAGCATCGCGCGCCAGCGATGGCTTGCGGTTGCAAACTCGCAGATTTAGGATTTAGGTAAGATTTTTTTAAAGAGAAAGATATGCATTGATATGAATTTTTAGATTGTAGAAGATGCTTAATCAAGGTAATACCATCATTCCTTGCGAAATTCATTGGGTTTCTAACATCATGGGCACTCGTTATATTCATTATGTCGATATAACGGGTGCCCATGATGTTATTATTCTGTCTCGTCAGAATTTACCAAATGATATACATAGAAATGTATCCAATACAATCACGTAGTAGAATTAGGCAAATTTAGTTATCCCTCAGTATCGCAACGGTTAGGTAAATTCAAGCACCGCCCCAGTCTGAAAAAATACTGGTCCAATTTTCTTCCAGACAAATACTCCAGATCGGAGTCTCAATTTATAACTCAACAAAAACATGGTACCGAAGATGCCGTCAAGAAAAATGGAGGAGTTCTTGAAATACGCGGCTAAGCGGCAGTTGGCAATGCCGAGATGAAACAAAGAGACCGGAAGCTATCAAGAAAAAGATGAAACTATGAGAAACATGATGTCAGTGAGGCGATGAAGCCGGATTATTACCAGGAGGGTGTCCTCAGAAGAGTGTTGCGAAGGGTGTTCCGCAACGAGCCAAGAAGTGGCTGTTCCGCATAATGCGATGAAATGACAACGATGTTAATGAATAGAAAATCTTCAATACAAAAGTCTTAGAAGTTTGTCTAAGCAGAGGGGCTGGTTCTCAATGCCCGGTGGAATGTGGCGAAAAGTCTATGAAGAAGATTTTGGACACGACACAAAAACCATGTTTATTACTTTACTTACTTTACTCTTTAATTATTGTCTCATCATGAGACGGAAAATCTGCAGACTGTTTTATTCTTCGCTTGAATAAAGCTTAATTTTTAGGTAAGATTGATTTATCCCAGCTCATGGGCGCAGGACGCTCTGGCTGCGATAAATCAGTCTTACTTATTGATACTGTTGGATATAATTTTCTTCTTTGCGAGATTTTCATTGGAAACACATGAATTAAAAAATATGATTTATTAGCAGGCAATGGAGAATGAAAAAGTAAGCAATCAAATCATTTTCAAAAATCTTCAAATTTGAACATGGTGAGCTCTTGGTTTTCTAAAATTGAGTTAATAAAAAATTATTTTCTGCTCAAGCACCTGTGTGTTCTCCTTTCGTGACGTTTTCCACCATCGGCGGTTCGTCTGTGACCAGATCCTTCTTGACGTCGTCTCTGTTTTCTTCGGGCATCTCTTTCTCCGTCAGTTCTCTTTGGTCGGGATTGCTGCTTTGTTGGGTCGACTTTTTTGGGCAGATCGGATGCTTCCATCACTTCATCGTATGATGGTGCTTTCTGATGATATCAAAAAGTAAAAATCAAGTAATTGGCTATCATACGTAATATTTTCATGAGAGCGTAAGACTCAAGGATTGATACCATGCTTTCTTTGCGTATTTCTCATTGATAAATTGAAGGTCTTTCAAATACGGCTTCTCTCCTTTAGGATAAGTTCCGTAAGAATGCTCTGGTGCATATTTCTTCGATCTTGTTCTCTGAAGTTTGGCCACACATGCGCTTATGATGCACATGAGTACCAACGATATCATTATCAAGGAGAAAATGACTGCTCCTAAAATAGGCTTTGATTAGCTCTGACTGCTTTAAATATCCAGTTGAACCTGAAACTTTGTAGTCTTCTTCCATGATTTCAATCTCTGCTTATCGCGGAAATCTAAAGTCGCCTTTCCGCAAGGTTTGATAATGTTCTAAAAATGATGAGCTCTCCGGCCACTTTTTTCCCAACCGATGCTCCGGCAAAAGGCAGCAGATCCGAGAAGCGACGACCCGTTGCCCATAATGTTTGAGCTTGTTTTGGTTCCATTCCAAATATAACGTTTTTTAGAACACGCTGTTGGCCGCGCTGAAATTTACGCGTCCACGAGGGTTGAAATAATATTTTTAATATAAGGAAATTATTTAGCGCTTTTTGAATGACAAAACTGACTGCTTGTCAAATAAGAGCATTTTCTTCTTCTTGGATAATAGTTTTTTTTTGTCAAAAGTTTATTTACAAATGGAATGCAAAAAAAAAAGACTCCCACGAGCGTATTATTCTATCATTCTAGCGCTGCGTACAGAACTTGCCGTGGGCAGATTCGCGAGATTGCAAGAGCAAATCGGCTGACAGCTCGTAAGTCAGAACTTGTGCTCGGTTCCCATTCGTGACATTTTTATTCCAACCGAGCTTTGGCTTTGTATCAATTCTTCAATTCGTACTATCCTTTAAAAATGCTCAACTAAAGAATAAAATCTAACAATCTTTCAAAATGAAAATTGCAGCGTTTTTGCTTTTTGCTGCTTCAGAAGCTTATCCTCCAGCAGATATTGAAAATCCCGGAGAGAGTAAAACTTGTGCAAATGAAGTTGCAGAAGATGATTGTGTAAGATTGTTCGTCGCGAAAAATTATAGCTGCGAAAGCTTTACTAAAGAACAACAGAAAGCTTGCCAAGGAAAGATTAGACTTTTTCTTCCTTTTTATTTTGAATATTTTCAATTTGTGCCTAAATTGTTTCAAATCACAGACTGACAAATCGCCATCTCGTTCGTAGCCAAGATTTGACATTTTCTCTAACCGAGCTCAGCCTTTCTAACATTGTTCGCCGCCCTGGACAGGTCTCCAAATAATGACTATTCTTAAAAAATAGAGAAACTTAAAAAAATGAAACTTCAAATTTTCACTTTTTGCGTTTTTCACTCAGAGGCTCAAATGTCCAGATTTCCAACGAGAAACATTCAAACCATTCAAAATGAAGAAACTGGTTCAAAAAAAATTTAGCTCATTCGCTTATTAGAAAATTCCTTTGAACCTGTTTTTTGTTCCGTTTGTCCCTATAGTCGAGAAAACATGCACTAATAAAGCAGCAGATGGCGATTGCGAGCGACTGTTAGTTCAGAAAAATGGCACTTGCGATAATTTTGAAGTTGAGCAGTTGAAAAATTGTGAAGGAAAGATTTATAATTTTTCTTTTGAATTCTCTTGTTCAAATTAGATTCTAATCTGAAACAGGTACTTGTAACAAGTGTTACGAAGACCCAACGGAAGCTCCACCTACGGTCAAAGTGGAAATAACTACAGTGCCCCCTACTCTCGACGATTTTGTCAACCAAGATAATTACGTAGATGAGTACAATGACGCAGCTTCTGAAGGAATTCTCCCCGATCACGGTCAAAATGGTGTGAACGTCGGCTACCCAATGGGCTATCCGTATCCGGGCTACCCGTACCCGTATCCAGCGGGATATCCTTACCCACAAGCACCAGGGACAAATGGCGCTCTGCCGCCTTACATGGCTCAACCAACCACAGTAAAGCCAGGCAAGCCGACAAAGAAACCACCATCGTGGGCCGACGAAAACGACAAAAATGAAACACTCAATCCAACAGGTTCAAAATATTGCCCCTTCACCATTATATAAAATTCTAGGCGCGATCGATAAAGATGGTAAAACAAACATCAACGTCCCTGTTCTCGCCAGTGGTATGCCTTCTATGCTCATCCCTATTTGGGTGGTTATTCTCATCGTTGTCGCCTTGATCGTTCTTCTCAGTGGCTGCTGCTGGTGTTCATTGAAAGTTCACGGAGGTTACCTCCGAAGAAGATTCCGAAATGACACACGAAAACAAACCAAAGAAGCAGAAAATCGAATCAAAGACTTGGAAAACGAGCTCTCCGCGATGCGTACAGTTGCCAAAGAGAAGAATGAGCAACACGCGAAAGAGCTTCAAGAAGAGAAAGACACACTGAACGCAAAAATCAAAGAACTCCAAGCTGAAGTTCAAGCAACTGCGGATCAAATTCCATCTTACGAAGAAGCATCGAACTTCCAAGATTTAAACATGGAAAGAATCAAGGGCACGACAATGACAAATTTTGATGACATCGAATCGGTGCCGAAACATTTCGATGAGACCTCTATGAACGCCTCCATCGCGCGCCATTTCAACGAAGCGCTGAAGAAAGCCGATGTTCCAAAGAATAATCCAGTCGACGACAACACTTCTGTCGCACCGTCGCAGATGGAATCAGTCATGACAGTAACTGAATCTCAGCAACAACGACAGCGAGTTGAGAGCTTGAACTCACGAGGACCGGATTACGTAATTATACCATAAAAACTACCCTTTTTCAAGAAAGAAACCTTCAGGTTCGATTTCACGACTATTTCAAATCGAAAAATTCCTTTTATCAAATATAAAATGGAATATGAATTATTTCATATTCTTGACTATTTTTTCACATTTTTATTATTTTTTAAAAAGTTTTATTTTGTTAAAAAAAAGGTAAATTTGCTATCCGCTTTGAAGAAGCCGCTTACGCATACAAAGAACATTACCAGCCGCCTCAAATCAGTAAGGATGAATTTGATGACACGAAAAATGAGCTTGATGATACTAAAAAAGGCGTGTGGGTTAATATACTTGAGTATATTATTTTGTGTGTGAAAGTTATATATTTTTCTTTTATATAACTCGTGCGAAAAGCAATGAAAGATCTCCAGGGAATGGTCAGAAGCTTGATTGGTACAGTCGCAGATCAACACGACGCTACTGAAGCGTTGAGGAAAAAACTGAATGAGAAGCCACAGAATGTTGGTCCTCCTGCTCCTCCGCCAGTTAAAATTACTACTCCAGCTGTTCCCCCAGCTCCAAAACCTCATACTTACGAGAATACCGCTACTGTTGATGACAAGTATGGTCATCTTGCTCCAGCCCAGCCTCCATCAGCCCCTGCTCCAGTCCCGACATCAGCCGCAGACAAGCCGCCAACAAAAGAGTTCATTACGCCAATTCATGCATATTTCAAGCCAGGTCTTCCCACAGGAGTCGCACCAGCAATTCCAAACGTTCCTCCGAAAACAACGAATCCTTCAAATGCTCCCCCTGAATTCTCGTTCTCAGAAGCAGCTCCAAACCCACCAACAAGAAAGTTCAACAAGCCGGATTGGGACGCTTCTGTAAAAGTGGCCCCTCCCAAACCTCCAAGTGTGACTTCATTCGAGAGGATGCACATGGAGTTGACCAAAAGACACCAAGAACAACCCATTCCGCCTCAAGACTTCGACACACGCTCAATGGCGTCTGTCGCAACTACAGCCAATCAAACATTCATTTCTGAAGTGACCAGTGAATATCAAGCCGCGGTTGGTAAAAGCATGAGAGATGACAGTCAAACGAGTGGACAGTATTATGAAAACTTTTCAGTGTCAGGTGTGTGGATTTATCATCTATATGATAAACAGTTGATTTGATTAGTCCTCCTTGTTTTCATTGCCTAATTTTCTTCAGAAAATCCGATGGGCCGTTCCCGAATGAGCTCAATGACTGAAACAAGCTACACTCAGGATCAAACGACAACACAGTTTGACTCAGACAACTCTCAGAAATCAGGTATTCTTTCACGCAAGCTTTTTTTCTGATATTTGAATTCTAGTCGTTGAAAATTCTCGGGCTACTACGCGACCTCCAGTTTACGGAACACAGGAGCAAGTACTTGACATTCCAGAGTCAAGGGCTACAATGAACAACTTTGTAAGTCTGAAGTAAAAGAGCTTTTTTCAAGCTTTTTCTAGATAAATCGAATTCCTACTGCTGCTTCTCGTGACCGATTTACAACTCATATGAGCTCATTGGAGGAAAAGTGGGGAAAGATCAACCATCAATTGAATTACAGGTAAATAAGGTAAACAAACACACAGTAATAGGAAAAAATAGTGAGCCAGAAAATGAAAAACTTTCGAAACAAATGTTCTCCCTCGGCATGGATATTCTGAAGCCAAATGGTACCGAAAACATAATCGAAATTGGCCGAAAACTCGGTGATCTCGGAACAAAGCTCGCTGCAGAAGATCCTCGCGCTGGAACTCTCAATACATTTACTAAGAACGTGCTTTTTACCGCCATTTTCATGAATAAGCAGCCGACTGGCAATGAAATGTTCCAGACAAGTTATCACAGCTTACTTGAGACTGCAGATCAGATGATGGGACTTCTTTCGCAGCAGTTCAAAGATGCACATGTAACAAAAGCCAAACCATTAGCAAGTGCTACTTTCCCAGCGGAGTCCATCGAATCAGGATTGACAACCTCGGCAACAACTGCAAGCTCCTCGAGCTCATCATCGGAGGAAGAAGAGGAAGCATCAGAAGCTAATCCTAGCGAAAACATAGAAAAGACTGTCGATGATCTTTTTAATTCCGCCGTTGCCTCAGTTCCAGTTCCACAACAAAAAGCTAATGATGAAAACAAAGAAGAAGAAGAAAGTTCAAGTGACAGTTTTTCAACATCAAGTGAGTCGGAGGATGAAGCTTAGCTTCTGAAGCTATTTTATGTACATAGATAATTTCAATAAACGTATAAATAAAATTAGGTCTTCTACCAAAGTCTATGTAATGAATTACAGTTTTCCATGAAAGCGCAAAAAGGGAGAACGAGTTTGAGTTTTCCTTTCTTTGACAATTCCGTGACGTCCCATCCGTTAAACGGATCAGCAAATATTTAAAAAGTTCAGTATATATAGCCCCTTTTGGATCAGTTAGATATTCATTATCTGCAAAGATGACACGAAAAAGTTTTTTGTGGCAGGTTAAGGCCAAACATGCAAAGTTGCAGTATAGAAAGTAACCATTGTTGACTGTATAAGACAGTTGTGGTTGATAATTTCTGAGACGAATATTGTAATCTAGACATTTTTGAAGTTGTGAATGTCATTGCACTCGTCGTTGTCTCCGTCAAACATAAATTGCATGATGAATTCGTCTTCCGGTACATGTAATGGATCCTCTTCAGCCATTTTTCCTTTGAAGAGCGTTTTAAGAACGAAACCTAATAATTATTTATTATTCTTCATAAATAATGGCATTTACATTAAATGTTATGATTAATAATTATCTTATAATTGGTATAATACCAAAAACAATTTGTTTCTAACCTCTTATTCTCTGAGAACCAAAGTGTTGATCGACGGGGTGATTCCTGGAAGTTTTGATGAATTTAAGTTTCAATTTAACTAAATTTGTTCATGCCGTTTATGAGTTAAACATACATGTCCGTTGTGAGGCTGTCCAAAGTTGAACTATGGTGAATGTTTGTAAAGACCAGCTTTTTTTACTGTTTCTAAATATTTCATATCAGAGCTCAAATGGACGTTTATTTCAAAATTTCATCTCCTGCGTTACTTATTTACAGTGTTCCCAGAGGATCGTAAAAGTGTCTGCGTAATCACAATTCCCAAACTGCAGCTCATCTTTGCCTCTGTTGGGGATTTATGGCTGCGTTATTAAAATATTCGGCCATGTAAATTTCTGGCTCATTAGGTGAGCTCGTGCTGGGCGAGCTTGGCGAACCAGGTCCGATAGAAGGTGTCAGTCGTCGATGCCATAAAGCCATTATTGCCAGGAACCATTACGCGCGAATGGACACATGGTGTAAGCCACAGTGCTGAGTACTATTGCGCCCATAAAGCAATAAAACCTACTGTGAAAGTGTCCCGTAAATGTCTCCTTACATCAATTCCATTTTTTCAGACCGTCCAAAATCGAAAATTTAAGAATCGTCAAGGAACCAAGCAAGTTTACGGCCGCAAAAGTAAAGAACGCGCTCGTGATTTTGAAAAATCATTATTTGATGATTGTGCCCAAAGAATAAATCCTATCGATTTCCGCGAATAATTTTTCCGCCCCCAAGTTCGCCCAGCTTGATCAAAGTTCTTCGCCGCTAATTAAGCCAATTTATGCTTGCCGACTGTACTCTCCACTTTCCATCTGGAGCCGTTTTATCCAGACGATAACCTGATTTTATGGGCATTTATGAAAGTATAGATTTTCGGAGCTGACTGTTTTAGACTTGATTTGTTGATGATATAAAAGTACCCTTGATTTGTGTTTGACTGTCTAAAAAGTCAATTCAAGGAAAAAGCATACAGTAAGAGTGCATTTGCGCAAATACCCATCCTTCATCACCTCTCTTGCCTCGGCGCGTTTGATTAATTCCTAGCCACAGAAGCAACCTTTGACGAACTGACGAAAGGTGGATCAGCCAGCCGCTCAACTGTGCCAGTAACGAGCCTCTACCCTTGTCACAAACTCACCTTCACCAATCCTCAGCTGATTGCTGGCCGGATGCAACACTTCTGACCCCAAGTGACCTCGTGAGAAAATAACGCTATCAGTAACTTATATATTTCTGCTCTAGCTCGCCCAATGAATTGGGGAGCCGCACCTTTTATTTATGAAAAATTCTCTTTGAACCCCTTCCTCGCGCCATGGAGCGGGCCCATCAAAGGGGTTGAACGTAAAACTGTCAGTACGTAAAATTCAGTGCGAGATGGATTCCCATGAAAATGAAATTAGCCAATGTAAAAGTGATTCCTTATCAATGAGTCGGTTTATTAAGGACCTACCGCATCGATGAATAGTCATTTTTTATGAGGAGTTCTCATTAAAAACATTTAATATTTAGCATTCTTGTGAGAAATTTATGACAGTGTGCATAATGATTTTCGAGTGTCGAAATGATAACTTCAAGAAATGATTATGGTTGTTTCTCAAGTTTTTCGTACTTGGCCCTGGTGTAAGGTGATCTTTGGCTCTCAGTTCGGCTCGGATGATCCGTTATAGTCGCAGACGGGCGCTGTCAGATCCATCACCCTACCACCAAATCCTCCAAATCGCGAAATGCTAATCAAAAAAACCCAAGACCTTTAGTAGAAATGTCACGAGTATAATTTTCCTCAATTTAAATTATGGTCATCTTATTAACAAATCTTCAATTTTTCTTTTCCAAATAATCAGCGACCTGTATTTCTTTGAAAGTTTTTCCGATAATGAGATCAGGCAGAGAAGGAGTAGACACATTATCGACAATTGTATTTCTGCTCGGCAGCTCAAAGCGTCGTTTAGGAGGATCAATAGACGCCCGAAGAAGTAACTCCTGTTCGTAAATCAATCATTCTCAAAGAAGGAACATCAGTCCAAAACAGAAAGCCCTTCAAAAGCAGCAACAGCACGGCGAATTAACCTATCTCCGCTCTGCTGACGGATGACGAGCTCTAACCTATTCCTTGGATCGTACTCATCCAAATCGTCGCTTATGGGAACGTAAAAGAAAGATTTAAATTAACTAGTGATGACAAGATGAGCTTTCTGAGCCAAATGAGGCATTCCAAAAGTGCACTCGATGTGGAAGATATGTGGAACGGGGAAATCCTCTGGGTCTCGTTCACCTGCCTATTATACTTGTGTGATTAGTCAGCTCATTCTTCTTCGCGCAGGTTTATTTATGAAGACTGTCTATTTAAAAAAAATGGTGAATCGGGCTTGTGAATTCATTATCAAGGAATCTTCTTTCTTTCACTTACTGACAGGTAGCATGTGTATGTTGACCGGATGAGATTCTAGCGCCATAACAAGCTGAAATTTAACCTTCAGTGGAAGCAGCTATTCGACAGGAGACAACATTTTTTCGTCGACTTTTTGGCAATAAATCATTCTCAGGTTCATGAAGACTTGCTATAGATTTAACTTTCAAAAATGTGTGTGTTTATGTAAGAGGAGCCGTAAAATGTCGACAGATTTACGGATTTTACGGATTTCCGGGTCCTGGCAAGTCGAATCTCGCTTGATTGATTCAAATGGTAGTACTTGTCATCTACGACTTTGCGTTTAGTCCTGGCTGACGCTTTTTGACAGATTTATTTCCCTGGTGCTTAAAAAAAAGTAACACAAGCTCGGAATAACGATTTAAAATATCGCGTAATTGTCTTCGACTGCTGTTAAACATATCTTGCTCAAATAAGGGTTACCATCAATTTTCATGGCTAATGAGCGTAGATCCTTCTTGTATACAAAACCTATTTTGTCGATCGCGAAATGGAGCTGATAGCTACTGTATGTAATGATAGCAATTGCGATTTTCCGGGTCCTAGCGATTTTATATTTAGATAGATGCACTTTGCCTAATTTGTGATTGATTTTGTCCCGATAACAGTTCGAGTATCTGTTGAGTGATTTCTGACTGTGCAGCGTATATCAAACTCTAAGGCAACTCAACGGCCCTGTCTAAACCATGGCTTACCCGCGCCAAGCTATCAAAAGGCAATTTATTGGCACTTATGAAATATGGAGCGAAATAGAGACCTTCGTGTTTCTGGGGCAGGAACAGAAGTACTCAAAGAGCTCAAGAGAAGGAGCTCATCTTGCACTCCCATTGTGATTACAACACACTCCACTCGTGGCGAACACACGTCAAGAACCCTTCAACAGGCCTCAGATTGCCCATGAACGGATACTCCTCTTTTTATAAGAAATCTGCTCTACACAAATTCAGCGATCGCGACTTCTATCTATCCCAACAAATTGAGATCCAAAAATTTCTTCAAACTATTTTCTTTCATAGATCGCCGTATTTTATATTGTAAGAATTTCATTTGATTGAGAACTATCCAAGAGTTGAGAGCATCAAAAGGATGATGCATTTATGCGCATTACAGTGTACATATGTTAAAGTACGTTTCATCCAATGCATCACCAGGTGTCGCCTCCCAGTTGACCCGTGCCGTAGCTTTGCTTAGGTTGCGGGTGATTTTGGCGCTTTGAGTGGCGGCGCTGGCGAGCAGAAATAAATTACTTTTTTGTCGCCGTAGCTTGTGACTGGTTGATTGAGGAGATTTCTCTAGTGTGACTGATATCCTCTGAACAGCCTATCTTGTTGACAAAAAAGACCAACAAAAAACGCAACCAAGTTAAACCTTTTTGACAAACTACAATCCTGACGAATCACCTCCGTAAGAGATACAAAACAGTACCTCAAAACAGAGAGCGAACAATAAACCCGGCCACGAGAGAATAAAAATGACAGATTTGAACTTGGGCACCTTTTCCGGGACTGAGTTTGCTCAGAACTGCGAGAACCCGACTCAACCCGCCCAAAATGCTCCACAGAGTGAAGCTCAGCAAGAACAACTTAAACTTGACAAGGACAGGATTTACAAGTAAGTACTCCTCGTTGATTTCATTTAAACACATACCGGAAAAGGGCGATTGTCAAAAAATAATTAATATTTTGACACTTCATTCTAATCTAAGAAAATTATTCTCATTTGTCAAAGATATTCCATAAATTAAAGTTAAACTGTTAAACAGAATTCTTAAATTTCTATCAAAAAGTCAATAGTGCAGGAACAATCCACTGAGGCTTAAGCCTCTTACACGGCAAAAACAAACACCGTAATCCCTCATCATCTGTCTCCGAAATCTAAAAATAATTATGGCGTCCTGCAGAGTCCCGTGCGCGCCCTGATCTCCTACCGAGATCAGTCATAAATGCATCGACTGTTTGTTTCTGCAATCAGCTGGATTCTCATCATCCCTTTTTAAATAAAAAAATCTCTTGTCCAAGAAACCTTACCCCAATTCTCTAGGCATCCGATTTTCCCACTGCTCCAGCAGATTTTCCACAAATGCGAATTGGCCTCTAACTCGGCACGTGACAAAACTTCCGGCGATCTGACCTCGGCGGAGAGCTTCAATGATGATATTGCTCACTTCGCCAAGCAGGTAAAACTATAAATTTAGCTTGAGTACATTTTTCAACACGCGAATTTTCGCCCTGTCGCTGAAAATTGAGCGCAATTGGCAGCGCTGATTGTATGATGATTGATTTGACAGACGCCTGTGACCTACCGGTTACGGGCATCTACTAAGAGCACACTCACTTTTTTTCAATGTTTCGTTTTTATGTGATTGATAAATTTGACCGGCGTTCGCTTTTGATTTCTCGGTCTAATCGAAATATGTGTGAAGTTGTTTATGTTTGGCGAAATTAAATGTTTACGAATTGTCGGATAATTGGTTTTATTTAGATTGAAGATGGACACCAAGAAAAGCCGTCAATAAATATGGACGACGAACTTGACCAACTGGTAAGCAAGACTTTGAAAAGCACTTTTGGCGTTTTATTCAAAAAGGAGGAGAGTCCTTGTTTTGCGTGTTTATTTTCTCAGGACTTCTACAAACATTTTCATTTCTATAATCGGCGAATCAGGTGATGACCTGTGTCGAGTTTGGTTGTTATTTCGGAAGTGGCCGCGTTTCTCCGTTTCGCCCACTTCCTTTTTTCGGAGTTGGACACAAATGTGTCAATAGCGCCAAATCAAAGTGTCTAAGATAACTGTATATAGCTTCAAACAGTATCTTAATTTAGTAGTTAGGGTTGAGTTATTTCGCGTTATTACTTGACCTCAAAAAAGTACGACGTTTGCAATATAGTAGACGCGTGGTCGGCGCCATGCTGATAATTGAACTGAATAAGCGTAACGGTGATTCTATTCAGATGATTTTGTCGATCCAAGTGCTGCGATATCATCTCCTCGAAATGGACAAGGTAGGTCAATGAGCCATTATGAGGCCAGATCATTTATGGCGGGATAATGACCCATCTGGAGCAGCCTTGCCATGCATTTACGGCTCCTCGGGGTGTAACTGCGTAAATAAACCCTATTTCTGATCCCATTTTCTTGCAACTTTATAACATGCTGTTTCTAGGTCCACGAGTTATGCAACAACTTCACCGACAGATACATTGAGTGTCTCAAGGGCAAAATGCCAATGGACGCCGTCATTGAAGACCGAGAAAGTCCAAAGCCAGAGGACTCTCCTGAAAACCACCGAGTTTCGCACGCGGCAGCGAATCCCTCGCTAATGATGAACCTCCATCAACCTCAGCTTGGCCAGATGGGACATCAAAAGTCCGAGCTGCGCGATAACACCGACATGAGCCAGAATCACTCGATGTTGTCCAACACCAGCGCTCTTGGAAGCACAAGAAGCTCTGTCTCGGCCATGCCTCCTTATGGTAAGCGCGCTTTACTATTTTATTGGATCAACTAGTAGAAGTAACGCTAGAATTTCGAGACCGTAAATCTGTCAGCGGCACTTTTTGTTCAAAGGGCCGGCCGGATGCAGCCATCCATAATACACATATACGGTCATCGAGCTCCCGAACTTATTTTTTCTTATGGCCTAATTGTTCAAAGGCGCTTGTTTGGAAGCGCAGGTTCGAGCTGAAACCACTCGGGCGAACATCGATTTAGTAAATAAGATTCAGGCACGCTTTGATCTCATGTGCCCAAAACCTAATTACTTTCAAAAAGCCTTCATTAGCGCCTTCCAAGTTTGTGTATCATGATAACAATCTGATTTTTACCCCGGCTAGTTATCTTTTCTTGCCTCTGATTGAGTTCAAATCGCCTCGCTTGTAATTTATCATTATAAAGTGCAACTCAAGAGACGTAGAAGATCTCATATCTGTAGAACTCGAAAGAGCGGCCAGAACAAAACGCGGTTAGAATTATGAACTTCAAGGGCTCTCGGCTGGGGGCAGTTAGGCGCCATGGTTGAAATGCTTGAGTTTCTTCACCATTCAAAAAATCACATCCGTCTCACTTGCAAACGACAAAAGAGGTGTTAGACCTGTCGATTTATCTTTTTCGTTCTTCAAGAAACTAGCCACTTGAGAATTGTTTTGTGGCAATCTTGCATATTCTTTTCTAATTTATATATCAAACCTAAAGAATTCTTTCTTGATCATTTATGTCCAATAATTATGGGATAGGAATAAAAGTGATAGATAAAGATGTTTTCTTAACTCTTCCTTGATTTCATTTTCGACGATCCAGAATAGTGTCTATGCGCGGTGATCTGTCAAGATGCATTAGTTAAGCTTAATCACTTGCATTATGCCGCCAGGCTGGTCTGTGTTCTATCGGCATGATGAAAGCTAATTCGATTTTGGCTTTTTTGTCTTCGACAATTTTGCGCGAGTAGAAGCCGCTCGACCAGGCGCAGCGCATGATGGATTTGACAGGCGCGCTGCTCTGATCCGACCACATTCATCATCATTTTTCCGATTCGTTACACAATAATCCGCCCTATAAACTACGACAAACAGCAAAGAGCATCTAAGGGCACCCGATATGACTACACGAGAGCTAATTGAGTGAACCTAATTCAATGAAAACATATCACGTAAGAAAAAGCTTTCAACATCACTATTCGAATAATTTTCGTAGGAAAAAGTCCTACAAAAACTATCTCACAATTAAGTTTTCTCATAATGAAGTTTACGACTAATTATCTTTTTTTTTTCAAATAAAACGAGACCCCCCTCGATGATCATTTTTCAGTTAGTCGCTTAATGACTCCATTTGTCACTAAATTATTTACCTTGCTCGAAGGTGAGCTCGATAGATTACTTCCGGAAATCTGGAGTAATCACATCAATTAGTGTGACTCGATCTTTTATAGTTCCTTTTAGATCCGATGGGGCTCAACGAACAAGGTCCATCATCGAACGAATCTGGCGGTGGCGATTCCGATTCTGAAGGACGCAAGTCAAACAAGAAACGAGGCCTCTTCCCCAAACAGGCCACGAACATTCTACGCGCTTGGCTCTTCCAGAATCTAACTGTAAGTTGAGAAATATCATGACGGGCAATTAGAATATGTGAAAGAGGAAGTTCAGCTTTTGTTTCGAGCTTCATCCATCAGAGCGCGCTTCTTGACAGCGCCACGGGGTGTTCAAAAGTGATTCCTTTCACACCAGTCAATTTGAGTCATTCAAATTTCTAACGGTAAATCTTTCAGCATCCGTACCCTTCTGAGGAGCAGAAGAAACATCTTAGCCAGCAGACGGGGCTTACAATTCTTCAAGTCAATAACTGGTTTATCAATGCCCGTCGACGCATCGTCCAACCCATGATTGACCAGAGCAACCGCGCCGGTAAGTAACCAATTATTCCAAGACGCGCAGATAATTTAGTCTCCTATCCAACACGCCCTAATCACTACGAAATAAATCAATTTCTTATTTACCCGTTGACGATTTTTAATTTGATTTCGACCGTTTAATCTCCCCATCTCGTTAACTCTGTAACAAATGTATGCAATTAAACTTATTGCTAATTTTAGTCTCAGCAACGATGCCCTATGCTGATCCCAGAGTGATGGGGACTTTTGCTGTCTCGCAGATCGATTCCCAGCAGCAACAGGCCGCCGCCGCAGCGATGCTATCACATGGTAAGTCAACGATTTGTATGCTTGAAATCAAGTCAGAGAATTTTCCTCAAAGCGAGCTTTTTTCATCATTATTTCTAGGTTTCCCTGGCAGCAGCATGCTCCCTGGTGGAGGCTCGCTCCCGATCAGCTCCTCGGCCTCGTCGCTAAGACCGGACCAATTGTACTCTGGCTTCAACCCGATTTCCGCAAATTTGGGCTTCCCATCCCTCCCTGTAACCACAACGCACAGTTCACTGAGTCCCACTGACCTCCATATGCTTAGCCATTGCTAGCGAGTTCGCAAAGTTAACCCACATCTAGAAGAAAACTGTCCACAGTAGCTTAACCCTACTGTCCTCCAACCGTATTCATTTGTATTTATGAAACGCTACACAAAAACGAGACGGTACATATTTATTCTCGGCTTCATATGACTGTAAAAATATCGACGATGGAAACTGTAGATATCTTACTGACAAGAGTATTAGTCAATATGCTAAAAATGTCAATAAATGTTGTCAAATGAAGGGATCCTAGCTTCTGCTGAATCTCCCACTTCTAGCGTAGTTTGCCTGCTCTCTATATCTGGACGAAGGAAGAAAACGAGTAAAGTATCTTTGACGTCTGTATTTCGAGCTGGAGTAAAATAGAGGTTAATTCACGAACTGCGAGAATTACCGAATGGAGAGAAATACACGGCGGCGACCGAGCAAAGCTCGATCTAGATAAGCAAGTGACCTTAGGGGACGAGGGAGTCTAACGAATCTAAGATCCCAATACCCCCATGAGACTGAAACGTCCTCTAAGGCCAAAGTGTGTGATTTTTGCAGGAGTATAAGCGTAAGATGAGTAACATGGCAGGTTCGAAACGTCGAGGCAGTCTGATTCGCGTTAAAAACCCTTTTTGGGAAAAAGCTTGAATCAGATGCGAAGTTTTCGTGATGTCCGAGCGGTGATGACATGAAGGAGTAGCTGCACATGTAGAAGAACTCAAAATACGTCGGCGACGGTAACTGTGATAATTTCCGTACCTTTTCAGGCCCCGGTCGATGAATAGGGGACCTGAGTGGGGCAGTACTTGCGCTTAGTCGTATGACTGACCCGAGTTTGTGCCGATGTTTAGAGGTTCGACGGGCCTCGTTTCACGGTGTGCTCGTTTTGTATGTTTCGGGAGATGAGCTGCTCCAACTTCGGTTAAAGTCGCATTCGGATCGGCGCCGGCTGAGTATTGACGATCTGGTGAAGACTTTGGACGGGTTCTTTTCTTGCTGTTTTCAGTTGCTGAGCCCTCAACTACTGTTGAATTTTGTTTATCGACTGACATATGGCTATTGTCGGGCGCAGCAACCTCCGAAATCACTGTAGCATCAGCTGACATGTCCTCGGCAGTTTCATAAAGAGTACCACCAGAGTACCAGCGATCTGACGGCTCGGCTGGAGCTACCGACGAGTCCAAAATAGATGTAGCGGTTGTATCTCCCAGATTTTCCATGTCCAATCGGCGTCTACTTTCCAAAATAGGTGATAGAGATGATCTTGGCGGTTTTTCCATAGCAACCATCGGAGTCGACGCGACCTGAGAAGATTTCCTCCCCCATGCGACTTCGACCCGGACTTTTCCATCGGTTTGGAAGTAGGAACAGGCGATTTTTGTGGGACTTTCGACTTAACGATTTCGGTTAAATGTGGGAATACGTACTCGGCCTCGTAGTAATCAATCCAGCGTAAGTCGTGATTTCGTTCTGCGGCGTGAACCACGTGTTCTCGATGGATGAAATCACGTTGTCCTTTTTATCTTCGACCATGACGACCCAGTCGTTGCTCGAAACGGCTTTCAGGGGACCTACCCAGCGTTCCTTCTTGCTTTTAGCGTCGGTCAGGTTTTCTCGCTTAATGTACACGACAGCGCCAGCGGGATTGGTCTCGGCTTAGGCTCGTTTTTCAGCCTGTGCTCCATGGCTCGGTCAGCAGCTTCCATCGCAGTTTTCACAATGGCTTCCGCCGATTTCGCTAAAGCTCCCACATTGAGACCAAACACCTGAGGTGTTTCCGCTGTCATTTCTGCGCCAGTAGAGTGGGTGAAAGTACTTTTTCGGCCAAACCAAACTTCTCGCGGTGAAATTTTCGTGCTTTTGTTTTTCACACTATTGAGCGCGCGCATCACGTGGGGAACGCAGTCGGCCCAAGTTTTTCGACCGGAAGATGAGTTGACCATGCAGAATAGACTGTTTTTGATAGTCCGATTCGCTCTTTCTGCGAAAGCGTTTGATTGAGGGTGAAATGCGGTACTTATTGTATGTTTTATCTGGTTAAGCTTACACATTTCGTCAATCACGCTTGCGCAGAAGTGGGTACCTCTGTCACTGTGTAGATGTTTCGGCAAGAAATCCATGGGAAGGAAGACCTTGTAGATGAGCGCTTTTGCGGCGCAGATAGCAGTGTCGGACCGTGTCGGAATGCACCAAGTGTAGCGAGAGAAAGTGTCCGCCACCACCAAATAATACTTGAATCCGCCAGCGGGAGGCATACAAGCGAAATCGATCTGAATCGATTCGCCAGCTGTTTTTCCACGACGAAGGGTTCCAAGTGGCGGTTTGGTACGAGTTCCAGCAGATCCTTTTCTGCGTAGGCAAGGGACGCAGCTGTGGACGTAGTTAGAAACATCGTCTTGAAATGAAGGCCACCAAACGTCCTCTAATCGCTCTAAAGTCCGCGGCTCGCCCAGATGACCGGACAAGTCGTGAGCTAGAAAGAGAAAGTGACTTTTACCGCTTCCGGTACCACCGCCCGCGCGCCAGATTTGAATTGACACATCAAGCACCCGGTAGTGTTATCCAGGAACAGAGCTTTTTCCATCTTGAGTAGAGACGATTGTCGGTGGTCGGAGTCCTTCACCAGCGATTTTATGTCCAGTGGCTCCTTACCAGATTCCAGAAAAGTGATGATTGCACTCAGAGCAGAGTCCTCCCTTTGATAGTCCAGAATGTTATTATAATTCGCTGACACCAACGGAATCTCCATTGGCGCCGCGATAGCCTTGACGTTTACCTTATGTATCTTCACCTCTGATAAAGTGATTTTCTCCGGAAACTGATTTTCGTTCCAGAAAGGGACGAAGACACGTACTGGTGAATTCTTGTCGATTTCGTACTCGCGACCAACGGGAAACTCGGAGTCGTATCCAAGTGATTTGTCGTCCTCGCCAGGTCTGCGGCTCATAAAGTCGGCGAATTGATTTTCTGATCCCTTGATGTAGACAATGTGAAAATCGAATTCTTCCAATCGGCTTTGCCATCGGCTTATTTTAGAATTCTTGAACTTCTTTTTGTGTAGGAAGATCAAAGATCGGTGGTCTGTGTGAATCTGAAAGAATCTACCTTTCAGGAGCTTTTCCAGTCGCTCGCAGCACCAGACAATGCTAAACATTTCCTTTTCTGAAGTGTTCCATTTTCTTTCAGCTTTGTTGAAGGTGTGGGAAATCGCGCTTACTAGGTGCACTCTCCCGCCATACTCTTGTAGCAGGACGCCACCCGCTGCGTACAGGCTCGCGTCTGTGTAGAGATGAAAAGACTCGTCAAAGTTAGGAAAACTTATGACTGGAGTCTCGGAGAGTCGTCGTTGAATTTCCTTGAGCGCCAAATCCGCTTCTTTGGTCCACTTGAAACAATTTGTTTCGTTCGCCGAATTTCGAACATCGTTTATGGGCTTCATTCTGCTCGAGAAGCAACCGGATGAAATAGCTTCGCCCATTTTCGTTTCTAGAAAACCTCGGATCCAATTCAATGACCCGATTAATGAAGCTAACTCCTTTTGGGAGCGTGGGGGTTTCATCTGACGAAGAGCGGAGACTTGCGCAGGGTCCGGTTTGATTCCATCTTCGTTGATGATTCGGCCCAAAAAGTGAGCTTCGGATTGTAGGAAAGAGCACTTTTCGCCCTTGAGTTTAGCGTTAAACTTGCGGAGCGCGATGAATAGGTTTCGGAGAGTGTTATAATAGCAGCTGAAAGTCTTCCCAAAACACACTATGTCATCGATATAAGAAAGCATCTTTTTCCTGGTGGGGCTTGAGTCGAGAATTGTGTTTACGACGCGCGAGAATATATTCCCCGAGCATCGATAACCGAATGGTAGTCTGCAGAAGGCGTAAGATTTCCCACCCCACTGGAAGGAAGTCTTGTACCTGTCGCTTTTCTTTACAGGGCACTGCCAATATCCACTTCGTAGATCAACTGTGGCGAAAAACTTATTGCCCGGTCCAATGTTCGCGATCGTATCCTCCATGCTTGGGAGATGGTAAGGGTCGGATTTGTCGGAGAGGCATTTGTTCAGGCTGTTTTTGTAGTTGATGCAGAAGCGCATTTCCCCAGATTTCTTAGGAATAGGCAATACCGGGCTGTTAAACCCTTTCTGGTCTTTGATCTCTTCTATTATTTTCGTTTCGAGCAGTTCGGAGATGTGATCGCTGACCTGACCATGAAAAGCTTGCGGAATCGGGTGTTGACTGATGTTTCGACTCGTACCATCAGTCGGGATTTCGATCTCGAACGGGAATTCACCCATTTTTTGACCGTCGCAGCCGAATCTGTCGTCGAATTCCAAACACAGCTCGGCGACCATCTTCTTTTGCCCCGGGTCTGCGTCTGCTGGTAGGGTTATTCCGAGTTTTTGCTTCGCTAGCTGAATGGGGCACCTGGCTGCGTTCTTGTTCGGCGCGTCCAGCTTTGGGACTTCTCGTGGTGGTTGAGTGCGGGACCGATCGCTGTCTTTGACCGCTGATCTAGTCGTCAAGTATTTCTTGATTTTGGTCCGCTTCACTCCGTCCAGCTTCACCACTTGAGTCTCAGTTTGTGTGAAGGCTTCGTTGTAGCAAAATGAGAGAGTACGATTCTTATTGTCGACTGTGAAGCTGTCCGTCATCGCATTCTCTAGTATATCGCGGCCCAGTAGACTTGGGTATTTACTGCCTGGCATGATGGTGAGATTCAAGGAGAATGCAGGGCCACCATTGAATGATAAGCGGCAGGGAAGGATACCCCTCGGCTGCTCGGCGGGGATATTTGGGCTGAAACCGGTGACCTTGAAGGGGCAGGGCTTCAGCATCTGGAGAAATTTGTCGGGAACGTAAGCAGCGGACAGACAGGAGGACTCGGCTCCGCTGTCGACTTCCATCGATACGTCAAAACTTTTAGAGCCCGTAATGATGGTAGCCGAAGCGAAATAAGCCTTTCCTGGTCGCTTCTTCTTCACTGTGTAAAAGTGAACATCGAATGGTTGGAAATCTTCGACGTTCTTAGTCGTATTAATCTTCTTGGATTCTGGTTGTTTATCGTCTTTCCCATCCTTAGAATCGGTGCTGGCGCGCTTAGCATTCTTCTTCTTTTTGTTCTTATTTCTGTTGAAGTGCTGGGAGACGGTCGCGCTGTCAACTCGATTCTGTCTTGTGGATTGGGCGAGACGGCAGAGTTCGTTGATATCGTAAACTTTTGATAGGCTTGGAAGGATTGCGTTGAAAACGTCTGGTTCTTCTTTCCTAAGATTCAAGTACAGCATCATCGTCGAGAATATGTCGAATATTTCATCGACCCCGGCGTCGGCTGACTTCTCTTGTCGGTAAGAGTTCAAAGTCGCTTGCTTCGCCTCGTTCATCTTTTGCAAGACGTTGGCGGTGTAGTGTGCAAACGGCTTCGAATGGTCGTATTCGACGTCGAAAACTTCGCTTAGCTTCAGTAAGTAGTGACTCTTCGCGGCGAATGATTTCTCTAGCAGCGCCTTGGCCGATTTCCAGTCTTGACAATTCAGAAATTCGGTTCCAAGTGAGCGTTCGATGTTCAAGTCGAAGTGGCTGTACACTGCTGCGATGAAAGGCTGTTCACGTGAAGGTCTGTCGCGGACGTAGGCGCGGTGATAAATGTCGGCTCTGCCCAAGAAGGTGTTGAAAGATGTGTTGCATGCGGCGTCCAGCTTCGGCAAGTCTTGGACGTGACGAGACCAGGTAGTGGCCACCCATGCTTCTTCTCTCATTGTAGCATTCGTAGATTCTTTTCCTTGATCGAGCTCGCAGGTAAGAAGCGTTGTACTGAGCTGTTCTAATTTTACTCTGCTTTCTGTGATCAAGGGCTCTAGGCTTGGCTTAAGTGATTCGTCATTTCGCACTTGTTCTTCGAGGTAGTTTACTCGATCGTTTATGCTTCTTATTTCGGTGACGGTTTCTAGCAGTGATTTGTTCGCCGCCATAGCTCGAAATATATCGGCAGTAAGGGTTTATGGGCCTTGGATTACCTTTCAGGCCCTCAGAAAATACTGCGACTAAAAGTCGCAATATGATGAGCTGAGGTGCCTTTTGCGCAAACGCCCGACGATTTCTCTGTCCAGCGATTGTCGAAATTTCAAGGTCTGGTCCAAGGGTCGATTCTTCGTAAACTTCTCTCGATTTTTGGTGAAAAGTGGCGAAAGAATTCTGTTTTTCTGAGTATTTTAGGTTTTCCCCGGCGTGCGTGCGTGGTTGCGTGGGCGCGACTTTCGGCGCGTGGGTCGTGGTGGCGCTCGTGTGGTGGCGCTCGCTCGGGGTGGTGTTGGTGTGGTGCGGCGCGGAAAATTCTCTGAGTGGAGTTTCTCCGGCGGCGCGGTGGCGGTTGGTGATTCGGTTCCCCTCGACTCCGCTGACGGCCAATCAGCGTCCAAGTTGCGAAACTTCGGTTGTCGATGGCGGAAAATTTACCTTTTCTCCAACGGGACTACTCTGATACCACTGAAGGGATCCTAGCTTCTGCTGAATCTCCCACTTCTAGCGTAGTTTGCCTGCTCTCTATATCTGGACGAAGGAAGAAAACGAGTAAAGTATCTTTGACGTCTGTATTTCGAGCTGGAGTAAAATAGAGGTTAATTCACGAACTGCGAGAATTACCGAATGGAGAGAAATACACGGCGGCGACCGAGCAAAGCTCGATCTAGATAAGCAAGTGACCTTAGGGGACGAGGGAGTCTAACGAATCTAAGATCCCAATACAAATATGACGTCGCAAGTTTACAATTCAGATGTTACCAAAGGTACAAATCGCGGGCTTCTGTATTGATAATTGAATTATCACAAGTATATGAAAACTATTGGACAAAAAGATGAAATTAAATTATTTTTTCTCGCATTTCAGATGCTTTTGAACTGTTCCGGTCCACCTAGCAGACTTTTTCTTTGGTTGGCAAGTCACTTTATATCCTCGTTCAGTGATGTCTTCGGTAAATTGACGGGCGAATTTGGGAGGAACCATCATTCGCCCAATAGTGTATCCGGGTGCTTTTTGCTTGTAGGCGACGATTTTATATTCTGGTTCCTTCATTGGTTTTTTTATATAAAAACTCTATTAATACGGAAGTACATTTTTCTAATTTATAAAAATGCATGGTTTCTGCGGATTTTTAAAAACAATTCCTTACAAACGAAGAAAGCATCTCCCAATGAATTTTTATCTTCGCTTTGACGATAAATCACATCCATTTCCGTCAAATCGTAATTAAAAAAGTTTTCAACATTTCCACATGATGGATGAACGTCGCACCTGATTTGTCTTTTCTGAAATGATAAGGCTGGTTTAGCATATCGGCTTTAAAGCTTTGACTTACGACAGCATGTTTTGGAGTGTATTTTCCTTTTCTACAGGAGACAAGTTGGCGGGAAATGAACTTGCTTGAGTCATCACACGCGAATTTACATGTATTTCCTTTGCAGTTGATTTGAACATCATCGGCGACCTTGAGCTTTGATCTGACTTCGCCGCAAGAAGTGGAGGTCTAGAACCATCTCTGATATGTTTAATTTTATGAGGGCATACGTTTTGCACTGCTTTAGTTGTTGTAGTTGCAGGAGGGCCAAATGTAATTCCAGCGCCATCCGCTGGTCCTGAAGCGGCCGTTGTCGTCGTTGTAGCTTTTGTCGTAGTCGGTTTGATTCCAGTGCCCCCGGAGCACTTCACCAGGACTTTATTGATAAAACCCGACGGAGTTACTTTGACTTTTGGTCTCCATCTTCCCGGACTTCCGATTCGTGTTCGACAGACAATATTTCCCGTGCTTCGAATACCTGGATGTTCGACTCGAGCGGTTGGATGTTTACATCTGACGTTGCAGATCTTTGGTTCACAAGCGAAGAGTTCCACAGAATCGTCAATTATGAAAGAATCAAAAAGATTTTTTCCTGTGCAATCCGTCACAGTTGTCCCATCAGCTGCAAGAACAACGCTTACATCCTTCGTTGTGGTTGTTGTTGATGCTTTGCTTGTACTGGTTGTCTCTTTTGTTGTTGTTGTTGACTTGCGTGTAGTGGTAGTTGTTGTTTTCTTAGTAGTTGTTGTCGTTTTCGTTGTAGTTGTGGTTGTCGTTGTTGTTGACTTTGTTGTTGTAGTCGTTGTAGAAGTCGTCGTTGTAGTCTTTTTTGGTGTCGTGGTGGATTTAGGAGGCGCAGGTGGTGGCTTTTAGAAGCTCAAAACGAAATATTCGGACAAATATAAAGATAGACTTAATTCATTGATATCCCATGATTTAACTGTGATATCACTTTCGTCGATCGGTAGAAGGCAATTCGATATCAAATTAATTTATTAAAGCTTTCCTGGGGAGGCCCAAATGGGTTTGATCCAGCGGAATCGCTTGGAGTTAAATCTTCTTCAGTTTCATCTTCTTCATCTGGGGTGGTAGTCGTTGTCGACGTAGACGTGGTAGTTGCCTGTGCTGTCGCCATTTCTGCGCATTTTGCAGGCGTACATGCCTCATGCTGGATTTGGTCATCATCCTGACAGGCTTCGCTTACAGCACAGCTTCTTTCTCGACTCCTCACTCCGTCGTAGCAATCTGGATCACATGAACTCCACATAGACCACGGAGTGAAAACATCAGCGCATTGAACGGATCTGCCTTCTTCAACAATATCCGTTGGACAACTGGAGAATGATTCCCAGCTGAAAACTTCTTCACCATTTTGATCAGCAAATACCCAGTGGCCTTCTGTCGCAAAGATTTTTTGGCCATGTCTATTCTCGTAGAAGTCTTTCGCACCCTCTTCAGAGTCGGTGTAAATATGTCGCATCAAATAGTGATCTTCGTTGTTATGCGATATCTTCATTGAATCGCAACATCTTCGGTAGCAGTTTTCGTCTTGGCCAAGGTCGCAGTCAATGGATCCGTCACAAAGTTTGTTCTGAAAAACTCAAGTCTGTGCGGATCGAAACGATTCACATTACCTTGTGGATGATCTGGGACCCACAAGTAAACTTAGCGTTGGAAACTTGACACGAATTGCACTGGTAAAGGATACAGAGCTTCGCCTTGTCCCATTTCGACATGCCATCACGTTGAGCGACGACGGGCTTGTTGGTGCTCAAATCCTAAAGAAAACGCTGAGATTAGCATGCAAAGTCACCAGGAAATCAAGGCGGATATCCAAACTTGTTTACCTTACAACTTGACTATGTTTAGATTAAAAAAGACTTTCACTAAATAAAAAATATAAATCTCGACTTACGACAATCGATGGAATTCTTCTATCTTTTGCGAAAGCAAGACCTGAGTAATGCATCACACTCCTAGTATCATAAGGAGTAGACATATTGAACCATTCTCGCATGTTCAACTTCATGAAGTTTGGCTCAACACCCTCCTTGATATTGTCCCATCTCACTTCGATGTACTCGTCGCGGTCGGGGCGAGATTGCGCGTGGAAGAATCCAAGAGCATGGAGAAATTCGTGGACGACGGAGCCATGTCGACGGATACAAGAGCCGATAGAGATCTGTTGCTCGCCTCCTTTTCGGCCAACAAAGCTCCAGCAGCCATACCCTGAAAATTTTATTCGAGGTTTCTTGAAGGAGTTTACCTTGAAAAATTCGTAGGTAGTCCGGCTCATTCCATCTCGGCACAAATCTTATACAACTAGCATCTTCAATTTCCTAAAAACGAGAATTTATCATAGTCGGAATAAATTTGAAAATATGGTTTTATTTACCTGCATCGCCGCCTGGATTAATTTTCTGTCTTTCTTATTCATGGTCTCACTGAATTCAAAGTGCACCAGCTTATTTCCTCTATCATCAACATGCTGATCCCAGATATCGTAAAGATTTCTGTTCGCCACATTTCTCGATGCTGGCTCTGTTTCGTTCGGAAACGTCCTCAATCTCGAAATGTCAAAATTCAGCGACTCCAAGATATTCAACTCTTGAATCTTTTCGATCTGAGCTTTTGTGAAGATGATATCGTCAGCATCTGTCTCTCCAAACTGTTTCTCGATTTTCTCCGCTTTCGTTTTGAATCGTTTCGCAGAAGAAACAGTCTGCAGAAGTCCGAGGAAAAATATCTCTTTTCGTCGCATCGTCCCACGTGATCACTGCAGTTCTACGTAACTTGGAATCTTGAGGATCTCTGCTTCAGAAAAGGGCAAGTTGAGTCGTACTGCTGGCAATCGTTGTTTGTCAAAACAGTTTCAAGTTTTCGAGAAACTAAAAACTGAGAACGCAGACTGCCCAGAACGGACTGAATCGGACGTGGAAGGTTTAGCAACCAAAACCAGGGCTGGATCAGCAGCAGGTTTAAAATTTCAAGCGACGCGCCAACAGCACCACCCATAAAAGAAACTAACTAAACCAAGTAAGCTGATCAAGAACACAAAAAGCTTTCATCTAGCCGCAGTTAGAAACTTCTGATCTAAAATGACGCTTTAGAGGAAGATTAAGTGAATTGCATTAAAGAATAATATTTATCGAAAAAATTGCATATTGCAACACATTTTTCATAGAATAGGTACACATTCTTTTCTATAATTTTTCATCAACAAATCTTCATTTTTCATAAAAAATTCATCATCACAAATTTCTAAGAAAATACCCTGAGACCCTTCCATACACGTCATTTTCATCAAAACAACAATTCAAAATTCTATTTATAATCTTGAAAACAACTCGATTTCTTCATATAATTATTATTTTATCGATTGTATAACCCGGTTTTATATGAACTTGATATTGTTTTGATGCATGTTTTCGTGTTGGATAATTTGAACTCGTCGGACAATAATTGTCTCTCATCGATTTGACGATAAGCTGCTCTGGATTTTATTCTGGATCATCCTTTTTTCATGTCTTGGAGACTCTGTTTGGCGGGGTCGATTCGCTCACATTGACTATGAGATACCTCGGGTCTCGACGACTATTTTGAATCGCGCCCCTCACCCTTCGCTCAGCGATTTTTCAGCAAAACAACTCGTCTAAAATTACAGTTTTCCTGTCTTTTTTGATTGAAATCAACCTGATGCGCAATCGTAACGTAATCATGAAAAGGAGGGAAGAATTCAGACCTCATTCCGCTTCGGTTCCCGCTGGAAGTCGCGTTAATAGACCGCGCGTTTGAGAATGCGCGATCTCGGCGCAGCGACGGCGTCGGTGCTGTGCTCAGCACTTTTCCAGAGCCCAATCAGGAGTGTTGGTTCACCATCATTACTTGCTTTTAGCTTTGAATACATTCGCACATCACCATTTCCGAGCGCAGAAAACTTTTTTTGCAATTAAAAATTTGCTTCCTATTTTTTCAAATCAACCGCGGAAACTTGTAAAAGAGAGAGAGAGAAAGAGCGGGTGGGGAGTGAGGCTACTCTTCGGCGCCCCGTGAGGTCATAAGAAGATAGAAGAAAAATACTAAGATTCATCCAGTTCCAGTTCCTGAATCCGCCAATCAGTTGGTTCAACACCACCTCTCATCTCCTCCGGGAGCCTTCGTTCATCCTTCAGCTTGAATTCTAGAGAGAAAGTTCTCGAGAGAAGCATCTGCCTCCAGGCGTGAGTGGTCAGGAATTACTCAGTGCTACAAGAGTACAGTCAGATGAACAATAACGACAACATCGACTCTACGACAGAAGATATGGAGATGGCAGAGGAGCCCGACTATAGGTCAGTCTGCGAGACAGCTCGATTCACGGCTGATCAATAACAGTCAAAGCTGCACTGGTTCTTCTTATACGTTTATATACTGGGTATTAATGAATTTTGGTAGTAACGAACAGGAGATCGTCGACTATCTGATGCAGTTTACGACGAAGGAAAGCAAGGAAGCGCGCGTCACGCGAAACCAGAACGGACATTTCGGTACGTATCGATACTTCTGTATTGTATTTTTACCGAGACAGACAAACTTGATGAGTGTTTTGTCGGACATTTCGAATCGCTGAGGCATGACTTGAACTTCAACTGCTTTCGAGGCGTTTTTTAGTGCTGCTGAAATCTGATTGGTTAATTTTAACAGTTCAAAAATCTTATTTGCTCTCCTAAAGATCGAAAAATAGACATTTTCTTGAATCTTATTCACTCTTGACAAAAAATTATTTTACTGGAAGAATTTTGGGAAAAATTTAACTGATTATTTCTTATAGTTTTATTACTCTTTTGGAGTCAGTTTTGAAATTTGAAATAAAAAGAAAATTTATTTAATCTTTCAAATTCTCTTACCCAATATTTATAAAGAACCGTCGTTATGTACAATTAATTCAGATCGGACAAGTTCCAACACATTGGAGCCTTTGAAGGTAACAACTGCTGCTTTACGCTCGCTGGTGAGACGTCTCAAAAGGACCGGGTCAAAATAAGAACCCAATGGAAGGGTTTATGCAAAATATTCGTCATGACCCAGTGCACAGAAAAGATGATAAAAGTGGCTTGGAAAACCTCATCCGCTGTATTAGAGACCGGGACAGCGAAACTTTGTGCATAAAAATACCAAGGAACCCGGAGTTATTCATTGCCGTTATTCTAGGTTACATAAAGATTCGCCTCGCAGTAATAATTGCTGCTGCTTAGTAAGTTTGTGTCAAGCTCCAAGCAGTTTCTTGCTTGTTTAGTCTCCGAGACGGGTTGGACTTGGGAACTAGTCGTACCATCGCATCTGGATTAGCTATTTCCATAATAAGATACCATCAGTTCCTTTGGTTATTATCGAGCTTATTGAAGCTTGAAATGAATAAAGATTCTGATATTTCTTATTATTACATAAACGTATTATCATTTTTGAATTGTGATATTAATTCTAAAAACACGAAAAGGATCTTGACTTTTTATTTATATTATGATTCATAATTTATGAATTTTAATCAAATTTTGACTATAAAATGACCTAGGCTTAAATTTTTGAAAAATATACTTGTATCTAATAAAATCGTTGGATTAACTCAATTAAAGATCACTCGATGGCCGCATGCAAGTAGCCCAACGGAAAGTTGTGCCACACATGTGTTACTTCAGGCACGGATTTTCATGCAGCATACTCATACAGTCAAGCGTGACTTGTGGAAATTCTTGAACAAAGAATCTTCCGAAACTGGTTCGTGAGCAACTACCACGATCTTGAAGCACGAGTGACGTGCAGATACTCATATGGTAATTATGAGCGTCATGTTCCCCCGCATTCCATTCTTTATTAGTATATGAATCCTTGGAGATTCAATTATCGAAATCATATTTATCGGAATCGTTAATTAATTGGGACCCTTTTCGTCATGGGAGCTATAATCTCCAAACGATTCTCAGCTTCCCAAATGTCTATTTTTTGTTAAAAACTCTTTAAGCTGAATCGCAGCAAACATCTTACGTCTGCCTCAACCCCTACCACTACGAACAGAAAAAAGAACGCGTCGGTCCAGCTCCATCCCAAGGTCATCAAAATCAAGGGTAAGATTCTAGCTTACGTGCGCGCATTCTGATCGATAATTTTATTTTAAAAATTGTCTGAAGGTCTTCTATCTTTACTCAAGTTTACTCGGCGAACATAAAAAATCCCGAAGAGCATAAAAAAGCGATTCATCTATCCTTGACTCTCTTTTTCTTTCTTTGAGTCTAATTTAATTAGACTTTTTCTGGGCGCAGGTTGCTGCGTCCCTAGAGGTCCTAGGTCGAAATCTGCGAAGAAGTATTCTGATTTCAGACAAACAGGAGAACCACTAGGGTGGTGGCATTTTGTCGAAAAGAAAAATAACTTTTTATCGAGAATTGGACACGTTTATCATTTTACAAGCATGCAGCTAGCCAACAGCCACGCTCCTTAGCGCCTAGAGGAACTCTTTTTCTGAATGTCGAGAAGCTCGCCACTCCTTCAAAGCCTAGAAACATAAAACAAACAAATACAGACCCACTGATTTGCAGAGACGCAATCGTTGCCTCAGAGAGTTGAAATCCTCCCCCTGCCTTCTCACAAGACACAAATTTATACTGCCAGAAAAATGTCATACCACAGACCTCATCCATACTGGAGGTATACATGCGATACATTAATTAATATTTTTAGTTAGTCTTCAGTTTTGAACAAAATTTTTGAGGGAATTCTTAGCGAGTTTATCAAATTGTACCAAAGAATTTTTTTCTTGCGTGAGAATTTCGCCATGAAATACACCACGAGTCGCTATGTTTTTCAAGTCTGCCCGACGTGTTACTCATTTTTTGCGAGAATTCAAGCTTGTTTTCCTGCTCAAAAACGCTTTTCTAGCTATGGCGATCAATACATGGACACCTCGAACCAGCCGGGTTCTGGCGGGTACTACTCCCCGATAATCAGATGAACAATAACGGGATCAACAATTATGTTCCTCACGTGCCGCCGGGGCGAAATAGACAACCAATGCTCCCGCAGGATCCAAACAGCGGACACCACGATCTTGGTTCCATTCAGCCACAGTTTCTCGTTGACAGGAATGGAGATTCATTTCAAGAAAAGACCTCGTACAATGGTTATTTAAAGTAATGATGAATTTTAAACAGTAACAGTGACACTAACTGTACTTCGCCTACAAAACCAAGCAACTGGATCAAAATTGCGTATTATGAAGAAAGCAAGTTTGTTGGAGACTTTGTGTCTCACATTGATCCAGTGACAGTCGACGGGTAAATGAGCATTATGCTGATAAAAGACAAAACTTGAATATTTAGGGGATGTTCTCCATTTGACAATGGCAGGTTCTGTTTGCGCTCAAGAAGTCATCTTGAACGGTGAGTTTGAAAACATTCAAGGTCTTTATCACATCCTTGCAGAAATCAAAAAGCTTCAAATCTCCTCAACCACATTGGTCGAGGAATTGAAATCCGCAAGGAGAACTTTGAGTTTATCTTGCAAAATAACTCGCCCTATGGCATCTTCATTCAAAGCATGGAATGGAATCTCCGTGAAAACAAAGGTTATCAAAGTGAAATCATGGAAGACAAAATATTTTTTTTAGAAATCGGAGAAATAAGAAAGCTGCAGCCGGGAGAGAAGAACGCCATCTTTTGTATCTATAATTTTGCTAACCACCTTCAAGAACGCGTGCATTCTATCTTCAGTCCCGACACTCCCAGAGCTGGTAGATCGTTTCAGTTATTTCTTTTTATAATAATAATTAAGATTCTTCTGTACCAGTCTCATCTTATCAACAGGTTGCTAATATGGGGAACATGTGCGTGGTTCGATGCAGGAATGGTTAAAAAAATCATGTCCATTGAGCTATTTCATGCTCGTTTTAACCCATTGAGTTTCATAAAAGGATGGGGTAAGAATTACACAAGGCAGCTTGTCACAGATTGTCCTTGCTGGATAGGTTAGTATTCACCATGTTTCCCTTTTTCTAAAAGCTTTCATAGAAATCAGCTTCCTCAAATGCTACGAGTGGCTCGATAAGGTCATGAACCAAATGGGTCCCCCTGATGGCCGCGGCCCAACATCAACCTCCTGAGATCCCATCTTCCGTTCCACCCTCTCTCTCTTCTTGTCTTTCGCTGCGCTCCCTATGTTCAAAAAATTTAATAGTTCCGATGCACTTCTGTTTGATTTCCACGATTTCCAGATAGATTTCAAATTCTAATAAATCATCTACTCGTCTTCAATAAATAGTATCATTTGTATTTATTTCTTTGAGGAAAGTAGGTGTACAAAGGCTACGACAGAAAATGAAATGGTCAACTTTTTCGACTCTAGTGAACAACTGTTGTTTTTGAAGTGGACATGCAAGGAAAGATAAGAGTCAGACTTCATTTACTGGCGATAAAGAGGCGTATTCGGAGGGCAGGTTTCCCCGCTGTTTGATTGAAGATAAAATGAGGTATCTCGGCGGTAGTTGTACGCATCGTTCTAAAATTGGAGGCTGAGTTGAGGAGATAAATGGTGGACAATAATCAACAGTATAGGGGTGTGCGAGAATCATAAGTGCAAAAAAATGCTTTTACCTCTCTAGTACGGACTCTAAATTGATCTTTTAGCGCAGATATTACGAACTAAACTTACGGTTGTAGGAATTTCAGAATAAATAGGGCGGTTTGAATAAAGAGGCTTGAACTCGTTGATATCATAGTACGGCATTATATTTGAATTTCTGGAGCGATTTGTGTGCACTGTTTGATAATGGTCAACCTCCAGTTCTTGGTAGTCGCTGTCAGAGTGGGCGGGCGGATTCGACATCTGACGCGGTCGATAGGTCATCCGATTTGAACTTATGTGAGGTGATGATCTACTGATATTCGTAAGTACGAGAAATTGTAGAAAGTTGAACCTGTCCCGATAATCGCCGTTGGACATCACCGATATGCTGCTTGAATGTGAAGAGTTTTGAAGTGCACTAGGCAGCGCAGGTGGAGGTGGAAGACTTCTTGCAGTTGATTGAAAGTGCCTTTTTGAGCTGTTGAGATAAGTTCCTTCGAGGAGATCGAGTTTTACGAGCTCACTTTGAACTGGGGCCACAGTATAATGTGCTAGAAATGAGTTTTACTTCCTCAAAAAGATTCTCTTCTATGATTTCACCTGATTGAATGTCAGGAGTTTGCTGATGATGTATATTAATCGAGTCAGCGTGAGATGATCTCATATCGTCATTCTTCGTCGATAAGTAGCTCATACTCAGGTCATTCCCTCGAGAGTAGGGATTGCCATTTGAAATGGGCATTGTGTGATCAGGGAGTAAGTTCTGGCCGAGAATCTCGTTCCAATTTTGCGGTTCGTCGTAGGTTGTCCCTTTGGTCAGAACTGTCCGAGTTCCATTGTGATGCTCTGTCGACCTACGGTATAAATTGTTAATACAGGATGGCTCCATTTATTTCCAACCTGTAACAACGTTTATGAGGTGGAAGCGGCGCCCGAAAGCAATGAAAAACAACAGCTCCAACAATGATGAAGAAAATTGCAGAAACGGCACAAATGATTGCGATGAACAGCGGCGATCTCACGAGGTTTGGAAAGAAATCGTCAGGAGAAGGGGATGTTGTTAGTTTGGCTGGCATCCCTTGAGCAAGCGAAATGAGCGGTGTCACAGTTATTGAGTAGTTTCGTTCGGCAGTGAGAGGTAAACTTTGAAATGGGTGCTAATTTAAGACTCCTTAAAACGGGAAAAGTTTCTTTTTTATTGGAGAATCTCAGATATTCGGCTTTCTTTTGACAAGCTGCAGGAACTGAACCTCGATAACGTCAACTTTCAAAATCCTAAAGCCAAGCTCTCATGATTATTTAAAATCCGTCCGACCAAGTGAATGGAAGTAAAACGTTCCATTCAAAATATTTTCTATTTCGCGCGTCAAAGGACATCCTTGAGTGAGTTGATGGAAAAAAGAGCAGAAATGGAGATTTGTTTGTGAATGATTTATAAAGGGAGTAGTGGCTAGTTGACGAAGTTAAGAGAGAGATGATGTATCCACTCTAAATTGTTAATTTAGGGACCCTGCCTGTAGCGGAAATTCGCATCTTGAATAACTTCTGAATGTTGAACTCTTTTTTGAGGTTCATGAAAATATCTAATAGAAAGTAAATACAAATTATCGGTGTAACCGAGGCCTATTAAGTCCATCATCTACTTCTTGAAGAGCAGGACTCGTCGATTCTAAGGCAACCGAAGACCACATTATGAGGTAGGAATCAATGAAGACATCATCGATGAGAGGGTTTTTCGTCCAAGTCAGATCGACCATTTGTGTCTCTACATTGACTTTGCTTTTGAAAGACTCGATCAATTGATCGATGCAGGTCGGAATTGAGTTGCCGCCGTCGGACTTGACGATGAAAAACGCGCCTAGCTCGTTGTTTTCGCGAGATTCAATGCGAATTTTAAAGGTTCCACGTTGCTTGAAAGGAGTGAGATACGAATAACTTAATGAAATTTTGATATATGAGCTTGCTTGAACTAATGTAAGAGATTTCCACGTCTGAACAGAAATTCTTGAATTCACTCTTTCCTTTGTGTCAATTATAGTTTTCTTCGAGCCACAACTGATCATCTTGAAGTCGCTCACCGGCCCATCAGTAACGACGCTGAGTCCAGAAGAGCAGTCATTTTCAATGACCCTCGAGTAGTCAAGGAAGATCTCCACGAATCCTTCTCCAGGCATACATCGTGAAGGGCGAATCCCAAGTGCATCTGCATTAATCGACCGGTCAAGCTCTCTAGCTGACAAATCTATCAGTCCTGTTGTATAAGAAGATCTATTCGACGATAAGTCCTGAATAAGGAAGCTTCCTTCGTCGGCAAGGAGCATCTGAGGATGAACTTTGAACTTGCGCGTGACGGAGTCGTCAGGATTGAGATTTTTGTCAGATTTGAGATCTGTTATCGGCTTGAACTTGGATAAGCTGTTGTCTAATTGGAATAATCTTTGTTCACGGTCTTTTTTCCTGTTTTATACATTGGAGAATCTAAAAGATTGATCAGGGAATCAATAATTACTCCTCAAAAATTTATAAGTTAAAAAACTTGGCACATTGACCGTTGCCTGAAATCGTCGCCCTCAGCACTCAGAGCATCAAATGTGACGATGATTGCGTCAGCCTGAGTGCGCAGTAACTTGAGATTGCGCACGATGCCAGATACTGTGTCAAGAAGAGGGAAAGCAAAGGAGAATTCAGACGTGCCATAGTCGTTGCTCACGGAGCATGAGTAGGTGCCATTCTCGGTCGGCGTGTAGAATGCAGACGTTCGGAGAATATCCGAGTTGAACTTCCAGACGGTGTCGTTCTCATTCGCATTCTGCATTTCACATGCAACAGCTCCATCTGTAAAGCTTACTCCACGGATGACGGGAGGCTCTCTGAAGGAATAATATCAAAAAACTGTCATTATTATAATTCTTACCTGAGGTCAAATTTTGTGATTTCTAGCGAGACGGTTTTCTCAATTTGCCCGAAATCATTCTTTCCAATACAAGTATAATCCCCAGCATCACTCTCAGCAACATTTTGAATAGTTAATTCTCCATTCGATTTCACGTCAAAATGGCGGTCGTTCACGATGATGTCGGAGGCTTTTTTCCACGTGATGATCGGCGCTGGAATGGCAGTTATGCGACATGAGAAGCGAGCGACTTTTCCTTCACGGATTGTCTTATTCTTAGGCGAAGAGAGGAACTTCGGCCCGGAGGATAAACGAAGTTCAATTTGACCACTGATGGAGTCCAACGAGTTCTCGCCAGTGCATTTGTAGATGCCCTTCAGAAAGAAAATGTGTTACTCCTGTGAATGTATATTTAAAAAGATGGTCCACGTGCGTAGAAATATTTACCGCTCCCTAACCGGTCGAGAACCATCATAAAAAATTGATTCTTTTCGTTCAAAATCGCTAAATAGACCTTCCGCAAGCTCTTACCTGATCTTCAGGACTCATTTGGGGTATTCTTAGTTCGTCATTTGACCCGAAAAGGCGCTTGCTCGGCAGGTTCGAGTTCAGCCTCGTCCACGTAATTTTAGGCTTCGGCTCTCCGGAAATCGGACACGGCAGGACGGCTTCCACATTTGCCTCCACTTGAACGAATTCTGGCAGTGTTTGGAAGAAATAAGGAGGATCTGAAAATAACACTGAAATCATAGAAGATCAATGCCATATGTTTCGATCAACTTCATTCTGTATGCGAGTCTGACAGGTTGTCGATTACAATACAGTTCAGCTATATGATTTCAGACAGCCATTATTAGATTGTTCTATATTTATACGCTGCTAAAATTGGTGAAAAGAATGGAAAGGATCATTTTCGTTTCGGCAAAATCGATGGCCCCTACGAGTAGTCGTTCGTGATTTTGCTACATTAGTCCCTGGCAAGGCGCCTAAACCGCGTTCATTATTTAGTTTCTACTACTAAATACGACACTCTTGCGTTTACGAGATTGATGCAAAAAAGGAGTCTCGATGATGATGAGTCTTCGATCGATCGGTGAGCATAAGCAGTATCTCTTTATAAGTATTTAATAATAAGCTGGTCAAAGGTTCTTGAGCAAGAGTCCAATAAAAACATTTCGAATTGGCAATTGAACTTCAAAGTGTACATTTATTTATTCATTTCAAGCGCCGGAAGAGAATATTATTCTAGTTACTTGAAATCGTTAATTTCCTGTATTCAAGCGGTTTCGATTCATCTGTCAGATACATAGTATTCGCGGCGGATGTTTGCTTTTCTAGTGTTCAAACGTGTTCCGTAAATTTGAGATACTTAGTAGCTGTGTGCCTTACTGACAACGGCGGCCGTTTGATCTAAGCGCCGACAAAAGACGAGGCAGAACCTCGGCGCGCGTGGCTGCCTGGGTGTGCCCAAATTAGCGATCAATCAACCGGCACGTGTCCATGTTGCCAGAACGCGCCATGGGTCCTAACACAGGTCCCTCAAATCGTCAAATTGTGACGTTTAACGCTTATTGTCCCCGGCCGAGTGTGCCCATGAAATCAAATGGACATGCCCCAGCTTTGTCCACAACCTGGACGAGCGGTGAAAAGCCACTTTTCCGACAAACGGATAATTCCTGACCGAATGAATGGAAAATCAAAAGAGTCACCGAAGCTCTTTTTTGAATCAATAAGTCAACAGTGGAAATTTTCGAGAAATTTGGAATTCTCACTTGACCGAGGAATAGAGCTTGATAAGGACTCCTGTCTGATAGAAGCAGTTAAGAGTTGTAAGCATTTGTTAGTTGATCGTACTTACTGTTGACACGAAGATACACAGGCGCCGTCTGATTTCTTCCGACAGAGTTCTCCGCCACGCAAACATAAAATCCTCGGTCGGACTCTTTGAGCTTCGAGATCACCAAATAGTGCTCAAGTCAGGGTCAACACAGTTTTTTCACAATTTCTCAGACTCATTAAAACTGACCCACTTTCCTTTCCGTTCGTCATAATTTCAGTGCGTATTCGCCGATTGTCAGGTGTAACCAGTTGTTCATCCTTGTACCAGGAGACTTCCGGCTTTGGAAAGCCACCAGGAGGGCCACAAGTTAATTGGACTTCCGACCCGGCATCTCCTTCTGTCGCTCTTGGTTCTTCCTTGAATTTTCCATCGAAAACTAAAAACCACAAGTTTATGATTTCTTTCGAAAATATATTTTTTTCTCTATAAAATAAAATTGACTCATAAATACAATTTTAACTATTTCAGGGAAAATCAGGCAAGTCTAACCATAATTCCTAATCTTGAACTTCTTCGGTCTCATCCTCGCCCTAATTCTCTCATTCGAAATCCTCTCTGTTTTCATCCCAAGAAAGAAGCTTGAAAAAAGACTCTACTTGTTGAACATTTCTATGGCTTCCCGTTTCAAGAAAACATGTGCAAGTTGATCAAACTCACGGGAGTGCATATTGCATGAAATAGGTGCAAATAGATGAAGAATTCAGATTCTATTCTGAAATTTTAATTTTAAAGACTAACGCTCTCTTTTCGACCGCATTTGATTTGCTTATGCAGTAGATGCCATTCAAAACAAGAGGGTATGCAAGGAGCGCTAGAATTCAATAAGCAATCCCGTAGAAGTCCAAGAATAAGAATATGGTTAAAAATCTTATTTCTGCGGCGAAAAACAGCAGTTATTCATCTTGGCCTTTTCAAAAAACAATCAGCATCTAATAACAACCTCTGCTGGCTAACAAGGAGCCCGGTAATCACCTAATTAGTAGCAGCGGAAAAGAGAATCCCGAGCGGCTGATTAAAGACCTCCCGAATGGCTTATTTATTATTCCCTAAAACGGGGCATAAACGCTTATGCTGTGTAAATTGGTTACAAAAATCTATTTGCAGAACTGTGGCTTTCAACATTCTGGCCTTTAGTGAAATGCCACGCGATATATCACCGAGATGTTCTTCGCTAATTGCCGCGCGTAAATTTTTGACAGTTTTTTTCCTCGCCTCAGATTTTACAAATATCAAGCAATTCCACAAAACCAAACGAAAAACGACTTACAGATGAGTTTCGCTTCGATTTCTTTCGACTTGATGGATCCCAGCGTATTCTTGGCTTCGCAGAAATAAGATCCAGCTAATGAGTCGTCAAAGTCAATGAGCATAAGGTCGTTGCCATTGCTAAGTCGTCGGTTGTTCAGTTCGACGGGGACACCGTTGTAAAACCACGTCACTTCAGGATACGGATATCCTGATACTCTGAACACGCGGCGTTAGTAATTAACTACCTCCCTTAGGAAGTGTTTAAGGAGACCACCAGGCTTCTTCAAAGAAAGCAGACTTACTCGCAGTAGAGTTTGACGGTGTGGCCCTTCTGTCCAAGCGCTCCCTCGGGCTCCGTGATGAACCTGGGACTCGACGGTTCCTTCGCGGGTGCATGCTTTGAGCCCTTTGACCGGCTGCGGGCGGCGACAACGCTCGATAAAACTAATTATATTCTTTAGATAATGAGATTACTAATTAGAAAGAAAATAAGTGTTCAGAAACTATTCCTGGGTCAAAATGAATGCTTCGTAATCTTCAAAATACGATAATTAATATATTAGTAAAAATTGGTTTCCTTGATGAATCCTAGAATTCGAGGCGCTTGCTTATCTCCTGAAAAGTCTACTCAACCACGTGACAGCTTTTTTCGAGACCTTCAATTTTTGGCTAAATACTACTGCCGCACTGGTCAACTTTCTAGCAGATATCAGCTGCGTGTTTTTGAAAAGCAGCGCTAGAACAGTTTCTTTTTTGACAAAAGAGGAACTGGATGACAAAGAGAATTGGCCTTGTTCCACGCGCAAAGGCGCGGACAACGGGGATGAAAAATTCAGTCTAAAAACCATGCCGTTCTTGATTTATTTATGGATGTACCTGTCCCGGGTCTTTTCAAGCGCGAAAAATCATTTCCAATAAATCATTGAAAATATGCGAAAATGACAATATTCGGCAACATTTGCAAAAAAGAACAACGACATTGTTTCCCTTACGAATATAATTTGCGCGAACATTTAACACCAAAATTGGCAATTAATTCAATTACGAAGCTATTTTCACAGAGCGTGTCGGTTAGGGATGATTAACATGCGACTCAGTCGAGATTATTGGCCTAAAGTTTGAAAGCCTGACTTGTCCGGTTTTTATTTACAGACCTTAAAGGAATCTTAAGGGTACGGGGGTCGACGTTATATGTGGTCTTAACTTGAAAGTATGACGATATTCATTATGCCATGTGAATTCACCGCAAAAAATAAAGTAGACTTACAGTTGAAAGTGAGTCGTTATCATTTGTAGTTTCCGAGATACGAGCGCTAGAACTTTAACCGAAAAAATTTTTTTGGCTTGGATTTTCGTCATTTGGGGCTCTTTCGAAAGCTCAGAGCACGAGAAATATGATGGTTGTCTTGGTTCTTTATGTAGTCAGATATTTTGGATTTTAGAGCAGAAATCGTTTATGGTTATTTCAAAAAATGCAATTTTTACTGAGATCAACTTTTCAAAAAATTATATTCGATATTTTTATTGATTCAATCCACGATTTCTTTCTATACAAAGCCTCAAAAAGGTTTGAAATTTCATTTAAAAATATACTAAGCATAGCTTTATAGGTTCAATTCTTCAGAATTGAAGCCAATTTTACCCTAATATAGGTCGAGATGCCAACTTTGAAGCGATTTTTTGGCAAGAAAATGTCTATAAACTTAAGATTTTCTTCTATACAAATCAAGATCTAGGTTCAAATTAACTCTTAATGAAAGATCCAAGCCTCCAACTCTTGTGAGTTTCCCGGAATAAGGCCATGGTTAGAGCCTCGTCGACCCCCGTAGCCTTAAGTTTCTGCCACAAATCAAACTCTATTTTGAAGGTATTTATAAGATGTTCAAATACAAGTTCCGCTTTCAAAACAAGCATCCCTCTGATCTCAATTCGTCAAAAGAATGGACTTAAATTGGCTCTAAATTATGCAAAAAACGCGTTAATTCCCTTTCAAGGGGTTGAAACGAGCGCTTCAATTACTCCGTCTCATTGATCAACAGCATCCGTACTCATTGGCGAACATCCAAGCCAAATTTTGAGAAAAAAACTCTGAAAATTTGAACATCTCAAGTCTGAAATGGCTCGCTCGATCACGAATGCGCGACGTTGAATGTGATCAATTGGACTTGTTGGCGACGATTCTATAAAAAGTTCTAAAGCCTCGAAAAAGCTTGACGGAAATTATTAAAGTCGTCAGCGAAAATTGATAACAACAGTTTTATACTTCAGAAAGTCTTCCAATAAAAGTAATAATAAGACCAGCAATTCATCAAAAGACGAAGTTCTTCCCGCCAAAAAGGGTCTCCGAAAATTGGCTTCAGGTCCGATAAATCTGAAAATGTCCAGGCATGTCATGAGCAGCGCTTGTCCAGTTCATGAGTCAACACGCTGGCGTTGGTTAAATTTTACTACCTCCCTTGAATGAGAGAAAAAACTAAACAAAATCGCTCTTCCTCGCCTTTGATCTTACCAGCCACATAAAACTCAGCGATCACAAAAGAAGAAAAGAAAAACCTTTGGGCTCGAGGCTTCTTTCAGAAAAATTTGTCTGAACAGTCTGACTCGCCGGATATATTCAGACAAGATCAGTCACACTTGAAAAGTGCTGATTTCCCAAATTATTTGAAAATTAGAAAAGCACTCATTTTTGCCCATTTATCATAAAACAATTAAAAAAATTTTCTTACCTTGAATAGAAAGTAAACAAAAGAGTGCCGATTTCGGCTGAATCTGCATTTTCAGCTCATCGTCGCGTTCTCATCCTTTTTTCTTCTTGCGGCGTCTCTCTGGAGGTTTAGCGCCTTTGGATGAGCTGCCTAATTCCTCGGTAATGCGGCTCCGAGCGCTCTCTTGGGAATTTTCTTTGGCCAAATCAACCCAATAAATGTCTCTATCTTTTTACGCGTTTTTTTCTGATTCTCAAAGAAATGCATTTCAATTCAACTTTCAAAATGAGAAGTTAAAATGCCCTTTCTAGTTAAATTTTTTTCTTCTAGAGGAGTGGGCCATTTATAAATTTTAATAGAAGATTTATCCCTTCCTTATTCGGCCATAAACTTTTTATCGCAGTCTTCTGAAGTTCTTTATTATTCACGCGAAATCTCTGTGCTGTGGTCTCTCTGTACTACCGAGAGTAGGAATGTATGTTTTTCGTTGTTCTATCGGCGCCCAAGTTCAAAAGTGTCTTTGATTTTTAATCCGCACTTAGCAAACAACGCACATTGATTCGCCTTCGTAATTTTTCTTCCGAGTCTTTTTCTTTTCGGCAATTCTTCTTCGTTATCTCTCTATTTCAACGCAGATAGTGATAAAAAATAAGGGTCCCTTATTAAGGGAGTTTCCAAAAAAGCAAAAACAAGGAAAAAAAGAACAGCGATTTTTCCCTTCAGAGCGCGTTTTTTTGCCGATTAAGCGCGGCGCGCGAGCGCTAACCACGAATCTCCAAAAGAGGGCGCTTTGCTTTTTTCTGTTTGTTCTTATCAGTAATTGTTATTGTTAATGAACGGTGTTATCGTTATTTTTTGATCTCTTATGAGACAAGTAATGAGTTGTTGACAATAAAGGAGGTTGTGTTGTAAACTTGATTTTATGATGATCGATAGGCATTTGATGCGCTTTTGATGGAGATAATCTTTTCTATAACAAATAAAGAAAAGAGATTTAACTTAAAAAAATAAAAAATAAATATCAACATCGCCATTTCGCCACCAATAGCCGAGGGCAGCTTTTCTTCCACCGTCATAATTCACCTCTTGTTCGCTTTGCTCGACTTTGGGCCGCTAATGCATCGATTTTCGCCTGTCAACTTCTCATTGTGAACATGTTCAAAGCCGCCTTTTTACATGGTGTTTGGCCTTGCAAGTTGGACATGCTGCATGTCACATGCATAATTATTTGAAATAATAGTGAGACAGTGTTGGTTTTCTTCTTTTCTTTGCTGACCAAAAAATGGTCAATCAATCATGTGAACTCGGCGAAAATTGGTGAGAAACCTTAACTCAGGTGCGCTATTAAATTTTTCAATAAAATCAAGTAACGCTCAATCATCATTTGACGGTCAAATTGGCGGCATTTGGAAAAATTACTTCTTTGGCCCAAAAACCAAGTATTTTGTATTTGGTAGATCGGGATTTAAAACAAATGATTTGAAGAATGAGAACTCGACAATTTTTGTGTAAACATCATTAGATAGATTTAGGTTTAGCAAATTTAGCTTATTTCGGATTTGGCCTGTTGGATGTTGGGAGTCGAAGAGCTTGGCGTCGGATTATCGGAGTTTTGCGAGTGGCAAAGGCGCTGATCGGCGCTAAGCCAGTGGGAAGAGCCAGAAAGCGCAGCTGGCAAATGCTGGTGTAATTTTTTCTTGCGCTGGAGCGGGTCTCGGCTCAAGGGCGCTTCAAAGACTTCTTGTGAAAATAATTATCTTTCTGAAACAACAAAGTCTTCTGCTCCCTAATCCCGTAAACGATATTTTACTGAAGAGTCGCCAGCAGCCGTAATTGACTATATTTCATTCATTTTAGATGAGCAGTGAACCTCAAATTGTCATTTTCTGCAAAAAATATTCTGAAACGAAAGAATGTCCCGATTACACGACGAAATGAACGTCAATTAACGGCGTTTTCTGACCTATTTTTTCACTTAATTTTATCAAAAAATAGCAACTACGCATGATACAGTTTTATTATTCTCTGGCTTTTCTTGTCACAGTTACAGAATGGGCATATACTTTGATACGAAAGTACTGTTTGAATGCATGAAGAGCAGGATATGTGACCACAGGCAGAAAAACACGACAATTGATGACTTCCAACTTCGTATTCGGAAAAGCAAATCGGACATTCATTTGATGATTCGTTGTTTGAAATACCGTCGTTTTGATTTTTTTGAAGAAGTTGCATGAGGGATGCGATTTCATCTTCGGACTCTTTCTGTCTTTTCGCAGAAATTTCCAGTTCTGAGTTAGCAGATTCAAGCTGTTGATGCTTTCTAGTGAGCGCTCTGCTAAGACCCTGGTTCTCTTTTTTGAGTTTTGAGTTTTCTTCTTTGATTTCAGCAAGTAGTTGAAGATTAGTCTCCCTTGCTTGGTGACACTCGTCCTCTAGAACTTGCACAAGTTGATGGTATTCCTTGATTTTTTGACTGGCATCTCGGGTCGATTTCTTTTCGGACTCCAATTTTTTCGATAACTCAGTATTTTTGTTAGTTTTGCGGCTTATACTCTGCTGCAAATTTTTAATTTCGTTTCTGAGTGCTGCGCATTTTCCGCTAAATTCTTGAATCGTTTTTTCTTGTTGCCTTTCGATGCTCAGAAGATGAAAAACTTCGTCATTTAATCGCTTTTCTCGCTGTATCGCTTTGCCGTTCAATGCACTTAGTTCCATGAGGTGGGTCGCATCAATATCTTGCAGCTCACGTATTTCATTTTTTAATGTTTCTTCTCGCCTATAGAACTCGATTATCTTTCGGCAATGATTTCTGTTTTCTGATCCGTGTCTTTCATTTTGATTCTTCAGTTTTTCTATTTCTTTCTCATTCTAAAATAGTTTTTTTTTTTATTTTTCTTTCGAAAAGCATACCTCTTTTATAACACTTTCTTTTTCTGACAAAAGTTGACAATATTTTGCGAAATAAGACTTCTCCTTGATTTCGTGATAAGCTTCTTTCGTTGAGAAGCAGAATGTATTGTTGAAAATTTCTTGATAAATGGTTGTATAGGGACGCCCAAAAGGAATAATAAACTTCGCATCAAGCCCTTGTGAATCGGAACTATTTAGACACGACGTTTGCTGATGAAGAGCAACTCGGAAGGTGGGCATCGCGTCAAAGAATTTGCGAAGAATCGATGGCTTGGCATTCTCTTGGAACGAACTCAAATCGTTAATGCTAGAAAAGGGGTTTTCGTAAAACATCTTATACTTTTCTCGAGCATTCATCATCAGAGAATAAATGTGAGCAAATAGATTGACTGTTACTCATGCGATCAAAGTTCAACTTTTTATTGAGTACGTGATCGTCTAAGAGTGATAACGAATTTAGAGAAAGTGAAATAGACAGAATGTGGAGATAAAAGTACAAAGCGTAGCAGATGCGTATTTTGTCGATTTTCCAGAGCTTGTGATGAGCGAAGTTCCCTTGAATCCAAGTCCTCGCTTCAAATTTGCTTTGCACAAGACGAAATGAGTATACTGAAAAGAAAAATGATTGCTTATTGGGAGAAACTAAAAGTACAAGTGCAGGATCGTAGCTTTCAATTTCCCATTTTCCAATGGTTGATTTAGGCTTGTTTCTCTCCCATAGTAAGCTTGCAAGGCCAATTTTCGTATCCTTCGCAGGCTATCGACTTTGATTTAAAAAAAAAATTAAATAAGCACTGTGTATAGCCTTTCCAATTGCATTAAAACATCGTTTCTGCCTCGAGCAGCTAATTTGAGCATTCTAGCGTTCCCTTGAATCAGAAATTTGACTGTTTGATTCTCAGAAAATGTTATTATTTCGTCAATGTTGTCAAATGAAGCATTCTGGTTTTTCTCTCGCCAGCTGTTGAAGCCAAGCTTCGAAGGTTTATTCAAAGAAAGGGGAATATCCTTGCTTGAATAAACCTTTTCCTTCATTTCCACTATTTTGTAGAAAAGCCTAAAATCATCCTCTGTATCGATTGTCGGTGTGGATAATCCGAATTTATCTTCACAAACATTTGAAGCGTTATAATTTGTTACCCCACTAACAATTTTTAATGTAAGTGTCTCTGAAATTTTTTTATAAAGTAGGGTCGATTTTGAAGGACAACCTAAGTTCTGAATATCGTTTAATTCAGTACTGTTGACGCAAATAACATTGAGCAGCTCTTCTTTGGCGGACTCCCATGAACTTAAATAAGCATTGAATTATAGTTTTGCTTTATGAATTGGTACCTTGATGAGTAAACTGTCATTTTGTTCACGCCATTGGAGAGATTATTACTGTCAAACTCAAACTTGGTGATTCTGAACTGCACTACTATAATACTATTTGCTCTGTACTGATCAGCCCAATAATTTGAGACAATACTCCGTTTATCCGCGCTTGTCATCCATCCACGATTATAATTATCAATTCCCAGCCAAAGGGAATAGAAGCTGCTTCCGTGTGTTAGTTGGTACCTCTCAGTTTCTTCCTTGCTTCCGCTTTTAAAAAAGTCTTCGTGTAAGGTCATGCCAAGAGATTGAGCAAGCAGCATTTCTTCGTCCGTTTCTGGGACGATGAGACTACCGCGAAATGCTTCACAGAATTTACTTCCGTCAGCAAAAACTAGAGGCCTTGTATATCCGAAGTATTCAGAATGCTGTGGAAAATGATAGACTCTTCCGTTGGTATATTCGTTTGATCCAACTTTTCGGGTAAAACTTAAAAAATGAAAGGGTTGAAAAAACAGTTTTTTTTTTACTTTTGTTGAAGATCTAGCAAGACGTTTTCCTCATCCAAATCAAGCTCAACATGAGGACTCTTCTTCGTGCAACATAGAACGCTGCTGGTAAAAAAGTAAGCAAACAAGATGCCCAAAAATGATGCCATCTTAAAATGGCCGGGATATTTTGACTGACTCTTAATTTTATATGGCGTGAACACTAGATTGTTTCAGTGATCGTTACGCCTGAGAGTATTCTTTGCTTGGTGATAACTAGTCACCGATAACTAGTCATAAGAACTTCAAAGGATTTTTCTACAGAGGCAGTGTATAGAATGCACTGTATACTCTACAACTTGATAAAAATAAGTGATTTTTATTAAGCATCACGGGCTATCCAGACAGAAAGATTTTCAAGAGCAGAGCATTCGCGTACAGCTTTTATCCAAGATTTTCTTCCGAGACTGTTTCTTGCGTGGGATCAGCTGACTGGGCAAGCATAGCAGGAGTAGGTTCTCCGTAGTGGCAGGCGCTGACAGTATGGAAGGTGACTTCGTCGTTGTATCTCTCCTTTAGCTTGTGCACCAGTTCCTAAGTATCGATCTAGCATGTCCTTGCAACAGAGTTACGTACCTGCGCATTTTCACGACCTCGAGTTTCTACAGTTGCGATCAGAGCGACTTTATAAACAAATGCAGTCAGCAACATTCGGTCGTGTTGAACTTCTTTTACACTAGCACCGACCTGCAATCATAATTTAGTTCTAAAACGACGAAGATAAACTTACATCAGAAACAATTTTGAGCATTTCGACCATTCCTCCAGGGCGATCTTGAACATTGACAGTGAAACGCATAATTCTTCCTTCCGCGGTGAGTCCTCTGTCGATAACACGAGTGAGCGTCGATGCATCGATGTTTCCTCCACAAAGTACAGTGCATACTCTTAAAAAATGCTTATTTCGACGAAATGAGTGTTTCTTACTTTTTTCCCCGCAATTCTGGAAGAGCATTGGCGATAATGGCCGCAACACCTGCTGCACCTCCACCTTCGGTCACGGCTTTTTCTTTCTCAAGAAGTCTCAGAATCGCAATCGAAATCCAGTCTTCAGAAATCGAAATGACCTTCTCAAGCAGATCATTGCACGTGGCATAAGCATTGCAGCCAACTTCAGCAACAGCTAAGCCGTCGGCGATAGTGTTTTTCGCACCCCACTGGGACCATACACACTTTGTGTGCTTTCCGAGCATTTGACGGGTTTGCCAGCTTGGGCATCGCTCTGATTCAACTCCGATAATTTTAACGTCGGGTTTCAGATGCTTGACAGCTTTCGCGATTCCGGCGATGAGGCCTCCACCGCCGACGGGAACGATGATGTATTCAACGTCAGGTACATCATCGAGGATTTCAACACCGACGGATCCTTGTCCAGCAATGACGTCGGGATGATCGAATCCGTTGATGTAGGTGAGATCGCGCTCAGCTGAAATTTTCATTGCGTGGTCGCGGGTTTCGTCGAAAGAATCGCCGTAGAGAATGACTTCTGCACCCATTTCGCGGCAGCTTTCAACCTTTACAAGAGGAGCGATTTTTGGCATACAGACAGTTACGGGAATTCCGAGGTCTCGTCCATGATAAGCCAGTGCTTGTGCATGGTTACCGGCTAAAAGATTTAGTTATTTCAAGTGTTCTAGATGATGAGCAAAAAGTACCTGAGGTAGAGATAACTCCCTTCATTCGCTGATCCTTGTTTAATTTTATCAATGCATATCGTGCGCCTCGCTCTTTATAAATTTTTTTTTATTTATCTACGCGTGAGTTTAAACAAACCTTTGAAACTGCCTGTAACTTGCAAGTAATCCTTCTTGAGGTACAAGTCTAGACCAAGTGTTCTGGACATCTTCGAATAATTACAGGGGGTTCGAATGATGCCGGACTTGATTCTATGCGTCGCATCGAGAATTTGCTCGCCGCGGACAATCACCGGATTCGCTGGGTCGCAGTATTTATCAAAAGAGTCGCACGGCCGTCCAAATCGTTGTCGAGGAAAGCTCTCTTGTGCCATGATCTTTCGCGTTTTCCTACAATCAGTGTCATAGTTGGGTTCATCTTCTGATTCTGTGTCTGTCTTTTGGGTTAATAATGCCTAGCTGAGTATTTTTATAACGATGTTTGTTGCGCAACTAACACTAGAATTTCCAACCCTTAGCAAAAGGCCTTTTTAGCTTCGAGTCTATCTGAGTTTTTCGCATATCTCTTTGCAGTCTTGCTATAAAATAACTTCAAAAATTGCGTGTGGGAAACAACATCACGCTCTCCCAAAAGAGGGTCGGCCAGCCGCGGGCTACTGTTCTAGTTGAAACCACTTTGAGTACAAACACGTGATGATTATCCAAATATGGAATCTGTATGTTTTGGATTCTAGTGTCAACTCAGTGGGAGAAGCTGCACGCGTTACCTAATCAATCTCAATTTGGCAAAAATGGTAGCATAAAGAATCAACCACTTACTTTTCAACATCGAAGTTTTCCAAAAAGAAGTCAGGATTTTCGGGGTCGGCGTGTTCGTCTAATGTCTGGTCTGAAGCCTTGCGCTTACATCGTAAACTGGCAGGGTTTCGGACGTCCGGCCATGAGCTAACTATAAATACTTTTAATTGAGAATAGTTGAAGTCTCACGACAATAAACGTACTTACAGCTTTCTGACATCTTAAGCCTCTCAAGACTAAAAATTATAGTCTATAATTTCATACGAAAAAAAAGAATTACTAAAAATTTTCGGTTATTTTGGTACAGTCGAGAAAAAATGAATGATCGATGAAAATCAATGAAACTTTCCTTTTGAATCTCTGATTCCTGAAAGCCCGTCTGACATGTTGGAACCCGGATTAATCTCTGGTGGAGCCATTCAATAAATTTGTTAGTGATTACTGGCTCTAGAATCGGGAAAATTTAGTATGAATTAGTGGGTGTGGCGACGGCATCCGCAGGGCACTAATTGCCATAAGGAAATTGGCCCTGTTTCTCACATGCTCGGGCCATATTCCTTATAAGAAAACTTTACGAACTTGAACGAGCTTTGCGCGCGACGGACTACTTTGAGTCCCGTCTGAAGCTTCGCGACGTAGTAAAGACGCCAAAAATGAGTCTTAACGAGATTCTTCGACATCTTAGCAGAACGTTCTTAAAATAATCATTTCATGTTAACCTTTCAAAAAAAAGAAACGAAGCGGCCCGACGACTCGGGTCTACAGCAGATCAAATAACGTTCAATGTACTCTAGACTAGAGTCTCTAGTTTCAGATAAGAACGAAAATTGATTCCAGTGCAGGTGCGAAATTTCATCAAGCGTACTTTTTGCATTATTGCGGTACGCACGTGGGCTAAGTCTCTGTAATCAAGAAGAAATTAGAATGCGCTGGTGGAGCCGCAATATTACGAAAAAAACACGAATTTCAACGTGCCATTTTTTACATTTTTTTAGGTTTTTGACTCCATTTTACTGTATAATTTTTTACATGAATGATTCATTCAGAATGAACTATTGCAAAGACGTTTTAACCTGAAACTTTTCTTGCTTTAAAATTTAAATCACAATACCAAAAGTGTGGCAATCTCGTGCACAACCCATGCACACGAAAGTAGATGCCCTTAGGTACTTCCGGAAAAAATATTAGTTCCGTCTGCGCTCATCTTCCGAAAATGTCCGACCCTACTTTAGATTGTCCGAATAACTCCATTCTCTCTAAAGGTCGATAAAAGCGGAAAATTAGAATTTCAGATTGAATTTATAAGAAAGCATAAACAGAATGTAGAAGAACTTCCCCAAGTGGACATGTCTCCGGCCATGTTTTTAAATGTATCACGTGCAGAAGGTTAGTTGAGGCATTCAACGGTTCAGTACATCTTATAACGCGCAGAGAAAAGAAAGATATTCTTCGAGAGAAATGAAATCATCGACGGATAATGGTAAGAAAAGCTAACCTCAAAGGAAATCTCGTGGCAGATTGACTTTGGGATCTTACCACTAGAGGGTACCCTGAGATCGGATCTTGTGGTTTCAACTCTGACATAGATAACATTTGCAACTTTTTCGATTTTTCCTTACTGATATTTTATTCCTAGTGATGGGTAAGTAAACTGATTTAAGATAATATCTTTCTATAATAGTTATCTTATTTCAAATTTGTAAAATAGCAAAAATAACAATAAAAAGCCCCTCTGAAGTCATTCGTACGAATTTCCTAAGTTTATAACCAAAAGCTCATAAAAAAGCTGATCACCCTCTTTGCCCTCCTAATTTTGATTATCTCTTCAAAAGAGGCTAGAGATTTTTAGCTCCGAGACAGAGAAAAAGGTAATCAAAGTGTCAAGAAAAGAAACAAAAACGAGAATAATTAGCCCTCGCATGCATCTTAGTATGAAATTTATAAAGCGCAAACAAAGACCTTCAAACAAACGTATCGTTTTTCGTAACTTGCAAGTGCGCGAGTCTGCTCCAAGAGCGCCGCTCTTTTTTTGAGATTTTGCGCCGCGAGAAATTCACTGACTTTCAAAAACGAATCTTTATTCGAACGTAACCAGAGTTCGAAAAGAGGAAAGAGGATGCTGAGAAGACGAATGTTGAAAACGACAATGAGAATAGAGATATAAAATATAATTGAAGTTATTCAGTTTCAACGATGAGCTGGTTGAGAGATATTTGCTCGATAAAGGAAGGGATTTTCAAGAAAAAAAGCTAGAAAAAGATTTATTTCTTTGGACAATTTATTATTATTAATAAGCGATGACAGCCATGTCGAGATGCGCATTTGCGGATAAAAGAATCATCGCATTTTCGTGAAGATCTCATTTTCGTTCACCTAAGAGAAGAAATTTTTAGTGATGGTATTTTGTCAAAATGTTTTTGGAAAATCCACTCAGAGCATAATAATATTTATCTTTGGCTTTCTCGCTGGACATTTATTCCAAGGCTACCCGACAGTTCAGGATATAAAGCCGTCTCCTGTTGTCCAACAAGAAGAAACTGTCAGAGATTTTCATACCTTTGCATATGATGCAGACACACCTGTCCAAGCGAATTTTACGAAAGCTCTTATTCCTCGGCAAGGGGGTGATCTGATTACCGCTCCGTTCAATCCAGAAGAAACTTTTGGGATAAAGCTTTTTGAAGAGAAGACTTGCAAATGTGAAGGAAGAAAGATACATCCAATTAATGAAATGCCAGAGATTTTTGAGAAAGAAAAGATTTCGGAGCTCTCTAAATACAGGTAAAAAAGCTCTATTGAAAATAATCTTATTTGGCTCGTTAATTTTTAATATGTATTATTTTGATGATGTTTTTAGAAACTACGATTTCACAAAATGGCGGCAGAACAACTTCCACCAACTTGTTGATCCTCGTCTTCTAATATCACGTGCTCACAATCCGCTAGAATTCGTCGCTTCCGGATACGAAATTTCTCCCTTTGATTCTCTCAACGTTCACTTGAAACTTCACGTAGCGCCAGAAGAGAAAATGACGCTGGCAATCACGACTTTATCTGGAGAATTTCCGACTCTGGAAGGTTTGAGACAAGTGAAAAAGATTGAAGCGAAGAGTGGCGAGACGCATTACTCCGTTGGAATGACCAGTGCAAGAATGATCAATCAGCTTTTCGAAAATTTGGTTTATTCTTCTCGGCAATATGATGCACGGCCATTTATGGACTACGTTACAGTAACGATAGAAGGAGACGTTGAAGCGTTCGCTTCATTTCCAATTCAGGAAAGGGAAATTTTTTAAATCCGTTTTTGATCAGCAATTGTTATTCCGGCTCGGCCGGATGCGCTCACGTTGCACCAAAATCATCAAGTAAATTGGCCCTCCGAAAAGATCCGCATCAAACCTCCGCCCGTGCTTATCTACCGCGAGGGAAATGAGTTCCAGCATCGCGTTACCTTTTTGACGAAAACGTTTCTCCGCTACCCTTGCATGTACAGACTGATCGACTCAATTCTAGAGCAATATCCTGGCGTCACAATTATCGTTACTGATGATAATCCGAAGGAGTATTATCAAGATATCGACGTGAAAAAATATCCAACAGTGAAGCAATATAAAATGCCGCTAGAAGAGGGTTTCTTTGCTGGAAGAGCTCTCGCAGTCAGTCAGGTTAAAACAGGTACGTAAACTTGCAAGAAAAATGTCAGGAAATAATTAGCATTCTCAGTAGATCCATTACAGTTAAGTGATACTCGAGCTTTGACCCAAAAAAGCTCATTAGAAAGAGAGAGAGAGCTCAATTAAATTGCAGAGTATGAAATCCAACTAACACCATTGAAATTCCCGCTTTTCAGCTTGAATTTCCATAACACCTGGCTTTTGATGTCTCGCCGGTGTTCTAATTTGACTAGCGACGTGTGTTTTTTCGCGTTCAATTTTAATTTAATTTTTTCATTTTTAGAATACTTTGTCTGGATGGATGACGATTTTTTCCTCGACGAAAACAGCAATATCAAATACATGATGGACTTTTTGGACGAGACTGGTTTCGACCTCGTCTTCGGCTCCATCAACAAAAAAGAACAGATCAAATGGGAAGAAGCGAATAAACTCGTCTTGGAACCAGCAAATGATGGATTTTGCTTCAAGCGCGAACCACTGCCAAATACTATCCCAGTCAAGGGGTACGAGGATGACTGCATCGTTGTTCAAATTGCAAGGAATTTCTTCATGGGAAGGACTCTCACAGCGGGTTCTGTGAGACACGGTATGTATATTTTTCGATTTTGAGTAGGATTTTTTAATTATTTGCTACGCGGTTTCCGGGGATAAACTCGGGTCTTCTACTTGAAAACCACTTTCGCATTGGTTTATTTTCACACCAGATTCTGGAGAGCACGGCCTTAAATTAGAGGCTTATACTTGAGTGCAAGCCTGTAAATATTTTTTCAAAAGCAAGCTGAGGTTCGATAATTACACGAAAACGCGAAATTTCATCCTCGAACTTGAAAACTGTTTACTCAGAATGTGTTTTGTTTTCTTTAAACTTATGCTTTCAGATCCGGTATTTGGACAGCGCGGACATCGTGAGTACTTCCTTGACGGAATGGGAAAACTGCGCGCTGCTTGGTGCGGAACGCCAAGGACGATGCACGACCACGCTTGCTTGAGAGGCAGGGATGACTTTGCCGACGAGTACAAAGAGAAACGCGCTGGCGGCAAAGAGTCCAGGGAGAAGAAGGACTTCAACGTTCAAATTCACGCGTACTGGTGGTACAGATCAATGGCCGAATGCATGGCCGAACCTTAGAATATCGACATTGCAAATTTACCTTCAACTGTATTTTTAGCTTTATAAAATAATTATGCAGCCGAAATAAAGAAACACCATATCCTTCATTCTAAAATTGAGATAACGTGTTTGATTCACGAGGTGGCTTTGAGAAGAAAACAAAACTTTGTTAAATTTTAAATAACACAGATTTTATACAGCTACTTGAAATAAGTTCTCCGATGTGAGATCAGAGAAAGATTTTAGAAGTCGCACAACTAAACTTGCATTCTATCGACGAGAGCACACTGTAATCCGGGGTTACGGCACCACTGCGAGCCTCGAAGCCTGTTATTTACTGATGAAGGCAACAACATTGTCTCAAAGTGATTTGAGCTTTCATTGGTATGAGAACAAGGTAGGAAGAGGCTGAAAGCTTTCTCCATGGATTCGAATTGTTGAATTCGATTCTAACTTTGCCACCATATTTTATTTTCCAAAAATGAAAAAGAGCGTCCCTAGCTGGGATCGAACCAGCAACCTCTCGATTAACAGTCGAACGCGCTAACCAATTGCGCCATAGAGACCTAATGGGCGCTGGAAATATGACCATTATAACCTAAGGCGCCCGTATAATCTTTTCTTGAGGTATTCTTTCATTCAAATTTCTTTGAAACCCCAATATGTTTAAACAAATCGCGTCAGAATCTCTAGAACTAATTGAAAAATAAAGAAAATCCGGCGGAGCGGAGCGCCGCGGGCCGCCCGCGCCCAATCAACTGCGCGCGCTGAGAATTGAAGGGAATTTGGCGGAGAACTGTCTGGAGCAAAGTGAGAGCTAAATACTAAAGAGAGATAAATAAATTCACCGAAAATGAGCGAATGGGATGAGCTGAGAACGAGAGCAAGGCAAATTGAAACGCAATTAGATGCGAAATTGATTTCTTTTGCGAAAATCGGAAATCGTCAAGGAATTTCAAGGTATTTTTCGATAGGAAGAAAGCAAGTTATAGATTATTAAAATACTCCCATTTTGATAAAGATTTTCTTTGCAAGAAATGACACGATGGCTACATAGAACTTTCATGAAGTAAAGCATACTTTTCAGCATCGAGCGCGAAATCGACGAGCTGCTTATCGAGCTGGACGGGATCACGGAACGCATGGGTGCATATGCCGACCAACCAGCTGTTCGAAATAACGCCACTGTAACCCATACTCTTACCCGTCATCGTGATATTCTTCAAGGTACCGTTTTTCTTCTTTATTTTTCTTCGTTGCCACTGAAACTCCCACCGGCTCTTACCGTTGTTTCTAGACTACAGAAACGAATACAACAAGACAAAGAATAATATTTCTGCCAGTCAAGCTCGAGAAGATTTGCTCGGCTCTGTCCAGCGAGATATTGAAGAATACAGAGGCCTCAATGGATCCACAAGACAAGATATGTACGCGCAAGAAAGAGATCATCTCCTGAGCTCTGACAGACTGGCCGACACTGCCATTGAAATCGCTAGGAACGGATAAAATCACTCCCACTAATGCACATAAACAATAATTCTCCGCAAGATCGATTGATTAATCCCCAAAAAAGCCGGACTCAGGACCATTTACGGCACCAGCGCGCCATGCTCAACGGAATTTCCACGCGAATGCTCGACCTCGCCGCTCGATTCCCCCAGCTCAATTTTCTTATACAAAAAATCTCCATGCGAAAGCGGCGAGATACTGTCATCATGAGCGGGGTGATCGCCCTCTGTATCATTTTTATCTTATTGTATACTTTTCACTAGTTGCTAATCAGTAATTAACAAACTAAACGATCCTACTGTGCCTTTTTCGAGAAAACATATCTATTTTCCAATTGATGCTTCCAATTTCTGTATTGAATCTAAAGCATAACTCTTCAGTGTTTGGCACAAGAGTACATACAGTCAAAACACTTCTATGTATTTGTATCATGTGTATGTGCAATATTCTAGTAAATATATCTTAGGGAAAAATAATAACAATATTTATGCATTATTTATACAATTTATAAATCTCTCTTGTACTTTTCCGCCTTGAAAAACTTTTCAAAATTGTTCATGAAAATATAAAAAAATCAAGTGGTGCTTATACCCCCAAGTTCAATTAAAAGAGAGTTAACTTATTCTTTTAGATTCTAAAAATGTCGGACGACGAATTTGAATCGGAGAAACGAGACAATCGCCGAGGTCTGTCTTTCAAGACTTCGCTGAGCCGGGATTCGTGGGAGAGAATTTATGCGGAAGACAAGGAGAACAGATTCAACTTCCTTGTCAGCCAAACTGACATTACCGACTTTCTCGGGCCTGATCACGAGTTGACAAAGCTCAAGGAGCGCCGCGCGATAGAAGCGGAAGAGAAGAAGGCGAAGAAAGGAGATGGAAATCGACGACGAGGAAAAGCGAAAGCGGACGAGGTCGACGAGTCCGAAATAGAAGAAGCAGAAGCGAGCGAGGTCAAGGGAGTGCGATTTAGCGAGTCGCCGCCTTACGTCAAATTCGGCAAAATGCGCGACTACCAGATTCGAGGATTGAACTGGATGATCGGCCTCTACGAAAAGGGAGTGAGTGGCATTCTAGCGGACGAAATGGGTCTCGGAAAGACGCTGCAGACCATTTCAATGGTTGGCTACTTGAAAAACTACCAGAAAGTCAACGGGCCGCATTTGGTGATTGTGCCAAAGTCGACGATTCAGAACTGGATGAACGAGTTCGACCGCTGGTGCCCGAGTTTGAGATGCGTTTGCATGAATGCGAGCAAGGACGAAAGAGCGATCTTCATCCGCGATGTTTTGTCCCAGGGCGATTACGATGTCGTCGTCACGACTTACGAACAGTGTATGATGGAAAAGACGAGCTTGAAAAAGATCAACTGGCGCTACTGCATCATCGACGAAGCGCACCGAATCAAGAATGAAAAGTCCAAACTTTCGCTGATCTTGCGCGAATTCCGAACTACGAATCGCTTCCTTCTCACCGGTACACCTCTCCAAAACAATCTTCACGAGCTTTGGGCATTGCTCAATTTCTTGCTTCCAGATATTTTCGTCGATGCCGAGAATTTCGATGAATATTTTGACCAAAAAAAGCTTGGCCAAGAACTTGACTTGATTTCGCGACTGCATATGTTGCTCAAGCCATTTATGCTTCGCAGAGTAAAGGAAGGGTTCAGATAAGCTTTTTAAATCCTCATTTGAAAGGATTCTTTATGACCCCCGAAAAGGCCGACGTAGAGAAGTCGCTCCTACCAAAGAAAATGATCAACATCTACGTCCCTATGTCTCAAATGCAGAAGGACTGGTACAAAAAGATTCTTCTCAAGGATATCGACATTTTGAATACTGGTGGTGACAAGGGCGGTGGGAAAATGCGGCTGATGAATATTTTGATGCATTTGCGAAAGTGCACCAATCATCCATATCTTTTCGATGGTGCCGAGCCCGGGCCGCCCTACACGACCGAGCAGCATATCGTCGACAATTGCGGCAAAATGGTTATTCTAGACAAGTTGCTTCAAAGGTAAAGAAACTCATTTACTCTAGCCGGACCTTTTGATTTAGGTGCAAAGCGAATGGTGACCGGGTTCTGTTGTTCACCCAGTTTACATCGATGCTTGATATCTTCGAGGATTACTGTCTTTGGAGAGATTACAAATACTGTCGACTGGACGGAGGAACCGACCACTCTGAGCGAACTCAGTCTATCGACGCTTACAACGCTCCCAACAGTGAAAAGGTGAGTTCAGGCGTTTTTTCCACTTTCCTCATAGATGTTTTAGTTCTTGTTCATGCTCTCTACCAAAGCCGGAGGATTGGGCATCAACTTGATGACAGCCAACGTGGTCATTATCTACGATTCGGATTGGAATCCGCAGAACGATCTTCAAGCGATGGATCGTGCTCACCGAATCGGTCAAAAGAAGCAAGTTTATGTCTACAGAATGATCACAGATGATTCTGTCGACGAACGTATTATCGAGCGATCAGAGCTCAAGATGCGACTTGATAGCGTCGTCATTCAACAGGTATCTTTTAAGTCAAGATATTGATTGTTCAAGGGAATTTTAGGGACGACTAGCAGATCAAAACAAAAAGCTCAATCAAAAGGAAATGTTGAACATGATCCGTCACGGAGCGAGTAAGATCTTCGCTGGCGAAAGCACAGGAGCTCTCGATGTCAATCTGAACATCGAGGAAGTCCTAAAAGCCGGAGAAAAGAAAACAGAGGAACTAGCGGCCGAATACGACAGTACGAGCTTGTTTAAATCTTCAATTTGCTAGATTTCTTTTAGAAATTGGTGAGAACGCGGCGCAAAAGTTCACCTTAGACGAAAACACCGATTACACTTGTCATGTCTGGAACGGCGTCGACTTCCGAGACGAGAAGAAAAAAGAGAGCAAGTTGATCGATGTCTGGATCGAGCCTCCAAAGCGAGAGCGAAAGGCAAACTATGCTGTTGATCAGTATTTCAAGGAAGCTCTCCGTGTCAAGTAAACTCTCTTCATGCTTCTTTAGTCCTTACAACATGTTTTAGCGATCCCAAAGCGCCAAAAGCACCTCGTCCGCCAAAACAACCGGACATCAAAGACTATCAGTTCTATCCCCACGAACTGATCCCTCTTTTGCGACAAGAAGTCCTTGCCTATCGAAAGCAAGTCAACTACAAAGTCCCTATCGATCCAGACGCCGAGCATCCTAAGAAAAAACAGAAAGCGGAGCAAGAGAAAATCGACAACTCAGAGCCGCTAAGTGAGGAGCAAATAAGTAAGAAATTGTTTTGTGATGACGGCGCATTTTTGTAATTTTCTATTCTAGGGCTACGGGATGGCTACTTGGAGCTAGGATTCGCAAATTGGACGAAGAGAGACTTCAACGCGTTCATCAAGGGCAGCGAAAAGTATGGAAGGGGCGATATCAAGAGCATTGCCGCAGAGATCGATGGGAAAAGTCTCGGAGAAGTCACCGAATATCATGCGGTAAGTTAAGATTTGAGCTCTTTGATTCGGAGCGGTAGACGATACTCAAACTTTACTAGATATTCTGGGATCGTTATGAAGAGATCCAAGATCACGAACGGCTGATCGGAATCATCACTAAGGGAGAAGAGCGGATCGAGAAGAAGATCCGCATGAAAAAGGCTCTTTCGCAGAAGGTTGCAAGTTACAAATTCCCCGAAATCCAACTTCGCATTCCGTACATGTACGCCGCTGGCAACCGAAAGAACTACACGGAAGAGGAAGATCGTTTCCTCGTCTGTAAGTTGGCAGAGTTTGGAATGGATACAGAGCACGCGTATGACAACATCAAGGCGCTGGTCAGATTTGATCCAAAGTTCCGTTTCGATTGGTTCTTCCGAAGCCGGACAAGCGCAGAACTCCAGAAGCGGTGCAATCAACTCGGTAATAATAAAATTTAAACACGAATCTTACTAATCCTTCAGTGAATATCATCGAGCGAGAAATCAACGGTCCTTCGAAGGACGACGACAACGACAGAAAGCGCAAACGCACTGGCCAGAGCAAAAATGCAAACGCTAAAAAGCAAAAATTAGAGACCAAGGCATAGAAAAAATTAGTTCCACTTCTAGTAATTCACACTTGTCAATTCTCACACATGTATTTACCACTGCCCTTTATCAGCCACATGAATTAGTATGTATTCTTATTGAATAACGAGACAAACAACAATTCTTGAACCTTCATCATTTTTAGACTGAAAATGGGCGAAGGATTGGAAATTAGCGATAGGAATACGACTTTCAATCTTATTGGGCGCAAAGATGCCACTCATGTTTTTCATAATTGCGAGTGCTGCAGGCTTCCAATCGTCACTTACGGCCGCATGATCCCCTGCAAAGTACGCGATTGATTCTTTTCGTTATTTGTCAAACTGTTGTAGCATGTTTTCTGCTTCGAATGCTCCTGTCAATCGCGAAAAACTGGCGGTTCCTGTGCGCGCTGTAATGACACTGTCCAAAGAATCGAAAAATGTCCCCGTGGAACCGTCTTCGTTTGCCGAATTCCCAGCTGCAGAAGAACCTACCTTTCCCATCGAGATTTGACAGCTCATATTCGACACCGTCATAAAAAAGTTGAAGCGCAAGCGATGGGCCTACAAATTATGCCCACCGGAGCGCCGGGACAAGCTCCTGTCCAGGTTCGATAAATCAGCTTGTTTCAAGCAACTAGCCTTGAACTTTTTAGCCTGCTGCAGCTCAACAGGGACCACCACCAACGATGAATCCAGGTTTCTCCGCTGGTGCCGTCCCAGGCGTGCTCCATCACGGACAAGTGAAGCAGGAATACCCGCCTCAAGTTAAGCAAGAATATGCTCACTCGGGCATCAAGCAAGAATACCCAACAACGCCCCAACGAGGCCCACCTCCTGGAAATCGCCCGCCCCATGGAATGGAGCAATACGGAGGAACTAATCCATCCCCTCAGCAGCAAATGCGCCGTGGTCCTCCACCACCATCTGGCGGTGCTGGGTCGCAATGGGGCCGATAAATCTAAATGACTTCATCCTGCCTGCAATTATAAATTTAGTGAAATTTCAAGAGAAAATTGAAAATTTTCAATTCAGAATGGCTTTTCAATACAACGGAGGATCCATCGTCGGTATGTCGGGCGACAACTGTGTCTGCATCGCTTCCGACAACCGATACGGCCAACAGCTTCACACAATCTCAACTGACTTTCCCAAAATCTTCAAAATTACAGACAGAATCTTCATTGGTCTTTCGGGGCTTGCTACAGACATTCAGGTAGAGAATCCTTACGTCATCCTTTTTCTTAAGCCCGAGTTTAGACAGTTTTGAACAAGATCAAGTACAGAGTGAACATGTATGAGCTGCGAGAAAACAGAAAGATGAGCGCGAAGTGCTTTAAGACCATGGTGTCCAACTTGCTTTATGAAAGACGGTTTGATTGTCGCGATAGAGCATTGTCGATCTAATCCGACTGATTTAGATTTGGGCCTTTCTTCGCCGAGCCAGTCATCGTCGCTCTCAATGATGATGGTTCTACCATGCTTTGCGGTAATAATAGTTTTATATCTGAGCTCTATCTTGAGTTGTAAATTTAGGAATGGATTGCCTTGGCGCCGCTGAATCGCCAAAAGACTACGTTGTCGCTGGAACCGCAGCGAACGAAATGCATGGCCTTGCGGAAGCTTACTGGCGCCCTGATATGGTACTAAATAAACTCATTCACTGCGTGGCAGTTTCTGAATCTTACTCTTTTAGCCAGCGGAAGAGCTTTTCGAATGCGTCTCACAAACCATGCTCTCTGGTTGCGATCGAAACGCTGCATCCGGCTGGGGAGCCACTGTAACCATCATTCAAAAGGACAAAATCATCACCCGCAAGCTGAAGGCGCGAATGGACTAGCCAACTTCTACAAGTTCAAATTGATATTGAATCTTACTCATATTTTTACAAATTGCGTTCTACATGTATATCGCCCGCCATCTCTCTGTGAGGCGAGCCAACTTTTTTCCGCTTAGAGTTGTTCACATGCAATAAAATCGACAGATACCGTTGCCTATCGCTTTCCATTTCTCTTTTCGTTGGTGCATTTCTTATGGATTGGATTAGATTTATTTGAGGGGTGATAAAATGGCTGAAAGAGACACTTTTAGAATGCAAGTACAGACACCGAGGGAAGTGATAAATCTTAAACGATTTCTTCATCGGACAGAGCATTTTGTAAAGACAAATGTTTCGTATATTCACCCTGGCATGTTTCAAAAATATTTCTAAACGGTCTTAGTTTTAAATCTGACCTATCTTTAATTAAATCAGATTTATTTTTATTTTGAAAACATCGAACACCTGTTCGTAGATTCTCTAGCGTCTTCCCTTAGGGCTCGAGGGATGAAAACAGGGTTGTCGTTTTGTTTTTTGAAATATTATGAGATACTCTTCGGTTCTACTTGAAATCTCTACGGGAACGCTTGGAAAATATAAAGAAGCTCGAGCTTGTAACATCCGGTAAAAGAAGTCCCTTAGAGTATTTGAGAATATTTGACTGTGTTTGTGTAGACGAATGTGTCTCTTATAATATGCGGATTGTGGCGTGTGAGCAGTACTTGAAATCGAAGACGGACGAAGGCGATAGTCTGATGAAAATTTCCCGTGTTTCAGACTTGGAAGCGCGCCAGGTAAACAAATTTTCTTCAGAAAAGTCAATCGCTAATTGATATTTTCGCGGTTGTAGATTTTTAATCGTGTTTTTCTTCGTGTTCTTATATCTTTTAGTTTAAGAGATTTCCATCAAGACAAAATCTGTATTTCCAGAGATTGATGGTCTAGTTAAACTCTCAGAAATTAACAGGAAAGACCTTTTTTGATTTATTAGGCGCACTATAAAAATCGCATGATTTTGATATTTTCGATGGCAATGAGTTTATCGCATATTTGCGGATAATTTGGAATGCTCATATTTCTGAAAGCTCTTCTGAGCAAACTCTTCTTCATTGTCCCTACCTCTAGAACAATGAACCACTGCGACTTTTGCCCTACTACAATTTTTTTCTAAGCGCGTTGAGAGAAAAGGTAGCGCTGCAAAATTATAATAATCCAAATCGCCAACTGAACTCACACGCTTTTTAAATTTCTGAAGGAGTAATAAATTTCACAAGTATCCAATTTTCAGCTGTTGCTGCGCGGACATGCGCAGCGGGAGGCGCGGCAACGAGAGAGTCTTTTGACAAAGAAGCCTCCTAAAATCCAGGATAAGCAATTGACACTTCGGCAGAGGAGGATTCTTTTGTTAGGTACAGAACAAATTTTTCAATCAGAGATTGGTTACACCCGCCCTTAGAAAATGACGAAAACAGAGGCAAATCTGCATCGTATGGTTCTGGCGAAGATTCAGCGGATGCCAATGCTCTCGCTACGGAGACATTAGGACCAGGTTTATTTGATGCGGATATCGTTATTTGACGATTTTACGCGGAATATGTAACATTTGACCTTCATGAAAATCATCGCGAAAAGCGCACAACGCTTTATTTGAGCATCGAACTTTGACGTACTTACGGTCACGTGATCTTTTTTCTTTCGTTTGGAATTTAAGGAAGTTTCGCAAATTTTGAAAGCCTCCAGGGTTACATTTTTCCACTGATGCATAAAAATCACAATCTGGTGCGTTTACTCAAGCGTTGAAAAAATCTTAAGTACAAGTCTAAACAGACATGGCTCAAGAAAGAAAAATGGGTTAATTGATAAACCGATGAAAAGAACTGACGAGAATGCTGAAAGAACAGGCGAGAAATACGAAAGATATTGTGGGAGAAGACAACAAACTTCTCGGAGAAATGGGTAAGTCCTGACTTCCGTTTCGTTGAATCGAAAATGAACTTATTTTCCGGCAGATGCTTCGATGGACAATAATATTGAGAACTTGCGGAAGGCCACACAAAGTATTGAAGGCAGGGATAGAAAGAAACTTTGCCCGAAAGTGCTCACTATAAAAAGCGAGATCAGCAAATGCTGTAATTACAAAATTAGCTGAATTATGATTTTCTTTGTCGTCTTCGTTGATTTCTAGCAGACACTTCGAAAGATCAGTGAGAGAAGCTTCTTTTTGGAAAAAGATCTCTATCCCTGTACAAAGAAATTCTGCAAATCGGAGGAAGCGTTCAGGCTAGGCACACACTGGACGTCATTTTATCACCATTTTTGGCGTACCTCAACGAGGGAACAAACACACAAAGTCGCAGTATCAAATCCATTTTTAAATATTCTGCGTTTTTTTATTGAGGCCTTCAGTTTTTTGGTCAGCGCCTTCAGAATTGAAAGTCCTTAAAATCGTGAAAAAGTGATGAATCAAATGATGATTTGTTCTTCTTCTGACGAAGTTTAGGAACAATATTTGATAGATTACCCCTAGAAAAGAAAGGACGATGAATTAACTAGTCTTATTCGTGAGCTTTAGTGGTTCATTGATAATTATGAAAGAGAATAAGAAGAAGAAAAAGGCCGTTTTTGCGTAAAATGAGCCCTACGAGGTCAGTTGTTTTAGAAAACTTTTCTTTACTACAAAAATATTAATCCTCTATGAAATTGCGTTCCATTAGCCTATTTAAAGTGGTTTCTATTATTTGTTGTGCTAATCATTTGGCTGGTAATGATCGTCGTTATAACTACAGTTCCAAAGATAAATTGATGCTGCTTCGCATTTTGACTGTTTCAGCTGATCCCCTTGTCAATATTTCAAGTGCAATAAATTTTCAAAAATTCGAAACTCCTCTGCAAACAGAAAAATTCTAATAGAATGCGCGACGGATGGATCCTGGCGGCAGTCTGCTTTCTTTCCCTGTTAGAGCCAGCATTCGGCGACAATCGACTCGATCGTAAAGAGATAAATGCGAGAGAACTTGACGAAGCATTCAAAGAGGGGGATGAAATCGAAGCTGACGATGAATTGCCCCATTTTGAAAGAGAAAAGAAACCGATTGATATTTCTAAGGTAAGTTTTTCTTCATCTTCACCACCCTTTTCAAACCGAATATAGAGTAGAATAGTAAGAAAAGATAATTTTTGCGGTAAATTTATTCAGACTTCATTTTGAAATTGTTTCAATTCAAGCTCGGGTGTTTTTCGGAAAAGCATTTTTTCTATTTATCGAAATGTGTCAATATTTTTTCTCCAAAGTTTGTCCATTCTGCACATTTGGACAATATCAATTCGGAACTTCTATCAATACTTTGTTTGAGAGCTTTTTTGAGAAGTGCCAGAACTACCGCCAATTTCTGTCGTTGGCAAACCTGCGAAATTTGTCATTTAGAATCTTTCAAAATGCCCAAGGATCCATTGATCTTTGACAATAAAGTTTCTACGTCAATCTCAAGCATGGTGAAAACGTTTTTTTTGTCCAAACGTGGTTTTGTTTGTCAGAACATTTTTCATGGATATAAATTCCTTCGAGAACCAATATTAGCTTATCTCTTACTTTGGGGCTTGCTGACCAGCGCTCCGTAATTTTCTGACCATCTTTGAATGTTTAAAAAAGGTCACCTGAGCAAACAGCATAGATTATAAGTAAATGCTGTCTCGACGGTCCGTATAATTTCGTATGCGATGCTCTTAACTCAAGGGCTTTCACGGATATGCTGACGTTCAGGACCAACACAGACAAATTGTGCACTTGTAAGAGTGGCAGAATTTTGGGGACAGTTCAAAAAGAGATTTTATGTTGAAATCACGAAATTCTTTTCCCTGTCTTATTTTCTTTCTAGCTCGATATGTCTGACCCTCTATCAGTAACGGCGGCTTCAAAAGCTGGACAAGCGATCATGGTCTTTGTGGACATTCGAGGAAGTCCGACGGAAGCGGAGCGCGATCAAATCACTTTATTTTGGGAAGCAAACATGTTAAACGCGCACAATATTGAGGTCAAGCGTTTTATGATCAAGACAGATAGGTATTTAGTGACCGGTAAAATTTCGTATATTGAATCTTTTTTCTAAGGGTGATTTTTCAACTTGATCGGGCGGAGCATATCAAAGAACTGGCCGCGGTCTTGCGACGAGAAGACAGATGCTTTTCATTTTCCATCGACAACGCGCTTTTTCTCTGCCCTGGCCATCCACAGTGGGATCCAAAGAATCCAAATGCCACGAAGCAAAGCCTAGAAGCCCAGGGAAAATGGAAAGGAGACGATTGGCGGCCGGAAGGATGGATAGAAAGGCTAGAATTTAGTCTGAAAACGCCGGAGGAGCCAGCGCCGAGTCCGAAAAATTCAAATTTCAAGTGGAAAAAATCAGTAAAACGAACTGATTTATGAAAAAACCGCCTCGATCCTCATTTACCTACTGTTTTATGCAATTTTGTGATATTCATGGGGAGTATCGTTTGAAATTCGGGAGTTTGCAATTTCATTTGAGAATATTTCTCTGTTCAAATATTCATCAATTCTGTGCCTTTTCGCGCCCTGCTAATTTTTCTCACGCTTGAACCAAAAACTTTTTAGACGGGATGAACAAGAATCGAGAAAGGAGAAAAACGATACTACTGTAACTGTAAATATAAAGAATGAACAACAAGAATGGAGATACCCCTGGGTACATCACCGCCAGAGTACAATATTTAGATGACACCGACCCGTTTTCAAGGTAATAATCGGCCGTAGAATCGCAATTTTCAACTTTATTCGCTTTAGCACCAACTTCCCCGAACCCACACGACCCCCTTCCTACACCTTCTCTGTACATATTCCCATTGCTGAATGCCTCGCCGGAGTCCATCGTCTTCTGATGGCACCACACAGGTTGCACGATTGCACACTTCAACTCAGCCACACGAAGAACTATCTAGGAACGGATTCAAAAAGAAGGATTTGATTTATTTCTTCGGAAGCTGATCTGACTTTTTATTTTGAAAATTGATGAGTCTGAAATCCTCTTGGCAACTTTTGAAAAGTCTTCTTGTCGAGAAAATGTTTTTATACGACCCTTTTAAAAGGTCAAGAACACTCTAATTTACGGTTCTGTTGGTTGTTGTTATCCTGATTTTTACCATTAATAATCAGGGGGATTCGCCACTGTTTGTATTGCTCATACAGTACATTTTATATCTTGTGATCTGAAAAGCTTGGGATCGAATCGCTTCTCATTCAAGTGGCTTCTCTATTCAGCCAGGTGAAACATGAGTTCTCAGTCGAGTGACAAAAACTTACGTCTTAATCCGTCTGAGAATACATTGAAAGAGAGCTTCATCTGAAGTCTAGGCTGGGAGTAGAACAAACGAAAGTCTTGTCTTCCTTGATTACAATCATTTTTCAGGTTCAAAATTGAGTCTGATTCTTGAGTCAGCGCCAATGATTCGAAATGACAGTCGATGTGTCTGATACGCACCGGCGTGAAATAATTGAACAATTAGAATTTCGAGTTTGCCCCTTGATCGAGCAACAAAAAGAGCTTTATCTTATTTTTTCTCTTCTTCCTTTCAATGGCCAATTTGTACTATCTAGGTTTGTGATAACGCTCCGATTCCCCAGTAAAGAGATTTTCCGCTAAAATATTCATCTTTGCCTAATTGCCAATCGCGGGGGCAATTTCGCATGACATTCAGTATAAAACGCTAAAAGAGAGCCAGAGAGAATGGAAATTTTAGACTTTTATGAATCTGTCTATGAAGATTTGGAGTCTTCAATCGACGAGCAACAGGAAGAATTTGCAACTTTTGGACAGGATAGAAGACATTCCGTTATTCTTCGCACGAAGCTTTCTGTCAGGTTCGTTTTTATCAACGAAGGGTGGCCCCTTGATTTTCCATTTAGAGTTCACGCCTGTATTGAAAAACTTTACAATACACGCGGCCGAGAACTTCGCCGCGCGCTCTTTTCCCTGAAACAAATTTTCCAGGACGATGAAGAGCTCGTACACGAGTTTGTGGCTCGAGATGGTCTCACTTGCCTGGTCAAAGTCGGCGGCGAAGCCGACCAAAATTATCAAAATTACATTTTGCGTGCGCTGGGCCAGATAATGATTTATGTCGATGGAATGAATCGTGTTGCCGAGCATATTGATACTTTGAAGTGGCTTTATTCGTTGTTGGCTAGTAGGGTAAGAACAAAATAATAATTTTGTAAGACGCAAGGTAGCAAGCTAACGCGCTTTTTTTCCCACTATGAGGCTGGTCCTTTTTCTCTAATATCTTCTATCCTATATCTATCCTAAAAACGGGTGTTTCTCTGATTTAGGTGTATTCTACAGTGTAGAATTTCTACACACTACATGTGTGCGGATTGAGGAAAGTGGTGTAAAGATGGCGCGGTTACAAGATCCTAATCAGATCCCAACAGACTTTCCCGAGACTTTTTCGAGACCTCACAAATTTGTGTTATTTTTTATTTTTAAAAGAGCAGGTGCCGAACAGTATGATCATAGAAGATCAGGGCTTAGTGTTGAACAATTGTTCGTTTAAAAAAGTTCAATTTCGAAGCCAAGAAAATCACCTGGTAATTGCCTTTTGTCGGAAGTTTTTTGGACTCCGTGCCAAGCTCACGAGCGTCCGGGGAAATCCGGCTTTGCGCGGCTGGGAACATTTTTTCTTGACTGAACCCTCTTTTTAGTTTCGCCTCGTCGTAAAGACGACCCTAAAACTGCTTGTCGTTTTTGTCGAATTTTCGGACGCTAATTGTGCCAAGCTGCTCGAAGCGATACAGGCGATTGACGAAGCTCAAGGTAATTTGATTGTGTGCTCAGCTTGCATATGGTGAATTCTATCGCCAACAATTTTTTTCTCCAGGCAAATAAGAGCATGACAGGATTTTCAAATACTGTAAATACAGAGTTAGCGGGTTTGTTCGAATACAACTTACTGAATTCTAGTCAATCTGTCAATATGATTCTTAGCAAATAAATTCGATATAGGAACTGATAGTTCTTTGAAAAATTATCATCTTTGTCCACCAAGTCGACCGTTTTTCCTTACTAAGAAAATTGAATTCGCGGTCATGTTTATGATAAATAACGATAGCCATTGTCCGGTTCAAAGGGAATACTTTGAAATCGAAAATACCCTCGGAGGAGGAAGCGGTGAACGGCCGCTTTCATGGTGGCTTTACCAGCCGATCGCCTCGGAACAATAACTCAGCCCCGACGGCAGACGCCAAGAGCATGTTTGATTAATGAAATTTCCATGTTTTCGTATTTTCAACATTCAGAATGTTTCACTCTGCTTTATTGCATAAGATATTCATAATCCTCGTTGCCTTCAATTAAAATCAATCTTTTAGGGCATAAATTATTTTTCAACGTGATGAAAGTACTCGACGAGCAAGACGGCATCGACTCTGAACTTTTGGTCTTTGCGATGACTTTGATCAACAAGACAATGTATGGCATTCCGGATCAGGACACATTTTACGATGTTGCCGATGCGCTGGAAATGCAAAACATCGACAAAATCCAGGAGCGATACAGAAGCAAAAAAGGTTTAGACAAGAAAGGCGGGCGTATGTAATAGGTTCGATTTGTAGCTGGTTCGAAGTGTACCTGGTTCGAAGTGTACCTGGTTCGAAGTGTACCTGGTTCGAAGTGTACCTGGTTCGAAGTGTATCTGGTTCGAAGTGTACCTGGTTCGAAAATACCTGGTTCGAAGTGTACTCCACTCGAAGTAGCTTCGAACTGAGTACACTTCGAACCAAGTACACTTCGAACCAAATACACTATTTTCTAAAATGGCCTCGGACGCAATTTAAACAAATTTTCCAACTTTTTCGAACAGATTTCCAACAAATTTTCCAACTTTTTTCGAACAGATTTCCAACAAATTTTTCAACTTCCTCGAACTCATTTCCAACAAGAATTCCAACGACAGGGTTCACGCGAAGCGTGCCAATTCCAGCGACAGGGTTCACGCGAAGCGTGCCGATTCCAGCGACAGGGTTCACGCGAAGCGTGCCAATTCCAGCGACAGGGTTCACGCGAAGCGTGCCATTTCTAGCGACAGGGTTCACGCGAAGCGTGCCAATTCCTCCACTTACAACAGGGTTCACGCGAAGCGTGCCACTTCCTCCAGCCGGCCTGCTCAACTTCCTGCTCCGCCTTCCCTAATTCTAATACCCTCTATTTGTGCGTCTTAATATATACGCGCGCGGAGCGCGCCCCTCCCGAACTTTTTCAACAGGTGTATTTTTGGGGAGGGGGTGGGAGGTTGTGGGCGTTTCCTCAAGGGCTACATTCTCGTGAGACCTGCGGCTTTTTTTGCCCCAATTTTTTATATGTTTGTTATTCGAAGTATAAAAAAGAGGTGTATTTTTGGGGAGGGTGGGAGGTTGTGGGCGTTTCCTCAAGGGCTACATTCTGGTGAGACCTATAGCTTTTTTTTGTAATCGTTTTATATTGTACTCAGCTCGAATATTCTATCTCAAATTACTTTGGCAGAAGTTAGTTGTGATAAAATAATCGAGCAAAATTTTTTGTGGAAGATGCGATTATTAGCGATAGAGTACTCTTATTCTTGTATTTTTATGTCGACCTTGCTTTGGCAGAAGCGTTGTCGAAAAAATTTTTACTCCTTCGCTAATAAATGCGTTCTTTCGTTTTATACTAAGGTCAAAAATGGGTGCTCGATTCGATTTAGTTCATAAGTGACGGATATTCTCTAATTTTTGCCTAATTTCGCTTTGGCAGAAGCGTTGAAAGGCATTCTCTAATTTTCCTTCACTTATGCTCTAGATCTATTGGGCGAAGCTAGTAAAATTGGATTTTTCTCGCTCCTGGTGCACCGGCGCTTGTGCGCTCTCATTGGTCCACGTCGGGTGAGTCATTTTATCATTTACGACTATTTATATATTGTGAATTCTTTCATTTTTCTAGAGTATTTTTGTTATTTATTTCTTTCATTCTTTCTTCTGTGCTGTAAAGACAACTTTATTGTATTTGTGGCCCTTAAAAGGGCCTGTTTTGAAGACTTTGGTAGGATTTTATCCCCCAAATCCGTAGAGTTGACGGCCTTGTCTCTTGAGTGCATAGACAACGTCAAGGGCTACGATTGTCTTTCTGTTGGCGTGTGTGGTGTAGGTGATGGCGTCACTGACGAGGTCCATAAGGTCGGACCTTATAATTTCCCTGGCCAGGTCGTTTACCTCGGCCGACATGCGCGTAATCCCGCCTCGTCGGGCAAGCCTACGGATGTCGGCTTTGGTGATGCCAAGAATGTTATCCTTCAGCACCTTTCTGTGGCGCTTGAAGCCGCTCTTGACGACATTATTGCCACTTGTTTCTGCGCTGGACATCTTATTCACAAATTTTTACGTTTGCTACTGGTGCTTTGTCTCATTTTTCCAGCCTATATATTCCTATGTATGTGATGTGAGGGAGACAACCTTTTGCGTTAAAAAACAACAATATTCTAGAAAGTTTCTTTCTTTAAGTATATTTTACCCTTTTTTGCTTGTTTAATAGAACTACAAACAGTTCTTTTCTAGAAAATTTTTCTTTTTTTTTAGTTTGACTGTTTTAGGGATCGATGTGCGCTTGCTGTTTTCTTTGCAATGAAGAGCTTAATTGACCTTGGTTTTATCTCTATATCTGTAACTGATTCCTCAAAGGAAAGGGCTGGTTTTTTTATTCTGTTATTTGCAACTTTAATTCCAGCTTTTCAAAGCAATCAACTTCCTCTGCTTCTGTCGATGGCGTTCCTGATAAAGAGAATACTTCGCCCCCTGCTCTATTTTCTTCTGATCTTCGTTCACTTGGATTCATTTTTCCGGTGTCTACTACTCAAGACAATGATTCGCGTCGACCTAACCTTGCTGATTCCAACTTCATTGTCCACAAAGAAGTTAGTTACGATGATATTCCTGTGGGTAACTCTATCATCCCGAATAACGCCCCTGGAATGAGTTTCGATGTTGTGTTGCCTCCTATTTCTCTCATCGACATGAATGCTGTTTTCAAGGAAAATTTCTATGAAGATGCCTTTCGCGACCACATCGAAGGCGTTCCCAATTGTCTATTTGGTGAGGTCTTTCTTCTTTCGGGAAGTGGTCGTAAATTGGACGAAGGCGCGCTACGCTGTTTAATCATTTCTTTTGGTGGAACTGTTACCACTGCCTTCTCTCAAAATGTAAACTATGTCGTCGCTGGTGACGCGTTTGGTATCTTCAATGAAAAACGGGCTGAAGCGTATGGAATCGCTGTCATCGACGAAGATATTGTTTTCACCCTTATTAGATCTTCACCCCTAGGATCGAATATGTCCCCGGAATCTGGATCGAGGTTCGTCGGACAATACTCTGAATCGACCTCATAAAAGAGCCGAAAAAAAATTGATTAGATTTGGTTTACTTAAATTCGCGCTTCTAATTGTGAGGTTGACGGAATTCTACAAAAAAATAAAAAAATGTCGGGTTTCGATCGGACGTCTGGCGGGCATAATCGATCCTAGTTCATTCGATATACCTCATGAGTCAATTCCTGTTCGTGCTTCTTTGTCTCGAAGATCCTGTGAAATTGGCTCAGTTATAAGCACTTCTCCGCAAATTTCGCCCAATCGTGATAACGATGGAAAACGGAACGAACAAAAGATCAATGCTGACATCTCCAAAACTGATTCGAACGCGGGTTCAAATAACAAGTTGGCGTCTGCTCATATCTCCTCGTCTGCCAGATCAGTTGATTCTGGTTCAGAAGAACCTCCTTATTTAATTGGTACGAGAATTGTCTTTAATCTGATAATCATCATATTTAGGCAACCTAGAAGATGATACTGTGGTAATCAACCAACCTTATCGGCCCGCTAGTCCTACTCTTGGTTCATCATCTAATTCTGCATATGTCAACGAAGGCACTCGTTCTCCAATTAATTCAGTGTCAGTCGATAAAGCTGAAGCTTCGGATGTGTCTGTTCTTGGTAACTGCACTGCTACCCATTCGAGAAATTTTGTCAGTCTAGAAGATGATACTATCGTCCTCAAACAATCGCTTCGTCTTGCAAGTCCTACACCTGGTGCAACCTCCGATTCAGCTTCTGTCAAGGAGGACCCTCGTTTTCAAAACGCTACTGCTTCTATCGAAAAAGCTGAAGGTTCGGATGTGTATGGTCCAAAAAACTACCATTCTACTGATTCGAGAAATCTCGTTTGTCTAGACGAAGATACTGTCGTTTTCGAGCAATCGCCACGGCCTACAAGTCCTACTCTCAACGATGACCTCCGTTCTCCAGTTTCGTTAGAGTCTAACGAAAAAGCTGAAGGTTCAGAAGCGCCAGGTCTGGAAAATTGCGCTGCTATTGATTCGACTACAACTCATGCTTCCCCCGCTCTTGCCGACATTTCTAATGTTTCCGCGGCTGCCCCCTGCACGAGTTCACTCCCGGAAAATAAAATGTTGAATCATCCATGGCATAGTATTGGTCTTGCAAGGAATCCTGGCTCTCGGATTATTCCTCAGGGCAAACGAAAATGTCTAGCTGGATTCACTTTTGTTCTGACTGGAGACGGCGATAGCATGAATCGACCTCAACTCACTTCATTGATAACTTCCCATGGCGGCACCGTTTCTTCTTTCTTATCTCTAAGTACTCATTATTTGGTTGCTGGGCTCAATCCTGGAAAATGTAAATTGGAGAAGGCTAAGCGTTTAAAAGTCAGTATTATTGACGAGGCTGCTCTTTTTCACCTTATACGATCCTCCCCGTCTTTTTCCGAACGATTTGATGCCGACAATTCTTTCCATTCAAACTCTAGCATGCAATTGGAAGCTCCGCCTAAATCCTGCGATCCGGACCATCACGCTGTTCTTTACGTCGACAAATATAAACCAACTCGTATAAAAGATATAATTGGGCAAAATCATTCGTCTTCGAACGCTGCTAAATTGCTCGCCTGGCTCAAAAACTGGAAGTCAAGCCTCGAGGAAGGAACAAAGAACCGCGGAAAATCGAAATTTCAACCTGTTGTTTCTGGCAATCATTTACGCGGTGCTCTTCTACTTGGTCCTCCTGGTATTGGTAAGACTTCCACTGCACACGTTGTTGCGGCTGAAGCTGGTTTTCACGTTATCGAATTTAATGCTAGGTAAGACGGACAAAATTTTCTGCATATGCGCGGCTCTTTTATTCTCGGCTGTTTTCTGACGCGTTTTTTAGCGATGACCGCGGAAAAAAATCAATTCGTGATGTCGTCTGCGAAGCTCTCAGTTTGGTACTATAATGTCGATTCAAATTTTTTCTGTAGTTTTTTTTCTGTAGTACCTCTTTATAGTAATGTTAATATCAGCTCGATGAACGATCAGTATATATTGATCATGGATGAAGTAGACGGCATTTGCGGATGTGAAGACCGTGGTGGCCTTGCTGAGTTTACTAGTCTTGTAAAACTCACCGATATTCCCATAATTGCTATTGCGAATAATTGCTCCGCTCCTAAATTCAAAAGTCTTCGGAGTTATATGTACGAACTACACTTCCCAGCATTAAATTCGACACAGATTTTTGGTTCGTACTCATTTATTTTCGAATTCGAATTATTTTTAGGTCGTTTAAGGAAAATTACTTATGTGGAGAAGTTGTCAATACCCGATGAATGCCTTCGCGCAATAATACTTCGTTGCCAGTTTGATGTTCGTCAATGTATCAATACAATAAATATGCTTGCCTGGGACAATAAAGGTTTTTTTTTATCGCAATTTAAAAAAAAAAAATAAATTACTTATATTTGGCCTTGTAGATTCGCAACCTGTTTCTGAATCGATGTTCCATGCAAGTTTGAAAGACAAGAAACCCCATTTATTTGAAGCTTCGACGCGTTATTTGGAAGGGAACATTTTCAATGCGACGGATTCTCTCGACGACAAGCTCGCTGAAATGGACAGATTATATGATTGTTATCCTGATCTCATGTTGAACATGGTGTTTGAAAACTACGGAAGGGTCGTTCCCGAACAGCGTTTCTCCAATCAGGTTATAAAAGGTTTTCTCTATTTATTACTTGTTCATAGGAAAAATTATCTCTCGCCGCAAACTCCCTTTCTTCATGCGACATAATGGAAACATTGATGACGAAACGCCATCGCTACGATTTACGCGATACCCTATCCACACTCTCTCGTCTTCCCGGATGCTATATCGATGGTTCTATCGATCGTTCGCTTATGAAATTTCCTTCTGCCTTGAAAAATAGTTCTTCCTATATGAAAAACGGGAGGACTGCGAGTAAGTTTTTTTTTTTTGTTTCTTTGCACGTACTTATTTATTTAGCATTACTTTCGTCCCACGCTCGGTCAAGTTGGTATTATTCTCGCTCTGATATCGCCTGTTATTTTGGACCGAGCTTCAAAGATCTCTACTGTCAGTTTTTGTTAAATGCGTCTACAAAGCTTTTAACGGTCGATGAAGCAGTGAAAAATATTGCTCAATTGATGAATGGACACAGGTTATTCTGTCTTTTTGTTTATAATACTCCTTTTATCAGTTTGGCGAAGAGTGACATCGATAATGTCATCGAACTTACCCGTTGGCCGAATAAAAAGCATCCTCTCTGTGATCTACCAAGGGCAATCAAGACCGCCGCAACCAAAAAACTGAATTCATCACTTGTTCTTACTCCCTTTTCCCTCGCACAAGCAGATGATTCGAAGGAGGTTGATTTGAGCGATTCCAGTGACCATTGTGGGCCCTCTAAAGACGGGTAATTTTTTTTTCTCTTGAAGTTCATTTCTTTAAACATGTTTTTGTTTAAGTAAATCTACCGTTTCTTCGTTCACCAATACCCAATCTAACCCCCAGAAAAAGAAGACCTGTTAAATACTTTTCTGTTATTCTCAAGTTTTCAAGACGTCTGCTTGTAGTTTCACAAAGCAACGAAGATGATTTGCTCTGTTGAAAAGAATCTGCTATGAATTTACTCTTCTTCTTATATCGGTTTTTTTCTGTCATGAATATATTTGCACGCGGAGCGTGCCATCTACAAATTTATCTATTAGATAATTTAAAATTAATTTTTAAGACTCGGTTGCTATGTCATGTTCGCATAATCAACAACCTGACTTTTCTCGAGAGGACTTACTCAACGCGCTTCCACCATTTGGGCGTCTCCAACTATTAATTGGACGAGTGAATCGTCTCATCGCTCGGGTTAATTATCATTTGTAAGTTAACTATAAACGGGCTATACTCATAATCTTCAAGGGGCGGGAGCAATGAGGTCGAGAAGAAGATAAGCAGCGAGTTGGCGAAACAACTCGTGAATAACGAGAATTCTCTCAAGGACGTTTTCCGTCAAATGTTGAAAAGAGCTGGGGTAATCTTGTTTTTTTTTTTGGTTGTTCAATAGTTTTATGAATTATAGGTCATAATCAGAGCAATGGATAGAGATGAATGTTTCCAGGCGATGAAGCTCGTCATGAACAAGGTTAAGGCAATTAACCTTCTACACGGAAAGTTTGAGGTGTTAAGCAATAATCTCGTTCAATTCAATTCAATTACGAAGCGGTCAAGGTAGGAAAATAATATTTTCAATCGATCAATATACAAACAAAGAAGAAGCAGTTACTGATTCTACCTAGACTGCCCCTGAATTTATGCTTCAATCATTATTTTCGATTTGACTGACGTCTGTTATTGTTTTGCACAGCTTACTTTAGAATGCATCAGACTGAAGATAAGAAAGACAATAAGTACATTACTTTTTTTTATTTAGAATGTTTACTCATGAGTCGTCTGGTTACCAAATAAATGCATGATACCATACAAGTAAGATTTATGTGAATATTTAAATAGAGCCGTAATGAGCTCTGTCAAATTTTGCGCTTCTTGGACAGGATGAGAAAAGCAAATTTGTTGTGTGAGTTTCGTAAGTCATTCGATCTGCTAGCAATTTCACAACAAAACTTCTCTAGAAAATCTGGTGTTTCTCACTTAAGCCGAGAAGCGCAAAACATTTTCGTTATGTTTCTTATGCTCTAGTTAGAATTTGTTTTGATTTTTATTTGCCAATAAGGGTTTTAATTTATTTTAATATTTATTCTTTATGAGCCTGAGAAGCATGCGTGGAAATTCTATGCGTTTCCCGGAGGGAAAATCATTTCTTTTATTTTAAAGATTGTGTAAATTTCTATTACTTTGCAAGTAATCTATTTTGCGTAAAAACTCTTAAGGAATCGATTGATGCTTGCGGAGGATTGATGGGGACAAGGTTGCCTCAAATCATGTCTGCCCTGCCATTGTAATCTCCAAAGTCGGCGCTTCCCGCTCAACAATGACACATTCTTATTTTTGTGCTGTGTCTAACGATGCTTTTTTAGCGGCAAATAAAATTCTCTGTCTAATCTTATCGACGCTGAGCACTATTGCAATACTTGCGCAGCTTATGTTGAAAAGAGCTCATTGTCGTCTGTTTTTTTTTTCCTTTTTTTTTTGCATAACTAGTAAAAAAAAAGTTATATAATTGCGGATGCATAAGGATTATTTTGATACGAATTTATTTCGCTTGTAGAAGAAATCAATTTTTCATAAAGAGAAACTAAAATCCGTATTCATAAAAGAACATCAAGAATTTTCTAGAGAAACTGGTGTTTCTCACTTAAGCCGAGAAGCGCAAAACATGAATTGGTTTGTTTCTCAGGTTCTAGAAAAAATTTGTTTTTTTAGTTGATACGCCCAAAGGGGGTTGAGTTTCTGTAAACAAATATTTTTCTAGAGTCTGAGAAACACACTGAGAATTGTTTTGCGCTTCTCAGTTAGGTGAGAAACACTTCACTTTCTAGAGAATTGGTTGATTTAAACTATCAGCATTCAATTAAATATTTTCGGATGAAAATAAATCGGTTTATTTGCTGCATTCTCTGTCTTTATTCTATATACGCACGCGGAGCGTGCCTTTATTTCATTTATTCGAGTTGTTCCGATTCCCACTCTGTTACTAACTCTGAAAATTTCAAAGTTTTGATTTTCTGCTGCGTCTTTTTAAGAATTCTCTGCCCTGCTTTTTATCGCTTCGAATGCTGAATTTAAATCTTATCGCTTTAAGATTTTTTCAGTGGTGGAATTTTTTTTTCTATATTTGCAGTTGATAATTATTTTAATTGAACATCGTGAATGCCTTTTGTTAGGGCAATACTGGCTTCGAAATATTCTGTTGGCGATTTGTAATCTACGAATTCTTCGTTGCCAAGTCCAGCATGGATGCGTCGAAAAACAAATTTGCACATGGTCTTGCTAGTTGTTGTTAGTTGCATATTACAGATGTCTTCGATGTCTCCGGCTTCCATTTTCCATTTTTGCAAGTTACGGCGTAGGTATCGTTTTTCCTTTTAAGGATTTTTTTGTTCTTGTGTATTCCTTTGTTAGCCTCTGGAATCGACTTATTCCAATTAAATCCGTTCCTTGAATGGACAATGGTGATAGGATCTGTACTGCACTTCGCTGGCAATTTTTTCTTCGCATGTGTAATTTCCTTATAAGTTTTTAAGGCTTTTCTTTCTTTTTTATTATCTGTTACTTATTGGCATATTGAGCCTTTTTCTTCCATAGGCATGCTCGATATAATATTTGATTCTTCCTTCGCTCTCTACGTTCTTTGTCATCTTCTCCAATGAATATCTTTTCGCTTGCTCAAGCGGTAGGCCACTGTTGTAGAAGAAACTCCAGAGGTTCAGTCGTCCCTATTCGCCTTTCGATTTGAAACAACATTTTTTTACCTTGTGCTTTAATTTTTTATCCTTTTCTAGGCCGTATATCAGATTTTTTATGCACGGCGGAAGTGATCGTTTCCCGAATTCACCGAGGTGTTCAATTGTCAGCTGATTTGAAGTTCGCCCTATATTTCTCCGGGTGTTTGTCATTGTGCATTGATCAAGCAAAGGCACTAAAGAAGTAAATTTTTAGGATAAACTAAAGATATGCTCTCAACAATCCGAAAGATTGAATTTGAATATGTTTATTACCTAGACGATTCGTTTCGTTATTGAGCATTTGATCGTACGTTTTTGAAAGTTTTTCGATCCATCTTTTCATTTCCCTTTTAAAGAAACTCTCCAATACTCTTTCCATCCATTCTTCCGGGACATATGCCACTCTTATTTTAATTGAAAAAAAAATCAATCTTCTTTATATTATTCGATTATTCGCTTTCAATTTTATATATTTACAATCATAATATAAGTATAGCCATTTTTTTCCTTTTCCATCGTCGATATGACAACATCTTTCCTCGACCAGTAAATTTGCGGATTCCCAGTTCATCGTATACCAGCGCCTGTTTTTTCTACGCGTTTTGTCGCAGCATCTGCATAAGGTTTCCTGTTTTTCTTCTGGTATCGTGCCTTCGATAAACTCTCCCATGTCTTGTGTTTCTTTCTGAGTGTTATGTTATTGGCTTTCTATTCTTTTTAAGGGGCCTTACCTCGAGAAATTTCTTTTTTCCTTCCTCCGTTAGTAAGTTATATCGATACATGAACAATCTTGTTTCATTCGTGATTGTCCATTCGATCAAATGACGTTTCTTGCACATTCCAAGTTTAAAAAACCAGTGCGAAATGGTGTCGTTCTCTCTATCGCTCTTTGATGGTATTTTGTTGTCGAGTCCGATGATGGAAACTTTTTTGTCTTGCAGGAAAATTTTATGGAGTCGTCGCTTTCTTTCGTATTTTGTTTTACACTCATCATGCGCCGCTAAAAATATTTCTTTACTTCCTGAATGATCTATGGCTTACCTTCCATAACCTCTAATGCGGTTCGTCTTTCTTCGAGCATGATTTCAAGTTGCTTAATGGGGTCAGTAAATGTTGTCATTTCCGTGATTATATTGACGAGTAGAAAATATAATTTTGCGCCTCGGTTATCCGATAATTATTTCAAAGTGCATTTTGCTGATTATTCACCCGACTTTATTTCAACGTCATGCTGGTAAGGAGGAACGCGGCGATAAATTTGCAGTGGAAACTCGCAAATGTTGTCATCTATGATTTCTTGTCTTGCTGGGATGACTCTTATCCCCACGTGCGCTCGCCTCAATTGTCTTTCCATTCTTTTTTTTTATCTTGTTATGGATTTATAGCTCATAATTTTGAGAGATGCCAAAGAACTTTTTAATGGAGCAGAGACAGAACATGGAAATAAGTTCTGCAGAGGATTATAATTTGATGAAATATCTGTGCAAAGGTAGTAATTACAGGCGAGATCATTTTGAAGGCGTCCAAATTATGACTTATGCGTGTCTAATTTTCGTTCTTCTCTGTGGAAATTTTTTTATTCGTTTTTTCATGGACGAGCTTGCCCGTCTGTCGGCAAATACGAATTTCTTCAGTGCAATGAAGAAAACCGTGAACAGCTGGTACTGTACCCGGAATCTCGTAAGTTTTCGTCGTTGTTATTATGAGACGTGGCTCCTGCATCATGGAGTGCTGCCTCGGGACAAAATTATGCAATTCAACGCCGCTATTGTCATTAAGCCCGGTCAATCGAATGCGTTCATCTGCAATTCCGCTGCTTGTTGAAGATGCCTTAAGGGTTGATTTAGTTGGCTTTATTGGCGTCATTAACCTGTAAGCCTTTCAGGATGCCCGTTGGGGTATTGCCGGAAGAAAATAATCCCTCACGGGCTCCCAGTTTTGGTTCCGCCCGATCCTGGATCCATTCCCCAACTCGTTCATCGAATTCTCCGCTGTTGGTAGAAGTGGTCTAAGAAAACTTGTTTATTGGCTTTTCTGGGGTAAAAACCTGGAAGCGCTCAACGATGCCCGAAGTATTCTCTTCGTCAATTGGATATCCTTCACGAGTTTCAAGCTTTTGATTCGCATAGTGTTGGATCCACTCTCCAAGCGGGCGATTTAGTTGACTATTTTCCGTTTTTTTAAATGGGTCAAACTTAAATTTTTACTGTCACATATATTCATTGGTAAGCATCTCACCGGTTCTTGCCCTGAAGATTTCACATTTGTATGTTCAGGTGAATCTCTCTGCCTCTCTTGGGTAAATTCACGTCTTGTATTTTGCTCTTGCTTCTGGAGAACACGGTGCTGCTTGAAATTGCCGCTGATGTTGAGGGAAAGCGCCTTTATTATATTAATGATGAGAAATTGGATGAACTCTATTTACCTGCAAGTTTTCAATATAAGTGGGAGTAATTTTGCTGGAAATTGGGAACTGTTCGTCTGGTTTATACTTGCGCTTCTGCTCATGCTTGACCCATTTTTGATGCGGATGATACTGCAATTGAGCATTTTCCATATCTTCAAGTGGATCGGTCTAAATATATATTTGGTATGGTATTTTGTATGTTTCTTACCAAGTTTTCGCGCTCAGGGTTGACTCTTGTATTTCCGGGCGTATTTTGCGGTCTATTTTCGATTTCTTCCTGCCTTTTCTGCCGCTCAGTTTCAAGGTGATCGCGACTTCGCTTGGTGAGCATTGTTTTCTCCACATTTTCTTCGAAACCTGGGTCAGAAGAATGTGCGATTATGCTTTCATTGTCTCGTGGCGGCGTGTGCTCCGTTAATTTGCTGAGGTCCTTCGGGTAAAAGGCACCTTTTTTCATTATCTAAATAAGCTGGGTCTAGTCAATTTTTTGGTGCGCGATTCAAGCTGTCAGTGTGTTCAATATAGAAATAAATTGCAAGGAAGTCGAACGAATCGTCTGTGTCAGGTCATTTTCTGTCTTTGCTTATTTTCGCACGCGGAGCGTGCCATCGTGCACCAAGTTCTGCTTTATGAACGTTTAATAGAAAAGTAAACGACAGCTTTCAATCTGAAATTGGTAAACTTTAGGATTTTCCTTTTTTTTCACGGGTATTTCGATGTCGCACTATGCAAATCAGTTTATTTTTTTGCAATTAAAGAATAACCCGATTGCAGTTACTTCTTTTGGCGCTCTTGGATGTTCTCATTGATCATCAGTGTCCCGTTTCATCGATTCCGCTGGCAAAGAAATAAAATGTTATTTATTCGTTAATCATTTTTACCTTCTTCGGGGGGCATCTGTCCTTTCTTCTTAAGGGAGTCGATCGCGGCGGTCACCTCGTCGATCATTGCGCTGATCTTCTCCCATGCCACTATGAGCTCGTGGACGGGGTGGCCTTCATCGTAGACGAGAATTTCCACCACCCTTCATTTGTTTAGTACTTTTTTTGTTTATTTATTTTTTACTCTTTTGGTTGCTTGTGGATACTTGCTGTGTACGCGTACAGCAATTCTCCGTTGTTGAACACTTGCTTCGATTGCATCCGTTGCTGATATTTTAACCGCGCTTAATTTACATTATTACATTTACGGTTGCTATTTATTACTGAGCAATTCGCCGTTCTTCTTTTTTTCTTCATCGGATTGAAGATTGCCTTCGTCAAGAAGCGATTGGAATTTTTCTATTGCCTCGGCCAATATCTTTTCTTCTTTGGCGATCTCACCTCCGTAGTAAGCTTGCTTCGCTTTTTCTACACGCTCCATCGACAAGTTTCGAATCTACAATTTTAACTGCCTTTATTTAATGATTTTGCTTTATTGGTGCTTTTACAGTCGACATGATATAGAAATTCGAGTTCGCAAGAGAATTTGAGCAGCGCACCATTTTTGGTCAGTTTTACATTTTTGTTGAATAATTCTTTTCTTTTTCTGTCAGGAGGGTGATAAGCAATGGAAACTGAAAATTTTGTTATTGACATCGGCATTAATTGAGAAGTCTTTGTTATTTCTAATGGATTATCTTTGGAGCAGATCAACTAATAATCGCGTCTCAAGCGCGAGACATAGCCAGATTCTCGCATGTCTTCATCGTTTGGCTGTGGATCTATCGGAGCAAATTGGGCTAAGAATATTGTAAGTAATTTTTATTAGCAATGGGACCAAATGAGTTACTTTACTGAATTCATACCTGGGACAGGGAGTCCTTGCTCGATTCGCTGGCGCATGATAACCGAGATCGAGTCGAAGTCGCTTGTGCTCGCCCATCTTGACGAGATTGTGCTTCGGTTGTTTGTTCGGCGGAAACAATTACCCATCTGAAATTGAAACTTTGTTATCTTTAGAATTATTAATTCGTCCGAACAAATTCAGTCGGCGATGAAAATATATTCACAGTTTTTTTGATTCATATCCTTTTACGAATCTTCGGCAATTTGCCTCGTTTTCGCAATATTCACCATCAGGACCCGGGCCGTATAGATCATGACCGTCTATGATTTTTTATTTTATTTTGAGAACCCTCCTTTATTTACCATTTGCGAGAAATTCAATCATTTCTTCTGTTGATAGGGTCTCCCACCAAACATCATCCCCCTTCCACCATTCTGGAGTGGTGAGGCTTATATACATTTATTGCAGCATGTATGATTATGACAGAGAAAATTGAAATCACTGTTAAAACTGAGTTCATTACAAATAGAAAATTGAGTAAAACAGTTGTCACTAGAATTCAGTTTCTGGGCTAAGCCGCTTTCTAAGCTGTCTCGAAAAGTACACTTATTGAAAAAAAAAAATGGGATCGACTAAAAGTCGCAGATAATAATTCTTACGAAGCAGGATGTTTGCTGTTTTCTTTTTTAGATTGTTTTATTTTTGAGGGCTTCTCCAAATTTTCTACGTTCTGCTCACGAGTGGCTTTTCTTTTCTTTGACGATACTTCTAGTATTTATATAAATCTGTTCTTTGTCGTACTTAAAATTCATCATCTTACCTTCTTTCTTGATTGTGTTCGAAGGGGATGCTTGCTTGTTATCGTCGCTGGCGATTGAGGGATTAACAAGCTTAGCGTTAGAATCGTTTTCGTAAATTCGCAACTTGTCGTAAAACTCTTCGAATGGCATATTACCATCCGGAGGCGCAATTGAAGGCATCAACACAAGAAGCTTAATTCAATTCTGCTGTGAGCTCCTATGGCACTTTCTTACATTGAACTTTTCTGTCGTGAAATTGACAACTGCTGCCTCGCCCATTTCGTACATGCGGAACGTCACAAATTTTATTATGTCCATGTCTTTGGCCATCATTCGTAAAGCACTTAAAAAGATATTAAGGATACTCTCATTGTATAATAACTGTATATTGGAGTGATGAGTATCTTACCTTGCATTGAACAAGCTGGATATTGGTTTTGCATTCTCGACCCTGATTCCGACAAGTTTATTATCCTTGATTGGAAAAGTGATTTCGATCGTTTTTTCCATATTCTTTGAGAAGAAGCGAACGTCTCGTGGTCCTCTTACTTCGATTTTCATCACGTCCCCGGCTTAATTTTCTGTCAGTCATATTAATGCACGCGGAGCGTGCCATAAATTAATTCTATTTCGTATTATTTTTTTTTTTTTTGGGCTAAACACTGAGTTATTGTTCACCTTGTGCCAAATCGAGAATTTGCAAAAATTGCTTTCGTGCTACAAGCACTTTGCAATCCTCCTCTCTTTCAACAACGTTCACGTTCCACTTTTCGAGTTTCAAAGTTGTTCTCAGCGTCAGCTTGTAATGAATATCATCTCCGAACACGGTGAAAGTTAGTTCAGTGTCGAATTCTCCGTGAAGTTGTAGCCACACGTGTGTTTCTTTTTTCTTTGATGCCAATTTCTCCAGCGCATTGATAAGCTCGACGATTTCGTGAACTAGCTATTTTTATCATTTTTTTTTCGATCATTTGCTTACCTTCAATTATCCGCCGCTTGTATACATATTGGTCGATGTTTTGCTCTGGGATTACGAGTTTCTTGTAATGGTACATATTTTCGTCGAAGGATTGGATAACTAGGGCCTTTTCCTCGAAAGAAAATATCATCGAATGATTTGGTTGAGCCATAATCCTGAGGAAGTTTTTAAGCATGATTCCTTGTTTTATTTTCGCCGACATTCTGAAATTTTATTTTTTAGATTTTTTCCAATAATATTCATAAATGGGTCAGTTGCTCGTCAGAATCTATTTTTTTTTTCTGAAGTTTACTATTGACTTCTTTTGAAATGCTTGCTGTCAATCTCTTCTAGTTTCCTAGATAAATTTATTTTTGAATTTCTTTTTTACAATTACTTTTTTATTGCGTGCTCGATATTTTTCTTTGCATCGGCAGTAAGCCCTAATCGTAGTTCTGCTGCTCCGTTGAATGTCTCAGATTGAAGTCGAATCAGCAGTTTTCGTCCGAGTATATATGCTTCTAATTCCATCCTTAATTAACTTACAGTAAAATTCGCTGGTGGTGGACACCTAAAAATCCTTCTGGTTTGGGACAGTCGGGAAAATCAACGATCATAGGCACGCGCCCACGGGGTTGTTTAAAACTTACCGCTTCACTTCGAAAGAGAAAGTGGCCCGCGAGAGCAAAAGCGATAATATTCTTGTTTTGGACACGTGAGTGGACTATGAGTGTCATAGACCAGCGATTTTACCGTACAATGTAAGTGTAAATTATTATTGTTTCTTGTTCTTACATGGTTTGCATGATCTGAAGCATCATATTATAAAGGTATGCATGTTCCTCACTCGTCGTGATTCGATCCAACTGCTTCAGAAATAACTTGTAGCTATTATCTGCCGTGCGTCTTAATTTTATGAGCGCTTCTACTTAATCTTTCGTTACTCTTACTGTCGCTGGTCGGACATCAATTCGCGCAGTTCTTGAGGCAGTTCCATTCTTAAGCATGAGTGTCAGTTAATTGTTTGAAGATGATCTTGTTTCGTTGAATATTGATTAGTATTTGTCAAGAAATGTAGTCAGGTATAGTTTGCTTTCGTCGAAAATTTTTTGTTTTGCTTTTATTTCTGAGAACCTAGGGATATTTTTGATGTCTTCCCATTCTGTGTTCGGTGCGTCTATCGGTAGGGCAACTAAAATTATGTTAGCTTTTTTTTTTGATATGTCTTTACCTTTTGAGTTTTTTCATGTACCGAAAATGGCATTCTGATCAAGTGACTGTTTTGTAGCGTGACTGGCGAATCGAACTCCGGGAGGGCGATTGCAAATTTGATTATTCTTTCACTGTTCTCGTCTCGGATGTCTCCCGATTTCAGACGATTGTAGATAACGCCCCATTTTTCTTCGACTGTCTTTTTTAGTAAAATTTCTTTTTTGATTTCTTCTTTTTCTCCTTCCTGAAGTTTTGTGAATTCCAAAATGTCGTTTATTTTTTCTTCGGTTTGTAGTAATTCTGAATAATTAAATTTTGCTCGTCAAACAAACTGCGTACCCTGTTCACTCAGTATTTGGATCCATTCCTTACTAATGATTTCGTATGCACGGTTCAAGTAGGTATGATAAAGTTTTTTTCCCCTGTAGTTCAGGTTTTTTTTGCTCAAGTAGTTCAAGATCGCACGTCTGTTCTCTTCGCTGTTGAGCAGGAAAACTGGGTCCAACGACCAGGCGTGCAGTCCTCTTCGGCCACTGAACACTATTTATTGTTATTTTTTTCTTTCTCGGATGAAAGTTACCCCAAAAAACCCGTGATAGGCCTATATCTTTCTTGAGCGCAGTCTCTATTATCTTTGCGGCGATTTTTAGAAATCGCCAGCACTTTCGGCATAGACTCTCTGTCTTGCAGCAATGTCGGTATTTGTAGTCGGTGATATCAATATCGAGCCAGAGCTTAAGTCCCTTCTTAAACTGTTGTTGTTTCAAGCTACCTCTTTGCCCTGAAAGACATCCTTTGCCAAATTCCGCCATCTTGTTTTTGACTCATACAGTCCTCCGATATCAACTCGTTTGGTACGGTTTTTTGTCAAGAACTGCATAAAATCTGCCCATTCGAGAATAACATCATTTCTTTGTATTCTTTCTGACAGGTTATCGATCACGATGCTTAATTTGAATAGGTATTTTTTCTGGTCTATTTAGTTGTACCTCAAATCTCGTGATCGCAGCTCGAAGGCATTATTTCTCGTACAGAGTCTGCTTAGAAGTTTCCGTGGAAAATGCCGTCTATAATATTCTCTTAGCGTGGCTTTTGCGGGCCTTGGAATTTCTGGTACTCTGAAGACTGCATCATCGTTGCCTGTGGCTGGTGTAGAGCTTGTTGAAGGCCGTCTATCGATATCTCCTCCCTCTTTATTTATTCTCGTTATTTATGTCTTCTTTTTCAAGAAAAAATTACCTTGCTGACATAACTCGCTGATCAAATTGCGAATCGAATCAACTATTATTCTTCGTTTGATTGCTAGTTCCTCCCTTATCACAGCATTGAGTGGCGGATTACATGAAATTGCATCAATGAAGCATTGTTTCATTCGTTTGCTTTCCTCGCCGATTATTCTCAAATCTGGTTCTTCACCAATATCGACAACAAGGTAAATCTTTTCCATCTTCTCTACTTGTCCAAGCATTTTCTTGAATTGGTCGTAATTTACTAAACTTATTTAAATGCGATTCAAGATTATATTTCACCTAAGAAATCAATGGCTTGTTTTGTCTCCTTGTAGTATTCGTTCAGTTCAGGACCATGTAGTAAAATTGATTGTTGTTTCTCATTGACAGCTTTGCTTCTTACTGCCAAGTATCCATTTCCGAATGTTATTCTAATTGTCTCGCTTCCCTGGAGCTTTTCGTTTACTTTTTCACAAAATCCCCTCGAATCAGGAATAAGTGCTGCCGCCATAAAGAACAGTTTCACTCTTTTAAGTTGTCTATGTGAGCTGCCAGTCATTTTACGAATTTTTATGTCAAATGTACAGATTCTTCGTGAGCAGGGTTCGCATAAAACCAAGCAGCGATTAAATTTTAATTTTTTCTCTTCCTTGATTTTCGCCATCTGAAATTTTATATTAAGATGCGATATTATTTCAAGTTGAAATTACTTTATTACTCTTCGTACGTGCCATCCTCATTCGGCATTCTCGATTTGTGAATGGATGATGGATAGAAGGACGCCACCGATGTCAAATTTTGCGTTGCGGCCCTTGATTTTAACAGGATTAGTTATTTTTTTTTCTTGAAATTACCATTTTTGATTCTTTTTTCTTGGTTGAACGTTTTTTTCTTCTGCCTCTGCCTCGGATTCTCTTCCATGTCCCATGAATTCCTGCCCCGACACGTCGGTATTTCCATCAAGCGACAACCTTTCCTCCTTGATTGCAGAATTTATTTCATTCTGGCTGCCTTGATTCAATTGCACTTGCGACTGCGCTTCTATATCTTTCAACAGTTAAACTAACATAAAACAAAGCTTGACTTACTGTATAGTTCTTCTAGCGCTCCACTCGCCCAGAAAACTTCTCGAAAGTCTTCCTTATAAGCAAATTATTATTCATTTGTGGCGGGGTAATTACCGTCTTGAAAGATTGGCCACAATGGGGACAAGTTGTTTTATGTCGTAATTTGGATCCCTTGCTGACTTCTAGTACGGATGACATTGTTTTTATTATATTTAATAGGTTTATTCAATTAGGAATTTACGTTTCAAGTTTAAAATTAAGCCTGAAATCTTTTAAATCGTCAAATTTTAAACCAAAGTGTACTCTACTCGAAGTGTATTTAGTTCGAAGTGTACTTGGTTCGAAGTAGCCACGCTTACCCTAGCGAGGATTCAGACCGTGATATGACCTCAAAAATTCAACTTCATCTTATTTCAAAATTTTGCCCATCAATGGTAAGCGTTTCAGAAGACCATTCTAGCAGGAGAATTTTCTTTTCAATTTTGACCGAAATTCGCCGCTTTATAATTTTTTATTGTCGCTCGCTTCCTTTCATGCACGATAGACAGAGTAACTTTGAACATCCGGGGCAGTAATGTTGTCGCTGGGTGTTTTCCCCAGATAAACATATTTGGCACTCAAGGCAATCCTTAAGATTTTTCAGGCTCTTGGAGATACTCATTCTTAAAAATATCTTTTAATTCAAGCTGATCAACCATGTCTCCATTTTTTTTATTTTAATCTTGGTGAAACATGAAAGGTTATGTTTCCAATTCGTTCCATCTCATAAATGGCAAGCATTGGCAGAAATTTGTTGCAGAATTTCAGTGTTATGATTGAGCTCAAGGGCGTTGCTTTCGTGATCTTGTACAGCAAGCTATCATTTGTCATTAATGTCGATAGGACCATGAAAATTTTACCTTAGGGAATATTTCGCCGTAAATATCTCATTCGTCGTAATATTCACCATATCATAATCGGACGCTCGCGTTTCTTTCCTCTGTAATTCCACATCAGCAGATGATTCTTCGCCAACGGCTTCGAGAGTAACTTTTTCTTGAGACACGGTGATGATGACGCTATCGCTGACATTCAACAAGCCTCGTACATCCCTTTGAAAGCGCTGGGACGAGAGTCTGACGGAGCAGCTAAAACTTCTATAAACCTTGTCAAAATATCTTAACTACCTGTACTGAATATGCGGAACGGATCTGTACTCATCGATTAGATCCAGGAGGTTCATTTTGAATTTAGTTTTGACGTTATACTTGTAGAAAATAGGTAATCTTTTCACTTTTACCCTTCGTTACCTTGTTGACCGTCGTGATGAACATTTTATCTCCATATTCATGGCAGTCGAACTCAAGGGAATTCTCGCGCGACAATGTCTTCAGAAATGAGTTCATCGCTTTTGCATTTACTAAAAATAAATGAGAGTTGGTAAGTAATTCTGACATTACCTCCTGCCACCGTGTTTATTTCTCCAAGATTGAACTGGAGAAATCCATCTTCTTTCATTAATGCCTGAAAAGAGATATGAGATTCTAAGTCACGAGAATAAAGGGTACCTTAACAAGAATTGACTCGGTTGAATCCATTCCATCGATGAGAAGCCCCTCCTTTGAAAAATTCAGGTAAAACTCTGACTTCATCGCAGCAATCACTTCAAAAATGATCTTGATTTCCTTCGCGGATGGAAATTTGCACTCGGGCATTCTCAAATACACGATTGAGATAAAAAAGATTTAATATTTTTCCAGGCAAAAGTAGCAAGCAGATAAAAGAAAAATATAAACTACAAGCGATGACAAGTCGATTAAATTTTTCGAAGAGTAGTGATGGGCCAAGACGCAAAGATGTTGTTGCAGCTGTGGATCGGCTAAATAATTTTACTTAAAAAAAAACTGGATGCAAATTTGTTTCTGCGGATTAAGAACTCATTATAAAAATGACGAAACTATTCTTTCTGTAATAGTTATACATGCACGCGGAGCGTGCCCTTTTTACTTACCTATTTATCTAGTCCTCAGACTCATGCTTCTGCATAATGAAGAATCTCACGTGCCCATGCTCCTTCATGAAGTTAAATTAATTTGTGACTATTTGCTTGAATTTAAGAAAGTGGTGCATTATTTTAACCGGCCTTCATGTTATATGTGATCGTCATAGGAACGCCATCTTTGAGTTGCATCATGACCTGATCCGCCAAGGATGCGGCCCTGGACATCATCTCGAGATATCTATAATTTTTTTTTTTGTTTAGATCTTGGACGTTCATTTACTTGCTACTGTAGTTTAATTCGATGTGACCCTGAGCTTCGATCGTATAAAGCTTGTTTTTGGGGTCGTTATTTTCTTTCTCATCGAATTCTGTCTCCACCTCACCGATGTCGCCCTTTGCTGAGAAGACAATTTTTCCGGGAGTGACGGTCATTTTTGCCACATCTCCGACGCCAGACAGTGTCTTGATCGCCTGTTCGAATAGAGATGAAGGCATTGTGATTTTTGAGCTATAAATAATTAGCATTTTAACCTTGATTCATATTACCTATATTCAGTCGTGGAGATATTGCATCTTTCAGCTGCAAAGACGATTAGCTTGATTGAATACTTCGTTACATTCGGGGAGTACTGAATTGCTCAAAGATATTTTTCTTTTTTGAATTTATCATACCGGTGATTTGAATTTCATCACCATCTTTCCGTTCTCATCGTCTCCGGTTATCGTCAATTTATCGTCGTTCGACGCGGTTTTGAGATATTTTGCCATCAAATCTACCTTAACTGAACACAGTTTTAATTCAATGAACCACTTTATAACTTACCGCCCAGAGCGTATGGCTTGTCAATTGAGTATTCTTCCATTCCTACTGCGCGGAGGACTAATTGCACCAAAACATTTTGGCAGTCGTCTACTGATTGTACACTTATCCCATCTGGCGTAAGGTCGAATATCGCCCAGGGAAGCAGTGGCACGAGTGCATCGGTTATGCATTTCATCAGTTCCGCCTTTGTGAACACAATTTTGTACATTCTAAAAAGAATGAATTCAAAGCTCGAGATTCTTTCTTTAGACGTAGTCGACAGGAGTTTCGGTATCAAGCGAGAAGTTGTCCATCGTAGGAGCGCTCGAAAGAAATGGCCAGCTTTGTAGGGGGTATGATCTGGGGCGTTTATTTTTTTCCTTGCAATCTTGGACCCAAGTGACAATGTCAGCGTAATGGGTTTGTTCAGTTTTTCCAAAGAAGATTATATCTGAACAATTTGTTATTTTTTTTGGGTGATCAATATTCAAATTACCATTTAAATTCATCGCTGCGAAATTTATAAAAATTTCAAGAGTGGAATAAAAATATTGACCGTGACAAGGTGTATATATTTCCGTTGCTCCTTTTACGTCAAACATTTGAGATTTTGAGAATAAAATTCCATAAATCGTTTCTGTCGCGCCTCCACTGCGTTTCTCGTCATTTTTTATCTTTACGTATGCCCCGAAGTAGCCTTTCCTCTCTATGTCGCATTCTTGAACGCTTTCGATCTTCATGAATTTGATGAATGACCTTTTGTTGCCTTCCAACAGTTTCCAACATAAGTGTTCCTCAATGAACATCTCCATATCCCGAGGATAACCCGTAGTTTCACTTAAATTTGCTAATGATTTCATTTGTCTAGCCAGAAATTTAACAAGCGAATGTTCTAAAGAGACAAATTTATTCAAAGACTCATTATTTTTTTATTTTTTTAGTTTGGGGTCGAGAAAAAGTATCTTTGTAATTGACAATTTTCTTTTTTCGCTCAGACCTTCTTTGTGGACCGTCCTCGCCGGGAGTCGGTGATGTACTCAATTCATTGGTAGGCGTTGTCGAATCGTTCTAAACAATTTGTAAATGTTTGATGGTATTTTGTATGGTAACCTTTTTGGATTTTTGCCTATCCTCTTTGCTTCGACTACGAGTTCTGATCGGCGAGAAGGCAGTTTCAGCTTGCTCGTGTGATTGCACATTATCAACCATCGACTAAGAAGAAAGGAAGAAACGGTTACTTTTAGGGCATTACCTTCGTGATTGTAGCATCCATTTCGTACCCATCCCCTGGCACCTTTGGGATTCCTTCTAGCGCCTTTTCTTCTGCCCTCTCGTGCCTCAACTTATCTTTCAATTTGAGTGGCTTGTCTGGCCATTTTTTGAATGCTGCGTCCGTCAACATAGATGGATCGACATCGGCAACTGCATCCCCAAGATTCTCCACAAGTCTGTCAAAATCGCGAAGCTGACCTTTTTTCTTTTTTCCTCTCAACTTGGCCATCGGCGGGTAAGATTCCAATCGAAAATGCTTGTTCTTGGATTCCTAATTTGAATAAATAAAAAGGTAATTATGCTTTGTTTACCTGGTTATCTTCCCTTTCAAAATTCTGAACAGATTGTCGCTTGCGTTTTAGACTAGCATTTTCCGGCGTTTGGTTCTGGCCTCCCCGAAATTCATCGACGTGGCTTTTCGATTGTAGAGGTTCTTTTGCGAATTTCACCACGCGATTAGCGCAATCGCTAAGAGTTCGTCCTGATTCCAATAAACCGCTGCTTGAATTATTTCGTTGGTCGCTCTCAGACTGCAAGGCTTGCGAGGTAGACGTTTTATGATTAGATGGACGAGCCGTGTCGACTTTGTCATTGAATCCCCAATCGATTGAGTCCTCTTCCGATTGTTCTCCGTCGTCTGCGTCATCTTCCTCGTCGGTTGATGGTGGCATTTCAATGTCGGTGTCGGATTCCGACTCAAAAGGGTTGCTATAATCAAGCTGAAGCAGGTCGTCTCCATTTGTGTCGTTAGCAGCTTCCGGATTTGCACGTTCGGTCTCCATGTTTGCTGAGGTTTCTACAGTGCCAATGTCGCATATTCCGTTCACAGTCGTTGGATTCGATTGTTCTGTCACCATGTTAGCTGAGTGCTCGACAGCGCCAATGCCCTTTGTTCCATTCGAATCACCTTGCGTCTCATTGGCTCCGTTTACAGGAGACGCGTTCGCTACGTCGCTGTTTCGACTTGGCCCAGCAGCGCCACTGTGCGCCCTAGCTCCTTCAAGAAGATCGCCCATAGCCATTTCATGCTGTACCGTAGTGGGTAATTTAAGTGATCCGATCGCGCGAGTTACGTTCAGCTCTATCCCATCATCACCCTCATCGCCAGAAGCCATGATTTCATCTTCAATAGCGCCGACAGGCACGTCACATGGCTCATCATTCTCTGCAATTTCTTCATCTGCCAGACGATCTTCTTCGGTTTCCGGGTCCATTTCAGCTGCTTTGACTTTGCCATCTTCGATTTCTTTTAAGCGTTCTTCGAGCCGATTACGTGCCCATCGTTTTCGAAGAATGGCAGTGAGACGCGCGGGCGCTTTCTCCTGAAAAGAAATTAATGAAACGTAAAATCAACTTTCTTACCGCAAAACGCTCAAGCGCTAAATTTACGAGGTCCATGAAAAATTCTCTCGGAAAGGGCATGCCACGCTCATATATTTCCTCTTGCTCGCATCGGTCCATCACTTTCCTGACGTAAGCCTCTCGGTTCGCAGCCTGATCGTTTTCATCTTCGCGTTGCTTATCGACATGACCTTGATAATAATTGAGCCCAGATTCATCCATGAACTCGTATAACAACAACAAGTCCTCGTCTAAATTGCCCTTTCGCTAAACACGATAATAAGTATGGCTGTCGCTATAGAATCAAAATTACCTTCTTGAATTTAGCCCGAAACTGGCTGTTCAAGCTATTGTTTAACGACTCCGACGGATTCGTCGACAAACAAACTGACGATCGCTCTTTCTTCGCCAACAGGAGTAATTTGTAGTAGCAGAACCTGTCTCTGTACTGCCCCATGACTCGCTGACAGTAATCCCGCAAGAAACGGGAAATTCTTCGTCCATATCTTGGCAACCTCTGGACAAGAGCGAATAATCCCAGAAGACTCGGCATAATGAGATCCGGTCTGACCAATTGCTTAACAAAAAATTTTAGGTAAAAAAAACAAAAAGGTACTCACTATCGTTTTCATCATGAACGTGAAGATCCGGACAGCTGCGGGCGTAGTTTGAAAGCCAATGATGGACTTGAGGTTTCTGTAGAGCGCCCGCTCCAGATGGACTTGGCAGATTGTTGAAAGAACATTGACGCTGTGTTTTTTGAGGCCATTCTCTGCGCTTAATTGGGAAAAATTAATGGCTTCTGCAAAGATAAAAATTTAGCCTTACCCAAGATACAATGACATCTCACCGTCAGTTTGAGCAAAGACGGTGCTAATTACGCTTGAGTCGTGAATGCTCGTCAACACTTGCCAGAATGCATAGAAAGCAGCAGCATAGTCCAACTTCTTCTTACTGAGGAGATAAATGGCGGCAACCAATCTGTAATCCGTGTTTCCAGTGTCATCAGTGATTGCTATCTGGATCGTGATGCATTGCCGAAAATCACCAGATATGGTGAAAGTACCATCCAGCATCATTCTAATGAATGATGCTGGAGGTAATCGAGACAGCATTAGCAAATCTGCGACTAAAAAGCGTAATAAGAACAACGGTTAATTACAAAAACAAGCTTATTTACCGATTAGAAACCTATCGGTTACGACGCATGGCCACCGTAAATTCGCAAACCCTTCGCCGTCGAGTCTTTTGTGATAATTCAGAGTCGAAAGAACCTTCGGGACGAGTGGAACTCGTTCGTCACGATGCTTGAACTCCTCCCGCATTTGTCGCCGGTAGAATCGTTTTCGGTTTCTCATCTTTTTATGTATCGTGATACTTCGTAGTGTGGCGTCCATTCGGGGTAAGTTTCCTGTACAGTTTTAATATGATCACGCACTGACTGAGCAGTGACCGTAGGTCCCATCTGATCAACCATTTTCTAGATAATTATTCAGAAACTATTAACTCTACACAAAATACCAGAATTCCGGACTCATATGTAATTTCGGCGATTTTTTGCCTCGTTAGACCTCTGCATTTGTGCTCGTATTTGGGGCTAAGACGCGTATGGTCGCCAGGAGGATCCATCTTCGCGTTATGCCAAAAGAGTTGCACCTTTTCTGGGTTTATCATCCATGAAGAGCCAGATTTAGTTGGCATGATGTAAGACGCGTCGCAATAAACAGTTTGGCGACCAGAGCAGTTTTGACACTTGAGATGGACAGACGCAGCACCATTGCCTCTAAGATAACGAATAAGTGTTATTTAAAATCGTGCAAGCCATTTACCTTTTGTTGCAACCATTGTATTGCATATGATAAACAACTTTTCTTGTCTGAGCTGCCGACGGAATTGACCGCCTAGCTTTGTTTTTTTTGAGAATCTTTCTCTTTGCATTTGGAATGGAGCATGTCCAAGGCGTGGCAGATTCTGGCGCCGTTGAAGTAGAAGGTTGATCACGCAGGTCTTGACCATCGCCGTCGTCCACTGGAAGAAAATATTCAACGATGCAGCAAGGATTCCCATTGCCAGATATGTAGGTATGAAGAATGTTCCTTTTTGCAGACAAAGGGATCGATACCATTGGTTCATCGCCGGTGTCACGCTGAATACCCTTTTTCATTTCCGAATTTGGATCGATGAATTTTTCAGGATCTGGTACTCCGTGGATTTGCGCTGGAGTTTCGACGAAAAAAGTTTGACGTGCTTAGATCCCCTTCTCCATTGCCAAAAACGTCCATATCCTCAGCATGGCTCAATCCAGTGTGAGGTCGAGTATTATCCAACAAAAATCAATCTGATCATTCAGCTGTTGAGAAGGACGAGCAATATCTTCTAGATTTGGAGAGTCATCTCCTGCGACATATTCGCGGCACTTTTCGAAGGCTTAGTCAATCTCTTCACTTGAGGCTCCAGTGCCTCATCTTGGCACTTTTCAGGTCTTCGTTTTACTTTTTTCGACGTGGTTGGTTTTGTTGCCTTCGAAGTTGTCGGTGAGGAGCTGCGAGAAGACGAGCGGGAGATTTGAGGCGACGACGATGGCGAATTATGCGGAGTAGATAAAAGCTCTTGACTGTTTCTGACAAAATCATCTTGAAGGTTTTTAGTCTGCTTTGGGCCAGATTGAGAGCCAGTGCAACGAGTGCGTCCGCCACTATGGGCCTTGATGTTTTGACTGGAAGGTTTTGATTTTGTCGAAGAATTGCGGGGCAATTGCACCTTTTTCGAGGTCGTTCTACGTCCCAAAGATTTTCTCTTGTGATTCGGAAAAAGGGAATTGAAAGGATCGTCGTCGAAATCACCCTCCTCATCCATCAAGCCGATGTCATCTTTCGCCAATGTCGTCTTGGAGTCGATTAAATTTGTAGCCTTATCATCACAAGCTTGGGAATTATTCGCAGAGCGAGGGTCTTGGACTTTAGTTGAAAATGAGTCGGAAGCGCTTCGCTCACCCCGTATCGGCGAAAGCTAAGTAATTGATAAGCACAGAGATCGCAAAGGAGAGAATAAACTTACATTGCCACCAAAAAGACCTTCATTTTCGTCATCTTTAGGATCCGATCGCAAAGATGTCATCTTCGGGCTCGAGGTCACAAACGTCTTGGGCATCTCTGACAGCAAAGGATCATTTGTAGACTAGAAAAAGGTAAAATTAACTAAAGAAAATGAAATTCGATCTCTACCTTTTCGTTGAACGGATCGTCATCACCTGAAGAGTCTTCGTCCTCGCTAGATGAGGCGTCAGTACACGAACTCAAAAACGATTCCATGTCGCTCATCCCGATCCGATCACTGAAAAATCCCTCGATTGCCAACTATCTACTTTAAAGAAAAGCCGAGAAAAGATAATCAAACATGATTAGATACAAAGAGAATAAATGATTAAAAAGGGCACGCTCCGCGTGCAAACATAAAATTGACAGAAAGCATGTTCAAGGGAGATGCAAGATTAGCGATGATCTCAAAATTATAACAATCGGGAACTCGTGGGTTATCGAACACATTTCCAACCTAAAAAAGGCAGAGGAAAATCAAGAAAATTTCTCCTAAAAATGATTAAGTCGCATGTCAGGTACATAAAGTATGCACAGAAGCAAATTTGATGTGATCCCAAAATGAGACAGGAAAGGGATCAAAAAAAGAACGACAGATAAGTCGAAAAACCTTCGACGAAAGCGTTTGTACGTGAGCTAAGTATGCACTTAATGACGATTGGTTTCTTCGGGCTCCTCATCAGAAATCCAAATGACAGCGGTACCAGAGATCTTTCCGCGATCCATAGAATCTGCTGGTTTGGCGTCATTTCCTTCAGGATCGCCGCCGTCACCTCCATCAAGATCGTTGTTTTTGCCATCATAGTAGGAGTCGATGAGATCATAATCCATAGAATCTGCGGTTTCGCCGACAGGAGCACCAGTGGTCTTATTGCCGTCTCTTTTAGAATCGCTGCCGTCACCTTCATTTAGATCGTTGTCTTCGTCATCATCGGAGGAGTCGAATTGATTACTTGCAGGTGGCAGGTCGAGCGGGTTGAATGGGACTCGTGAAATGAAGACCAAGTCGCGATTATTGAAGCCGACGATTTTGAGGCATTTAGGGACCGGGCAGCGTAGGAAAACATCACGGTTTATGCCTCCGCCATAGAGCGTTCCACGGGCGAGAAAGCATTGCAAGCACGCCACATGAGTGCAGGGGTTTGATGCGACCTCTTGCCTGAATGGAGGGGCAAAAGGATGGCCACAGCAGCCACATTTCGCCTTTACAGATGACGACATAGAGGCGAAATATTCAAACCGCGGATTTTCCGATCACGATGCTTGTTCTAAAATAAGCTTTCTTTATTTTTAAAAAAAAAAAAGATATCATTGAGTGTCAATGAGAATTTCGTGAAGGACAAGAATGGAAAAGAAAAGAGCAGTTAAGGGCGCATTTTTTCATTTCGAGAGCCTTCATAATCAGCCATCATATCACGATATTGAAGCTGGTCAAGTTGCCAGACTAACTGTGCTCTTTGATTAAGGGTCCGCATCAAGCACAAATAAGCACGTGCAGTGCATATGCCCAGTACGAAAAGGCTTGTTGTTAAGTGAGATACTGACCCTGACCTTCCAAGATTCTCGTCACGAATGATAATGCATTCTTTCTTTTCGCCCCTGCAAAATGGACATCTGTCGACTCTGTCTGCGCAGCTTTTACAAATTCGAGAATGTCCACAGGGAACTATAGCGATGCTTGGATTGTTTTCTTCGCACATCGAGAATGCACAAATCCGACAAAAAAGGCGGGAGTCATCACGGGGCATCTAAAAAATCACAGTTAGGTCTTGCTTTTATTTGGAAAAAAATGCAATATGTTCGGTATTTATGCCAAGAGACATGCAGTTTCGAGGCCAGTACAGTTTCGAAGAGAAAAAGTAATTTAATAGTAAAATAGTTATCATTCGGAAAGAAATAAAGCGCCATTTTGAGAAAAATCATCTAACACTGTGATAACACGTGACAAGCACAAGAATCTATAGCTGGCAGACAGAAAAAAATATGAGTCTTATTTTCAGTTATGGATGCCTAGAGTTGAAGATACTGTACAGACAGTTATCATTTTGCAGTGATAATTTAGCAAACACATAAATTTAATAAAGTCACTTAATGGGTCAGTAAGTTAAACGAATGCGTGAACTAACAAGGATCTAAAAAGGAACATTGACAAGTTGAGACAACAAGGAGTACGACAAATTTAATATAAACTAATAGAAAAACCCTGGAATTCTTTTATAGAAACATAAGATTTAATAATTGACGAAAGCTAAACCCTAAAAGCTGAAAATTGGAGAGGACCTATTTAAGGCGTTCAAGGACAATGTCAATGAGCTCATCATCCGAATTCTCTGTCTGAAAGCCTGGGAAAACAGTGTTCACATCTTCGCGGACAATGTCAATGTGCGAGCGGATCTCCGAAATACGACGAGGACGTGAGAACGGCGTAGTCTAAAACAAATTAATAACGTATTTGACCCAGATTCTCACCTGGAGTTTGATACGAAACATTGCATTCGCAGCAATGTGCGGCGGCTTGCCAGAGCATGTATGTAGAATTGACTGCCCTTGATGTCGATGGTTGTGAAAGGAGACAAACTGAAAGAAATCTTCGCTTGTCGCCACAGCAAGTTGGTCTCTATCCGGAGTTAACATCGATGTCGGCCCGTAAAACATCTCGGTCGCCTTACAGCGCGCAGAAACGCAGGTGAAAGTGAAGACAGCGTCATCGCCACTTACGGATATAGTATTAAGGTAAAATTTCAGCAGAATACCTGCGCGCAGATGACGACAGGCGGAACGCGAAATATTTTGTGTGGCTAACCAATTCACCAGCCAGGTTAGTGTAGGGTAAAAGTAACTTGTAAGCGACCATAGCGAATGGTCGTTTCGAAGTTCCACCCGAGAAACAGACAGAACGGGGAGCGTTTGCTGGAATTTCGACACACCCGCGATGATTATTTCGAGACTCACTGGACATATCAGAGTCAAGTGTACCAATATCTGAAAAAGGACTGAGGTTAACAGGGGCTGCAGTTGACAAAGAGAACCCACAATTAAGTTAAAAAACTCAGATTTCAAACTTGGGTGTACTCCACTCGAAGTGTACTCCACTCGAAGTGTACTCAGTTCGAAGTAAGCCACGGAAATTATGACGGAGATCAGACCTCGAGAACAGAGTTCCGCTTGATAAAAAATAGGAAATAAACGAAAGCACATGAAAGAATAATTCAACAAGTTGTGATATTTGTAGGTTCAGAGCGAACTCGAGGCAAATAAAATAAAAGAAAAACTTCAAAAACTGCGATCGAGAGTAATGGCACGCTCCGCGTGCAGCAATAAATGGACACAAAAAGACAAATTACAAGCAGAGTTGACCGTTGCAGCGACAGAACTTAACCATTGAGAACAAGAATTGAAATATTCGCGGAGTAAAATAAAAATCATTCCTACCAAAAAGAAAATAAGCAAGAAGAAGAATGAGCAGGACGCTTTCTCTATATCTTCTACGCGACTTATTTCTCTCGCAGTCGAAATCCAGTAGTTGCAGTACGAGTCAATTGAAAATGAAATCTTGATTAGCCAATAATAGCGACTTTTCTCTTCTGACTTCGAAAGCCCCGTGACGCGTAGTGACCACCGAGCGCCGACTCGATAGGAATTCTACTCGATTTAGTCGCTTGATGCGGGCGGGTCAGCATTTTCGATAGACAGAAAATGAGTTATTTCTAATCGGCGATAGTTTTCATATGCAATTCAATTCTCAAATTAAAAAGTCGCCATATTGAGTCTATTGGATTGCCAAATAGGAATAGAATCGCCATTTTTCGCGACCCGCATTTATTCTTCTCATTGGCGAATTTCTAGAAATGGCGCAGAAAAAGCGTGATTCAGAGGAGCACTATTTATTTCGAAAAAGCAATTTTGCAATCGAAAATGAGATGAGACAAATTTTAAATTGAACAAGAGAATAAGATTCAAACAGGATTTTACTGATTTTCGAAATTTTTGAATTGAAAAGCAATCAGGAAAGCCTCAAGTAACATCGTCTACGCCGAGTCCTACGAAAATTGAGATTTATTTCATTATCGGTTGCTCACCTTAGCTTCCTTGAGTGCAGTAATTTTAGCTCTCTCTTTTCGAAGTTCCTGTTGCTCCGCTTCGATCAACTGTTTCTCTTCTTTCAATAATTCCAGCTCGAGTTTGATATTTCCCGCCCTTGAAATTAAGATTATCATAACAGAAACAGATTTACTTTCAAGAAATTAGCTTACTTCAATTTTTTGATCTCAGCCCTTCTGGACTCCATTTCCTTCTCAAATTTGCGCATACGGCGACATTCGTCTTCTTCGAGCATAGTCTCAAAAATATGATCAACGATATCGGGAGGACTTTCACGGGTTTTTTCACGAAATAATAATTAATAATCTTATTCAATAAAATCCGAAACTTTGATAAAACAGTGGCATTGCACAATTCTCTCGATGCTTGAAAAGTGGGTTCGAGCCCCGCGCGCTTCGGTGAAAAACCCTAGATATGTCTGCTATCAGCAAATCAAATTATTTTCTAGCCATACCAGGTTTGACTAACATGGGATTCAAACATATCGTAGCAAGCCTTGTCACGCATTAATCATCATTCGGGTCGAAAGAAGCTAAAAACTTATCTTTGCCACAGGATGAATCTTTTTTCTACGTAAACAAATTTTCTGAAAGGGGTTGAAAAATTCTAGCCTTATGTTTTTATTCAATCACAAATTCGTAATAGTTAGTTTTCTACGTCGGCCCAAAAGAAAATGAGCAATTAGCATAATTTGTTATTCTATTCGAAGTGTATTCCATTCGAAGTGTATTCCATTCGAAGTGTATTCCATTCGAAGTAAAATCCAGAATCACTAGGAAAATTTAGACTACAATCTGACATCGAGAAACAATAACGCCGAATAACCAACTTTTTTAGTAGAAGAAATCTTAGATAGAATTTAATAAGAAATTGATCAAAAAATTAAAATTTTAGAGAACGGAAAATTCTAGATCATATTGAGTTATTATTGACCGCCGCGAAATGCCAGTTTAGTTGATGTTAGAGAATTTGACGCATTGTACCTGTGCATATCGTTGATATTCATTAAAAGACGATAACAACAAATTTATTCAGATCAAGATCATCCTCTCATCATGGACAGCAAGAGACTTATTACAAAACGTAAACATTAAATATTTGCAAAGAATAAAAATTTATTTTAGTCGAACAGGTCATCGCCCAAGCTTCCGATTTTATATCAAGATACGAAAGCAGTGGAAGCAGAACCAATGGGGATATTTACGTGGACTTCAGGAAAGCTTATAAAGTTACAATTGTATCGACGTTAAAAAAAAATAATGACTGTTTATATTCGCTTGTTAACTAAGCAAACAAAGCGAAATAACCAGCAAGATAGAAAATATGCTGGACATTACTCGAGACGCCGATATACTCATAAAGCCAGGGACAAATAACAAAAATTTTCTCAAAGCAAAGAATACAATGGACATTCTGGATTGTTCTATGTATTCTTTTTTTTTGGGCGAGAGCCTTACTAAATAACAATTTTGTACCTTTAATTAGACACCAGGAGATGCCATGAAAATTAAGAATATGAGGCTGAGACTTGTTAGCCAGGAACGCCTGATACCTAGAAATAGATCAATAAAATCAGTTAAATATCAAGCGAACAAGAGAACTAACATGGAGTACCTGTTATCCCTCGACGCATAGATGACAATATTCGTTCGATGTCCAAGGTCTAAACCAAAGACACAATATTTCCTAAACTATTTCACTGTTCTTGCGAAAAATTTACTAGCAAAATCACAATAAAACCAAGACCGTGACAAAAAAACTAGCAAAAAAAAGTTGACAGTCAGTGCAAGCATGGAGAATTCAAAATAGAAATTAAGCATCAATGTAGTCCACTCGGAGTGTATTTGATTCGAAGTTAACCAAGCGATTACTCAACCCATGTAAGCAACGGAAGTAGACTTTGTCCGATTTGAATCTTTTTCCAATAAATTATGAGAGCATGATTCGGCGTAGTGGACCGAACTGACCAGAGTTGAATATGTTCAATTTAAGGTGCTAAGTAGGGAAGAATAAAGATGAACAAACTTCAACTTGAAGCCTTCAAAAAAGGAGGATTATACACCATGTAACCATGAAAGCACGGAGGTGCCGCGGGCCAACCGCAATGTGCTAACTCCCGCAATTCTCTAGACAAACTGGTGTTTCTCACCAAGCTGAGAAGCGCAAAACACTCTTTAGTGTGCTTCGCAGGCTCTAGAAAGAATTTGTTCTGAGAATAAATAATCCATAAAGAGTGGCGTTTTTATAAACAAATATTTTCTAGAGCCTGAGAAACACGCAAAAAAAAATTTTGCGCTTCTCAGTGTGGTGAGAAACACCAGTTTCTCTAGAAAATATGAATTAACTCTTGTAAAAATAAAAAGTAAAAAAAACAACCTTTCGATGATTTTAAAAGCTGAATACATAGAAGACACAGTCTCATAAGTCAATAAGTTGAATGCTAAGAATGAATGTATTCCACTCGAAGCATATTTGATTCGAAGTTTACTGCTTACCAAAGTGAGTCTTCAACCTAAGTACAGACAACGTAAATAAGCGACTTCCTACTTCGCTCATTTTTGTCAATAAATGATAAGACCATGATTCGGCGATTGATATGGCCAAAAAGAAAAGATTAACAGAAAACTTAGGAAAGAAGCCGTCACAGAGCCGATATGTAAATGTGAAGACATAGAAGACAACAGATTCCAAAAGCATTTTCGTCCAGAGGGCACGCTCCGCGTGCGAAAATATAAGATACAAAAAAAAACTTGAAAAGAATAGTTGTTAAAGGGAATGGCCGACTTGATAATTTAATGAAAAAAGCTAATCAAAACAAAAAAATAAATCAAATATAATAGAAACCTCAATTTTTATCCACCAAAGATATTTTGCTAACAGCAGCGAAAGTTTAAATTTTTATAACAGCACTGTATATTTCCAGGATTGTTTATTTCCGAGCGCGAGGATGAAATTTTCACTCGATTAAAGTTCATTTGCCATTCATAAAGTCACGAATGATCAATTTAAGTTAGGATCGTCTGCGACGGGCTCAGATTATTTCATTCCGCTCCTGAAAAATCATTCCTGCAGCTGTTGTTCCCACTATTATCACGCTCACTCTACACTCATTTCAGCTTCCCACACCAGCCGGAAAACAATTTTTTTAGCATATTTACAAATTTTGCAGAGAAATCAAAAGCAGAACAAGTCAAAATGAAAAAATCAACGACAAAGACAGCCACTCAGCAAACATGTCCAGGTATTCATTCTGTTTCTTCTTGAATACGGGGACAAAATAATTTAGCCCCTTTTACTCCTTGCGCCTTCTGTGTCCATCAGACTCCGTGCGGTTTGGTCAAATCAGATGGATCCCATTTATCCCCGGCTGATAAAGGTAATTTTTGATTACAGATAAAATAACTTCCGAAGATAAATTTTTTCTTGGATTGTTGAGAGACTCCCCGTTTAATTTTCTTATCAGGATACAGCAAGGCCTTCGCAGCTGAAATCAACCGTCAAAAGAAGCGCCTAGACAAAGACGCTGGTAAAATAGAAGAAATAGTAAGCAACGACTCAACAGAAAAAAACAATGGCAGCAAATCGGTGATCAAGAAAATCAAATTGTTCTTCCTATTTTGGATCACTCTGCCATTCAATACAGCAAGAGAACTGTACAGGTCACCCCCGGACAGCGCTGCATCAGTGAAGGAATTCTTTCAAGACAAGTTGGCCACAGTCGTCGAACTCGCCTGCTCACTCTACTCTCGCGATTCAGAACGAGCCGCTAGATGCCTGCGCAACATTATGGCGAGCCTGTTTAACTGTGTCGTCTCCCTGTTTCAAAATACGGCGATGCGCATTGGAATATTCTGCTTCCTGATTCGACTGATCAGCCCTCTCGTGAACTACGGAATAACAGGAGTTCTCTTGTTTATTTTAATCAGTATCATCCTTCTCTACATGTTTTTACCCAAATTTGACAAGAAGAAACAAAAGCCATCTGCCCAGCAAATGTACACTGCCCTGGAGTCAATTGCCAAAGAACTGACTACTGCTCAAGACCTAGACTTAGACGACGAATCACCATCCGACGAGAGTTTCTAATTTCCAGCAATTCATTATAAGGTAAACTAAACTTATGAAATCATGAAAGGTCAACTTTGGCAATCCTAAACTTAACTTAACACAAAAAAAAAAATAATAACCATTTTCTAGCACTGCCCGACTCACCACAGTTTCTACAAATTATTCTTCAAGTGTTATTGAAAAGACAATGCTGCATAATTTAACGTAAGAAAAATTTTTATTAAAAAAAACCTCAAAAAAGACTACAATAACCCTTTATAATAGACATATCTTCAATTGAAAATGATCAACTTCTTTCCCAACGATTACAAGCAGTCAACTTCACATTATACCTGCCTTCATAGAAAAAATACAACTGTTTCAAATTTCGTGACTGCTAATATATTCAAGATGTTAAAAAAAAAAACGTTGAATTACTTGTTATCTCATAAAAGGCCTAACAATTTTGACAAAAAGGGAATTCTTCTTGCAGGTTTATCAATTATATAATTGGACTGCTTCCAATTTTCTGTTAATGTCTGTTCGAGTCAAAGGTAGAAAACTCTTGCATTTTATGTTATCATATATCTTTTTGTGACAGAGCTCAGGCAGAGATAGCGCCAAATTGTAAAACAAAAACATGAAATCAACGAAGAAAACCTCCCAGTGGGCGCCGAAATAAAAATCGAGGCGCGCGATAAGAGATCATAGCAGACATCAGAATACCAAAACTACAAATTTTTAACTTTTATTTCAATTATTTCCCTAAAACAATACAATAGGACTCGACATCGCCCAAACAAACGAGAATACTCATTCAAAATTTGACAGCAAAAATTCGCTAGAAAACCTGGTGTTTCTCGCCGAACTGAGAGGCGCAAAGCACTTCTGCGTGTTCTTCTCAGGCTCTAGAAAAAATTTGTTTTGAGAATTATATGTCCAAAAAGAGTGGAGTTTTTGTAAACAAATTTTTTCTAGAGCCTGAGAAGAACACGCAGAAGTTTTTTGCGCTTCTCAGTTCGGCGGGAAACACCAGGTTTTCTAGAGAATTTAAATAAAACTATCGGAATACCAAAACTCCCAGTCTTTAAACTTTCATTTCCTAGCGAAAATAGAATGGAGTGCAACATCACAAAAAAAAACAAGAATACTCATTCAGAATTAACGACAAATCTTGACAACGACAATTCTCTAGAAAAAGTGGTGTTTCTCACCTACCTGAGAAGCTCAAAACACTTCTCAGTGTGCTTCTCAGGCTCTAGAAAGAATTTGTTTTGGGAACTTGTTTTTGTAAACAAATTTTTTCTAGAGCCTGAGAAGCATACTGAGAAGTGTTTTGAGCTTCTCAGGTAGGTGAGAAACACCACTTTTTCTAGAGAATTAAAATAAAACTCTCAAAAAAATAAGCAAAAAATCTTAACAAAGATGATTTTTAAAGAAGACATAAAGGAAACAGTCTCAAAATCAATAAGCGAGACCTGTTAAGAATAAATGTATCCCACCCAAGTGGTATTTGATTCAAAGTAAACTGCTTAACCAAGCGAGTCCTCAACCAATGTGAAGCAACAGAAATAGACTACGCCTGATTGCATTATTTTGCCAATTTATCGAAAAGCCACAATTAAGCGATTGCAATGCGCAAAAACAACAAATTCAACCAAAATGAGGAAAAACTGCAGAGTATTTAAGAAGGAAAAAGGGAAGCATAATCAATCCTCACAATAACGTTTTTTAAAATGGCACGCTCCGCGTGCATCAATAGAAAAGACAGAAAATAGATAGGTAGCAGTTATTATGAAACTTCAGACTCTTGGAGTCCAGAGTAAGTTTAAATATTCAGATTATTATTTTACAGTTATTCTGAAAAAGCCAATTTTTAACTCAGATGTATTTCACTCGAAGTGTATTCCACTCGAAGTGTATTCAGTTCGAAGCGGAAAGGGGACTCTCGCGAGAATTCAGACCAAGAGAAAACCCAAAAACAAGATTTAAGTAAATTTCAAAGTTCGGCGAATCAATCGAAAGCCCATGAACACCAGATTCTAGTGGCTCTTATATTTTCTGAATTTCAAGAGAACTTTGACTCGAAGAGCCGGTAATTATTTACGAGGTACTGCCAGCCGAAAGTGACCAAAATAAAAACGAACAACAATGCGTCAAGTCGATCGAAGAAGAACCAGCATTTTTTAAAGGATACAAGATGATTTTCATGCGCTGAGATGAGTAAAAATTTTATGCGATTACTATACAAAAGCTTTGTTTGGGCACCAGGAAGACTTCTAAAACACCCGTTTAATTCATATTAAATTATAAATCAGAATCCAGATTCCAAAAATTGCAGAACGATATGATTAACCTGCTACTAAAGCTACACATTGACTTCTAGAAGATCAATATATCAAATATTCTCTGAGATAGTTGATTGATTCTAACTTATGCATTAATCTTCTTTAAAAATAAAAATGCGAATTTTCATTTCAAAATTGCATTTTTTTTAAATCGCGTATATTTTTGTTATTCGTCTTATTGACAAAGCAGCGTTATTGGCAGATTAATGATATACGACGGAATGAAATAATTTGGAAGTAAGGCAATTATGAAGGATATGCAGAAATTTTTTTTTAGCTAGACATTTTTCTTTGACGATTCCTCATGTTTTTCAACAAACTTGATGCAAGGACATCTGTTTTCGACTGTATTCATTCGGTCCACCTTAGCACCCGACCTTTTTCTACATTGTCTATTCTGTCCATCGAGCTCTTCACTGGGGCTTTGATTAAGCAATTCGTCCTTATTAAAATGACCAAATAATTGAAATAATTCTTGCTGTGAAACAGCGTTTCCGGTGATGTATTCGATGAATGTTCTTATAATTTCCTCTTCATTATTACCAAACCAACAGAAATGATGATCGTCATGATTATATCCACGGGATTTGACACGCTGTTCCATACCAAAATGACCATTTCGCCAGGTTATTTTGTCGAGAAGCCGTACAATCACGTCATTAGTATCGATTCCATTAGAAAGCTTACGGCCGAACTGTTTTATTTCATGCATGACAACAACGTCCAGGTCAAATTTTTCCTGAATTATGTCCACCCAGTTCCATCTTCTCTCGCTTTTTCTTATTTTCTCAAGTGTTATCTTGCGCGCGGCAACTGATTTTTTGGAGGGATAAAGCTTTGAGAGCAGTTTTTCAAGCTCTTTAAGCAAATGTTTTTCAGATTGAGCCATCCTGGCATTAGAAATTTCGTCGAGAATAGTCATCATTGTCCCATCGGAGTTTGATTCATCATCCAACAAAGAAAGCAGGATGTTAAGTGCCCTAGGCTTATTCAGTAAAGCCATCTCGATATTGTTCCTGTTCGCGTTGAAGATTGCCATGCACTTTCTGATGATATATCTATCTTCGGAGAGACGAGATAAATCCGCAGGGTGAAAATTAACATAGTTTTCAAATATTGTTACGCCATAGTCAGACATCTTCTTGATTTCTTCAATCATTCTAACATCAGGTTTCCATTTAAGATGCGGCGGTTTGATTGTTATGCAATCCTTTGCAGTTGTTTTACCAGAAGGGAAGCACTTCTAAAAGAAAAACGATAAAATGCAAAATATTTCAAGTCCTTACCGGAGTAAATGAATAAGGTCCGAATTTGATTCTCCATTTTAAGTCTCCCAAACAAGACTCTCTCGCCTTGAGCGCAGTCACCCAGCTTTCTATTCGTGTCTCGTTACAGGATCTTCCTTTGATACATATCAGCAGATTATTCGTCCAATCTTCAGAATCAAATCTGTCATTGCGTTCAGCCCAAGTTTTAACAGAGCAAGAATCACAGTTCCTTATTATTTCATCTGCCATTTGAATCGCAGATTGATCATATTGTTTTCTTAAGTTAACGTCTTTCTTCAATATTCCATTTGGGCAAACAAGTAAATCGTTAACTGACTCCCAGAAACCTGCTTCAATCGATTCTTCGGAGATAAGTTGAATTTTGTTATCATCCGCGTCATAGAGAACGATTTTTTCAATCCTTTCCAATGGGATTTGGTCCGAAATTGCAATCTTCAATCTTTCTTTGATCGTAATGCGCAGAAGGATAAATTTCGGAGACCAATTAATGGCATTTACTCTAAGAAATTTTTTGCATGCTTCGCTTTCACTCTCAGCCATTTTTAAAGCATCATCAACGTTCTCCGCCAAGATATTATGACAGCACTCTTCGAACCACAAAATCATCCGATTTTCGACGGCCATAATTTCTAAAAATTAAAATAAATACAAATTTAACAAGCAAATAATGGCAAAAAATCAAGAACATAAGATATTTAAGTCGGAAATCCACAAAAAAACGTTAAAAATTCTAGACCAAAAAAGGGAGGAAACCAAAATTCTGACAATTTATTGGCCACCGGAAAGTTTTCTCTAGAATTGTTTGTAGTTAAACCCTTTTTGGGGGAAAGGGTTGTCTCCCTCACATCGCAACCCAAATTATAAAAGGGATGACAGGAGCACAGCCAACCACAGTCCAACCTGAACACAGCGAAGACTAAGCGAATGGCAAGAACCAAAAGCTCCCCCGTCAAGACAGGCACATGTAGCGTCGCTGCCCCTTGCAACAACCGTCAATGTCGCCATGGCGCCCCGAAAAGGCGCTACAAGTTCAAGCCCGGCACAGTCGCAAAAAGAGAGGCCATCGACATGCAACTGTCCACGCAGCTGCTGATTCGAAAACTCCCCTTCGCCCGCCTCACCAAGGAAGTGGTCAAGACCATCCAATACCCCCTCCGCATCGCGTCTAAAGCTCTCGAAGCACTCCAAACTGCTGTAGAGAGCAGAATTGTGGACATCTTCAACGATGCGGGAGAGTTCACCACCCACGCCAAAAGAAAGACGCTTCAAAAGCGCGACATGGAACTCGCCCTGCGATTGCGAGGACGACGATAAGAACCGACCTGGCTCTTCAAAACAGGCCCTTTTAAGGGCCACAAAAAAAACCTTTTTTTACAGCCGAATCAGAACAATTGAACACGGAGCATTAGCGTTTCAGTGAGATTTTTGGCGAAAAAATGCAGCAGTTTTCACGAAATTCGTGAAATTTGCCGGTAGGTGCAAAAAAATACCATAAAGACTCGCAATGGACAAATACGAACACTTAATGATTTAAATAAACGCTGAGAAATGAAGACAGCAGCAATTGATCCGCCAAAAAAATACACGAAAACCGTTCACTCCGAATAAAATGAAACAGTAAGACTTTAAAAAACAAAAACGTTCTCGAATTTGAGCTTAATAGTTGAATAATAAACATATAAAACGGAAACGTCCTAAGAATAAATAGAACGAAACGAACCTAAGTTAGAATTTCCAACCGTTCGCGAGAACAACAGTTACAACCCTGCATTCACGCTAGAATAACACAAGTATAAACAGGTAATGAAATAAGGGGACACAAGAACTATTAGCGAAACAGAGGCAATAGCGAAGACAACAAAGAAGTAATCCAATGGGCGCTGATCGAAAACTTCAGGCAATCGCACGCGGCTGACAGACTAAAACAAGGTTTGTTAACTTAAAACAAAAATAATTTTGAGGCGACAAAATCGTTCGACACAAAACTTTTGTAAAGCATAACCTCATGTGAGCAAAGTTTATTGGCCTAAAATGGCAAATGAAACATGTAAAAATATTTATTCAAAATGAATAAATCTAAGAGAGATAATGATAAACCTTTAGATGCAAATGAATAAAGAGAAATTTATAGAGAGGACAAAGGGCGATAATTCAAATAATTATGTCGAACGGCCCATGGAATAAGAATTTAAAATAAACATTTTAGAATGGTTAACTTCACAAGTCCAGAACCGATGGAATGCAACCCAGTTGACAATGATCGTAAACCAAAAAAGGTAAAGAGCAAAAAAAGGAAAATTGTTGACTTAAATTAAAGGTTGTGAGGATGCAAATCCTGAGGCGTTAGATCTTTATCTGAGGCCGCGCTCTTACTGTCCGGCGCCTAGCGCATCAGTCGTCTTGTAATAAATACTCGAGCTACACCTAGATTCGAGCCTCGCTTCTATAGCATTTACCGCAGAGATATCGCAGGTGGAAGAAGGTCCTCGCCAGAGAACTTGCAGCCTTACAAGTGGTGTCTCGTGATCTTTTGCGAAGTTCAAGACGGCTCCTCGAGTAACACAAAAACACAAACCGGTACTTATTTTTGGATCCAACGAACCTAGTTAAACCCTCCAATCAACAACCCCACGTACGTACATCCTTTCTTCGTCTTCTGGAAGCTGTCGAATCCGTTCCAAGTCGTCAAAAACGGCTCGAGGGACTCAACGACAAAAACATTCCGCGCGCTCTCCAACTGAATTTATCAACGTCGACAACAACTTCGCCCGCCAAAATTTTTCGCATCGTACGCCCCTCCAAGTGACTTTCTCTCAAGGTCACAGGGGTCAGGCCAGGTACAAATCCAGTTCTTCCGATACTTCTTCTCGTTAGTTTTACCTGGGCTGCTAATCAATCTGATCGTCGATTCCGTTATCAACGTTACCTTCTCTAACAAGCACGTCAACTGGTGCAAATCTGCGATCTGGCACTTTTGGGGATTTCTGCTGCTCTTTGCGCACCGAAAGTCCCTATAATCTGACCAAGTAGTCCAAAACTTGCGTCAGAGGGAACTGCCGAGGTAGTTTGCTAGTCTCACAGATAACTTACGCCCAATTTCGACACGCTTGCTCGCTGCTCCTCAACCATCTCATCTCGTCACAGTATTCCAGTGGTTTTGCCGAATCCCTTCGCAGACCGAATATCCCTAGAATCTGACCAAGTATCCAAAACTTGAGTCAGAGGGATCGGTCCAGGTACTGACCTCAGCTTACAGTTAACCAGTCGAATCAAGGTCCCCGCTCGAACTATGCCAGCTGTTAAATTCGACTTGGATAGCATCACAACGGTCCAGAAAGCGCTCGAAATAAACAAAAAGCTCGAAGCTAAGAAGGAAGCTTACGCTGAAGGCCTCGAAGATATAGAAGATGCAGCTAGCCGCACAGCACTAGAAAGTAAATTACAGGAAGTTGAAAATAACATCGCGGCAGTAACGAAACTCGTCATGTCGGGAAAACTTCCGCTCGGCTCCGTATCTTCTTCGTCGAATAGTCAGTCGGCGATTTCGGCGTCAGTGATCAATAATGCCTTCTCCAGACACTTCGGATCGTCAAAATTCCAAGGCACTAGTCCAACCGAAACTGATAATTTCATTGGACTCGCCGACAGCTTCTTCAAGTCATACATCTACGATCGAACTTTGAAGAGGGCTGATCCTGATAAAGAAAATTTTTTTCTTTCGTGTCTAAGAGCTCACCTTGACGTTGCTCCGTCCAGATCCATTGGCCAGCAACTCGACGCATGCGACACGTACCAAAAAGCTAAAAAGCTGATCAACGACCAATTCGGAGGAAAGCTAAACCACCTGTTGGTTATATCGGAAGCGGCCAACATCGAGTTCGACATTGCTCTTCCAGTCCATGACTACGCCGGGAAAGTTCAGACGAAACTGAACGAAGCTTACGAAGCTAGCGCAAAGGAGTTCCGAAGGGCACACAAGGACAAAGAGATGTCCGCCCAGGACTGCTTCAATATCTTCGCGACGCATCTGCTGACCGAGAAACTGCGCGTCAACATGCCCGAGTTGTACAACATGCTCATCGACCGGATGAAGGATATTTTCAAAGCAGATGAACTCGCCGCCGCCGCCGAAAGCCTAAGACGTAATATGAGTCCGACAGAAGGAAATACGCACTATGTTGGTAAACCGAAGTATAACGGAAAGAAAAATGGGCATGGGAAGAACTTCAAAGGCCAGAATCAAAAAGGCCAAAACCAAAAAGGCCAAAATCAAAAAGGCCAACAAGGTCGAAAGGGTCAAAACGGCCAGAAAAGTGGTAAAAAGGCTAAGGATGACGGAGATGACGGTCAAAACGACCAAAAAGTGCACATAACCGAGGCTGACCACGACGAAGACTTCAGCGAAGACGCGCTATCGCTCGCAGTTCTTCGAGCCGCTCCGGTGTACCAATCCTTACCTGCACTAGTGGAAGACCCATTTATTGCTAGTGCATCCTTTGCGAACCAACACGGGTCATTCGAGATCAAATGCGAAATCGACTCTGGCAGCTTCTCCACGATACTGCCGCGGCGAGTAATTCCAGCAGCAATGTTGAAGTCACTCAAGCCCGCTCCGTTGACGATTTCGGGGCTCTACGGTCGAGCTCAAAGCCCACTTGGGTTACTACAGCTGAAACTTCGATTCGGCTCTGGACCGGAACTCGATGCCAATGTGTACATTTTGGAGACGTGCCCATGCCTGCTGGGACGAGACGTCATCCGCGGCCGAGACGTTCGCGCAGTTGAACTCGGTCGGAACAGCTTTCGCCTGATTTTCGACGGTCGGTACAAGTCACATCCCCCACTGAAGGTCCCGCTCGTAAAGGATTACCGAGTTGGGTGCGCCAAACCAGACGGCGGGGACGAAAATCACCAAGCTAACAGGGATAACCCAATCTTGTGGGTAAAACGGAACTTGGGTATAGATCTGCCGAGCAGCGCGCCACTTGAAGAACGTCTTATCGTCGCTGGTGACCTTAAAGAGTTCAGCAAGGCGTTTGCCACTAGCTCAACTGAACTTGGCGTCTTTCCGGAAGAAGCTGAGCTACGTACTGTACCAGGCGAGGTACGAAATCGCAAGCAGCATCCAATCCCGCTGGCACAACACCCACTCGTCGACGACCATGTCGATAAAATGCTGACCAGAGGAGCAATTCGCGAAATCGACGATCCAAAAGGATGGAACAGCGCGATTATGCTGGTCGACAAAAAGGACAAATCGACAAGATTTGTCGTTAACTTCGCTCCGACAGTAAACCAGTGCTTGTCCCCACAGTCCGATCCATTTTTGATGCCAGCAATGGACGAGATCATAGCCAGTCTCGGAGAAGGCCAAAAGTACTTCACTTGCGTGGACCTTGAGAGTGGTTACTGGCAAATCCGTTTGAAAGAGGAAGACCAGGTGAAAACTGCATTCCAGTGGAAAGGGAAGACATACGCATTCACAAGGGTGCCATTTGGCTATACATTTTCCGGAGCGATATTCTCCCGCAGCGTCGCCAGAATGCTCGACACGGTGAAAATGCGCCAAAACGTGGCCAACTACGTCGACGACGTCATCCAGTTCGGCGACTCGTTCGCGACGTATCGCAAGTCACTCCGCCAACTCTTGGCTGCGGTGGTTGCTTTTGGTGTCCGATTGAAGCCATCAAAATGCCAATTTCTCCAGACGGAAGCCAAGTTCCTCGGCCGGGTCATTACTAAAAATGGGGTCAAACCAGATCCAGACTACACCGAGGCGCTCTTGAAAATGCCTGTCCCTACCAACCACAAAGAGCTCCGAAGCTTGGTGGGCAGTCTAACATGGTTGAAACAATTTTCGGAAGCGAGAATGGGCGAGAAAATCGGTGAAAATCTTTTCGCAGCAGTAATGAAGCCGATTACTAACCTGCTCGTCCCATGTAAACGCGGATACGTTCCGCCTCCCTTTGTCTGGTCCGATGAAGCGGATGAAGCATATTCGAAGCTCAAGTCCAGACTGTCGTCCATGCCGGTCATCAATTTTCCAGACTTCCGCCACCCGTTCGCACTTCACACGGACGCTTCGCTGACTGCATGTGGCGGCGTATTGACACAGATCATCGACGGCACGACAAGACTTGTCGGCGCTGTATCTAAAACATTCAGTAAAACGGAGAGAAACTGGAATGTGAGCGAAAAAGAGGCTTTCGGAGTGCTTTGGTCAATCGAAAAACTCTCGAAAATACTCAAAGGGACCAAATTTGTGGTCCATACAGACCACGCGAGTTTAACTTATCTCGACAAAACTGTTTTCAAAAACAGTAAAATTGCCCGTTGGCAACTCCGACTATCCGAGTACGACTTCGTCCTTGAATTTATCCGCGGCCAGAAAAACACCTTTGCGGACTGGCTTTCACGCCCCTTCGGAGCAGAAGACAGTGAGAAACCGAAGCTCGATCAAGCCAGAAACGCGGGCAGATTCTTGACCATTGGCGACTCGAAACTAGTCGTCTACATACCTTCTTGGTGCTCCGATCCAGCGAAGATCCCGAAAAACGCGCGGCAACTAGTAGCCGTACACACAGCGAGGATTCTGCGCCCACTTGAGGAGGAGAAACTTGACGGCCCACTTGGTTGTCTAGCTGCGTACCAGGAAGATGATCCATTTCTAAAAACGATTATTGGTGCGGTAAAAAGGGCTCAGGATTCAAATTCAGAAGTGAGTCTAGCCACTGTTATCGACGGAAAAGACCACCGCCGGAGCCATTTTCTGAAAATCGAAAAGAAGCTCGCTATTTGCCGCACATCGAACGCTCTCGTGATAAATGATCGACGCGGCCCACGTGCAGTTGTTCCAGAGTCACTTAGATCTACTTTCGTGAAAAGAGCGCACGATCTAAAAGGCCACTGTGGACTGCCGCGAATGAAGGAGCACTTGAAGCTTCTTTGGTGGATAAACATGGATGCAGACTGCTTAAACTACGTACGATCGTGCAAATCATGCTTAAAAGTCAAAGGCGCTCATGGCCGACCTCAAGCTCCACCGACCGGTACGGTCCGAAAAGGCAGACATCCGGGTGATATACTCTGCATTGACTACGTCACGATGAAAACTCCCGCGAGTGGTTGTAAATATCTACTCACTATCATCTGTGCTTTCAGCAGATTCCTTTGGGCAGTGCCTTGTCGAAAAGACAACGCTTTCTCCGCCGCACAAGCACTGACCCAAGTATGCCTTCAGTACGACTTTTGGCCAAACCGAGTTCATAGCGATCGTGGATTGCACTTTACTAATGCTCTACTCGATGAATTTTTCAAGTCGAACAAGATCGACCATACTTTGACCTGTGCTTGGCGACCAGAAGCCAATGGCATTGTCGAACGCAGCCATAGAAGCTTGAAAAATGGGCTGTACTCAATGAGCCATTCGGAAAATATGGATTGGAAACAGTGCTTACCTTATGTTCTCAGGGCGATGAACGCCAGCAAATCCAAAGCGACGGGCCAAATTCCACGAGACTGTTGGCTCGGTACTGCGAGAATTGATAAAGCCGCCGATAATCCAGGCGAATATGGGAACAGCGTTCGTAAGAGGATCGAGCGCGTCTCCAAGCTCGTTGAAGTCGCAAACATGGCCGCTGAGCTCGATTCGGATCGCCGCAATGAGAAAAAGCTACCTCCATCAACCTTAACCGAAGGTCAACTTGTGTATTTAAAAAGAGACCTGAATTCACAAGGTAAAACTACCGGGTTGAAGTACGTCGGTCCACTACGCCTGATCAAGTCAAACGAGTCCGTTTGCATGGTCGAAGATGGCCGAAAACGGCGTGACTGGGTCTATCGTGGTCATGTGGTACCAGCCGATGAGCGTGCCGAACATTTACACCAAGTTGACCGAATTCACCGCGACGAGGAACTATACATTTGGCAGCATCTGACGAGTATTGTCGAAGATCGAGCAAAACCTTCGAATTTCCCGTCTGAGGGGGATGAGAGTCATAAAACGCGAAATTCTGCCGACGCGCCTCCGAAATCAGCTGAAATAGGTACTCCGAAAATTCTAGGTGAACAGCTTAGAAATAACACAGAAAAGAGTACAGAAGGTGAGAAAAGTGCGTCAGAAACTCTGCAGAATCAATCAATTACTCCGGTGAAACAACCGCTACAAAACTCAGAAGTCTCACCCGAACCGCAAAATTCATCTTCATCGAGCTCTTCTGATCATCAGATTCTCTACCCAGCAGATGCCACTATGAGATCAGTCGATCCGACTTTTGTCTCTGCAAATTCTTCCCTTGAAGATTCTCGGAACTCTGAGGATTTCAGCGAAGCCGAAAATGAGCTCTCAATCATTGCTGGAGCTGTCGACCAATCAGCGCCCGCCGCCGATTCAACTCCGACGAATTTTCCCACGGCCCCGCTGACTGTGCCAAGCGCGCCGCGTAAGCGCCCAGCCGACTCTTCCGCAGTTCAACTACACGTCGAATCCGCTACTCGTCCAAAGAGAAATCGATTCGAGCCTGCAAAGCTCAATATCGCCTCCAACAAAGGCCAAAAATACTAGTGAATCGATTTCGAAGAGATATTCTTCAAGCAACGAATCTACACACGAAGACATTTCTTTACGTGTTACTGTACATAGAACCTCATCTAAAGTCTGAGGGGGATGTGAGGATGCAAATCCTGAGGCGTTAGATCTTTATCTGAGGCCGCGCTCTTACTGTCCGGCGCCTAGCGCATCAGTCGTCTTGTAATAAATACTCGAGCTACACCTAGATTCGAGCCTCGCTTCTATAGCATTTACCGCAGAGATATCGCAGGTGGAAGAAGGTCCTCGCCAGAGAACTTGCAGCCTTACAAGGTTAACCACAAAATTGCTGATCACCAAAACAACTATGCCCCGGCAGAGGTAAAACATGACACGGCCGAATTTGATGATGAATTCGATGATGAGGAATTTGGTAATACAGACAAAACAAGCTTTACATACAATAAAATTAAGATTTAATCTACCGAAGGAACAATAACATCGCATCACAAGATTCGACCCCAGGAAGCCAGCAGAGTTTTGCGACGGGAAGCTTCAGCAATGAGAACTTTGGTAATAAGATTATATAACATGATAATTATTAAAACCAAGACAACCTCGCAGAAAGAAATGCAGCTGAATTCGCCGCAAAAGAAAAGGAGACCAGAGAAAAAGAAGATAAATCTGAAAAAGACAGAAGAGCAGACCAGAAAGAGCAAACAACTGAAAGCGAACGAAAGAAACACGCAGAAGTACAAGAAAGAACAAGTTTCATCGCGTCCCAGCAAGGTAGATACAAATCAAAATACTTATTATTAATAAAATTAGAAACGGTAATTGATTGCACGCAGGCGCGTCAGGAGACAGCAGAGACGTCGGTATTAAGGTAAAAATAACGATATATTCAACCTAACATTTTTAAGACGAGTCGACACGCAGGATTCGACCGAAGCAGAAATTGAAGAGAGACGAGACCCGTGCTGTCTAAAATACGAAAGAATTATAATAATGGACGAAAACGAAGGACCGTATGAAGGTAGTTACTAACAATTAATAAAAACGTAACTTGTTTGCAGGAACGCCACCGTGCACATTCCACGAAAGCTACTACAAGCGATGGCTCAACAGTATCAAAGATAGAAGAAGCGGCGGAAAGGCAAATAGAGAAAAAGCAGTGGGAAAGGCAGAAAAGAAAAGATTCGCGCCCTACTGGAACTACGATCCAAGCAAGTACGAAAATAAGACAGTCGAGCTTCCTAAAACGCATGTTACCAAAGAATATTTTGACGAGAAAGAAATGTAAGGTAAAAAAATGATTGAAGCTGGAAATAAACAAAAAATCCCTTAATATTACCTCTCATATCATGAAGCATTGTGGGCGCGATCAGGTTCCTATAAAGAAATAACAAAAATATACAAAAAAAAAAGGAGAATCACCTGCAAGTCAAGCGATGAGAACAAGCGAGAAAAACGACCAGGCCGATCGAGCTTTGAATCGGATGAAGTAGACAGCATTTGAAAATGATTTTCATCATCGGGCTTGTTCATGAAACTCGGAATGTTCGTAGAAACAGCATGCAGGGCATTTTCAGCAACCTCATCTAAAATAAACGTAAATGTAGCATGACAGGCGCTCGTAGAAAGATAAAAAAAAAACTAACCGTTTGAAGAAGGGGTGACAGCGCGAGGATTATTTAAAGACCGAGCGACCTTTCTCCGCCTATATGTACAGTTGGTCTTCTTGTTACGAATCCACACAGGCTTGTCAGAGATCGTATTCGGCCCGATAACATCAAATAGATTGTCCCAAGAATTAGTATTCTTCCGAGTAGAAGAAGAAATAGGAGGAACAATTGACGCTCGTACATCATTCGATCTTGAATAAAAAAAAAAAAGAAATGGTAAAGTTGAATTTATACCTTATGCCAATGGACGAAGGAATATCAGACATGAAAAATTCGTGCTCATGCGAACAATAATTCTCGGTCTTGAAACCCCATACATGACACGAATATACGGACGAAAGTTCACGCAAGACAGATTCTTTCGCTTGAGCACTGACGACAGAAGAAATAATAGCATTATTGCGTTCGCCAGAAAGATAATAAAGAGGCTCACCACCAAAGGCTGAAACATTATCCTGAAAGAGTCGCTTGACCACGTTGACTGGCAAGGACAAGATTGACGCAGCTTGACAGAAACTCTATAACAAAATCAATATCATAAATAGAAAGGATTGCATACAAGAATTTTTTTTTCCTGGAGGAGACGGTTTGATTTGACTAAAATTGACTCTAAATCCATCGCCAAAAACTCTTAAAAAGATAAATTTAGTTAAAAACAAGATAAGAAGGTAGTTAAAGAGATTTCTAACACAAGAGAGCAGAAAAAAGGGCATTCTCATTAAATTTAACGAAAACTTCTATAGAAAGAATGACTCACCCGACGTGGACCAATGAGAGCGCACAAGCGCCGGTGCACCAGGAGCGAGAAAAATCCAATTTTACTAGCTTCGCCCAATAGATCTAGAGCATAAGTGAAGGAAAATTAGAGAATGCCTTTCAACGCTTCTGCCAAAGCGAAATTAGGCAAAAATTAGAGAATATCCGTCACTTATGAACTAAATCGAATCGAGCACCCATTTTTGACCTTAGTATAAAACGAAAGAACGCATTTATTAGCGAAGGAGTAAAAATTTTTCGACAACGCTTCTGCCAAAGCAAGGTCGACATAAAAATACAAGAATAAGAGTACTCTATCACTAATAATCGCATCTTCCACAAAAAATTTTGCTCGATTATTTTATCACAACTAACTTCTGCCAAAGTAATTTGAGATAGAATATTCGAGCTGAGTACAATATAAAACGATTACAAAAAAAAGCTATAGGTCTCACCAGAATGTAGCCCTTGAGGAAACGCCCACAACCTCCCACCCCCTCCCCAAAAATACACCTCTTTTTTTATACTTCGAATAACAAACATATAAAAAATTGGGGCAAAAAAAGCCGCAGGTCTCACGAGAATGTAGCCCTTGAGGAAACGCCCACAACCTCCCACCCCCTCCCCAAAAATACACCTGTTGAAAAAGTTCGGGAGGGGCGCGCTCCGCGCGCGTATATATTAAGACGCACAAATAGAGGGTATTAGAATTAGGGAAGGCGGAGCAGGAAGTTGAGCAGGCCGGCTGGAGAAAGTGGCACGCTTCGCGTGAACCCTGTTGTAAGTGGAGAAATTGGCACGCTTCGCGTGAACCCTGTCGCTGGAATTGGCACGCTTCGCGTGAACCCTGTCGCTGGAATTGGCACGCTTCGCGTGAACCCTGTCGTTGGAATTCTTGTTGGAAATGAGTTCGAGGAAGTTGAAAAATTTGTTGGAAATCTGTTCGAAAAAAGTTGGAAAATTTGTTGGAAATCTGTTCGAAAAAGTTGGAAAATTTGTTGGAAATGTGCTCAAAAAGTTGGGAAAATTGTTTTAATTGTGTCGGAGCCACTTTTAGAAAAAAGTGTATTTGGTTCGAAGTGTACTTGGTTCGAAGGGGATTTGTTCGAAGTACTTCGAAAATTTGCACTTCGAACCAGGTACACTTCGAACCAGGTACATATCGAACCAGGTACACTTCGAACCGAGTACACTTCGAACCGAGTACACTTCGAACCAGGTACACTTCGAACCAGGTGAATATCGAACCTATTACATACGCCCGAAAGGCACGGAGTCACTAAAATCATACAACACAAAATATGATGATGATTTTAAAATTGCACTAACACGGTTGTAGGTAGAATATAGCTGTTTACCGGAGCTAGTCTTCAGTAAACCAATCTTTTTTAAAATATATTTTCAAACGATGAAAATTGAGAGTTTCACTGTCGACAAATGTATGACCGCTTTGTCACTCTATTCTATATTTGCTCTATTCTTATAGTAACACATTCCCGGTTTTGTAGCTAATAAAGTAGCGCACCTGGTCACTATTCTTTATCCTGCCACTCTCTCGGCATATTTTTTAAATGAAAAAATCACCCCTTTCGCACAAAAATTGGCTTGAATTTTATCTGAATTTTCTGCGAGTAGATGATCCAGATGACCCCCACCAGCTGAGTTGCTGGAACAGTTCAACCAATACGACATTGCACTGCAAAACGAAGGAGCCGGGTTGAACATCTTTTAGATTATGAAAGGCTAAAGCTTATCTAGCTTGTCTAACAAGAGCACATCTGCCAGGATATTGTATCATTATTATAGTCGTATCTTGCATCGTGAAAGGCAACTTCTACTCGGGTATTAAAAAAGAAGCTGAATTTTCATACAGAAATGAGTTTGTCCGTCGGCGGATATTAATTTCTCATATGATCGCCGCGTGGTCATCTGAAAGTCAAAAAGTTAATAATTATTTTCATTTCAACCCGACTCAAAGATGAAGAGGAAACTAAAAAGGACGTCTCCGTGATGCTAAGGGAGCGACGCAAGTCTGACGCTGGTCGAATTTCTTTTAGAAAACGAGCATCCATCGGTAATCTTCAGATTCCCTCTTCCATCGCTGAGAAGGCTTCATCATCTGTAAAGTAAGTTTAAATCATCATTTTTTTATGCACGAAACAGAAGTGAAAAATTTAAATGAAAAAATAGTGGTCCTAGGCTAGTGCTTTCCACTTTCTCTTATTTGATTTGATTTTCTAGCGATCATAAGCCGTTATAAATACTCGAGTGGTTGTTCAAGTTCAGTATGAAAGGGTAGAGTCGGTGGGTCTGGGTTTTGAAAGGCGAAAAATCAAAGGAGTATTGTACCAGCTCCGCAAACGTTGCGAGTTGATTGAAAAGCTTCCTCGTGTAGTTCTCATCAGAGAGTGAGCTTCCCCTCGCTTCCCGCGTCAAATTAAAACTACAAACTTTACCAATAGCGTGACAGCGGTGTTTGAGCTCTATCCGCCTATTTTCGCTCTTTTCACCGACGGTAACCTATTTGCTCGAATCCGGCAAGCACCAGCGAGATATTTTCCCAGACAACCTACAATTCTCTTTATCCAAGAAGCTTTATAAAGGTAGACAATACCCAAATGCAAATAGCGCTAAACATATGGGCATGGGAATCGTTCGAAAATATTTTTTGGTCTTTTGAATTTGAATAGTTTTAAATTTCAAATATTACTATCAAAGGTTTGCTCAGTCGAAGAAACGAAACGTTAAAGTTCAACTTTACTGAAGGTTTTGAAGAGTCCTTTTACTAAAAAATCTGTCTTTTCAGAACCAAAAAAATATGATTTCTCGAAAGAAATTTGAAAATAGACGTCCATGAGTGCGGTAAAAAGAGTAACGTCAATTAGACAAATTCACAAGTGGCGTCAATTTATGTTAGTTCCACTTCCGATAGATTTGTCCAAGGATTAAAGCGGTGATCCCTCAATGTGTATCATAATCTTTCCTGGCTTGTCTTCCGCCGATGGATCCGCGATTGTTACGGCCCGCGAGCGCCCGCATCGCGGATCCCCCACGGACTCGTCACGCACTCATATACAAAATAAAAAAGATCAACATATGTTTTTCCCTTCTAAATTTTTGTAAATATCGTTATTTTCTTTGCAAGATGGGAGAGATACAGATGCTCTTGCAGTCAGAGAGACCCAGTAAATCAGACCAGATCAGAAGGCGTGTGAGGACGCGGACGAGAAAATCGAATTTAAAACCTCAGAATGTTGCGTCTTTCGTCAGGTAGAGAAATAATCATGCATTTTTCGATAGATACAAAATATTGGAATGCATTTTTCGCGAAAGCTTTGAGAGATCTATCACAGAATAATAATGTCTCGCCCTCGGATCATAAATAACACAATTAGAGCTCCTTTCAAAGTTGCTCAAGTTTACGAGCAACATCAATAATGCCTCTGAAAAATGGCCATATATCTTCTTTTTCTTTCTTATTTATCTAACAAGAAGGTCTTCCTTGATTGTTTTTATTAAGTTGTTACGGAGTAGAATTCCAACGCCTATTTGAAATTCTGATCATTGTGCGTCATGTGAATCTAAATCGGAAAATAAGAATTTTTCGAAAATTCAGACTGATGTTTGAAAGTACATAAGCAGGCTGGGCAAATAATTGACGAGTAAATTTGAGGTGGTGTCAAATCAACCACGTTCGGTTTCTCTTTTACTCATTTGTGGTCCTGCATGTTTTATTCACCGTGTTTTATTACAGTGTTACAGTCATGCAGCCCCGTCTGAGAAAATTCAGAGCACTATCATTGTTTGCATGTGTGATTCGTTTTGGCGCGGGTTGAATTCTTTGAAGGTGGAATTTGTGAGGCATTTTTTACTGCGCCAAATATTAGCCCACTGAATAGTAAGGAAAATGATGAAAGTTTCCGTTTTTTCAGTCGGCAAATAAGTTCAAAATTTCTCATTTTAATTTGAGTTTAAATTATTATCTATAAGTTATTTTTTATATTTATTGGTGCCGTATAATTCTAAATGACAAAGTTACCCGAAATCGTTTACGGAGACTTTGATTTCTCTGTGATGTGCGAATTTGTAAAAACGCGTAAATTATTTTTGATAAAAATTTACGAGGGCGCTCGAGGATCGCGGCGCGCGGGGTTCTTCCATGGTTTCAGTAGCGGGAAATTTCCGCCGTAAACTTACTGAAAACTTATCGTAGTTCAGCAATACTAAGATTCTCGACGCATCTTTCATAAAGGGAAAATCAACTCAGAGGTCTTACGGGCTTGGATCAAGCTGATTCGTGTTAGAAATCATAGAAGAGTTTTTATATTAACAATAAATAAAGATCAACTTAGTAATTTTCCCTTCAATACAATGGCTACTGTAGCTCTAAGTTAGCAACTTCAAATTTGCCTAACAGCCAAGAATCTGGACTCAATTTTTCTAAGGATCTCCGAGTTCAAATCTTTCCATATCTTCATCTCCTCTAGATTTAATTCTTTTCCCTTTTTTGGTATCTTTGTTCATTAGGAACTATATATTCAATCACTCAAAAGATAAGAAACTTCGTTATCCAAGAAGTTCCTTTATTCGCTTCTATTATGAACGACAATGGAGAGAACATTGATAACCTGTCAACAACTTCCCTTGAATTTTGCGATGGGTCAAGGTATGGCAGTTTTACATATTCTCAAAAGCTCCTCCATCATCCGTATTCATAGAAATTTTCTCTCAGAATCAAAAAAGAATTAAAATTAGTGTGAAAATGAATTAGCTGCGACTAAACCGCGGGTGCTATGATTGGAGAGATTGATCACCTTACGTTTTCTACGTCGCAGTAAACTGGGAATTATTAGCAATGAAGGGCGTTAGTAATTATTTGCTCTTGTTGTAAACTTAATGCTTCCTGGCTGTGGAAGCCCACTTGTAATGATTGAATTATTGCATGGTAACACAAGAAGCAACAATGGTGTTTTATGATAAGATTGAATTTTATTTAAAAAAGGATGTAGGCAGCTAAATAGAAAATGGTGTGGGAGGAATGTTTAAACATGCAGTTTAAAAATCAGAGGAATGAATCACAGATAAACATCGCCTCGAAGTTGTTTTGACAAAAGTATGTTCATCAAAGCACTCGTCATATGGCTTCAATTAATGGGTTTAGTAGTACGCTTTACGCAGTAAAATAAAAATTACAAATTGGTATAAACAAAGTAGTTGAATATGCTCTTGGTTTCACAGGTCTCGGTTGACGCCGTATTTTTTGATCTCTTTGTCGATCTGTTTCTCGTTTAGTTCTTTGTAGGGCATCATTTTTTTTATTCTTTTTTCGTTTGATCTAGAGTCGGTTGAGTTGTCAGGTATCCAAATTTGGATTTCGTATTTTTTTATTTTTTTTTGTCCTCTTTTTCGTTTGACTGGTTGAGTTGGTGTTCGGCGGGCACTTATATTGGTGTCTTTTCCCTCATGGAATTCCAACTGTTGACTCGCGCCGTTCGCTCTGCGCCACCATAGGATATCAAACATGAAAGCTGGACTGATTTGTTGGGCAGCAACGATCAAAACTGGTTGTCATAAATAAAAAATTCGTGTTGCAATTTTCTTGCAGCTTCGACAAGGGCACCAAAAGCATATTTAAACTAGTTTGTAGCTCTTCCGCTGATAGTCCGAGCATGTTGTAGTAACATTGTTGAGCTACATATCATCTGGATGTCCGTATTCATCGATTTGCGAGTTCAACTCTTGCTCGTCGTCGATGATTCCGTAGACAGTGTATCTTTCGTAGTCGGTCATTTTTGAGTTGAAAAAGTTTTGAGTTTTTTTTTTTACTCGGTTTGATAAGTGATAAGGAAATCGTCAAGTTCTCTCTTTTTATACTCGTCCGACGAAAGAGCCAATTAAATTATGACCGAGTGGCGCTCAGCGGTGGCGCAGTCTTAGGAAGGGTTAGGAATCGAAAAGAATGCCGCTCCCGTGTGAAGTCACTGATGATGTCACGATCTGAAAAAAATGATTACGATTACGGCGGCGAACACAACCTAACTTACGTTTCATACGTGGAATGAGTAATGACGTCAAAATTCTTAATTATCTATATGTTTCCGTTTTGTTAATCACTGACGTAAAATCTCACTAAAGATCTCCTAGAATCTCGAAGAATATTTTTAACAAAGTTGCTAATGTTGTCATTCAGGATACCAAAATCTGTCCAAGAAGATGTGCCTGAACTAACGCCACTCCAGCAACGTCTCGCCCTACGTCAAGCTCAAGCATCAGCCCGATTCACCGCGGCTAGTTCAAGCTCTTTACCGAGCTCGTGCCCGTCGGACTCTGCCCCCGACGATTACCCCTCATCTCCGCGCGATCTCCAGCACTCTCCTGCTGCGCGTAAAGAAGTTTCCCCCGCCCAGCCTGGGACGCCGACGAATGTCCGACAACGCCGCTTCCGTCAGAGTCCTGCTAATCCTGCTCCAGTCCCAGCACACCTCCAGCCCGACTTCGATGTCACCATGATCGACGACTTGCTCAATGTATCGGGCATCCCCGACATTACACCAAAATCAATCCCCAAGGATGAAACCCCACCTAAAAGCTGTGAAGACCAAAACAACAATAGCGAGAACAATCAACAAGTACCAGAGCCCACTTGGTCAAGAGAAGACAACGCACCAAAGCAGCTACGCACATTTGGACTGGTCGCTCAGAAGCAACCAACCGATGCAGACGCCCCAATGCCTTCTGTGGACGACATTGAAGACTACGAAAATGACAATTCTGAGTCCACGGAATTTCCAGAACCACCAACCCCGGAAGAACAAAAGCAGTTCCTTGGCGAATCCGTAGAAAATGGAACGGTAAATGGAAAACATGAGATGCCTGAAGAGGAACCTGAGCCCGAGAGTAAAAACTTTCAAGACTCTGAAGAGGCACAAGAATTGAGCAAGCTCTCCATCAGAGATCGCCTCGAAAATCTCCAGGGACTTGGCCAGAGACCATCTCAAGAAGCTGAAGAATCAGATGAAGAAGATGAGCCCGAACCTGAGCCTGTTGCGCCGCCAAAGAAGAAAGATGGATTCACTTGCTTTTGGGACGAAATCAAAGACAGCCTCATCCGAAAAAATTTGAAACTTTACGTTGGCGATGTTGATTTTGACGATGTAGAGTCAGAACCCGAAGAAGATGGGCCTAAAGTTCCGCCTTTTGGTGCTCCAAGTTTCCCTCCTCGCCAGCCCGTTGCAATGCCAGGTATGGGCGGTCCTGGTGGCCCTCCTCCTCCGCCACCTCCTCCAGGAGGTATCCCTGGTGGTCCACCCCCAGCGCCTGGTATGGCGCCGCCACCACCTCCATTCGGTGGTCCTCCAGGAGCTCCACCTGGTCCACCTCCACCAGGTGGGATGGGTCCCCCTCCACCTCCATCTGGCGGTTTTTCCTCTCACCCAGCAAAACCTCAGAAAAAATCAAATCGAACTGTGAAACTCTTCTGGACAGAAATTCGTAAACCTGGTGCAGAAACCATTTGGGGTGCGATTAATGACGAATTTGAAGCTCCTGCGAACTTTTCTTCCGAGCTCGACAGCATATTTGCCCTCAAGGATGCTTCCAAGGGCAAAGAAAGAACTCCTGGTCAAAGTAATTCATCTTCATTTAATTCATTTCTTAAAATTTTCTAGGCCTAAAGCAAAACGAAATCACTGTCCTTGACCAAAAGCGCTCAAATGCTATTAATATTTCAATGAAAACGCTACCAAACATTCGCACGATCAAAAGTGCGATCCTGCACATGAACTCCGACGCCCTTCCAAAAGAAAGTATCGAGAAGATTTTAAAACTCTTGCCCACGGAAGAAGAGATCGCCATGATCCAAGATGAGCAGCAAAAGCGTCCTGGATTGCCCCTCGCCTCAGCCGAACAATTTCTTTCTACCATTCATTCAATTCCGGAGCTCGAAGCGAGATTGAAAATCTGGAGCTTCCGGCTGGACTTTCCAGAAAAAGAGCGAGAACTCGCAAATCAGGAATGGATGCAAAACTTGCAGGAAGCATGATGATTTACTATCGTTGGCAAACATACAATTTGTATCCGATTAAAAAGCTATCTGACCTTCGAGAGGCGCTTCAGCAAATCAAGAAATGTAAAACACTTGTGAAGGTGTTGGCTTGCTTGCTGAAGATAGGCAATCACCTTAACAACGCGAATGCAAAAGGATTTAGTCTTGACTACCTACAACGTGCACCCGAGGTGAAAGATACCGTCCACAAACACTCACTTGTCCATCATGTTGTCAACTACCTTGGCGGCGCGGATACCAAGGACCTTTACGAGTAAGTACACGCGGTTTATCAAACTGTAGAATATATTCTGATTCACCCGATGAATAGAAAAGGGAAAACTTAAGCCGTAAAACTAACACTTAAAAGGGAAAATGTAAATTTACAAATATCGGAAAACAAATTTGTTTTTATCACTGTAATTCTGTAGGACCTCTCTTACAGCAAACTTCTAATCTTGACATGATGACGCACTTTTTTCTCCATACATAAGATTCTCTATTCAAAGACATGAGAATCGTCAGTTGACTTCCTATGGATCAAAAACGTAGTATTTACGATTTCAGTCGCATAGTTTTACTCGATTAGTACGATAATCTTTTTTGCGCCACTTTTGAACTTATAAGCGTATCACTTCCTTTAGCTTACTTTTTATTCAGAGAACTCGGCGCCGTCACCCGTTCGGCTCGAGTTGATTGGGAGAGTTCTGCCAACACCATTTCCGATTTGGAGGACAAATGCCGCGTTAGCTGGGAATATCTCCGAGTGCTCAAACAGCAAGACAACTTTCACGATGATTTGAAAAATAAACTCACGTCATTTGTCCAGGAAGCCGCCCAGCACACTATGATTATACAAACAGTATGGAAAAGGCTTCAGGTCCGCCATCGGAAGATTCTCAGGTGGTTCGGAATCTCGGACTTTTCTGCATGGCCTGTCAAATGTAAGTTTGTCGCAGATTCCAATCAATAATATTTTTATCAGCTGTTTGTTCGACAATATCCGATTTTGCCCTGGAATTCAAGACTGCCCGTCAACGAGCCATTGAAATTGCCCAGAAAAAGAAGAAAAAGACGGAGACCCACAAGGGCCAGAAAATCACCACCAAAATTCAGGTACTTGCCTTTCCAGATCTGTTCAAGATCAAGGTAGAATCCTAGTTACTAGAAAATTAGCATTACTAATTAGTGATTTGTAGCCCACTGATATCGCGGTTGTCAACATCACAACCATGTCAGGGTCTTAAGGGTGTCCCCAACGATCGAGGCCGAGACTGTCTAATTCGGTGACTCAAATTTTTCTTCTTATTTAGGAAATTCTGATTCCGAACCTTTTTTCAGATCTTCAATATCTTATCTACTTCTCGAGATATGGCTTTTTCTATGAGCGCGCTAATGCATTAGCCTTCAATAGAAATGCACTGTGAAAATGGCTATTTTGAAATTCTCAATTAAGTATAGCAAATCATATATCTTCTGAAAGCTTGAAAAATTTCCTTTCTGCTGATACCATTTTCAAAAAGATCCGATGAATTTTACTTATTGTAAGAGCGCGTCAAAACTCGAAAACACCTGCTCTTTGGCGCCGGAAAAGGGGATTAACCTACTTATCGGTGCACAATCTGAGCTCATGGGAGCGTTGTTGAAGGATCGAACTATGTTCAGATTGAAATTTGGAAAAAAAATCAAGCGAGAAGAGCCTTAAAATTTGGTTCAAATTTTGTTAAAATCATCATTTTATATATTGTATATATATATATGCATTTGATATAATTATAAAAAATCTGTCTCGATTAATGCAGAGAGAAGTGTTCAAGCAACATAATTCTTTTCGAAATTTGAAATTTGAACGAGTAGATTTCGAGAAAAACGATCTCAAAGTTACCCGAGATTACAGAAGTCGACCTTCTTTAAAGCGGCGGTAGGGGATTAACGGATCAAAATATACAAAATCGGTCTCGATTAATGCAGAAAGAAGGGTCCAAATAATAATATTCAAATTGATTTTTTATGTAAAAACTATCCGATTAGTAGAATTATTAACTCAAAGTTGATCCTGTTTCAAAAAAATCGTTGGGGACACCCTTAATGACATCTATGACTTTTTTAACGAAAACGTTATCGTAAAATTAGGCCACGTTGAGACTTGGATTCTACTGATTTAACGAGCCACGTTCGTTACGTCCCCCATCGATCTAAGCAAATGTTCAAATGATTGCATTAACTTTTCCGGGGCCTTTCCACGCCGTTTTCGCACGGATTGTGAAGGTGAAATATCGGATGTATAAATTTTAAGAGATCACAAATGCTGCAAGGATGGAATTTCTCGCAGCAATATTTGCACCTGCTAATTACTGTAGTTACAGTTTCTTTTCTAGCTTGACGTAGAGACAGAATCCCTAAACTCGGACGAGGGAGATAATAAGGATGGCGAGGTAGATCTCTACTCGGACGCCATGACTAAGGAAAAATACATCAGACGCTTCAAAGAAGTGTTTGCAGAGGTTCGAGGGTTGATGATTGAATTTGCGTGATATGAATAAAAGAACATAAATTTGCTGTGTATCATTTATGCAAACAAAAATGCATATTTGCAGTCCCATTCCAGTGCGCTAACTCATTCCATTACCGTTTTTCCATTACTAACCCTCTCTTTACGCAAATATATAAGATTCATTTTTCCAAAGTGAATCTTCGTCAATTTTTATAACGAACTCATACTTACTTATTACTTAGGGCAACGGGAAATACATTGATCAAAGCGAACATGAGAAGATGGCTTCTAACTTGTTGGAGGATGGAGAAAGACGGACTCGGAGACAAAGTAAGAACCGTGGAAGTTAGAGTTTTTTATTTTGAAATTCTAGCGGGGAGCATCACAAGCCGCGGAAGCTCAAGTCGGGAGCCAATGGCTCGCCAGGCGAGTCTGTCTGCTGCAGGAAGCAACGAGGAAATGATCGAATCTCTTGCACAAGCAAGCGTATCAAATAGTGCCCAGTAAGTATCCCTACTGTAAATCTGCAGTCTAACGAGCTTCTTTTTAACCGCATGGTTGTCTCTTTCTATCTGTAACCCTCGACTGTAACCCGCCGTTTAGAAAGCCAAAGACCATCTCCAAAGTGCGCAAAAATTCATTTAGGCGTAAACGTCCAAAGTCAAGTTAATACCGAACCAAAAAAACATTGTTTAAAAACCTAGCGATAGAAATTTTATTCTAGGAATAGCTTTTTCGAAAGTTTCGAAGTCGAAATTTCGAAAATAACCTTTTTTCTTCTTCTAATGCATGTTTCTTTTTCTTAGCATAGAAAAGAGTGTTTTTCCTTTTCTAGCGGAAGTTTATAGAAAACTTTCCGGTCCATTCGCATGTTCATTGATGTTATTATCTGGACTTTTTGTTCAATGAATTTTTAGGAGACGAAGTCGTCGATCGCGAGCGGGTCCCGGCGGCCGCAAGAGCCAGCGCGAGCGCAACCGCACGCTCAACAAAGGCCTCTCGCCCGAGGAAATGGCCATTCTCATGAATCAAGCCTGATTTCTTGAGCTTCCAGACAATCTTATTTATTACAAAAAATCTACTGATCCAAAGTTCCAGTTCTTTCCATTCGTTTCTTCATTGCCTAGTCGTGCCTACACTAGAATGGATTCTGAATTATTGTTTCAACTACTGTACATTTCAACCCTTTTTTACCAAACTGCTTACTTCCGAGATAAAAAATATCAAACAAGTTGTCTTTATTACGCATTGATTTCTTATACATTGTGGGCTTTACTTTTTCTTAGTTCTATCTGATGCCAAATAAGCTTTATTTACAACTGTTTTATAGCGTTCGCAATATTTATTTTTACTAGTAAACACAATTCATCTAAGTTTATATGTAACCTCAGTCATATTTTGATAGTTCCATAGCAACAATAATTTGCGACTTAGGAAATTCCCTCCTACATAAAAAAGGTCGAAGAGAACCGATGATTACGATGAGAATTTTGACGTTCATAATCTTTTGAGGTCTTAAAATTTAAATTTCAGTTATTAAATAACGTTTGTTCTTATGAATAGCCATTTTTTAGTTTTCCTATCTGATGCACTGTATATTCTATTTAAGTTTCACAAGGTTTACGTACTTCTTTTTCAATCCACTGTATTTAATTCGCATATTCATGCTTAATATCATTTGTATTTATTGGTCACATATATTTAAAACTCATTTATAAATAAAATCATTAAATTTTTTTTCCAAAAACCGTTCAATTTTGTAAACTTTAACGAAAAAACTGACCGAATCTCAAAAACTACCGATTGTGAGCCGAACCGATCTTGCCTTTACCTATTTTTATGTTTCATCAAAGCTTTATTCTATTTAGTTTTTTTAAAATGCTCTTTTAACCTCTAATTCTGTTCAATAAATTACACTTTTGTTATCATAACTTGGCCTTGAAATTATGAAAAATTTCTGGTTGTGTTTGTCTTCTTGCAAAGTTTTGCAGACTTCCGTTGAGAAATTCCAGAAGAGTTAACCAGTCATTAATCCTTATCAGAGGAAGCTTTATTAATAACTTAAACATGAAATGTTTGGTTAAAGGATATTAAAGGGAAAAGAGATTGTGTGCGAAAACAAACGTAGACTTTTTCAGTTGATAGGACTTCCTCTTGTATTTACCTGTTGGCGACGTAGTTGTGATCTCACTATTAAACGTAAGACGCAACGTCAGAGGGATAAAGTTGACATCAATAATTGAAGTGACATATTTATTCAAATCTTGCTGAATCGTACTACCATAAAATCAGCCCGGATTTCCGTTTATGATGTGGCGTGTTAAGGTCTTAAATCAAGGGAAAACTAATCGGCAGCAGTGTAATCGAATTGTGATTGAAAACATTTTGTAATTACGTTTCCATTTCTCTGGATATGGAACAAGCATCGCAGAATTCGAAGCCAACGCCGTTGTCACTACCTGTTACGCCAACGAGGAGACTTGTCAGCTGACCGTCGTACTGAAAAAAATATTGCATAGTAAACAATTCTCAATACTAGACAACGAGGAGGAGTGATCGAGTCAGTCATCGGTTCCTGCAAAGCTCAGGATGCCTGTCTCGTTATTAACGAGTCGTTAACCGCAGCTACAACTTCGAAATGGCTACCCAGTGCAGACCTGAAGAGACGAAAGATGCGAACGGTGTTGATATCACCTCCGTCTGCCGATCATGCACCCACATCGATACTGATCAACTGTTGACTGCTAGATACACAACCGTTGCTCAGTGGAAGGCTGATCATCTCGGATCTCCTCGCCGAAAATAAGTAACAATTATTCGTCAACCCCTCGCTTTATGCATTAATCTGATTAGAAATAATGCCATCCAAATAAATAAAAATTATTAAACGTGCGTTTCGTTGTCAGAGATTTTGTAACATTTTATTTACAGTTGTGGCGAACGGTTATAAAAATATATAATTAGTAAATTAGTGACGCAGCATTTAATCGTCTTCGAACTCTTCCTCATCCATGTCTTCGGCGTTCATGAGCTCTTCTTCTTGTGCTTTCTTGAAGGCTTGCTCTTCCTCGACGGTGGGGTCCTCTACCTCGGTGATTTCGGGGCCGACCTGGTATTCTGTCTGGAAGGGTGGTGGGATTGGTGGCGAGTAGTTATCAGCGTTGTACTAAATTTATGCAGTTAAAAAATCATACTCAGCAGATGATTATTTACCTTCAGACCAAATCCGATGTAAACGTTTTCGAATCGCTTTCCATTGGAGAAGGCGGTGGCGCCGAGCCAGAGGTTGGACTTGAGCACGGCAAGAGCGTGATCAGCGTGGACAAGATTCGAAGACAATCGAGCAGTCCAGGCGGGCATGTTGTCGACCTCGGCATCCTCAGAGATGGAAGTCAAAAGAGAGGGACCTGAATTATTTAAATTTCTTGTTTTCAGAAAGGTTTGCTTACCCTGTTCAGGCTCGATCTCGTCCATGAGGTCTTCCTGGTCCTCCTCTTCGTCATCGCCCTCCTCGGGTTTCTGGTTGGTGTTGTGCCAAACAGTTCTACCCTGTGGGAGAATGTGAGATGTGTGATGCACCCAATTGGCGAGGGAAGGATCGGCCAAGTCGCGGACTGGGATGCCGTCGAATTCAGGGTTCTCGATGTAATTTGATTTGAACTCCTCTTCGTCCTCTCCTTCAAAATTTGAATGAAAACAGAAAAGACTATTAAAGCTCACCTCCTTCATCATCTTCATCAAATTGGTAGAATCCAAGTGGGGAAACTTGAGTACCAGCGGAAATTCGAGCAATCTGCGCTCTAAAATTATGCTAAAAAATATTTCAGAAAAAAAAATCTTACCGAAGATAGTTCTCTTCGTTTCCTGGGAATGGGGGATAGGCGCAGATTTCAGTCTTCAAGTCACCAGTGAAGAATTTCTTGATTTGTCGAGCACCAGCGATCTGAGCTGGTGTCACATCTGGAAGTCGGGTCCATTCAGCACCAGGCTAAAATAGTCGATAAGCGAAAATCGAAATGATGATCAGTGATCATCAATGACATTGATCACTTACGTTATTGCAAACGAAGTAGACAAACTTGTTAGCACCAGTAGATCGATCTTCAGATGGGATTGGTGGAGGTGGTTTCCATGCGGACTTGGGTAGAGCATCCTCGTTATTTTCTAGAACAAAATTTGTTTTCCCTCAATCAAGGAACTCTTTACCTTCATCATTATCTTCTTCGTTTTCGTCTTCATTTTCTTCCTCCTCTTCCTCTTCCTTTTCTTCTTCATCTTCGCCTTCTCGGAACTAAAGACATTGATGATATATTTATTTCAATATTTGGAGGTACCTGAGTTTCGGCAACAATGTAATTCTGGTTTCGTCCATGGATTTTACCCCAGAAGCGGCACTTGGCGAGAGGAAGGGTCTCTGTCAATTTCTAAAGGAAATTTGACTATTAGATCATTTGGAAAGACAAACCTTTAATGCGAGGTAGATTCGGAAGAGCTCATCGCGTCCAAGACAGATGCCAGTCTCTTCAAAGTCATTGGCGAGCTGACGAATATCTGGAATAATGCATTCGCCGTCATCCGCCTCGGCTTCTTCGCCATCTTCGTCGGGCCGCGAGAAGAGCGTCTTCTGCAACTCCGCGTTTTTCAGTGCCACCGAAGCATCAGAAACGTCCCGAAGAATATCTCCATCAGGCTGGAAATTATAAATTCAATTATTGAACGAACAAAACGATTTACCTTGGAGGAGTTCTTCTTGAGGTCCCGAGAGATTGACTCCATATCCTGGTAAGGATTGGGAGGTCGCTCGGTGATGAGGTTTCTGATGAGCGAGACCATGTGGTCGTACGCTGAGGGCTCGCCATTTTCAGACTTTGAAAGGTAGGCCTTCGCCGCCTGTAAAAATATTAAGTTAAATAAGTCAATGTTAATTATATTAATCTATTTAATCTAAATCAAAATATCGCTATATTTTACAAACCTGGACAGCCTCTTCGGTGGTCATTTTGCAAATTAGAACTGATCACTTTTGAAAAAACACCACCTTATCTTTCGTGTTCTAGAAACACTCCACCAAAAATGAAAATACCGATTCTTTCACCAGAATCTCTTTCGGCGTCTTTATTGTTGATAATTTTTGCTCTTTTTTTTTGGGATTTTTTCGAAGGGGCCCTTAGCAACGAGCCGCTCGTTGTCACGGGGACGATTTACTCACTAAGAGTGGAGTTCGAGATCTTTATTAATATTTTTATTGAGTTTATTTAAATTTTATTATAAACAAAAGACAGAATATTCAGTCAGGGATGAATTTTGAACCATTTTCAGGATTTTCATAGTCTCGTATACGGATCAGAGCATTCATCATCAAATAAGCACCCTTCGGCCACAGGATCTCCATTTTCATCAATCACACATACTGAAAATAGTCAAGAAATCTTTTCAAAGAAAAGGTTTTACATTTCATCTCAATTTCAAATTCGAGCGAACTTGATCCAGGAAAAACGAAGGTATTTAGCGAAAAAGATTGTGATGCTCCCAAACTGGTTGCTTCAGCTGCATTCGAGAAGTCCATGAAGAGGAATTTGAAGGCACAAGGGTTTTTATAGATGACGGTTGAGGTCGACTTGTTATTAGGATCTTTTTTAGTTTTTTCATTTTATCGATTTCTTGGCATTTTTTTGAAAAGAAAAGACTTTCCTGATGCTGTGATCTGATCAATGTAATAAACAATGGGATCGTGCTCGCTAAAGCCAGTTTCCGGCATCACAAAGAGGGTGATCCGTTCGCCGATCTTCGGTGGATTGTCTGGATCCACAGAGGACTCGAGAACAAAGTCAGCAGCGGCTGGCGCGGAAACAATTTCATCTTCTTCGTCGTCGCCGTCTAAATTAGAAACCGGCGCGAGTACCCATTCCGTCTCCGCGTCGGCGAGCGAAATCATTGATGCTTTGGAATTGGTCGTTTTTCTGTTTTTGTCATTCTAAGTCTTTAATAGCAACCCATTCCTGATGTGGACAAGGCGAGATGGTCAGGGAACTCACATCTGAATCGCGACGAAAGAGCCGTTCCCAAGTTCAAAATTCCAGTCGGGTCTCTTACTAACCCTGGAGCACCCTCAACTTTGCCTCCGTAAGTAATGGTACCGTTTGACTGATGGATGTCAAAAGCCGTCATTGGAATATTTAGCTCGATATCAAAATCTTCAGACTCAGAAGCCTGAGCTTCAATCACTTGATCATTGAAAAGAATTGAATTTGAAAAATCAAAAGGCGTTGGCAAATAATCAGTTCGATCGAACATATGGCCGTAGCGCATTTGAAGCTTTGCGCCCTGCCCAGAGCATTCGACGGTGAAATTTTGGCGAATGCATGCTCCTTCAGAGCAGGTCCAGTCTGCGTTGGGGCAAGTGACGAGAAGGCAAGGGTCCATTTTTGCGGTTTCGGTGGTCTTTCGCATTGTTAAAAAGAATACTTTCTAAAAAAGAAAACCCGATAATTTCGAACAGTTCCTGGATATCAAATGTGTAGCCGGAATTCTCTAAGACCTCTAGCACAATATCTGTGATATTATCCTCGGCGTACTGGATTGACTCGTATACCACCGTAAGTTCCACTTCATATATACCAGGTATGGTACTTGTCTCCCTCTTGCGTCGTTGTAGTGGTCGGATTGTAATTATATGTAAAATAATATTTCCAAGCGCACGAATTGGGGATTCTAAAAAGAAGTAACTAACAAGGATAAAATGAGCAGGTAAATATTTTGGTATTAGCGAGCCGGCAACTTGGATAAAAACAGCATAACATGCCTGAGAATATTTGGTAAAGCTTCTCTAATGCGACGTGTCGTAATAATATTTCGTCCTCTGTGGTTGATCCAGTCAGAGCATATTGATCTAGGGTCATTTGGACGTTCGTTTCGATTGTTAAAGAAACTGCATTTTCGTGAAAGGAAATATCGAAGGGTTGGTACGAAGAGTAAGGATCTTATATTTGATTTTGACGTTGGTCATTATAGACTTGAGATTGAGACAAATTTGAGTTGAAAATCATTTCCTGAAAGCGGGAGATTCAAGTTCTCCAAGTTTAGACGCAACTCATCAACGGCTTTGTACATCGTTCCTGGCAAATTAATGTCGAGCTCGGTTTTAATTACAGCTGAGTTAAGCTCTGAGCTAGTGACACCAAGATATGAAGAGAGCTCCAAAAGAATGAATTGCAGAATTGCTTCGTATTCGGCAGTAGAGCGCAGTTCGAATTGATCATATGATTTGCCTTCATGCCAGTTCGGATTTGGAGGAGCATTATGGACGGTGAAATCAATCTAAAATGATCAACCTAAATCGGCTGACTTTAAATTGACTGTACCTCAAGCGTGAATCTATGTTCATTATTGATCGATTCGATACTGAGAGTAGCTGCTTTTGAGGAAAGGAAATGACCAAGACCAGCGTCTGCTTGTGAGAAACCAGTCCCATTATAGCGCCCATCTACAATTCCTGTTCTTCTGCCTTCTTCCAACTCTAAAATCTCTCCCCAGACATTGCTATAGAAACACAGAGCGGTTATAAAAATTCGCATTTTTTATTGGAAATCCCCTCTAGAAATATTCTACCAGCACAGCGTTTAAATTTATGAGCGCCACGCTTACCGCAAGTAATTTTTACACGGTGGCGCCAAATTTGTAAACGAATTTAATCTAAACGAGTTGCTTCTAAATTCACTTTGATGACCAGGGATGCATGTTTTTTATATTTCGACATCATCAACGTGATATTAAATATCATACTCCGTCTTGTGATTCAAAATTTTATTTTAATTGATTTTATATTTTTTTCAATGTTTCTTTGACAGATAAATAAATTACATAGATATGATTCCATCGATCCAGCTTCGCACTGCAGCCACGTCTCCAAAACCGCTTGGCTTTGCAACATCACAAGAGGTACTTGCCCAGGAAGCCACACCAGTGACAAATGCACGTCCAGAACTGTCCTCGCAGACCAAAGGGCCGCCTGAATCACCGTTGCATGCAGAAGCGCGACCTTCTGCGCAAAAACTCGATTCGTCGATAAGTGGGGAGTAAGCTCCGCATTCTCTTTTTCTGTTCGTCGAAATTTCTGCTTCTTGGAGGTAATCGTGATATTTGACTGGAGTAGAACTTATTCTGCCCCATCCGGAGACGACGCAGTTTTGGCCAGGAGTATATTGCGTTGGCAGGCAAATTGGACGGATGTAGTCGGTGAATTCAATGGCTTGATCAAGTCGAACAAGTTCGAAGTCGTATTTCCAAGTGTTGTATCTCGTTTGCTTAGCTTTTGGATGAGTTTTTACCTGTCCAACGCCTCGAATTGTTGCTCCTGACGTTCCTTTCCGTTTCAATGTTGCGAATACCAGTTTATCAGATTTCTTGATTTTGCAGTGAGCAGCAGTTAGAATCCAGTGCTTGTTGAGAATCGCTCCTCCGCAAAAATGAAATCCGCGTTTAGTTCGAATGGAAACCAGCCAAGGATATTTGCCCTCTTGCGTGACAGTAAAGCCGCCGTTAATGACGTTTGTGGCACTGACATTGGCCGACGGAGTTGACAGGTCGACGAGTGAACCGGTCAATTCTCGAGTGTCGTTGGCGAATGTTTGACCGGTAACGACAATTTCGACGTCTTCATTTGTGTCGCTCGAATGTTCTCGGTCAGTGATCAGCCGGGTGGAAAAAGCGGAGAAGCCACATTCAAGTGTTTGCGAGTCAGCCTTTTTTAAATCAAAAAAATGTCATAAAGATCGAATAAATGAAAATTTAGTGGGTCAAAGATTTTTGACTTTTTCCTGACTCTCGGTAGTTGTTGGGATGGACATCGTTGGTCGAGCTCCTGGACACTGAGTTCCTCGGAACGGGATACCATTGCAATATATGATCGAAGGCCTGGTTGTTGGTTTTAAAGTTGTCGTTGTTGTTGTTGGTCTTCTTGTGGTTGTTGTTCGTTTAGTTGTTTTCGTTACAGTCGTTGGAGTTGCTGTTTCTGCTGCGTCCTCTGGGCAGCTGGGGCCATAGTAATATCCTGTGCTACAAAGATGCCATCTGGATACGTTCGGTGCAGTGGGTTTAACAGTTGTAGTGGTTGTTGTAGCTTTTGTAGTCGTTGGAGTGATTTGCGGACAGGAAGTGTCATGAATCCACCTTCCAGCGCAGAAAAGCCATCTTTTGCAAGCGTAGCTATATCTCCAGGCATTATTGCACCAAATCCTTTTAGGAGCAGCGCAATATCTCGAGCAGTAACTGAAGTACTGAAAGTATTGGGTGGTGCAAGTAGGAGAGGAGCAAAGCGACACAGATTGGACATCATCGATTTGGTTGTCCTGCTCGTCGGAGCCGCAATTTTGTGAGTGGCAGATTCTGAACGCGATATCTTCAGAGCCGGTGTATTTGACGAAGAGATCTTCTTGTTCTGTAGGAAGATGAATTGGCAGCTGATCGGTTCCATCGTTGCAGATTCTTTCTAACGGCAAGGTTCCAATTTTGTAGATAATGACGGGTGATTCGCATGGAGGGAAGATATCAAAAAGCAAAAAATTTGTCTCTCCAGTTTCGATTCTCCAAAGTGAGGCCTCGTTTGTTTCGACTAAGATTCCATCGATGCTTTTCGAAAAAGCCGCTGTTATTTCAGGCGTCTCTAGGACATGTGCATGTAAAATTGGCAAAATGAAATTTAAGAAAATCATTTCTGACTGATCCTGTTTTTCGCGAGGCGGGTTAAATACGAAGTTGTTTACGGTTCGTAAGCGACCGATGCAGGTTCATTATTTTGATAAGATTGGGTATCAAGGGCTGCTTTTAGAGCGGAAAAATAATCTGATTGCGGCTGTTTCGCTCTATCTTTGAACCAGGTTTTTTGTTATTTCGGTACTGCTTAGAATATCGGACACAGAAATCGTCAATTCAGATTTGAGATATTCTCAGTTGTTATTGAACCAGAGTTACCAGAAGGAAGTGGGTTGTTAGGATTTCCAGTGAAATCAATTCTACTTTTTATTGGCGTCTACAATTTTGTATTTGTTTAACATTGATCTTGGAAATCAAAAATATGTCTGGAATGTCTCAGACCGCTCATGTTGATGGGCTAGCTTTAGGAAGGAGAGAAAGGATGAAACTCGCCATTTTCCTGACTACTTCTTTTGCCGACGGTACTTGACGATATTCCCTGATAGAATTTGCATCACTTGATTTTTTAGAGATTCCTCGAACATGCCATGATATATTCCTAAAGCATGCGGCGAAGTGTGAGACAGCAGACAATGGATTTTATAATATAAAACCCAGACATTGGCTTCCCAAGAGAAAAGTCGAGAGACGGAATATCAAATGATATCTAGGAGTCCGGAAATCTGTTTCATTTTCGCTAAATTTGATTATCCCGAAGATAGTGCATCTTTGACACACAGCAAGGATGGACAGTAATTCAAAATCGCTACAACGGAGAGGAAAATTTTAACAGAAAGTACGAAGAATACAGAAGGGGGTTCGGATGCTTGAAGGCCCAGCCCGGATCAGAAGAAAAGAACTGGTATCAAGATTTTATCAAAATTGATATTTTATGAAAATTTGTTAGCAAAGATGAATATTGGCTCGGGTTGGAATACATGTACTGGATTCAAAGAAGCCACAACACAAAAGGATCGAAAATCTGCGCCTTCATTCAGAAAGGGCCAAATCCACACGAATACGTTTGCTACGACAAATTCCAGTTTGACAACTCAAAAAGCGATTACAAGATACTTAGAATTGGTATGTCTAAAACGAACTAAAATTAAGGAAGAAGTGGCGTTAATCTTTACTTTTAGAAGGCTGGAATAATTATATGACAAAACTACCTAACGCCTTTCGAGGAGGAAACGTATGTTCCCTAATCATGTCATTCGTTTAAGAAATTTCTATTTGCTAGGGCAAGAACAAACGTAAAAACGATCTTCTTGGCGCCAAATTTTCCGCTCCCGACCGCGACAATGATAAATCCTCAACCAACTGCGCGCTCTCCCAGAAATCAGGCTGGTGGTTTAACGACTGTACCAGCGTAAACCTCAATGGACTGTGGAAGCCTAAAAGCGGAAAGGGGGCATTCTGGTTGCACCCAAAAAGATCTTTCAATCGTCTAGATAAAACGAAGATGTTTATTGCACCTGCAGAGGATAAGTACTACGCCTGCTTAGAAAATGAAGACGAATAAAGCTTTAGAAAAATTAAATGCGATTATATTTATCAAAAATATCAAGTTCGGCAGGACAAGGAAAACAGCTACAGTGGCACAAGTTTAACTCCTCGTTTCGGAGCAGTATTAGTTTTTCGAAGTTTATGAATGTTTTGCATGGCGGCATCTTCGATTTTTGCCATCGCTACTTTTCGTAACTTTCGTTTTTCCGCTTCTGTGAGTGTTTTCTTCTTGATTTTAGGCTGACAGTCGGATAGATCCACAATCGGATTTTCGATATCAAGACTCTCTTCGATCGTCGTCATGTGCTTATGGACAAGATTCAGGACAGCAGTACGATCGTTTGTTTCTTTTTCGAATGTTTCTAATGATGCTAGAATTCGAGCACCTTCAGCAGCGGATTTCTTTGAAAAGATTTCCCAGGACACACTAAAGAAAGTAAGCGTAAGCTAAGTTGTTCTTATTTACCGATAATCTTGAAGGTTTTTCCTCATGTTTTCAATTTCATAATGGATTTGAATGATTCTGACGCCAGTTTGTCTGTCTGCTTTTCTCATTTCTTCAATATGATTTCGCATGCGATCACGAATGACTTTTATTCGGTTGTTTTCTTCTTCATATTGCTCCTTTTCTACCAACAGCTCATAGTTTGTCTAAATTTAATTAGCTAAATGGGTTCTAAAATAATAAAAAATTACCTTGTCAAGAAAAGTGATCTTCGCAGATAAATCAGCCATTTTCGCAATTGTTTCTCGTCTGACTTGCGCTTTTTCTGCTTTTTTAGATTTGAAAGCAGCAATGACATCTTGAACATTTTTCTCTCTATTCTTGATTCGAGCAATTTCTTGTTTTTCTTTGTTTTGAGCTTGCTTGAGTTGATCTGTACAGTGCTGAGCAGCTTCCTAGAATGTGTGTTAATAAGAATGCTGTGTCTTCCATGATTTCTTTTTCAAATTACCTCATTATCATTATGATCAATTTTCCACTGCTCATAAGGTGGCGTGCGCTCTGCCAAAGTTTCACGCAAGCCCTTTATTTTCTCGATCATATCTGCCAAGTTCTTGCACCATCTTTCGATGTCCTCCTTTAGCTGCTTTTCTGAATCATTGAAGTTCTTGATATTCATCGCGAGCGTTTGGCGGCTTTCGGACAAGTTCGTTTTCGCTTGCTCAAGCTGCCATTTCGAGCTTGAAAGAGAGTTGCTTATTTTTGCTTGCTTTTCTTCCAGATCTTTGGTGATGTCACTTGATTCTTGATTGTATTTTGTAAGTTTTCGTCGCAAATCATTGAGTTCTTCATTGAGCGCATTGTACGTGGCAGCAGTTTTTACAGCGGCAGCTTTAGCTTCAACAGCAAGGTTCACCGCCTTCTCGAGTTCCTCATTTAGCCGTTTTTGCTCACCTTCGGTGTCATCTTTGATTTTTTCAATTTTATCATTGGACGAAGCGTTCTGTTCCAAAAGCGTGTGGACTTTCTTGTTCACTTCGTTAATTGTAGTTGACATATGCTCGAGCTCGCTTCCTTCAAGTTTTTTGCATGATTCAATTTCACTTATAGCGTCTTGTAGAACGGAAGTTTCTTCTCCTAACTCTTCTGATTTTGCTCTAGCGACTTCGACTTCTTCATTAACTGCTGCTAACTCAACACGTTTCTCTTCGCCCTTATTTTTCCACTCGACTTTCAGTTGCTCTTGCTGGTCTTTTGTGTCAATGTCCAATTGTCGGGCTTTTTCATGACGAGCTAGAGCCGTGTTGAGAATGCTTTCCTTTTCATCAACAATCCGTCCGTGAGCAGCAGCTTCAGCGCAGACTTTTTTGACTCGCGATTCTACGGTTTTCAACTTGCTGATAACTGTTTCTTTTTCTTTGGTGCAACGTCTCAGGTCTTCGGACTCTGCTTTCATATCAACAAGCTCGTCTTTGATCTTTTCATTGCTTTCAGCAGTTATTTGACTGTGATGGAGCGCAATTTCAGTCTTCATCTTGAGCTCCGTGATTTCCCCGCCGATATTGGTTTCTAAATCTTCCAGCTTTCCAGGTTGAAGATCTATTTCGACGTTGATCTTCTGGATTTCTTCGAGAGTCTTGTTTAATTGAATCTGGTTCTGTGCTTTTTGACTCATTCGCTCGTTGAGTCCATTCACCAACTCGCCCATGAGCTTGTCCGAGAGTTCTTTATGATCGATCTCGTCCTTATTCTCGGCGGTAAGACTTCTTCCCTCATTTTCGAATTGTTCGAGATCATGCTCAATATTCTTTCGCTGCTTTCTCAGATTTCTGATAATATTGAAGTTCTGTTCTCGCGCTGTCTCCGCCTGTCGATTGACCTCAGTCCTGAAATTTTTGGGGAACTCGACGAGACGTTTCTTTGCGACATGATATTTGATGAATTCTTCTTCGAAAACCTCGCGCTCTTGCATCGTCTCGTCCAGAATCTCCTTCACCAAGCGAGTCAAAGTGTCGAAATCCGCCTTTTCATCTTCGTCTTCCGCGAGAGTTTCTTTATTTTCGCTTATTTTCTCGATCAGAAAAGCAACATCTGGCGGATTGATTTCGAAAATGCAGTTGTCAGAGAGCTTCGTTGGGTCATTGTCCACGAATCTGGGAATGATAGATTTTTTCGACGACTTTCTGCTGTTTCGAATAGATCCATTCGAACGTTTTCCGAAAAGCGTCATCAAACTTCCCATATCCCCAACTGTGGATACACTTCGATCGATTTTCCCGTCGCAAGTTGTTTCGCGTCGTAAAGAGGTTCGCATAGGAAGATTATTGCCCGTTTCTAAAATGGTTCCGCGACGCTCCATGAAAATACTTGGCATATCCATGCCGCCCTCGTGAAGAATTGTTCCTCTTCTTTGATTAAGATTTCCTTGCATCAGATCATCTTGAACAAGGGTTGGCCTTCTTCTTTGATTGACTCCTAGAAGACCGCCTTCTTGGACAATTGTTCCTCTTCGTTGAAGATTCGGGCCGCCGAGTAATCCTCCTTCTTGACCGGGAAGAAGAGATGTTCTTCGGGGAGAAAACGCCCCTGTTTCTGATACGGATGGTCTTCTTGATCTGAGGGGGATGTTATCAAGAGTTTGTGGAGATGGACTTCTTTCGTCTTCCCGATCTGACGGAGATTCAGCAGGCTGGACCAACGGTTTGAAATTGTTGATGGGAAATAGCGTGTTTCGGCGATTCCTCACATGTCTTAAAGTTATTTCGTATTTTAACGAGTTTTTTGCCGATTACCTTTGGCCTAATGGAGCAATGTCATCCTTGAGTTCATCCTCGTCGTATGAAAGAACAGAAACTCGAGAACCAGCTCCGGAATCGATAGAAACTCTTCGCTCAGCGAAGTTCACCTTTTTGACTTGTCTCGGCTTGAACGTGAAATCGTCGCCGTCTTCTTCCGAAAAGTCGTCGTTTTCGCTTTTGCTATCGCTGTTTGATCCACAGTCGCTACCTGCAGTACTAGGCGCAGCAGTAGGCGAAGTATTCTCCGGACTTCGTGCCACTACCAAGCTTTAAACGTGGTTAGAAAACATCATTCAAATGCGAAGGCAATTATTTCGAATTTAATTTAACGGGGCTATTTTTATGAAAACAAGCATCTTCGAAAGAGAGTTTGAAAACTAGATCAAGTGCTCTGAGAGCAGAAAATTGTATTCATTCAAAACTTACCATAATATTGAGAGATAAACGGCTTGTTCCAGCAATTAATTTAATTGTTTAAAATAACAAAAGGTCTTGTTCGGACGAAAAATTCTCGTGTTGGTCATATTTTGTAAATACGTTCAAGTAAATCGAAAAGGACGATAATGATGATAAGGAATAAGGATATTTAAGGACACCATTGGTGTTAGTCAACATTCCGAAGTTAAGACCAAACATACCTAGTATGCTCTGCGTATAAATTCCGAAAACTAAAAGCTAAGATTCTGGGGTAAAAATTTAAACATAGCATAATTTCAGCCATAAATCGGTAATAACGGGAGAGAAATGAATGAGGTTGATTTTCAAAAATGTGGCCTTGAGTTTTCTTTGCAAGATTTTTAGCTCTTTTATTATATTTTCATAAAAAAAATATATGCTGTGCTTAAAACTTTTACTTATCCGGAACCATTAAAGCTCCATCAAAGTTTGAGGGTCAAATCCGCTAAGATCTGAACATCACAAAACATAAGTCAACAAACCAAGCCATAGCTAAGGGTTTTTGAATGAACAGTTTTCTCTAACCATGTTCAAAGCCGTGTGTTATTCCTAGCATCAAATAAATCTCCGGATCCGCTAGAAGTAAGCGGTGGTGTTTATGGCCGATGCAGAAAATTAACTACCGCACCACCACTAGAATCCGCTATAAAAAGGAGCACTTTGTATGATAAGCCATAATCTCATATTTCTATAAAAAGAGAAGACAAAGAGAATGAAGCTTCCTTACGCTTTTGCCGCTTTAGCTTATGCGAATGAGGTCGACGAGAAAGTTTGGCTAGAGGATCCATCGAACACCTTTAGCAAAGAGCTTTCAGAGAACACCTTGACCTGGAACTGGGAGGTCCCAAAAGTCGACGGAAAATACGAGAAAGATCAGTATCTACGAGTTTCCGTTTCGGCTCCAACAGGATACAAAATCCAGGTTTCCTTTTCCAATTTTTTTCTTGAAGACGAATCCATCGATGGCAAATGCTCTCACGATGTCGCCTTAGTCTACGATGGACTCGATGGAGGAAAGCTTGCTGCTACGTATTGTGGGACTGGCAACAAAGCTCCAGTTGTGTCCACTTACAACAAGCTCACCGTCGTCTTCAAGTCCGATGAAAATCAAGTCGTTGGCGGAGGCTTTGGAGCTTCTTTTGAAGCTTTGGCTACGCCCCGATACGAATCTGCATGGACCGAAATCGAGGATGCCTTCAAACTGATTAAAAGCGATGTCTTTGATGGTCATCATCAGCTCTCTCTGATTAAACGAGGCAACAAGGTTTGACAATTAAAAAAGTATCTAAACTCCTGAGTGACCTGTTTTATAGGCAAACAAGCTGCAGGAAGCGTTCATGCGATTCTTCACTCTCCGATCTCGTGCTGCATCCAGCTGTACCAACTGGGCCGGCACTGGCAACGAAGAAGACTTCACCCCTCCTGACACTGCGTCCTCAGACGAATGTCACAGATTGGAAACCTTTTTCAACTCCCTTTCTTCCTACCAAAACTCTTTTGTCTGCATGGACAGTTGGGATCCGAAAAGACAGCCGAAACTTGCTCCAGCTAAAATGGAAAAACTAGTTGCAAGAATGAAGCACAGTTTCTTCGTTAACAAGCTTAAAAAGATGAACTGTGCATAAATAATTCTCCCCTCTGTTCACAAAAAATCATCAATAAATATAATCTATCTTTCTAACCATTCCTTTCTTGACTCTCAAGATTTTCCAAGTCCAACTCGATTTGCGACGATTCCAGCGCAGTGGACGGATTCTCGATATTCGACTCTTCTTCGGTCTCTGATGTCAGGGATTCGAAAATAATGAATTAAAAACTATTTGCACAAGATGGTCTTTCGAAGAGGAGAATTTATCATGCGATCGTAAACGGATGTAAAATTACGAATATTTGTGTGAGATTTGCTACTTGTCTATTTGCTCAAGCATCAATCCCGACCTTCATTCACTAGTTCTAGTGAAGAAGAATGCCTCACATCATCTTCTGATTTTTCCTTAATTAACGCATAGAAATTAGGACGGCAAATTTTATTTATTATAGAATTTATTTTATGATAAAAATTAAGGACCCTTAGCCATCCTGCAGCTGGTGTATCGTAAAACTGATTTTTCAAAGTCAACATTTTACCCGTCAAAGATTTGTTCTAGAAACTTCGCTGGTAGAATCCCTTCCCTTTTTGAACAAACTTCAGTGCTCTATTTCTCCTCTTGAAAACGCTCAAAGTGCGGATTTGATTGAATAGAATCCAGAAATCGAAGTTTGAAAAGAAGCTTTTTTGTGAAAATCTGCTGAAGTGCTTATAAAAACGCACAAATATTTGAAAAATGTGCGCGATTACTGAGACGAGTGCCAACAATAACGACAGAAAGGTCAACTTCCGGTATCGTTTGTTGCTATGATAGCGGGAAAATAAGATGATTCCTGGGAAAATTTTCACTCGGAACAAGTTCTCAACATTTTGTAGTCAATTCAAACAATCAAAAGTATCAGGTAAAACATTCCATAAAAAATATATAATTTATTTCTCTAACAGAAACAAATCTAAGTAATGCTTAATTCTGTTTATGACAAAGATATCAAAAAAACATAATAATTTGTAAATATTTATTAAGATAACGATATATAAAATGAAGTTCGGCAGTTTCAATAATTAGCATAGTACAAAAGTGTATGGCCTAAAAATGTACAAGTTTCACAATTCGAAGTTATTCAAAATGTCTTGTTTGTAATTGCACTCGTCCCCGTACGTCATCTTTCCCGTTTTTTGCCAAAGTTTTAGCTGAGTGTATGGATTAAATGGGTTCGAGCACCATCCGAAGTTTTCGTCCATGAGGTCGATGAAGTCCTGCACCTTCATTTTTTCGCCTGGTACTGCAGTGATCTTGAGATCTTCAGGGTTCATCCTTGGTGCTTTCTTCCATAAGCAGTGTTTGACATCTTCCTCACATTTTTCATAAACAGCCTGAAATGATTAATTTTCGTGTTCTTTTACGATTTGCTTACCTTGAGCTTCTCAACTTCTTGATGAAATTTTTCTCGGCCATAATCTTCAATTTTATGATGAAGCGATTTGTTGAAATAGTCGTAGAGCATGATATCAGCTTTGAAGTAAGTTTCGAAGTTCTTCTTCTGAGTAGGAGTCAAGGGCTCAATTTCGTACTCGCGCTTGTTCAACTGCGGCTCGTACAGAACCTCGTAAGGGAGGCAAAAGAGCTTGGCAAGCAATACTAAGCTTTCGTAGTAGTATTCCGTGAGTACGACTAAAAACAGCTTGATATATGCTTTGTTAAAAGATTGGCTTACCGAAATCAAAGTTATGCTGATCAAGGCGCTTCAGATTTCTCAAAATATAGGCTGTGTTATCGTTCAAGTGATCCATTCCCATTTCAAAAGCCTGATAGTTCTTGCTTCTGAAATTCCGTGTTTCGGAGGCATTGAAAAGCTTTGGGAGATTGTCGAGAAATTCGCCGACTGGAAGGTCCTCGCGGCCATTATTGAACGATCGGAAGGGCTCGCCCCAACAGGGCATGTCGCATTTTGAAACTAAACTAAATGTTTATTTTTTTTAGAAGGACGATAAATTAACCTTTTCCAGCGTGATTCAAGTAGTAGTAGTTATAAACACTTCTGAAGGTGGTTTCTGGATCGCGAATGGTTGTTACTGAGGCAACTCCGGATGTTAGAAATTTTTCCTCAAAGAGGTCCATGTTCCAGCGAAAATGGTAGGTCAAGGCAACGATTGGAGACATGTGCCCGGTTGCTGGCCAGCATCGTTCGTCAAAACGGGCTGGGTAGCACCCTCCTTGCGGGCCGATTAACTGCGGCTCTCCCACTGATGGAAGACCTCTATAAACCAAATTAATAAAAAGCGTGGAGGAAGAAAATTACTTGAATCGCGCATATTTTGTCAACATGTGTCTAAAAGTTGTAGAAGCCGTTTTGTGCTTTTTCAAAAAGATCATCCCCGTTGGAGGAGCAGCACAGTTTGTCTTTGACGGGAGCCATTTGCTTTTTGAAAAGTCGTACGGATCTGCCACTCCAGGGCTACTGGAAGATCCGTGCTTGTGGGATCCTCCGTGATGACTTGATTTGGGATGATTGGGTTCAGGGATATATTCTGCTTTATTTGCGTTCTAAATTTTCAAGTTAACTGTGTCCAAAAAGCGCGAATAAGAATTTCTCTAACTCAAGGCTTCATTACTTTTTCCGCCTCCTCGGCCATTTCGTAGTATTTTTCCAGTCCATCTGTGATCTTCGTAAATTTGCTGAGCGCGTACAGCGCTATCAGAAGAGCGACCAAGAGGTACGATCGCAAATTCCGCAGCATTTCTTTTCTATCTCTTTCGCTTTTTGCTCTTGACACCATAAATATGGAGAAATAATGGAGTGGGCGCCGGGTGTACGCAAGCACCTCGCCGCGGGGGATTTCGCTGCTGACCTTCGCTAAATTCTTGCGTTTTATTCGTTCATCAAAAGCTTATCGCTCTTTAGGGATTTAATGATAAGGACTTGCACTAACGTTAATCTAGTAGTAACTTGCAGATGATTATTGCATAAAATGAAAAGAAGAAAACCGAGTCGGCTGTTGACAATTTTCAAGTATTGTTTCTTAGTTCTGTTTCCCGTAATTGTTTTCATGTTTCTATGGCGAAAAACTGCAAATTAGCGAAAAAAGAAAGCGCGATAAAAGAATGTTTAATGAGACCCCAGTTGGTCATATTTTTGAAAAATAATGCGAAGTAATAGATAATCGAGGTAGAATGAGACTTCACACGAAAAAATTGACCCCGAAAGTGGCAATAAAAAGCGATTCAGGCAGATTTAAGTAAGTTTAAAGTTTAAAACGTCGAAAAATAGAATATAAAGTTGATGCAATTTTAATGATGCAGCCAATTGAATTATCCTTTGAGATGAGTTGTTTGGTGCAGTATGAGTTCGAAACGTTTAAAAATGAAAAACTATTTATTGACCCGCTCGTCGATCCGCTGAATTGTTTCCAAAGGGCATTTAGGACTCAAAAAACACTTGAGTTTGAAGATATCTAATTTTTCCCAACGGTGGTAATTGTGTTTTATTTTCCGCTAATTTAATGCGATTCTCGCCGTGCAAGTCGACGAGTTCTCCAATCAATACAAGTTTGTCCAGCGATAAGAGAATCTCAGTGAAGTGAAAGTCTAGTCCCAAAATCGAGGAGAGGGATAAGTGGGTTTATCGCCCCATTGGATTTGATCCCCTTTTTGCTGAGCCAAAAGCAGAGAAAAATACGAATGTCGAAAATCGACCTGGAGGTTTTATATAAACAGGTAAAATGGAATGGGGATTTACCAAGTCTGTATGACGATAATGTTTATGAAACTGGAATTATTTATATTCGAATTAAAAATGCATTTGACGTGGTATTTGACGGTGACGTGAAAATGTCAAGTTTTAGCACCTCATCCTTCTTTATGCTCTTAGATTTATTTGAAAGAGAAATAATGCAGAAAAATAAGACAGCTAAAGTAAGAAAATTAACGTCAAAGAGTACCTTTGCGCGAATACATTAGGATAACTTGTTTTTCAAAAAGGTGATCATTTTAACTGATTTATGATGTAGGAAAGCATTGGGTCCGAAACCCCATGGTGACACTCATGACGAATGATAACTCCGATTAGTAGTAAAGTATTTTTTACTAAATTTAATTTAATTGATCTTTCCAATGAAATAACGCAGAATATAACTGTATCTAAGGCAGAGCGGCCGTCTCTCGCAACATCAACTTCAAAGCCCTTTTGGGATACGATTGAGTGGAACGACAGTAGAGAGTAAGTCTACAGACTAAATCAACAGACATTCATGAATATAAATTACCAGTTCAAAAGAGAATCTGAACTTTCTCGAGAGAAAAGGGTTATTTTGCTTCACAGAGTTCATCCAATCTCATGACTACTGGTTGGTCATTTTAAATTCAAAACATAATCTCCCCGAGCCACGCAACGTATGAGAAGAGAAAGTAGTTACTACCATGGTAACATGTCATTAGTTATTTATGGAAAAAAATCGAGAATCCAAGTCAGTCAGCGGCTGAATACCTGAATAAATTACTTTCTGACCAAAGGACATAAAGTTTTAAGCCTTCAGTGGTTCAGCTTTATTTTTCCCAAATGTTCTATTATTTTCAAGAGATGGATTTTTATGACAAGGATTGACGGAGGATCTGAAAGGCTTTGACTAGTAGAGTCACTATTGTCTTGAATTAGCACTGAAAGAAGAGGCTTTTTCGAATAGCATTTTTCGGGCTTGGAAGTAGAAATTGAAAGAGAGACATATAACGGATCATTTTCAAGTTTTATGTGATCTTTAGGATTTATGACCGAGGGCCCGTTGTTGATTTAGCTTGCCATGAAGAACTTGATAGCTCCGTAAGATCACTTTCTTTATTACCTGGGTTTGTTGCGAAAGAACAACAACTATATTGCTTTCTAGACCAGGCCACTTCAGATAGACCACCGATAGGCCAAGGTACTCCCATTTTGAGTCAATCTTAAACAAAGAAAAGAAGAAAGATTACAAAATGTAAAATAAAAAAACAGAAAATGAAGCGATAAAAATTCAAAACAGAGAAAATGATTCCAGTCCTAAAAACTGATTTCTCCAGAAAAGCACGGAAAAATCAACAACGAGAAAGAAGCAAGAGTCCAGAGAATCACTCAGTAAAGGTTGACACAGTAAAGCTCTCCTTTTAAATGACGTTAGCGAGTGTTGATCTTATCAAAGATTCATGCTCTCTGCAGAATGAACATGCAAATCTTATTCGCAAAAAGCAAACTCAGACATGGTTCCAGGCTGGAACTTCCAGCAATAACACTTCTTTGAAGGTTCATTCTAATCTTTTTGGTTATTTTAGTTAATATCTATTTGTTTATTAGGATTTTTTTGCAAAATTTGACTACGATTTATTGATTGTTAATGACATCAAGAGATCGAATCCTTGGATTCGAAGGTCTTTAAAAAATGAAATTCTTTAGAAAAAGATTCATTATTCTTGTGCCTCGATTACTTTGCCTAACAATAAAGCAAGGTTGCTTTGAATTTTTAATAACGACATGAATATACACCAAACTTGAAACCGGCTACAGGCAGCAAACGTCCGCTCCAGATCGGAAAGCCCGAGCCAGAAGTCCTTCTTTGGCGTCACGCCATCCAACTTCCAGAACTCACCTAAACGCGTCGTTCCTCAAAGGAGAAGAAGTAGTGTTTGGAAAAAAGCTTCGTTGTCCTCACGTCAAAGGCCCTCGTCTAATATCAAGTCCTCGTGAATATTGAAAATACTCGTTTGAGACAGCGAAGGAGTGAGCCTTTTTTGTTAAACCGCATTTAATTCTTGCACTTTTTCTAAATGTCCTTATTTTATTTGATCAAATATGAAGAATCTTTCTAAGAGAAATTCCAGAAAACCTAGCCATAGATCAAGGAGGGTAGATAAACAATGAATATGGGGAGAAACAGGCAATGTCAGTTTACCCTCAAAAGCCCTGATGGTGTAGAAACTATACAAGTTTTCAACGAAACTCATAAGCTAAAAAGATTCAAGTCTATTTGTCGAAAAAAGACTGGTATTAGTCAAAAATTACTGTTTGATAAGCACTCGCACGAGGGAGTTTACTGGGCCCAAGGAAGTCCCAAATTTTCCGACTATGAAGAGACTGATACGGACATAACATCGTAAGACATGGATCAATGATAACAGATCTAATTAACAGACAATCGTAATAAGATTACAGAAAGAATAAAAAAGAGTTGAATGAGTGTAGCTTTTCGCTTTCATTAGAAATTTAACATGTATGAGATTGAGTCGAGAGATTTCCATAGCTGATCGAATTATTTATTAAAAGTATCACTTGAAATAGTACGAGTATCTTTTAAGTTCAGTATTATCACAGAGAAGGCTCGAGAAATAATTTGAAAAATTAGAAGCAAACATAATGTCCCTCGTGACTTGTTCATAAAAAATGCAGCAATGCTGGTTACGAGAAACAAGCAAGTGAAAGCGATATTTATTTTCCTCCGGTGAAAATGCCGATTAGAGACTCAATTTCATTCGTGAGCTATACGGACTTCGTTTCGGCCTTCAACGAGTCGTAATTACAGTAGTAAAGTTCGCTTTGTTTCATTTGAAAATCGATTGGCAAATCAATAAGAGTTGTAATTATAATTTTACAGAGCTCGCTATAAATTACAGATAATAACATTGCAAATAAATACGGATAATAACTCTTGATAACTGGCTTATTGAGCTGAGTCTCAGCTGAAGATTGAATAAAAAATTCTTTCAGGGTGAAACTACAGTACTACGTCAGCGATGAAAGTTTCGGCGAACGGATCCATCGATTTTTCTTCAAAAATACCGCGACCAGGTACACAGAAAATTCAGATGTTTTCATATCTTATGAAATTTTATGACTAGTGAACAAGCTGAATCTATTGATAGTTTACTTCCGCTTCTATTTCAAAATTTGAAGATGCGAGAGACGACGCGTGCAACGCCAGATTATATTGCACTCTATAATAAATCGAGTACTTTTAAATTTTTACTACCACCTTTGAATCAACTTTTCAGCTTTGATAATGCGTAAGGGCTTTTTTAAATTATAAAAGCAAAAATAAGCTAACAACGGTTGTAGTACAACCTCTAAAATGAACCTAGTCGTTTAATCATTGACGCATACATTATCTCCTTCGACTTAATTCAAAATTTATTAGTGCAACGATCCGGCTGTTTATGCTCTGTGTCAGGGTAATACTGGTTCTGGTCTATTTCATTCGAGCTGGCCTTGACACGATAGACGATGCGTATTGTTGCAAAAGCGTATGGGAGCCGAATTATAATGAAAACTCAACATGTAAAGTGGAATTGAAGAAACCTGATCAGTAAGTACTGCCTTTCTAGGGTTATTTGTTTGCCTCCAATTCAACCGCCAATTTTAAGGTCTCGATCAGGTCATGAAACATTCGACATCCAATGGGCTCCAATTTTCCTCGTCTGCCGACCATATTCAATTTGGATCTTGGAGGTGATATTCACCTACATGACCTTAGTCTACTCGATAATGATTTCCATCCTCAACAACGGATTTAATACGTCCGCATTCTTGAGCCTGACTTTGCTTTTGGAGTGTATTATTTCTTTGCCGCTGGTTCTATCGTCGATGCTTTATTATCTTAGGAATGTGGACGTAAATTACTCAAAAAGAAACTTACGTTTAAGTTTCACGGTGCGATAGACTATTGTCAAAAGTTTACTGAAAACGAAATTTATGGCCCAGTTTCATCGGAGGATAAAAGTCAATCTTTCAGGTGTTTCTTGGTCGTAAGACTTTTTTAGCTTGAATTGTTAAATGGAGATCAGACCGATGTGCTATAACGTGTTATTTTTGAAGTAATTTATATCCTTATAAAAAGAGTTGCCTTTGTTCCCACATTCCTCCACATTTGGCTTGGTCGAACACTTGTCAACGAAACAGTCAATTTCATGCAGCGAGATTCAAGAAGAAGTCATTCTACTATATTTTACAAGATCGTTCAGCTCGTTATGTCTGTTCTATGCATCTTCGTCACGTGCCTTGGATTTGTAAACCACTTCGAACGAGCTGGAGCGAATGATCTGAACTTGTTGGATACTTTTTGGTTCGTCGTCGTGACTTTTTCAACAGTTGGATACGGGGATGTGTCTCCGAAGATCTGGCCATCGAAATTGATCGTTATTCTGATGATCTTTCTTGCTCTCGTAATTATCCCTATCCACGTGGAGCAGATTGCGGTTATTTATCTCGAACAACAAAGGCTGGTGGAATACAGAGAGTCACGAAAACATGTTGTTCTTTGTACCACAGATCTTCAATACGACGATGTTGTTGTTTTCCTCCACGAGTTCTACGAAGTTGACGAGCACGCTGAAAACTACTCTGTTGTGTTGTTTTGTGCAAAAGAGCCAGATGCGTCTGTTAAGAGATTCTTACAGGCACCTCTTTGGAATTCTAGTCAAGGGATTCAAAGTTTAAATAATTGAAATCAAGGAAGAGTACGAATTTTTTGATCCCCTTACCAAGAGTAACGCTGATTATTGGTTCAACGTATCGTTCCGATGATCTCCTCAGAGCAAAACTAAACGATGCACTTGCTGTTTTTATCTGCACTGATAGAACTCGAAGAGGTGGAATTTTGTCTCGAGCTGAGACTGACGAGCACACAGTTCTACGATCTATGGCAATCAAGGATTTTGCTCCTTCAACAAAGCTTTTTGTTCAATGCTTGCGTTCTGAGAGCACTTTCTATCTTGGTTTTGCAGACAATTGCTTGTGCGACGATGAAATGAAGTACGCTCTGCTCGCTTTGAATTGCGACATCCCTGGAATGAGCACGTTTATCACTCTCCTAATCCACACGACGAAAGGCCTCGACGACGACATCCACGGAGATTGGAAAGTGCATCTAAATCGATCTGCGGGAATGGAAATCTACGACGTAATTGCTTCTGAATCGAAGTTTTTCAATAGCTACATTGGCTACAGCTTTCCACAAGCCTCATGCGTCGTCCATCGTAAAACTGGCGCAATCCTTATTGCCGTAGAACGAGATGGAAAACTGAAGCTTAATCCGGGCCAGGGCTTCTATCTAGGACCGGAAGATCGACTTTATTACGTATGTCTTACAGACGAGGGCGACAGTGCTTTCATTGACGACAATTTGGATGATCTAGGAGAGATCAATACAACTAAAATGGGTTTTCAAAGTCCTCGAAACACGAAGATTTCACCAGATGCGGATGGTCCAAAAGCTTTCCAGCAAAACATGTCGGAATGGACAGAAAAAATCGACAATTCAAAGTCTGATCTTCTCGGAGAATGCAAACACGATTTTCCCCCGTGCACGCCATACCTTGGCTACATCACTCCTACATTGTGTTACATCAGAAAAGAACCCGCTTCTGTTGAAGAAATGCTACTTGGAAATGTTTGGGAAAAGACATGGCCTGCAAGTCACATAATCGTTTCAGCTGAAGAGGCTCAAATGGCGCTCTATAATTTCATTATCCCGCTGAGAGCTTACTACAGAAGTGTTGATGAGCTAAGGCCAATTGTTTTGCTTTTGGAGGAGCCGCCTTCTCAGAGTTTCTTGGACTGCATCAGTTGGTTCCCCCTTGTGTACTATCAAGAAGGCTCATGTACCAGGTATAAATGCCTAGCCTGTGTAGAATTACTCTGCGTCGCAATTTTGAAAGCTTGTTGATGTAAGGATCTAAACTTTACTATCCATTATTCGCGTAAATGGGCAAATTGCTCTGGCATTGCTCCCACTGCGGTAGTTGACTTTGAAGGCGAGCCTTGGTTGTGGTGGTGGTCGGTGGTGAGGCACGAGCTCGTGGCTGGATCGCGTTCAGTCAGAATGATCGTTCAGGCGCCAAATGTCATCTTGCGGGCGCGTTGTTGTACAACGCCAAAGAAAAATCTTTGATCAGCCGTCCTCTTCCCAGGCCAACCAACACCACCACCAACAACATCCCAACATGTCCAAAAAAGGACACCTGATGATGAGAAAGGAACGTGGGAATGGCCTTTTGTGGGAAAACAGATTTTCTTGTGCCTATCTTTTGATCGTTTTGATTAAAAAAAATTCTAGCGTCGACGACTTGTTGAAAAGTGGTATCTTGTGGGCACATTCTGTTATCATTCTGAACAGGGACCCGTCTACCGATCTCAACTACATGGCCGAGGAACACATGGCCGATTCAAAGCAACTCATCGCCACTGAAACCATTTGCCGGTAAGAAATGACGAAGAAATGATCTAAATTGAATTCGCAAGATTCAATTTCCTCTTGCGCCCTTTTTGTGTTTCTGCCAGTGCCAAATTAAGGTCTCGCACTTTGAAGTGGCATTGTCTGCGGAAGTTGCCCGTGTGTGCCCAAATTGGATCAGTGGCCGGATTAGAGCAGCTTACACCGCGCAAAAATTGTGGTTTTTCAAATTTCTAAAAATTTTACGCCCGAAAATATTAGCCAGATTATTTTAGCCGCTCAATTGCCGGAACAAAGCCACTAAAAATATAAATGCTCCATAAAGCTTGTTTTATGTACCTTTTAAATTCATTAGTTTAATAGCTACTTGCGGAAATTATTTTTGCTGGTCTTTTTTTTTATCCAGATTTGTAAACAAAAGGATAATTGCGTTTGACAGAAAGACATAATCGTAAATTCGCAATAAGGTAGCCACCGCAAAATTTATGTTTTCCGCTAGAACACCAGGCCGCGATGAAATTTATATATAAGGAAACTATGCGGCAAATATGTACAATATGCATGTAGTATGCGATGTCTGGAATTAAATCTTTGACCACAACGAGATTATCTTGAATTTTGTCGGAGGCGCCGACCAGCCGGTCGCGCAAAAAATGGAGATAAAAACTGTTATTGTAAGATGATAAAGATAGTAACTCGAATGGAATTTACTTCTTCAGTAGTTTTTACCGTAGCTTATCATTAAAGCCAATAGGCAGGTTTCTCGTGAGCGCGTCGTAGAAAGTTTTTTTTTGAAAATTGCGGCTCCCTATCTGCTCAGATAGGTCCGAATTAACAGAGTAATTGGCACCGCGGATACACGGCACCACCTGTCTCTGGAGGTGTATCGCGGTAGCACTGGAGATTCACTCGGCACCGCTTTTCCCAACACTTTTATCGTGCTTTGCTCTACAGCTGGTTTGATTAAAATGTTTCTAGCAAGAAACTGTTTCGACAGTAGACCTCATTGACTTGCTTTTTTAGATTGTTTCCCGCTGTGAATGTTTCTCTGGAGCTGAGCTACGCGTCCAACATGCGATTCATGAACTTTTCCCTACAAACCGAAAAGGTAAACTGCTTTCGAAGTTGGAAACCGTTTAGAAAATTATAAACCCAATTTTCTCGCTCAAATAAATGAGCTTATTCGTTCTCGCCCTTCAGTGAATTTTCCGTCTGCAGCGCGTTGCTCGCTGACCACTGGCTGGGCCTGGGTACTGGCTAAAAGGAGGCCGCAATCCATTTGCGCGGTTTCGTCGTCGGTTTTCTGGCAGTAGCCGGGCGGCTGGCTTTTTGTTTTCTTCGGCTAAAAGTGACTGTCCGTCGGGATTATCCGGGTAAAGACCGCGGTTGAGTTCGCGGTCGCTGCTCGTGGTTGAGCAGCATTTTCATCCGCTAGACAAAGGCAAAATAGCCAAACAACGCATTCAGACGATATTTTTGAGAAACGACTCTGATTACTGATAAATTTGGCATTTATAGTATTCGATGACTAGTTTATTGAGAATAGCCGGCTCAAATGGAAAGTGAGTTTTCTTTCTAAGGGTGAATAAGTTACAACGAATCGAGAAACAGGGTGGAACTGTCACGGTTTCTGAAACAGTTTCCAACGAAATGTCTTTTAAGGAGGATGCAGTCCAGGGGACGAACGAGCTGTCCTATCTTTTCCGTGGGCCATTCGCATCCGGACGGGCTTTCTGTAGCTCAATGCTTGACGCTCTTCTTTACCAATCGTTCACAAAGGTAAAACTAATCCTAAATGGTCGCTGACTAAATTTTTCTATAGCCTTACCTTCCAAAACTTCTACGTCTCCTTCTCGGTCTTCAATTTGAGCCTGGCAGTGGCTTCATGGGCACTGTAAGTTTCCTTTGTTTAGCCTCTTATCATCTTTCACGATAAAATCTGTTGAATCGGAAAGACGTCTCAGGTTTTTCAGCCACAAACGTGAACAACTGTGGCCGCTTAGCATGAAACTTTGGGTGAAAATTGCGGCCACAATTATGTTGGCCTATGGGGCGCCTGTTGTTACGCGGCTTTGCTTTTGGTTTCGCGACGGCCACTGCTGGTTAACCAACTGGTTAACCGACTGGGAAGCCAGTGGTATCTCAGGAACCATCGCAGACTCACGTAAAGACGAGGCCTTTTTATTTCAGAAGTAGTCGCACAAATATATAAAATTCCACAAAGAAAGAGTCCCTAAATTCCATTTCTTTTCATCCCGCAAATGAGAAAAATCGATCAAAGTCGGCATATTTTGTCATCGAAAACAATACACATACAATATATAAAAGTGAAGCGAAATGTTCAATGCATGTTTTAGCAACAAACGACACTAACATTTTCAAATCTTAGGTAACCGTAACGGAGCGAGAAGCGAGCCTTAATTACAGTCAATTGTTCAAGATTCTCACACAGTTCACAGGTACGATCATTCCGTTTCCCCAACATTCATGAAAAAATCCCCAGGAGAGATTCCACTTGGAATCTATCGCAACGAGAAGCGGACCGATTTCTCAAGAAGCTCTGGAGTTCATAAAACGAATTCGGACAGGTATTTAATGTTCTATTCTAAGATCTTCGTAACGCATGAAAACAATGTTAACTTTGCTGAATATCCATGGATATTTTTATGATTGCTAGGCCTGCGGTTTTTTAACTTGTTAACGTTTGCATCAGCACGTGAGCATATGGAATCGAGCAATCCCTATGCAATTTTTCAAGGTCACACAAATACATATGCGCAATTTCGATATGTTCTTTAATTTAACAAAAAAAATATCAAGCATTTTGATAAGTATCATCCTAATCATGCGAATCAAGTTTTAAATGATGATTTCTTTGACATTTAAAAAATTGTAGACGATTTTCTGCGCGGATAATTGACGCTGGCTTGTCAATTCGGAATAAATTTAGGCGGTAAGCATCAATCTCTCACCCTTTCTTGCTCTAATTAATTAAAAGAAAGCTAATTAATCAATTAGCATAGGAAGCTAATTAGTGTCTACAAATTGGCGACAGAGGCAACTCGAACCGGGCTTTTTTACTTTTTCGAATTATTCGGCAATTTTTCACGCCGAGACGCAGGGCGGCCTCGCAGGCCTGTCGCCTTGTCTCCACAATTTGCATTTTTTAATATATTACTAAATGCAGCTTTAAGAACCAGTCTCGGAAATGAAATTTTAAAAGAGTTCATTGGGCTTTTGGATAAGATCATCATAGTAGCTTTCTTTCTTCAGCTCTAAAATTCGATCAGGAAAACTTCCCCGGTCGAAAATTCAGATATCTTGATCGTGAATTAATCGAGAAGTATTTCAGAGCTACAGTAGGAGGCACCAGGGCTCCGGTAGTTGCTGAAGCCACAGCGCAAAATTCCACAATTTGAGCGGGGACCGCGAAATTCGCACCCACAGCCGCAATTCGAAAAAATAGACCTCCTGCTTGAAGCTAATTAGAGCATTTTTAGCTGCGAGATATTCCTAGATCGCGGAAGGAACGTGCTAAACACATATTTTCACAGCTTCTTTAGAATATGTTTTCTACCATGAAGAAATCCAAAAGTCCACTGGTGATATTTTTTCAATTCAAAGAAAGGCATTGCCATATTGACTCGAGAGATTTTGAACGTCTTTCAACCACGATGAGGTCGATTTTTGGTTTCTGTTCGATTACGGCTATTACCAAGGCTAGCATGTATCGGATGCTAATGGGGCTCCGTTATGTCACCAAGAGCAACGCGGCGGATCGAGTTTGTCAAATTGAATTTCGCCTCGGCCGATTTCGACCGCGTCCGTTTTTTTTCTCAAATGCCCAGGCCAAACCATTGAGATTTTTCGATCATAGACAAATTGAGTTAGATAAAGATAACGCCCCGTGGCATCGTCATGAACTCTTCAATTTTTCGATTTCCATTTTTCACCGTAGTCTTTCGTTATTGAACGAAACACGCAAGATAATTTTTATAAATAATTTTTACCGTTAATAGCATTGAACAGTTGATTGTAGTTAGCTTCACATAAATCAAATTTTAGATCTCTTGATACTTTGGAAGGAGCTGGAGATATGCTCAATTCTCACAATGAACCTTTGAGGCTCAGAACAGAGCGAGATCAGCTGAATAATCTCATAGAACAGCGAACCAAATATCTGAAAGTGCCTTCTGAGAAAATGGAAGAAGTAAGTAATCCGCATCATTTTCAAATACTCATCGTTTTAGGCGACATACAGACAAGGGAAGCAAAATTCCGCCAACTCTGGACGCGGCTTCGTTATTATCAACCCTGAACCAAACTTGCCTTTGATCGTTGGAGATATCATGTAACTTGCTCAATCGTAGACATTATCACATGCATTTCAGATACACCATAAAGCCTATCAATCAGAAGATCGAAGCTGACGTCCTCGCGACGCATTCTGAAAAATCATCCTGAATCAATTTTCGCCTTCACTGCCTTGAAAGTCCAGAATGTTCAAAAACCTTAAATACAATCATTATCAAGATTTCAAAATTATAGAGCACTTCTTTAGAAGATAAGAAAGTTTAATAGAGGTTCAAGGCTTTCTTATCCGCTCAAGATCTTGCTTTCATCGTCAGATAGGCGCGCAGCTCTCTGTTACCTAAAATAATTCCCCCCTTTCGCATATTTCCTAAACATTTAACCAGTAACTAGCACGGGCGATAAAGAGAATTGAGGAATTCGAAAATGCCAGGCTTGCCACAGACGGAAGAGACCCTTGAATTTACGGTGCGATTACGAGACAGTATCGCCGCCTTCCAATCGTAAATCATTAGAAAACGCCGATTCCTAGATCAGTTAGTTACAAGTCCTTATCGAGCTTTATATAATTCTGTACAGATTGAGGGACAATCGAGAACGATTTTATCCGTTTCTTTCCTTCGTATTTGACGTGGTTTGCGGTAAATAACCGCTGAAGAAGAACTTCATAAATATTTTGGAAATGCGGTGAGCGATGAGATCGATGAGGGAGAAAATAGTGCACTTTTAGGAGACAGCGCTCCCGCGTCCAGTGGCTTAGGTTACAGGAGCAAGATGAAGAATCACTTCCGGCCGAATTCACAACATTTCCGAAGACATCCATACAGATTGCTCTCTTTTTCTACCTTTCTCTTTTCGACCAAAAGAGCGATCTGCTCTGGCGAAAAATATTTTCTTTCTAAAATAAGCCTTTACAGGCGAGCAGGATCGGGCAGCATCGGAAATGTTACGCTACCGCATTGACATAATCGTTTTTACGAAATTTGGTCGCCGAGTGGAACGGCCCGACAGCCGCATTTGGTGTCTGAGGTCACGTGACTCACGTTTGTCTTCGAAAAAGCCGCAAGAATGCCCCTCAATACCTGAGCCAAGGAGATAACCGCCATACTTGCCATTTTAAAAGGCCCAGCGCAAATAGGAAAAAAACGAGCGCAGATATGTTTCCAAAGCTGTTTTCCTCCTTCGATTTAGCCTTTGTTGATACGGTATGATCAGATATTAAAAAATAAAATTTAATCCAGTTTGTCCGCATCTGCTACGCAGAAGTTTCCGAAAAGATCAGTGCTGGAAACACCCCGATGGAATCATCCTAGAGAAGGATACTCAAACATCGTCGTGAGATCGATGTCAGTCAGAAGTTCAAACTAGAGGGGCAATTTTATATAATTATGAGATAATTAGTTTTATATTTTTTTTTTGAAATTTCGAAATGATTATTGATCTTATTGGAGCTGGTGGTGTTGGATATTCAAAGATATTCGTTAGTTTCGTGGAATAGAAGATGGGCTGCAATGGCGGCGTATAGTGGCCGAGTATAGTGCGTTTGCGGTTTTTGCGGTGGCCAATGAGCTGGCCAGGGGCACTCGTGGCGGCGCAACAGCACCACCACATCACAACCTTCTATCATCAACTGACAATCTCTTCTATCCCTATCCTTTGCGTTTGTCTTATCTATTGGAATATTTATGAATTCCAAATGCATTAAAAATCAAAAAAGACAGATCATTTTCGATTTGTAAATATTTTTTATTTAGCAGTTTACAATCTCCTCCACAGATGCTATTTTGAAAAATTATCAAAAACATTCTAATAAAGTCTTTAAAAGTAGAATTTCTGAACTTCGCGATTGAAGAAGGAAAGTGGGTACTTTGTGATTTCCTGCTGGCAGATGGCGCTAAGCCAAGAGTGCTTTTGACCAATCAGGAGCGTATATCGGCATTTAAATGAACAAGAAAGGACAGTTCAGATTCAGTGTGCGCAGAAAGAAGAGGAAAGAAACATTATTTACAATAATTATCAAAGAATAAAGTCAAAAGTATTCTTTTATCAGCAATGATAAAGAATAACTAAATGGAAAATCGTGTCTGGGAGTCATAAAATATATAAATTATAATATTTTTACAAGGAAATGAGTGTGTCGCTTTTGAGATGCTGGAAATTTGCGAAATCTTCCTGTTATTCGTCATTTCATGGTACATTTCGGTCAATTCTCGGTCGCCCAGGAGAGCGCACTCACTGCTGCGTTTGCTGCAGACGAGGCTACTGGAGGGATGAGGGAAGGCGTCTGTACCGAGGGGAGATGTGGCAAAGCTGCAGCAGCAGCGATAGACGAGCCTGGAGTTGCAGCGCCCGGGCTCGTCACCGTTGGCAGGCTGGGCAACGCTGGTGCAGCTGGAGAGGAGGTAACAGTCGGAACGGACGGAACTGTTGAGCCCATTGAGTTACTGTAGGCAGAACCTAGGTAGTTGACACCAAGGCCTCCCGCCGCAAGTTGGGTTGAGGCGAGATAATTTGTCATCAGTTGCGAAGAATCAAATCCCCCGTAGCCGGCCGAAGATGATACCGCTGGATTCATCGCTGTTGAGTAGGGATAGCTCATCTAAGAAATGACAATCAATTGCAAGAAAATAGTGGCAAGATGAAAGCCCGTTCAGGATGCAATAACGTGAAGGGTACTCCTTGCCGGTGGTCGCCACTGGGAAATGCCAAAGACATGAGTTCTAAGCCCGAGCGCCGCTGCGGAAATATGAGCGACCGCAGACGGAATCGGCAACACTACACATCCCCTGACCACTGGAAGCAAAGTAACGTTTTTGGATCCGGAGCAAAGGAATATACTTTTTCAAAAATTTAAAATGGAAAGTGAAGTGTGCCCTTTCAAAGGAGAAACTTACATCAGGAACTCTTGGAAAAGGTGAGGTGTTGTCGTGCGAGCTGGCTTTATCGGACTTCGGCGTTGTGGAAGTTTGGTTTCCACCGGCAGTCGGGGAAATCGTTGAGCCGTAGTGCTGGCTGAATGTTCTCAGTGGGCTCTGAGTCGAGTAAGGCCAGCCAGCTGCGGCGCTGCGGAAATCGGATGTCCCAAAGGAACTGAACATCGAGTCCGCTAAAAAAATATATTTAGCAATGGGCGGTCTACTATATAAAAAAAAAGTATGTGTTAATCATTGCGTAATTATACTGCAAGAATCATGTGAGAGAAAAAACGCTGAAAATCACATCTGAGATAGACGTTACCGAAATTTGATGGAAAGTTAGTTGGTCCTATACATAGTTATTTATTTTGATTGATTTTCGTGTACGTACCATATCCGCCCGCCACTGCTGTTCTGAGCCTTTCCATCTCACCAAGTGTAGCTCCGAAGGAAATTCCTCTTCCTTGTTCCTCCAACTGTTTTTGTCGATGTTCTGAAAATGTCTGTTAGCAGAGATCTTTATTGTGAGCAATCCTTGCATATTAAGAATATCTATTTTAGGCTTAGGCCCTAAGCTATGATCAAAAACTAAGAGATGAACTTACTTCTGTATTCTGATCGTGGCTCACGAGGTCCATCAACAGTAATTTTAATGGCGCGATGATAAACAGCAATTTGTGGAGGATTGGTGGCGATCATCAGTGTTAAATTGAAGGTTTTGCCTAGAATGAAAAGTTATTCCTTGTTTCTTTGAACAAAGATTTCAAGTTTGAGGAATGCGCCGGAGTTGAGTGTTTGCGCGTGGAGTTTAATGCATAAATCAGTAGATGTGTTATTGTTCGATGAAAATGCTGGAATGCGGCGTGAAAAGTGCACCCCTCCAGCTGAGGGAGGAAGATCAAAGCAGGGCCGCTCGGCCGCGCGCGTAGTGATATTGTCACCCTTCCTGCGCCACCGACACCTTACTACTCAGTTGTGGTGTCGAGCAGTTAATTTACAATACGCTGCGGTGGGTAAAATCGCGGACCATTCAGTCCTCTGAGGCGGTGTTTTCTTTGATGTGTAATCACACCTTGTCCGTGTACCGGGGACGCACGCGCAAAAGAAAGTGGAAATTCTAGTGCCCGTTTAATCTACAGTAGCTAGTGGACTCCAGTCTGCAGTCTTGGAAATCGCGCCGGTATCTAACTATCAATTCTAGCAATTTTGAAATGTAAGCAGGGAATAACTCGCAAGGGCCCAATTGGTAATGGTTCTGACAAGAGGTTAATTGTGATTGCTGTGGGTGAAATGCATCCGGCGCCAATTACACCAGCAGCGCCAAGTCAGGGCTCGTCGATCAGTGCGACGACGGCACTCGGCGGCGTGAAATTTCAACACGAGCGAGTCCTTCAATTGGCAGCTACTCTTTACACCTCCTCTTGGGAATAAGATGGATGAATTCAAACTTGCAGTACTCGAAATCATAAAACATCTCGCTCAAATTAACTAAAAAAGAAGATAGCCACCAGTGTTATAGAACTGACCTCAAAGCACGTGAGCGCTGCCGCAACAGGGACGTAGTGTTGCGTTCAATTATTCTAGCTGCGCTCCTAAGACGGTCTCTGGCATAACGCCGTGCATTTCGAAGCCGCCGTAGTTGCATGCGGTTCCACCTTGTGGTCGAAGCTAATTGACCGCATTATCACGGTGCCGCATTATTTCTTGTCAGCGAGCTATTTCGCTTCTTTATTCTATCAGAAATAAGATGCACCTGTCTTTTTAATAATAATCGAAGGTGTCTGAATTTTTTAAACTTCTGTGGTCACCTCCAAGCTCGAAAAGAAAGAGTTATTACGGGATGATCTGATCGATCCCGCCCGGCGCCTTTCATCCCACCGCCATTATCAGCTGCTGACCGCAGTAACAACCATCCGATACATTTTTATTTGCTCAAAGTAATTACAAAAAACAGGCGATGGAACTCAAACGAAAGCGTATAATTCGATTAAATGATGTTCATTCAATTCCTTGCCAAGAATTGATATATTCGGAAAACAGGGCGAGTTCGTCAAGCTGCGTAATATTCGATAAACGTATTTTAGTTCAAATCAGTGCGGTAGAATTTATTCCCTAACGTGGAATTGGCGGACGAGACCCATTTCCTACGGTTAAGTAAGATGCTCCCCTTATCTGCAAGTCTGTGGGTTGGACGGCTGAGTGGTGATCCGGGCGGCACCCCGCTTTCATCTCGCGTCCATAATAAAATGCAAAAACAAAATCCCTGCTCTTGAAATTTAAATAAGCGCGATAAATCAGCGCTGGCTCTTATCTAAGTACCACATAAAGGGCCGTGGCCGATGGAAACAGAATCAGCTCGGATACCTGGGAACGCTTAGCCCCAAACACATGATTCTTGTTCTCTGGGCCTTTTTCGCGCCTAGCAGAAGAGAACGGAATTTCGTTTCGAAATAGTGCAAATGAAATTCCTGCTACCGCGGGGACCATGCTAAAGAGTACCCTTTTGCGGTGGCGTGCTTCTCGGTTTTGATACGAAACCGATCACCGAATTTGCAAAATATTCTGCGGTACCAATTATGGCCAGCCGATTTTATTTTACTGCGCCAACCGGCGGCTAATTTTATACAGCTTGAAAAATCTTTAAGCACTAGAATATTTTTTCGAACAGACCTGTAATTGGCTCCTTGGGCAACACAGATGATTTGATTACGAAAGCGAGAAACGTCTCTAAGGGACATGGCTAATTGCGGGCTGACAATGTGGAAAAGCGCGTCCATCAGGTGAAACGTGCGCTGGGCCTCCCTAAATGCGTGCTTCTGGACTTGCACTTGCATAAGCTAAGCAGCAATTTAGTAGGGAGAATCATTATGTTTTTAAGAAATTCGAAAATGAAATTTTAAGATGTCAAAGATTTCGCGGTTGATTATAAAATCATGTTATAGCGTTTTGGTTGGTTTAAAGTCTCTTTTCTGTGGATTGCTGGAGAGCCTTAGCCGCAAAACAGGTTACAACAAGGGATGAGATTGGCTTCGTGATAAGACGTAACGCGGTAACGTGGTCTCTGTCTGACCGCGCGGGACACTAAATGGAACGGGCCGGATTTTGCGCGGTCTCTCTCCCGACCGCGCTTCTTATACATCACCAACCACTTGATGATGTAACGACGAAAGGTCACGTGAATAATGGGCGAGCCACAAGGTTCCAAAATGTGGTCAGATCTTGAGGAATTTAATAACTTTGATTGGCAATCTCCAATTATCATTTTCACGATGATGAGACCCTAAAACTCCAATGAATAAAAATGGCCCGCTGATTGCACCGGATATAATCAAACAACTCGGATTAATTATTGTTGGCAATTTATGTCGCGTGCAGACGTTTTTGGCTATTTTTTGTTTGTAAATGAATATACCACGGCCCTTTCTTATAATCAAACAACTTTCGCGGGCGCTATTTTCGCGGGGCTGCTCTTTTGATAAGCGCCGCCAAATCTTCACATGTTTTGAGGCTAATCCAATCCTTAGTGCCTCTGGAATGGATACATTCTTGACTTTAAACTGACGGCTGTAATGACCGCAGATGACCGCGGAGAAGAAAAGGAAGCGTAAATATCAAGGGATAAGCTACTTATTCAATAGATGGTTGTTATGTTTTGATATGTGTAAGAGTTGGTAAGTTTGCTGATTCATCTGTGTTTTGGAAAGATAGTCTGATTGGCAATTATATGATTGGAGTTATATGTAATGTATAATTTAGATTGAAATGGCAATGTTACGGTGCATATAGTTGCGTAAACACGAATGTCCTCGTGGTTAGGATATAACCAACCGGGCAAAACCGACCCGACCGCTGCAGCTACAACATTTGACCCGCAGCGCGGTTTCTAAGAACCTTTCTCAGAGCCCTCTCGACACTGTGATGTCATCTCCCGTGCTGATTTACGAGCAAGGCGCTGCACACGTTTATTATCAAAGGTGTTCTTATGATTTAGACGAACATAATGCTTTAGTAAACAGTTTATCGCTTATCGTAAACTATTGGCTTTCCCCAATCTAAGCTAGAATACTATTTTGCGACTGGAGAATCATACAAAAATGCGCAATAATCATGGAAATCTCGGATTTGATTTTAGTTGAGATTCAAAATTGTAACCGTAAATGCCAATTGTGCGAGTAAAAATGAAAGGCCAGAGATAGGAGAACGTACATTTTTGAAGCGCGATAAGAAGGGACAAAATTATACTCCGTGTAAAACATAAATCTGCCCAAGTGACATCCATAATCGCCATACTACGCGAAAAAATCGTGGAAGCGACCATTTTCATCCTTTTGCCTGTCATTACCGAATATTTTCATTCAAAAATGGCGGCCGCATACAGGATACATTGATTAATATAAATGAGATGAGGAAAGAAATCTATGTCGAATAGCCGAAATTGAAAATGCACCGTTGGAGTGTGTCCCGAACCGCAAGACGGATAAGGAATTTATCATACACAGCGCCCTGTTTAAATATTCCCAGAGTCATATTTTTTCAATTATGTTGTTTCAGAAAACCGCCAGGGCAACCTGTGGGCAGGGAGCACCACCGCGCTGCGCACCGTGGCCCAGATTCAGATAAGAGCTCGTTTATTTCCAAGCCAAAATAGGCCCAGATTAAAAATATACGACAAAAATCAATCCCGGCGCATTTTGAACGTGATCTTACCTCTGCCAGATCTTCCGATGAATCTCAAATCGTTGAATCTAGCAACATTGTTCTTGAAGGTAGTGGTGTTGTTTCTCAACTCGGCGGAGTATTCTTCATCGTTTCCCGCGTAAATCGTGACTTGGGTTCCGTCCGGGACTGTGATTGGATCCAGAGCGACGATCTAAAGAGAAAGGAATTTGGTGGAGGTGTTTAAGGCGGTGTCAAGCTCTGGTTGAGCTTTTTGGCGGTCGATGAGGAACATTCCTCCAAATTGATCATTAAATTCCGACCGCGCGTTCTGGATTTTTCACACCACCAGCGCCGAAAAAGAAGGAATTCTAGCTCTTTATTTTTGGTGAGTCTGTTTAGCTATTTTGCTGTTGTTTGGCTATGACGGCATTCAAAAAATCACGGCGGTATCTAACACTGCTCTTATTGTGGCAATATTGATAAGCAAGGGTGTATGGAACCCAGACTCTTGAACAGTTATCTAATAGTTTTGCTTGTAAGATATAAGCTATATCAAACGGGCGCCGATGTTAAAACTGGCTCAGTACTTAATGCACTGGCTCATGCACGTGAGATTAGCTCATTTAGATCCGCACACTCTTATCAAAAAACAAATTAGAAAAAAAACTTTACCTTGAAGGGAGCTGGAAGGGATTTGTTCTTTCTCCAATGGACTGGTAGCTGTGTACAGGTGAAATTCGGCGAATCAGTCTTTGTCATCTCCGTATGCCCGTGATGTTGCTCCATGCCTGGAATACAGCCATGTCGTAAGAGATGCGCGTTATGATCTTAAAAATAGCATTTAAATTAGGGTCCTACGAGACATCCAACACCCGGAAATGGAAATTTAATTTCCGCTGCCACTTTTGGACAATCTAAATTTTCTAACTTTCTTTTAAAAATTGTGGGTGAATGTCAAATTCAGCAGCGAGCGCCAGATAAAGAGCGAAGGCGATAAAGAAGAGTACTTACTGTCGTACATAAACGGCGATCCATAATAATTTCCGCCTAGCAGACTCGTGGAAAGATCCATTTGTGGAAAGTTGAGGCCAGTGTCATTAAGCAACATGCTCGCATTGGCAGCTGGATGCTTTGTCTATAAAATGACATTTAGCGAAGGTATGGATTATTTTTTCAGTGGACTATTCAAATCAGTAATCGAGGTGTATTTTCAATTCACATAAAAGTAAAGCTCTGTTTATCAAAACGATTGAAGTCAAAAAGAAAAGTGACAACTAGCAAGTTTCTGTATATTAAAAAATGTAAGGATAGAAATAGAATAAGATATTTTTACCTGGTCAAAGTGCGGCGGGGTCTGCCGCCAGGCACTGAGGGAACTTGCTGTGGCCGCAATCTTGGCTGGCCTATGATCTTCCTGTCCGGGTTGTGCCCAGACAGACTCTCCTGGAAAAGCTCGTTTTCTGGAAAGCTTGTTGTGAGGATCGGGGTCCAGAAGGATCCCGCTGCTCAGTGGATCCACGTTGTGATCGTCTCAGATCCACGTCGATCTCTATGAATTCTATTCTCTGTATATTCTGTCAGTATGTGGGTGTTTTTTCGTTTTATTGTTCTCTTTCTGGGTGCAGCTCTTTCTTGAGGTAAAAAGCCTAAAGACGGCTGTTTTCGATTGCGGTCGAGTCTTTGGTCGGGGATTTGGTGTCGATCTCGGTTTCAGGAGTTAGTTGGAGGAGTCGTGAGGACGCGCCGCGGCGGTCCGGAGCGGGCAAAGCACCAGCGCCACCTGGTGCACCAAAGAAGGAACGACGGTCAGCACCCCCAAGCAACTCAGAGCAGCGCAAGGGCGGCGTAGCGCACGGCGGAGCACGTAACCAGTACGCGCGTAGCAACCAGCGAAAAAATGCACAACAGCGCCACCTATCACGAGGAAGGGTTGAGAGCCGCGATGGAGAACGTCGGGAACGGTTTCGCTGCAAGCGACGAGATCTAAACTTGAATTTTAGAGCTTGACTTTCACCTTCGAAATTCGCCTTATTTTTGGAAATCTGTTTATTGTTACTTTCTTCCTTGATTTCAAGATATTTCATCATCCCATTATAATTTTAAATTCAAATAATTTTAAGCTTAAAACAGACATATTTAATATATACACGATAATAATAGACCTTGAAAGATATAATTAGAAATAGTTCATCGCGTAAAGGAGTTTTTATGCAGCTGACTCGAAGGGACACTTTTGAATTGAACCCTTCTTTGGGTTTGTTTTGTTTATAAATCTGCTTTTCCCCGATCCGAGTTCTACAATACGAGTGCTCTTCGCGTGGGCCAGCACGCGCAACAATCCAGTATAACACTCAAAAGATCCCAATTAATCAGGTCCTGTCTAATTGCACTTGAAAGAAATCAATTCCAATTTGGCGGAATAAAATTTCCCCACCGCGGATCGATGGGCTCTGCGGTCAAGCATTTCTTCTGTTAGACAAGGACTCGGGGCATGGTGTTGGTGGACACAGATTTCACAATTTCTAGGTAATATAAAAAGCCGCGAATTAATCACTTTCGATTACTATATGAACCAGCTTTGAAGTAATTTTCCCACATAAAAATTGAGGAAATGCTTTCCTAGGCTTATTTTTCTAGCTTCGATTACATAATAATAATTTAGCAAGTTTCACCGGCAATCACCTGTCAAATTATTACCAAGTTTTTTCTCTGTCTAGCGGCATCGGGAAGCAGCGGAAAAATGTAAAAAATAAATAAAACTTCTCTTGTTATTCTTGATCGCAATCGTGACCTTGGTGGTTTCAAATGGATCAGAATACGATTTACGACCAAATACGTTTTTTACTCAGAGTAATTACGGCTTTAGCCACCGCGCCTTCGTGTCACTCGCAGGTTTATTTGATTTTTTTCGAAAAAAAACTTATTGTATTCTGTCAATCTGATAGAATCTGATAGGTCTGGTTATATACGAACAGACGAAGCATTGACTATTTTCAACAAGATTTCTTTAAAGTATGAACATTCGCTAACTTTTTCCGTTTTTACCATATGGCCGGGTTTCCATAATTATTTTTCATCCGATTAAGAAAGAGTCAAATTATAATTTTTCCATTCTAAAAAACACGAGCGCGATTACACATGTAGCCCTAGTTTGAGCTCAACAGAGCCCGTCACTCGTAAAAATAGTGAATGTTAGTGAATGTAGAATGCCGCGCTAGAACTTCGGCACATTCAAAGCTGTGTTTACGCCGCTCATCACGCCTTAGCTGTTGTACGCAAAATGTTGAGCGCTTCTGATCCTAAATTGGCTGTGTAAGCGGGGAATAGGTCAAGTTCAGCTTACTTTATAAAAGAAAGATTTTATTTCAAAAGAAGGGCTCTTTTAAACCTTTACTCCTTAACAAAGTAAAGATAAGAGTCATGTATGCTGTGATTTTGTGGAAATCGTAGCCACCACTAAAATCGTGGTGGTGGAACCGCCGTTGTCAATTGTGTGGCTACAAGTGGCCCTAACAGGATCAAATTGTGGCCAGTAGGTCGTCGCGTAGCGAAATGACGCGGCCACCGCTCGGTCATCGGCGGTTTCTTAACAGTTCCATAAAGGGGCAGCAAGACATTTATCTCACGTTCTCTGAGCAAATATCTATTCGCAGTGATTTTTGAAATCTTCTTTTAAAAACTGGGAATCCCTTGGATAATACCCTTTGGTATTATCAAAGAATTAGGAACCACTCGTAGAAATGCTTTGAAACGCGGCGAGTATGCTTGATGATCATTTCGAAAAGAGATCAAGATCAGAATATCTCACCCTCAGCGCACTGCATAAAGCGGAAAAGGTCTCTTGTTCAACTCGACCGCGACCGGTGTCGTATACACAAAAACTCTCAACAATAATATACAAAAGGGATGAGATTGAAATCAGCCAAGTGAGCCCCCTTTACATGACATCAGCGCTCGGTTCCCACAGTCCCTGCTCATCACGTGATTTGTTGCCATTACAGAGTGAGCGCTCTTCCCAAAAAATCAGACTAATGGGATCAGGGGACAAGGGTGGACAGGTGAAAACAAGTAGAACATATAGCCAGAACTTGAGTTGTTTGTTTTCAGTACAGAATGATTCGTCGACCGAAGAATTTGTATGATGCTTGTATTGTTAAAGAAACCTATCATTGAGGCTGATTTTTAGTCGTGTGGCTTTTTTAATACTCGTTGAATAAAATCGCCTAATTCGGAAGCGCCCGTGCCAATCTGCTCTCTGAGCTCGCTTCATTTCCATGATCCGGCTTATCCCGCTCGCCGAGGAAATTTTCATTGCTCCGCAAAATGCATCTCAGCCGGCTCCTGCGGTTCAGTAAGTCATTGTTGATGCGCGAGTCAAAAACGATTTCTTTAGCCTGGCACTGTTTTGTATTCAAAAAGGGTTGATAATTGAGCACTTCCGACTTTTGCCTATTTTCGAAAATATTTTCTGCGGTTTCCGGTGAGTAAAAACGTCTTTGGTAGCATTGAGAGGTGTTTATAATAGGAGTTTTAAATATAATCTTTTTTAAAAGAAAGCAAATATTACGTTGCCTTATGATAATTTTCTGGAAATGTTTTTAGACACCTCCCGCGCCGCCAAACATTCCATTTTTGTGATATTTGTTTGAAGCCCCTTTTGAAGCGTTAACATATTCGCAAAAAATAATATGAGCCATCAACAACTACTCCAGCGTCGCGCGCCACAACAAAGCGCGGAAACGAATATAAATCTTTGAAAAGTCGGTTTTTGATGATAAGCGCCGATAAAAATCAATATAAAATTTATTCAAGAGCTCAAAGTGGCGCCACATTATCCGGCCGGAAGCGGAATACTTGACACGGACGGTGGTGGAGGTGCTGCTCCAGGAATCAAACCGATTAGGGGAAGATCATCGCACTTGACCGAAAACTAACTGTATTTTTATAGTGGCTTATGGTTGCTTTCATCAGTTTTTTTAAGCTCGGGTTTCAATCAGGGCTGCTCCTAGTCTTGATCGACAATTGATGGAGTTTCAAGCATGTTTCCGATGTCGCTGATGGCCATGAAACCACACTGATTAAGACTTTAAAGCAACAACAATATCAGAGACAGAAAACTGTCCAAACATCCTAATGATGTTAAAGTAGCTAACTAAAGTTATTTTGTGCAAATGGATTCACCACGGGCTCATGTTCAACTCTAAAGAATAATAGCGGCGCGCAAAATTCGCTCCGGACAGCCGTGAAATCACCAACTAACTCATCATCGGACAAAGCGATTTCAACTCCGATTTCTTTGCTTGTCATGTTTCTTACGGAGCTAAATTTGGAAAAATGCTCCGTCCTGTGCGAAGCTGTATTCGCACGCTAGATTTTTAAACAGCAGACAAATACAAAACAAGACCGTTTTCGTGTACGGTAATGTGTTTAGGTCCGCTACATTAGTGGTGGTGGTGACCGCCGAGGAGGAGATTTTCAATTTCGCGCTCTGTTCATTATGTACACAAACATAATGGAAGCTTGTTTTTGCATTTTGAAGGGTGGTAATGAAGGTAGATTTTTAAAGAGAAGAGTTCAATTGATAGCGTGAGTAATTACGAATCGTATTCAATTTCTGTGAAACTTAATGAGCGTTGTTCATTTTCACCACAACAGGAACTCGGTTTGTGTTTTTTGTCGTAAGAATGCGCCTGATCCGACCGCAGAATATTTTTCCCATCAAAATGCGAAAATAGCGCTCTGCATGTTATCTCATTTTTAAAATTATTATTTCTCATGCTGATAAGCAAAATAAGCAATTCAATGAAAATAATTATTGTCGAACAAGTTTGTCAATTAATTTCTTGGAAGTGTCAGGTGATCCGAAGCGTGATGATCATTATTGAGGATTTGGTTGATCGGAGCTAATGGAGCGCGAGGATATATTGACGCACCTGTGGTGAACCGCCATTTTTTTGTTGTTATTGACAAATGTGACAAACCGAATGGAACTATTTAGCGAATATGCGAAAATATGATAAACTTTGAAAAAAGTAGTGATGCCCGTGGTCGATCGCGGTCGCCACTGCGGTTGGGGGAATTGCAAGTTAGACCATTACTGCCTTACTAATACGCGAATTTCGCGTGAAAAAATGCTGCCGGAGTAATGGAGCTGAAACATACCGAGGGGTCCATAAACAGCCGTATTTTCTGTTTTTGAGCAAATATGAAAATCACGGGCCAAAAATGGATAATTTTGAATGGCTTCATCTTGACATTTTATAGAAATTGAAAGTAAAACTTTCGACTGATAAGAAAGCGATGATGATATAACGTGAGGATGAGCGTTTGGTCACTGACGAAATGGAATTCGGCTTTGGTGGCCTGCCGCGAAAGGGGACTCAGATGTGTCGTTGTGGTTGTGGTTCTGGTGGTGGTTGAACCCCCGACCGAGCTCGGTTGGGGCTGTTTTGACGAGGAGCCCGCCAAAGCCGCCAGAAGGAAGCCCAAGACACCTAAGGTTAACGCTAGGCCATTCAGAAGTCGACAATGAGAAAACGAAGACTTTCATTTTCCCAAACGAGTCATATGAAAAAAGACTGATTAAGCTTTTTAAGAGGTGGCAATTAGAACCAAATGATACCTACAAGAGATTACCAGAGGTGAAATCGCCATTCCTGCAATTACGACGAAATTGGAGTGACTAAAGAGACCGCAAGGACTGATACGCGCCCAGCGATGGATGTTCTGACTACTTTGGGCACTTTGGGAGCGCGCTGCCCATATCATGCGCGACTGGTGCACCTGCAGAGGGCACGATTGCAAGTATGCGGCTAACCGCATTTTGGAACATGAAATTTTAAGCGAGCACTCATTGCTTCCAATGATTGGAAGGTCTGGGAATAACTCGGGAAAAGTTACCGCAAGTTGACTTTGATTTTCAGATCCTGGCTAATTCTGGAGCACTAGAATCTTCGACTTATTCAAGTTTGCATTTCGCTGTTATCGTAACAGTTGAAAATAACTGTATACGTGGAAGAAATTATTCGGGAAACTTTCTCCCCTCGGCCGCAATGCAAAAGTCGCCAAGGGTAAAATGCAATTTGGCCGTAAAACGAAACGAGTTTGAATATTTGCTCAACATTCGAGTGCACCAGTCTGATGTTGTGGCAGGGGCCCGGCGTAAAAGGTCGACCCGTTTTCGGGCACACCTTTTACTTCCGGAGTGTGGCTGAGTTATGGCAATCGATTGTGAAAGACTATCATCACTCGTCATGGCGTTTTACGAAGGGGAGTGACGTCAAATCAAGTCCAAACAGGGGGGTTTTCGCCGATTTCTAGCGAATTTCGAGAAATTCAAGTATTGTCGAGCTTTGCTAAAGTGATCAAAGGTCAAGGAAGCATTCTTGCCTACGTTTGAATTCCAAAAGTCAAGGAAGACAGTCACTCTTTCCCATGTGATGATTATGAATATGTGAGCATGAATCTTTGCTGACGAACTGTCAGTGGAAAATTGGCAAAACGAGCTCTAGAAAACCCGTTATCAGTACGAGGATGAGATAGGGACATGTTTTGAGAAAGTAGCTCTGTTTTGAATAGCAAGGTAGAATAATAAAATAGGGGCTAGCCACCGCAAAGTTAAAATTTGGCGCGGCCACACCAAACCGCCCGGTGGTCGCTTATCCAAGCGCAAGATTACCCCTAAAATGGCCATCACTGCCAAGCGACATTTTTTTTACAAAATCTCCTGGCATCTTTTAGCGAGAGATCTGACGCTGATATTTCTAAAAGCACTGGAAAATCTGGGGACCGAGTTTTGGAGTGAGACCACTTGGCTTGAATACTGACCGGATAAACATGTCACCTTGGGCTTTAAACAGCTTCTCCAAAACGGCGTCAGAATCGAGCCTGCGTTTTGCATTTGTTAGAATCCCCGTGGTTGGCTTGATGCATCAATCGAGGTCTTAATGCTTCAACTTGCGGTCGCTTAATCCGCTGGCCGAGTTTGCGCCTCGCAAAAAAGGACGACACTTTCAGGCCATGACTGAAAACAAGAACCCGCTCAGCGATTCTATGACTCTGAGA